AGAGCAGAGCAGAGCAGAGCAGAGCAGAGCAGAGCAGAGCAGACAGGAGTAGAAACAGTCAGGGGTACAAGCAGAGCAGACAGGAGTACTCCGTAGAAGCAGAAACAGTGAATATTAAATGAGTGTATGAAGATAGAGATAGAGATAGAGATGGAGAGGAACCAGCAAAAGCAAAGCGCAACGATGTCAATCAGTTACTCAGTAGTAATAGTTGCACGCGTAGGCTTATTTAGGGGCGCGCCGCCTCCTTGGCCCTTTGAAAGGTGCTAATTAATTAGAGACCATCTAATACCTACCTACCGAGAACAGAGAGAGCACATCTACCAGTATCAGTACTAGCAATTGATAGTCCAGCTACTACGGAAGTAAGGATGTGTAGTACCCCGGTCGAGGATTTACTACTAGTTGTGGCTGATGCCGAGAAAGGCCAGACGCACACCGTTGGTCGCCGTCGCTGTCGCCGTCGCAGTCAACATCGCCAACCTTAACCCGTAGCCCTGGTGCCAGGAGATGAACGTGCAAGAATACAGGAGAAAAGTGTTCGGTATTTGAATATTGAATATTCGGTATTCGTATTCATATTCAGTATCATATTGCTACCTAATCCAACACCCCAAATTCAAGTCCATAACCCTGCTCACTGCCCAAATCCCAACACTGACACCAACGCACTACTAGCACCGCCGCTCGCATGTGTAATCGACAATCATTAGATCAATCCAACAGACTGCCATGTCTGTAAAGATAAAGAGCGTCCCTCTACCTCTCGACACCGTCTTCTTCTTCTTACCACCGAACACTAGAGTTCCTCTTCTTACCAAGGAACACTAGAGTTCCTCCTCTTCTTACCACCGAACACTAGAATTGTTCGTCTTCTTACCACCGAACACTAGAGTTCCTCTCACCACCTAACGCTAGAATTGTTCCACACCGAAATAGTCGACGGCCACGGCCCATGGTGCCTCAAGCGGACATTGTTGGGGAGAGGAGGATTCAAGCCCGAGGCTTGGCCGTGTGTGAGGGCGTGGTAGTGTCTGGACGACCCCTGCCCCTGCCCCGGCGACGACGTGGACGCTGACGACGGCTTCGCCGTGGTGGAAACAACCGCCGCCGCGGCTGCAGCCCTCGCGCAAGCCGTGGTGGCATGGACGTGGTAACAGCACCGGTCCCAGAGAGCCGGGTCTTTCCAGGCTTCGGCGGTGAACTGCCAGACCTTCTTCATGATATAGAAGACCAAATCGGGGATCTTGAACAACTCCTCAATCTCCACCCGGGCGTTCTCGTTGCGTTTGAGGTCGTGGTACCACTTGGGGTGTTTCATCATGTGGTGCACCAGGTGTTCGACGTAGAACCGTTTGAGCGGCGACTTGTGCGGGCCCGTCATGTGTGTCAGGGCCAGCGCCGTGAAGTTGGGCGTCTTGCACGGCTCCGTCTCGCGCCGACTGAAGCTGCCGCGGATGCTGTCCATGATACTGTTTTGCAGTTCCTCCATCCCGAATTTGTCCGCCATACAGTACGCCGCCGACATGCCAACCAGGTCGTACGAAGGGTCGGTCCGCAGGGGCAGTCTGTTGCGGTAGATCCAGTCCACAATAACAGCAAACGCTTTCGGGTCGTCTTCCGGGAGGTACAGCTCGTTCTTGTAGCCTTCGTCGAATCGGCCTTTCTGCAGGCACTTCTCCATGAATGGCGACCGCTCACAGATGAGCTCGCGATGCAGGAAGAAGCGTTTCCGCTTCGGGCCGACATGGACAGTCACGATTTCAGACGTGGTGAAACTGTAGACCGGAGGTTAGCACGGCGCCGGCGGTGTGCCATCAAGGGTATCAACGGATCGGAGGGAGGAGGGAGGAGGGAGGAGGGAGGAGGGAAGAGGGACATTGGATTGCTCACTTATCCACATCGTCATAATCGCCATCGTCGTCGTCACCGTCAACTTCCTCCTCTTCTCCCTCTGCATGTTCTTCGTCCAGCACCTCTTCCTCTTCACCATCGACCGCCATCACGGCGCCTGCGTCGGCCACAGCAATTGCCGGCTTCTCGCCCAGGGCCACCACCCTTTCGCCCGTGACTTCGACGTCGTATTCTGCAGGCCGAGTCGCAGCCATTGCCGATCTGATCCGATCCGATGCGATGTTATGATAGAAGGCCGTCGGGCGAGATGATGCTTTCGAAGGGATAAGAGACGGCGCCGGAGTCAAGACTGCGGTGCGATGTGGTGCGATGCGATGCGGTGGTCGGTGGCCCAAAACGCCCAATTAATTGCCCAGGCGGGTCGGAGTCAGACATCCGGCGGAGCAGATACGCGCCAAGTGCAGATGTCCGGGATGCGGGGTGCGGCATGTCTCAGCCTCGTCGGGGGATTGATGCCTTAGGGTTAGGGTTAGGGTTAGGGTTAAAGTCCGCTGCACCAGTACTCACAAGACACAAGTCATGCTGTTGGCAACCCATCTAGGGAGGGTCAAGGCCACCAGTGCCCATGCTATGCTGTATTGATGCCGGGCGTCTCCCGAACTTCAACCTATAGTAGTGATACAAGACTCCCTCCGACATCTCCAACCAATCCCAACCCGACCTTCAATGCCCGCGGGTCATTTTGAACCCGGCAAAACGAATCTAGCGCTTCTTCGCCCCGTTTCCCACTCCTCCTCCTCCGTCCGGCTCGGTCTCGTGTGCTTCGCCCGCCAGAAACGGCTGCATCACGGCATCTCCGGGCTCCACGCTCTTTCGCACCCGCTCGCGTTCAAGTTCCCGCCTCAGTTCCTCGTTGACTGCATCCCTCTCCTCCAACCTTTTCCGCGCACCACTACGGTCCAGTAGTCGCGCTTCCCGCTCAGCCTTGAGTCTTCTCTCCAGCTCTCTGAGACGATGTATCCATTTCTCTTGTCCTTGTCCGCCCGCGCTGACGGCCGTCGTGATACTGGCAATGTCGGAGCCCGAGGCAGTACTAGGTGGAGCCGGCGGTGCTTCACGGGGTGGTGGCAATGAAAAATTCCCGTTGGCCGGGGCATTGAACGGTCCCGCGGGGATCATTAGCCCTCGATCACGCTCACCCGGCCCATAGGCCGAGTTCCGACTCGAGATCGAGCTTGAACGCATTGATGTCACGTCCCCATTCATATTGACGAGATGCTCCACAGTCCCGGTCGAATGATGCCGTTGCATCTGCATGGGCCGACTGCGCCTCATGCTCGACGATCGCGCCGGCACTCCAAGCCCAGCGTTCACTGCTCCGTCCAAGGCTTGCCCCGGGCCATCGTTCGACATGAGGCTAGAATAGCCGGAAGCTCGGCTCTCGTTTCGGTCTCGCCGGTGATTCAGGTTATGATGAGCTTGCTGTTGTTGAAGCAACTGAAGTTCCGCCTTCAACAGCCTATTCTCGCCCTTCAATTTGCTGATCTCGGGCGTCCTGCTCGATTTCGGGGTCCGAGCTCCGTGGTCGGTGTGCGCCCGCATTTCCATCTCCGACATTTTCAGCTTCATCTTCTCCCAACTCTCCTCGATCCGTTCGAGCTTCCGCGTGCGCACTTCGAGAGTCTGCTCGAGCGCCTGGTACTCTTTGTACAGTTCCCGTTCAACGCGTTTGATCTTGTCTTTGAAACTCGACAGCGTGCCTTCGACTTGTTTGGCCGCCAGCAGAAGATTCCGGCTGAATCCAGGCCAAAACAGCATATTGCCGACCACTTCCTGAGACGGTAAATTGCCATTGATCAGACTGTTGTTGTGAGTCCAGTCCGGCCCGCACATGGCTGTGAGTCTCTTCCAAAGAGTGAGCAGGATCTGGTTGCGTTCGGTGAGCTGGTCCTTCAACTGACTCTCCATTTGGCTCAATCGTTTGCGGTCAGCCTGTCGTAGCCCTTCCAGCTCCGCAATTCTGGCGGATGCAGAACTGAGTGCGCGGGTGGTCGAGTTGTGGCCCTTGTTCGTTCGCTCAAAGTCTAGCTTGTCTTGTCGCCGGCCTGACCTTTCCCGCTCGAGGGCGTCGGCCAATTTCTTGCATTCGTGACTGGTCGACTCCAACAGAGCATCCCGGTCGGCGAGCAGACTTTCGCTCTCGCTCAGTCGTCTCCGCACAGACTCGAGTTCCATGGTAGCTTGGTCAAGTTCCTGTCGCATCTTTGTGACGGCACTGACAAGACTCGACCGCGAATCCGGAGAATCACCAATGATGTTTCGGAGGCTCTCCTCCAATTCGGCCAACCGGTCCTTGTAGGCATTCGCTTCGATGTCGCGAGATGACAGCGCCTTGCGCACCCTTCGCAGTTCGTCTTTCGCCCCTGCCGCCTCGCGATTGAGACCGTTGATCACTCGCTGGACTTCTTGCTTTTCTTGACTCGCCACCGCGTCCCTCTGAGCTCGCTCGTCGGTGAGCCGACGTTCTAGGTCTCGGCTGCGGTCTCTCTCCGTTTCTAGGTTGAGATGAACCTTCTTGAGCAGTGATTCCAAGTCGCCAATCTTGATCTTGTCCGCGTCTTGCTCTTCGCGTAAGAACGCAATCTCATTATGACTGCTCTCCTGCTGCACCGTCAACCTTTGCACCTTGCTCTCGGTCTCCGCCAGAGACTTTTCGAGATTCTCAATCTCGCGATTGGCGTCATCAAGCTCTGCCTTGACGGATTGATAACGTGCCAGATTGTGCTGCGCATCTTCTTCGAGACGCACCAAGCCCTCGGCAGCCGACCGCATTTCAGCCTGCAATGCTTTGACATTGTCGATTTGCCCTTGAAGCTCCTGCTCAAGCCTGGCGCACTCGTCCACTTTGGCATCGAGCTCATCTCCAAGGCCGTCGATCTCTTCTTGGGCCTCGTTCTTCAGTTGTTGGAAAGCCTGGTCCTGCTCCTCGGCCTCCCGCAGAGCATTGTCTCGCTCCTGAGTCAGATCATGAAGCTCCTGGTTGAATTGATCGGCATCTGCCTGAGCTTGGGCATCCACCGCGTCGAGTTCGGCGAGGGCCTGGTCGAATTGGCTTTGGAGGTTCTGGTTCTCCAATTTCATCTGCGAGAGCTCATCCCGGAGCTCATTGATGCGGTTTTCCAGAGACTCTCGTTCTTGGTCGCTCAATCGAGACAGACGAGTGCCGTTGCTCGCGCGAGAATGAGATCTTGCTCGGGAAGCCGACCGGTCGAGAATGCTGTCGCCAGCCACGGATCGTAGGCCACCCATCCGGCCCAACTTCAAGTCCTCAATTTCCTGGTATAGTCGCTCTTTCTCCTTGTTGCGAGATGTGAGCGTCGACGCTTGCGCACCTATCATCTTCTGGAGTTCCGAGACCTCATGCCTCAGTCGGTCGATTTCGGCATTCTGAGCATTCGCTGCTTCGACGCTGCTAGTTCTTGAAATGACCGAACCTGCCACGCGAGACTTTCGTGAGTTTGGCTTGGTCGAAGCCAACGCGTCGGTTCGGAGCTTTGCAATTTCTTCGCGCAGTCGCTTGTTGTCTTCTTCGGACTGCTCACGGGCGATGGTCTCGGCCTCCAGCATGTCCTTCCACATATCACGCTCTTCTCTCGAGCCCACATCGGATGTAGCTGCGCGAGTGTCACCCAGAGACTTGACCATTTCGGCCAGTCTTCGTTTCTCAGACTCTTTGGCAAAGTTCTCCGACCGAAGCTTTTCGATCTCAACCTCGTTGATCTCGACCCTCTCACGAAGGTAAATGACTTCTTCTTCCGCTGTCGGGCTTCTCTCCTCGTCAGTCCCATACCCTGGATCCGCGTTTGGAGACTCCCGAGCTCCGCTTTCATCAAGTTTTTTCTGCAGTTCCCGGACCTGTTTCCGTAGATTATGATTATCCTTCTCTAACCTCAATCGATCGGACTTTAGTTGTACATTTTCCGTAATCATCTCCTTGATCCCATCCTCAGAACGCTTCTGGAGAGCCTGATCCAAGAAATGTATCTTCATCTTTAAGTCGAAGTTCTCCTTGCCAAGTTTTTCCACAGTACTTCTGTGCTCTTTCAAGGTCAGCCCTCGTTTAGGCCCTGGGGTCATACCGAGCATTGTGTTATTCTTGACTGGTGACATATTTCGTTCTTGCCGGTACTGGCGCGCGAAAGTCCCGGGTACTTCAATGTCACGCACATTGTTCGCAATGACGGTATCGGTGGGCATGTTGAAATTAAAAGTTGATGCTCGCGGAGTCGCCAATCCACTAGCTCTATTAGACTGTGGGCTCTCTTCTTCCAGAGTACTCAAGTCTGGCACTCCAGCCTGTCGCTGTAATCGAGGCTCATCATCACTCATTCCCGATACGCCCGACATCATGCTTCCGAGACTGGCCTGACGAGATATCGTCGCTCTTGTCTGACGTTGTGCACTGGAATCGGGTAAAGCTCCGCCCGACTGCAGCGCAAAGTCGGCCCCAAGTGTGGCATCACTGGCGTCGGTGTTGGAACTAGCCACGGAATCAAAGGAGAGTCGGGCCTGTGAGGATCGTCTGTGGAGATAGTGCGGCCGCCTTGACGCTGAACGAGTGGTGTTATCTGTCTTCTCCTGCTGTACGTCCGAGGCGCTGGGGACATTTAGATAGCGCTTTTCCTGCTCTTGCTCTGAGCCATTTCTTTGTGACCTCGCATCAACATCGGCTTTCCCATTACCATGTTCCCAATCCGATGCAAAGTCGTCTTCTCTTTCGTTTGCAGTCTCGTAGCCACCCATTGTTGCTAGAGACTGAACTCGGTGGAGGGTTCGGGCGGCGGCCGCCGCAGTTGGAGAGGAAGACATATTTTCAAGTACAGAGGTACTGGGGATGTCGGGCGTGGTTCCTTCAAGTTCTTCATCCAAGTCGTGAAAGTCTTGAGGTTCAGGTGCCGGGGTCTTGTATCCGCCAGGCGGCGTACGAGGCGACTGCACGTCGTTGGATTTTGAACGCGTGTGGTTTTCCCTGCCGTCCCGGGAATAGGAGATCACGATTGGCTGTGGTCTTTTGCGCATAGCAACGTTGTCGTTCGGAATCCCAAACAAGTGTGTATCGTCTGCGCCAGTAGTGGTTGAGTTCTTAACGGCAAGCTCAGATGGATCAGGGAGAAAACTAGATTCCACATCAAGTAATCGGTTATTCATTTCAGTTTCATCCAAGGTCGCGTTTGCCGGCCCTTCGAGACTCGTGATCTCGTCCAGTGGCTGCAGCAAGCTGCTCGGATCTTTAGGACCGGGCAGCAAGGACTCGGTGAGAGAAGTGTCGAGGTGCGAATCGCCATTAACGCTTCCACCAGACGACACGTCGTCGTCGTCCCCCAGATCAAATCCCCCAGGTACTCTCGACGACCTGCGCCGGAACTGAGGCCGGCTGCTCATGATTGAGGACGACATCGGAAGTGCAGTGGCAGTGGCTGGAGATCACTGGTAGCTAGCCGAGCGAGGAATTGCGTCGTAGCTGGCCGATTGAGGTCGAGCCGTTGCGTGGAGGTGTCGCGGACATTGGTGTTGGGTGCTGGGATCTGCCAGTGGGATCTGGGCAGGACGCGGGTGTGAATGTGATGACGAAGGGATCGGAGCGCGTTGTTGGTCAGCGTCACAGAGGGTACTGGGTCATTGGGGCGCGCAGGCAGCAGAGGAGGAGGTCAGGATGTCAAGCAGGTCAGAGAGGTTGGGTCCAGACAAGAATACCTAGGTACGTACGGGGTACGGAGTAGTGAGGCGATAGAATAGGGACGTGCTCAATGCAATGTGCATGTCTCCCACTGCATCTCAATGCTAAGCCTGGTCCATCCCTGAAACGCAGCCTGCGCAGTGCGCATCCCCCTGGCACCCAGCGCCATTCCCGATTTGCGCGGCATCAACACTACAACACCGCACTACTTTGGGCACCACAATTGGCAGCTGTCTGACAGCCTATATCTTCCTCCTGCCGTCCGCTCCCATCGCAAATGGCCGGCTCGATATTTTGTCAGACGGCTAATGAGGCCTCCATCCCCCCTCCCCGGCCACCGTCTTCCCGCCGCGCGAGGAGCCGGAGGCTGGTCAAACAGTAAGCGAAGCGAACCGTCCCTCAGTGGTAAGGTGTATCACAGTTCTATTCCGTACACCGACATCTTGTCGTGTCTCCAAGAGAATAAAACACCAAACACCAAACACCGTGTGCATTTCACTTCAACGGCTCTAGCCAGCTGCTGTTTGTAAGATGTGGTAATACTACCTCCACAGCCAAAGCTGCGGCCGGCCTGCTTTTCCATCTATTCGTAAAGTCGTGATTCGTTTAATACAGATGCAAATGGCAAGCAATCATAGTCACAACCTCTCGCTCGCCGACTTATTGCCCTCAATCTTGTACATGCCATCACACGTACAGCATCTACACCCGTGTGTCCATTTCAGCCCTGCGAGCCTCGCCCTCGTTCCTCCGCAACTGGTAGACCCGCTCTTTCGTCGCCTGGGCATTCTGAAGCGCGTCAATATAGGTGCGAAACTTGACAATCTCCCGGAGAAGGTAACTGCTCTTCTTCTCCCAATTGTTCATAGCTTTGGTCGAGTTGGGATGCTTGGAAGAAAATGCCAGCAGCATTGGCCCTCGGAGCTCATTGTGCTTTTGCAATTCATCCTCCACATTGCTCACGTACGTCTGTAAAGCCTTCAGCTGGTCGACCTCCATCAGCTGAGAGGCAAACATGGATTGCTGGGGAGGCGCCCACTCGCTGATGTGTGCCCTGTCCCCAGGTAGCTTGGCTCGGCCACCACCAACGTAGTCCAAGGAGCTTCGCATGGACATTTGTGTGCTGGGTCGCGGACTGGTTGAGTTAATAACCGCACCTGAAGAGTCTGATGAGATCAAGGCTCGGTTGACAACGGCGTCGCTCCAGCCATATTCCATGTTGCTGACGCCTCCCATCATGGGCTCCTTTGACAGCCTGGCGCTCCAGAAGTTTGCGCTGGACACAAACTCCTTGACAATGTCTGGGGTTCCTACAGAGAAGAGGTGCACAGCCCCGGTGGGGAGACTCAAAGCCCACACATACGGTCGCGCTTTGGAGTAGCCGGGTGGGGGTAATGAGCTTGCAATCGTGTGTCGAAGCATGAACTTCCAGACCTCTTCAGCGTTATCTTGCCAATTCCCACCACCAACAACGGCTCCGGCTTTATGGTTTCGCGCCTTGTGTCTCAGAGACTTTGCAGTGGGGGAAAAAGAAAACAGTCGCATCCATCCTCTCTCGATCACTGCAAAGCAGTCGGTCCAATTCCGGTCTTTGGATCTTTTATCCACCCCTTCTAGGTGGCATTTGTGTTTTACAATACCTTCCTTCGCCCAGGGCGCGCCACAAAGTTCAAGAGACTCATCCTCAAGCAGCGAACCGGCTTTTGGACCGTCGTCAATGGGGAAGTCCAACTGGTCCTCGCGGATGATGGCTTGACTGAGAGCATTTGCAAATCCGATCGAAGACTGGTAATCGCCGGGGGCCGCCTCGGTGCCGAAAGAGTCGACTGACATAGAGGTGAGCGTCTTTCCCAGCGAAGCTTTGCTCCACGTGCTTGACATTGACGGACTCCAAGTGGATTGCTCGTCTATACTGGTTCTGCTAGAGCCTAACCCTGCTGCTGACGCCAGGCGAGGCCTCGACCTCGTTTTTGTCATCCATCGAGCGCCCAGGGATCTGCTTTCTCCAGCGAGACGCCCACGATGGGTGTCGGAATGTGCTTTACTCAGCACGCTAGGAGTCCGCCGCAGCATGTTCGATCCGACGGTCAAAAAGTTGTTTGACTGGGTGAACTGTCCCAGTGCATCGTTCTGAGCGCCAGACAGAGGCAAGGGCTCCTGGTAGATGGAGTTGTAGAAGGATCTAAGCACCGAGTCCATCTGTTGTTCCCAGGCCCTGCTCGGTCCGCCTTGTGCTGGCGACTCGGTGTTGGAAATGGTTGACTCGGAAATTCGCCGCTCGTCATGATTTGGCCCGTTCACCGACTCCTTCGCCTGTCGGACAACGTCACCCGGGGCGTCTGTGGACGACCAGTCCGAACGAGTGGTGGAATGGCCGCGTAAAGTCTTGTCTGCTTCTGACCCCTGAGCCACCAATTTGACAGTTGGAAGAGTATTCCGAACAAACTGAGTCCTGGTCATCTTCTGGCCAATGTCGGCCAGATGGAGATCCGTATTCAGTAGGAGAATCGAATAGCAAATTGTATGGACGACATCTGCCCATATCAGCGACGTGTTCGTTGGGTGGGGAGGGGATAACTTACCACTTGATTTGAACATGTGTGAGGTATTGCATTCGCACCATCGCTGTGCAAATGCATCCACAACTCGATCTATCTGCTGTGTCTCGCCTTTGAGCGCGATGCGATCGCATAGACCTCGGAACGCATCGAGGATGTTTTGATCGGACCAGTCGAAGAGCTCCATGTATGCTTTTCGGACATGTTCGCGTTCAGTGCCAGCCTCTCCCAGCCACGCTCCGGCACTTGAGGAATCGATTTCGTCTTCGGCATTGTTGAAGATCTGTTGCGCCTTCTGCCTGTAGTCATCATTCAGTGTCTGGAATTGATCGAACCGTGGAGCAAGGGAGGATGCCGACCCGGCTTGATCGCCGGCTTGAACCTCAGCCACTAGAGGTGTCGTAGGGGCCGACCGATACTCGCTGACATCAGACGTAGAAGCAAATGGAGTGCCCTTGGATCCGATTCGGTCTGCCTCCAACGGTTTCATTTGTCTGGCGGTGCGACTAGGTCTGTTCATATGCTCCGTACCAGCAGCAGTAGCCGGCGGGTTTGCGACAAGGGCAGGAGTTGGAGAGACTTTCTCCGACTTCCAAGACAGATCTCGTGTTGGTTTTCCCCTTGGATCTATAGACATGTTGGGCAACGCGCTTAACGAGATTGGACGCTCGAGGTTTAGGTCATTGACGCTCCGACGAACTCGCAAGTCACGTTGCTCTCCATCGGAGTGTTGGCTTCCTTCGAAAGGGGAGCGCTTTGAGGGCTCCTCTGCGCTGCTGCTATCTGCTAGGAAAGAGTCCTGGTGAGGGATGTGAAGGTTGGACAGTTGCTTCGTATGCGATTTCAAGGTTCTATTGCTGGTATGCGACTGGTTTCGACGGTGCCCGACTCCCTTCGGCCGGTTGGACGCGTCTCTTGGTAGGCCAAAAGCAGGAGGTGGAAACGTCGGGGTATGGAATCCTTGCATCGAGCTTGTCCGAACGTGACCTGCGGAACGCACTGGGCTTTCGACCAGGTACGGATCCATGAACGCTCTCAGACTGCTAACTGGGCTGTTTCCATCAACAGGTGCTGGATCCGACTTGAGCTCGGAATTCAGGGTCAATGGCAGAGGCGGAGGGATGCTGGCCGAGATAGACTTCTTCCTCCGACGGAAGAAAGTAGAACTCTTCTTAGACACCACGGGTTGATTTTCCTTGTTGGCCGAGTTATCAGTTGATTGCTGACGGGCCGGTTTTGGAATTCTAGCCGGCGGCGTGGACGGACGCGGCGTCTCGTCCTGAACCGGGGTCGACCGACCCGGTGGTGGTTTGCTGAGGGTATTGGGTGTGTGAATATCCGCACTCGCACTGGGATTTCTGGAGGAGCCAAAGACACGACGAAAAAAACCAGGCCGAGGGACGGCTGCGAAATCTTGCAAACCCGGCTTCTGCTCGTGCACTGCATGATTGAGAGCGGGAACGCTTCTCATGGACGGCAGTGGCGGAACGAATTCATTGTTCGGCCTCACTGCATTGGTCCCCAAAGCTCCGGGCCGGCCTTTCTTCGCATACGTGCTTTTGGAAGATTTGGTGCTATTTTTCCGTACGAGAGGCGGAGCAGAAGTGTTCACCGGTGGACCATTTTGAGAATCTGACCCTTGAGATATGACCGGCATCGGTGCACCAGTGGTAGGCACGAGGTTTCTTGAGACGCGCATCTCTCGTTGTCCGGAGCCAAAATCAAAACTCCTTGAACGTCTGTCCCCCACTCCACCTACCCGACCAGACAGACTGGCCAGGTGCCCAAGATCAATACTGGACGACGCACTGCTGGCTGGGCTTTTGCCGCCTTTAGTTGTATGCTTCTTCTTTCTATGATGCCCAGGCTGAGCCGCGCGCTGTGCATCGTACACCCTTGAGCGCACCGATTCTTCATCCTCTCCGAAAATGCTCGGGAGTCGTTGTAGATTCTTCTGAAATCTCAAGCTGTTCCGCCCAGGGATGCGAGGGACAGTCTCTGGAGCTTGTAGTACCGCCCTCATGTCCTGCATGTCCGCCTCCGAGGAAAGCGAAGAAGAGAATGTGTGCCCCCTTCTCCGTGCTCTTGTGCCAGTATCATAGTTTCTATTCGGCGGGGTATATGGTGCTTCGTCCATGGCATTGATAGAAAATTGGTCCAGTGACATGACCAGATTGTCCACCATAGATGCCCGAAGAATATGGTTGGAGGAGAAGGAGAGGTCATGGGGATCCTCCATATCGTCAGATTCAATGGCATTGTTGTTGGAAGGCGAGTCCGCCAGAAACGTGCCTGACGTTGCCATGGACCTGCCTGCCGATTGTTCATTCACTGCTGGCAGAGGCTGGGATTGGAAAGTTGCAGGGGGTGGTCAGGACGTGGACAATCGTGGTTGAGGCCGGGGCCGGGCACTTGGTTCGACAGGTGGGCGCCGGGTCTTTTCGCTTTCTTCGGAGAGGAGAAAGAGCGCGCTGGAGTCATAGACCGGGGACAAAGCCAATTGCAATGCCGGTTTAATGTGTAACCAGAGTGGAAGAGTTGGGCGTCGTAGCCTGAGACGGCCAACAGCCGTCTGCCGTCACACGACTAGCAGTCGGTCGGAGCGTTTTCTATTGCATTTGTCCAACTCGACAGGAAGCAAGCATGCATCAACAGTACGGAGTAAATGCGCCAAAAGAAACAGCCTGGAAATGTGAGGCGCAGGCAGGGATCGAGGAGGGCTTGATCCTGGAAGGTTGCCCTCCGTTAAGGAGGGTTCCTGAGAACTACGGGGGAGGTCTCAAGGGTCACAAACGGTGTAGCGTTCGAGGTGGGTCGATTCGTGTGCAGCCAGACGCAAGGATTAGGGGGTCAAGGGTACGAGTACCAGTAGCAAGGGATGAAGGGATGTTCCTGTTTGGCTCCCCCATTGGCTTCCTAGAGGTGATGTGCTCTCTCGACAGAGTCCTTTGGAAAGAGTAGTTAGGTTTATCGTGTAACAAGTATTGCTGAGCTATAGCTGTCATCGTATAAATGCTACGTGCTACTTGAAGTTATCAACTTTCCTCCGCCCTGGACTGCTCCAGCTGGTCGATGCCCCTTAGCCCACCATGCGGAGATCCAAGCTTTGACCACCGCTCTCTGCTTCACAAGACCATCCATATCATACTGAAATTATGGAAGCTTTTGTAACGACACATTTCGTGGCACCCATTTGGGGCATTGTCTCTCCAAGATAGAGGTACTGGACTAGGACTAACGAAATTCAAAGCCACCAAAGCCCATTGTTGTGTTGAAAGGTCGAATTGGATCCTTGTGCCATACTTGTGGTGGACGCCAGCCCCAAGGATGCCGGAAGGACCTGCATTAGCACCCCCGCTACCGAACGCCACATTACAATTCAAGTCGGATCAGGTTTATCCGCCCTGATGCTGAGCCACAGCGCAGGTGGTTGTTTGGTATAGGCGCATATAACAATGACTTGATGGAAATGCCGTGAGGGTCATGATGAGGAGCTCCCTGTCGAAGGGGCTTCTATTCCCGTGGCAATCTTGCAGCAGTGGCCTTGATAATTTCGCTCACATAGCTCAGTCTTGGGGAGCCTCGTATGTGGGCACGGTTGTAAAGCCATCTCGATACCAAGGGTGGACCTGCGACAATAGTAGAATCATTTGAGAGGGTGCAGGTAATAGTCATTTGGTTGACCTAGATCCTTCCCGACCAGCATGCTCCCAATGCTCAACCCTTAACACCTAGAAACATCCATCTCGTACCCCAAGTCGACAGATTGATGCCTAGGATCGTGCAGACTAGCCAGATGACGACCCATGCCACCATGGGTGACAGAAGGAGCTGAGTATGGCTGAGAAAATGCAATGCGTTGTAGCCTAGAAAAGTGATCATGCTCCAATATAATCCTGCCGCCAGATAGAGGAGATTGGCGAAGAAAGTTGAGGCGCGGTTCTGATGGTTGATGACGGGCATCAGGATGTATTGTATGATATAGAGCAGAACGTATGGCGGGAAAAAGGCTCGTATGGAAACATCGAAGCAGTACCCAAACTCCAAGGCATCCGCTCCTCTCGGCCCTCCCGGTGGACCGAAGAGTCCCTGTTGACGCCTTCGACCAGGAAGACCTGCAATGCCGGGACCCAGAAGACGTCCAACAATGTAGTATACCACGGTTGACACAACCAACGAGCCAAGGAGGAAGTGAACGATGACGAACATCAAGGCCAGCTTGACGACGGAGGCGAAAGAGGGCGTGTACGCAAGCGACCAGGCGAAGGAGGTGAGAAGGAGGAAGAAGGACAATAGGTAGGTAAAGGATGGGTCAGGACGGTGCCAAGTGTTCCTTGTCTCTGTGGCCGCGGTCAGCGTGAGGAACGGCGGTAGAAGGGAGGACTCACGTTTGTGGTAGTAGATTGACTTGAACACCTTCTTGGGCGCGATGAGCAGATGTGTCATCTCCCACACGGCCATTTCAAAGTCCATCTGAGGGAACTTGAAGAGTCTGCACAGTGGCAGCGTCAATATACGAGCCCTAACGCTGATGTTGACTGGCGTCTCACCTTTTGAAGAATCGAGGCATTCGCATGTCAGAGCGCCGCCTGTCGGTCGTTGCGCCGAAGTGACCGCCGCCATACTGACGAGGTGTAGTAATCCGAGGACTGCTCATAGAGGAGAGTGGACTCGGTATCGTAGTTCAGTGCCAACTGGTCGAGAAGCAGAACACGACGGAAAGGCAGGCAAAGGGGCAACACAACAAACGAAGTTGGTGATGTGTATCTAGGCGTGAAGCTCGGTCAAAAAGATGGTCTTCCCCGACCGGAGTGAGTCGCATTAAAGCCGGCCGCTCCAACTTGAACTTGAGCGGCCTGGGGGCTGGCTTGGCATCGTCACTCGCGGTACCGGTGTACAGACTCACAGGGCTTATATACCTACCAGGTAATTAGATAGCGTTAGGTATGTTTAGACAAAAGATCGAGCTGTAGATATGTTACGAACAAGAGAGACTTTAGCCAGCGAATCCCCTACGACAGGACAACAGGAGGTCGTCTTTCGATTATGCTGGGAGAAAGAAACTACCCTCTTACTTCCCCTCATGTTTAACTTGCTACTCATCTCCTGACATTGCGGGAATCTAAGAGTTGGCGGCCTAAAGCCTTCAAATCAGCCCGTTCCTGCCCATATACACGGTAATCTGCACCAATGCATGGTTCTAGCAATGCTTGTGGCCGTGAAGAAGTTTGTGGAGAATCCGAATCCAGGCAGGATTGGTCCCATTCTTCCAACGCCTCGTTCAGCTTCCCACGAATACTGATCAATGTCGCCTGCACGTCTTTGATCAAGTATGCGGACCGTCCAACATCGTTGAACGGATTAGCGGGGTCCTGAAGCGTCATCAAATAGGCAGATTTGGCTCCGTAATTGCTCATCTGGCGTTGACCCGCAAGTTCTAGGGGAAACGACTCGCCGAGAGATGCATCTTGTGCCACAGTGGGAGGCAACTTGCGCTTGCTGCCGCCACGTTTTGGAAAGTACTGGAGAGGGTGAGTAGAGATGCCTTGAGAGGAGAAATCGATCTCAGAATACATGTCGAGGAAGAACAGGAGCTGCTTTCCGGCGTCCAGGGGGTGGAATTTGCCTTCGCTGAATTTCAGTGAAGCCACGATCATATTGAGCAAAGGATACGAGGTCAGTCCGCCGTGGCTGCCAACAGTAAGGCCACGCATCAGGAGGAGCTGCTTGAGAACTTTGAATAGGCCCCGTAAAGTGGGATACTCCTTAAGAAAGGCCTTGACGTATTCAGTACTGTCGTATGTTCGAGGGGTACATTGGATTTGAATGGGCAGGCCTGATAACTTGTGTCGACACAGCAAGATGGGCACTTTGGCAGTCTTGAGGTTATAGATGACCTCGATAGGCCTAACCCCCAGTTTGATCTTGTCATGCGTGCCCCGAAAGGCCCTGTCAATCAAGTCCAGAATCTGCTTCGGATTTTGGATTTTGTTCATCGAGGTAGGAGTTCGTGGCCTGGAAACATTCACATCGAGATCTGACAAAGGATCCGCGGTGCCGGTAGCACGGGAGCCAATGACATCGACGTCGAGATTTTCATCCGCGTATTTGATGGTTTGAATCAGGTCTTGAAGGGCAGTTTCGCTAACCAGTTGCTCCTCTTCGGATGGAGCAACATATTGTTCAAAAGCTCGGATCTCAGCAGACAAACGATCGACCGCAGAGGTCCAAGTGTGCGGCTCAGAAAGATAGGCTAGCCACGGAAGGCGGTCGGGTGTGGGAATCGTCTGCTCTCCGTCGTTCAGACGCCACAAGCCCGTCAGCTCGTGGCTTGTGCCTATCTCTTCCACAAATCCATCCCGGCCACTGGCGTGGTGGACAGAGGCAACGCGCGGAATAGCCACTTTTTTTACCGCACGCTTTCTCTTTTTCTCCTGCACATGTTGTGACAAATGATTGAAAAACTGCCTGAGCTCCGGCTGGGAATCCGCGGAGGTTTCTGCTTTGACATAGCGGAACTGGGGCTTCTTGTGCAAGCGGGTTGAGCGACCGGCCTGGTCGACCTTTCGCACCACCAGCGAAGCACGATTGGTTTCGCGCACAGCTTGCAGCGTATTTCGAAGACTCTTGACGTCGATGTCAGGGTCCGGCTCGGTCAACAGGAGTGACTGATTTAGAGAAGGGGTGCACCCGGTTGAGAGCCGGTTCAGACTAACACCCCATTGTGAAGAATGGTGGAAAGTCGCATTTGCTCCCCAGAGGACTGAGGCATCAGGACGAGGGAACAGAGCCCAGGGACGAGTGTAGGGACGGACCGATGGCATGCAGCATAGAGGCGGGCGTAAGGGGAAGGGAGGAAGGAATTCGGAACGCCGGGGGTCGAGTCGAAGCAGCAACCCCGTTTGGGTAATCGTGTGTTAGTGAGCGAAGAGGAGAGTAGTCAAAGAAGAGATGTGGGATCCGGTAGGATCCGTAGCTGATTTTTCAGATGAGGTGATCAACTGTGAGTATGTCAAGGCATGCCATGAGGTACCTAATGTCAATGTCTGTATGAACCACGGCCGTGTCTGCGATGGATGAATTGTCTTGGCAGATAACTACCTTGAACACATGCCTAGGTAGTAGAACCTACGAAGTTAATGTACAGAGTACCTTAGCTAGGTAATAAAACAGTACTCCGTACGTCCGCTACGCACGTTACGGAATACTACTTGAGATTGCTATGGTGCCTTAGGTTCCTGAGTCTCAACCATTCCTGTTAGTTGGTAGTAGGCTGCATGTCCAACAAACTCCAAAGCGCCTTGTCAACAACCTCAATTGAGGACCCGATCTACATGTAGGGAAAGGTAGGGAGGTAGGTAGCCGAGTTCTTCATTCACTGGTAAGTTTTCCAGGCCAGTACGGAGTACAGAGTTGGGACTTTTCGCATGTGCACATTTAAAATCTACTAGGTACGTGTACTCCGAACGCATGATGTATCCTGGATATACGCTACAAAGCACGCAGTGCCTTAAGCATGAGGCTCCCTTGGTCCAGCCAATCCGCAGCTCAATTAAACGCACTCTGTGCTACTACTCTGTATTAATTCGGGACTAAATCGTCCTACTGCATCGACCGGCGTTTCTGTCATCATTGCCCGCTGTCATTGCCATTCTCATCCAGATCCGTTACGTTTTCGTTACTTTCGCGGCGGGAGCAAGGTGCAGCTCACCAGACGACAGCTAAGACAAGCCTCCAAAGCGGACCTCTTCTCGTCTGTTGGGAGGAGTGTGCTCTCGCAAAATACGGTACGTGCTTGTACGGATAGGTACTTTGTACTCCATACTACTGCAGTACTACCTCAGGTACCTACGTAGTACTGCAGTTGCCAGTCTCCCCTCTGCCAACTGCTGCCGTCGGGACGCTGCTCCGGGCCACCAAAGCCACCACAACTCTCCCAAAACGGCATAATTCAATCAAGAAGATTCCACCCGTCGACGGGTACCTTCTGACGTCGTTCACACCGCGCCTCTACTTCTGTCCGCTTGTCTCAATGTTGGTCTTGGTCTACCTGATGAATTGAAAGTGTTCACGCCTGGGCTTGATTATTGCTGAAGGTGAAGCCTCTTTCTTTCCCTTTCTTCTTCCCTTCCGTCCGCGCCCTGCTGTCCCTGTTGTCGGCCTCGCCATTCTTATCTCTCCCCTCTCTTTTCCTTCCGCACCCCGCCGACACACTGCCTAACCCCTAACCGACCAACACACGCTGTCTCCGGGCCTATCATCAGTCCTTCTTTTGCTTCCTCGCTCGCCCGCCCGCCCGCCATTTCACCGGACACGCCAGCACACCCTCTCGTGACGTTAGTTAACCATCTTCTTCAGTGCTTCACTCGGGGTTCAGTCCAGCTTTTCAGCTCCGTCATGACTGTCCTCTCCAAAGATCCCGTGCAGAGCCTGCGTCAAGAATACGAAAACAACCCTCCGAGTTCAACAGCGGTCGAAACCGCGCCCGCGCAGAATCCTTCCTTACAGCGGGCGACCACTTCATACTTTTCGGTCCCTCGACGTCAGCCCGCCGACCAGGCAGCTGCTCCGGCGGCAGAATCTCCCGTGGATGTAGCCAAGGGCGCCAGATCTGGCAAAGAACTGCTTCGCCGTCTCAGCCTTGTCGACCACAAGGACGCCGAGGCGTTGATTGTTGACCCTCGCACAGCCTACCCCGGATTGCGGTTGAGCGGAAATGTGATCAGCGCAACCTTCTGTATCCCGTATCAGCTTTCTCATGGCCCGAATGGCGAGTGGGCTCTCTCGAACCGGCGTGGCACCTCCGCTTTGTTTGATTCATTCCGCCATCTCTCGTCTGACAAGACGCCATGGAACCATACCTTAGTCGGCTGGACGGGTGAGATTCAAACACAGGCCGACGCCCATACGGTGAGCATGCTTCAGAACGATGCCACGTCGACAACTGCCCAATCCCAGGCCCAAGCTCTCGCGAATACCCCTATCAACAAGTCTGCTGCTCCCTATCCCGTTGACGGTGGTACGCAACACCAACAAAACCAACACGGTGACTCCCTATGGGTGTCACGTTCCGATCGGAATCGTCTCGAGAAGACTCTTGCACACCATCCGAACGGCAAAACCGTGCCTGTGTGGCTGCCGGACGGGCCGACTGATGAAAATGGTGATTTCCTTTTCAAGGACCAGAGTCGTTGGCGGAGTTATGCGGAACATGAATTGTACACACTCTTTCACTACCGACACCATGGTCCGGACGATGGCCGAGCGGAGAAGACCTCATGGGCGGACTACGTGACCCTGAATGAAGCCTTTGCCGATCGCATTCTGCACGTCTACCAACCTGGGGACATTGTCTGGATCCACGATTATCACTTGATGCTGTTGCCAAGTTTGCTTCGTCAACGCATCCCGAACATCTACCTCGGCTTCTTCTTGCACATCCCCTTCCCCAGCAGCGAGTATATGCGTTGTCTTCCTAGAAGGAAGGACGTGTTGACAGGTGCTCTTGGGGCCACCATGATCGGATTTCAATCTTACAGCTTCTCGCGGCATTTCAACTCCTGCTGTAAACGCATCTTGGGCTTTGAATCCAGCTCGGCCGGGGTCGACGCGTACGGCGCTCATGTTGCCGTGGATGTCTTTCCCATCGGCATCGATGTGGGGTCCGTGCAAAAGCTCGCGTTTCTGGACCCGGTGATCGAGCAGAATATGGAAGCCTTGACACAGCTGTATGCGGGCAAGAAGATCATCGTCGGCCGCGATAGACTCGACACTGTCCGAGGAGTGGCGCAGAAGCTGATGGCATTCGAGATCTTCTTGGAGCGGTATCCCGAATGGCGTGATAAGGTGGTGCTGATCCAAGTGACCAGTCCCACCAGCGTCATGGAGGAGAAGGTGGACGGTGCGCACAAGGTCGAACATCACATTTCGAACTTGGTGTCAAGGATAAACGGCAAATACGGGTCTTTGAGCCATGCGCCAGTCCAGCACTATCCACAATATCTGACCTCCCAAGAGTACTTTGCGCTGTTGCGGGTCGCAGATGTTGGGCTCATCACCAGTGTCAGAGATGGAATGAATACTACCAGCCTGGAATACGTGATCTGTCAGAAGGATCATCATGGCCCGTTGATTTTATCGGAGTTTTCTGGCACTGCGGCCAGCTTAGGAAATGCCATTCACATCAACCCGTGGGACCTGGGAGGCGTGGCACAGGCTCTGAAATATGCACTCGAGATGCCCGAGGAGAAGAAGCGGAGCGACCACGAGAAACTGTACAATTATGTGACGACTCACAACGTGTCGAGCTGGAGCAATAATTTCCTCCGGCGACTCCTCACCAACCTTACTTCCTTTACTCAGAGCGATCTTACCCCGGCACTGGACCGCAATCGCATGATCCAACAGTATCAACAGGCCAAGAAACGCCTTTTCATGTTCGACTATGACGGCACGCTGACTCCGATTGTCAAAGACCCCAATGCCGCCATTCCTTCCGATCGCGTGCTCCGGACCCTCAAAGCGCTGGCTGCCGATCCTCGCAACAATGTCTGGATCATCAGCGGGCGCGACGCCTCCTTCCTAGAAGAGTGGATGGGCCACATTACTGAATTGGGATTGAGTGCTGAACACGGTTGTTTCATGCGCCGCCCGGGCTCGGAGCAGTGGGAGAACCTTGCCGCCTCGATGGATATGGGTTGGCAGAAGGAGGTCATGGACATCTTCACCCACTACACCGAACGCACACAGGGATCGTGGATTGAGAAGAAACGCGTCGCCCTCACGTGGCATTATCGGCAAGCCGATCCTGACTTTGGGGCATTCCAAGCCCGTGAATGCCGCAAGGCTCTGGAGGACAACGTGATGAAAAACTGGGATGTGGAGGTCATGTCCGGAAAGGCAAACTTGGAGGTCCGTCCTCAATTTGTCAACAAAGGGTTCATTGCCACGCGGTTGATCAACGAGTATGGATTTTCCGGTGGCGATCCGCCCGACTTTGTGCTATGCCTGGGAGATGATCAGACGGATGAAGGTGAGGGACAAATGGACCCTGTCGCATCTCTGCATGATTGCTAACTCCCACATCTAGACATGTTCCGCGCCCTACTGAAAACTAACCTACCCAAGGATGACATCTACGCGTGCACGGTCGGGGCGAGCAGCAAGCGGACGCTTGCTACATGGCATCTTCTAGAACCCAGCGATGTCATTGCGAGTCTCGCGGCCTTGATCAAGCAGGAAAATCTGTAGATCCTGCAACAGGTCCGTTGGCAATGCGCTTTGGGTGCGACCGGACGATGTTGAACGAAAGAATTTGGAACTGGAAACTAGTCAGCGCTGGGCCGGGCACGACGGCGATTTGATCGCAAGCGAGGGGTTTGTTCGAGGTTGAGTGAGGTTGAGTTCCAGGAAACAATTGACTGGATACATGCAGCGGGCGCAACTAAATGTAACCAGGGAAGGGCTGGATGAAGACATGACTCAAGAGCCGAGGCCAGACGTGTCGAGGAGTCCATGCAACAGAAACACATTGACCTACGATAGAATAAGACAGATGATTGCTCTCAGCCGTTCTCGGCTGACCAGGCACCTACCAGGCACCTACCAGGAGCCCTAAGCCGGCAGGACAGGAGCAAGAAGCCCCGGCTACCTATCCAGGGATCATCAGCCTTGTACAGTCTAGATGGTGTTAGTAGTACTCCGTACTGGCGAGTGGTAGAAATTGACGGGCACTGATTGGCCAACGTTGGCGCCGCAGCCTGGGCCTCCCTGACAACTCACACCCACAGATCGTGCATATCACTAGCCATGCGTCTGCCACCTGTTCCAAGCCTGACTTCTTCAAGAGTCGAGCCTCTATTTCTGGTGTCTGCCTCCCGTCAAGTGAGTGAATCGCGGTCTGTTCCTTGTCGAGCGTGTCCCTACGGTGTAAGTGTGAATATCGCCGCAGGCCAACGACGTCATATCCCGTTGTGGTTTGGGCACAAAGAAATTCCTTTCTGTTGTCCATCCCACCGCTCTTTGCTGCAGTCTGGTCGCGGCTATTTGTCCACGTTCACTCCAAGCCTTGACTGACCGTTCTCTCTACAGGCTTCGACAATAGCCAAATCCAGTCCTCACCCTTCTCCACGCTCACCGCTGTAACTACTACGTGCCGGTTGAAGTTGCTGGTTCTCAAGCGCACCTCTCCACCTCCCAATACTCACTCATCCTCGCCTCCGTCACCATGGCTCCAAGAGGAAGAGGTGGCAAGTTCTCAAAGCCCTCGCGAGGAGGTAATATCCCCTCACCCTTTGGTTTGACGACTAGGTCTTGACTAACTCTGTCTCCCATGTTGCAGGCGGCAAGCACTTTTCTCGCGATCTCCAGCCACTCGATAAAGAGGGAAATCCCTTGGGGATGTGGCGTGACCCAGCTGAAGCCAAAGAGTCCTCGGAAGAGTCCTCGGAAGAAGAAGATTCGTCAGAGGAAGAGTCTTCGGATGGCGATGCAGGCCCATCTGGCACAGCGGCTTCCGGTTCGGCAGAAATGACTCGCGAACAACGCAAAGAGGCGGCCCGGTTGCGCAAACAAGCGGCGATTGCGAGGAAGAACCGCAAGGCCGCGGCGCCGGGAGACATGCCGACCAGTTCTGAGGAGGAATCGGAAGAGGACAACGACGATGGCATGCCAGCGAACCCGAACCACACGCAAAAGGCCCGAACGCAGGCGCGAGCGGTCACTACTCCAAGCGCCGAGGCTCCCAAAAAGGACGCGGAAAACCTCAGCCGGCGGGAACGCGAAGCGCTTGCTGCTCAACAGGCCAAGGAACGCTACCAGAAGCTGCACGCCGAGGGCAAGACGGACGAAGCTCGTGCGGACCTGGCGCGGTTGAAGTTGATCAAAGAACAACGTGAGGCCGCGGCTGCTCGCAAACAGGCAGAGAAGGAGGAGAAGGAGACGCAGGAAAAGGAGAGGAGAGACCGAGAGGCGAAACTCCGAGAGGCGGCCATGGGCACGTCTGGTGGTGGGGCGAAGAAGAGTTCCAAGGGGAAGAAATGATAGTCAGAAGGGCATTCTACGATTAAGCCTGATCAAGGTTGGCCCAGACGATCTCGAGGGGTTGGCATGCAATGTGTATTTGCTGGAGAGCTGAAGGGGAGAGCTGAGGGAGAGGTTGGCATGCAATCTCTATCTGCTGAGGGAGAGCTGCAGGAGAGAGGTGTGGTCGTCTCTTGGGTCTCGTCCATGCAATCTGTTGCATTGCCTCGGTCTCGCAACATGTCACTGATGTCCTTGCAGAGGAACAGGATCGATAGACAGGGGGGCGAGTGCAGGTGCAGGTGCAGGACGAGGGTCACGATTGAAGGCATTTGAGGTGTGCGGCACAAGATACCAAGATACCAAGATACCAAGATACCAAGATACCAAGATACCAAGATACCAAACTTGAGACATAGGAGGCCATGAGTGTGCTGAACATGGTACATGGTCTTTTTTGTCCCGTCGGGAGAGTCCATCGATCGAATTGAAACTGATGCATTTCTTATGTGGTCGGTCAGTCAGTGTCAGTGTCAGTGTTCCGTGTGCGCCATGCAGTCTTCAATCATGGTGTGCAAGGAATGCTCAGTGTCAGTGTGCGCTGTTCACTACTTTACTACCTCGCCTTGCCTTGGTGTGCAAGGAATGCTCACTGTATTTCGAGGCAGCAGCGCACCTGGTAAGGTAGTTTTAATATAGTTCACCATCCTGTCAGTCAAGTAAAGTCAAGTCAGGCCAGGTCCCAGCCAGCATACAGGCCGTGTCCTCGTCGTCGATTGGTTTGTTCATCTGTTCATCTTCATTTGTTCATCTGTTCATTGGTTCATCTGCTCATTTGTCTTTATGTTCTTTTGTTCATTGTCTAATTCCAGTCATTAAGCCATCCATCATCCATCAGGGAGCTATTCTCTAGTCTCTAGTAGAAGAGCTCATCGGTCATTAATACATCAGCCAATCGCCCGTCAAGTCAACAAGATATCGTCGAATGTTGACGACTTCATTGCTCTTGTTTCCCAAGCTCCAAGCTCCATCTCCATCTCCATCTCCATCTCTCCATTGCCATGTTCCATTTGTCTCTGGTGTCGTGGATCCCACATGGACGATTTGACAGCATCGGCATGACCATCAGCATGACAGCAACAGTATGACCATCAGTATGACCATCCCCATATCTGGCCTTCGCTCGACTTGGCTTGGACCTCTCACTCCATTTCCTTTCTGTGACGACGATCAAGAGCGCCATGTCGAAGAACTCATCACACTTCATCACACTTCATCACACCTCACCTCAACTCAACTGAACTCTCGTCCGCGTCTGACCAGTCTGATCGGAGGAGTACAGAGACAGATGCTGAAATGTACAGTATGACTTCTTGCCGAAGCCAGATGCTGACATGTACAATATCACTTCTCCGAAGCCAGATGCTGACAGGTACAGTATCACTTCTTCCCGTAGCCAAAGTAGCCCGCGGCCGTGCTAGACCCCAATGCTGGACCATCATCAAGGAAATCCTTGGAACAATACAGACTGGCTTTCAACTTGTATTCGTTCCCACTGGTGATGTCGAGCCAGGTGTAGGCATCACACTTGTAATAGATGGTCATGAGTCCGCCAGTGCCAGCGCCGCCGCCGCCGCCATCGCCACCACCAGCACGGAAATAGGCAGAGCCAGAGCCATAGCCGCCCCCTTTCGTATTGAGCAATCCAAGATCCTTCATACCCACCAGCACGCGCTTGACATCTGCCTTGTCCTCAAAATCCGAGGTATAGATACAGATCAGACGATGCTGTTGCTGTTTCCTAGCAGGGTCGCTGTCGCCATCATGGCCGCGATTACTGGCACCACTGGTGTTCGTAGCTGTCTCAGTTTCTGACCTGGTGCTCGTATTTGTCTCTGTTTCTGCCACCGCCACCTTCGCACTAATACCCAGCCTGCCGTCCCAAGTACCGTGCGCCACAACAGCCCAGACGCGATCGACGTCGTCCGGACTAGGAAACAACATCCATTTCCCACAAGTGACGTGGGTGGTTCGGGCCAGGTCCAAGATGGCGGCTTCGAGATGGGTGCGTTCGCTCCGCAGAAGGCGCGTGATGGTGCCGGCTGCTTTGCCGGGGTTCTGGGCCTCGACCTCTCTCTTGCGCGACGTGTACTTGTCCAGCAAGCGCAGGCCGAGCTGTTTGAATGTTTGGATATTTCCGCTTTCGGGGACATTGATGCGGTTGCGGTCACTTAGAGAGGCGTTGCTGACCTTGTTATTGGCGTTGTTGACCTTATTATTGGTGTTGTTATTGGCCATCCCTGTCGCTATGTGTCGGCTTGGGTACGGATTGGCGATCCAGATCCACGGCCCGCCGGTCGAAATGGTCGTGGTCGACGGAGGCAGTCGAGCCAGGAAGTCGGCGACCAATTCCGAAAGCTGTTTGGCATTCTTTTGGCCTTCGTAGAAGTTCTGTGGTCGGGGTGTAGGGGAGGCTGGGGCTGCTGTTGTGTCTAGACTGTCTTTGTGGTCGTTGTAGTTGTCCACAACCATCCTATCATCTGGCGACTGTGTGGCTTCTTCATCCTCATCCTTGACATTGTCCCGCTTCTGCTCCTGATCGACGGCAGGTTGGGCACCGTCAACTTCGCCATTGTCTGCTTCAGCTTCCCCTTCTGCTTCCGCCGCCGCCGCTTCTGCCGCCGCTTCCGCCTCTGCTTGTGCTCGCTTCTCAGCATCTTTCTTGGCCCGCAACCTAGCCGCGCGCTTTTGGGCTTTCTTGCCTCTCACGGCGACGACCTGGGCGTTCCAATGGTGAACCGCCCAATATCGATCCGGATCGTACGCTGCAGCCTGTTTGGTGTAGTGTGACTTTGACGACGAGTTCGAATTGCCTGTCATTGGACACAATTACAATCAACAATCAAGTTCGCAGGGAGATGACTGGGTTGGAATGGGATGGGATGGGCTGGATTGGGTTAGGGCTGAGACTGGGGCAGGAATATGGTCATGCATAGATAGCTATGTATGTCACCGTAACCCGTAACCATAACCCGTAACCCGTGTACACAACCCAACCTAGGGCTGGCGGTGGGTAGCGGACTCTGACATGGCACTTACCATAGAAATCCGATTCCTCGCTGAACAAATCATCCGGGATAGAGACGAGAATCTCGGCTGTCGAGCTAGACGCTTCTGTGGGAGGAGCAGGAGCGTGAGGCATGGCTGTGGTTGTGGGAGGAGCTTGAGGCATGGCTGTGGCTGTGGGAGGAGGGTGAGGCATGGCTGTGGCTGTGGTTGTTGTTGTGGTTGTCGCGGCGTCTGGAGAAGGAGGCGTGAGAGGGAGAGGGAGCGGGAGCGAGAGCCAGAGAAGGAGGCGTGAGAAGGAGGCGGGAGAGGGCGTGGGTGTGAGTGTGGTGTGAGTGTGCCCAAGTACCTATGTACAGTACAGTCCAGTCCGACTGGCAGGCAGATGAACCAAGTATTGGTATTGGTATTGGATTGAATCGATTGAAGCCCTGGCCCTGCACACTGCCACTGCCAGTGCATGTATGTACTCCAATCCCAATCACGACACAGGCTTCAAGTGTGGAATAATGACACCGGCTTCAAGTTTGGAATAATGGTGGTTGCGTGCCGTGCCGTGCCGTGACATTTGATGCCTGCTTGATGCCTGCTTGAATTGTGCTTGAATGGACATCAAACAAAACAATTCGAACCGAACCGAACCGCCGAAACGCGAGTGACTTACAGCAAAAAGAAGAAGCCAGAGGGAAGGGAAGGAAGGGCAAGGCTGTCGCGGAGGAGATCAACGAATAAAGCAAAGCGAAGCACACAAACATACGAGAGAGACAAGACAAGACAAGACAACTAGGTTCAACTGCTTGATCAAACTGTTTGCGGTTTGCGGTTGGGTGCCTTGTAGCCTTGTAGGTACAAACCTACGTTACGGTAAGCAGGCGATTGTAGATCAGGCTGAAACACTCCAGTAGGCGCTAACGACAAGGCTGCCACGACAAGACCAAAACAGACACCAGACACCAGGGGAAAGATAGTAGATACTGGATATTGGATACTGGGTACTGGATACGGGATCGATGTATGATATGATATCTTCTCATTCATTACATAATCTGCTAAGCCATCACATCTGCATCCGTTCTGTCTGTCCGGGTGAGATGCTGTTCTCACAAGCTCAAGTTCACGCTCAAGCTCAAGCTCAAGCTGTCTTCATCTCGTCTCATCATTGTATATGTGTGGCATATGTGGTATCTGGTATGTGTGTGCCCGCCTTCCTGCGGCATGGCACGGCGCGGTATGGTTCATTAATCGTGCCAAAGGAGCTGAGCCATCGGTCGTTCTTCCCCATCCGCAGCCATCCATCCATCCATCCATCCTGCCACCTGTGCATGGCTCTGCCAGCAGTCTTGGGCATGGGGGCGGGGTGGTGCACTTGTTTGGCGAGTCCATGCCATGCCATGCCATGCCATGCCATGCCGGCTGTGCCGTTCGATGAGATATGGACACTGAAGACAGGCCAGGCATCTGAGGTTGGATGGGTGGTGGGAATGTCGAGCACCGCCCGTCCCTGTTCCTCCTTTTGATCGTGTCAGTGTCAGCAGCGTGGTCGATGGTCGATGGTCGATATCGAGTCACCGCCACCACCACCACCCTCGCCCTCAACCATAGTAACCTCAACCATAGTAAGTGCAGCTCAGCTCGCCGATGATCAGAGTCGTTCCCGCCCCACAGGCCCAGAAGTCGACCACGTATGTCTTCTCCTTGGGTACGAACAAGGTCAAGCTCGACTCTTGGTAATCTCTCTCCGGCCGGGGTCCCAATGGGCGCGCATTGACCACGGAGAAGGAGTCGTCGGTGGCGGTGAAGTTGAACCCGGCCACGCCGTCTGGGTAATAAGTCGGATCGAAATTGGGCGCCCTTGTGCGAGCAACACATTCATAGTAGACGTCGGTATACAGCGGAGTCCAGGATCCAGTCAAATGTACGCATGAAGCCGAGGCCTGCTCGGGAAGGTAGACAACCGAGTGGGGACCGCAGTTCACCGAGTTCGGGTCATGCGGGTCGTCGACGGTGGTGGCCGCGGCTCCTGAGGCCCAAGACTGTTCCAGCGAAAGATCCACGAGCGGCGTGAAGACGTGGTGATCAACCGCAGCCGGTAAGGGGGTCGGGACACACCTGCCCGTGGGGGAGGGAATGGGTGCCGCCAGTGAAGATATGGTGGATTGCATCACGGGGATCGTGGTGGTGGACAAGGTCGAGTGCAGCGTCGTGGAGATGGAGGCACCCGTCATGCTCGAAAAGGTGCTTGTGGTCGTCGACGTGAGACTGCTCAGGACTGTGGGCGCCGGTTCATCCGCTGCGATGCTCTGGTCCGGCGCCAAAGACACATAAAGATACGGCGTCGGGCTTGGATCATAAATCGTCGAAGGAGTGACGAGTATCTCAGAGTACGCCGGGTCTTTGACGGTCACTGTCTCGGAGGCTGTGACGGTGACGGTGGCCGTGGCTGTAGCTGTTGTTGTCGACGTGACCGGCTGAAGAACCCGCTTGGCCGCGGCGAAAATGGAACAACCCATGCTCAACTCTGCGCGATGGGCATCATAACACTCGAGACCAAACTGCTGGAGGAATTGGGTCGACAGATGCGGTCCCTCGAGAAAGTCGGTACAGAAGCTATCGGCAAGCGCTGCATCGGCCAACAGCCGAGAATAGAGAAGACGAATATCGCTGCGGAACCAGTCAGTCAGACGAGCTTCGTTCGCAAGGCAAAGGCCAGGCAGGGGTGATAGGAGTAAGAGTAGTGACATACCAAGCAACCTGAGCTTCGCAGAAACCCAACACCGAGCACAAGACAAACAGCAGGCTACTTTGATACATGTTGTCGACAGATAAAGCAATGGCAATACAGGATGGTAGACGAATGAAGGTCAACGGTTTCGCATAAAGAGATGCAGGAGTAGTAGGAGTAATAGAGCAGGCAGGAGAGGACGCTTTTAACCCGTCAAGACCGATTCCGACTTCTCACCTTTGAACCTCCCTCCCAGCCTCGAGACACGACAGGGGCCTCAACCTGGTCCGAGAGCATCCAGGAAGCTGAGATCACCGGCACCGGCAACGGCGGGGGCGTAGACGGGGTCGGTGACTGGACGGTTGGGCGGTTCTGGATGTTGCACAGCACATGGTTCGAGGTGGCCTTCGCAACCGTGGCACGTCCCCCTTTCCTTGCGACGGTCTGGGAGATTGGGAGCCGCGTCTGACAGGACGCGTCAGTGCAGCTATTGCACTTAGCTTACCACCTTACCGAGCACTGGAGGACTCGGTGTCAAGGCCCGACCTTAGTCGGCTACGTAGGCGAGAGGCCCGGGCACCACAGGCAGAGGAGACTCGAGACAGTGCAGAATGCAGAGGCGCATGTCCCAGGTCCGAAAATTGAAGGGCGCTTGACACAGGGTTGGCAGGTGGCGGGTGAACGTGCTGACGGGTTTGACGTGCTCCTTTCCCTCGATCCAGTATGGTCGTGATATCCGCGGTCCGGACTGTGGACCAAGACAGGCCAGAAGCGACCGCACGTGATCAGGCTGCGGCAGCCACCCAGCCACCAGGCCTGCGACAGGTGCAAGTTTCAGATTGACGTGCTGAGAGGTCGGCGGTGACGCAGCCGGAGTGCAGAATAGGAGGAGTACGGAGTACGGGTAGGGGATTGGGATATGGCAAAGAACCTTGCCCGTGTACCAACGTTGACGGGGTCCTTAGGTCCATTCGATGTCGCCAGAGTGGCAGCACAGACGCAGACATGCTCCGCCGTACAGCGAACAGCGCAGCGGCAGCCTTGTGAGAGAAAAAATGCACCAGCCTTGCGACCTCAATGGCGACGGCCAACCACAACTGAACCTCTTCTGGAGGCCGCCATCAGCCCTTCTCTTCCGGTGCCTGAACTGAACTCACGGTGATCTCTGCTTATGGCGTCCACCGCAATGCAATCATCACCGTCTCGTCTCTCCCATGCAGCCTGCACACAGGTTCGTTGATTGATACCTCCAACCTCAGCTCTCTTTGAAATCCGTCTCAGTAAGTCTACGAGTCGATCTGGTAGGTACCGTGTCTATCTGGCCTGCTTCTTGAGCGACGCACTCTCTCTGTCTCTACATTGTTCCCAGTCTCATTCCCATTCCCGCCATGGCCATCCCTAAGCGTTCCCTCAGCGAGCTCATGCAGACCATCAAAGCCAACATCAAAAGGTACCGCGCAGAACAAGCCTCTCTCCCTCTCTCCCTATCTCTCCCTGCGACTGGCCGCTGGCACGGCAAAGCGACGACAACGACGATGATGTCAAGCACGATGGAAGAGCCAGAGATGGAATTCACCAGCCGCACCGCGGACCAGGAAGTCTGCGCGGTCGAGATCTGCCCAGATCACCCGGAATACATGGTCATCGGCACGTACTCGCTGGTCAAGAAGGACGAGCGACGCGACTACGAGGCACAGACCCGCCGAGGCACACTACAGGTGATGCCGGTGGCCGCTCACTTCCAGCCCAAATACGCCGGCATGCTGGCGCCTCACCTCGACAGGGTCGAATTCCCCTGCGCCGTGTTGGATCTGCACTTCCACCCGGCCGACGGCACGCTGCTGGGCGTCGCCGCCAGCAATGCGCAGATGTACTTCTTCCGCCTGGTCAAGCATGGCGACGTCCTGGGCCGGCGCGTCATCACCAAACTGCTTCCGCTCGGCACCGCCACCATCGCCGACCCGGACGACCACGGCCTCGTCCCGCTCGTCACCCAGTTTGCCTGGCTCCCGGAAACGCGCACCCACGGAGTGTCAGGGATCAGCGACGTCCAGCACATCTCGGTCGTGGCCACCACCTCGCTGGGCCACACCCGACTCGTGGACGCCGCGCTTCCCGCCATCAAAGACTTGTTTGACGAGCGTGTCTCGCAGCCTCGCGAGCCATTGTCCGTCATGGCCATCGACGTCCATCAACATGACCTCGAGGCCTGGACGGTCGCCGCCATCACCCTCCCTGCTGCCACGGCCACGGCCACGGCTGCGGCCACGATGTTCGAACCCGACTCTGCACTGTCCAACACATCCTGCCGCCTGATCCTCAGCGGCGGCGATGACAGTGCATTGATCGCCTCGGTGGTCGAAACGCCTGCAGACTCCGACACCCCGGCACCGACACCTAATATCTTACCTCTCTGGAAAGACCGGCGCGCGCACACTGCCGGCGTGGTGGCTATTCTCCCGCTCGCCAGTTTTCGCGTTCGCGGCTTGGCCAACGACCACGACCACGGCCACGGCCACGGCCACGGCCACAGCAACAGCACCAGCACCGGCAACAACGGCAACAATACTAATAACAATGGACTCGAAGCTACACGAGACACCGGCATCGTCCCTCTCATCACCGGCAGCTACGACGAGTTTATCCGCCTCTACGAGCTCGACGGCAACACGTACCCGTACCGCGCGACCTTGAAGACGGAACGACGCCTCGACGGTGGCGTGTGGCGACTAAAAGTTCTCGACCAATACGACAGCTATGGTGGTGGTGGTGGTGGTGATCGTGATGGTGGTGGTGGTGGTGGTGGTGGTGGTGGCAGCAACAGTGCCAGTAACAACGACAATGACAGCGACAACACTGACCACCAGCGACAATCTCACACCCTGATCCTCGCCTCGCTGATGCACGGCGGCGCCGCCATCCTGCGCCTGACCTACACCTACAATGCCTACGGTTCCGGGGCCCCCAACACAGAGAGAGTGGGTGTATGGTCCATCACTCCACTGGTCACGTTCCGCGCCGGCCACGAGAGCATGGTGTATTGCTGCGATGCGCGGCTTGAGATTGCTGATTCCAACACCAACACCAACACCAATTCGAACACCAATTCCAATCCTAATCCCAATCCCAACTACACGGACGTTACACTCAACTCCGAGCACGACACACCACCACCACCACCACCACCACCGCCCACCTACACGGTCGTCAGTACCAGCTTTTACGACATGAAGATCTGTACGTGGACGTTTGTCGATCGGTTCAAAGCAGACTGCCGACGTCAAGAGCAGACCAGACCAGATCGGGCCTGAGTGCATGAATGGGTAGGAAGTCAGGGCTGGTCTAGGCTAGGCTAGGCTACGCATAACTACCTGAGTAGGAAGTCGAGGCTGCCCTGGCCTGGCATGGCCTGGGCTGGGCTCGGCTGGGCTACGCATAATTACCTAAGGAAGGGATGAGGTCTATTCTGAACAAAACAAAACAAGACAGGACAACGCAAGACAAGGCATCGCAAGACACGGCGAAAAGGGGACTGGTCCCTACCTATGTACCTACCTACCTACCTACCTACCTACCTACCTACCTACCTACCCACCTACCTGGCAGGACAAAAGTAGCGTGATCTGCGATCAGCGATCCGGAACAGGCATTCTATCGCTGGGCTGGCGGTGAAACTCGGACTCGGACTCGGACTGGCTGGCCGTCTGGTCTGCATTGTCAATATCCGTACATTCTGAGGGACTATCGCCATGGAGGCTGCGAAAGAAAGAAAGAAACAGACAGACAAAGAGACAGACAGCGCTGGGAAATGTTCACAGACTAGACTCGTGGACCGTGGACCGTGGACACTTCGCCCTTCCTTTCAATGTATTATCGCATTCCTGCTTCCATTCCAAGATACCAGGTATGATACAATGATACAGTCTGTGGCAGGAGACCATAGGCAAAGAACACAAGCACAAGCAGGAACCCTCAGCTCAGCTCTGCAAGCATCTTCCTTCTCCTTCTTCACACAATCATTTCCAACTCCCTGGCATATTCAATCACGTGGCTGACCACTTCTTTCTGATCGCCTTCTTCCGCCTTCTTCGCGTCCCCGAGGCCGGGAAAGTATATCCTGCCCTCTTCTAAACTCCAACCCTGCTCTCTGGCAAAGTTGGTCACCGCACCTTCTGAATCGAGGAAGAGCAGGTTCTTGGCCGAAGCAATAGGCAGCGAGGGATATGAGCGGGTGGCACAAGATGCGATCTCCAGGCGGATGGTGTTTATCAGAATCTAGTTCGATCGGTCAGCCAGATGGATAGAAAGGTTGGCAAGACATGAGCCAGGTGGATAGATAGGGTGGCCAGCAAGTAGGTGCATAGATAGGGTGGCAAGCAAGTAGGTGCATAGATACGATGGCAAGCAAGTAGGCGGATAGATAGGGTGGCAAGAAATTGGTTAATACTCACGTCGGAAAACAGAGCAAATTCTTCCCCGGGCACATCTCGACCGTTTGTCTTGCGCCAGACCTGATCGTAGCTCCCTTCCATCAGATTCCTCTCCAGCTCGATCGGGTATTTGATGTATTGGTCTTCCTCTATGCTCGACGCGCCGTCGGCCCCTTCCGCCACGACGAGGGATTCGAGCAGCGTGTGGAACCCGGCATAGTCTCCCTGACTCAGTAGCAGGAGCAGGTAAAGTCCGGTGATCTTGGATCGAGTCGGAGACGGGGTCTGTTGTAGGCCAGGGAAGTCGTAGAACGGTTGGAGCTGGGAGTGGTAGCGGACAAAGGCTTCGGGGTCTCGGGACCGGATGGAGAGGAGGGCGCCGGCTTCCAGGATCGATCGGGCCGTCGCGAGTGTAGAGACGGGAGTTTGCGGAGAGGGGATCAAGGCATTGTGGTGCAGAAGAGCCAACTTTGCCTTTTGCAACTGCGGCTGACTTTGGGACGAGTCGCCATGACTGAGATACTGCTGAAGGGTGTGGAGGATCGATTCGAGTGAGGGAGCGTTGGTGGCCATCGCGGCTGGCATCACCGAAGGTCTATTAGTTCTGATGTGGTGAGGCGACGGTGGGTGTTGGTGTTGGTGTCGGTGTAGGTGTGGGTGTTGGTGCTGGTATCGGTTTTAGGGAGACGAATCAATTACAATCGACACTGAATGGTGATGGTGTTTCGGGCTTTCACCGGAGAAGCACGCAGTTGCGAGGTGCCTTGGAGAGAGGATGGAAGACTCGCAAAGACAGACTGAAGGAAATTGTAAGCACGTTATGCAGTGGGTGGTGGTGATGATTGACAGTGAGTCCAGAGCCTCGTGCCGTTACCGCTATTGGCTTGCGAGGCGCGGCGGCATATATGCCTGACCATGCCAAGGAGGGAGACACTTGGCCTTTTCCGGATGAAACGATGCCGCCTTAAGCCTCGTGGCTATGGCAACGTAGTAGTGGTACTGTTAACCCTAACCCTAACCCTAACCCTATCGACGACCACTTTCCCTCCCTCCTTCAAACTCCCTGGTACTTGATTCACCAAACATGATTAGACACTTAACCCTTAGATCTCAGTGCCTGTGTATCTACTCGCAGTATCCGTACACCGTCTGCAGGTTCACTGCTGCAACTTGAATGTTAAATGTCAACCGAGATGCAAGATCCCAGAGTGTTTGAAGGAAGAATCAGGGTCTTATTTGTTGCCCCCGCTCGACAACGATCTCACTTCTGCATACGGATACAGTCGTGGGATTGCTCTTGTCACTCTTCATTGGTAGGTATGCACATCTCGGACAGTGGCAACAATACAATATCAATTGCGACGGCCGCTTAAACTGCTCCCAGGTATTTCGCGAAACCCCTTCACATTGGTAAGTGACTATTCCACTATTGAACAACCTTACTGGCTTTGGAGAACTCTTGCTTCGGAACCGGCCATGCCATCGGCCCCGACATGGCCAGCAGGGTTTGACTCTTGCCCGTTGTCTTGGGATCCTCTCCGATGAAGTTACAGGGGAAGCCGACGTCAAAAGGCTGCACACTTTCGAGATAGTCGATTTGTTCGGGGGTAAGCGTGATGCTCAAAGATTGGATGTTGTCCAGCAGATGCTCGACCTTGCGCCCGCCCACCAACGGGAACACCTGCCCCGGCACCTTCTGCCTGAGGTAGGCGAGAGCGACGGAACTAAGGGACTCGGTGCCGTGTTCGGCGGCGACTTTCTCCAGCGCGGCAGAGATCTTGACCTCCCTGTCGGTCTGCTCCGAGCCCATCAATTTCCGGAGACCTTCGCCCGTCGACTTGCGCTGCTCCAGCTGCTTTTTGCTCTGGAATTTCCCGCCGCCAATGGCGTCCCAGGGACAGATGGCCATGCCGAAATGACGGGCCATGGGGATGATGTCGCGCTCGAAATCGCGCAGCATCACGTTCCAGCGGCCTTGGTAGACGCTGAAGGGAGTCTTGCCGTTGGCGAGCGCATACGTGTTGGCTGCCGACACCACCCAGGCCGGCGTGTCGGAGATGCCTAGGTAAAGAACCTTGCCTGTTTTGACCAGGATGTCGAGGCTGTCCACCACTTCGGAGATGGAAGTGGTGTAGTCCCAATAATGGAGATACAGGATGTCGATATAGTCGGTCTGGAGCTTCCTCAACGAGTCACGGATGGAATGATGCAAAGCTTTCTTGTGGTTTCCCGCATAGTTGAGCGTGATGCCCTTGCCGAGCTCATAGCCGCGGTAGCCATCGGTATACCTGTGGTCAGAGTCAGACAGCATCCATCAGTTGCAGTTGGCGGCTTTACGCAGAGACAGAAGATCAGTTGGAGAAGAGAAGATGCAATGCGATGCGATGAGATGCGATGCGATAAGATGAGAAGATGAGATGCGATGAGAAGTTGCAATGCTTACTTAGTCGCAAGAACGATGTTGTCTCGATTCTTCCTCGCGGCAATCCATTCCCCGATCCACTGTTCCGACTGCTCATCCTGGTAGTTGTTGGCGGTGTCGATGAAATTGCCCCCAGACTCGTAATACTTGTCCAGAAGCCGGAAGGCCTGTTCTTTCGACATGGAGCCCATGAACTAGAATGATGGGTAAGACGACAGAGGTTAGAAGTTACAGGTTACGTTGGCAGGACAACTCCATGACTGACTGGCCACACCAGGCCCGGGATAATCTCATCACTGAACTCACATCCGACCAGCTATCGCCGAGTGACATTGCGCCAAACACCAGAGGTGACACTCTCACCCCGGCGGTGGTCGAGAGAACGCGGTATCGACCCAGCTCGGTGACCGGCTCGGGCGCAGGGGCGAAGAGGTCGTCAGACATGGTTGATTGTCTGTGGGGGGGAGTATCAACTGGAAGCAGTGAGACGAGACGACGATGTGATATGTTCTGATGTGATAGATGATCAGAGTGAGCTGATCTATCGATGGCGAAGGACAAGACTGGAGAAGGGCTGGGAAAAGAGAAGGAAAAGGAACTCGACGTATCTTAGATCCAAGGAAGAGTAGGAACATGTCCTATTTATTATATATATTTATTACTTATTCTATCGGCCTGGAGAAGGGCTGTAGTCACAAGCCAGTATCGGGATATCATGTATCGGAATATCATGTCCCATGTACACTGTACACTGTACAATACCTACTGGCATACCCTGTAGAAGGAACGGGGCCCCAGAAGGGAGTCCGACTAGAGCAGAGTGGAGCATACTCTGTTATCACAGAGTATGTATCCGTATCTAGTATGATATAGATATATCGCACAGTTCGCCCCTATCCGGCTCGAGGGTTGGAGGACTCGCATATCTCCGTTCTATATCTACATGTATCCGTACTCAGTACGGTATAATTAACCCTAACCCTATCGACTGACATTCTTGGTCAGCCCGGCCCCGGCACTGGGCCGGTATATACCTCGATCTATAAGGAATGCGCCGACTGGATAAGTTAGGGGTCAAGGCCACGGCTGAATGCGCGGTGGCCAGCAAGAGTCGAGGGAATTGCCGCAAGGCTGGGTCTGGGTCTGGGTCTGGATGTCTACCTTCGGGACGTAGTAGTAGTAACACGGCATATTGTCTGTTGTCTTGGTCTGGGCTGCAGCCTTGTCCTTGTCTTGAAGATGTTTGAACCGCCAATTGCCGATTGCCATTTGTCACTCACATGTACGGTACTGCCACGTTCCACTATCCTTTATCTTGTACCAACTGTTGCAATTGGGATAGGCGAAGCTGCTGCCAGGAGATCTGTCTAGACAGTAAGTGAGCGCACAGCCAGGCCACCGCGATCACGACAGATTCCTGACCTGATGATAGAGAACTTATCTTCTTTTCAAGCTCTTCGTTGCTGATCACATCACATCACGAATGATCTATACCGTACCGTACGTTCGGAATGGCGCGCAAGCACACTCACATCGACGCCAACCTCTGGATCCAGACACCGCTGATTGAATCTCGCGCTCTATCAGAGGCGGCAGGATGGTGCGTAATGATACAAGAGACAAGATCCAAAATACCTGGCACATAACTCGTCCAAGGCATAGCGTGAAAATTGTATTGAAAAGTTCAAAGGAAAAGAACCTCTCTAATTTGCAGTCGAGCAACTAGCACAGTGTACCTGAAACTCGACAATCTCCAGCCGTCGGGATCGTTCAAGTCGCGAGGAATAGGCAACTATATTAGGCGTCGAGTGCAAGAAGCGGAAGCAGAAGCAGAAGCAGAAGATGAGGGTAATAATGATCAGAGGAAGGATCAGAGGAAGAGGAAGAGAATCCACTTCTACGCCGCTTCTGGGGGCAATGCCGGGATTGCCTGTGTCCACGCCGCCCGACAACTAGGCTACGGCGCGACGGTGGTGGTGCCGACGACGGCCAAGGCGGCGATGGTGGCCAAGATCCAAGCGATGGGAGCTTCGGCGGTGATACAGCACGGCGCCAACATTATGGAAGCGGACCGGTTTCTCCGGGAAGAGGTGTTGGCGTCCAAAGATGCAGATGAGCACGGTATTTACGTGCCGCCATTCGACCACCTCGACGTCTGGGACGGCAACGCCACCGTGATGCAAGAGATCGCCAGCCAACTGGACGACAGGCCGCCAGACGTGGTTCTGTGCAGCGTGGGCGGCGGCGGCCTTCTAAACGGCATCATGCAAGAACTCGACCGACGCGACTGGGGCAACCGCGTACACGTCGTGGCCATGGAGACCGACGGAGCCGACTCGCTGAACCGGTCGATCCGGGCCGGCCAGCTGGTCACGTTGGATCGCATCACGTCGCAGGCGTTGAGTCTGGGCGTGTCGCGCGTGTCGGCGAAGACGTTCCAGTTGGCCCAACGGCCGAATGTCAAGAGTCTGGTTCTCGACGACCGAGCCGCCAAAAGGGGCTGTTGCCTTTTGGCCATGCATGAGAGGCTGATGGTCGAACTGACCGTCGGCGTCAACGTCGCTGCCTGTTATGGCGGCCTGCTGCAGAGTGTTTTGGGGGCCAGCTGTACGGTGACCCCGGAGACTAAGGTCGTCATCGTCGTGTGTGGTGGGAACGACGTCTCCATCGAACTGCTGCACTCCTGGTGGCTGGCCTGTGAGGACGAATTGGCTCTGGCTCTGGCTCCGGCTCCCGTAAGGTCTGAGGGACCTGTCTGTTGTTAGATCATTACTCATGACTTTGCTTCAACCTGAAAGTCCTGACTGATCAAGTTCAAGTGGCCATGCGGTTCCTGCCCACTGGTCCACCTTCATGGCGAGAAAGAACATCCACGAGCACCATTCAGCCCGGGGAGTGAATGCTGCCACTTCCAATTGTTGCCAAAACACCGCAAACCAGGCACCGCGACCACCCTTGGCTGCCGAAACCGATTTCAACCAAAGGCGGTCTTCCAAGTCGATAGGAATAAATGGGTCCAAGTACCATCTGTCAAAATAGTCATAATAATCAGTGCGTTAAGGCGGCGAGAAATGCACTGTGTCAAGCTTCGTGTCAGGCTCCGTGTCAGGTCCCGTGTTATACTCTGTCGGTGTGGCGTGGAGAAATTGAGAGGATTGAGTGATGATGCTCATTCGAGACCTCACAATAAGAGTCGGAATACTTCTGGGCCCATGGCTACTGTGCCTGAAGTCATAGAAGTCCTCCACATCCTTGCTGAAGTAAATCTGGATTGGCTCAAGGTCGGATGAAGTCATCCTAACTGCAAAATGGTGCTTCAGATCCCGCATCGACCGCGGAAGCCGGAGCATTCTGCTGGATCGGATGCTGCTAATGGTGTCGGTATCGTCCATGGTCAGTATCCCTTGCCTCGAATCATAGTGGATGGCGGCCACATGTGGAACATCGCCAACCAGATAATGGATGGCTCGGCCAGCGGTCATGACGCCCTCGGGCTTCTTCGACGTGGTCACGTCTGAGCCGGAAGCCTTTGCCACATCCAGACCGGCGTCAGCTAGAAAAGCATCAATCTCGTCGAGTATCTCGGCCTCTGAATGATTTCTGTACGCTTCTGATGGAGTGGGGATGTAGAACTGGGAGATTTCGTAGGGCCGCGCCACCAGTCCTGATCCTTGGAGGCTGTTCGTGCCCAGCAGATACTGCCCGCAGGCCGAAAAACTGACGTCTTGCATCCCAGGAGGGAAAACCCAGCGCAACCACTTGGATGGTACGAGTAGAGCCAGATTGGTGCTGATGTCGATCCGGTCCGGTCCGCGTTCTGATGCCGGGGTACAGAGTCGATCTACCCTTATCAAGAAGGTTCCCGCTCTATTCGACACGCTGATTATAGGGAGATCGGGGTGGAATATGCATCCCTGCTGAGAACGACCAGCAATTGTAATGGTCGGTTTGTAGTCGAGGGAAGATTTGTCCGGGCTGCCGTCTTCGAAAATCCGTATGTAATCATCGTGGATCACGGCAAGGTAGGTTCCGTTCTCACTAAAGAGCGACCGCCTTATGACATCGTCCAAGACTGATGCAGCGAAGAGCTTGCTCTCCTGAACAGCAACCCTTTGATCGACAAGATCAACATCCAGTCGCTGGCACGACCAATCTCTATCGGATGCCGCTTCAGCATCAGATGGCCGAGTTTGGAAGACCATGTGGAGAACCGAGCACATGTTCAAGTCTTTATTGATGGAAGCATTGAAGTGCAGGTCTCCAGCCCGGCCATGGTAAATGGATTCGTAAATGGCAAACATCATCTCCTCCCATGGAATCAACCACGTCAATTCTTCCAGTAGGTGGGTGGGCCCGATGGTCTCCCGAAGCTGGTATCGGACACGCCAGCCACGGCTGTACACCTTCACGAACCTTGCCACCTCCGAGGGCGATCGATGGAACAGGCCAGCTCTTGCGACGGCATAGAACCCACGAGCTTCGTCAACGTACGTGCTGAAATACTTGTTAGTGGGAGTCAAGAGATCACTCCAGACAGTTACCTGGGAGGGATGATGCTGAGAATGGCAATCTTCTCAAAGTCTGGACTGTAGCAGGTCAACAACTCCACAATCTTGTCATTGTGGACCGGCTGCTGACATGTCTGTGATATGGACCGTGTCTGATCCAACCCGATCAAACGACTGTCATGAGGTTTGAAAAAAGTCGTCGAAGAGAACAGTCCAATGTTCGAGTCCCAGATTTCAATCAGCTCGTACTGAAGGACGTCGCCCCAGTCGTTGATGACGCTCGCAATGTCCCGGCCAAGCATAATAAATCTCTCCAACAACTTCATCATTGTGGAGCTCGAGCTGACCAGCGCTTGCAGCGCCTTAGCCAGTGGTTCCAGTGTTGGATGGCACTGGAAGACATAGCAAGCTTCAACCCAGGCCCTTACTGTCTCGTTGGACCGCAGAAGCTCATCCAAGAGTTTGACTAGACCTTCGAACTCTTCATGTGCGTACGCGCTAGAGGATGCTTGCAGTGCACCAATCCCCTGGCTGGCGTGGCTTGCCCAAGAAGAACACGCATATTGCAAGAACGGGTATCGGGTCTTCGCCAGAGGCTTTTCCAATGCTGTCCCATGCACGCCAGAAAGAGGTCCTCTAGGGATATCGAAGAGGAGATAAGACAAGCAGTGACTGGTCAAACTGAGTTGTGCCTCTGCCATGTCGAAGTAGAAACGGGAGGAAGCTGATGCTTGCCGCGCCCGAGACAGGTACTCGGACACGGACAGATGAACGAATCCCACGGTGTCATTGGTCGCGACTTCAATCAAGCCGCCCGACAGTATCTCAATCGTTGAGCCAAAGTTCGGGAGATAATCAAGTTCGGGTGAAGTCACTTCATGGACGCGAATGGCAGTGGCTGCCTGCAGCTCGGTCATGGTCAAAGGCCGCTGAAGGACGACAAGCCATTGAAGCACCTTGGTCATGAAAAGACGTTCTGATGACATGCGAGAGTCGATGCAATCCAAGATCCTGGCGTAAATAGCATCCAGGCCTTCGAGCGGTACCATGTTTGTGAGGGCTTCAACTCGGGCTCTCAACGTGAGCACCGGAGACTGGAGATAGGCCATCATCAACTTGGCCCACAAGAAGAGAGATTTGGACCGCGTAACAAGATTTGCCACAACCTGTTCGACCGTCAACGTCGAGGACAAGAGTCTGGCGGCATCCAGCTTTCTGACTTGCGGTTCCAGGTACCGACGAATGTCTTCGAGATTCGACGCCTCTCCTAACCTGACAAAAGGCATCTTGCTGTATTGTGATGGGATGTTGAAGTTGGGTCGGCTTACCACAACATCTTTGGTGGGCGTGTTCCTGCAAATTTTGGAAATGGTAAAAAGAAAATGATCTCTGTCGACACGTTCGTCGAGGCCAGCTATGACGAACGTGCATTCGTCCAGCTGGGTCCAGGCATTCGAGGTCGTCTTCTGAGGCGCAAGGCTCTCCACGGCTGCGCCTGTAGATCAGCATCGAAGCTGCATCTAGAATCTGCGTCTCGTCTTTGAGGAAGGCGAGCACCTGAGCAAGAAGAGCCCGTAGTGCATGATGTGATTCGTTCGTCTCTAGGGAGAGCATGCTGAAATGATAGAAGCACACGCAGGCCACGATGTTGGTTGATGTGGACGCCTTGTCTAGGTTCCGAAGATGGTCGATGATCTTGATGGAGATCATGGTTTTGCCGTATCCAGGCGGGCCTATGAAGAGTCTGTTAGTCCTGGACTGTAAATCTGCGGTACCAGGGCATAGTGCGTGCCGAAAACACCAACTACCCGCTGCTCAAATGGAACGACCGAGCCGCCCGGATCCCTCGCTGTGGTGTGCAACCAGTGCTGGAATATGGGCGTGTTCAAGAACCAGTCGAGGCTACCGGACTGCAGGTTGCGCTTAGCTATGTCGAAGATCTTCGAGAATGGCGGGCTGGATGTCCATTTCACGAGTGAGCGATACACCTTGGGTCCTGCCAGGGGCTGAGTCAGTACGAGTGGCGACTGTAAGATGCAGCGGCATAGTTCGAATTACCTGTCAACTTAGCCTGTTCTCGAGTTGATCCATAGTGTTTGGCCTCGAGAGAGGACCTAAGTTCGAGAATCCCTCTTTCCAAGACCTCAAGTTCTCCTTTGACATGGTCACCAGTATCGACGATAACTTTTGTGCGCAAAAGTTCCACTTCATGATCAAATCTGAGCCGGGCGTTTTCGAGCCGTTGGATGAGCGTGACAAACAAGTCCTGGAATGGTACCCAGGCCGCTTTGGCATGAAAGGCCATCCTCTTCCGCCAACCTGAGATGATGTGATTAGTTGTAATCTCGACGGTGCAATGCAACCAGTCACACATGAACATACTCTTTTTCCCTTGGGCAAATATACTGTAGGCCCGATGACAAAACATTATCACAGATTCATAGATTGTCAGCAGAGCTGCAATCATGGCATGCTTGTCGCCGGAAACAATCGTCTTCACGACCTCGAACAGCTTGACATACTGAGTGCTGAACTCGACGATCTCACTAATTTCCGCGAATTTGACGCTAAGCTGTTCGAATAAGGCTTCATAGTTGCGACTAAGCTGGGTCGGATGAGCTTGATGATTCGACCGGGAAGACAGAGACAGACAAACTGACTTGGAAAATGAGTCGAAGAGCGCCCCAGAATGGTGCGGCAATGGCAGCTTTTGTCGCCACAAGGATGCCGGTGATCTCAAAATATGGCTCCCAACTCTTCGAGACCGCAGCCAAAGATTTGAGGTGCCGGTAGACCACCGAGTCTTGAGATATCTTTAGCTCGGTGCGAAGATGTTGGATCATGGCCTCTGCAGAGTCGACTTCACAAAACTGCGCCCGCCCATCATCTGACAATTCCTGGCGAAACGCTTTGATGCTAGTCAAGAAAGGATTCTCCGGAGAGCTCATGATTACGTCTGAACACCTGCGACCGGAGGCTCAAGGATGCTCAACTCCATAGTAGCCTCCGCAACAAAGGGGTGGGAGATTGTCCACGTCCACCTTCATGGTCTGATTGATAGAGTTTCAAGAGCTGCGCAGCCGAGCTCAGGCAGCAAATGCCCAAAAGTGTGGCGTCTCTCTGGAGGGAGCTGGTCCGACTAGTGCGTGCGTATGCCCTGTAGGTGTCCCGTAGGTGCCCTGTAGGTGCCCTGCATGACCAGTACTGTATCTGTATCTGCAACTTCGTCCTATGACACAGTTCGGTTCAGTTCGGTTGTTGTCGCCTTTTTGCCTGGCGCCCCCATGCCCCATGATATGATGGCGTGCAACGACTCTTCCACAGAAAGCCATCTGGGGGTTCCAAGGCCAGGGTCGTGCTGAACCGTGTCCTCCGTCTGCCGTTAGGATACTCTGTGTTGGCCTCCATTCTCCATCGAGAGCCGCATGTACGGGGGTACTAGTAGTACAGTGCAGGTCGAAATTTCGGGCTAGGGCCGAGGAGGGCAGATCAAGTCGAGTTGCATCACTAGGCTTAGGTTTAGGCAGGCTCCTTAGGCTTGAGGTTGAGCGCAGGGGTCCTTAGCCTAGGTTGCTGTACACCCTTGGGCGCCGTCCTACCGACCGAGGCGGTTTCGCGGGCTGGATGAGGCTCAGCTGAGCCGGGGCCTGAGCCTGAGCCGGTGAGCGCCGGTATCTTCAGCAGATGAGATAGATGCCTGGTGACGAGCTGTTTGTCTCGCACATTATGTACTGTAGATCAGAATCCAGACCAAAATGTTGAGGTTGAGTTAGAGTTGGCACCCACCAACCACCATCCACCACCCACCACGGCCTTGGACTTGGATAAGATGAGACGAGACTCGACGCGACGCCGGCTCATCTGAACCTTGGGATATCAACACTTGGAAGAGAAGTATTCAGGAATCATTTACAGTACCCAGTACCTATATACCCGTGTAAAAGTAAAATCATCGATCAAATGATAACCATGTCTTTTACTGGCAAATCCTCGTGGTCAAAGATCTTACTGATCTCGTTGAACCAAAACGATTGTCTCTTCTCACCAGCTGGTGAAAAGACGATTCATCCGTAATTCAGACCACCAACTGGCAAAGTTCTCCTTCTCCCTCGGGTCCTCTTACCATCTAGTCTCGTAAGCGAAGAACATGGGATCGACAGATCGAGCTTGTTGCATCAGGAAAATTGTCATGTCCTTATACACTTGCTTTACCGCTAAGTTGTAGTCAATCTTGATGCCTGTCACACCTGATAGGTCTGGTTGGACGTCGAAGATGCAAGAGCGCCAATCGTGCAGTTGGCATGCTTGCCACGCCATACACGAAGTCTCGGGGATCAGTCGCTTGAAATTGCTTAGATCCTCAAGGGGCAACTTCCAAACTTCATCCTAGAGAGTCGGATCGCTAGATGATCTGAAAAACAACCTTTGCTTTCGGGGATGTGTCTTGTAGTTGGGTCTTTCCATGGCTGTCGCTTTTGAGAAGGTCCGTGGTACACTCTGTTCTGTAGTTTCCGACCCGACAGCGCTCGTCATACACCGTCAGATTGCAACTGCTTTCAACACAGTGCTAGCCCTTTCAAGAGGCAGGCGTAGTCAGGCGGGTGGCGCGAATACCATTGAAACATATGGGTTCACATGTGACATCCCAGGCGGCTGAGATTTGAAAATCCCTGCCCTTTGAGCATCCAAGTATGACCCCTACAGTCGGCAAATCCATACGCCAAAGGTCCTCGACTCGGGCGACTCAGCCTCTAGTGACTGGAGAGGACGTAGCGCGCAGAAGACGAGACTAGGGGAGATCAATGAGATGTACCAGGTTGGCGAGTAGGGATCTACCAGCTGCAGGCCACGCCAAAGCTCCAATCACATGAAACCAGAGTGCCGGGACTCCTCGAAGAGGACATGTGCCACCTCTATTATCCTCTATTATAATTATACTTGGTCGTTTATCGCTCATCATTCCATGATTAAGGCCATGACTGGCGAGTCCCCGCTCCGCTTTGTTGACCAGGTTATGCGTATTTGTTACCGTGCTGAAGCGGCCCGGCGTCTCCGCTAGTGAAGGAGCAATGGCCGACCATATCTTGGTCCACCCTGTCATGGGCGACGAGGCCATCCGGAATAACTCCCCACTTGACAGGTTTCATGGCCGCGTCGTGGTCCCAGTCCGGCTGGTGGCACGCGGCGGAGATGGCGACACTGCAGCTGCCGGCCAGGGGAATAGCCGGGTCATAGTGGCGGGCGAAGCCGAGGACGAGGGTGGTGATGATGATGACGCCGCCGGCAGCGAGGGCCAAGATCATGGCCAGTGGAGAAAAGCCACACGAGGCCACGGCCACGGGACTGGCAAGTGTGCCGTCGGAGTTGTATTCAGCGAGCACGACCAGGAAGATGGCCTGCGAGATCATCCAGTGCAGCAGACCTGACAGAACCATCAGGGGCATGGCCACTTTGTATGGCAGCTGCAAGAAATGGGTGCTCCTCTGCGCACCCTTCGGCTTGGAAACGCGCAGGGTTTTACGCTGCGTGGCAAAATCACTCCACTCCGACGCCAGCCACATGCTGGTCAGAAGGCCGTTGAGGTTGAGGTACAGGAAGGAGAAGATGGTCTGGGGCAGGTTGGCGACCAGGATTGACGACATGATTCGGTTGGTGGCACTCCCCTGCTCCCCAACATTCCAGCCGGTCACGATGGCCCAAGGCGTGACTTTACCGAACCCAACGTCTTGAATGGTAAAACCGGCGGAGTTGACCGTGCTCACGGCACGAGAGAGCAGAACCCCGACCACTATCAGGGCGATCACGATAAAGCCGATGGTCACTGACCAGCGCGTGCGGCTGGCAGCCTTGGACCACCGCAGCCTTTGTAGTTGGGCGACTTTCGCTTCCTTGGTCGAGCTCTTGTTCTCGTCCTTGTCCTTGTCATCGCCCTGTTCCTGCCAATGTGTTTTGCGCCGGGCAAGCTTCACAACCTCCTCTTTAGTCAGCAAACATACACCTTGGGTGGTGCGATCCGACTCGTTCAAGAACGATTCGACGGCGTCGCCCACGGTAATCAAGGGGGCATCCTGTACTCGGAAGGCAAGCCACAGCATGCTCACCACCTTGATGAGATTGGCGACCAGAACGACAGCCACAATGGGAATATTACCGTTGTAGCTGCATCTTTCGGGAACCAACTCGCTGAGACAGTACTGGACATCGTAACCATAGGGACGCCACTGGTCCGCGTCCGCCGCGGCCTCGACCTTGGAGACGAGCTTCTCGCAAGGTTCCCAATTCCCATTATCACCGTAGAGATCCAGGTTGGGGTCACTGACACAGATCCTGTTGCATGATGGCCATTAGTGGATAGACAAGAGCCGGAAAAACGCGAAGTCTCTCTCACCAGACGAAGGGGTTGATAGTTGAAAAGGCGTAGAACCCCATGTCGAGCAGGCTGCTATTAGCAGTGTCGTTTTTGGAGACCATTACCAGGTTCCGTCTGTTGGTCAGGAAGTCGGTCGCATAGGCGTGGATGCAATCCACCATTTCCAGTCGCTCGTAGAGACCGGGAGTCTGAAGGTCGGACTGAACTTTGGCCGGTTCGACTGAGCCGATGATGAGGTAGTACGGGTCGATGGTGCGCTCCGGGATGGTAAAGGACGACCCGTCTACAAAGTCTTGCGTGGCAAAGTAGAAGGCGTAGTCGTTGGTCGACAGGGATTTGTAGAAGGCCGAGTTATACCTGTGAGAGTTTGGTCAGATGACTGGGCCGGTGTGGTTTCACGCAAGGGCAAGGGCGGGATGGCATTTACATGAGGTGCAAGGGCACCGAAGAGAGGCCTAGCATCAGCCACATGACCGACTTGTAGACAGGCACTCGGCGAAGATTGCGGATGCTGGGGACTCCAATGTCGAGCCACTTCCCCTGGGCGTGGGCAGCATCGACGTCCTTTCTCGTTGGCGCACACAGGCACTGCATGCAATAGTTGGAGCCTCCAAGGAGCAGTGTGCTGAGTGCGTTGATGGCAAGATGGACCCAGAGATCCATGTTCTCGACCTTGCTACAGCTTCCATTGAAGAGCTCGACCAGGCCGGAGCTAGATCGATGGGTGGACAACCAGACCAGGACCACCAGGTTGATTAGAAATGAGATTCCCGCGAACGAGGCGGCAAAGAGAGCGCCTGTTCTCCAGCCGTAGAGTCGAGAATGGCCGCCGAGAAAGTTTGGACGATGGAAATAGGCGGGCTTGAAGTGGCGGACTGGGTCGGTCGAAGGGTCGAGGAGCGGTGCTTGATCCTTGATCGTGGCTGAGAATCCAGACCGGAAGCGGGGGGTCCTGCTATTGTCATTGTTGTTATTGATTTTGTGGTCGAGCGGCGACGACAGCTCCATGTCTGAGCCCGAGTCCCAGGGTATGGTTGAATCGCGGGAGTTGATGCGTTGGTAGGTTCCCCTTGGCCGTAGGATGTCCATGATGGTGTCGTCGACTCTGCGAATCAGTGAAAAGATTGTAGATCGGGGTGCTGTGCTCTTGTGTTTTTAGCATGCTGGCCAGACCCAATAGCTGAGCTCCCAGCAGAACTCCGAAGCCTCAGATCCTAGGCCTCCTAAGCCCTCCCAGCGGCACGCATAGCAGCAGCAGCAGCAGCAGCAGCAGAGAGGTCACCACGAGGAGATCTGGTGCTTTGGCTGTTTTCAAAGCTGGATCGATGCAGGATGGAAGACGGCCGGTAGTCTGGGTTCTTAGCGACAGAGGTCAACAGAGGTGTCCGTGGTGGTGTTTCAGGCTGGTGAGAGTGATACACTGGTAGGCAGCATGGCTGAACATGCGGCTCGCGGGACGGCTGGGCTGCTGGGCTCTCGAGCATGGGATCTGCCAACTTCGCCCCTCCATCTTGCAGGGGTGAAACGGGCGACAAAGGCCCAAGGGGTTGATCAGTATCACATAGTAGTACATGTGCTATACTGATTAGGGATGGTGTGCTAAGGTTACAGGTGATGTGTGGCCATCGACTGGCGGTGCCCCGATGAAAATCTCGAAGATGGAGAATAATGCGCAGGTGCCAGGTAGGCAGACAGTCGATCAGTGTGGGGCCAAGACCAGCCTACAGGTAGCTACCTACATATGTAGTAGGCACCTGCCACCGACTGCTAGGCGCCTAGCTACCTTAGGTAATAGGCCAGGGGTGGGTACCATTTAAAGTAGCGGGATGTTTCTAACCTACACACAACCCATACCACCACCATGAACCATCAATAACTTATTAGAATTGCAGTAAGTTCTAATTATTCACAGTACTAATTAGTATAGGAGAAGACTACCTTCTCGTGTAACAATATCCTACACTTAAGTAGGTATGTTATCGATATAGCGAGTGATAATCTTTGGATTAATTTTATGTATCCTATTCCTCACATCCCGCCACTTTAAATGTCACCCACCCTTAGGCTAAGGGGCACCCGTACTCCCTCTATAAGCTGAAGCCTCTAAACCTTAGGCCCCTCAGCCCTAGCCCACTCACTAAGGTACGGGTACTCGTACTCCGTACCTACCAGGTAATTTCGGGTGTTTGGCCCTGCCAGAGCTAGTGCCGCAGGTTACAACCACTCTTCCCTTGAGTCTTGACCAGGATCCTGGCCCTGGTACGGATACTGTACGGAGTATTGGCTTCGAACAGACACGTCATACATCGCACATGGTAACACCAGATCACAGATGCACAGATGCTTATGGAATACTCCGGATGGCCCCCAAGAAGACAGAAGACATGGTCAAGTACATACACCGTCACTTCTGCCACACCACTTCTACCCTGCCACCCTCCCACCGTTGTCCCTGCTTCAGCATCCTGGACCGTGACCCGGATCTGTCCATTCGTTGATGAGGTTGCTGTTGAGCGTCGAGAGGGCCCGGACCTCCTCCAGCATAAAAAAAAGAAATAGATCAGGCACACAGGTACAGAGTCGGAGTAAAGAAACTCCCTCGGTACGGAGAAATGGTTTCTCCTTGCGGAGAGTATTTCCGAACACTAATGACAGATGCACGAATCAAACAAAGCAATAAAGGCTTAGGAGCTGAAAGCCAGATAGGTGCCTGAAACTTAGGAGGCTTAGGGGCTTTCTTTAGTCGAGACCAGGCAGGCACCCGAATTGGCCTGAGCCTCCTGAGCCTTAAGGAGCCCCAAGTCTGAGTTTGAGTCTGGGTCTGGAATTCCTCTCGTGCCTGAAACTCATGAACATTGACATTGACATTGACATTAATATCAGTTTCCCGACCGCAACGCCATAACCCCCGAAGATACAACAACAGCCTCAGCCTCATCCTCGTCCTCATCCTTATCCTCATCCTTAGCCCCAACCTTAACCTCAACCATCACGACGCGCGGACAACGTCCCACCCCATCTCCGGATCTGCCTGTGATGAGTGCCGACGTCGCAAGCTGCGCTGCGACGGGCGCCAACCAGTGTGCCATCTGTCAAGGAGCTGGGGTTGTATGTGAGGTCACGCAACGCGGCGTAGCCCAAGAAACTTTACCTGAAAGCGCTGAAGAACCGAATTGTCCAGCTCGAGGCTTTGCTGGAGAGTCGTCTTGGGGCCCAGCTCACCATAAGAGGAAGTTGAGCAGCAACAGAGCACCAGTGTAAGGGACATTGTCAACGGTGATGGTATCGGCCTCATTTTGACCCCGCCAGCCCTGTCGGCGCTCCTGGACTTTCAACCACGCCCACGCTGTCGATTCCTGTGCCTCCGACACCGACACCGACACCGACACCGACCGTGGGAGTCTCAGATGCAACGACATTCGATCCTTTCGCGCTTGACGTTGACCGGCAGCGGCGGGTTCCTCTGTCGCGCAACCCGAGATGCTCGTACCGGCCTTAGGCTCCTGGCCTGAGGATAGTGGCAGATTGGGTGATTCCTTGTCCGAAGTCATGACGGAGCCTCAGCCCAAAGTGCGGGCTCTATTCAACGAGTGTCTGATCATCGTCACCATTGGCGGGTGCATCCTGCTTCGAAGACAACAGAATGTCATATCCGAGGCATGGGGGGTTACGACATTTGTACCTACGGAACAGCGTTGGTGGCTGGACGGCATCTTTAGCAAGAGGCACAAATCTTGTCGCAATGGAAACTATCATAGAGGCAGAGGTAGCAGAGGTAGGAGAGGTAGCAGAGGCAGGAGATGTAGGAGATATCGGACAGCAATAAGGAAGCGCATCGTGAATGCTAAATAACAAGATACTGATTCAGATCCAGTCTCCCACAGAACTACGGACTGTATGTTTAAAGAAGTGGAGGTGGACATGGAGGTGGATGAACCCCGGATACTTATGATATGCACTCCACTCCACTCCGTACTCCCCAGGCTTCGGTTTCGGCTTCGGCAAGCCAGACAGGCTGCTCCGAAGGATATTTGAGAACGACGCCGTCAGCTGCGCCAGCTTTGATGCAATTGGTTCGTTGGCTCTGATCGAAGTTTCGCCAGTATCGTTCGTATCGATACCATGGCTGGTTGCAGTCAGTAGGTAGGACAGGCCATGTGTAGGGTTAGGGTTATGTAGGGTTAGGGTTAAGTGTCAGGGTCAGGGTTAGGGTTAGGGTTAGGGCAGCCGTGATCGTGATCGGCCGGAACGGTTGGCGACCCGGGGTAGAGAGAGGAGAGTATGTGCGCTGCTCACTCGGGTGAGAAGAACCCTATTTCGGCACAGGGGTGATGGCATTCCGAGCCCCAGCCTACAGTAAGCCCCATGCCATGCCATGCTGTGAATCCAACATAAAACAGATGACATCCGGGCCTGGGCTCCAGACGCAGACGCAGAAGGATAGGTACCGTAATGACCAGGTCTGCCGCTTACTGTCGTACTCCGTATATATACATGCCAGTGTCTGTGAGCAGAACACATACATAAGGTATATACATACAGACGGAGAGACATACGAACATACAGACATACAGCCATACAGACTTACAGATAGTGATATCGTACGGTCCGCCGCCACCACCTACATTCCACATCCGCTGCGCTGCCCATCCTCAGGGATAACCTATAGCTTATAGCCTATCTATCGCTGGCTATCGCTGGCTATCACTGGGCTATCACTGAGCTATTGCTGAACAGCAAGCACAGCAAGCACAGCAAGCACAGCATAACACATCACACCCAGCACACCAAGCACACCAAGCACACCAAGCACACCAAGCACACCACACCAAGCACACCCAAGCACAGCATGGCTGAAACCGAACCCCAAACCCAAGCCGCCGCCCCAGGCTCATTCCACCAGCGGACGGTGATAGTGACCGGCGGAGCCGGGTTCATCGGCGCACCACTGTGCAAGGCATTTGCACGAGCCGGGGCCAACGTCGTAGTGAACGACTACGGATGCAGCGTATCAGGCGAGGGCTCGTCAGCCTCGCCCGCCGAGCAAGTGGCGCAGGAGATCCGGGCTGAGGGCCTATCTGCCGTGGCGGACATGCACAACGTAGCGACGGACGCGGAGCAGATCGTGGCGACGGCGCTGGCGCGGTTCGGGCGGGTCGACGTGATCGTCAACAATGCCGGCATCACGATCTACGGGCCGGTGGAGGCGCAGGGGCCCGAGGCGATGCGGCGCGTGTTCGAGGTCAACGCGCTGGGCGCCATGGCGCTGTGCCACTACGCCTGGCCGCACATGCAGCGGCAGGCGTACGGGCGCGTGGTCAACGTCACGTCCGACAGTGTCTTCGGCATGGCGGATAGCTCGCCGTACGTGCTGTCGCGCGGCGCCGTGCTCGGCGTCACGCGAACCCTGGCCCTCGAGGGCCGCCCGCACAATATCCTCGTCAACGCCGTCGGCCCGTCCGCCTACTCGCGCATGCGGATGGCCGCCGACGAGGACAGCAGGCTGCCCGCGGAGCAGCATGCCCAGCTGCAGGCCCGCTACCCCGGCGAGTCCAATGTGCCTGCTATCCTGGCCCTCGCTAGCGAGAAGCTCGACCTGTCCGGCGAGATCTGGAGCACCGGCAGCTATGCCCTGGGCCGCACCATTCTAGGCACCGTAAAGGACGTCAAAGGCCTCCGCACCCTCGACGAATGCCTGCAGGCCATGCAGGTGTTGATGGACAAGGACAGGGAGTGGACCGAGCCTCATAGTATTGCCGACTATGCCGCCTTCAAATCCAAATCTTGAGTGGTTTGGTGGGATTCGAGTTGTCAGCGTCACTTCTCGGATGGAGTCTGCTCCGGGGGCTCAGGACGCGGAGGCAGAGGCCCACCACGGCAACTGCCGAAGGTCTTCTATAGAAGGTTTATGCTCTCAAAATGGTACCTAGTGGTGAGGGGAGGGATTCGATTGTATTGGATCGGATCGGGTTGATATCAATATCAATATCAATTGAAACACCAATTGAAACACCATCGACAATGCATCGATGGCAATGCCAATGGTAATTAAATACCCACTCTCCCCGTCCCTCTCCCCTCCTTCAAGATCTCAACCTCAAGTCGGCCTCAAAATCCTTCCGGACCTTCTCTGCCGCCGCGTCATCCACGAGAACGGTCCAGCCTGCACCGGCCATAGCTTTGGCCGTGACAATGGTTCGTCGATATGCTTCGTCACTGCCTGCCGCGGCCGTGAATCCCGGCGTGTGGTTGTACTGGCCTGGAGCAGCCGGGATGCCGAAACCTGCATGTAGACTGGGGCAGACATAAGACACGTTGCCTGATGCCGCCGTTAGCATATCCGTGCCGTATGATCGTCTTTCGTGCGCGGATTGTCCTTTTTTTTTTTTCAGTTCTTGGTCGCTTCTCACTCACCCATATCTGTAGAACCAAGTCCCGCCCCGTGAACGTCGCGATCGCAGACCACCGGAGACGCCAGGGCCGACATTTCTGAAGCCCAGAGGGACGCCAGCTCCATGTTGGGTCGCAAATCTGCGTACGTGTTCAGACTAGACAAGAACACCCGGTCAGTCGGGGTGATATTCAATCAAAGGCTCGGATCGGGCTCGGAACACTGACAGCTCAACTTCGACGGTACAGCCAGTCGCGGTGGCGGCACCCTCGAAACAGCTCACCACACGCGCTTTCAACCGGTCCGCATCGGCCAGTGAGGTGCTCCGGACATAGCAGCTGAGTGTTGCACAGTCGGTGATGACATTGGGCCGGGTGCCTCCGTTGGTGATGACGGCATGGACCCTCTCGGCCGACTTGATCTGCTGCCGGAGCATGCTGAGGGCGTTGTAGGCCAAGACCACGGCATCGAGGGCATTGACGCCTTGGTCCGGCGCTGCCGCCGCATGTGCCGCCTTCCCGCTGAAACTCACGCGCAGTTTGTGGTTAGCCAACGAGGTCCAGTATGCAGATCCCAGCCCGCCGAACTCGGGCTGATCGGGCAAAGGATGCACCATCAGACAGGCATGGAGCGAGTCGTACGCCCCCGCCGCGAGCAACGGCAGCTTCCCACCGCCTCCCTCTTCGGCCGGTGACCCGATCAGTCGCACCTCGCCCGGCAGATTGAGCTCCTTCAGCGCGGCCGCCACGGAAAGAAAGGCCGCCACGGCAGCGGTGGCGATCAGGTTGTGCCCACAAGCGTGTCCGATCCCAGGGAGAGCATCGTACTCGGCGTTGAAAGCGACCACTCGTCCCCCTTTGCCTTGGCCGAATCTGGCTTCAAAGGATGTGTCGACCCCGTAAGCGTGCGGTGTCACTTCGAACCCCTTCGAGATGAGCAGGTCGACGACATTATCGTGGGCTTGAAACTCCTCGAACGCGAGCTCTGGGTGTGCATGAATCTAAATAGAGAGAAGTGACCGTCAGCGTCGAGGGCGAATCATGGCGGTTTCGGTGTCCTCTTTTGCTGTAGGGGGCACTGCGAACTTGCCTTCTGGTTTAGCTGATATAGCACATCACTATGCTCTTCCATCCGTTCGCTTATGATCTGCCTCCCTCTCATTAGGGCAGGAGAGTCCAGGGCATCAATAATCTCACCCATCGTGAAGGACAGGCTGATCTCTGGCAAAGGATCGTGCCCAACGGGATCAAGGACGGTGATGGTGACAGAGAGAGGCCGCTTCTGCTTCTGCTCAGGAAGCAAAGTATTTAAATGGCACCGAATGTAAGCTGGCCCCCGAAAACATAGTTCTCGTTGGACGCTTCTGGCGACCCATGGGACATGTGATTGGTCGGATTTGCCGACGGGCAGCTCTGGCCTGGAAGCGACAGACTTCGACTTCCGACATGGTCGGGCGAAGACATGAAGCTCCGCATCTGCCGCATGGACAGCCGACGCTGAGTTTTGTCTTGGGCCTCAATGGTCAACTCCCAAGCTGTTCGCAGCACTCCAGGCCGGAGCTTCGAGTGGATCCATTCTCGATAGATGAGGTCGTCGGTTTCGATCCCCGCCATGAACAACGGCCATTCCATCCACTCGTACAGTCGCGCCGGGTCTGCTTGCAGCATCCGTTGAGCAATGTTGAGTAGCTTCCGCAGTTGATCCTGCACAGCCACCGGGGCCGGCCCAACGCTGTTGCCCGTACAGCGAAAGTGATAGATGCATATGGCGTAGAAGTTGGCAACCACGAAACCGGCGTTGGAAACCAGTCTCTTCGTCGAGCTTAGTATGGAGGAAGACGACAGGTGGAACACCAGGCTATACTTCTACCTCACAGGTCAGCGTCCACCTCTCTTGCAGTTGATGCTGGGCCGGTCCGGTCTGGTACGTACCTGTTGGAGGCATGTCAGCTGCCTCGCGATCGAGTCAGTGTGTCCATCTCCGGGGCCCAAATCGACCACCCCATTTCCGTCCCCATAGCTCATCTCATTGAGCTTCTCATAGATGATGTGGATCTCGAAGGCCATGTTGAGGACGGTGGCATTTTCGATGTCGTCAAGCAGTTCGTTCTCCGGATAGGCGAGGCCCCAGTTCAATTTCAGACATTCGCACGAACATGTATAAACAGCCTCGGTGACGTCGCAGTCTTTTTGGAGGTATGAGGCAAGCATGCCTCCGGTGTTGCTGAAGCCCACACGGACGTCGAGGTAGAAGATGAACATGATGATGCGGGCCAAAAGACTTCGATCCTCCTGCTGGAGCGAGCAATCCATGTCCAAACCCGTAGCTGTGCTGTCCGACCCGGCCAGGAGGTGAGGGAGTCGATGTCTTTTCACGTACTCCGCCACCGCCCTGGACAGTCTTCTGAGCTCCCCAAAGCTGTTCGAGGATCGTCGTTTCAGTTGGTACAGGTACAGGAAGTAGAAGGTGGTCATGACCGCCGTGTGCCGCTGTTGGTCCGAGCCGGTTTGCAGCGTCTCGACAAGGAATGATACTGCTGCGCGACAGTGGTGCTCGGCCAGTTTCGTAGCGGCACCGCCTTGGGTCGACAGCAGTTCTAGCTCGATGCACGACAGGGCAAGTAATGCGTGCATGACCATGGGATCCTGCACGCCGCAGTGGAGCAGGAGTGCGTGGGTCGACCAGTCCGGGTGTTTGGTGGACTGCGCGAGACGCAGGCCGTGCTGATACAGCTGCAGAGCATGATGGTCGTCGTCCGTAAGCGTGTAGCAACCCGAGATCGACAATGGGTACCCGTAGAACCTAAGTTGGCCACTGCCCAGCACCAAAGAGTCCAGCGGAAGGTTAGATGTCGACATAGACATGTCCAGCGCGCCGTCAACATCCAGCAATGTGAAATCGGCAGCAAAGTCAAATGGCTCGACAGCTGCTGGCTCCGGCAATGGTCCGCCATCGTCGACCAAGTCTACCGTCCCGGTCCCGGTCCCGGTCCCCGTCCCCGTCCCCGTCCCCGTATCTTCGTCATAGGCCAACTGTTGTTTCGCTGCCGACGCCGATAACATCTCCGGACAGCTCGCTTGGTTTGTGCCAGGTTCTCCAGGGCAGTACTCGTCTACCATGGCCGCCAATCCGTTCTGATCGTGGTTTGGAGTAGACACTGTGCGGTCAAGAGGGAACGGACGCCTCGGCGCAATTCGTTTGGGAGTCCAGTTCTCTCTGCTGCGAAGCGGGCCGAAGCCTCGCCGTCGCTCTTTCAAGGGAGGTGCGGCGCCGCCCCAGGTGCAGCTTAGCCGTAGGCGTCGGCAGCGTCCACAAACAGGCCTGGCCTCATCACACTTGACCTTTTTCGACCGACACATCAGGCAGCCAGCTTTGGACCGGGCCCGACTCTCTCGAGGCTGGTCCACGAGGGACTGTGTGAGATTTACCATGGTGAGCCGGTGACATGTGACCACGGGCGGCTCGCGAGCAGGGAAATCTGCAAGGCAGGCATGCAGGCTCGTCGCTCGTTTCTGTTTCTATGGTTTGGGAGGTGAGGTCGTTGAGGCGCTGAGTTCGGGGCAGCGGCGACGACGAAGGATTTTGATCATTCATCCCATGCAGCGACCATTGCCAATCGCCTAATAGATGCTCATTGCTTCCGTCGGCAAATTCGGCCAATAAAACGGCCGGTCGATCATGTAGTGCCTCCACCAATTTGGCCTCCTTATCTCTCTCGGCAAAGGTGGACCAGCGATATTGACTAAGGTGTCCAGGACGATTGTCTGCTCACATGTTACTCCGGCCAGAATCATATAGAATTACGAATGGTGCCATGTCAAGGACTTGCGAGCCTGAGCCTTCTGCAAATCGTCGGATGCCTCAAAAATTGGAAAATCCGACGAATAGACGACAGGGTGGACTTAGGCCAAGGGAGACAGATGTTGCATCTGCCCCGAACTCTCATAATCTCGCTGTTATGGGTGCCATCAAGCGCATGCCGACCTTGTCCTGGCCAAGACTCACTTGGGGCTTACGGTTTCAAGCTCTGTCGGATGGATTCATGAGGCTCTTCCTTGCCCGCAAGCTAGAAAAGTCTCGAGTCAAGGTCGTTGAAGAGACTGTCCCAGTCTGGCATGTCCATATTCGGGCCGTATTCGACGTATTGTTTCCATATCTCATCGAAATCAGAGAGCACGTTCTGTGGATTGTCATACAACCGTGACTGTGGGTTGGGCGGCCCATTCGAAACGTGCCGGGTGCTGGGCAACTCCTCTTTCGGAGGCTGAGGCATCGCAACCGATTCTGGCCCCGGGGCTTTCTGGACTGTGTCGCCAGGTGGGTTGTGCAGCTTCACCTTGTGCTTGCGTAGGGTGTCCATGAGAGAGTTCAAGGTATCGTGGGCCACATGAGGCTGGGACGGGGACAGGCAGTCTTCCAGCGCCTTACAAGCGTCCCGCACCTCAGCGTTCCTCGCTGCATCGTCGCCCTCGTTCCGGTTGAAGCACAGATCCATGACCAAAACAATGGTTGCCATGAAGATGGGGTAGGCCAATACGCCAGGTCTGATGGTGGCGTTCAAAGTGCTCACGTGCTCCGCATCCAGCAGCCTCTTCAGACCGAGGACGCTCCGCGCGCACTGCAACGAGACGTTTCGAGAATAGTTGTAGTGTCCCTCGGTGGGACGACGGATGAGAAAAGGCTGGTGAAGTTTACACCGCCGAATAAGCCCCATAGTTCCCAGTATATACCTCTGGATTCGCATGTGAGGATGCTTGCGCATGATTGCCTCGCTCTCCAGCCGGCTTTTGTCGTCCGTCTTCAGGAAAATAGGCAGGTTGTCGAAGAAGTCTTCAAATTTGCGGTCCAGTGCAATTACATCCTGGTAATCTATTAGAAAACTGCACAGAGGCATCACATCGACCACACTGCGGCAGATATCGGCAAGCTTGAGCCGCTGAATATAGTATGACATTGTCGTAGGTTCGGACAGCGGTCGGTCTATTGGTGGGTCGTCGTGTACGAGGTCTTCATCTTCGACGTTGCGTGGTAGGTTCACACGCATATGTCGGGGCTGGACTAAATATGTCCCTTCTTGAGGGCCTCCGTTGAGGGATAACAGCCTGTAACCGGATTCAGTGGAGTTCGAGAGGACTGTACTGTAGCAATTTCTCACCAGTCGGTTGCAACAATGTGCCACCAAACGCGCCGTTTGATTTCGGTATGTATCGGGTTAGAAGAATGCGACGGCTGATTGGATGGCATGTCAATCCTGTGGAGGCACAGGTCGCGTGCAACAGCGACGGCCCCTGTGAACAGAAAGCGCACTCTTACAGAGAAACCTTCCATGTGGTAGAGCAAGAAGCCGATGATGATAGATGCCTGAGCGTCCTCCAGGCTTCCCGAAGCCCTCCGACGACACAGATCCAACACTTCGAGAGTGGCATTCGCCCAGATTTTAGATGCTTGGTAGGCTGCAGAGGGTTCAAATCGGTGCTGCAGGCCTCCGCCTCCCGCATTGCCTGCAATGAGCACTGCAGAGCTTGCAAAGATGCTTAGCACAAGTGCGATGTGGCTGTGCACAGCTGGAAGCCCTTGTTCCAGTTGTGAATATACAGAGGCCATCAATGTACGGACATGTGGAATGTAGATTACATGTTGCAAAGCATCGATGTAGGAAGTGTAATGATCCATCAACAAGTCAGCCTCTTCCTTGGGCGGAAGGAAGAAGCATCTTGAATCCTGCTGACCATGAGCAGCCTGGGTTTGCCCGACACCATACGCATCAGGGATCTGACGCGTGGGCGAAATGCGAAAGTCGGGCCCGGCGCCTCCAGAGCTAGGAGAGAACCATGGTTCTTCGCGAGCGCCCATATTCTCCAAGCTCTGCACGGCCTCTTCATACTCGGACGCGGGAGAGAGACATGCCATGGGAGACGGTGTTGGCCGAGACTGCGTAAGCAGGGGAGAGGGCTGTGAGGTCTGGTTGAGGACCGACAACCCATGCTGAAGCTGCGACGGGCCCGGACCCAGAACCATGTCCTCCAGCCTCTTAAGCCGAGTCAGGATGGAATCATGGTTGACATCGACCGAAGCAGGCTGGGCTTGGCCGTTGCCATTGCAGGCCAGACCTCTCGCCGTGCAGTTGGAACAAGGCCGCTGGCGATTGCATTTGAGTTTCTTGGACCGACAAAAATGACACGACACGGGCTCTTGACGAGGCCTCTTCAAAGGGTTGGCCGTATGCGTGTGCGTGTGCGTGTGCGTCTTTTGGCCATTGACAGACATGTTCGCCGATGGGAAAGGATTGCGCCACACTGCGGATGAGCCGTAGCCGGGGCTGGCTGCACAGAATGGCTGTCCACGACCTCGACGATTACGGGCATTCACAGAATGCTTTGATCCGAAGTAAACGTGGCAAGGAGTCCTCGCTCGTAGCACCTGGGACTGTAGTGTAGATACTTTTGATGGTCATTGCCATGGGGAAATCGTATCCGACCCGTGCTCTCAGTCCGGAAAAGCTGCTACGGTGAAGCACTGGCGGGATTCCGTATATGTATGGCAGTACTCCTCCGTATGGCAGTTTCCTGACCTACAAGGTACCAGGTAGTATGTCTCCCGTACTTCTCGCTGCCTTTTATGTGACAATGAAGCCATGACGGTGACGGTCGCAATGTCAAACAAGGCCGCCCAAAGCACTACGATCCTACCTTCGGTATCTAGCAATTCATTCATAGGGATGGCAGTACGGAACTCAGATTATCTTAACTCGATTGCCACCGTGTTCCCATCCGAGTCTGCGGCGTCTCAAGAATCCCCTGCCGCTTCGCAGGATCGACTCTCATTGGACTGGGAGAAGATATCCTAGAAGGAGGGGAAGACAAGCCTCAGGGCCGTTTGTTGAATCCCACCCTTTTGCTGCCTGTTAGCCCTTCCCGCTCGGTCGGGACACTGGACACTGGACATTGATCAGGCGCTCATCGGAATGGATTGCCGGGCCTTGCAAGGGACCCCCGTCCTGCGCTCAACTTGAAGCATTCAGTGGCGACTCGACCCCCATTTCCCAGAAGGAGCAATCGAGTTGCTCGATTGGGCTGTTTTGTAACAAGTTGATGCTCCAGCGCGGGAATTCTGCAGTGTGCATTTCCGCCGAGGTCAGCGGCTCCTCTGTTAAAATGCGCTCCGTACTGATACTACGAGTAGTAGCCAGTCATGTCCCATGTCCGCCCCGTGGCTCTGAACCATCGGGTGGCTTTGTGCAGGAGATGCTGGGAATGAATTGCAGTGTAAGTCAAGGGCACCATTTGCAATAACGCTCAGGTCCTGACCGGCAACTCTGGAGATACGGCAATACACCATGCCTATTACATTCCAGCCCTGAGCCCCCCAAACTCGCTTGAGGTTATTTCCGAACCCGTCTCGCATGCCTGACAAGATTCTCTATCACGCCCTCGAAGGCTTCCTTTTCTTTCCGTAACCCATCCCGCCGTTTCAACCAGTACTCCAATAACTCCGACGTTCTTTCTGTGACGTCCTTGAGCTCTTTGACATGGGCTTGCAGCTCCTCGTCCGTAAAGCCGTCTAGCTTCTCATCTGTCGTCGCGCAAAGACGCTTCACCGCTACAAGGTCAAGCTCGGGAGGTGGGGGAGGGCCCTTGGGTCTTCTAGACCGACCAGGCCGCTCCTTTGCACCAGATTGGGTGCTATCCACCGAACCGGTCGAGTCGTTGGCAGCCTGTGCTTTCAGCCGCGCTACAGAGCCAATTGTCTTGTCGGATTCCGACTTTCGGGACGACGGCTCCAGGTTGATATCTGGTAGGACTAGCTTCTTCTGCTTCGACGGTGGCAAGATTTCGTCGAGATCAACAGGAACACCTAGACTAACTAGGAAAAGACGTCGAATTCTAGATTGCGTCCAGTTGGGCGGTTGCAATGGAGGAGGTGTGATTAGTTGTTTCCATAGGGACTGTGACCTGTCGGATGGAAAGACTGGGGAGGCGTCGGGTATTGGGTCTGGTTGTGGGAGGTGAGATATTTGGTCGGCGGAAGAAGATGGGAACATGGCATCCAGATGAATCTGAGTGGCTTTGAGCTGCTCTTGCAACGACGATAGCTTTTCGAAGTCTATCAGGGTCTACATCCACCCAAGAAGCATTAGCACGCGTCGATGACGGAGACATAATGATCGTAGATTGAAACTCACAAACGGGTCGGCGGGTATGTCATTGTTTGCAATGGTAGATACAGGAGGGCTCTCCGCAGTCCCAGCTTCGGCTTCGGCTTCAGCCTCCTGGAACCCTCCGTCAAAGTCCCCAAAGTCATCATCAGCTCCAGCCTGGGCGCCCTCCTCAAAGTCGTCAAAGTCGTCTCCAAAATCGTGTCCGGCATCAGCGTTCCCGCCATGTTCGTTTTGAGACGCGGGTTCATGTCTTGATTCTGTCACGGATCTGCTGAGTGTTGGTGACCCTGGATCAGGTCAATGGTCCTCCCGACATGCTGTTAGGCGCGAGGTTTACCTGAAGTGTTGTCCTTAATCTCTAAAATGTCCGGGACTGCATCTAGAGTGCGCTTTTCGTACGCTTCGGTTCCCGGAACCTCGCCGTACGCTGGTTTGGAATCGACCCGTGTGATGACCGTCTCTGGAATGGGGGTATTCGATGTGGGTATCTCAGAGTCTACGTCGTCGAGATCATCCTCCTCTTCAACCCGTATTCGGCTCTTCCCTTGTTCAGGGTTTGCGAGGACCAGATCCGGAGCTGTATTCTTCTGTTGTTGTAGATTCGCCTGAGTCCCAGGGATTTCACTGTGGCTTGGAGATTCCGGGTCGACCTCCTCTTCCACAGTACCTCCCGAGCCAGTCGCAGGATTCTGTCCATCGGGGGGAAGTATCTCGACCTGGTCAGGCACTGCATCCCTCGTTCTTTTTTCGTAGGCAGGTGTCCCAGGAACCTCGCCATGGCTTGGGACAGAATCGATCTTCTCTATTCGTGTCTGTGGAATCGGGGACGAAGGGGTGACCGGCCTCGAGGTCCGCCTTCGGCCTTCCGAGGCATCTGAGAAGTACTCTTCTTCACCTTCTGAGGATACTTGACTGAGTTTAGCACTGCTGTGTCTGTGTCAAACAATGTGAGGGTGGGAAAGTCATACAGTCGTGTGCGCCCGGGTCGACCAGTTCGACGCCTTTCCCAGGCGGCTCCAGATGCGAACTGTTTCTCGAGGCCGGCCTCGACATTGTCAAATGGAGGGACACATGTACGGTATTGTCTCGGCAATCTAGATAGATGGCAGAGCTGAGAGATGATGAGCCAAAACAGAGGCGTCTGGAATAGAGGGTTGAGAGTAGGGCGAAGCATGATGCGGAGGTTAGAGTGCCAAGAATGTTTTAGCACAGGCAACTTTACCGAGAGAGCCTCGTCAAGAGACCTCGTCGACCTTGTCGTCGCCTCTTCCTTAGGTATGTAATCTAGGCACCCTCTCGTTAACGCCGCCAAGTATAGTCGATATATAAGAAGCGATGCGATGGAAAGGTTATAAATCCCTCGATTTCAAAGTTGGCTCTCAACGTCCAATTCACTGTTTTGGGAGCAACACTTTACCTTCATTAGGTTCGGCTGGCAAAACCACTCGACGACAGACTATATCCTATTCCACACAGGCAGATAGACTTCTTTAGTCTCGCCTAGTGCAAACGGCTTACAGTATTACCGCGGGGCCCGCAATCTGCACTCTCGACCGGCGTTGGAACGCATGAGATTCATCATTGCACTAGGTGGCACCTTGGCTAATATTGGTGCGAGCTCGTCCGTGTGGTTTTGGCGCTCGGCGTCGTGTTCTCCCGCACCTTATATTCCGACGCCCTGAGGTTCATCATTGCATTGCACCGTGTCTATGATTGATGCGAGCTCGTCCATGTTGTTTTTGCGCTCGGCGTCGTGTTCTCCCGCGCCGTTCATTCCCACTCCCTTTCCGCTGATAGAGCAATACACCGGCGGCCCATCTCATGTCAATATGTCGAGCACGATGAAGAGATGCGCTCGGGTGATTCAAGTGAATAACAGATCCAGCGGGACATGTTGTGCACCCATGCTTATGCTTACGCGCCGATGCGAAAGGTTCGAATTCAATTCCAAATCGAGTGGAGCTTTATGTGTTGCAGACTCGATATAGATATGATATCTATATATCCCCCCAAGCAGAAAATGGACATGAAGTATAAGTACCACCCTAACTGCCGTTGATTTGGTTCCCTGCAACACGAGAGTCGACCCATCAGTAAAAATATAGGACTAGGAGGACGCAAGATATTAGTTATTTTCTACCCAGCGCAAACAGCTCGACAAAGTTCTACACAATGGCGACTTCGACCTTTGGATTTGATACAACCGGCAGGGAAGTTGCCAAAGCTTTCGCAGGCAATGTTGGCGGCAGGACATGTAAGTCTGACGGTCGCATATGATGAAGACACTCTTATTGTCCTGCCATTACTGTACCCATTCTAACATGACGGATTAGTCCTCATTACCGGCCCCAGTGCAGGAGGCGTAGGCGCTGTCACCGCCACCAGCCTTGCCGTCTCCCAACCGGCCCAGCTCATCCTAGCCGGCCGAACACGCTCCAAAATCGAGCCTGTGCTCCAGGAGATCAATGCTATCAATCCGGACATCAGAGTCGACTTCGTCCATCTTGACCTAGGTGATCAGGCCTCCATCCGTTCCGCTGTCGATGCCATCAACAGAATCGCCCCCAAGATCGACGTCCTCATCAACAACGCGGGAATCATGGCCCTCAAAGAGTACCGAACGACTCCTGAGGGCATCGAAGCTCAATTTGGAACTAACCATATCGGGCATTTCCTCCTGACGAAACTCCTACTGCCAAAGATCATCGCTGCCGGCAAGGGAGCCCGTATCGTGAACGTCAGCAGCAACGGGTACCTACTATCTGGCGTCCGCTTCGACGACCACAACTTCAATGGCGGCAACAGCTACAATCCCTGGCTCGCGTACGCGCAGTCCAAGACTGCAAATATCCTCTTCACGTTTGGCCTGGCCGAAAGGCTTAAGGATAGAGGCATCCTCTCGTTCGCTGTCACGCCCGGCCTAGTCCTCGAGACCAAATTACAAGCCGACGTGTCACAAGAACTATTCGCCAAAGGTATAGAGACTTACAAGGAAGTTTACGCCGGCAGAGAGATGCCACCATTGGAGAAACCGAAGCCACTGGCAGCGTCCGCTTCGACAACGCTGGTTGCGGCGCTAGATCCAAGCCTTGAGGGGAAGTCTGGTGCCTATCTTCAGAACTGTCAGACTACGGATGTCGAGCCACATGGGACAGGGGGAGAAAATGCGGATCGGCTGTGGGCGTTGAGCGAGAGACTTGTGGGAGAGAACTTTGAATGTTAGGTTTGACGTGCCGTATACCATCCGAAGGCTCAGGCTCCTGCTCAGGCTCCTTACATTCTACCTAGTCATCATTACAAGCCCTAGTGCTAAACGTTCAGGTAGCCAAAGATTGTACTTTTGGCGATGTAGAATTGGTGCCTAACAAGCACTTTATTGCTAGACTTGCTGCATCTTCTGAGTTCCAAGGCAGTCAGTAGAGGAGGCTTTGAATGTTCTGGAAGATGCAGCCCAGTCTTGTAGTCTTGCATTTTTCAATCATGTACATACTAACTAAGCACTGGTGCGTTCATGCTATCGAAGGTGGAAGGTGGGTGAAAGCGGACATAAAAGCGGCGCAGTCTGGGGTCAGTTGCAGGCAGCGCAGCCCAGTCTCAATCCCATTCCCCAGCGCCACCATTATTCATTGGATGCAACTGCGCTGCGACGACTTTTTGTTCCGCGTCTTGAGTCTTGAAGCGCGTCCACATCAGTCAGTCACGCATTCGCTTTGCACCAGCTACTTCTTTGCAGCTCGCAGCGACAGCGAAAGCGGATTGTTCACATCCCAGCATATCGGCCTTTTCCTTGCTGCAATGCCATCTTGCTGAATTCGGACCCCTTGAACACAAACAACACATCCTTCGCTGGCCTACCGTCACGATGGCATCCTTCAATTTCGGTGCACCCGCGTCTACCAGTGGAGGGGGAGGAGGAGGAGGAGGAGGCAGTCAGTCAATATTTGGCACATCCAATAAACCTGCATCGGGAGGCAGTCTGTTCGGAAATACTGCTGCTGCTGCACCTAGCACTTCAGGTTCAAATACCAATGCCCCATCCTTCAGCTTTGGAGGGTTTAACCAGCCAACGTCGTCAAACTCTCCTTCGCAGTCTTTGTTCGGAGCAGCACAAAACAAGTCCAGCACGCCGAGCCTCTTTGGGCAAGGCAGTGCATCGGGAGGCGGAGGCGGTGCTGCTGCTGCTGGCCTTTTCGGTGCCAAAAAGCCAGAGGCCAATCAAGGCAGTGGTGCTTCACAACCTGGCTTTGGTACACCGGATAAGGCGCCGGTCCCGTCGACAACAACATCGGCAGCACCTTTGTTTGGTTCTACCACGCCTGCAACAAGTGGCGGCAGCAATCTCTTCAGTTTCGGCAACGCTTCAACTACACCCGCTGGACCTCCTCCATCCGGCTCGACTTTTGGTGCGAGCACAGGCGGCGGAGGGCTGTTCGGTGCAAAGCCTGCTGCAGATGCGTCAAAACCCACCACATTGAGCTTTGGCAAACCTGCTGAAACCTCAGCACCCTCATCGAGTGCATCAACAACCGCAGCACCTCTCTTTGACGCAGCCAAACCAGGTTCGGGTTTTAGTTTTGGAGCGCCCTCAAAGCCGGCAGACACTACATCTACCTCTAAGCCCGTAGCAGCTGCCTCCAGCTCTGAACAAAAGCCCCTGTTCTCCTTTGCCGGACCTGCATCGAGTTCAGCCTCGACGCCCGCCGCGTCAGCTCTGCCAGCGCCCCAGCCCACTTCATCGACAGCTCCGTCTCTTTTCAGTGACACCTCTAAACAATCTGCTGGCGGGCCTAGTCTCTTCTCGAAACCTACCACGACTACCGAAGCGTCAGCGCCAACTAAGCCTGCCTTTTCATTCGGACCGTCTTCAACGCAAGCTTCAGCAGCAGAATCTCAAGCAACTCCAGCGCCTGCCCAGAAGCCCATGTTCTCTGGTTTCAACATTGGTGCATCCAGCACTTCTACTACTGCTCCCCCTGCAACTGGTGGAGCTACGGCTGGTACAGCATCTTCTGGTGCTCCCAAAAGTTCCTTTTCATTTGCTCCTGCAGCGACCACCTCAGCTCCTCAACCCACTACGACATCAGCCCCCGCTGCCAGTCCATTTTCGTTTCCCTCTACATCGACAGCGCCGTCGTCACAGCCTGCTACGACCACCTCCTCCACCACAGCAACAGCTGGGACTGCTACTGCTACCACTCCCGTTGGTTTTCCTGGAATTTCGGGCACACAGACGTCTACAGCCGGGCCAGCTCCTCCTGCGCAGTCGCGGCTACGCAACAAGACCATGGATGAGATCCTTACAAGATGGGCGACTGACATGTCACGATATTCCAAAGAGTTCAAGGAACATGCAGAAGTTATCGCACGCTGGGATCAGCTGATCGTGGACAACTCTTCCAAAATCGACAAGCTCTATGTCAAGACGCGCACCTGTGAGAGGCAGACGATGAGTGTCGACATGCAGCTTGCGGCAGTGGAAAACCAACAAGTCGAGTTGGAGAGCTGGCTTACGAAGTACGAAAACGATGTGGAGGAGATGCTGGCAAAGGATAGCACCAACCCAAGTGAACTAGGCGGACCCGATCAGGAGAGGGAGAGAACCTACAAGCTGGCGGAGAAGCTTGGGGAAAGACTAGACGAGATGGAACATGATCTGGAGAGCATGGTTGAGGAGGTCAATGCCGCCAATGCAAGCCTGAACAAGACTGGCAAGGCTGATGAACCGGTAAGCTTTGACGACCATCATTGACATTTGCAGATAAGACTAACCCAGTCTCCAGATCACCCAGATCGTCAAGATTCTGAACTCGCATTTAGTCCAGCTCCAGGCGATCGATCAGGGCACCGTTGCCCTGCAAGAGAAAGTGGCTGCCGCACAGAAGTCGGCGAGCACTTTGGGCTACCTAACGAACTCTGCGGATGGGAACGGCAGTTTGGCGGTCCAGGACTTCTATCGAAGCTACATGGGAAGAAGATAAGGGCATGCATGCATGATAGGAGCGGCACGCAAAACGACCAGGCTGGGTTTGATCGGGCGTAAGCGGCGTCCTGGTCGGGCTAGGGCTATGGCTCAGGAGGCCTCTCAAGATGGCATTGGGGAGCAATCTACTGCGGACCGATCACGGGATCCAAATAAAATGGCAAACTTCAAGGGCAATGAAAGGCAGTTCAGTTTCGCAGCACAGGACACTGGTACCTCATGTAGAATAGGCACGAGACTGGATGGGTAGAGGGAGCAATTCAATCTCGATTCTCGATTTCGACGCGGCCAAGTCTGTACAGTACAGGTACGTAACTAACTACTCCAGTAGGAAGGCACTGAGGGAGTGAGTGGGTGGGTGAGGAAGCAACTCTGTCCTCAGTAGAGAAGAGAGAAGAGAGAGCAGATGTTGATAGGTATTTCCCACGTCGACGGTCGGTGTTTCGCGGCTCAATCAACCATGTGACTCCATTGTCGTGCCTCGACTCTCCCCCACATCAACAATGTGCACCCATGTCCACCCTGTCCAGCATCTGGTTTTTACTGTTCACCCGAGCGCTCGCTTTCCAGATCCTTGATGTGCTGGTCCAGCTCGTCGAGGTGCTTTCGTTGTTGGGCAAGTTTCTCCTTCAACTTTCGGAGACTATTGAACAAGTCACGCAGTCAGTTTTTGTTTTCGTTTCATTTACTCCTGAGGTTCCGTTCTAGTCAAACGGAGTGTGGGGGTTTTTGGTTTTTTTACGATAACTCCGTAGGGTGGGAGGAAAGGAATGGGTTCTCGGGCATCCAGAGATCAGGTACTCGGATTGATCGAGATGGGTAGTGGGTAGTGGGTAGGTTTGTAGGCGATTAGGTATTCAATTGGGTTGGGTAGATAGGTAGGTGATCAGGCAGCTAGGTAGGTAGAGAGGTAGGGAGGTAGATATGCAGATAGGTAGAGATATACCTTTCCATTTCCTTCTCGCGGATGAACTTTGTTTCGCTGGCTTGCTCTCGGCGGGTCCACGAATCCCTAAATGACGAGAGGAAAACACATAGCGTCAGTCTGTGTCTGGTTTTGGTCTGATACGGAAATGACAACAACATTGGATAGATGCAAATGCAGGTGCAAATGCCAGTGTCAACGCAACGCAACGCAAATGATCGATCCGATCAGGAAAGGTCACACATACCCTGCAGCGATGCCGCCAGAGCGGATGCCACCGGTATCGCCCTCGGAGGCTCTGATGGCGGCGACGGAGAAAGACCGCTGGACGGAGGGGGCAGCCCTTGCGAGCTTGACGACGTGGGTTCGTAGCATGTTTGCTGGCTGGCTAGCTGACTAGCTGGCTGATTGAGGGAGGGAGAGAGGGATGAGATCTGGTCAAGCTGAGAGTTTGACGATTGAGATTGCAGAGCAGCAATTCAAAAGGTCAGAGGTCAGAGGTCAGAGGTCAAAGCCAAGTTCGGCCTGCGGGAAAGCTCGCAGAGATGACGAGGTGCACGTGACGCGAGCTAGTGCAGTAGCAGCTTTTGTCAATACGGAGATTACGCACCATGGCCAACTTGATTCAGGTAATAAAGGATAAAAACGAATTGTCTCTAATACAGCACTGCGTTCCCCTGTTTTATGCGGCCCCTTAGCCCCTAACGACTCGCAGCCTGGCATCAGCTGTTGTACGGAGGAGCAGAGAGCCATCTACTCATTAGACGCTAGTACAACACAGCCACAAACCTCACACCTTGGAGCAGCGTGTGCTCAGGTCTCAGAACGGAAATGGCATTTCCAGTGGTCAGTTGTAGTGATGGCACATGGGACAAATGAGATTGCGTCTACCAACAAAGAAGCACGCACATCATTTCACTTCACTTCGTCATAGGCCTCCTAAAGAAGCCATACAGAAGGCAATTAAACCCTCCAATCGAGGATGGGGCTCCAGTTGACGTCCTCCTGAATCATCTTGTTGCGGATGTCAAAGTCCCATCAAATATGATGGCTTGATGATGGCGATGGCGTGGCGTAATAATGAACAAAACGGTCAGCCCCGATCCAGGCTTGAAACAAACGAGACCAGGTTGTCCTTTCTGAGATGCACAGTACGGAGCACATACCACTAATAAGGTATTTTGTCGGAGTTGGTGATGGTATTTGGTATTAGGGAATAGGCGTGAATAAACCAACATTGAAATAGAGGTATTTCGTTGCAGCCGCTAGTCCCGTCAGCATTTTACCTAATCCGGGACAGGCGTGAACTTTCCCGTGATTAGATGCCTACAGAGGAGAAGTCTGCCGCCTTAGGCCCCATCCCATGGCCAGCTCGCCCCCCTACAACTGCCTCCCCCCCCAGTCCAGTCAAGTGAATGTGTGAGGGAATGACAGTCTGGTCTCCCTTGCACCACTAAGTTCCCACCGCCTGCGTCCAGCTGCTGCGCACAACACTCTTCACCTGCGATTCCCATCTCTGCCCTTTTCTACTTGTTGACACACCTTACAATCACCGCCTTCAACCTTGACATCCATCGTCGTTGCTCTCCATCTCCATCACCCGAATCCTCGCCTTCGCCGCTCTCAGTCATCCCTCAATTCCTTTCCGACGGTAAGTCACCCTCCAGATCCAACACCTGTTTATCCCAGGCATTCCTGTACCCCACGTCTCCCTGCAGCCCGCGAGACTCTTCACCCGTCGACTTGCGCTCCCGATCGATCAAGCGTTATCGGCACTGTGGCCTGGATCCTACTCAGACTTTGCGAGCGTTGCCTTCCACCGCGATCTCTGCCTGCACCTCCCTTTTGTCCTCCCAACAGAACACGCCTCTGGTTGACGTCAATCCCACATCAGTGTCCACTTCACCTAATCTCGAATCTGCGCAGCCACAGCTACAATCGCGACGAAGGCGAACGATCTTCTGGACGCTACAGTGCTCGCGGTCTGCTCCTCGAACAATCGTCAGCACTGCCAGTTCCTTGTCATTGGCCGCGTTTTCGTGTTATCGTTGTTCCGACCGATCGCGTGTCTCGGGTGACCGGGCTAATCCATCATTCCAACAGGTCTCTATTCCTCTACACTAGTCCATCGAAACAACCACCAAAATGGGTGTAGAAGAGTCGGTCTATCTGGCAAAGCTTGCCGAGCAAGCCGAGCGCTACGAAGGTACGTTGATTTCTTGTGACGGCGCACACAGCGACTGATGTCGTGTTTAGAAATGGTCGAGAACATGAAGGTTGTTGCCTCTGCGGATCAAGAGCTCTCCGTCGAGGAGCGAAATCTTCTGTCCGTTGCCTACAAAAACGTCATCGGCGCCCGACGTGCCTCCTGGAGAATCGTCACGTCTATCGAGCAAAAGGAAGAGTCGAAGGGCAATGAAGCTCAGGTCAAACTCATCAAGGAATACCGTCAAAAGATCGAGGAGGAGCTCGGCAAGATCTGCGAGGACATCCTTGAGGTTCTCGACCAGCATTTGATTCCTTCGGCTCAATCGGGCGAATCCAAGGTCTTCTATTACAAGATGTAAGATTCCCTCACGTTTGCCTATGCTGTCATGCCAGGTGTTGACCTCCTCAAACAGGAAGGGTGATTACCATCGCTACCTTGCCGAATTTGCTGTCGCAGACAAGAGGAAGGAATCGGCCGACAAGTCCCTGGAGGCTTACAAGTCCGCCACCGAGGTTGCTCAAACCGATCTTGCCCCAACCCACCCCATCCGCCTTGGCCTTGCCCTGAACTTCTCCGTCTTCTACTACGAGATCCTCAACTCGCCCGATCAGGCCTGCCACCTCGCCAAACAGGCTTTCGACGACGCCATTGCTGAACTCGATACTCTCAGCGAAGAGAGCTACAAGGACTCCACGCTGATCATGCAACTGCTGAGAGACAACCTTGTTCGTCACTACCCCTCAGGTTCCTTTAAACAACGCGCTAACATGTTTGCAGACTCTTTGGACCTCTTCCGAGGCCGAGCCACAGGAAGCTGCCGGCACATCAAGTGAAGCACCAAAGGAGGCCGAGACTTCGACTGCAGGTGCTGAGGCAGGCACAGAGAAGGCTGAGTAGGTGTTGGGAGTTGGTCGTCAATCTTGAATGTGTTTATGGCGCCTCCCAGGCTGCTGCAACCAATGGAGGGAGGGAGCATGGGGTTTCAAGAGCCGGGATGCCATGCTGAACACTCAAACAAATTTCTTTCCTTGACCACCTAACCCCTGATATTCCCCTTACGATAGCTCTAGCAGGTGATACAACACATCTGCGTCGGTGCGAGACCGATCAAGGTAGCTTCTCTAGACAAAAGACAGATGCAATAGCAATACGAATTGGGGTCGCATCAGTTTGTGTTTGTGAAGTGTCATCGTCTCTTTAGAAAGTCTATGGCAGTCTCTCTTTGCTTGCCTTGTAGCTTTGATGAGGTCGGTCCTCCGCAGTGTTGTCGCGGTCAGCCTCGGCCTATCATTCAATCCTTTGTGATACCCCTTCCGTCACATCACCTCGCTTTGTCTCCCTTCCCATCCCTTCCCGCTGTCTGTTGGGAAACCCCAATCTGGATGACCCTAGCACCAGTCGCAACCAGACCACAGTCAGTCCAAAGCAGTCGTACTGGCCCTCAAACCCAAGCCACGGGAAGCAATGCTTCAGCACCGGCCAGTTTGTCAGTTGCTCGAGCAGGCTGTGCAGGTCGTCTTCTTGGCTTGTTTCCCTTCCTTCTCCTCCCCCGTCATCCCATCTTCCACCATTCCACTATTCCACCATTCCTAGCGCTTGATATACGCCCATGTTCATCATCATCACTTCTCATTCACAGTAGCAGTGCGCTCGAGACGATTGAAGTCCCAGCAGGTGAGACACAGATCGTAAGCACCGACGGCACCGGTGCGCACCATGTCCTCGCGGGCCATGAGGATGTCAGTGGTGAATTTGAATCTGGTCGGAGGAGGGAGGCGGGCGAGGAAATCGCCGTCGAGGGAAGTGGACGACGAGGAGGAGGACGACGACGATGGTTCGGCTGGAGAGCTGGCAGGTGCGCTGTGGTCCGATCCAGAGGCCTTGGATGGTTTGAGAACAGCGTAGCCGTAGTTGTTGGCCGATATGGGAGCCCATGGCGACCGCGAAGACACGACATCGTTCTTGACCAGGATATCGCCAACGCCGTTTCTGTACTCGCCATTGCATCGCTTGAAATACAGGGCTTTGGCAGGGCGGCTCAACGGAATGCTCTGTTCCAGGCGAGTCATCTCCGCCACGAGCGTCTTTCTCGCGTCAGTCTCAAAGGCCAGCTTCAGATCAATGTGGAGATGGCGATTCTGATGGTGCTTGTGCTTGAGCTTCAGCTTGTTGGCCGTCGTGTTGCTGTCGTGGTCGCCGACGACTGTGGCGCCTGGATCACGTCCATGTCCAGAGCCGCGACCAGACATCAACGACCCAGTAGAAGCACACGGAGACGCAGAGGCAGCAGGAGAGGAGAGGTCAGAGTTCGAGTCAAACTCCCAGTGAGAACGCGAACGGGAACGGGAACGGGAACGGCATTCGAGTTCACGCTCTTGCCGTTGCTGTTTGATGAACTCGTCGATGCAGTCACGGGCATCACGCCCCTGATCGTCTAGAATGGCGTCGACATCTGCAGCCAGCAACGCCTTGATGTGGAGGAGTCGCTGCTTTGCAAACTGGTCCATCATCTGCACCTCCTCGGCAGACTTGACCACCACTTGAGGCTGCTCCGAGTAGTTACATCCTTCAGCATGGGCGTACCGGATGGTTGGGTAGGGAAGCAGCTCACGGGCTACATCAGTACTCGCGCTCTTGTTTCTGAAGTTGAACCTCTTTTTGGGCTCAGGCTTCTCAGACACCACCGAGATCTTGATGTCCTTGCCGAGTTCTTGTCGCGACACTCCCGGTAGAGGCACTGCTGAGTACAACGGGTGCATCATGCGTCGGATCTCGTTAAGCAGGACCTTCTCCGTGTTGTTGTTGTCGTCACACCTGGTTCACTTTGTTAGTATTTGAGTGTGAGATCGGCATGCTAGGCTTCATATGTTTGACGGCTTCTTTGCCAGAATCATTGTTCGAGGGTCAAGTGAAAGGGAAAGCCTGGAGTTCCATGGTTCCTGTCCATCTCACTCTGACGCTGGGCAGAATCCGGTGTTTGAAACAAAAAGATCGACTGGGATACACTCACAGTGTCGCATGTTTCTTGCAGAGATGGAACGTCACAGCAGTCTCACCATCGCAAGTGCGCAACTCGTGAGCACTGATGCAGGCTGGACAGGCTTCGTAGACGTTGGTACCCCAGTCATATGACAACGGTCTCTCAAGCGTGTCGACAAAGACAATGTGGAGGACCATCTTTGCTGCTGTACGATAGTCTGATAGTCTGATAGTCTGATCGTCGAGACTGTGGATGAGAGGGGAGAGGAAGAGGTTGTGGTCAGGAGGCAAAGATGAGCAGGTATATATAGGGATCGAGGAGCCGGAAAAAGCACATGCAAGAAGAGCATATGTGACAGCGTGAAGGGTGATAGATCTCGTAAGGCTCAATTTGTTTTGGTGACATTGTCACTCCAGGTGATCGTTGTCACTCTGGGACCGGCGGCATGTGTGCCAGGAAACGGCTCCGTGCTCTCATCATTCGTAGTCTTACAGTTCTCTTTCTCTTTCCACTCAGTTCATATGCCCTTGCCTGCCCCATTCAACCATCACATATCAAGACTGGACCGTAGTTGAATCAATAGCGAACTGAGGGACATGTCAATCTCCCAATAGGTAACACTTGAACGCCTTCCAAAACCTTCGTTCCACTTCCCTCCTGTCATTGTTCCACTCCTTGAGTATTTTCAAGCAGAACATCACCTTGAAGGGGCTGGGGCTTGGGATAAGCTTGTTCCGGTATAGGAACTACCGGGGATGGCTTCAAACCCGATTCTGACTCTTGTGAACTTTCGAGATCCAGCTAGTTCATCGCCCCGCGCATTCATGTATAACTCCAGTACTTGGCCTGAAATAGATGGATTTGAAGAGCTCGCTGGACCGACAAGACCCTTTTTCTGCCATGATGATACAACCTATGTAGTACATGCGTGTTGGGTCCATCTTTCGATAGAAGATGGGTTGCTCTGGATGGTTCCTCGCTGTTGTCAGGTTCTGATACATCCATAGATCCATCACAGAAATCCTTGACGCATGTGGGCGCCTCACAGTCGGCGCACATATGGAGACCGCTGTGGATCTGAATCTTGGGCTCTCTGATGAACTCGGGATTCTGCTGCCAGTCTCGGAGACTGTGTCTAGGCTATGAGCGCCAACCCTTGGGAAGTGCTCGCCCGTGTCGTATGATGAACCGTGGGCTTTCCGGCCCCTTTTCTTTATATATTTGCGACCCATAGCGATTTATCTGAGCAGGAGAAGCCGCTTATTTGACCGTCGTGTGGAAAACGGAGTCATGTAGAGGTTGAGCTGCGCCACTGAATTTTCATATCAGGTGCACCATATGTGAGGAGCCCGCGAAGCATGGCCAGAAACCAGCCGGCTCCCTTTCAGGCATGTGCTTTCGTTGCGCTTTGCGGGACAGCCTGGTACTTTTCAAGACGTGAAAGTTTCTCGTGGCTAAGGACGTTCCTGACAAGGCTGAACAGCCAAATACCCAAGACCACGAAATCAAGGACGTGGACGGCCCACCATATTTTGACGTTCAATCCACACATCTGAATCTGGTAACTCCACGCCCCGGTGGCGAAGTCGAACCAAACACTCAGAAGTCCTGCGTTCCCTCCATAGTCTCCCATCATGCTTCGCAGGGTGACTTCCCGAACCCCAGTATGGGACCTGCTGTGATTTGCCTGGGTCCAGTGCATGGCGTCCCATGTGGTCCGTTCATCCTCAGTAGGGTTGCTGGAACCAGACCACACTGTTTTGGGCGAGATATGATGCCACACATCGCAGCCTTCGTGGTCATGGCCAGTCAAGATAAGGCCCTGTCTACCTTTGCCTTGGGCTGGGGTATCAATGTTCCCACTCATGCCATACAACGCCTCTAATATGCCCTGGTGGCTAACATGTTCACTCAGATGATTTTGTTCCTTTAAGCCCTTAGGCCTGTAAACACCGCCGCCATCGTCATCACCCCAATAATCGAAGAAAGGAGCATCAACACAGACCCCTGCTCTCTTGTGAAGCGGCAGATGCGTGAGCAGGAGAGTGAAGGAAGATCGGTCCTCCACCGGTCTCAAACGATGAGAAACGAGGTTGTTGAGATAGTCGTAGGTCTCTGCTTGAAGATCCTCGGACAAAGCAGGTGTATCCAAAATCAAGCTGTTCAGGACAACCAAGTGCAGCGATGGATGGTGGCCTGTCGTGTTCGTCGACCCTGTATCGTCTAGTCGAGGATGGCGGAATCTGATGTCCCAGTTGGCCATTCCAAAAACTCGTTCGAATCGGTCCATCCTATGCCTCGATACATCTCCAGCATATCCAATGTCATGATTCCCTGCCACATTTATGATCTTGGTCGCCCAGCTATCATCATTCATGTCGAAAGCCCTCTCTTCCTCTGGCCTTGCCAGCGTGACGAGTTCATCCTCGACCCTGTTGATGTTGGCAAAGACTCTATTCCAAAACCTCCATCCTCGCCATTCGAATTCTCCATCAGTTACCCATTGGCTACCGATCAAGTCTCCGAGTACCGTGACATGGGAAGGTCTCGTCCACCAGTGTAAAGTGCGATAGATGTGACCCAGGTAGTAGTCGTTGCCGAACAGGTCCAATCGCTTCCGCAGCGCCTGGAATGCTTCTGGAATGTCTTGAAGGAAGATTGCCCGTGTTATCTCAATAGCAGTGGGGAAGATGTCTGCGGCATCTTGTGAGCAGAACCTCGACCAGTGCCGCGCGATCTTGGGCAGGAAGCCATCCTCAGGCTTGGGAAGGGAACTATCACCCTCGAGCTGCGGATCGGCGAAGATGAGGAGTCGGAAAGGCACACGCAGGGCGTCGTCAGGCAACGCGTTCGAGAGGTGCGAGAGAGGGATATGTTGTTCAAGAGTCTCGGTGAAGGCAGTCAGCGTCGAGGCACTTCTAGAAGGAAAAGCACATCCATGGAATGCTGGATAAAGGTACAAATATATGGTCAGGCAGAGAGCGGCCGGGACAAGAAGGCGCAGCGACTTGTTTGCAAGTGCAAACATATACATTGAACTATGGAGAGAAAGACAGCCAGGCGCCAGAAAAGGAGTGCAATCGGTCGGTGAGTGCCTGCCAGACAATGTTTATTAAAGAATAGTAAATAGAGCAGATTGAAACGCGGAGAGAAGGGGAGTGAGTGAGTGAGTGCCTGCGCGACTCGGCCCCTTTCATACCGGGAAAACCCCCGCTGTCTGACAGGGCTCGACTGCATGCAACTATTAGCGTTTGGCTGGTCAGACTGGTTCTTATTTTAATTTCCACCCCCCTGAAATCTAAACAAAGATACCTAGGTAGATCTTAATTACAGAGTACGAGTATGTGTGTCAAGTCATGTATTCCAAGATATCATCATGTCTCCGTCTTCTCGTCTGCATCATCTCCTGGGCTGGCTTTCGTTCCACTGGAATCCCCATTCAGCTGGAGATCTATATTGGGCTCGTGAAGCTCCAGTCCTTGTATGTTTAGTCCACTCTCTTGCAGGCTCTTCTCCTCCCCAGGGGTTGGCTTCTCCGCCAGCTCAGCTATCTCCTCGGTTTCTTTGAGCGCAGGCGGCCTTTCCTTCCGTGCCCTTGCTTTAATCAGGCTAATCGTCTTCTGTCGATTGGTGGTCTCAAAGCTCGATAAGTCATGCTCAATGGTCGCTTTCAGGATCTCGCCCATCCATTTTCTTCCCTCAACGATGTTATCGACTTGAAACAGATGGACAGTCGGCTTGGTGAATTGAACGGCTCTGGACGACCCTGCTTTAGGAGGCACAAGCTTAAAGAAGAACGGTCCACCGCCGCTGGAGTTGCGGGACGTATCGTGTGAATTTCCGGTTGCAGACCCTGATGCGCCAGGTGTTGATGTCCCGCCGGCTATAGTCGCTTGGAGTGTCGTAATCGGGTCCGAGCTGGCCCTCAGGACTTTATGCCCAGATATATCAATTATCCCCTTCTCTTCAGTGTCAGTCTCAGAATAGTAATATGACAGCCGTCGCCCTCGAAGAATGAAGAACCGAGGCTTCCACTGAGTCATAATTCCCCCAGACTTTTTCTTCATCCATCCATAGTAGTCGCAGTGCTTCTGTGCTTCGGCGGGAGAAATGGGTAGCAACCCCTTTGTGTAAGCACTTGTTTGGCGCTTAGTCTTCGGATGTGTGCGCACGGTGGTTTTGGTGTGTAAAAGCGGTCCGAGTTGTTCGACGGTGCCCTTCGAAGACGTATCGGTATTGTCGATCTCGAAACTCCGTGATGTCGCGGAGGGTGTCTGAGAACCCGAGGGCGAAGCCAAGGGGCTCTCTTTGAGCGGTTCTGTGGTAATATTGGAGGACTTCGCCGCCTCTTTCTCGCTTCCTGTAATTGCCTCGGATGCTGCTCGGAGACCAAACAACTTTCGAGCTTTTTGAGATGCTGCCCACGGCAGAGACACAACCGCAGCCGGGGACACAGAACCACCGAGCAGCTTCGGAGACGACAAGGCCGACAGGTTGTCATCCTCCAAATTCGTGACTGTTGGAGACGGGGCAACAGGCGACCGTTCTATGGTTAAGTTCCGCGCGCTCGAAGACCGAGCTCGACTTTTGGATGATTGGCTGAGATAGGCCTTCGCCGCTAAGGACATTGTCGCAGATCCTCGGTCTCTAATAGAGTCAGCGCTGCTGAGCCGCGAATGCCGCTTGACGCCTAGGGCAGGTCTGCGGGCCTCCTCGATCATGCTAGACTGACGGGAATGATTAGCATTCTCTCCGCCGCCTTTCTTCCTCAATAGATTTCGGGATTTCCGATTCTCAACCTCATTGCCACTGAAGTAACCCCGGTCGATATCGACGGTAGAGGGCTCTCCATCAAATGGAGAGTCAGCCAATACGCTGATATTCTTGCCGACGTCCACTTTAAGCGAAGGCGTGCTTGCACCAGGATTAGTGGTTGTGGCATTGCTTATTGACCAATCTCTGTCAAGCGATGCGTTTTTCTTGTGAGGGGGCGAGCCAGATGCAAAGGATCCAAAAGACGTCTCCTGGGGTCCGTGTTTCGCATATTCGATCGAGGAGTGGCGCCGCGAGTGGTGCAATTCCCGAACTGACGCAGCTGATGGACGACTGGGACTTTCGGTGGCCATCGATGCTCTCCATGGAGATGGAGGAGTGCTTCCACCAAGCTGAGATCTCGCGAAAGGCGAAGGGGGTAATTGTGAATCGAGAGAAGGTGACGCAGTCCCAGCGTGAACGTATGGGTGAGCATGCTGCGACTGGCGAATAGATAGCCCTGGCTCCTCCATCAAACTAGGAATCCGAGGGAGGATGGTGGCGCCAGATAAAGCACGGGAATGAGCTCGTGCCACATCCTCACTGGAGCTGTTTTGCCTCAAGCTGCTCTTTCTCGAGTCTTTGGAGAACCGAATCTGATTCTGAAAGTCCCGAATCTTGTGCCAGGTCTTTAGTCGGCGACCCATTAATCCGAAATCATACTCTTTCATGTGAATAAAAGACTGGTCCATGTCCAACAAGACGTCTCCTGTTATTTCCTGCTCTTCAAATATATCGCAGTGCTTTGAGTCCACTCCAAGACCTCTCAAGAATTCAGCGGTCTCTTTGGCATCCCATTGCTTCACATCGGCCTCGGTAAGAGGCGAATTCTCTTCACTGTCAGTCTCTGGGCCTGCAACATAGGACGCTCGATCCAGATGACTGCTGTATTCGCTTTCAGAATCTTCCGTCGGGAATCGGGGAGGGGCGAGACTTTGTCGCGGCGTGCTCAGGTCTGTAATGTGTTCGTCTATAACGCTCAATGTTTCATTCATGACAGGACTGTCCTCTCCGCTAGTCGTGCCTGATAGAGCCTGGCCAATACTGCGCTGTATAGAGGGAAGATATGACATTGATGAAGACGGTACTGGGGCTTTGGAGACGAGCGAGCGACGAGTGCTCGACTGGTCTTCTGGTATGGTCCGTTCAGATGGTTCAGCCTTTGTACCGTTGGATAGCCTTTGTGCAAGCTGGCTGGGTACCAGGTTCGAGGCGCCCACAGGAGTGAAGTTCGGAGGGAGCTTCGCAGTGTAGACTGGTAACAGGTCAGCCATCACGAGACTTATTGACGGTGAAGCATCTTACCTCCAGGGAACAGCCCTGTGGTACCCTGGCCGAGATGCCGTCCTAAATACCAGCCATCTCCAAAACCCTCATCCAGTTCAACTAACTCAACCTGGTCGGATTTTCGGAGGGTTAATTCATCCGGACTTCGGGCATCGAAATCATCTGGTTCCCTTCTTGTCAGCGCGTCTCTGAAAGCTGCAGGCAAGGCAGCGCGACATACGAATGACCACTAATATATCGCCAGGCTGGAGTGCGCCGCGCTGGCGCTGCTGGACAGTATATGACATGGTGATTTGTGAAGCAACCTCAGACAATTTTCACGTGCAACACCTCCGAGGCCGTGAAGCAGGTCTGGTCATGAATGTTCTAGCCGGATTGAACCGTAGAAGAAAGATCGGCTGGGAGAGTGGTGGCAAGAGGCCGCATGATAGAGTCGTCCCGTACAGATTGATCGCGGAGGTGCAAGGTCTGTTCAATTTCTGTCGGTGAGGAGGGTCGCACGACGTGGGTGTAATAGGAAGTAGTTGAGGTTGCGCGGGCCGATCTGGTTTCTCACTGCTGTGCAGGTGGTCGCGCGAATCATTCGACAAAAGACTAGGATGGTGACATGTCAGAAGCAGATGGCCGACAGGACCTTCTGACAGGGGTACAGAAGAACTTAATAAAGAGAGGGTGCTTGGAAGGGAAACAACATGCCCTGTCAGAATTGGGTGAGTGGTGTCAATGAGATAGACATATGTATGTTGGCGGATTCTCAGTACTGGAGTGCCATTATTCTTGATGGGCTGCACATGCCCAGCACTGTGCAGTGGGTTGCACTCGGGGCCGAGGAAGCCTAAGAACTTACTGTATCCGTACTGTAGGTCCCTAAGTCCTAGAGGCCCCCTTAGGCCTTGGGAGCCTGCGTCGCATGGTAGACACTAATAATAATAGTGTGTACTTTAGGTACGGAGCACCTAAGTACGGATACATAGGAGCCACTACTAGGTGACTACTACATAGTAGTACGGATAGTCTTCCAGAGATGGGACTCAGGGACCCAGCTGCCCTGAGTCTGAGCGTTTCTCCGCAAATCCCTCACTCCACTGTTCCTGCTAGTTCTTGTGAATATCAATATCATGAACTCTGAGGGTGGTAACTCTTTCTCCAGTCTCGTACCATGCGATAATAGCCACATTTGTTAAATATGGCGGTCGTTGGTCCACCATGTTGATATACACAGAGTTGTGAATCTAAGAGACCAGGTTCACCTCCATTGCCTGGCAACGGCTAAGGTCGCGGTGTCGCACCTCGCCAGATGATCAAGCCACAATGCTACCTCACCGCATCAAAGGTTGTTCTCTTGCTTGCAGAAAGCATATCCCCTTGTTATTCGCTTATAGGGCCTTCCTCCAAGACAACAGTATCATCCTATTGTCGTCTGCTACTTAAAGCCCCTTCTCGCTTCCTCTGTATGTCTCTCTTCACGTCACCACCAGGCTTTACTCGATCATACAAAGCATGCAAGGCGCTGGCCATAACCGCGCGACCAGCCATCCCACTCTTCGTGACGTCGCCGCTGTCCAATCCACCAACAACACCAGTCAATATTTCATTGGCGCCCCTCAGCGGTCATGGATGAGCAGCTCGTCCAAAAATGTGCCTTCCTCTAGAATTCCACATCCCGTCGCCAGAGCCGCGAAGAGCAATAGAACATTTGAAAGACATCAACTGCCAGAGACCCAGCACCATCCAGTGGCTGAAGTTCCATCAGGTGAACATGCAGGAGCACACTCTACCCCTCTTTCAGCCTCCTCTGAGACGACGCAACCCTCATCCGGTGGTGGCACAATTCAAAGAGAAGAACAGCAGACACAAGCAAGAGAAGGCCGGCATGTTCCGGGAGATGTAAGTGAACAGACTGGTTCATGTCCTCGGAACTTGTATACGAATGCGAGTCGGTGTGCTCGTCCTGAAGCACAATCATTACCGCAAACAACTCATTTTTCTTCACCACTGAGCAACATGCAAGTTATTCAGCCATTGAGCTTTGCAGTAGCATTTGATGGACAGGAAGGCAATCTTGCACAAGACTCAAATGCACAGGGGTTATCACAGTCTCCGCCTGCTGCCAATGCGAATACTCTTCCCTCACCTAGCCAGACTCTTCAGGTGACCAGGAAGCGCTTGTCTGACACCAGCTTAACCTCCGAGCGAAGAGTACGAATGTCTAGCGACTGTACAGCAGGATATATTCAGCTGCCCACCCCTCATGAGTCCCCCACGGCTCAAACAACGACAATTCTGACCAGGTTGCTAGATTCAACTCTAGGAACGCTCAGTTGCCCTCTGACTGTACCATACCCACCAACTATGGATGGCTGTAGGGCCTCAATGCTACGCGACGCTTGCCAGAAAAACGATTTCTTCTATATCCTTGCACATTCGATCTACTGTACATGGTCGGCCTGCCAGCTTGCAGCGTTATCGAATCTTAACCTGACACAGGGGCAATTTCAAGGGATACAGCAACTGCAGACAATCCTGGGGTCGAACCATTGTCTTTCTCCGGAAGTGTACGCATTCTTTCTCAACTTCCCCAACCAGGCACAGCCCTACATAGATGGGATCTTATTCAATACGGGAACAGCGAGCCTCTTTGAGTCTGTCAAGGACTTCCTGCACTGCATGGTCACGGAATATGAGGGCGTCAAAAACATTTCAATTCAGAGACGGTCCCCGCCGTGTCCTCTTGAATTGCGGCTGAAGCTGCGCCTTCCGTCACCAGTGCTCCAAAAAGCCATATTTCGCAGCATTCTCCGCCTCCTGTCAACGGACGAAATATGGATACACAGGGCCACGGCACTCTTTGAACAGGCTATGATGGACCCTGCCAATGATGCTCAGCTGATGCCACAGCTCAATGTGGTCTACCCCCAGTTCTGCGCCATATCGACTCTAGCCTTTCACCGGACATATCTTGCAGCTCACTCTCAATACATCGCCGCTCAGATGACTTCGCAGGCAGCTCAGCATACTGAGAGAATGTTTCACAACCAGTACCAAGATAACACAGGTAGAAATCACCAAGATTGGATGTCCTCAGCCTTGGAAGTTTCGACTCCTTGTACAGCGGCAGGCTGGATAGGAGACAATCCGGCATGTTCGAACTCATTAACGGCACCAGGGCAGGCACACCTATTTCGCAGCCAACCACAACAACCACAGATGAATTTGCGGACCAGCGATGGTGGTCCACTATGTCAAGAGCCCCCAGCTCAGCCTGCATTCGCATCCGGGCCAGTAGGCCAGCCGCCACCACAATTAGTAGGGTCGAATCCAGCCTTGCGGACCTCCCGCGTCGGTCGACCTCCTGCTCCCAAACGGAGGATGCCAGCACGTTCCCGGGCCGTTCCCTATCCTGCTCCTCTTCCGGTTTCAACTCAGCACCGTCCAGTTGTCAATCAAGCACCGTCAACACCGAGTCAGCGCGGACGGAGTCTTGGGCATGCTCCAACACCCACAACAGTGCAGTCTGTGTCACCACAAGTGGCCCCCTCTCCACGCACCCACCAGGCGCCGCAGTCAGCCTCTCAGGCTCTCCTCCCTCCCTTCAATTTTGTTTTACCGGTACTAGCCCGTCCGGATCCTGACAGACGAGCCCTGCACCAAGCGCATCTCCGCAGCCCCAAGTACAACAAGGTCGACAAGGTTCAAGGCAACTCCGAGGTCAAGTATTACCAGTACGTTGAAGACATCATTCATTTGCCCGAAGTCCTCAGTGCAGACCATGATTTAGTGCGTTGGGATGTGCAAATTCCACACCAGTACTGGGCTAGGAAGGCAGAAACTTTAAGCACGACAGGCGAATTCCTGACCAAACGCCGCAACCTCTGGAATGGCTGTGTACAGTTCAGACTGAAATGCATATCACTTGATGGAAATGACCTGAAAACAAGTCCGAAACCTCCAGGGTTCTGCGGTCGCAGCACGAAATGGCCGAGATGTCTTTCAGTCTCCATCAATGGCGACATGGGAGTTGACTTTCGCCGGAAGGCTCATTACGGTGTAGATCTACCAGCAGACGTGACCGATCTGCTGAAGGAAGGAAATAATCAGGTGATGGTCGGCATCAGTCCAACTCCTGCAGAGATGCAGGCGGTCTATCTGATGGCGATTGAAATTATCTGTGTCTCCGATTACAACACAATTTTACAGATCCCGGGTCGCATTTTGGCGAAAGAGGCGATGTCGAGTATCGTGACGGCGCTGAAGAACCAAGAAAGTGGTAAAGACGACAGCGACGATGATGTTGTTATAGCACAATCTGCCTTGAGCATTGACCTTGTGGATCCTTTCACGTCAGTCATATGGGTGACACCGGTGCGCGGCAAAGACTGTCAGCATCGCGAGTGTTTTGATCTAAAATCCTTCCTGCAGAGTCGCACAAGCCGTGACAAAAAAAGTGGCGTAACAGATCCTGACCAATGGAAGTGTCCAATCTGCAAGCGAGACGCTCGGCCTCAGCTGTTGGTTATTGATGAATTCCTGCTCGAGGTACGCAAGACACTGGAGCAGCGCAACCAACTGGAGGAGGCCAGGGCGATTTTGGTCAAGGAGGACGGCTCCTGGGAAGTCAAGCTAGATCCAGCCGTTTCTGCCTCAAGATCCTCGGCGCAGGCAACAGCTGCTGCGACGCCGGCACCTGCACCCATCCCCATACCAGATAAATCCCGAGACATCAAGTCTGCAGAAGCCGCCGTTACAGCAAGTGCAGCAAAACCAACAGATCCGACAGCAATCGTCATTCTCGACGATGATGACAACTAATGCCTGATGATGATCAGTTTTCTTGTTTTTTTGAGCTCCAAGATGAGCACGCGAAAGATACCCATACCCGTACACGTTGCCTTGAAATTGTTCGTGTGGAAGGCGATTTCGAAGAGCCAGTCAGTCACAGTCACTGACATGATTGTTTGTGTGGTGCATTTTGGGAAGGCTGGTTAGCCACAGTCACGATCGCTGGAATGGTTGTTTACGAATGGTGAGCTGGATGAAAAGACCTGGAGGTTTGATGGTCTGGTCTAGGACGGGAATACCTTTGGGTATTTGTGCCGACAGATAGGATTGGGCTGGATTGGACCGCCTATTTATATTGTTACCGTACTCAAAGGCGTGCAGACCTAGGAATGCAATGATAGGGACAGAGGCTGCGTCCTGGATACCACTCCCGACATAAGGTAGGTAGCTACGATGGTCAATCAACCTTGGCCGGCTACCTACGTAGTCCTAAATAAGTGGCCCGCTAGAGGCCAGGTTCAGTTCAGTACACTCGGTTCTTGCTGGAAGGCTAGAAGGCTGGAAGGAGGCCTTTTACATTGTCTTTTTCCGTTTCCCCTTGAAACAATCACTTGGAGCTCACGATGTCTACATTGTGCCGGGCCATTAATACATGTAGCTTTGACTCTGATCAATCGAAGGCAAGGCACATGATGTCCTTCTATGGCCGAGGAAAGACGAAAGACAAAAGACGAAAGAAAGGGACATTGCGCCAGCGTGACAACCTTGAAGCTGAGGTTTATGTACCTTTACCTTTTGTTCTCCGTACGAAATATCTGTACTCCGTACCGGAAATAAATCGTTGCACTGCCATCCACGTCTATTAGTAGGTACTAGGTAGTATGGGAACGACGAGGCTAAGCTAGAAAGGGTGCAGGTGATTGATCAGTACCTTACTGTAATTTACGTAGGTCTATAAGACCTTAGTACCTGAGGTACCTACCTTAGCGTGTGAACTAGGGTTGTTAGAACCGTACTAGTACGGTGTAGACACGGTTTATAGGCGTATACACGTATAAATACGTAGCGTTAGTAAACAGATAGTTCCTAGTTAGACGAACGGTATCGATACGGTTCCTATAAGGGTTCGAAAATTAAAAAAAGAATAACTTTTCTCCTTTTTTATTCCTTTTCTGTTTTTTTTTTGGAAATCTATTTAGAGACTGAGACTTTACTATTATAACTAACTACTTTACTAACTAGACTATAAGAACGACTAAATCTAGAGAAAAATCTTAAGAGAAATATTTAAACTTCCTTATTAAAGCCTTTCGATACGTTTCGGATCTCGCGATACGTTTCGTACTTCGCGATACGTGTCGCCTATATAACACGTTTCGACGATATTTACCGTATATATACGGTTATCTAAATATATTATCGTACTTAGACCGTTTCTACGATAGCCACCGTATATATACGGTTCTTAGATCCTACGAATGCACGCTATGGTACCTACCTCCTAAAGTAAGGCAGGATTAGGTGACTGCCATCCCCATCAGGTATTACTTACTGTACTCCGTACGTACTTGTGTACAGTACACAGTAATTCAGGTACCGCTCCTCTAGAAATGCAAAGAGTAGGTACGCATACCCTCCCCTCTACCTTTCCACATCTCATCGTCTGTTCCTGGCACAACTGCTTTTTGGATGGCTTGTTTACTGTAGACTCAGACTTATTGCAGAGCAAATTTGATGCACACTTTTTTTTCGAATTGCTATATATTACGGTACCTTTCCTTTCCAAACCCCACTCGCGACCAATCTCGGCGTTGGGACCAGCCCAGCCTGTATTACGATTCTCCCATATACGACCTAAATTAGCAACCGTTCACAAAGATCTGTTCCTCCGACCCCTGGCTTCGTCTACACGGTATTCTACCTTCAGCGCGAGACTCCTTTCGCATGGCGCAGGAAACTCTGGAGTTGCTCCGTCTTGGCTCTATTTCCCGGCCGGGTGGCTTCGGCTTCGAGACGTCGTAGGCGGCTGCGTGTCATAGGTCCAGTCTCGGTGGCTTCGGCCTGCAGTTGCCTCAAGCGGCTGCGCGTCATTGGCCCTTGCATTGAAAGTGCTGGCTGCTGTCGGGCTTGAAGTGTCGGGCTTGTCTGTCTACCAGTGCGACGCCTGGAATTGGACTCTTGCACATTTCCACGTCTGCTGCCGGTCGCTCTACTGCCAGTGTTGGTGTTAGACCTACCGTGAGCGCGATTGGGCTGGTTTGCTGGTAATTTGAATCTCAACTTGATCCCAGTCTTGCGAACCTGTGGGGGGTTTAGAGTCAGTCTGAGCCTCGCGGCGGTGGCTAGCGTTCTGAGACGAAGTTTCAACGGCGGCTGCGTGCCAGCGTCAGATTCTGTATTTGTAGCTTTGGGGAATCTCAGCATGATCTTCTGTCGTTTGTTCACTGGGCTCGAAACAGACGAGCTCGAAACAGACGTGCTTCTGGCTCGCTTGCCTGAGCTCGTGACGCTATTTCCTGTCAGCGACTCGTGCTCCCATCCTGTAGGCGACGCTGGCTCCCATGCTGGTGGTGATGCTGGTGGCGGTTGCCATCCTGGATATGCGCCTTGTAAATTGTCGGATTCATTGCTTGGTTCTCCAACTTCTACTGAAGGGTCCAACATACCCGGCTCCACAGAAGGGTATCTGATGTTGAACTCAGAGATCAAATCGTCCAGTTGTTCGTCAAAGTCATCTGGTATGGATGGCTGAGGTCTGGGTGGCTGAGGTCTGGGTAGGCGAGGGAGCTGGAGCTGGTCGACCGGGGGATCATCCGGGGTTTGCAGAGGACGCACGGGGCGGCCATCGGTAGACACCCAGTGTACTGGATCTAACTCGGTATTCAGAAGTCCGACTCGAGGATGAGTATACTCCGTTGTGTCTCTAGGACTGAGCGGAGGAGGTTCAAGCGGAACTGGGCGGGGGGCCGGATTCCAGTCAATCTCTCGAAATCTCGGGTTCGACCAAGGAGTTTGTGGGACATTGTAGACAAAGTCGTCCTGCGTCTGGTTAGCACCCTCGAACTGATTGTGCTCTGGTGCCGCCGGGTCATAGGCTCCAGGAATTTCTTCCTCCTCGGCCAGCCGAGCCTCGTGCCTGGCGCACATGCCGTGAATATAGCGGAACTCTGTGGTGGGGATGCAGGTGCTGAGAAGGCCGAGATTGCTATAGCCCGTCTCCCAAGGGGGGCCCCCTCGAGCAGCGGCTGCTTCGCAGACCTCGACAGTGACAGGGTCGATAAAGCCATCACACGGACGGTTTTCATCACGGCAATCAATAAAAAGGTACTGGATTCTTCTGCACATCTTGTTCAGTCAACCAACAGGGTCAGATCTTCAAGGAGGTCACCAGGCCAGTCTCGCGAGTACTACCGTTGATATAGGGTGTGCATGGTGCAAAGGTCTGGGTCCTGTGTCGGACGGGCCAGCCAAATATAACTTGCTGCCGTCTTTATTCTGTACATCCTGGTGGGCTTTGTTACAAACCACTGTAAGCATTTGAAAGGGCATTATCAATCCAACAATCAATGTATAATGATGCAGCTCAGGTTGATCCCATATAGAGCTAAAGCAGGAACTTCGACAAAGAACGAGGATCTGGGGTTGAAAGGATCTCATTGTTGGTGACGGCTGTCAGAGTTTGATTGTTGGCGGCCCACCTGGAGTAGGGATTGCAATCTTGTCCGAGCTGGACAATATGAGGAAAACAAAGCGTCTGGGGGTGCTATGGAGAAACAATGAAGGCTGATGAGTGTGGGAGGGATTGGAAGGTTGGAGGGTTCTCTGATAATGGGTGACTTGGGCGCAGTTTCAGTATCATGTGTACGGACTGTACAGCATATGTAGGTACTATCGGTAGGTAGGTAATTATGTAATTACTGTACTACTCTGTACTGCACAACCGGGTCCGGCAACCTCGGTCTAACAGATGGCCCAAAGCCTTGCATAATCCTTCATCATCCCGTGGCTTAGGCGTCCTTACACCAACCTGTAGGGAGCCAGCTGTGCCTGGGGAATGGACCTAAGGACATGGTTTAGGCAGCCTCGGGCGCCCCCCTGGTCCTTTAGGTCCTTTAGGTCCATTAGGCGACATGGATCTCGGCTTCCTCGGCTTCTGGCAGCGTTCGGGAAGAATTGTGGGCTGTGCGGCCTCCTAAGCCTGCAGCTCAGCTGCCAGTGTCAGACAACAGGCTGGGCTTAGGCTCCCCAATGTTCCGAGTGCCCAGTTGAGGAAAAGGTAAACATCAAATTATTACTGCCAGTAGTGGACGCAACCCTCCCTGTTTCCATCTGGTCTCTCTCATTCATCGTACCTGCGTGATCCTTCACCTTCAACTTGTCCATAGACAACCTTCACCGCTTCTGCTTCATCCGTCTCTTGATTCTTTCTCACATTCCTTTGCTCGTAGAGCTCCATATTGCATCATTCCTCGCTGAGCGAGGTCTGGAATGTCAGGCCAATTTCCACGCCCATGAACCATTCGTTCACTCCTCTGTACGCCGCTACGCCACCAGCTCGCATCACCAATGGTATGCCTTGCCCGATCCGAACCATACAGTCGGCGAGGGAGATCCAGGACAACATAATTCCTGAGCACTACGATGGATGACGCTCATGCGCATCCTCTCTCACCTGCCAACACCAGCCATACGCGTTCGAGATCGAATACCGTCCTAAATCTACGAGACCAACCGCCCAATCCCGCTCTTACCACGCCAAAATCCCTTCCCCATAGTCGTCAGCAGAGGCTGCTACACACTCGCCATTCAAGGTTTCCCGCCCAGAGGCTTTCTGTTAATGGCATGACTGTTCCGTTTCCCCATTTCATTCGGTCCACCGACAACGATACTTCCTACTTTCCCGGACCTCGGTTGACGAAGCGTGAAGAGGATGGCCTGGATTCAGATAATACTCCTGACTTGATGAGCACGTCGCCTCGGTCAAGTATTCTCAACGAAATCACAAATTCGGGCGCCTATCGTGTCCGTGCTATGCACAAAAGAGCTCCTATACCAGTGTTCCAAGACTCTCCGAAGCGATTCGCGACAATAGCAGGAACAAATTCACCCTCGGTTTATCACGACGCATCCAGCGACGTCCAGTCGCCTTCGGTTACTGATTCATTAAGAGGCTCCTCTGGCAGCATGGGTCTCAAAGAAGTTTCTATAAACGTGCTTCGGCCATCACCTAACAGAGACTCTCCACACTACCGCTCAGTGCGAGCTGGGTCTCGGCGAATATCATCGCAGAGCAAACCTCGATTCAATTCGGAAGAGTACATTGAGCATATCGAGAATGAACTACAACAGGTCAAGGATGCAATGTACTCTCCCACAACTAACGTTCACTGGAAAGAGAAGCTTAGAAAAGCAAAGGACGAGAACGAGAGGCTCAAGAAGGAGATGGAAATGCTGAAATCGTCGTTCGAGCTTGAAATGCATCAAACTGTCGAGCGGTCCACAGGAATCGAGCAGCGATTGAAGCGAAGGATTAAGGATCTGGAGGACGAAGTGGAGCACAAACAAACTGTGATTTTAGACTTGGAACACGACCGCAAGGAAACGGGGCTCGACCAGAATACACTGGAAGTGTTGAAGGCAAAGCTAGAAAGGTTGGAAGAAGAAAAGTCCAGCCTGGAGACCACAAACCGGGATATGATGAAGCGCAATGAGGTCTTGACTCAACTCCTGGCCCTTTCGCCCACAAAGACGCAGCATAACTTCGAATATCCTACTCCACGACGCCGCAGTGCGCGACCCATGTCTATGATCATTCCGAGATTGCCCTCCTCGCCCGGAGCACAGACACCACTGAATCGGCCTCAATCGGTCCTCATCTCGCCCGCACTTCCTGCATCCGACTACTTCCCAACGAGTGTTGCATCATCCCCGCTGGCATCCAGCCCGCGCGGCATGGTCAACAACTATCCGACAGCTGCTGACGATGTCCAGTCAATTGACTCCGGGATGGAGGATTCGTCTTCTCAGCATACAGAGGGAACACGCTCCAGAAGATCGACCCTGGCTTCTTGTGCTACGAATAGTCCTCCAATGCCCCCCACTGGTCATCCTCAGCTGGAGGTCAGACCACAGATGCCTATGAGACAGCCTTCCAAAAGAAGACCTAGAAAGTTCATGCCAGGCTCCACCCAGTTAAAACCACTTCTGTTGGCAACTTTTACAGCTGAGAACGGCAATCTGCCTTCGACCTCGCCTGTCACTTCGCCGAATCGACCAACCTCCATTATTGCTGACTACGGTCTACCCTATACGCCACAATGGGAATCTCCTCCTATCCCACCAAGAAGGATGGAGAGTCTCGTTGAGTCGCAATCCTTAGAACCATCTCACGACACTAGCGACCAAGCCACCCATGCTTACCAGAGCCTTGACGAAGTGTTCACAAAGGATCGAGGTTCGTACTGTCACGAAGCTCTCAACGCGCTATCAAACGGGCGGTCGGACCACAGCCATCCCCAGAGTCCCTCGCTGCAGTACTATACATCAAACCAACCTTCTCATATTGATGGAGCTACGGAAGTCCTCAATGACGCAGAACGCCTTCCATTACTTGGCTCTTGGGGCCTCGGAATCAAGCCTGCTTCACCGGGAGATGTCCATGCCCAGTATCTGTACGATGAGAATGGCAACACACGCGACCTGAACGACGAGCCCAGTGACGTCCGACTTACGCAATTGGTTCCGGGGCTAGGAACCAACCGGACTACACCACAGCCCGAAAATAGTCTCGGGACACCAGAGGAATATGTGGATATTCCAAGGCCACTGTTTTCAAAAGACATTGCGCTTGATCGAGGCGCAACTCAGCCATCCCTGCATTCTGCAGATGACCCGTCTCCGCTGAATCCACGCAAACGTCGTAAAGCAAGCTCGACTTTTGGCAGCTCAGAACAGGAGAAGGAGTTGAGCGTCAGTGATGTGCTTCCAAGTGAGGCCATTCCTCGTCCGACGTTGACTCCAAGTTCCATCATCAAGCGGAGCGCAGAAGCCGCCTCGCCCCAACCAGCAACTTCGCCTTCCAGGAGGCAAGGTGCCACGAGAAGTCGCAGCCCACTGGAAATACTCCAACAACGCAATGTAGGGGCAAGACCGCTTGCTACATTAACCATTCAAACGGTCTATGCGACGTTGTCCAGGTATACTTCCTACATACGAAGGTTCAAGCAGGATCCGCTCGCCCTGGCACGGCGCGTCATAGCCAACGCATGGCGATCGAATTGGGCACGGCTTGGAAAATTGAGTTGGTGGGTTCTTGGACTATTCATTGGCCATCGACGTCCTAGTACTGGGCAACGTGCCTGGGATTGGGAGATATACGACGGTGAAAGCATTGCTGACCGGCACTGTGGGTTCGAGCATGGTGAAGTCTCACCCGACGAGTGTGCTATTCCGTCTGCAGGGAAGGCTACGAAGCCAGCGGATGACCACGTTGGCGATCCAACCCAAACAGACGCAGTATCGCCGGATACGTGGGTGCCACCGGACAAAGATCCCAAGCCAGGTTGGGGTAAGTCCCTGTTTCTCTGGGGCAAGTTCAGTGTTGCAATCATGCTTGCAGTGGGTGGCGCAATTGTTAAAGGCCCGGCCGAAATGCTGCGCGACACTGAAGAGCGAAGGCGATCTCGCAGCAGCAGCCTTGTTGGAAACAACGCCGACGAACAAATTAGCGCAGTACGACAAGGCGGTGGACTGCACCGCGAAAGCAGACAAGTTCTTTGCTCGGGCGCCAGCCATTCTCCAGAAAAGATCATGGCACTAGGGACAACTCGCAAAGCTCGGAGCTTTAGCTCTCCAACACCACCAGCGCCGCATTACCAGCTTCAGTCTTTTATTTCCAGCGAGGACCTATCTGCCACTGAATCAAACACAGAAGATGCGAACGTTGTACCAATTGAATGTGCTATGGAAGCTGACGATTCCACACCATCAGTCAACGAGACGCTCAAGCCGACTAGGACCGAACGTGGTGGACTTGAGTTTCTATTCGAGTTACCGTGCAGCGAAGTCCCAAACCGTGGATCCGCTGAAGAGTCGCTAGCTATTGTTGATGTTTCGATGGATTGTGAAAACGGCTAATGTTCAACACCGACTGGACAGACGACGATTGCGATTCGGTCAAGCTCCTTTCTATTAAGGGGGACAGCATCCGACCATAATGGAGTTGTATGATTAATGAATTGACGAATGATACCATCACACTGCGCTCCATGTTTTATGACAGAAAGGGAGGAACGACGATAGGGCACATGAATGTCCACGGCATGATACAGTATTGCACAGATCATTACGAGGATACACCAAATCCGTGAACAGCAGCAGCCAGCCACTTGGGCATGTTTGTATACCTGGTGACCGACGATTGAGGTACAGAGATTAGGAATAGTAATGATAATGAATCTCCCATGCGGGAAGAACTTGAGTCTTGTGTGAAGTTCTGAGTAAACCTCCTAGTCGGCGCCAGCATTGGGAGAGACTCCTTTACATCCATCCATCCATAGAGCGGAGTCCATGGCCGAAGGTTCCGTAGAGATTGGGGGGTTTCAGCCGTACTCATCTGTCCAGTCCAGTCATCATGGTCGAATACATCGAAAATCCGCCCATGTTCTGCAATTGGCAACTTGACATGTCCTTAAGGCCCTTCGTAGGGTTCGTTTACAGCATACCAGCCAGCATCGATCTGGGCATTCCCATCTCAAACAGAAGAAGGCCCAGCCCGACAAAAATACTGAGCATCAGTCCAAGTGGGCCACGAGTGTGTGGTTGGACGCAGTGACTCCTTGTTTTTCATGTGTCTTCATCCCATCATAGCTCAGGATCCCATCGGCTCGGCAGAAAAATCGGTGCTGAGAGCTCAGGATAATCTCCAAAATAGGTACGGAGGACCTATATGTGGTTGTGGTGGACGTTCCTCTTCTGATCATGAATCCCTCCGCTAGCTGTTACGGAGACGAAAGGCTAGGCCGCAGTCTTGTTTCAGATTAGACTCGTTTTGGATCAGTAGCTGGGGGAGAGACGGCGGCTTGTGAGAAAGCGGATGGATCAAACACTCTCAGAGGGGAAGGGGGGATGATCAAACGCTCCTAGATGGAAAAAAGAAGGATGGGATCGGGTGAGAACAAAAGTCCCTTTGCCATTCTAAAGCTGGGACATTCCGGACTCGTTGGAGATTGGTCAATCAATCATCGCAAGGGAGAGCTGAGAGTAGGGGTGCCCTTCTTTTCTCCTCCGCATCCTACTAGAAACGTTCCCTCGGAGCCATTTCAGAAAGCCCCCCTTATCCGGTAGGGAGCCCCGGCTCAGGCCTGGTGTGATGGAACCCCTTCAGCCGTGACTGAGTCAGGCGCTAGACCACAGGTATCTCAATACTCACACTCGGGGGTTCGAAGCGCAGAACAGAATGCAGGCCGGCGGGTGGTTCAGGCTCGATGGTGCTTCGTGCTGCATGCATGGGACGGGCCTTGTTTGTGTTCTGTGTTCTGTGGTCATGCCTTGTCCTTCTCGTCAGGGAGAGGGTCCTTGAGTTTTCCTTGAGCTCGCAGTTTCCGCTTCTCCCCGACATCCCAGTTGTGGACCCTAGCAATGGCCACCTCGAGGGTGGTGATCTGGATCCTGAGGAATTCCAGATCCTCCTCGGCCGCGGCCAGGCTTTCTTTCGCCTTGTCCAGTTTCGTGCGTAGCAGGTCCTCGGCTTCGTCGAGCGGGTAGGCGACCATGACGTTGGCCCCGAGCCAGAGGTACACCTCGTCAATAGATGCCGGCTTGATCTTGGCCTTTGCGTACAGAGTGTCTTGAAGACTGTATGTGGTTTCGATCTCGTCCGACAGGCCATGGCCGCTGCCCGCATCTAAATCTTCTCCATCGTCCAGGCTGCCACTGGCGTCTCTGTCGGTAATGTCCTTCCTCTTTTTCTTGAGAAACTTGACCACTTCGAGGGTCCGCTTCATGTCCGGCAGTTTTTCTTTTAGTCCAGCCGCCCTTCGATCCACGTTCTGCTGCATGAACGTGTATTTAGACACCATCTCTTGAAACCGCTGCAGTGTCGGCTCCACATCCTCGATCGACTTGACATAGTCCGTCACGTTGGACATGAACGGAAACGTAGGGATGCCACGAGGGTTTGTGCTGGTCGTCTCCATCGTGGCTGTGGACACGGGATGGCGCAGACGATGTTTCCGTCACTCGTTCGGCCGTTTCAAGTTTGGTTACAGCCCGGCTGTACAGTACTCTGTCTGCGTCAGGGGAAAGAAGAATGGTGTTGGTGTTGGTGTAGGTGTTGAACTTCTGATGCTGATGCGGAACAGGAGAGTTGATGTTGGCCGCACCAGAAATTCTAACCACTAGAAAGCCACAGGCGGAGGTGCTCAGGCCAAGGTACAACACCAATAATTAGACCCTGGTTGCCTTCGTACATACGAGTACGTCGCAATCAGGACATGATGCATGAGCCCGACAGAAATTGATGCCAACACTATTGAGAGCCAAAAGGCAGAAGCGAGATACGTGCATAGCATTCATTTCAAGTCCATTTACTGTATGAGCCTTTCATGTGTTACAAACCCCCCACCCTTTTGTAAAACCATACTCTTGCTCGCGAGAGCCTCACATGTCTGATGCCAATATGCCAGTGCTCGCTGGCCCAGTAAAGATACATCCTGTGCTCCCGTCAATTCTCATGCCGTGTCGTCAATCATGCGCCGAAACCCTAACTCTCTTCCTGCGGTAGCAGTAGCCGCGTCCATACGCCTGGAGATCCAAATCCAATCCATTTCAAAACAGTGTCCGTGAGAACGCTGACCCTCATGTAGTCATCTCCACATCAGTAACTCTACTCTGCGCCTTTTGTTGAGACTCCCACTCCTGTCGCTTTCTTTTCATCTCCTCTGCATCAAACGTAGGTATTGCCTGAGTGATTGTGTCATCACCACGACTGGGTGGGCGGAAGCTGCCGCCATCCAAAAGACCAGTGTTCGACCTCATCCTTCGGAGGCTTCGTTTGATCTTCAAGCTGCGGTCCTTCGCCGGGGTTGGTAGAGGTTGCCCTGCGGTATCCATCATTGTCGTATCAGCCGACTTATGGAAGGCAGCCTGAGGACGCGGCTCGTCTTTGATATTACTTCGGCTCTTCATTTTCCGGAGCTCTCGTGCAATACGCTCCAAGGTGGACCCAGATGACTTCCGAATCACCGTGATATCGTCGTCTTTCGGAAGAGGAAGTGGCTTCTCCGGCAATTGTTTGTCCCTTGACACTTGCCGGCCATGATTGAAGCTGTTCGTGCTGAAGCTACTGCTGGTACTGGGCCTTGTGGCGTGGCTTTGACCAGAGTTGCGGTTGGACGAAGCCGCAGAACCGAATGAAATTGCGGAGTCTACCTTTCGTCGGCCCTCCTCTCCAGAGTCTGCAAAACCGAAGGATGCTGTAGTGGGAGAATGACCGCGACCGGTAATTTCATAGCATTCTTCGATGATACTGTTCGCCATGCGCAGGTAGTTGTCCAGCGTCTCCCGCAGACTTTTCCATCCAGTGGGGTCGTCTCCTCTTTGGCTGTTGGCCATAAGCGTTGACAGAACCTCCGGTCCTTTCCGTTCCACACCTTTGATGTACAGGAAAAACCGTTCGCGTTGGTTGGAAAGAATCTCCGGAGTCAGATGCGCCGTAGGCGGCACGAACTGCTGCTTTGACCGAATGTTGATAGGGGGATAAAGGGTGTTTAGCATCGCAATGCAATTGGCCTTGTTGAAAGGAGTCAGAGAAAGCTCGTTAATCAGTGTCCACCGTCTCAGGCCAAGGTAAACATGGGTGTACAATTGTTGGACCTTGCGCTCTCTCTCCTCGATATCCGTGGCCCATTTCAACACACCGGGGTATTTGCGTGCCAATTTGTCTCGATAGCCGAAATCTGCTCGGTCTATACCGAGTTTTTCAAAGGCGGCGACCACCTCTCGTCTGCGTCGGATTTCCAGGTCCTTGAGGTAATCCATTGCGGTCAATGCCTGGGGAAAGTCAACTTGCTCAAGCTCGGGCGGGAAACAGCGTCGGACAAAACTTGTTATAAAGCTCGGAGGCAGCGAGGTTGGTTGCGAAGGTTGCTGTGAGATGTGGGCCATGAGATTTGCTCGTAATTGAGCGGCTGCGGTAGCGGTACTCATGGCTCGTTGCTCGTCAACAGCCTCTTGATTTGGTCGAGGGAAGGCATTTCCGGGGACGGCACTCGACGGAGGGAATTTCGGAGACTGTTGTTGGTTGTGGGTCGTGGCGTTGAGTGTGTACATGGTTCGCAATGGGATTTCATAAGTGCCCGGATATGCCAGCAAATGCTCCAAGACCCAAGGATAGGCGGCTCCCGTAGAGCTGACGTCGCCATCTGAGGAGGGCGTGTGATCCATAGCTCTTAGTTGTTGTTCTCGAAGATGCGTAGTTCAGAAGTGTAGAGACGACCAGATTCCAGCTCTTTGGGCTAGACAGGTGCGCTTGAGGTCTGAGGCCTCGGTGCAGTGGATAGAACAGGTGTGTAAAACACAGCAGGTGTGGAATCCCCTCTACTCTTGTGTCCGAGTCACCAGCATTGGCAGCACCTGACCCGCGCTTGGTTGTTTACAGGCCCGAGAATTTGTCAACAACACGAGAGGTCGTGAAACCTATGAGGAACGAGCGACGAGGTGGCGTCAGACAAGTTGGTGAACCGTGCGTTGACCACGAGATCCGAGTGTGTATCAGTTTTCGGGACGGAGCGGTGATCTTGTATCGATTCGGAGTGGGGGACCATTCCACGACTGAAATTTGACGGCCGCTGTCAGAACTCAGCGAGCGACGAGTGCAGCTGAACTTGGTGCACAATGACGCGAGAGACCTAAGACTTTCCAACCAAATATGCCAATGGTCAGTGTCGAAGGAGAGTGGGATGGACTGATCGGAGGGAAAGGCGCCGGAGTGATATGAGGCGTAGGGTAGAATCCTTGCGAGGTCGACTGGTTCGAGAGTGCATGAAGTGAAGGGGGACGAGAGAAACAGTAATAAATGAGCTTCTGGGACACTCCACGTAGAGGCTAGTAACAGAAATCCTAGAACGGCAGTGTGGTAGGAGGTGGAGATGCAGATGGGGAAGAAAGACCGCAGCAGAAGCTGTGATGATCACGATGGACAGGGGGGTGGAAGAGGAATCGCGTCGAGTCAGGCACAGGCAGGGTTCAGGTCTTTCATGTGCCACAGAACTACGGACTCGTGATGCTTTCTTAATGGAAATTGAACTTGCGTGCTGGTACTCCGTACTCCGTATTGCTCTTTACCTGCGCACCTGCAGCTCTGAACTCTGAACAGTACCCACGGACGTCGAGTGGTACACTACTGCCTACCTACAGAGAGTGCTCCGTCAGAGAGCCACAGCTCTTGATGTTCCTCACAAAGCTTACAGTTCTCATGGTGTATGTTCTACTTGCCACCTTCATACCGTATCCATGTCTGCCCGCCCTTATTCGGTCCGTTTCTGTCCTGCCTCCTGCCTCTTCGCCCTCAAAAGATCGATATCGTCCCTCGTCAGTCCCACTACGGAAGAGATCCGAGTATCACAGCACATCAAATAAACCTATCCACCGTCTGCGACCTTTTCAGAATCTAGACAAGGGACCCTGGCCTGACTCGTCCCAGCCCCAGCCTGGACCAAAGACGCCGTCACTCCACAAATCCGCCTGGGCCGCAGTTTCGGCACGCTACCGATTACCCTACTACCTTACCCGTTCCCCTGAGGATTCTACCCAACTATAATTGCTAAGCTGACCATTCGGCTTGTCCACAACTTTACTCCTGGTCCTTGATGCCGACCGAATGGCGAATAGCCTCACACTAGCTCTGCAGCTGGTGTCAAGAAATGTCCCGATGTTGTTGTCCTCCAAGCTCCGGAAGTCCCTGTCACGTCACGGTATCTAAACCGAAGTCGATAATGTGAAGCACTATTAGAAACGGATCGTCTCTTTCATCACCGCCGTCGAGTCGAGGCTGGGATCAATGAGCAAAAGATCACAGATAGTAGTGGACACAAGTCAATCGTTGGTGGAAGAACATGGACGCGGTAAGCAGTTCCAGCTCAACTTGGTTATGATCTTCGACTCCTTTTTGCATACGTACTCCGTAGTACTACCTCTCCATCTGGCGGGGCTGTGTACTGAGACTTTCACTTTACTCCGTACTCAGCCGTTCGACCTGGGTCTTCACACGCTATGAAAACGCGTCAAGAAAATATCTGAGGACCTGGATGCATGTCTTGCCGTCCCCTGAGCCACTGTGGCATGTGTTTACGGACTGACCACTCAAGCTCTACATCCGTGATTCACCTACGTACAGGCAACTCAAGTCGCGCTCTTGTGCCAAGCTTATGTGCTGCGGACAAAAATCCTGCACGACTTTTCCGGACAGGTTGGATCACGCTTGCAGGGTTTTGGGGCCTGTTCCTGCGTCAAACGATACCCAACATAGCTTCGCCCTTCGCCCTTCTCGAGACCGTGGAGCTGTATCCTTGATACTTCCTTACAGTAAGAGCTAGCAGAAATAGGGGAATGAGTGGCATGCAGGGGAACCGACAAATCACAATCCTGTGCGGAGACATCTTCCCCAGTATCCCGACAGTCACGGATCCGCCTTCAACTGGCGTTCATAGTCTTGAGCTTCCGGACTTCTTCAAGTTCATCGGACAATCTCTCGAAGAGACTTGAGGTCGAAAAGAATTCTCGTCTGATCACTGTTCGCAACCATCTCTGTTCGTCCATGTTTGGATATTCAGAGCCAAAGCGGGTTGGCCGTGGCGTCCTCTACCTCTCGTTACTGCGCCTACTGGCATTTTTCAACGGCCTCGCCCTGTTTCTTTAGCTCGAGAGGAGACATCGGATGGCCTCCGCGCTCGCTACGGTAAGAGCCTCTTGACCCCCTTTGAAGAGAGAAAATGCGCCCAATCACCCCTCACTGTTGACGATCATTCCTTCACACGTACTAAGTATCACCGGCACACTGGTCTTGCTACTCTATAGTATTGACCCGGTTCCTAACTAACGACTTACTCGGTATGTACGGAGTACTCCGTACGTCGCCCTACTTCCAACCAAACAACCCGGGACAAGTGTCGTCGCACTATCCTCTAAAGAGCACCGGAATTGTTGCTTGAACACATCCGGAGAATCGAGATGGCTCGTCAGACATCTTCTGCACTGGGGGTATGACGAATTAGGTCAAGCCCTCTCAGCAGTCCCAATGTCCCAATCATCCAGCGGCTCGCCTTGAGGCCTCTGAAACGCACTTTCGCGTTGGTGAGGCTTTCAGATAGACAAGGCAAGTCTGTCTCACGATGTATCCGTACTCCGTACCGAGTACGGATACTCGTCAATATTATGGACTGGTGGTGGGTGGCCTGAACTGTTGCGGCATAAAACCTGTGTGCAAATCGACCGAACCGCACCACTCGATAGAGTCATCAGTCTCTCAACAAGCGAAGAGTCATGTGTCACTATTGTCATTGTCATCCTCGTCGTCGGTGGTCAGGCCGCTGTTGCCCGAATTGTCCAAGTCACTCAGTGCCCACTCGCCCCGAAATCCTTGTTCCGGCACCGGGCTTGTCAAGTCCACTCCATTTTTCTCAGCCCATTCCACTATTTTGGATCGCTGGATGATCATTGTAGACCAATTACTCGAGTTGTGGTCACCGTGACTTGCGGCCCCGTTCAATTCAGTAGACGTCCGTTTCTTGCGTTTGGAGGTCATCGATTGGCAGAGTCCCATTTCCCCCAGCGCAGCCGCGACGTCTTCCCCAAGCATCCCTGTTCGATCACCAATTTCCTTAACTGTCATTTCCTCCTTTCTCGGATGGATGGTCTTCTTTCTAGCTTTGTGGAAAACCCGGTTCGCGTCGGCATCCGCGGTTTGGCCCATCATAAACCGAGCAATACGCTCGGACCAGAATCTCAGGTAGCTCCTGCGACCCATGGCACTGAGAGGCTTCTCAGGGCCACCTATCACACCTCCTTCCCATTCCCATCCACTCAACTTGTAGGAAACTGCCATCAGCAATTGACCAAGTTGTCGATGTTGGAAAGGGGGAAAGATGAGAATGCATGCCAGATTATTTGAGTCCCAGGACAAATTCTCCTTTGAGAAGAATCCGAGCACATGGGAGTCATACAATATGTCGTCTGCAAACACAGATGAGCTTCGTTTTACTCCTCGGCCTTTTGTCGCTGGCGGCGATGGGGGAGTTGGAGTGTGAGTCAGTACATAATACTTGAACCCGCCTGTGTCGAAGAAGACACTCTTCTGCTCGAGAAACAGTTTGCCAAACAGTGATAGATTCTGACAGTACAGCTTCTCTTTCTCTCCATCGATTTCCCAGATCGCATAACCTCCCCAGTCGTAAACCTTCAACGCCGAATCAGGGACTGGTTGTGCCTCTAGGCCGCGGCTGCACCTTTCTTGGTGGTGTTGCAGATGCTGCGGGTAGTCATGTTCATTAGGCGTGTAGCGGAAACAACGAGGACAGACATATAGCCGTCGACATATTGGGTCACCGTTCGTCAAGCCGCGAGCAGCTCCATTTCGGAGGTCGGCTGCTAAACCGATGTGTTTCCCAGCGTGCTGCCAGTCGGCTCCCAGGACGATACTGTCAGGGTAAGGCGAATAATACCAAGTATCGAAGAGCAAGTTTCCCAACACGACCTGGCCGATATTTCGATTCAGAACCTTCAGGGACGCCCTCCTCGACCTGTGGGGTGAGCCTTCTTGGAGGACCGAAATGCCCTCGACCGCGGAAGGCATTTCGCTAAGACAACAACACAGATTGGAGGATCAGTCGCGATGATAATACATGACGCTGCTGGAAAGCAAAGGACGCGAAAGTTGTCAGTGCCCCTCGTTCGGGCTTAGTCAATGAGGCTTCTGGAGGTGCGTGATTGATGTTTTGAAAGGTACGGATATGGATGTCGAGGTCTGTTGTTAGTAATTAGTGCATGGCCTGGCGAAGTCATAGTTAACGCCGCTCTTAGGAGGCTCACGTGACCCCTCCCTCGGCTTCAGATTAATGCTCTAAAAAAGGAAGTTTAGTCATGGGAACAATTAGTAGAGTTACGAGTGGTAATGGTGTCCTCAGAGCCTTGAGGCATTCCCCATCTTTTACTCCTCGACAAGTTTAACGAAGGATGAGATGAACAAACGGTGAAGCCCCGAGGGTCAAGTGGTAGTAGGTACAATCGAGTGTGGGTCAAGCATAAGGTAATAGCAAAGCCTCGAAGAAAGTTAGGCGCAGGCACGTGATTTGAGCTGGAATCCTCTATGGTGAACCTGTGGCAGTGGCAACAAAAGGACAGACTGGTCGACGCGTTCCGCAACCGTCCATGACTACCACCTACTGATTCCGACGTGCCAACTGTCTCTTCCATTCTTTTCTTGTTTTGGCCTCTTCAGCGCTCTTCCGTTCGTTCATTCTAGCTCTGGTAAGACAGCATGCAGAGATGATACCCAGACTACAACGGCTGAGCCTCCTGGCCACCCTCTTGGGCCTCACCTTCGTATGCTTGTGCGCCGCCCACACGGTCCAGATACCTCCCGATGCCTCGGTCTCGTCCTTGATTGCCTCCGGAAAGGCTGCACGTGCCCGAGGAGCCAACAATGAAGCCATTGCTTACTTCGATGCAGCCGTGTCAAAAGAGCCGTCAGACTACCTTACATTGTTCCAACGCGGAGTGACGCAGTTGTCTTTGGGCAGGAATGCACAAGCAGGCGAGGACTTCGACAAAGTATTGAAACTAAGACCTGGTTTTGAGGGCGCTTTGTTACAACGAGCCAAAATCAAAGCGAGAAACGGGGACTGGGCTGGAGCGAGACAAGATTATGCCACGTTGGGGGCTCGAGCCGCCGAAGATCTAGCACAGCTGGAGGAAGCAGAGGGTGCAGCTTATTTGGCGTTTGAGGCAGAAAAGAAAGGCGACTGGGATACGTGCATCAACCAGGCTGGAATTGCAGTAATGACCGCCGGGACAGCCGTCTCGCTTCGCCAGCTGCGATCTCGATGCCGGTTTGAGCGAGGTGAGGTGCAAGAAGGCATAAACGATCTAGCGCACGTACTACAAATTCACCCTGGCCTTGTCGACCCTCATGTCCAGATCTCCGCAATGCTGTTTTACAGTCTGGGCGACACCGAGCGTGGTCTGACCCAGGCGAAGAAGTGCTTGCATTCGGATCCGGATTTCAAACCCTGCAAGTCGCTGTTTCGGGAGGAAAAGGTCATTCAAAAGCAGATCGACAAGGTACAGAGTCTCATGGACAAGAGACAATTCAACTCTGCAAGCAAAATCCTGGCGGGGAAGACAACCGAAGACGAACCCGGGCTTCTGTCAGAGTTGAAAGTGAATATTGCAGTGCACCGTGCGAGTGGAATCATCCATGCCAATGCCCCGTCCCAACTATACACGAGCCTGCTGGAGATGACCTGCCAAGCATACATGTCGATGAATAATATCAACAAGGCCAACCAGTATTGTCCCGAACTCCTCAAGTTGAACCCGACATCGCTGCACGGTCTGTTGTACCAAGCACAGAAACACATGGACAACGACGAATTCGACGCGGCAATCGCTGCGCTCAACACCGCCCGGGACAATCACCCCGACTCCCAGGGCACGATCAATCAGAAAATGCAGGAGGCTCAAACTGCCTTGAAGCGTAGCAAGACCAAGGACTACTACAAGGTACTCGGGGTGCCTCGTGACGCCGACGAGAGGACGATCAAGAAAGCCTACCGGACCGCGACCAAGAATTTCCATCCAGACAAGGCCGCTGCAAAGGGCGTTTCAAAAGAAGAAGCCGAGAAGAAGATGGCCGCCATAAATGAAGCGTACGAAGTCCTTAGCAATCCAGAACTGAAAGCCAGGTTTGACCAAGGAGACGATCCGAACGACCCACTCGCGAACCAAGGCGGCAGTGCGTTCCAACAAGGCAGTCCCTTCGGAGCAGGCGGACAGCAATTCTTCTTCCAACAAGGAGGAGGTGGTGGTGGTGGCGGTCAGAGACACTTCAAGTTCTCCCAAGGAGGGTTCCCAGGTGGTGGCGGCGGCGGCGGAAACCCGTTTGCTGGCTTCCCTGGGTTTGGATGATCTGCTGCTGCGGATTTCCGGCTGCGCTTTTTGGAGGGCCCAGATCTTATACTAGGCTTAGCTTTAACCGTAATCACTTGGTTTGGTGACGTTTGACGACGAAATGATACCCCATGTTTAAATATCCTGGATGCATTTGTAACTCGAGCACCTTGAAGTGCCCTGACCCCTGCCTGTTGGGCTCGGCTCCAAGCATCGCATCTTATCCCAACGTCAATGGACTCCACCTCCACACATGGACTTACCAGATGCTCGGGCACTTCCGATCAGATGTTGAAGTACCATTGGGAAGATCCCGGTCGAACTGGCACGTTTGGACGTGAACAAGGTGGTCCTATCACAGCTACATATATGCTCCGAAGGAAATTTATCATTGATTAAGTTACTTCGACTCAACGTGGCGTCTTGATCATTGACGATTGACGTGTTAGCTTCTGCTCTGATTATTTGATTCTTCTCCATTAAGCCCAAGTTGTCGCTAACATTGTGTGATGTTCCTAGCTCTATGAGAGTATTTTGAACTCTTTGCCATTGTCATGACATGTCACCTAGCCCTTTCGGCCCCCAGCCCAAGCTAGTCTAATCAGGTTCCTTGCTCAGCGACGACACCATAACGCCGCCAACCACACGATAAGATGTTAGGTTCAGTCGACTAGCGATTGATCAAGAACATGTCGTGGTCACATGACACATCGATCAGATTCGAATCTTGCGCGAGGATATGCGGGTCAATCCTGCTGTGCAAGTGTTGTTGTACCAGTTGAGATCCAAGCTGTCCAGCCAGAAGATACTGACTCTGCCTTCAACATTGGCGTAGAAACTCAAGGTCGTCATCTTGTAGAACAAGTAGTTGAAAGTAATTTTCGTGAGCTGACAATTCTTGAAGTCTGGACACGGCGGGATCTTGAAATGCTGAGTTGCAACCAGAACCTCGCTTTGCGTAGTGTTGTCCCACTGATAGGCGGTAGCTACAAAGTCACAAGTCGAAGTAGCATTTGAGACACCGTTGTCGCAACCCACATAGGCCGAGTCTGCGTTGAACCAGTATTGATTGTCATAATTGCGAGGGCCACAGCCGAATGAACTAGGTGGGATCAGCCCTGCATCTGGAGAACCAGTGTCGTTGTTGGCAAGTGAAGGGATAAATTCGGCGAGGCGGTTGCCTGACTGAGGGGGATACGGCTCGTTCGGTGGAGGTACATAAGCCCATCCATCACCCCAGAAGAAGTGATCGTAAGGATTGAAGACTGGGGGAAAGTCCGCAGTATTGTTGTCAGTGGTAGAGAACGATGGAAGGTCATCAAACTATGTATCGTAAGCAAGTTTCAAATGCAAAGGTTGACAGCCACTTACCCCAATTTCGAACGGTCCAACCTGCCCGCAGGCGCTAGCAGTTGATGAAGGGAATAACTGAGTAGACACTGGTGTGGATGTCTCACTTGTAAGAGTAGGCTGAGCAGAGTTACTCGAGGCTGTATTCACTACCGCGATGGTGCCAATGCCGGGGATATAGCTCGGAGTTGCTAGAGATTTAGTCAACATCTTTCTCGGGAGGCGAAGATAGGGCTGAGGGGGCTTGAGAGCTTACTGGTAGTCTCCCAGGAGGTGTAAGTCAATGTCGAACTCCCGGCCCAGTTATTGCACCAGCCAACCTGCTGGCCACCGATGGTGGCTGTGATCCAGACGCAGGTCTGTCTCTTCGCCACAACATCACTGTCACCTGAAGGCTCCGATGAGCCATATCCATAACCAGGTGGAAGGTATACGGATGCTGGGGCAGATGTGGCGTTGACAATCACGCTCTGGGTGACGGTGTGGGTAAAATTCGTAAATGTGACTGTAGAGGCAGCACCAGAGGTCGACCTGGCCCCTGATCCTACCGCTCCAGTTCCCAGGATGGAAGAACCAGCTGTCCCAGTGCCCCAGCCGAAAGATCCAGCGGTTCCAGTGCCCAAGATGGAAGAGTTGTCGTATGTGCTGTTCCAGCCCCTGGAAGGACTTGAGAATGCCGAGGGGCCATAGCTACTTGTCTGGACATCTTGCTCGGCGGTTTTTGCAGCTTTGGAAAACGGGAGCACAGTAACTGTAGTCACCTCAGCAACAATAGACCTTGATGGTGTGTAGCTGGAGCCAGTGCTGGAAGGAGGTTTCGACAGGTAGAAGACAGAATATCCACCATTGGAGACCTCGGTGGCCACATAACCGGAGACGAGTACAGAATGAGTGAAGATGGGAGTGGTGGTTTCCGGATGATTTGAGATGGGGGCCAACTCGCTCTGCTCGATGATGTAATCAGTGTCAATTGAGGCCATGGAGTTTGCAACTGCAGATGGATCTTGCTGAAGGATGGTGACAGTCGGAGGAGCATAAGGAACCATCTCTGTGGATGTGACTGTGACTGTGTTGTAGACCGTGACAGGGGAACATGGTGGAGTAGCCCTGGAAGATATCAGTAAGCCATCAGGACAAGCCTCAGCGTGCTGTGGAAGGTTGCTAGTTTCCATGATTCTCTCACTTACTGTGGTGCAGGAGATGCGTGCCGTATAGGCAAGATAGCAGCTTCACCAATTCCTGAAACAGCTCCCAGTAGGAGGGCTACCTGTATGAGTCTCATTGTGGCACCACTCCTGGTTTCCTGTCAACGATGTGAGTCTTTCGGTTGCTTGTCTTGACCCAATCGTCACGTCCAAAGGAAAACAACGAAGGAACCCAGGGCAAACAAAAAGTGTTTGTGTTGGAAGTCTTTTGCAGGACTGCTCAACAAGATGAGATCCGCGGCAGCGTCTGAAAAGCTTCGCAAAAAACTGGCTGCGCGGCGAAGAGCGTGCGAGACAAAGAGAGTGAAGAGAGCGAAGAGAGTGAAGAGATGGAAGAGAGTGCAGAGAGTGCAGAGAATGCAGAGTCGGTGAAAGAAGAGGTTAAAGGAAGGTGAGGGCACGGGATGGGTTATGAAGGAAAGAACAGAGCGCACGTCGTGCTTGACAAGGCAAGGCATACGCCTGCCTTCCTGCCTGCGCCTTGTGGGCTTTCGCCAGATGCGGGCGGAACTTCACTGTCTGTGAATCCATCTGCATAATCATCTCCAGGTCCAGTCTGGTGTAGGCTTGCTACAGATCATTTTTCCCCCTTCTCATCCTTTGTGCTCAACTCTACCACTCTCCCACCCTGCCAGTCTCAAACTTCCTGTCAGCCAGGTCCAATGGATGCCGATACACTGGAACCCTCGCCGTCGACTGGCCATCAATTCAGGCCACGAGACAAAGAAGGAAATGCAGACACGCACGTGGCGAACGGGTGCCTGAAGACGAAACGTGTACCTCTCGCAGAATCTTATGTCTGTGCAACTCGAGAGATTATCCCAGCCTGTCCCACAGCCGATCCTTCATTTCCCTGCCTCTTCAACGGGTGTCATCGTGGATGCTCACCTCTGAAAGGTCATTATTTCTGCAAGAGGGGAACAAATTCCTATGATTAAGCCCAGGAAGGAAAACAAGAATGTTTGCTCTCGCCAATCTGTCAACAACGGCAAAGCACCGGTCCACTCCCTCAAGGTTGGCGACATCTAGCCTGATGGTATGTCCTTCCAAATCGGCCGGGTACCTACATCACGCAGCTTCCAGGTCGGAGATTTGATGGAAGGACCATCTAAAGCATGCTGTGTACTGTGCCTGGTCCTGACCGCAATGGCTGGCAGTGCAGGAGGTAACCAGTAGTTGGATATCTCACGGGGCATTTATGGGCGGAATATCGAGGTTTATGTCTGTGATCGCGGCGCGGCGTACGAGCGCTAGGAGGTGCATAAATCGCGTGGCTGTGGTCCACCTGCGGATCTGGAGAGATGCATACACCTCGTTGTGATGGGTTAAGATGGTCCTTTAGACCTTTGATGCATGGGTTCAGCAATGCAAAGCAAGAAGGGTGTAATGGTCGACCTTCGCCAATGCCACGTTGGATTCGTCTGTGTAACCTCAAGATCCTGAAATTTATCTGCTTGACCACTGTATGCCCAACATGAACAAAGCCGACTTTACCATGGCTGAAGGCGACATACCCCAACCATGCTCAGGTTGAAAGAAAACAGAACTTGACCAATGCACCGTAGTACTGTCGAGTATGAAGTCGTTATGTGCAGTTTCCAACAAACAACAAACAGTAACGACTAATTAATGTTTTGTTTCATCAAACATGTGAAGAGGATCCACGCCCCTATTCGTAGCCCACTGAAGGATGGAGCAGCTTCACAAGTGAGTGAACAACAGTCGTCTATAAAGGCAAGTCTTTACGAGAATAGTTATTAGTTGGCCAATCAAGCAAAGGACTATGTGCTAATCTCCAATGGAAAGCCAATCGCCAAAAGCTTTACTCGCTGTCATAAGCGAACCAGAGCTTCCCGAGGTCTGACGGTTCAGAATTCCGGTCGCAGGGAAGGGCTGGTGGCCAGGTAGGAGAAGCGAGCAACGGTAAAGACCACCAGTCAATACCAACTGAGGCTGTCCTCTCATATAAAACCCACATAGATCGTCAAGCCAGTTTGTGTATTCATGACACGCTCAGACATCCAGTCCCTCGATCCCAACTCCCGCTTGCGTAGAAAAAGCAGAATTCGTGAGCCATATGCATGCATCCAAACAAGTCAAAAGGCATAAAGACACGAACGAATAGAATCAAAACAAGAGTCGATATGGGTATCTCTCAATGCAGGTCGTCAAGATTGTAAGGCCAGAGGTCTTGCGTCTCAAAATATGCACTGGTTTCGATCGTCATGAGGATCCAGAACATGTGCGTGAACGAATAGACTTCATTCAGGCAGCGAAGTGGTTGTGGTGGTCTCGGGTCTTTCCCACCGATTCATCGGGCGCTATTCTCCTCTCTCGTTGCCACAGCTACGAGAGCTTCCAGTCGATTCATTTCGCCGCCACTACGGCCACCGAAGGCCGCCGAGTTCTGATGCCGGGTCGTCTCGATGTAGGGAGAAGGGGCTAAACAGACCTGCCGGAGTGATTAGTCTCAGTCTATGGCCAGGGATTTCCAGCCAGACTGTAACTCACATTTTGATGTCCATCAGATGGTAGTGTTGCATGGTGTGGTTCCATATAGCCGTTGCTATGCATGATCATAGGATGCACCTCAACCGCAGTCATCCCTGGGGTAGGCACACCATCACTGCTGCTTGAATCTTCGGGAGACGTCCGAGCAGGGGGGAATGGTCCGTTATACCAGCCCTGCCTCTTGGACTGTCGAAGAGAGGACTGTACTTCGAGTGCCTCCCGGGGCATGTGTTGCTGCGGTTGAAGAGGCATAGAGGGAGGGGGTCCCATATCCACATGCCTATGTGGGCCGAATCGTTGGCCCTCCACGTTCTGGATTTCATTCATAGTCTGCTGGCTCCAAGATGCTGCACCTTGACTTCCCTCACCTTGATGTTCGGCATCTGAGAACTGGTTGGGACGTAGCCCGTCCCAAGACACATGCCCTGGACGAACACGAGGACCCTGGCTTGGGGAAGATGGGAATTGTGCGTCACCAGATATTTCAGTACCTTGCATCGGGCTTGGTTGGCGCCGAGGCGGTGTATAAGATCGATGCTGGACATGGTCAAAGCTCTCGATACCCGGCAGGCGAGGAGCCTGACTCGCGGCAGCGGTGGCATACTGAGCGTGGGCAGGCTGGGGTGCGTCTGGAGTTTGTGAATACGTCAACCCGCTGGTTGCCGGACGCCCGTAATTGAAATTGGCAGACAAAGTGGATGGATGCCACGTTCGCCTCCGCCAATCCTCCCCAGGCGGGACTTGGTCACCGGGTGCGGTGGGAAATGTTGAAGAAGTGGGACTGGCAAAAAGGCTCGAGTTTGACGAACCATAAGAGCTCGGAGGGCCCATCTGACTCACATAAGACATGGAATAGCCAGGAGGATATTGAATCTGGTACGGGTTGGACCCGGAGGGAACAGAAAGTCTACGAACGGCCGGTCGAGAGCCGAATAACCCTCCCGATCGAGAAGTCGAGGAAACTGGTGAGCCTAAGGATGACATGAAGCTGGGGCTGCCAGGAGTGGCCGAAAAGTTGGCAGACGTTGGTGTACTCATACCACTGGGGGAATTCGGACCATACCCACGATATTGTGTCGGTGGTGTGTGCGGCGGTTCGACACCCAAACTGGATCTCGTGGCGCTGTCAGTAGCCATGAGGAGCGGCGGCGGGCGTCTTTTGGCCTCTGTGACTACGCTGTAGTTGGAAGAGGTCGACCCGACACTAGAAGCCGAAAGATTTCGACTGTGTCCTCGACTGTGACCTCCGGTGCTGCCCGTGGTACCGGTGCGAGGACGGCCGGTTGGCCTGACACGATCTGTACGGATTTGCCGTTGAAACCGGGTCCCAGTAGCGGCAAGAGAATCGGTAGGTATCTCCTCATTGACATGAACGGTTTGCGCATGCTGTCGCAGATTATCCAGTCGTGAAAACCTTCGATTACAATGACATTGAAACGGGCGTTCGCCCGTGTGTTTTCTGATATGGCGAGCCAAGTGCTCGCTTCTCGTGAAGCTGAGATTGCAAGGCGGGTAGCCTGTGCAGAAGAACCTCTGGCCCTTTTTCTTTCTCGAGGCAGGGTCTGTCTCACCCTGCTCGGCTTCGTTGTCAGAGCCAGGTTGATCATTGTCATCCTCATCAAGATCCATAGAATCATGTTCTATCTGATCGTAGTTTCCGCCTTCTTGTTCTGGATCTTGACGGTTACTGGATACATCCAGCTCAGCGCCTTGATTCGAAGGCTGCGAGGAGTTGTAGGGTTGCGGAAGGGCCTCCCGGTCTGTGATTGCAATCTTCGAGTCGTCCACAAGTGTCGGCGGATAACGACCGGCTCGAGGGGTTGTGGGAGTGTCCAGCTCTTCTACTCGGTCATTTGGTGCGACAGTCTCGCTCAAGACGAGATTGGATATCGCAGCCATCGCGGGGTTGGCGAGAGGCTATGCGACGGTCAAGGATCCGAGTGACGGCGGCGTTTCGGCCCCCAGAATGCTGCGCATCCGGAGCGGTAGTTGTTGGACAATGCGGCCGCAATATGGTTACTAGACGCCTTTCAGATGTTGAACTGGAAAGAGCCTGATGGAGTGTCTAGGTGGTGGCGACGGACGCCGTCGGAGGGGCTGGACAATAGTGATAAGACTATGGGGATCGGACGGAGAGCGTTCAGGAACTCGAAGGCCGCGCGCGCCTATGATCCATGTGATCGACGTAGCCGGCGAGCCGGGAGGGCGTCTAGGATGCAGTGAGGAGGCAAGGATGGTGATGAATGGAAAAGATGGTGGGATCAGATACTATCGACGACTCCCTCTCCTTGATCAATCCGGATACTGGCGAAGGATGTTCAGGTCCTCGAAGCGTGGAGGGCAAGTTTATCGTATCGGTAGGTGGCAAGGGCCCTGGCGCATAACATAACTGTTAGGTTGGTTAGATGTGGAGACAAAGAGGCAGATGACGAGGACGCCAGGCTAAAAGTGAAGGGCTTGGGCTGAGCGGTGTGCGAAGCGGGAGGGCTCGCAAGCCTGGTCTGGATTTAGTCAGCGGCGTCAAGCGGGGGATGGGAAAGACGAGAAGGCGACAGTGTAGACGGGGAGAAACGAGGTCGAACAAGATGAGGTCGAAGAGGACGGGGGAGTGCCTCGTGTGTCGTGTCTCGCAGCGACTTACCAGCCTAGCCTAGTAGCAGTTTCGAGAGGATGAGATGCATGTGCGATAATGCGGTGGTGCTGTGCATGTTACTATACTCTGTCGGCCTGCCGTCACCACTCACCACTGCAGTCAGAAGGGGTTTGAAGGAGAAGACCAGCCTCAATGAGGGGCAGCATGTGGTGCTAGGGAGATAAACTGCATCCCATGTCTCCGGTTGTATACGGAGTACGGATACCGGCGACAGTTGCAGTTCAGTTCATGCTGGCAACTGGTTCCTGTCGCCCTGCAGCCTATCCGTACAGGGTGCCTGGTAGGTGCCCGGAAGGAGGCTAAAGACCTGGAACACCGGCTTGATTGGGCGCTGGCCAGGGGCTAAGGGGTTGCAACGGCTGCGGCCTCCCAAGGCACACGAAAGGAAAGGCACCACTGGCACTTAACTGGGGGCGCGCGAGGCACAGAGACGGAGACCAAGAGAGACCAAGACGGCCGCAACAGCGGCTCTTCCAGGCACCTTAGGCTCCAGCCCAAGGATCCTAAGGCTTGCCTAAGGCTCCTGCACCAGCCGAGGGGTGCTAAAACATCCTGGAGGCACGAAGTGCGGCAGCCAGACTCCCTGCCAGATCGGCGACCTAACTGCAGCCTGGAACCAGTCATGGTCGAGTTTTCACACACTACAAGCTGAGGTGCTTCAGCCACCCCGTCTAGGTGCCGTCAACTGCTCGTCGTCTTCTAATAGTATTTGCATGTTTCTCAATCCACCGCGGCCAACGCGTGACATCAAACACTACAGCGAACGCATCCTTGTGTCTAGTTTGGTGCTCCAAGCCTGAGCCCATCATTATTGTCGATTGACCTGCACTATTCCTCGCCTGTGCTCGCCTATCATCCCACTGACACGCTGTCCTGCCTCCTCTGTGCGCACAAACGATGCCGCTCCACCCTCCACCCTCCATCCTCCATCCTCCATCCTCCACCATGATCGATTGTGTTATCATGTCGAGGCCGCACGCGTCATCTCGGGCTTATGATTCGTTCCACCACTTCGTTGTATTGAATGCGACATGTCTCCGTCCACTGCAGTCTAGGCTTAGTCCTGCACCCTGCGTCCGCTCCAGCCGTCCATGCTTTCGCCCGGCCGCAGATATCCCGCTGGGCTCCTAAGGCTTATGGTATCGGGGCCCCTTAGCCCTTAGTCCTCAGGTCGAATTCCTCCAATCCGTCCACACCGAAATTCCAGCAGACATGAACCGAGATAGTGCAGGTACCGGTACCTGATAACAATACGTGGAGAGATTGGCGAACTGCGCCACGGGGAGGGATGCAGCGATTCTCCCTCGATTCAGGAACATGCACAAGCGGCGTCAGGTACCCACGACCGAACCTGATGAGCCTAATCCTGCCAATAGACACGATGCCTGCAGACGTCCATGCGCAGAATATCAGCTGATCTTCTAACTGCACCGGCTCAATGGTGCACACTTCAAGTGTCCGTTTGGCCAAGTGGGCAGTAGGTTTAATGATCTACCGAAGATCTTGACGAATGGTTCGAAAAATGCATTTGATTACCAGTTTAATCGAGCGGCGCCGCCTATGTAGGCATCATTATCATTGTGAGTGAGGGTCGGAAAGTTTGGCCAGATCAATGTACTGAGTACTCGGAGATGTTACGCTCCTGCCCGTGGGCCCAGAGCCATTCATTATACCGGACCTTACTTACCAGGTACAAAGAGCTCCAACGCCTTGTACTCCTAGTATTCGGCACAACGAATGTACTGTAGCGGTGCCAGTGAAAGGCTTGCCAGTCACCTACCAGTGGGACAAATTGATAGAAGCAAAAACCCTCGGCAGCGCCTCTCAGCCTTGCTGGCGCACTAAATTTGAATGTGTCCTCTTTGGATGTGGACCCTTCAACCCAGTAATAGTAGCACACTGACAACACCAACATCTCCGTTGCAACCACCCCTATCGAGATCGTCTAAAAGTTCTATACCTAGGTTCGGTGTTCCCCTTTGAAGTATCCTGGATCTTCCCTGTCCGGAGGATTCCTCCACTCCAGACACCGGTTGATAACGGGATGATCGCCTGTGCTTCAAATTCGCCATCCATCTGGCCATCACGAGGATAGCACCCTTCCTTAAAGCGGGCAGCGGGTAAAGCCAGACACAGGCTGCACGGTGTCTGCACACTCCTCTTCCGACTCCAAGGCGTCTATCTGTCCCCCGGACTTTAGGCATCATGGCTGCATCAAACCCTGCTGGTACAACCTCAACCTACATCGACATCGCCTCCCTCACGTCAGACGAATTCTCTCCATATTCTCATGCCAACAATCTCATCGTCGCAACCAACAATCCCTCGGATCCCGCTATTGACCTTACAACTCCGCTGTCACGCGTCTTATTTGATCTCCAAGAAATCGACTCCCATATACATACGTTGACCTCTCGATCCGCACTAGAGATATTAACCTACACTTCTACCCAGAATGCAGCCGCACAACGCATTCTTGCCAAGGTCGAAGACGAGCGAGCCCGGCTTACCGCCAGCTACGACCGGTTGGAGAAGGAAGTGCTGGTTCGACATCAGCGGGCAGTCGACGCAAAGGACGTGGCTCAGCGAAGCTGGGAAGTCCTCCGATTAGGCCGCAGTATGCAGAGGGTCCTTGCCCTTGCAAGGCAGCTCGAAGTGATTCTGGCGGAGTCAGGGCTGGGAGGCACCACACGGCTCGGGAAAGAGGACCACACTGCCCTTGTCCGTGGGAGTCTCGTGATCCTTGCCTTCCGCAACACCATGAGTGGGAAGGACGGTCACGACCTTGGCCGTATCAACCTCGTCAAGGCCTTGCGTGGTCGGGCTTTTGAGGACGGAGAAGCCAAGATTCTTGATTTTGCCCGCCGCGTCGTCCGCGAGTTTTCAATGAGCACTCTCTCCTCTGCATCTACTAGCGGACTGTCTACTGCGGGCCCTACATTTCGCGAGACAGAGGACAGTCGTGCACGATTCACCAGCGCAGTGCATGCTCTCTATCTCCTCTCACCGGCGCCCAAGATCAATGGAGAAAAAATGGCCAGGAAAGATTTCGAGCCTGAGTATTTGATCCGTGCATTGCAGGGGTATCTTCAGACAGCCATCACCTCGAGTGCTGCCTCCATTGGACGTGGTCTGGGCCAACTGCCGACTTTAGACAGAGCGTTATTGGAGGCCAGCGCAAGGTGTCAGAACGTTGTGGCACTCGAAGTTTTACTGCGGGGGATATATACACCGGAACACCCTCTATTACGTGGCGAGGGAAGCGATGGCAAAGTTAACGATACCTCTGACGAGGATAGCGAGGGGGAACCTGAGATTCCGGGTCCAAAAAAGCAGTCGTCGGATACTTTTCTCGCCCTCCTGCTCAGTGCCCTAGACACCGCGTCTCTTCCATCCTACTTCTGGCGCTCTTTGGCATCCTCTTTGGCTCCACGTGTATCCGATATTCTCAGTCGCGGAGGAGTTGCCGCACGCACGCTTAGAAGCCAACGCGATGTTGTCCGAGCAGAAATCCGTGACTGTGTGCTACGGGGGTCCAAGATGCCACGGAGCGTAGCTCTAGGAAACAGCCCTGCAGCAGCAAAGACAGAAGAGGTGGTGGAGAATTGGGAAAGAGAGGCTGCTGTTATGGTCGGAAGTGTATTGGGCCCTCTGGGACGGTAAGCTGGCTCTGTAGACCATGTTTGGCCGCGGATGTACTTGCTGTGTCATGCATGAAGGTCCAATGACCACAATTCCTTGTGTGAGTGAAGATTTTGTTCATTAAGACTTCAATCCCGACTGGGGAAGTCGGCGCCGCAGTTCCCTCCGCACGGTAAAACACACTCTGCTGTGTTGGTGTGAAATCGCACTAGGCATATAATGCTGTCTGGTATACAAGATTTCTGCCCGTCTATGCCACTGTCCAGAGTCAACCATGCCACATTTTGGCAAGATACTGCCTCGAGCTGGCATCCACTTGGGGGGACAGGTCTTTTGGGCGCATGCGGAGGGTCGATAACCCAGGAGAGTATTCTTGTCCAAGGACCGAATAGTCCATTCAGGTGTCCTGAGACAAATCCTTATCCGGTATATCATCCCAACCAAGAACCTTTTTGCCGGCCTGCTTTAGACTTCGCAGCCGCTTTTTCATCCTCTCTTTGAATCTGAGCTATCGATTGATCTCGTTTATTTTCCATTACTCTCTTCTCTTTAAAGTACTTGATCTGGATAGGCCCGATGTCAGCATGACTTCAACGCCGGAAGTGGTGGAACTCCAGGAAACCGGAGTATAACTCACCCAACTCTTAGCACAGTCCTTTTCGTACTGTTCGACCTCCTTCGGGCACACCTTTCTGGCCTTCTCGTCCTCTTTGATAGCGTCCAAGATGTTATTCCTGTCTAGACAATCGAAGAACACGTCTCGAGATTCGTAGCATAGTGCCCGAGCGTGGCGGTCAGGGGCGACGAAGCCACCATCCTTAGACTTCGGGCGAGCTGGTTCCGGCTGCGAGGGAGTAGAAGTACCTCCCAGCCATGTGGGAAGTCCCCAAGCCATAGGAAAAAGGAAGGGACGTTGAGGCGGAGTAGATGTCGGCAAAGGGTAGAGATGATGAGATGTCTTAGCCTGAAAAGAGCGTTATATGTGTGGATCTCGCAAAAGGTATACGAGAACTGTTGAAGATGTGCTACAAGAACTAGAATGGTTTCATTGAACTTCCAGCATGCGCAGTGAAGTTTAGACTGAGGGCACAGGGCAGATTTGGAGAAAGGCCCGTTCCACGTGATGCGGTATTGACGGCGAGGCAACCTCTCTTCTCCTCAGTCCGACACACGCTACCTTCTCTCAAACAATGTTCAAGCACTGCCCATAACGTCGAGTCTTCGTGGCAAATGCTAAGGCCTGGGAATATTGGCGAAAACCTACGGTCACCGATAAGACAACTCGCGGATGCCCCCGCGACGAAGAAAGCCACCTCGCGCAGGCGCCCTTACTGAACTCCCACCTCTGAAGATCATCCGCTCCATTCTCCTGCTTCAGCTCTCCTATTACGCGACTGCGTTCGTCTTGATATTATTTATGACTCTTGTCCTCGGCCAGAAGTTTTCATTGGCGTTGATCTTCGATTGGAATAGCGTAAGAGGTGACAACACGATCGGCTGGACCATCGGGTTTCTATGGGTGGTTGATGGCTTCATAACGTACGTCCTGACGGCTGGCGACTGTATACGGTGACTTTCAGCTAACCCAATCTAGAGTAATTCCAATACTCCTCCTGGTCTCCAGATCCAAACTCGTCCCGGATTTCGCCTTGACCATCCATTTCCTACATCTTCTTGTTACGTCTCTCTACACCAGAACCGTCCCTACGAATCTGCTCTGGTGGGGCCTTGAAGCAGCTAGCGCGACTCTTACTATAAGCCTGGGTGTGTGGGCTTGTCGATATCGCGAGCTGCAGCCTATATCATTCGGCACGGTCCCGAGAAAAGCAACCCAAACCACAACCAATGGGCCTCTGGAGGCTGATGATCATGTCCGTAACGGCCAAGGACGGGGCAGAAATATCGACGCTGGGCCGAGCTATGAGATGGTGAATGTAACGAGGGCGGATGAAAATGTATAAATCTTGTCGAGCCGCGACCCGCGGGGGGAGAAAACGAAAACCCATGAACCATTTTCTTCCATACATGCCCAGCAGCTTCGCAAGAGTCATTACAGGTTGCCATTTGGTGATCGCTCGGCCTGTCCTTATTGATTCCTTTCCCTTGCCGGGTACCTTTAGCTCCTTGGAGAGCCCACGGGTAGGATGTGGCGTTGTCCTCCGAGGATGCAAGATACGATGACTGGAAGAATGCCTGAGCACCCTTAACCATTATGTTATCGGGAACAACGACTGAACCTTGAACAGACCCCTACGGGCAGAGGGCGACGTCTATAATTGACGACATTGGCTCTGCAGCAGCATCGTTTGCGAGCGGGCAAATATACTGGAAGGAATGGTCTAATTACTACAAACATGGCGCTTATCTTGGCGTGGAGTGACCACGCACCTAACTGACCAGAGAGTAGCATCGTCACGGATACGCAGCAAGGTGTATAGTGTCTATTTCTATCTGCGTATGATGTCTATGTCTATCACCCCTACCGCCAATCTATGCCTCGCGCTGATGGCTCCCTGTTACCCTTCCAATTTCTACACACCCTGCTTCAAGATTTCAGGCAGCTCGAACAGCTCAAAAGACTCGTGCATGCTCCGCTCTCTGGGCTCCCAGCCCAGCTGTCTCAGCCTGATGGCGCGGCTGCGGGAATTCAGGCCCAAGGCAGCGCCAGAATAATCCGCTCCATACAAATCGCCATAGAGCTCCGGCGGGATCGTCTTCGGTGTAGGATCGGCGATCTTGCCGGCCTTGTACAGGTTGGAGCCGATCATTTCCGCCACGGTCTTCCAGGAGGTATCGTGGCCGTTTTCGCAGAAGAAGTACGGGTTCTCGAGAAACTCGGTGGGCGGGGCGGATTCCATATGATGCAGCAGCACGACATAGCCACGAGCCAGGTCGACGACGTTGATCTGCGACTCGACGGCCAGCCCTTTGCCGAGGTGGCCTGCGTAGCCGTGCTTGAGCGCGAACCGGGTCAGGGTCGGGATCTGCATGGACAGCCGGCCATGGGAGGGATTGTAGCCGTAGATGAGCGGGGGGATCATGATGGCGATTTTGGCCTTGTCGCCGATCCGGCGTTGGGCGGCCAGCACGGCCAGATCGATGGGCCGGTGCGGCGCGTCGTCGGCCACGGCGTCGATTTCGGCCCGCTGGTCGTCGCGGTAGATCTTGTCGCCCTCGAACTCGCCCCAGGCGCCGTCGTCCAGCACGCTGGTGCCCGACGTGTGGATGTAGATGGTCGACTTGCCCTGGGCCGCTCGCTCTGCCACGCCCGCGCACACGGCCTCGGCCGACGGCTGGTGGTCGGCCGTGGCCGTGTGGAAGACAATGTCGTGCGCCGCCGTCTGCGTCTTGATCAGCTCCGCGTCGTCCAGGCTGCCCACCACCGCTTTGGCGCCGGAGCGCTCGATCTGCTGTGCATGCGCGCTCCGCCGCACGTATCCCGTCACATTGTACTTCTCCGCCACCAGTCGATCGAGCACATTCCACCCGATAAACCCCGGGCCGACGATCAGCACGTTCTTGCCGACAGACATGGTGATGGTGGGTGAGATTTATTCTGGTCCAGCTAGCCGGTATGGAGGGAAATAGAAATATGAGGCTGCATTCTCAAAGGCGAAATTCTCAGGGCATCACGGAGAATACGGAGCATTATGCACGGAGTAATAGCTCCACCTGGTATCGATATCGGATGGATTTGTAAGAAACCAAAGCCAAAGCGTTACATCACGTCAAATAATTGGAGGCCTCTCCATCGGGATGGCCAGAAGGGCGAGATGGACTCGAAATCGACGAATGTTCTACATAGAAATGGCATGCCAGCGATAGGTACTATTCGCAGCAATCTACATACACATCTTAAGATGCAGCCTCGGCTTGCGTTCAACCACAGCCTGATGATCCCTCTGGCACGTGACTGGACAAGGCTGCGGTGCAGGACTCATATGTGCACGTGATCTGGTTGCCCCAGAGACATGCCAGCAGGGATTGATTTCCTAATCAGCACAGGTAAACAGAGACCGCCATTTGCTTGCCGCTCGAATGAAGCAGCGCACTGCAACGTCTCAGGCTACAAACCGACCATATCCAGTCACAGTCACAGTCGCTGAAGATGTCGCCATATTCGTCTGAAGATGACTTGCCGGATCTTGCAGCCATTCTCGCTCCAAAGCCGCTGATGGCGACAGGCACAAACACGTCTCTTCGGAGGTCGCCTCGAAAGCAGGCCGCACTGGGAGCAGACGTCTCACGATCACCAGAAAAGAGAGACCGCGGTATTCCCAGCCCCCGGAAACAGGTGCTGCCCAGCTCGAGACCGATTGCCCGGGAGCACCTATCTCCTGAGAAGTTGGCCGTAGCGAAGAAACCGCAGTCGTCCGTCGGACTCAATGTTCCTCTGCTTCCTCGCAACTCAACGACCACCGAAGCCACGTTGAGGTTGAGCTCCAACAATCTCCGTTCACCTGCCAATGGCCGGCGTCCTCTGAAAGTCTCCCATGTGGACTCGCTCCTTCTTCCCCTGAAGGCCATGGCACTGGAAGAATCCGACACACAAACTGGGCACGCAGGCCCTGTGGCAGAGGCAGGCATGCGCTTTGTCAACAAGAGGGGGAAAGCGATGATGTCTGACTGGGAGAAAGCGACACGCTCTTCAAAGGCGGAATCAGTCGCATGCAAGGACCAGCCCCGTCGCGGCTACGCCAGTAGGTTTGTCCTGACGGAAGCTTGGTGTAATGATGATGGCCTTGATTCGATGGACGAAGAAGACGAGGATGAGGATACGGACTTGAGTGGCTTCATTGTGGACGATGATGCCGAGCTTAGCTATCATGACTCTCCATCTTCGGAGTCTGACGACGACAAAGAAATGTCAAGAAGATCTCCCACTAGACCAGTACCACGTAGAAGGCTTCAGCGTGGTTCGCCGGCTCGAAGACGCCTCAGCTTTTCTCGACACGAATCAAGCTCGCAATCAGACAAGGAAAACGAGCCAGCCGATAAATTATCACATGCTCTGCAAGACATGTGCCTCGACCACGATAAGCAACACAAGAGAGATGAAAGAGAGGTTGAGGTGATCGATCTTACTTCCTCACCAGTGCAAAAACCTGAGTTTGGGATGAACACACGATCCGAGTTGGACTCAAGGGAATTTGCAAAGGCCAGTCCTCCGAATCCATTACCAGTCAAGTCCATCCCCTTGGACGACCTCGATGCAATCTTGAAGCTCGAAGCACCCCTTCCGAGGCCTGCGCTGCTATTGCCTCCCAAGAATATGCCCACCCAACGCGTTCTGGCAACGGATGGAGAGGATGGTAAGGGTAGATCGGATGACAGAGCTGAGGACGAATCCGGGACACTGCCAGCCACACCACCTCGGTCACCCACGAAACTCAAGTCACCGTCTAAGCTGTTGTCTCCTTCTAAGCGCCAAACAATCCCGCAGTCACCTCACCGTCAGAGTATGGACTCGTTCTGGGATCATAACGTGATCAATGAATGGAACGATGCGTACTCGCCGAGAAAGGTGCCGGCCACGTCTCCAAGGAAACGACTGTTTGCTCCGTTCACCATTTTTTCAGACTCGGATTCGGATTCGGCCTCTGAGAAGGAACATAAGTTTAACGAAAGCTCAGACTCCCTTCCAAGTCCATGTTCCTCACCACGCAAGTCAAAGTCGAGGCCTCAGTCACCAACGAAGAGTCCGGAAAAGGTGGAAAAGAAGCGTCTTCTAGAAGAGAAAAGGGCCGCTGCGATTCGAAAGAAGGAGTTTGATGCCCGGAAAGAGAAGATGGCCATCGACCTACTCCGCGAGCTTGACATCAATGTGGCAGATTCGAGGCTAGGAAGCCTATCTCACAGCACAGGCGGCGTCCAGATCAAATGGTCCAAGACTCTTCGATCGACAGCCGGACGGGCGAACTGGAAAAGAACGGTGACCAGACTGTCCGGGTCTCCTGTGAAAGGAGGAGAGAACGAAGGACCCGGAGTCAACGTTCGGCACTATGCTAGCGTTGAGTTGGCTGAGAAGATCATAGACTGCGAAGATCGCCTCGTCAACACACTGGCTCATGAGTTCTGCCACTTGGCCAACTTCATGATCAGCAATGTGCGCGACCAGCCCCACGGAGCCTCGTTCAAGAGATGGGCCGCCAAAGTGACCAGCCATTTGCGTCAAAGCCATGTCGACGTCTGGCGTCAGGTCCAAGTCACCACCAAACACAGCTACGTCATCAACCACAAGTATCTCTGGGCGTGTGTGGGCAGAGACCGGACGCCGGCCATGGACTTTCTGAATTTGGATCAAGACGGTGGCTGTGGGGCCGAGTACGGCCGGCATAGCAAGAGCATCGACACGGAGAAACATCGATGTGGAAGATGCAAGGGCCGGCTGGTGCAGGTCAGACCCAAGCCGAGGGCGAGTCCACAGAAGAAGTCCAAGACGGGGTCGAGCAGAGAGGGAAGTGTGGAGAGCTCGGGGTCTGGCTCGGGATCGCGAAGCTCGAGCGACGGTAGGACTGGGAGTGTTTTGGGGTCCATGATCGAAGAGGTGGAGTTGAGTGATTAGTCGGGTTGTCTTGTACCTCATGTTCATGTGTTCTGGGGATCTGGGAACGATGGCCTTAGTTGAGCTTGGTCATTGGTATGGTGTCGGTCAGGGTTCTGGAACGAGCATTGTCAGGGTCCGGCCGGGTTGCACTGACTGCACTGACTGCACTGACTGCACTGAAAGGCCTGCCATTGTGCAGTATGGTGCAGTATGTTATGCTTCATGAGACACCTTGCCTGTCTCTATTGCTCTGTGCTGAAGGATTGTCCACGACGAAGCCATTCGTCGTGGCCCTGTTGAAAGCGAAGAAGGCAGCTTTAGCTGGCGTGATGAACGAATGTGAATGAGAATGGAATGAACGAGCGGATTTCGACTCGACTTGACTTGACGTGACGTGAACTGCTTCTCTGATCGAGCGGCTTTCTGCCACCTCGGCGTTGAGGCCTTCCTCACGATCGACCCTGCCAATATTGGCCCATCTGTTCGTTGTTTGTTGTTCGTTTCAAGCATCCATTCGCTCCAGATTACAGCTCTTCTTGCCGCACGCTGTCTTAATCTCAGCAATACCAACTCGTCCGCGCGCCGGAACCTTCAGAGATGGGAAATGGCGGTTAACAGCGAATCCCCCCCTAGCTGGTGGAATGCGGGCGCACCATTACATTCCATCAGGCTTTTTGATATTCAAGACTTTCGATTCGGCGTGGCCATGGCGATACGGGTGCGGCGGCCTCTATTGGGCGCCAAAGAGATCGAATTCAACAACGTCCAGTGTCGCAACCACCCGGGCAAGCACGTCCCGAGCAAATGCAGCTTCAGCAGCGGCCTGGCTGTGGTCGGCCAGCTCTTTCAAAGGCACGTTGATCCGAACGCACAGGTCGGTCGCGTAGTCTTGGATGCGAACGAGGAGCTGGATCTGGTGCACGAGTGACTGGAGCGGGTTCGGGGACGACGCTGTCTGCGGGGCTCGGTGCGCCGTGTCGTAGCTCCTGATATTCGCCGCGAGGATGTATGCGGGATACGCGGCGAGGCTGGGGCTCTGCAGCCGGACCTGCTGCGGGCGTGGTAGTGGTGCCGCGAGCGTGTCCGGCGGCGAGATCACGTCTGTGAAATGGTGTTGGGCTGCTTCTGCGTCCGATTCGGCCGTTTCCCTAGCCGCATTACCGTTGACGACCGTGGTGGTTGTCGTGGTCGTGGTGCCGTCCGGCCTAGTCGTGGTAGTCGTCGTCGTGGTGGGATGCTGGCTGCTGGGTAGATCCGACTGCTCGACGTAGTCGTTGATCTCGAAGATGATCGATGTCAGCGTGGTCGGCGACAGGAAGACTTCTTGGTGGTCTGGCACCTGGCGGAGATCGCTGCGAAGAAGCACCTGTTAGCCCGGGGCGGAATGCAGTGGGTGAGAGGCAGATGTCTCCGGAGGCCCAGCACAGCTTAGCATTCAGCATATCGCCGTGGGGTAGGTAGATGTAGACAAGAGAGGGAGGGAGGAAGGGGAGAGAGAGACGCTGCCAACGACCACCGCTGCCCTTCCTCGCCCATCTCTCCATCTTCGTGCCATACATATCCAACCCAAACCCTATCCGGCTACAGCTGGCCGGTCACTCAAGGGGAGCGCAGGAAGCGATAGGTACGAACACCACGAAAGATTGAACACCGTCACATACCTAGAATCGATGAGTTCCACCGGCAACTGAACCCTCATGGCGCCTCCGAAAAGCCCTCGGGTCGCGTAACTACTCGCCATACCCGTGGAGCGAGCAGGAGCAGGAGCAGAACTCGAGACCATCCCGTGTGCCTCCATATTCGGGCTGCGCGCACGCCTTTCTGGCTTTCCACACACGACCAACCGAGATGCAGGAGAAGGATTCACGTGTTCTGGTTCTCACAACCGAGCAGGCTTGGTGAGGTGCGGCAGGGCAGCAGAAGACTACAATGTACATATTAAGAAACTTGAAGGTGATTGGAAATTCCGCCGATTAAATTATGTGGCGCCTCGCTCTGATCGCCCAGGCTGACGACAGCAGTAACATGATAGAGAACTGCAACCAGTCACTACTCCGTACTCCGTACATATTCCATCGCTATTGTCCCTTGTCTCAGGTCGTCACCGAGACCCATTCGCTATCGCAGGGACCGAGTATCTCCTGCTTACAATGTCTACTGTCTCTCACTACCTATGCGCTGCCTGTCGTTTGCCTGTTGGTCAGCCACCGGCGCTCATCTTCCCCCACGAGGCTGTGAGGGTACGGCTACGGGTACTCTGTAGTCGTCCAGCGAAACAAGATATGTGGCGTAATACTACCTGGCAGAGCACGGAGACAGACGTAGGCTCTGATCGAGGCGGAGAATCATGGACTGCACATAGGAGCTGTACGAGTGATATACAATTCAATTGAAAGCATTCTGTCCGTCCTATGCTGGTATCTGTCGTGGTGACCTGCCATTTGTGGTCTATTTGGCAATAAAGAAAACCAACCACTCCGGTGCTCGCTAGACTCCATGAATGCTCTGGGCACCATCCCTCGGGATGGTGATTCGGAAAGACCACTTGACAGGTGATTGTGCGAACCCATAAGAACACAACTTGAGGTTCTCCATCCACCCAATCCAGCATGCTCAGCGCTCTTCTCGTTTACAACAAGATCATGCCGGCGCCAGAGATGAAGGCGACAGAAAGATACAACACCACTTGCAAAAGACCGATATGGCCAGGGGTAGAAAAGCCTGGAACACCTGCACTGGAGCTGCTGCTGCTACTACCGCTGCCACTGGAGCTAGAACCGGAGCCAGAACCGGAGCCAGAACTACCAGTGCCACTGGGCTGAGAAGTCACCGTGCCAGTGCCTGCACTACCGGCCTGACTGATTAATGAAGCACATGTTCCAGTTGGCTTGGTCGGCGACTGGGTCTTGGCAGATCCAGAGAAATCACAGGCCGAAGCACCATTGCCAGCTGCGACCTGCTGTTCGTAGTAGTTGTTGAGAGCCCAGCCCAGCTGTTGGGTGGGATTGCACATGCCATATGCGCCATAGGTGCCCACGGTCGCATTGGCGGTGATCCCGTCGCAAGTGCCGCTGCCCAGACCGCAGACAACGCCAAAGAAATCGCCAATGTCATCGGTCGCAATTCTGTTTGGAACGCAAGTCAAGGCATCGAACATGCATTCGCAAAGCTCCTGATTCGGCGTTGGAGGTAGTTCGGAGGACGCTTGCCAATCGCTGTTCACCGTGGGGCAAGCCGCAGCCGCAGTGTTGGTGGGCGAATAGCTGTTGGAATTGACTCCGGTTGGATCAATCTTCGCAATTTGGGAAGACAAGTAATTGAAATCGGCCAAGGTGCTGACGGAGCTGCCGGACACGCTGACAAGACCTGCATAGTGATTAGTGACATCGCGAGAACCGCAGATGATTTGACTTACCATAGTCATTCACCTCTTGGAAATACATGTAGACAATACCACCAGACCAGACAGGAGTCATCTGATCTCCGTACAATGCTTGCACCTCGGTGAATTTACGAGGCTGCACTTCATTGCAGCCGTACTCGGCAAAGAAAACGGGAACATTGTAAGTTGAGAACTCCTTGGTGCGCACATCATATCCAGACTCAGTGTAGCTGGAATCCCCACACCAGGAGTAAATGTTGTAGCCCCAGAAATCAATGGCATCGGTCCTGTCTCCACAATCGAAATAGTCGGCCAAGTTCACACGAATGTCAGCATCATCGTTAGTAGCATAGCCGACGCCGATGGTGCGATAGTTCTGTTTCTTGATATAGGCCTTGGTGTCACGGACGGCAGCCTTCACGAAAGCACTCGCATCGGTGTTGGTGTTGTTGTTGGAAACCTCATTTCCTGCAAAGAAACCCAATGTGTTTGTGTAGTTGGCCATGGCATCAATCACCGCTGTATAACGGGAGTATAGATCGTCGTTCCATGTCGGGCTATCGCGAACAATCGAGTTGCCGGGAGAAGAAAGATCGGCGATGACATAGATACCAGCATCTGCTAGTAACGACATGCACTCATCATGGTCTTTGGTAGGATCAAGAGCATAGACACGGATCGTATTGGTGCCCAATTTCTGCAGGTAGGGGATGTCTCTCTTGCATGAGGAAGAATCGGCGAGAGGGTCGATGTAGCTGTCAGTCGAACTGGTCTGGGTGCCATTGCCCAAGTAGTCCTCTATTACACACTCGTCAGTCGATGTAGTCAGAGGAAGGCAACTGGAATAGCGTACGTTGGTATGCTACGCCCTTGATAAAACTGCGTTACCGTGGATTAGCCTCACTCAAGGAAAATGGGGCAAGGTACTCACAATTGTGTTCCATTTGATTGATAGAAGAACTTGGAGCCCTGCACGGTGAAAGAGAGGAGTCAGACTTCAAATCTATGAGCGAGGAGAGCGTCTGGGAACCGACGCACTTTGATGACGATGGGGTCGAGATCAGCATAGGCTGATTTGAGAAAGAGAGCAGCGCCTGCAAACGCGGTCGCAACGGCGGTGAAACTCTTCATGATGATGACGATGGGCAAGAGATGTTGTTCAAGACAAAGATATCGTGCTTCAAGTAGGCATCCGCAGGGCGAGAGGCCAAATAATTCTCGGGTAAAAAGGGCGTCTTTGCCGCTGACGAGCGAGGGCAAGGTCTTGTCTCTGCCAAAACAAAGGCAGCAGCGAACGACTACAAGGTTTGGAGTGAAAAGAGTGTGACGAAGGTGAAGACAAAGAACGTGACGAGAAGTAGAATCAACGCGCGTGAGTCTACAGGTAGACTCTCGTCTTGATGTACAGGGAATGGGGAATGTCGAGATGAATCCAGGTTGAAACGTCGAGATAGGGAGAATCGAGATAGGTTCAACGGTCAACATGACAACACCGCATCGCATGGAACGCAGTCGTCTGGCACTGACACTGGCACGGGCTTAGGGGGGCTCTGGCTCTGCTGCTGCGCCCCAATGGGCCACCCCTAATGCTGCAAAATACTCACCTGCGCACCAACATTTAGCGCTCAAGTTGCCCTTATTAGACGGTCTCAGCGGCGCCCATGAGGTCCGGCGCGCTGGTCTGATCGCCTGCAATGGTTTTATTCCGTAGTGTCCACTGCTACGGATTATACTGTAGATCTGTTTGCATTCGTGGCCTGCCGCTGATTGCCGGTACAACCAACGCATACCGACACGCGTCCTCCCCTCCGCTGCTCCCCTCCGCTGCTCCAGCCAACTTGTCAAACGTCGAACAACCTTCCAGAATTCTGCGACAGTCCGTTTGTAGAATCCGTTTGCCAGTCAAGGGTCTTACAACTTGCAAGACCATTGGTGATCAGTCCGGGCGATCGAGAACCCGAGCCAGGTCATTCTCATACCGAACGCATGTTATCAACCGTTGCAGAACTATGCATATTCTCAGTGAACGTACGATGCCCTCTGTCATATACAACAACTCAAACACGGCCATTCTAGCTTGAGCTTCAAAACTCCTCTCCTCCCTCGGCCGACTATTTATTGAAGACGTGGTGCATGCATAAACTCAGTGAAGGCACAAAAGTTATGGAATGTACTCCGTATACTACGAAATACTACGTAGTCCCAGTTGGGCTGGAAACATCTCGGCCGGAAGAGAGGCAATCAATAAAGATTGCAGTCCACCGTTTCTCGAAGATGATCGGGTGGTGCTCTGTCGAACCTGCTGTATCGCTATTCTATTGTGGAAGCAGTAAACGTTATTTGCCACGAGCTCATCAAGCAGAAATGATAGTCTAGAAAAAAGCATCTGCATGTCTCACCAGAGAGGGTCCATAGTTGCAGGATCTTCCAACAGCAGTCTGAAGGTCTCGAGATGTGTCTCGCCCCCGAGAAGCTCGGACGTTCGACAGAAGGATGAAGGGGAAGGAGATGATCTGGTGCGCCAACAATCACCTTACAATTTGCTGGTTCGCTCAGATTGCATTTCTGGGTCACTGCCAGTGTCAGAAAGTGATTGGAAGCGGCCCCCCCTTTCCACCTCGTCAAACCACTGGTGTGCTGCACCCCGAGGCATTAGACAGTAGTGGTGGCTCCGACAGCACCATTTCATCAAACAATAACGAATCGTAGCTCGACCCCTGAGCCGCCGCGCGCTATCATGATGGGCCACGGAGTTGTCAACCTTAAATAGCAGTCGCCACATGAAGCCAGCCCCTGGCTATTGTTCTCCCACCAAAGCTTGTCTCGCTAGAGACAGATGCCTGTCTCTGTCAGGTGTTCCGGGCCAAACCGAAACAGCTTGGTCCCTCGACTGGTAGGTATCTATGTTTTATGCTGTAGTGAAAAGAGAATTGCTTGGTTTCGGGATCCCACGATTCCCGTGTGTCAAGTTATGTGCTTGTAAGGTTCGCATCAGTCTCAGGCGCTCCACCGTCGTCAATGGCTGCTGATCTGGCATCGAGGCCCACAAAATGCATGATGCTGCTCAATACGCCGCCTGGATCTTTGATGATACGTATACGGAGTAATTGAAGCGAAGAGAAAGACGATTGGGCTTGGACAGATGGAAGTAAACGGAACTGAACTAGACGGTCGACATCAACTGGCTTTTTCTAATGTGTGGAATGCTCCAGATAGGAACTATACTTGCATTTCTTACTTTGGACAGACTGCGCCCGGCAGCCGCATATGGGGGGCTAGGAAGCGTCTTTGTCAGCTGATAGATATAGGGCACCATAGGTACGAGTATGATGGTTATGCCATGTAGTTTCATCACGGATTCATGGGCTCGCAGACAAACCATGTAGATTTGACACACACATAACTGTCGACTTTGCACCGCTTTCCGGAGAGTCCGCATGGTGGACGGGTAGCTGCATTCGCCGTCTGTTTTCTTTGGAAAATGTCCGACGGGCAGCGAAGATCTGCGACTCTTCACGCCTCTCACTTGAGACGCGGGCTGTGTGACCATGGTGCAGGATGATGATCCAAGGGTTGTGTCTGTGTAAACGAGGAGGGGGATCTTTTGTACCCGTTGTCGTCGTTCCAACATTGGCTGCCTTCCATAGAAAGCAAGTTGTTAATAGATGGATCTCGCTCTTTGATCTTCTGCATGTGCATAGCCACACGGCCAGGATCAAATCCCAGCCACGAGATGGCTAGTTGTCTGATGCGGGAGGGCACCAGAGATAGCACTGACTGCATCCGGGCGGGAAGAGCAGTCCGTAGCGTCACAAGTAGTGCTCTCCAAGTGGGTGGCTGACGGTGCGCAGGCGCAATCAAGGATGAGAGACGAACTACGGTGGTCCGTAGGCCGTTGGTAGACTCCCTCAGGCGCAGGGTGGATTTCAACTCCGACTCGGTGACGGGGCTTTTGACAAATGGGCTGTGGGCAATGGAAGCATGAAGGATTTTCTTCTCCCGTCTTGCTTTTCAGTGTTTGGTAGCCATATGGTTTGCAATAATAAGTATGAGTCAGTACAGAGTACCACATTACCAACATCACGTACCTGAGAAACCGGCGAGGGAGAACCAAAATGAATAGTAGAAAGACTGGACATCGACAGCCTGCGGTGCAATGTGGCGTTTTGATGGTGGGCGGCTGGGGCTCCCTAGTAGGCTTAGGGGCTCCTCCTGTGCTGCCCCCCTTGTTTGCATCCTGGGCCTAAGGGGCCCTAAGGTCCCTTCCTTGCTGAAATGCTGAGGAGCTGTCAGGCAAGCCCGGAACTGGTCAAGGCTGATTTGCTCTAAGACACGCTCTCCCCCCTGGCTCTCCGAAATCAAAACCCACCCCCCCGTTCCAAGTTGCATCCACCTTGGCCATCCAAATTGCTGGCCGGCGCACCTGGGCGCACTCCCCTAATCCCGAAACAAGCAGCGCAGCTCCGCCTGCTCCCTACTCTCTCTCCTCCAATCCTGTTTTTTGCATGGTTCCTTGTCGCCTCTTTTCCTGTTCAACCAGCCTTGCCTCAGGACTGTCGTTTCTTTTCAACCTTCTCCTTCGTATTCCTCCTTCACTCGCTTCAATCGCTGCGAGGAAAGGCAGGTGCAAAGGGCCCGCTGTCGTCCAAAAGGCACCGGGATTTCTCAAGGCTTGGGAAGTGGTCAGCATTCACTGTAGCCGGTCGACTAGCCACGCCTGCCGTGAACGCGCGCTCTACGGCTGCATTGGCTGAGCAACCAACACTCCCTCCCTTCATTCGTTTCACAACAATCACTGCGACACCCAACTCCTCTTTCACCTGCGATCTCAACATTTGAGGCAGCTTGACCATCGGCCAACGTCTCGCTGGACTTTCTCAAGACAGACGGACGAAAATCTTTGCGGACACTCTGCGCAGCTTTTCCCGTCATTCCTGCATCGGTGACCCTCTACAAGGAAACATTCGCTACTTATAGCCTGCCTCCCGCGTAATACTACCACAACCTTGAAAAAACGCATATCTCGCATCTTCAGTACAAGCAAATCGTTGATGGGACTGTTTTAAGGTAAGTTAGAAAACATGAGGACGGCATCTATTGCAATCCGACGTGCAAACCTGGAGTCAACGAGTGCTGACCTGTGGCTGCTCTAGAAATTTCTCTCAACATGTCTGGTCATCCTCCGCCCCAGCAGGGCCATTATGATGATGGCTATGGCCAACAGCATGGCAATGACGCCTATTATCAAGATGAAAATGGCTACCATGATCAATACGACTATGGCCATAACAACAACAACCAACAATACGGAGGTGAAGGATATTATGATGAATCGTAAGGAATGTTTTCCCATATCGTGACTAGTATGACTGATTTGGGAAACAGTGGCTACTATAATGCAGATGCCTCCAACCCCTACCACAATGATGGTGGCTATTACGAAGGCCACCAAGGTTACCAAGATGATTACTACGACGGCCAATACTACGAGCAGGGAGCTGCGGGCCAGCAACAGCATCAAGGTCAACGCCCAAGACGTCGTGGTCATGACTCTGAAGAAGATTCCGAGACATTCAGTGACTTCACCATGAGGTCGGACATGGCTCGTGCCGCAGAAATGGATTACTACGGCAGGGGAGATGAGCGATACCATAGTGGCTACGAAGGACAGGGTGGACGTGGATACAGACCACCCTCTTCGCAGATTTCCTATGGTGGCAACAGGTCCTCTGGTGCCTCGACCCCGATCTACGGCATGGACTACAACGGCGCACTGCCTGCCGGTCAGCGTTCTCGCGAGCCTTATCCTGCTTGGACCTCCGATGCTCAAATTCCCTTGTCTAAGGAGGAGATCGAAGACATCTTTCTCGACCTCACCGCCAAGTTTGGTTTCCAACGGGACAGCATGCGCAACATGTATGACCACATGATGACTCTCTTGGACTCCAGAGCATCCAGAATGACTCCCAATCAAGCCCTACTGTCCCTACATGCCGACTACATAGGGGGCGACAATGCCAACTATCGTAGATGGTACTTCGCTGCACACCTGGACCTTGACGATGCAGTCGGGTTTTCCAACATGAAGCTCGGGAAGGCCAACCGTCGAACTCGCAAGGCTCGCAAGGCCGCTGCCAAAAAGGCGAAGGAAAACCCAGAGAACGAAGAACAAGTTCTGGAAGCAATGGAAGGTGATAACTCTCTTGAAGCCGCCGAATACCGCTGGAAAACGCGTATGAACAAGATGTCTCAGCATGACCGCGCACGGCAGATTGCGCTCTACCTCCTCTGCTGGGGTGAAGCCAATCAAGTTCGTTTCATGCCTGAGACCCTCTGCTTCATCTTCAAATGTGCAGATGACTACCTGCATTCTCCTGCCTGCCAGAACCGAGTTGAGCCAGTGGAAGAGTTCACCTATTTGAACAACGTTATCACTCCACTCTACACCTACATCAGAGACCAGTGCTATGAGATTATCGACGGCAAGTACGTTCGACGCGAGAAAGACCACAATCACGTCATTGGGTATGATGATATGAACCAACTCTTCTGGTATCCTGAGGGAATCGAAAGAATCGTTCTGGAGGATAAATCTCGACTCGTGGACCTTCCTCCGGCCGAAAGATACCTGAAGCTTCAGGAGGTGAACTGGAAGAAGGTCTTCTTCAAGACTTACAAGGAAACGAGGTCCTGGTTCCACTTGCTTGTCAACTTCAACCGTATATGGGTTATTCACCTCACGACCTTTTGGTTCTACACAGCTTTCAATTCCCAACCACTGTACACCCACAACTACCAGCAGCAGTTAGACAACAAACCACATGGCGCTGCTCAGTGGTCTGCAGTGGCATTGGGTGGTACAGTCGCATCACTGATCCAGATCTTGGCAACCCTCGTTGAATGGTCTTACGTACCGCGGAGATGGGCTGGTGCTCAGCATTTGACCAAACGGCTTCTCTTCCTGATCGGTGTCTTCGTCCTCAATATCGCGCCTAGTGTCTACATCTTCGGTTTCACCTCGAAGTCGAAGGTTGCCCTGATCCTGGGTGTCGTCCAATTCCTCATCGCGTTGGCGACATTCTTCTTCTTCTCTATCATGCCCTTGGGCGGGTTGTTTGGAAGCTATCTCACCCGGAACTCACGTCGCTACGTGGCAAGCCAAACCTTCACAGCATCCTACCCCCGACTGAATGGTAACGACATGTGGATGTCGTACGGTCTCTGGATCATGGTTTTCGCTGCGAAATTGGCCGAATCCTACTTTTTCCTAACGCTGTCGTTCCGAGACCCGATCAAGATCCTGACCTACACCAAGATCCATCATTGCCAGGGGGATGCGATCCTCAAGACGTACCTTTGCAAGTACCAGCCCAAAATTCTGCTTGGTATTATGTTCTTCACCGACTTGATCCTATTCTTCTTGGATACATACTTGTGGTACATCATCTGGAACTGCGTCTTCTCAGTCGCACGGTCTTTCTATCTCGGTGTATCGATTTGGACTCCCTGGCGGAACATATTCTCTAGACTACCCAAGCGTATCTACTCCAAGATTCTCGCCACAACCGACATGGAGATCAAGTACAAGCCGAAAGTGTTGATCTCTCAAGTGTGGAATGCGATCGTCATCTCGATGTACCGAGAACATCTCTTGGCCATTGATCATGTCCAAAAGTTGCTCTACCACCAAGTTCCTTCCGAGCAGGAGGGCAAGCGGACGCTTCGGGCCCCGACCTTCTTCGTCTCGCAAGAGGACCATTCTTTCAAGACCGAGTTCTTCCCCTCCCAGAGCGAGGCCGAGCGTCGGATCTCATTCTTTGCCCAGTCATTGTCCACACCTATTCCTGAACCCCTCCCGGTGGATAATATGCCGACCTTTACCGTTCTCATTCCCCACTATGGTGAAAAGATTCTTCTCTCGCTGCGAGAGATCATTCGTGAGGATGAGCCATACTCCCGGGTTACGCTTCTGGAATATCTCAAGCAACTCCATCCCCACGAATGGGACTGCTTTGTCAAGGATACCAAGATTCTTGCAGACGAAACATCTCAATTCAATGGAGACTATGAGAAGTCGGAAAAGGACACTGCGAAGAGCAAGATTGACGACTTGCCTTTCTACTGCATCGGTTTCAAGTCTGCCGCTCCCGAGTACACGCTCCGGACTCGTATCTGGGCTTCGCTCCGTTCTCAGACTCTTTATCGTACCATTTCTGGTTTCATGAACTATAGCAGAGCGATCAAGCTTCTATACCGTGTCGAGAACCCAGAAGTCGTTCAAATGTTTGGCGGAAATTCTGACAAGTTGGAGCGCGAACTCGAACGTATGGCTAGGCGCAAATTCAAGATTGTGGTGTCGATGCAACGATACGCCAAGTTCAAGAAGGAGGAACGCGAAAACACAGAGTTCTTACTCCGTGCTTATCCCGACCTCCAGATCGCTTATTTGGACGAGGAGCCTCCGCAAAACGAAGGCGAGGAGCCTCGTCTCTATTCTGCTTTGATCGATGGCCACTCAGAACTCCTTGAAAACGGCATGCGGCGACCTAAATTCCGCGTTCAGCTCTCCGGCAATCCTATTCTCGGCGACGGCAAATCCGACAATCAGAACCACGCCATCATTTTCTACCGCGGTGAATATATTCAACTTATCGATGCCAATCAGGACAACTACTTGGAAGAGTGCTTGAAGATCCGAAGCGTCTTGGCAGAGTTTGAGGAAATGACCACGGATAACGTCTCGCCGTACACTCCTGGAATCGCTCCGGTCAAGTCCAATCCTGTTGCCATTCTCGGTGCTCGTGAGTACATCTTTTCGGAGAATATTGGTGTCTTGGGTGACGTTGCCGCTGGCAAGGAACAAACATTTGGCACCTTGTTTGCCCGTACTTTGGCACAAATCGGCGGCAAGCTCCACTACGGTCACCCCGATTTCCTCAACGGTATCTTCATGACGACTCGTGGCGGTGTCTCCAAAGCTCAGAAAGGTCTGCATCTCAACGAAGATATCTATGCCGGTATGAATGCTTTGATTCGTGGAGGCCGTATCAAGCACTGCGAATACTATCAGTGCGGCAAAGGCCGTGATCTTGGATTTGGGTCTATCCTCAATTTCACCACCAAGATCGGCACTGGCATGGGTGAACAGATGTTGTCTCGCGAGTACTACTACCTGGGAACCCAGCTTCCACTGGACCGCTTCTTGTCTTTCTACTACGCGCACCCTGGCTTCCACATCAACAACATGTTCATCATGTTGTCTGTGCAGCTCTTCATGATCGTCCTGATCAACCTTGGTGCACTGAGACACGAGACCATCATCTGTCATTACAACCACAATACTCCACCCACAGACCCTTTGAAGCCTACTGGATGCGCGAATCTGAGACCGATTATGAACTGGGTCGAGCGCTGCGTCGTCTCCATCTTCATTGTCTTCTTCATTTCCTTCGTCCCATTGGTCGTACAGGAGTTGACTGAACGTGGATTCTGGCGTGCTGCTACTCGTTTGGCTAAGCACTTTGCCTCAGCCTCGCCAGTCTTTGAGGTGTTCGTCTGTCAGATCTACGCCAGTTCTATTCAGCAAGATCTGTCTTTCGGCGGCGCTCGCTATATCGGGACTGGTCGTGGGTTCGCCACCGCACGCATTCCTTTCGGTGTTCTGTACTCGCGGTTTGCTGGTCCGTCGATCTACCTGGGGGCTCGCTCTCTGATGATGCTGCTCTTCGGAACTATGACTGTGTGGGGTGCTTGGCTAATTTGGTTCTGGGTTTCGCTTATTGGTCTCTGCATCTCACCCTTTATCTTTAACCCTCACCAGTTCGCTTGGACCGACTTCTTTATCGACTACAGAGACTATCTTAGATGGCTCTCTCGTGGCAACTCTCGCTCGCATGCCTCTTCCTGGATTGCATTCTGCAGATTGTCACGTACACGTCTAACAGGGTACAAGCGGAAGGCTCTTGGAGCTCCATCCGAGAAGCTGTCTGGTGACGTTCCTCGTGCTCATTTCACCAGCGTCTTCTTCAGCGAGATTGTGGGCCCCATTGTACTGGTCTGTCTGACGCTGATCCCTTACCTCTTCATCAACGCTCAAACAGGAGTTACCAAAGATGTACAGCCGGCTACAAACTCTCTCATCCGGGTGGCAATTGTCGCCTTTGGTCCTATTGCAATCAATGCCGGTGTTCTAGGCGGTCTCTTCGGAATGGCCTGCTGTATGGGCCCCGTCTTGAGTATGTGCTGCAAGAAGTTCGGCTCTGTCCTCGCGGCCATCGCCCATGCGGTCGCGGTCATCATGCTCTTTGCATTCTGGGAAGTGATGTTCTTCCTTGAGGGATGGGTCTTCTCCAAGGCACTCTTAGGCATGATTGCTGTTGTCGCCATTCAGCGGTTCGTGTACAAGTTGATTATTGCTCTGTGCTTGACCCGAGAATTCAAGCACGATTCATCCAACATTGCTTGGTGGACTGGCAAATGGTACTCGATGGGTTGGCACTCGATGTCACAACCTGGCCGAGAATTCCTCTGCAAAATCACCGAGCTCGGGTTTTTCGCCGCCGACTTTATCCTCGGACACACCATCATGTTCCTCATGTTGCCAGCGCTCTGCGTTCCCTACATTGACAAATTCCATTCGGTTATGCTGTTCTGGCTGCGCCCCAGGTATGTGTCTCGCTATGCCTACTACCCTCGCATTACTAACATGATTCTAGTCGTCAAATCCGCCCACCAATCTACTCTATCAAGCAGTCTCGCCTTCGCAAGAGGCGTGTTATTCGCTACGCAATCTTGTACTTCGTCTTGCTCATTTTGTTCATTGTCCTGGTTATCGGACCGGTCATCATTCGGAAATACATCACGGGTCTGCCAACCATTCCCATGCACCTTGTCCAGCCAACCGGACAGAACAACAACGATACAACCACCGGCATTACGGGTTCTGCTCTTCTCAATTTCGGACAGGACGCAACTGCCGCCGCCACTGCTGCTGCATCTGCCGCCACGAGCGGCAACTCCAACGATCCATTCAGCTTTGGAGGCGGAGGCAGGTTTGTCCGATGGTAAACTCTGCTGGAGTAGGAATCGTGAACAATGATTCCGGTATACAAGAAGCAAATGGAGGAGTGCGTGAGCTGAGAAAATGGGTTAAATAAATTTGAAGTCCTTGTTGGGCAGCGCACTACACAAACTAATGAATGAAATGGCATAGACGAGCAGCCTTTCACGCAACAGATAGGTGCTTTCACGGCAGGTTCTTGACCGTGGCAAATCTTTGGGGGACGGGGCGTCACGGCGATTGGGTCATTTTTTGTGTTCGTTAGACATAGCCATACTGTATATGAAGGCCAATGGAGAGTTTGCAAATGACAGATCTGTTCATGGAGTTGAGGACTGTTCCATAGAAGACCGGTATAGGTAGGCCTCTTCTGTAGGTACCTAGGCAGCCAAGATGCGAGCAGTGAGAGGCACTGCAGTGTATCCGTACTGAGTACTCCGTACGCCGTACAGATACTTCATCCCAAGTAGGTAGTATGTCTCCGTACTCCGTACAGATCCTCTATCAGGTCTTCTCGGTCTTCTCGGCTGCGTCGGAAATTGACCCGCCCCTTTTATCTTGACACGTGACCCGCTGTGTAGAGCGCCAAATTCCAATAATGCCTGCGGCGCGGTCCCGACTTCACGACTGAGCCTGAAATATTCTGGAGACACTCCCGACCGCGTATCTCAAGGCCCATGCTGGCGCATACAATATGGACTCCCAAGAAGCCCAAGAGTATCTCACGAACTTCGTCAACGTGACATCCACACAGTTCCACAAACTCCCCGGATCGGCCATCTTCCTGCGTTATGTCAAGTCAAGCTACCAAGATGACCCTGTCCGCTCTGCGGTCGAACTCTTTCTCGTGCTCTTCGCCATCCGGTATCTACTGGCGCCCAAATATTCGACGAAGCCTAACTACGTCAAATTGTCAGAAGAGGTGGGCGAACGCGAAACTGAATTGCTGGTCGTTACTCTTGGCTGACACCAAAACAGGAGATAGACGATCTTGTTGACGAGTGGGTGCCAGAACCTTTGGTGGCCAAGGCAACGCCCTTTGAGGATGCTGAGCTGGAGAAGCGACCTGTCATTGTCGGGTGAGCACCTTCTTGCGGACTCTGGGTAGACAGATGAGATGCTGATGGACGAGTTTAGCCCAAGTGGACCGCGCTCGAAATTGACCAACGGACGTACTGTTACCAATCTAGCGTCGTACAATTTCTACAACTTTGTGTCGAACGAGAACCTCAAAGAGAGGGCTATACAGACTCTGCGCACGTATGGAGTCGGTCCCTGTGGTCCTCCTGGCTTCTACGGGACGCAAGATGTTCATATGAAAATCGAGGCCGACATTGCGGCGTTCCTGGGCACAACTGCTTGCATAATATACGCACAGGCATTCTCTACGATATCAAGTGTCATACCGGCCTTCTCAAAGAGAGGGGATATCATTGTCGCGGATAAAGCGGTAAATTACGCCATCCGGAAAGGCATCCAAATCTCACGGAGCGCCGTGAGATGGTACGAGCATAATGATATGGAGGATCTCCAAAGGGTGTTGGCAAAAGTGACAAAAGAACAGGCGAAGAAGCCACTGACACGGCGATTCATCATCACCGAAGGCTTGTTCGAGAATGTGGGCGATATGGCCGATTTACCAAAGATTGTGAGTTGTGACACAGACGTATCTATCGTTGCGCCTCGACTGATTTATGAGTCACAGATCGAGCTGAAGCTCAAATACAAGTTTCGCCTGATCCTCGACGAGTCATGGTCGTTCGGAGTGTTGGGAAGGACGGGTAGAGGCCTCACAGAACACCAGCATGTCGATGCCGCCGAAGTTGACATGCTTATTGGATCCATGGCAGGACCATTGTCTGCTGCAGGCGGCTTTTGTGCAGGATCTGACGAGGTTGTGGAGCACCAGCGCCTTTCAGCTTCTTCGTACACCTTTTCGGCCGCGCTGCCAGCAATAGCGGCAGTAACAGCAAGCGAGACACTTATGATGCTGCAAACACAGCCTGAACTTTTCGTGCAGTTGAAAGAAAACATTCGATCCATGTGGACTCAACTCGACCCCAGAAGCGACTGGATGTATTGCACTAGCACTCCAGAAAATCCCATCATGCTTCTGACCCTGAAGCCCGAGGTTGTTTCTTCAAGGCGGTTGACGATCGAGGATCAACAGCAATTACTGCAAGACATTGTGGACGAGGTATGTCGCGGTTGACAGGGAGATGGCTTTCGCCCAGCGTCAAAGAAGAAAAGCTAATGTAATTTGCATACAGTGCCTTGCGCAAAATGTCCTCATCACGCGTGCCAAAACCCTTCCTGCTGGGCCTTCTGGCGCAAAGACGGATGTTTATGTGCCCTCGCCAGCTTTGAAGGTCTGCATCACACTGGGGCTAACGAAGAAAGAAATTGAAAAGTCTGGCATTATCATTCGACACGCAATCACCAAGATCCTCACGCGGAAACGATGAGCAGTCTCCTGCGTTCTCTTCCCTCAATGGAATTGATCTATCGATGGTTTCGAGGAGGGGAAGACGCAACCCTGTGTATGATAGTTCCCAAGCCCTTGAGATTTTTTGGGAGTCAAAAGGACGAGGGCTCGAAGGCTGATCAGGCCGTGGCTGGCGTACAGGCAGTAAGCTCGGATTCATGAAGCGCAACTAATAACGGACAACATAATAATAGCTCATCCACCACCAACAAAATTTGGTTCCAAACAGATCTACCAGCACGTTTGAGAAGTTGCTCCGTAGAATGGCTGGCATCGACATGCCCATCGGAGTGCTTCGTCAACAGTCGTGCTCCCTTGTTTTGTCTGCGCCTCGATCTCCTTCTCCAGAAGTGTTCCTGCAACCTGCAATTCCCACCAAATCCCAGTCTGCTCTCAGCAACCTTCATTCAGCTCTGCGAATCAGTCGAGTGGAGAAACTCCCGCCCCTCGGCGCTGTGCATCTTCGAAGCTGGAGCTGAGCCTGCCGCTCCCGCACGATTCAGCGCAAGCCCGCTCCTGCTATTGGCCTCTCCGTATAAATACGCTTCGTACAACTTAGAGAAGCAAGAGCTGCGGGGCATGGCTTACGATCTCATGCGCTATCCCCAGGATCTAGCTTCCTGGCTTGCGAGAGTTTCTGCAAGCCAACGTGGAATAACTGGAGCTGGAAACCCTATGGCCGCAACGACACGACCCTTCTGGCCCGCCTGGGTGAGGAGCTGAATGTGAAAGTCCTTGAATCTAGCCGAGCTGAACTTGCATCCCTGGCGGTAAGTGGATTTGATTCGGAGCAGCTGACGGGTAGCTTTGCCTTGCGGGCTGTATAACTTGACCCGTTGGCCATTCTTTATGTTGTTGTCCCAACCGTTCCACGACCGAGTGCGACATATCACGACAACCGTCCACCACCCAGTCACCGCTGCACCGCCTAGGAACGGTCTCTTGCGCGCTTGAACCCGTCCACTATGTCTATACCAACACGACCCGCCTATTTCCATATTGGAACATGGGACGATGAGACACGCAGACATCCTGCGATGAAATGGATGGAAGACTACACCAAAGCTTTCAATGCTCGTGAAGGATGGGATCGAAAGGCATCCGACTGGCACGCTTCCGAATACACCCTTGTCACGCCGGACGGATCAACTTACACCGATGCTGAGGAATCTTTCAACGAGACCAAGGCAATGTATGCGCCCTTCACCAAAGAATTTCATGAGCCTTATTTTCTGGTCTGTTGGGAGACCAGCACAGGCTGGGAGATGCTAGGTCAGGCGCACTTGTTTGCCAACTGTGCTGGTAATCCGGGCCCAGGCGAACAGAAGGTCAAGGACCTGCAGGGACGAGAATGGGACGTTAAGATCCCAGGAGCATTCCATTTCGCGTACCTGAGCCAGCAGGGTGCAGCACACGGGGGAATTGAGTTGAGCAGAGCTGAGATCATGAGTGATTCGCTACCTGCGATACAGGTTTTGAAGAAAAGAGGGTTGATTGAGTGAGAAGTGATTGTCGCAGACTAGATGCTCTGGGGACATGAACAACATCTTGCGAACAATCTGCCTTATGCCTATCAGCTTCACGAATCGAATCCAGCTTTTCATCTGCGTATAGCTGTATACAGATATTGCTCCCCGCAACCCCAAGAGGCTGTATAACCCTAACCCTAACCCTAACCTGGTTCTAGTTCGGAGTACTCCTTACTAAACCGTATTTTAAAAGCGGCGTGACCCGGGCGAGCTCTGAGTTAGACTCCGCCAAGGAGGGAAACGCGTTCGCTGCAGTGTGCTGATGCCAATGCTCGTCCGCCGTCCGATCCCTCCGCAGTGAGGGAGGAGGCCGACCCCATCTCTCGACTTCGGCTGCAACTGTGAAATGCTCTGTTCACTCCCCTTGTTCGGTCTCTTAGATCGTGAGAAGTTTCCCTCGTGTGATGTGACGCCCGCCGCTCTTTAAGGCAATATGGCCCATTTCCTCCGTGGAAAGCAAGTCGGGGTTCAGAATGACCTCTCCGTCGGCGTCTCACAGGATGTATTTATGGTAGACGATGTACATTGGTACCCCATCTGTTGCTCAACCTCTGCCTGCTAATATTCCCGACAGTTTGCCCGCTATGGCATCAGTTCTCAAATCTCTGTCATTGCTTACGACCCCGTCCAATCCCTGCTCGCGGTCGGTACGAACGAATCTCGGTTCGGCCCTGGCCTTGTCTACGTCTTTGGGCAGAAGCGAGTCTGCGTGACCTTCACTCCCTCCCGGCCTTCCTCTATTCGAACCCTTCAATTCTGTGCCGACAAGCTCGTTGCACTGGATAGCAAGAACGATGTTAGCATTTTCAGCCTGGACACTAAGCAAATGCTGACAAGCTATGCTCCTCCCGGTCATGTCACGGCGATACTCACAGATCCTAGCCTGGATTATTGTTTCACTGGACTGCAAAATGGTGGGTGGCCAGAATAACAGATTGAGTAGTCCGGAAGTCACTGAGACATTTCTACAGGGGAGATCGTGGCATATGACCTGGACCGAGAAGGCATCACGCCGTTCAGGATCCCCAACCTCTGGCGCGAGCGCGATCCAAGGGCACGCATCCTCCCGGTGGTGTGTATGCAATTTCATCCCAGAGACATCGGCACCCTGCTCATCGGCTACTCCGAAGGAGCTGTGATCTATTCATTCAAACAGAACAAGGCCACTAAGTTCTTCCGATATGAAATCCCTAGAGGGGCTCGCGGTGGAGATGGAGAGGGCGCTACCACTGGGCAAGCGAGACAGCCACGTCTGACACATGCTGTCTGGCATCCGACAGGCACGTTCATCTTAACCGCCCATGACGACTCTAGTTTGGTTTTCTGGGATCCTCGGGATGGGCGAGTTGTACACGCAAGAACCCTTGATGATACAGATGTCAACGTACCAGGTCGCGCACCTTCTAGAGATGGGGCAGCCACCATTGCGGTGAAACAGCCTTATATGAAAATCGCCTGGTGCTCAAAGGTGAATTCAGAAGACACTGGACTACTTGTGGCGGGTGGCTCACCCACGACAAATCCAACCCGAGGTCTGACTTTTCTCGACCTGGGACCAACCCCCGTGTATCAGACATCTACCTGGGATTCATTGGCAGCATACTTTCGAAATCCAAAGAAAACACACGTCCTGCCGACGCCAGCCACCGCCGAAATCAGCACATTCACACTGATCCCGCGTTCATCTCCTCATTATGCAGGGTCACACGATCCGATCGCCGTCTTAACGATCCTGTCGTCTGGGGAAATGGTCACCTTGAGTTTTCCCTCCGGCCATCCTATTACCCCGACCAATCAGCTTCATATCTCACTTTCATTTGTCCATCCCTTTGTCACCAAACTCGCGTTGGCTTTTGTGGATCGGACGAGATGGTTAGGCATGAGAGAACTCCGGCAGCACGGACCCAGCATTCTAACCGGCGGAGCAGAGGGCCACCGTCCTCTGAAGAGATTTGAGAACCGGAATATCGTTCAAGCGGCCCACGCCGATGGAACCATCCGAGTCTGGGATGCAGGACACGGCGATGTCATAGAGAATCCCAATGTCCTCCAGGTGGATCTTGCGAGAGCGCTCGGTCGATGGGATCAATTGGAAGTCTCGGAATTGAGCATGTCTGGAGCTACAGGTGAGCTATCAGTTGGGATGAGAACCGGTGAGCTGGTGGTCTTCAGACTCAATCGGAACCAATTTGCTGGCCAACCTCCTTCCGAACCCGGCCCCAATGAGGGTCCCGGAAGCATGACGGACATAACCAGACGAGCAGACCCGGGCTTGAAAGAGGGTCTCCTACCGTTGACGATGGCGAATGATCAACAAGGTCCGGTTGTCGCTCTGCGCCATTCTGACGTTGGATTTGTAGCTGCCGGATATGCTGCTGGTGGGGTGACCATTGTCGATCTTCGCGGGCCAGCCATCATATATACTGTTCTGCTCAGTGAGTTGACGGACGGTAAACATCGAAAAGGTAGCACGAAGCGTGCGAGTGTAACAACTCAGTCTACAGAATATGCCACCGCAATGGACTTTGGGATCATGACCCTCGAGGGCGATGGTAGGTTGTTCACCATGTAGCAGGTGGTGCGAAGCTGACTGGCGATGGACAGATTATTCTTCGTTGGCCTTGTTCGTCGGTACATCCCGCGGTCGAGTTGCTACATTCAAGATTCTTCCCTCTCAAACAGGTCGATACACTTCGCAACTTGCTGGGGTGACCCAGATATCAGACTCACGTGTTATCTCACTGTCGCCGATAGAGGCACACACAGGCTCGCCAGCGGCGGCCACCGGGCAAGCGATGGCAGGATTGCAGTCCGGACGGAAAGTCGACGGTGTTTTAGTGGCAGCTACTGTCTCGTCGTTACACATCTTCCGTCCCGCGCACTCGAAAGGAGCATCCAAGAGTTTCGATCATTATCTTTGCGATTCGGCCAGGGTGGCGCGCTACGAGGACCGTGGCTATGCACTCGTCGGCCTGTTTGGTGATGGTGCTGCGAGGGCATTTTCCATCCCGGCTCTGAAAGAGATTGGCCATGCTCGGGTTAACCATCTCCTGGACACAAAACGATTTGGTGAAGCGATCATCACTCCCACCGGTGATGTATTGGGCTGGGTGGGCCCCAGCGAGGTGGCCATAGTTAATGTCTTTGGCGCCGGTCTGTCGTTGCCAGCTAGCACCGATGGGCTCTATGATCCTGCAAAACTCGTTCCCTCGCGACCGACAATCAGCAATCTCCAGTGGATTGCCGGAACGCAATACATTACTCCGTCAGATATGGATGTGCTGATTGGGGGGCCAGACCGACCACCGTCGAAGCGGATGATGGCTGAAATGCGTGCTGCGCAGGAGGCCGAATTTCAAAGACAAAGAGAGGCTGCCCGGACGGGTCGAGCCGCGCCAAAAGACCAGAGTCAAGAGGGCTATTGGGAATATATGCAGCGACAACTGGCCGAAAGGACAGAGGCGCTTGGTCTCGCCGGCGACAGCATGGACCGAGCGGCCGAATCGAGCAGTACCTGGAGTGATGGAGTGAGCAAATACGTTGCGAAGCAGAAGAGACAAGCAGCGCTCGGATATCTGGGTTCGAAATTCGGGTTCTGATGAGAGAGGATGGATGCATGACGGTTGGAATGGGAATGGGGATATACTGTAGGTGGCAGTTGAACAGGGTCTTTTCTTTTTGGGGCCTGCATAGCGACGGGATGGTTTGGACGGGTTGAATTCCAAAACTCAATGTCAATTCAATGTTCATGATGGTTCGGTAATTGTGAACACACATGGTGGTCACTTCCAGTGCTTTGTTTGTTACTGCCTCTACTTCCCCAGCCTCGTTTCCTGGCGTACTGTAACTCCTGGAGATCCACAGACATGCCGCCGCCACATTTATGATCCTGACTCAACATTCATTGCCATGATATGATCGCTCTGCCGTTCTGAAAGCCCACACACAAGTCGAATTCTATTGCTTCTTCCATTCCCCTTTCCCCTCCGCTTCCCCTTTTTTCGCCGACGGTCGAGTTGCTTTCTTGGTTCCCACCACAGGCTTTTAAGTCGGCTCCTTCTGCTTCTTGGTCGTCGTCTTAGTCTTTGTCTTCGTCTTCGCCGGTGTGGTCTGGACTGCTTTCTTCGTCTTCGTGACCGCCTTGGTTGTTGCGGCCTGGACTGCTTTCTTCGCGACCGCCTTGGTTGTCGCGGCCGCTTTCTTCGCGGTCGACGCTTTCTTCACTCCCGCGGCCTGGGCTTTGGCTTTAGCTTTGACTCTGATCTTTGTCGATGCACCGTCACCGCTACCTTTACCGTCGCCTTTGCCGTTGCGGCTGCGGTTGCTGCTTTTCTTGGTCGCGCCGGTACCGGTACCGGTACCGGCAGGATGGGTACCAGGAGAATAGCGGTCCGGTGCTTTGCGGTCGCGCCGGGGCCGGCTGCTGGTGACTGGGATCGGGGCCGGTCTTGGTTTCTTGCCGACGATGGCTTTGGCTTTGACTTTGGCTTTCGCCGTGGCTGTGGCTATCGGCACGCCAGAACGGTTGTCGTCGTTGCTATTTACATTGGTGTGGGAGTGGGAGTTGGTGTTTGCATTGGTGTTGGAGCTGTTGTCGTTGCTATTTGCATTGGTGTTTGCATTGGCGTGGGAGTTGCTGTGGGTGTCGGTGTGGCTGTTGCTGCCGCTGTTGCTGTGTTTCCCTTCCGGGAGGTCATGCAGCCGGGCCCATCTCTGCTCTGTGTCACCGGAGCTGGTGGCTTCCTGCTTCCCCTTCCCCTTGACCGAGTGCTGAGTTTGATGTAGGACTAAGGAAGAGCCAGAGCCAGAGCCAGAGCCAGAGCCACCATCGTAACGGGCAGAAGCCGTAGCCGTCGCCGTCTTCTCGGCCGCACTGGAATGCTCGGCTGGTGCCTTGGCTCCCTGTGTGCGAAACGCAACGCAAGCGAGCCGTCAGCCCGTGTTGTCCTTTTAGCAAAGCAAAGCAGGCGGAACAGAATAGCTGTCTAAGCTACATAGAGACAGGTTGCATGCAGACTCACCTGTGATCCAGACATGATCAGTAGTGATATGTGTGATTATGACACTGCGAAGCTCTCCAGAGAGACTTCCTGTGTGTGTGTGTGTGTGTGTGTGTGTGAGTGATTTGGATTCCTTGGATATTAGGCCCGTAGTGCCATGGCCCAGCTCATATACAGCGTAAAGACGGCCTTGGAGACGGCTGCCAACAAAGAGTGCAAGCAGGCCAATCCCGTCGCCCGCAAGTGAGGCTAGGCGAGGCAAGAGGCAGGGAACGAACAAAGAGGCATGTGGTAGGAGGGTGGAGGGAGGGAGAGGACGGTGTAGTGAGGTATGCAAACACGGTGCGTGCGCTCTGAGCGCCAACAATGAAATAGCAATCGCAATGGCAATAACATGGACAAACGCGGAAATTGGCCAAGTTGCTTTTGCTCCGAGACGAGCGAGGAATGTGTCCAGGACGACAAAGAGTGTATCGGCATTCTTGATGCCGGTTGTGGCCTCGTGTACCATACCAATGAACAACAAACCCCACTCCACAATCAAGGATCTCCTGCTCTGCTCGTATCCAAGAGAACTCCATCGCTTTTTCACCCATGTGTCAAATCCTAACCTTCCCCCCTGAACTTCCCGCTGGCTCGGAAATGCAAAGAAAACCAAGTAGCAAGCCTCCCTAGATGTCAACACCATGTCCCCTCTCGCCAGGCCGACGGTCGCCGTCTCTTCATGAGCGAGAGAAAACAGAGCCGCGAAATGTATAAATTATAAAGTGGAAAACAAATCGGCTTCATCCCCGTCACCCACCAAGTCCTGACCCGTCAACGTTCCTCAACTTGGCCGCCAACGTGGTGTCGTAGAAGTTATAGTAGGGGTCGGGGACACAGAATGTCGAGTGTCGAAGGAGGGTGTCGGCGGTTGGTCGATCGGTCGGGTTGCTGCGAATCTGCATTAGCACCAACAAACCAACGGCCACGGGCGCCTGAGGGATAGGGGTCAATTGCACTTACACTTGGAAACAGTCGTACATAAAATTCAATCCGTCCACAGTAGCAGTCGTCTGGACATCTTCCGGGATAGGTGGAGCTTGACTCAGGCTTCCCAGCTTGAAGATGGCGCCAATGGCCTCTTCGCGACTCCACGGTCTTTTCCCTGCAAACATCTCCAAGACTACACACCCGAGGGACCAGATGTCCACTTTGGCACTGTAGCCTTGTCCTTGAGAGCGCACCACTTCAGGGGCCATCCAAAAAACAGACCCTTGCATGCTGTTGGTCACGTCGTTGCCGTAGATATTGTCCGACTTCTTCGAGATGCCAAAGTCGGAGATCTTGCAGGTCCCGTCCAAGTCCAAAAGGATATTATCCGCTTTCAAGTCCCGGTGGAGGATGCCCTCATGGTGCAGATAAGCCAACCCTTCCAGCGTCTGTCGGGTGAGTGATCGAACAACCGCCTCCTCAAACTTGCCGTGTTTGCGAAGACAACTGCCGATGGAGCCACCGGGAATATACTCGAGGTAGATGCTGATCGAGAACTCTTTACGTTCACAACCGAGGTACTGGACAATGTTGGGATGTTCCAGGTGTTGCATGGTGTCGATTTCCTGGTCCAACGCAGCCACCATCTCCTTGATGCGATCTTTGTCCTGTCCGGCAGCCTTCTGGTTGACCTCGACTTGTTTGACCGCCAGGAATTCACCAGTTGTCGCGTTCATGCCAAGGTACACACGGCCATAGGTCCCTTTCCCGATCAGTTGACCCCGGATGATCTTGAACGTCGCCTGACGCTTCGGCATGTCTTCAGAAGGCACGTCTTCCTGTGGGATGGGATCCAAAGTCGAAAGACGGCTGCCTGGCTTGGGCTTGATTTGCACGATGTTGGCCCCAAACATTTTGGTGCTCTTCCGCCGCACAATGCTACCAGCGTTGGCCTGTTCGGCCCGTACTGCAACCGACGGCCCTCGCTTGATGTCGTTGCGTTTTTGAGCCACTTCACGAATGGATTTCATCCGCGCGATGCCGCCTGACGCCTTCCCTACCTGCCTTTGGGCGACACTCGCCACCTTGTCTCGGTCTTTCGCTTTCAGGGTGGATTCATCCGAACCGAGTGTATCTGACTCGCTCTTGCGGTTGAAATCGAGATCTAGCCCTCCCGTCCCAAAGGTCAGATCGCCTGATCGAGCCGCCCGCAAGCTCTCCAGAGGGTCATAGTCGGCCGACTTCAGTGGTGAATTGTTGTCGCCCTTTTCTTCAAGATACGGTTTGTCGAGATCGACGCCTGGGAAGAATTCGTCGAGATGATGGACGACATTCTCCACGGCCGGTCGATTCGCCCAGATATCACTCACGAACGAGTCCCTTCTGCCCATGCGGTCGTCTGGAGACTGTGCGGAGCCACTGAAACTGCCCTCCGAGAGACTGCGCTCATAACCGTCTCCACTGGCTGTCGCACTATCGTCTCCCGTGTTGGGAATGCCCGAAACTTCGCTGGCTGAGCCTGGCGACTTGAACCGAACATTCTTTCCCACATTCTGGTCTGTATCCACAGTCAAGGCCGGTCTTTGGTCTTTTGTGCTATTGCTTTGGCCCTCGCTCTTGGGTATGGACTTATTCGCCAATGGAATGGCAAAGAGACCATCGTCCGAATCATCATCTGAATCCTCCGTCTTCATTGGAATCGGCGACGGCGCGAATTTTACATGTGTCTCCTTGAAATCATAATCTGGGCCATAAGACTTTCTAGTTTGAAGTCCGGGTCGAGGGGCCTTCTCCGTCGAGGGACTGGTACTTGGAGACCGCGAGTAACGTCGCTCGTCGTCTCGCGCGATGTTCCGTGATCGAATGTCGTATTGTGACATATCAATCCCTTCTTCATGGTTAGAAATCTTGGACAGCAAATGACCCTTGCCTCCCACAAAACCAGGGCCATGTGTCTTACCTGAATTGCCGCCTCTGTGATTCAAGTCAGCCGCTGGTGTGACTCGATTTCTCTCAGAGGGGAAGCCCTGACTACCGACGGCAGCAGGAGCACCAGCCATTCTGCCCACGTTTGCGAGAGCCGCACCGATCCCGCCCGATGCGATAGGACCGGCGTCGGTCTTCCTCTTCCCGCGGTCTGAGTTTTCTTCGGCAATCGGGTCAGAAATTCGCTTTAAGGCATCCAGGGAGGATCTATTGCCCGAGCCTTTGGCCCTCAAGGAGTTGACCTTGGTCAAAGTGCTGGACTCAGATGGCGCGGTTGGTGGTCGGCGCACAGGGACAAGGTTGTCAACCTTTTTGTCTTCGAACGGAGACAGGCGGGGAGTATCAAAATCTATGACGGTACTTCCACGAATACCGCTGCCATTGTATGTGGAGCTTTGTTCCTTCTGTGCTCGGCGAGAGTCTAGGTATGCCCTGTGCTTGGCCTCTGTCTGTCGTCGATACTCTTCTTGCTTTTGAAGCAGGTCTGTCTCTGCCCTCGGTTGTTCTACCCCTGATGATGAAATCACGCCTCCTCCAGTTGAGTTGGATTTGACCATAGGTGCTCCCCGTGAATTTCCATCAGATTGGATTCCGTGGTTGAACAATACCCCGAGCCCTGTGGATTGCCCAGTAGGGCCCGAAACTGCAGACAGAGTTGGACTTTGGACATACAACTTCAAACTGCCCGAGTTATCGGTTCGACTGCGAACAGCGACGAGCATATTGTCCGACAGCGGGTTTTCGTGTTCGGTTTGGCCGGGTTCCGTAACAAAGAGGTGTGCATACTCGGCGTCCGGTATCCCTAGTTCGATGCATATGAGGCTCCGCAAGGCAATCGCGCTGTCCACCTCGGTGACATCGACAAGTCGGTAGTTCCAGCCATCGGGGGTTACGAAGATATACCTCCTGGAGACAGATGGGGTCCGCCGGAGCGGGAGTGGCCTGTCATCTTCACTCGCCACACTCGTTGAGGCAGGCCGCTGGGGTGGTAAAGTCGATTCGCTGCCATTTGCACTCGGCTTCGAAAATAACCGGAAGGATCCTGGGCTCGTGGGCGATTCTAGAGCATGATCATCTGGATGTGGTTGATTGTGCTCATGACGCTTTCTCATAAACTTGCTCAAAAAACCTTTGCTCTGGTCCTTTCCTCCCGGTCCCGGTGCATATTCGTTGCTCCAGGTTCGATGAGTTTCGACAGGCGACGGTCTCGGCATTTCCTGTGCATCGCGGCGATCTGCGTAGTAACGTCCCGGGAAGGAGCCGTCCGTATTGTTTCTGCCGCTTTCTGGACCGGCCTGTACATTGTTATTAGAACGCGAATAGCCAGTTATTTTGAGCATAGAATCGGTGCTGTTGCTTTTGCTGTGTTCAGGTCGGTGTGTAAGAGAGGTGGAGCTAGCAGATGATGCCGGCACTGCAGTTCCAAGACCGGGGCTGGCATTGGGAGAGGCTTCGAATCCCTTCGCTACCAAGCCGGAAGTTGCGTCGCCGGACATGTTGGGACTGTGGCGGCCGCGGTTGTTGATACCGGTGAGGACATTCCGCGAGTACTCCGCACGGCTACCGCTATGCAGGCTGTCTGGAGGTTTGGGGTCGCTAGGAGTCGAAGAACTGCTGCTGTGTTTACTCAGAACTGGCATTGTACTGCTTCTCGACTGGGAATTGCGCGGCCCTACGCCAGTAGGGAATTGCGCGGGCATTTGTTTACCTGGACTTCCTTCTGGACCAGCGGTGCCAGGGGTAGTACTGAATTCAGATCTCGGTAGGTGAGGTGAATTCTCTAGGGTACCTTCTGTTGAGGCACTTGGAAGGATGCCAGATTCGCGTCTGCGATGACCATGCCCGGCGCTGGACGGTCCTTCACCACCCTGCTCCACGAGGCGCGATATGAGTTTCCGCAGTCTCTTTCCTTCGTCACGCTCACGGGCTTGATCCCAGCCAGTGCTACTGCTAGAACAGACCTTGGCCAGCTGTGGGTAAATGGTGTGGTGCAACATGCCCAAGTTCCCGCGGCCATTAGGTCCACGTCCGAGATCGAGAAATTCCGAGCCTTGTAACCTGAGAATCCGGAATGTCTCCTGCCAGTCATTCGAGAAGCCATTCGTGGCTAGCCATAAAAGTACGCGGTCTAAGGGCCATTGTGATCCGATATCGTTGGCACTTCCACTTGTAACGGCAGCGCTATACGCCCGCTGCCGATTGTGCTCACTGCTCCCTTGTGGGTTTTGGAGTATAGCAGTGGGAGGTCCTGGAGAAAGCGGTTCGTTCACGTCCCGCACCGGGATGGTGAAAGACGGTCGGGTGGAAGACGCTGAAGCGGCACGAGATTCTCGGTTCGCAATATCTGGATTCGGCTGAGAGGGATTCGGGTAAGAATAACTATGCGAATTGGTCGTCCCGTCTGAATATCTCTGGTCGGTGTGGGGCAGCGAGGGCTCGGAGGCGAATTGGGCCTCATACCGGGAGTAAGAGGAATAGTCATCGAGCGGAGGAATCCCTACTCCAGGGCCGAAAGAGTCACCGGTTGGAATGAATGTGGCAGACAAGATCGGTTTGTCGTTCTGAGGAGGCGGAGGTGGGAGATTCATGTGTGATGCTTGTCGCATTCCGTAGGGTAAATGCTGATTTTGTGATTGACTCTGACTGATTGGGGGCGGTGGAGGCGGTAGACCTTGACCCATGCCAGCTCTTCCCCATGGTTGTTGCCATCCTGCTCCTGGTAATCCAAACACCGTCCCTAAGGGCAATGCTGAGGGATGCGGGCCTGGAGGCGGAGGCGGAAGTGTTGACTGTGGATACGGTCGGGGCGGAGGCGGAGGAAGGTGAGTTAGATTTCCCTGCCCTGGAGGCGGAGGAGGCCCGGGGATATATTGTGGACGCTGGCTATCCATAACTTCTCTGTTAGAGACCATGTTCCCCGGCGCCGAATATCATTTAGGAGAACGGTGCTGCAGTCGCTGGCTTTAACACGCTGGGTGGTAATAAAGGTGTCCCAAGCCAGCACTGAAAGCCAACATATCTTTGTACATCACCCAACTTCTTCAACGGTGTCTCCGTATGGGTCGAGCGACGTCGATTCTAGACAAACTCGAGCCCTTGCTGTACACCGAGGGCAACGGCAAGTCTTTTTGCCAAACCGGTTGATCAAATGCGCATGATTGTAAACAGCGTTGGCAACGAACCCTTGGAACGGGTGCAGGATTGTAGAGGGTGGAAGAGGAGAGGTGTCGCAGCAATTGGAGGACGTGGGAGACAAGGGCGCGCAATGTTAGCTTCTCTCGTGTCGAAGTGATCGGATGGAGCAACGGTGAGGGTGTTGACACAGTCAAGTCAGCACATGAAGGGCCTGCAACAGCGTGGAGAAGTACGGATACACACAATGTTCAACCACGAGGATGTTCCATGCTTGTGGCTGGAGAATCCAATAGGCAGCCTGGAATAAGCGCGTAGCGAGAGCGCAGGCTGAACCCCGTCATCGCCGATAAAGTAGGATAAGATAAGGGTCGGCACCATACCTTAGGCAGCTAATAGGTACTAGGTACCTAGGTATATGCCCGGCACAGAGCACATCCTCCCCAGCGTCAGATGGTAATGTGTAAAGGGCATCTATGCGGATAGGATTGGATTGTTTAGCTTGCATTATCTCAGTCAGGCACCTAAACTCTAGGTACGTACCTTCGTACTATGGTACAACATTTCGCTCAGCGGCAAAATAACAAGTACCTACGTAGCAAGCCTGTATAGGGCAGTCTAGAGTGTCTGGACCTCCACCATCACACCACGCCTGCACTCGGTCGGTGCGCCGCTCACCTACCGCTCGTGGCATGCTATGCGTGTAGTAGCTTGAGCTTCGTAGTTCTATCCATATCGCTCGCCCTTCCTTACGCCTGGGCCCTCCGCCGACTCCGCTGCATCCTGATGACGTTAAGTAGGTGCTGTGAGTGTATTTAAGTTCTTGCTGCAACTGTCTCACTTGTTCCGTCTCCTCCGTTACTGTAGACTCGCACCCCCCGCCCCAACATGGCTACTCAACTCGACATCCGCACGGCAGAGCTCAGAGAGCCTGTCGATGCTGTTACTTACCTCTTTACCAGACTTAAGCAGATAGGGATCGATTCGGTCCACGGCCTACCCGGAGATTTCAACTTGGTTGCTCTCGACTACCTTTCAGATTGTGGTCTCAAGTGGGTGGGCAATTGCAACGAGCTCAATGCGGGCTATGCAGCAGATGGCTACGCTCGCATCAAAGGGATCTCAGCGGTCATAACCACCTTCGGCGTGGGCGAGCTGTCCCTTCCCAACGCCATTGCGGGATCGTGAGTGACTCTTGTTTGTTCTCATCCGCTGGACAGGACGGCTGACTTGTGGTAGCTACGCTGAATTTGTGCCTGTCGTCCACATCGTCGGAACCCCGAGCACTATCTCCCAAGCTAATGGAATGCTGCTTCACCACACCCTTGGCAATGGCAACTTCCAGGTGTTTGCCGATATCGCCTCTCGGCTTGCTGTGGACGTCGCCAAACTAAGCGACCCTCGAGACATTCCTGCCCAGATTGATCATGCACTCCGCGAATGCTACGTTCAAAGCAGACCGGTCTATATTACACTGCCTACAGATATTGTCAGGAAGAAGGTGGAAGGTGAAAGACTGAAAACCAAGATTGATCTCAGCCCTCACTCAAATGACCCGGAGAAGGAGGATTATGTGGTTGATGTCGTGCTGAGGTACCTTACCCAGGCAAAGAACGCAGTCATCTTGGTCGATAGCTGTGCCATTCGCCACCGAGTCTTGGACGAAACACGCAAGTTCATCGAGAAATCCGGGCTTCCGGTCTTTGTGGCACCCATGGGCAAAGGTGCCGTCGACGAGACCCTACCCACCTTTGGTGGTGTATACGCCGGCGATGGCTCGAACCCTGGAGTGCAAGAGCGTGTTGAAAGTGCCGATCTACTCCTGACCATTGGCAGTGTCAAGTCGGATTTCAACACGGCAGGGTTCACGTACAGGACTTCGCAGCTCAGAACCATCGACTTTCACAGCACCTACATACGGGTTCGTCACTCAGAATACCCTGGGATTGGCATGAAGGGCGTTCTCCGCAAACTCATCGACAGACTGCCCAAACTCAATATTGAGCCAGGACCAACACCTCCTCAGAACCTGATACCCCAGGCTGAAGACGCAAGCGACCCTGCCGTCACGCACGGTTGGTTTTGGCCTCGCATGGGCCAGTGGCTGCAAGAAGGCGATATCGTGCTTACCGAGACCGGAACATCAAACTATGGCATCTTCAATGCCCGGTTCCCAAAGAATGTGACAAATATTAGTCAGATTCTGTGGGGAAGTATTGGGTACGCCACAGGTTCGTGCCAGGGTGTGGCACTAGCTGCCCGAGAACTTGGTGGCAAGCATCGGACCATTCTCTTCACCGGTGATGGAAGCTTCCAACTCACGGCGCAAGAACTCAGCACAATGATCCGGCATAAGCTCAATCCCATCATCTTCATCGTCTGCAACGACGGCTACACAATTGAGCGTTTCATTCACGGAATGGACGCCGGGTATAATGACATCCAGAATTGGAGATACAAAGATCTCCCTGCCGCCTTTGGGGCCCAAGAAGGGACATACAAGACCTACCAAGTGAGGACGAAGGACGAAGTCGATGCCCTGTTCCAAGACGAGAACTTTTCAAAAGCTCCCTATCTCCAGTTGGTTGAACTTTACATGCCCAAGTATGATGCTCCTGCTGCCTTGAAATTGACCGCGGAGGCCAGCGCTCGTAACAATGCGAAAACATGATTGGGGTGCGTGCCAGGAGAAAACGGGCACGCCTGGTACAAAGAGCCAAAGCTCCGGCACAGGACAGCGGCGCCTTGAATTTGCAGACGATGGAGATGAGACAAATACTAACGATAGATGTACCATGAATCTAAATCTTCACCTATTACGGTTTGTGCAGCAGGCAAATAAATAATAATAAATAAATACAGTACCCTGATGACGAGTGGAATGTCCAGCCGAAACTCGCCTAGACTTGCCGGTAGAGCGGCATCTGCCTAAGCACAAGGCACATGCGCCTATGATGGATGTCCCACGGCGATGCCTTCATCTTCCCCTTGTCGGTACGAATGCATCTCGGTGCGTTGAGACACTACACGCTCCATTTCCAAGGCACTGCACAAGAAAGGCCAGGCATGGCCAATCCCGCCTCGGCACCTCTTGAAGGATCTTTGACTGTCTAGGACAGAGCGCCTCATAATGTCGGGCCTACAATTGACCTATCTTTCTGGCTTGCGGGTTCGTCTTCCTCGACAAAGCCATCCCTCCGTCAGGTGAGCCAACGTTGCTGAGCCTGTGACTCCTGCGGTCGACATCAACCGACTCCGCTTTCGTCCTGTGAGCCAGATGCATTGCGGACCACGGATCACGCTTCAACTAAAAAGGTCCGTTTAACCACAATCAACGTGCAAACGCCATCCTCGCATTCACATAGCGACAAGAAAGCTGGAACTTCAACATGGCGACCCTTGATACTCCGCCCAAGAAGGGCGGCGGCCGCAAACTTCAGAAACGAAATCCAAACCTCAACCGACTGTCCTCCTCTCGCCTTCCCCCTCGCCTTCGTCTAGGACCCGATGCTCAAGATGATGTGACTGCCCCAAGCAGAGGCAAAAATACTCCGGCTGCATACATGAATCAGTCCATATTTTCCATGATAGCGGCAGCTGGGTCACGCACAGATTTTAACTCGAGATTCAATGATTCGAGCGAGAGCGAAGATGAGATTGTCGCGGAGGAGCAAACACCTGCGGCGGACAAACTGTACCCGGCCACTTCAGACCATGTACAAGATGTGGCAGCGAAAGAGACGGACGCATCAAGTGACCATACAAGTAAGCGATTATCGGGGTCCCGTCTGGCACAACCTCTACCCAGGCTGTCCGCAAGAGCTTTGAAACGGAAGGACAAGGACCAGCCTCCCCTACAGAGTCCCAGTCCTGAAAGCGACGGAACATCAAGATCTTCCAGGAGTAATCCGCGGGATGCTCCCATCCTGAGCAGAATACTCACTGCCAAAGCGGAATTCCAAGAGAGTGTCGATGCCGATGTGCAGGTGCCATCAAGCACAGAAGGCAAGCGGCCAAGAAAGAGGGCCGAGTCTTCACCTCAGACACTTCTAGCTGCCAGGTTGATGGAGATCTTTGGATTTGAACAACCGGAAACTGTTGTGGCGGAATATCCATGCTGGCTGCTACAGAGTGTACTGCTGCAGGGATATTTGTATATCACCCAACAGCACATCTGCTTTTACGCCTACCTCCCAAAGAAGTCCCACACTGTCGCTAAGAATGGGTACCTCGCAAAGAAAGGTCGGTCAACTTCAAAGTATAAACGATACTGGTTCTCATTGAAAGGAGACGTCTTCTCATATTACTCTGACCCTTCCAATCTCTATTTCCCTTCGGGAAACATCGATCTTACGTATGGGATCTCTGCCACTCTCTCGACAGAAAGGGGTAAACCAAAAGAAAGCAGAGACTTTTCCGTGATAACGGATCATCGCACGTACCATTTCCGTGCAGACAGCCCTTCAAGCGCGAAAGAATGGGTGCAGGCGTTGCAGAAAACCATCTTTCGCTCCCACAACGATGGAGATAGTGTAAAGATATCTCTTCCAGTGGACAACATCATTGACTTCGAGGACAGTCCCGTTGTCGACTTCGCGGAAACAGTCAAGATAAGGGTGATTGAAAGCGAAGACTCTTATGCTATCGACGAGGCAAGTAACCCCCCCTTGAAGCTGCACTGACAGTTTCTAACTATGCGCAGTATTTCTTCTCATTCTTCAGCTTTGGTCAAGATGTCCTCCACGTCTTAGGAGAGTTGCTCACCGAAGCCCCTCCAAGAAGGACATCTGCAGATGTCTTCTCGCCGACAAGACGAGCGGAGGATGCATCTAGTCCCATGAGCAGATACGCTCTCCCTCGTCAACCGTCTGACGGCGAGCCCAGGAGCCCTAGATCTCATTCAACTCCGCCTCTTAAGGACAATATCAGAGCAACACTGTTACCCTTTCATGTTGGCGGTGATGGCAGAATGTCTCCAAGGAGGAGTGGAGGCTCTAGTAGAGGAAACAGCCCCTCCCGTTCCAGTGGTGATTATGGTCGAGCCAGCTTTGAACGGGGACGCAGAAGCGGAAGCACCTCTCGACTGGACGCGAGCACATCCAGACGAAAGAATAGATCGCCACTTGCAAGGCATCATGAATCTGAAGATTCATATGTGCAGTCCGTCGACAAAGAGACAGATTCGTCGACGGCACCATTGTCGCCCAGAGTGGAAGCACAAATGTCTGCTAGCCAGATCTTGACGCGCAGTGATGTGTTTCATCCTCATGCTGTCGTTCGAATGGAGACTTTGGCTTCTATGTCGACGGAACCTACGCGAAAATCGTCGGACGGTGGGACAATTCTTTCTAGTTCACCACAACGGGAGACTTCATCGCCTATGGCAATGCGGGGGACAGCTGATGCAACCGGATCATATCCTAGGGATGTTCGAGAAACGACACACAACGAAGTCGTGTTCTCAGAGTCCGACAACGGCAAAAAACCTTTCAAGGATGACCCGCCACCGTCGCTTCAGGATCTAGTGAAAGCAGGGTCCTACCCCCTCCAGCGAGCAGGTGCTTTTGCCTACTATCTCAAAAACCGATCCGTTTCTATGAGGAAGTTATTGGCGGAGGAGTCCATGTCCTATTTGGAAAAGGTGTCGGGCATGTGGGCCGGGCATAGGAAGCACTACGGTGAAAACGAAGGAATCGTTCCTGACGACAGAGGTATCGACCCGGAAGACGAAGAAGCCAATGTGGGCCACGGGGATCGGTTTCGTGCGCATTTTGCTCTCCCTCCCACTGAGAAACTGCAGGCCACGTACTTTGGCTTTCTACACCGCGTGCTCCCCTTGTATGGCAAGATCTACATCAGTAACCGGAAATTTTGCTTCCGGAGTCTGCTGCCCGGTACACGCACCAAGCTTGTACTGCCATTGAAGGACATTGAGAATGTGGACAAGGAAAAGGGATTTCGCTTCGGTTATCATGGCCTGGTCCTCGTCATTCGCGGATATGAAGAGCTGTTTTTCGAGTTCAGTTCCGCAGAGCATCGTGATGACTGCACGATCACACTTTTACACAGCTTGGAAACTGTCCGATATATGGCAGAGTCTGGGGTACTTGGGCAGCACGATGAGGACGATGCCGAGATTGCTAAACAGGAGCACCGCATGCTTCAAGAAGCCCGGCGCAACTCGGGCGGTGAGCCTCAGCTGGTGCTGCCTGACACGGCCGAAACGATTTACAGCCATGATGAAGTTTCAGCTGTTCCGTTTGACGACCCTCGTGCATCCATCATCAACTTCCGCCCGACTGCGCCGATGCGAATTACATGTCTCACAATCGGCTCTCGAGGGGATGTGCAACCCTACATTGCTCTGTGCAAAGGGCTGTTGGCTGAAGGACACCGACCCCGAATTGCGACGCACGCCGAGTTTGGCCCCTGGGTGCAGAAGCACGGCATCGACTTTCGGCCGGTGGACGGCGACCCGGCAGAATTGATGAGGATTTGCGTCGAGAACGGCATGTTCACATACTCGTTTCTACGAGAGGCATCAGCCAAGTTCCGCAGCTGGATCGATCAGCTGCTCACGTCAGCGTGGCATGCGTGTCAAGACAGTGACCTGCTGATCGAATCGCCGAGTGCGATGGCAGGCATCCATATCGCAGAGGCCCTGGGTATTCCATATTTCCGAGCCTTCACCATGCCGTGGACTCGGACACGAGCCTATCCCCACGCATTCGCCGTACCCGAGCACAAGATTGGTGGCGCTTACAATTACTACTCGTACGTCATGTTTGACAATGTGTTCTGGAAGGCGATTGCCGGACAGGTCAATCGGTGGCGCAAGAAAGAACTGGCACTGCGCAGTACCAACTTGGACAAGATGCAACCCAACAAGGTGCCCTTCCTGTACAACTTCTCGCCTCATGTGGTGGTACCGCCGTTGGACTACAGCGATTGGGTTCGAGTGACTGGATACTGGTTCTTGGACGAAGCCCATGACTGGCAGCCGCCCGAGGAACTCACGGCATTCATCAAGAAAGCTCGGGATGACCAGAAGAAGCTGGTGTACATCGGCTTCGGGTCGATTGTGGTGTCGGATCCTGCGGCCCTCACGAAAACCGTGGTTGATTCGGTGATGAAGGCAGATGTGCGATGCATCCTGTCCAAGGGCTGGAGCGACCGACTGGGAGATCCTGCGGCGATCAAGACGGAAGTCCCGCTGCCGATGGAGATCCTCCAGATCAAGTCTGCACCACATGACTGGTTGTTTCGGCAAATGGATGCGGCGGTCCACCACGGCGGGGCGGGGACCACGGGGGCCAGCTTACGGGCTGGTGTGCCAACGGTGATCAAACCATTCTTTGGCGACCAATTTTTCTTTGGATCACGCGTGGAGGATTTGGGGGTGGGTATATGCCTGAAGAAGGTCAACGTCAGCTTGTTCTCGCGGGCGTTGTGGGAAGCCACGCATTCCGAGCGAATGATTGTCAAGGCACGATTGCTCGGCGAGCAAATCCGGAAGGTGAGACCAGACTCTTTGCGATGCATTGCCGGTGGTCTATCCACAGCCTTGGTCTCTTGCTAACTGGTGGGTGCAGGAGAACGGGGTGCAGACGGCCATCCAGGCCATCTATCGGGACCTCGAGTACGCCCGGTCTTTGATCAAGCCTCGACCAACAGGCCCCGGGGCGTCGGCGAGCGCGGCAGGCGATGCGGATGATGGGGGCGAGATTGAAGAGAACTGGACATTCATCGGTGAGGAGAGCGACCCAGATCTACAAAGACGCATGCACGACTGGGAGTCACCGAGACGGGGTCGAGGGCTTGGCGTCGGTATAGAGGGAGCAGCAGGCTTACGGGCCATACAAGGAGTCGAGCCGGTGCGGAGTTCCGGCGTTCAGCGATGATGATGGGGCGACCCTCTCCCGCACTGGATGCCGGGCAAGCAGTGGCAGAGCATGGCGTTGTTCGGAATCATGGTGTAGTGCAGCTGGGGGTTCAGGAGAGCATTGTTATTGTTCGAGATTATGTGTACTCTGTACTGCCGGAGCCGGAGCTGGAGCTGGAGCATGAGCGATGGGCTGATGGGATCGGTATTGATTGAGTGACACCTGATTTTTCACACTCGACGGCTAGACGACTTATCCAAGACTAACGACGTGATGCACGGGGATGGCAGGATGGAGGGCGGGGGCGCTGGTGCCGGTAGACAGGGCAAACGAGATAAGGCTGGTGGTAATGCGAATGATTCTCCTTGAGGATGACTATTTCACTTTTTCTGATGACATACGAGGCTGGTAGGAAGGCGGTACTCGTACAAGTACTCGTACAAGTACTCGTAGAAGGACGGTCGTGAGGGAATCGAGATCGAAGAAAGCGAATCTGGTGCTTGACTGCAAGGCCGGAGTGCGACAGGGGGGTTGCCGACTCTGGTGAATGATCATCACAGGGTGGATATACTTCCTCCAGATGCGGTTGCGCATACGGAGTATGTTTCCGGGTGCGGATGGACCGGTGACTGCGGTCACTCGAGGGAGTGGGAGGCAGCTAGCTGTACGGAAGACTCTTAAGCGTGATGAAGGTACAGGAACTGGGTCGTGCTCATGCTCATGATAGGTCGCAAGTGACTGAAGTGAGGATCTTGTTCTGAATAAGCGTGGAAGTAGCGGTGGACAGAAGTTCGTCGGAGGGTGGTGTTTGGAGGTTGGAGGTTGGAGGTGGGTGTTTTTGTTTTCTTTTGGTGACTTTGAGACGAGTGGATGGGCGGATGGGATATCCTGGTCCGCAGGCAAGGCAAGGCAAGTACTAGTCGTAGGTCAGGTAGAGAGACATTATTCCATGCCCAACATTTGAATACATACCTGACATTCCTGTGGGTGCGTCGAAGTAGGTCCTAGGTAGGTACCTGTGGTGGTAGCATAGTCACACTGACATAACGTAATTATCACAGTACGGATCCTCCGTCCAGATACGGGTTTGGCAATATGGGGTGTGGATGAGAATCCCGTCCCTACTCCAGACGGATATCGTTATCGTTCTCCTGAGTGCTAAGCAGCATTAGGAGCATGCTACAGCACCAAGTAATAATCCTTGTTTGCTTTGGCCCGTCTGGATTGTTCTTTTCTCGGCAGCCTGCCCACCACTCTCAGCTTGGTAGCAAGGTAACAATCTCGTCGAGGCGGGTGCACCGGGTACCGGGTAGGTAGGAGGTACTGTAGGTGAGAAAATTCGTCTTTCGCCCGTCCATTCATGATCCTCGCATCCAGCTGGAAACGTTTTCCGGAAACCCTGTCACCTCCCACCTACCGCCTATCACCTACCACCTACCACCTACCTCAGCTACCTAATCCGTACTTAGTAGGCATCTTACCTGCTACTCCGTACGTCTACTTCAGCCCTGTCCTGCAGAGTAGAGAAAATAATCTTTAATGATATGAACCTACCTTGATCATAATAATAATCATAAATCATACCAGGTAGGTAATTATAGCCATCACCATAGCCGTAACCGTAGCCATAACCACAACCCATAACAAGAATGGGCTTACAGTAAGCTCCAAGGCCCCTAAGGCCCCTAAGCCCCCTCCCCAGCCCCAGCGTGCAATAATACGGTAATGCTGCTTTCCCACCTGCTTTTTGTGAACCCAAGATCGCCCCCGCCATCTCCGACGCAGCCGCCCCGTAAGTTGCGGCCCTTGTTCTGGTCCTTGTTTCTCATCCTCGTCCCGGCTCTGCACTCTGCACTGTGCTCTCTGCACTCCTACGAATCTGTCGCTCCCTCAGACACTCTCCTTCCCTTCAGCCACTCTCTGCTGTCCGTTATCCGACCACCCGACCTTGACCTTGAACCTTGACCGCGGTCCACCTTTCCTCCGTCTCCCTTGCTCCCACGCTCAAGCTCCAGGCTCCAGGCCCAAGTCTTACCCGGCGTACGGGTTCCTTAGGTTCCTTAGGCTGCTGAGGTTGCTTACCTAGTTACTAACCTACCTCACCTAGGTTCCTCTTGGCTCTACAACATACATACCTCGGAGTACACTTACCTACCGTTGACTACGGAGTACGGAGGACACAGTACACACTGGCATCACCTCACCTAGCAAGACTGGTGGTCCTCGCTCCCTGCGCTGACCAAGTACCACCTACACCCTCGCCCTCTCCCTCGCCCTCGCCCTCCTACCGAGCACCCGGTCCTACTACCGGCAAAGGTCGCGCGCGAGCTGCCAGCCAACTTGAAGCACGGCACGATACGACTACGACTCCCCCTACTCCTCCGACGACAACACCCGTCTCTCGTCACCCCTTCTCACACCCTCGATTCTTCCTCCCGTTCCCCCCAACCCCTGGGCGGCTTCTCGTCACTACCCAGTAGCATTGTACGCCACCACCCGCGACTAGTACCACACAACGTTCGCCGTCCCTTACTCCACCCACTGATCCAAAACCTAACCTTTCAAACGAGATCGGCCACACAAAAGTCGCTTCTTCATCCTACTCCGTCCATCAACCCCGTCCGGACCCTCGCCGTCTTCCGAAATCTTACTTCGGCATTCTCTTTGGTTTCCCTCATATATCTGGTACTGCTTTGCCCACGCCTCTTCCTGTTCTCCGCGACACCGTCCCTGAACTGGCTCCTCTACTTTCCATTCCGACATTTTTATCTTTTCCTCTCTTCCCTACCATTGCAGCCTCGGCAGTCCACCATGAGGCCGATCAATCCGTCCAATAATCGCCTGTCGCCGCTTTCCGCCGCATCCCCGGTCAATGTCCCCAACAATGCTCCTTCACTACCGGTGCCTCGGGCCAGCAACCACAACCACAACCACAACCACAACCACAACCACGGCAGTCCTTCCAGCTGGGATAAGCCGGAGCGCGCCCGCACCTCTCACGCCTGTGAGCCCTGCCGCGAGCGGAAGACAAAGTGTGACGGCTCCCGGCCAGCTTGTCGGCGATGTCTGCATACGGGCACCACCTGTTACTATGGCTATGGCAAGGGCTGGAGGAAGCGAAAGTCGGTGCATCCTCTCTTCCCCCATGTATTGCATGCTGACCAGACACGCTTTTAGGACAGCTGAAGACCTCACGGCTACCTCGCGTCGCCTGGCCCGATATGAGACCCTCTTGAATCAAATCTTCCCTTTGGTCTCCCCCGAAGTCCGGACATTGATCGAGGACGCTCGTGACAACGTGAGTTTATCAACCCCCCTGCCTTTTTGCCGTGGTACGGGTCACTCACCGCGCTGGCAGGAAGGTTCAAATGCCTCCAACACCTCCGAAACAACAGAAAATGATTACGGTGTTGCTCCGACACGACTTGAGTCGGGCCTCGTGGGACCTGGAGGTCGAATTATCCTGCCACTCCCTGTTCCTAGCCCTCATGTTCCCGCTGTCTCGCGCTCGTCGACATCATCAGGAACCTACGAAGCGGTGCCAATTCCACCCGTTGGGGTTCCGCCCGCGCTTCCCAACGGGAGTTCCACTTCAAGCCTGCCGACATCTCAGCGGCTCTCGCCAGACGCCAACTCATTGACTCGGCTGCCTTCGATCACCTCGGGAGGGATCCTGCTCGAGGCTGGTCGACCAGACCAGTCGCCACCGCTACTGGCACAAGGGCCAGGTGGCCCTGAATCTACTGGCATTTACGGACCGGATCGTTTGGGGCCTCTGCCGACCTCCCCCTCAGCTCCCACTTCCCTTGGAGGTTGGTCAAACGCATTACTGTCTGCAGGTTTACTTGCTGACAACCGGGAAAGAGATCACGAGGCTGCCCCAGTTCTCCCCTGGCTGACGTCTACCGAGCCCACCACCGTGCAAAACTAAACACATCTATCTGCCACTCTATCTGCCAACTACTGATGTCTTGCATCAGTCCGCTGTTGATCGCCAAATCCAACTTGCCACCGGCTCCTCCACCGGGGAATTACCGACTGAGGCCGCCAGTCTGGCACTGCACATCGCCAGAGTGTGGTAGATAATAGACTTTTATCCGACACGGGTGACACCTGGTGGGTGAAGTCCAGAGTCTGCACTTGCTCCTCACGGACCGCTTTACCAAAGCAGAGAGCGCCCATTTACTTGAGCACACCCTTCCTCCGCGTCCCTTTCGATCAGCTGGGCACCAACACAGCACGGATTTTCTTTCCTTGTCCCTGTATTGACCCTTCATGACTGAGCATGCATCCACAATTTACCTGGAATCTCGATCTAATTGGCATTTTCCAACGTCAAAACGTTGGTCTGGACGTTTGGGGTCAATTTCGGCAAGAGACCAACCAAACAGAGTTGGGGCCGAGAGTCCGGAGGCTAGAAAAAGGACAGCTTCTCTGGTCGCGGCTAATGCAGGGTTGGTGCCGAGCCAGAGGCCAGAGATTCCTCGGAATAGGAGCGCCGTCTGTCGCGTGCCTCGTGTCTCATGCGATTGGCGGGCTCGGCCATTTTCGCCTTTGGAGATTTCTCCGGCAAGCGGCGGTCCTTTCTTTCCGCTGCTCTCTGGCCACGCCGAGGCCGCAGGGATTTTCCTCGCCCTAGACCGCGGCCAGACAGTCCAGCTGCTGAACTACGGGCCCAGAACATCACATAGAATTAGAGTCTTCACGACTACTGCATTGGATCAAGTGGAGAAGTCTGGAGAGACAAGGACCGGAACAGTCGCGGCAATGGACTGGTACTTAGTTTGGAGACGAGCAAAAACACTCCGCCCGCGCCTTGGCCTTGGTTGATTTTGGGCTAACCCGATTGCTCCGGAAACACCATCCGAATAGGGGGGGTCGAGATTCTACATGGTCATTTGACAACAAAGCGGCAACAGCCGGCAACAATGCTCTCCCATGGCAGAAAAAGAAAGAGCTTCTGGAGAATATCTCCGGGGGGACACAGCGTGTCAAATTTAAAGCATACGATAGTATGGGAGGTTGGATCCGTCACCCTCGGACGTTGATGTAAATGCTACTGGCCACGGTCTGCAGCCGTCTGGACAAGGGGCAAGAACCCATTGATGCTATTTGGGGTCCTTGTCGGTGCAGCCTCAGCTTTTCATATTCATACAACAAAAAAATCATGACACTACTGATAGGCAACTGGCTCGATTCGGAGGACAGTCAATCGTTGTATTATTGGCCTGATCAGCTACGTAGCTGACAACCCGCATGCGCATCTTCGTCCTGAATCTGATGATCTCCATCCCTTCGTTTGCAAATCATCCCTGTGGATCAGTTGCTGACCTATGTGTTTTCGACACTTTGAGTCAGTGGTGGCCGTCCCAGTAGTGTAAACGTGCGGTTATGATATCATTGTCACCACATACCTTGTCTGGAACATCTTTTCCAGTGGCCTTCTCGAACAAGCCGCGCGCCTTGTCGGTGATCTTCTCGTTGGTGCTGCGCTGTTTGGCCGGGTCAATTTTGCCTGTAGTCGCCCCAGCCATTGGTACGTTAGCTATGATCGATCGGCTTCAATCAAGCGTCGCTTGACGTAGCATGCAAAATCCTTGGGGACAATGTGTCTAAGGTAGGTAGGTGGTCGTAAAGTGAGGTAGGTTCGACGTACCCTGGCCGAATCTCTTCTCAGCGGCATCGAGACCTAAGATATGTGAAACGCGACTGATCAGCTCCAGAAACAGAAACATCCGAGATGTTGACGAAGAGGGCTCCTTCCTTACCTTTGTCGAGGTAGTCCTCTTGCTGGTTGCCCGAGGCGCCTGTTGCTTGATTGCTCATACTGGTTGATGGAATGGAATCTGTTGGTGTGATGGGGACAAGATTCTGATCGACGGTTTGATAGGTGATAGGTTTACGGATACACGAAATGGTAAATCAGAAGGGTTGGCACGGAGAGAGGGGGGTTCACCCCGTCCAGTACGTCGCTCTATATACCCATCCTACGTCCGGAGTACCTACCTGGAGATGGTATCTGTTCATCACATGTGTCCAATTCCAGAGACCTGTTGTGCCCATGCTTGCTCGCCCCCTCGAACCTAGCTCATTCAATCGTCATTTCCTTCCTATCAGCTACAATATGTTCTCGTGTTCTGGGGTTCCTTGCTGCGTCTCGGTGTCATGCCAGTGGCCGTGCGCAGTGCGTCATCGCGATCTTCGTCCACTGGTTCTCGTTGGGGGGAACTTGATCGGCAAGGTCTCAGCTGGAGTGAACCTGCTCACTTGGCCCACGGCGGGCTAGGGCAGTTGGTCATTGGTCGACAATCCCGATGAGAGGGGAGTTGAAAACTGGGAAGTCGACAAGATGATGAGTTCATCATCGATCGGGGTTGGACACCGACAGACACAGATTGGGAGATAGCGCAGTAAGGCAGGCCACAGGCCACAGGCTGCAGAGAGCAGAGAGCACAGAGAACAGAGCAGTCAGCCCGACGTCATCGCCGAGGTCGACTTGAAGTTGACTACATGTACGCAGCACGTGATCCGGCAGTGGCAGCTGTGTAACAGTACGTGCCTCGGTGCTTTACCAAGGCTTATAAAGACGTCAAGGTACTTCGACGCGCTAACGAGGCGCGTCGTATATACTTCGTACTAGATACTTAAGTATATAGTCTAACGAGGTCCTAGGCCTTGTTAAAATATAATAAGTCCTTTATATAATTATATCTAGTAGCGGCGACGAAGACGATTCTCTATCTTAAATTAAAGTCTAAGAGGACTTCTACGCTTCGTCTTAAGAGAGAGACGAAGCGTAGCTATACGTCGAGAAGATTAATCCTCTAGATCTTTATTATAATAGTCTTATAATACGAAACGATCTCTTTAACGTTTATTAATAATACTTTAAAGTAGAACTTTCTATCTTATAACTTGTCAAGGACCCAACCCAGAACAGGGAAATCTGACCCCCCAGGGACCATCCCAAGAAGGAAGGTATAGCGGACCAAGGAAAAGAAGGACATGAGGTGCACGTGACGATGCAGGGTGATCAGCTATGCTTGGTGGTGCTGGTACTGAGCAGCACTGAGCAGCCTTGCGTGACCATGCGAAGTGATCAGTCGTGATCGGTGGTGATCAGGCTGAGCAGCACTGAGCAGGACCAAGCACTACGAATCTCCTATGTCTATATAGTTGTGGGCTTCACCCACCTTTCATAGCTTTCCTTCCGTAGTCAACTTCGCTCACAAACTAGGTGATACATTTCATCAATAGTTTTCGTTCTGAATACAGACACCCTTGCTCTAGCATACGCATCGAAACATCTTCTTCCGCACGTCAGTGAACCTTGCTCGAACACGTGACTCTTTGAGGAACGATTCGTGACACGTTAACGCGCTAAACTAGACGGTTCCGCCGTTTATTATTATTTCGGGTAAATACTATCTCTCTACCTAGTACTAAAACAGCTCTCTCCCACCTAATTAGGTTATCGCCACGTCTCCTAACGGCTGGACCACGAACGAGAGAGGTCTAGAATAGATCCGGCACTTTAATTAGCATACAAAACCGCGAACGACGGGTAAATATCGTCTCTTAGTACTCGACGGGCACGAAAGCTACTACTCGACCGATTTTAAGCTCTATTATAAGGAGTACGATATTATTACCCTCTATATACCGCCTTATTTATCTTATATCCTCTAGCCTCTCGACGTTAGGTGTTTTAGCCCGTTAAAACGGGCGTACGGTAGTTAAATTGAGAAGAGAGTCCGGGCCGGTACCACCCACATTTCGAAGGAGGACTTCTTTCCCGCGTTTTTAGCCGCTTTTCAGCAGACGATAATGGTTTAAAACGTCTAGGAAGGATTTAGAGGAGCCGGGCTCGTTCCTTACGACCCGGAAAGTGTGATTGCTCGTCTAGATGTAAAGCTACGAACACCTACACCCGATGTACCTAGTATTATGGCGACCCAAGTATGGATGTTAAAGACGCCTAATAACCTAACTGAGGCTACCTCGCAGTCTACCTTTATCAAGAATCGAGTCTCCCGTCATCAAGGAAGCTCACCGACACCGATTCTTAAGGCCATTAACCAGTTTACGAAGGGTGCGATGGGAATTATACATCAGATCGCGTTATTGAAGTCCGAGGTTAAGTCACTACGCGAGGACAATACACTACTTAGCCGCCGTCGCCGCGCGAAAAAGAAGCAACTACGCGCTGGAGGGAGTATGACGCTTGAGGAGGGACAGCGTCTAGAGTCTCGTAGTCGTATTCAGGTCGTAGTAAAGCAGGAAAGGTTGTCGAAGAGTGGTTTAAGTCAGAGGCCTGAAACGCGCGCGCGGCGGTGTGGTGTCTACGGCAACGTCGGGCATAACTCCAGAACCTGTCAAGTAGTTATTACTTCGTCTAAGGAAGAGGAGTCTGAGTAATTCCAAACAATTCAATATGTGGTGGTTAAGTATAGGCCGATTATGTTGAGGTGGTCGGGTTGGAGTGGCCAGCTCGCTTATCTGGCCAGCTCGCTTATCATCCACGTTATATATATATACTTAATATATATTCTCTAATAAGTATTAAGACGAAAATAAAATACCTCTATACTAGATTTCTTTTATTACTCTTAAGTCTAATCTACTCTTCTATAACTCTTAATTAGATATATTACGAAGCTATCTATACTCTTTATTAGTATATAATTACTAGACTATTAATATAGTAATACGTAAAAGAAGAATAAGACTATAGTTTAAAAATAAATCTTTAAAAGACTAAGTAGAAGAGGATATAATAGTATATATCTCGATACTTTACTAAGGTTTATAAAGACGTTAAGGTACTTCGACGCGCTAACGAGGCGCGTTATATATACTTCGTACTAGGTACTTAAGTATATAGTCTAACGAGGCCCTAGGCCTCGTTGAAATATAACAAGTCCTCCGTATAATCATAGCTGCCATTAAGACGCCAAGAATGATGAGTGATGCTTGACCTCCTGCCAAGTCTTCAGCGCGAACTTGGAACATGAGCTTCCAAGACTGGCACTTGAACTGCCAATGGAAAGTTCTCTGGCATCCGCGTCCACGTGATATCAGGCTTGGCATCTGGCCTGGTGTGACGGCCTCGAAACACTCAGTTTGCACTTGTCCCGACGAGCCTGAGACTCACCATTGCCCGGCTTTTCCACCCTCCGAGCCCATCGAGTCACTTACAGACACTCAACCGTCTCATCTGCCTCCATGGCCTGGACCTCTTCCAGATCAGATCGAACGGAAGTCCTGGTAGCCGCTGCAATCCACCAACCCAAACCCGTCGGTTTTCTCGCTTCCTCCAGTGCTTCATCTGCACCCTGGGGGACAACCTCAGCCCTCCTAGGTTGTCTCGTGCAGATTGCAATGCTCTGGGAATGGAATGGAATTTTCCCAGCCATCTCTTCTAGCTTAGGATCAAGCATTGCCTTCAGCGCCTGGGCTCCGGTCTGGCGGACAGAGTTGAGAGATCCCTCTCCCCGTCAGCCTCCCTAGTTCTTCGACCCCTCTCCGCGGCTTCTTACAACAGTTCACATCCTCCCTACTGTCATCTTTCCCTCTCCGGATCTCCCTGCATCCGAGAAGAGGGCGAAGAGCTCCTTCCTCCTCCCCTAGTGTTTATCCCTGATACACCGCCACAAGCAGAGTTGAAACGACAAACATCTATGATCCAGTATCATGATTTGTAGTGTTCGGATTCACCATCACGAAGGTCGCCACAGGTACAGAGTAGAACGAGCTTGCTTCGGATCCTCCTCTTCCTGGTTTCGCTCTATTCTTGAGGGGCACATATACCTACTCAAGTTATTCCCATCTTATCATGTCGAGAACTCAGTCTGTCACTCCAGAGCACTCGCATTTCCACTCCTTCTTCAAGGGCTTTTGACAAGTCCTCATTCATTCAGTCTTTTATTGCTCGGGCTTTTGACAAGTCTGGTTCACTTCCCACGCGTGCTGGACATTGGTACATCTCTATTATTGTTTTCCCTTCAAAGCATTCATTCGCAGAAGCCACAGCACTATCAAGATGAAGGCATCCACTCTTTCTGCCCTATGCACTCTTTTCACAGGCCTCACTTTGGCTCATCCTGTCGAGCTTTCGGCACGCTCATCGTCCTACTCTGCCGTCGATATCACAATTCTTCAGTTTGCTCTGACAGTGAGACTCCGTGCAAATCTCAGCCTGCCTCTAACTACTCTAACGCTGCCCTAGCTTGAGCATCTTGAAAACACCTTCTACCAGGAGGCCTTCAACACTTTCAGCCTGCAGCACTTTCTTGATGCCGGCTTCAGCGAGGAGTTCTTCCTCAATCTGGAATTTATCGCGGCCGATGAAGCGGCGCACGTCACCTTGCTCGAGACTGCCATCCTGTCGGCCGGCGTCGTCCCCGTCGCCCCGTGTCAGTACAGCTTCCCGGTCACCGATGTCGCTAGCTTCGTGACTTTGTCTGCCATCCTTGAGAGCGTCGGCACCAGTGCCTACCTGGGCGCCGCCCCATTCGTTGGGTCGAAGGATATTCTTGCCGTCGCCGCTAGCATCATGGTCACCGAGGCGCTCCATACGTCCCTGCAGAGGTCGTCCATTGGGGCCGTCGGCGCAGCCGATCCGTTTGGAACTGTATGTCAGACCCTCCCTCCGCCGTGTGAACGTACTAATTGCGCCGGCGATAGTCTCTCGACGCCAACTCCGTCTTTACCCTTGCTGCGCAGTTCATTGTCTCCTGCCCTCCTTCGAATCCGGCCTTACCATTCACCGCGTTCCCTAGTCTGAAGGCAAATGCACAGTCGTGCTTTGCCGAGAGCAGCTCCGTCACAAGCGACAATCAAACCGCCCCGTCCGCGGCCAACACCACGACGACCGCCAGCAGCAATGCTACAGGTTATACGTCTGCTGCCCAAGCAAGCGCAACACAAACCGCCGCCGCCCAGCGTATGCGGACCCGCACCGCTGGATCATCTGCCCTCTCCTGCGCCGCACCTTCTGCCGGTGCGACTGTCAGCCTAAGTCCCGACTTCAGCACGTCAAAGCATGATTTTAGCCAGATCGTGGACGTCTTCGTGACATTTATTTCTGGTCTGAGTGTGATCTCTGTGGGCGTCCAGATTTCGAAGGCAGGAATCGATGTGGCCATCCCCGCCGGCATTGGCGGACAAGTGTATATTTTCATCACCATCATCGACATCACTGGTGGCAAGCTCAGTGATTCGGATGTGTTGTTCGGCCCTGCGATCCTAGAGGGTGAGTCAAAGTTTCCCGATCCTCCAAACTTCAAGAGTTTTCAGTTGTAGCTGGCGCCTTTGCTTTTCTCGCCGTGGCAGGAGTTACGTGGGCTAACGATCGGAATGCGATTACAGTGGCCCCTGCAATCCCATCGTCCGGATCTTGATCGGTGTCTACGAAGCTGTCGCTGACAGACATGCTGCATTTTCATGTGTAACGAATCGGTGTGCCTTGCAAATGTGCAAAGGGAGAAGACAGAAATCAGGCAGGCTCATTATCGTCGTCGTCGTGATAGATGTCCATCAAACGAAGCGATGGAGAGAGGGTAGATTAGCACTAGAATAGCCCTTGACCTGGAAAGATGAGCCTGTATGGAAAGTCTCGTATCGTAGCCGTCACCCAAATATTTCCTGGAGACATCGAGGAGGGAGGAAAAACAAGGGTTAGGGTTAGGGTTAGGGGTGTAGGATATGGTGATAGGTGGAGGACAGCATGGTTATGGTTAGATTCACGTCATTTCTGATTGGCTGCAACTGCAACGCCCATCGTGTCAGATCGCTTAAGTTCAATCCGGGGAACATGGGATTCCCTCCATACGGCGTACAGGACAATAGTACGTATCTACCTGGGTATCTACCTACGCCGGGTCCATCTCCTGCCCTGCCTTACTGTCTATCCTCTCTCACGGGAGCTGCCACCAACACCAAGCCTGGAAGAATCCAGTGGATCTTCATCTTCACGCTGTCCTTGGCCACACCCGCACTTTCTTTGTCCACGGTTCACCCCGCACATTACCTTCTAAGGGGAAGCTTGACATCTACAGATCGCCTGGGGGAACATCAGTCTAAAGCTAGAGCCGTGCTCTGCCGACATGGACAATCCAGCCCCAGCCGGCCCTCGCCCTCAGGCACCGCTGTACCTCGAGTTCGCGCGGTCCGACGAAGCCACGGGCATCGATGGCAAGCCCATGCTCAATCGGTATTCGACCTATCTAACCCGTGAGCATGACTTCCCCGCGGCCCAAGCGATGCTGTATGCCGCCGGAGTGCCCGACAGGCTAGCCATGAAGACGGCGCCGCACGTCGGGGTGGCCAGCGTGTGGTGGGAAGGCAATCCGTGCAACATGCATCTGTTGGATCTGGGCAAGGAGGTCAAAAAGGCCCTGACCGCGCGTGGCATGCTGGCATGGCAGTACAACACGATCGGGGTCAGCGATGCCATCACCATGGGCAACCAGGGCATGCGGTTCAGCCTGCAGACGCGCGAGATCATTGCCGACTCGGTGGAGAGCGTGACCTGCGCCCAGGCCCACGACGCCAACATCACCATCCCGGGCTGTGACAAGAATATGCCCGGCTGCATCATGGGCATGGCTAGGCACAACCGGCCCAGCCTGATGATCTACGGCGGTACCATCGACAAGGGATACTCGGAGACCCTGCGCAAGCCCATCAACGTCGCCACCTGCTACGAGGCCTTCGGCGCTTACACGTTCAACACGCTGCGGCAGCCGGACGACGGAGGCGACACGTCCAAGACCAAGGACGAAATCATGGATGACCTCGAGCGCCATGCCTGTCCCGGCGCGGGCGCGTGTGGGGGCATGTACACGGCAAACACCATGGCCACGGCGATCGAGTCCATGGGCCTGTCTCTGCCCGGGTCGAGTTCCACCCCGGCCAGCTCGCCGACGAAAATGCGGGAGTGCGTCAAAGCGGCCGACGCCATCAAGGTGTGCCTAGAGCGAGACATCACGCCCAAAAAGCTGCTGACCAAGAAATCCTTCGAGAACGCCCTGGTCATCACCATGGCGTTGGGTGGCAGCACCAACGCGGTCCTGCACTTTCTCGCCATGGCCGTCACCGCCGGGGTGGACCTGACCCTGGACGATTTTCAGCGCGTGAGTGACAAGATTCCGTTCCTGGCCGACCTGGCTCCTTCCGGGAAATACTTCATGGCCGACCTGTACGAGATCGGGGGCGTGCCGAGCGTGCAGAAACTCCTCATTGCTGCCGGTCTTCTAGACGGCTCTATCCCTACGGTGACAGGCAAGACGCTGGCGGAGAACGTGGCCAGCTGGCCCAGCCTTCCGAGCGACCAAGTGATCATCAAGAGTCTGGACACGCCGATCAAGCCGAGCGGCCACATCCAGATCCTACGTGGCAATTTCGCCCCCGCCGGCGCGGTGGCCAAGATCACCGGCAAAGAGGGCCTCCGGTTTGTAGGCAAAGCCCGGTGTTTCGAAAAGGAGGCCCAGCTAAACAACGCCCTGAATCGCGGCGAGATCCCGCGCGGCGAGAACCTCGTGCTGATCGTCAGGTATGAAGGCCCCAAGGGCGGGCCCGGCATGCCCGAGCAACTCAAAGCCAGTGGCGCCATCATGGGTGCGGGACTGACCAACATCGCCCTGGTCACCGACGGCCGGTACTCGGGCGCCTCGCACGGCTTCATCGTCGGCCACGTCTGCCCGGAGGCTGCGGTAGGCGGGCCCATTGCCCTGGTCAAGGACGGTGACGAGATCACCATCGACGCCGACACCAACACCATCTCGATGGACGTCAGTGATGAGGAGCTTGACAGACGCCGGAAGGCCTGGAAGCCCCCCAAGCCGGTGGTTACCCGAGGTGTTCTGGCCAAGTATGCCGCCTTGGTCGGCGATGCCAGTCACGGAGCTGTGACCGACTTGTTCTGAAACTGAAAGAAGGCCAGACCAAACCCAGGTACAACTCTGGGAGGAATCGCCTGGCCGCTCACGAGCAACCAGAGTCTGGAACCTGGAACCTGATCCAGCTCTCTCGTCCCAGTCGAGAAGGAAAAGGGAGTTAAATGCTATTGAGGCCCTGCCTGCAGTCGTGGAGTCTGCAGAACTCCTGATCTTGATCTAGTTGGGCCAGCATCTAACTGACTTGTACATAGAATGCCACAATTTGCCTTTATCTTCCGTCCATGGCCATGGGTATGATGCTGCCGATACCGAGGCCGATATTGTCGGTCTTCTTTTTCTTTGCATCCCGTGAATCTGTCCTCTCTTCTCCAATATCAGTCTCTTCTGCTCTCATCGAGGCGGATGGTCTGGGATTTTGAGGTCCTCCCCACTGCAATGCACCAGTTCAGCTATGGCATCTCACAAGTGATGCGATGCCGTGTGCCAAAGGTAAAACATATTGGTGGACAATGAGACCGTCAACAAAGCGCCTTTACCTTGACACTTTGACCTGAATGGTGTCGTTTGTGTCTGGCCGACTGGCTGTGTGGTATGATGGGCTGTTGGTCTGGCTAGCCTTTATTGCCGTTGCTTCTCTTCCGTATCAGGTCAGTTCAGGTCAGGTCAGTGAATGAAGCAAACACGCCTCGTCGGATCACGAACCGTCCTGTCTAGGTTGTGAGCCTGTCACAGTCCAGTCTCTGCCTCAGCCGCAGCCGCAGCCTTGCGGAGCCCACGACACAAGCCTAAGCCGCACTCCAAGCCGCACCTCCTTTCCTATCCATTCTATTGGTTTCCGTGTTGAGTTGCAGTGAATGAAGGAAAACTGCCTCGTCGGATCACGAATGTTCCCTTCCCGGTATTCTCTATACTAATCCTGATCAGAGTCACGTCTCACCTCAGCCTGGCGGAGCCCACGACACAAGCTCCTTTCCTGTCCGTTCTATTGGTTTCCGTGTTGAGTTACAGTGAATGAGGGAAACTGCACTGTCGGATCACGAACCGTCTTTTCTCGGTATTCTCTATCCCAATCTCGGTCCTAATCTAATCTCAGCCTCAGCCGCAGCCTCTCCGGACTCCATGCCGAGACTGTGTCAGTGAATGAACCAAAGATCCTTCGTCGGCTCACGAACCGCCTAAGCTAGGTGGTGTCGGCCTCAGCATCAGCCTCAGCCTTGTCACTGAGCCAACCCTCCTCCCAGCCGCACAGTTTCGTCTCCTGTTGACAAGGACCCTGGTCTCTGTTCCCAGCATTGCTAGATCCGCAGGCAGAATTCTCGCTCCTCCTCCCCTTCCTCTTCCTTTCTCTCCTCTTCTCTCTCAGATTAGGAAACACCACACACACTATTCCTCATCCTCAGACACAGTCAACTCACACTATTCTTCATCCTCAGACACACACAAACTCAGACTCAGACCAGACACCACCACCTCCACCTCCACCTCCACCTCTACCACTACCATTCTTAAACTCGTCACGTCACATCATTCAAAGACACACAGTCCCCAGAGTAAGAGACACTTCAGTCCCGCAGGTGCAGGCACAGGCGTGAAAAACAGACAAAGACCAAGATAAAGACAAAGATGTTACAACTCACAGTCTGAATCAACCCTCCGAGTCCGAATGCCGAATGTCCAGATCTCAAACTTGCCATCCGAACTTCCACCCATCTCAGGCATCTGGATCTAGATACATTAGCTAACTGGAGCCCTAGGACCCTTTTTTCCACAGACCCGACTGGACCGACCCCCAACACTCAACCCTCAGCCCCCGCAACTCTATCTTCCTCCTCTTCCTCCTCGCCGCCCGGCCAACACCAACACCAACAAACACCCCACAGCCCAGCCAGCAATGGCATCCCGCCTCGCCATCGTCGGTGCCCTCGTGCTGTGGGTGTCTGTGCTGGCGGTCGCCGCCGTCGTCATCGCCGTTGTCATGGGCGTTGTTGTCCGGGTCAGCTGGGCCTTGACTGGATTGGTTTGGTTGTGGTTAGGACGGGATCCTCCTGTCTGAATCACGGCAGAGGCAGGGGCAGAGCTTCACGATTATCATGGCAGAGACGGAGCTTTACGACTGGTTGGCACTGGCGGGTGCCACTGGACCTTGTAAGTAGTTAGACTTGATCTAATCTTTGTGTTCATGTTCTTGTTAGTTCTGTCTCTGTCGTACTCGGTTGCCTTGTCTTGTCGGTCTGTCGCACTTCCTTGTCCTTAGTTGCTACAATATATGTCTGTCGCACTCCCTTGTCCTTAGTCGCTACAATACAGATCTGTCGCACTCCCCTGCCCCCTATCGCTACGATATATGTCTGTCGCACTCCCCTCTCCCTAGTTGCTACAATACAGATCTGTCGCACTCCCCTGTCCCCTGTTGCTACAGTATAGATCTCTTCTGGATATTATACTCTGTTTAGTCGCCGCCCCGTCTATCGATCGGACGTCCTGCTCTTCGCCATCACCTTCTACCTTCTACCTTCGCTTCTTCGAGTTCTGTTCTCTAGTTGACCAGTCCTAGATGTTGTTTTTTCCTCTTTCCTCTTTGTTCTTTCATTTTTCCTCTGTTCTTTCTCCTTTCTTTTTTCAGACCAACCTCCTCGACTTGACGAATTGGCCAATATGAAATCTAACTTGTCTCACTTAGGACAGACAGAACATCATAGTCGGCTCACATAGCTGTCAGCCACGATCTCCCAGACGTCAGCCGTTTGCTGTTTGTGCGGACTGCACAGAGGGCCCTCGGAGGGCCTGTACATACGTAGCTTGAATCAATCGATTGTGTTCTCGCCCACTCCGGCCTGAAAGAAGAAAGCACAGACAGGTATGTGTATGTGTATGTGTATGTGTATGTCTATATATATATATATGTTTGTCTATATGTATGTGTATGTGCATGTGCATGTGTATGTGTATGTGTATGTATGTGTAGAGGTGTCATTATTGGTGTGCCGTGCGGATACACTCGCAAGAGCGAGCCTTGCTTGCCCTGAATGATCCAGCCTTATCACGTGCCGCGGTGATTGATGATAAACCAACCGTAGATCGTAGATCAAAGAAAACAAAACCAAAAACAAGATGGGAGTGATCAAAAAATACAGATCTTACTGATTTCAATCGCAACCGCCGAATCTCTGGGTATCAAGTTTATCCGTCCAAAATCCTCCCAGTCAGCCAGCAGGATTGCATACTTCCATCATGGCCCCTTTCCAGCCCCTCCACTCACAAACCGTCGAGCAGTCCAGGCACTTCCATGCTCTAAATACTCTTCCCGACTGACGCCGAATTCTCTCACCGTGCCTGGATACCGACTCGCCAGCCTGGCTCCACCCAACCAAGTCGAAGTGATGGGATCCTGCATTTTGCGCACCCGGACCGCCCACTCCGTCTTCACCCTCGTCCGCAGCTCGGCCTCGATCCGTTCGACCAAGCCTGGAATCTGGGCATTCCCGCCCACGACAAGTACGTTGCTCAGCATGGTGGCCTGTACGAGCGGAGGAAGAACAGCAAGTGATTGCATGACGATGTCGGCGAGTCCGGGCTGTTTCGAGCCAATGTCGCTGGGCGAGAATAGAATTTCGGGAACGGAGAAACGCTCGTTTCCCAAAGTCATCGAAATCTCGGCATCGGCTTGACCAGAAAGCGCAGCTTGTTTGCGTTTGCGTGCTGCTGACGACGGGTCGTATGGCCGACTGAAACCTCGTAACAGACGGATGCCGTCTGGGAGGATGTAATCCACTCGAATCCCATCCGTCCGTCGGGTTTGATGGTCGGAGGCGCCATCCAAATCTCGAATCAGATTCTGACGCCCATTATTGCCCTTCCAACCTTTTTCCAGATCACCCTTGAAGTCTTCGCTGACGAAACAGACGTCCTCTTTTATGTCGTTGATGATTTTCGTGTCTTGGTGCAGATCGAAATGGCGCACAGATATCACTTCTTTCAGCAAGTTCGTCAAGTGCTTCCCTCCAAAGTCTAGACGGCGAACTGCACGATGTATCGGGTGACCGTTGAAGAGTGGAGTGATTGTGGTATGGCTGTAGCCACTGTCGATGACGAGGAGGCACTCCATGGGCAGTTCTGCCGGGATAGGACTTTGAATTTCTTCGAAAAGAGGATGGAGATCATTGTAGGCGTTCAAAGAAGGGCCTGTCTTGAACCGTTAGACCCACCCCATAAACACTGAGCACCTCTGGCTCGGCCATACCTACCGATCACCCTGGAGTAGCCTCCAAACCCCCATTCCTCCATGATGATCTCATCGGCATTCTTTTGGAGCGCAGGCATGGTATTGGGTGGTTCAGTGAAAACCAGTGTGGTGTTCTCCGGATTCCTCACCAGGAGATCGTTCCCAGCAGTCCGCTCATCGAAGAAGGATTGATCCCAGATCTCTTTTTCCGCCTCCCAACTCACGATCTGCCCATTTTCCACTGGGCGCCGGAACAATGCTTCACTCCAGTCTACAATGTCTTCGGTCTGTGTGCCGACGTAGGTTTTCTTGTCTCGAGTACGCACGAGCGCGTTCGGAATTATGTGGCATTTTGACAGCGCCTCGGTGTCTGAGACTGCGTCTGACGGAGCAAAGCCCGCTTTGAGACTGTAGCCTCCATTATCGAGGACAAAGGTGGTAGATGGGAGACCTGGGTTGTTACGCGTGGTCTTTGAACCTCGAGGCATGGCGGATTTCTATGTGCTTCTCGGCATGGTGATGGACCCCTGCGACTCGGGAGGGTACTTAGAGTAAGAACTGTCAACGAAGCACGAAGTACCGCGCCATAGGTTGGGAAGATGTATGGATATGTCTGGAGACGGGCGTTGAACTGCGGGATGAGTGGAAATTTGTACGGTGGGACATGTTGCGCACCGCATATCCTTGTAGGGAGAATCACACGAGTTTTTGATGGCCCCAGTTATGTATGTCACCAAAGCAAGACAGTTCAGCTCCTGCCTTTTACGAAGGAGCCTACATTTCAAACAAGTACAAAGTGAGGCTCGGCTTTGCATGTCAGAGCGTCGGCTGTGTTTGTGTGTACATGTCTATCTCGCAATGAATCTGGGCGGAAGCTTCTAACTGGGGGCTCTTTCTCTTTAGAAACTCGTGCGGGTTGCTTCGCTGGCTTGAGATTCATTCACTTCGGGCTTTAATTGGTCTGTGATGTTTCTTTCGTCCTTCCAAGCAATCGCGACAAACTTCGTGTGGCTGCCTCGAGCCACGATTTCGTTGTCCTTGTTCATAAACTTGACCGCGGTATAGGCCAGTGTCTTTCCGACTACAGGGAATCAATCCTCACAACACCACCAGAAGATACAAGGAAGGGGACAGATGGACCTACATTTGTCACAGACCACTTCGCCCTTGATTAGATCGCCTGCTTTCCCACCAGAGTTGAGATATGTCACGCTCAGATCCGTTGATACCCCGGTAGAAAACAGGCCACGAGAAGCGACAGCAAGGGATCCGCTGGTATCGACCATTGCAGCGAGCGTAGCACCATGTAATATGCCCAGTCGATTCGTATGATGCTTTTCGATCGGCAATTCAAAGTTGACCTTGCCTGGTTCGGCCGCCGTTATGCGCATCTAGATAGAGGCGGCCGTAAGAGAACGGACGTTTCAATCAGAATGCAGGTAGACAACTTAGGAGATGGCATGGTCTCGAACCAACTTACGCTATCAATCAACCTGCCCATGGTCAACGAGACATTCGATGGTCGCCATCTCTCAGCTTCAGCTTACCGCGGCTCTAGACCCGAAGTGGTCCGGAACGACTCCCATACCTGACGGGGTCAACTTGTGGCCTGTGTGAGGTGTTCATCATGACTCAACGCACCGATCGAACGAACTTCAGCGCCGACATGGTGCCTCCGAGGTCCAAGCTCTGATGGTGATACTATGGTGAACGATAATGAAGACTATGCCTCTCCAAGACTGCTGACTGCTGACTGCTAAGACCGAGGGAATGATTCGCCACGGCCTACTTGGCGTGATACTATCACAGAGGTAGAACGGGAAACAGCGAAAGGATGTCAATCATACCAGTATCTGAGGTTGGCATGCTGCAGCATTGGACATTGGACACTGGAGAGATACTTCTATTGCGGCCCCAATGCTTCACTGTATTTCTCCAGGCCAACCGGGGAAACTATGCCGAGATCCCTAAAAGCAGCCTGGTACTGCCGAGTCCCGTGTCATTGGCTGTACTACAACTACCTCGACACATACTCCGTACAGCCTGCAAAGTAGTATCCCACTACCGCCATGATTCTGGCCGTTGTTCAGCTCTGAGGTAGCAACATCGCAGCGTCAGTTTGACCTTGTATCGCAAATCCTCTGCAGACCGCTCTGATGACACACATCGTTGCCGTGTTGCCGAGTGATTGCGCTGATGGTGGCGGTGCTCGTGCGACGGACCTGAAGGTGTGAGGGAGGTGGAGGTGGAGGTGGATGTGGGCAAGGTGCCGAGGAAAGATGAGCCTCCTCAACTTGAAGGTGAGTGCAATCGACTTGTTCTGTGTTACCGACGACCTCGTGGTGCGGCTTTTTTGGCCCATCAAGCCAATGAGGGTGTCTCAGGTCAAGACTTTGAAGATTCAATAGTTGTATCTAGAAACATTGATTGATACCTTGCACCTGTTGGTGGCCGGCGAGTTGCAGCAGAACTTGGAAGATTGACCCGTCTGACCGCGTGGCATTGTCACTGGCAGGCGGTGTCCTTCTCTGGAAACGACAATGGGCGAATCCGTCCTCTTCCAGCAACCGACCTGTACGACGTCTGTTCGCCTCTTCCCGATTCTACTGAGCGCAGACTCATCAGGCAGGCCAGGCAGCGACGTCAAAATTCTCTCGCCGGCTTCTTTTTTGGTCGAATCGTGCATGCTGGATATCTTGTCTGGCTGAGAATCTGTCTGTTTGCCGAGTGTGATATATTGGCACCACGGCCTGATCCAATGATCAAATATCTCCGAGACCTTTGTGTTCCCATACGCCTTCAGACGTTTTTGGAAAGGCAGCCTCCCGTCAGAAGTCACGGTGGTGCGTTGCCTTACCAGTCGTCTGACCAGTGGTGGATGTGCTGGCTGATGCCGGTGCTTCTGCTATATCAACCTGATTCCACCCCAACCACCAGCCAGAGTCTATCCCATTTGCCTCAAGCCACCAAAGGACATTTCCAAACTCGAACAAAGTGTATCAGATTCCGACTCTGGCCTGCGCTGTTGGGTACAAACCTCCAGGAGAGGTCATGCTTACCAATGTCCCGAACGCGACGGGTCAATCGTCGCGCCCGATTGCAATGCTGTCATTAGGTATGTCGAGCCATCTTCACCCATCTTCACCCATCTTCACACTTGCTCTGTGGACGAGACGCGCGTGAGCTGTGTTTCGATGTCACTGTTCCCATCAAGGCCCCTTCGTCACACCTTTCGGCTTCAGCTAACTTGTCTGCCTAGATGGAGGCGGGGTCAGGGGTCTCTCGTCATTGCTGATAATGCGGCAGTTGCTGACCTTCGTCACGCAAGAGGTCATTAGGAGAGGAGCGATACCGGAGAATCATCCCACACTAAATCCTCAGGATATCTTTGATGCTGCTGTTGGAACAAGCACCGGAGGACTGATCGTGCTGATGCTGGTCAAACTGGACATGACTTTGGAGGAGTGCATACGGCAGTATAAAGTGCTCTCTGGGGACATCTTCTCCAAATACCGCTGTTTGGTGAGAAGAGTGTTTGGCTCGGATTGGTCCAAGTTCTCGGGTATGAGACTGCAGAGGGCTGTGGAAAAGCTGCTGGCCTCCAGGGGGCATCCCCTTGACATGAAGCTGCGTGGCAGCGTCCAGCATAACCAGATGCATGGGTGAGCAACCATTTGGACCTTGTCAGTTGATATCGATAGCTAATATGTTCTAGCACCGTCCTTTGTCACGAAAAGCTCCGGGGCCATCAAATGTTCTTGTGCACCCACCAGTGTACAGGTCCCTACCAGCGACACACGCTGGAGGGCGAACTGGAACTACGGCATGCTGCCCGGGCCACCTCAGCCGCGCCATCATACTTCGAACCGATGATAATCCAAGGAAAGTTGTTCGTTGACGGAGGGTACGGTGACACCAACAACCCATCATGGGCCGCCAAAATCCATTATCACCAGAGCCACGGTCTTCCTGCGAGGCACCCACTGGTCTTGATCAACATCGGAACTGGTACCTTGCCGGAAGGCTACGACGAAGTCCGCCTTCTCCAGCGACCTTGGTGGACGAGGCTGTTGCCAAACAGTCTGGTAGAGGCTCTCGGCCTGCTGTCGGATCTGGTGAAAATGGCGACCGAATCAGAACATCGGGCGGCCGACTTGGCCTACATCGCCGCCATTGCTCCCGAGAAGCTGTTCTTCCAGAGGTTCAGCGCCGACACCGGCATGCACGACATCAGGCTGGACAAGTGGCAGGCAGTCACCGATAGGCATGGTCGTCCAAGTGAAATCGAGGTCAAGACCGAAACATACCTTGCCAAACCCGACGTCCAAATGCACCTGAGGACGGCGGCGAAAAAGTTGGCCGAGGTTTATATCGCACGCAACAACGATCCCAGCATCCGCCTGCCTCTCCCAATCCACTTTCCTTTGGGCCCCGAGCCACCATGCTTGACTCAAGCAATGTTGGGTTCGCAGCCATCTAGGGCTACCCAACCCTCCCCGAGTCTGGTTGCCGAGTCCGGGTCAACTCCGTCATCCACTGCCACCGTCAGTCCTTCTCCATCTCCTTCTCCATCTCCTCCGGCCACTCCGGATCCATACCCAAAGTCGCTCTTCTATCCACAAGTCGGCAGCAAGACAGGCGATATCCTTCGAGTCGAAGGTCGCTTCTTTGAGATGCCGATGAGCAGGGCCACGCGCGCCCGCACACGTTAACACAAACTACTAGCACTCCTGTTCACGCAAGTCCGGGTTCTATACGACCTTTGTTCGGCTTCTTCGACGACCTTGTCCTATCCCTGCGCGTGGTTTCGAGTGTTTCGGCGGAGCCTTGATGATCTAATTCAGCAATCAGAAAGTTAAGCCGGTAATCAGGTGGTGGAAGGCAGTCTTTGGGTGTCTACTTCAGGTTCATCATCAAAATGGGGCCAAGGCGTGGAATATCTGTTCGCCATCGCAATGCGATCTTTAGTCGTAGTATCAGCTTCGTATCTTTGCCTCATCGGAACTTAGGAGCAAGAGTCACTTGTCACGCAGCCCTAGTCTTGTGCCTTACGTTCAGGTGGGATACAAGTGTCAAGGTGACCTGCACGAGATTTCCTGCACGAGATTTCCTGCACGAGATTTCCTGCACGAGATTTCCAGCACTCAAAAATAGAGTCTGTCATGATTTGGTACTTTGTTCTACCAGCGATTTGATCACTTATTAGCTACCCCTTTGCAAACATCATCTGCTCTGCTCCCAAAGACCCGACTTCGAAGATGCATCAACGTACATTATTTTGCAATCTTGCCTCTCAGTTGAAGAAGGAGTCTCTCACACCTTGCAAAATCCTTTCGTACCCTCCCAGTACAGTCTCTCTGCATTGTTGCACTACATGCACAAGTGACTCAGACCACCCAATTGTACAGCAGCAAGTTGCATTTCCGTTTGTGGTCACCTTTGAACTAGATTCAAATTCAATGGAGTGCTTTCACGTCGTTTCCAGTTTTGTTCACCCATCACTCGACCTCTTACTTTCGCAATCGTATCCGTCTACAATCGCTGTAGGAATTCGTAAGGATGAGCTGAATTCGAAAATCAAGCAATGGCTTTGGAAACGGTGGCCACAATCACCTCTCCATCGCAGCTCTTGCATTCGGCGTGCGGCAAGTCACACTCGTAGTATTGGGCGGTTGGATATGTCATGTTCACGTCGGCGAATTTCGTGAGCACATTGTAGGGCGCTTCCCCGACACTGCAGATGGCTTGCCATTAGAAAATTTCCATGGAATTGCCTATGCTCACGGGACCGACCTCCCGCCTTTATATCAGCCTGAGTGGGGTTGGGTACATACCTGTTGTCAATATACGTGTGCGCCAACTCGAACGAAAAACTCTGAACACCGGTCCAGGAGGTGATGAGGACTGCAAAGGTGGTATTGTCACAGGTGTTGCTCGAGGTGGCAGGTGGACTGAGACCCACGGCCCATTCAACGCAGCAGTGTGTCGAGCCTATTTCCGGCGTATCTTGGTCGCAGAAGTCGACTGGTATTTTGTCAGTATTGCATCTGCGTATGGAAATAGAGTGGTTCTCGGAACAGAAAGCTCCTCAAATAGACCAGCATGAAAAGCTCACATTGAAGATAGGTACTCTCTATGGATTTGGCATCAGCTTGGAATGGAGATGAAGCGATGAGGTTGGTCAGTTCGAAATTGCCGGAGAATGCTGCCACAATGGAAGAGAAGAAGACAGCGACGGCTGTCACGCGAGGGAGGAGAGCAGGCATGATGGTGTGGAATGCTTCAGTAGGACTTCTCTTAGATAGCGAAATGGCTCAACACGAAGAAGGTCGGGTTGGAAACTGCTTTGAGCAATATGTGAAAGGAAGAAAGAGTTTAAACGGTGGTAGAGAATGCTGTTGAGCGTCGGGTTGAGGATGAGGGAGGGAAGGAACGATGGAGGTGGCAGGACGGGGTTTTTATTTCGCATTTGTGCAGCACAATCCTGTTCTTGATCTGCATTCTCTCAGCTGCCTCCGTTTGCTGCCTCTTGGGGCAATGTGAGAACAAGGTTGGGCGACAAACATCAAGCAACGGGCGTCTCTGCATTCCGTGACGATAATAGACAAACGTTGGCGAGGTGCAACACTTGGCGACGACAATGATGCCTGTGTCCAACATCCCTTCGGGCCATCGAAAGAACCTCCTTCCAGAGTACCACCGCCCGAAGTTGGAATTGCGACACTGCATGAGGCATTCAGTCGGGTCTTGCATAGAGCTGAAGGTTGTGGCCACCGATAAGGGAACAGCTGCATGGGCTAGCATGAATGGCCGAGCCCCTTGCATGGGATCCCAAGCGATGCGACCCCAGCCTTCCACCTGTCTGGCCCTCTCACCGTGCCGGAGAATATCGGGGTTGGTTAACGTTCCAATTTTTCGGAACATTCGACAGAGTTGCCAGAAATAGTCAGATGTTACACGAGATAAGCAGACCGCAGGAAAGGCCACGGTCGCAGGAGACCGATATTAAGGCTTGGATTCTGGCGCGGGCCGCAGACATACCCTGCGGTTGCGCTCAAGAGCTGCATTGGGAGGATTGCAGGTCGGCTTGGGAGACCTGGACTTCAAAACGAGACCGTCGATGGCGTGGCGCAATCGAAGGAGGAGACGGCTAACATTGTAACGGGTAGCACTGTTGCATACGGCTGAGCCTCATGCACGAGCAGTCCACGAAATCCCTCTGGCGGAGCGAGTGTAGGAAAGTGAACACATGAGCGAATGTTCCGATACCAACAAGTGGCCTGACAGGGGACTCAATCTGCTGTGCGACAATATCAATGGCTGAGCGTACTGGGAGTCAGGGACATTCTGAGACATTGGAAACGCGCTGGTCCACGGAATTGCACGCAAACCTGTCGTCTGGTCTGTTTGGTGGGAGGCCTCTCCTTCTCGAAAGAATCGCGGAAGCTGGGGCCATGGATGTGCTGGACAGATCTTTCCGCCAACAGGTTGTTACAGGCTTGTCCAGAGACCTTCTGAATGCAGGATTCCAGGCGAGACCACAGTTGTCACGGTAACCTCCAAACCTGTAGATGATTTGCACCTGAGTGTCACTTGTGTCCCACATTGGGTCGCACGCCTCATCCATCAAGACTTCCATAGCACTGCATGAAGTTGCATGAAGGGCGGACCGGAAAAAGAAACCTAAGCCAGACGGGGTTGTCGCTCGCAGAACAAACAGAAACAGAAAACCCGATGAAAACTTGAACTTAGCCATGCGTTTTGTCCAGAAGTCTACTGACCGTTGACTTCCATGAGTATTTGTGATATCGTTGCACTGACTGAAAACTCCCAGCCATGCCTATTGCTCTTTTGGTCCACTTGCAGATTTTGCAGTAATGGTCTGAGTCTTCCCAGGCCATCCCAACCACCACCGGCACCGGCTCCTCGACAACATCGATAGCGATTCGCTTAACCCTTCTTCTTGCTGACACCGACGGTACGGCCTCGTCTGCCAGTGGTCTTGGTATGTTGACCTCTAACACGCAGGCCCCAGTAGTGTCGAAGACCGCGATGAGCCCGGATCTTCTTCAGGCGTTCCAGATCCTCACGCAGCTTGCTTTCCATGCCGTTTGCCAACACTTGAGAGTTCTTGCCATCGACGATATCACGTTGTCTGTTGAGGAACCATTCGGGGATCTTGTATTGAGTGGGGTTCTGGATGATGGTGACAATTCGTTCGAGTTCTTCAGTGGTGATTTCACCGGCACTGGAAATCCTAAATCAGCCTCCCATTTTATCCCAACCATTGTAAACTCGACATACCGCTTGTTCAAGTCGACATCGGCCTTCTTGCAGACCAAGTTGGAGTAGCGACGGCCGACACCCTTTATGCGGGTCAAGGCGTACATGATCTTCTGCTTGCCATCGACGTTGGTGTTGAGAAGACGCAAGATGTACTGGACTGTAGTTTGAGGTCAGCATCGTGAAATGTCCGATTAGGATTGTGTCTCATACAGTTCGACTTCTCTCCGCTGACGAGAGCTGTTGATAAAAAGTTAGCGACGACCTTGATTTCCAGCACAGGCGCAACGAGGACATGATTCTCGAGTAAGAGCAGATTATTCGAGATCAATGGCCGTGTCACACTTGCAGACATGAGGCGAACATACACATGATGGGCAAACGTCTCTCCTTGACGGTCTTGTTGAAGTTGCGATGTTGCGAACCGACTTTCTTTGAAGCAGCCGTCGTGCAATCCTCGAGTTGAAGTTTCGGAGAGAGCAATTGTGGGCTTGGCACCAGAAAATGAGCTAGCCCTAAGAATCACTAGCGGCATAATCTATTAGATAATAGTACAGATCAAATCAGACTCACGTGCCTGGTCTTATCGCCTCTCACAGGCACATGATGTCAAGGGTCCCCATGCCCCCCGACTCGGAGTGGTTCGTCGTCCAGCAACCACCAGGGTTCGTGACGAGTCGCAGCTCAACGCCTATCTCGCCATCCCTCCGTTTCATCAACACCTTCATCCCTCTCACATCCTCCCTATCCTCCCCGTCTCATCATCTCATCCATCTCGTTTGTTTCCTTCAGTCTGGTGCCAGCTTGACGCTCACTTGGCCGTTCCTCCACCTACTACTAGTTGTCTGTCAACGTCATCGATATTCGCTGCTGCCTAGACGGGGTCCGTAGACGAACCTCCTTCGATTCCCTCAGACTCCATCCATCATGAAAGCCCTTACCGCTGCCCTCCTGGTGGGGTCCGCAGCGGCTGCTGTTGCTCCTCAGCAACAGCCCATTCAGCTCCCCAAATCCTTTGCCGGCGAGGCTAAAAACATGCTGGACAATCAGCTCCACCATCTGAAAGACGCATTGAAAGGACTCACGGTGGAGGCTGCAGCCATCTGGGATGAAGTTGCTGCTTTGTATCCCGAGGATATGAGCCGTGCAAGCTTCTTTTCAACCCCAAAGAAGCACACTCGCCGACCTGACCATCAATGGGACCACATTGTTCGTGGCGAGGATGTCCAGAAGACGTGGGTTGAGAATGCCAATGGCGAGAAAGAGCGTCGTATTGACGGCAAGCTTGACACATATGACCTCCGAGTCAAGGCTGTGGACCCCAGCGTACTTGGCGTTGACCCTGGTGTCAAGCAGTATTCGGGATACCTGGACGACAATGAAAATGACAAGCATTTGTTCTACTGGTTCTTTGAATCCAGGAACGACCCAGAGAACGACCCAGTGGTCTTGTGGCTCAACGGCGGCCCCGGATGCTCGTCGTTGACCGGACTTTTCCTCGAACTTGGGCCTTCGCGCATCAATGAGAAGCTGGAAGTCGTGCCAAACCCGTACTCATGGAACGACAACGCCAGTGTCATCTTCCTAGACCAACCAGTGAACGTTGGATACTCTTACTCGGGCTCCACCGTCTCCAACACGGTGGCCGCCGGCAAGGATGTCTACGCCCTGTTGACCCTGTTCTTTGAGCAGTTTCCCCAGTATGCCAAACAAGATTTCCACATTGCGGGAGAGTCATACGCGGGACACTATATCCCGGTGTTTGCGTCAGAAATCCTGTCTCACAAGAAAACCAACATCAACTTGCAGTCTATCCTGATTGGCAACGGGCTTACCGATGGATACACCCAGTATGAGTACTACCGTCCAATGGCCTGCGGTGATGGAGGTTGGCCCGCAGTGCTTGACGAGCAGTCCTGCCAAGCCATGGACAATGCCCTGCCTCGATGCCAGTCTCTGATCAAGAATTGCTACGACAGCGAGAGCGTGTGGTCGTGTGTTCCCGCCAGTATCTACTGTAACAATGCACTGTTGGCACCTTACCAGCGCACTGGGCAGAACGTCTACGATGTGCGAGGCAAGTGCAAAGACAGCAGCAACCTATGCTATCCCGAACTTGGATGGATCACCAAATGGCTCAATGAGGAGTCTGTGATCAAGGCCCTTGGCGCGGAAGTGGACAGCTACGATTCCTGCAACTTCGACATCAACCGCAACTTTCTGTTCCAGGGTGACTGGATGCAGCCATTCCACCGACTGGTGCCAGGGCTCATCGAGAAGTTACCCGTCTTGGTCTATGCAGGCGATGCGGACTTCATCTGCAACTGGCTGGGCAACAAGGCATGGACGGAAGCGCTGGAGTATCCGGATCACAAGAAGTTTGCGGCGGCCGAGCTGAAAGACCTGCGGCTTGATGGCAGCAAGGACGGGCGTAAGATTGGAGAGGTCAAGTCTCATGGCAACTTCACCTTCATCAAAATCCATGCGGGTGGGCATATGGTTCCTCTGGACCAACCGGAGGCCAGCTTGGAGTTCTTCAACCGGTGGCTCGCGAAGGAATGGTTCTAGATGCGGGCCATTGCACCGAGGACGGAGCATTGATGGTGGGTGGAATGGAGTATACGACTGACTGTGGTCTGTACAGAGCATTGGGAAGTGGATGGGGCCGACTGCCATAGACTGACTGCTGATCAGACCGCAAAGAGGGTCTTTGGCGGTTATGTATGCATTATCACGGTCGGCACATATAGAGCTCGACCCGTATATGGATCGTTCCCTGATGCTTCTCGGTTGTTCGGTTGTGTTGTTTGTTTTTGTCGCCACGAGGCCCCGGCGTGGATCGATAGTGTGGTGTTTTTACAATGCAGGCAGAATGAGAGAATTGCTCGTGATCGTGGCCATTACGTATCATCATCACATCGTCGAAGCGCCCGGCCTGACGGCCTCGACCCCTGCCCATTTAGTGAGGTTATTGTTAGATGCAGTGCGGCGTGGATTGGATGCGGCCTGGTCGCCGTCACTCCAATCACCAGCTGCTTAAGCGCCCTGTCGAGCGGACTGACCCTGCTCGACCCTGCTCGACCCTGGCCACCGCAGCGCAGCTAGCTCTTCGCTTCTCTCCTCCCTCGCTCTTCTATCTCGCTCTGGCTGGTCGACCACGCTGCTACGCGCCCGGCTCCTCTCGTCCTCGTTCAACTGCCTCTGACTGGCCTGTCCGACTTCCACCCTTGTGCTCTTCCTGCATCAGCGCTGCACACTCCTCCCATCCAGCCAACCCACCGCATGCAGTGACTGTTGCTGCCAGTAATGGGCCCTCAGGGCCTCTCCACCTCGAGATGTTTACTCGTAGCTAAATATTGCCATCCCCAGCCTACTCTCGACCGCCGGATTCCTTTCCTCTCTTCACGCAAGCAAGTCTTGTCAATTCTGGTTGTGCGGTTACAACGAGCTATTCTTGTTCTTTGAAAGAAAAGAGAAAAAAACATTCAAGCATATTCTTTTTTTGGTTTGAGCCTCCCTAATCCATCTGCAAAGAGAAGTGTCTGGTACACTATTCTTGAGTCGAATCTGCCAATCTACTGGTAGCCGATCTATTTTCAACATCAACAAGAAGAGTCTCTCCGACGACACTTGCCGCATCGACGAGCTGGTCTCTGTTGTTGCTCCATTGCTAACGTCCTCCGCTAATTTCAATACCGTCACCATCACCAGTCTTTGCAGACATTTTCCCTGGACGAAAAAGAATCTTCCCTTTCTCTTTATCAATCAACCACTGAGTCAAACCAACCCCGTTGCCGGTCGACGGGTCTTGTCAATACACCGACAGTCCTAATAGCTCTTTACCCTTGTTAATTACCACCGCACATACCAATCTTGCTCTGCCGCTCCCACCGACTCCCGCCTTAATACCATTTCAAGCATTCACTGTTACCCTTGTCGATATCGCTACCTGTCTTTGGATCCGGTCCTGGTCGATCTCAGCCCAGGCCCTTCCAATCAAGCGAAGAAGCCTCACAGCACTGCACTACTCCTGGCGAGTAGTGTACCAGCTTTTCCCAGGACCCTGTCGAGCTACTGCAAGACGAGCTGTGCCGCACAGCACTGTGAGCCCGTGCCGAACAGTCCGAACCAAAGCCGCAGTCAGCCTGACTTCTCTAACCGACTGGTCGAGGTAGCTTCACCATCCACCACGCCGGCAGAACGTTGCTATTTTTGCTGGCCTCCTCTTGTTTCACCGGCAGCATAAAGCACATCTCGCCTTCACGCAGCGTGGTTTTCCTGCCCTCACGATTGCCGGTCAATCTACCCCGAGACGGATCCAGCAAGCATCTTTCTCAATCCTTCCTAGATACTCTCGTCATCCCCTTGCCTTGACGTATCTGTCGAGGAAGCTCTGCCCCACCTGAGATCTCTCTCACTGCTAGACGGCATTAATTTTTTACCACACACGGGCATCCATCTATCTCGCATACGGCATTGTGTCTTTAATTCTGCTCGAATCGACGGTATCAGACCGGAGCTTCTTCTGCATTTGCATCAGCTTGACACATCAACTGCACTAATATCCTTCTAATTTCAAACGATTTGACGATACAGCTCTTCAGCATTTCATTTTCCACGCGTAACGCATTGCCACGAATCACGAGTCTCAACGACAGAACATCTCGTTTCAATCTGTAGGTTGGATTTCCACTCTTGCTTCCAGAGAAACCCTGACTGACAAATCGTGTCTAGTTGCTATAGTGAATACATCATCGACGAAAAAAAGGATTTAAACCCAAAAACATGTCGTCACCAGCAGTCCAGCTTTCCTTCACCCTCCGTACCTCCCCCAATGTCCGGACCGTCCATCTCCTTGGTTCATGGGACAACTACAAGTCTCAACTTCCACTGTCCTCGGTCAAAGATGGCGCGGCCAAGCCCGGATCCTGGAAGGGGACATTCCGATTCCAAGGGTCCAACGCTCTCAAGCTCGGCTCGCGGTACTGGTACTATTACATAGTCGACGGCTACCACGTCTCTCACGACCCAGCCAAGGAGTTTGTGACCGAGAAGACGACAGGTCGCAAACTCAATGTCATCGACGTCCCATCCGGAAAGCCCGGTGCCCAGGCACAACGGCCCGCTACGAACACCACGAGCTATGGTCATAGCCAGGCCGGCAACCGCCACAGTCGCGATATCCCTCAAGGCCGGGCCCTGAGTCCAGGCAAGATCCAACACCCGAAGCCAGGCAAACCATATGCGTCCCGGCAACTGTGCGAAGCAGACTACGATCGCTCGCCGATCGACGACCTGGAAGAGCGCTTCGCCGGCTACCGCATCAGCAGTGACAAGTCCGCCTCGCCGTCCGAACTATCCGACGACAGCACGTCCAGCGGCACAGCCTTCTCGCGCTCGTCGCCGTCGTCCATGTCCAGTGTCAGCGACCGCAGCTGTCGCTGTGAACGGTATGGCGTGACCCGGTCCGGGCAACGCGTCAAACTCGACTGCGGCGGTAAACGATGTGGAGGCTGGAGTTCCAGCTCTTCCGAGTGCGAATCGTCCCATGGCAGCGATGAAGACTCGAGCGAAGATGAGCGTGCCTATCAGGCGCGCATGCGCAAGGAGGCTGCAACGAGAGCCCTGGCGTCCAAGGCCCACCACTCCGGAGGAGATGAGCGTAGGAGAACGGTGGTTGTAGAGAAGAGGCGGAGATAGTGTTTGTACATGTCATGTGTGTCATGTGCGGCTGGACTGCAGAGGTGAGGAGATCGGAAAATGTGTGATATGGGGACAAGAAAACACATGTGATTGCCTCCCCGCAGGCGATATCGAGGTCGTTTCTTTGGTGTGATGAACGATTGCACACCTCGTGAGTCTGGCGTGACTGCAGAGCGACTGGGTCAGGAATTCCTTTCTCACCTAGCACTGCCGTTATCGTCCACCCAGCAACAACTACGGCGTGTCCACCAGAGCCCTTGATCAGAAAAGGCGCTCACAAGATACGAACAAGTGATCGCCCCGAGAAAACCGACGAGGCCGACCGAGTCAAGTGCAGCAGGGCATCATTGCTCGACTCCATTCGACTCAGGTCGCGCGCAAAGTCGTCGGGCGACTCATCCCACCAGGGGGACTCGGCCTGACCTGCGTCAACTCGCAGAGATACCTACCTCGACTGAGGCGAAGTGGAGGAATGGCGAGATGGAAGAGATCAGATGACGTTGAGGATGAGCAGGGAAGGTCTTGGGGGAAGGCCCGACGGTGAGATGTGACCGAAGGATAAGAGAATGAGTGGAGGAAGTGGGCCATGTCTTGAGTCAAGATAGTGGAAGAGTGGAAGGGAAAGAAGAGAGCTCCAACCCCGAAAAAGAATGAAAAAACAGCAACCCAGTCAATGATGTCCATGGACGATAGCCAAGCAAGATGCTTTTCTGTTCTGGTCTGCTCCGGTGCGGCGCGGTCGGCTTAGCCTCATGTATCCCAGCTGAGGTTACGGTTCTTCCTCCTGCCTCCCAGAGGAAGAAAGATTATGAGCATGAGCAGGAACATGAGTAGAGACAGAATTGGAAACAGAGTCCATGCTTGCATCAACTCAGCCTACATCTTCTAGCATCGAAGCCCATCGCACCTTGTTGTACAGTACCGTCATCGCCGTTGCGTGATCTGTCGTTCGCTTGGGTATGGGAACCCTCTCCCTAACTCACATTGCCGCGCTTAAATCACGGTCGGGCTAGCAGCGGGCTTTCTGCGATTGCAACCAGCTCAGATGTAGATGAGATTCACTCCTTTTCTTCGAGCCTCACATGATATATATCCTTTGCAAGGGACCGCAGGGTCGATGCCTCTTCCAGGGCCAAGTAAAAGAATCGCTCGGACAGCAGGATGAGCGCATCGAAGATGGTGTCAGGGTCAGGGTTGTCGAGCGTGCTGGTCAGGCATCTCCTCAATTCGCCCACAAACCAGTCATGGCAATCACTGCCTGACGATGCCGAGAGGGCACCAACGGTAAGGATCCAGAGTCGCACCTCCTCATGGCCGTCCCAAAGATGGTCGACGATGGTGAGCAGCATTTCGCGCAAAAACGGTGCGATGATCTTGATAGATCTCTTGCGGCCCGAGATGGTGAAGATCCGGAAGATCCACAGAACAATGGCGGTGCGGATTGCGCCGCTGCGGGGGTCGCTGAGGTCCATGGACAAGAGGCGATGTCGGATCGCCAGAGTTCGAATATGGACCCAGTGAATGCCGTCTGCGGGAAGTTTCCCAAGTGCCATGTCAGGCGACTGCGACGACCGGAGGACAGAGAGCACGACGGCGAGGTCGAGGATGATCCAGCGTAGGCCGGTAGGGACAATCTCTTGCTGTGTCGAAGTCAGGAGACCTGCTGCTGTCTTCACCTTTCCAGAGAGCAATTTCTGAAGCTCGCAGAGGCCATGTGCCGTCATGGGATGGCTGTCGCCAGACTCAAAGTCGGTTGGGGACCAGAGAGGTTTCTGCCTGAGCTCCGCTGCGACATATTGATCGCCAGAAAGGAGGAGATCAACCAGCGGACCATCCATAGCCTTAAGGCCACCCATTGCATCGACCAACTTTTTGGCCGCTTTCAGGTGCACATATGCGGCATGGCCGTTGTATCGATACCATTCCGCACAGCCAAGGTGGAAGACATTGAAGATCATTCTCCCGGTGATGGGTTGGTGGCTATGTACGTACTCCTGTGACGCTTTCAGAGCCTTGTGGATATAGTAGCTTCCATCTCTGGACGGAGGGATCTCATCGAGATAAGTCATGAAGCTGGCCATGGAAGCCAGGAGTGCGTACATGTTGTATTCGTCGTGCAAGCAACCTTGAATCACGGACATGGCGTCGAATTGAAAGACATACTTGTGGTCTGGGCGACTGGCTCGTTCAATATGCCAACAGCCGGGATGCTGGACCAGCAAAAAGTACTGGAGGAGGCTATGGACAGCTCCATCGACCCTAATACAAGTGACATCGAAGGGATCAAAGCTTTCCTCTGCCGAAGCAGGAAATACTGGGATAGACTGAGGCGTGCTGCGGTTCGAGCTGGAGCCGAGAGAGGAGATTGCGTCGCGGAGGCCAGCAGCCTGCGGGCTCAGAGGTTGCCTGGAGCTGTCAGGCATCTGGTCCCGCGACGTACGTTCGATCGGGCACTGATCGGAGGTCACCAAGGCGTCGCCGCCAGACTCCCCCCTCGGACGACGGGCAGGTTGGAGTTGGAGCAGGGGCAGCCGAGTGTCGTGGCCGATACGGTGGTCCGCCTTCTTGTATCTCCGGCCTTTTTGCACATGGCTATGGATCGAGATCCGCTCCTGCTTGTTGCTGTGAGAAAGCGAGTCGGATTGAGGGTGCTTATTGATGAACAGAAACTTCGGGGCCGTCATGTTGGCATTGCGCAGCGACAAAAGACAGGCCGCGGGTCGAGCTTGTCGCCGCCGTAAAGGGAGGCGAGTCGTGATATAGGCAAGCCTGGGCCGAGGACGGTGGCTTTAGGAGCCCTGATCGGACGAGGGTTGAGGCTGTACCAAGTCATAGTTATGGTGGTCACTGGTAGTGCCGTCTCGAACATCCAAACTGGGAAAGTCAAAGGCGTTTCGGCACTGGCTACATGCATCGTAGGGAGGAGACTGCGGACATTAGTATCAGGCAGCTGGTCGAGGTTACCATCGCTCATCTGCGCTCCAATTGGCCAGGTTGCGGTCCAGCCTCTTGTTTCGAAGGCCAAGCGCATGCACGCTGACTCAGGAGTTTATCAGCCTCGGCTATGTATGGTAGGGGTGGTAGTGGTGGTAGCACAGAGAAGTGAGGTGACCTGAATTGTATACACACACCCACTGACCTCAGACATGAGTGGCTCACTGAGAAAGGGAGGAGACGAATGTGTATTCTTTCTCGGCCACCAGTTGTTTCGGACCAGCAGTTGACGAGGTACTGAATAGTGGCGGGTAGAAAAGGCTTCCTCTCATATGCTAGAGTTGTCAAAGTCCAAAAAACATCGTTGCTCATTTAGCTAGTACTATGTATACAATCGCTCGGTCATGATCTCGTCACCCTGACGACCCCATGATTGCTTCGCTTGCAACCTCTACTCAGGGTCTGGTATCTTCAGCACATATCGTCCAGCGATCTGTCCTTGGTGCATCAAATCGAAAACTTTCGGAAGATCCTTCAAATCCACCGTCTTGAATGGCACCTTGATCAATCCACGAGCAAAGAAGTCTAACGCTTCCTCGCCGTCTTGTCGGTTGCCGACATACGAAGCCTGAATCCGAATCATCTTCACCACTGATTCAAACACTGGTGCTCGGATGTAGGCTTTGGCTGGGAGACCGATGACAACCACAGTACCCCGAGGGCGGACATACTCGGCGGCTTGCTGGAAGGGCTTCTCGCTGACGGCGACGAGAAGGACAGCGTGCGGACCTAGGCCATCCTTGGTGGCAGCCTTTACATCTTTGATAATGTCGCTGGACTTGGCAAAGTCGATGAAGACCTGAAGCAGGGTTAGATCATGTTGCATTTACCAAGACCAAGCACAAGCTCACCTTGGATCCCATCTCCTCGCAAAGTTTCTTCTTGTCGTCGCCCGTATCGATGGCAATGGTGTGAAGTCCCATGGCCTTCGCATATTGTTGTGCGAGAGCACCCAACCCACCACCGGCACCCACGATGGCTACCGTTTGGCCGGGTCTTGCGCCTGATTCCTTCAACCCCTTGTAGACTGTAATACCGGCGCAGAGGACCGGGGCAATCTCATCGAGAGGCACGCCCTCGGGAATATGGGAGACGTGTCTTGCGGAAGCAACGCAGAATTGTTGGAACGAGCCATCGACGGTGTAGCCGGACAGCTTGGCCTTCAGGCAGAGAGGTTCATCGGCTTGCTGACAGAATGTGCAAGACAAGCAGGAGTCGTTGAGCCACTTGACACCGACAGCTTCGCCAATCTTGGCGATGTCATCGGTGACCAGCTCGCCACGCGCCACAACGATGCCTGCACCCTCATGACCTCCGACAAGGGGCAGCTTGACATCGAGAGGCCAGTCGCCATTGAGCGCATGTAAGTCGGTGTGGCAGACGCCAGAATATTTGATGTTGATCAGGACATCCGCAGGGCCGGGCTTTGGGACTGGGATCTTCTTGTATTGGAGAGGACCACCGACCTTCTCGGCAATCTGAGCCCATTGTTCGGTGGGAATCTTGGGGGCAGACATGTCGATGGTTTAGGAGAAGCCTGGAATGAATTGAGACTGTTGTCTTTAGAAGTGGAGTGCAGCGAATGGTAGAATGGATCTGTCCTTGTTCTGAGAGAAGATTATGTCGTGGTCTGAGGGAGAGAATGCGGTTTATGTAGGCAGCCAGCAAGCTTCTTCAACCCCTCTCCTGACGCACCACATCCACGTTTCGACAACATTTCATTTTCAGGATGAGCGGAACCCCCTCAACAGATCGAGCGTCTAGCCCAGGGCCGGGTGCCTCCTTCACGATCGGTATCCTGTGGCCCGCTGGGCGTCAAGCCCAATCACCGCCGCAGTGACGCAAATACCCCAGCGCCACATCTCATGACGGGTATACGGAGACCTTCGGCAAACTGGGACGAGGGCCTCGCCCGGGCATAGCCTGTCACAGGTGGGCCTGGGAGTCTGGGAGGGTGGGACACTGGACAGACGGATTTCCGGAAGAGCGCAGGACAAATGGGAAAATGGGAAAATGGACACCAATGCGCTCCAAGCTCTGCGCCATCGTCAGCTAGTAGAGCTGGTATCGAGGGGCACTAGAAGACAGTATTGCACGCCGATCAGGCCATCCAGTGGACCATTGCATCGCCCTTCCTCCGGGACAAGGTTCCAAGCTCGCCGACGTACCCCATCCATCTCTATGACTCGAGGACCGGCGGATCAGGGCTTCAGGACCAGAGGAAGATGCAGGACCAACGGCAGAGAACGAAGAGACAAGAGACGGAATGGAGGGAGTCAATCTGGGTGCAGGCAGTGCGGGGGACAGTGGCAGCGCATGGGAGGGATGGCTGCCCGCCCATGCCGCCCGTGCAAACCCATTATTACTGGTATCGTATTGCATTTTGTTTACAAAGTGGCATGATGCTGGCGAGGGTGGGGGTTCGCTAGGAGAGGTTTCTACGTCAGTTCGCACATCTGGCCTTGCCTCTCACCTGATGGAGAAAGCGAATATGCTCACAATGGATGATCATAGATATCACCATCATGGCCCAGATCTCCCACTACCCGACACCAGCTATCTAAGATCGCTTGCGGCAGGCACTTCGGCGAACTGCGACGATAAGATACCTATAAATGGCAGCATGAGGGCATCTTGACGCGTCAAATTTCACCAAGTCCACCCCAACAAAGTCGCATAAGATGGTCTTGTCTTGGTCTTGCAACAGTAACATCGCACCTATGTGCTCAACGACACGACGAGACGAGACGAGCCCAGACAAGATGATTGCATATCTTGGTGCCTCAGCCGGGCAAGCCGAAGAGACGGTCTCATCCGTCTGCCTCAGAGGATGATGCGATTGCGCCAAATAAGATTGTGGCCTGATGCCCACATATTTATTTGCAAGGCAAATCTTCGCGACGTCCAGGCGTCCCAATTGCACATGCCCTGGAATCGACACCACCACTGGCATGAAAAAAGATTGAGATTCTTGGTACTTGATAAGAGCAGTTCATCAGATGTCAAGGCACCATTGCAGCCCAGCCCGTCAAGGCCACCAAGGCCAGTCAGAATGATGAGCGCAGCAGGAGCCGCAACGCAGTCTAGAAGCCTAGCAGCATGACAGCGAGGACGCACCACCCTAAATACCCAGGGCCAAATCCACCGTCGAACAGACTCTTCGTATAGCGCAGAACTTTTACATAGTCGCTCAAATTCTTCTCCTGATGGGATCTCTTTCTCGTGGCTCTCCCCTTTCCCTCCTTCGGGTACCTTCTGACTGCTTTCTTCTCAAGCGAAGTGCAGAGGAGAAACTGTTCACATGCCTTGCCTTCTGAACGAACCGTTTGGCTGTCGCCGAGGGTTCGAGTCGTGTACGGATGCTACTAAATGATTGTGCCGGCAATACAGGATTCCACAGTCCTAGGCACCGGGCCGAGTGCTCTCCAGGCATGTCCAGCGCTCAGGGCATGGGCGGGTTTGGGCGGGTTTAGGCTGCAGAAACAGCCTGAGGAGCCTTAGGAGCCTCCCAGAGGAGTGTTGGAGGTCAAAGCCGCTTCCTCCACTTTAGCCGCAGGGTTTGTGGACTTCCCCGCGTCCCGTATCCGGCTGACTGTCGCAGGACATCCATCTGTGAGGTACAGTAGGTCTTCAATGTGCAGATCCGAACCATTCAGACCATTCAGACCATTCAAATTTTTGCCTTGCTCAAATGCCGCTGGCACGCCTGGTGTCGCCAAATTCTCCGCAGCGGTGAAAATGACGTCTAGAAAAGATAAATAATGTTGCCATCCGTTCGAGCCTGAAACCCCAGTCTCGTTGACCTTTTCCTGCCCTTCCTCGTCAGTCCGCACTCTCTTTCCGACATGGCTACCAATGGTTCCAACGGCTCGTCATCGTCCCCATCAAAATTCGACACCTCTTCAACTGTTCCGCTGTGGCTAGATGGGCAGGAAGTCAAGCTGTCTTCCACATTCGACGTCGTTTCTCCACTCGACCACGAAGTCCTGTATCAATGCTCCGCTGCTGGGGAAGAAGACGCTCTAAGAGCCATTGATTCAGCAGAGAAGGCTTTCAAGACATGGTCGAAAACGAAGCCGCACACGAGGAGGGATATTTTCCTCAAGGCTGCAGAAGGATTCCGGAAGAGGAGGGATGAGCAGTTCCACTACAGTCACACCGAAACTGGCGCAGCCGAATCCATGTTTGCCTTTGAGCATAACCAGGCGTACGAAGCCTGTAAGAGCGTGGCAGGCTTGATTCAGGTGGCCACTACTTCAAGTATGCCAGTCGTTTCGGAAGAAGGGAGCAACGCCTTGCTGCTCAAGGAACCATACGGCGTGGTTCTAGGGATTGCACCTTGGAACGCTCCCCATATTTTGGGCGTCCGTGCCTGTCTGCAACCTCTCGCCATGTAAGCGTTCCGCAAAATCGATGCTGTTCTCTTATCAGACTAACATGTCTCAGGGGAAACACGGTCATCCTGAAAGGTCCGGAAGCCGCTCCAGCCACGTACTGGTCCATCGCCTCAATCCTCCACGAGGCCGGTCTACCAGCAGGGTGCCTCAACACAATTTACCACCGTACTACAGATGCTGCAAAGGTCACAAACACTCTGATCTCCCACCCGGCCGTTAAAAAGATCAACTTCACTGGATCCAGCGCTGTCGGTTCAATTGTCGCTTCTCTAGCCGGCAAACACCTCAAACCCACTGTCATGGAACTCGGTGGCAAAGCACCCTCAATCATCTGCGAGGACACCAACATCGAGGCCGCGGCGCTTCAGTGTGCGCTGGGTGCCTTCCTGCACGGTGGCCAGATTTGCATGGCTACTGAACGTATTTTGGTAAATGCAAAAATTGCCGACCAATTTCGGTCTGCGCTTCAAGCCACCATGGAGAAGGTCTTTAGCGAGCAAGGCATGGGTGTCCCACAACTTGTGACTGCAGCCCCAGTCGAAAAGAACAAAAAGCTTCTGAGCGACGCCCTCTCCAAGGGCGCCTCGACGCTCTATGGAGATCCGAATCACAATGAGTCTTCTAAGACCAAGATGCGACCCGTCATCATCGAGAACGTCAAGCCGGGCATGGACATCTACCACACTGAATCCTTCGGGCCGACCGTTTCCTTGTTCGTGGTAGGTTCAGACGAGGAGGCCATCGAGATTGCCAACGACACCGACTATGGTCTCTCCAGCGCCGTCTTTACAGAGGACCTGCGGCGCGGACTGCGCATCGCACGCCAGATCGAGAGCGGCGCTGTACACATCAACTCCATGACTGTTCATGATGAAGTGGCTCTGCCGCATGGAGGGGTGAAGAAGAGTGGGTTCGGCCGATTCAACAGCCTGCAGGGCCTGGATGAGTGGGCCTGGACGAAAGTTGTGACATGGAAGGATTGATCGGAATTAAAGCCATGACGAAGTATTCACTTGATGCGGGACATGTACCATTAATCTATCCGATATTGTTTCACTCATACTCGCTTCGTGATTAAACAGTAAGCCTGGGGAAGGGGCCCTAGGGCCCGTCACATAAACCTCTGCCGCCATAACCCTCCAACTTCTCATTGACGTCCAACAGGAGCTTATAGTTTCGGAGTATCCGTCAAGTTCTCGTATCCATCCGGGGTGATATGCACGTCGTCCTCGATCCTCACCCCGCCCACAGCCCAATATCGATCTAGCACGGCCTTGTCAATATACTTGCTCAATTCCGGATCCTCGAGGACTGGATCAAGGATGAAGTTGCAGAAATAGATGCCCGGCTCGACCGTAATGACCGCGCCCGCCGGCACGTTCCCTCGGACTCGCAGGTACTTGAACATGGTATCTGGGTCATCGTACTTGGCATGGCCGCCGGTGTCGTGTGTGTCCATTCCCAAGTAATGACCCAGGCCATGCGGGAAGAAGGCGACACTGACTCTTTTGTCAAAGATCTCTTGCTCGTCGCCCACGAGAATGCCGGCTTTCTTGAGGCCGCGAATGGCCACCCAGTGGGCATGCTCGTGAACGTCCTCCCACCGTACGTTGGCGCGAAGGAGTTTGAAGCAGGACAACTGCATCTCGTCGACAATGGCATAGATTGTCTGCGATTCGGGGTTGAAAGTGCCGGAGATGGGGAATGTGCGTGTGATGTCGGCGCAGTAGCATTCATACTCGGCGCCGGCGTCGAGGAGTATGTTGAGCCGTTCTCGCAAGGGCTGGTCATTCCGGATATAGTGTAGGGTCGAGCAGCTCGTGCCGCTGGCGCAGATGGAGTGATATGCTTGCTCATGTGCGCCATTGGATATACAGGTTCCAACAAAGGCGCCGTACAGCTCCTGCTCATTAGTGGCAGTCCGCACAACTTTGGCCGCTTCAATATGTGCGAGTGTGGAGATCTCGTTGGCCTTCCGGATCAGGGCGACTTCGTAGCTGTCCTTGACCACACGACATTCGTCGATAGCCGTCCTCAGGGATGAGAACTCAGTGTCCGCAAAAGGCAGGAATGTGATGTGCTCGGAGACCTGTTCTGGGATCGCGTAGACCGTGGTCGACTGTGATGGGCCGTACGCTGCCAGCGCAGCGTTGACCTCGTTGCTGTACAACACCTGATCCACGTCGTATTTCTGTAATGCCTCCTCTTTTGACTCCGGGAGCCCGGCCCAGATGACACTGTCCGGGTCAACGGGTGGGATGAACAGCGTCAGGATGTCTTGCGGGATGTTGTAGGTGAGATATGCGTCGGGAAGTTTGCAGCCGGAGAGGTAGAAGAAGTATCGTCGTTGCCGGAAGGGCATGGCTTGATCGTCGTCCTCCACCATGTGCGTCTTTTGCGCTTCCAGGTAGATGACTCCATCGCGGGACAGGCCAGCGTCCGTCAGGTATTTGGCTACCCGCCGGCAATGGGCTTTGGCAGGATATTTGGCTTTTAGAGTGGTGTCGGTCACGGACATGATTGCTTAGATGCAATATCACAATAAGTCAGGACGGAAGAGGGTGAGTTGGACTAAGTACTCCGTAGACAATGGGTATCCGTGCACCTGAGGGTGGAATGACCGCGGTTCAGGCCTCAGGGCCGCAATCGATACCACCATATTCACTGTACGGATCAGCCAGAGATACCCCTCAATTAAAGCGGCGGCATGAAAAGTAAAGAATGAATTTTGTCATTCGCTGCTTTTGCGAGACTCGTCGACTTGTCTGGCAATTGCGTTCGACATCACCCCTGGCCTTAGCCCGTACGCACTGTCTCTCTAGGAATTGACACTCATCTACTGGTAACTATTAACAGCTCCGGCAGGCATCCTTTGCTGAAGCAGCCTCTAAGCAGTTCTCCGATGGCCGGATGAAAGAGCACAGACAACTCTGCATTCGACTTGCGCCTATCTCCACCAGCGCGACCCTTGTGAGGGAAATGAAAATGCCAGTCGATCATGCCATTGTCCTATAAACTCCTGTGGTTGAAACGACTCTCGACGAAAACCCAACCGACCTTCACCGCCTCTGAAAGCGAAAGTGAAAGCGAAATCCCATTGAATGATACCAGACCAGACAGAGCGTATGCTGAAGGCTAGTACCGAGGACGTTGGCCACTTACACAAAAGGGAACACGCCTGCGGGCTTCATGCATGAAAACGTAAGGAACTAATGCACGCCGACTTCGGCCGAGGTCTCAGATATCACGCTTGTCAATTGCAATTCGTCTTTAGGACGTCTCCCTATATCTTTGAAGACCAGAATTTCCTCCACGGCCCGAGCCTGGCGAATGAGCAAGCCACCCGATGCACTGGTTTTTCACAGGCCTCCGTCGACATATCTAGATATGTATGTCCCCCGGAATGGTATCATCATACATGCCACTTCTGCTCAAACAACGTCCACATCGACGGCTCCTGTAGGTACCTTCAACTTGCCTATGCACCTCAGACCCTCCCCTAAGCATAATTTGCCTTCGGCCCTAAAGTTGCAGAAGACTGTCCGCTTTAGGATCGTCCTGAGATATCCCAGTTGATACCATCCTTCTGCCAACACATCAAAATGACGTGGCACATGGAGAAGTCAATCTTCTGTATCCACTTGAGTCTCCGAAGGACACTGATAGTAGTCGGCATGTCGTTTGGCGTATGGATACTTTGGTAAGTGTATCAGGGACCGTCTGTGTCACCTAATGCGTCGCGGCCCACTGCGCCCGCTGTACGTGAAGTGTACGTGAGAGCATTGGTTTTCATGAAAGTGAGTTCCAAAGAAACCGAGATCCGCCGGTTCTAGTGATATTGGCATGCAGAATTGCGAAGTGAATATGAGTGACATGTCAAGTCCAGGAGAGTCCCATCATACACTCTCGGAGTATTCAGTCCTATCTTTAATCCTTCATCATCGCACCGCAGCAAAGATTCGCTGTGGGAATTGATTTTTGTTTGTGCCCGGTGAGTCCAAACAACATGGAAGACCTGGGACGTCCTGAATCTCTGAAGGCTGGCTATCCTCAGGCCAACTCTGAGCCGAGAATGGAAGAGTTGCAAAGTGATGGGTCTCCAACCAAGTTGGAAAGAGGGGAAAATGGTTTTGATGCAGAACATTCGAAACGGAAGGACAGCGGTGCCTTCGTGACGACTGTGCAGTCTGATTGCGGTGGACTTCCTCCCTATTCGAAAGAAGAGAAAGTGGAATCTCTATCCCAGGAAACGGAGCCAAAGGTGGCACCAAACGGAGTTTCTACTTTACATCAGAAAATCGCCGAAGCAGGCCTCAGCCAGACAAACAGGAACACCCAGTCAAGGGCGGGTTCCAAGATTCGAGCTCTCATCGTCGACATCGGTGATGTGCTTTGCAACTGGACCGCGCCAGAATCCTTGCCTATAGCGCCCGCAATGCTGCAGCGTTTCCGCAAAACTCAACTTTGGTACGAGTACGACCTCGGGCTGATTACACAAGCCGAATGCTATGGCCGACTTGCCGAGCAATACGGCGTATCCACATCTGATGTTGCGGCAGCATTCGACAAGGCTCGGGACTCCTTGTTGCCTAACAAAGCCGTATTCGAGAGCCTCCGGAGACTCAAGGCCAGCTACCCAGAGACTCTGAAAATGTATCTCATGTCAAACATTCCCGCCGCTGAATGGCAGGCTTTGAGACAGAACGGGGATTTTGACTGGTCTCTTTTTGACGGCTTCTTCACGTCTAGCGAGGCAGGCATGTGTAAGCCTGAGCTTCGCTTTTACCGCCACGTTCTGCAGCAGATTGGCTTGAATCCGACTGATGTGGTATTGGTTGATGATAATTCCGAAAACGTCCTTGCCGCACGGTCCTTGGGAATCAAGAGCCTGAGATTCACAGGACCAGAGGGTCTGAACCAGTTCTTCAAAACTATCTTCCACGATCCAATTGCAAGCGGCTTCGAGTTCCTGAAGAGCAATGCCAAAGAGATGTGGAGTGTGACGCCTCAAGGGAGAGAAGTGAGAGACAACTTCGCGCAGCTGTTTTTGTATGAGGCTGCGGGTGACATGTGAGTGGTCTGGTTTAGGATGATTCGAGAAACTGGCATGGCTGACCAATCCGAATGTGCAGAAACCTTGTCACCATGACATTCTATGAGCGCACATGGAACTACTACATTGGTGAGATAGCTATGGGTACCGTGGTTTTGGACGAGGCCTAACTCAATGACAGAAAAGCCCATCGACACGGTCGAGAAGCATCCTGACGACATTGACACAACTTCTCTGGCAATGATCCTGTTGCCCAACGATGTGGAGAAAGCCAATGATATCCTAGATGAGATACTTCGATATACTAATGCAGACGGCATCGTTATGGTGAGGATTGGTCCATCCAGGCCCAGAAAGAAGTCTCAAGAATGTGGCAAATGAACTTACTCCTAACAGACATATTTCGATAACAAACGTCCCCGCGTGGACCCGGCTGTATGTGTCAATGCCCTTCGCTTCTTCTACAAGTATTCGCGAGGGAATACACTGGCCCTGCAGCCCACGAAGGACTGGATATCCGATGTTCTCTTCTATCGAGCCTACTTGGATGGCACATACTACTACCCAACTGGGGATGTCTTCCTGTACCTGTTCAGTCGCCTCCTGACTGCCAACCCTGAGAGCGACATCTACCGCCGTACAGCCTCGCTGTTGAGAGAAAGACTGCAAGAACGGATCGGGACTAGTGGGGATGCCCTGGAGCTGGCAATGAGGGTAATCGCGTGCCTTGAAATGGGCATCAAGAACGAGGTTGATCTGAGGAAACTTGAAATGAGCCAGCAAGAGGACGGCGGGTGGGAGGTTGGCTGGCTGTGTCAAACAGGCAAGACCAGTCTGAAAATCGGGAATAGAGGTCTGACCACTGCTCTGGCTGTCAAGGCGATTGAGATGGCGAGGAAGACCAGATGAGCTGTTCTCAGACCTGGTTGCTGGGACTGGAATGAGCGTTCGCCATAGTACCAGGGTTCGTACCCAATAGCCGTATCCGATAGAATATAGACACCATGCGAGGAATTAGTTGGAGTGTTTGATACGCAAGACGAGCTCGTTCCTGGTTCCTGGGTCCTGGTCTTGGCTGTGGCCTTAGCAAGCAGCCGAATATGATTGGCCTGGATTAGTCCGCGTTGGGACGCGGGTTAGGCTGGTTGTTATACGTCATTGGATCCCAGACGAGGCTGTCACTGGTTGCAGTTTGGTGCTTTGTTGTATTCGAGGGGGATGCAATGATACATGCCTACTATGGTCAGTCCTGTCGCTTGTGTCTCTCCATAGCACCGAGAACGCATTGCAATACAATCCTCTTCCAGCGTCCGCCCTTCCAGCATTACCACTCTCGCCACCACAACTCGAACACCATGACCGCTGAAGTATGCCCTGTGGTGGGCACAACAAACACTGTCCTGCCTCCTAAGCACCCCGACTTCGATAGCAACCAGCCAGGCCTTGTCTGTCCTGTCACAAAGGCTACCACTGACCATCACCACAACCTCCACAAGCACCCTGGCCTCTTCGACCCTTCCGCCGCAGCAGAGCATCCCAATGCCGATTCATGCCCTGCTTTGTCCAGGATCGTAAGTCGCCCCGACCAGCAGGCCATGGACGAGGCTATCTGTCCAGTTGTTGGCGCCGTCTCGAGCGTACTCCCGCCTAACCACCCATCTACCGCCACGGCCAACGATGGCGAAGTCTGCCCTGTGACGAACGCCACTCTTGCCCATCACAAGAACAAAGTGCATCCACATCCAAGCCTCGAGACAGCACCAAAAGGGGCAGTATGTCCCGTTGTTGGTGCCTCAGCGCGAACATGATTCAGGAAGGAATTCACCACTGGCATATGATTGTATCAATAACAACCAGAGAGTTGTTGGTCGGATGTTGATCATCTGGGGAGGGAGGATACCAGGCTCTTATGCAGCGTTGGACCTGGAATGTTGAAAATTCTCATGTCCAACGACGTAGAGGTGAACATTGTATTGATAAAACTGGAAACTGCAGAATAATTTGTACATCTACACTACCCCAGTCTCTTCCCTGTGATCTATTCTCTTTAAATCCGCAGAGAGCCAAGCGGTCGCCAGTCGTATAGGCATATCGGACTGCGCTAGGCATCGTTCGTAGTCCGACGTCTTCCAAGACCACTGCCACAGAGCAGGCCAAGCCGCTGCACTCACACGTTCGGTCTCTGCATCTTCATCAGTATGAACACCGAATCATAGACGGCCCATCGCGGACTCTTTCGCGTTCTCGATGTACTGGATCCTCTTTTGACCACCTGCTCATGGCTCAGCGCATGTTACTATACTGTTCGTCGTACTCGCCTTGGTTACTTGAGAAACTGTTGCCTATTGCCGGAACCAACCCTCTCTCTCGTCTATCGGCCGATCAACCAGGATGTGTGAGTCCGGCTTTGCATATATGGCCACTAAAATAGGTACATCCTATACGTACAAGGAAGAGAAAGGCCGCGACCGCCATGGGAAACCCAGCAGCTTCAAGACATCGTTTCTAAGATCCAGAGGCCTGCTGAACCCGCTACCGCCCCGCCCTTCTAGACAAATCGCCAGAGCGAATGAGTCGAAACTCGAATCCGTTGTCGGAGTTGGGCACTCCAGGCAGCAGGGAATCAGAGATGAAAAAAAGGTCCACAGGCGGAATTGCCCACGGCTAGATCGGCACCGGACCTACTGTACTCTGTACAGTAGTAGCGGCCATTCTCCGGTCTCCTACATGTGCTATGTATTTCTACTCAACGACACCTAGCATCTTTGATACCACGATGCCTTGCCCTCTAGCTCTGGGTGGCCGTCGAGATGTCGCTGCCTACTTTGCAGGCAGTTCAGGCGGAGAATGAGCCTGCAGGAGAGAAGGGCGAAACCAGCGTGCCGATTCAAGACCCGAACCATGAAAAAGACGACATACTCGTGGGCTGGGACGGCGAGCGTGACCCAGAAAACCCTCAAAACTGGTCGATGGCCTTAAAATCCGCGGTTACCTTCCAGCTGAGTCTGTTGGCCTTTGCTGCCAGCCTGGCCTCGAGCATCATTGCCCCAACCAACCGGACGCTTGCTGAGTACCTTGGGGTCGGCGAGACTGTCGTGGTGCTGAATATCTCCCTCTATATGTGAGTTGGCGTCCAGTGTGCGGTGTCGAGTATTTTGATTCCAGCCTGTGGCCGCTGAAAACTAATTGTGTCCTCCAGTATCGGCTTCGCGTTCGGCCCTCTTCTATGGGCTCCCATGTCAGAAATTTGGGGCCGCCGGATATCCATGCTGCCGGCGATGACGTGCTTGGCCATCTTCTCGATCGGAACGGCGACCAGCAAAAACGCCCAGTCCGTTTTTGTCACCCGTTTCTTTGGAGGTCTGTTCGGCTCGGCTGCTGTCAGCAACGTTAATGCTGCGTTGGGAGACATCTGGTCTCGCGAGGCGCGAGGGACCGCTGTTACACTCTATGCCGTCTGTGTCGTTGGAGGTCCTACGTTAGGTCCAACCACGGGAGCCGCTATCCTAGTCAACCGCCATCTTGGATGGCGATGGACAGAGTACATCATAGCCATCATCAACATTGCCGTGGTCGTGTTGACTTACTTCTGCATGCCCGAAATGTACCCACCGGTGCTGCTGAAACGCAAGGCCCAGAGGCTACGCAAGGAGACGGGCAACGAGAAGCTCTACCATCCCCATGAGAGACTCAAGCTGGATGTCAAGTCTATCATTACCAAGCAGCTGTCGCGGCCGTTACTGATGCTGTGTTTCGAGCCCATGGTCACCTGCATCGCCTTCTATGCATCCTTTGTCTATGCCATCCTCTATCTTACTCTTGAAGTCTTTCCCATCGTTTTTCAGGAGGAGCGCGGCTACGGTCCGGTCGACGGCTCTCTACCGTTCCTTGGCCTGTTCATCGGAGTGCTTTGCGCCATGGCGATCAACCTAGGGAACCAACCCCGGTATATCCGCAAATGTCGCGCTGCGCACGGCAAGCCTGTTCCGGAAGCGAGGCTTCCACCGTTGGCCATTGGGGCCGTATTGATGGTGGCCGGTCTCTTTTGGTTCGGATGGACGGCTGCTCCAAAGTACTCATGGGCGCTCCCTTGTGTTGCCGCCGTTTTCATCGGCGCAGGGTTCAACACCATCTTCCAGCAATGTACGTACCCCCTAGTGCTTGAAAATCAGTCAGCCTTACGGCCACTCTTGCTCTCCAGACTGACAAAATATGCGCATTATTAGGCATCAACTACCTCGTCGACGTGTACGGTCTCTATGCCGCCAGCGCCACAGCGGCCAACACGTTTCTTCGTAGTATTCTGGCCGCGGGTCTCCCTCTCGCCGCACGACCTATGTTCCACTCTCTGGGCGTTGGCCCAGCCATGTCCATTCTTGGTGCTGTTGCAGCTGCCATGCTTCCCGTACCGTTCCTCTTGATGAAATACAGCCTGCCTCTCCGGAAACGATCAACCTTTGCTCCGGTGCCGGATGATTGATTGCACCGTTGATACAGCCCGCTTTCGAGAATCCCTGTGCGTCTCGCCCGGAGAGCACAGGTCTCAAGGAGCTCGACGTACTCCAAACACCTCTCTGGCCTACGTCTGACTCTGTGGAGGGCGACGACACTCCACTGGCACCGGCGCCAGAACTGCGGAACACAGGCCATCCCTGACCGTCCCTCATGGCCTCGCTCGTCCTGACGTAAAACGGCTCCTAGCGGACCTATCTGCATCTGTCAAGGCACGCTACGGCACTGTACGGCACATACCTCGCAATAGAGTCATCTTCAGGCACGATTTGACCGAGAAAAGAGAATCTATCATCGCCTCTGTCTTGGCTGTGAGATAGATGCTTGCTGTGTCACATCATCGGCGGATGAGGTGTGGATATGGAAAGGGATATACTAGTTACATGGACGAGCCAAATATCACCACTTGTCTAGCTATCGTCTTGACAGAGGGGTGACTTGATCCTATGACTACCAGTTAAGCAGACACCGTTTAGCCAAACCTGTTTTATGTAGTGATACAAGCGATGTCACCTTGCTTGATAATTATGATCACACACTGGTAGTGCCGGCAATCCGATTGTTTCTGCAGCCTTTTGACATCTGTTTCAAAGACCTTCCTAGTACATTCTCGGACCCCTAGTCCACAGTAATACCTACGACAAAGGAAGACAGAATCCTGTGTTCCAACGCTTGAAACCCCTATATACCTCTGTCAGACTTGCAAGCGTATCTCTGGTACTAGGATCGGAAAGCGATGCCTCGGTCTTCGAGGAGGAGAACGGATCCGGACCGGCCCAGACGCAGAAGATCACGTTCCGGACACGACAGGAATGGGAGGCGATCGTCTCATTCCCGCCGCCATCGCCATCGCCATCGCCATCGCTCTCGCTGTCGCTGTCGCCACCGGAGGTCGAGAAGATCACCATCGCCAATGGATCGTACCAGACACTCCAGAAGAGATCGGCACGAGGGTCGTGATGATTGGTTCGACAGCCGACTGTATATGTCGTACAGTCACGACGGTACTTCTACACCACCATACAGCGTTCTGTCAGAGGGGTGGGCTCAGATACGCAACATAGATCGAGAGATCCGACGGATCTGGGACGAGAGAGAGCATGAACCTGGGGAGTGGAGGTCCGAGTCGACAAGGGCAATGCGCAGAAGGACCATCCGCTGGGTCCGGGAGCAGGACAGGCTTGGATGGGGAGAGTGACTTCGACAGAGTGTTCTGTGAGATCCTGGCAGATACCGGTTTTGCGAGCCGAGGGGCAGTTGGCCACTGAGGCTATGGTGGCGGATGCTGAGCTGCGGCACATGACAAGTGAGCAGGACCGGAGACACTTAAGGCCGTACCAGAGCATGGCTTGGACTGCTAGACACCAAGTTGGTTGGTCGAGAAAGGTTGAACGAGACAGCGAGGCTCTGCTGTCTCCCGTAGCGCGCCATGGAGGACCTTTTTGACTGGCTGCCTTGTGTCAGTTGCCTTGTGTCGCTTTGGTGTGTAACTTGACCTCAACCTCCGGGCAACAGCAATGTAGGCTGCAGTAAGTTGGAAATCTGGCTGTAACGAGTACTCATATACTTCGCTTCTGCTCATCTCCATATCCATCCCATCCATCAACAGTAGCTTTACACAGAAAACCCCCCGGTCTTCCTTTGCTTGCTCTCACGACAACTTGAAATCGACGTCCATGGCAGACGATGAGTGGACATACCGGCGTCGAAGGATTCCGATCACGAAGAGATGGGGCCCTTGTAAGAGAACTTACTGGGTACCTGTTGATGAGCACTACACTGGCAACGACGGTCGGAGAGGATGGACTTTCTCCAGGACTTTGGGACTCGACCCTGATGCATTGCCTGAGAGAAGAAGATTATACATCCTCGATGACGAAGATGAGCCCAGAGAGTACGCAGGATTTCGCGAGCTCGTGGGCGTTGACAGAGCCGGCCATGAAGAGCGCGGTCACGGGCGACAACCAGAGGAAGGATGGAACGCTGTATGGCCGTGGCAGGCCCCGGTACCGTGGAATGTCCTGGATCCCGCCATTGCGGAGGACCTACAAGAGTTGGAAAACATGCGGGCTCAACGACACCAAGAGCGTATGGATCAACATAACCAAGAAATCAACGAGATAGATGGTCGGGCTTTCCAACATATCCAGAGAATGCAGGAGAACCTGCAAGATGAAGGGGATGAGGGCAGACTCCGGCGACTACGAGCTGAGCTGGCGGCTGAAGACGAGAACCAAAGAAGACGGCAGGAAGAGGATGAAATACGTGAACGAATTGTGCAGAGAGATCGTCGTGAGCGGTATCATCGGGACCAAGAAAGAGAACGTTGGGCGAGACGGAGGGAAAGGCTATATCGGCGACGGGAGCGGTGGTAGGAGAGGCTGGATCTCAGATTCTCGACGCAGGATTCTTATGTTGTCTTCTGGATGGGGTGAAGAGGATAAGCACGACGACGTGGAGGGTGGACCGATCATCTCCATCCCTTCTTACGCGAATTCATTTCATTTCATTCCAAGTTACAGAGCATTGCATCGGAGGAAAAGGGAGCCGCAGTTTGACGCAGTTTGACGCAGCGGAGGTTGTGAGGCGCAGGCACCGGAATTGCCCGCAGACTGCGCCCGGACTTGTCCACTGGAGGTTTACTCCATACTGTACGGAGTACTGCTGTGCCAGGTTTAAAGTGCAGGGCGTCCAACTCGCACCCATCGGATGCAGATTGTGTTGTATTGTACGAAAGGACCCTTCATTTCTCAATTTGCAGACCTTTCTAGCTTTCTAACTTTGTACCTGCATTTGATACACCCCTGTTGTCAAAATGGCCCCCAAGCAGCCAGTCGTCTCCGAGAAAGGAATCAAATCCCCTCTGTTCTCTCAGGCCATCGTCCACAACGGCACTGTCTATGTGAGCGGAAACATTGGTCTTGTGCCCGCAACAGGGAAGATAGTTGAAGGGAGCGTGGCAGACAGAACCGTGAGCAGAGATCTATCAGGCTCGCGCCCAAAGATTGACCTGGCCACCACAGAGACAAGCGCTCGAGAATATCAAAAACGTCCTCGAGGAAGCCGGAAGCAGCTTGCAGAACATTGTCAAGATCAACATTTTCCTCACTGACATGGCAGACTATGCTGCCATGAACAAGGCCTGTGCGTTGAGTTTCTGCCCGGTGCCTGGAAACGGCCACATTCCAAAGTCTGACCCAGAACAGTCCTGGAAATCGTCCCAGATCCAAAGCCGGCCAGATCATGCGTTTGCGTCAAGGAGCTGCCAAACAAGACCGATGTACGGAGTATTTCCTGTCCTTGCTATAGGCAAAATATCTGACTAACTATTGTCAGGTCGAAATCGAATGCATTGCACATTTGTGAGGACCATTTAGCAGGTGGCAACGGGGATCCTAGAAATCTTGACCTGGATCGAATCTTGCCTGGAATGAGACTGCCACATCAGAGCTTTCGCCGAGTAATTGCGACTGGGCTTCTATCTGTTCCATCTGTTTGTTCTCAAAGCGAAAGGTTCTCTTTGTTTATACCGATTTGCACGTCAAAAAGGGGTTTCGCCAGACTCTTTGCCCTTTATGAGTATTAAAGAGGCAAATTAGGTGACAATGAACAACGATCACTTGGCTGGCTTCTGTGTCGATGAAAACAGCTGGATTTTGATATTCCTTTCTTCCGTTTCCGGCAGACGCCGCGCCGCAAGCACAAACTGTCCAAAGTCGCGATATATCTGCTATCTCACCCGTCCTTTTCTTTTGTACCATATTTCTTTTCTGTACATGCTGAATTTTCTAGGAAGGCACCCCGGGCGTCACATATTGCATCTCACCTTCGACCCGTCAAGATGGGTTCGCCCTCGAAAGCGCCGCCCACACGGATAATGACCAGACCCTCCCCATACAGGAAACAAGTCAGACCAAAGGACGACTCCACTGACTCTCTACCATTACCTGTTGCTGCGGACAATGGTGGGCGGATGCTAATGCCAACGCCTCACCAGACCCGAAGCCGATCGCCCCAGAAGAAGCCTATGCAACCCCAGCAGCCCAGCAACAGGGCCAGAGAAAAAGCTAGAGCCCAGACGACAGACTACGAAGATGGAGAAAATGAAGTCGGAGATATTGTCCACGTCAGGTACCCGGGGCTCTCGGATGACACACAAAGTCCAAGGGCCAATTCGTCGGAAGCAGCACGGCTGACCCTTAAGGAACCAAACATCCGCAAGACGCCACTCAAGACTCCGTCCTCCAAACTCATGACACCCGCTCCCAAACGCAAGATTAGCCCGAACAAGAAGCTTTCTCCTGAAAGCTACATAGGCGGAAAGACGCGGAGTCAGGTTGTTGCTTCCCAAGGACGAGGATCTCCAGAGGCCGCAGCAGGAAGCTCTAGGCCGCCACTCAGAGTTTCGGCGCCCTCTACCACTCCACCAGCTGAAAGAAGCTTCTCAAAACGCCCTGCTCCAGAAGATGACGCTGCTGGTCTTGCGGCTTCTTTTCCGAAACGTGTTCGAATACAAGAACCTGCTTCCTTGCCCCAACCATCCTCATTCCAGGCTACTAGTCTGGAAGGAGACTTTCGATTCTCTAATAGTGGCCAGAATGAAAGCTCAGTGGACAGCGGCGAGCTCCTTCAGATCGAACAAGCGGATGAGTTGCTCCAAGATGTCCTTGCTCAACCCAGGGCCTTGGGACTGGATCAGATATCAGCTCTTTTCGTCCGGTTGCAGGAAAAGAGTTTCCGTTTCTCTCAACGGCGTTTTGACCACGAACTTACAGCGGACCAGAAGGCTGCGTGGCCATTGCATCTCTTATCAACGCAGTATAAGCCGTTGATGCTAATGACGCAGTTCATTGCCGATGGCAGTCGCTACGGCTGGCACAACTTCTTCACCAAGCGAGAGCACCGAGTTCCTCTGATACATGGCATCATTGGTGAATGGTTCAAACATCGGATTTTCAACCACACGGCCTTTGGGGCCCCAGAAGATATACAAGAACAACTCGAGGCTGTTGACCGTGAGTATATCCAATATGACGCTTTTGTTCGCAGTAAGAAGCGCGCAGAGGTCCTGGAATCGCTGAAATTCGGCTACGGCAACAACGATGATAACCACGACCGCCCGTACTTTCCAGATCAACATGCCAGCAATACGGATAAGGCGTCACTCGAGTTGGCTGACCATCTAATGCAGCTCATCGAACCCCTGCTCCCACCTCAGTCGGGCAAGTCGCATTGGCTTGGAGTAGAAATGGAACAGGATGATGCTACTTCCTTGCATTTTACTATCTTCGTTGAGCTTGTGGAGTTGATTCTGACGGCGGCAACTCTACATTTCTGCATCCGCCTGACAGGACTCAATGGGACGATTGTCCGCATTGCTCCGCATGTCGCCAAGGGAAGCATCTACGACATCTCTCAGGACACAAACAACATCTGCGTGAACGCTAATTTTTGCAATTCGACAAAATCACGGTCGGCTGGTGCCCGAGATGCGTTGCAAGTGAAGATGACTTGCTGGGGAAGAGTCGAGGCTGTAACCCCCCACGGGCCAAATCGACTGGAATTGGAGGGTCGGCAACAGCAGGTTCGAGAAACGCTCGGAAGTAGAGCTGAATTATCCTGGCGTGAGGTTGAAGACCAAGTGTTCCCTGTCCTCCCCTATGATTTGCAGGAAGACGACGCCGGTAGAGCTGCGGCGGAGAAGGAGATACCTGTCCGAGGCACAGAGTGGAGTATCAGCATTGCCAAAGCTGCCGCAAAAGAGGCCAGAGAACACACCTTTGGGAAGAGGCGAGGAAGCGCTGATACCGAGGATGAATCTTCGTTCTCGTCTTCTGAAGACGAAGCCAGAGCTCGACCATCCAAACCCCTTCGCGGGTCCTTTGTCGTGGTCTACCCTAACGTCGCCCCGGCCAATGTTTACTGTGTATGGACCAACGACACAACTAAACACACTCAAACGCTGGAAGAAGCCGTCAACGAAGCTCGCAGAGCCAAGGGCATGTACTACAGACTCGAAGACCTCGGCACGCACACCGTCAACCTGGCACTTGAGTACCGTGCGTACGAGTGGGCAATAGCAACGGGCTTGATCGGCGGACTGACCGGCGGGATTCTGCTGTCTGCCGTGGCCCGGCGAGTGGTTAGCCTTAGCCATAGCCTTCCGCTGGACAGCATACGGACATATTTCGTCCAACTGGTCAGGGACATCCGCAACGGCGTGCCTCTGTCCCTTTCCAAGGCCCTAGGCGCCCAATACTTCTCCACGCTCGGCAACGCGCTCAAACAGTCCGGCGCGCGGGTCAAGACAGCCCTGGACTTTCCTTCCTTGGTCGATCGTCTGCGATTGACGGCGTCGCCTGCTGTACCGGAGACGACGATCCTGACATCGACCGTCACGGGCTGGACGACAGTGACTGTTCAACCAACCTTACAGAACATATATGAGCCCTCGCCACCTCTACTTGTGTATAGCACAGCCACTCTCGAACAGTGATGATGTGGGTCGTGGGTCGTTCTGGGGGCTTTGGTCTATTTGACCTTGTAGAGTGGTGAGAAGGAGGGAGAAAAGGGAAGGTAAGGTCCGGAGTGATGGGTGCGACCAGAAAGACGCACTGGTGTCATGGATATCATTTGCCTGTAAGAAAGTAAGGAAGTAGGGCGTAGTCTTGACTGCTGGACGCAATCATGCTATGGCGGGGGTGAAGTCAATGCACTCAAGCTTCTACAGTTAGATAGGTGATGGATATGCTATGCTGGTATGTAATCAATTGCAATTCATCTCAACACAATCTATGTATGACGACCATTGAAGGGGCAACTAGCCCTGGCCCGAGAAGGTCTCCTGGAGACGCGACAACGGCACCGTTCCCCACTCAAGTGATCCTGACCTGACCTGCGAGAATCACTCTTCTGTTTTGCTTCGCTGGGCGGTGCTGGTGTAATATTTCCATCTGAATTTCTCCTGTCGTAGACAAACGTCCAAGCTCGGCCGCAAACGAATCGGCATACTCCAAACAATTGGAAACATTGTCCTCTCAGGTCCTGGAAGCCACATACCCAAGCAAAGAACAGCATCACAGCCAGCGAGGATCTGGCATTTTGCCGGCGGTGCACAGCAGGAACCAGACTTCCAAACGCCGAGCCCTCAGCTTTTGTTTTGATCAAAAAAGGACCCTGGGCCGTTGCAAGAAAACCATCACTCGGACATGTCGCGTAAAAGTAAAGGGACACGATATGCCCGGGCTCGAACATCCCTTCACTTCCACACCGGTGCTCCGTGTCAACCCTTGGGTTGATCATCCAACTCCAAGAGTCCTCTGACAGAGCACTCGACGGATCCCACTTCCTTCTGCACTTTGAGCCAGGATACCTCGGCTCGTGCAGCTTCCATCTTGGCCTTCTCCATTGCCTTCTCGGCATCTCGCGCCGAATTGACCACTTCAACCATACACTTGGATAGCTCAATCAGGGATGCCTTGCGTTGAGCGTTTGTCTCCGCGCGTGCGAGGTCTAGAAGAGAGTGTGTAAGACCGGTCGTTGTGGACAATGAAGGCGAAGTCCCAGGTGTTGTAGGAGATCGGGACGCGACAGCCGGAGATGCAAATTTCGCCAGTGAGGGCGATTGCGGGTTAGGGGACGGTCTGACAGTTGCGGTGAACGGGGTGGTAGGGCTGATAAAGGGGTTGCGCAGGACAGAGCGCTCTCCTCGGGTTGAGTTGTCACGAGCGCTGCTCGTGTCCGGGTCAGTCGTTCCTTGGGCGTCCGACGACAGGGGGTTGGTTAATTTGTGGTCCGGTACTGGCTTTCGTCGCATAGATCCCTGGAGGAGACGAGCTTTGCCAGATACCTTGGTCTCAGATATGGTGGTATTTTCATTTGTTGTGGATTCAATTGAGCGCTTGTGAAAGAGTCCGCGTATGTTAGAAATGACCTTCTTGCTGCTAGTAGAGGGACTATACGTCAATTTGTGGGACGCCTTTCTCGCTTTGGAAGAGTCTGTTTTTGGACTGAGACTCTGAGAGAATGTCTTGACATCTTTAGGTCTCCGGATAGTGTCTGCGGCAACTCCGTACGCTGTCGCAGCTTGGTACCGGGAGGGATTGACTGAGGGCCCTTTCTCTGGAGATGAGACGATGATCGGTGGTGGCTTCGGCTTTCGTGACGATATCCGAGGAGGAAATCCGGAACTTGATACCACACTACTTTCTGGATCTTTGGTCTTATCCACCATGCTTTTCAGATATCTTTCCTGGCTCGCCTTCTCTTGTTCAAGATCCTGAAAGAGGAACGGTGATATTTCTTTTGTAGGTGCTTGCCGTAGAACGATGGTGGATGGCCTTGAACGGACAGAAGCTTGGCTGGACGACGGTTTACCCATCTCTGCCAGGGTAGGGTCAGGTGTAACCTTCTCTTCCGAAGCTTCTACCGATGAGTCGGCGCAAATGTTGAAATCGGCAAATTCTTTGCAAGGCCAGTCCCCATGAGTGAGACTCGACGTGCCACTCTTTTCAGGCACATCTGTCGGAGCTGCTTCCACAGTATTCAAAGAAGTCTGCGACTTAAAGGCTGAGTGCTGCTCAACAGCCACATCACTGCCAGGAAGTTCAGCGGGCAGTCCACTTCCATCCAAGCCGTCGGCGTTGATGAGCTTCTGAATCTCTTCATCATCTGATCCCTTGACGTAGGTCTGTGATCGGTCCGCTATGCTTCGGGCAAACGATAGAGGGCGCGCCAACAGCGCACTGGTCCGTCGAGATGATGGTTCTTTCACCGCGGATGGCCGGCGCAGGTCTGGAGCGCTTGCCTTGTGCCTCAAAGGGAGAGTCGTCTCTCCATCTCCGGTGGTATCGGGTTCGTGTTCATCACCCAAGAGTATTCGAGTTGCCGAATCGGTGATACGAAGCGTGGGTCCTCCTTTTGAGGTGTTTCGGACACGTTTGACTCGGAAGCCGCCGAGAGAGTCAGAGCCATGGACAGTAGCTCCAGAGGCCTCATGTTCGATGACAGAATCGTCATCACAAGGAGCTGGTGTTGACAAGACTTCTTTCATGCTCAAAAGCTCAGCATTATCAGCGGTAGGCCCATCACGGGCGTCCGAGTGATTCGGTTGGGGCGTGCCAGGCATACTAGCCATAGCTGTGCTCCCTGCGGGAGCCGCTGCCTCGTAGTCTTGCCAGCCCGCATTCATGTCTTTGTGCAACTTTAAGCGGCGTCCCTCATGATTGGCACCGTCATCGTTCAAGCCCTGCCCTGGATGGTTGCTCCGGCTTGGTAAGGGAATCGAACTCTGCCGGGTAGCAGCGTCCCGGCCCTGTGATTGCCGTAGATTAGTGGGCGATTTGACGACCGAATTCCGAGCAGTGTCTGTATTGTGTTCAGTGTCTGGCAGAGTCTTGCTCAGCTTCGTATTGAATCGAGATGGAATCGCGTATGGAGAGCCCCGAGTCGTGACCGCATAACGACCACGTGAGTTTGAACGGAAAGGGCCTCCAGGGGATACCTGTCTCACTCTTGCCATTGAGGAAGACTGAGCCTTTTCTCGGATCGAATGGAGACGACTCTCTTTCTCTTGTTTCTTTTCACTGGATCCCCAGGCTGTCTTGCCGATCGAACGTCGCAGTCGCATTGCAGAAGTCTTGGTCTGGCGAACAGAGGGAGTATCAACGTGGCGCGCCAGAGATTCCAGCATAGAATCTCGGGGCTTAGGAAGTTGGCTCGATGAAAGGGGCCGCTCTGAGGTGCTGACCGTAACGCCGAGGGTTGCATTGCTGTCAGGAATTCTGCTCAAAGCCTTGCCAGCATTTGGGCCAATATCCGGAGTAGAGAAGTGGACATTCGCACTGGTCTGGGGCTCATCTTTGGGATCCTCTATATTCAATCCACGCATGCCTTCTATGAAACTTTCACCCAGGCTTGGCTTCACATGGGACCTAGTCTTTTCGGAGGAGTCGAAACCCGATTTTGCTGGCTCAATTGTTGGCCAATCCTCCGCCAGATTTTGACCTGCAGCCGGCGATAGAGATCGACGAAGCGGGCGTTCTGTGCAGTCAACCAGAGATCTGCGGACGGGAGATCCTAACTTGACTGCTGCGACTGGCAGACTCGGTAAGGGTTTGTCAGATGGGCTTGGACGAGGTGGAGGAATTGGTGAGGCAGGAGAAGCTGAAGGAGGGGGCGGTTGGACCTTTGGCTCGAGTTAGAAAGCCTTGCACGACGCAGTCTGAAAGTACTCACAGTCAGTTTGTGAGGCGATTCTTTCCCAGGAGCAACCATGGTAATGGCCGAGACCTTGCTATCTTGCGAGGAGTCCATCTTCCCACGTGCCCTTGTGAGACCTAGATGTTTTGAGGCGCTACTAATCCAACGTCGTTTTCTAGGGTGGCCAGCCGCTGAAGCAAGGTTTAGGGTAGATGACTGTGCAGGTACATGAATTCCAGAGCGTGAGCTGACAGCAGACGGGTCAAGGTTAGTTGGAGACTGGTGTAGAACACGGTGGTTGCGTGATGTAGTGTTGTGAGGACGAAGGCCAGTCGGTTTTGTGGGAAGTCGGCTGTGGATGTTGTCGTTTTGGGTAGCGAATGTATGGCCTTCTCTCTGTGAGGACATGACTTGGGAATTGGGCGGCTATGCGTGCATCAAATCCGGAGGACTTCTCGCTCTGGTTTGACAAGATAGAGATGGTGCGAGGGAGGACAAGACACAATGTTTGTTTTGCTGCGCGCGACAAGTGAGCCAGCAAAATTCACTGCGGGTGTGTGTTCAGGCCAAGTTGATAGAGACATACTAACAGCAGGACCTTTGTCTCCCCATCTGCCTATGCTCGCATGCGCATACGATGCAGAGCCCCATGTGAGTTTCATTTTCATTCTCTCATGCCTCAAAACTTGTCATGCATCAAGCCCATGACGCGTTGTATCCAGGTTCACCGACCGACTCATACCTACTCAAGGTGGTGTTTATCGGTCCTCCTCCATAACGCCCACGCCAATGCCAATCGAAGCCGACAATCAATCTTGGTCTTCACCGCTATTAGCATTCTGTGCTGTTCCGGAGCCTTTTCTTTCCTTGCTCGCTTCATACTGCTCCATGTTCTTCCCCTTCCAATTCGGTCCTCCAAAATCATGATCCCCCAACCTCCCATCGTCATCGATCTGGATGCCCTGATCGTCAGCCATTGCCTCAAGCCGCCGCTGTTCCAAGAGCATCTCTCTGAGGAAATCTGTCGTCTTGCTCAACATCACTTGCTCACTCCTCTCCTGGCCCATTGCACCGGGCACCATACGCGAGAGCTCGGTGAAACGTTCCCTGATCGCCGTCCGTCGCTTATTTTCGGCATCCTTGTGATTAAAACTCTTCTGACTTGGTGTCAGGCGTGGTTTGGAAGCCTTGGACGACTTCTTGGCTGAGCTGGATCGTCTTGCTGCTGCTTGGGTTTCGGAGGCTTCTGATGACTCCCTTGATGAGGGAACAGACTCATTCGCGTCTTCTTTCGACATGATGCTGAACTTGTTCGTGATGAAGGAAGAAACTCAAAGGTGTTCAAGCACAAGAGGATATGTTTTGCGAGGAGAATGGAAAGTCTTTGGAGGCCAGCAGTGGAGGCGGAAGTGAGAAGTGATAATTAGCCTATATCATCTGTTCGAGGGGACGAATGCAGAGTCACAAGGACTCTGCATCTGATGGATGGAACGATCGCGAGTAGCGTGTACGAAGAGCCTGGTTGTTGAGAGTTCCGGCATGAAGCAGGGTTGGGTTGATATCAGATTGAAAAGACATCCAACGACTTCCATTTAAGGTTCCCCTCATCATTACGGAGGCTCTACATACCTAGGTACAATTTACCGCGGCGTTAAGCCACATTGCATGTGGCTAAGCCCGGCCACTCCAACCGCCCGCCACTGTCCGTCCAACATTAAACTGTTTGCACCTTTGCCATCAGAAGATCTTCTACAAGTACTGAAAACACCGCAATCCCGCTATCTCATTCCCAAGCACTGTGACGCCCGCATTAACATCTTTTCTCTCTTTTCCCACTCCCCCCACAGTCGAAAACATGAGCAGGCTAAGGCCTCTCCAAGGGGCCTGCAATTGCGGCCGCAACTTGTATTCCGTGATTGTTCCGGAAGGCGCAACGGAGCAAGCACAAGTCTATTTTGACGACAGTAGTGACAGCAGTATGCTCTTAAACCCAATATGAAAGTATCTTCATACGTGAGTCTGACCTCTACCTCAGGACGCAGTCAAGCTACACCGTTAACGGCATGGCTACGGGTTCCCTTAACCTGGTACTTCTCGTCGACACAAGCCTTCTTCCCAGACGAAACCCATTCCTCAATTCGACGCACCTTCATACCTAGGCATGACAGTCACAGCCAGCGCGTGTTCTGCGGCTATTGTGGAACACATCTGTCCTACTGGACCGAACAACCTCCCGCCGAAGCCGAGTACATTAATATTACTCTGGGCAGTCTTCTGAGCCAGCATCTTCGTTCGCTTCAAGAACTGGACCTACTCCCGGAAGACCTCGAGCTGATTGATGTACAGCCCGCGCAGCAGGGTCTCGTTCAAGCCCAAACAGAACAAGCCGTAGCTAGTCTGGGGGACAGTCCAGCGCTCACTCGAACACGCCGGACTGGTAGGAGTGGGGACTTATCATGGTTTGAAGAACTGCTTGAGGGAAGTCGCTTAGGTCGTGCCCAAAACATTAGACGTGGCGTGGGAGTCAGTGCAGATGGGTCTACGTCGGTGGAATGGGAGATCTCCGAGTATATCGAGGACGGAAGCGAGGAGCCCACGTCCGCTGCTACACCTACGGGCTCAAAACGCAAAATCGGCGATGTCGGTGCAGGCGATGCAATGATCCTATGAGGAACCGAGCCCAGGTCTCTGGACCTTGCAGGTTATGCTATGGACGGTGAAAGGATATAGAGCAAAAGGCAGACAAAGGAGCATAGCTGTGCCTCACCCGGCGCTACCGGCCCGCTTACGGTGAGATGGAGAAACAAGAGCTCATAATACTGAAACCCCAGCAAGTCATAGTTAATGCAAACAACGCACCGGCGTCTTACAGCTCAGGAAGCAGTGAGAAATCAGGATTTTTGGACATCTAAGTTCTTTTTTGTCGTTCTACATACAGATCAGGTATCCTTTTGCCTGAGCTGTTCGGGCAGCGTCGCAACCTTGCTGTTGAACAGTTCCTCAGCCTGTTGCCACACCCTCGTTGTCTTACGGTCCTTGAGAGACAAGAGACTAGGCAAAAGAGCCTGGCTAAACGCTTCGCTTGCCTCTCTGGGGAGCAGGCTGGGCAAATGATCGATCGAGATGACAGAAAGAGGAGGGTTGTCATACCCTGGCACTGGCAATGTCGGGTTTGCGAAGGTGCTGTTCTCTGTGTATACGGGGACAGGGTTGTGCGGGTTGGTGGTATCGCATGAGACGTCGCAGACGACAGAGAGCTTGCGCTTGGGCGAGGAGAGCGATGCTTTGTTAATGAATGGCGGGATCGGCTCGGAAAGGTAAATGCAGTTGACAAAGATGTCGGACTCAACAATCTCGCTGAACGGCCCCCCTTTGGCCGTCTCGGCCATATCCCACTTCACGATTTGCTCATCTGGGATGCCGGCTTGCTTGCACAGATCGACAGCACCTCTGCCACAACGGCCGAGCGCACCAATGACAAGGACGGTAGGCTTGCGCCCTGCGATCTTTTCGCCCTGCGCGATCTGCGACCGGACATCTTCGAGCAGGAGATCTTGGTTGGCATAGCTGGACACCGCGGGCAATTGCTTTGCCGATGGATTCTTGAGTTGATGCGCCCATGCCGCGACAGCAAGAGCAGCACCAGCATAGCCTGCATGGTATCCAAAAGCTGCAACACGCCGTCCAGAATCATCGGTGAGAAACTCCAGGTCGAGCAGGGTGCCGCCGCCTCGCGGAAACCGGGAAAGAACTTCCTGCCATCCACCTTGGCCCTTGTAGCAGTGCGCAAATTGGACATGCGTGTGTTTAAGAGGGACTTTGTATCGTCAGAAACCCGATGCAATCTTCACGCTGGTCGTCACGTACAGGTATCCTCCGGCAACTCCTTCAGTCCGATAATGACATGGTCTGCTGGGACATCCACCCATGAACCCTCAGGAACAAGTGTGGCGCCTACAGCCTCGAATTCGGAGTCGTCGAATATTCTTTCCGAGCTTCTTTCAACGTTCACTTTGTATCCTGCATCTAACAAGGCCTTGGTCGTCGTAGGAGTCACTTTGCGAGAGGTCAGTCCTAAGCTTGAGTGAAAAGGAGTGTCAACGTACATGCAGATCTATGCTCGAGGGGCTTGGACTCTGCCCGTAAATGCAATATCGTCGCCATGATTGCTTTGGTAAGAGGGTGAAGGGATTTCAAGGAGTCAGAGAAAGTGGTTGAGGAATTAATGACTCAAGTCTTCAATGCCGCAGATCGCAAATCGCAAAAAACGGCTACAGGCGTTTTTCCCCGGAACATTTTCTGCCACCGCCAATCTAAACAGCGCTTACATACTACCATCCAGACGGTACGCATGACAACACCGAGCCTCAGTTAGATGCTCCAGATCAACACCTCAAAATGGCAGACTTGAAGACTACCATCCCTACAGATGCGCCGCCGTCCTATGAGACGGTATCAGTTCCTCCTCAAGAGCCTCAGCCGGGGGCCCCACCACGTCGACTTCGACCACCGCCACCTCTCGAGTTGCCTGCGTTGACCTTGTTGCGAGGGAAGCGTGTCGTTCTCGCGTCGCAATCGCCCCGACGGAAACAACTACTTGCGCAAATAGGCCTCACAAATGTCGAGATTGTGCCTTCGAAGTTTGAAGAAAACTTGCCCAAGTCGCTTTCGCCCTTTGAATATGTCCTCGCGACGGCAACCCAGAAGGCGCTCGCAGTCTATAAGCAGGAAGTGAACAATGAAGCAAAGGGAGAGCCAGGGCTTATCATTGCCGCGGACACCATTGTGGTCAGCAGTCTAGGCGAGATCTTAGAAAAGCCTAGGAGCGAGGTGCACCATATCAAAATGCTCAAAGGGCTGCGCGATACGGGCTTGCACAAGGTGTACACCGCCGTTGCAGTTATAACACCTCTTGAGAGCGCACGAGATCCAGGTTACGCCCTGGAGACTGCGACAGAGGAGACTACAGTCAAGTTTGATCCTGACATCACCGATGAGCTACTGTTGGCGTACGTTCGTACCCGGGAAGGTGCGGATAAAGCAGGCGGCTACGGTATCCAAGGCACCGGAGGAATTCTGGTCGAGAGAATTGAGGGAAGCTTCGACAATGTGGTGGGACTGCCCTTGAGGACGACGCTGAGGCTCATCGAAAAGGTGATGGCAAAGTCTGATGACGACGACATGCTCGCAGGCGAGGATCCGCTCGAGGAGGAAGAATGACAAAGGCCATGATATCACGATTTGTATTGTCCGATTGCATTGGGCGGCGTCCAGGTGCAGATAGATAGTAGTGTGAGGTATGTCAAAATAGAGCCTCAAAACAAGGCGGCTCAGATGCTCAACAACGGGCATCGATTGCAAACTCCTGTTTATCTCGATGAAGTCATACACATACCAACTAGCTCGAACGACCTTTCAACTTCAGCAGGCCAGCTATTTCAAGTTCTTGAGCTTCCCGTCATGTCCAAGAGAAGACAGATCTGTTTTGCCAATGGTTGCGTCGTTCTCACCGGCATGCCAAATTCTCTTGATCGCTTCCGTGACCCCCACATCATTTGTCTCAAATTCGTAGAAGCCGATCGCAACAACAACGGTGGCCACGTTCAACAGCCACGAGAAGGCCTTCCTCATAGTTGGGAATTTATGACGGGGAATATAGTCGGTAATCATTGATCTGGAACTTGTCAGCTTTGACAATCTGGGGGCCTGAGCTGCCACTTACTGGAAACCCATGTGTGAGTGCACGATGAGGGAGAAGATAAGGGCTGCATCCAACGCTGGGTTCACCGAACCAGCAGCGAAGGGAGCGATGGTCAACGGTATCAAGCCGACGGACAAGAGTCGTTCGAACGTCCAATGATAGCTTCCATGAAGAGGATCGACTTTCGGAACCGCCGCCGGGTCGTTGACTGTTCCCTCAATTACTTGAGGACCTGGCGGAAGAAGGTTCCTTTGAGAAGTAGTTGAGAACGGCGCCGCTCGAGAGACTGCTGACCACTTTGGCGCCAGCAACAGCCGTGATGATATGGACGGAGTAGTTCGGAGGAGGCGCAAAGGTTGGGTCGTGGACGAGAACAGTCGAGTCGGGGACGAGGCCAGAAATTGCGTCTGCCGTAGCAGAGATGCTCTCGACGCTGCCGCCATTTCGTATGCAGACTCGAGTTATCTAGTCGCCGTGCTGGGAGAGTATGCGCGGTGACTGAAGGAGAGTCGGATCCTGGAGCGACTGCGATGCTTCACTCAAGTTGCCGATTCGCCAAGCATCATGCTCCGGGCCAATCAGCAGCTTCGCATTTCATACAGCCACTTCGACGAGGATTCAACAGAGGCTCTTACATTCAAACAATCAATCTCAGCTGAGCAAACTAACACCGCTTTTTACTTATCTTCTGGCGGTAGATAATGACTGCGAAATCCCACGGGAAATGGCTCTGCGCCGCGAGCGAAGGTAAATATTACTCAGGGATGGGTTAGACGCCACTTTCCCTAGGCCCTTTCAGCGACAGTGCCTGTACAGGAAAGCGTCTACGCGAACATGTATTGTCCAACAGTTTGGAAGACAGGGTTCTCCAGTGATCCTCGGCCAAGCGTAGGTATCAACACCCAGGGTCAGCAATACTCATGCGGGGTTCAACCGAGCAGCGCATGTCCCCTCAATGTCAGCAATGTCAGCAATAGCCCCAAGAGCCGGTCTGTCTCCGGTAGAGAGATCAACTGAGTCCGTCTAGAGTGTTCTTTTTGAAAGACGAAGCGTCTGCATAATCTCCTGCGACTGTTTGTCTTCAGCGTCCTTGGGCTACACCTGTTGGCGTTTGAACATTCAAGACAAATATGTCGAAGGACAGAGTCGTACTCATCTCCGCCGCCCCGGATGAGGATGTAGCTGTTCCCTCAGAAGCCCCTCACGAGAATGACTGGTATAATGGCAGAGATTTCGATGGCTATCGTGTCGTCGAGCAGTTGTTGTACGCAAGGCGCAAGATCAGGGTGATATGTGTCGGCGCCGGCGCTACAGGTCTCCAATTCGCATACAAAGCGGAGCGGGCGTTGAAAGATGTTGAATTGCAAATATACGAGAAGAATCATGATATTGGAGGGACCTGGTTGGAAAACCGATACCCAGGTTGTACCTGTGACATCCCCTCGCATTCATAGTGAGTCTGCGCCGGTCGCAAAACGCCGAACAGAGCTTTGAACAATCAATCTAAAGGTGACTTACAATGCAGTCAGTTCACCTGGGCCAAGAACCCGAATTGGTCACGGTTCTATTCTGGTTCGGCGGAAATCTGGCAGTATCTTAAAGATGTCGCTACGAAGTATGATCTGGAGAAATACGTTCGATTCAAGACAACCGTTGAGTCAGCAACCTGGGACGAAGAGACAGGTCTGTGGAGATTACAGATCCGAGCCCCAGATGGTTTCCTCTTTGAAGACACCTGTAACGTGCTCGTGAACGGCTCAGGTGTGCTGAAGTAAGCGAAGCACGAAACAGCGTTGGCGATTGGAGCCTGCTAATGCGTCCGACATCTCAGCACGTGGAAATGGCCAAATATTCCAGGGCTAGAGCTCTTCGAAGGCAAACTGATGCATTCCGCCACATGGGACAACGAGTATGACCTCGCTGGCAAGACTGTAGCTGTCATCGGCGGTGGCTCATCTGCAGTGCAAATCATTCCATCAATACAACCAAGTGAATAGATCCCAAGCAGCGTGCAACTGGTTGTTCTCTGCTGATTACACCTGCTAGCTGTGAAGAAGTTGTATGCGTTTCTACGGTCCCCGGTATGGATCACCACCGGGTTTGGCGCCAAATATGCCGGGCCTGGCGGAACCAATTTTGCCTGTGAGATTTGGCCTGCCCTCTCAACAGCAGTTCTGACTTGATTAGACTCCGAGGAGCAGAAGCAGGAATGGAAGGCAGATCCAGAAAAACATTCCCACTACTGTCGAGAGGTTGAAGGCGAGTTGAACAAGAGATTCACTTTGGTACGGATTCCATTTCCGCAGCACATCCAACAGCTTTGCTTACTGAATCCAGATGCACTTGAAGGCCAAAGATCAGCGATCGTCTCGAGACCTTGTGGCAGACATCATGGCCGAGCAACTGGGCCACGACGAAAAACTCACCAAGCAATTGATTCCGCCGTTCGCCCTGGGCTGCCGAAGAATGACACCAGGCCCCGGGTATCTTCAATCATTGAGAGCGGAGAATGTTCAAGTTATCCCACAGTCAGCAGTGCGGCTTACCCCGACAGCAATCGTGGATGAGTCGGGAGTGGAACACGAAGTGGACGTTGTCATTTGCGCGACAGGCTTCGACACGTCCTTCACCCCTCATTTTAAGGTGTACGGTCGCAACAACGCCGAGATCCATGAGCAGTTCGGCGACTCTCCTGTGGGATATCTGGGGATTGCAGCCCAGAACTTCCCCAACCTGTTCTTGTTAATCGGCCCGAACGGACCCGCCTCGCATTCCAGTATCCTGCCTATCTTGGAGTGGTATACACGATACGTCTTCCAGGTAATCGAAAAGATCCAGACTGAGCGCATCAAGGCGGTGGAACCGAAGAAAGAAGCCGTCAAGGATTTATACAACCACACTCACGAACTCATGAAGCGCTTGGTCTGGTCCTCGGCGTGTCGCTCGTGGTTCAAGAACGGCAGGACACATGGTCCCGTGACGGCCATATATCCCGGCAGCCGATTGCACTTTTTTGAGATGATGAAAAATGTTCGCTGGGAAGATTACAACATCACATACGTGTCTGACAACAGGTTCGCATTTATGGGCAACGGATATACGCAGACTGAGGTTGATCCTGAAGGCGATGCAGTATGGTATTTTGATGATGCATTTGTCAAAATATAGCAACCGCGGCATCATGGAGTGATACACGCGTCCTAGAACACTATGTTAGTATGTGGCTTGCTTACTGATAAGTATAGTAGGCTCGGAGTGGAATCATGGTCCCCGAGTGGACGTCCATTGCTGAAGAGGGAAGATAACACATTAAACGGAGAATGATGGCGCGAGTGCCTATTGCCTATCTAACTGTACTTGGTTAGTTGGAACTACCACTAATAGATGCCTTGGTAAGGTCAACGGGCTAAGGGATCTTTAAAGGGCCAGGAGAGCGTTGATTGGCAGTCAGCAAGGCCTAAAGAGCGTAAGTGGACCACTGGTGGACCTGTTCAATCATACTAAGGGTTTTTAGTCCCTTGTGCTTTTTCTCCGCCGTCTTCCCTTCCACTCCGCAGAGATTCATCAATGAAAGCCTGCGCCCTGCGGCGTCAGTCACGACAGTTTCTATGAAGATGTCGATGCTGTGCCTAAGGTTGTAACGTCCCGGTCGAGATCCCAAGCACCCCCTTTGCACTCACCTCCGTTCCCTCTGGCATTCCAACCGAACCGCCGTGCTTCAGTTGCATCATGTCGAAGCGGAGTTGGCAAGAGGCCAATCTGCCTTCCCCACGCTCTGCCCTTACCCTCCAGCGAGCAGGTTCTTCGACGTCGCCCCATTCCTTTGCTTCGCCTTCACAGGCCACGTCCCCGAGGAAGATACGTAGCTCCATCGACGAGCCTCCTCTTATCGCCAAAGGCCCGCCTAAACCACAGCCAGTCAATCCCACTAATGGAGCGAATGGCGACTCCAGCAAACTGCCTGGAATCTCAAGGAAGGTCAAGGCATGCGCAGCGTGCCGCAAACAAAAAGTATGTAGCACATACCTCATTGCGCGGGAGATACTAAACGGTTGAACTTTTAGATCAAATGTATCATGCAAGGAGACCCTCCATGCCAGCGATGCAAAGAGCGAGGGTTATCGTGTCGGCTGAACAAGAGTTTACAAACGCTCATGTCGGAGGATTCGAGATGGAAGGCAGCAGTCACAAAAGACGTGACGGCTCTATATGCGACTGTCGAAGAAATAGTCCGAACATTGCAGTTACCGGCATTACCGCAGATGCTTACATCAACTCAAGATCCGGCTATTTTCTTCGACCCAGAAGAACACAATGACCCAGATGATGAAGACCAATCGCTTGACAATTCGCCCAAGGTTACGCCCGTCGCCGACAACTTGTCCCACGTCCCGATTGAGTCGCTGTATCAGATCACCGGCATGCGGTCCTTGAGGGCAACGGAAAACATCACCGAAGACCAGTCGCGAATATGCAAACAACTTCGTGACACAGATTTCATCGCCCGGGGTATCATCAAACAAGAAGATGCCGAACATCTGGCCACCTACTACCTCACCAAGCTTGATCCATACATCTGGCACATGTGCCCAGATTACACAGATCTCGAATCCTTTCGGCGGCGCTCACCCACCCTGACTGCCTGTATCTTGACCGTGGCCGCCCTTCACGACATGAAACTTGGTCATCTCTACTCCGTATGCAACAAAGAGTATCGAAGGCTCGTGGCCAACGCAATGTTTGAAAGAAAGATTGACATGGAGTATCTGAGAGCACTAGTGCTTGGATCGTACTGGCTGAGTGACATCTCCTGGACGCTCTCGGGATACGCCATTCGCCGAGCCACCGAATTCCAGCTCCGTCGGTTTTATCACGATATTACAGAGTCAATAAAATCACCGGGCAAGGTGGACCAGGAAAATTTGCAGGAGGCCATCGACGGGATCCGAGTATTATATACCCTGTACATCTGTGACCATCATCTTTCCATTCTTTATGGTCGATCATCCATTATGCGCGACAATGAGAGCTACATCACCGGGTGGGAAGCATATCTTGCATGTTCATTATCCACAGATGCCGACCGCAGAATAGCCGGGCAGATTTGTTTGATGTACCTGATGAATCAAATCAGGGAGACTCTGGGGCCTGAAGACACAAGCTTGTTGTTACCGGCCTCTGCGCTCACCAAGATCGCAGGCTTTGAAAGAGATCTGGACGACTGGATTGCGAGATTTTCCAGACATAGTAAGACAAACGGCACTCCTCTTGCTACGGGATTAACTAACGGCAATCTAGATCCAAGCCAACACATCGGAAATTGGCCGAACAAAGGAGCCATCATGCATTACCACTGGGCTAAATTATACCTGCAGTCGTACGTACTGCGCGGATTGCCTGAAAACGGGGCGGTCATACCGGAACACTTCCTCGAGAACGCATCGGCGGCTGTCTTCGCCGCCACGGCAATCATCAACCTCCTGTTAGAAGATAAGGATGCCCAGCAAGCCATTGCCTATGTTCCGCATCACATCCACGGCATGATCGCGTTTGCTTGTATGTTTTTGCTGAAGATTGCCACCAAACACAGCGAGCAGTTGTTCGTGGACAAGGTCCGATTCCAGCAACTCATCGATGCCTTGGCGCAACAATTCAAAGCCACCGACGTTGGGAAAGATCATCTGATTCACCGGATGGCTGAGGGACTCGAAAAAATGGCCGAAACTCTAGGGGGACCACCCCGTGCGAAGAACCGCAAAGTCAACGGAGAACGACCGAATCAATCATTGACATCGCCGAGTCAGGCGGTGGAGAGCGCAACTCCTGAGGGGAAACCCAACGGAGAACCTGCTCCCCCGGACTATAGCTCTCTGGACCCCGCTGCGTTTGATTTTGGAGATCCTACTTTGGGACTGGGCATGCCATTTTTTGATTTCGAGGGCACCACTTTGGATGGAAGGGATACGATGTGGAATTTTGCCTCGTAGCATGCACCCGCAGGGGAGAGTATCGAGTATAGCGCCGAAGCGCCCGGTGCCCGCCTGAGTAGCCATCTAGCTGCTGTAAATACTGCCCAATGTAATACTGCCCAATGTCGAATCTGTTGCCAGTAGCTGATGCCACTGCAGTCTCTCTATACTCAGTATGAATGGCAACTTTGAAGTAGATGGAGGTGGTCGAGTTGGCCAATCAAACGCCGCGTAAAGAGGATTGCCTTGGCGGGACTAGCGCCCTTTTTGCAAAGCACTGCTATGCAGAACCCATCATCTTGAACTGGAGCTCCCCAGCGAGAGAGTACCGAGTACCTGCTTCGAAGCTCGACATCCTCAACTCACATCACAGCTCCCCTCAGCGGCGCCTGTGTCCTTGTTCATCCTTCCAAATGGCGTCTCAGCGGTTGGCGCTGAACCTGCAGCGGTCCCTTCGAAGCCGGCAAGCTTTGAAGGCCATTCAATCTCCTCTCCGACGCTATGCCAACCCAGTCACTCCCACGAGAACCGAAAGCACCACTCTGTCGAACGGCCTGACGGTACTGCGCCCCGCCCCCGGTGTCGATGGAGGAACGGTTCAGCTGATGTGTGACAGATTGCGACCGAACATTCGCCCTGGGCCCAGACTTCGACGGTGGGTGTTTGGATCGACGCTGGAAGTCGAGCAGAAACAGACAAGACCAATGGCACCGCTCACTTCCTCGAGCATTTGGCTTTCAAGGTATGGTGGTGACGGTCACGATGTGACAGGAAACCGAACTAAGAAATCAAAGGGCACTGGGCGACGCAGCCAGCATCAACTGGAGCTCGAAATTGAGAACATGGGTGGCCACCTGAACGCCTACACCTCGGTATGGAAAACAGTATGTCCTCGGTGCGACGTGTCGCTAATGGATGGGAAAGCGTGAAAACACCGTCTACTATGCCAAGTGCTTCAATTCCGACGTGCCCAAGACGGTCGACATCCTTTCCGACATCCTTCAAAACTCCAAACTCGATCCTGCCGCCGTGGAGCGAGAACGTGACGTGATTCTGCGAGAACAAGAAGAGGTGGACAAACAACTGGAAGAGGTGGTTTTCGACCATCTACATGCCACTGCATATATGAACCAACCTCTGGGACGGACCATCCTCGGACCCCGGGAGAACATCGAGACGATCTCTCGTACCGATCTCGTGGATTATATCAGCACCAACTACACGGCCGACCGCATGGTTCTGGTTGGCGCTGGCGGGATTCCCCATGAGGAGCTGGTCAAGCTCGCGGAGAAATCGTTTGGCTCGCTGAGAACCGCGCCATTGACATCGTATGCTGCTGATGTGGCGGCCGAGCAAAAGCGCAAGCCTGAATTCATCGGGTCCGAAGTCCGAATTCGAGACGACACCATTCCCACCGCTCACATTGCCATTGCGGTTGAAGGTGTCAGCTGGAAGGATGACGACTACTTTACCGCGCTGGTGACCCAAGCCATTGTTGGCAACTGGGATCGGGCCATGGGAAATTCCCCATACCTGGGGAGCCGACTGAGCACCTTTGTTCATGCCAACAATCTGGCCAACAGCTTCATGAGCTTCTCCACCAGCTACAGCGATACCGGGTATGTCTCAAATGAGCGGCTAATGTGATGCAGGAGTGCAAGCTAACATATTGATCTAGTCTCTGGGGCATCTACCTCGTTTCGGAGAACCTCACTCAACTTGATGACCTGGTTCACTTTGCTCTTCGAGAATGGACGCGACTCAGCTTCAACGTCACCGAGGCCGAGACGGAACGGGCCAAGGCGCAACTGAAAGCGTCGATTCTTCTGTCCCTGGACGGAACGACCGCGGTGGCCGAGGACGTTGGTCGGCAGATTGTGACCACCGGGCGACGAATGGAGCCCGCCGAGATCGAAAGAGTGATTGGAGCCATCACCGAGAAGGACGTGATGCGGTTCGCGCAGAAGAAATTGTGGGATCAGGACGTTGCCGTCTCGGCGGTTGGTTCCATCGAAGGCCTCCTGGATTACAACCGGATAAGAAACGATATGAGCCGCAACACGGTGTAGAAAGAAGGAGGGAAGGGGAGTGGATGGTTAGTCGTCGCACCGAGATTGGGGAGGAGGCAGAGAGGCAGAGCTGATGTAGAGGCTTGTATTGTACATTGCAGCAGCATAATGCGAAAAGAATTGCAGACATAGCTAGTAGTAGCCAGGCTGTGGGCCGAGTGTTCGCTTCATCTCACTCCAGTCTCGGATGCCTTGCACAATGCTCAGTGCTGGGTGCTGGGTGCGGGCATTGAGGCAAGATTTGTCGTATGTCGTATGTCGTATGTTGTATGTTCTCCAGTACCTAATGATTACTCCGTAGTATGACGAGCAGCTGGGTAAGGGTAAAAGACAGACGGTCTGATGGAGGCATTAATCATTCTATCGGCCATGTTCCATGTCAGGCATATGGTCCGAAGAGTGAGGCGAGGCTGGACTCTGGAGCACCTGTTAGGTGCCTGTCACCTACCCTATTGGATGGCGTTCGCTTATATCTCGGCAATTGACCATGGCCACGATTGGTGGTGGTGGTGCAGTTCCATGACGCAGGCACAGCGCAGGCGCAGGGACTTTGCACTGGCTCTCTGGCCCTCATCTTTGAGATTCTGCAAAAGTCTATCTATTCTCCATTCTGCATTCTGTATACCCTAACTAGGGCCTATACTCTGTCCAGAGCAGTCCCGAGCACATCCGGGTCTCAGGCTGACAAATGGTGCCCGTGCCAACTGATCATGATCCAAATGATGGCCTCAGGAGCCTTAAGCCTTATTAGTTCTCAAGTCCGTGCCTTGGGTCCCTGGGTAACCTATAAAGGATGCCCAGACTAGTTCTAACAGTCCAGATCCCCTTGTCCGACATATCGACACGACATTGAGATCTATTTCCCTCATTACTCGTATCTAACGGTAGCATCACCCACCCACTGTCTTCCCCATCCGCTCCCCTACCACTACCATGTCGACGCCAAACCTGTCCCTCATCTTCACCAAGATCCCCGAGGGCCTTCCGGTGCCGGGCGAACACATCACGGTGCGAGATGTCGGCTTCGACCTGTCGCAGCCGGCCCCGCCTGGCGGGCTGGTGCTGGAGACACTGTACGTGTCCTTTGACCCGTACCTGCGCGGGCTGCTGCGCGACCCCAAGATCGAGTCGTATCTGCCGCCGGCGCCGCTGAATAAGCCGATCGTGGCCTACAGCCTGGCCAAGGTGCTCAAGTCCAACGACGCGGCGTTCAGCGAGGGCGACATCGTGCGCCACCTGCTCCCCGTGCAGCAGTACAACGTGTACACGCCGTCCGAGTCGAAGCCGTTCAAGATCGAGCCGGGTGTCGGGCCCGAGGACATCCGCCACTATCTGGGCGCGCTGGGCATGCCCGGCCTCACCGCTTACTCGTCGCTGTACGAGATCGGCAAGCCCAAAAAGGGCGAGACCATCTTCGTCTCCAGTGCCGCCGGCGCCGTCGGCCAGTTGGTCGGCCAGCTCGCCAAGCATGAGGGCCTGACCGTGCTGGGCAGCGTCGGTAGCGACGACAAACTCGCCTTCATCACCAAGGAACTCGGCTTCGACGGCGGCTGGAACTACAAAAAGGAGAAGTCGACCCAGGATGTCATCAACCGCCTCACGGACGGCAAGGGCATTGACATCTTCTATGACAACGTCGGTGGCGAGCAGCTCGAAGGGGCGCTCGCCACTTTGAAACGATTTGGCCGGTGAGTCGAGACATGTCCCCCCCACTAACCCTAACCTTCAGTCTTGTGTCGTTCAGGTTCTGACACTGACACTGACGTGGCTGGTAGGATTGTCGAATGCGGCCAGATCAGTCAATACAACCTGCCTCCGGCCGAGCAGTATCCGATCCGCAACACGCTCCAGGTGCTGGTCAAACGGCTGACCATGACGGGCTTCTTGGTGGGCGACGCGAACATGGGCCCCAAGCACGCCCAGGAGCACCAGGAGAGGGTGGGCCGCTGGCTCAAGGAGGGCAGCTTCAAGGCCAAGATCCACGAGTGGCAGGGCATGGAAAATGCCGCCGACGCCTTTGTCGGCATGTTGAAGGGCGAGAACTTTGGCAAGGCCGTGTTGAAAGTCAAGGTGTAAGAAGTAGAAGTAAGAAGGGGGAACTAACCTTGATCCTTGATCCTTGATCCGCTCGCAATCGCAATTGCAAGCAGCACGGGATGGTGTCACCGCCTTTGCCCGGTGTATTGTATACTAGATGGAAATATAAAAGTAATTCAATTGTGGATCCTCATCCTGGTCCTGATCCTGATCCTGTCCTGATCCTGATCCTGATCCTGATCCTCCATCAAGTATATTGCCAGTGTGTTTTCCGAAAGTACGCATACATGGCCAAGGTAGCTACAGTAAGTGCCCGTCTGGACTCGTCAATATTAACAATATGTACTTTAACAATATGTACTTGACCTTGGTACTATTTATGAGCTGGTCCCAGGCCAGTCAAGGCTCCAACCAACCAACCAACCAACAAACGACTTGATAATGATACAGAAAATGACGGTGCCGTCTGGCATCTGGCAGGGGGGATTGGGGATTCCAATCTCCTCCCGAAACAATACATTGCAGGCGTTTGCTTGTTTCCTATCCCTATCTCTATCGCTTTCCCATGAGGTAACGCAGACTTTTATTCCGTCGTCGTAGGGGCTGGCATGTTCATGTTCATGTTCTGTTTCTTCTGTTCCGTTGCATAGATTCGGATCTGGTCCCTAGTTCTGGTCTTGGTCCTGATGCTGATTCCGATTCTGGTCCTGATTTCGGCAGAGTAGATGGCGAGTACGAGTGCGACGCAAGAAAAGTCAGAAGCCGAAAGCGAAAGCGAAAGCGAAACCACGCATGCAGCCATGACTATGTCGCGGTGAATCCTCTGTGGAGTTATCAAGATAACCTGGTCAGCATCGGATCGGATCGGATAGGAGAGGAGAGGAGAGGAGAGGAGACGAGAGGATAGAATAGAATGAAATAGAATAACGGGGCCCTCGAAAGAGACAGCGGCAGTGGCAGGAAGGATGTGTGGTGAAAACCAAAACTCACCCGTCAACAAGCAAGGCCGCGCCTTGCATGTAGCTGCTCAGCGGCGACACCAGGAAGGTGATGGAGTCAGCGATCTCCTCCGGGTCGGCCAGCCTGCCGAGCGGCGTGCGGTCGATTTCCTTCTGCAGCGGGCCGAGGTCGATCTCGCCTGACAGCAGCGGGGTGGCGACGTAGCCGGGACAGATTGCGTTGACGCGAATGCCCTGTTTCGCGTACGACAGGGCGTCGGTCTTGGTCAGGCCCAGCACGGCGTGCTTGGACGCCGCGTACGCCACGACGGGGGTATAGGAGGCGGCGCCGACGACGCCCAGGATGGAGGCCATGTTAACGATGGCGCCTCGGCCGTATCGGTGGGAGCTATTCGGACAGAAAGGGATCCATGTTTAGTATATATAATTATCGATGAGATGGACGAAACATCACCCCAGAGCAAAACAGGGGAAAAGGGGGAGGGAAAGAGAAAGGGTAGAATGCTGGCCTGGCCGGTCACTCACTTCGGTTCCAGCGGCTCCTGCTTCAACATCTGGCGGATCTCGGCCCTCGAAGTCAACCACACGCCGCTCAGATTGACGTCCAAGACCTTCTGCCAGTCGGAGGCGGCGAGGTCGGTGGACTGGGCCAGGGCGCCGCCAATGCCGGCGTTGTTGACGGCGTAGTCGATGCGGCCGAACTGGCTGACGGCCTGGGCGATGGCCGAGTCGACTTGCTTCTCGTCCGCGACGTTGAGTTGCAGCGGCAGCACCTCGACCTGCGGGAAGGACTTTTTGATTTCGGCGCTCACGTCCTTGATGGCCGATGCGTTCAGGTCGGCGATGGCCAGAGCCTTGACGCCGTGCCGGGCGAAGGAGAAGGCCGTGGCCTTGCCGATGCCTGTGGCGGAGTGGAAGAGTTAGTCTAGACTTGTGATTCCAATGTTGACGTGGATGTCGATGGCCTTGTCAAGATTCCACGCCATGCTCTGCCCTGGTTGGAAAATGGAAAGCTCCTCACCTGATGCTGCGCCGGTGATGAAGCCGACGCCCTTTAATAACGAGGCCATGACGATGGATAGAGGATAGAGTGAAGTTAGTAGAGATGGACAATGGATGTGGATGTGTTCGTCTATAGTATATGGTATTGACACGGACAAGAGATAGAGATGTGTGCTATTACTGTTGATTATATATATCTAGTACCTACTCCGTTGTAGTGTTTAGGCAGGTCGGGGCCATCACCTGATCCTGGCGTGATGCCTCGTCAGCCTTGCGGGGCGTCAGGAGGCGGAACTTGAAAGGCCTGGCAAGGTCTGGCCGGGACTTTGTGCAGTCTGGATAGAATTATGGCATGATGCTGTACAGTACTATGCAGTACTGCTGTACTATGCGGTACTATGGTGTACTGTGCAGTACTGTGCTGTACTACCTGTTGTACCAAGTCGTGGTAATACCAAGTAGTACAGTACAGTAATAATCAATAATGGTACAGCCTGAGCCTATCATCGCCCACCCTAGCCTTCTGGCCTTCTGGCATTCTTTCTCCTCTCCGCCTCTCCTCTCTCTCCTCTCTCCTCTCTCCTCTCTCCTCTCTGCCTGCCGAGGTCCCCATGCCAGTCTCGTCTCGCCAGTGTGCGAGTTCTTTCGGGCCGACCCAGGGACTTAGGACTGCTTCATTGCCCGGACAGAGTGTGGGGTAAATATGTGTACTCTGTACTCTGTACCTACATCAGACCTAAAGGTAACCTACCTAAGCAATCCCTCCTCCCTCCTCCCTCCTTGCATCCAGAACCAAGAACCATGTCTGAATTGCGCGACTTCGATCGTTTCTTCCGCCTGGATGGGAAGGCTGCTCTGGTCACGGGCGGTAAGTGAGAGAAACAGAAAGAGAAAGAGAGAGAGATATCTCTGGTCTACAATTACTGTAGCCAATCCCTGCCTCGTCTCGGTCAATTCAGTTCAATTGAATCCATTCAGTTCAATCAGTTCAGTTCAGTTCAGTTCAGTTCATTCAGTCAGACAACCAGAAATATTGACTCGGCATGACCTCCCAGGCTCTCGCGGCCTCGGCCTGCACACAGCGACGGCCTTCCTCCGCGCCGGCGCAAAGACGGTCTTCATCACGGCGCGCAAGGCCGAGGGCGCCCAGGGCATCAACCAGGCCGTGGCGAAACTGAACGCCCTCCCCGGCATCCAGGGCAAGGCGGTGGGCATCGCCGCCAACGTCGCCGAGGAAAAGGAGATTGAACGACTGTTCGGCCAGATCAAGGGGATCGAATCGCAGCTGCACATTCTGGTCGCCAACGCCGGCGCCACTTGGGGCGGGCCCTTCGAAACCACCCCGGACTGGGCGAACCGGAAAATCTTGGATCTGAACGTGCGAGGCATCTTTAATCTGGTCAGGATGTGAGTCGCAGTCGTCCTTGTCTGTATTTTGTATGTCTGTTTCTGGATTGACGGTCCCATCTTCCATCTTTCTCCCAGATTCCTTCCTCTCCTCCAAGCCGCCGGCACGGCCCAAGACCCGGCGCGCGTCATTGTCGTCAGCTCCGTCGCCGGCGTCAGCGTGCCTCATGTCGGCGACCACGGCACCATCATGTATTCGGCCTCCAAGGCGGCCGCGCACCACTTGGCCCGCAACCTGGCTCTCGAGCTCGGCCCCAAGAACATCACCGCCAACACCGTCGCGCCCGGCTTCTTCCCCTCCAAACTGGCCAACGGGCTCATCGACATCCTCGGCGGCGAGCGAGATCTGAACCGTCAGAATCCACGGGGGAGACTCGGCATCCCCGAGGACATTGCTGGCGTCATGCTGTATTTGGCCTCGCCGGCCGCCGCATATATGTGAGTAGAGTAGTGCATTGACTGTCATGTCCTGTCCTGTCCTGTCCTGTTCTATACCATCGAGTCCCTTTTTGGGATAGGCCAGGCCCTCGACTGACAAGATTGCAGAAATGGCGTTGACATAGACGTCGACGGCGGCGCCCATCTTTCGCCAGGTCGACTGACCAAGCTATAGCACAGCTAGCTAGGCCTATGCCTTATCCCGGACGCAGGAGATAGCTTGTCTATTTATTAGCTGATGGCGAATAGAGTGTTGCGGAATGATTCCCTTGTCCTTTGTCCCTTGTCCCTTTTCCCTGGTCGCTCTTGCTCGTGATCCACCCTCACCCTCCGTGATTTCTCCGCACTTATATGGTGTATCAGACATGGGGATCTGCTTGCAGGGTGGTTTATGGTTTATGGTTCATGGTTCATCATTATTTGAATTGGTGTCCTGGGAACAAATACAAGACAAGTATGCTGTACTCCCCCCCGACTGCTCGTGTTCTCATTATTCATGACTCTCTACTGGAGCCGCCTCTACATGGACGCCTGGCAACGACCCTTGAGTCGATGCTGCGCTAGGCATCTTTCGTTCCCAGAACCTCAAGTCGTACCCTTCGCAACAATGGGGTCAGGTATCCTCCTTAACGAGTTTCAGCATCAAACAGCTCCTCATGCAATCCGTCTGTACTGTCTTCTAGTTTCTGTGGGTAAGGCCGCCCAGAGATTCGAAGCTTCGTCGTAAACTGGTCATCTCTCTAAAGGAATGCCAATGGTCAGGTTGAAAAAAAAACCCTCCGTCCAAATTGGCTCGTCTTCGTCGGTCGCGCGCATTGCTGTCGTGAAAAACTGTAGCACACAATGACCATGCGGACTGACTGCCCACGAGAATTCGTCGTGGGATGCCTAGACGGGTAAAGATATGAGTTGTAGATCGGAGGTCGGAATCAAGCGGATGACCTCAGACACCGCACGTATCCACGGCTTGGGCTGGAACGAGAACTCCTGGACTGAGGACTGTTCACAGCTGTGCAGATGGCGTCTGGGGGAGAGGAGAGAGATGATTGTCATTCTGTCTGCGCCTCCCCTGGGCGGTCTCGTTGGTCATGATGTGGATGGCGTACTCCTCGTTGATTCCGTCTGAGATCGTTCCAGTTCCCGGTCCGCCTTGGCCTTGGCAGCCTTGATGCGGTTCGACGCCTTTTCAATCGCTTTCCTCCTCGAAGCACTCCACTTGGTCACCTCTCCGGCGTAGTAGAGCCGATAGGCCACATCGTTGTTGCTGAGGTTTGCTTTCACTGCATGGATGTTATAGACGGGGCCGAATTCGGGGTCGACGTATTCCTCCACCATTTCCAGGCCCTTTTTCCGGAGCTGGGCATTGAGAGATTTCATTTTGGTTTTTGGCGTATGGAGAACCTTGGGTGTGCGTAACGTGTGCGTAAGGAGGGGTGAGCATCAACCAACATATATACCTGTTGCCCGGTTGGTGTTGACACCACGTGACCGGGAGTACGCCCGCTGGGGAATCGAATCGCCGAGTTTGGCCCGCGCGACAGGGAAAATTTCTCAGGCCACTCTCACTCAACTGCGAGGCTGGACCGGACCATGACGTGCCGCCGTCCGGCCGTCGTCCAGATGATGATAGTTTGATCTATCGTGATGGTAAGCACACTGGCGCTAGGCTAGGATCCAGCGGATGCAACCTACCAAGAACCTGGGCGATCCGCATCGCCTGGGCTGTGAACTCTTCACAGTCGAATCTTGGCCCCTAATCCACGACCCTCATACCAGATGCGTTCGTGCCATTGACCGATCCTTACACCTACGTCGGCTCTGGCGTCGACTTTCAAGCTGCCCCCAAGTGCATCTCGGATGGTCCCCAGCGCATTGCTGTTCCAATCTACAGGCAGCTTGGGGGTCAGGTTTTCTCCCGGCACAATGGCAAACGGGTACTCCCAGGTAATGGTGCCAATCTCAGTGCCATTGAAGTACGCCGCGGCCGCGATACTGGTCACATACATGGCAAAAGGGGAAACCAAAACAAATGTGGCCGTGGACGAGAGAAGATGCATCTGCTCCATTAGTATTAGCATTACCAGTGCAGTAGTAGGAGCCTGGCCGCCGTGTCCCGAAGCGTGTCAGCAAACGTACCGTGGTCTCCTTCAGGAATTGGTGTCCAAACATCTTGGGTGTTGGCACCGTCATTTCCACCCGAGGATCCGGAAAGTTGGGGATCGAGTCGGCGTGGCTTCTGACTGTCAGAGTTGTATTGTAGCCCGAGATGTATTGTGACAGCCATTCCCTGCCCACCTCGCCGACCTCCCACGATGCTCTCGCGGTGATTTCATTCGGCCCAGGGACGACATCCGCCGACAGCCACGCGTACCCGACTCGTGTATGGTTGACCCAGAGACTGACGTTGCAATAAGGGATGGTAACGGAGTATTCGGTCGGATTGGTCACATTAACCTTTGCCTGCAGAGTTAATGAGGTTTCCGACGTATCGACGACTTCCATACCCTTGATTTCTGGAACCTGGAAATCTCCAGCTAGTGGTTTGACGAAGATGTCTCCTTGTGCTGGGATCTTTCGCACCACAAATTCCCCCAATGCCGTGAGAGTGTTGACGTCGACACTGGCATGCACTGAGAGCGCCGCTCCTGAGCCAAACACCAAGTCTTGCACCACCTTTGCAAACACCGACTGATCCTTGATCTCCAGGGGCGCGTCTTTGACGATGGACTGTACCAAGAGATTGTGGTCGACTTTCGTTGCATTGGCTGATTGCCATTTGCGTAGATCCAACCTGCCCAACAAGTCTCCCTTGTAGAAAACGTCTGCATCAGCCCTAACTCGGTCGACATCTAGGTTGACATTCATGTCCGGAGGGAGTCCGACCAAGACTTTGACGACGGCCGAAATCTTGGGTTGGGTCTCCGACAGAGGGTCGGGCAAAGAAAAATGTACGTCGCCAAGCGAGAAGTTCTTGATCAAATTGTCAAAGGGATGTCCAGGTAGGGAGAAAGGAATGGTCGTCTCGCGCAATAGCCTTCCAATCCATTGGGGTGTATTCTCATCCTGTTCACCACCTCGAATGTAGACCGTGGTTTTACTCCCAGAGAGATACGCCGCGATAAAGCTGTCCAACGGGGACGTTTTGGAATCTGGACAAATCTCAGTGAGAGATGTAGGTAGTTGGCGCACCAACGCAGTGACACCTGCAGTAATGTTCTGTTTGGGTAGAATATGAATGGGATCGGTCCTGGCGGCGGCAATGAGCAAGTAGTCATCCTGACAGTCGGGAAGAAGCACTTCAAATGCCAACGTAGGTACGTCAAATTTGAGAGGAAAATCGTTCATGACGGAAACCACGGCCATGGCTTTGAGACCTTCAGGATGACCGGGCAGACCGTACTCGGCAAATCGAACTCGTTGAACGTCGAAATCCGGCACGGCCGGGACATCGTGGCCCTCAAACTGCAAGAATTGTGCAACAGTCTGGTCGCCCAGTCGGATCAGGCCACTTCTAATTGGAACCGTGGCAACCACTTTGGCAGTGATTGCTTTCAACTTGCCATCCATAAAATCCTTAGCCACTCTTCGGATGCCGTCGACGTCCCCGGGCTCCAGGTCTGCCAGGACATCGACACGGTTGTAATGGCGATTGCGAATGTTCACCTTGACCGGAGGCAGCGTCGCCGTTCCTAACAGGACATTGTCATATTCCGGCAAGAAGACTTTGACATGGCCCTCTCCGCTCTCGACTTCTCGTGCAATCCATGTCCCGAATCTGCCCAGGTCCCGCGTGGGTTTGTTGCGGACTCGTGAGGCGTCTAGATAGAAGGTCCCTTGTACTCGAGCACGGATACCCAGAGAAGTAAACGAGTCGATGGACAAGTTTGTGGGTTCGAACACGACGCTTTGTTTGGCATATTCCTCAACGGCCGACGGGAGTGCGAACCCGAGACAAGCGACGACGGCCGCGATACAAAGGATCGACAGAGCAATGATTGTAGGCCATCTCTTTTGCTTTTGTTTTTGTCCCTCTACCGATTCCGTGGAGCCAGCCACGGAACGAGTGGTTTCATCGTCAGGCTGGTCGTTGTAGCCTGTGGTCGAGTCGTCTTCGGGCCTCGAAAGCAGGGGAGATCGTTCAGAGGATTGCGGCGACGGTTGTCGCGACGACATGATAAGCTGCAGGCAGGCTTCCCTATGCGAAAGAATTAAACGATAGCCATGGTGAAGTTGAGAGGGCAGCACTGGAGAGGACGGTGGTAAGTCTGAGATATATCATGATTCATTATGTAGGTGGAACGTAGAGTAAGTCATGCCATTGGACGAACCGAGACGTCCGGCTTAGGCTGGCTCTCTGTTGCCCGCAGCCTTGGCCTAAGGAGCCTAAGCCCCTAAGGCCGATGCCTAAGCATCCGTCATGAGGGGCCCTGAGGCTCAGGGCACCTACATCCCAGGCACATACCAGGCACCTTAGATAGGGGACTGGATGCAGCTTCGGGGCCAATGCGGGGTTGTCAAAGTGCTAAGAGCGCCTAAGGGGTCTGAAGTAGGTATCCAATCTAGCGGGCCACTTCACTCCGTTTCTTCCAGCTCGTCCAGTCTCTTCCTTAGTTTTGTGATGTGCCCTGGTGTTGTCTTACAACAGCCACCGACGATGATGCCCTTCCATGCGCCTCCGTGTCTTATCTCTCTCACAATCTCAAAGACCTGTTGGTCCCAGGGCTTGGTGCCTCTATCGTCACCCACCCACCGCTGCAACTGAGTGTCGTAGACCTTGTCTCCAGCCCCATCCGGGTAGATGAACAGTCTGGGCAACTCCATCGACAAGGCCTGGGCGGCGTCCTCGAACCTCCGAACCAATCCTGTGACCTTATGGATCTTGGTACAGTTGAAGCCGATGGCGAGTGGCTTGCGTCCGCCGTCGAGCATGGCGGTCACGAGCTCCTCAATCTCCGTCCCATCAGGTAATCTGTCATCGTCGTTAGGGAAGACACATGAGATCCAATACTGCTTGTCAGTAGAAGCGATGGCCCGCATAACCTGTCTTGCCGCCCTGACCTCGTCGATCCTGGGCAGAGTCTCGAAGGCAACGAGATCGACATCCGCCCATGCTTCACTGTGTGTAAAGGCGGACAGGCGTTCCATGTGAAACTGGAATAGATCATTTTGCTCCAGGGCCCCATACTCGCCACTGTATTCGGTGCTGGGCACCATCGTAGCGCCATATGCCCCCAGACTCAGTGCCACCAGACCCGGTCGTCCACTGAACGCATTGCGAGCGATGGTGATAGCGGAGAGCATATACTTGGTTGCCTCTGCTGCGTCGATCCCGTCATCGCTCAACGCCTTCGCCTTCGTCTTTACCTTCGTCTTCTTGAACCCTTGAAAGCTGGCCTGATATGTGGCAGTGAGGAGAATGTCGGCGCCGGCATTGGCGAAATCCTGTTGGACCGTCTGAAGTAGAGCGGGATTTTCCACTAGGAGATGAGAGGACCACAACGGTGTCTGGGTAGAGAATTGTGCTCCATGTTCGTCTTCGAGCGTGGTGCCCAGTCCACCATCAAGTAGCAGGACATGTCGGTCGAGGAGGAGAGCTGTGGCTGTGGCCATTACAGGAGTTGTCACCTAGGAGGTACCAGGTATGTACTCCATACTCTGCCGCCTTGATGGAGATGGAGATGGAGATGGATGGGGAGGGAATGAATTATAAAGGTACTGTGCTCCGTACTGTACACTGTACGGAGTATGTACTCCTACCGTGGTACTGTATCCACGACTGACGTCGAACGGTTGGGCGCGGAAAGCGAGATGAGTCAAGCCCGAGCCCAAGCTGCCAGTTGCCAACGTAGTCTGACTCTACTGAGCGAGCATCATCCAATGCACGCGCTTCCCCGCCATCAAAGAAAAAAAAAGAAACAATTCCTCTCACCGCGCAGAACAAATTTTCCCTCCTTTGCACCAAATCTGCCCATCTCCGCCGATTATCAGGGGCAACATCGCTGGCGATGGTGCCTGGCCCTCTGTCGACCACCACAGCTCACAGCCCACAGCCCACAGCCAGTTCAAATCCTCCAGCTTCGACATAATATAGACTAGACACTCACCAAAGTCCATCTCCATCTCCCTCTCCCTCCAGCTCCAGTTTCGCAATGGCGTCAGCGTCTCTGCGCTCCATCTTCCGTCCCCTACAGCACACTCGGTGTCTGTCGACCAGCTCCGGCTCCTCTTCGTCTTCCCCTCGACATTTCCTGTCCATCTCCAATCTAACGCCGACCGAGCTGACGACGCTCGTTAACAATGCCACGACGCACAAGAACTCGCAACTACCCCCGACATGGCCCCTGCGTAACGCCCTCTCGAACAAGACCATCGCCCTACTGTTCTCCAAACTGTCGACGCGGACGCGAGTGTCGACCGAAAGCGCGGTGGTGGCCATGGGCGGACACCCAATGTTTCTGGGGAAAAACGACATCCAGCTGGGAGTCAACGAGTCCTTGTACGACACGTCGGTGGTGATTTCGAGCATGGTGAACGGCATTGTGGCGCGAGTCGGCCCGCATTCGGATATAGCCAATCTGGCCAAAGACTCGTCGGTGCCGGTGATTAACGCGCTCTGCGACACATACCATCCCATGCAGATCATTGCGGACTTTGCCACGTTGACCCAGACCTTCTCCACGCCGGCCGAGAAGCTGAAGGGCCTGAAGATCGCATGGGTAGGCGACGCCAACAACGTCTTATTCGACATGTGCATTGGCGCGCGTAAGCTAGGCATCGACATGGCCGTGGCCACCCCTGAGGGATACGGCATGCCCGACAAGATCAAGCGGGAAATCGACGCTGCCGGGCCGGGTTCCTTGTTCGAGACGAACTCCCCGGAAGAGGCGGTCAAGGGCGCCAACGTCATCGTCACCGACACGTGGATCTCCATGGGCCAGGAGGACGAGAAGACCAAGCGACTGGAGGCCTTCAAGGGGTACCAGGTCACGGAAGAGTTGGCTCGAAGGGGCCGCGCCGCCGAGGACTGGCGCTTCATGCATTGTCTGCCTAGACACCCGGAGGAAGTGAGCGACGAGGTCTTCTACGGCAAGAGGTCGTTGGTGTTTCCCGAGGCCCAGAACCGACTGTGGTCAGCCATTGCCACTCTCGAAGCCTTTGTCGCCAATAAGGGCGTGGTTAAAAAGACAGAGCAATAAACAGGAGATCGTTTAATTATCACAACTCTTGAAACTTTGGTCCCAATGGCATAGAAAGTAAAAACCCATGCCCACAAAGATAGATTGTCCATGTGTACTAGATACAATGAAGGCCGTCATTTCTAGACGTCAAAAGAAGGCACACTTTGAACTCTCGACGTATTCCTATAGACTCAAGTTTCTACCTACAAATCGTCTCTAGGTACCGAGTACTGGCATTTCTCTCTCGCATTTGCGTTGGCAAAGGGCGGCCGATCAATTCCATATAGCACCCGGTAAAGACAACTCCATCCGGAATGGGTCGAGACGAGAACTTGCTCCATATAAGTTAGCTTGATGAGAATATAGCTGAGCCATTCACAGGATTGGCACTCATCTTTCCAGGAGTCGGGTAAGCCTGCGTGTGGATTGAGAAGATGCCTATGCAATTTGAACGTTAGAGACCGTTTCAAGAGATGGTGGATGAACACTTACTTACTGAAGACCCCGGGAGGACCTGGGTCATGGTAATGGTGATCAAGACTTCTGAGGTCGGCAGCGAGTCTTCCAAATAATCGAGCCTGGTGAGCACGGAAAAAGATAATCCATGGAATGGCCAGGTTAGGCAAGCGAGTTTCGATTGAGACATTCATATCTTCTCTTTCCCAAGCTTAGGGGGTGGTGGAAAGAGAGAACAGGATATGGATTGAGAGATGCCGATGACAAATGGGAAAAGGCAAGGAAGTTCCTGGGCGCCGCGCTGCAACCCTCTGCATAGGAAAGAATGTGTGGAGTGGGATGTTGCAGCCGGTAAGGTTGAGTAAAATACTGCTGGTGAGATGGCGTCGGCAAAGGTCTGCGACAAAGCATTCCCTGCAAAGCACTGTTGGTGTGGTACTGCCTAACAATGATCCGCTGGGACGGGGTTTCTGAGCACCACGCACCCTCCCACTTGCTCACGAAATGGATGCTTGTGGTGAAGTGTCAATGATCTGATATGAGTTAGTGACAGTGAGCTTCTAATAGCATGGAACCAGGTTGGTGTACTTACTATGGTAATGGTTGAATCGCAAAGACTTCCTGGGCGCCACCCAACCACCCACTTGCCCAGGAAATGACGTTGGAAAAGAGATTTTGGTGATCTGAGATATGTCAGCGGCAGTCAGATATGAAGGAGGAGGAGGAGGAGGAGGAGGTAAAAACAACAAGGCAACCTTACTTACACAGTAAGAGTGAGTAAAAAGGCAACATCTTCCTGAACACCACCCACCCACCCACTTGCTCAGGAAGGAATATTCGATTTGGAGTTGGTAACGACAATGATGTGTTGACGCCCAGGTATGTTATTGGTACCGAGGAAATTATAGTACTGACTGCTTTGAAGGTGGTAATAATGCTGTAAAGGCTTCCTGAGCACCTCCCACCCACCCTCTTGCCCAGGAAGAAAAGGTCGGGACTAATGGTCGATGACGCTGATGATGATGATGATGCTGCTGCTGCTGCGGATGATGCTGACGCTGACGCTGACGCTGACGCTGACGATTCCGGAACGTTGATAGTAAGATGCTGGTGATAACGTGAGTTGAAGGCGAGTTGTTGGCCGATGCAACCTCCCATACACTTTCTTAGGATGTAATCCAAGCAGTGGCGACGTTAATGGGAAGTAGGAAGGGACACGACGCCGCGAAGATGTTGTCGGACTAGCGCAAGAGAGGTGGAACTGGTGAGCGTCCAGGCAAGCCTGGATGGTAGTCGGTCAGGCGTAGCGAACAAGAGAAAGCGCCTAGTTGGACATTGAGAGACTCAGGTAGGCCTAATTTAGGCCATAGGAATGTGTTAGGCAGGGAAAGGGACTCTCAGGGCTCCCCATCCACCCTGTTGGCCAGAGAGCCGAGCATGAGATTGGTATGGAATTGCTGGAGTGCATGCTGAAGTGCTGAGGGTGCCGTGATGGCAACAATCTTTAGTGAAAGAATCCTGGCTACCACCCTACCACCCGCTTGCCAGGAAATGAAACTTGTGTTGATGCCGGTTACGTCGTGCTGGGTGATCTTGATGACGACAGAGTTGATGTTGCTGTCGCTGTCCGGGAGAAAAGATATCCTAGGGAGCCACCCAGCCGCTCTTCCCTAGGAGTAGGAATAGGAGTCGACGGAGTGGAGTCGAGAAAGAAGTAATTGAAAAGTTTGAAGAAGACGGAGAGAGTTCTGAACTTCAGATGAGTGACGAGGAGAGAAAGGAAGCTAACAAATCGGTCGCTTGATGTTTTTGCTATCAGGTTGGCAATTCTTCCGATCTTTCCGAGCAAGGAAACTGCTAGTCCTTCCGGAGGTGCTGTCGACAAGGAGTGTGCTAACAGCTCTGTTGGCCGAACAAGGTTGGCTCAGATACTGCTAAAGAGTTTGATGGTGGTGATGGTGGTGGAGATAGTGTCGACGAGGACGGCTCTGTCAGCCGCCCGTAGGTCAGCTCAAATACTGTCAGAGAGTAGTGTAGTAGTGATGTAGTGCTACTGTCGCACAACAGCTCTGTCGGCCGCCCGTAGGTCGGCTCAGATACTGCTAGAGAGTGTGGTGGTGATGGTGGTGGTGGTGTTGACGAGGAACAGCTCTGTCGGCCGCCCGTAGGTCGGCTCAGATACTGCTGGAGAGTGTAGTGGTGGAGATGGTGTCGACAAGGAGAGTAGCAACAGCTCTGTTGGCCGCCCGTAGGTCGGCTCAGATACTGCTAGAGAGTATAGTGGTGGCGGAGGTGGTGTTGAGAAGGAGAATATTAGCAGCTCTGTCGGCCGCCCGTAGGTCGGCTCAGATACTGTCGGAGAGTGTGGTGGTGGAGATGGTGGTGGAGATGTGTCGACGAGGAGAGTAGCAACAGCTCTGTTGGCCGCCCGTAGGTCGGCTCAGATACTGCTAGACAGTGTGATGGTGGCGGAGGTGGTGTCGGCGCGGAACAGCTCTATCGGCCGGAAGATGGTCGGCTCAGGGACTATGGAGAAGTAATGACTGTGTCGGTGTCGCAGGAATATTGTCTGCAATATGGCTTTCTCCGTAGTTGCTGCTAGGCTCGCTCCCGATCTACCAAAGTTCATCCAGCAAGTGTCGAAGTACTTAAAGTCCGGTAAGGACTTCTAGTACTCAACAAGTTATCGCTCTTGCCAGATTTGCTTGGGGCAGATCCCCTCCTGGAGCGGGCCGGCGGATTGGTCCGCCAACCCGGCAAAGACCTCGAAGTCTGCTCCATGATTGTTGAAATCATGGAAGCCAACGACGGGCTCCTGGGAGACACCGTCCACCGGCGGTGCCCACTGATCACCGTACACCCAAGGAGTGCTCTCCCACTCCGAGGTGTACAGTGGAAGAGCAAATTGCTCTTCCAGGGAGAGGCCAAAAGGAGGGAGATCCTGTGCTCCCAGAAAATCATCTAGGAGGACGTTCTCCCCCTCCGCCGCCTCCTCCTTATCACCCCCCTGCGCCAAAGGCAGGACCTGTAGATTGGTGATGTCAGGCATGACACCACCAACCTGGTCCTGGCCAAGGACCTTGATAGGCGCAGGGAGGTCTCCTACCCAGTAAGCAGGCCTCGAGGCACATGTTCCGATGTGCCTCACAGCGTTGTCGCTGCGCGTGGATTTATGCGTGCATGGCCACCACGCGCAGACGTACTGGTTGACCGGCTCGTTGGCCGGACGCTGCTTGCACGAGAGTTGGTGCCGGCGTGCGTCAGAGGGGTCCGCCGACTCCTTCCCGCAGTACTTGCAGGTGAGCTTGATGCCCAGGTGATGGGCTCGGACGTGGTGGCGGAGAGAGGAGGTGGTGGTGTACGCCTTGTCGCACCCCTGGGCCTGACAAGCGTGGGTCTGACAAGCGTGTCCCATGATGAGTTGACGTCCGCTGATTCATCTCTTAGTGGAAATTCAATAGAAGATAAAGCTCTGTATATGTGCCTGGTGGCCTCCTACCTCGAAAGATTGATTGAAGCTGTTGTCTGTCTGACGTCTATCTCAAGAGATTGCGAGAGATGGTTTGTGTGAGGTAGAGAGATGGTGTGTGTGTGAGTGAGGTAGAGAGGTCAGGTGTGTGTGTGTGTGTGTGTGAGTGTGAGTGTGGGTGGGAGTGTGGGAGTGTGTGTGTGTGTGTGTGTGTGTGTGTGTGTGTGTGTGTGTGTGTGTGTGTGTGTGTGTGTGTGTGTGTGTGTATCATATGAAGGAGAGGAGAGAAAGATGGAAGAAGATGAACGAGAGGGCTCTTCAAACACCTACAGAGATCGAGCAGTAACTTCGAGGTGGACGCAAAGCCCAACGGGGTTGCCTTTGAAGCCAAAGATCGACATGGTCCTGGCTGCTGACCCAAGGGTTGCAGATAGCAGTGCAAGGAGCCTTTCATGTAACAAGTGGAGTACATTTGCAAGGGAAATCTTTGAAACGGAAGAGGACGTCGGAAAGTAAGCGTTGAGACATCGGGAGCTTGTGGTACACAAGGCTATACTTTCCTGTAGGGCTCGCACCCAGCGGGGCAATGAGTCTTGCAGTGGCATCGTTGTATGGAGCACAATTTTTGGCTTTTCAAATAGAGAGATCGGGTTCTGCAACGCTGCTGAGCTTGGGGTCTCGAGCAAGAGGAGTTCCACCAAAGTCACCGCTTGCTTGACGATCCCTGCTTCAAAAAAGCCTCTAGCATGCTGAGGCTGAAGAGCAGAATGAGGAAACAGTATGCATGTATGAGTCGGTAGTGACGACCCATGTCTGAGCGGTCTCGTCTCTTACCACGAAGCCCCCAAAAGGGGCACCTCAGGATCGACAACCAAACAGACTGTGGGCACTCCAACTCCACGCATCCTCGAGGCTCAAAAGCCAAATTGACGGGAATATGAGGTAACATGGCCGGTTGAAATGAGATCCACTCCAAACCTGGTCGGCTTTGAACGAGCCTGGCTCGCGTGAAGAGGCCGATCGACCTGCCATGGTTTGGTAGAGGAGACAGGAGACCGAGAGGAGGAGGATAGGTTCACCGGAGGAGTCAAACTGTTGGTTAGCAAAGTTTGATCTCATGGCCGCACCCTGTATACAGGGCTGGGGACGGCCACCGTGAGTCCATTCCCCAGTGGTTGTTGGCACTAACTGCGTCGCCAATTTGGTACAACTGCTGCAGAAAGAGGAAAAAAGAGGAAAGCCTCAATGCACCGCCTCGAGAATTACTGCGCACCTGCCCTGACACGTTACTGAGGCGGCCCGGGAGGAAAGCGCGTGTCTGGGGGGACGATGAGCGCGTCGGAGCATGAGAGTCGTGTCCCGTGATGTCGAAATTAGGTCGCAGCCTTGCTGTGCTTGCACATGCACGTGTTTGACGGACCGTGGGTGACGAATGGGGAAAGGGCGGATGCCAGGGGTGACAAGGGTGCTGGTTACTGCTCCTCCGTAGTACTCCACAGTACTCCGTATAGGTGCCGTACTTCTCGGGCGCAGCTGCCAAGCAGCCTCGAACTCGACGGAATCGCTCGCCACAGCTCAGCTTCAAGTAGCACACACTCACACTACACACTCGCCGCCACGCCGTAGCCTCGCCGTAGCCTGGAATTCTCGGACATCGGCAAAACCATTCGACTGCAATCCGCAATCTGCAAGCCGCGTCCGCCCCTGGCTGGCCTGCACATTCGCTGAGCCAAGCTCTATCGCTGACCAGACCCCGCCCCGCCAGTCCGCCCCGCCAAACGGCCATCGGCCATGGGAAACATCTGTTCGAAGTCGGCCAACAAGCCTGATAGCTTTTCCACCCCCGGGAGAACACTGGGGACGAGTGCGAGTCCCCAAGCTCAGACCAAGTCTGCTACAGCGCCTCTCCCCCAGAAGCTGACTGCCACCACGCCTGGCCGCACTCTCGGGGGACCAGAGAGTGCCTCTGCTGCGGACGATGCGAGAAGCGCCGCAGCAAGAGCAGCCGAGGTAAGCCAGGACTGAAGACAGTACTTTCCTTTGAAAGCTGCCGGTCTTCACGATGACTCTAGCCCGTGAAGCAAAGGATTTCCATGACTTGGACCACGTGATCCTGTACTGTGCATCGACGTATTTCACGAGCACGAACTAACTTCTCCATGTCTCAGGAACGAGCGGCGAGAGCGAATAGGACTGGTGGAAAACTTTCTTCCCAACTCTCAAGCCAAAAAAAGCAGACCCAGAATCAGTTGCTCAACTCTGGCTCTGAAGCAGAAAGGAGAGCCCGAGATGCCGACCAGAGTGCAGAGGCGCGTAACTGGAACTGATCGGCCATTTCTTCTCTCGTTAGGCTGTGCACGGGTTGCAGTGCAATTCTGGAGTGAGGAGGCGACGCTAGGCATCGACATTGTCACCGATCACCGCCAGCCGGTGGAATCACTTGGCCTGAATGCAGGCCCGTAGCGGTGGCGAGCTCTCAAACTAACTTTGGCCTTCAAAAAATACAGCTGCGGGTACTTTCTTGAGCACGGAGCACGCTAGATCGGTGGATTCCTTGTTTGCCTTGTGCGAACTGGGAGGGGTTGGTCATGCGAACCATTTTATGACGATTTTGAGTTCATTTTGCACGATTTGACGAAAGCTATGGATTCTTTGGACAGGGGTGGCAGCCACGTTTGAGTCAAGATTGATGAGTGTCAAACCAGGCACCTAAGAAAGAAAGTAGGCAGAGTACAGTCTGACGTGGATGACGAGTCTGGAGCACACACACGGACGAAGATGGAAGATGGAAGATGCCCAAGACCAGAACAGCAGTTGACGAGCATTGGACAGGGGAGGCCATTTCGAAACTACATCATTACACAGTACATACTGCAATGTCAAGAATATTCATCTCAATTGCTGTTGGACGATGATAGCCTAAGGCCTGCATCTCGTAGCCGGGATGTGATAGCTCGGGCCTCAGCCTTAGGTAACAAGCCTGACTCTAGAGGGTCACCATGTGTGCAAACATGTCACTGCAGGTAGGGAGCGAGCAGCAATGCCGTGCAGGCTTCACCATGAGGTCAGGTAAGTCAAAAATCGTTGCTAGGGACTGCAGACAGGCGGCACCGTGCCTAAATGAAGTTCCCCTAGCCCTTCGCCACGACTGGCGGGTAGCTCTGTGTCTAGAGCAAGTTCTCTACATGATCCCCAGGCATTCATTGCCTTCAGAAGCTGCGCTTTCGTCTCTGCTGTGCTTCCGTCTCTGCTGTGCTGGCACTGATCACCACCTTACGCTCTATTCCCAACCCTCCAACCCTCCACCACGACGACCAGAGCCATCATCGACTTCGAGTGCGACTTCGACCTCGACTTCTTCTGCACGATCTCCAGATATTTCTGATTTACCTCAGCTATCTTTCTATTCCTATCCAGGTCAAAAATCAATCAGAATCTCTCTCCAACTGTTTTATTTACAGTCCGGTCACCAGTCAACGACACGCATGCACGCACGCACCTAGACCGGCCCTCGATAGCTAGCTAGCTAGGTAGGGACTTGTAAGTAGGGACAGTAGTCCAGCCTGCGCTACTTTTGTCACTTCAGCACACCCGTTTGTCTCTTCAACACGCCTGACGACAGTCTCAGAGCCTCAGCTGTTACTGTCAAGAATCTATCTGACCTGTTCAATCTATAGCACCTCGTCGATCTGTTCCCAACCCTGCTGGGCTCCTTGTGCGGTCTACCGCTACCGCTACCGTCGCCACCAAGCTCCAGCTTTCCTCCGCAGCCGAGTTCCCTTACCTTTCCTTTCCGAATCTGACCTGTCTGGATCTATCTGATTAGGGTCACGGTGTTTGGTTTGACCTGTCACTGCTGTTCTCGTTATTATTGTTGTCTATACCGCACGTTGAATCAAGCTCGCTCAACCGAGGCCGCTGGCGAGATCCGAGCCGCCCTTGTCGAACGCCCGACTCAAAGGTCCTCGGTCAGTCGGTCAGTCAGTCAGCGCTGTTGGATCTGGAAAGCGTCGCAGCCACGGTTCAGGGGGCAGTTTGGGCACAAGGCCATAGTTCTGGAAGAGGACATCTTACGTTTGACAAACTGTGGGCTCGAAAGCGGAAGTCTAACGAGACGTCGAAGGGACAAATCGACATTCCAACTTGACGCCAAAATGAACGGAATGTGGAGAAACAGGGGAGTCTACCGAGGCACAAAAAGAAACCCTGTATCGAAAATGAAAACCACGTGGCGCTGGACCGAGATTTCGTACAGTACGCACCGGCAGTTTGGGTGGTCAGGACTTGTCCGTTTACAAGACAGGAAAATTCGCGATGAGCTCGCGTTTCCCTGGGAAAAGAGGAATATTGGATGGTCTTCTATTTTCCATGTGGTCTCCTTTTTGCTGATCTATGTCTTCTCTATGTCTATGTCCTGGGCTCCTGGCACATATCCTGAGCGCAAAAGAAGGCGATCTATATCTATATCTAGATTCTGGTTTCTAGCCTCGCTGCTTTGCGACAGCCTACTTCACACCACAGATGCTGAAGTGCTCATTTCTTGCCTCTAACCAGCCAACTGCTGATAGCCTTCCAGACACCGCGCGTGCCTTTCGCAATCGCATGGCGGCCGTCATAGAGCGGGAAGACGACGACGGCGAAGAAGGCGAAGAAGGTCCAGGTGATGGCCACGGTCGTCCAGCCGGAGAAGAAAGATTTGGTGAAGATGTAGTTTCGATATAGTGGCATGGGCCAGGCCACGAAAGTGACCAGGACGATGAAGGCGAAGAAGATCCAGGCGATCTTATGCCATCGGTGGAGCTGACGCAATGTTTCGTCGTCGAAGGGATGTTTGATATCGTCGAGGCTGACTTCCAAGGCGGAGGAGGACGGGACGGCGGTGGCAGAAACGGTGGTGGACTTCTCCTCATGGGCTGCGATGTGTTCAGGGTCGCGGAGGACAGCCCTCTCGATCGGGGTCAGTCCATGGACCGGATGGACGGACTCGTGGACGGATTTGCGTTCCGGCTCCGGCTGCGAACTACTTTCGTCGTCGGACTCGCTGGCCGGAGTGTCGGCCAACTTGACTTCTTCCAGGAGTTCGACGCGGAGGAACTCGCGCCAATCGAACTGGTATGGGCGATAGAGCGAGATCAAGACGGAGTAGATGGCCGGGGAGAACAGGGAGCCGCAGGCGCCGTACAAGGAGGGATAGCCTTGTTCCGTGGTGAAGAGATTGATATGGCCGTACATGGTTTTGGTCGAAACCAGCCAGCAGATGATCCCGGTGATGAATCCCAGGATGGGAGACAAGATGGCGGCATACCGCGTCTGACCACGCCAGGTCAAGCTGAAAATCAAGGGGAAAATGCCAGGACACGCGAGGATGGGCCGGAAATAGCCGATCCACGTCATGTCGGCGCCCCCGTAGTTGAGAGCCAGCGAGATGGCGACGATGAAGACGGCATGGGCAATGACGGCCAGATGGCTGATGTGCACCAGCCTCTTATCCGTCACCTTGGGGTTGACGTAAGTCTTGTAGATGTCGAAGGACAGGATGCTGCTGACGGCGATCATGGACGACGAAATCGTGCTGGTCAGGGCCATGAACAACAGCACAAAAAAGGCAATCAACCCGCTGTTTCCCACCAGGGCCTTGAGCACGTACGGCATGACCAACCCGGAGCTGACCTCTCCCGCCGTGAGCGGAGCAGGATACGTGGGCCAGATGGGTGTTTGATGCAGGGCTCGCGCGGTCAAGCCAATGACTGTCCCCAGACCCCATGGAATGCCGAAGATGGCCAGGGCGGCCAGATTGTAGCCCGGCACGGTCGCGTCGACCTCGGTAGCAAAGGACTTCTGCCAGAAGGCAGTATCCTAGACGCACTTCCAGTTAGCCACGGCGGCCGTTTCAGTTAGAAAACATCTTGGGGGCTCTCACCATCACCACGAGAGCCAAGTTTCCAAACTTGATGAGCAGGGAGAAGATGATGCCTTGCTTCGATTTGAACGTGAGGAGCGATCCCTTGTAGTTGCCAGGGACATAGTTCGCCGCGGCGGTGGCCTGAATCTTATCATACAGGCCATATAGGCCTCCCACATGTTTGTTGGTGAGGGTGGCGAGGGTGAACTAGGAGGAACACATACAGTCAGTATTGTTATTCCTCAACTGATAGAACCAGACATTCACATCCGGATACTAGTAGCTTTGCGTCTGGGCGGTCCTAGTCATCGATATTGGATGGGCCCTCGCGAGGGAAGGATGTGCTTACATATATGATGAGGATGAGAGCGACGGTAGTGTGGAGGAAATCGGTGAGGAAGGTGGCTTTGAGCCCACCGATTGCGGTGTACAGGACCACTGGGAGCATGTCGGTCAGTTCATACTGTGACTCCCCAGCGAGCGAGGTCTGCTCTCTGCTCAATGCTCAATGCTCAATGCTTACCTCCCAGAGGAATCAGGATGGTTGCGGCGGCGAAGTGCATGCCGGAAGTGCCGTGGATGATTTGTGACCCGGTCAAGATCATGGAGGCACATCCGAAGACGTTGTTGCAGAGGTTGAGGACGATGAAGACGACGTGTCCGATCTTGCCATAGCGCTGTCGGATGATCTCCAGCGAAGTATGGGCGTACGGCACGCGGATTTTGGCCAACACGCCCAACGCGGCCATCAGGGCGATCTGGAAGCAGAGGCCGACTCCCCACCACTGGCATCAACTGTCAGTATGACGGGACCTGAGACCTGGGATGGTAAAGGACTCTGACTACCTACCATGGGAATGGATATGCCGAATCGATAGCACTGCACCGCGGCGAAGACTGTTTCGTTGATCCACATCCAAGACGAAAACACCGCCGATGCCGTCAATCCCGTCCCAACCGATCGGTTGGCGACCATGAACATCTCAGAGGTGCCTGAGTCTTCTGCCAGGTAGAGCCTCTGGACCTTGATGGCGACCAAGATGACGCCGCAGAAGGCGACGCCCAGTCCGCATATCAGGCCGTACGCTGTGCCCTGCGAAACCAGGGCATCGCCCGAGTAACCTAAGCTAAGGCCGGACATCCTAGGTCTTAGGACGGTGTTTGCCTGAGGAGAAAGTTGCAGTGGGAGGGATGGACTAAGGCTCTGCTCGATCGCGGGGTCCAGTCTGTGATTTCTTGTGGGCTTGCCATCGCATATATGTCTCTCGACAAGAGCCTTGCCTCCCCGGCTCCTCGTTTGTCGTGCATTGGTTTTTTCTCATCTACTCGCATTTGGTGGCTAGATCCTTCGGAAATCACGCACGACCGGTCCAAAATTGCGTGAGATCGGCTTGAGCGAGAAAAGTGACCACTGACCACTGACCAGAAAACATGGCAACCCCTGGCTGACAATCCGCTCCACCGGCTCCCACCAGCTCATCACCGAGACTAGACTTGATGATCAAGCATCAAAACGGCCGCCCGGCATGCTTGTTGCCAGGTCTAAATGAGATGGCCAGCTTGGCGGGCATCGCGTGCGACGATACACATGTTGCGAATAACATCGGCCGGCCAAACAAGACTGTTGGCGCGGAGGCGGTCGACAAGCTCTCTCCACCGTGGAGGCCCCGGTCATAGAGGATGCGATGGGTGATTCGAGGACAGTGAGTCCGGGCGTGCCCACACTTCACCAGACACTGACTGGTATGTACTTTTGAGAGAGCCAGACCCCGTTCTCCCACCTCTTCTTCTCTTCTTTCAAATGCGCAGCTGCGAACCCGTCAACCTGGCTCCGTCGGTTGCCCGCCTATTGGCGCGGGATTCACGCGCCTCCTTCTGATTGATCAGCTGGCCGATGATAAGGCGGCACGCTCCATATCACGACAGTGGGCAATGCTGTGTTGAGAACAACAGCACGAAACCTGGAGGAGAATGGCGACATCGACCCACCGCAGCCGAATTTGCGTCGGGAAAGGCTCACTGGCCGAGGTGCTTGGCTACGTCCCATCTAGCCCTCTCGAGCCACCATGGTCTCTGGGTCCCGAGGAAAGACTTAAAACGGGTGTCGTCGGCTGTTGATCTCGGGGGAAAAAGAAAGGAAAGGCAAAGAAAATAAAGGCAAAGGCATAGGCATCACCAGGTGCACACAGCACACAAAACAATGGCCGAGGGCAACAGCAACAGTACTGCTCCGCCCACCAATGGGGATGTCAATGGCAATGGCAAGAAGCAGTTCATCTTGAACGCCTTCCTGATGAATGCTCCCGGCCACCTGGCAGCTGGACAGTGGCGACACCCGCGGAACAAGACCGACCAATACACCAAACTGTCGTTCTGGACCGACTTGGCCCAGTTGCTCGACAAGGCTGGGTTCCACGCCATGTTCATCGCCGACACCCTGGGCCCGTATGATGTGTACAAGGGCCCTGCAAACGTGGTTCCGTCCTTGTCCTCCGGGGCGCAGTACCCGGTCAATGACCCTCTATACTTGGTCCCGGCCATGGCTGCGGTCACCAAGAATCTGATCTTCGGGGTCACGGCCAGCTTGACATATGAAAAACCCTATGCCCTCGCCCGTCGGCTCTCTACCGTCGATCACCTCGCCGAGGGTCGTTTCGCCTGGAATATTGTCACGTCGTATCTCGACAGTGCGGCTCGGAACCATGGGCTAAAAGAACAGATCCCGCACGATGAGCGCTATGCCATTGCCCACGAGTATCTAGAGGTCCTCTACAAGCTCTGGGAAGGAAGCTTCCGTGACGACGCGGTTCTGGCCGATCGCGAAAAAGGGATTTATATCGCCAGCGATGCGGTGCGACAAATCCACCATAAGGGGAAGTATTTCGAGGTGCCTGGCCCCCACTTTGTCGAGCCATCTCCGCAGCGGACTCCCTTCTTGTTCCAGGCTGGTGTCTCGGAGGCTGGAAACAACTTTGGAGGGAAGCACGGAGAAGCCATTTTCATCGGGGGACAAACGCCTGAGAAGGTCAAGGTGACGGTCGACAACATCCGTCAAGTGGCCCAGAGAGAGGGCCGAGACCCCAATCACATCAAAGTGATCCTCGGAATCACGGTGATTGTGGCCGCAACCGATGAAGAGGCGTTCGCCAAACGCGACGAGTATTACAAGTACGCCGACACCGAGGGGACATTGGCACTATTCGGGGGGTGGACGGGCATCGACCTGTCGGGGTACCCTGACGACGAAGACTTCTCGCTCAGTGCATCACCCAACGTTTCCAGCCTCGTTCGGCGGTGGGCTAGCACCGTGCCTGGGACAGACAACCTTCCCTGGACCAAACGACGCATCGTCGAGTACCTGGCCATCGGTGGCACTCAGACCAAGCTGATCGGCAGTGCCACCACCGTGGCCGACGAACTGGAGAGATGGAGGGACATCACCGGCGTCGATGGATTCAATCTCGCCCATATCACCAACCCGGGCTCTTTCGAGGACATCATCGACTATCTAATCCCTGAGTTGCAGCGCCGCGGACTGTTCCGGACCAAGGTGGAGAAGGAGGGCGCCACCGCCAGAGAAGCCTATATCGGGACGAAGAGGCTGCCTGAAGACCATCCGGGAAGTAAGTACAAGTGGCGTGCTGGAGAGAAAATCCCAAAGTATCAGCTGGCAGAAGGAGCTGTAGAGACGGAGACTGCTGGGGCGGAAAAGGCGTGAACTCCGCACGACTTGCTAGATAGCTGTAGATCCAGTTGTTCTACTCTGGTCGTTTCTGTTTCTGTTTCTGTTTCTGATATGTCAGCCTCATCTCGTCAGGGACGCTTTGAACGTCGCTAGAAGTCGCCAGCTAAGCCAGGAAAGGATGGGAGGTGACAGTGACAGTGACACCGGTCCTCGGGACCTGTCGAGGCATAGTTGCATCCATGGGCTCGATAAGGGTGAACGAACACGTTGTCGTTGTCGTAGATTGTGTCGCGATGACCAGGATGGATCCAATCTTTGCATCAACACGTACCACTTCATTTACGGCGACGACGATAAGTTGTTGGTTTGGATGGTAAAAGCCTGGCAAAACCATTGCCATTGACGAGGCTGCCGCCCCTGAGCTCACCGACCACCAATCCCCCATGTACAAATATGCCGTAAGCAAAACCGGAAACTGGCTTCATGGGGTAGAGTTTGCCAAGCACTATCGAGCCGATGGAGTTGTCAGTATTCCCCTGAATCCAGGAAACCTTGCTTCAGACCTTTATAGGGAACAAACCAGCCTCATCTGCAAATTGATGACCAAGTACCTCATGTATCCTTCGGTCATGGGTGTTTACACCGAGCTTTACGCTGGCCTGTCCCTATAGGTGACTTTGGAAAAAACGGGGAGTTGGGGTAAGTGTCATCTTCGAGCTGTCCATGAAAGGACTGACCAGGACGTTCTAGTCATCCCCTTGGGCGAATTTACCCCATTCGAAAGGATTTGGCTGCGGCCACGAAATCTGAATCTGAAGGCGGAAACGGATCAGCCTCCAGATTCTGGAAATGGACAGATGATCAAGTGAAGAGATATATCTGAGCAAGAACCCGCCTCTCTGAAATGATGTCTTGGAGTGGCTTTCCACCTCACGTCAATACACTGTGAAAGTTGTAATCCTGCATCGCCTTACCTGGCACAAGCAGATCTTTCATATCTTAGCCATCTTTCTAATGCTAAATTGTGCTCAAAATGACCTCGTAGCAATGGAAGAGCCCAAATCTTCGTAATGGCATGCCCAGACGATATGTAGACAAGAGTAGGAAATTCTCGAAAGGAAAAGGAGGAGGACCTTGAGGGCGGGACCGGCTGGCTGGAGGATCTGAGCTGGTGAAGCGTGATCTGGACGGGAAGATGAAAGACTTGATGACTGGCGCAGGTCTTTTCTGATGATGACGCCCGGCGTGTATCTGTTAGCTCAAGTGAAGAACTACCCCAACCGAGAAACTGGTCTGATCCGCTTGTCAGAAGAGTAGAGTAGTAAGTAGTAGTGATGGGAACACGGCCACAGCACCAGAGCAAGAGTGTATCGCCGAGCCGTAACTGCTTGAAGTCGGCGCATGCGAGAACAAAAAGAGCAAAGCGGACAAGGGATTGGCGGTCCTGGACTCGAATGGTGTTCGAAGCATAACAGAGACAATGAGTAGCGGAATCCTCTGACTGCGTAGAATGGCAAACAAGATCTCCTACAAGAGAATGAGCATGAGCATGAGCGTGTCGTATGATCGACTGCGCTGGAGAGATTCGAGCAAAGGGCTGTATATACTGGCGTTCTCGTCCATGTCAATGTCCACGTCCATGTCAACACCCATTGCGAGCAACACACCTCTATCTGACACTTTCTAAGCAGACGCCCTCGCGCAGTCTGCTTTTTCTTCTATCCCATCTCCCGAAGGGGTTTCCCAGAGCCAACTTTTCAGCTGGGATGATGACCACGATGCCCTCCCAGAACCCAAACCGAGCATACCTCTTTTCTGTGTGAGGAGGCCTCCAGCTGCAACAACGCCAAACGCCTGGCCCTATGCTATGCTATGCTATTTTGGGTACAGGTCATTCATTTCAAGCTCATTAATGTCAGTCCAGCACGGTTCAGTCCACCTCGCTTTACTAGACGCAATTCGCTAGTTTCTGGACCTTTTGAACCAATGTTCGTCACCTGAGAGTCTGTCCACTCTCACTTTGCAGGATCCTGCTCACATTCACTCCTCCTTTCCATCACCCGGAAGAAGATTGCCACGGACCGCGAACATCTTAGCAGACGTGGCTGCGACGAACCCATCAACCTGTCGTGCATACTGCTCTACCTGGCGGCTGTTCAACATGTTTTCCAAGCGACTTGGCTCTGTCGGCAACTTGAAGAGCTTCTGCCACTCATCCTCCGGCAACGGCGGCTGCTTGGAAAGGGCACGAGCGGCGTTCTCTGCCTTGCGCTTCGCCTGCCATTGCGCGATCTTCGCCTGCTCTCTAGCCAAGGCTCGCTGGTAGTAGGAGAAGTTGTTGGCTTCGACGTGGTGAGTCTCAACAGAGTCAAGAAGGTTGTCTGCAGTCTGGGAGAGATAGGGGTCGGTATTGAGAGTCAAAGAGTCGAATCTTGGAGCAAGAGTGTCATTCTTGACAACTGGGTTGTTCTCAATCTCTTGGACTGAAGTAGGAGCCTTCAAAATACCAGAGGCGAGCATTCGGGGGACTTGGTTAAGAAAAGTGTTAACCAGGTGAGAGTTGTGGACAGTGACTGGGATCTCGACCAGAATATCAGTGTATTTCAAACCAGACTTGAGAAGGCTATTTCAGAGTTAGCAATGTTCAATTGAGGTTGTGTGCAAATTCATACTTCTCGGTGGTGAACTTGTTTTCCTTGTAGGCGACCATGAATTGGGGGGAGAGTCTGAATGCCTTGATGCTGAGAATGCCCTGAGAGCTTCGGCTGACATCGTGAACAAGCGCGACGGTTCTCTCATTCAACTCCTTCTGGTAGTGGTATTGGTTCTCGATGAAGTTTGCATTGACGAAATTGCCCAAGTTGGCGCTAGTGTACCAGCCCACGTTGTTGGCGTCCACATTGACCTCACGCAGCATTCTGATCATCTCAGCCTGGTATGCAGTGTTGGATTTTGCCCGTGGAGCCGCAGCCGCGCTATTGAAATGCTGTTGTTCATATTGCGCCTCGGCGGGGAGATCGACAACAGGGAAAGGAAAGGTATTGGTGATTTCGAGGGTACCGTTGACATCCATGCCAACTAGACTGCCAGTCGCAGTAGTTGGGGAACGGTTTGCGCAATGCTTGATGACCTTCATGACGACCTATTCACTGTAAGAGAGTTGCCATCTAAAGTCTCGCCATGCGCAGACTCACCAGCGCCTCAAGCTGGACCGCCTTAAGCGGAGCATCTTTCCTGCGACAAAGTCAGTGACTGTGGATCTGTAAAAGAGAGATGACATACTCGACGACGGGGGCGATGGTAGCCATGTCTGAGTATCTGATGAATGTAGGGACCGGTTCAGTTTCCTTGTCCTTCTCACCAGTGAGGTTGTTGTCGTCAGTTGGCTTCCTCACTTGGATACGTTCATAGCCACCCTCGTTTGTGGGTGAGAGGGACATTTTTGCGGACTGTGACAATGAGTAAAGGGAAGGTTTGCCGAGGCACGTGAGAAGGAGGAAGGTTTGCCGAGTGAAGATATGCCGAAGTGCACGATGTGAAGGAAGAAGAGGGACAGAGTCGTGATGTGAAAAACAAATGAGAGGGGTGCTTGTGTTGGATCTATTGTCTATTTACTGCGCATACCCTGTGTTGCATGTGTTCTTTAAAGACCTACTAGGTAGGATGGTCGTGAAGGGGAAATTAAGGACTTTTTTCCAATACGGCGGTAGCCCTCCAAGAGTGTCCCGGACGGAGTATTGATTCACACACAGCCATTTGTAAAGGCACATCCTGCATCGGAGCAAGGCTGTAGCATCTATAGAGCTGTCCTGATTCTCTCTACACCAGGTCACACACTTGGAAGTCTACAGCTGAGATCAGACGTCCGCCGGTACACTATACGGATGTAAATATACGTTAGGTTGTTATGTCATGTATGACGATCGGCCACAAATTATTTATCCAAGGTGTCCGACAACATGTCACTTCGTGTCTTCGTCGTGTATAGTATAGATCCTTTTACATTTGATTGAGCGTCCTTGTACTTATTTCCGTCCATGTCGTCAAATACTAATCTCGACATCTGGTTTGTGAGTGGTACCCCTGTCGTCTCCGTCCTTCCCAACGTTGCTCACCCTTCCGCAGGCTGGTGCATTTGCTGCCTTCTCGGTCGATCTACTCGTCTACCCTCTAGACACGCTCAAGACTCGTCTTCAGTCACAGGACTATGAGAAGTTGTACCGAAACTCCAATGGCACAATAAACCGCTCTTTGTTCCGTGGGTTGTATCAAGGCGTCGGGTCCATCATCCTCATCACCATCCCATCCTCAGGCGCCTTCTTTACCACCTACGAAGCCTTGAAGTACGGTCTCAAGGACTGGATACCTCCGAATTCCTCCCTCTATCTTCCTCAACCTGCCATTCATGCTGTTGCAAGTGGCACCGCCGAGCTGGTTAGCTGCGCCATCCTGACCCCGGCAGAAGTCTTGAAGCAAAATGCGCAAATGCTAAGTGCTGGAAAACGCGGGTCTACATCCCTCCATGTCTTTAGACATTTCAAGAAGCAGCCCTCTCGGCTCTGGAGGGGCTACACGGCATTGGCAGCAAGAAATCTGCCTTTCACAGCGCTACAATTCCCTGTCTTCGAGTCACTAAAGGGCTATTTCATAAGACGACGGCAAGAGAAGAAGGGTGGTCAATCGGTCGACGGAATATTCGAACGGGCACGTATCACTGCCCTAAGCGCCGGTATTGCCGGCAGTGGTGCTGCATGGATCACAACTCCCATCGATGTCGTCAAGACAAGAATCATGTTGGCTGCTGCATCCCTTGACGACGGGCCAAAACAAGACTCCAAGCCCAGATCGTCCAGTTGGCTTCTACACGGTGTCCAAGGAACACGCAAGAGTGGACTCACTGTCGCTCGGGAGATTCTCAAGGCAGAAGGGGTGCGAGGCCTATTCCGAGGTGCTTTGCTTCGTGCATGTTGGACGTCTCTCGGCAGCGGTCTCTATCTGGGGTGCTATGAAGGCGGAAGATTTTATCTCGAGAGCGCGAGAGAAGAGGCCAGTGAGGACAACTCCTTACAACGTGATTGGTCGAAGATCAAGGTCGGCGTAGGGAACAGCAGATCCCAAGATGTCGTGAAAAAGAGTGCGTGGCAAGACGACTGAGCCCGACGCTTATGTTGACTTTCTGGATCATGTGACGCATTAAATGTCCAGGGTTCTACTTCAGCGAGCTGACCACAGAAAAGCTAAAAAGCGTCACGGGTGAGACGTCAACACAGCTGCTATAGTAGAAGCGTCGCATACGAGCCTCCGCAAACTCATACGCCTATACCTACATGTACCTGCGAGCACTCGCTGTTTGAACATGGATTTGCCGACTTATGAGCTTATCACCTCGATGGCAACTTCAATATCCCTGACACGGACAAGGGGTGCTTACGTCAAGCCGATTCTCGCAAGTTCAACTAAGGCCTCCAGGTCCAGCCAAAGTGGTTTCAGGAATACAACGAATTGTTTCACTCCTCCGCTTGTTGCTTCTCAAGCCCAGGTTTCACGCATTTGATCGAGCATGCGGAAATGCTCCAGAGAATGGTGTTTCAACCGGCCATGTTCCAAGCAGGCTGTCATGGTGGGGGATCGAGGGAACCTCAGGAACACAACATCTCCCATATCTACGCTCTACGGTCAGACGGTGCCATTACAGCTCCATGGCTTCACGATATATGCCGCTTCTCGGTGACAAGCAGGCATTTAGAGCATGTTTCTGCTGAAGCCTACAAACCTACTCAAGAGTCAATATCCGCGGCATGTTTCCGGGCGATGCTTTGGAGAATTCTTTGCCTCCTGTCAATAACAAACCGCAACGAGGCATCTGTGGACACAGGTCGCCAGAGTGTAGCTCGAATTGGAACATTCGGTCAGGATCATAGGTCTATTCACGAAGTAGGCCACCATGGCCATGTACAGATTACATATGATCATCTAACACGCTACAAGCATGGATCCATAGACCACAAACTCCACGATTGGCTCACCCCAGAGAAAACACAATGTCACTATGACCTCTACCGTCAAGCTCACTTCGACCGTCAAGCTCTACCGTCAAGCTCTACCGTCAAGCTCACCTTTACCGTCAAGCTCTACTGTCAAGCTCACCTTTACCGTCAGGCTCTACTATCAAGCTCACCTCGACTGTCAGGCTCTACTGTCAAGCTCACCTTTACTGTCAGGCTCTACTATCAAGCTCACCTCGACTGTCAGGCTCTACCGTTAAGCTCACCTTTACCGTCAGGCTCTACCGTCAAGCTTACTTTTACCGTCAAGCTTACTTTTACCGTCAAGCTCTACCGTCAAGCTTACCTTTACCGTCATGCCCTACCGTCAAGCTTAACTATACCGTCAAGCTTAATTGTCAAGCTCTACTGTTCGGTGTATTAGGCGTATTTGATTTATCAAATTTGAAGACTCTAAGCAATAATGTGTATCTCTAACGACTCTTTTACCAAAACAAACCAGCAGTGTTGTACGTCGTGTCACATCAAGTCGTATCCGGTATGCTCTAGCTCTCTAGGTAGGTAGATACCTTATGCAACCAGCCGTTGTTTCTGGTTTCTTGTCTAGTGATAGATATCAACGCCGTCACGATCCGTTAGTACCTTCAGACTGGAAGAACTCCACGATTGCTCGAGCTCCTCGCGGTCCCAGCCCCTTTGGCGGATAACACAGATAAATCGGGTCGTCCATACTGTTGAACTTGGCGCGGAAGCCCGTCTTCTGCTCGAGCCGGAATTTGGCCGCCAGAGTTTGATAAAGCGAGTTCAACAGCGCCGACCTCGCGTTGCCCATGTTGTGCCCAGTCGTCAATTTGGCGGTCGCCCCGGCTCCGAAGGTGCACGTCTTGTAACCGGATTGTGTGGCCGACTTCATTGCCGTCTGCACTGCATACTCGATTGATCCGTTGCTGGCGCCGGGAAAATCCAAGGCCCATTTCACTTGGACGCCATTTCGCGGAGCAAGCTGTGCCAGGACCACCAGCGAGTGGATCTTGTCCTGCTCGTCCTGAGCGACAAAGTACTGTCGGTGAACGCTGTCCCTAAAGGGGGTGATCTCACTCAAGTGGACTTGAGCACCTTCACGACTATTCTGCCACTCCTTGATCCGCTCCTCTATCTTCTGCTGCACTTTATCCGGCACGGAACTGCCATAGTCCACCACCTCGACACCTTCTTTCTTTGCATGCCGGATCTTGCGTTCAACGTCCCCGTCGACGCTCAAATGTTGGTCGTTTGCCAGGTTCACGCGTTGTTCCGCGACATTGGTAAAGCCCTTCCATCCGAACTTGTCACCTAAGACTTCCTCGACATCTTTGCCCACCAAGATAAAGAGCGGCTTGAGCTTGGTCTCCCGACGGAGCCAGTGAAGGAACGCCGTAAGGACATCTTCCAGCTGCCTCGCGTCACACAGCGGGTTGCCGGCGCAGATGGCCCGGTTGCGTATGGGGACAAATGCAATTGCCGCCCCGGTCTTGTTGTCTCTCCAAATCTGGAACCTATCATCCATCCAAGACGTATTTGTAGCATCACCGTAGTTTGCTACCAGATTCTCCAGGGCAGGCAGATGGCCTTTGGGTCTTTGTAAGGTATTATCTTCTGGATGTCGCAGATGAGTGTCTTTTGGTGCAGGGAAGCTCTTGGGATCACGAGGGAACAGTGTGGCGTAGCGCAGATTTCCGAGGTTTAGGAGCAAAGAGACCAGTCTCTCCAGTCCAATCCCTGCTCCCGCATGTGGAGGTGCGACCCAATCAAAAGCTTCCATATATTCTTTCAGCGAGGTGGGATCCATGCCAGAGTCCTCCATCCGGTTCTTCAACAAAGTATAGTCATGAATACGTTGTCCGCCGGAAAGGATCTCTTGTCCTCGCACGAAGAAATCAAAAGAGTTGGTAACCTGGTCATCCTTCGGGTCAGGCATGGTATAGAAGGGTCGGGCGGCCACCGGAAACTTATCCAAGATGTAGTAGTCGGTTTGATACTTTTCTTTGACCAGTTCGCCGAGTCTTTTTTCAGCCTTCGTCGGCAGGTCCTCGTGCTCCGACTGCTGACTACCGTCATCATTGGTCCAGCCTGACTCATTCAACAGCCGAGCCCCTTCTGCGAACGTGAGTCTGGGTGTTTTCTCGAGCCATATCAGATCATCGTGGGGAAAGTGGGATCTCAACGTTTCGAGGTCGTTTCGATGTCGCTCGTAGACGGTTTTGAAGATAGCTTTGAGGCATGCATCTATCAGCCACATAGTTTCATGGTAATGCCTGTTGATTGCCATTTCCAAATCTAGCCCGGTGTATTCGGTCATGTGTCGTGGAGTGTTTGAGTTTTCTGCCCACACGTTAGATAGGTCGAGCTAATGACATGAAGTACATACCAGCGCGAAAGACCGGGCCGACTTCAAACACTTTGGCAAAGTCCGCAGATATGCACATTTGTTTTGCCAACTGAGGACTTTGTGCCAGAAAGGCCGGCCGACCAAAATAGTTGACCTGAAAGACATCTGCTCCCCCTTCAGTGGCGCCGCCTTGCAACTTCGGGGTGTGGATTTCGAGGAATTCTCGGTCCTCCAGGTAGCTTCGGAAAGCTCTACATACACCCGACTGGATTCTGAAGATCGCCTGCGAGGTCGGAGTTCGTAGATCAAGGATGCGGTGGGCCAGCCTCACCCGGTCTGAGATGGAGTGCCCGTCTGCTACTGCCTCTGCCTCATAGACACTGAAAGGGATGGAGCTTGTTCTTGCAGAAACAATGTGCATCGCCAAAATGTCCAGCTCAACATGGTGTGCGCTCGTTGTCCTGACTGTCTGCTCCGGTTCCTTGACTCTGGCCTTGACAATCACAATCGTCCCAGATCGAATATGCTGAGCCCACCGGACCATGTTCTCGGAAACCTTGCCTTCCGCGGCGCTGAGCACGCCTTGTAGAGTAGTTGTCTGTTCTCGAAATATGATGAAAGCGAGCTTTGCACTCATATGTCTGACAATGTGAACCCGCGCGCGAAATGTAATTTCTTTTCCGATCATACCGGTGTCCACGTTCGGTAGAGGCATCCAGTCGACCTGCTCACCGTTTTCAGCAGCATCGTCCTGGGACTGCATCAAAGGCAGTATACCATAGTGCTGTTTGACCTCCGGAGGATCGTCGTTGTCAAGAAACTCACCCAAGCCTTTTGCACCCTGGGCAGACTGCGTTGTACTAGAGGATTCAGATGCCGAGTTTTCTTCACTTGACGACCACCCACTTTCTGTCTCTTCGATACGCCGAGCAATATCTCCCTCTGGCCCGCCGCGGACTTCGTCATGGTTACGGCTAAAGGTGATACCTAATTCGGGCTTGTGGCGGTAGACTTTCTCGCGGAGACTAGCCAGGAAACTGTTCGCCGGTGCCATGTTGGAGTGACTGAAGGGAGGAGGACGCGCTGGGCTGTTTGATGGAGGACTTGAGGCTCGTCAATACATCTTTGGCAAAATGGAATATGTAGCCTGGAAAAGAAGACCGGGGGGGCTGTTTTCACGGTTCACGGCGAACAAGGCAGGCGGCAAATGAGTGATCAAGTTGGTGCATTTGACGTCATCTCGATCTTTCGACCCGAGTTTCACAACAAAGCACAAAGCCTGCCAGTGGCCCATCTCAAAGCCTGATATGCCGCTGCGTCTAATAATGTTTTCCCAGGGTACGAGTACGGATACGGGAGTACATGATGCGCATGACAGCGGCGAAGCGGCACAGGGAGGTCCGATTGGCACATGAAGTCACGGCTAACGAAGATCCCCTGGCGGAAACTCCATCCACCAACCAACGCAGGGTAGTGCTCAGGATCTCGTACGAGTAGGTACACGTAGTCTCTCCCAAACAAGGACTGGCAGACGCCAAAGAGCTCCATTGGGCCTGCTTCAGGGTTGGTAGGCCAAGGCAGATCGTGGCCCGCGGGCAGATCCAAAGTGCTTGATTGTCAAACCTTGCCTCCCGGGCTCTAGTCCAAGGGGCCCTAAGGCTCCCAGAGGCTCCCAGCCTGCTTGCGGCAGTGCTATATAAAGCCTCGCTGAGAAGGCAGGGCGTGACGTCACCTATTTCCTCTCCACCACGTGACCCACTGTTTTAACATCCCTTCGGCAAAGTTTCCCTACCAGTCACTCGGGCTGAATTATGGACCAAAAATTTGTCCCAGCCAGTGTACTCTGTACGCAGTAGACTCCAAAGGTGTACTGTTGAAATACCAGCTGGACAAGGCTGCCACAATCTTCTCTCCTCAAAGGCACAATGGCCAAGACAAAGACAAAAGCCCAGTCTAAACAGAAAGACATCCTCCATTCTACCAATGCTCCGCTTGTCAAATCCAATCCCCTAAAGACATCCCAGCGGTCTATCGAAGATCTCCTCACTGAAGCTGCGGCGCTCCTCGAACAGTCTCAACCCGAGCTTGCACTCCCACTTGCCGAGGAAGCCTTGCGCAGATTAGAAGCAGAACGGCAATCTGAAAAGAATGACAATGACGACACCGACATCGACTCCCTCCTGCAACTTGCTGCAGAAGGCAAACCTACACTCCCAACAGCACTAACGCTTGGAGCGGAGATCCAACTCGCCCTTGGGGATGTGGATGCTGCCAGGAAGAGCTTTACACGAGTCACGCAGATCGACACGGACGGCGCCCTGGTGAGTGCAGAACCATGGCTGTGGCTTGCCCAGGTGTGCGAGGATGGCGGCCACGAGAGCATAGCCCATTTTGAAAAGGCGACGGAAGTTCTACGCAATGAGATCGAAGTTCTGGAGGACGAGGAGGCCCAGGTCTTGGATCAAACTGCCAGAATCCTGGATGAAAAGAAAGCGAAACTGGCCAATGCGCTGTGCGCCATGGCGGAAGTCTACATGACAGATCTCAGCTGGGAAGACGACGCAGAGCAGCGGTGTGAGACTCTCGTCACCGAAGCCGTCGCTGTGTGCCCTGACCGACTCAGTGCCGGTGTTCTACAGACCCTCGCCAGTGTCAGAATAAGCCAGACAAGGGTTGACGATGCGCGCCAAGCCCTCAAACGCAGCATGGACATCTGGAAGGATATCCCACAGGAAGTTGTCGACAACGATGAACGGCGGCCCGACTTTGCCACGCGAATCAGTTTAAGCAGACTGCTCATGGAAGTTGAACAGGAGGCCGAGGCCTTTGGAGTCCTCGAAGGTCTCATTCGCGAAGACGATCAGAGTGTCGAATGCTGGTATTTGGGCGGATGGTGCCATGTCCTCATGTCGCAGAAGCCAGATGTTGGGCCTGAGGCACAGACGAAGAGTCAAGAGACAGCGAAAACATGGCTGGACACTTGCCTCAGACTGTATCGCGTGCAGGAGTATGAGGATGAGAGGTTGCGAGACCATGCCCTTGAGCTTGTCCAGCAGCTAAACAAAGTCCTTGGGGTTGAGGACCAGATGGACGATGACGATGCTGCCTGGGAAGATGAGGAAGATGAAGAAGACGAGGATGTCGACGAAGATTTCGAGGTCGAGGTCGAGGCTAATGGCCATGAAGACGGGGATGTAGAGATGAGCTAGACGTCTAATCAAAAGCTATTGGATCGCCGCGCCAACATGTGGTCTCTATTCCTAGCCCTCGCCTGGCCATTCCATTGAGGAATCCACATCATAATAGATAGTAATAGTCCGGTCGCAACGATGAGATATTTATATCTGACTTCGATGTCTCGTATTCGCCAGGATAGGGGAGGCCGAAGGCTACGGTGAACCACAAAACAACCTATTAATCGTAATGAACTTCCCGGCCTGCCTCCACACCTGCACCCCATGTTTATTACATCTCGAATCTCTTACAGCCTCAGCCTCCGATTCTCAGGATATGCTCGTGCAATATGAGTGTTGGAGGATAAAAAGAAACCCCCACAAGAGAGTCCCGCACTGAACGGCGAAGCCATGTCGTCCTCGTTGCCGTTCAACGTCTCGGCCGAACTGGCCGCGCTCAAGCATGAGAAGAAGAATCATGACCTCCACAGACTTCCTCCAAATGCTACAATCAGGCGACGGCCGCTCGACCACCCTTCCGTTCCCGACGTACATGTCGGCGCCAGAGTTCCCAAAGTCGTCTACGTTTCGCAACGAACCCCAGTGATTTCGGCAGTCAAGCGCGTCAAGAAGATGCTGGGCTTGATCGAGAAACGCGCGATGCAGAACGCCGGCGCAACCATCAGGTCCAAACATAAGACCGCTCAGCTGGTGCAGGCGAACGACAAAATAGCCAAGACTAGGGAGGAAGTCTTGGTCAAAGCAAGCGGAAGGGCAATCGAGCAGGCGTTACGCGTGGGTGAGTGGTTCCAGAACAAGGAGAAAGAACTCCTCTGTACCGTCGTGGTCAGAGCCGGCAGCGTCAGCGTCGTGGACGATATCGTGGAGATCGACCCAGAGGACAAGACCGTCGACGAGGAGCACATGGGAGACATCCAAGAAGAGTCAAAGATGGAATGCGGAGATACAACGCTGGAACTATTCGGCGATGTTACTACAGGTACGGACGAGCAACAGTCGACTGGCCATGACGAGAGCAAAGCTGGACAGCAGGTACCGAGTTCGGGAATGGCGACGGGAGATACGCCCGTGAAGAAGACCCGGAGGAAGAAAAAGAGAAAGCGGCCAATGTACAAGGAAGATGATTTGCCCGAGGCTCGCCTCAGATGGGTCAAGACGGTTGAGGTTGCAATTTCTTTGCAGGGTTGAGGGAAAAGAGAACGGTCTTGTTCTTCTGCTGCCGTATTGTCAGAAGTGACCATGCGCTGCTGGTGACAAACATAACGTGTACACCAAGCCATAGCTGAAGCAAAAGGCTCTTAGTCTCTAACGTCCCGAATGAACCCGGTAGGCTTTCTCGACCACGTGACGAGATTCTGTCGCGTCTCCTGCAAAACTTGAAATGCGACATGCCATCGAATCGACGACTCATCTTATATTCCGCGCGAGCCGTGTCCATGCCCCGAATCGATAGCATGAAACATCCAGCTGGTTGGATTTCGGTCCCCGTCGTGTCTCTAGGCGGAGCCGATAGATAGCAACAGTGTACCAAGTCTTTGTTGCCGGTCCTAGCCACATTTCGCAGGCCCGCTCAACAGTTGTGCGCCTACCGTGGGGACCGGTATTCCGATGCACTTTAAAGCTGGTAGAAGGGCTTGGAATGGCGAGATTAGAGGTCATTTACGCCTCTGTTGGTGCCGGCTTTCTGAAGGACACTTTCTCCACCGCAACATTTTCATTTCCGTTTGCATCCGTCTTCAACTGATAGACGTATAGTACCAGAACGTCTCCCTGGATCTTCAAAGATTTAGTGAACGTGTTCTCACACAAATACTTCCTCGGCACTTACATCCAACAAGCAGAAGCTAGGCGTCGGTTCCTCATCAATAGCTGGCCAGGTGGTGCTGAACGCACCCGTAGCGCTACCTGGATTGACAAAGAACTTTCCCTCCAGCTCATATGCTTCAAATTTGTGTGTGCCGCCCCATAGTAGAACATCGACGTCCATTTGGCGTGCTGCAATCAATAACGCATCGGCGTCACCCTGCGGGATGATGGTATGCCCATGAGTAAATCCAATTCGAAGACCTCCATGTTGGACGACCTTGGAAAGCGCGAGGCTGGACGTTTCGGTGTCGAAATCGCCTTTGACGATGTGCAGGTCGGGAGCGACTTGACGGAGAAAGTCGTACGTCTCTTTATCTGTGAGATTTCCTAGGCATACCACCTGGCCGATCTTTCCAGGAGTAAGGAGTTTGCGGAACTGCAGTATGAAGCGTCAGAAGGACTTCTTGTTTTGAGATTGGCTGCTCTGCTGGAGACGAACCTTTGCCGGGAATTCCTGAGTCTGTTGTTAGCAACCATCACGACTAGGCGGCCAGGACTGATGGCTTACCGGCGCACGATCTGGGATGAACAAGTCACCAATGACCAACACCAACCTGGAGGCCATGCCTCTGTCTGCCCAGTCCGCGTTCTAGCGGAAAATATGCATGTCCAGAGTCTTCGAACGGCTGGCAGCGACACGATGGAACCGGAGTTTGTCTATATGGGGCTTCGCATTGAGTCGAGGCTGGCAAGTGCAGGCGCAGGCGCAGGCGCAGGAGGGTGCGAAAGGGAAGGTTTGGCGAGTGCACGGAATGTGCCTGAGAAGGTGACTCTCTGAGCGGCCAATCAATCACTACTTTCTCCCCCTTGAATCGCCCTGTTGATATCTGATATCACGGCCCTGGAACCTATGACTAGGGTTGTCGAGTCCCCTTCAACGAAGTCCCGCTGTCAGCTGTCAGACGGTCTACCAGCCCAGCGGGTGTTGCTTCAACCTTTGGACGGCCAGGAAGCAGGACTCAGAGCCGGGCTCGCCATTACAAGCCTCGGTCACCTCTACCTATTTATGCCACTGAGACAAGTTACAACAGTCCGTCAGTCTCCAACTAGGCCTGGAATTGAAAAGTCCAAGAGACAACACGAATACCGAGGTGCGGGACAATATGCATCGGTGATTGCCCGATGAGGCTTGGTTCTCCCTGACTTCCTCACTACATGGGAGCCCTAACCCTGTCAAAGCTCATCTAAGTCTTCTCTCACTTCCCTGCATATTTCCCAGTATTCTCCTCTCCTGACCAAATTCAATGTCCAAGCCGGCCAGCTCCCATGTATCCTGTCACCGACCGCCGCTTGATAGGAAAGAGGGCTGAGTGGTCCTCGGTCACGTCTCAGGCTGCCGCACCGGTAATCACTTCTGGATTGTTCGAGTCATGACTCCCAGCTATTCAAGGGGCCATACGGATACGACAGACACGCACCCTTAAGATATCTGAGAGAATTCTCACCAACAGTCTTGTCTCGCGATCTTGGTCTCCTCATTATATCACCTGCTTTCCTACGATACTACGCATTTCTAGCATTGTGATGACCAACAGCGGCAGGTCTAGTGCAGGCTGTGGGTTGTGCCGCAAGCGAAAAGTCAAAGTGAGCAGTCGCCTAATTGACTCTTTCCCAACCCGTTGACTCGTCTAGTGTGATGAAGGAAGGCCGGGATGTAGGAGGTGTGCTCAGTCACGCAGGCCGTGCCCTGGATATCCGCTTCAGGTGCAGTTCCAGGTCCGCACAGCGCCGCAAAATCTACTAGAAAGTCCAGCGTCCTTTCCAGAAGGTTGGCTCTCCGGCGTGGATTCGCTCCCAGCGCAAGTGGCTGCCCGGCAGAACTTGCCCTCGCCTCATTTCAACTCCCAATGCAGCAATGTCAAGACCGAGAATGTAGCGACAGATACAGATCTGCAGAAGCTGGCACTAGCCCCTCGTTCGATTTCACCCCCGCCACGATACGATATACAGCACCAGTCTTTGTGCTTCTTCCTCAACTTGTTCTGCTTTCAGGCTGGGCGGCTGTATTCATTCCCGGTCCTTGACTTCTTGCCCGAGATGATTCAAAAAGCGGACCCCTATTCCTGCATACACTATGCAGCGATGGCCGTATCTCGCATGACTCTAGCTGACAGATATAGCGGGAAGGATGTGAGGTTACAAACGGGCAGAGAATATGGCCATGCTTTGGTTTTGGCCAACCAGGCAATTCGGGATACCCAGGCGGGCATCCAAGATGAGACGGTAGTCGCCGTATGGCTTCTTGGACTCTATGAGATGGTATCCGTTGTCTTGACACATGGGCGGATCAGAGTAGGGTCTATGACGCTGGAGGAGGAATGGCAGTCACATCTATCTCACGTCCGGGGGGCCATGAATCTTTTGCGCCTTCGAGGAATGTCGCAATTCACGACTGCACGCGGAGAAAAGGTCTTTCGCATTCTCAAAGCTGCGATACAAATGCGGTTGTTCATCCTGAACTCGGTCACCTCAAAAGACTTCGACGGCCTAGAAATCGACGTATATCAAGACGAGCATGAGTTCCTGCCGTCGCAAACAGCGAACAGAGCGACGGCATACTTTCACCGTGTGGCACGACTACTGGAGAAAATCAAACATATACTGGCTGCAAAATCAAAGCAACGGGCCGAGTCAATGGCCAGTACTGACAATCTTCTCGGCTATGGCGAAACTCTAGACAACGAGATGCAAGGTTGGAGCAAAGACGAACCTGGATGGGATATGATGTTGGTGCACGGGAGCAAGGCAGGTACTGTGTGGGCTCTCTATCCCTCTCACGCGGAGTACCACTTCTACAGCTTCTGGGTCTTCTTGTATTGGCTCCGCTTCCTCACAGCACGGTTCAAACTATACGAGGGGCTGACCGAGCTGATCAAGTTACCGAACGAGGATCCCGCCACCGGCAGGAGAGCGTCTTCATCCCTGAGAGCCCAGAGGATGTCCAAGTACCAGAATATCATTCGCACTACTGCCTCCGAGATCATTGGCCTCACGGCGTACGCTCTAGGCGATGTGACGCCAACTGGCACTTTCACTTTGTCCGTGTCCGCACGCAACCCGTCCAGAGGGTTTCAAGAAATCAACGTGGTGGCGGCGATGCAGCTGGTCATCCCGCTGAAAATGTTGCAGCGGTCAGAATACCTTACAGTGACTCAGAAGGGAGCAGTTGACCTTGCCATTTCCCATATTGGTGATGGCTTTCGAAGACAGCCGCTTGTTTTGATTTAGTGTTGTCATCTTTGCATATTTGTGAAAAGATCAGAGGCTCTTGAGTTCGGATGGTGTGGGAGCTCAGATATTACCTCGGCAATAAGGCTGGGGTGCCTGTCCATGGCACGCTTTTGGTCGATACTAGGTGGACTACACTCGGATAGATTGGCGGGTAAGTGAGAATCGACCAATTCGAGTAACTTGGGCACCGACACAACAGGTAGTGAAGCACCTTGCTTTAGATTGAAGAGACGTCCAAATTTGGCCGGGGCGTTGTGCACCCAAGCCGAAGCACACCAAATCTAGGTTATATAAAAGCGCTAGCCATCATTATCCAAGTGATCCAAACCCAACTCGTGAAATACAGGGATCAAACGAAGTGCGACCAACAACGTGCCAAAACCTAGAGCACACCAGAACCAAACACCTCCGAATGAATCCGCTCAGGGGGGACGCCGAGGGCCTCAAGACTCTTTTGCTGGGTTTGCATGAACGGGATAGGGCCGCACAAATAATAAGTCGCGTCGGGCAGAAGGACCTTGTCTTTGATGGTTTGGATTTCAAGACGGCCTTCAAAGTCGTAGTCGACGCCCTGTTGTTCGGAATCGTCGACGTATTCGTAAAAGATGGCCCGCGAGACTTGAGGGTTGTCCTTGATGATGCGAGAAAGGTAGCCCTTCATGGCCTGGACCTTGCCGTTGCGGACGGCGTGCACGAAGACGACCGGTCGCTGCGGGGCGTGCTCGACGAGCGTCCCCAGCATGGAGAGCAGAGGCGTGAGGCCAACACCGCCGGCGATGAGAACGACAGGCCCGCTGGCCTCAACGTCGAGCGTGAAGTCGCCATAGGGGTTGCTGACATCCAGCTCGGCACCCTCGGGAAGCTTCTCGTGCAGCACGTTGGACACCAGGCCTGCAGCCGCAACACCCTTGGCGGCCTCGCGCTTCACCGAGATGCGGAAATGTTTGCCGTCGTCCGTGTCGGATAGACTGTACTGGCGAGGCTGGTACACTCCGCGCTCGGGCACGAAGACCCTAATCGAGATGTACTGGCCGGACTTGAAGTGCGGGAGTGGCCCTCCATCCGCGGGCTCCAAGTAGAACGAGATGATCTCGTCGCTTTCGGGTACTTTGCGTGCCACTCGGAATTTGCGCCACCCTGTCCATCCCCCTGACGTCTGTTCACTTTGTTGGTAAAGATCTAGCTCAAAATCGATGAAAATGTCGGCGAGTTGTTGATACGCGGCTGCCCAGGCATCCAGGACCGGTTGGTCGACTGCATCTCCCAGCACTTCTTTGATCGAAGCAAGCAGGTTCTCCCCTACAATGGGATACTGATCGGGTGTGATTCCCAGACTGGCATGTTTATTGCCGATGCGCGAGACGGCGCTGGTGAGGACTCCCAAGTCATCGATGTGGGCTGCGTAGGCCAAGACCGCATGGGCCAGAGCCGCTGGTTGGGTGCCGGTGCTTTGGTGGGCAGAGTTGAAGATGTTGCGCAGTTCAGGGTGGTTGTTGAGTAGGCGCTTGTAGAAGTGCGAGGTGATGGCGACACCATGCTCGGCGAGCACCGGGACCGTGGATTTCACGATTGCCTGGTGCTCTGGGCTCAATGCGGGCCGTTGTGATGCACCAGCTGGAGCAGCATCGGGCAACGGTGCTGCAATGGAAGAGGTAGCCATGTTGAGTCTGGCAGTAGTCCCTGGTAATCTTCTATATTCTGTTGGGGTTGATGAGAAGTGAAATGTCTCGTAGCTTCGGTCAAGAGCAGAGCATTCATTTATAGGACGACGCCGCGGAGGTGTTGGTATACAGAGAATTGGTGCGACAGTATTGCGTACGTAACACGAGGCGAATGTCAGACCATTCCAACCAAACCCCTCACAACCAAAACAGACGAGGCTTTATAGAGCTCCGCGGCATACAGCATCTGTGAACAATCAGTAGAAGATCAAAGATCCGGATATTCCTAGTTTTGGTTCTCAATCATGGCTCTTATCGGGTGAGGTAGGTTCTGTCACAACGCATCATTTGCAAGCTGGAAACCACGGTACTCCGTATATAGACTTGAGTGAACAGCGAGAGCGATGTGGAAAAAATGAATCCCCCGCGGAGGTGCTGAACACAGTCCGTGTATCCCTCATGCTGTGGAGTCGACATTAGGCACGTCCCGGATCCATATTTGGTGGCTCAGGCTACACGATAAATGATCCAGCCTGATGGCGGCGATCTCAGATGATACCATCGGGTCGCACCAGTAATAATAGTAACAGCTGGTTAGCTTCGAGTCGGTAGTCATGGCCAGTGAGCATTTGGCAATTGGTAAGAGAAATCCGCTTATGATTACCAGGTTGGTATGGTGGATGGTGGTTTGACTTGTACGGATAGAGAGTAATAGAGAGTAATCGTAACCTACTGCTGCAACGAAATATATCTGATGCCGTTTTAAGGCGACGCATAGAGCAGCGTCACATTCGTCCCAGAACAGACCTCCTGAGCCACCACTCCTCTCCGCATGTACCTACTATGGTGGTGTCTACCTACTACCCAGTAACTGACGCCTGGTGGTGTCCCGCAACATCATCTGCAACACCAGTTACCGCTACACTCGGATCCCTCCAGCATGGCGACTCTTCAAGGGTCAGTGATCCCCAGGGTCAAGTTGGAACCACCCGATCAGGCCATCAAGCCAGAGCCCATGGACGAGTCGCCCTCGCCGTACGTCGATGAAGATGACGATATCTACGAAGACACTGGGGACTTGGATGTTTCTCAGGCACAGCAACCGCTATGGCTCAGTCACATCCCGCGCACGCTATGGGAGACTCTTTCGAAGCTGCAGGATGATGACGAGATCGATATCGGAACAATCAGAGTCGAGGGACCGGAATCGAATCCATCAAGAGTTTGTAGAGGCCCATTCGGCCGACCGAGGTGTTTAGCTGACATCCCACAACAGGTTAGTTTGAAGCTGAACGCCCTTCCCGCATTCGAGAACGAGCCCAAAGAGTACAACTTGTTCCCTCCGCCAATCGAGAAAATGAGAGCCCGACGACCAGGGCAGGCTATGGTGTTTCTGGAGAAAGATCTGCCAGGCTACAAACCCCGACCTTTCACCTGGGATGACATTGACGAAGAAGGAAATCCCGGACAAGGCCGGTCTTTTCTGTACGAAAGACACAAGCGGGAAATCAAAAAGAAGGAGAATAAAGGCCGATATACACCATACACGCGGCGGCCGATTCCCAAACAGACAGCCATGGTGGGGACGGTTGCAAAGGAGTTTGAAGCCATTCCAGTCAAGAACGAGGAGTATTTCGTGCTCGAAAATAAGAAAGCCGCCGAAATGCTGAAGCCGCCCCAACGGGATCAAGTAATCTTCGCGACTGGTGACGAAGACCCATCGAGGAAGCACATGCCGTTGATGAGTTTGAGCGACAAGGCGACTGTGCTCAAGGTGAGAGACGGCCGATGTTACGTGACCCTGTTCACTGCTGACCAGCCCAGAATGCACAAGCTCGGAGACAAGCACAAAAAGAGAACCGTTCCGCACGCGTCGAGAAGCACGTGCTCATCGACAAACTTATGGACCTCTTTCGACAACACCGCATTTGGGGTCTACGCGATCTCAAGGCCAAAGTCAATCAGCCCGAAGCGTACTTGCGGGAAACGCTATCCGAAATCGCGTTTATGTGGAAAGCAGGAGACTTCAACGGGAAATGGGAACTCAAGGATGAATATAAGAGTGATGCCATGTTGCTGAATCCGTCAGGAGTGGTAGCTCCGAAAGTGGAAGATTCTGATATGGACAAATCCGGTATGGATGATGATGACGATGATGAAGTCTTCGAGGACGTTGAGGCATGATCAGACATTGTTTACAGCATCGCGATGGCGTTGGGGTAGGGATACTACCAAAAGATACGATACCCAGGCGGATGACTTGCAATGACGATTGGCCGGCATAGCTGCAAGTAGGTCCAAGATTTGGAGATTGCCAATCGTACTGAGAACCCCAAAGAAACCATTCTATAAAGTAGAGCGTATTACCTCCAGTAAGCGATGTGTCTTGTGGCTTTTGGGATACCTGGACGGTAAGGCTAGTGTAACTACAACTAGTACTCCGTACAGCCTTGCGAAATTGTGCCTTGGCAGAGTCAGCCGACTGCCAGTGTACCACTGCGGATACTACTTCCACTACCCACCTGCGGTCGGGCCTTAACGACTTCTTGAGTTCCAGCTTTGTTGCTATCCCCATGCCGTCCCCTTCTGAAACCACCAGGAGCATCGACCGGGCGTGCAGATGTAGTCGTATGACAATTCCACCGCACCAGCCAAAATGAGTTGACAGTTGACGCGACTTTCGAATTACCACCGCAAGCAATGTCATCCAGTGAGCCGTATATCGGCCAACGCCGCTCTTATGCGGGAGCCCTCTGCACAGTCCGTTACATCGGGCCTCTTTCCAACACCGCAGGGGACTGGCTGGGTGTGGAATGGGATGATGCCAGCCGCGGAAAACACGACGGCCAGTATGAAGGCAAACGCATTTTTCAGTATCTTTCATCGTCAGCCACGGCCGCATCATTCGTCAGGCCTTCTCGAAAGGATGACCCGGAACGCACTCTTCTCGAGGCAATCAAGTTCAAGTACGCGGCGTCGAATGATCCAGCCCGGAGTTCTGGTTCAGGTGATGCTACAGAGGGGACGATTGAGATTTCGGGAAAGGTGGTGGAAGAAGTGGGATTTGACAAGATTAAGAAGCAGCTGTCGATCCTCTCTGACCTCAAGATTGTGCTTGTGGACGAGTTGGTCGTGTCTGGCATTGCGCCGAGGGGGGCGTCGCGAGAGGACATCCAAGCGGCGCAAATTGAGCTTGCAAGAACATGTCCAAATATCGTGGAACTGGAGTTGGGTTGGAACATCATTGAGACATGGCAGGATATTGTCGACAGCTCTGCCCCGTTCAAAAAGCTGAAGATATTGAAAGCAAGCGGCCTTCGTCTAAGAGGGTTCGAAGCGAATCCTCTCGACGGGGAAGCCAGTCAATTCCGAACTCTCCAGGAATTGCATATGAACGAGTGTCTCCTGACGCCAGCGCAAATACTGCAAGTCCTATCATCGGCAGGTCTGCATGGTTTTTCCTCCCTCAAGACGCTCTCACTATCATCGAACGAACTGGAAACTGTCGACGACATCAATGCCAACCAGGAGTTTGCATATCCATCCGTCACGGCCGTGGTCCTCGACAACAACAGATTCACCAACTTGTCATCGCTGCCGACACTGACGGCGCTGTTCCCCAATACCAGCACGCTCTCTTTCCAAGGTAACGCAATATCACATCTTGGTCTTGGGCCCGCCACAGAGACAGGCCCTCGACGCTTTGAGCAAGTCGAAACACTGAATCTCGCTGGGAACCAAATTTCAGACTACTCATTCGTCGACGCGCTGGCTACGATGTTTCCCAACCTCACGTCATTACGTATTTCTCGAAACCCGCTATTTGCTCAGGCCGAGCCTTCCACCGTTGACGCACAAAATTCGCGCGCAGCCTCACTATCAGACTCTACATCGTACTATCTAACGTTGGCACGGATTCCGCATTTGAAGTCACTGAACTACACGGCCATCACGCCCCGCGACAGAGAGGAAGGGGAGATCTACTATCTGTCTGTGGCGGAGAAAGAGATCAAACCAATTTTGGAATCGCGAGACTCCAACGACAGCTCACTCCTGCCTGACCAAAGAGTCAACCTGGCTCGCCAAAGACATCCGCTCTATTCTACTCTCTGCGCGAAACATGACCGAGACGATGTGATCGATCGCTTTCTACAGATTTCTAAACAGACACCCGAAACCACTTCGACGCCAGCCAGATCGGCCCTCGAAGACTATGCCCCAGGGACGCTGGGCTCACGCCTGGTCGACACGTATTTCTACATCCACCGTACTGGCCCCCAGGAGGATGTTACATCGACACCGACATTGACCTCGACCATTCAATCATCCTCTTTCCGCCGTCCCTTGCCTATCACGGTATCCGTGTACCGGCTGAAATCGCTTCTGGCGAAACAACTTAATCTCCCTGCGCTACAATTTAGACTGATCTACGAATCTCATGAATACGATCCCGTCGAGCCCATCTCTAGGACAACCGCCATGGGTGGTGGAAAGGAAGACTGGGAGGCGTGGGGTGATTGGGACGTGGACGACGATGACGACCTCGCGGGATCCGCTCAAGAGCCCATCGGTGCCGAAGACAGGGCCTCAGCAGTCGATGGCAAGCAAGGTCGGCCCGAGCCTCGCTCACAAACAGCAACAGCCCCGCCGAACCTTGATGTCTACACAGACAGTGCGCCCAAATACATCACCCGTGACGGACAACGCTTCAAGAAGCGGGAGACTGAGATCTTGGACGGAATGCGTCCGTGGGGGGATTTCCTTGATCTGGATGGGCCGGATGGTTCGAGGAGGCGAGATGCCAGAGTTAGGATTGAGCCTTTGTCCTCCTTCCCTACCGGCCAAGGCAGGCAATAGCCTTGCCAATGCCCAGTGAATACAGTCGCGCAGAGGGAAGAGAGGGATATATCAGGCACGACGAGGGCAAGCAAACAAGGTGCCAGATTTCAGAGGTTATATTGTACAGAGTATGTTCTGATCAAGCCAGACCAGGGATTATATTTATACTTCAGTCAATGTGGGAATGGAGAGGATGCGACGACATGAAACCCTTCATGGACGAGCTCTTCAAACTTGACAGGTAAACCCCGCAAGGAGGGGAGCGTTGATCATGTCAAATTATGAGGAGAACATGACGAGGCCTCAAGTGGCCTCGACTCGCGCGTCCTTTTCAACTCGATATGATGTTGTGAGCTTTGAAGCAGGCCGATTGGATCTAGGTGTAGGCGCAGACGAAACGCACGCTTCAAAGCTGCCGGGTACGGACGGGCCTTGCCCAACCTCATTGCCATTGATGACATTCTTCAGGAGTCTAGGCTCGAGCCAGATCATTCAGGCACTGCATTTCGAAAAAGATCTTTTTCGGGCAAAGCTGCAGCCCTGGCACGGGATCCTAGATTCACTCGTCATCAACATGGAAGGTACGAGGCTTCTCAGCCCCGCTGACAATCCGGTTCGCTCTCGTCTCTTCTTCCGCGTCGAGTTCGAACTTTCTCATCCGTTCCCCAATACGGCTGTCGATCACGATATCGTTCGACCATACCCGCTCGGTCTCATCGCCTTCTTTTGCGGCTTTTCGAACCGATTTGTGCCATGTCTGTTCCTCCATGGCAAGCGAAGCCTGTTGCTCCCAACCTTCGTTAGATGTTACCGCAGCGTCCACCTCAGGCGACCTTGTGGCCAGAGGATCTGCTTCAAGGTTGGGGTCGGTTGTCGCAAAGGTTGAACCGCGGTGGTATGGTCTATTTGCGGCAAGGACAATAGCTGCCGTCTCACGGCCGACCTGGTCTGCCAAGTGGCGGCGATTGAGGAAATTGTATATTCGCCAAGGGAATTTGAGGAAACCCAGAATGTGCTGCTGATGTATCGGCTGCGACGGTTCGAAGACGCTCGGGGCGTGCGGTGATAGAGAACTTGACGAGTATGCATTAGTCGACAAGTATGCCGGGGGAGGGTACGGCTTCTTTTTTTCCTGCTCTTTTTCTGTCTTTTCTTTTCCTTCGTCTGCCTCTTTACCCGGTTCTGAATCCCCACTAGCGGCCGCAGGATCGTCTGTTCGAACATCGGTCGGGGGGTGTATAGGCGAGAGTTCGGGTTGGGGCTCTGGAGGGGGCGGAGGTGCTTCAACCGGTCCAAGCCATCCTTCATGCAGTCCTCTTATATACTCTTTCCAGGTATGTCTTCCTAGTACTAGATCACCCCGAATTCCAGGCTCCGGCACGATGTGTAGTTTCTGCCGGATCTCGTCGACCACTTTCTCCTTGTCCATCTCATTTTCCACTGCATTGGGATCCTTCTCGCCCAATTTTCGGCGAAGTCGGCGGATTTGTTCTGCCGTTCCATATCGAACGTCTCCTTCCTTCCGTCCTTCAATCACATCGTAATCCAAGGCCGCAGCGACTAAGATCGGTTTGACGTATTCCTTAAAATATTGCCTTGCAGGTCTGACTCCGTCTCCTGGCGGCGCGGAAAGGAATATCGTCAATTTTCTCCGGAGGTAATTGGGAGGAAGCGGCTCCTCGGCGAGATGAGCTACGAGATCACACCATTTCTTCTGCACCTTTTTCTTCTGATGCTTGTCGTATAATACAGCCGCAGTCCAAGAGCCGGTGACGCCGAGGAAGATTAGCCAATTTCGTGACGGCAGCTTGAACCTGAAATTCGGCATGCCTGCGCAGGTTAACCGCGATAGATCTCTTGCCACGCCGATGCGACTCACCCATCATTCGGAATACCGGATTTTGTTTTGGGGTGGGTTTCGGTTGGGCACCGGCCGGTGAGCCATCTGACTTGGAGGCATCGGCCATTGCCCTTGCTTATCGACGACTATCGGGTTGAGGATGGACCTTTTGTGCAAAGCAAGCACATGTCCTAGGATGGTGCAGGAAAAATGATCGGAGCCAGCTAATACCAATTGTTGGAGTTCCCCGATTCGACTTTGCTTAGTGGCTCGGCATACTTTCCACCAGGCAGTCGACCACCTACATAGTACGTACTAGGTCATGTTAGCAAGACCCTTCAAACACGGTGAAAATGCAAACCCCACATGATGCGCCTGCAAGCCTCATCAGGCATCAGGCTTTCACCCCCTTTTCCAGACGCCCAGTCTTCCCAGGACAGGGTCAAACAAAGTTTCGTGGCATGCACTCTACCCAAAATCTGGGTGTGCCAATCTACCACCACCCGAGACAACGGTTACCTCAACGGGGCCATCTGTGTGCTTGTGTTTGTGACTGTGCAGCTCTGGCACAGTCTATCACAGATCATGTTCATTCCAGCCTACACAATGTAAGGCAAGGAGAGCACGAGGGTATGTAGGAAGGTCACACGGGCAGCCACACAAAGGTGATGCAACGCACGGGCGGATGTCGAAGTAAACATGCGAGTAACACGGATACTGGGTGGTGTTTACCTGGAAAGGTGAACCTGGAACATCCAGCCCAGGGGTGCGGGCTGAGGACCAATTGCACGGCGGTGCCTGGAAGAAGGGGCGTAGGAGGCCCTGTAGCCCTGTAGCCCGCTTGGTCGAGGCCAGGGAGTTGGTTTAAGCTTGGCCGCTAACCCCGTTGGTGCCGCGGCTCCCCTAATCTCCAAGTCGTTAACCTTCCCCTTCCCGCACCTGCGCGCCACCCACTCTCACGCCTGCATCCTGCATCCTTTTTCTTAGTCCCGTATGTGCCTCTTTCCTTTCTTCCACCTCCCCTTGTCGCTGCTCGTTACCTTCCAAACCAAATCGACGTAGCCTCACGTCCTTACGTCCTTGATCTCTCAAGACCTCCTTCCTTGACCACGTCGCCGCTTCAGTTGTTCCACCGATCTCGCCATCGTGGAGAACCTCTCAAGGGGTTGTGACGCCGACTCCAGTCGGTCTCAGAGGCTCTCAGCAACATCAACTGGTATATCCTGTCTTGTTTGTCCTTGACAGTGCTTTCAAAGCTCTTTCTGACTCAGAGATCTTGTTAGGCAGACAGATCGGCTGAGGTCCTTTCCGTTCACCAAACAAACAGTCCTTTACAAGTCCGTCAAATCGTCAGATCGCCTGGGATCGCCTCGACGACCATGGATCCCGACAATAACAGTCACAACAATAACAACAACAATCGTCTGAGACTGAACTTTCAGTTTGACACTCAGCACAACTACGATGCAGCCAACGCACGCATGTATCCCACCACTCCCTCCACCTTCCCTCAACCGATCTATGGTGGCCAGCAGGACTATCCAGGCGGCATGCTGTCCCCCAACCCAAACACCACCAATGGCTACTTTATGAACCAAGGCTATGGTCAGGCATCACAGCAGACTCAATACCAGCAACAGTACCAATATCAGAGCCCAGCTGCTCTCCAATCCCCTCAGCCAGCCTATCAAGCCAACACCAGAACCTATTTGGTCAACAATAACAATAATGATGGGACGACCGGCTTGATCCAACAGTTTTCAAACCAAGACTTGAGCGCCACACCCCGTGGAAATGCCAACCGGGCACCCTCTCCTGCCACTTCACGTCCTCGAACCGCCGGCGAAGCCAGACAAGCGCAAGGCCCCTATCAGAATCATCTAGCCCCGCCCGTGCCTAGGCCTTCCCCAAAACCAGAAGAGGAGGAGCAACAGAATCCACGCAAGTACTCAGACAATATCATCAAGAGAGGTACTGCTGCGAAGCAATTGGTCAACAGCTTTTTCCAGGAGAACATCGAACGAGCACGTGATCGCAACAGCCGGGCAAAGGACTTGGATGCACTCTTGAAGGACCCGACCGCCAGCGAGCTTCAGAAGCAAAAGGAAATCAACATGCTGGCACAGAAAGAGGCACGTTTCCTGCGATTCCTCCGGACCAAGGAGACCCCTCAGAATTTCCAGACCATCAAGGTCATTGGTAAAGGAGCATTCGGCGAAGTCAAGTTGGTGCAACGAAAATCAGACGGCAAAGTCTATGCTCTCAAGTCACTGATCAAATCAGAAATGTTCAAGAAGGATCAACTGGCCCATGTTCGCGCAGAACGTGACATCCTGGCGGATTCCAAAGACAACCCGTGGCTGGTCAAGCTTCATGCTTCTTTCCAGGATTCGGCATTTCTTTACATGTTGATGGAGTTCTTGCCTGGTGGAGACTTGATGACCATGTTGATCAAGTATGAGATCTTCTCCGAGGACATCACCCGGTTCTACATGGCTGAGATTGTCATGGCGATCGAAGCAGTGCACAAACTTGGTTTCCTTCATCGGTATATGACCCCTTGCACTGTTATTGATTGGGCTCTTACTAACACCGTGGGTCAGTGACATCAAGCCAGACAACATCCTCTTAGATAGAGGTGGTCACATCAAGTTGACAGATTTTGGTCTTTCCACAGGTGGTCGGAAACAGCATGAGAATTCGTACTATCAAGCACTTCTCAAGTCAAACTCGACCGACAAGGCAGGGAATCGCAACTCGATGGCATTGAATGAGCAAATCAACTTGACCGTCAGCAATCGCGGATTGATGAACACTTGGAGAAAGTCTAGGCGTCACATGGCCTATTCGACCGTTGGTACTCCTGACTACATTGCCCCTGAAATATTTCTCGGCCAGGGTTACACCTACCTTTGCGACTGGTGGTCGGTCGGTGCTATCATGTTCGAATGCTTGGTTGGTTGGCCGCCCTTCTGTGCCGAAGACACCCACGACACCTACCGCAAGATTGTCAACTGGCGCGAGTCACTGTATTTTCCAGAGGATTTGGTCTTGGGACGGGATGCCGAGGACATGATTCGCAGGTGAGTTGGTGTCCTGGATCGATGGACCGATACTGATTTGACACAGTTTCCTTTGCGATGCGGCGGATCGTTTGGGCAGGGAAGGGGGAGCGATTGATGGCGCATCGTCGATCAAGAAGCATCCATTCTTCCGTGGTGTCGTCTGGGATCAATTGCGCAAGATTCGAGCACCATTCGAACCAAGACTATCTTCCAACATTGATGTCAGCTACTTCCCCATCGACGAAATCCCGCAGGAGGACAATAGCGCTGTCCACCGAGCACATGCAAAGCAAGTTCTGCCTGAACAAGATGCGGAGATGAGCTTGCCATTCATTGGATACACCTACAAGGCGTTCAATGCGTTCCAGAATTCTTGAAGGATTCAGCTGCGGACGACAAAGTAACTTGGTCGACCATCTTTCACCGAGCCACAGTTCAAGTAGGAGGAATCATGACAACACGCTTGTGATCCAAGCATGTCGGAGACAAATTCAAAGGTCGTCAAGGCGGAGCTGTTGAGTCTACCTGAACAATTGACGGGCTGGTCGAGGAGAAGGGTCTTAATGGTCGAAGGACTAGCTTTGTGTGAAGGCTTTGGAACATCCATCAGCTCTTGAAGAGTTGATTTGGTCTACGAGAATGTGCTGATATGGCACTGTTTTTGGGCGATGGGAGCAGATGCCTGGCACCAGCGTTGATAGATAGCATGAAGATGATGAACAATGATGAATGGCGATGGCGATGGCTTGGAGCCAAGGGCTTGTAATAGCCGATTACGTCACGTGGCACGACAGCTTCACGTACTCCGTACTCCATACTTCTGCCCTGCTTGTGTGAGCCACAGTCTTGTCCACATCTCTGCAACACGCAAGCTCTGAGGGATTCAGATTCTATTTACAGAGTACCTTGCTACCGATTCAGGATGGATGTAAGTAATCACCCGCAACGTACGGCAACGCGGCATGGTGCCACCTCGGACTAAGCTCTCCTCTCTATCTTAGGTATTCTACGCCTACACATACAGCACGGCAGCATGGCTGGGAATCCAAGCAATACCTTTGATTGTCCTGCCGAAAATGATCATATCAGTGTTGGCCAAAGACGTCCATCAAGCCACAGGTATGACGGTCCTCTCCTCTGCAGGCTCATTTGCAGAATCGCTGGCACAATTCACCATAATTGCTCTCTGCCTTGCCTCTTATTGCCGTGACCTCTTCCCTGGTTGAACTGTCCCATTGTCCGTGCATAGCGGTTCCAGCAAGTCTCGTCTCACGATGCCTGCGCTGACATGGCGGACGTGTCCAGATGTTGAGGTCTACTTCTCTCGATCATTGGGCTATGCTCTGATTCTGATCGCCCTGATTATGCTGTTTTTTACCGGATCAATACCATTGTCATCCAGCATCACTGAGCCGGTCAGTCTGGAGGACAACGACCCTAAAGCACCTTACGCAGTACCAATCCTCCGAGTCACCACACTTTTTCACGGACTGAGCGCAATCTACTGCTATATGCGCTATATGAACTTTGGACAGACAGGCTATATGCTTGGGGCTATTGGGTATGGGGGCATAGCAAGCCTCGGGTTGTGGAGCGTGGTATTCGGAACATCGGGTGGCAGGATTTCCAAGAGGACCGGGGCGGACAAGCGGATGACAGGATTTCCTTTCAAGAACACAATGGCGTACGACAAGAAGAAGGACAGGAAGATGGGCTAAGTACGGCTTGAGATTTTGATCGTATCGCAGTAACGAGGTATCATGCGTGGTCAGCGAAGCAGGAAGCCGTAGTCTAAGTCCAAACGTAACCAAATACGAAAGAAATGAACCCGTTGTCTTTACGGAGGACACTGTGTGTGCCTGTGTGCCTGTGCAGAATACCTAGTTACCCCTGAGGCTGTGTCGATGACGACGACGACGAGTGATGTTGCATGTCCATATCAGTGTGGATTTTCCAATCTATCCATATCCAGTTCATAAGCACCATAAGTGCAGGCTTCAAGTCTAGAAATTTTCCAAAAAGACCACCTGACCTCAAGGCTAGGCTTGAGCGCTACAACAAATCAACAAAAACTTTTTCCAGGAACCCCTTGAGCAGGGGTCCTGGGAAGTGAAACCTAGATTCCTAGGTTTTTTACGGTCTCAGCAACCTCGAGGCGGTTGACAGCAGAAGTAATAAAGGCAGGTCAGGTCTCCGGGTATCGTATAGTGTGAGGATTGAACTCGATCGTTCTCGCCCAGTGAATTAGAGAGTCTAGTATTATGTTGTGGTGTGTTAGAGACATCCCTGTTAAACAGGGACGCCACTACCACTGAGCTAAATGCCCTTACTTCACTATTACCAGACTCCCCTTTTCACATGGGGGTCTTTGCGTTGAAGAATAATGTCGGACTTTCAAAATATATACATTGTTGTTGGGGGGGGGGGGGGGGGGGGGGCAGGCAGCTTTGTGATTGAGATCCGGGGAGACCTCCCGCTCTTTACTGCTCTCTGGTCGGCAAATCAGAAATCGACTAAGAGGAAAAGGAGACAGAGACAGAGGCAGAAAATGAGGCAGAGGCAGAAAAAGAGTCACACCTTTGCAAACCACGAATACAAATGTTGAAGAGTTGAAGGCGAGGAATGGAGTGAGTGGTGGGTGGTGATGGAGGCCTAAAGCGGCGGGCTTAGGTAGGGGTTAGCACGTGAGTGCACAGTCGTACCTCGTATCTCGTATCTCGTACATCGCACCTCGCACATCGTTCCGTCACTCCCGCCGCTTTGGCTTGATCCTTTTTCTTCCCTCTTTCTTCACCACCAACGCTGCTTTTATTCTGCATCCACCGGCCATCGCTGTCGCAGTCGCGCATCACAACATAACCCTACAGCGCGCCGCCGAGCCCAGCATGGACGCCGACACTTTGCAGAACTTCGTTGTGCCTGTCCAGCCCATCCAATTTTCCACCTATGGCGCTGACACCGACGGACAAGGAGGGCCGCCACAGGATGACACTGCTGCCGCTGCTGCCGCTGCCGCGGTGGGATACGCTCCTGCTGACCCCGCCGATGCGAATACCCAGGCATTCGGCATAAACGGAGGGACTAGTACGGTGCAGACGCGAAGACAGAGCAATAGCAATAGCAATGCCGCCAAAAACTCGAACTCGAACCTTGCCACTCCAACACCAGCTGCGCGCAGTCCACAACAGACCCGCAGTTCTGTGAATGTCCAAACTCGAAGCGCAGCTGCGACTCCCTCTCGCAACGGCATAGCTCCTTCGCAGGTTCAAGAAACAATACCGATGAGTCTGGATCAAGATACAACAGCCAACTTTCAGGCACATGAGGAGGGCCAGCAAGTCATCAATCTGGAAACCCCAATCCAATCGGCACAGGGCAGTAATCTTGTGTGGAAGAACGCCTCGTCTGCCTATCCGAACGGCACTCCTAGCGTCAATCGATCCTCTCAAGCACCACAGTCACAACCCCAGGCTCAAGTCTACAGCACATCACAGGGGCTTGTCTCCTCAGACCCATGGACACCGCACAACCCCACTGCTCCACAGGCGAACACACCCGAAGGAGCTACCGACAACATCAACAGCACCAATCCCGATGCAGAAGGCAATATAAGTCCAGCCGTTGCTGCAAATCCGTTCAGTGACACGTTCCCCTTGAACCCGAACCCCCCAGACCTTGAGGCGTGGCGCGAGAAACTGTTCAACATCAAGGAACCGCTAGTTCTATCGGAAGAGGAGTACCTCACTTACTTCCCGCACGTTGACAATGTTTACTCACACCGCTCGACGCAAAAGTACAAGCGCAAGCCTTTCGTCAGCCACTACTGGGATTGTCGCCTCAAGGGCCGGCCAAGTGGGACACCCAAGAGCGATGACCCAACCAAGAAGAAGCGGAAGCGTCAGGCGCGCGAGCGGGATCTGTGCGACGTGAAAATCAAAGTCACTGAATACTTTAGTGCAGAGGAGGCGCGCAAGATGGGCTTGACCGCGATCGGAGATACCAGTGGCACATCAATCTCGATGAACTCGACAACCGACCCAGCCTTGTTGAGCATCTCAGGGATTGACATGGCAGCAGTGGGAGATGGTGGCGGCGGCAGTGGTGGTGTTGGTGGTGGCGAACTCACAATAGTGCTGGAGGATGGTGTCAATGGCGGCGGCGCTGGGGTCTCCATGAACCCGAGCGACCCGAACTTTGGTCTGCTTGAGTTCCCGCGACGCCGTCTGCCTGAAGGCCATCCCGGCGCCGATGGGAAGCGGTGGTTTACCATCCAGCGCGTCCGCGGCAATCCTGGAGGTGGCGCCGTCAAGGATAAGCGCGACAGCAGTGTCAATGCTAGCGGGTTGGAAGGCGAGATAGAGGACGACGATTCGACGACCGCGGTCGACCCAAATTTGGATTTGGACCACAAACATACGCTGGAGGAGAGTGATCGGATCAAAAAGAACAGCGTCCAGCGATGGTTGGTGAAGCAAGAAAAGGAGAAGAAGCGTATGAGTGTAAGTTACAAGAACTGATGTAAATGACCCTCGCAATTGATGTCGCCGATTGCTACCAATCCATAAGGCGCAATCTTTTCCTCTCGTGTCCAGCGCTGATCCTTTCTTCTCTTCTCCGCCAGAAACTCCCGACTCCCGCCGCCACAGCTGGCACGCCTACCACATACAGCAGCGAGTCTCTCAGCCCCAGCTTCCGAGCCAGCGGGCTTGCCTTCTTCACCGCGCGCAGCCATGCAGCGCCCGTGCCGTCCAAAATCACCTTTTTCGCCAACAGTTTCTGCCCGTTTGCCCAGCGCATCTGGATCGCGCTCGAAGTCAAAGGCGTGCCGTACCAGATGGTCGAAGTGATGCCCGCGCATCTCGACACTTCCCGTCCTCCGGAGATGCTGGAAGTCAACCCCGAGGGAAATATCCCTTGCATTCGACATGGCAACTGGGGGGTCTGGGAGAGCGGAGTGGTCTTGGAATACTTGGAAGATCTGGCCATGGGATACAGCTTGCTTCCTCTAGGTCTCCCGCAGCTCCGAGCTCATTGTCGGCTGTGGACGGACCACATCAACCGCAAGATCCTGCCTAGTTTCTACAGCCTCCTGCTCACCCCTCCGCCTTCTCCACTGCAGCACCACGCCAGTTTGGACGGAGACATGGACATGGAAATGAGCGGCCAAGCTCATGCCAATGCCGCGAGCGCCGCGCAACACTCGATGCTCATCTCCACCCTTCAAAAGCACATCACTTCACTGGTCAACGCCTCACATGCCACCGGCCCTTTCTTTCTCGGCAGCGAGATAGGCTTCGTCGACGTGGCTTTTGCTCCGTGGATCATCCGTCTGTCCCGCGTGCTGAGCTACTATCGGGGATTCCCACGGCCCGAGGTTGGGACACGATGGCGACAGTGGGTCGATGCGATCGAATCCGACGAACGGATCAGGAGAACGATCTCTGATGAAAACTCGTACCATGGCGTTTATCGCGGTGTCGGAGAGGATGGGTGGGATTCGTTGATTTCCCGGGACGGTCTCGGGCCCCGAAAAGCCTTTGTTGAATTGGATTATGCGAAGAGAGCAGTGGCGCAGGATGGCTTTGGCCTGGGTGGGGACGTATGGGGTAGGCTGGCGGAGGAGTTGGCCGTGCATGAGAAGAGAGGATCAGAGGCTTAGATGCCGATGGTTGATGATGTTTGATGTCGAGAGAAGCCCGAGCCCCCACGGTCGACTGTATGATTTGTCTCAGAAGGTTCAGGCCCAGGCTCGACGAGCAAGCTCCATTCGCTTGCCAGTAGAGCTGTTCTCTCTTACCATACCAGGTGCAGCCGTGCTCCGCGCTGGGCCTATCATGTATTGTGTATGATCAAATCCATGCTTCTAGTTGATGACCATGTTTCCTGGCCTCGCTCGGCTGGTTAGAAGAGCTAAGAAAGAGCTCGATCTATGGTCGGAAAACCGCGGCACCTGGCCTGACCAAACAGATGCCCAACGTGTAGCTGTAGATTCATCTTTTTGCGCCCCGAACCTGTCATAAGTGCGTTTTGTTTTGTATCTAGCTTGTGCATGCAGCGATTGCGGTACAGGAAAGCGTCGATACTTGACCGAATCTCGGATCATGGTTCTAGATCCCAGATCCTAGATCCCATAGATCCCAGTACATGTGGCACCAGGTCTTCTGATGGTTGTCAGCCCTGAAGAATAGTACGTAGTTGCATAGCGATAACGATAATCGGCCCTGGCCAAGGAATGATGCATAGATTCGTCCATGGACCGAAAAATCGTCGGATTTGGGATTGTCCTGGTCCAAGCAAACGGAACGGAACAAAACGGTGGAAGGAATAACAAGTTCGTGCGAGTGAGGGCTAAGGCCTTGGGAGGCAGTAGTGGCGCCGAAGCCGTCCCTTTCAAAAAAAGGGCACAGCATCAGTAAGTATCTCATGGGCCGTGAGCATGACCGCCGATTTGCCCGATGCGCGAGTTTGCAAATCCGAAGCCTGCTCGTCCGGACGCATCTGGACCTCTCGGCGGTCGAATGGGTTGTATATCAGTGGGCCGGACGCTGGGGCTGGGCATTCCATTCTCGCGGCGCTGTACGTAGCTTGAGTCCGGCCTCGCCACGTAGGAGGGATCGAACAGTTCGCGGGGCTGCGATCCTCTCGAATGTGTTCTTGGAACCGTCGTCGGCCCTCCTCCTCCACCTCCGCCTCCTCCGCGTCGGCCTCCCCGTCCTCGTCCACGGTTCGGCGTGGCAGATCGTGACGCCGGCGGAGTCATGCTCGAGGGGGTCGATGTACCGGACATGTTGTTCGACGGCGGTTGTTGCTGTGAGGCGGCCTGTGTACCGTTTGCCGGGCCGAACAATTCCTGCCGCCGCTCTTCATATCGCCGCTGTTTCTCCTCTCGCTCCCTGGCAGCTCGGGCCTGGCGCTCTGCAAGCGAGAGTTCCCTGGCGTCGGCCTCTTCTTCGTCTTCGGAAGACTCGTCGTTCGTGTCTTTGTTGAGGTTCAGCGCTCCGAGGCCACGGCTGGGCGGTTTGGAAGAGTGCGTGATGGGGCCTTTCCTCGAAAGCAGGATCGGCGGAGGCTTGAATTCGGAGCGGAGAGGGACGACATTGCGCGATTCGAGGAAATAGTTGGTCTCCTGGGGGCCTTCACTATTTTCCGCGCGTCAGTGGTTGGGACAGAACGGCGCGGGAGCATCTCATGTCTCATACGCTTCGGCCCAGAGTTGCCGGTTGAATTCGGCTTGTTGCGCCCTCCGTTGCGCCTTGGTCACCTTGGACGAGACTTTCTTCGGCTCGGCGGGTTCGCCAGGAGGCGTCGGTTGTGTCTGTGTCTGTATACCAAGCACTTTTGTGAGCTGTCTGAAGTGTAGAGCGTAGAAGCAGAAGCAGAACCAGGACATCGCGAGGAGGAACGGACATCTACTACATTCGACCACTCATCCTGCCACGCATCCAACGGCTTGCTCATTGTCCACGTCTCCGTCTCGGGATGACAATCGGACGCACGTACGAGATTGTCGAACGGAGAGGCGCAGTATTGAGCATGCGCTGAAGTCGACTGGGTCGGAGGCTGCTCAATCGAAAGTATCTTACTGTGTCAGCCAAAAGTGCGAGGAACGGGGCCAAAGGCGGATAAAAGACGCAACTTAGACCGGCTCTCTGGGCGTGCCGCCGTTTTAGACGAGGCTAGCCCTAAGCCTTGACCATCACTCCCGTGATCTCAGCCTTGCACGACAAAGGTACAAAGGTACGACAAAGGTACGACCAAGGGCATGCGGTCTAGAATACTATGCAATGATTATTGTCCTGCATCTATCTCATGCTCTGTTACTCCTCACTGTGCCGAGGTCAGAGCCAAAGAACTCAATTCGTGGTCTGGGAGGTCGTCGTGTGCCCGTTATATTCGTCGCCGGCTTCACCGTCCAATCCTGGTCACCATGAGTGATCCGAACAAAGCTGATCTCTCTAGACATACTGGTTTGGGACTATAGCTTTGAGGGTTGCAAAGGCATGGCTGTTCATGACCTGCTTCCTGTGGACTTCGGCGGAGCGTCATCTTTCCTCCTTTTGCCCTTGTCCATCGCAATCTTCTCCCACTCTTCCCATTCCTTGGCGATTTCGCCGAGCACGGTGGCCATCGTAGATGCAGAAGCCATCAGCCCATGACCTTCACCATCGAGGACCCTCAACTCGCAGCGCTTCATCGCGCTTTGTAGCCAACGCACGTTGTCCAAGGGGACTCGTGAATCCCTTGCACCGTGATGGATGACGACTGACCTGGTCACTTCGGGATATCGGAAGCCAATGGGCTTCCGCCTTTCAAGACAAACAACCAGGTCGATGGCAGGATTGGCATTTTGTGTGGCAAGTGCCCAGATGCGATGCGTAAGCGTCTGGTTATAGACGGCACGTCGAGCTTCGGATGTCAAACGCGACGCCGCGGGTCGGGAGCTCTGCACTTGTGTTTGACGATGAGAGCCAGGGCTTGACGGCTCTGCAGCGGTTGCCTGTACCGCCGGAGACTCGCCGTTTTCTTGATAGCTTGGCACGCTCCGCCTTCGATTTTGAGTTGCTGATTGGGGACGCTCGTAATGTATGTCAGAGCTGGGCCTACTGAAGGGACTGTCCGCATGCATGTCACCAAATGGATAGGCCAGAGAAACCTCCAGACCCTGCAACTGCTTATTCCTCCTAACCGACTTCAACGGTTTGGCGTCGACAGATGCACTCGTCGCTGTCAAGAATCGTGAATTTGCCACCTTGAGAATTGTTGGCGGCAGAACGCTTAGGATCTTGTGGGATAGAGGCAAGTTAGCAATAGGCTGTGAGTCCGGCCCTAGTGAAGCCCCTTTTGGCATTTGCGAAGGTGGAATCCATGGTGCCAGAAGATGAATCCGTCCACGGACGTATTGTGGCATCTTCAAAGCAGTCGCCAGTGCATAAATGGCACCCGCAGAATGTGCCAGAAGTGAGAATCTTGTGATTCCGAGAGAAGTACAGATCACGGCAACATCGTCCACCCAGTTCAATGGCGTACATGCAGCTTCAGGAGCAGACGAGCTTCCGCCAACCCCGGGTCGGTCAGGCGTGATCAACCTGAGTCGTAGTGTTCTGGCAAGTTCGTCGTAAAATGCCGTGAGATACCGCGTCAAGCCCATACCAACGCAGCACAACACTACAAACCCTTGTGGATCACCCACCTCTGAGAAAGCGACCGTTCGACCGGTTCGGGGGTGCCGGATCTTCTGGGTAAGTCGAGGGGCACTGAGAAACGTGTCGACTTCATCTGATATGGACTGGATCTCGGCGAGAGAAGGTTCTTGCCTACTAGAATAGAGGGGGTTTTTCCGTCTCGGCTGAGTCGCAGGACTCTGGCCAATACTGTTGCCTCGAGAGGGCGTTGCGCTAGCCATGTCTGAAGGATGGGCTGTAATATCTGCAGGTCGACCTTGGGACTCGACCTCGGAAACATCGGGCACCAAAGCAGGCATTCTTGCCAGGTCGGCCACTGTCACAAAAGCGGATAGCTCAAGAGGGCTTTCGACCTCGGGAGATTCAACTACAACTTCCGTCATAGAGAGCCTTGAGCTAGCATATGGACTTGATCGCTGCGAGACCTTGGGCGTTGATATGGTGTGCCTTTTGGAGGCTCGCTCGGATTTGCGACCTTCGTTCCGCCATTCCTTCTGACGCTTTTCCCTCGCTTCCTGTAACTCACGTATCCTCCTGACAGTTGAATTATCACCTTCGATCAATTCCGAGTCTATGTTGAGGTCCTTGAGATTGCGACCCGCCACGGAATAGCGACTGGACTCCTGAGAGGTGTCAGAAAGGCCGGTGACGCTGCGTCTGAGGGACGAACGACGCGAGGGGATCATATGATTTCCAAGGTCACCTCTGCTCAGCCGACTCAGAGGAGTTCCTGTAGGACTATCGACGGTCGCCTGCTCCAGCTGGGGGCTACTTGGCACACGGCCATCGATGGACGAAGTTCTCGTAGGATATTTATACTCTTTCTCCTGATCCGTGCTGTATAGTGATTCTGTCTTTCGCCGTCTATCTGACGAAAGGCGCTTTGGAGGGATTGGGGGCGAGAGAGCCTTGTCGCGCATTGACTCCGTGGTCGGTTTCCGAAGAGGAGCGCTTAGCCCGCTGATGATAGAGAACGTCGAGCTAGCACTTGAACCATGCCGCCTTTCAACACCAAGTATTCCGACGCCGTCACTTTCAGTACGAGATCTGAGGCTCTGTATGGAATCGCGAGTTGCCAGTGCCGAGTGAGACATGTTCACCGAGTAGAATCTTGACTTGCTCCTTCTCTTGGACAAAACAGGAGGCCTTCTGGCGTACCGAATCACGGGCGCGGCGGCCACCTCCCCCTCGCTACTGTCATCAGCGGCAGGTGGGTGATGTAGGTCCCGATCGACTTCATCGGCGTCGGGCGGCGTAAGGGGCACCTGACGCCTAGAAGGCTGGAGGGATTCGTGGATCTGATGCTCGATGAGAGGGTCTTGTTCCGATTCTGGTACGGTGGCAGCTAGGATGCTGAAGGAGTCAATCAGTGACGTGATCACCTGAAAGTGTTGCGCAGGGACTTCGAAGGGTGGCGCAGGGGATTCAGGATGTAGTTGTAGTTGTTGTGCTGTGATGTTGAAGTCGTTCGCATAAATGTTTGAATCGCTTGCTAAAGAAGGGTGGCGATACCGTTCAACAGGTGCGATGGTGTTGAATTCCATGCCTCACAGCGGATTGGAGCGCCTGGTCAAGCATTCGAAAAGGTCCGAGTGGAAGCGCTTGCACAGGCGAGCAAGCCAGCTGGAGAATGACAGCAGTCTGACCTGGAAGCACCCATCAACATCAGATAGGTCCTGTACGGAGTACGTAGTACTCGTAACTCCTGCTTTGTCTCCAAGTCATTCATCAACTAGGTGCAGCCTTGCCTCAGACAATGAGTAGCCTTAGGGCCTCTCTGACCTGACACACCTTTCTGTCCTCTGTACTCCGTACAATTCCCGACTCTTGGACACCTACGCTAAGGGCCCAACCATTCACTTGCTATTTGGCCGTCAGACTGGGCCTTTTATTTTGTAGCCCGGCTCCTGGCTCCACGAGGAACGGCCCACGAGACGATCAGGGATGCACGGTCCCGCAGCCAATTGCGGCTCGCGTAGGAGGAATGGGGAGATTCGATGGCTTCAAAACTGAACAGGAACGAGAAGCGCGTGGTTCGCCGTCATACACACTATCATAGTACGTGGCCCTCGACTGGATTTGGATAAAGGCGCAGGAGGAGTACGGAGTACGGGGTAGGCTTTCAGACATCTCGTAGCAGGTAGCAGGCCTGAAGGAAGAATCACGGTTGAGAATACTACGGATAGTACAAATTGACGACCACCTGGCTTGGTTGTCGCATCGGCATCATCTCCAGAGTATTACGGAGAACATGAAATTAAATCATCTCGTCGCGTGGCAAGATCAAGATCTGCCTGCGATCCTTAACCTAGAGGGAGTAGATATACGGAGTATGTACACGACTTATGCGGTATAGCACACCTGTTCCACCACTAATTGAGCAGACTCCATCGTCCTCCACCCTCGATGCACCTGTAATTTTACGCGATGGGGACTCAATGCGCGGAACTTCCCATCGTCGTACGGGGAGCGCTAGGAGACGAGCAGGGGATGATTCATGAACATACGGAAGAAGCCTCCAATGGCACTGGAGCGATCGGTTGTTGCATACATACCTAACAACTTGGGCCTTTTACCCGCTGTCGCCTTCAAATCGACTGCCAACAAGGCTTGATCAAATCTATACTCCGTACCTGTCTAGGAGAGTCGACCGTGGTGGTTGTCTGGTCTAATGCCTTTGGGAGTTTGGCTTTCCCAGTACACAGACTAGAAGGGGCCGTTGCACGATGCGTCAAAGTTGATGTCTCAGAAGCATGTGCAAGGTTCTGTTAGAAGCTGCGCTGCATTCTGGGTCAGGCCTCTGCAGGCTTGGGTGTCAAGAGAAACGCTGTGGACCTAGCACGGTGTTAAGGGGAAATGTAGCATTGAAGTCTTCTTAGGTGCGTCTATTCGATAGGCGGAGATGAACCGTATTTTCACAAACCTTGCGGCTGGGAATCTTTTCCTGATCCGTGTAGAGCGATCTATCGTGATAATATGTGACCTCCTTCGCAAGTGGCCGATGCCTTCAGACACTCCCGCTATAAAACAAAGTCTTGCCCAAACACCATGCTGAAAATCACAAGCCGCTTGATTCCCGCTTTTCTCATGCAAACGCCCAGAAAACATGTTCGAACGAAAATGTCCGAAAAAAGCGTCAGGTCCGCTGTCCAGGGGGCGCCGGTCTATGTTGTCGCTAAATCCATAACCGTGTAAGTCGTGAGAGGCGTCATGGCGACGATGAAATGCGAAATCGTCGGAATTGATCAAGGCCCAAGAAACACCCAACCGTGTTATATAGTAGCCGGTTGCCCCATGTTTATTTTCTCTCGCTCTTCGCCGAATGCCCTTCGAGACATTTCCAAGACCGTCTCAAAGCCTTCTCGTCCCCGTGCCGCATTTTCTCGGAATCTTTCCACGCTCACCTCCTCAATCTTGGAGCGAATCTTTTGCCAACCCCCGCACAATGCCACAATCTTGGCGGCCTGCTTGAAGTCTGTCTTTCCGTTGGCGTCTTGTGAGGAGGGTTGGTACACAACGGTTTCTCGACACTCCAGCAGGTTGGACCAGGTCATGTTGGTGCTGCACATGGTTACCTTCTTCGCCGCCGGGTCGACGTATGACACCTCGTATACATGACTGGTTGTATCTCCGCCGAGAATATTCAAAACCCATTGAGGTGCGTTCTGCTTGCACGTAATGAGACGCTCGGTGCGGAGGATACCAGTCTCGGGATCGACGTGGCGGGATAGCGTGTCGACCGCCAGAACGTGCGAGGCCTTGTCATTCCATGGACAGTATTTCCGCCAGTTGTTCGTGCTGACCTCTTCCCAAGAGTAGTCGAAAGTGTACGATGATGAGAAAATTCTCATTGTGAGGAAACTCGAAGGGAAGAAGGAACGTGTGTGGGCGTCGGGTCGAAGTAGTAGTCTATTCTCGATGATCGAAGCGCTTTCGGGAGAGCTGGTGGCAGTCTAATATGATCGGTGTCCGCACTTGTCTATGAGAAGCGCTGAGTGGAAACAGCTAATGAAAAAAGAACGTGGTGCTGGATGACTCTCCAACATCAAGAAGTCAAGTTATGAGGAAGTGGAAAGAGAAAAAGGCCTCGTGCCTCTTAACAAATCGAGCATTTTCTTCCGTACGGGCAAGCTCGGGATCCGTCCGTTTGTGATTGGTCGGCTCGCTCTGAATGAAAAGCTAAGCATCGGGGAGGCGGGAGGTCATTTGAAGTAAAGCCAGATTTATTCAGTCTGACAAAAACTACAGCATAAACAGCATAAGACCATCGTGGCTGCCATTCTGTCAGACAGTGCATACCTCAGATATCATTCCGTCAGCCAGGTGCTTTCTCCGGATTCGGCATCATCGCGGTGCCACTTTCGGGTGACAGTCCCCGAGCGGCGTCGAGGGTTTGGCAGCCATTTGACTCCAAGTCCTTCGTTTCTCCAGGATCTCTCAGCGCAGTTATGACATGGTCCATTGCTCACGCAATCCCTTTCTTCCATCATGTCGGAATATTGGAAGTCTACGGTATGTGTGCCCCTTCCGAAGTCTCGCACGTCATGTTCACTGCTGACGGTCTTTGCAGCCTAAATACTGGTGTAAACACTGCAGCGCATATGTTAAAGACACCCCTTTCGAGCGCAAACAACATGAGAGCACGGGCAAGCATCAAGGCAATCTCAGACGGTTCCTTCGAGACATCCAGAATAGCCATGAACGGAGCGAACGCGAAAAGGAGCGAGCAAAGTCAGAGGTTGAAAGGCTGAGCAAAGTCGCTAGTGGCAGCACCCCGACATCTTCGATAGCTACAACCGCCCCTGCAAAGTCGCAGCCTTTGAGCGTCCCGAAACCTCCAACCCAAGCAGCGGCTGACTTGAAGAGGCAATGGGCGCAGTTGGCTGATATGGGCATCAAAGTCCCCGAAAAAGCACGATCTGAGATGGCCATGCCAGGAGAGTGGAAGGCGGTGGAACGACAGACGATCAATGAGGCGCCGGCGGAAGAGGCTCGAAATATCGGAGTCAGAAAACGAAAATATGAAGATCAGGAAGAGGAGGAAGAAGTAGAAGAGACGATCGTCAATCGGGTATGGGGATCAACTACAAAGCGTTATCCTGGCGACGACAAAGCGGACCTGGACGAGTTATTGTCTGGCACGATCTCCTTGAAGAAAGAAAAGAACAATTCTGCTTCTCCTCTGCTAAAAGACGAAACGAAGGAAGCGTTGAAGCAAGAGAACGACGCTGGCCTCGATGGAGATGTCGGTAGGAGCGAAGGACAGCAATCCAACAAAGTCGATGCCTTGTCGACCGACAACACTCTACCAGAAGATACTCTGGTGAAGGGAGAGATAGACACCTCTCAATCACTGACACCCTTGGACGCGATCCCGGAAGAAGTACCGCTACCAGTATTCAAGAGGCGCAAGGCTAAAGCATCCTGAAACGGCCCAAACTCCGCCTAAAAAGATTTGGAGGTTGTATGTCTCGGCCGGCCACAAGCGAACCGAAGCCCACGATAAGCGAGTCCGCGACCCAACAGCAATTCCAATTGTTGGATAGACTACGTTTTGTTCTGGTCCGGAGGACGATTGCACACGTCTGGGAAATCGCGCGGTTAGAAACCAGTGGTGAACAATGTCGCACGAGATGGCGGGCCACGTGCATCTCTTGTAATTCGCACGTCGCACGAGTATGACATTTGACAGGTCCATCCTCGTTTCGAGGGTACATGCGGTACTTTCGCCCCTCTACGGTAGGCACACCGAGGGTTCGCAATCTGCCAGGGAGCCAGCATCGTTCTTGAATTTGCGGGTGGACGCACCGAGACAACCACAGCGTAATCTGTTCAGAGCGCGAACAGAGATTGTGGAACTGAAACTGGAACTGGGTGAAGCCCAGGTATGACGGCGGGCGTCCGGAGGAATCATCCGCCCATATGAAAGTACGAGGGTCCGTCCGGCTCCATTTATGGCCTCCTCCAGGATGCTTCGATAAAGAAGAAGTGAGGCCTGTGATCATCCAAGGGGGTGATATGTGGGCAGCTTACTTAGCAGCGACCAATAGGAGGCTATGGGAGGTCGTGTCAATTCGAGGCTCGATTCTTGTCGGGTAATTCATGATAGGCAATCCAGTAGGGAATGCAGCTAGCCATGCGGAGTGTTATGCGCGCCCAGCCGTTAGGCATGCAGGCGGTGCCAGTGCAAGTCGCTCAGAGGAGTGCCGGTCGCCTCTGCATCATCTTTCCTGTGCTCGGAATGGGGTTGGTCTCGTCCGGAGAATTGTGCAGCACTAGCCCCTAAGCCCACTACGTCCCCCCTGGCGGTCAAAACCATGCTTCTCCATGCTTCACGGGGAGACGACTGACTGTCCCTGGTGCGGAAAGTCTAGGGGAAAACAGGCCACCGTTCACTCTGTATGTGGACAAGTCCAGCCTAGAGGCCCCTGTCGAGTGTGTATTCCTTACCCCGTGTCTCAGGGTATGATTTCTTGCATGCATCGTATTGAGCAACCGCCTCATGTGACACAAAAATGAACATCGAAGATGGATGGTGACAAATGGTACGGAGTACCTGGCCAGGATCCTGAAATCACCCATGTCTTTGTGGCTGGGCGATCATGCGGTAGAGGGTACCTGGGCCGTGGAGGACCGGAAGACAAGAGACGGGAGCGAGGGCGCTGTTGGCTCGCTAGAACGGTGGGCAAACATCCCATGTACAAAAGACCGTGCGGTTGCCAGTTGGGGCTTATTTGTGGGCTCTTTTGTTTCCGCCAAAACTTGAACGGAGCGTCTGTGACAAAGCAGAACAAGTCTGTTTGGAGACATATCTTTTCTTTGGAGCGTGTTTCAGTGTTTCAGTTGGTAGCGTGACGAGGGTCGTGGTGATCAAACCACCGCTTCCAAGACCCATATCACACCAATCTCTTTTGTCTCTTCTCCGACGTCTCCAATAGTCGGTCTAGGCGGAAGCCGACGGGCTCGGGAGGCATCTGGTGGCGCGAGGATCAAGCAGACCAGGACAAAAGGGACGAGAGGAACGGAGACGGAGGACGAGCTGGGGGCCCAGGTAAGGAAAGGCACACTTTTGGTCTGGAGCCTGGTTGGACCTGGTTGGACGAGGGAGTCAAGGTTGAATGCTGACGACGCGGTGACCAGACACAACTAGACAACTAGGGGGAGAGAGGTCAGCCGAATCCACCCAACTGGTTCGAAAAGGGTTCAAGTGGTGGTGATACGACCCCATTTCTCGAAAGCCAGCTAGCAGGGTTCTAGGGCCACTTGGCAACGGTCAAGCAGCATTGTGACATTCTGTTTTGGAAGTAATGGGGAGACAAGGGTCAAGGGGTTGGCAGTTTGAAGTCTGAACGGTGCGTGTGTATGTGTGTGTGTATTGTTTTGTTTTTGTTGTTGGTTCGTGGGGAAGTGTGTTCTCGGCGTCCGCCTGCACACACCTACCTTACCTCTTCCTCTCCGTTTGTGTGCGTGTCTTCCTCTTGCCTGGTTCTCAGCGGATGATGGGCCTCGGTGGTGATTTCAGCTCGTGATCGACTGTTACCCGGTGTAGCTAGCAGCCCCGAGCATATGCAGCCAACCTGGAGGGGGAGCGCTAAAAGTTGAGTGAAGCCTGCTGTCAAAGCAGCTTAGCCTGCGGTCTTGGGTGGGTTGGCGCCGGGATATACTCTAAGCGAGAAGCAACCAGGACCAGGGGCGGTTGTGTCCTAGCACTCAGTGTCAACGCTTGCTGGTCGACCGTTCGGGGGCGGTGGGTGCGTTCAGTGGATGGGGCTTCGGAGCCGTGCACGCTTGTGGGCGTTTCCTTTGAATTGCACCGCTATCCAGTGTCCACCTCCCGGAAGAAAGGCTTGCTTGTCGTCTATGCTAGGGCCGCTGAGCGAGTCGAAGCGATCCCAAGCGAGGCTCGTTCCAATTTCGCCATCAATCTGCTTGATGCTCACTTGCGCTTCGGCACTTCGGTCTCCGCGACGCCTTGAGCAATGCAGCTTTTTTTCGCCATTCCATCCAGTCCATCCCATCCTGGAGCCAACACGACTCGTTTCACGCAGCCTGAATGAGCGTCCAGACCAAGGTCTCGCAGAACCCTGTCCAGTGTCCATATCTGCTCCTCTTTCCGGCCATGCCACCTCGAGCGACACTTTCATGACATGTTACCATGGTGCAGGCACCTGTCGAGCACTGCTACACTTGCTTTCTTCACATATTCGCGGCTCGCTTCATCTGGCTTCCGGTCTAATCCTACCCATCTCCTTTCTGTCTTGTCGGTCTGTTCGGTTTTCTGCGTCGCTTGCTCACCTGAAATTCCCTGTTGATTGTTCTCGATACCCCATATGCAAGAAGTGAGCATTCTCCAGTGCCCTAAGAGCGGTGAGATGAGAGGACCTATCGGACTCGATGCTGACCATCTCGACAACTAGTTAATGAGCATACACTGCACCGATTGAAACAACGAACCGCGACAGTAGAAGGGGAAAACAAAGTCGACATCCTCCAAGGCGCCATCTGCCGTATTCTTCGGTGTCCCTTGCCCCTTGCACCTCGCTCGCCTGAGCCTGCCCGCTGGAAGCAGCTGGAGGCGAGAGCAAGTCGGCCTGATGAATTATTCCAACATGACCACGGCGGCCCTTCAAGCTTCGACGGCATCTATCAGTCTACCTCCCATCAGTAGCATTGACTTCCACACCCACGTTGCGCATCGGTCGTCTCCAGAAGTGGTACAACCGTTACCACCTCCTCCACCGGCAGCGCCACGCGTACTACCACCGCTTCCATATCCCTATGCAGCACGACCTGCACCTCCGCCTCCACCTCCACCTCCTATGTCCCACGAATACCTACAAGCGAGGCCGATTTATCCAGGAATACCGACCAACTACCAGCCGATGCCTGTACGGATGCCTTTGCCTTCTTCGACGGATCCCAACCTCATCGTTGCCCCTGCTCGACACAAGGCCAAGGAGGTGAAGAGACGGACGAAGACAGGGTGCCTGACATGTCGTAAGCGACGCATCAAGGTGAGTTTGTGGACTTCTTTCATTGCATGTCCAGCCTAGCCTTGCCCAGATTGATTCTCGAATGCACGGGCCGGGCAGTTCTGTGGGAGCGGGCGGCGGGCGCACACGCGAATCGAGAAGGGAGGGCAAGTTTACACGTACTCCACTTGGGGTGGTTGGGCGGCGCCACACTGTTCTTGCTCTTCGCCCCCCCTCTCTTTAGTGAGCTTCACTCTATCACGCGCGATCGACACCACCACCTCCACAGTCACACAAAGTCCAACCACTACCACAACCACAAACCTTGAACCCAGCCACCTCCAGTTGACCTTGCACTTAACCGCTACACCGTCAACAAGCGATACCTATCGTCGCTCAGCTCCCTTCTACCTGTGTCAAGATTATCCTTGTGGCCAGTCATTGCTAGACATTCCCGCTCATCTCGTTTTGCGCCTCCTCACACACTGCTGAATTGCATCACACTAACCACTCACTTGACACTTCACAGTGTGATGAAGGACGGCCTGAATGCAGGAATTGCATGAAGAGTAAAAGAGTCTGTCAAGGTTACGATCCGGTCTTCCAAAGCCAAGGATCACATTCTCTTCACCCGACAACTTCGGCCTCCACCAGCACCAGCAACCCGCCAAGCTCGTCAGGTCACACTCAAGCACGAACTTACGCCTCCAATCTCCTCAACTCTCCCGCCACTGGTCATCACCATTCGACACTTCTCTCCAGCTCGCCCCGAGACCATACAGAATATTCGTTCACGCGGCCGCCTGATCAACTGCTCCCCCATCTGAATCAACCCTATCCTATGGATGGTCCTCCCCAGACCAGCCTTCCGCCATATCCCCCGACTGGACGAAGTGAGTATCGATATCCCCGGATCATTGTTTCTTGGTTCTGATTGGTCATCAGTGCAATAATGACCGACATCAATGCTCGCCCGGCCAAAAGAAGCATAGAGTCAATTTGTACAATCGCCGGTGCCAGAGTTCCGAGTGTGCCGCCGATTCCACCAGATTCTGTCCCCAACCTTGAATCGATCCGTCAGGTCTACGACATTGCCTTCGCCCCCGGTCTGGACAAACTACTGGAGTCCGGGCCGACAAGATGGTTCTCCCGACAAGGCTTCCCATTGCTTTGTGCAAATCGAACCCAACTGGGTAATATGCTGGCGTATTTGACATTGGTTAGTAACCATGCTGATACGGCCACTGAGAATGCCACTTTGGCAAGTCAGGAAGCTCGGATCACTTGGGCCCTACTCGAGTTATGTGTCAGGCCCGAGCATGACGGCGGAGAAGAAGCCGATAGACTTGCTCGTCGATGCCGTGCTCTCGAATCGATCTTGACCGGCGAACCATTTTCTAGTCCGACCGCTTCACTCGCCGATTTTGTCCATCAAGACGAAGCGGAACCGGAGCCGAGAAGCAGCGCATTGGAGAAACAACTGGGGCAAAGATCCAACGAGTTTTGGAACCTGGTCGAAGCGGCGGCGACAAGTCAAGATCCTGAAGGAGAGGGGATTTCTCCGTTGGCAGTCCAAGAGTGTCGGCGTTTCTTAGATGGCATGGAGAGCCGAGACGTCATCTACAGTATCATGTTGCTAGGGTCGAAATCGAGTGGAAACGGCGATCTCACTTCGGAACGAGAATTGGCTCGAAGATATTTGGCGAGCCAGGCGAACGGACGTGCTACGAATCAGGTTTTGGCCACCGTGTCAGGCATGGCGTTGAGGGCGTTTGAAGGCTGATGATATTTTGTCGAGCATAATTCTCATTCGTTTTGGTTCCTCGACGTCTTCTGTCTCGGCGGGCATTATAAGGAATTGCACACATACCCCATTTCGTTCAAGGTGCGGCATGGATCGCGGGCTCTTTACCGGTTCAATCGTTTTTGCTTTTGTTCTGCGTCGGTGGCGGTGCTCTTGCAAGATGTTTGTCTACGGTAGTTGGTTGGGATCACATCACATCACATCTGAGCGGGAAAGTTCAGTTGAATCCTAGGCGAAGAACTAAGAGGAGAATACAATTGAGATTGCATCTGCCATCCGCAGTTGAGCCTGAGCCCAAGCCCCTGACCCCCAAGCTTCAAGCCTCTGGCTCTGGCTCTGGCGAGACCCGAGCAAAGACGGGTGGAATTCGTAGTACTCCGTACATGTAGTCAGAGTCTGGAACCTGTAACCCGGTTGCTTCTGTGGCGCTACCTTGCCTCACTTTACACTGTCACAACTGTCACATTGCGAAACAGTGCATCACCTACCTACCTAGTAGGTACCTAATCCATCCCTATCCCTAACCCTAACCCTAACCCTAACCCTGGCTTACTGGAAGTCAATAGTATTGACTTGGAACCTACAGTCATGTAGAGAGAAAGAGACGCTCCGGCACCCTATGCCAGAGTATCCCAAGGCAATCAACGGTACTACTCTACTTCTCTACTATACAGATAATTGCTGTCGCTCAACGCTGTCGACGGCCCTTAGGCCTAAGCCCAGCGGTAATTAGATACAGTTATTGCCGCCACTTAATTACTACGGTGTAGTACCTGGTTTAGGTATCTATAGGTGCCTAGGGAATTATTAATTAATTTCTTCATTATTTATGTAGGTGACCCAACCGGGCTGGCACTTGGCCCATGCCTGCTGCTTCGCTGACAGTTAACGTTGACGGTCAACCCACCTTAGGCCACCTACCTACCTACCGAGGACAAGGACAATGAAGACGACGGGGCCGGAACAGAATCAGGGCGAATACGGTCGGTCGTCACCCTGTACGGGACCAGAATCGAGATGATAATACCTGTACGGAGTACTGCCCTGCAATTCATATGAAGATTATTTCTCATTCTCAACTCTCGGATCCGAAGTCGACGAGGGCCAGCGGTCCGAAGTTTCTCAGCACCATGGGGTACGGTACGGAGTACATTATTAGGTAGGTGTTAGGTACTGTAGGTCTCACAGTCTAATCGTCAACCAAGCCTCCTTACTGTACAAGTACGCCCGGGGCGCCTTAGGGCCTAAGCCTTAGGCACTCCGTACTCCGTACTAGACTAGTTACATACCTTACCTAGGTACCTAACCTAAGGCATGACCGTTATGACCGGGGCGCATTAGGGGCGGCAGTTGTAACTACTAACCAGAGGGGGGCGGTCTTAGGGTGCTCGGCCCAGGCGCCTTAGGCTCGCGCCGTTGGAGCCGTCAAAAGCGTCAGTCAATGTCAATGGCAAATACGGATACGATAGTACAATCTAACAGCACACAGAGGATGGATTAATTATTCCTAGTCGCCCATGCAGGTGGTGAGGTGGTCTTTCAGGCTGTCAAACGAGCTGTCAAACGGCCTGTCAGCTACTAAGCGTGACGGATCGCTAGTGAGGCCGTTAAACGTCAACTCGAGAACTGAAGTTCAAGCTACTCGGTACTCCGTTCTCGTACTACATACCTGATAGGTGACACATACGGGGTGATTAGGGACCAGTCTGGTGCAGTCAATCAGTCAGTCAGTCATGCCGCATGTTCAACGACATTGCTGGGGCGAAGGGCAAGGTCTGGCCTGGACGTCAAAGTGGGAAGTGGAAAGTGAAGTGTCTGTGCTACAAGACAAGAAATAACTAGTGGAGGTATGTAGGTAGGTAGGTCCCTGAGGTAGGTAGGCTCAGGTACCTAAGGTATGTCTAAGGTAGCTATCTACAGTGCCTGTCATCTTCTTTAGTACGGGGCTCTTAGGCACCTACGGGGTGCTTTTGTATAGGTAGGTTCGGCCTTGAGTTGAAATTAGGTTGTTAGAGGAGGTTCGATGCTGGTTAATTGAACACGATCACTGCCACGGCCACGGTCACGGTCGCGTTTCCCTCGGTTCAACCGGGTCAGCCGATCGGATAGATGCATTCAATTCATCCTGACTGTAATATGTCAAATGTTATGTCAAATTTCACGATCTAGAACATCCCTCAGCCCTAAATACCTTCTCTTGATTCAGCTTACGTTGGAGCCAGATTATTGATCTCGAATGGCTTCAAATAGTTTCAAGAATGGCTTCAAGAATGGCTTCAAGAGAACAGAGTAAATCATCACTGACAAGACTTTAATTATGCACCAAGCTGGGTTGAAGCAAGCAGGTATGATAATAGTACGATGAAGGCCACGGATCGGTTTACTTCTTGGTCGCCGACGTTCCGTAGTCCTGCCCATGGTGAGTAGTATGATTCTCTACACAGGCAAGACAAGGCATGGAATGGCATCACTGGTGTGAATCCCACAAAAAAAGGCAAGATCTCGAGTTTACACGCTTTCTGAAATATTCCAAAATATACCCCGAGTTTGTCTTGTCGCATCCCTTTCTTGCATGTCTCGCTGGCTGCCCAGTACTCTGGACCCGAGTCCATCAGTCTCCGATGGCCGTACTCGGTTCTGATTCCAGGAGAATGATCGATCAGTAGGAAAGAGCAGCTAAGATGATTGTTGAGTCCATGCCGACACTAAGCTCAGAGGTTTGCTTCTTCTCGCCATGTCACGCGTGATGGGTTTTTTGACCCGAGCGGCTTCTCTTCAACAACATCCAAAGCGGTCATCAACAGCATCCAAAGCGGTCATAGACGCTGCATGCTTAGGGATGCTTTATATTCCTTCTCAAGAGATCTTGTGGCATGTTCAAGCTCGGACCTTGTCGATTGTCTGGAACTTCACCGCCGGCTCTCTGAGAGGAAGCTGGAGTTCGAATTGACACTGCGTCCTGTTGTTCAAAGGAACAGCTGCATGTTTGAGTGCCGTGAACACTGTGCCCTCATTAGATCTTGAAGCTGAATCCCTTGGTAGCCCCTGCCCCCTTGATCCATGTGGCAAGTCAACTCACAGGATGTCTTTTGTTAGAGACGATCGTTAGGCTTCAAATGCGCTGCAGTGGGAAGCTTCTGGTGGAGGCTTCTGGTGGAGATAACCGAGAAATTTCCAGCCGGCGTTGAAGATGCCTTTTCTGACCAGGAATCAAGACGGCAGCCTTGTCCAGTCCTGGCATGAAAGTTGAGACAGCGAAAAAGAAGCGCATCAGTATTGTTGATCTCGGTGTCGGCGGACTGGCGGACATTTTGGTTCTTGGGTCACATCGCCTGCAGATGTGGGGGAAGAGAAGTCGCCCAGAAGAGAACTCTCAGCTAAGTCTCACCATGTTTCCTCTCGACACTAACAATCCTCTTTCCTCCCATCCTCTTGATCTCCTCTTCCAGCTTTCCCTCAGCATGCAGCTGTGCAATATCATCGCTTCCACCTAGACTTTGGGTGTTGATCATGATGTTAGGAACTGTTCTTCGGCCTGTCAACGAGGCTAGGAGATCTTGGATTTTGCGACCAAGAGTAGGGGCAGGGGTATCGTCTTCGTCATCGTCACCATGTGGCTTGGGAACAGCTGTGGTCATCAAGTCAAGTTCCACCACATATGGCGCAGGTGAAATGGCATATGTCTCTAGCAGGAGAGCTTTGGCTCGCTTGGAGTATGGACAGTAGGACTTGGAGAAGATTATGACTATGTTTGGCTCGTTAGCAACGATCTAGAGTCAAAGCAAGGATAAGGACTCACTAGGACTCTTCTTCAGGATGCTTTGCAACTCTTCTCTGGCCATGTTCTCGCCCTCATCCTCGGGCTTTTCAACTTTGTCGGCGTTTAAGGCTACCTCGTCATCCACTTCGTGGGTCGCACCATTATTGATAGGGTATTTCGGCTTCTCTTTTGTCTTGGGCATCGTCTTCCTCCCTGCGACACTGATCTCGTCATCTTCCGACCCAATGCTCGAGGCCCAGGATCTTTGGTCGCTCTCTTGCACCGGCGATGGGTCGAACATCTGCCTCTGCTTGTCCAGGATCCTTTGGAGCTCTTGGTTGGTGTGCGCAGTCAAGTCTGCGTCGGACAGGTCGCCTCGCAAAACGCCCCGACGTCGCGCCAAAGATGCTTCGGTGGTTCTGCGAAAATCCGTGTCGGAGCCAGCAAAGAACAGGAAATAGATGAGGACCAATCCACAGGCGAGGCCCAACGCCTGGCCACGGCGCATTCCGGCCATCGCGTCGAGAGGATTCTGATCAAGTTTAATGTAGGTATAGAGAGACGGTAGCCAACATGGACCTTTAGAGTCGTGAGGAAACCAGGGCAATAGAGGTATATTCTACTCTACCACCAAATGCACGATCCTTTCAGTACGAGTGCAGCGAACAGGAACAGGTGAGGGCGAGAACGTAACAAGAGAGAATAATGTGATGCGTCGGAGAGTTTAGGACAATAGTGGCGGAGCGGGAGCATTTAGCCAGGCACAGGGAGGAGACGATTTGCCATAGTCTGGGGAACACAGGGCAAAAGAAGCGAGGATGCTATCGTGGATGGTGGGTGGTGGGTGGTGGGGGACGGATCAAGCCCCTTTACGCCTCAGGCCGCCCATACCAGTAGATACCTAGGTAGGCTAACAGTAATAGTCTACGTTTGAGGGGCTTAGGGGCCAAGGTAGGCCAGGGGTTTCCTAAGGCCGGGCTAAGGGTCCTGGCTGCCCCCTGCAATAGTAGAGGCGGTCCCCAACATCAAGATTTACTGTACAACCGTGATTCCTTTTTGGTTTTGTGAAGATCAGCGAATCTCGGCCAGGCTTCTCCAGGAATAACGTCCGAGCGACCAGGATGGTACAAATTCGAGCCGGTTCAAGTGAGAAGCAGGACATCCCATATACTCCGTACTCGGTAGATCAAGGCTCAGTTCAAACAATGCTATCATCTCCCATCATGTCAAACTGTCATATTATATGGCCTTATCGATGCTTCCTGGTCCTGACACATTATGCATGAGACAGTCACAGTAATCCATCTAGAGAAAGGTGGTGCTTCTTCATCTGATCGTTACACATCCCATCTGGCATCTGGCCACAGGTCTTCCAACGCCTTACTATCCAACAATGGTGCTACAATCGTTAGCCAGATGTCGCTTCCCTCATGCCATTAATCCTCCTAGGACAACTTTCTGTACTCCCAACATTTCTTTCTTTGCATTGTCCCTCGAAGTAGTCTCAAACTCCCGAACAATTGCAGACACCACCACCTTTCGTATTCGTCCATCCACTTTCGTAAACAAGTCACTGATCATAGGCGTACATGCTCCAGGACCATTTAAGATCTGCAATAACCGCTGATAGGTGTCGATAAGCACGTCGCACAGCGTAGCGAACACGGTAAAAAAATCGGGCGTGAAGGGTAAAGGTGGCGTCTGTAGATGTGTATAGGGAGTCTCGCTGGGAAGTAACGTCGAATTAGGAGCATCGACCGGTGCTGGGGACGGGATAGCTGATGTGCTCGGAAAGCTGGCAGAAGGTAGAGGAGCAGAAGGAGAGGGTGTCACCAAGGTGCTTGCCAATGAAGCAAACGAGCTCCCACTGGTGGTGGTGTCTATGGACGGTTGAGATACGTGCTGTCCAGCTTCGGGAATGGTCGGTGGTGACGAGGTTTGTGAGAGCATGGGAAGTCCGATTTCTGTCACCGGCCCACTGGACTTTCGAGGTCTCGTCGTTGTCGCGGCTCTTTTGAACATTTGAGGTATTCGTGCTCGACTCAGAGAGCTCGCCGTACTTCCATCCGGAGGGTGCAATTGCTGAAAGGATTCGAATTCTGTCAGGAGAGTATTCAAACTTCGAAGGTAGTCTTGTGCCACGGCCGAGCTAGCTGCAGCTGCGCTTTGCGGGTGAGGCTGGGGATGAACGTCGAGGATGGTCGGGATAGACATGCCGAGTAACATGTAATTGACGGCCCGTCGTGCCAATCGATTCGGGGTGTATGAGGGCAGTTTGGCAATGTCAGATTCACTGAATTGAACAGTGTTGAACCAAAACGTCCGCCCTTCGTGCGCCTTGCGCAGATAGTCCAATGTCGCTATCCTCTTGTTCGCCAACTCTTGAATATGTGTATAGAGCGCGGTGGCGCTTGGGTTTCCATGGGAGCCAGAAGCACTCAGAAGCAGGCCATTGAGTGCCGATGCAGATGAGACATCGGCATCTCCAGCTGGGGAGGTATTGTTGGCTGCGACTTGACTGTTCGCACTTGGCCCACTGCTGACGATCTTCTGAAGCAATGGTCGAGTGGTGTTGACGCCGTTGGTGAGGATGGGGACAGGGAGAGGAAGCATGTTGTCACCCGTGGCAAGACTGCTCACATCACTGTTGTTTCGAGGGACAAGATCGGCCCTGAAGGTATTGAGTGCGATCGACGCGGCGGGAGCAGTGGTCGTTCGTGAATATGCTGGTCGAGGACGAGGGCGGGGTGGTGTTGAGCCTGCGGCAGACAAGGTTGCATCAATGGAGCCGTTAGATCCTAGAGGCTTGTGCCTTCGAGAGGGAGATCTTGTTATTTTAGAGAGAAAGCCTGCCGTCCCTCCTCCTGACGAATTGCTGGTGTTGCCGACAGAGCCATCGCGCTGGGTAGCCTCTGTCATGCTCTTAATTGCTTCTGTACCACCTAATCCAGTCCTCCGCCGAATAGGGTGGCAGCCAGATTGATCTGGGCGGAGAACAAGACACCGTAGTGTGTGTGTGCGGGCGGACGAAGTCTGTTACAGAGCGGCCATGGATCGAAAGGGACACGGGAGGGTTCGGTAATTCGGATAGTAGTGTTCAGAGAGAGGTAGTCCATACACAATACGCACTGGATGTGTGGGGAGGACGGTTGTAGGTTGGTAGGTAGTTTTGCCTGCGCCCAGTCGTTCCACACCATCTGTTCAGGGGTGACCCAGGTTCACCAGTACTCCGTACTCCGTACCACTGTGCCACCCTACTCGTGCGTGCCCGCCAATACCACTACTGAATGAGTTGTATCCGCTGTATATCATGCTCCAAGTTTTCACTTCTCACAACCCGCGTTGATCGGAGACGGTTCTACTCCGCATTCGAATTCCGATAAACTTGGTCGCTCCCGAGACAAACGAAACGGCCGTGATGGACGTGCCTAAGCCTGGCAACTGGCCCGTGGATCCCCAAGAGGATCAAGAAATACGGAAGGATCGCATCTGGGTTGATGGTTGCTTCGACTTCGCACATCACGGTAGGTTGTCGAGATGGGGAGGTGGGTAAAGCAATCTGACTCTTTGCTTCAGGCCATGCTGGTGCCTTACGACAAGCCCGACAACTGGGACACGAACTGTACGCTGGTCTCCATTCAGACGAAGAGATCTTGCAACACAAGGGTCCCACGGTCATGACTCTAGATGAACGGTAGGCTGCTCTAAACCTCGCCCTTCCAAGCGTTTGGACTGATCATACAAGAGTTGCTGCGGTGGACGCCTGTCGGTGGACGACCAAGTCCATCCCCTATGCCCCTTACGTGACAGCCTTACCTTGGATCTCCCACTATGGATGTTATTACGTGGTCCATGGGGACGACATCACTTCCGATGCCGGTGGCGAAGACTGTTATCGTTTTGTCAAAGCAGCCAACCGCTTCCTGGTGGTTAAGCGAACGCCGGGTATTTCTACCACCGACATTGTCGGCCGAATGCTGCTTTGTACTAAGACACACTTCATCAAATCTTTGCAGGACGAACTTCAAGGCAAGACGGACGGCGCCGTCAATCCCCAGAAGGCAGCCGCGGGTGCCGAGATGCTGCAGAGAATCAGAGACTACGCTACAGACGAGACTGCTCTCAACCCAGGTTCTGAAGTCTGGACCTGGGCCGCTGGGGAACGGGAAACCCTAGGGAATCAAGAGACCATCGCGGGGTCGTTCCAGCAACTCGTTGCCGGCAATGGTCCCAAGCCTGGTCAACGCATAGTCTACGTGGATGGAGGCTTCGACCTCTTTTCTTCAGGACACATTGAATTCCTCAAGCGAGTCGACCGGGCCGAGAATGGCGAAGCATATGTTGTGGCGGGAGTACACAATGATGATGTGATCAACCACTGGAAAGGATTGAACTACCCCATAATGAACATCTTCGAGCGCGGGCTGTGTGTTTTGCAATGTCGATATGTCCAGGCGGTCGTCTTTGGAGCACCATACTCGCCATCCAGACCTTACCTGGAAGCACTGCCACTGGGAAAGGTTGCCGCCGTGTACCATGGGCCTACAGATTTTATGGGCTCACCGTTCGATCCGTACAAGGACGCCAGAGAATTGGGCATTCTGCGTGAGATCCCGAAGCATCCCTATTCTCACGTCAATGCGGGAGAGATTGTCATGCGAATCATGAAGGGGCGCCAGGCTTTTGAGGAGCGACAAAGGAGGAAAGGCGAAAAGGCCGTCGGGGAAGAAGCCGCACGTGAACGAGAGCTTCTTGAACAGGAACAAGCAGTCATAGAGACGAAACGAAGAGCTCTGTCGAGCTGATAGATGTGATATAACTGATGCAATGATCTCCTTTCCAGTCATGCTTTGGGACTGAATCTATGTACAAGCACCACTTGACAGAAACTAGACAAAGCTTCGGCAAGGATAGCTAAGACCCGAGTTAGCACCAGTCGGTTCGTGAACATTGGGAAACATACCTCTCCCCATAACTTGTTGGGCCTATTTCGTATTTCTTTGCCGGCAGCCGGCCGAAAGTCGCTGGCTTTGGTGGTAAGCCATCCTCGCCGAGCACCACCGTTGCGGTCTTTTCTTTTTCGAAATATGCAGCGAGCCCTTTCTCGCCCTCGTGCTTCACGGCGACCAATTGCTTCGTCCCCTCCTCTCCAGCCAACAGCTTAGGACTAGGATTGGCGGCACTTCCCACAGTCAATAGCCCTACGACATCACCCTGCGTGACGGTGCTCAGCGTTGGGTATGCTCTCCTCACATCTCTTTTCCAGTACGGGTTGTCCGCAATGTCGGCGGCTGGCGTCGTCACAGCTTCATCATACGAGTGAGGATCGAGACCGCCTGGAGGCGGGTTCCGGAAGTGTTTGACTGGGACACCGTTGCTTCGGGCGGGGTCGACTGCGAATAACCTGCGGATGACTTCCCAGATGCCGTAACTCTGCTGGGTGTGTTTCTAGATAGGTGAGCATCAGCATCAGCCTGGGAGGTTGGCCGAGAGAAATACCTTCGCGACGCCAACCACGTCTGTGATAGGTTTGCCGGCCATCTCGGCCCAGTCCAGGGATAGCTCTTCACTCGCCGGAGGTGGAGGAGTCAGGTTGACGAGCCAGAGGTCTGCAAGGAGAGGATTCGTAGCGACGCTCGTCTTGGACCGGGATTTGTGTCTGGTCAGTTCATCACCTCACCTACAGTTCTGAGTCGAGGTCAAGCTTGAACAGGGACAAACGCCCGCCGCATCCATGCTTGGCAGCGGGAGCATTGAGACCAACGTGCATAGATTATGGCGGATCATAATTACCATGTGCCGCGCTTCTACGCAAGGTACAACTTGTGAGTAAATCTCCTCTCCACTACCACCATGACTCCGTACATGACCTCGTCCACGGTTCTACTCCTCCTGTGAATAAGCCGACGCCTGTGAAGCCGACAGGTCTTCTCTCTTCTCACCTCTTGGGCACCACAGAAACCTCGTGGAAACATCTGGTCCAATCGGACAGGTTTGCGCTCAGAAGGACTGGAATCCGAGTCCTCTGCCCTTTGTCCTTTAGCACTCCTCGATTCTCCCTTCATGACAACGATCAATAAATTCCAACATGGTGACTCAGTCGTGCCGACTGGCGAGGCTGTGATCTCCACCCTGCTTCGGCAAAATCAGCTGCATCCGATTGACTGTTGTCTTATCAAGGGTCATTGTCCACCAATCAAGAGGCGGGCAGGCCTCTTATCCACTGCTCGGAATGAAGTGCGCCCTGTCTATTCACGGCATGGTGACCCCCAAACAAGTAGGAGATTGAATGCCTCACTTCACTCTTAGTCGTATATCATGTATCCATGATATCTTCGGTTTTCTCTCTTGGACAATTCGTTCTCTTCCCTATCAAGCCTCCTTCAGCTTTCTTGCAGTCCGGCGCCATCTTGCATTTACCCCCAAGCATGATCCAACTGACCAGACTCGGCACGATCTGATAAGCGGCGACCAATATCAAAGAAGCTAAATAGCGAACGAAACAGAACTAGAACCACGCAGCACCACTCTTCCAATATGGCGACCAAGCCCAAAATCCTTCTCCTTGGGCAAATCGACCAGTAAGCCACCTAGGCGGATAGCAGCCTCATCTGGCCGTGACCATTGCTAATGGATTCGACTTGCAGCGCCCACAGACAATGGGAGACCCTGGACTCCGTTGGCGAACTGATAAGACCCCAATCCACCAACCGAGCAGACTTCATCAAGGAGTGTAAGTCGGGTAAGCTGGACGGCGTGGTGGCAGCCTACCGGACATTTGGCTCAGTCAGCATCACCGGCTTCTTCGACGAAGAGCTGTGCAAAGTTCTACCCAAATCATGGAGGTATCTTGCATCATGTGGCGCAGGGTACGACCAGATCGACGCCCACGCCTGCTCAGCGCGTGACCCGCCGCTGCTGGTGTCCAACGTGCCGACAGCGCCCGACGACGCCACGGCAGACACGGCGATTTTTCTGATGCTCGGCGCCCTGCGCAACTTCAATACCAGCATGGCAGCCTTGCGCCGTGGCAAATGGCGCGGCAGCCCGGTCCCGGCCCTGGGCCATGATCCGCAGGGCAAAGTCCTGGGCATTCTGGGCATGGGCGGCATCGGACGCAACATGAAGAAGAAGTGTGACGCGTTCGGCATGACCACCATCTACTACAACCGCCGACAGCTCGACCCGGAGCTGGCCGGTGGTGCCGAGTACGTCTCTTTCGACGAGCTCCTGAAGCGCAGCGACGTCCTGAGTCTGAATCTACCGCTGAACCCCAACACGCGACACATCATCTCGACCGACCAGTTCAAGCTGATGAAGCCCACCGCCATTGTCGTGAATACAGCGCGCGGCGCCGTCATTGACGAAGCCGCCCTCGTCGATGCTCTAGACAAGGGTCTCATTGCCGGCGCCGGCCTCGACGTCTTTGAAGAGGAGCCAAAGATCCATCCGGGCCTGGTGGCTAACGAGAAGGTCATCCTTCTACCCCACATGGGCACCTGGACAAGGGAGACGCAAGTATGTTAACTGATTTCCGTGTCCTGCTCCTGCTCCAGCATCCCCCATCCTCTTGCTTCCTTACCCTCGTGTTGAGGCGGTTTTTTTTTAACCCATGGCTCTCGGGGCTGACGTCTGTTCGCGCGAATAGGAAAGAATGGAAGAATGGACCATTGACAACATACGCTCCGCGCTCGAAAAGGGCCATCTGATGTCCCCTATTTTTGAACAGCAGAACTTGAAGTGAAACTGTCCCCATCCGCCGCCTACCTCCACTTCCACTCCCGCGACAGTCTGCAAAGTCGAATGCTGGTGCATCCTGGTGCATCCCTCCACTTGGTTTGGTCCAATGAGAGGCACGCACGCTGCTCATCTTTGGAGCTGTGTATTTCAGCAAATTCCCAAAGCTCATTACTGTACAGTCATAGACATTGATTGAGAAAAAAGGCGATAGACAAATCGAAATCCGGATCTTCAAGAACTTGTCCAATTATCCTTGAAGGCTTAACACCTCACACTCTAAACCATCATTCCCTTTCCTAGTCCAAAAGTCACCGTGCCCGATCAGAATACTCCAAAATCCGCCGGATTGAAGTCGGCATCTACATCCATGAAATCGTCATCCATATCGCCATGTGGCTGAATATTCTCCTTTCCGGTCCCGACTCCTTCCAGATCGTTGACCACATCCCTCAACACAGGCCGCTTAGTCAAGAAATCCTCGACGTCTCCGACGAGGGCGCTCCCGCGTATAATCTTATCCGGCTTTCGGAACGTTGCTTGTTTCTTTGGACTCCTCCGGTCTCGAAGGTTGCTGTGTTGGTGGCTGCCTCTTTTCGCCGCCGACGATGATGGACTTTCGACACCAATGTCGACAAGGCCTGCTACACTTCCTTGAGTGATGCCTGTGACTTGACTCCCAGTCGCGAATAAATGGGCATCGCCAGCCCCATTAGGGAGATCCAGCACCCATCCCTTCTCGTCCATGATGCGTGTCAGGCCTTCGAGCATGGGTACACCGCTCCCCTCGAAGGTCGTCTTGCTTGCTAGGATAAGTAGCTTACTCCTGGCTCGCGTCACGGCGACATTCACTCGTCGCCAATCTTTCAAGAGATCACCGACGTGTTTGTTCTCGTTGCTCCTGACACAACTGAGTATGACTACCTCCTTATCTCGGCCTTGGTATTTGTCCGCAGTGTGCATTTCCACCTCCGCAGCCGCAGCAGCCCCAGCAGTGGATTTGACATCGGCTCGGAGAAGTGCGAGTTGAGAGCGGTAGAATGTGATCACACCAATCGAACGAGGGGCGATCCCGGAATGAATCAAGGTGGTAACAAGTTGTGCGGTAAGGTTGGATTCCATTGCGTTGGTTATCCGTGCCCCTGCAGCAGTTTCGCGGGCCAACCCATTTGGGATGATGGTGTCACTGTTGAGGAGCAAGCACCGAGATGTGGGTGACAAGGCTCGTCGTAGCCAACATGAGGCTGGAGAAACACAAATCATCGGGCTACTGTGGCTCGATTCTGGCAGCGAGGATGCAGTGAAGTGGTGTGCTGCAAGAGCGCCTTCCAGGTCGGGGACATGCAGCATGCGATTTGCTACAGCCTCGTTGCCACATTTGATGCGTCCGGAATAGACCAATTCTTTTGACAGAAGCATGATATCCTCCGCCATTCGATACTGATGTTCAAGAGTGACCACCGAATCCGGCTGTGCATCAGACAGCAGTTTGAAAAGACTGACATCTAGGCCTCCCTCTAAGGCTTGCTTGTTTTGAACCAACGGCGGTAATTGATAGTGATCACCCACCAGGACAAAAGTTCTCGCCATGCGAATTGGGCCAAGACATACGGGCAACGTGATCTGAGAAGCCTCGTCCACGATACAGTAGTCAAAGGTCCGCGCATTGAAAATACCATGATTGACTCCTAGACAAGTAGTCGCAACGACTTTACTCCCGTGCCATGAGACATGCAGTTCTTCGGCAGTGCGTTTGGGTACTCCTGAAACATCGGCGAAAGTTTGGATGTCGGGGTGGACTTTGTTGATGGACCCGATCCGTAAGATAGGAATGTGGTCGTCCTTGATCTTGAGGAGGATATTGTCCACTGCTGTGTGCGTGTAGGAGGCCAACAAGACCGACTTGCCTTGTGATACAAGAGCACGGATGATGTGTGCTATTGTCGTGGTCTTTCCGGTGCCAGGCATGCCTAGAACCAGCGCATAGTCCTTTGCACTCATCACCTTCTCGATGGCCTTCTGCTGATCAATGTTAAGACTCTGCTGAGAAGCCGGCCCAGACAAGGCATAAGCGGTAGACGTGACCTTGAACTCTGGAGGTTTGTTCTCAATAATCAATTGTCGAAGTTCCCGCGCCCGCCAGAGATCCTTCTCCATCATCCGGATGATATTGTTTCGAGCCGTTGCCATTCCGTTGGCGAACTCATCCTTGTCAATCCGATATAGAATTGGGGTCTCGGAAGTCCCGGAATCAGAAGCGCCTTCATACTGCTCATCTGTGAAGCTGGAGAAGATCTGTCGGCTGGAGGAGTCGAAGTTGGTCAACTTTCGTCGGACATGGCGCAGTTTTCGATCAACCGCAACCACCACCCGGGTCCGTCGGACGTTGGTGACGAAGCCTGCCGCGAAATTGAAGTGTCCCTTTTCGTCCGAAATCACAATTGGTTCCCCTATCGTAATCTGAGACTCTGTAAATGAAAAGCCAGGACGAGGCTTGTGCTTGACAAAGGTATATTCGAACCGGTTGATCTTGGAACTCTCGGGGTTTTCATAAGCAGATCCCGGCTGAATCATGACTTCTGAAAAGCAGCGCCCAACTGCCTCACGCTCTGAGCTCAACATTGTCCACAATTCGCGGCGAAATTTCATCGTATCGCGCTCTTCCTGAGTCAGGAGATCGTCCCACTTCTTGAAGAATGCCTGATGAACGGGAGAGAGGTGATCGACCACTTCGTTGAATTTCTCTCCTAGACCGCTGGTTTCTGCATTGCCATTTTCCGACAGCTTGTGGTAGATGAAGCAAGAAGCTTTAGAGTAGCAGCTCTTGCAGAGATGTTCTTTTCTTATCATGGGTGGCAGAGCAAGTTTGTCGTGAACATAGCAAGCCAGTTCGTTCCGCTCGATGATCATGTGTCGTATTTCATTCCTGACACCCTCCACACGGAAGGTCTTTGAGGTTTCCATGTAGTAAAGTACGCCACAGGTCACATTGATATCGTACCGGTCGGACATCAGCAGGGTGTAGAGCGCGGTTTGTACACGATGCTGCTCAACATTGTCCTTCTTGCCCGTCTTCAACTCGAAAGGCACGAGTAGAGTTCTGGCTGATTGTTCATGGGGCAGCTTCATCTGGGCTTGAACCGTGGCGTCAATGTTTCCTTTGAGACCGTACATGGGTGACCAGATATGCTCTTCCAGTTCCAGGAGTTTGTTGATAGTTGTCGGGACAAGGATGCCATTTCGATCCCGAATGACAGCGTCGGTGGACAACTTGTCACCGACGAAGACACTGGCCCATGCCGTCATGTCGGGTGCTTTCCCCAAAAGATACTCCTTAGCATCTTGTACTTGAACCCCAATTTCATAGAGTGATTCGATGTAGCAGGGGAGAATCTTGTCGATGATGATTCTGAACGTCTGGATGTCCCATTTGTTTAGTTGCAACGCCTGTCCGAACACTTCGTGCAAAATGTGACCATAGACTTGAGGCTGTGTAGCTGTACTTGTGGCCTTTACTCTGTCTTGAAGGACAGCACGTCGCATACAGGTAAAAGCGTCGCCCACCACAGTTGAGGATATCAAATGATCGGGGTGCAGTATGATCATGTTATCGGCGTCGTTGACGATGCATTGACCTGAGCGGTCGAACACGCCGAGTATATGAATGTAGGAACCCTTGGTACATCTGGTATCGTACCAAGAATCCCGCAGAAGGACAATGTACAGCATACCTGTTTTTTCATCTTTGACAGAGAGCATCTGAAAATGCATTAGACTTGAGGACACGGATGTAGAAAAGGGATCTCACTTTCTCGGGGCGGTTGCGTCCTGGTTTGTACTCGTATTGGCTCTCAAGGACATCGACAATGAGATAGCGCTTGATAGCTCTGTTATCAATTGTGCTCTATATACTCTATCAGCATGCATCTCATCAAATCCAGGCGTGTCCGGGACGCACAGGGTTCGTGGAACCTATAGCAGCAGGTGTCTTTACTGAGGTAGCATTTGCGATGCCCTCCCATAACTCTTCGTCATCATCAAAGGCATCTTCGAACTCGTCGAGAGTCTCCAAATGCTTGGAGGTCGCGTCAGTTGGCGCGGTATGGTGCACAATTGCCGGCGGTTGTTTCGCCGAAGGATTAGGCTCACAGTCGTATTGCGCAGCAAGATCAATCATTTCATTCATCAGATCTTCGTCGTCGTCGTCATCAAATTCGTCCTCAAACTCCTGTGGCGTAGATCTAGCACGAGCTTCTGGTGGAGGTGGGTCGGGCAAGACACCGCTTCTAGACTGATTTTCAGGCTGTACGGTCTGATGGGAGGAAACAGTTTGTCGCGAACCAGAAGACACCCTACGACCAACAGTCTTCCCTCCACAGGGCGGCTGTGCTGATACCGAGTCACTGTGCGCTGCATGTTGTGCAAGTGCCTGCTCAACGCTTTCAAATGCCTCAATATCGAGGCCGTCATCGCTGAACTCCGAGGAAGAAGGCGCATCAGATTGACCTTCGGACCTTTGCACTGTTTGTGGAGGTGCATTGGACGGGGCATGCGTGGAAGGTGTAGTTTGCACTCGAGTCTTGGTTTGAGGTTTTGTTGGCGAAAGGAGAGCTTGGGACCGTCGATCTGGTAGCGGAGAGGAACTGGACGGGCTTTCATCGGCCGGAACTTGCTTGGTTAGACTTTCCTGGATCTTTTCCAGGAGGAGTCCCACCCGGGTATTGTTTGATAGGTCACGGCGCAAGATTTCCTTCCGAGAGGCCGCGAATACTTCCTTTGTCCGCCCATGCAGTTCATTGGCTTCTACCCTGCGCCGTTTCGATTTCGAGGCTGGCCACTCTGTGCCACAGCTGTGTGTCCTCCGTAGTCCACTTTCCTTGCTAGCTGTACTCGGCGTTTGGGGAGACGACGGAAGTAGATGCGTATAAGAAGGCAAGGTAGGTTCCGCTTGCTGATTTTGCTTTGCATTTGCGGTGGTATATCGATTCCACAAATCCTGCGTGGGATCATTGTTGGGCGTTCGGAGGGACTTGTTCAGCGCATCCAGATTCAAGGAGTCTTTGTGGGCGGACAAATGATCGGATCTTCCAGGTTGTGAGGAGGTCGGCGAAGAGCTGTGGGCACGTTTCCTACTTCTCTGGGTGGCGGCAGCAGCTCCTGAGGCATCGGTGCTGTCGGGATTCATTTCCCACAGAACATGGTCCTTGGGAGTGGCGTTTGGTGGCGGACAATTGAAGGCATCTTCGGTGTTTGCAATCAGGTCTTCGAAGGGTATTCGGACAACCGGTGTACGGGGAATATCGTGTTGTGAGAGGTGGTTTCGTCCTACGCTCCCACAATCGCCCTCCTTGTTATCTGGTTTGCCTACAACCCGTCGTCCTAGATCTTGATTTTCTTTGTCTTCTGCGCCTCCAAGTAGTCTGTCATCGAAAGTGAACGCATTTAACTTTTTCTTTGACTGCGAGGAAATGGCAAATGGGGCGGACGGCATGATATTAGAGAAGTCGAGGTATGTGGAGGATAGACATTGCCCGAATCGTCATGGAGATGGTCTGAGACAACAGGCTCAGTGAGAGTTGGAAGAGTACTCCGTATGTACAGCAAACATCAATGTTTGTGGTAGTGAGACCTTGTGGCCAATGGACTCATTGCCCTCGCAGGCGCGTCCCAAAGAGAAACACGCGTCGCCTGCGGCCACGTGATGCGCATGCAGCCACGTGATGCGTGCTGCGGGATGCCACGGGTGATGTCATTCCGATTGGCTTCTGAAACAGCGCAGCCTTATTAGAGGTCACGTTTCAGGAGAATCTTCGACCGCATGTCTCAGCCTCTCTCTCACGTCCTCTATGTTTCTGCTTCCGTTTTTCAGGCTCTATCTCGAGAGGTTGCGCCATCAGAATCAAGAATGACTCGAAGCATCCGGCGTCCGCCTCAACTTGGTCCTCGAATGCAGATTCACGACAATTTTGTGGGAAGCACAGCCTCTTGGACCTAGCCTTGCGCCATGCGAAACCGGGTCTTGCCTACGAGACATTATCCCTGCCAACGGAACCCACGGCTTTCCATTGAGTGTTCTTGACTTGACAACCAGCCCGGCGTGCACGTTGCTTCACGGGTCGCCATGTCCGCCTCAGCGCCCCATTCGCCCGCTCCTCATTGCAATGCAGAGACAGACGTGACGGCGTCACCGTCTCAGCCATCACCATCAAAGTTACTTCAACTCCATCGGCTGGGGACGGATAGAGCATCGTCTGTACCACCTCGCCGCCTTTCTTCCCCTCTGAAAAATGTCTCGCAAATCCGACCTCGACTGAACCAGTACTACACTCTAGATCATGCAGTGTCGTTGTTCAAATCAGCAAAGAACATCATCATTCTGACAGGGGCAGGTATCTCCACTTCTCTGGGCGTTCCTGATTTTCGGTCTACGGATGGCATCTACAATCTCCTTAAGGACTCCGTATATGATGATCCACAGGAACTCTTCCATATCGACAACTTCAAAGCAGATCCAGCAGAGTTCTTCAAACAGGCGGCAAAGGTCTTTCCCAAGATGCAAGGTCTCGTGCCTGCTAGCGGACATGCTGGTACCAGCAAGGCAGCTACCGAGCCCCTGGTGCCGAGGTACAGTTCAACCCACGCTTTTGTTGCAATGCTCCAGTCAAAGGGCAAGCTGTTGACCAACTACACACAAAACATTGATGGACTTGAAATTGCCGCCGGTGTTTCACCGTCGAGACTGATCCAAGTCCACGGCACACTGGCTACCGCCACCTGCATGAGCTGTGGCAAGCAGACGACTGCTCGCAAATACATGCCTGTTGTACGAGCAGGTGGCATCCCGTTTTGCAAGTGCTCCCTGGTCAAGGATAATGACAAGACAAACCAACATGGGCGCACTGTCAAGAAGAAACGGAAGAGGCACGAGTTCGAAGATTCCGAATCCGAGCTCGAAGATAGCACAACGAGTTTTCCAAAGGGTCTCCTTAAACCAGACATGACTTTCTTTGGCGAGCACATCTCATATTCTTACGCACCTCGTCTGGACACAGACAAACGAAAGGCTGACTTGCTCGTTATTGTCGGCACGTCGCTCAAAGTAGCTCCAGTCAACGACATGCTCCTCGCGATCCCACCCACGGTGCCACAGATCTGGATCAGCAAAGACCGCTGCCAACGACAGGGTGTTAAAGTTGACATCGAACTGCTGGGCGAGTGTGACCTAATACTCGAAGAGATCGCTCGGCGAGCAGGCTGGACGGCAGCGCTGGAGGAGAAAATGTGGGAGAATCCAAAGAGCTCGGGGATCAGAGAGCCGGCCGCGAAATCCCAAAAAGTGTGTTCCAAGTCGAAGCTGGAGAACATGCCTGCAATCAAAGCAGAAGGAAGTCTCCAGATCCGACCCAAGGCTGAAGCTGTCGCCGACTCCATCGCCCAAAACAGCGAGATCAAAAGTCGATGCCATAACGCCGAGAACAGCCAAGCTCGAGCCGAGACAAAAAAGAAGACAGTCAGCGGCATTGGAGGAGGATCAAAGCCTGACACCAACCGCACAGATCAGAAGAGACAGCCTCGAGAGTCCAAAGTCATTGTTGAGCTCGAAGAAGGAACCAGATCGAGATGGTACATCCGACGCGCGAAATGAATTCTACCCTCACCCTCTTTCCGGTGCCGATACAGGGATTCCACGTTTTGGCTGGTTCAAGATGCGGGTCTTGGTTTCCCGTCTATCATACACTACTGGATAGCAATCATGTCTTGCTATGAGCCATGTTCGGCTTTATGGATTGTTGAGGATTGTGTCCACGCTTTCCTGGCTACTTGTGCGTATGGATACGGACAGAAGGCTGGTTTGAAAATGAAAAGGCAGGCATGTACGGATACGGAGTAAAGAACAGGAGTCAGGGGTCAGGGATCAGGGTTGATTCCAGTGCTGGTGTATGGTATGGAATCTGTGGCTAGGCCGCAACAGGGTATTGTTACGATGAAGACTCAATGTTCATGTTTTCACACTGTATTCTCTATTCTTCTTTCTCCATTCGGCCTTGGTTCGGTTCTCTCCTGGATCTGTGGTCTCTCCGTAGAAGTCAAGAGAAATGAGCAGCTGTTCTCACCCACCATGTCAAGATGTAGTTTTTGCTGGATTATGGCGCAACGAATGCAGTATGTAGGGGACAAATCAGAGTTTTGTCGGGTCCGTCTAAACGCTTTCTCTTCTCTTTCCTTTGTAAAATGACCAGGACACTCAGGCTTGACCTCTCCGATTCTATCCCGCCTCCGATCCGAAACCAAAGCCAAACCCCAACCGAAAGATCTTGCGGAGAAACACTTGCATGGCTGTCAGATTCTTTTTGCATCAAGTGAAGCCATAGATGTGCAGAACACCACGGCACGGTAGGGATGGGTCGGAACCGTAATCCAAGACCCTCCGTCTCTAAATCTTTCGCCCATCTTCTCACCCCGATCTGGAGAGCGGCTGGAACAACGGCCGCCCTCTCTCTCACGCTTTTCATGTGGCACATCCCATGCTCTGCCTTTCATCTAACTTATCAGATAGGCTGAGACCCCATTTGGCGGAACCAATCCATGACACCGGTGTATACGACAAGCAACACACCACCACCCGGGCCCAGCCTGAGGACCTTGGGCAAGAATCCTTTGTAAAGCGCGCCAAAGCCTTCCTCCTTCATGATAGTACCCAGGCCAGGCCAGGCCCAATTATACTTGGGCTTGGAGCCGGCGATTTTGGGCGAGTTCTGAATCCGTGACTTGACCACGTCCATGGGAGTGTTGAGAATGGTACCAACAGTTCCACCGATCGTGCCTGACGCGAAATCCGTAAACATGGCTTTCCCCTTGTCACTCTTGTCGACCTTGGGCATCAGCGCCTTGACCTGGAAAATACAACCAAAGTAACCCGCGTTCCAGAGAATGTGGCGCCACAGCGTCGATTCGAGCCCGTTGTACAGCGCCAAAGGACCCTCGGCTTTCACCGTCTTAACCACACAGTCCGCGATGCCGGTGTACTTGCCGGCCGAGGCGCGGTCTTGTAGGCGGATCTTGACCAGTTCAAAGGGGACCACCACGAAAGCTTCGGTCGCGCCGGCCGTGGCGCCCGTGAGGACGGCCAGCGGCTGCGTTTGTTTCTCGACGCCGAACAGGTTACGGTAGAACAGCCCCCACGAGTCGTTGGCTGCAAACTTGGTCGCTCGCTTCGGCGCCTCCATCATAATCGGCGCTCCGATTCCGCGGTACAGACGTGAGGGACCTTCGTTCTTCACGATCTTCTTGAAACAGTCGAGCATGCCGGTGTAGTAGTCCTGTCCTGGGACCGGCGCTTTGCCTTGCAGCTGTCTGTTTGGAGCAACGGCTGGGTTAGTAATGGGCGATCGGGCTGACATGAGAGGCGTCAGAGATGTTGCACTCACATTCTCGTCTTGAGGACATCCAGGGGGTACCTGTTGGATGGGGCCGTGTTAGCGATCGGACTGCGCCAGACGCAGTCTGTCAGTGGTGTCGCGAAACTCACATGATGAGAATCTGCTACCAGTCAGCGAAGCTCGGGGCGATCCAGGCCAAATGATTGTTCCGCAAGCCGGTTTGCTCTTGCACGTACCTCAGATACACCGGCGATGGCCCCAGCCGCGAACTGGTAGCCGAAGCCTAAAGGTTTCTCCGTCATCTTGAACTGTGTTTGTGTGTGTTCTGTGTACTCTATTCGAAGAGAAGCGCAACGGCAGGGCGCAGACAGTCGAGGTCGAAGGAGTGACAACAAGGCCGGGAAGGGGGATAAGGCGAGAGGAGCAGAGGAACGAAGACGTCGCAGCGCAGGATCGACTTTCGGCGGATGGATAGAGAGCTGATTTGGAGATGGTGGAGATGGATTTGAGGAAAACTGGGTGAGTGGCGCCGCAGGGCGCAGGATGGTGAGCTCGCATGCAAAGATACCTACACACCCAGAACCTACCTAGGTAAGGTTTTGGTGGGTGGATGGTTCGTGTCCCGTAGGCTACGGCCGTCTGTCCACCACCACCACCACCACCACCACCACTACCGCTACATATCTAGCATCCTGGTTCGAGTCTGAGATGGGAGGATTTACCATTTACCTCTGCCGGAGAAACAAAACGGTTAGGTTGGATCATGATCACATATGCAATACAATAATTAATGGACTGAGCAGGCAATTTAATACATCAAAACTCATGTTCGAAGGACGCAACCCAAAAAACCATCCATCCACTCCTAGTCCATGCTATCAAGGTCCATGTCTGTCTACCTACAATACAATCCTTTGCTCCGCGATAACTCGCACTGACAACGAAGGGAAAGGGGGAGATGTCAAAACGAAGGGGTATCAAAGCTCAACCGAGTCAATCATCAAATATCACTCCCGAATTAATGATGAGAAAGGAGAAGAAGCAAAACTCATGGACCGACCAATTCAGTAAGAATCCCACCCTCATGTACTTGCCCAGCCGGGGTCGCCGTAGAACCATGCCATCCACCTGTGATCTTCTTATTCAAAGTACTGTGGTTCCCCCCGATAATGGCTTGTCATATCCGCTGCAGAAAACTGCACGGAGTTCGGCAGACCCGGTGCAAAGACCAATCCCCCATTAAGTCATCTCCATGAACTCGTCTTCTTCCTTGAAGCTGATCCCCGAGTGACCGGCACTGTGCCAGAATTGAGGCTGGCCGGGCCCGTTGCTGCCACTGTTAGTGCCGCTACCTCCACTGTGAAAGCCGGGGCTGAGCTCAAAATTGCTCTGTGGACTGAGACTTGAATTGCTCTGCAATCGTTCGCCGGCGACGTTGGTATGACGAGGAACCCGAAGCCCACTTCCATCCGGTCTGGAATATGCAAATGTGCTGGAATCATTCTTTTCCATGGCATCCATCAATTCTGACCGCATGCGTTTCTCATCGTCCGTGAGCTGAAACGGCCACTGCCCGCCCATGGAAGTAATGTATTGAGCTAATTCGTCTTCTTGTTGGTATTTCTGATACAGGGCCCACATGAGATCACGCGTCCAGCTCACGGCACCGTTGAGAATGTCGCCCTTGTTAGGTCCTTTCTCTTTTTCCTCTATAGGCAGTCCAATTGTTATATTGCCCGCCGTGCTGGCTGCACGCCGACCGGCAGCGCCCGCAAGCAATGAGGTCGCTGCGTTGGGGGGACTCATACTGGTGGCACCCATAGACGGCGACAGCGGCCCGTTGTTTTGAAGTTGCTTCTTGACCTTATCGTCTTCCAGGCGATGTTGCGGCACCAGGTGTGACAGGTCCTGGATTCGTTCGTTGATATTGTCCCGTCTTCGGCGTTCGACGGCATTATGCGAAGCTCGTCTTCTTCGCTTCTTGGCCTCTACCGTCTCCGCATTACTGAGCCCATTTTCAACCTTGGCCGGCAAGGAGGCATGCTGAGCGGTACCGAGGGTTTCCGAGATACCGGCATGGTGAGGCCCAGTACCAGGCGACGACAATGGAGAGTCCAGATATGAGTGCAGGCTTCCCGGAGTGCTGTCATACTGGCCAGATAACGTCTTGGAATGTCTGCTCTGCACATTGGGTGCCCTAATCGGTCGACCGTTTGCAAGGATTCCCGATTCTGGAGTTCCAATGTGAAGTCCTGCCATAGCTGCAGTGCGTGGAGTCAAAGGAGTCCGCGGATCGGATGACTTCCGGTTCGCCGACTGGATGCTTGGACGCTTTGCAAACTGGGACCCTTGTAAAGGCGACATATGCTGAGGCAGCGAGCCCATGGGGCGGAACTGGCTATAATCGAACGTGCCCAAGAAAGGACTTTGGATAGGGGCTCCATCGGGAGTGCTGGAATACATGTTGGACAACTGGTTCGCGTGATTCATCGGGATGGCACCTGTGCCTCTGTTACTGCTGTTGTTCTGTTGTGTCATGGTGGAGAAGTCATCAAGCATGCCTTGGCCGTTGTTTCCAAAGTCAAGACTCTCCAGCAATTCACTGTCGTCGTAGCCCGAGTTACCCATGCTGAAGCTGGACGACATGTTTCCTCCGGCGAAATTGTTGTACTGCATCCCTCCTAGAGAGGCGGCCTGCATGGAGAGATCGGAGGGGTTGATGCTTCCGCTTTCTTGGGTGTGGTTGAATTGGCTCCCGTAGTTTTGAGGGTTGCCAAAGGTTGAGGCAGACATGAACCGGCTGGGAGTGTTGCCGTACTCATCGGGTTCACTCTTGATGTATGGCATCGTGCCTGAATTGTTGCTCATGGTTCAAAGAAGAGCAGAAAGCCGAAAATCTGACGGAACTTGCGTCGCCTTATAATGTTGTAAGCTAGAATGCTTGCACCGTGATCCCTCAGCAGACAAGCCAATCGTCAGGCAGCCGTAGCCATCGGGCTTCTTATCGCGAATGAGTGCCTGTGGGGAAGAGCTAAAGAGCAGGTATAAGGTAAGACCCGTCCCGAGCGTTTGGAAGAGGGCTTGATTGAGTGACGAGAAGCGAGCCCAACGTCAGGGCGTGATCATGTGTCGGTGTATCTCTGTCTAGGGGAGTGACGAGGCTGACTGCAGCATGCGCCGTCAGCAGTTATTCACACTCGTCCGGCCTTATTCCGTCCTGCTGGTGGCACTCCAGAGGACACAATCGGGTACAGGCGTCAAATCCGGTCCAGCGAAGCGGTACAGGCGACTTGCTGTGAGGATAACGAAGACGAATCAAGCAGGATTCCACCGAGATAAAGGTTGTGTGTGTGAGAAGTGATCTGACTTGGGATTTTCCAATGACAGCCTCTTCTTTAACTTGCGAAACTTAGTAATCGCGGTTTACGTCTGATAGGAGGCGCAAATGGAGGGTGAACCGAGGCCGAAGATGCACAGTGAACATGCGCCGGCAAATTTGAGTGCGGGATTTGAGGTGATGGTAGCGACACACACCGACTAAGGAGGGGGAAATGGTTCGAATTCTAGTGCGGCAGATCGTGAATGGTTGATCGGTGGCGGAAGCGCAAGATCGGCTAGTTTGAGGCCGACGAGAGGATGAAGTTGTAATTGGGAATCTGTTCGGAGGAGATGGAGGTTGGATGTTGAATAGGCAGTGGCAAGTTGTGGCAGTGAAGTGCTGAGGGCGAAGTGGTCGAGTCGAGTCAACAAGCCTGCGGTCCGATGTTGCCGTGACGCAGACGCCGCCGCCTCTAGAGTGCTGCCACCTGCACTTCACTTTGGACTTCGAGTTTGGAACCGTGGCCCCTTGCTGCCAGAGAGGCCAATCGCGTTCGGTTCTACCCTCGATGCGGCCTTGGCACTGGAGGGGCTTGGCCTGCGCTCCTTGACTCGCTCCCCGCGCACTCGAGCTGGAGCTGGACCTCGCTCGCCTTGGACCACCAATGGTGGACAGTGGTGTGTTGCTGCTGCGCGGTACTCACTCGATGACAAGCACGTTGCTGGTGGCTCGGAGACCGTGACCACTCAGGAAAGATCTTTGGGGGTGCTCGTCGCGGGGGATGGCTACTCTCGAGCGCCAATGATGTCGGCCCGAGCTGGAGCTAGGGACGGAAGGATGATGGTGGCTCTGGCGACTACCTCCAGAGCAGGGCTCTGGCAGTCTTTTATATATCATGCAAGGCTACCCACCACAGCTCCAAGCTCCCACCTGCAGCTGTTCAACTTGTTTCCATCTGCCACTTCCCTCCTTCACCACAGCGCAGCCACATGAGGCGGCGTGGCCCAACCCCCTATCAGTGTGGTATGTGGACGAGGCTTGGACCCTGGAGGGGCGGCATGAGCGGCACAGGCAAGGATGCTAGTGCGGGTCAAGGCCGGAAGAGGTGTGCAATGTGCTAAAGTCTAATAAGGCGGAAAGGCGATTTAGACTGATGCTGCATGGATCTTCTCAAGCTCGCCAATGCACTGTTGTCTCGGATGCTCGAGTGTGGGATGGTCATGCTGCTCTACCACAGTCAAGTCCCGCCCATATGGCGAGGCCCGAATACACCCTTTCCCTCCATCCCAGCTCCACTGGTGTCCAGCATGACATGGCTGTCGATGTAGTCATTCTCCTAGAGTTAGATCATCGGAGCCGGACTTCAAGGGTCAAGTGCTCATTCAAGATCATTCATGAAGACGGTCTCCCTCCAAACTACGGAGTACGTTCACTACTCTGGCCTGTCGAGGCTGCGGATCCAGTATCGCGTGTCGACCCATTTCCGGAAATATGCTTCGAATGGGGTTGTCACCACCAGACGGAGTCCGTGTCATACATGCAGAGTAGTCCCTCCATTACCGACGGGATTATAGTTACAACGTCAGGAAGGGTTGGGGGAGGATTGTTTCTCTAGTGTCTGAAGACTGTACAACTTGACAAGATATGATCGGACGGACTTCACTATGAGGTATAATTCGTCCTCTTGCTCGCCAGGGAAGAGGTCCCCCGAGCCTGCCCGCCTTTGCATCCAGACTTATGCAGTACGGCGGGAGCACTGCGCGGGCCGTGGCAGGACTTGGGCGAGATGACTGGATAGAGTTCGCTGCTGGAATGTGGCATGAACTGGACAGGGTCGGATGGTTCGTACCGATGGCTGCAGGCTGCAGGCTCATCAGCGGCGGCCTACTACTAGTTAGTCACAGATTGGTTGCGGACGAGCATCATCCTCGTAACGATGAACCAAGTTCCGACTCGAAGGCCGCACTCGTGGCCTACGACGGGTGGGCGCAGTGTCTGGTTGCAGCCTGGATCCTTGCGGAGTATGCGAGTGATAGATACATGAAGGAGGACGAGCAATCGAGGTGATTGGAGGACCGTTGCGTGTCCGCTGGAGCCAATGACTTAGCGTAACGCTGCCAACTTTGGATCTGCAACTGACTCTGGTCTTGTCTGCAGCCTGCTCCTCACACGCCTGGAACACAATTGTTTGTCCTTTGCTCCATGGTCTGTGATCTGCCACTTTCACTCCTTTGCCCTCCTCTATTCAATCTTGACTATCCTTCCGCCATCTCGGCCGCCTCGGTGAACCCCGCGGCAGACATACCCACAATCCTGCAGGCAGCCGCTACCTACAACTCTCAACGAACTGGCTCATTCTGTCCTCCCCGCCCACATAGACGGTCAATTGCCGCACCTCTCTCTTTGACGGACGCGGACCACTCATGCCCTGTCCTTGGCTCTCCAAATCCGCAAAGTCAGCCTCGCTAGACCGATCAGGTCACAAGCGAAACGCTTGAGGAGAAGAGACCTGCTCGGACTCGGGACATTCGCCACTCTTCTACCTCCCCATCACAGTCAAGCTACAAGGTTCTTTAAGCTTTCTTAGAAGGCTAGAAGTTGTCTACACGACCACAGACCGGGAAAAGTGGGAAGAGTGTTCTGATTCGGGGGGTCACGTCCACCACAATTCGGGTCACTGGAGAACGACAAACAACTAGCAAGGGGTGTAGTGATCAGTCAGAATGACTTCGTCAGCATTTCGAGATTCTTTGAATTCCTTAGGGTGGTCTCGAAGGGATCCGGATGTGCCGGCCAATACCTCCTCGACCCCCATTCTGTCTAGCCTATCCTCGCTCAATCCCTTCGGGCAGCGAGGCTATGTCCAATTACCAACCCATGAGGCCCCAGGGGCGCCCTTACCTGCGCCGACGAGAAGAGAGGAGGAAGAGGGCTGGTTCGCATGTGAGTCGGATAGGCGCATTGCTCTGCATAGCCAACACGTCTACAATGCAAGACAGGACCAAAATATACTGACACCAAGGTCTTGACAGTAAGCCGATGGGATCGCCTGCTTGTCTTTGGGGCATGCAACCTGGCCGCACTGGCGTGTTTTACTCTCTGTTTTGCGCTGTTTCCGGTTCTGATGCTCAAGGCGCGAAAGTTTGCGATTTTGTGAGTGTTTTCTACTTCTCGCCCTCCTACACTCGGGCTACACACCACCAGCTTTCTAGATCCCCAGCCATGTGACCGCGCGTAACCCCGTGATGATGTCAGCTATTCTATCTTGAGACTGATGGCCCATCCTGGGGATGGTCTTTGGCAGACAACCCTTGTTTGTCGTCTCTTTGGCAATCGAGAACTTGGAACCGTGCATGTGGCTTTTCTGGCAAATGGGTGTGTATGGTGCTGACGCGTTCTCGATAGGTGGTCTGCCGGTTCCTTGCTGTTTCTGGCATCATGGGCTGTCCTGATGGGTCCATACCAGTATGCACAACACTTGACCTCTGGCTCTAGATTACCTTTCACGGCAGCCTACTTTGGATCCATCATCATGACCATTTACTTTGCCGTTGGGGTATGTAACAGACACAGCCTCATCACAGGACCCGGCTGACATTTCCGGTCTTAGCTCCATTCCACCGTTCTCACGCTCCTGTCCTCCATTGTGCAACTCGTGGCTTTGGTATGGTATCTAGTCAGCTATTTCCCAATGGGCAGCACAGGGTTGCGTTTTGCGGCGAGAGTTGGAGGAGGTCGGGTCGCCGCATGGATGAACGACTAGCTCTGCAGCGGTGGCCAGTATTTCATCGGCCTGGTTGACCTAAGAGGGACACATCGGAACTAATCATAACCGGTCAGGCTGGTCGCATTCTGTCCCACCGTCCAACAAGTGTTATGATGTAGCTTTGCCCGAATCTGTCTCACGTCTAAGGGTGTGTGGTGATCCATGTCGTCGTGAAGCATAGGTAGTAAGAGCTCATCGCGAGTGTCACTCGACGCGCCTCCGCACTTCCCTTTCGCTGTGCCCAACCCCTCTGAGGGCATCCGTGATCAGATCTCGTAGTTGCCTCTGTCCCTCCTCGGAATGGAAGTTGTCGCCGGCGGCCAACTCTTCAATCCTCCTCCTAAATTCAGGGTCTGGTTCCTGGTTCAGATCGCTTGCCGTTGGATCCGTCGCTGTGTCGATATTCACGGTCATGTTCGGTGGGAGAGGTGGGGGATGTTGGACGCCGTTAGAAGTAGGGCCAGCGCCGTTAGGACCGGAACCCACAATCTGTGCTCGAAGGTATACTGCAACTTCTGGAAACTCCTCTTCAGACTCGAATTTCTCCAGCGCAGTCATGCCATCCTCGTTTCGCACTTCGAGATCTATGTGCAAGTCTTCGACCAGACACTTCGCTATGTCAACGGTTTCCGTGACAAACAAGCATGTCTCGCCGTCTTCATCTTTAAGATTCACATCGACGTGGAACTCGTTGACCAACGATTGCAAGAGGCTAATGTGGTCATAGGAAGCTGCAGCGTGTAGGAGAGAATAGCCATGGGCATCTTGCGCAGAGGCGAGTTCTGGCTTAGAACGAAGGAGAGGCAGCAGGCGTGGGTCTGGATCTGGAGTGACTGCGGCCAGGAGGAATGGATTGAGATCGGACATGGTCGGATGAGGAGGATGTGTAGTAACAATGGTCGTTGACCGTTCTTCAACGCTCTTCAGTTTAATGCCATGAGAGAGGATTTATTTCCTGTCTCGTGGCGCGGAGAAGCACCGAAAGCATCCACCTCGAAAATAATAGATTGGGGTGGTGGGAACGTCATCTTTGAACAAAATTCCTTGGGAGCAAGGCTGACTAGCCAAATAAATCCTCAGTTTCAATTGCCAGAAGCGAACCAGACTGACCAGAGTCCATAGAGTTTCAAGTCGTACTTCCTCGCCCTGACTGTTCTTTTCTGGGTAATCCGTCCTGCGCTCTGTGAGCCAGTGTGACGACTTTGCCACTTACAGTCAGGAGTGTGCCTTCCCTTTCACTGGCTCTTGCAGGGTCATGATTACTGGTATTAATTAAACTCTTCACCAACTTCAGGTCTAATTCGAACTGGTCTCTACACCACCACAACCTCACCCACCACATTCGCCCGTGGATTTTTTTGCTCTTCTTGCTGGCTGCTGGTTTCTTCTTGTTTTCTGAGGACCTGTCGCCATCATGACGCAGGATCCTAGCCAGGTGGCTGAGCTCTGCAAAGCGCTTGAAGCTGCGAAGGGCAAAGGCAGAGGCGGTAAGAAGGGGGGCTACTCGTGCAAGAAAACGACTTTCCCCGTCGAAGGGTCCTCGGGTATCACTGTTGATTCATGGCGTTTCAACGACTGGGACTACAAACGGGACGACCTGCCGACCTATGCACGCGGGCTCTTCACAACCAGACGATCCGATGGAACCCATGAGATTGCCGTCCGGGGCTACGACAAGTTTTTCAATGTCGACGAAGTGCCCAGCACGAAATGGGAGAATATCGAACGAGATACGATGGGCCCATATGAACTCAGCGTCAAAGAAAATGGCTGTATTATCTTCATGTCTGGCCTCGAGGATGGAACGCTTCTTGTTTGCAGCAAACATTCGACCGGTGCTCGTTCTGACATCACCCAAAGTCATGCCCTCGTAGGAGAGAAGTGGGCGAAGCAACACGTGGAAGGCGTGGGAAAGACTACTCGAGATCTAGCGAAAGCGTTACGGGCATTGAACGCAACCGCGGTTGGTGAACTGTGCGATGATGAATTTGAAGAACATGTCCTTGAATACCCCCCGGAACGCGCTGGTCTATACCTCCACGGCATCAACCTCAACTTGCCCGAATTTGCCACACTATCCGGACCAGAAGTACATGAGTTTGCTGACAACTGGGGCTTCAAGAAAGCTCAGTATATTATCATTCGATCTCTCGATGAGGTCAAAACATTTCTTCACAAGTGTGCCGAGACCGGTTCTTGGGAAGGTCGAGACACGGAAGGGTTCGTCGTCAGATGCAAGAAGAGGAGTCGAGACCACAGCCATGTAGACGACTGGTTTTTCAAGTACAAGTTTGAGGAGCCATATTTGATGTACCGACAATGGCGTGAGGCTACCAAAGCCATCATCGCCGGAAACACCCCGAGAATCAAGAAGCACAAGAAAATAACAGAAGAGTACCTTCTCTACGCCCGCCGCCAACTGGCCAAAGACCCGACATTGGGAAAGGCCTACAATCAAAATCATGGAATCATCAAGATGCGCGATGGCTTTCTCGCGGAGAAGGGGCAGAAGGGCTCGGACCTCATTGCGCAAGAGCGGGCACAAGGAAATGGGCCAACTGAGGACGACACGGGCGCAAACGTTGTTCTGGTGCCAATCGCAACAATCGGATGTGGCAAAACCACGGTTGCAACTGCACTGGTGAAGCTCTTCGGCTTTGGACACGTTCAAAACGACAACATCGAGGGACAGAGAGGCCGGCCACAGCGTTTTGCCAATGCCATCACCAATGCCCTGGCAGGACACAAGGTGGTGATCGCTGACCGGAGCAACCACCAGAAGCGAGAACGGCAACAACTCATCAACGATGTCAGCAGGGTGGTTCCAGACGCTCGATTTGTGGCCTTGCATTATGTGCACGAACCGAAAGCGCAGATGCTAGATGAGATCCGTCGAGTCACCCGTCAGCGAGTGCTTGACCGCGGAGACAATCATCAGACCATCCGGGCAAGCAGCAAGAGCTCGAGTGAGATCACCGAAATCATGGATGGGTTTTTGTATCGATTCCAAGGATGCGATACCAATGGCCCGCCGGACTCTGAGTTTGACGAGGTGATCAACCTGGATGTTTGTGCATCATCACTGCAAAACCTGGAGACGATTGTTACCCGTTTGTACAACGCCTACCCGGGACTGCTGCCAGACGAGATGCCCGGAGAGCAGGACATGCAAGCGGCGATTGACTATGCTCTGAACGCCGAGGTCAAAACCAAGCACGATTTGTCGTTCGGCAAACCAGCCCAGGCGGGGAAGAAGCAGAATCAGACGAAGCTGCCACTGAGCCAGGCTGCAGAAAAAGTGCTGACACCAGAACAGTTGATCAGCAAACTGGAATACTTCAGCGTGCCAGTATCTGTGACTAACATCAATTCCATTCTCTCGTCCCTGTTCAAGCAGGCCAGCCCAGAAGAAAGCCGTATGTACCTGACGTTGAAACAGGCACAGCGCATTCAAAGTGAATTTCATGTGACCCTAATTCATCGAGCGTCGGCACAACAACATCCTGACCTGTGGCAGCTGTACATTGAGGAATACCGGAAGGCCATTGCCATAGTTGACCTCAAGGACAAGAACAAGCTGGTGCCCAGCCTGGGGTCGGCACGAATCAAGTTGGAGAGGCTGGTCTGGGATGACCGTATCATGGCGTTTGTGATACGAATCTACCCGGCCGCAGGCGGACCTCTCTGGCCCAGTGCCAACCCAGTCACGCATATCACGGTGGGGACTGCGCGACAAGACGTCAAACCAGTAGAGAGCAATAACCTTCTGGCTCGGTGGGAGGCCGGTGACCAAAGTGGAGGTATCATTTATGACAAGGAGGTGCCAGGAGGAATTATTCTCGAGGGCAGCGTCAAGCCGGTCTTCCAACGCCACTTTTTGGACGGGCGGTAGGAAGAGTAGGGGAAACAAGAACAGGTCGACATCAATCCTCACACTGGAACCAGCGGAAAGGCATGATATTCACGTTGTATGGCGGGATATGGAGTGAAGGTCAGAAGGTGAAGCATTTGTGATTGGCCGGTTGCTGGTGACGGTTGCTATGGCAGCAGAAGTGGAGAGAAGGTGCCAACGGGGCCAAACAACGCCAGGCGCGCCAACGTGCAACGGTGGTAATTCCGGGTACCTGGTATGGTTCTGTGGAACTGGAACGGTACTGCTACGCGTCTGGCCGGGACGAACATGTCTTACAGCTCGCAGTGTGTGGAAATCCCTAAACACCTACGGCCAGGGATGCGGTCAGGCGCACAACAATGAAACATGTTACCTGTAATTACATGAGTAACTTCTCAGTAACACTGGCAACCGAAGACTTCGGCTCCCTTGCAGTGTAAGGTATCCGTATCCGTACCTAAGGCACCTCTTAGAGACCTTCCTGTGTCCACATAGGTCTCTACCCGACTTTCTAGGTACGTACAGATGTACCTAGGTATCCGTGATCCTTTGTCCCAGACCTTGTCCGTTTCTTATCACGGTGCATTGGGTTCAAGAGCTGTTGCATCAGTTTACCGGTGCATCATCAACGGCCACGGACTACCACAGTGATACAGCTGCCACATATCAACCATTCTACCAGGTACCGAGAGAGGACGAAGTGGGCGAGGGCGACGATACACATACCTAATAGATACCTGGTACCGTACCACGGCGGGGCCCTGTGTTTCCAGAGCTGCCAGTGCGCGCGCCTCGCCTCGACTCGAAGCCGGCCGTGAAATCTGGTTGCCAAGGAAAAACAACAGAAGCTCCACCGGCACCGTGACTGGCGCCCGGAGCCAGTCTGAGGCTGCACTTCAGTGCTGCACTGCGCTGCACTACAACACGGCTCCTCTTCTTCTCCAGCAACAAGCAACACCACCACCACCACCACTGCTGCTACTTGCTTGCTCACCAACACTGCTGTCCCTGGCTTGCAAGCTGAGCTTCGATCTCTCAGCTTCTCCTCCTCTTCCAGACGCCCTCTCTCGCCCGTCTGACCTTTGGAGCCCGCCCGTGTCGTCGCTTGCAATCTGGGTGCCCGCCATCACGTCCTCCGCGTTTTTACGTGCCGGCCCAAAAATCACTGGTACCAACAACGCGCCCCAGCAACCTCGTATTTGTTACCTTCGCAACCAGCACAGCTTCTCCCATCCCATCAACAAGTCAGTGACCGGCACCATTTCTGGAAACACTGCCTATCCTCGTAGCACCCTCGCATTCTCAGGGAACATCTCGTCCAGACACGTCCAGAGAGCTCGTGCGTCATTCCCCAATCATGTTCGAATTCCTCACTCAAATCATACTAACCTGGCCTGGGATACAGCTCTCTGACTTGTTCTCTAGCACCGTCAACTTCGTCTTCCTCCTACCTGACCACAGTATCCTACGGTTGAACCGCCACAACGGCGTCGACTTTCCAAGATGCCTGTCGTAAGTGGTCCTCCTCGTCGCAGTCTATATGTCTTTCACGCGTCTTTCTCACACCGTACTAACTGTCTCACAGTCACGCACTCGGCAGCGAGTAGTTAACAATGAAAATGACGAGAACAACGCCATTCAGTCTACTCGCCTGACTCGTGCCAAAGCCGCCGTTCTTTCCAATGCCCAAGATGCCTCACTGGCGAAGAAACCGCTCCAAACCAAGAAGTCTACCGCAGGTACATTGAATGGAACTCAGAGAAGACGTGCCTTGGGAGATGTCACCAATGCGGCGAAAGGTGTTGAGGTCGTGCCAGAGGGCAAGAAGGCGGTGGGCGGCAGAGTTGGACTTCAATCCAAAGTCGCACAACCTACCGCTGGTGGTGTCCAGAAGCTGTCACGGACGAACTCGTCCAGAGCTGCGTTGGGAGTCAAGGATAACAACACGAAGCCTAAAGTCGGCTCGGACGTCAAGAAGCCTGGCAGTGGTTCTGGGGTGCTGGGGAATGCTCAGAAGAGACGAACCCAGATCTCGACGTCCACCGTCTCCTCGTCCAAAGATGCCACGCCAGATATCGACGAGCCTCCTCGAAAGAAGCCCTGTTCGGAGGAAGCAGTGGAAGAAGCTCAGACTGAAGAGTCGTACGATATCGTTGCCGACCTCGACGCGGAGGACATTGACGATCCGTCTATGTGTGCCGAATATGTTCGTGAAATCTTCGAATACTACTTCGCCTTGGAAGAAGTGACCCAACCCAACCCACAATACATGGACCACCAAGACGACCTTGAATGGAAGATGCGAGGCATCCTCGTCGACTGGTTGATCGAGGTACACACACGCTTCAGACTGCTGCCAGAGACGCTGTTCCTCGCCGTCAACATTGTCGATAGGTTTTTGTCCCAGAAGGTTGTTCCCTTGGACAAGCTACAGCTCGTCGGCATCACGGCCATGTTCATTGCATCCAAATACGAAGAGGTCCTCTCGCCCCATGTGGGTAACTTTGTCCACGTCGCCGACGATGGCTTCACGGTGGAAGAAGTCCTCAGCGCCGAACGTTACACCTTGTCTACCCTGAAGTATGATTTGAGTTATCCCAACCCGATGAACTTCTTGAGGCGCATCTCCAAGGCCGACAGCTACGACATCCAGACACGAACGCTTGGAAAGTATTTGATGGAGATCAGTCTTGTGGACCATCGCTTCTTGGAATACAAGCAGAGCCACATTGCCGCCGCTGCCATGTACCTTGCTCGCATGATCCTTGAACGTGGTGGATGGGTACGTTTGAAACCTCTGGTTGAAGTCATAGACCCGCTGACCGTGATAGGATGCCACTCTTACCAAATTCGCCGGCTACACAGAAGAGGAGATTCTGCCTGTCTTTGACCTCATGGTGAACTATCTGGAAGCACCTGTCGCCCATGAGGCCCTTTTTAAGAAATACGCAAGCAAAAAGTTTCTCAAAGGTAGGCACCGACCACTTCGGTTCTGCGAAGCCTGAAGCTAACCAAGTCACAGCCTCAATCATGTCGAGAAAATGGGCCAAGGATTATGGTGCCAGCCGTCGAAACGGTGGCGCTTCACTGTCGGACTTGAAGGTTGTACAATAGCCGGGATCCTGCAACGTTCTCGTGCGCTGCAGCGGATCCCACGAGAGTAGGACTGCAGTGCCCCGAAGTTCCTTCTGGAAAGCTTGTCAGTCTGGTTTTCCACGGGTCGTCTTCCAGATACTCCACGATACATGCCTCGACCATTACCTTCACGACCGAAAATGATAACCCCCACACATTAGCATCAGCATCATTACAACACATCGATACCTCGTCAGCCTCTACCCAATCCACATCCCGTAATCACGACGAGCTTGGCCTTTGTCACTGGCGCTTTTGCGTTTCAGGGATCTAGGCGACTCGGGAGTACACAGCACGGCCATCGGTTCTCCTTCTCCTTGTTTGGGAACATGAATTTCTGTTATTGTCAACTACTGCACAGGCGTTTCAAAAGTGGTGGAAGCATTGTCTACGGGCAGCAAGTGGAAACCAATAAGACACGGCGAACATGGCGTCATATGGATCCGGGAACTGGGAAAGTTGACATTTGTCCATCTTTTTTTGCGTGATTGAAACTGCTTGACTTGAATTGCACGCGGGTCGCGAATGGGCCCGGAGGGACAGGGGGATAACCACGTGCTTAGGACCGGCCAGGCAAATGAGCTCTTTGGATTGCGAGCGATGGGTGTCAGTGCCATATCTATCCATGGGTATCCGGCGACGACATTGCCTGCAATGATTCATCCTTTGACTGTACCTGAGTTAGGTCCTCCGGGCGTCTATTCCTACGATCGATGTTTGATTAGCCGTCTCTGACTGAGTCCTGGAATACCACTTTGCAGCGAATGACGGGCATGGCGCAGTAAAGGAGGTTGTTAGAGTTAGCTGTTCCCCATGCCGGAGCGGACCATCGAGTCCAAGGCATACATAGATAGCCAATCTGTCGATCGAAACCTGTTCTATCAAGTACTGTCTATGCATACCGCCTTGATGATGCCCTCGCCTGTGCAGTCAATAACTGAGTCCCTCCCCTCCCGGTCGTACACCGAGTCGTGTCATGCATGCCATAGCGTGCCGTACTGCATTGTGCCGTCTAAATCATCATCTTCTTCATCATTCTCTTTCTATAACAGGGGTTGATATATAGTAAGCGTAGCGTAGTGTAGTGTAGCATAGTGTACTGCTGAGCTCCGTAGTTCGTTGGTGCGTCGTATATATTGTATGATAGATAGTATAGTGATGCCTTCTAACCTAAAAGTAGCACACGCCATGCCATGTCAGTCAACATGGTATGGTGGTGTAGCTGAATGTAGATTCTTCGTCTCGTCTGCGATGGGGCTCCTTTTGCGATTTCGATTTCGATTTCAACAGAAAGCCAGGGACAGGAGAGGACAATAGATGTGGTCGTTCCTCGTGTCGTCGGAAGACGGTGCGAACGCTTTGAGAGGATCAAAGGAGAGAAATGATGGTTTCATCCTTCTGTCCTGGTTCGGAGATGTTGAAATGTTGAAATCTAGACGTCCACCCTTCTCCTCCCACAGGTCGGCCGTAGAGAGAAACGAGCGAGATGCAGATGGTAACGTCATTGTGTCTCATGCGGTCGACCAGGGAAAGAGTACGAGAGTCATTTTGTCTCAAGCGGTCACCAGGGAAAGAGTACGACTTGAAGGCGTCGAGAGCAAGTCGGAGGGACGGACGTCAAACTTTCCACGCGCCTCTCTTGTCACCTCGATGTCCAGCTCTCCCAGTCGTAAGATCCGCCGTCTGACCAAACCCGAACGTCGTCTCCCATTCCTGCCTCACACACTGCCGCATCCTCTCCACCAGCACTGCGGCGTCCTCGTAATCCAGGTCCTCACGCGGCCCGCGGCCATAGAGAATGGCGGTGCGTTTGGGGCCCTTGGGTTGAGGGTTTGGAGGATACCTCCTCGGCCCTTGTTGGGCCGACACTGAGGCCGACGGCGACGCCGACGCCGACGGGTCAGGTGGGACATAGTTCAGCGGCGGCCGGGGCACGACATGGAAATGAACATGCGGCACCACCTGGGCCGCTCCAGGCCCGTTGTTCTGCACAATGTTGTAGTCGGCCTGGTTGTGAGGGATGTCGGGCATGACGGTTCGGACGACGGAGCGTGCAAGCAGCGGCAGCACGCGGCCGATCTCGCCCATCTCGTCGGGACTCAGGTCGCCCACTTTGACGCGATGTTTCCGCGGCGCAACAAGGACGTGGCCGCGAGTCAAGGGCATGATGTCCAGAAATGCAATAACGTGCTCGGAAGAGAAGAGCACAAACGATGGCGGGTCGAGTTTGCCGGGCGCCAGAGCCAGAGCTGGAGCCGCATCTGGTTCGGCTGGTTCGGCTGGTTCAGCTGGCTCAGCAGGTTCGGCTCCTGCACGCGGCGAGGCCTCCAGTGGCGAGATGGGATGGTAGGTCCCTGCTATCATGCAAAAGGGGCAGTCGGGCGAGTAGTCATGGCTGCGAGGGTCAGATCCTGTCGCCGAAGAATGAGACGTTTCCGGCACGAGAGAGGGAATGGACCTGTCGCTCGCCATGGTGGTTTCCCAGCGAGCGTACTGAGACGGGGAGTACTTCGTGGTATGTGGTATGGATAGTAAACAGTCATCGTGGCCTGGGGTTAGAATCGAGGATGCCGCCAAGCCGGTGTGGTGTATCTTTGTATCTTTGATTACATGTACGGATACGGGTACGAATTACTATGTTCCTTACTACCTAGGTACCTACCTACCTTGGGTAGGTATACAGGTTCAACGAATACCTAGGGCAATTGTGTAATAATATATGGGATCATTCGCGGTACGGGGTACAGCCTCGCGTACATATGTACACTGCTGGTACGAACTGGGTGCCCTGAGACAATCCGTTGTCGTCGCATGAAACTGCGAGTTGACTACTCTACTAGGCAGGTCTGCTTCTGCATACGGTTAGCGGCGCCAAGAGACAGATTTTATATTCAGCCTCAGGCTCAGGCTGGCATGCATAAGATGTTCTCTACTCTAATGACTGGTGCGATTCATACCTAGTATTATCTGTGCCATATGACCCGGCCTACATACTTGTAGTACCTACTTACTACTGATCAATGGCCACTGCAACGCCTGTTGCCCTGCAATCTACCTGAGTCTTTGCGGCAGATGGACTACCTGATCCGTTTCGCACAGGCGCACGAACCCTTCCGCCGGCCGGAGATCGAGGCGCTTGCAGACCTCGCCCGGCTGCCGTGTGAGATTGTCTCTTACGCCGAGAACTCCCCATTTTGTGTCGTGCGTTTTCCGAGTCTCAGTCTTACCCAGGGCACGGCCAATGCACGTGCGGATGCAGACGCAAAAGCAGACGCAGGGATTGGCGACGACACAATCGACCGGGCGGTCCGCGATTTCGAGAGCCGCGCCATCCTCTCCAAATGCATCTACGAGATCTGGGGCCAAGGGGCCGACTACGAGGAACTGCATGGCGATGTCACTCGCCGAACTCGCCATCTCTGGGATTCGTATAAGTACCGTTCTTTCAAGTTTGCCATCGACTGCTACGGGAACTCACACGACTCTGAAGAGCAGCGACGGATCATCAACGACTTCAGCTATCTGGGGTTCAAGGGCAAGATCATCATGAAGAATCCCGAGTGCGAGTTTGCCGTGCTGGAAGAGTGGCTGCCTCTGGATACCCTGGCCCGTATGTCTAATGGGTCGAGTGAGGCTCCCATCAATCATGTGGCAGGCCCACGCTTGAATAGAGTCTTTCTGGCGCGAAAGATCGGCGAATCCCGCCGGTGGTTGAACGACAAACATGACCTCAAGAAACGGCCGTACATTTCCACCACATCCATGGATGCAGAACTCGCCCTCTTGACTGCCAACATGGCGTTGGCCAGTCCCGGCAAGATCTTCCTCGATCCTTTTGTCGGCACCGGTGGGTTCATGGTAGCAGCGGCGGAACTGGGGGCTGTCGTGCTAGGGTCAGATATCGACGGCCGGAGTTTCCGTGGAAAGGGCGCCGGATTGGACAAGGGAGTGGGCGCCAATTTCAAGAAATATGGTCTTGAACGTCTCTTTGGAGATTGCATCTGTTCAGATTTGACCAACACGCCATTCCGCAAATCCGCAAGAGGGCAGCATCACAGTCCGTCGAACCTCAGGTGGGTGGATGGAATTGTTTGCGATCCTCCCTATGGCGTGAGGGAGGGGCTGAAGGTTCTCGGAACAAGGACGAGAACATCGGTACTACTCAAATCCAACGCTCGGGGTGAAGGACTTGCTTCAGAAACGGGGACACCCCAGGAGATTCTGGTTGACGGCATTCCGGCGCATAAGTTGCCCGGTTACGTGGCCCCCAAGAAGCCGTATTCCTTCTCGCGACTACTGGGCGACATTCTCGACTTCGCAGCGCAGACATTGGTCGATGGTGGTCGGCTTGCGTTCTGGATGCCCAGTGCCAATGAGAATGAGCTCGGCGAGGAAGAGGTGACCCTGATACCCACACATCCGCATCTGCTGTTGAAGCACCAATGTGTGCAAAGGTTCAGCAAGTGGAGTCGGCGGTTACTCGTCTACGAGAGACTTCCGGGACACTTGGATTCTGAGCTTGGGACTGGCGAGCTCGGCCGCGGTGAAGACGACGTCGAAACGACAGCCCAGACGGCCGATGAGCTGAACCCGTTCCGCAGGAGATATTTTCAGCCCGTCGTGGATAGAAACGCCAGCTAATAAAGGCGTTCATACACACACCATCGACCTGGCAGTGTCAACGGGTGTGGGCTTGAAGCCGTTCGCGTGCCCCTTAGCAGGAGTCGGCTGGCGTTCTCCTCACCCACCTGCTTAGGCGTCAACCTTGAGTTTTTCCACTCCGACCACAGCATCGTCCCCGTCGAAGTCTTCTTCATCAACCTTCCCGACCAAACCTCGTTCCCATAGCTGCCTGCCGGTTAGTTTCTTCTCTTCCACCTTGATGCCCTTCTTCTTTTTCTCATCCGCCTCTTCTTCCTCCCTCTGCTTTCGTTCCTTCTCCTCCATCTCTTTGCGAAACTTCTCCCGCCATTCCAGAAAACGTTCCCTCGTAACCTGGGTTCCATGGAATTTTCTGTTCTCCTCCTCCTCTTTCTTCCGTAGCTCAATTTCCTTGACTTCTTCTACTTGTCGTATTCTGTCTGATATCAATACCTCGGCGGCGTCCTTCAATGTGGTCACCAATGTAAAAATCATAGCCATGCCGAGAGAATCTTCTATGGTAGGTTGTAGAGCATCTAACAACTGAGCCTTGTCCACTGAGACATCGAATTGGGGATGCTTGGGTGCATTTGGAGGGGATGTGAGGTCCAGATGGGGAGCCACATCTGGATAGGCTTCTGGATAGGTAACATTGAGGAGGATGGTGGGAGGTTCGCTCGCCTCGCCGTGCCCGTCGTCGGGGACGTCGAGGGTGATTGATATCCGGAAAGAGGTGTCTGAGATGTCTGCCGGATTGGAATGTCAACTTCTGGACAGCCGGTCAATGCAGCGGCGCATGCAAACCTGTAATTTCATCCGGGAAAATGGAGTCTAGAACTTCTCGTTCTTCTTTTTGGTCCTCCAGCCCCATCTCTGCAAGTCTGGATCTGAAGTAGCCGGCTAAAAGTACACAAGGACACAAGGGCACAAGACTAGGACTGCAACATGCTCTTCACTATGCACGGACACTTGGGTTTTAGTGGTTGTGGTCTGGTACTGCAGCAGGCTGTTCAGTTCAGTTCAATATTAAATATAAGCCGACTTCCCGAAACGGAATAGTCTGATATCTCATTCAGACAGCGCAGTCATACCAGGTAGTGATTGCTCTTCTTTTCTTCCTACAAACCACCTCACTTGTCCTTGAAAACCATACCGAGTACCGTGACTCGACCTGGCAGCTGGTGTCTTCCAGGTCTATGAGATGTTGAGAAGGCAGGATTACACCCTCGGTCGCAGAGAAGTCGGCTTCCGTCCAGCAGCTCTACTGTCTACTGGGTACACGGCGAACGTCCGATAGAAGACGTTGATGTTCTGTTGTGGCGCTTTCATCACACCCCTCACTGAGCACTTTGTCTCCTGGTGAAGAGATCCTGATGTATTCGTGTCTCTTTCGCAGAGCTGAGTGGGCGAGTGTACGGAGTACTGTCCCGGCTACTTTGATTGGACATGCTTTTACTCCTACTCTGCAAGGCCCATATCAGTCAGATTATACCTTGTCTCTCTATATATATACATATCCATATGGATGGTGAAATATTCTCAAATGATCACTGTCTCCAAGCATCTATTTTTCTGCCACGGCTGGACCAGCGATGCAGGAGTCACACCAAGTCCTCTAGAGAAGGCTAAGGCGCCAATCTGAGACGGCGCACGGAGAAAGTCGGCACTGGACTTTGCAACCCACATATTCTCCAGGCTTAGGAGGCCTCTCGACCCTCGAGACCGAAGCCTAAGGGCCCTAAAGCCTTAGGAGCCTGTCGATGCCCCGCGGCATCAGAGCAAGCTAATCAATCCCCGCCCAAATCATCTGTCATGGCTCGCTTACCCCAACAAGTGTACTGCACAGTCCACAGTACGACTCAGAACTAAGACGACAATTGTTGAGAGTTGAGAGTCGAGATTTGAGACTGTCAAGGCTGCCCACCGTCCGATAGTCCAGCCCGAACCTTCCATTCCGACAGTTTACGTTCACTCTGACAGTGTACGATGCGCTACTCTGGAATTGTATAGATGGCCTCAGCAGAATGGACAAACCCTGGATCCAACACGAGCCGGACATTTTACGCGTTAAGCGCAGGTCGCGCGTGCAGTCAGCCTGCCAGAGATGTAGACGGCAGAAGTTGAAGGTGTGTAGCAGCCAGCTTTGAAACCCGCTCTAGGCTGAGAAGCATCGACCGTAGTGCGACCAAGAACGCCCGTGTTCTTTATGTCTGCGGTCTGAAGTTCCCTGCATATCCGAGTTCCGCCAAAGGTCTGTCTTTTCCCGGCCTCGCCATGGAACGGTCTGAGATGGGTCTTTGCTCACAAGCCGCTGCGCTGCGCAACAGGAAAAGAAGACTAGCACGTCGCAGTTCCACAGAGAACAGCGATTCAGTCACGCACCAGGATGACGACGCTCATCGATTGTCTGAGGTCGTCAAAGGCGACTCTCCGCAATCACGGTTCAGCAATACGGATGGCCACGATGCCAGACTCATGATAGGAGACCCGCCAACGCCGCTGCCGAGACACAAGGCCGCCATAAGCCTCGATCAGGTTTCCGCCACAGATCCCGACTCATACAAGGAAAGAATCTCCTCTGCTGGCCTAACTCAAGAGGTAAGTTGGACCTCACCTGGAGCGGTGGCAGCTGGGCAGTGTTTCCAACTCTGATTCTTTATGTATACCAGATCATCGACAATTTCGGTCCCGAAACTGTGCTGGAGAGCTCTACCTCGGCATTGCCAGGAGGCATCGGCCGTTCACTGACATCTTCTGGGGCCACACAAGATGAGATCACGGTCGAGGAACTCTTCAAGTTCGAACTGCCGTCCAAGAGAGTCACAGACTACCTGCTGAACGCCTACATGGGGGCGATCCACTGGTTTATGACGGTATTTCACGAACCGACGCTGCGCACAACCTACGAAGCTCTCATGGCGAGCCGAAGTTGTCCTCGGTCCCGCTCCAACCACGCCATCTTCATTCTCCTCATCCTCTCTCTCGGAGCGCACTATGCGCCGGAGGAGGAAGTGCGGCAGAAGTTTCCCTCCTTCAACCTGCGTACCTTTCAGAGAATATCACTCAAGAGAGTCGAAGATAGTCTTCACACGCTTTACGATGCGGCCGAACTGGAGTCGGTGCAGGTTTGCGCCCTTCTCGGCTCGTTCTACATGTACCATGGCCGGCCCAACCTCGGATTTGCCATTCTCGGGGCTGGCTTGGGCTGCGCGCAGGTCTTGTCGCTCCATAAAGAATCATCGTGGAGATGGCTGTCGGAGATAGCAAAAGAAGAACGGCGACGCACCTTCTGGGCCTTGTTTGTCTTTGACAGGTGAGAAGACAGATGGCCCGGGGCTGTACCAAAGAGCCATGCTGACCAAACACTGTCTAGATTCGCGTCCACGATCTTCGGCCGCCCGTGTGGTATACCCGTCAACGACATCCAGGTCAAAATCCCGGAGAACATGGGCGATAGCACGGTCCAGCATCCCAGATTCCGCTCGACTGCGAAAATGCCCGATGGTAAGGTGGAAGCGGTAACGACATTCTCGTACGTAAAGTACAAGGTCAAGTTATATCACATCTCGTCACCCATCATTTCGGATCTATACTTCCACCGGAGCGCCAATGTGTCGGAACTGGCCAGCAAGATCTCGCGGATCAACGAAGAGCTGGTGAACTGGTTCAACAGCCTGCCACCGGAGCTGAAACTGGAGGATCTGTTCCGAAACTCCAATGAGCCCGTGACATCGAACACACGGCCGTTTATGCTCCAAGCGCTGGCGTTGCAGATAGCCTACGACAACGTCCAGATCCTCCTGCACCGGCCCCTGCTTTCGCAGGACCTACGCAAGTTCAAGACGACGGCCAACAGCCCACTGGAGCCGACCGGCGTCAAAGCTTGGCCGGAACCGGGTGTCCCCGTGAACGACGGCCAGCCGTATTCCCGTGACGTGCACCAGATTTTGATCTCGAGCCGGGACCATTGCTGGGACTCTGCTATCCGCTCGTCGAGACTGGGCCGGTACCAGCAATGTCTGATCTCGGCGCGCGACAGCCACGCGTGTGCTTTTCTCGGCATCAACCTTTTCACGGCCGGCATGGTCCTGTGCGTGGTGGCGCTGTCACGACCGCTGTCGTCACAGGCCCAGATGGCCAAACAGGCCGTGGCGCGCATCATGACCCTCTCGCGCTTCCTGTCCGGCAAAGCCTTGCTGTCGGCGCAGACCACCAAGATTCTGAAAGCCCTGGTCCGCTTGATCGGAGAGAAGGAGATCAATGCCATGCTCGCGGGGTCTTCGGCCGTGGAGAACATCGGATACAGCAGTGTGTCCAAGTATCAGTCTGATGGCGGTCTGGTCAAGCGTCACCCTCCTATGGACGACATTGGGGTGTCGACGGAACCGGCCCAGGCCCCGACCGCCCAGGCTCCTCCCTCCCACACACACACCACCCAGACGCCGACGTCAATGACGACCGAGTCCGGGATGGAAGATGCCGCTTTCTTCTCTTACCAGGATCCCGCCACGGCCGCGGATGACGGCTTCGACTTTGCCGGCTTCGAGACCATGGACTTCAACAACGGGATCGTCACGCTGCAACAAGGTAAGCAAGCCACCCAGCCCCGACCATCACCTGCTCTCACACTTGGCTTGGTCATATGTGACCTCTCTCGCTTCCCTTCCCTTCCTTTCCCTTCCCTGCCTTGCGTTTCCTTCTGAACCCCTTTGTTCCGCCTTGGCTTTCACTCCCCGATCCAATAGACTGACTTTACCCTCTCCGTCAAAAAACAGCCATGTTCCCCGCCTCTACAGTCGCCACTCCCGACGCCACACAGCCTGTGACGACAACAACAACAACCACAACCACAACGGACGCAGGAACCACAGCCGCCTCCGCCTCCCTACGAGATCACACCTGGAGTCGCAGCCGCGGCGAGTACAACCCCGAGCATGCGTACGTCAACCAGGTCGGTGGTGGTGGTGGCAGTGGTGGTGGCAGTGGTGGTGCGAACGGCGTCGACGACGGCGGCTTCGGAATCCTCGGCAGCACCGACTTTAGCATGATGAACTCGGTCGGCCAGACCTGGCTGTGGGACAATGTATCGTGGTGAATGCACGTCCTTCCTGTCCCGTCCCGTCCCGTCCCTGTGAGATCAAGTTGTGTATGGTGATGGTGACCCCGGAGACCTAAACGCTTGTATCCGACAGGAGCAGACAGGGCTGAACAAAACGGAGACTCGAGAAATCGTTACTACCCATAACTGCTACATGATGTCTACATACATAAATGATACTCGGACCTAAGCCTGCTTACTAGGTAGGTAGCTGATCCCGTAGGTGTCCGTATTGCTAAGCGGCAATTGGCAACGTCAAAATGTAAGATGCAAGATGCAAGATGCAAGATCCTGGCCTTCAGTTTCTGACAATCATCGGACTGGACCCTGGTTTTGTCTCAACCAAGTGCTATTGGAGCCGAGCACGAGTGACTCGAGGTGGGTGTACCTATTATACACCTCCAGTTCCTACGCTCAGCCCGTCGATCTTGATGTCATCGTCACCCTTCTCGCCTTTCCCCTGCGTCTCAGCCTTGCTCTGGTCGTGGTCATGGTCGTCTTTGCCCTTCTCGCCTTCCTCCTTCGTCTCAGCCTTGCTCTGATCGTGGTCATCTTCCTCCTCGGTCTGGGACTGTTCTTGATCATCTTCAGTCTCGGTGCCGCTGTCTGTATCATCTTCTGTTTCCGAGCCGGTGTCTGCACCATCCCCTGACTCTGACTCAGCATCGCTCTCTCCTGTAGCCGTATCGTCTCCAGGCTGCTTCTCATGCTTATGCTCTTCTGCAGCAGCCGTGACCACTTCTATTTCGGGATTGTCCACCGTAGTGGGGGCTACGTTTGTAACTGGTTCAACTGCCTCAGGACTCGTGCCAGGGACAACGGTGGTGGTGTCTGGTTCAACAGGTGAGTCGTTCGTCGTATGCCACCGTTGTAGTTGTGACTTCTGGAGTACGATGCCAGGGAAAACCGGGGTGAAGGAAGGTTTCTTGGATCTGTCGATGGCGCAAACGCGTGGAAACAACACCATCAGCACCTCATCGGAGTCGAATGCGCTTGAATCGACTGTCACGAGTGCCGTGTCTTCACCGTTTCCCACAAACTCTACGGCATTCCACGTCCATCTTGCGCGGGTGGCAGTGGTGTTGACCTCGTAGTGACTCTGGCACCTTTGTAAGGGCTCCCAGGCTGTTGCTGCTTTTCCGATCACCTGTGCGAGGTCTGATTTGAGCTGGTCAAGTATCTCAGGAGGGAGCAGGCTTCGGACGGGCCGGGTCGTCTCTTCAACAGCTCGCTCCACTCGTGTCGTTTTGACTGCTTCTCTACGACCATCATCGTCGGAGATGGAGAGGAGCATTCTTCTCAAGCAAGTTTTCTTATCCGTGTCACTCATCTTAGCCAGCATGTCCCGTAAGTCATCGTCATCCTCGAGGAGGTAGGTAGGACTAAAAATGTACTCTTCCAAGGACTTGGCTAGGAGAGCCATAACGAACATGCTGCGTGTTCGTTTCGCCGTAGAGCTGTTCGAGGCTTCGAATGTTACTGCGCTGATGTTCGGTATTCTTTCTTCAAAGTCTGGCCAGTACACATTCCACTCGGCAAGGATCTATCGCGACTGGTTAATGACAGCAGCGTATGCTATGGGACACGTCATATACCTCGTCGCTCATGTCTCGCTCCATGGCATGCTTCACAACTTGAAAGCAAGATTCCCATATGCCTTGGATCTTTTGATATCTGTTCCAGAAGTCAGCTGTGTCCGTATCTCATGGAGAAGACTGGAGGCTACTGACGCATCACTTGCTTCATCTTCGCCGAGGTCGACCATGAACTTGTCCAGCCTTGTTCCCAGATCATGACCAGCGCGGTTGACATCTGCAACTTCTTTGCTTCCAGCACTTTCGGTTGGTACAGTCGAGTCACCAGGCATGTCGTCCCTGACCGCAACGTTTTGTCTCTCCTTCAGTGCCTTCAGTCCCTCACGAACACGGCCCAGTTCAGCCTTGAGCCTGACAATTTCCGCATCTCGCTCTGCGATTTCGGCGCGATGGATGTTTAGGAATATCTGGGCCGACTTGCGAAACTTGTCGAAAGAGTCAGTCGTGTCTAATTCATGAGATGAATCTTTCCCATCGTCATCTTTGACATCGTCAAAGGGAGCTTGCATCCCGTCAGTCGCTGTGGTTTGTTGAATTTCGTCCTCCAGGACTTCGGCTCCCTTTTGGACTGGGTCTGACGTCTCTGCCATGAGCTGGGCGGCTGCTTCCTCTGGGCGGGTAACGTTGCGTGAGGCTATGAGGCGGTTGAAGGAGTAGGACGCCTCCTGGGAGACTGAGTTCAGCGGGCTTGTGACACGGAGAGCGGCTACGTAGTTGCGGTCTCTGTCAAAAAATCACCACTTCCACTTGCTCAACGCCATCATAGCAGCGGCACAATGTCTCAATTGACACTCGGGCATATACTTGAGGGCGCGGAAGCGTATGGGGATGTGTCTTCTTTTTCTTTCTCTCAAGTGCCAAGAGCAGGGCGGTTTATTCGCGTTTGATGACCCGTTGTCACCATTCCCGGGGTGAGCCAGAGAGCGGCGTGCTTCTGAATGCAAACGTGCCATCGGGAGTGGTTCTCAGTATGGCGCGCTCTAGACGATACATCGACCAGGTAAAGCACAACGTGGAATGATACCTCTCGTCCTTCGGGCCGTTAGAGGCATCGATCATGCAGGGAATATGCCAGTTGTTCCCCACATGTTCGTGCCATGGGACAGAAATTGTAGAAGGTATGGTGGTGATCTAGGACAATTGGTACCTCGACTGTGGCATTCAGCCTGCTGACAGGTCGATGGCAATCGATGCACAGTCTCAACGCAGTTCGCTCCGTGTTCATCTTTCATTGGTTGTAGGCATGGGAGGGGGTTGGAGGCCGCCTCACTGTGAAAGAACCACAAACGGCTCAGCAACTTATCTGGCTTGCATTTCGGGCATCAACCACCAACGGGCACCAGTTCATGGCGTTTGTATATCTCCTAGACTCATCCGGATGGACCCGTCGTCATGTTGTGCCGCTGAAGGTGGTCGCCTCGGTCTGGCGTGTTTGCGGGAGGAGCCAGGGGACGAACGCCGGAGCGGGTGATATAGCATGCGATGTATCGTAGTCGGGGTGTAGTCGGAGTTGGTGTCACATTGGTTGATCTCACAGCGTCGCCACATAGACGTAAAATGCTTCTCTCAAATGGAATTCATAGGACAGGTTAGACAGTCTCTTAATGAGCATTGGCATCGCTATCGAGATTGTTCAGGAACTGGACTGGACGTTCGGTGGGTTGGCGTTGTCCGCCTAAGGATACGGTTGTGGAGAGAGCTCTCGACCGGATGCTGATTTTCACATGACAGGGTGCAACTGTAGGAGAAAGCGTATGTAACAGCTCGGATGAAAAGGCTTATCAGGGGGTTAAGGCTGGTCACTGCCGGCCTGAGAGTGGTACAAAGGACGCGCCTTAGGGAGCCCAATTTCGATCTAGGTGCCCGGCTAAGGTTCCTGAGCCCCTAAGCCCAAGAGCCCCCACGGAGTGGAAGGGATGGCGGGGGGTTTGATTAGTGGTCTGGCCCTGAGGCCTCCTCAGGTCCTCAGCGCAGCCAGACTGTCGCATCTGCCAAGGCGAGGGGCAGCGTCGAAGCTGCCATTGCATGCAAGTTGAGCGGCGGGTGCGCGGCACCTACAGCCAGACAGTAATAGTAAAGAGTGAGGTACTCCGCCTGTGCGTGGATATAGGTAGACATGTCTGAGTGACTGAACAACCTGAAGATAGCAGTTCTGCACAGTTCATCAGATAGAAGGTACATAGGTAGTCGGTCGTAAGAGTCAGTCGTACGAGATGTCATCGGTCACCGAGTGGTGGTGGGCAGCCTGGGGCATGGAGCATGGACACTATTGATCATACCGCCCGCCTGCACCTGTGCTCCTCTCTCTATAACCATCGCACTCCCCCGCTTGGTATTGTCCACGCCACTACTTGTCTGCGGCGACCTGAATCCAACAACTTGGACCACCACTCACGACACCGACACCGGCCCTCCCCCCCCCAACCACGAAGCAACTACTCCTAGCCGGTTGGCACCCTTCTACGCCTCCCCCCTGATAGCGATCCTGTAACGAGAACTGCTAGACACCTCAAAACCATTCGAACTCTGAAGGAGCTCGAACAGCCTCCATCCTGCCCCTCCTTGATTCTCTCACAGACCTTTCATGGTCAAACCCTGCCATGTCTGACTCTCCTATCACGAATGCGCCTGTAGGGCCCCAAGAGAAACCAATCTTGGACCAACTGCTCTTGATTAGGGACAAGCTGCTCCTTCTGAAGCAAGACAAAAGCACATACATCAAATCTTCGGATGTCCTTCCGCTGTATGAGCAGGTCATCGAGCAGGTCTCGGTTCTGAACGGCATCCGCGGGCCTGAGCATCTGGTCCAGAGTCGCGTCGATACCGTTCTGGACGACTGCCTCCAGCTCATCTCCCTGTTCTTTATGGCTGTTGGGCGCAACAATGAAGCGCCCGCCCTGTACGCCATGACCGGAAACATTACCCGCCTCTGTAACCACCTCAAAGAGGCCGCCTTCTACAGCAAAAAAGACCTAATCAGCCTCGAGAACACACTTGCAAAAATGGAATCGACCCTGGCTGTTGGAAAAGACAAATACTCGTATCACTTGTTGACGAGAATACAACATCGCCTGGAGGTCTGCAAGGCAATGCTGAAAGAATTGCGAGACTTCCTTGCGACACTGTCCCCAGAAATGACTCCCATATGGGAGAAGTTGGTTTCGCTTCTGCGGGCAATTGCGGCGTTGAACACCAGAAGCAAGGTTTGCACATCTTGAACAACAGTGGTGGCCAACTGCTGACAAGTGCCACTATAGTATAGTCAAAAAGATCTGGGCGAACTGCGCAATCAGTTGCTGCAAATCCAGTCCACCATGAAAGACGGTAAATTGCCGGATGAGTCGGGCAACCATTCCTCCGGACAGGACCTTGTGGTGCCTCTACTTAATAGGTGCCTCAGGTTCACTGAAATTGTCGAGGAAAAGTATGTGTTACCTTCCACGTGATACCGCTTCAATTTGACTAACATGTTTAACAGGCAAGGCAAAATTGATGAACGATTCCGGGATGTCTACGATCAACTCATCGAGATCCGGAATCAACTCGACCGCTTGACAATGACACAAGCTTGGTCGCTCCGCGAGACCGATCTGTTTATGTGGCAGCGAAAGTTAGACCGCATCGACGACTCGAGGCGAGATGGTAACTTCTTCGACGCGGAGGGACATCCCGCAGATTTGCATGCTCAAAGAGTGAGAACAACCCCGTATCACCGGAGTGCCCGTTCTAACCAACGCTTAGACCTTGCTCTATCTTATCCGACGAGGTTACGCCTTTATCTATCAGCTTCTAATTGCATCGGAGCCGGTTTCGGAGGCTCTTCTTCCCATCTATAATCAGCTTCTGACCTTGCGGAGATGTTTGGTTGAAGTCAAGAAGGCGGGTGGCGTGTCAAATCCCCGTGAATTGTATCCGTACAGCATGAAACTCAACTCGATCGACAACATGCGGGTAGAGGGAAAGTTCCAAATCGGAAAGGACATCCCCGAAGGGCAAGGTAGCGTCAACGACCTGCTTGCAGAATGTTATGACCTAGCCTACGATCTGAGGACGGCTGCTGAAGAGGAAAACGAGGACGCATGAGCTGATGGCGGTCATGTCCAAATGGCATTTTCGGGAGCATTTTCGGGATCGGGAGCGGGCGCATTGGCGACTCGGCTTTGGTCTCTGGTATGTAAAGTCTTATATTTTTATTAGGACAAGAGTCCATGCGGACAGGCGACTGGGTGGCTTTTGTGCTGGAAGCCCTCGCGGTAACGTGGTCATGGTCCGACGAGAGTGCGGAGGCGGAAAAGCTGGAGGTTTACAACGGGCTGGCGCTTGTCGTTTGTCGTTTCGCAGACGTTTGGCCTGTTGCACGTACCCGTTGCTCAACACCTCGATTTGAAGCTGCAAAGGGCAACAAGAGCATCTTACATCACCAGAGTAAGGAGGCGCAGAGGTAGCACGGCGTGTGAAGTACGCAGTAATCTGATCTGATCTGACTGGCCGCCTTGCGCAACCTCGGCCTTAGCCCCGTTTTACCCCGACCAAGCTGGCCAAGCAGAGGAAAAAAATAAATTGGTCCAGAGTCGCCAGTCCTAAGTCACTGACGCTCTTCCGACCAACGCAGGCAGGACTTCTCTCTTGTCGACCTCCTTTCATAGCCTATAGCCGGCAGGGAGTCAGGGTGCCAGGGTTTCCGGGTCTCAAAAGATGTCGGTCCTGCTACAACGGGCGCCGCCCGCACGAGTAAGATGTCCACTCGACCTTGGGTCCTACGTTCCCGCTCCAAGAGTGTCTCGTCGAAGATATGCTGCTCTCGCTCAAACCCAGGCCGCCCCGAAGAGGAAGGCGGCCATTCCACCCTACCAGAAGATCCTGAAGAAGTTCGAGGACGTCAGAACAATCCTGGGAGCTCGAAAGCTCACCCTCGCCGAAAAGATCCTCTATGCCCACCTTGACAATCCCGAAGAGTCACTATTAGCCAACACCGACAACGGCAGGAGCATTCGTGGCAATGCCAATCTCAAGCTCAAGCCTGACCGGGTGGCCATGCAAGATGCCTCTGCCCAAATGGCCATTCTCCAGTTCATGACCTGCAACCTTCCCTCCACCGCGGTTCCGGCGAGTATCCATTGCGACCACATGATCGTCGGGGAAAAGGGCGCAGACACCGACCTGCCCAACTCGATCGCTGGGAATAAGGAAGTCTTTGACTTTCTCGAGTCGGCCGCAAAGAGATACGGAATTGAGTTTTGGCCGCCTGGCGCCGGCATCATACATCAGACAGTGTTGGAGAACTATGCCGCCCCAGGTCTGATGATGTTGGGTACGGACAGTCACACCCCAAATGCTGGGGGCTTAGGAGCTATCGCCATTGGCGTCGGTGGAGCTGATGCCGTCGATGCGCTTGTTGACGCCCCGTGGGAACTGAAAGCTCCCAAGATTCTGGGTGTTCGCCTGGAGGGCAAGCTCACTGGCTGGGCTTCGCCGAAGGACGTGATCTTGCATCTGGCGGGCCGTCTCACAGTTCGAGGTGGAACTGGTTATCTCATTGAGTATCACGGACCGGGAGTTGACACCCTCAGCTGCACTGGAATGGCCACGATTTGCAACATGGGTGCGGAAGTGGGAGCCACCACCTCCATCTTCCCATTTTCCGACAACCACATTCCCTACTTGAAAGCTACGGGGCGAGACGCCATCCTTGACGCTGTCAAGGGGGTTGCCTACGGCTCCGAGAAGTACAACTTCCTGCGGGCCGACAATGGCGTAGAATATGACCAAGAAATCACCATCAACTTGTCCAGCCTCGAGCCTCACATCAACGGACCCTTCACGCCTGACCTTTCGACACCATTGTCGAAATTCAAGGATGCGGTCCAGACCAATAAGTGGCCAGACACTTTCTCGGCTGGACTGATCGGTAGCTGTACAAACAGTTCGTATGAGGACATGACTCGGGCGGAGGATTTGGTCAAGCAAGCACAAGCTGCTGGATTGAAGCCGAAAGCGGACTTCTTCATCACCCCTGGCAGTGAGCAGGTCCGCGCCACACTGGAGGACAGCAAGACGCTGGAGACATTCACCAACGCCGGTGGTATCGTGCTCGCCAATGCCTGTGGACCTTGTATCGGGCAGTGGAAGCGAACCGACGAGGTAAAGAAGGGCGAAGACAACGCCATTATCTGCTCTTACAATCGCAACTTCCCTGGCCGAAATGATGGAAATCGTCGGACCATGAGTTTCCTGGCCTCGCCTGAGATTGTCACCGCCGTTTCATACGCTGGATCCACTTCCTTCAATCCGATTACCGACGAGATTCCACTTCCTTCTGGCGGAAAGTTCAAGTTCCAAGCTCCTAAAGGCGCACAGCTTCCAGGCTCTGGCTTTGCGGTCGGCAACCCGGCATTTCTCCCTTCATCTGCTGATCCGGATCCTACTGTCGAAGTCGTCGTCGATCCGGCTTCTGACCGTTTGGCGCTTCTAGATCCATTCGAGCCCTTCCCCGCAAGCGAGCTTGAAGGACTAAAAGTTCTGTACAAGGTCAAGGGCCAATGCACCACTGATACCATTTCTGCCGCTGGTCCGTGGCTCAAGTACAAGGGGCATCTCCCAAATATCGCCGAAAATACGTTGATCGGTGCCATCAACGCCGCAACTGGAGAAACCAACGTTGCCTACGATGATGACGGCTCCAAACTGTCCATTCCAGATCTTGCGAAGAAATGGAAGGAGAAGGGGCAGCATTGGCTGGTGGTGGCTGAAGACAATTACGGCGAAGGGTCGGCAAGAGAGCACGCCGCGCTGCAACCAAGATATCTTGGAGGGCAGATCATTTTGGCGAAGAGCTTTGCGCGAATTCATGAAACGAACCTTAAAAAGCAGGGAGTGGTGCCATTGACCTTTGCAAACAAGGAAGACTATGACCGGATCGATGCATGCGATACAGTGGACACCGAAGGTCTGTGGGATGTCCTGCAGAACGGCGGCCGAGGCGAGGTTACGCTCCGAGTCACCAAGGCGAATGGGGAGAGCTTCAGCATCCCTGTCAAGCATACTCTGAGCAAAGACCAGTGTGGGTTCATTCTTGCTGGAAGTGCCCTGAACCTGTTGGCGAAGCGCGGCCAGTCCGAGTGAGCGCGCCGCCATGTTGTTCTTGTTCCTCTCCTGTGTAGGACAAGAAACGTCTGGCACAGCCTGGACGGACCCTTGTTGAACCGTTGAACCCCCTGGCCATACCTGTCTTGGCACATGCAGGTATTGTGGTTGGCTCGTTGAGAACCACCGCAGGAAATTGACCGCTTTCTGCGTTGTCCAATCTAGTCACCGCCACCCTGCCACGCCACCCCAATCAATCATCTCACCCTGGCGGAAGTATGCTGTAGACGACAGGGAATCTGTTCAATCGAAAGCAACGGACGCCGTTTCTTTTAAAATGGACGGAGGAAAGGACTGCTCTGGAGAACCAGCCCGACGATCCGAGTCCACACCTATTTTGCAGCTGTGACATATAAACGTCTGCTCGCTGGGCGGTCGAGGTGGAATGTGTGTTATGGGCAACTAGTCAGACATCATGCATTCGACAGTCCCCTTCAGGGCAGTCATCCTTTTGCTTCTCACCGCCCGGCTCACCTTCGCATGGGGCACGCTTGGACACGAAACCGTTGCGTGGATTGCTCAATCTTATGTTTCCGAGACCACCGAGTCGACAGTCAAAAGCATTCTAGGCTCAACACGCTCGGACTACATGGCCAATGTGTCGACGTGGGCGGATTCGTATCGGTACACGAGTAGTGGTCGCTGGTCAGCCCCTCTTCATTACATCGACGCCAATGACAGTCCACCGTCTTCATGCTCGGTGGATTACAGTCGAGACTGTGGCGAGGCTGGATGCAGTGTCAGTGCCATTGTCAACTACACCTCGATTCTGCTAGACAACACTTCGGGCCAGGCACTCAAGAACGATGCCATGAAATTCATCATTCACTTCATCGGAGACATCCATCAGCCTCTCCACGATGAAGCACTCGATGTTGGCGGGAACACGATCAATGTCACTTATGACGGGGAAGCCACCAACTTGCATCACATCTGGGACACGGAGATTGTGGAACAGCTTGCAAACGGTGCCGGTGCGCAAGAGTTCGCCAAGAACCTCTCCTCAGCCATCAGGGCCGGTGACTATGGCTGGGACGTTGACAGCTGGTTAAACGGTGTGTCGTTGAACGATACTTTGTCCACAGGGACGGGTTGGGCAAGTGAGGCAAATGCGTACGTGTGTAGTGACGTTCTGCATGCAGGAGTGGACGCTGTCGAAGAAGGAGGCGATCTCAGCGGTACTTATTACCAGGCTCACTATGATGTGGCGAGAGTTCAGATTGCCCGAGCAGGGTATCGGTTAGGGGCCTGGTTGAACTTGATCATCACCGGGAGGACGGACGGTTAGAACTGATTTGAGATAGATGGCGTGGATGTGCATGTGGACGTGAATGTGAATATGGCTGTGAAGACCTTGAATTGCATCAACCTGCCCACCGCTACCTCCACTGGGTTTCGTTTTCTCGATCTCGCCTTGTCCCTCCCTATGCGCACCGTATTGCCAATTGATTGCTGCTGGAACTTGTCACTCGTCTTGTATAGATTGCTGGCTTGAACTTGTCACTCTTCTTGAGTAAGCTTTTTGCCTGGGGTCGAACAACGCGTTTAGTTTCGACTGCCGCTGGCCGCTCACGATCCGGCTCCATTGAATCTATGTTCTTCGACCAGCCTTGATCATGATTATTTTCCGAGCTTGGAAACGGATTGTTTCTACCGGGATGCGATTCCATGGCCGGAACTGAATACCACGCCCCTCATACAGATAGATAGATACCAGCATATGCATATGCACGGCATTCGAGTGCCTGGCGCTTCTCTCCGTAGCCGACCTGGTCATCATCGGTTCCGTATCGACCACGTCGCTAGTGCGCAAAAGAGCAGAGCGGCATTTGCAGAGCGCTGAAGGTGTTCATCACGCCTCTGGTCACGTCCGGATCGATCCTAGTCCACACCAGGCCGGTCACACGGTGTAGGGGCAGGGTCATGCCAGCCACGTCGGAACGGGGTGCGTGATCCCATGCCTTGTTCCACCGGGGTCGGGTCAGCAAACTCCGTTGACAGATTGTCTTACAGCAGCAGCAGTAGTAGTGGCAGCAGCGGGTGGTCTTTGCTGTTCGAACACCCAAAGTAGGATTATGATACCTATAGGGATGGATCGGATCAGACAGTACCGGCCGTATCGATGCCTATGGTTCGATGGCAATGGCACGAATCATCTCCAGATCTTGCCGCCGTGCACGACGACCACGGTGTGGACTTTGTCAGGGGCTTGTTGCAACGTCCCCGTGACCCAGCCTTCAACCCCTTCCTTCAGGAGGCGCTGGTAATTTTGGATGGTGGATTGAGTAAACCAAGCGATGTGCGGCGCTACAAAGACGAACAAGGACGACGCATGTTAGCACAAATCGAAATCTGGATGGGACGGCAGAATACACTGTAAAGTAGGGTAGGTAGGCAAGGGGGAACTTACAGATGGTCAAATGTGGCACCTCCGGCTCCCCCTTGGCCAGATCAGGTGTTAACGGGCCCGAGCCTGGCCAGGCCGGCTCGATCTCGAGGACGTCGGTGGCGGCACCGGCGATCCAGCCTTCTCGCAGGGCCTTTGCCAGGGCCGCTTCGTTCACGATACCCCCGCGAGCCATGTTGATGAGCAAGGCATCGGCCCGCATGGCGCGCAACTCCTTCTCGGCGATCAGATCGACCGTGTCGTTCTCCTTGGGCAGACAGACGCAGATGGTGCTGGCTCTTTTCAGGATTTCGTCAAACGACACCCTTCCCTCTCGGGCCGAGTTGCCAGCGTTCTTGCGCTCGCTGATCAAGACCTCGCCGAAGCCGACGGCCCGCGCGAGGGCTTCGATGCGAGTGCCCAGCGAGCCGTAGCCCATGATGCCCAGCGTCTCCTGCCTACAGCCCATGGGTGGACCAGACGGCCAATACACTTTGTTCAGCGTGCCCTTGTCGCGCCACTCGTGGGACGTCGTCACCGAGGTGTGTACCTTGACGATCTGCTTGCGCGCCGCGAAGTATAGGCCCAGGAAATGTTCGGTCACGGCGTCGACGTTGCCCGCGATACAGTTCGTCACCGTCACCCCGCGCCGCGCACAGTCGAGCTTGTCCACCCAACTGATGCCCACCGCCATGACAGCTAGAACTCCCAGATGAGGCGCCTGGTCCATGTCGCCAGGCGTGACAGGGACCACGCACGCAATCACGATGGTTGCGTCCTTGATCCGCTCTGCCACTTGGTCCGGTCGAGTGCGTGGGTGAAGGTCGATCGTGTGCGGGAAGTCGAAGGATGGCATGTCGCAGTGGATGGCTTCGAGCACCACAATGTGGTGTTTGGTCTTGCCCGGCGGTAGCATTGGTGGCTTCGTGAAGGAGTCGTTGGCCATTTTGTCCAAGGGAAATGTGCAAAAAGCGGTGTTTGGATTGTCTGACGCCCCAAGGCGCTCACCTCTCCCAGTAGATTCTGCTTGAGATGTCTGAAGGTGTATTGGTTCTTCTTTAGAAGCACCTACAAAAATCCGTCGTGCTCTTTGTCTAGCTGGTGAATACCCTCTTGAAAGCGTTGCTCTAACAGCCCTTGCCGGTGAGAGCATGAAAACAGGTCAGTCCGTGGCGCCGTGTGTTTGCGGTTCGTGTCTGCGCTCTAGCAGCAAAGTACACTGTACACTGTCCTGTGCAATCGTGGCTGTAGGATTCGGCTTTTCTTATGGTCCGGTCCTTTCTGTCCCTCCCGTGAGTCAGACGCTCTCGTCGCTGTCGACGCTAGCGGATCACCTGCGTCTGGTACCTCGGCAAGTAGATCGATAGCCTGTCCGAGGAACTGTTGGTCAAGGAGAAGTCATAGAAAGGAGGGCGATCTGAGGAGGAGGAATGTTGATGGCCTAGAAGTCAGCAAGACAAGCTGAAGTGTACGGAGTCGAGGTGGGGAATCCGCATACGCCCTTAGGATGACATTTACAACGACGATACGACGCAACTGCGGACTAGATTGAGATTACCCATCCCTCTGATTTCAGGCCTCAGGTAAGCTGGGTCGTATATCATATGCTGTGGAAACCGGTGGATAGCGGTAGAGGCCTGGACAGACAGGTCCAGATCGGCCCCGAGACTTGCTTGTAGTATGCTTGTAGTATGCCTCAACCTGGCTATGTGAATGTACATGTCAATATAGATGCTGATGCGTGTAGATGTATGCTTGCTCAGCTGACCGCGGCAGGAATTATGACTGGCCGTGAAACTCCATGTGGTCAATCCAATCGACTGAGACTCGCTGCAGTCAGGGTCAGACACTCCCCTCGCTGATGCTCTTTTCGTAAATCATGCTTTCGTGACCAAAAGAATACAGGAAATCCTCGTTCCGCACGTCCACACACAATCTCTGGGTCTCATCAGAACAGGCTCAACTTCCGCAACAAGCTGGGGAAATTCCCTTCACCATCCTCTTGTTTCCGGATGTTGGCCGCAACCTGGCTCTCCAGGGTCTCGGTTTCAATGTGTCCCAATATTGTCTCGTCGTAGTATTTGTACAAGGTTCCTCCTTCTGTCCAGATCCGCCTTAGCGTCACCACCGTCGCCAGGGCAGAGTAGACCTGATATTCTTCCTTTTCGATCTCTCGTAGTCGCTCCACCGAGGTATACGACTTCTCCCACTTGGTTCCGGTCTGCGCTTCGTACTCGGCGAGGATTTCATGAGGCGTCGCAGTGAATGAGTGAACTATTAACGTGGCATTCCTTGACGCGTTGGTGTTGACGAGAGCTGCAACGACAAACTTGCCGACACTAAGATCACAGATTAGCATCAATGTCGCCGCAGACCTGGTTCACCGAGAGGGAAGCCTCATACTCTGCCATGGCAGTAAAACTGACCGGCCCATTGCCGTCGCCCAGTAACACTGCCTTCTTCGCCTTGACGTCGAACTCGCCCAACTCTGGCCGGGCTTTCATAGTCCCGAAATATAGGTCACTGTAAGGACCCGTGACCAGGTATGTATGCTCTATCCGCTTCATCGTCTTCATGTGCGCGCGGACCTTCAATTTCAGCTGATGAGGTGGCTCTTGGGCCGACTCGGGCCAATATTCAATGTCGGTGCCATATTCCGAGGTGAAGAACCGCCGCACACCGGCTTGTTCGGCCCACGTAATGAGATTGATCTGCTTCTCAATTCCAGCGCGGCCGACGCAAGACACGACGGTGTCTATACCTGTTGCGATGGACCACGAGTCAGCAATCGTAACTTTGGATTCAACCGTAGAGGGGGAGCCATCTCCCGCGTCACTTGCTTCTTCTGTACCAACAGCAGTAGCTCCACGTGCAGTGTGTAACACAGCATATTGAAAGACATACCCTCATATGCCCGCTTGACGGCCCTTTCGCTCTCCAAGCGAGCAGTGAATATTTCCACTCCCCATGCTTCCAGCGCAGCAATATCTTGGACTTTTTCTACCAAAGTCTTCTCCGTGGTCAATACACATATCCGTTCGAAGTTCTCTCTTGCATCGACGATGGCGCGTGTGATGTATGTTCCGATTACACCGGTGGAGCCGATGATGAGGATGTTTCGTGTCTGCTGCGCTGCGTAGGGTGGCATGGCCACGGAAGGATGACAAGCGCAGTCGACTTGAAACCACTGGGCAACCACGCACTCGACAGTGCTAGCGACTTCCGGGACAGGCGGCCGTCTCTGGACCTGTGAGCCACGCCGGGCGAGGTGTCCTGACTGGGTCGGGGGGTGCCTAGAGTGCTGACAGTGGATCTGGATCGCAAGGTGGCATTCGGCGCAGGTGTAGGGAGAACATCAAAGATGCAGGATCATATACGGCGAGAGGATTGTGTATTGGGGGGCTTTATTCTTTGCTTGAAGAGGTCGAGGCGGGCTTTAGTCGAGCACGGTACAGGTTTGTTTCTGGATTGAAAACGAGCGTGATGGGGTCGGATCAGGCGCCGGCGAGGCAGAGATGTGTACGTGCAAGAGGCGATCAATGGCGTCGACGAAGCAAAGCTGGAAAGCCAATTAGCCCCGGACAACAAAACTGACACCCAAGACTTTTGAATGGAGTCTGGAATCTGGAGTCTGGAGACGGACGGACCATGGGATCATCGGATCATGGGCTCATCGAGGGGCTAAAGCCGAAATGCAGGGCTTGCAAGGGCCAAAGTACAGAGTAAACAAATGCTATCTCTGATTACTCCGTACATAGATTCTATATAACTATCCACATCCATCAGCTTCCCAGTCGTCTTTGTTCTGTGTCCGGGTCTTGTCTTGTCCGCTGTACCTGTTGCATGCTTGTTTCCCTCGTACTCGGGACTGAGTGATATCTTGCATTACTGCGGGCTCAAGATATTTGTGACCGCGAACCGCCGAGTCTCAATTTCAGTTCGACTATCACCACCCCCTGGCCATGCACCAGAAATCTGCCTCCACCGAGCCATACATGGGTGATCCTGGAGCCTAAGGAGCCCTCGATATGCATCAGATAAGAATATGGCTCCCTTTGCCCACACGTTCGCTCGAATGGGCTCTCAGGTTGAAACTGATCTTCGGCTAGGACACAGCAGGCTGACAATCCAGCCATATCACCTGGTAGTATGAGGTCCGCTCGCGACGAACTCTATCCCAAGATAAGCTTGCGCAGAAATACCCGACCGTCCACTGTTTCCTCTGCGGGCGGACGAGTCAGACATTCTCAATCCCTGTCCCTCTCTGTCCTTACGCAGTCCTATGCGTGGCCCCCAAGCCGTGCCAGGATAAGAGCCAGGATGAAAAGCGGGAGCGACGGATAGTACGAGAAGGCAAAGGATCTGGGGGGGATATCATGCCATCCTCCACAGAGGCGAACCTGGACGCTGCTCATCTTTGGCTCCATGCACTCACACCCTACGTCGAGACACACTGACCTGATTAAGCGCCCTCCCTACCAATATCACCGAGACAATGATACCAAGGCACACGCGCCCTATACCCAAACTATGCCACTGTTCTCTCAGTATAGTTTCCAGCCCAACGCTCTCCTCCTGCTCCAAGTGCTGGAGGATCCGCTGTGAGATGTAAATTTAGTCTTGCCCATCGAGGTTGGCATTGTGCGTGGCGGCCGGCGGCTTTAATGACGACCAAAGATACCTATGCTATTTTGTCCCTATTTCCATTTCGATTTCGATCGCGGCACCATTCCAACAGGCGATCACATATTACGCTACTGTACCGAGTAAGACAAGATAAGGCAAGTTAGTATACAGGAATTGAAGTTGCATCTCATTGTTGGACCGCTATCCCTGATCAATGTAGGCCAGTCCGTCCAAGGCGTTGACCCGACCGCGGTCAAGTCGTTCCTCCAGTCTCATTCTGCGCCGAGCCTACTCCCAACCATGTAATGTCAATCGTCAACTACCCAGAGAATCTATTGACAGGCCCAGACAAGGACAAAGGTCGGCATCATTGATCGTCGTGAGATACCAATACCCTGTTCGCCAATATCACTTATCTCCTCATTGCATCAATCATCCGCTCTTGCTCTCGTTTGCCCCAGCAAAAGATATCTCATGAGCAGAAGTACCGGTATTGGCAGGACCCGACGTCGCTGGACCTTGGATAGATCTCTCCCCTTCCATTCCTGCGACAGGTTGAGGGGATGGTTGAGATTGCTTACTAGGCGTCGGCACCGGTTCAGTGCTGCTCATGTTTCTCAGCTGCTCAGGACTTGGTCTCAGATCCTCCACAGGAGGAAGGATTGGTGTGCCGCTAACTGTTCTCCTCTCCGCTGGACCAGACCCAGTAGAAGTTGTATACTGGGAAATGTTTGTCAGGGGTGGGGACATGTTATTTGGTTTCTGTGGTATCACTGATGGACGACTAAGTGGGACGGGAGTTTGCTGCTTCTTCGGCGAAAGACCTGAGAATGGTTGTGTTTTGGGAGTCTGTGCTGGTTGAGCTTGACTCGGGGGACGAGGTGTACCCTGCGGTTGGGATAGTACACCATTGGGAGCTTGTTGTGGATATCCATTAATGGAGGGCACGGTGCCATTCACGGCGTGTTGATCCCGAGCTGGTGACCTCTGACCGATGCCCGCAACAGGGCCAACATCCATATTGCCTTGTGTAGGAGACATGGTTGGGCGGTTAATCACTGGAGATGGGAGACGGCCGCTGCCAGTTGTGGGCTGTCCATTCGCGACGGTTTGTGATGGTTGACGAGGAGTGTTTTGTTCGGCTGACAGTGGTCTCTGACCAGGGAGATAGTGTTGGTATTGATACGGAGTCCCGTTTGAGTAGGGGGAATGACCGGATGCAGCTTGCAGAGGCGGACTCCTCGCTGGACCATTGCTCAAGGGAATCGGATAAGGCTGCTGTGAAGTCTGATTTCCACGAAGAGGATCAGCAAGGTGTCCTTGATGGAAATCAATTGGCCGTGGGTGAGAGTTTGGTAGAGACGTCCCATTGCTAGCTGCATTGGGTTGTGCATGTTGAGGAGCGCCATGAGCGGGTCGCGAATATGCGTATTTCTGGGTGCCGTCGTTATGGACATGTGGTGCACGCGACGGAGAAGGTGCTGACTGACTAGGCGGCGATGACTGGGACTGATAGCCATTTGCCATAGACCCCCGACTTGGTGGATGCACGACATTGTGGCTGGGGATCTCAACACCGGCGAGTTGCAACCTGGCAGGTGCTTGAGCAGTTGTTTGTGGAGGACTTGGTTGAAATGGCGACGACGATGTTCCAACCTTGAATTTGAGAGAGATCTTCGGTTTCTTTGCATCCTCTTCCTTGCGCTTGCAATCATCGCAGACGAAATGAAAGTCGTCTTTCTCGGCCGCGGATTTGGAGATTCCCAAGCATTTGCTGTGTTGCCAGACACCGCATCTCTCACAAGCGACGCTATGAGATCCATCATCCTATATATGGTCAGTCGTGGCAACAGGAGGTAAAAAGAAGGCGCACTTACAAAGTTCTTGCCGTGCATGCCGCAGCCAGAACAATCAAAGGTCCAGTCTTCTTCGGCATCGAGGTCCTCAAGTTCCTTCTTGTTCCTTTCGATCCGCTCTTTGAGATGTCTCCCAGAACCCCGAATCTGACCTTCCTCGATACGTTGCTGTTCGAGGGCATCTCTTGCAAGCTCCTCTTCTTTCAGAATCCGTCTGTATTCTCGGTCCTTGATTCGTTGTTCTCGTGTCATCATTCGATATTGTCTTTCTCTCTCCATCTTCTCTTGTCTCTCTTGTTCGCGCTGCGCAGCAGCCAAATCGGCCAGTCTCTTACGTTCGGCCTCGACTTCTTCGGCCTCTCGTCGTTCTCTGTCATGTTTGTCCGCAAGACGGCTTGATCGCTTGGCGCCGACCATCTTCTCCATCAGCATAAGTTCTCGTTCTCGTCTCTCGATCTTTCGGCGTTGTTTCTCTTCAGCAGCTTCAATGACCGGGATGACCTCCTCCGTGAGCCGTTCTCGTAGAGCCTTTTCATTTGGGTCTTTTGTCTTCTTGAGACTCTCGCACAATTCATGGTAGTCAGAAAGAGTAATGGCGACGCATTCCCACTTATAACCACCGAGTGTGTCGATCTCCCAGCTTTCCAGCTTCTTGTCAACGACTTCAGTTTCATTGGTGCTTCCCTGCTGCTCATCTTCAACTTCGGGTGTCTCAGACTCGAGTTTTCTGCGCTTGCTTTCTCTTCGTCTGGCCGCAATGGCCTTCTTTGAATTTGCCTTGAGTTTGGCTTTTGGGGCAGGCGGCAGTGGAGGATCAGTGCGCCGGTAGAATCGGTTATCATCGAGAAGGTAGTATTGTCGATCATGTCTATCGTAGCCAAACTCCTCAATGCGCTGTTCGGATCACGTTAGTTCAAGAGCTTCTGCTGCACAACAAAAACATACCCATTCGGTTTGATCTGTCTCCCGCGGATGTTCAGGCATCTTCTCCCGCATGCGGTCCGGGTTCCAAAACGTCCATACCGTCAATTGGTGGAGGACTCGTATTTTGGTGAAGATGTCGAAGTTGCGAAAGCGCTTAGGATCTTCTTCGTCTCCGTAGGGGTTGAGTTGTGGTGCTTTAGCGAGGTATTGTCGTCGAGTGTACTCGTCCCAGATGTCATAGCTATATTCAAGTCAATTGGGGAATCCGCACAGCAGGGTCGGGTGACTGACTTGAGTCCTCGATGGGATGAGATCCATTTCAGAAGCGTGAGGCCGATTTCTTCAAGTTTTTCAGAGTAGCCTGGCTTTAGGCATTCGTTCTCAAAATCCTTCAAGACGCAAGTTAGCCATTCCGCGCTTTAAATTCACTCCGCCGAGGCTACATCCTGAGAAGCACGCGCGGTCTGAAAGCGAGCATGGCGTACCTCGATGTCAAAGTCCTCATCAATCTTGACAGCTTTCCCAAAGGTGAAGATATACTGCATCACGGAGGCAAATTCCCACATGTTCCGTATTCTTGAGAGTAGTGAAGGCTCTTGCTTTTTCTCCTCCGTCTCTGAAGCCTCCATCTCGCCGCGGGTGCGTTTTCGAGGCATGATGGAAGGGGCCGCGGGGGGAGGCGACGGTGTGTTTGCCGCGCCGATGAGGGTGCACCAGAGACCTGAGGCCTTGAGGCTCACGGAATGACGCGCCGCAAGACTCTGACGCTCATGTATCCATACAACTGCGCGTATGATAATGGGTAGGGACGTGGAATCAAGTATGCAGTTCTTTTCAATGTACTACTAATTAGTACGCGGAGCGTTCCATTTGGGCGAAACGAGAGGCGCGACGAGCCCGGCCAAGACCGCGTCGGTGAATAGTTCTTCCGGACCGATAACTCCCTTAGTACTCTGTCTGCACGACATCCATCACCATGAGGGCTTAAACACCGTTCGACGTCCACCAATCTAGCATTGGTGACTCTCTCCGATCTTCACATTCTCCAAAATATGTTGCGGTAACCGTCCCACGGCGCTCGGAGGCGTGTTTCGACGGCTATGAATCCAGCCGGACAGAAACAGGAGAACACCTCCGACTTTGTATTTCCCAAGAGCTATAATTTCCCACCTTTCTTCAGTCCTCAACCAACCACGTTGACCCGGGAAGCTCAGCTTAGGAAATGGTCAATCTTCATACAGAGATATTGCAAACACCATCGCATCTTCCAACTCACACTTATTGAAACTCTGGACACGCCGCTGTTTTACAACGCCACACTGAAGAAGCGCCTGAGCCTCAAAGATGCCAAAGCAGTCATTGACTACATGGTGAGCAAGGAGGGTGATGAACGGGCCGAATGGCTCGGATCCGAGAGGGCGTCGGCATGGATTTGGTGGCGCAAGCCGGAGGAATGGGCGAACCTGATTGCCGCCTGGGTCGATGAGACTGGCCAGAAAGGCACCGTTCTTACGCTCTATGAACTGGTCCAAGGGGAGACCGTAGAGAAGCAGGAATTCTATGGAATGGACATGGAAGTGCTTCGGAAAAGCCTCCAAACCCTAGTGAAGAAAGGGAAGGCTCAAGTCTTTGGTGCAGAAGACCAACAGGGTGTCAAGTTCTTTTAAAGATCTACCTTCCAAAGATTGGCTATGGGTGTTTCGACTGCGTTCATCAGGCCCGGCACTCATACAACACATCACGACCAATACTCGCGCCCCAGTGGCAGGCTACACCTCGTATCGCTGTGTCGGTAGGATTTGCTGGGACATGGCAGTCTCGAGGAGCCAGTCCGTTAGAACAATCCGCGCGGATTTTTGACTTCCTTCAGCCATTTCCTTGAATCGGCATATCAGAGGCTTGTTCTCGTTACGCTCATCGGTCAATAGATAGACGTCATCGTTCGCGTCAGTGTCCAGGCCGGCTTCGCTCTCTGTTCGACCTGACGACACCTTCTGCCCTTTTCGATTTCTCCACAGCATACACCGGCCCCCATTGGCTTCGACAATGGATTTGAACGTCTCAAATCCACCACGTACGTTTTCCATGCAGTATATGCTCCGGCCGTGAAGAAGCTGGTTGTGGTTGTTCTGCGCCCGCTCCCGAGAGCTTTTGAGGGTCAGCCCCAGTCGTTTCTCATTCTCTGTGTCTTGCAGCTTGAAAGCCTCCGGATCTGGCACCTTGTTTTCCTTGAGACAAGCATCGATGAAGTCGGTAGATATGACCAGCGGAGCATAAGCTAGCGCCGTCACAAACTTTTGTGTACGAACGATGTATGGAGCTGCTAGATGAGTTGCTCTGGTAGGATCTGTGGTGCATATTATTCCAAGAGTTCGAAGTTGTTTCTGACAAAGTTAGCACACAGGCCTGATATCATGGAATTTGAGAGTACTTGCCCTATCATTCTCTTCAATTCTGGGGTGACCGATCCACTTCTTGTAGTGTGATATAACAAGGCGAATGGTCGGTGGCGGATTGCCTCGCTTGCTCTTCTTCTTCACTTCAGTGTCACTTTGGATGTCACTATCTGATACCTGCCCTACAGAACGCTTCCGACCGACTTCACTTTGCTCGTCATGCCCCTTCCGTCGGCCACCATAGACAACACCTCCGACTCGCTTGCGTTCTTTCTCGTACAGGAGTATATCTGGTGTCATATCATGTAGACGCGCCGACGCAACTTCTTTTGATTTTCGACTGTGACCCGTTGAGGGAGTGACGTTTTCCTTCCCTGTCGGTATTACTTTTGCTGGTGCTGGAGTTAGTAGCTGTGCGGCTGGCGCATCTTTGCTTGTTGGCCTCCGATTGGGTTTCTTCGTCTGGTTGGCACCTCTTGCAGAGACGGTGTTGTGATTCACTTGTCGCATTGGATCTGGTTCCGCCGGGGCGTCCAGTGTGTCTGTGGTGTCGTCGGGGAGGAAGAATTGTTCGAGGACACTGCGATCCAACTGGATGTGGCCCACGACATCACCCAAGTTGGTACGCTTCGGGAAATGAGTGTATCTCCCGTCAGTGATGCTTTGCATTTTCCAACGGGTGTAACTCTCTTCTAGCCAGAGATGGTTGACAATATGGATTCCCCAGTCTTTTGCGGCCGCACATTTCTCGCTCATGACATGTGCAGTAACCAGATGGGTGTTGTCCTGTCTCAGAGTCTTCGTTGATACTGCGCCAGTTGCGTTGATCAAATTTTCTAGGTAAGTCCTCGCTTCGCCGCTGTAGTTTGACAGACTGATCTTCAGGGACGAAAAGCCAGGGAGTCCATTTCGCGCTACTGGGTAGTGCAATAAGCGCCGCAAAGGAGAAGTCCATTCATCTGTCTGAATGAGGAAGTAGAGCCAGGCCAAGTTACCCACGTCTTTTCCTGCTCTTGAAGCAATCTTGTAGTCTTTGCCTTCACGATATTTGCAGATATACATGTCGGCTTCCGTCACAGATTCCGTCAACTTGCCTCCGCTGACTTCGATCATCCCGTGCAGAATCCCACGCAAGTACTGTGAAATGCCAAGGTCCCCAGCAAGCATGACGGTCTTCTTCTTGAAAACCTTTTGTAGCTTACGAGGCTGGTCTGGTTTTGGCTTCTGTCGAGACGGATCAGGGTCAGAAGCACCCTCTACCTGTGTTTTCAACCTTCCACTGGGGGCTTTCTCCATAGAGGGTTTTAAGATGTCCGGATCTGGAAGCATATATGGCTGCTCGTCAATCTTTCTCCCCAGCTTCAAGCAGTCATCCACCCAATGAGGTAATACCATCTTTACTTTCAGCTTCTTTCTCTGAGCGAAGAGGCAAGATTCGGAGTCTGTAGAAAGGGAGATTATGTGAGTCACCTGACTCGTAAGTTTTGTCGAAAATAGACCCCCCATGGCGAGGATCCCTCCCGCAATGGCATCAGAATCGCCCTGCGGGAGGTCGGCGACGCAAGCCACAACATCGGACATGAAGAAACGTGGATCGGGGTTGTATTGACGAGGGTTGAGCAACTTGTCCTTCGCAAGTGAATGTGACACCCAGGTAGGCTTGATGACGGGAATAAGGGCGTCGCAGCAAGCATTGTAGTCGGGGAAGTCGTACGTAGTCGCGACAATGTGGGTGATGCCACGTAGGTCCAGGCTGCTTTCAGGGTAGTTGTCAATAACTACTTCGCCGCCGTGTAGTTTCAGTTCGCTGGCCAACTAGTTTCATCAACTTCATTCCGACAAGGCGAGACAAGGCGAGACATAGTACCTACCGACTCTGCGTCCTTGTCCGACAACGCGGCCGAGCGAACGACAGCGAAGCTGCAGGTGGCAAACAAGCCTTGCCGCTGTGGCTCAATGGCATCCATGTGAGCAGGCAATGATGTGCCAACGAAGCTACGGATGAGATTATTGCAGATATTGAATAGCGCAGTGGTGATATGAAAACATGGCAATCGCAGACGCAGACGCCGACGCAGTCGCTGAACTGGGAGAAAGTTGAACGCGCTTTGCCTGTGGTGGGTTGGCCGGCGCGTCACCGAAAGTGGCCAGGCGCGCGCCTCATCATGTGATCTGAACTTTGCCCATAGCTATCCTTCCGCAGTTGATGCTGCTCGACGAGACGTCCTCTGAGCCGAGTTTCCAGTCTGATGCTCGCATCAGATTCGTACACAATGTCTAGTGAAGACCATCATTGTCTGAACGATGAAATGGATAGATGTTGGCGTGCCACACACCAAAATCCTGGGGATGAAGGGATCCCGGATGTCTTCAACCCTCGGATTCGACCTCGGCAGTTCTCCAACATGCGCCGCAGCCTGGACATTTCCTATTAATGAATTCCCAGTTGGTAATCCAGAATATCCTTGCAACTCTTTCTCAACTTATGTGTTCTTTGTCACATACTTGGACTTGTCCTCTCCTCCTGTGACATGACGGGCATCTCGCACCGTTCCGCAGAATGTCGTCCTTCCACATCGTCGAGCACACTGTCCCCTGCCAACACATCCGACAATACCCAAGAGCGTTGAGTGGCTCGCAAGAGGACGTCCTGCATCTGGCAGTGAAGCAATATATACCAAAAGACAACCCGAACCCACAACCCGGGGACGTCACGATCATAGGAGCACACGCGAACGGGTTTCCAAAGGAGCTGTATGAGCCATTATGGGACGAGATCCATGCTCGTTCGAAAACGAGCGGATTCCGGATCAGAAGCATATGGATCGCCGATGTTGCGCAGCAGGGCCACAGCAGCGTTATTAACGAGAAGCTCCTGGGAAATGACCCCAGTTGGAGTGACCACCCGCGAGACTTGCTTCATCTCATTAACCTGAAGAGAGACCAAATGCCTCGGCCTTTGATAGGCATTGGCCATTCAATGGGCGGAAATCATCTGTATGTAGTCAGTACATTGAATGAGAGACGAGGGCTAACTTTCCTCCCTTGCAGAGTCAATCTTGCTTACATCCACCCTCGTCTGCTTACCACGTTGATCTTGATAGACCCCGTGATACAATTATATTCTTCCATTCAGCCAGAGGTCGGCCCTAACCCCGCTCGTCTGTCTACCTTTCGACGCGACGTCTGGCCTTCCCGAGAGGAAGCAGCCAGAAGCTTCAAGTCGAGCAAATTCTATCAAGCATGGGATCCTAGAGTCTTGGATCGCTGGGTCCAGTATGGCTTGCGAGATCTGCCCACATTACTCCATCCGGGCGAGCCAAACCAAGAAGGACCGCCAAAGGTCACATTGACAACGCCACTTCACCAGGAGGTGTTTACATTTTTGCGCCCCAACTTCGAGGGGTACGGACACAATGGCAAACCTGTCAACCGGAAAACTCACGCCGATTTGAATCCTAGCATTCCTCTCACATACCCGTTCTATCGTTCAGAAGCCCCGCAAGCGTTCTTTCGACTCGAGGAGCTGCGGCCCAGCGTATTGTACGTTTTTGGCGGCAAGTCTGATGTTGGCACGCCGGAAAATTGCAAGGCCAAGATGGAACACACTGGAATCGGGGTAGGCGGGAGCGGAGGCGCACCGGCGGGCCGGGTGAAAAGTGTATTATTCGAAGATGTTGGCCACTTTATTGCCATGGAAGCCGTAGACAGGACCGCCGAGCACGCCAGCGCATGGCTAGCCAGCGAACTGAAGATCTGGAAGGAGGATGAAGACGAACACAACCGTACCTGGCACGCCAAGTCTCTGGTCGAGAAGCAGACAGTGGACGAGACATGGAAGACGATGATAGGAGGTCCTCCACGACCTCCGAAGCAAACAAAGCTATAGCGACGCTGCTCGATCGCCCGGGTCGGGTTGGGTCGCCCACCGGACGACTGGACACATCATGAGGCCAAGGCTTCCGTGTCGACAGAAAGGTCGGATGACCTGCTTCAATAACTGGGTGAACTGAACCGCCTCTGTGAGGGATGGCCTTCTTCGATAACTGGGTGAATTGAACCGCCTCTGTGACGGACTGCTTCCTTAGCCCGAGGGGTAAGATTCGCATCTCCCCAGGTCCACCCTTTCGGATGGCAGGTTATTTCCTCCGGCTCCGGGAGCCATCTTGTGAGCCAGACCGAGCAGTCGACAACTGAGTGATCAGACAGATCCTCGGGTTGTTTAGACATATCCGTATATAACACTAGACTACCGGCCTAGATGGGAATTGATGCAACCAGACAAAGGGTAGAAGTGGGAAGAGTCAATATGAAGAAATATATTCCGGTGGCATGGGGTGTGGTTTGTGGACCTGAGTGATCTGAACAGCGCCATACCCGTATATTTATATTTATCAGAGAGGATCAACACAGGGACATGGTCGGTCGATGCCAGACCTATCATGACGTGAACCGAGCGAGATCTAAGATGCGGCCAGCTCAAGCCCATGGGAAACAAGGAAATAAATTCGAGCATTTATTTCCTAGAATTGGAATCCCGTCTCCCCCGTGCGTCTACATGCTCTATCCATAAAGAGAATATGTTCTATATCTGCACCAAGATGGAACCCTCACCGCAGGAGTTGTCTCGGTACACATGGCATATGAAGCTAGACGAGGGACTTTCCCCCCCTTCCAGATCAGCCAGTGGATCCGAATGACTGGTGGCGGCTAGCAAGGCGAGGAAGAGGCGTCTGCAGCGACTGCTCGCACACTTTGCACTCTCATCCAGTTCGCTTCTTGATGGACAAGTCAGAAGATGCCTTCGTGGGAGAAAGGAAAGCTGTTGCAATCCATGGATTGCGCATGATAGGTGGAGGAGATGCAGCTCCTCTCACAGAGGCATATGTGTCTATGCTGCAAACGCATAGCTTCCCAGAATGGCATAGATACTCCATGGGGGAAGTCGCTCTGAGGCGGCGAGCATGTCAGCGACGACGCTGGCATTCTTGACACCCGAGGTGCTTGCCATCGACTTTAAATGGAGCATAATCTGATCTGGAATTCCGCTTCCTGGACTTGCATACATTCCAGCCACATAGAACGGGAACAGAAGAGTATAGCAATGCATTTTCTGCGATGGCGAGAAGTCATCGGTGCTTTCGCAACCATGGTCAATTCCAGCACATCGTGGTTCGGCCGGCAGTATCTCTAGTGCCAGTGCATCAATCATCTGCGTAGCACATCGAATATGCTGGTTCAAGAGCGGACCGTCATGCCTGGATGCCATGTCCATGTATGCCGATCGACATGTGTCGTGGAGTAAGATCCTGATCATTCGAATCACATTGCAAGCCTGCACTGTAAGAAGATCTGGGTAGACATCGTAATACTGGTCCACGACCTCGTCTGATTGCCATTGGACTGGGATCCTGCGAGAAATCCGGGACCGTGGTAAGGTTTCCGCGAGCATCCTGAACTTATCGTCCAGTAGTTTTGCCTGTACAATCACTTCCGAAGTGACGAAATGCCCATCATGTATTGCTCCGCGAAGAGTGGTATACTCCATCACAAGCTGTGAAACTTGCCATTTTGGATCAATGGTACCAAGGAAGGGCTCGATATCCTGACGCAGCTTGTACATCGCGGGTGGGACTGGAGCATCGGCTGCAATGCAGCTAATGAGTATGTTAGAGAAAAGCCGCACTGAAAGTCGAAGCCCCACGTAAGTATGAAACTGATTCGTGCCTCGCACCTTGACAAGGGCCAAGGCGCCATTGACGTGGCTCATCCAGGAAGGAGACGACCTGGGGTTGTTGTTCATGATCTTCTCGAACAAGTCTAGGAGGAGCACCGCCAGCAAGGTCGAATCACGAGCCGCTAGGTCGGGCGACCCCAGAGCCCTGTTTACCAGCGACAGAGCCAACAAGTACTTTTCCCGGGCAGGCCGTGCAGCACGCACGGAGTAGTGCTGGAAATAGAAGAATGCCAGACTAGCAGCCTCAACGCTGGCTGCCAGATGTTTGTCCAGCGGGGATTGTTTGTCAATGCTTCCGAGAACATCATAGGTTTTGGCCAGTCCATTGACATAGTGAGAAAAGAAGGCGGCTCTGGCCGCCTCTTCAATGGAAATCTGGATGGTCTGCACGTCCAATTTAGATCGACGGCTGAGAGCCCTTTGTCTCGTCGATTCGCTCTCATCTCGAATTCTCAACTGGTCCGGGTCGCGGTAGCCGGAGCATGTGAGGCCGGCTCTCACACATTGACCACAGGCGGCCCTGCGGAGGTCGCACTTGGCGATGGTTAGAGGGGCCTTTCCAGAGGGAGGGAGGGTAGTTACACGAAGCTTCCTCCTTCTGCAATGAGCACACGCTCTTGACGGTTTGCCGATGAACACCATGGTATGCCATGTCACGCTACAGGACCCGTGACGGACGTGGACGTAATGTTGAAGGTTGGACCTAAAACTCGGCCTTCGGGTCTGAGCGGATGCCCATAGTTTTGTAGCGAAGCCAGAAGAGCAAGAAAGAAGCAGGCTGGCACGTTGAAAAGAGATGAATGAATGATGCTTCCAATTTTCGAGGTTAGGAACGTACCAATCACCAGTCGGAGATGTCTTAGTCGCATGGAGCCCAGGCTATTCCGGAAGAGGCAACTGTTACGGTGCTAATACTAATTGAGACATGCTAACTCCGAACTCCGCCCTCTGAGGTCCGCCCTCTCCCCGAGTGTGGCTTCACTGCACTGTCAAGGCGTGAGAGGCATATAAATAAGTCTTCGAGGTCTCTCCCTAGGTAGGTTGTAGGTCAAAGAGGTGGTAGGTTCAAAGTAAGCCATCAGTGAGCGACTTCCACAATCTGCTCGAGGTTCTTCTGCTCCCCCTACTTCTGGATAACGTCGCGGCGCGGTGCATCATAATGGCCTTTCCATACAAACAGGTGCTCATGATCGGCGCCACTGCTGGCATCGGCGCCGCTCTGGCCGATCGACTCATTCTTGAGGGCGTCAAAGTCATCGCGGTTGGCCGGAGACAAGAGCGACTGGATGCATTTGTGCAGAAGCACGGCAAGGAGAAGGCCAGCGCGGTCCGCTACGACATCAGTGACAGGGAAGGTATGGATACGTTTGTGTCGACTGTGACCAAAGCGTATTCCGAGCTGGACTGCGTTTTCTTGAATGCCGGCGTGCAGAGCACCATCAATCTGGCACGGCCAGAGAAGATCGACCTTGCCGCGTTTCACTCGGAGGTGTCAACCAACTTTTCTTCATTCGTCGATCTCAGTATCAAGTTCCTGCCGTTTCTGATGGCCAAGGAAAGTCAGACAAGCCTGATCTAGTGAGTGCGATAGATTCCCATACGCTTGGGCCGACTCTAACGAACACTTCGAACAGCACCAGCTCCAACTTGGCGTACGTTCCCGCATCAGGGCTGCCTGCATACTCCGCCTCCAAGGCTGCTTTGAATGCCTTCATTCTCTGTCTTCGTGACCAGCTGAGGAACTCCTCGGTTAAGGTGATCGAATTGTCACCACCTGTCGTCCAAAGTAAGTCCGCATGACCTGGCCAAAGATTAGAGGGCTGACGCTGTCCAGCTGAATTGCATGATTACATGGGTCAGGAGAAAGGACGGCAGATGGGTATGCCGGTTGGAGAATTCACAGATATTGCGTACCAAGAGCTGGTCTCTGGAAGTGACCAAATCATCATCGGCACTATCGCGGGTCCGGCGGAGGATTTTCAAGATGTCGTCAACAAGAGAAGAAAAGCCTTTGAGACTCTTGCACAGTTCATGAGAGGAAGAAAGTGAGACTGTTGTGCAATGATGAAGACTTCAGAGAACCTCGCCACAAGACCTCGCTACAATGTCATCGTGTCTCTTCTGATCGTGGGTCCTTGGCCAGCCAGCCAGCAGTACGCCCTCCGCCGCGTAGATGTAGGGGGACAAAGACGAGCGATTATTCACAAACTTGTCGAGACAGCCAGATATACCATGGTGCTGGGCTCAATGTCACAACAACTTGAAGGCCACGCTGGACGACGAGTACAACTTGTGCTGGGCCCCTATGGTTTGGCAGAATGTAACAAGGCTCGCTGTCAGTCAGGTCGTATAGGAAGTACGTAGAAAGTAGAAAAAGGGGAAAGCCAAGTAATATTGGCAACTGACCTCTAACTAAGCCTTGGGTGCCTTGGGTGCCTTGCCTCCCTAATTGCAGGCATTAAAGGGGGCGAGGTCTGTTAGAGGTTGTTTGCAGATATCGACTTTCTAGCGGGTCCACTGTCTTTGATTGGTGGCCTCCTTGGGATACGCATCTCGACTACACCTGCCCAGTGGCACACCGTCTCACTTAATTTTCCTTCCCCGTATTGAGTGTATGGAGTAAGAGTAAGAGTAATTAATCACTATCCGTACTCCTGTACCTGTACGCCGTCTATTTCTTATATCTCGAAGTTGGTTGGGGCCCTTCCCTTGTCCAGCATCAGCATCCGCATCCGCATCAGTGGTCTGTCATCTCTTTCAGCATCACACCATGCCGCTCGCTTCGCTATACCACAGGCCCAGCTGGGGCTGTCTGACCTGCCGACTCTCGTGTCCAAGAGTACAAGCATGTCTCAGATCTCAGACGTGTGGCGCGGCCATGTTTACCTTGGACGGAGTACGGAGTAGAGGTCAAGCACGCACGAAATCAACCGACCGGCCACCAATCCGGTGTGCTGGTGACTCTCTCCACACTTCTCCGGACTCTTGAAGGTTCATCCCGAATGGCCATTCTGTCGCCGGCTGCCCTTGATGTGGGTGCAAGTGTCACACTGAACACCGACCGGCTACAGCCACAACCGATCTTGCATCCACCGGGGGGTACCAGGATCCCTCGTGGGCCATGGCCATGGGATCTGCCGTTCTTTTATTTATATCTTTCGTCTCCCTTGCCCTGTTACCCGGTCTCTTTTCTTGTCATTGTGTTACATTTCCTGTGTACTCCGTACTGTTTGAGCCGAGCGTGTTGCGAATTTATCGCAGAGTTCTTTCGTTTTCTTTTTATTCAAAGCCTCTCGTTGAAGACATCTGGTTCAAATACAGAACCTCGCTGTATAATCTTATAACACTCTTTCTTGTCCAAGATGCAGTTGATCCCTCTGCTGGTGGCATCCATTGCCTCGCTTGCGGCGGCGCAGACCGCGACTTCTTCTGCACAACCGTCTACCTCCAGCTCTAGCCGCGCAGCTCAAGAGTAAGACCAATAGACAATCCACAGGAAGTAAATCTCTGGAGTACTGACCAGTGGACAGCATTCTTGATGCCTGCAAAGCGACCATACAAGGCCAGATCAACTCTTGTAGCCAGACCGACTACTCCTGTCTCTGCAACCAATACGTCAACATGTTGACCTGCTATGCGAACTGTCCCAGTGATGCCGGTGTCAGTACCGTTCAGCAACAGCGAGACCAATACTGCAGCGCCGCATCTGTTTATGGCAGCACAACCACCTTGGGAACCGCCTCTTCCACCAGCGGTGCCGCAACTGCCACCACAACTGACTCGTCTTCCGAGACAGCAGTCCAAACCGGCTTCGCCAGTGCCACCGACTCTGGTTCTTCTGCATCAGCGTCCGCATCAGCGTCTGCATCGGGCAGTTCTGGTAATAGTGCAGCCAGCTTGGAAATGGCTGGCAGCCTCGCCGCTTTGGCCCTCGCCGGGTTCGGCCTTGTTTTGTAAGAATATCACATCCAGCTTCTGGCGTCGATCTTGTTGGACGGTCTGACAGCATTGCGTTGGCTTGAAAAAACAAAACGTATGGGCTCTCTCGAATACCATTTGAAGCGGCATGGAACATGCAGATTAATCCGACACTAATTCTTTACCTCATAAACAATGCTATTCCTTCACTTGATGCGCTGTGACCGCCGTTTTGGAGGTGGTGGCTCTCTGCTGTTGTCAACCTCGAGTTTGGATGATGCTCGTTTCAATCCTGTCTTCGTGCTCATCCGCTTCTCTGCTTGAATGGAACTGATCTCCTTGTCTTCCAATACTGCTGCCTGCTTGCCCTCTTCGCTCAGGGGTTTCGTTTCGATTCCCATAAGGGCATCCTCCAACGGCTTCCGTTCGGTTGGCAGGAGCAACTCCATGTGTCCAAGGACATACGAAATCTTCTCCAGCTCAACGGCCTTAAGACCCAACTTCTTCAGCGCGTGCTGAGCTACCTCAAGTAACTGCAAGTACTCTTTCTGAGTATACTTGAGCTTGTCGCCTTTCGTTGCGGGGAAGAACCACGCAAACATCTCATCCTGGAAAAAGGGGATATTGACCGGATCGTAGACATTCAAAATGAGAGTTCCGGTTGCGGGCCCGATCCCCGTGAGTTTGCAAACCAAGTCGAGAGCCGCAGTCACGGTTGACGTGGACGGGGGTGCAGTTGTGTTTGGTGCCTGTAGCTTTTCCCAGGCGAGTTTCGTTTGGGTTTGGACCGCAGTAGGTTCATTCTTCCTCACCATGGCAGGCAGAAAAGGGCGCGAATGGCCATGTGTGCTGGAAAGATGTCAGGTCTCGAACACGCTTGGTTGGTGTCGGTAGTATGGCCAGGGCTTGAACATATGTGAAGCCAATAGCAAAGGGACCGCAAGCCAAGAAAAGGAGCTCATGGTCAGGGACTTATGGTCGAAAGGAAGCATCTGTGTTGAAGAGAAGCTCGTGGTAGGTATATGTACCCGTAGAAAGGATGGCCATCATGTGTGCGGTTGGTTCCTGCATAGGATGGTTCACAATAGCCTTGATAAGGAAAAGCTTACATTTTCCATTGTACCAGCCTCTCAACAGCATTTTTCGTCAGTGCTCCATGTACTATATCCGCATGCGAGCTTGGCTGCTTTGCTTCATTCTCGCCTCCAGGCTTCATAGAGGCAATCGCGGCCGGCAAGTCTTCATAACGCCATTGGTCACGCTCAAGCGCGTCCGCGACCTTCTTTGAATCCTTCAGCTTGCCTCTATACGCCTTCTCAACAAGCGCAGGATAAAGATTCAAAGCTTGCTGGACGGCGTCCGCTGATAAACTCGCTGGTGATGGTAGAGAAGCCATCGCGGTTGCGGAGAGCCCAAAGCACTAGGTGTGAGATATCAGTCCTCATCAGTGACTCTATGTCTTCAGTGAGGGTCGATCGTGTAGTAAAGGTTAGAGACCTGCAAGAGAAACTGGTGAGAACCCTCCTCGGTACCCGATTAGAGGGGGGAGTTCATTAGGAGGCAGACTGCGAGCTCAAAGCGGCGCAGTCTTACCTCCGATATGGGCTGGACTCGCGGGTGCACGTGATATGACTTTATCCGATGTTGGACCGATACCTGTTGCGCTGCACTCATTAGACATTTCATCGCAATGGGATCATCAAGGATGTAATACCCTCTAAGCACACTTCTTCCGTGACCAAGCTTCAACGCCAGCACGAAGCTATTATGGCGACCCTAGCACCAAGACAAGCCGGGTTCGTGTGCCGCTCGTGTCGAAAAGTCCTCGCATCGAACCTCAATCGCCGACAGTTGGTCTCATTGGCAAACATCACTTCAAAACCGGGCGCATTACCGAAGTCTCACAGATATGCTTCTCTCCTCGCAAGAAATAGGAATACCCCTACAGCAGAACCGTCAGTCTCCGAGAAGGTGTCGTCACCGCAATCACAGTCATTCAAGACATTAGACCCTGTCAATATCCCTCCAGAACTGTCCCTCCAAGCGTTCAATCCTGCCGCAGGACTAAAACAGCTCAAAGACGATATCTCTCACCTGACGTCGCAGGATGTTGCTGCTCCTACTGAAGAGGTTATGGCTATAATTCTCAGGTGCTATCAATTTGCCAACTGCATTGTGTTCGGGACAAGCACTGGTCCTAATGAGGTGACAGAAAAGCCTGGGGAAGACTTGTCGCAGGCGGTGCTCCGTGACTTGGCTGAGGATAGGGATCTCTCGAAAGACGGTCCAGTGTTCGTGCCCGACAGGGAAATGTCGGCAGCGTTCCGAGAAAATGCTGCCGAAACAATCGCCGAACTATCCTATGCGCTACTACGCGATCCAAAGGTTTACATTTCCGAAGAAGTGCTTCAGGTATACGTTCGGATTCAGTGTCTACTAGGAAGGCCGCAGTATCTTCCGGAGATTTTCCATTTGTACGCTCACAAGAAGCTCCCGAACCAAAATGCCAAGCCAGTCACGTACTCGAATCCGTGGCCGAAGATGCCCAAGTATGCTATCCCATTTGACCTGGCCGAGGCGGCTCTAGAATCGGCTATCCTCAGCAAAAATCTGCCGCTGGCGCTTGCCATCATCGATACAACGGTGGCAACTCCGGCCTTCCAGGCAAACAAGATCCTGCGACGTGCAACTTTGCCGGGCTTGTTCGTTACGGGAACGCCTCTAGCGGCATACGCCGGGGCGGATTGGGTATCTAACTGGCAGAACACCATGGACGTGGAAATGGCCAAGTACACGGCCGTTGCAGGAGCCGTGGCTTACATTGGGACGCTGACGACGATCGGGTTCGTCGCGGTAACCACGGCCAATGACCAGATGGTGCGCGTCGTGTGGCGGCCGGGAACAGGCCTGGCGCATCGATGGATCAAGGAGGAGGAACGAGCTTTCTTCGACCGACTCGCCTTGGCCTGGGGTTTCCAGGAAAAGCACCGATGGGGCGAAGAAGAAGGGGAGGATTGGCACAGACTCAGAGATGAGTGCGGGATGAGGGACATGATCCTTGACAAGACGGATCTGATGGAGGGCATGCAATAAGCGCATCGGTTACAAAACGGAAATAATGACTATTCTGAGAAACAGATGAGTGTTCTGAGGTTGGTTCATGGCCCTTCATTTCGACTTTTCATTGTGCAACTATGGACTGGATGCATTCGTCATAACGACGACACTTGACCGTGCCGGCCATAGCTTGTGGACCGAGACGAAGTCGGCCATAAAGCCCCAAGTAGAACCTGCCGCAAAGAGATATGCAAGCTAATACAATCTCTTGGGCGGGCTCATGGTGGCCTTGATGGTCAAGCTGCCCACGTTCTGCCAGCCCTTCTTCAACAGACTGACCAGGTAGTTGATGGCCAACATGATGTTGGAGATCAGCTCATCCTCGGTCATGCCGACATTTCCGACGGCGACACCCATGCACAAGACCTTCTTCAACTGGAACTTGATGGTGGACTTGACCTCGGTGACCTTGGCGGCGAGATCTTCGTTGTGAGAGATCGGGGTGGGGAACTTGCCGGCCTTGGACAGACCAGGACCCAGGAGACGGGGGATCTGCTTGATCAAGCTGTCGGAGGAGATGAAGGCGTCGTACTTGCGGGCAAGCTTCTTGATCAGCTTCTTGTTCTTGTTCAGCTTCTTCAAGTCGTCGGACGACATGGCGTCGACGCCGAAATGCTTCGCGCGGTCAATATCGTGCTGGTCACCAAGAACGCTGTTGTCTCCATGTCAGTACAGCTCTCCTATCATCCTTCTTGTCATGATATCCACGATCTCGACCCTCCTGCTTGAGGTGAAGCCAATGCGGGGACAATGGGGGTGGCGTACCAGATGGCCATGTTCGGGCGCGGAACGGTGGGCAGTTTGATGGTTCCGGAGAAACGCTTGTCACGCTGAGGATCATAGTTCTTCAAGCCGATCTGAAGTTCGACGGTTTCGAGGAAGTTTCGCTTCTTCTCGTTCAACGAGTACTCGAGAAGTTGTTGCACGTTCTGGCGCACTCCGGCTACAGGAAATTGTCAGCGCACCCAGTTCACCGAACTCCCACGAGCGAGTATGGATAACGAACCGACTGTGATTTTCGACATCTTGAAGACAGTCTTCCAGAAGAATTGATAGAATTCTTATGGTGAGGCACTACGCGAGAACGGGTTGTCAGAGGGAAAAGACGGTGATGTGCAGTGATCAATGTTTGAGGAAAATCCCAGTGTGAGGAGCCAAGACTTTGACAGGCTAGTGTTAACCACCATGCCATTTTTAGTCAAGCGGCATGCTACAGATAGTGTCGCCTCTGATTGGCTACTCTTGCTTAAGCTCAGGCCGCTTTAAGCTTTTGATGCCTTTAGTACCTAGGTAGGTATCCATCCATACTTCCGAGTATATAGAGAGACCAAAGAAATCAAGTAACGTCTCTAGTCAAATATGTGTCTCTTATCAAGTGGCATGGGGTCAGCGTAGTGAACGTGCTGTCGCAATTGCACGCATAAATGAATACAGATTCATGCATAGTATCCGTATATGTACGGAGTACAAAGTACATGTCGAAATACCAGGTACGATACCGCCTTTGTATGGTATTGAAAACCGCCTCGAATGTTGGACGAATCGTGAACCCATTTGTTCGCTAAAGCCCCGGACAACTGGCGGTCAGTAGGCGGACAAACTGGCCAGGCAACAGCCAGGCCTTAGCCAGCCCAACATACCGTGAGTGAAGTGAGGCTTAGGAGGCTGGGATGTGCTCCGTCCACCCTGGTCTCAGGCACCTGGCCTTCCCGATGGTACAGTACTCCATATGCTCTTCGAGTCTTCGTCCACTCTGATTGATCTCTTCCAGCCTCAACCATCACTTTCAGCAGACAGACAGTAACACCCTGCGACTCGTGCGGCACTGCTCCTCAGCCTAAACTAAACATCCAGTCTTCGTTTACAAAGGCCGCCCCAAATGGCTCAGCCTGAGCCTGACCCGGACACCAATACCACGGCGAGCGAGGACGGCGACGAGGCCACTCCGTTGATTGATGCAGAGGATAGCGCAGGAATGCCGCGGTCAACAGGCTGGTCACTCATACTGCCATGTGAAGGATTCGCCTGGCGCTCTGTGGCCCTCGGAACAGCCATCGGAGTCTTGGTATGTCTGACCAACATCCACTTCGGGCTGCAAACGGGCTACATCAATATCATGTCGATGCCGTCCGCTCTGATCGGATATGGCGCCTTTCAGGTGTTGAAGACACGGCTGGACTTCCCCTTCTCTCCCGCCGAGAATGTCCTGATCCAGACTGTCGCGAGCGCCGTGGGAGCCATACCAGCCACGGCAGGGCTGGTCGGCGTGATTCCAGCCCTGGAATTCCTGACTAGCCCGGCCGACGGAGGCCCCGCGAAGACGTCGCTGGGCCGGCTTTTCGTCTGGTCTCTGGGCACGGCGGTGTTCGGGCTCACGTTTGCTGCTCTTCTACGCACACGCATCATTCTGAAAGAGCGGTTGAGGTTTCCTACCGGCACGGCGACTGCGCTGATGGTCAACGTGCTGCATGAGAAAGACAAGATCAAGCCCTTGGCTTATTCCGAACTTCCTACCGAAGAGAGCGCCGAACGAGCCAATGGACATGATGAAGCACAAGACCGCCTGTTGTCCGACGAGGACGCGATGGAGGTGCAGGAGCCGGCCAAGTATTCTCACATGGGCCTCAGCAACATCTTTCTCGCCATGTCCATCTCTGGGCTCTATGTAAGGCTCGTCGATTTATCCGGGGGGGTTCCCCATCGTTCGTTTGGGTCCATACTAATCAATGTCCCAGACCATTGTGACTTACTTCCTCCCCATCCTCCGCAACATCCCCCTCTTCGGGTCCGGAGCTGCACGGAAGTGGCTGTGGTCGTTCAACCTTTCCTGCGGCTATTTCGGCCAGGGCGTCATCACCGGTCCTCTGGTGCTGCTCAACATGCTGGCCGGCGCTGTAGTAGGCTGGGCCATGTTGTCGCCGCTGGCCAAGGCCAAGGGATGGGCGCCCGGCCCCGTCGGCGACTGGGACACGGGAAGCAGAGGCTGGACCATCTGGGTCTGTTTGGCCGCCATGCTTGCCGACGCACTGGTCGACCTGGTCTGGTTCGTGGCCCAGATGATCCTGTCTGTACGACACCACCAAAGCCACCTCACTCGACTTCGACCCGACCACTTGCCCGACCAACAAGCACAAGCCGGCTTCCGCGTCAGGTCGGCCGGCGGAAAGACCAAGCCCGAGTTCGAGTTCGAGTTCGGCCGGCTCTGGCTCGCCTCGGCCATGACGCTGTCGATCGCCATCTGTGTGGCCGCGACAGCCATGACATTTGGCCGATTCATGCCCGCCGCAGTCACCTTGTTCGCCACCGTCATCTCGCTCCCTCTGTGCGTCATGGGCGTCAAGGCCGTCGGGGCGACAGACCACAATCCGGCCTCGGGAATCGCCAAAATCTGCCAACTGATCGTCGGCCGGCTGGTGCCTCAAGCCAGGCCGCACGCCAAGTTGATCAACCTCGTGGCGGGCGGCATTGCCGAAGCGGGCGCCGTGCAATCCGGCTTTATGATGCAGAACTTCAAAACCGGCCATCTCAGTGGCTCGAGCCCGGACACCCAGTTCTTCGGCCAGGTCATTGGCTCCGTCGCCGGCGCCATAGTCGCCAGTGGCCTGTACAAACTGTACACGTCGGTGTACAGCGTTCCCGGCGACATCTTCCAGGTGCCTTCGGCCTATGTCTGGCACGCTAGCGCTGCCCTGGCCGTCGGCGAGGGCTTGCCTTCTCATGCCCCGGTTTTTGCTGGCGTTACTGCCGCCATCTTCGCGTGCTTCGCGGTGCTGCGCATTGTCTACGGTCAGTCGAAATGGCGCCCGTTCATTCCCATGGGCATCCCATTTTCCGTTGGTAAGGCTGGCCCCGCCCCCCAATTCTAGCTGACCTTTAACCTCATACCGATACTAGGGATGTACAACGTCCCGAGCTTCACACTGGCACGAGCCCTCGGCGGTGTTGCCCAGTGGTACTGGACGTCACGGCTAAAGAAGTCGGGAACTCCCCTGATGGTTTTTGCCAGCGGCCTGATCCTCGGAGAGGGTCTGGCCAGCATCGTCAATCTCGGACTGGAAGCTTTTCGGGCGCCACACTTGTAGTTACATCGAGACTACGGTGGAGATAATTGAGGGGGACAAGGCAGAGAAAGAGGAAGCGAAAAAGGGACAGGAATCAATTGGTGGATGCTACGCGCTATGTTGCCCAGGTTCGAAATGGAACCAACACCTAACATGGGGATGTAACACCAACACGGCGACTGGCTGGATGGACTATGGATATTTCTGGCATGAATGAATGGCCCTCATGCGTCGACGTCTGGCTTGGTGAAGATCATTGCTCGGACTTCGATGCTCCTTCTGGGCGTCATCCCATGCCGGATCTCGCGATGGGTGAAACTTGTATGCGGCGAACCTGAAGAACGACACGCAATCAGAATACCAAAGCCCTTACTGGTCTGCAGGAACCTGGAGATGCACCACTTACAGGTAGCCGGCACATCCCTCTCACTATCAAAGATCTTGATCATGAGCACCTCATCCCTGGTTTGATGGGACAGATAGTAGAACTTCTGTTTCTCTTCGTGTAGGAGGGCCCACGCCTCGCGTACCCCATGCCCGGGGCTCCGGATCACGTCGTTGGTGACGAGGTCACAGCTGCGACAGGTGCTTCCATCGCACACTGTGACGGGCTTGTCTTCCACAGTCCCCGCAATGGACCGCCAGACGCTTGAAGCCTGTCAATGTGCTGTCTGTCTGGCTGGCAGGAAGGGAAGGAGAAGAAGGAGGGAGGGGTTTTACTTGATAATGCGCATGCGGCCACCGTTGCAATACCAGTCCACCTTCTCATGTCCGAGGGCATCTCGGGCGCGTTGCAACGTCCGCGTGGCTTGGTAGGGACTTTGGTCTGCTCAAAGGTGTCATGGTCACTGTTTTTCTGCCTTCTCCTCACCTCACACCTGACTTGGAGGAAGGAGGAACTGACGAGACTCACCGACGTGGACGTTTCCAGACGGTGGGAGAAAAGACGTCTTGTCGTTCATGTCCAGCTCCCGTGCTACGTAGTCGGCTCGCCGCATCTGGGGGGAGAGAGCGGTTAGCGAAAACAATTCCGGCCGTGGTCAGGTCATATCCAGCCAAAACAGACGCACCCTCCAGTCAAAGATGAAAATGTCGTCGACCCCTTCCACCTCCCGCCTCAACAACTCCTTGACCTGTGGTAAGTATTCCCGCTCCACCACGTCTGCATCGTTGAAGTCGTCTGGCTGGAGCTGCACGGGGGAGGTGCGGAAGGTAAACCCGTGACTGTCGAGCGTATAGTTGACCTCTTCACCGCGCACATCCCGGATCGGTACGGGCACTGAGTGGAATTCAAAGTTGCTCTGCCGTGGGTCAAGGGAGTATTTGGGCACCGCCGACAGGTACACAAACGGCTTTTCCTTCTCGTAAAGCGGGATCCATTTGAGAAATGTGAGATCAGCAACTTCGTGACGAGCAGGTGCAAGAGTCATGGTTGTTGTTGTTGACGACGACGACGACGACGACGAAGACGGCCCTGTTCTGTGTTGTTGTGCTGCAGCTCGACACCATCTTGGATGGCGAGACAAAGGAAGATAGTAGCCTGTAGCAGAGCCGCATCCCCGCTATCCTGCAGTTCATACTGGCCAGACGATTCCAGGGATTGCACCCCCCTCTTTTCCCCCTTGCGCTCTCGGTTACAACCACCTCCATGATGAGGGGGATGTGATACCTCAGAAGATGCAAGGGTCTGGAAGAGGAAGAGCTCGGCATGTTGAACCCAACGTCTTAGCGCAAGGCAACCGAGAAACCTCTGGCCGTCCACTTCACATTTTGCAGAAGCTCAAAGTGGCCAGATGCAGATGGTTGATGAGAAGACCCTTGATACTCCGTACAAGGGGGTTCATTCTAGTGAAGCGGCCTATCAGTGATTGCTCTTTCAGCCTCACCGGTTTCAACTTGTGACCTGCAAGCGCTTGAGGTCTGCAGACTTTATGCATCGATGGCTCCAGAGTTTGCTTTTCTTCTGCCATTGGTGCCAACACTGACTATGAGGCGAAGCTGCACATTGGTCGGGTGACATCTCAAGAAACATGATCCAGGTCGCCGTACGCCGTACCCCGCTATAGCCCGTGTCTCGGTTGACATTCGTCTTCGTCCATAGAGAGTTTATGCTAGAGTCCGGACGGAAAGAAGGCGAGCGGCAGATGTGTTCCTGGGCCTCCTTCAGGCCACCCGTCGGGCCGCAACGTGGCAGCATAGAAACCTTCCTGGGAGCCATCTGAACGGGAAGCTTTGTCTAGGCTGGCTAGCCGGTCATACCGGACGTAATCCGACGTGAACACCGAGCATTGAATTCAAGCCCCTGTCATTTCATGGCTATGGAACCGTATTACGTCCCCATCGTCGTCGTCGTCGTCGTCATCGTCGTCGTAACACGGAGTCTTGAGCCTCAGCTGCAAGCCCAGGTGCCATTTTCCTGCTCAACCCTCTCGTCGGAACAGACGAACAATGTTACCTCGCTATCCTCAGTTGGTAGAGCCAGCACCGCATTCAAACGCTGGGACGGTGAAGCGATCCGGCCCTTTGGTAGCTTCCTGCACGCAAGCAGCCATCTGATAGTCTTCGTGGTCCACGGTTTGTTGATAGGGCTTGTGACGAGTGTCGCTGGCGTCGACCTTTTTGATGGATTCGATCCAGTTGGCAGTCTCGGTCTTCTTTTGAGTCTGTGGCATTTTGGCTGCGATTCCTTTCCACTTAATTAGTGTATGAACGTTCGACCACAACGTGTTGACTTAACTGGCTGCGGTTTGGATGGTTACTATCAATAGGCGCTGGGGTGGATGAAGAGTAAAGTGTGTGGTCAAGGGCAAGGACCATATTTAACCACCTCTGTTTCGCGTGCAAAGACGCCGTGGAATATGGCCATGCGGCTCAACAGGACAAGCACACTCCCCGCTTTGAGGCCTGACCAGCTTGCTAGTGCCGTGGTGTGCGACTGAGACTGAAGCTCGCCTAGAAAGCGACCACGGGAAGTAGTGCATAAGTGCCTTGCTGAAAATGAAAGTGAGAGCTGTCAGCTGCGCCCTCCAAACAGGGGTCTCAAGCACCGCGCATCCGAGTGCATGCACGCGAGGAGTGCACAAATGCTGCCCTCCGTACGCTGGACATACTGTTACATCTGAAGAGAGCTGTGACAGAAACTAGTTCAATCGAAGTGATCGGACTTGCAGACTTTCCAGGTGATCTGGCTCATCACCGTGCCGCAATCCCGACCTCATCAAGGCGGGTCCAACTTGGTGCTCAGTCCATAGGATGCCGGGTCTTGAGCTGTGAGGTGAACCAGGTGCTCAGGAATGGGCATTAGCTCCGAGACGTCTGGAGCGCGGATCTCTGCACATCCAACCATCGTTCGTCCACACTGCATGGGCACCAGGTACTCGTAGAGAAATCTTTCATCGGCGACTTCGCCCTCGAATACCGACGTGGGATCCGGCAACACCTGCCGCAAGTATGCCGCTGCCAAAGCTTTGAGTTGGCTAGCCTCTGCCTCGTTGCCCTTGCCTCTCTCAGACAGAACACGGGCTAGGAAGAATCTCGATCGAGCTATGGCGCCTTCAAGCCAGGGCGAGAGCTCCAAAGAATCCAAAGAATTTCTGAGCATATCCCTGGACAAAATTAGCGTGTGTAGAGCTTGACGGTGCAAGGGGCAGAATACTCGGCCATTTCCAGATTTCCCAGTGCGTAGTAAGTTGCGCCGAGGGCATAGTAGCTGTACCGGGTGTGCGTGCCAAAAATACCAAAGATTGCGACGCGTTCCTTGAGAATGCTCAGGTGCGACTCCAAGGCGGCTTCTAGGTCACCTGCTTCAAGCCAGAGGTTGGCCTGAAAGAAAAGAAATTTTTGCATGGCCGCAGAATGTGTCTCGTAGGTCAGGGCCGCCATTTTCACGCAGCGGGCAGAAAATGCTTTGGCCTCGTTGTACATTCGACGACTGGCGTACATGGTTGCCACATGACCATAGGAGATACCAAACATCTGAGGATAAGTGACCTCGGTGACTTGCTGGCTCTTCAATGCTAGGGTCAGCCTGAGATATCGCTCGGCGGTGGCATAGTAGCCGAACTCGAGGAGACAAATCGAATAGTCACTCCAGGCATTGCAGTAGAGCAACTTCTCATCCCGGGTCCCGCCACGGTCAGCTTGCTGCAGATAGCGGTTCCGGAGGTTCAAGCTCCTGATGAAGCAGTCCATCCCAATTTTCCGTTGAGTGATTCCCATTTCGATTGCCATAAGACCCCACAGAGTCAGTGGTTGTGAGAGAGCCATGAGATCGGGATTGTGAACTTCTTGCCATGTCGACACTGAGTCTTCACAGGACGCTATGCCAATTTCAAGGAGACCACGCTCCCAGTAATAGTTCCCGGCATCCGCCAGCAGTTGAGCAAATACTGGAACTTTACCAATGGGGATCGGTGACTTTCGCGCAATCGTCTGGAGCGTTTGGACATGCGGTTGATACTTTTCGTAGACACCCCAATTTTCATTTTCGCATTTCATGGTCTTGTTCATAACCGGGAAAACCTTGTGAACCAACCAGACAGCCTCTCTGAATATGGCATCGTACTTCTGCGGATTCTTGCCGAGGCTGTTGCGAAGATTGATTTGGAGGGATCTGTGAAGAGACAAATACGGTTCTGACCTCGCTGTATTGCGTTGCACAAGCTGTCTTCTGCTCAGATTGGATCGTATTTCTGGGAAGATCCTTCTATCATTAAATTCTGAATCAGCACCACAGGCAGAAACGAGACTTACTCGAGAAAGTCCTCAGAGAACACCCCAATGTCCTTAGCTCCCATGAGCATTGCTTCCTGGATGGCGTCTGGACTCAGCAGGGATAAAATGTCGAGTAGATGCAGGGCATCTGGGGTTAGCTCTCTCAAAGCAATATCCCAGACCTTGTTCAGTTGCTGATCATAGACATGCGTCGACCAGGTCCTTTCCGTTGCCCAAATGACTTGAAGTCGTTGTTTGTCAAACAGATTAATTGCTTCTTGAGTAGTAAGTTGAGATGAGAACATCGAGCCGGCAATATGGGCAATGGCAATGGGTAAGCCTCCCACTTGGTTGGCGATGGTCGAGACTGCCTGCTTGTCGTCGGCAGTTGGAGAGTTGATCTGAAGTAGGTCTAGCAGTAGCTCCGACGCCACTTCCACAGGTAGTGGCTGCAGAGGGATATGCGACCTTATGACCTGCGCCAGCCCAGCCAGTTGACTTGTAACAAGAATGGAACCACGGTGGCTGGCTGAGGGCCAGTAGGGCCGGATAGTGTCGAAAGATTCAACATTGTCAAAAATCAACAACCACTTCTCCTCTGTTGTCTCGAGCCATTCACGCACCAAGTTGATCTTTCTCCCCTGGCCCAGATTGTCGACATCTTGAAGTTCGAGTGTAGTGGCCAGGTTTGAGAACGAGACACCCAAATCTGGTTCTTTCTGAGCGCCCAACCAGAAGACATATGGATATACGGATCGATGGCGGTAGGCATAAGCAAGAGCACACTGCGTTTTCCCCATGCCCCCCATTGCATGAAGCAAGCAAGATCTTTGTCGCGAAGAATTGGCCTTCTCAGGGGGGGATAACACAGAGTGAATCTGCAGGAGAACATCTTCTCTCCCACAAAAGTACTCATTCTCACTGAATGGAACACTGAATATGGAGGTCCGAGGGGCTTTCTTTACCACCTGCTGTCGAGCGTGAGAGACCAATATTTCGTCAATCTCAATACGCGATTCCCTTTCAAACGTGGCGATCTGACTTTCAATGTGGCCTTTGACGTTGGTAAACGTTCTGCGTACATCCTTCCACATGAAATTAAGTAGATTGCCTGTCAGAGTCAGTCCAGCTCTTGAGCCTTCCAAGGTAGGCCGAGTACTTACGCAATGTGCCATGTCGGTAGAATTTCAGGGCGCAGACACAGCATTCCACATAGTTTTTATGAATCGACAGGTCAGCTCCTTCAGCAGGACACTGGACGGCAACAAAATAACGTAACGGTTGAGGCGCGTAACCGTGGTCGTAAGTTCTTCCAACAGTTCTGTGAATTCCTCGAGGGTCCGGAAATACTTGCAGGCGGACTGTGTGGCATTCATGTGTTACTTGGAGCGCGAGAACATCGAGGTATTGGTTTGGCTCACCGTCACAACGATTTGCAGGATACCCCAAACGACCGTGCTTGTGCTGTGTGCCTGTGCAATGCTTGAGAAAGCGGATTGAAGAGACTCAAGTTGCTCAAAGGCCGGCTGCAGTCTAGCGACGCAGCGATGGACAAGCTTCGATTCATGTTTCTGACGCAAAGCATCAAGCTCCCTTGTGAAGGCTTTGTAGTCAAGCGCATTGCCGGAGGGGCCCTGATGAAGACCCGCAAGATATCTTTGATGGCTGCGGAGAGCCTCTTCCCACGAGAGTTCGGTGAACTTCGACATGGTGGAGACCACTGTGCATACTGTTTCCGAGAAGCGGACCTTGAAATCTTATGTACCACGGGAGCCCCGTACCGAGCCTCCCCTTAGATGTTCAGGCGAGAATCTGGCGCAGCGAATAGGTGGTGGGCGGTCCAGCCGCCCCTCGTATCTGCGCCCGGGAATGAGACATGAGGGCTTAAGGCCAACCGAAGCACAAGCATCCATTTCGCTCAGGCCTCCCTTTTCGCAGAGGAGGGGACAGCTACCCCAGAGGAAAAGCATACGGAGTAGAAAGGCTGGGTGGCGCTCGGGCGGCGGTCTTTAGCATCAAGCGACTGCGACGGTAGCAACGAATAACAGCCGGTTGGCAAGCATAGCAGCTCCGAATGATGCTGGGAACCCCTGGTACCTATGGGCAGCAAATGTGATGAAAGGCTCCGGCAATTGGCTGCTTCGTTGGCGAGGGAGTCAGTTGGTCGTTGGTCTTGATGGGCGATGAGGGAAGATGGTAGGGCGCAGCTGAGTGTTGCGTACCTGACCTAGCATTGTAATGACAAAGATACCGAGTGCAAGCGTAAATGCTCGTACATACCTTGTAACTGTAGGTACTCAGTGATCGATACCTAAGGTAGCAGGCAACTCCGCCCCCCCTTGAGCTCGTCGACTCTTATGCAGTCGTACTCTGTCATGGCTCGATGCAGTGCTACCGGGCTGGCTGCCAGGTTGTGAACAAGCCCGGTAGGCGACACCATGGGCCACTCACCGTCGCCTCTTCCCAATGGTGACATGTCACACCGCTCATCCCAACCTGGAGGCCCCCAAGGCAGACTGGCAGACTACCGATTACCAGACAGTGAGTGCTTCTCTCCCACCTCCCGCCAGATCCTGCTGAATGGTCAAAGATAGCAGCTGTGGCCATTGTTCAAGTGTGCCTTGCACGTGCACTGTGCCACCTGTCTTCTGACTTCGAATTGGCGAGCTCAGAGCAAGGTCAGTGTTATCAGCAGGTAGTCCAATGGTGTAATAACCCGGTGACTTAGTGTGCGAAAGCGTGGATGAGTGAAGACCACTCTTGCAGGCTCAGTGACGAGACCTTTCGTCTACAAATATTCGCCCGCAAATATTCGTCCGTCGCCACCTAAATCCTCTCCTTCGCGAGGAACATCTACAAAAATGCAACTCAGAAATATGGAAGAAGTCGCTCAGCGACTTGAGCATCTGAAAGCCAGACTTATAAAAGTGTGCGAGATCAGTGGGATACCCGGATGTTCCATCGGAGTCATTCATCATGGTGAAACGGTTTGGAAGGCGAACCTCGGATATCGTGACGTCGAGCGACAACTGAGCCCTCAGTCGGACACCATGTTCAACCTTGACTCATGTACCAAGGCAATAACAGCTGCAGGCCTTGGTTGCCTGGTGGCGGATGGAAAAGTGCAATGGACCACACCGGTCCGAGACATACTGCCTGAATTTGGTGCCTTGGGAGACATCATCGACAGCCTGATCACGCCTCTTGATTTGTTGTCCATGCGTTCTGGCCACACTATGCTCGACTCCCTGTCGTGGCAGGGCAACAATCATATCTTCTTCGACAAGGCAGACACGGTGACACTCTGGAATGCCACCCCGCGACTGGGCAGCTTCCGCAGCTCTTACATCTACAACAATTGGGGATATGCCATCATTGGGATAGTCATTGAGACTCTGAGCGGGAAGAAGCTCCATGACTTCCTCAAGGAGAAATTCTTTGATCCATTACATCTGAGTCGCACCAAGATGACGGACTTCACACCAGACGACAACAGTTCGCTCTGCTATGCAGTCCTTGACGACATGACTCCAGTAACTATCCCAGCACCTGCCATAGGGAACAATGTCTTCATGGAGGGCGCATCTGGGCTCTTGTCCACCATTGATGACCTCATGGTACTCTACAGCAGTTTCGTGACGGCCATCAATGACCAGCTTGCACGACAGTCGAATTCGACGAAGGACAATCCTTTCAAAGAATGTGGGACTCTGATCAAGGGCCACAGCTTCCTGGAGAACAGCATGGTCCTTAGAGAGCAGTCATATGGCTGTGGCTGGATCCGATGTGAGTTACCGGGACCTCTGGGGATGATTAGCATGAATCCGACCCTGGTTTCGATGCCCGAGGCCGCCAAAGGGTCGCCTTCCCATCTATGCATTTATCACCAAGGTCTGATGCCAGGTTCCTCTGCTAATGTCGCCTTGCTGCCCGAGACAGAGACCGTGGTTGCAGTCCTGGCAAACTCCTCGCCACTCGGTGATGGAGCGGACTGGCTTTCTCAGATGATCCTAGAAGAGGTATTAGAATCCCCGGTGAGGCATAACTATGAGGATCTGGCGCGGCAAGCCGCTTCCAAGGTTTTCGATCACATACCTTCGATGCATCGCACGCAGGAGAGCAGCCGCAAACTTGGAACAAAGCCTTCGCTAGGCCTCAAGGACTATGCCGGGAGATATCTCCACAATACCACGGGCTTCTGGATCGAGATCAAGGCGCAAGGCGAGGCTCTATCTATTGCATTCATGGGCCTCGGGATCGAGACATATGAGCTCCGACACTACGAACATGACACTTTCTCGTGGCTCATGTCTTACAACGACGCAGCGCGGCGAGGACGCTTCGTGCATTACTACAACTCCGAACATTTCCTGATTCGGTTCGAGGGCGTTGACAGAGGAATTGACAGATTCTACTGGCATGCTTCACGAGATACTGGGCCCGAACCATACCTCTTTCTGAAAGCCCAAGTCTGAGTTTGTCACAAGCAGTACCGAGAAGCTTATGGACAGTTGTCAGAATAGGACAGGATAATCAGCCACCACCGCAGATGGGGAGCAAACGCAGGATGAGTGGATGGCCGCTGGCATTGCCTTGCTGAACATTCGAGTACATCGGAGGTGACGGCGACACCATGAACATGCTTAAGTACGCACCAGCAGGTGATTCTGGGTAGCCTGTTCAAGAAGTAGCGAGCTTTGCTTCAAAGATGGTTCAACTCGAGCTATTCCATAGCCTATATGTCATCAGCCTTTAAGCTAGTCATTACTTATATGTATCCGTCCATATTAGGTCGATACGGCCGTCGCTCTCTTTTTACTACCAAACTAGTTTTGGTGGAAGAGTAGATCATTCGTTTAGTAATCTAGATAGAATCTAGTGGTGGCACCCTGAAATATCTGATGCTGCGGTCAATCCACTCGCTATACGGCTACATGACTCTGACTCACTCTATATCCAAAATATAGTTACACCGGATTTTCACGTGAGGACTTCAATGATCTAGGTTCGCCGTGCTGTCTTGCAGACCGTTTCTTTCAGAAGGAAATCCTCGAGTCCGTCTGGAACCATGGCCACATTTTCAATTCGCACACTTCCCAACCCGGCCCCTTCTCACGATGCACTACTCGAGTATTCCTCGCGCCTCCAGGCACTTCGACTCAGAAGCCTGAAACAAGATCCCAGTAGCTTCATCTCTACCTACGAGAACGAAGTCGATCAGCCTCAAGAATTCTGGCTGCAGAGAATACTGGACCCGAAGGCGATTCATCTGGTGGTTGTCCGCAACGACCCTGAATATGATGCCTTGGACAAAGAATCTGGTGGCTTGATGAAAGGCGAATGGGTGGGATTTGTCGTCATCATCGCACCCGACTGGGACGAAGGCGAAAACCAGGGGCACGAATCACCTCCGTACCTCATGGCGGCGCTCTATGTCACCTCAGACTGCCGAGGCCTCGGTCTTGGGAAGCGACTGGTGCAGGCAACCCTCGACACAGTCAAGCAGGCCGGGTCGGTCAAGAATGTAACGTCTCGTTCTTGCATTACCCATGTTCGACATGGGAACAAACAGGCGTTGGCATTGTATCAAAAGATGGGTTTTCAGGCCATCAATCCGAATGAACACACTGAGAAGGAAGGGAGAACATATAATGTAACGACATTAAGGATCGATCTTTAAGGGGGAAATAGGTGGCACTGTCAAGCCCCTTTATCAAAAGGGATGATAGATGTCGCACGTGCTCTTTCGGGCGTGCGGCCAGGTTATTGGTCGAGTTTGGTACAAAGCCGAGCTGACAAGATCGTTGACAGCGCTCTGTACGGCACAAAGGACGAACAGTGCAGAATTAATCCGGCGCGTTGAGTGGACGGGCATGTTTCCAGAGCCAGTTAAGAGAACCGTGGCAACATGGACGACGCGCTGGAAGCAGCCTCGTGAGAATGGGGTGAGCAGTGGGAGCAGTGCAGTGGGCAGTGGGCAGTGGGCAGTGGGCGGAGGTTGACGATTAGATTAGTCGTTAGGTGGTCCTATCTACATGTAATTGCTACAACTAGTACCATTAGTACTAGCAGTACTACTCCGTAGTGGTGCACCAACAAGTTTGGCTTGGCGTCTTCGAACTGCGAGTTCATCCTTGACCTCGTCCACCCCCAAGTGCCCATCGTCCATCTGGAATCCTGCACCGTTATTTCCATCCAAAATATCGACACTCTTTACTGCTCCTGCTCCAGGAATAGTCACTTCCCCCTCTCCGGTAAGCGAGAACTGAAATGCTGTCTGCCTGGTGCCAGGTTTCATCCGCCCGCGCAAGGACAAAGTGGCCACACATGTGCCTGCGGCCTGCGAAAGGAACCACCTTGGCTTCAGCTTTGTGTCTCGCGACACACTACTAGACCCTGCGATCCTCCCCTCCTCTGTGCTCGCCGTCCCTCTTGCCAGTGTTTTACGCGCTTTTGTGCCTCTCACTGACATTGTTGTTCCCCAGACCGCCTCCTCCACATTCACCCGTATCAGCTCCTGGTCAGCTCAGTCGCAATCATGGGTCTTACATTCTCGAAGCTTTTTGACAGGCTATGGGGCAAGAAAGAGATGAGAATTCTGATGGTTGGCCTCGACGCGGCCGGAAAGACCACCATCTTGTACAAGCTCAAGCTGGGCGAAATTGTGTATGTCGATATCCCTCTCCCTTCTTCCGAACATCTCGCTAACATTCCCAGCACCACCATCCCAACAATCGGTATGCCCAGTCATCTCTGCGCGACGCCTTTTCACACCAACTGACCCTTTTGGCAGGTTTCAACGTTGAGACGGTCGAGTACAAGAACATTCAGTTCACAGTGTGGGACGTGGGTGGACAAGACAAGATTCGACCTCTGTGGAGGCATTACTTCCAGAACACGCAGGGCATCATCTTCGTTGTCGACTCCAACGACAGAGATCGTATCGTGGAAGCGCGTGAGGAACTCCAGCGCATGCTTAACGAGGACGAGCTGCGTGATGCCCTGCTCTTGGTCTTTGCCAACAAACAGGATCTTCCCGTAAGTTTGCCTGCGTAAGATATCACCGCCAATTCTAATTTGCTGCAGAATGCCATGAATGCTGCCGAAATCACCGATAAGCTTGGCCTTCACAGTCTCCGACAACGTGCCTGGGTAAGAGCAAACCAGACCTGTTGAAGAAATGCAAACAACTAATGGTTCAATTAGTACATCCAATCCACCTGCGCTACCTCCGGTGATGGTCTCTACGAAGGTCTCGAATGGTTGAGCAACTCTCTCCGCAAGGCCGGTCACAACTGATCGATTTCTGCCTTCACGTTTTGAGAGGCGTCATTGCTCGCAGAGGTCTGGATGACATAGCCAGTCAGGCCTCCATTTGGCCGAAATTCATGTTTCTTCGCAACAAAGTCTCCGCAAGACCTGCAGTGAACCTACCAGATCATCGTCAAGAGTGCTATCACTGCAGCCAGCTTGTCAAGTTGAAAACGCACCGATCCCGCATATGAATGATCTGCCTATGTCTGGTCTGTTACAAAGGTCTACTACGTTGGGGGCGTTCATTGCAATAGTTTTTGTACGATTGCTGGCATGCCTTGGCTTCGGGCGGCAGGACCGGTACTCTGCAAAAACGAAGCATAGGTTGTGAGCAATCAATAGATTTCACTTTGCAGTAAACGCACCTCGGCACCTCCATCTACGTCGTTTGCTGCCCGTGGCCATGAGTAGGCCTTAATTAGCATGTCTGGTCTGGGATGTGTGAATTTCGCTGTCTCAGTATGCGTACATTGTAGCAGTAGGCACCCTCTGAATGGTGTGGAGCAAACCCAGCAAGAGGCCAAAGTGCCAAACCGTAACTCCGCCGCGTCGTATGACGATCTATTGCTGTCTGCCCTGTCACCAACCAACGTCTTCCAAAGTCAATACGGTTATTCAGGCATCCTTATTACTTGCATTTGCAAATGCGCAGCCTGTGTGTGCCTCGGGCTGCCTTCACTCGGTCGACGTGCTTTTGCTGAGAGGCGCCTTGACTTCTTGCAGGCTTCATTCATCACTCGTGCCTCGACCCGAGCACTTCTTGAATGTAAACTTCAACCCTCCGCCGACCTGGAAGAACAAGAAAATAGAATACATCCGGACCTAGCAACAGCGATATGCCTGCTCCTCCTCCACCGCCGCCGCCGCCACCTCCTCCTCCTCCAGGTTCGGGTTTCGGAGGCCCTCCTCCGCCGCCACCGCTTCCTGGAAACTCCCTCCCAGCAGCACCTCCAAAGTCGGTTGCGAAAGGCCGAGTACGTGTTCCCGACTCCAGAAGCAATGAGAGTGCTTCCAAAATCCAAGAGAACAGCTCAAATGACACGGACGAAACAGACTGACATGGCCCATAGGATGCTTTGCTGTCAGACATTACGAAGGGGGCGAGGCTGAAAAAGGCTGTTACCAACGACCGTTCAGCGCCCATTATAAGTTCAAAGGCTGGGGGCGGAGGTGGACCTATAGCCGGCGCACCGCCAGTCCCAGGAGTGAGAGCACCGAGCGGTCTTGCGCCTCCAGTTCCCAGCGGGAGCCGAGCTCGAAGTAACAGTGATACTGGGGGAGATGCCACGGCCAGCCTTGGGGGTGCTCCCCAATTGGGAGGGCTGTTCGCCGGAGGTATGCCGAAACTGAAGAAGAGAAGAGGAGGAATAGACACTGGTGCCAATCTGGACGGCGCTCACTCGGACTCGGAAACGAGCCATCCATCCATTCCTCAACCGCCGGCGGGGGCTGCTCCCCGTCCGCCTTCAATGCCTGCTCCTCCGATCCCAGGAATCAGGCCTCCTCTTCCACAGTCAACAGATTCCGCACCGGCTGTGCCGAGTCCGCTGGCTCATCTCAAGAAAGCACCTCCGAAACCGCTGTCAAAACCATCATCTTTTGTGAACCTGGCAATCGGAAAGCCTCCACCTCCTCCTCCAGCATCACGGAAAGTGAGCACTTCTGGACCACCTCCCGCTCCACCGCCACCTCCTCCTTTATCTTCGAGTCCAGCTCCTCCAGCACCGCCTCCACCGCTACCGCCTTCAATCAGTCCAGCTCCTCCAGCTCCTCCTCCCCCTCCACCGCCAACAGCAAGCCCGGCTCCTCCGGCTCCTCCTCCACCACCACCGCCGCCGCCTACAGCAAGTCCAGCTCCTCCGGCGCCTCCCCCCCCTCCTCCGCCAACAGTGAGCCCTGCTCCTCCCGCACCGCCGCCACCACCACCACCTATAGCAAGCCCTGCTCCTCCTGCACCACCGCCGCCTCCGCCTCCAAGCAGCACGGCCACTTCACTACCCCCTCCGCCGCAATTGCCAATCTTCACGGCTCCGGAACCATCTCCAAGGTCGACCCCGCCGCCACCCCCTGGACCGCCGCCGCCGCCGAGCTCGCCTCCGACAACAAATGGTGCTGGTTCCTCTTTTGCAATGAAAGCTGCAGCTGCAGCCTTCGGCAGGCAGCCCTCTTACGGGGCGGTAGAAGCTCCACCATCGCCTTCATCCCCAGTTTCACCTCCCTCTTCTCGACGAATATCACAGCCCCCCTCGAGGTCGACGCTGGACGCAAGCTCCTATACACTGACCAATGGGAGTTCAAATAGCTCTACAGGACGACTGGGGCCACTCAAGATTGAGGACAACCGATGGAAATTCCAAGACGAATCGCAACTCCCACCACCTCGGCAATTTACAGGTGTACCAAAACGATACCGAGCTGGAAGAGGGAGTAGTGTTCCGCTTGATCTTGGGGCCTTGGAATGAGATACTCTCGCCAGGGGGAGAACACATCCTGCTATTTTCCAAGCGCAGATTTTCCGGAAGAGTCTGGTTACAGTCGACTTTTCGAACGGCAGCAATCAGATGATAAATGGAAGTTTAAACTAGCATTATCAACAGCCGCACGTCGTGGAAGTACAAGTTGCCTACGCGAGAAGCAGCAGCCCCGAAAATTTACATGGATCCTTCGACCAGGGAACGAGGGAAAGGACGTGGACGTCGAGTCATGAGCTCTCCCTTCAAGATGGGCTGTGTGAGAATGTGATATTGGTATCGGCGCCGGCTCGGAGAGTGAATCGTTGGATACGGAAGAAGGGAATCCTATCAGCCATCATATATCAGGCCTCAAGAGCACCAGTCACTTCATCAGGCGACTCCTCAAAAGTCTAGTGAGAAAGGAAGTGGACTAATAAGATATACCAATTTAGATGAGAAAGTCCTTCGTGGGAGACTTTGAGGTTCGACTGAACGACCACATCAGAATCATTTTCTCAATTGCTCTGTATGTCCATCTCGTCTCCTTCACCTAAGCGTAATGCTTAGATTATCGCCTTAGCCGAGGACAGCGGACAGCGGCCATTCTCACATCGAGATCAGTTCACCTTTCTTTCACTTCATACACTAGAAGGAGGATATCTTACCTTATATTACCGCTCAACACATCCTCGACCTTGAACCCAACTCGTCTATAAATACCTGCCTCCCCTCCCTCTTCTTCCTGGATTCTTTCTTCCCAACTTATCTGACCTACTCAACATCCTTTGACACCATCACCTATTCGATCCGAGACCAACTTCCTTGGCCCTAGATATTGAGTCAGTGTCTTTATTCATCTGCTCCCCGTTATTATGTCTCTGTTCCTCTTCGTCACTGACCGGCCTTACTAGTCCTCTCCCATCACCAGCATACATATTCATAGCAAAATGCCTATGGTTTGGAGCAACGATGCAGACGCGAAGGTATATCTCCCTCGCCTTGTCTGGAAGATCACTGTCTTCCAACTCCATGCTAATTCGACTCGATTCATACAGCTGTTCGCTGCCGTGCTGGCAATGTCTGATGTCAAGATCAATTACGCCGCCATCGCTGAAAAGATGGGACCTGGTAAGTGCCTATGCTTATAAGTGGTGCCTTGTCTACACTGCTAACGGGCTCATCTGTTAGAATGCACGGCCAAAGCCATCATCCACCGCATAGCCAAGATCAAGGACACGGCTCGGAAACTTGACGGAGGCGAAGCTGGAGCTGAAGCCGAAGGCGGCAATACTCCACCCACAACACCAGCCAAGAGTCCCGGTTCCGCAAAGCGACGACGATCAAAAGCAACTGGTGTTGACGGCATTGATGAAACCGACTCTCCAAGCGCCAAAAAGGGCAAGATGTCACCTCGAGTGAAGCCCAAGCCCAGAGGCAAGGCGCAGGCACCATCCGGCGTGAAACAAGAGGCAGCCGACCCTGAATTTACTTCCGTCAAGAAGGAGGAGCTGGAAGAAGACAGCAACGACGGCTATTAAGGTAGAAGTCCTCTGGAGCGTCAGGCTTGGGATTCTCGCCAAAAGCATCTCAACTAATATTATCTTAGTAGGATTCCATTCCCACCGTCTAGACTATGGCGACAAGGGCAAGACTGTCTCGAGCCAACGTGTTTCAGAAACGGCAACGGTGCTTTCCGGAGAGGAAGCAGAATGTGGCGCTTGCTTGAGGACACAACGGCAAAGGGGTGTGGCTTGAGGATTACAGCGGCAAAGGGGTATGACAAGGTTGCTAGGTGCCGGACTATTGAAGGAGAAGGCCCGTTATGGCTGGCTTTTTAATGCGTACCTAGAGCCCTGGCCACAGGTATGTCTCTGCTCCTGGGTGGCAAGACATCGATGGATTGGGAGCAACGAGCTTTCGATATGCTTTACCTCACTAGGCTTGTAATATGTACAGCATCAGGTCACGGTCAAACATGATCAAACGGCGCTTCTCGCCTGTATATGTAGCTGGAGCTGTATCAATCAAGAGTTCCGGACATGACAAAATATTTCGCTCTATTGCACAGACATCTATACCTACATATATAGCAGCCTTGGCTCTTGAGCTAAAGTTCAGCAGGACAAGCACAGTTTCTACTAGAGCACACATGTATACAGCTATATATGCAAAGAAGCCCAGATTGATTGCACGTTGGGGAGTCGCAAACCTGAGGGACGAGCTGATCTGCTCTCTTTTCAGGGACGCTGACGAGCTGATCTGCTCTCTCCTTCAGGGACGACGGTGGCTCACCCCACACAGTGCTACTTACTAGTAGGTAGTAGGTAGGTAGGAGAAGGAGTACATAAAAACTACCTACCGATACCGAGACTGGTAGTGGGTCACATCACTCACATCACTCACATCACTCTCTGGCCCAGTCTGTCATGCTCTCGACGGTCACTCATCAACCACAGCTGCAATTGGATGTACTGGCACCAGGATGGAGGGTGTCTTTCCTCTCCTCTCCGTAAGGAGTATTTTTGAGTCTGCTGTCGCCGACCTGCAAGCTTGGATGTACCGGCACCAGTATCGAGGGAGTCTTTCCTCTCCTCTCCGTAAGGAGTATTTTTCAGTCTGCTGTCGCCGACCTGCAATGTACCGTATAGCTTTCTTTGTATGCAAGGCTGAGCATGAGCAGCACCATAACAAAAGCAGCGACAGACTAAGGACGGCTGATGCCAAGCCCAAGTCCTTCAAATTGAAGTTAGAACTCGAACCTAGGCCACTCACGTGCCGTGCCGCCAAGACTCACCGGCGCGTTTCCATTTTCATACAAATTCAGTTCCTGCGCAATTGTACTCTCTCTCTCTTCTCTTTTCTTTTTTTTCTTTTCTTCATCATCAGTAGAGGTGTTACATTACCATGTATACACTTATACACCGAAGCTCCACTACGGTGGCTTGCTGAGGGTTATTCTTGATGTTCAGTGGATATCCTTCCGTTCCCGGCTTCGCAGAGAAGATCTGTCACCGTCCTTTTTCCCAAACATACTATGGCTGTACGCTTTTCGATGGCGTGGAGCTGTGGAGGAGATGACACAGTTTTTATTTACATTCACACCTCTAAAATGAGAAAGATTACACTTTTGAACAGTAAGAGCACGGTTTCGCTCGCGTGCTGCGCTTCGAGAACTAGAACACACACAATCTGATTGTTGGATGAGGTTCGCGAGTTTACCTAGTTTGCAGTAAATCTTCGGTTATGGTTGGCACATATGCTGATATGGCTCTACAACCCTCATCCAGAAGCTCCAGTCAGCGTGAAACAATGTAATCCTCTCCATTTTGTGTGAAATTTGCCCAGAGAAAAGCTGCGCCCTCGCTATGCTCCTCCATTTCACATCTGTCTGCGGAATGATGTTTGTACTATTTGCCAATCTTTCACGCGTCGCCTCAAACCATCCTCCCAGCTCTTCCAACCTGAATCCTCTCGCCCGTCCCCTTCTCGTCGCTCCTCAGCGTTGACCAACTCGTCCCGTCCTTCTTGGCTAGTTCCAGTTCCAGTTTTGTGCCCATGATCTTGAACTGTGACTTCTCCGGGTCAATTGGGGCAAACAGCGGGATGGTGCCTGTGAACCGCTTGCCATCGCTCGTCGGCAGGTCCAGATCGATCTCCAACCCGCTGTCATTGAACTCGACCTTGGCCTCCTCCTTGACAATCTTCTTGAGGTAAAAGCTGACGATCACGCTAGTTGGCGTCTGATAGAAATCGTTCCGTACAGTACTAAGCATCTCTTCCGCTGTAGCTGTGCCATTGGTTCCCCCCGAAGCCTTATTTTTCTTGCCCACATAGCAATGCCCCTTCCTCCTTTTGCACCCCTCAATCTTCATGAACTCATCAAACTCAAGCACCCGCCTCTTGCAGCATGTCCACCCCTTGCTGCCTTCGTGAAATAGCGGCACTCCCGGGTGGTATACGCACTCCTCTTCGTCACGGGGGATGTTGTCGTCGCAAGCCTTCCCGCATCCTCGTCTCTTGCATGTTGCCGTTGGCGGGATTTCGGCATCAGGATCGTCGGACTCATCTTCAGGTGGTTCGGGCTTTGGTGTCGAAGGGCTCGGCTGCTGGTTGCTTCCTAGACTGAGTGCTAGAGGTTTGGTGACAGGTACGGAGACTGGCGTCGGCGCTGCAGGTTCGGGTTTGGGGGCAGGGGCGGGTGTGTCGTCGACTGTAGAATGTTTGCCTTTGGTGCAGGGTGGGATGGCCAGGAACTCGTCAAAGGTCAGGACTCGAGGTTTGCAGCATTTCCAGCCTGGTGTCAATAGTGTCGTCAGCAAGTCGTGCCTCTCTCATTAGGAACGATTTCGTAAGCCAAACAAAATTGGCCCTGGGGATGGCAACACGCACCTTTTTGTCCCTCGTGGAACTCTGGAGGTCCCGGGTGGTATGTGCATTCTTCTTCAGGATCGGTGAAAGTCTTCCCACAGCCTTTATGTACACATTTCTGCGCCATTGTGGTTGGAGACGCTGCCTGTAGACACCAATGAGCTATGGTGGGTGGCAGCGGGTGTAAACTGGCGTGGAAAGTAAATGCTGCGTGCGACCAGTCGAAGGGAGCTGTCTCCGAGAGTTACAAGCGGTCTGATCACGGTTTCCAGATCCCGCGCTGCGAGAACGGCCAGATTGAATTGTAGAAGAACGAATCGAACCTCAGCCTTGGCAGTTCCAGAAGCATCTGACGCAATGGCGCCCAGTGCGGCGGGTAAGTTGGAGACCCTCACTCAGCCTTGCCGAACTACAAGGCTTATAATTACTTGTACGGATACTATTAACAATTTAACGTACCTCTGTTTGAAAACCTGCCATGAGCTACTACTCTGTACTAAGCAGCAACCACACTGTAGCCCAACCAGCAGCCCCGGTACACGGCTCACAGAGGCGAGAACGTATGCCATGGAGTTGAGTCTTTCATATTGATTTGCAATCCAGCGGATTGCTGAGCGTGGAGCGTGGCCGATATTACTCAGACGCCACAAGGATATCTACACAATACATTCTGGATATCGGCTTTCATATTCCTTGATAGACCACGCGCCTCCGTATATATCCAACATCCTGTCACCCATGTAATACACTCACTTCCATGCTCAATCAAGAGAACCTGCACCCCTGCTAGACTCCTACAATGCTTGCCTCACAAGTCTCTTGCGTGAATGTAGTCGTCTACCAGGCAAGTCATGCACGCGAAACCCTTAGGCCTTTTTCTTCTTGCGTTCCCCACCTTGACGAGGTGTTGGTACATCTCTGGCGGGACTCGGACTCACAAAACTGACGTGCTTCTCTTCCCGATCTTCGCCTCGTCGACGAATGGCTGAAGGTCTCCTGACATGTGCAGGAGGTCTGGCGGGTTGCGTACAACTGGGCTGAAAATCCGGGCCACGCAAAACATTCCGCGCATCATCGTCGTCGTCGCCTTGAACCTCAAAGTCCACCTCGCCGACATCGTGTTCGTCGGAGACAGAACTGCTTGTGGGCGAATGTGCCTCATATTCCTCGTCGTCGTCGACCAGACTGGGAGCCTGGTTGGACTCACTAGTGGGGGATGGGTCTGAAGGCTGCATTTCTGTCATAGAAGTTTCATTTATCGGGAGGGTCATCCCTCTGGGCCGATGCAGTACGAGATTTTCGCTAGAGCCGTCGATCTGCGGCATTCTACCTCCGTGCGCCGTGGCGGTAGATACGGACATGCTGGTGCGCAACAATGGCGAGGACATGGGAGATTTAGCGGATTTGGAAGGTTGTTTAGTTCCAGCAACCTGTGGATGTCGACCTTGTGCTGTACTTTGCACGGGGATGTCAAGGTCCATCTCGTCGTCCTCCGAATCCGAATCTGGCATCTCAACCTTTTTCTTGGCGTCTGTAACCATCTCTTGAAGATCAAGACCAAGACCTTTAATCTTGATGAGCTCGGAAAGATTTGGGGTCAAAACTGACCCCTTGAAGTCAGGCGACACGGGCTTCGTCTTGGAAATCCGTGTCACATCTTCAGTCGATGAGGACGACTGAGAAGTCCGAGGTGCTGTGGCTGGCAGCAGCTTGGCTGACCGAATGAGAGGATGGACATTACCCGCTGTAGGTGTGGCCACTGGCTCAACCCCAAGTATTGCTCCAGACTCGTCAAGTTCGACCGGTTCTCCGCAGGCATCGGCTGCTGCGTCGTGGCTGGCAAAACTCCTGCCGTGGCCTATTCGGCAGTGATTGATGAAGCCTTGTGCGCTCCCAAAATCATGCCTACCACAGTCAGGGCAGATGAGCTTCACCATTAACCCGTCTGACTTCCTCTTAACAATCATAGGCCCAGTTGCTTTCTCCTTTGGCTGGCCATAACCTGCGGGTAGTGCTTTGAGTTTGCCACTGCGTTGGGCGCGAGACCCACTTGAACCCTGAGAAATGTCCAAAACACTTCCCCTGGTCGATCTCGACTTCATCGGAGATTTGCCTGCTGGGAAGCTACTTGCGGGTTCGCCTCCGTCGAAACGATGGTCCGGTAGCAGCCATTGCGCGTAATGCCGAGTGTACGGTCCGTTTGCCACGCCCCACGGCGCCGGCGACTGAGGGAGAGGGGTCTGGAAGGAGCTGCGCAACGCAGATCCAGCACCATCACTCACAGCCAAGGAGAGCCCCTGGGTACCTGGATAAGGGATTTCCTTGCACCGCCGAAGTTGCTCCAGGGAGACTTGACATTTGGCCATTTCCTGTTCGATCAACCTCAGTTCTTTGTGTTTGAGCACAATTTCCAGACTGAGTTGCGTCTGTATAACATTCCGTATTGACTGTAAGCGTGCCGCTGCAGTGTTGCTATTGTTACTGTCCGATCGGGTGTGGTGATCTAGACCATCCATATTGCAAATGTCTGGCTTCAATTCTGGAGGAGAGGGCAGAAATGACGGTGGTGCATTTGTGGTTGACGAAGAAATGACTGTTTGTCCAGCTGAGGGAAGTGCCCGTTGTGTCTCGGAAGGCACCGCCATTGAGGCAGGTCTGCCATCAATTTTGGCTCGTTTCCTTTCTGACGTTTGACCCGCGGGGTCGGTTGATTGTTTGCGTTTGTGATTAGATGGCATGGTGAGACCGCCAGAAACAAGTGACTCTTGTTTGGGAACAAACATCCTCATTTCCGGAGAGTTGGCCTTGTCACATCCCGTCCAAGACAGAAGGCGCAGCATATTGGGCCGCTGCTGAGGACAACCCAATGATGGAGGATTTGGGATTTCCCGTGGCTCATCTGGACCATTTAGTCACCGAAGACTTGGTGGTTCGACACCAGCCATATGTCTCTCTCTTTAAGCAAGCACCGGGTTGTTGATGCCTCCAGGACACTCTTCCGGCCAACACTGAACAGTGGTCTCCTTCTTTGCCACTACGCTGAGGTGCGCACGCAGTTTCCAGCCACTTGACTCGATGTACGCCCGGTTAATAAGGTCAAACAGGTGAGCGAATGTCGCTTGTGACGGCCAGCGAGACAAGAGAGTCACTGGTACAGAAAGCGTGGTTGTATATTACGAGGACTATTTGGTGTACAAAATGCGCGCAGCGCTGGGTGAGCAGAAGGAGCGAAATAAGCCCGGTGAGATCGAAGAGTCGTTATCGAACAGAGCAGAGGACAGATGGCGTGTTGGAGCAGAGTGAATGACGCAGATGCGGCGGATAAGCGGATCCCTGTGTTGGTTCAACGTACCAAGGAGGGAGGCGTCAATGCTGAGGAGGAATACACGGGAGTGAAAGAAGGGGTATATTAACAAGAAAGTAGTAAAGAATAAGGTAGGCGAAAAGTCGTTTGGAGCGACCAAGAAGGGAGACGGGTGCAGAGGGAAGTGGTACAAGGTGCAGTCGTGGCTTGGATAGAGTGCAAGTCGCAGGTTGCAGGGTCGCAGGTCGCAGGTCGCAGGTCGCAGGTTGAGGGCGAGGACCAAAGGCGGAAGGCACCAGCAACAACAGAAAGCAAGAGCAAGGGAAAGAAGGAGAAGGAGCGAAGGGGGGGAGCGAGGGAGGCGGCAGAGACCCAGCGGCCCCCGATGCTGAGCAAATAGTGGAGTCTAAGCACATCAGCGGAAGTGCTGGCCTTACCGCGGCCCACATAATCGCCCCTATCGCCGGCCATTGTCAAGGCGTCACCAATCATGTGCCAGGGAATGTGCGGCCAAGGAGCTGCTAAGCCCGTCCGCTAGGCTATCTTGGGCGACCGTTCGTGGACTCACAACAGGCACCTACGGATCGTCATCCGCCCGACGCAAGAGTCACCTGATCAATGGATAGCTGATAAGCTCTCACCTCACGTGCCAACACCAGAACAGGGCTCTCCAACCTCGACGGTAATATCTAACTACCTAGGTACCGAACCTATGCTGCTCTGCTGTTCTGATTTCTCTGTACAAGAGGATCCGGACCCTACCGGCGGCAACCCGCAACAAATGCACTGGTCCAAACGAGCGTAGATTTGTGCATGTTGGCTGCCCATTCAAGCAGAGTGATTCCGACCAAGTTTGGACAATGGCGAAGGACTACCGGTGTAGTCTGTCCAACACCTCTTACTGGCGAACATGGCCTTCGAGCTGATAGTCAGCCTTTGCTTCAAGAATCTAAAAATAACACCCATAGAGCATATACGAGTACCAGCTCACTTCTAGGGAGAGCCTCGCGAGAGCTTTGTGGCGATGAACTCGCTAACAGGAACTCTTGCCACGACTAACACGCTTTATACACAGTACGGTGACTAATGTTTTATCAGATAAGTGACTATGAGCCAGCGCCCGACTCTTGTCTGCAAGGTCGAGGGACAGCGCCCCGGGCGCAAGAGTGACTGCTTCAAGTTCGCCACTCGCGAGACGTCGAAAGATGGTTTGATAGAGCACAGCCACACAGCCACAGAATCCAGCCACTCACGCCACAGCATCAACCTCGACCCTGCGTTGATCGGCCTCGTCTTCCATCCACGCTCCCTGCTACTCACCGGCCAGACTCTCGTCAACATCCATTCAGATCTCAGACACCCTCCTTCGGTTACCTTAGTTCGATGTCTACCCAATACACCCACGGGGCCCCTCCAGGGGCACTGAGCAGCCGCAGTAGCTGCGTATACAGATGTCGTTCCAGAACCAGGCAGATCTGCCGTTGCAAGCATTGCAACTTGTCGCTACCCATGCTTGCACTGCTCTAGTGAACACACCGGTCCCTCTGCCGCGTGGTCTTCAAGACATTGCGCTCCTTGGGTTCAGTACCGAAGATCCAAGTTGACGATCCACCCTGTAGGTAAATAGCAGCCTGACCGTTCACTTCAGGAAGTGATGCTCTGTCGTCTACCCTGCTGTGAGTGTGGCGATGACACCGTCAACTCAAGCCTCTTGAATATGCCGTGTTTCCCCTTGAGACCTTTCATCTACAGGATATGTTTTTGGGACCAGGAGAGACGAGGGCTCTAATCGCGGTAATATAGGACCAGAATTAACGGACGAGCAATGAGGTTTTGGAAGCTGTTGGTGCTCGCACCAAACTGCATCTCCCTGACTGCAGCACAACTCGACACTGCTGATCCGTTGGAAATTTTTGCGTCCGAAATATACTCGGTCTATACGGAAGCTACATCAATCCTGGCCTCTGCTGCATCCGTCGCTTCAGCCGCTCTAGTCTCAACCTCAACACACTTCGAGACTTCGACAACCTCCTCCAGCTCAGAGGCGTCTAGCACAGCCAAAGAATCAGTCACCAACCCGGAAGCCAGTGCAGACACAATCTCGACGTCGCAATCTTCGCCACTGACCTCGTTGTTGGTGGTCACTTCCCAGGCCGTATCGCTCCAGCATTCTCAAACCTCATCCTCAACGTCCTCCAGATCATCCTCCTCGAGTGCTGTGTCTACACTGATTATCCCTACCTCGGCGCTGAAAACCTCGTCGGTGTTAGGCGCTGTTGCTGCAACCGGTACCGCGGATCCATCGACGTCAGGATCCAGCAGCCACAGCAAAAACTTGGCCATCATCCTCGGCTCTGTCTTGGGCGCTCTAGTTATGGGTATGTCCATCCTGACAGGTGTACTATGCTACAAGAGGCGTCGACATAGGCAATCTCCCCGGCACAGAGCTCTGCCTATCGATGACGATGAGCTCGAAAGCTGGAGACTACCCCAACCCCCTATTGCTGGAAATAGAGACACTTCCTTCCAAGGCCAAGGTATTGCTGGAGCCGCTCCTCTCATGTCTGAACATCCAGCATTTCGTAACAGTGGAGAGCAAGAGAATCCATTCGTCCCCGTTGTGCCACCACCTAGGCGAACTGCTCCAAGCGCCAGAGCCGGGTCTATTAATCGGACAGTACCAGGCAACGATCACTTCGTGTTGGGGAAAGAGACCGCAGTCCCGGCGAACGCAAGAAGTCAGTTTTCGGATGTTCATGCACCCAAAGCCGAAACTCTCGCCGCACGTCTAGCCGTTGCAGCGGCAAGGGAAGACTCCTCGTATCACCGAAGAGAATCCGATACAGATGAAGTGCTGGATGAGAAACCTGCCTCGGAAGCTGAGCCGCGATACAAAATCAGCAGGAAACCTGTCCCGGTCAATCACATCAACAACGGCGAACCATGGCCGTACTCTCCCGTCTCGCCTATTGATCTGAACCTCGAGGCGTCAGTTTTAGGAAACATCCCTCCAGTGCGCGGAAGTGGTGAGCACCGCCGAAGCTTCAGTCGCGATGCAGCCAGAGCCAATGCAGCCTTTGACAATGAATACAATCCTCCCGATGCTGCACATGGACAGGATGGCGCAATGTCAGCTGGGATGGCAGGCTTTGCTGCCGCGGCAACTGGAAGTGGAGCTCTAGTACATGGCCGCAATAGTCGCCAGGTTGAGACCAGCACCGGCGGCAGGGACAGTCCTCAGCGCAGCCGGAGCCCACAGCGGCCACCAGTCATGCCGCACACTGAACGCTCCGAGCCGCGTAGCTCTCCTGGAGCCTCGAGAAACATCCACGGATCAAGTGACGCATCTACTCGAATTGCGCAATCCCCAGAGCGGTCAGACACCTGGAAGAATGCGCCTCAACGAGCTGCTGTGCCCCCCGCCCAACCTCCGCAAAATGGCTATCAGGATTCCCCAAGGACAACAAGGACAACGACAACAACACCGCCTCCCCGTAATGATCGACGAAACAGTGCCCTAGGAGGTACAGCTCCCGTCGGCGTCAGCACGGGATCCGGACATATCAATCGGCCGACCGTACCGAGCCCGCTGTCCAGCGAGGTCCGGCGCGATCGATCACACTCCCCCGCCCGGGTAGGCAGCAGCAAAGTGGAAAGATCAAATCGAAGCCCCCGCCGCCGCAGCGGAAGTAGGTATAGCTACAGCCATACCTACAACGCCACTCCGCAAACTGACTATGAGCCATACCCCGTCGACTTGGCCGGCGTTCCAGGCGGGAAGCGAGACTCTTACTTACCTACGCCTGACGAGATCCCATCGCTTCAGGGCAATCTAGGTAAAGGAATTGTCGGCGACAGCCGATATCCGCGCGTGAGAGTCCCTCGGCGCATGAGCGGTGCTGAGGATGAATATGATTCCCTACCGGCAGGCCCTAGCACTTCTATGTCCCAATCACTGGGTCGGGACACCGCTGGTAGGAGCACCATGAACAGCGATGACTCGACGTGGCGGCTTTCCTCGGGCATGCCGGCGGGGTGGCAGCGTACGAGGACGAGTGGTGATGGTGGTGGTGGTGGTGGTGGTGGTGGCAGCCGCCCTCGAACACATGGCGGCGGATATATGCGAGATTCGGGACTTGGTGGCATTCCCGGGCGCAAGAGGCCACGGGCGAGCGATTTTACAGGGGACCAGGACAGAAGGTACCAGGAACTGGGTGTTGGACAGGCTCTCTAGTATATAAGGAGTCGTGGTTCACCAAAGATTACCTGTATGTTCTGCCCAACATGAGCTTTGGATCGTCCAACATGTCTTTTAGTCCCAGATAATGTCTGTTCGTGTCTGAACAGCGTGACCTGTTCTCGATCTCTCAACGTTAGAGAGATATCTACTTTCTACCATCACGCAAAAATGCATCTTTGACACGGTCTGCTGATCTCTGCATAAGCCCGGTTCACGGGTCAAGATCATGTGTGGAATGAAAAAATAAATGTGGTTCCCGGAGCCCTGTTCGAGCCATGCCTGTGGATGCTCTTCCCTAGAATCTAGCAATGCAGGAGACACATAACTCCAGTCCCATGCCGAACCCGGTCAAATGACAAATTGTCTGAAGGTCTTCTTCCTCGAGACTTTGGCAAAGCATGAAGAATGCTGTCTCTGCCTTTCGGTCCATGACAACGCCCGCAAATGGTATATGACTTCCCATGGTATTAGTTCAGCAACCTGATCATGTCCGACGGTATCCTTCCTGTGGGAGACACAGTCTCCAATTTCTGCCACTCTTCGCTCATCAACGGGGGTGTTTGTGGTGCAGGGCTTCCTTCCACACTGGAATATTCCGATTTCTGAGGCGGAATGAAAGTGTCATTCGAATCGCGCCGAGGCGATAACGGCTCCGGCAGAGGCTTTTTGCACGCTGCATTGTTTGAAGTTGTTGGCTTCGTAACTTTTCCTGTAATGAGTGCCTGGGAACGAGGATTGCCTGCTGCTTTGATCTTGGTGACCTTCGGTCTCCTGTTGAGAGAAATCTTGGACTTGGTAGATTTACTTTTGTTCTCCTTTCCGCAAAGGACCTGAGCCAGAGATCTGCCAGAACTCGCCGCGTTCTTTACCTGTCCGGATTTCTTGCTCCGGTCTGATACAAATAACTTGATTCGCACAGGTGAAGAAGAAGCAGGTTGATTTTCCTTTGGATTCACCAGGCCGACTTCTCCATTTTGACTATGGGGCGGAGTCATGGTGCGTAGAGCAGCGAAAGGCAACAACTGCTGAGCAGATTTCTCTTCCTTCCTTGCTGTCGCGGGTATGACGACCTCGATTTCTCCTTGGCTTGATTTGACATTATGAAGATCAGTCTCGGTGTATGTCTCCGTCACGTCAGGGCTAGGATCGTCCCATTCTTTCAGGCCTGCGAGCCGAGCAACATCATCGCAGTCGCCCTTCACAATGAGATCCCAGCAGTTCTCGAGATCTTTGCCAGGGGGGACCGGATCCCTGTTGAGCCATATCGTAGTGCCTTCCCGTCTATCTCTGACAATTTGGCACATTTCATGGACAATTCGTCGTACCGCTGGGATCTTCATGCTCGTCCCGACTACAATCACTGCATCGGGCCTTGTTCGAAAATCTGCTCTCGTGACAGCGCCGATAGCTTCATCATCAGGATTGTGTTCGTTGTATAGAACGATTCTGGGTCGTAACCTCCCAACACCATGGCTCCGCTTACCCGCATGCGTCGTTCGTAAGGTATCTGCCGCAACACATTGTGGACACAGTGGCGGGGTTGGCCCGTCGAAGAGATGAGCTTGAAAGTCAGAAACGTGTCTACACTTTTGACACATCATCTTTTCCAGTCCACCATGCAATTGGATGGTCTGCGGCCATGGCGCTTTGTGGCTGAGGGGGACTTGAGTGGCCAGAGGAGGTAGAGAGGTCTCCAGACCATCAACATTCTGAGTATAGAGGCGCAACAAACGACCTTCGACAGAGAGTCTTGCTAGGAAGCGGTGGAAAGCAGATGGCTTGGCGTTTTCGGCCATCTTAGAAAGCTTACGCACCATCTCATGGAAACTGGACGTTGAATGATCATCTCTGTAGACTGAGGCATCGAACAGCATTTTGCCGGAGCTTTTCAGTTTGTGCTCGTCTCTAAGACTTCTGAATAGCCCATGGGACGACCTAAAATCCGGAATTCCAGCGGAGACAGACATGCCGGCGCCTGCAATGACCACGATTTTTCTCCTGTTGCGCAATGCCTTGAGAAGGGTATCTAGAGCTTCCGATCGATCATATTCGGACTGCGCCGTGTCTGACGTTAGGTCCAAGTGCTGACTTGTGCGAACCTTGGGTTCGACTTTTCGACGCTTGCGAGCAGGGGGCATTTCGTCGCCGGCATGCTGTGACGGTGGAGGAGTGAGAGTTTGCCAGGCAGGCGGTAGAACGGGTGAGCTTGGAGGAGAACTGAGAGGAGAGCTTGGGAGAGAGCTCAATGGAGAGGAGAGGTCAGAAATGTCGTCGGCGTTCATGGTTGTTGTGCGGTCTTTTGGTAAACGAGTGATTTATCGCATGATTCGCGGACTCGTGCAGAGAAGGAGCTGTCGTTAATAGGGAGCTCTGTTCCCGTTCTCGAGATGGATGTAGACGAGCGACTCGAGGGAAAGGTAGATAGAGACTCGAGTCGTCGGCGCGGTGGTGTGGTTGCAAGGGTGAGTACGGAGTAGAATGAGGTGCAGGGTGAAATGAGGCTGGACTAGACCAAATGGACTGGGATGGTGGCATCTGGTGATTGACTGGTGGAAGAAATCGTCAGCGGCTGCGAGCGCGGGAGGAGATGGAGAGACGGGCAAAGGCCCTGCAGCTTCTCTGCAGAAAGCCGATGCCCGGCAGGATGCGCAAACAAAGCCAAAACAAAGCACTGGCTGTCTTGATCAATCAAAGGTGAACAGTGTTGAGGTGGGGGCCCATAGCCTCAGAGGCACGAGGGGTCAAGCCACAGTTTAACTATTTATTGTGCCTGGTAAGTGCCTGGCAGGCATCCTAGAGAGGCGTCGAGGACCCTAAAGAGAGCCTAAAGAGTGCCTAAAGAGCCTACGGTGCCCCTAATGATCAAGAACATGCGGGGCCTTAGGGGCACATGGTCACCTATTTGCGGGTGGCAGGTGCCCAATCGTGCTTCGTGCCCAACCAGCGTCAGAACCAAACATCAATTGTCTACCGCCCCGTTTGGGTAGAGTTACGCAGTTGCTGGAATAGTTACACAAAGTTTGCTTCTTAAATCAACCGGCTACTATTGTCTCTCCATTTTCTTTCCATTCCTTGTCGTGAGTGTAATCTCAGCACAGTATCGTCTTTGTCTTCTCAACCACCATACAGGATCCAGCAACTTCGAGCGAATCTGGTACTGCCCTCCAAACATACGGGCGTTTCTGATTCCGAGGTCGTTACCCCGGCTACAGGCACAGACGGATTCTGTGGCTCGCCCATCCTTGCTTCCTCCGTTTTGGCGTTAGCTGCCCTCGCACGAATCGGTCAAGCCTCCCTAGCCTTTCTACGCGAGCCACGAGCCACTCACTGTTGCCTTGTCACACCCCACCAGCGCAGCAGAGCAATTTATGCCAAACCCTCCTTTATCAACTAGCTTCGAAATACCACATTGCAGCATCGAGGCAAAATACTAAGCAAGCCCCTAGGAGATCCAAAACGACCCATATATCTCATCATATCATTGGGCCGAACTGCTGTTGGACGAGTCTGTGTGGGCTTGACCAAGAAAGGATCCTAGAGGCAGAAGAAAAGGCAATAATGGAAGATGCATAGTATGCACGCATCCTGCTCGAAATGGAGCGTTTGAGTCAAATGGATCACTCTAATGACTTCGCATCTGAGGCCTTCTTTGACCAGAATTCTTTGGACCAGATTCAGCAGATCGACCCTACAACAGATCTTGGGTCCGTTGCAAATGTTGCCCTGCCACCAAATCTTGCTGTTGCCGAGCAATTGAATCGTCGATGGTCTTCCGGTTGCCTTGAACGAATAGCCTGGTCGAGGCACGGAAACCTCGCCAGCATATCGGATGATGCTTCCACCGTCAACCTCGAATGCCTCCGGTACAGCCATGATGCCAAGGCATGGCAACTAAACGAGAGACACACGCTGGCCACCATTTTCGAGGATGCTGTGAGTCTAGCCTGGAGTTCAACTGGAGGGGAGCTGGCCGTTGTCGACATCAAAGGAAGAATCTGGGTCTACCACATCTCCGGTGTCGCTATCAATCGCTTAGTTCTGAATCGTCGGGGGGATCTCGACGAAGAACGTGAAACGTCACAACCCATTGGTATGACATGGTTGAATCAGGATCGGCAAGAAAGACCCAGGAATTTCGTAGCGCTTGCCACAAAGGTTGACTCTCGATGGATTCATACCAACGCCAGGACAAGACCACCCGGGCCCTATTGGCACCGAGCCATCGTCGTCGTCCATCGCAATGGTCTTCTGACTCTGTGCTTTCAGAGAGGCGATGGCCAATATTCTAAAGTCACCAAGCATCTATCACCATCCGACAACACCCTCTACAGTCATGCAAGCTTTGCCCCCACATTGGAAGGCAAGATGCTGGTTGCTCTACACTCGTTCAAAAACTTCATCTCGGTATGTCTCATTTCAATCGACTGGACCGAAGTCAGACAGGCTGTTGAGGGACTGCCCATCATGACTGTCGAGTACGTTTCCAGTAAGGTGTCATCGCGACCCTCTGGTTCTTCCACACTCGGGGATGTATATGATCCAGATTCATGGCGTCTCACCCATCTGGAAGTTGCGCAAAGTCCAGACGTGGAAAGGGCAGTCCAAACACCACCAACAATCCTGTCGGTTTCTTCGGGCATCAACAGAGAAGTCAGCATAACGGACCACGGTTTCCTGGTCTCCAGCATGATCAAAAGATGGGCAGTGATCTCAGTCGAACGAAAGTTGCATCCCCGTTTCGACGAATTGCCGTCCAAAGGCTCCAGTAAGATTGGATCGCCTTCAGTGTACACACTTCAACCTCGACCAGAGAAAGAGGAACAGGTTATCACCACAGTCCATCACCTAGAAGGATCTCTAGCACTCGTGGTGACTACACAGGAAGGTCGAACAGACTTTTTGAACTCAGAGGATCTGTCCCCTGTGTCCTACGCTGCTTCAGTAACGGAGACATCGTCCATGTCTCAATCAGGCTTCGTATTCCCGTTTGTACCGAATGTTACCTGCCCGACTTTCTCGCCCAGTGCTTGCGTGAGGGCAGACCTCACCCCGGATGGGAAGACCCAACTGGTCACGATGGAACACCCACTAGGGCAGGGCCAAGCACAACAACCATTAGACCCCAACATCGACGTGGCCATTGCTGCTCTGAACCTTACATTTGCTCGAGCATGCTGGACAAATGCAACTTTCGATGACGTGCTGATGTGTGCTTCGCACAGTATCCCAACTGCAATCACGCCGGCAATTGTTTCAGGCTTATATCGATCGCTCTTTCGCGACAACGAGTTTGTGAATGAGAAGATGCAGGGTTCGGAGCTTGAACGGATGTTTCACAAGCCATACATGGGGCGAGTCATGGCTTACCATGCTTGCCTCACTGCCAATTGTGGACAGCTTCCTTCCATTGCTCCTACAGAAGGAAGAATTGGCTGGTCTTTAAGTGCCCAGTGGGCATGGATCGCGAACAATATCCGCCACACAGCGACCGTACTCTTTATGAACCTGCGAGATGTACAGAATACCAACCTCGTCATGACACAAGACTTCACCGACATGTTGTGCTCAAACCTTCGATGGGGATTGTCTGTCATCCGGTTCATCATCAGCACAATTCTAGAAGTGGGTGACAGAGAGACAAACCCAGAAATGTTCGACGACAAAGACCCTGGGCGACTAGGAGACATCAACGGAGATGGCAGCCAGGGACTGGTTGCCCTTTTACTGAACATACATTGCTCTCGCCAGTTTCTCGTTGCTTTTGTCCGGGCAGTCAGGGCTTACGCTAAGAACACAGAGCCTAAATCGCAACATCATGTCCAAGTACTGCAGTGTATCCAGCAGCAAACCACCAACAAAGGAATCAGCTTTCAGGCTATCGAAGCACTACTCGAGTACCGGTGGTCCGTGCATGGCGACATTGAAGGCGACATTCCTGGAACGGCAACCAGACAGCTTGACATGATGGCTACAGGAATCGTCCACGAAGCGTATCAAGGGACAATCAAGCTTCTCTTGAATAAGCTGGTCAATAGTCCAGTCGGGCTACGAGCGAAGATGCTGATCGATCGGCTAAAACTTTTTACTGAGCTGGTGGACATTGAGTATGTGTTTTTGAATCACGATATACTAGGTCGTCGAGATGGTGAGCCCAAGCAAACACAGATTGTGTACGATATACATCGCAAGAAGCCGATATCCAAGAGCGCGCTGGATCCAAACGGTACAGGTGTGCTGATGGTTCGGAGGTGCATAAGGTGTGGCAGCTTCAGCGAGGATATCAATGCCTCGCCACGAGATTGGCCTAGACAAGTCGCTAGCCTCCTGACCAAATGTGTCTGTGACGGGCATTGGGCTCTCGAGCCCTGGGATCGGAACAGCAATTAATGCGAGATGGATATGAATAGCAGACAGCGAATGACGACTTTCCTACCGAGCCTGATCAAGTCTTGTAGGAGGAAAGGGTGCCTCTCTTTTCGACGCTTTTGTCGACGTATCAAGATCAAGAGTAATCTTTTTAAGAACATGACGTTGTCTTGAGATTTTGGTATTGGTTTTTTCTTCGCCACATAGGCTGGCACGATCAGATGCCCATCCTATGGCTGAGAGAAGCAAGCTGACGCTCCTAGAGTATGCTCAAGACCGGGAAACATTGGCTTTATCTCATCCTTCCCGAGTTGTCCTTTCATTGGCGCCCTTGCACCCATCGCCCCATCCTCGTTCCATTGCACCATCTATTCCGCCTTGACAGCATATTTCCGCTGTGGGAAATGCGTCTGTCTCTTCTTCTGCTTCTCAGTGACTCTGCTGGCGTCCTTCTTGCTCAATCGTCGACGGATAGCGCGGGTTTGCTTGGGTCGGAGGTCGAGAGGGAGGTACTTCTTCTTCTCGTAGAACAGGCGCAGCTGGTGTCGTTGGTTGGCATTGATGACTGTGAGAACGCGGGCGATCGATTTGCGGAGGTCATGTCTATTTCCAAAGGTGCTCGTCAGTTCCGCCTATCTTGTTTTTGCATTTATCCCGCACCCGCACGGGGGACTGTCGATTCGGATGAGTGTGTGTCACGTACATTCTGGTGAGTTTGGAAGTAGCGCCACCGGCAATCTTTTGGACTCGGAGTTGAACGAGCTCGCCCTTGAGCTCGTCGAGCTGTTTCTTCAAGTCGTCCTTGCTCTTGCCCCAGAGTTGTCCAGGCTTGACTTTTGCGTTGGTCGACTATTTGTTCCCGTTAGTATTCCCTGCGCACAATTTATCTCATGTGACTCGGAGGACCGTACCATGGTGGCTGTTTGGAGACCTTGTCGACGTCAAAAATCGTGCTTGAAGGAAATGAAGTCGTGTGGATGGCCCTTGGTCAATGTTAGCGACTGGCGACCTGGAATTTTTGGAAAGTGTGAAGCGCCAAGAGTTTAGCACGTGACTGCGCCACGGCCACGCCTGGATTAGGCTTGGCGTTGTTTGTCGCTCCTCGGCTGTCTGAGCCTCGTCACCTGGTTTCATCTAAGGCATAGGCAGGGGAATTCGATCCCTATTATTCTAGTCCAAGACCGGTGCTACTGAACGAGCACCATGGAAACTCCCATCTATCTTTCTTGTTAGACACTGTACGGAGTACATATATCCACATCACAGTCTTCTGCCTCTCCCACGCTCTGTTGCCTTCTGCCAATGGCAACGGGAGCAGGATGGGCGCAGTTGCGCCAGCAGCTCAGGACCCTTGAGAGTCAGGTGGGTGCATCTCGTCAAAGATGATAAATGATACTTTGTGCTGAGTGATCGCTAGACTGAGGCTCTATTTCACACTTATTCACAATATACTTCGACCCCAAACCTTCCTCCTAAACCGTCAGACGAAGAAAGAAGAAACGAGGCCGACATCGAGGAATTACTGGAGAAGGTGGGTTACAATCGTATGCAATCATTGTCAGGTCCTGACACCGGCAACACAGCGTGATGGCTTGATATCCCAGCTGTCGCGGCTCCTGGACTCGGAAAGTGCTTTGAGCACGTCGACATTAAAACAAAGCAACCTTGCCCGCCATCGCGAACTTCTGAGCGAACACCGCCAGGAACTACGACGGCTCAGGTCCTCCATCTCTGAGGCTCGTGACCGGCAACACCTTCTTACCAATGTCCGGTCAGACATCGATGCCTTTCGAAGTTCGAATCCTGCTGAAGCAGAGGCGGAATACATGCTGCAAGAACGAGCTCGGCTTGATCAGAGCCACAGTACGATCGATGGCGTGTTGGCGCAGGCATATGCAATCAATGAGAATTTCGGGATCCAGAGAGAAACGCTGACAAGTATCAACCGAAGGATAACGTCGGCGGCAGCACAGATACCTGGTGTCAACGGGTTGATTTCGAGAATTGGGTCTAAAAGACGACGGGATGGGATTATCTTGGGATCCTTCATTGCTTTCTGTTTCTTGCTGCTGCTTTACTTCAGCTAATACTGAGCATCTCAACGACCCTGGCAGCCGCACTACACGACTGGGGTGGCAGACTCGGGCCAAGGCTGCTATGACGGCGTCGACATCTGGAGTGGACGCTATGGTTGATGATATCCTTTTGGGCCTGGTCCTATCGTTCAGAAAGCCAGTACTTGTTTCCGAACTGCCTACGTCGCTAATTGCAGCTTCTGTGGGCAGGAGCTCACGGCCATAGTTGAGTTCCACTTTGGCAGTCGTCAAAACACAGATGTGGTCGCCGTCGAGTTTCGATTGACGACCTTCGGAGCACCGTCCAGAAGAGGCACAGTACAAGTCATGGTTTACCTCTGAATAAGAGGAATTTCGGAGGCGTATAGCGGCAGATCTGGTTGGGCAAGGACAGGAACTGGAGCACGAGGCTGTCGGTTTGGCCGTTTGCACGAATGGGGCCTTGACGTATGTTGTTGAGGACCCAAACCGATATTTCCACCATCTCCGATGCAAACAAACTTTCAGTGTCATTGATCCGGTATTCCATTTCCAGCACTTTCACGCAAATGTTATGCCAGGTCCAAAGATGCCCCTATTCAACCATCGAGCGCGAAATGGAAGGCTTTTCGGCAGAGTGCTTTACGAATCATTGACAGATCATCCACACCCTTTACTAGGGGCTCGAGCTGTGACTCGCCACAGCCCGAGTCTAGATGTCTGGCAACAATGGCTACGAGCACAGAACGAGCGGCAATGTCCTCTAGTCGCGATGGCGGGAGAATGATGATCATGATCATGATCATTGCCCTTTTCCGCCGCCAATAATAGCTCACTGTACGGAATACACGTTCTTGCACCAAGACATCAGATGGGCTCACACTCGCTATTCACTCATGATTCGTTTTCCTAGTTATGTCTTGCCATTCCCTTCTTCGCGGACCCTGTCAAGCTACCGCCTCATCCACGGTAAGCACGGGCACGAACGCTGCAGGGAAGAAGGTATTTTGGTCGTCCGTTAGACTCACGGAGCTTTGGTTTCTATTACTATTGCCCCTGCAACAGCACAGGAAGACACACCGGGAAGGAAAGCGGAGAGCAAACGGCCCGTGTATCCGTACTCGTACAGACAACAACTCCCATACCATTCATTAGTCTCTCAAGCCGGTTTCTCTACCTAACTCAACCCTGCCATGTCTCTTCTGCCGGCTGTCCCGCGTACCTAGGTAGTCAAGACTGTTCGAGGAGTCATCTTACTACTAGTAGTCTGGCTATTTGTTCCAGTCACCAGTCTGAGGTTGCCTCCCGGGCATTGTCCGGACAAATGAGCGACCTCCGCAAGCATGTAAGAGAGACCAGACTCTTGAACCGGGCCAGCTTGGCTTACAGAGTACAGAACGTGTCACGCCGGCTGTGTCTCGGTTCTTTGGCAAGAAAGAGCAGGAAGGCCGGTGACATGCTTCTTTCTCCTCCCGGACTTCCCGGCTATATACTACATACTACCCTGTCACGGTTGACCAGTCTTTCCCATGGTCCAACAACAGTCTTAACTTCCGAAAGACAAGGCTTGGAAAGACGGGAGCTGAGCTGAGCGGAAGATGGATTGGCAGACGTCAGGACTCTGGACTGGTCTGTACGTAATACTACCTACCTAATTACTACCTGCCTTAGGTATACAGTTGCAGCACTCGGAGAGTATACGTAGTATGTATTTTCTCTTTCTCACAAGGCTAAGCTTTCTGGCTGGGCGAGAAAATTTCAACTCTTGCATCTACCACTGCACTGCAGTCATGAGTCTTGAGTTGCCATAAGGGATCCGACAATCATCGTCGTCGTCGTCGTCATCATCATTGACCGCGAAGGGTAAATACCTACTAATTAACGTTATGTTCATGGGCTCTGTACAGATGGAGACCGTACCTGTGTAAGAGTAGAGACCAACTACTAACATACCTATGGAGTATCCAGTATCAGTATCCATACTTACTACAGATCCACTTCCACTTGCGGTGCTGGGACCTGACCTCAAGAAGTGTATCCGTATCCGTACCTTACTTTGTATCCGTACGGTTTACCCACGAGCAATCCGTTTAGCATGTGTTCAGCGTTCAGCGTTCACCATTCACCGCCGGAGTTACGGTACTACTATGTACGAATGCTCTGTCCTATGTACTCTGTACTATGTACCTAGGTGCCCACCTACACTGCCCAGCGTGCCCAGCCTGACATGGGCTCCGAGTCTTGGGTTTGTACTCGTACTGTAGCTGAGTAATACGCCCGATCCTACAGGCCCAGGCCACAACTGACCTAGACGAGACGAGCGAAACGACGTATATTATAATTCTTAGGCCCTCGGCCTTGTGGGCAGCACCACGCCAATGGTGACAATGCTTGGGTTACAGCACCGGCACCACTATACGGATACTAGGTATCCTACCTTACTCGTGGGATCGTTCTAGATGCCCGTGCCGTGTTTGTGTTCGTGCGTTCTGGGCATGAGGTATATTGCTTACCACCCGTATTAATTAAGGTATTCTTTCGTCTCTGGGCATCGTCTGCCCAGGTGCCCAGTGTCCAGTGTCCGTACTTCTAGTTGGGTCCTCCGAAAGTTTTTTTTCCGCTGGCATCTGGCATCTGGCATCGGCTTGTAACTCAATTGATTCACTTCAAATTCTAGCTAATGTTTGGTTTCTTGGTTTCTTGGTCTTTTGGTCATTCTACGTTATAATAATACAGTGTTCCCATCGTGTGGATTGCCTCTACCTGAAAGTTGGGACGGGGTGTTCGATTTTTGGTGTGCTGGTTCACTAGGAGTACATCCAAAACTGCCGCCGTCGCCGCCGCCAAAACGTCATTGTGGCAAGTGACAAACGAACCAAATTTGTATCAACACAAAGGGGGACAAATTGTTTGCTGCAAGCGGCGACAAGCACGCGGATTCAATACAACATACGTCTCTAACAGTCGTTCGCGGGTCTGGCTTTCGGCAACAAAGACAAAGACCAAGACGGGACTGCGCAGATCTGGCTGACTGGCAAACACTTTCACAATCACCAGAACCTCTTCCAGTGCTGGGCTGGCCTGCGAGGTGCAACTACTAATAGCAAGGACATGGGCCAGCTTGTCTTCCACTTTCTCAGCAGAGTCAGAATCCGGTCCCAATCCTGTCCACGGATCAACGAACCATCCCACAGCCAGAGGCAACAGCGCAACGGTTGAATCTGCTCAAATAGCCCTCAAAGACGTCCCACGCCGACCTGATAGGAGACACCATCGTTCTCACCACTCCACGCAGAGACGACTGATCTTCAGGTCTTGAGATTTCCATCTCATGTGCATCTATTACACATATCACTGGGGCTGCTGCCCTGGTACCGCCCGGCCAGCTCCATATTACGTGCATTCCTTGTGCGACCAAGCAACAAGACGGAAATCTGCCGTGACCGAGTCAGACCAGATACCATCGACCAAGAAATGCAAGGTCGTGCACGACATCCTTGATGGAGCGGAATCTGACGAGCCATGTCCGAAGTGCGGGTGAGGATTGGCTCATGCTTTTGAGATTGGGCGATGTGCTGACTGTGACACTTAGGACGAAACCAGAAAACTGTGATCAATAATGTCTTATGAGATGATGAGGTCGTATGGGCTGGGAGTTGTTCAAGCTATCAAGCTACAGCAGGGGTCGGAATTGCATTTTGCTTGCCATCTGCGGAGTCCGAGAGTTTTGGTGACGATGTCATTGGTATTGTTCGCTGTTTGGATGCAACGGAGTTGATAGAGGGCGACGGGGATTGCAATGCTTTTTCTTCTTGTATGAGTCTCTGGACAACCGCATTGAGACTGTTCACTTCCCCTTCCCATGTGTGGCCACTTCCAGCCCACCTGATCTTACAGCTCGAATCAACCAGGTAGACGTATCCAACCTGAGAATTGAGCAGGCCCATCGCATCTCGGACATCATCGCTCAGTCCACGGCGGATATCGCGGGGCAGTTTGATCATGAAATAGCGGCCCCAGCGTTCCTCAGGGACCAGCTTCCTCAGTCGTCCACTAAATAGCTTGACGAGGAAAGATCGTGCCCAGTCTCCTTGCATGTTGATGTCGACTCGTTGGACCAGGCCGTTACTGTCTGCAATTATTTGCTGTAACTGCGGATTCTGTTTCTCGCTGATAAACGTGTCGACCTGCTCTTCGGCCCACTGTCCCGACTGCATGCCGACGATAGAGATCTTGCCCATGAGGATGGGAGTGGTGTCTCTCCCGCCATCTGGCCCGTCTCCTCCTTTTGACAGGGTCTGACCCCAGATGTTCGGGAAGTACAGTGCCTTTTCTCTCTTGAACAGCCTATCGTTGGAGATAAAGCTTTTGCCTTTCCAATGGTCTACTCGACGCCATTCCTGGAAGTAGGGACGGAAAAATGACCGCAGGTATACCCGCCGCCGCTCCAGAGCTTTCTGGTAGCTTGTGAAGTCGGCTTTTTTCTCTTGGACGGTTCGGCGATCGACGGGACTGTTCTGACCGGGACGCGGAGGGTACGTGAGACCGAGTGGCCGTGCTAAGACAGAGGGTGTGAATTTCTCGCCTTTCTCCCCTTTGGGAATGGGAATTCTCGAAATGGCGGAGAGACCCTCAGGATTCCGATCCAGGCCTACATAGAGAGGAATAGTTGGCTTCGAACCGCCAGGCCCAGGCTTGGATGGAAGAGCGGGCTTCGAGGGAGAAGTCGAGGTGGAAGCATGCCGGAGGTTGCGTAGAGACAACTTTTGGGCGCGGTACAAGCATCGACTGTGAGGGCGGACTGCAAGGGAGACAAAGAGTTGGACTATTTCTCCGCGCGACATGTTTGGGGCAAACAACTTTATGGATTCGAATCCCATTGAACTGCTGCGGAGGTCTAGTAATGGTAGTACCCGGCAGGACGTAGTAGTATGTACCTGTACATTTAAATATGGCTTGGCGATGTAAGGACATCGAGGGACGGCTTAGGAGGCCTGCAAGCCGCCGCTTTAAAGCGCCACGCACTCTCTTCCTCACCTTACCTTGGAACTCGCTCTTGTCCCTCCTACCCTCATCGAGGATGTTTGGTCCGGTCCCAGACAAGGAAACCCTATTGCCGGGCAAGGCGGCGACAACACATTGCGTAGATTTGGCATCGCAACCATCAGTATCAACCTGGCACTTTCCTGGATCCGACATCTGCCTAAGAAACAGATTGGTGGCCGCTGAAAGAATGCGATTCACTTCTCGATCTAGTTTTCTCCGTCCCTTTTTTTCACAAAATCCGTCCGAAAATCTAACCCGGCGTCGCTCCTGACGGCGCCAAATAGGGAAGAGGAATCTAAAGCGCGACCGCCATGATCCTCCGAGTATTGCTTGGCTTTGTTGAGATTTTCGAGGACGACATGGGCCACCCCAAGTTTTACGCCAACATTCTGTGCGCAAGACAAACCATGGCCAACATCCTTCAACGCCAGGTTGAGGTCGGAGTAAGGGGCTTGATCTGAACACGAATCAGACAGAATTGCCTATAGGTAGGATCGACGACAAGGACGTACCTTTCCCCGGACAATATACGCCTGTGGTCATTCGTCGGGAATCTGAATAAGCCAGTGCTCCAAAATTCTGCTCTATCAGATCTTCCAAGATGTTCGATCCTAGGCCGGTTTTATCTGCAAAGACGTGTGCTTCTGCAACGATCTCCATAATGCCTGCGATCATGAAATTTCTTTCCGAGACCAACACCGTTAGCTCGCTGCGGGCGTGAAGATGATGACCGGGGGTTTCACGAAGCATAGGTGGCTCTAGAACTTACCCAAGAGTTTTCAGTAAGGTGGCTTTCTGGGGTTCTCGGGAAACGACCATGACATTCCTCGCAATCACACCTTTCAGGAGGGGACTGATTACGCGAATGGCGTCGTCGGGGCCGGCCACTGCTATGAGAAGCTGGCCTGCTTCGGCCATGGGCGTGGCGCCAAAGACAGGTGCTATCATAGCGAGGCAGGTATGTGAGTCAATGTCTCGGATGCAGAGCTGCTAGTACTGTACTTACCAGAGACGAATTGCGCGTCGACGGCACTCAACTTGGCTGCCATGGATTTCGTTGTGTCGGGATGCACAGTGGTTGTGTCGACTATGATTTTACCGGTCAAATGGCCACAGGATGCGATTTGTTGTATTATACTTTCCAGAGCCGCATCGTCACTCAGCTGTCATCCTTCGCATGAGCACTTCATGGCCGCGCAGGTCCGATCTGACACTAACCGACGTGAAAATAATATCGCTCTCGTCCACCAAGTGAGCAACCGAGTCGCATGGAAATGCCCCCAAGGCCTGCAGCGACTTGCCGCGCACAGCTGTGCGATTGAAGAAACGAAGAGGGTCCTTGCTGCAACACTTTTTCTGCAGATTTTGTGCCATGGCGTTTCCCATGCTTCCCAGACCTAGATGAATCAGAGCCATTCAGCATACAAAGGTTGACTCAGCTCACCTATCCAGCCAAGTCTGGCACTCCGTCCATCTACTACTGCCATGACTATGTTGGAAGTCTCCACGTCCTGGAAGTCGATGCTCTATTGTCTGTAGTAAAAGAGGAGGGCAGATTTGGTAATGATACTCCCTGCCTCCAGATGCTTGAGCCTTGTCAGATGCAGCATTGACATCAGCCTAAGGGTGAGCATAGGGCGGCGTTGTCCATGTCCCCAAATGGGTGAGCTCGCCAGTGATTTACTTCGCCTTGGCGTCACCTGACCTGGCGCAGATATCGTGTCGCGGCTTCAATGGTCACCCAGAGACCGCGTTGCGTTGTCCCACCACCCCGCTTCTTTGTTCAGTGAATGAAAGAAAAGTTACTTTCTTGTGAATCCTTCAAACCTTACATGCTTGCTGCGCGTCCTATCACCATGAACTTTGCTCTTGTCTTAGGATCTAATCATAATGCAAACAAACTCTTTCAGCCACAATGGCATCCACTCAGGAAAAGGTTGAAAAGGACAGATTCTTCCGCGATTTGTATCTTCTTGACTCTCTGGATGAAGATCTGCCAGACAGTGAGGTTGACTCACCCATCAAACCGGTCAAGGAGTCCACGCGACGACCGGAGCGGACCCTGACCCCGACCCCACATGAGGGTACGAAGCAGGTTGCAGGCAAGAGCAAGTCTCACGACCAGGATCCAGGGCCCATACCTAGGGCTACCGAAGCAGTGACCTCCAACTCGAAGAAATCCAAAACGCCTCTTCCCTTCGCCCCAGTAAAGGGACAGACACAGACACTCGTTGAGAAGAGAAAGCGTGTCGATGCCACAGAGCTCAAGCCTCGGGCCCGGCATTCAGAGACAGTGCTCAGCAGGATAGGGGCAGCCCCTAATATAAAGAGAGTTAAAGCATCTTCGCCTGTCAACGTCGATGCAGCAGACCACAACAGCAAGAATGCCAGGGAAAGGCACAAGCATGTGACGGACCTGTCCAACATCAAGCAGCGCAAGCGCCAACTGGGCAGCAAGAAGCTGCCGCCGGTACCCACCGAGCAACAAATGTTCAGGGGCTTGACATTCTGTGTGTATATTCATGACCCTCGTGAGTGTGTTGCGCTGATATCGCTGGCAGTCTTCGTACCAAACAATGACATTTGTCAGGCACGCCGGTTTCGGATCCACAAAGCCATCCAGTATGGTGCTGCTTGGGCGAATGAGTGGTGCAATGAGGTGACTCATATCATCGTCTGTGAGAACCTCGATGTAAAAGAGGCCTCGAAAGAGTTTGCATACAAAGAGATTCCGGTAGGTTCACAAAGGCGTCCACCAAGGGCAATATCCCCGTGCTAACAGGTGCTAATAGAACCATCCATCTCTCGTCAACGTCAACTGGCTCATCGAGTGTTTATCCCGCAAGATCGTTTGTGAGACACATTGGAACCGTTTTCAAGTACCTGGTTTCGAATCAGGGAAGGCCGTGATGGGGCAACCAAGCCCCAAGGACTCCCGCCCTGAGTTAGGACATAGGCCTAGGAGTGACGCAACCCGGCTTAGGGTAGCCGAGGAACCAGCTAGACGCTCCGAAAGGCATCATTTTGCCGTTCCGACTCCAGAAGAGGAGGAGATCGCTCGGCTGAACGAGGAAACCAGATCAGAAGACGAACTCGACAACGCGATCAAGGACGTACGGAGCATTGGGAGCCTGCCACTAGATCTGAGCGTCGATGAGAACGCAAAGTCTCTGAGTGATGAATCTGAGATTGATCAGACACTGGCCATCCTCCCTGGCGATGGCAAGGCTCGAAAAGGCAACTCGCGAATCATGTGCATGGCAAAGCACGATGGCAGCAATGATGACAATCCCAACGCGCAGACCATCGATAAACTGCTGAAAATGGCAGATTATTATGCTGCCACGGGAGATCAATGGCGGACCAGAGCATACCGTCAGGCGGTCACAGCTCTGCGGAAACAAACCCAAGTCATCCGCACTAAGCAAGAGGCATTGGCGCTGCGAGGGATCGGCGAGAGAATAGCAGAGAAGATCCAAGAGATCGTCTCGACCGGAAGACTCCAACGACTTGACAACGCTCAGATGGATTCTCGTGACAAGATTCTCCGGTTGTTTATGGGTATCTACCAAGTCGGGTATCCCACTGCTTCGAGATGGATTGCCGAGGGGCATCGTACGCTGGAAGATCTGTACCAAAAAGTTGATCTAAACCGGAACCAGCGCATTGGCATTGAGCACTATGATGATTTTCAGCAGCGAATCCCTCGCGCAGAAGTCGCTCAGCATGCTGCAATAGTCAAGAAGGAGCTCGAAGCCGCCGACGCTGGATTGCAGATGATCATTGGAGGATCATACCGTAGAGGCAGCGCAGATTGTGGGGACATCGACATCCTTATCTTCAAAAAGCACGCAGGCCTCGACCACATTCGTACCTTGATGATGGGCACAGTCATCCCGAGGCTGACGGAGCAAGGGTTCCTGAAAGTCGCTCTTGCCTCTTCACATCATGAAGATTCGGGATCTAAATGGCATGGAGCATCTGCGCTGCAGGGCTCAAAGGTATGGCGTCGGATTGATCTTCTCTTTGTGCCGTGGGCGGAACTTGGAGCCGCCTTGATCTATTTCACTGGCAATGAGTATTTCAATCGGAGCTTGAGGCTGCATGCGAGTAGGAAACAGATGAGGCTGAATCAGCATGGCTTGTATGCGGATGTCATGAGAGGACCGGGACGAGAACGCTTGGCCGATGGAAGGCTGCTCGAGGGACATGATGAGAAACGGATCTTTGAAGTTCTGGGCGTGACATATCGACCGCCGGAGCACAGGAATCCCTAGGATGCCTTCTGATCGGGAGCAAGTAGCACAACGTCGACGAACATTTCATGCAATTGGGGTTGAGGCTGGAGCTGGCAACGAACGCAGAGTCGAGACAGGCTGTAAAGATACTCAGTACTCCGTACTCGTATGAAGTAGCAACAGGAATAAGCTGCCCTTGAACTTGAAGTCGGTGCCTTTCCCAAACTTGCTAAGCTGAAATGGTCGAGTCTGGGCGGGAAGCCACTGCGGGCCACGGTGCGATCCGCCCACCAATCATGCTGTGGATTGAGATTCTCACCGCCCAGCTTCGAGCCACCGCCTGGCCGGGTGTAAAATACTGCCTGTCCAAATTCTGACCTTCAGCCAGGTTGGATGGTTGGATATACGACAGTGGGAAGACTCTTGCACTGTCTTTGGATTCACTGTAAAGGGATTCTGGTGCACGCCCTCCCATAATCACGCAGGCCGTGGTTTGGGCCTGGCGCCCTCCTGCTGGGCCTGTCTTCACTAATCCTTCACTTTACCGCGCGCGTGCGCACACCTCACTTCGCGAACCTCACTTCACCGCGCGACCACCTCGTTCTCCCAATTCGACAATCAAGCGCCAGCGCCGAAGACATTGTCTGTAAGTTCTCCTTATACCAGTAGTCGAACTGGAACGTTACTAACCGCATCATAATGTGTATAGACTCTATCGCCATGGGGCGCAGACCGAACCCAGTCATCGCCCAATACTTTGAGCGTGGGCCTAAGCTCGGGGATGCCTCCAACCGCTATGAACACACCTGCAAGAAATGTGGTGCCCATTTTGCCAAAGGGCGTATTGAGGGGCTCACGTCTCATCTGACCAGAAAATGCCCTTCTATTACTGTCCCTGAGAGGACCCAGATCGTGATGCAGATTCACAACCTCACCGATCTGAATGCTGAATCAGAGGGAAACTCTGCAGAAGACAGCAGTCAAGAACAATCAGCTAACCGTGACAATGAGCCATCATCGCAGAACAGTCAGCAGACCTTCAATGGTCTTAATGTTCTGGCAGAGGCGTCGCGCCAAGTGGGTGGAAATGCACATAACAACTCTGGCTATACCCCAGCAGACCAGGCTCACCTCGAAGCGGATCTCCAAGTTTCACCGCATAACCATGCGCAGGGTGTGCCAGTTGACCCGCAGCTCGACACTGAGGCATTCCCGGACCACTTTCTCAATGAGGACGACATGGGCGCCAGAAGCAATGGTGAGCACAACTGTCCCGTAAATGTTTGATCACTCTTTTACTAACCCGAGACAGGCTTCACAACGACTACTGCACCTAGTCTTCCGGCATTGTACCCTTTTGTGAACAATGGTCCACCAGTAACTCAGGACGGGCTTGCTGCTCCCACTTCTACCAGCACTCATCCACCAGACCTTAGCAGCATCGCTGCCACTGCGAATGAAACTCTTGCCAGTCAATTGATTGTTGATGATGAAATCAACATGGCGCATGACGAAACTTCTTCAGCGCTTCTGAACGGTCTCCAGGACCATGCTCTTTCACAAGGTCAACCACCGGCGATGTGGTCAGCCACCCTGCCAGGAACGCAGTCTTTGGACGCATCTAGCACTTTCGCACACTTGCCCCAAACTTTCCCGCAAGCTGCGGCCACAGCTAGACCCCGTGTCCTCCTACCTGCAATACCTCCTCAGGCAGACCCTAATGCTCGACCAACCCATTTTGTTGCAGAGTCTGGTACTTTGGCCAAACCCCAGAAGCCCAAGGTGCGAGGCAGATTTGGTGAAGAACGTCGCAAGGAAGTTCGTGAGCTACGCAAGCTTGGTGCTTGTATGCGTTGCCGCATGCTCAAGAAAGTCTGTTCTCAAGAGACACCTTGTCAAACTTGTGCTGCTGTGGAGACACCTCGACTCTGGAAGCAGTCCTGTGTCCGTACCAAGCTTGTGGAAGCGTTCCCACTCTATACCCCTCTTCTTTATGGTGTCTTTGCCCATAACAAAATCAGCGCGCTGAAGACTTGGTCATCTCTCGAGGGCTTGGAGGTTCGCCTTGTGGCCTGGCATATGCCAGAGAAGAAGCTCAATCTGAAGGCTCAGAGCACCAGGATGAAGCGCTCCAAGAATGTACAGCCGCCTGCCAGCATGGAGGGACAAGTCATCTTCGTCATCAATACAGACGACCACCTTCACAACAATGTTGAACACTACATCCAGGAGATGCGTGCTCGAGTTGCGGGCCGGGAGACATCCGAAGTGATTAGGTCGACTTTGGCGCTGGCACAGGCCATGGTGGATGAGCAGCAGATCAATAGATCGACGGACAAGAACGATAATCTCCTCGCCGATGTCGTTGAGCTCTGGACAGCCACAGTCATGCTCGCTGACCTGGAATTCCAACCAAGCTTTCTGCTGGAAGGTGATGCCACTCACGACGACCTGTTGCTCGAGGGCGATACATACCGCTGTGCTCGCAAAATCATGACTTTACAGCTTCAATCCAGTATTGAAAAGCGGGCGAATAAACTGGGCCGGGTAGTCATGAACCACCTTGAACAACGGGTGCTCGAACGCAATCGCAACCAAAGTGTCGAGACTGCCTTGGTGGCATTCATCATGCTCAACTGTGCAGAGCGCATGTGTTGGCTGTTCCGTTACTGGTCGGACGACAATAGAAGAGCAAATGCATGGCCTCTCCGACTTCCGGCCGGGGAATATGCAGACAAAGGCGAACGCTTTGCGGAGGTCATCCACCTACTTCTCAGCCTCAGACAGTTGGAACCTACCATCGTTGTCGACCCGGTCTCTGGATTCTTTGTTCCTCGCGATCCCAAAAACACCGCTCTGGCCATGTGGCTCTCTCATGTTGGATTCACCAGAGAGTGGATGACGCAGAGCACAAATACCGTGTTTGATGCCACCAACTTCAGATCTTTGGACGGAAGCTTGTGCGCTCGTCTCCTCCAAGGTTAGCACCGACAGCGATGGGGCCACATGATCACGCTTAGGGCGGCAAAGTCCACAATCACAGGACACCAGAATCAGACAACTTGCCAGCTGAGGTTGGCAGAAGGATGTAAGAGTTTACAATGATGGTGGCAGTGGGATAGAGCTGGACGCAGGTACAAAAGGAGCTGGACGCAGATACAGAAGGAGCTGGATGCAAGCACACAGGACGGAAAAGACCTGGATACTGCGGGCAGGGGAGATGGCATCGAATTGCTTTTGCCAGTCCTGCGATGTGCTGTAGATTCTACCTTGGCACTGGTGACAGTCCTCAGTCCTGGTTACATACCCTAGGCAGAGGTATCATATGGGCTATTGAACTCGATACCACGGCTGTCACTCATGCAGCCTAGAGTATTCCAAGGCCCAAGGCGCCCCCTTGCTCCCCCTTTTACAGAGCACAAACCACAAAATGGAAATGGCAAGCCGCGACAAGAACAACAAGTCGAGTCGCGCGACCAAGCCACCGTTGTACATGGGTGTCACGGAAAGTGATATCGCCGCCCTCATACTCACACCCACACCCACATCCACACCCACATTCGCTCACGCTCTCCAGGCCTGCTGCACATCAAAAGCAAGGGCTTAGGCCGGCAGGGGCAGGTCGATGGCGATGATGGCGATGATACCGAGCCTCCTCGGTCCGGTCAGACTTGTTCCCCGTCCTCTTCTTCCCCTTCTCCTGTTGACTCGCATCGCAGTCGCGTACGTACGTAGTGGTGGTGGGTAAGACAAACCCGACAACTGGAAACCTGGAACACGCCATGCCATGCCAGTACTCCGTACTTCGTACATGAGGCAGGACCAGTTAGTTGGCCGTCAGTACCTTACCCTGTGTGTACGGAGTACGGATACTGGCCCCTGATATAGAATGGCATGGGAAATTATCCACCTGTCTCCGAGTCCAGCACCACAGGTTGGCCAACCTTCAAGTGCCAACATACAGTACGGGTACATGTCCATTACCTTGGGATGAATAGGTCCAGAACAGAAAAAGGGCCGCACAAGGTCGCCGTAGGACCACCACCAGATGATCATCACGATCGATCGATCGCGTCACACCGGTATAATAACCAATGCACGGTTGTGGCCCGAGTAAAGTAATACGACGGGTGCGGATGCGAGTGCGGATGCGGATGCGGATGCGGATACTGGTTTTCTGTCTGGTACAGCCATAGCTGAGGGTATTTAGCATATTTGGCATGCCAGTGTAGCAGTGTAGTAGCCAGACAGCTGTAAAGAATGAATGCTTAATTACCTACCTGCCTAGTACTCCGTTTATAGATTCACGCGGGGAAGATCAAGAGATAAAAGGCCTGATGTGATATCAATTAGGTATAATTACCTACGATTACTACGGTGTACGAGTACAAATACCACCTCAGCCCCAACCCCAACCCAAACCGCAATCACGCTCACCACCACCACCACCACCGGACGATCTTGCAGGTAGGTAGGTGTACGGATACAGTACTACGATGGACGGGGACGGGTTCGGGGTGCAAATCACCTCGTCTCCTGTGCACCTACGAGCCTACGAGTACGAACGTACGGATACGGGATGCCGTTGATGCACGTCACCGTCACCGTACCGTACCTCAGGTACCTGGTACGTGGCTGGCAACAGGCTACTACTCGTACTCGTACAGGCTACAGCACCGTCGATGAACTGCTGCGAGAGCGGCTCGCATCGATCTTGCCCGACGTGCCACCGCGGCCGCAAGCCGCAGGGACAGGGCTTAGGGGCTAAGACTAGGGTCTGAGACGGCGGGCGAGGGGAGACTCGGAGAGGGGAGACTCAGAGAGGGAGAGGGTGTGAGTGTGAGTGTGCGCGTGCGCATGCGGGCGTGGGCCGGTGGGTGTCTGTCGTTGCACCTAGATCCCTGAAACTCCTCCATGTTACCTGAGAAGTCATCATCTGGTCAACCTATAGGTAATTAGCCTGAGCCCATGTCTCTTAGCCCTGTTCCATTCCTGCACCGGCGCACAGAGTACGAGTACGGAGTATATTGTCGATCCCTAGCCCCTAAGCCCCTCGCCCCCGCCCCTCGCAGGTTCAACACCATCTCGTGGACATTTGGAGACAATGGCGGTGGCGGCCAACGCTCTTGTACTGTACGAGTATTTCCCGCAGACACAGACACCGACACAGACACAGATGGCATGACATGTATCCGTACAAAGGGGTTGGTCAGCTGCATGTTGTCTGCCCCCAGCGAGTCAGGGATGCACCATTGCACAGCCACAGCCTCACAAGCCTCGTCAACAACCGAGACCGAGAAAGAAATCCTCGAGCATCAAACCGTTCCGGGTAGCGCCACACTCACACCGCACGACCCGACCCCGAGTACGGGTACGGGAGTACCGAGTATTCTGTACCCTGCACTCTGTAGAGTACGGAGTAGAAGAGACGGCTAAGGCATGGATACAGGTGCAGTGAGCCAGGGGCGGGCCGAACAGCATCCCAAGGCCTTGGGCAAGCCAAAGTGCACAATATTAAATAGGTATGTGTACTCGTACTGTACGGATACTATGAGTAGTGTCCGTACTGAGTGAGACCCACGTACGAGTACAGTACACACTGCTTATCAGGCCGCCCAGGTAACAAAAAACAATGTACCCGTACATACTCCCTGCTCCGAACTCCATGATCGAGACCAGAAGTCGTGCTCACCACCGGGAGACTAACTAGGTAGCCAGACACCCCTGTCCCATGAGCTAAGGACCCGTCAGTCACCACGCGGTCGACACATGATGCTCGAGCATGCGCGGTAATTCCAGAGCATCCGTCGTCCGTACTCCGTACCTACACATACCACATACCAACAAAGCGAGAGTCCCATATTGGACTATGCCGAAGCAAAGCCGACAGGAGTACGGATATACCGAGTATCCGTAGCTGTATGTCTAATACCATCTCGGTCGTTCGTCCATGGCGTCTACACCACAACACCTCATGGCTCGGCAGGTAGCGTGCATCACTGGCTGCTGCTTACATAGGTACAAGAATGAAAGCTGGTAGAGGGCTGGAAAACAAGGCCAACAACCGTTGTCCGTGCGCATTGCATTGCAAACGCGAGCAGTTTATGCTACGATGCCGGAGCATCCGATTCATTGTTATTCATCGTCTTGCCAGCATTATTTCCTGCCGAGTGGAGCCCGTTTGAGGGGAGGCTAGTATCACACGGAGAACAGTACCGAGTATAGAGAGGGCAATGTGCCTTCTAGGTGTTATAGGCTGCCTGTGTCGAAGCGACTCGAGCCACGTTCGTCCTGAGAGAAAGACGACTTGCCATATCTGTTGAATTTGTTCGCCGAAAGGTATGCCTGCATCCTGATGCCACGCCATACCGAATTCCTTCTGTTCATGTCAAGCTTGGTAGGATCAGTCTCCACATTGTCTCAGCAAAATCCAAATCAATCGAACGCCTACCGATCACGAAGAACAGGCTTTGGCATGGGTGGTCTGGCCAGATGATTCATCTCTCCAGTGCCCGAGTCAAACGGCACACCGCGGGATGGGCAATGTTGGCGCCTGGTGCGTACGAGGCTCACCAGGCAAGGTTGGTGGTCCCCTCCAACCACGAGACCAAGGGTGAATGGTCCAGGCTATGAGTGGTCATGGGAGTAAACCGTGGACGCTCGGACCCATGATCTGCTGAGTTCCTTGTCCACTTCAGCTTGAATGGTAGATGCTAGATGCTCAGATGCAAGCCGCTTCCCATCTCTCCCGTCTCTCTTTCCCCGCGCTGGCGCATTCTCCAGTCAACAGCGCTTGTAGGAGTGCCAATAAACAACTGCCTTGCAGGTCTGATGCGAGAGTGGTGTTGTGTCGAAATGGTTAGCAGCTCGCGAAAACGACAAAACAAGTTAACCTGAAGCGGCCGGCCTTCACGGGTAGATCGAAAGACAGCACCGAGTGCAACAGTGGATCAGGCTCGCGTGGAGAAAAAGATGGCTTAACATACACTAAGTCGTGATCAGGGCCCATGCCGCGCTGGCCGAGGCGTTCAATGGTTGGTATGGACCGGGGGTGGACGACCGTCGACGAGGGGCTGAATGAAAGGAATCAGGTTATGGTGAATCAACGGACCACTCAGATTGTAGCAAGGGTCTTGCCGGACTGAGAGTGTCTCCAATCCTAAAGCATTCACCCGTGCCTCAGGCTTGAAGCAGCTGGTCATCAGATGCCTTGGAACGGAGCCATGCTCTTAGTGGTAGGCTCTCTCTCTAGTAGGGCAAGCGGTATTCTCGATGAGGGGGGTGTGGAGGACTAGAGCAGCACGTAACGTAGTGCTCTGGCTGGCCATGGCCAATCACATCAGCTGGCGGATGCTCGCTATTTGTCGAGGGCGCAGTCTGCGCGTAGCGAAATGGGAGTCCGGTCGATTCTGCGGTTGAGGTCGCGAAGCTTTGCGGCTTGGGGAAATTGTCTATATCGCGACAGATTCGAGGACACGACGTGGGAAGCTCAGTAGTAGTCGAGAGGACTCTGATTAGGGCATGGCGAATGGATTAGGACCAGGTTGCGGGTTGCGATGACCAACGAAGATGAACCCATGGATAGACATTTCCGCCACTGAGCAGGGATGCCCATGTGAGGGTGGAGCAGATGACCTGTTGAAGAAAGTCATGTCAGCGGTAGTGCGGGTGGCAGCCTAAGGGCGATGAGAGGCACCAATGCAATTGGTTAGACCTGGTATTGGCGGACTGAGGATATGTCCACCGAGATGAGGAAGGGAGTGATGATGCGGAAGACTCGACGGAGAATAGCCAGCGATGCAGAACTGATACAGAGGAGGGAGTAAGAAAGGAAGAAAGAATTACAGTACTCCGTACCTAAGGTAGGGACCTATAACAAATCTAGACCCCGCACAACAGGGAAAGGTCACCTTGAAGGTCGGATCGTCGCCGAAGCCTGTAACTGTAGAGCCACCGTTAAGCAGCTCGAACTCGAAGGGGTTTGACTATAAGACGCCTGTAACATAGGTGTAGCCACCTACCATAGGCGGCAGCCTTACTTGACAGCCCAAGGGCTTAGGAGGCCCCTTAGCCCAGTATTGCTGTAACCAAGCACTGCAGGAGGACAAAGCTCTAACAAGGTGATGCCGCTCTGTCGCTCTGTCATTCTTATGCTCTGTACTCGTGATCGCTCCTCAAGGGTGGAGGTACCAGGTCGTTGTTTACTCCCCAGTCCCCTGTCGATTGAAGAGCCTGCGTGCTATGCCTACAGTCTGTCATTCCAAACCATATCTTGCATGTTCTGTTCAACACGATCAACTTTCAAGAACCAGAACCAGAACCATGACGATCAGCACAAGACGCAAGACAGGATACCTCGTTAGCCAACTGGTTGACAGGCCCCATATCTGACCCATATCTGACACACTTATGCCTGTTAGATCCCTCTCCTCACCCAGAACCACGCTGCCGAATTGACCGATTCGACGGCGACGCGAACAGTAATCACTATCACGCACCAAACCCCCGTTCTGTCCAGCGCCGGTGTCCACTAGCTGAGCGCCCAAGTGTGCGGCTGCAGCTTGGTTCGTCCACCCATCCACGGCCAGTTCCCTCTTTTCTGCTGCACATCTCCTGCGAGGCTCCCATCACTCCTCCAATAACTCGATCACTTTTCTCAAAGAAACTCAATGCCTCTATAACTGGCCCGCTTCTACCCTTTCACAACAGTACCAAATACCTGGGGCCAGCGCTGTGGCTCCATCCGACTCTCACACGCATAACATACTCTGTACACAAAACGGGTACCACTTGATCGCCTCTAAGGAGGCCAGCGATCCACCGGCAGCTTGCTGCCCACCTCTCTCGCTAGCGGGTCTTTCCCGGGTGCAGCCTGTCGTGGGCTTCTCTGCCAGCCTGCCTGGACATTCAACTGCTGCCGCAGTCGCCATCTTTAGCATCATCAGAAAGCATACGACTCTGTACGGCCTCTATCGCAAAAATACCACCAGAATCTTTGATAGCATCGTCAACAACAGTCCGTCTCTTACATGCGCGGCAGCTTGACCATTGTCGCCTCTTCCTCCTCGTCCGCCCGTCACGGTCGTTATCGCCACCACTAACGATTTGACTGGTGTCGCTTCAGCCGCCAGTTCCTCGGCAAAATCGTCATTTCTCACAGCCCCAGTTTTCTCTTCGTTAATTACCTATTGACCGACCGACCAGACACCAAGTAGTAGCGAGGAAACAAGAGCGAGGGAAAAATAAGACCACACATACCTGGGCTTGCATCTGCAAGCCAAAGTCCATCTCCCGCACTTTTGCCCTCTCACACTTCCGCCGCAACCCACAGCTCTCACTACTAAATCTGTGTGCTCTCATCAGCCGCGCACCCACCAGACAGGCATAACAGGCCACGACCAACAAGCGCCTCTTCTGCATCCTAGGTTACCCCCGAGCTGCCAGCTGCAACCTTCACTCTCCTCCACCCTACCGCCTATCCGCCATCGCGAGTGGTCCAGCTTCCCCCCCGTCATCCTCGCTACCGCTGCACGCCGACACGCTTTTTGCTCCACGCCCTCTACGAGTCTCTGTCGCACCTTGATAACCCTCTTGTAGCACGACTGCTCGAAAGGCGAGGAACTTATCAGACGCAGGCACCCTCCCCGGTCTTTGGGTCACCCAGCTTTGTGCTGCAGTGCAGCTCCCTGGCGTGCTGATGCGAAGCCCGCGCATCACCAATACCACCACCACAACCACCACCACCACCATCTCCTCTCCCTCTCCAGCCCTAGAATGTCCATCTACCCGCCGACTCGTCAGCCTACAACTGCTCTGAATGGTGTCGGCGACATGAGTGATGGTTCAGGCACCATCAATCCTGCGGCTCTGAACGCTAGTGGTACGTATTCTCCATTGGTGCGCCATCCTAACCATTCGAGAGGCCGCCGGGCCTATGGTCAGCATGCAGAGTCATTAGCACATGGAGCGCATCAACATCATCACATCTCTATGATATCTGCTCGTAAAGTCTTTGTCGCGTTCCTTGACTAACAAGGTGGCGTGTGTAACAGGAGGGCTAATACAGTCGTCCGCCGAATCCGCCCCGCGAGGCATCAAAAGAAGCAGATCGCCTGAGCAATATGGCGAATATCAACACGTCGAAGAAGAAGGTCAGTCGGGCAATCTTGAAACAGGACACAAGACGTAGACTTGAAGTCTGACGCGTACGCATAGGTCCCCGCAAACGTGGTCGGCCGTCAAAGACGCCACGAACCTCTGGAGACTACAGCTCTCACATTGAATCCCTTCCGACGCCTTCCAGCCAGACATCACCCGATCTAACCCAAACACCGAAGACCCAGCAAGCCGGTCAACATCTATCGGCGACCCCGGCCCAAGCCTCACCGCCGCGGACAATACCGAAATCGACGATCAAAGCTCTGCCGACGGTCCGAGATCACACGAGCGATGTTCTTCAACCAGAAGGAGACGAATATGTACCCCGCGAGTATGACGAAGCGGGTGAGAAAAAGGTGGATTCTTTGGGATATCTTCAAGGCGGGCGAGAGTATAAGATTAGGACTTTTACTCTCCCCGGGAGAGGTCAGAAGTTGTTCATGTTGGCCACCGAATGCGCGCGACAGCTTCAGTATCGCGATTCATACCTATTGTTCAATAAGAACCGGTCACTATACAAGATTATCGCGAGTGTCAAAGAGAAGGAGGAACTCGTCAATCAGGAGATCCTGCCATATTCTTACCGATCACGTCAGATTGCGGTTGTCACTGCCCGTTCGATGTTTCGCCAGTTTGGCAGTCGCGTTATCAAGGACGGGCGGAGAGTCCGGGATGACTACTGGGAAGCAAAGGCCATCAAACAAGGGTTCACCGAGCAAGACGCTGCAGGCGAGAAGCGACCTGGAGCTGCCAAAGCCCGGGAGGCAGCAGCTCAAGATCAACTAAATGCGAGGACCCATGTGGCTGCCAGCTACGGTGATATTGTCTACAGCAACGGACCCGCGTATGGCGCAGTCCAACCACCTGCTCTGCATTCAGGAGTCGCGTCTACTATGGCTCAGTTGACATCATTCGACGCGGCTTATGACTCCAGGTACAAAGACATCCCCCGCCCCAGGCAGGATATCACAGGCCCGCCTTATCAAGATATCACGCGTCCAAGCAGTGATGTTGAACTTGCAAGTCAAGCCGGCCACGCTGCTGAGTTCAGCAAGAGCATCAACCAGCAAAATCGCTATCGGCGTGGTCTTGTGGAGGACTACTGGCGCAGGCCACACGACCCGCCTGCGACGCCGCCACCGGCAGAACCTGAAGCACCGACTACTGGTCATCCCTTCTCGTCCCCGCGCTTCAACACCAGCGACCTGCCGTCTACTCAAGCGAACACACTATCGCATCAAGCTCAGCCATCCCAGTCGTCGATGAACCCTCCCTCATTCCCCCACCAGCAACCGCCTATCCAATCACCTGTTCGGCAACCGAGTCTACAGCAAACGTTCGCACGTGACAGCTCTCAATATACGCCTCAACATCCCCAGTTCCAAAGATCACCCTCTAATCTATCGCTTCCGCAGTCTGCGTCCCAACAACACCAAATGCCTTTTGGCGGCGGTGCCTTCTCACCCCATGGGATTGGTCAGCAGCCGCCACCACCGCAGAACTGGGGTGCTCCTCCACCGCAACCTCATCAATCCCCTGCTTTGCATCGCATGAGTACACCTCAGTTCTCTCCTAATCTTTCGCAAAGCCAGATCCCTTCTCCTCTGCCAGGTGGTACTCATCCTAGCCCCTCACCTCACCCACCCCAGATGCAACCACCGCAGATGCCGATGCTTCCTCACCAAGGGAGCTCTGGGGTCATGGGGGGCCAGCAGCTTTACGGGCCTGGGGCAGGACTCCAGGCGATGAATGCTGCAGGTTACGGTTCCATGGGCATGGGTCAACGGCCAATGTATGGAATGGGAGCCCAGAACCAGTTCATGCCGCCCAACCCTCCGCATGGGCAAGGCTGGGCCGGACCACAAAACCAACCTCAGGGAGGAGGACAGTGGAATCAAGGTTTTCAGTGATCCGACTTAGCAGAGTCGGAAAGTTGGGACGGAGGCTTTTGTCCCTGATTCGATCTGCAGCTGGTCGAGCAGGTCCAACTTTCTTCAATGTTTGTCATTTCAGGGCTTCTGACGGCGCCTGGACCACAGAACAGCGCAAGGCACCAACATATACAACTAATGTGCTGCTTTCTTGCATGGCATGAACAGCCGGGTTATTGCATAGCGAAGGGGGTCCATGGGTATATGCTGCTTAATCGTTGAGAGCATGCATGGGAGGAGCATAGTGAGACGTGTTGGATGACCGCTGGTTGCACCCGTGGTAGGTAGTTGAAGACTGAGCATTTTCTACGGGGGTCTCTTTGCATTTGATTCCTCTTTGTCTCGGCCATGTTCTCATCTCTGTTTCATTTCGGGATCGGTACAGAGCGGTGTTGGGTTTCGGTGAAGTTGGGTTGCACTGGCGCATTGCTCGGTCCTTTTCCTGTTTTCTTACGTGAGTGATTGTTGTTGGATTCTTGTACATTAGGTGTTCCTGACATCTTCTGTGGACCTATTCCTTATCTGTTTACACATTGGATTTGGGCCATTGACTTGCTTAAGGGATACGTATGAAGGAACGCATTCAAGTTGGGTCAGATGGAGAACACATAGTATAATGGGAATTTGAAGGGGCCACTAATGATGGAATATGGTCGAGGACAATCTTCACTGCTGTTGCCGATTCAATGCGCGCCTGTTTTTCTTTTTCTTACTGTTGCCCTGGTCTCCCGACAGAATAAGGGTAAGCCGGTTGAGAGGTCGGCCTCAATCGAACACTCCTTGTTTGGTTACCTTCAGACCGCACTGTCGCATCCTCAGGCGCGCTCCGACCAAGCAAGATATCAAAGACCTCGTCCATGTCTCGTCTTTGAGCGACGGAGTTCTTGGAATTCAGGGTGACTGCCGGCCACTCTGTGCATTTCAGGGAAACCTCTGGGCCTTGTGATTGCCTTAAGCCGGAAATACCCCATTCCCTTTTACTGCATCTGCGCATGGCGTCTCTTGTGGGGCACGCCAAAGATTAAGCAACCCTGCCCCGATGGTGGCTAGGCCGGACTTTCTTCTTTGGCCGAGATCCACGTCGATGCAGAACGGTGGACAGAGTGGAAAGATAGCTGGTTATGTCGATACGAGAACTGGGGGACCGACGATGCCAACACAGAAGTCAGGGCGTGAGGAATTCGAGGGAGCTGCAGCTGTCAATTGACCCTGCATTTAAAGGGCCTTTCCTGTTTTCGCCTCGTTAGTATCCGGTAGTGTCTAGACCTATGCCCACCGGATGTGGTTCGTCTCATTTGGCCGGGGGCCGGAGGCATGAGAGCTATGGCAAGGATGAGGATGACGATTGGTTCCGCATGAGTCCGTGGTAGGGGGTGTGCGGTAGATGTCGAGGTACCTAGGTACTCGTACTGTAACAAAAATTGCATCGATGTTGGGAAGTGCAGGGTATGTTGGTGGGGTAAATTAATTGGTGGGCGGCGTGTGCTCAACATCGCCTTCGGGCCCCAGCTTCCCCAGATTGAACTGCCTGCGGCCCTGCGCCTGCGATGCCCCAGTGCCCCTCAACTGCGCCTGAGGCCCCGAGGTGTCTGCTCCAACTTGAACTCCACCTGTCTCGGCTCTCTCTCACAACACCATGCTGGCAATCATGCAGGGTGTGTACTAGACCGGGATGGAGTGTTCCAACTCCGTCGTCTGCTCGTTCCCTCCACGTCCTCTTCCCACATCCTTTTCCACAGCTCAAGCTCATCGCCTGCCGCCCACCGCTTCCACATTCCACATCCCACATCCTCCTTTGTCCTGGCCATGCCTGATTAGCAAGAGCAGCAGAGCGGCGCGTCTCATGTACGAGTAGCATGCTAGCCTCACTGGAATATCACGTCTAGAACCCTACCCCTTCAGGCCCTCCGCCAAACACCAGACATCTCTACCTTTGCGACCCGTCCACCTCCACCACTCCCACCCTGCCTCCTTCAGCTTGCGGGGCGCCTCTACTTTTGTTCCCACCACAAATCAAACTGCCAAATACCCACAGTCATGGTCTTGAGGGAATGTCCCGTATGCGGGCGCGGCTTCAACAAGACAGAGCACTTCAAACGCCACGAGCGGTCTCGTACGTCTAAGCCTCTCTTGGCCACACTCTGATCTCGCCATTGTCGTCGTTGCTTATGCTGACCTGTTAGATACTCGAGAACGTCCGTTTCCTTGCACAGTATGTGGCAAAGCCTTCTCTCGCAGGTACGTAACATCCAAGACACAGCTGTCGCTCTTGTTTCCCTACTTCGGCTACCACACCTTGGCCTTGCTATCCATTTCCTCTGACACCAACCACTTTCTAGCGACGTCTTGTTTCGACATATGAAATGCCACGCTCAGAAGAACAGCCAATTAAGTCCGACAAGTAGCTCCGCCCGGAAAAATACATTCTCCAAAGGGGTCACCCCGAAACCGTCTCAAGATAGCTTTGACCACAAGTCTCCTACGGCGGCTACTAATGCCGCATATACGAGCATTCCCTTGATGCAAATCCTTTCGCCCTCCGATTACTTCCCGCCACAAGAAACTGAATCCCATCAGCAAGCCAGGTATGCCTCTATTGAGGTCCCCAAGTCGAATTTCGACGCTGCGGGCAATTCGTCACATGCCTTCAACATGCAGCTTTCGAGCGCAAGTTGGTCTGTTTCTTCTCCCGTGAACAGTATAAACAGGTATCCCCAGTCGCCACAGCTTCAAAAGCAATCTTCTTCACAGAACAGCGGCGAGGCTTCAACCTTTGAGAATTCGGTACCCGCCCCGGGGAACCCAGGCCAGCTTTCCAAGTCTGAGATCCACCCCAACCAGTTCATCAATAGTCATATCGGATGGCTCCCACCTTCGGACCACGCAAATCAGGATAACCTCTACGATCCTTTACAGATGTGGCTATTGCCTTCCTTCGAAGACCTAGACCAGTCTCCTGAAAATTTCCAGGCTTACGAATCGGGCGATCTTCAGCGTCAGTACCCTGGTCAGAGAGACCTGGCCAATGGAAGAATATATGACTCTCTTGATACGATCAGAACGATTTCCAAAGTTCCCAGAGAGCGCTTTTCGCGGATCCAGCGTTGCTGGGGTCCTCGTTCAGGGCACAATTATCGTATCATGCCAGTCCTCTGGAAAGAAGTCGCTTCCTCACCCACGGGCAACCTCTTCTCAGGGGCCGCGTTTGCCGCCGACGACTTCCGTACAGCCTCTGGTTGGGGTATCAACAATGATTGCCGCGTTCGACTACGTGATGCCTTCCATCTTTCTGCACCGCTCACTTTGCATTCGCCTCAGCTTCAAGCAGTCGTCGATCCGGCTCTATGCCAGGTGAATGAGGAGTTCCCACCCGCCGAGATTCTAGACATTGCTTTAGGTCTCTTCTTTCGCCGCTTTCATCCTACAATTCCATTCATTCATATTGCGACCTTCTCTGTCCAACATACGCCGACACCTATGTTGTCGGCTATTTGTTTGATTGGGCTTAGTATTCTAGGGACAACCGGTGCCACCAGGTTTGTATCGAGCATGTTTCCTAGGTTTCTGCAACGCGTCTGCAACGATCTATCCGCATGCGCAGGATGCTCCGTATCACTAACACAACAGCTGTCAATCTTTGCAACGGCATTTCTGACGCTAAACCTATCCGTGGCCACAGGAGATAAGGCTACATTGGACGAGTGTCAGATGCTTTACGCCAGCCTAATCTCGATAGCTCAGCAAAACGGACTGTTCGCAGCGGATGATGGCCAGCCTCTTGACACTATACTATCTGAGATGACTGAGTCAGATGACCAGTGGAAATCCTGGAGTCGAATTGAATCAGCAAAACGGCTCATACTCGGGCTTTTGCTGGCTGACTCATGGTACTCGAATTTACTATCCAAGGCTCCTATCATTAGGTCGGAGTCGGTCTGTGTGTTTGCGCCCTGTAGCGAATCCCTCTTCCAAGCTAAGTCCGCCACTCAATGGCAGTCAATACTGCGAAGTGGAGAAAGCCAAAACGCTCCCAGCTTCAGACTCGAAGACCTTCATCAACACGATACGGAACCGATTGGGAAGCTGGGATACTTGGGCAGATCGTCTTTTCTGGCCTTACTCCAGATTCAAATCCTTGAGGCATACCAGCGGCTGATGCCTTCAGACCAGTTGGCTACGGGATCCTTCATTCCATGGCATGTATACTCGGGTGACGCTCGAGCAAAGACTCTGATACCGGCCGTGCTGGCGGCAAACTACACAGCCGGTCCGTTGTGGAACGTCGACGACACAAGCTGCGTCGTGCTCTGGCACAGCCTATGTATCATGCTCCTGGCGGATCTCCCCATGTTTGAAGTTGCAAGCGGTCGACACGGGGCGGCCCCGGCAACAGGCGCGCTGGAGAATATCAGCCAATGGTCACAATCCCAATCTGCGCGTCGGGCATGTGTCCACGCGGCGCAGACTTTTAAGCTGATGTCGGAGCGCCGGGTCTCGGACAATGCCACCATCCATTCGATCAAGGCGCTCTTCGCGTCGGCCCTCGTTTTAGGGTTGTACTTGTTCATGGTGAATCCTGGCTCCGTATCTCGCCAGAATGCAGCCCCTGTCGAGATAATCAACTCCGAGCCCGACTGGATAGAACTACAGGACCTGGGGTTCCGCGACAGGACGCTCCTGCAGCCGACCGAGCGTGGCCTCAGGACCAACCGTGAAGATGAGCAGTCTTTCTCATCTATTTATCAATTCATCAAGCACGGCGGCACTATCAGTCTGAATGGCGTCGTACATCAAGCCGGCTACGAGAGCGCGAGGAGGGTCTTACTAGATTTTGCGAATCTGATGGACGGCATCTCTGGGCGGAGACTCAGGACGTTTACCCAGGTGTTGCATATCATGAGTGATGATTTGATGAATGTCGATCCTTTGCTATGAATGTGGGAGCGATTGAGACTGATGAATCAATATATTTGATGTTTTATCGCGCATAGGACAGGATGGCTAACCGTACATGGTTGAGCTAGTATCACTGCCTGATACTTGTATCTGCGAACGTCTGTCCTATCTAGGCTGTACAAGAATCTAGTCACGAGATGTTCTAGCAGAAAGTCGAGGTGGAAATATGACAAAACAAGCCTCGTTTCCGTTGATCCTGACATCCCCTGTTACGTTGATCTTATCATCAAGTCATTGATATCATCTGTCCTTCTGTCCTTGTCGTACAATGCAGTAGAATCGACAGCCTTGCCCTACTACTTGGGCCATACGCAAATGCAGCACCATTCGCCTCCTGCCGTATTTACATGAGCGGTTTCAGCAGGTCACCGTGACCAAAGCCCCTGAACCTTCCACGGCGAGTGCCGCTATCAACCAATGGTTCCGCTCTGCAAGAGTCCGACAATTCGACAAGGCCAGACGGTCTAGGGCCAGCTGTGCTGTGCGATAGTGACGACCTGGAGAAGGTAAACTTTCATTGGTGTCACTGGAGACTGGGCCGTGGGCCCATTGAGAAGAAGCTCATCATGTTTAGCCCAGGGCTTCAGATGTCAAAGTCATCATCGTTCCAGCCGAGTTTTGCGTAGATGTCGCCGTCATCACCATTGCCATCAGCCTGTAGGACAGGAGATGCTGCGTCCTTTGCCCTTTCTAGGCTATTTTGCAGTCCTACACGTGCTCTGGCCTCCGGATTGCGGCCGGCGCCGACCTCGTCCCAAGCTCCAAAGCTGGAAGGGAATGCTCTCGCTTTCCCGCCCATCACTCGATCCATCATCTTTCCAGCCCGCTCTGGGATCTCGGGCGCATCACGGAACGCATATTCTACGCTGACATCGGACTTCTTGATCGGGGTGAACAGGACGGGACGGCGCGAACGAGACATGGTGGATGATTGCAGCTCCTGGGATTGAGAGCGGCTCGAGGAAAGAGCTGAAATTGGTGCGGGGGACAGCTGCGTCCCCATGTGAACGTCGTCGTCGTCGTCGTTTCTCTTCGAAGTGGTTTGTTTCCTCGGCTCCCGCGCCGGCGTCATCATCATGCCGCGTTCTTTGTTGTGGTCGTCATTTGCGTTGGCCGAAGACAATATTGGTCGCGGCTGGTGCCGGGCCAGACCTAGCGGGTTGGTTGTCTTGCCTTCCATGCCGCGGGATGGAGTCTCGTGGATTGCTGACAAGACTGCTCGTTTCGTGGCGGACGATCTGCTGGGGTGAATGCTAATCCCGCTCGAGCTGGGTTTAGCCGTCGAGGACGGCACCACCGTCGTCATCATCTCTTTGTCTCTGTCTTGCTGTTGGCCGGCAATCGCGAGGGGAGGCAATGAGTGCAACAACTCTGTCTCAGAGTGGTCGTGGCCCTGAATTACAGCTCGATCACCGACCCTACGCGCTCGCGGCGTCGCAGTGATTTGCACTGTCTTCGTCTGTTCCGCGCGTTTCTCCACATCGTCCATGAACGCGCCGGCAACGGTGGTCCTACTAGGCCGTCTGAGAGCCTCGATTGCGGCGTCGAGCTCCTGCTTTTGCTGCGCCAGGCGATCAAGTTTGCGGCGCTTCACCTCATGTGCTCGACTGTCCGAAACAAGGTCGATTTCACGGTTACTGAAGCTGGCAGATTTGACCAGCATGCTCATGCCACCGCGGGACAGCGGCCGTTCGGACGGCTCGCGTTTTAGCGTAGGGATCATACCATTCATTGCCAAAGGGGCGGTCGATGAGCGGGAAAGGGTGGTCGGTGGTGATGCATGGCGGTGCGCTTGATCTTCACTCAAAACACGTTCAAGGGTCCGTCTGGCCAGCGGGTGTACTTGCCCTGACCTGGAATGGAGTCTGGAGTGGGAGGAAGAGGAGGCTCCCATCGCAGGTGCTCGAGATTGTCCTTGATGAGGAACAGGCTTCGGTCGTTTGGGTGAGATTTCCGGCCCTCCAAGTTTCCGAGATATCGATTTGACCTGCTCAGGGAGCTTTGCTGAGTAGAACGGCAAAAGCACGTCTTTGCAGAAGTCGCGTAGCGAGTCGCTTTGCTTCAACATACTGCTGCTGTTGCCGGTGTTGACAGCTGTGCCCAGTTCGTCTTGACCCACGGTGTGCCAGATACACAGGCGGTCGACTATGGTGTCTAGTTCTCCGGTTAGATCACGCTTCTTCTTGGACTTCTGCTTCTGGGGTGTTTTGGCCAACATTGCTGAGGGGTCGTCTTCAATGGACTCAACCTTGACCTCTGGATCGGGTGGGGTTTTCTGCTCCTCCGAAAGCTTTGAGAAAGCCAGATTCAGTAGCATCACCTCGAGGATCAAAAGCATCTGCATCTCGGACTCTCGCATACGCAAATCTGCTAGCTCTTTGCGCATTTCCTCAGCTTGGGAAGTGGCCCTCATGGCCGACTTCAAATCGCGACTGCGCCACCATTTGCTAATGGATTCTTCCTCTTCAGGCCAGAGGCAGTCCTTGCCCAATTTCTGTTGTGGTTTCTTCTTCTTCTGCCTTTTCTTTTGAAGATCCCCACTTCCGTGTTCACTTCCCAGTCCTTTAACTATGTTAGACAATGATTCCTTGTATTTCAGGTCGATTTTTTTAGTCGTAAGGATACTTTGTTCATAGAAGTCAGACAGTTCCAGGATGGCTTTCAATGGAAATGCTGTCGAACGCACATGTGCTCGAGCACGGCTCAAAGGACCTTTGACGTAGAATGCTAGAGAAGTGTTGGAAGTGTATAGATGCTCGAAATATTGATTTCGGAGACGTTCCGGGGAGCATGGATCCTCGATAGCTACTATATGTTGAGGCTCTTGAGCATGTCCGGGGACGGGCTCAGGAGCCATCCCGGTCTGTCCATTCTTAATCTCGAAAGGTATTTGGTCTCTGGATACTGAAGCAGGCGTGGTTGGTGATGGCGGCGTTGTCGAAGACAAAGTGCTGGCAGGTTGCAGGGTCCCGGGTTGGTCGGGGGTCTGGATGGTCACCTCCTTGGGTGTCAAAATCGACATTCTTGCAAGCGCTCCTCGTCGATTAGAAGGCCTCCTAGGGCTTTTTGGCACTGGCAGGGCGGCCACGAGGCTAGAGGTAGAACCCGCCCTCGAATGCCCTCGACTTGCACCATCTTCTTTTCTCAAAAGATCTTCGATTTTGACTTCGGCAACTTTCCCAATCGCAGCGTCCTGGCACCATTCTAACGATACCCAGTTGTGAAGAGCGCAGGCAACATAACTGTTGGACCCGACCTTTTCAACAGCGTACAGGCCTCCATTGGGTAAGTTGCGAACGACAAGTGCTCGCTGCTCCCATTCATGAACAAACGAAATACTTGCCTCGAAGACGGGACCAGGCAAAGGATGCGACGTGTTGAGCCAAGCCAAAGGAAGGCATGCTCTGGCAACAAGGGCTATCGCAGAAAACGTGAGAGTCTGCTCCCGGACTGATAGAAATCTGGCGCTGAAGGTATTCTCTTGAGTCTCTCGTGTGTCAAACGCGTCACTCTTCCTCTTTCTGCTGTTGCATTCGGGAACGTGTGGCGCAGCGTTCAGATTGTTACTGCTGGTCGGTCCAAGCACAGGTCTCGCTGATGGGATTTGCGACAGCATTTCTTGCCATCATGAATGGACAGAGAACGAATAACACCCATTGGGGAGAGGTGCAAGGAGAGCAAAACTGCTACGACTTGACGTGGACCAGGGCAAGAGTCTAGACGCGTCCTACCTGGTCCCATTGTGCCAGCGGGTGCTAGCACCACTACGTGACTAGTAGTAGGTAGTTGACGTCACGCGTATCAGGCTGCCCTAAGGCCTTGGCGTCAGCCTTGCTTGATCCTCAGCCTCAGCCTCAGCCTCGCAAACTCAACTACCATTATTGTATTGCAGCAGCCAGTATCTGGCAGATGGCGCCCTGCAGGTGAGGTTTTCCCGCGCCAAATGTTGTCATCTCCGCGGGCCTAGTTTCTCACTGAATAGAAGTGGGCTATATCTTTAGGAGTCTTTCTTAGGGAGGCAGTATAGCAACTGTTGTGATTGATATTTATAGAATTATGATTTTCAGCTATTGGCTCTCCGATCCTAATTTTCCGCCTTCCAAGAAAATGCCAACCGTTTCTTGAGGCTGTGACTTGGTTTTGTGGTTGGGGTCGCCAGTATGGCTGGTGGAGATCGTCTTCGTTTATATGGTGCGTTTGGGGATTTTTATTCGATTTCAACCTCAGCTTCATGTTCTGAGGAAGACAACGAAACGGGCTCATGGGGTCGTTGGACTCAAGGAACGGATGGTGCTGTTGTCTCGATTTTGCTGTCCATCGTCGTCATTCTCGTTGTCATGTCGGTTTTCTCGCTTCGATTTCTCTGATGCATAACTGAGCGGCGGCATTATTTTATAGTACCATAACCGCCTACAACCGCCATATGATATACTGAGCCTCCCCTCCAAATTGAAAATCTTTCCGAAAAGAACTCGAAACATTCGCTGTGTAATCATACCCTGGGGACTCAACTGGTGCCTGCGCCCTATCTCGCATCCAAGGCCGACTTCTTTGACCGTTTGCTACGACCCGTGTCCTCCTTCGGTTCCTTCCTACGCTTGGTTCCCTTGGAGTTGCCCCCTTTGGGGCGATATCCGCCATCTGCGTCCCTCTTCCGCTTCCCTCTCAACGAAGAACCTGGATCCAAAGCGATTCCGTCATCATCGTAAAGATCTGGCTCCTGTTTCAAGGCCTCTTTGTTGGCTGATTTCCTTGCAGAGATTCGAGACCCCGTGGCTCGGGACGGCTTTTCTGAGCTCGTTTCATTGTCCTGGAGAAATACCTGGGGTTGGTGCTTCCGAAGCCAGTTATACACTGATACTGGATTTTTCAACTGTGTTTCCCGTTCGCGTTCGGTAGTCCTCTCGGCGTTTCGGCTTCCCAGGCTGTTGACAGCGTGCGATCTGGGATTGGTGTTGGCCCCGTCGAGGAACGCGTCCAGTGCTTGTAGATAATCCTCCTCGTGTTTCGTCGACAGGAAGCCACTTGAGTCGGATTTGTTCGGCTCCATCTTCTCAATGGGCTGGCGCGGAGGAGGTGCAACGGAGAGGAGCGAAGCATATGAACGCTTGGGTGCAAAGGCGGGGGCTTTGAGAAGACTTGCTTCAATTTCTCGGTATCGTGTTTCATCAATCTCTTTAGCTTGTAGCTGACTGCGGGCCTTTCGCAATTCCAAATGTCCTTCTTCTTCACTAACAAGCAATTTCGACCTCTCGTCACTGGATATTTGATTTCCCGGAGGTCTGAGATCATAACGTAGGGATGGCGGGACTTGCGGGCAAGAGTTCAACTCAAGGAGAAGTTGAAGCAGTTGACTAGAAGACCAGTCAGAAGTGACAACGTGGGTGAGGCATCCGTGGTCTTACTCATTCTGCTCGGCTAGGCGTTCTGAGATATCCATGATTCTTTGCTCCTCTCTGAATAACGACGTGTTTTCCCTCATTTTCTCCTCAAATGTCACCATGGATTTGCGGTATTTCCGCCTGCAGAACTGTTAAACTCTGCGTCACCAGCTCTAGCATTGAGACAGCAAGTACCTGTATGATTTTCTGGACGCGGCAGGTTGCTCAGAAAGATTGGGTTGGTCCGCCATGGCGGAGTCTGCCACAGGTTCTTCTGCAGAAGACATGTTGTTGTTGTTCATAGCCCAAAGAGCAGAGAGAGTACCAGGTCGGCTGTAACGGTGAAAGACAGGTTGTCGCGAAAGGCAATTGTCAAGTGAAATGCTAGAGGCATCCCCTGCGCGTTTTTGGGGTCGAAGGTGTCTCCAAAGCCAGGGTTTCCACCTGAGCCTATCGGTTTGAAGCACGGATTTGATTGCCGCAGCAAGAAAATCCTCATTCGTAAAATCCAACATGTCCACTTCCTCCAACTAATAATCACCATTATTCTGTGACATACAAATACGCAGACGGGAAAATGAGCGTCCTAGATGTGAATACTACTGATGATGAGAGAAAGAGTCGAAAGAGAGATGCAGACACGGCGGAAATCGAGATTGACATTGATGCACCAGAACCTCCGTCTAAGAAGGCATTGCGGAAAGCAAAGAGAGCAAAAACATCAATAAAGAACGACTCAGTCCTAAAGACTGACGCGACTAGACCGTCTGCAAATCTTCCAAACGAAACCCGTGAGAATACGAAGCGTTCCGGATTTGGCATTTGGATAGGAAATCTAGCATTCAGTACGACCAAGGACGACCTCGTCAAGTTCTTCACCCAGAATTCAAAGAATATCATTCATGAAGACCAAATTACACGAATCCATCTACCTCAGGGACAGCCAAAATTTGGTAAGCCTGCAAACAAAGGATTTGCCTATGTTGACGTTTCCGATGAAAACACTCTTCAAACCGCTCTGGAGTTCAGCGAGGGCCTTCTTGGTGGACGTCGAGTTCTGATCAAGAACGCCAAGGACTTCGAAGGCAGACCCGAGCAGAAAAAGGGATCAGAGGGACGGCAGACGCTCCCCCCAAGCAAGCGCATCTTCGTGGGCAATTTGGGCTTCGACACCACTGTGGAAGAGCTCGAGGAGCACTTTGGTATCTGTGGACCAGTACTGCACACCCACATGGCCACGTTCGAAGATACGGGGAAATGCAAAGGCTTTGCCTGGATCGACTTTGAGCAGCTATCATCGGCCGAATCTGCAATGCGAGGCTGGGTTGAACCCCGACGCACCGGCGATGGACTTCCTACAAACAATCGATTTTCGAGGCAGAGGATTTGGCTTCATACTCTGAAAGGCAGGAAGTTGAGAATGGAATTCGCAGAGGACAAAGCTACTCGCTATCAAAAGCGATATGGAAAGCAGGCGAAATTGGCAAACTCCGGGCAAGGGCCTGACACTGAGGCAGAGGAACCGATACAAGAGGTCGCCGCGGACGCAACGGCCACACCCGTTCTGCAAGATCCTGATAAAGGGAAGAGAAAGAGGGCTGGTGGGAGATATGGAGAAGAGACAGTGCAGAAGTTGACCGGAGCCATTGTCGAAAGCAAAGGTCAACGAATCGTGTTTGAAGAATGAGAGCGGCATGTAAGTAGTGCATTGAGAGTTGGTGCGGTATGGAAGAATGTGAAGCAGTAGACAGCTATATGAGCTATTGTGTGAAGGCCACGCCAGACCAACAACAGTATCGGGCTCCTTACTATTATGTGTACCTTACATGTACCTATGTACCCAATGTACGGATACATGAGGTATATGTGGTGGTGTTACAGTAGTACATAGGGACTCCGTACTGCACTTGCAGTGCACCTCAGTGCTTGACGCTGGCGTCCAATAATAATAAGACTTCCCAACACCCAACTGCGCTTGGCACAACCCCGTGACGGAAGTCTGGGGCAATAATGCTTGAGAGGTCTCGCCCTCGACTGGACACGACTAATAGATGTTGGTCAGAAGAGACAGTGTCTTGAATGCAAAATCTGTCCTTCTGTCCGCATTTCCAATCTTACTGAGGACTATGCAGTGAGCTCTAATTCTATCAAGCCCATCTTTGCTCCTTGCATTTCAGCGTGGCTTCGAGATGTTTCATTGATAGACCTTTGCTCGGAGAAAACCACAGCCTGCGTCGTACCGTCGTCGAGTCGAAATCCGATTTTGCGACCGCCGAGAATGCTTCATACTGCTGCCTTCTGACAACTGCCCCTTGTTGCGAATCTGTTTTGCGCAGATATCCAGAGCCGTTCATTGCCACCGAAATCATGCCTGCGGCTCGAAGAAAAGATCTGCTTGCCAGCCGAAGAAGGCGACAAGACGATGGGGAGGAAGATGACTCAGTTTTGGGAGACTTAGAAGATGACTCGATGAGCGAAGGATCTGCATTGAGCAACGGCGATGATGATGATGCAGAGAATGGAGGCGGCAATTCCAGTGGAGAAGAGCATGACCCTGCAAAAACCCCCTCTAACACGACAAAGCCAGCTGGACGACAAGCGGAGGAAGGGGACGTGCATATATCATCAACTCATGGGTCTTTAAGTCCTGAAGGTCCATCCCAGCTCACCGCTGATACGGACGCCATACTACATGGACTTGCTGAGGCCCCAAAGTCACAAGAGCCGGAAGAATTTCGCTTCGAAGACCTGGCAACTTCCACCGAAGATGGTGCCGTCACTGCCAGTGAAGTTGTGGTTCCCAGGCCTCCTCGACATGAGACACCCTCACAGCGCAGCCGAAGGGAGCACCAAGAGTATATCAAGCAGCGCAACGCCAATCCTGCTTTTGTACCTACGAGAGGCGGTTTCTTTCTTCACGATGACCGCAGCTCAAGACACTCGGGGCCAAATCAGAGGCCATATGTACGTGGCAGAGGTCGGGGAGTTGCGACCCCGATGCATGCAGGGTATGTTGAGCATATGATAAGTTACGATCGACATCTGACTTGTGACAGACGTGGCAGTAGCTTGAATGAGCCTACAGACAAGCCCTGGGCTCATGATCTTCATGAAGACCATGAAACGGCGCTGAAAGCAGGACCGCCGCAAACGAAGAAAGAGTCACAATCAGAGAAGCGACAAGCACGAACCCCTCCGGTATCAGCGGCTCCCAATAGATTCTTTTCGTTTTCAATGGTGCTGGGAAATGTGACTGTTCAGATCTCTTTTCCCGGCATTTCTCAGAAAATCTCAATCCCGAATGTTGTCAAGAAGCAGCACACTTTGCTTCCACAGCATCGCCCTCCTCTAAGGCGGGACAAACCCGTTCGAATCTCAATGCCAGGAACAGCACCCCGATACATCTTCCCAAGCACCGAAAGATCATTTATCTTCATCCCTCGGGCATTGCGTCCAAACCAACAGTCATATCGGGGTCGTGGGCGGGGGAGCTTCCAAGGAAGCCGGAGACCAAGCATCTATGGCAGTGTGTATACCCCAAGTATTGCAATGAGCCGGAAGTCTTCCCTGGGAGCATCTACCATGAGGGATGGTATACGATCGCCAACTGATTCGATATTGTCGCGTATGGCCGTTCCTGGCACAGAAAGCACTCGACCTGTTGTTCGCATGCCCTCCACAGTCCCTACGCCCTCACTTTCGAGGACTGGAATACCCGGAATGAATGGAGACATGGGAGTTAGTGCGCAACTACCTCAGGTACAAACCTCTACTCTGTATGGTAGCCATTCGACCGCGATACCGATGCATCAGCCGAGACCTCAGAAAGCCGTGTCTGTTGCAGATATCGAGTCTCCAGCATCATTCCAATTCAAAGCACCACAACCACAACAAGAACAACCATTCCACCAACAAGTCCCAGCTCACATTGCCAATGCCTATGCGGACGAAAAAGCAAATCAGCCTGGTCAGCAAAGCGTCCCAGCCATGGCTGGAGTGACACCGCTGTCGCAAATACCTGAAGGCGCAGTCTTCGGGCAAGGCTTTCAGCCGTACCCAGTCATTGGCGCGCCGGCCTACTTTGGTGCGCCTTACAATGCTGGCACGGTTTACTATCCCCCAATGGCAGACACAACCTCTTTCGGCCTTCCAATGTCCGCTCCTTCTTTGGCACCTAGCTTTGTGCCAGGTTCTCACTCACATCCTGTCGCTTACATGCCTGCTCCCAGTGCGCTGGAAGCCAGCCTCCCACCCAACCCTGTTATTCACGAATCAAACGGCATGGTATTTTACTATAACCCACCTATGTTTGCGCCCGACGCTCCAGGCAGACTACAACCCTTGCCTGTCGCTTCAAATGGTAATGTGGCGACGATGACCAATGGAACCTCGGGGCAAACCCCTTTTTACTTCTCTTCTGCACCCACGGGCATGTTTTATCCGGCACAGTCTGGCTGATCCTCACCTTGCTGGCTATTGTCTCTTAATATGTTTGATTTGGTTTGACTAGCAGGTTACGGAGTCTGTCTGCATTTTGTGGGGCAAGCGGGCATGTGCGATTTCAGGGAACCAGAAGGCTTTCTCGCATCCCTTATCCTGCCTTCGAGATATTCTTGATCATATCCTTCATGTACATTGTATCTCATGGTTGCAAACAAAGTCTGCGGGGATTGTTAGAGGCCTTGGAACAGATTGGCGAAATAGGGCAACACGGGCTTGAAAAGAAACGGATCGAGGTCCTTTTTTAACCCATGGATCGCAGCTTCACTGGCGTAGGTAACTTTCTAGGCGAATGGCACAAGGCTGTATTCTCCATGAGATTGGTGTAGAACGTAGGGTGTAGCAAAAGATTTGTCGCTGCTATCCGGAGAGTGATTGACTGAAATGATCCGACTCCTGCAAAGGAGCAAAAAATGAATGTCGCCGGGCGTTGACAGTACAGAGTAGCACTGACCACCAACCGGTGAGCAATGGTTCGCGCCTAGAAGAGTGAATGGTACGTGATGCACTATTGGATCCTGTCTCGTTGCGGTGCTGCCTGCGCACGTGAACTGCTGCGGTTTCCCCGCCCGGCCTACGGAACAGGCTGAGGCGTTTCCGTCATCTCTCCATCCACCGCCTCTCTCAACTTGACGTGCTTGACCATCTTCCTTCCTCCATCCTCTCCTCCTGGTCTTCGAGAGAGGTATTCTGCGTACTCCTATTATCCATGCTCTCCTCTTCCTGAGGTGCCTCATTCGCATAGCCGCCTCTTTTCGCCTTGCCCGCACACAACATTCCAACCAGCTTGACGCCGCCTGCCTCGGTCCTTATCACCCAGCATGGCTACACCTCATCCTCATACTGGTCCTGTCGGCCCTGACACTTTGATCACTGTCAAAGTCATCATCGACGGTACTAATCGAAGATTCAAGCTCGCTCTTCGTGACCTCGGAGCGAATGTACTTCCACTGAAGGTATTGATCGCTCGTTAACCTTATTCCCGCCTCACCGCAGCCTCACTTTCCCTGACCCCAGCCGTAACGCATGTGTGAAATCTAGCTGACTCCTACATCTATAGCTTCGTTTCTTGCTTAATATTCCCGCAGAGCAGGAAGTTCGCTTCGATCGATTCTCCGATTCCGCAGGCACCTACATCACCCTCGACAGCAACAATCCAGCCATCTACAAACAGTTATACAGAGCCGCGAAGGCCAAGCTCAAGCTGCGCTTGAGGGCTGTTGTGGAAGTACCTGCGAAGCCTGAGACTAGTGAAGACACTCCTGGTACCTCCAAGATGCTGAATGTCAAGGAGGTCATGAAGGATACTGCCGCTGCCTCAGAGCCGAGGCAAACCTTCCTCGAGACCGTCCTGTCTCAACCATTGGGTACCGGCATCGTACCGTCCTTCAAGTCTTTCCAGAAAGCTTGCCCTTACTCTGCAACCTGTGCAATTCCAGGTGCCTTTGACCTCAACAACGTCGACTCAGATGACATGTTTTACCTTCCTCCAGAGAGCCCCCACGGCGCTAGGGCCCTGAGTTTTCCCACCCTGCCCTCGCTCAATGACTTCCCATCGACATCCTACAGTATTGACTGCAACAATTGCGGGAAGTCTGTGCCCAGTGAGCATTACCATTGTGGTATTTGCGAGAATGGTGACTTTGATCTCTGCAAGGCATGCGTTGACACTGGCGTGACTTGTGGTGGGGAAGAGCATTGGCTTCTGAAGAGAACGATCCGCAATGGCATTGTCATCCCCAGCACCACGGAGACTTTGGCTCCGAAGAAGTCACCTACGGCCGCCAGTCGCACCTCCGACGAAATCATCACACCAGTCAGCCCCGAAGATGATGAGGAACGCACTTGCAATTCTTGCATTTGCCGTAAGTCTATTTCCCATGGTGGAGGTTGAAGATTACTAATTCCCTACAGAATTGCCAGCTCGCGATTTTGTCACTTGCCAGAACTGTCCCGACTTCGATCTTTGCTTGACTTGCTTCCAGGGCGGCGAACATGGTCATGACCCATCCCACGGGTTTCAACCACAAGAGGCTCTTGATCACATGCTTGAGCCTGCGATCAAGAATCTTTGTGCTCCCGGTCGCGGCATTCGCCAGGATACCCTCTGCGATGGCTGTAATGCGGTAAGTACATGCGTGACTGCTAGACTGGCCCGTCCGACTAACAAGTCTTTCTTGTAGTTCATCTTGGGCGTCCGACACAAATGTTTGTCCTGCCCAGACTTCGACTATTGCTCTACCTGCATCGAGACTGCCGGCGACAAGCACCCCGGTCATCGGTTTGTACCCATTTATACCCCGCTTCACACCTTCCGCCCTGCAAAGCACGTCCATCGTGGCATCTACTGTGACGGCCCTCTGTGCACCAAATACAAGCATTACATCACAGGCGATCGTTACAAGTGTGCTGTTTGCCACGATACCGATTTCTGTGCCAACTGTGAAGCATTACCGAATAATGGACACAACGAGTCTCACCCGCTGATCAAAATGAAAGTCCCATTCCGCCATGTTTCCATCACCACTCAACACGAGACAGAGGAGGGTCAAAAGATTACACAAATGGGAGATCGGCCAACAGCCAAACACGCGGCTACCGAGACTACCCGTTCAACTTCTGCCAACGCGGCTACGCAGGTTCACACTGTGGCAGATGTGCAGCCTGATGAGACTGTGCCCTCTATCAACGCCGCTACGCAGGTTCACACTGTGGCAGATTTGCAGCCTGCTGAGACTGTGCCTTCTGTTGTGGAGCGTAACAAGATCAACGACGTCCTGCCGGGCAAGCCAATGGTGAATGAACTCCAAGCTTGGTACGTCCGTGACTCGACGCATGATGGTACTCGGGTCGCGCCGAATCATCTCGTCACTCAAACCTGGACCCTTCGCAACCCTGGCCCGGAGGAGTGGCCGGCCGGCTGTGCAGTGTACTATATCGGTGGAGACGATATGCGAAACCTGGATATCTATCACCCCTCGAGTGTTAGCACAATGACATCTGCCAATCGGAGCAACTTCCTTACCGCCAGCCTTGGACCAGGAAAGACTGCTATGTTCACGGTCTTTTTGAAGTCACCTCCTCGTGAAGGACGGGCAATCTCGTACTGGCGCCTCAAGACTCCTGGGGGACAGCCCTTCGGCCACAAGCTTTGGGTCGACATCGATGTCCGTTCGACTCCAGTGGAGCTGCCTATCCGTTCGGCTTTGGTACCCACGTCACCTGCAACCGTTGAAGGGGATCCAGAGGTTAAGGACGAGGACAAATCACAGGCAAGCTCTACAATGATCTTCCCCACGTTGGACAAGGAATCTCCTACTTCTAGTGTCCACAATGTCAGCGCCGAGCACGTTGAGGTCGCCCCAGTGGCAGTGATGGGACCGACCACCAAGACTGACGAACATGAATTCCTCGAGGATGTGGAAAGCCTTGAATTAGAGGAGTCCGACAGCGACGAGGAAGAGTTCCTGACGGATGAAGAATACGACATCTTGGATGCGACCGATGAAGATTTCTTGATCGAAGCACAGCAGGGGGGGAGCAAGTAAGCTCTCTTCCTTGACACGACAAATGTATGGAGTATCATCTGCAGTCCATACCTCTCGCAATAGGCAACGGGGACTGGTGTATGAAGGCCCTCCAAACACTAAGCTGCGGATGAAGCATATGGAGCAGGTAGGGAGGGCTTTTGGATCAGGCTGAATGGGTGGTGTAAGGGTTAGGGTTATGGGATGACTGGGCGACTTTTCTTTACCTAGTATGACAGAACAGATTCTGATAACATGAAAGCTGTTTCCACTTGCTCGTCACCTTGGCTCCTCTCCAGTAAGGTGTTGCCTGTTAAAAGGGCGACAATCGTTGACCTGTTGCCTACCTATAGGTAGTAGGTAGTAGGTAGTAGGTAGTAAGTACCTTGACGGGGTCAATCCGACGAGTTCCGACAAAAGAGAAGTTGCAATTCAAGCGGGGAAGGCACTACATAGTAGAAGAACTGCGGTGACAGACGAAGTACGGCGGGCATACAAGTACCTACTCGGTACCTACTGTAGGTACCTAACCTACTAACACACAGAAGTTAAGTTGTAGCTAATTACATGTATTAATTGATAGGCAACTACCACCTGCCTACCAGCCTACCACGAGTGCTGAGTATGTAAACGGAGTGGCGCCAGTAGTGGGACGATTTCTCCAGATTTCCCTCCCGGCCGTTGAGCGATCATGAGAAAGGCAATGACGACACTACTGTAAATTACCTGCGGTCGGCGCGGCGCAGGCTGCGGCCGCCGAGAGTGCGAGTGCGGGTGAGTGTAGGTGAGTGTTGTCAGTGTCTCCCGAGGTGCCATTTGCCCTGATTCCATTTGTGCGTTCTCGTACTCGTACTTTCACCGCTTCCTTCTGATCTCTCCCATCTCGGTGCTGCCCTCACCACCACGACTAGACCGCTATTTTTGTCGCTTCTGTCCGCGTTGAACGCTCGCCCTCGGTTCACCTTCTGGTACCCAGTGTGTCGGTCCTCCACATGGAAATTCGACGACTTCCGCCTCATCATCTTTCATACCGTGCCTCACTCCCCAAAGGCTGACAGATCTTGTGGATTACAATAGACTCATCCTAGGCGGCCGTCTGCAATATATCCCTGTTTCCCCCTCTCTTCTTTGCGATTTACGCAGACATTCAATCTGTCCATCATGCACGAAGATCTACGCCGAAGAGCTCTCGAGAGCCACAAGACGGTGTCGAACAAGGCCAAATCGAAACATTCTTCCCGGGGCAGTTCTCGGGCCAATTCCGCGGCCAATTCTCGACCAGCATCTCAAGTGCAGAGCCGAGATGTCTCGGACGAGGAAGACGCTGGCAATGGCAATCTCAGCGACGATACCAATCAGAGGTGAGATAGAGCACCATGTAGAGTGCGCAGCGTGCAACAAACGCAACTGACATTCCGCATTTCGTGTAGCATCAATTCGATCGACGCCCTTTTGGAAAGTGACGATTTCAACGAACAGAGCACCGAGGTCCTTCGACAAGAATTGACCGATGCCATTGCCGCTCTTTTGGAACGAAAAGGCAGCAGCAACAAAAGCCGGGAAGATTCATTGAGTACCTATGTCAAATGCCTCACATCCCACTATCTGGCCGAAGTCCTGTATGGACGCGTGCCAGAGCTCCTTATTGCATTCGGCCGAAGCATCAAGGCGGAGACGAGCGAGAAAGAAACCACACTAGCGTTAAAAGCCGTGGCACTGACCGCCATTACATTTGCGGACGGCACCCTATATGACACGATATCTGGGGTACTCAAACGAAGCATCTCGGACTCTCAGTCACTGGCGGTCAAAGCAGCAGGTATTTACTCGTTGGGCATTTGTCTCTCTTCTGGCGGGGCAGGGGAAGAGGAAATTGCAGATGTCATGACATTGCTGCTTGAGATCGCGTCGAGCGACGGCGCATTCATTGGGGCCGATGACAACGCGGAAGTGGTGGCGGCTGCACTGAGCACTTACGGATTCTTGGCCACTCAGATCGAAGACATGGAGGACGAGTCCGAGGACGCAGTGGCCACCTTTCTCGATCAACTGGACGCCGACGATGTGCGAGTGCAAGTGGCCGCCGGTGATAACATCGCGTTACTGTACGAGAAGAGCTATACGCCCCGGGAAGAGGACGACAGCACTTCGTCCGAGGGAGAAGAGGATGAGAATGGAATGGGACCGTCGGATGAATTGGGCGGAGGGCGGGACGACTCGGGCTTAGTGAAACGATACAATGCCTACCACAACACACATGAAGTGGTGGAAAAAGTGACGGCACTGGCTTCGCTCAGTACCAAGTCGATGCATCGGCGGGACAAAAAGCTATTGCATCAGTCCTTTGCCAGGATCGCGGTTACGGTGCAGAATCCGAAGCTGGGGCTGCAGGCCAACAATGCGTCCAAGATGGTGGTCCGAATCCATCGCGAAGGAGAAATGCGAGTGGACAAGTGGTGGAAGTTGATGCGGTTAAATGCAATCCGACGGCTGTTAGGCGGAGGCTTCGTCAACCATTATTTCGAAGGCAACAAGCAAGTGTTGGATGCGTTGCCAATGCTGATGCGCTCGACCGGGGAGGATGGACTGCGGAGTCCTCGGAAAGGAGTGAGCACCAAGGCTGGCAAAGGACGGTATCGAGACAGTCGGCGGTTTGTGACGGGGGATTTCCTGTCGGCGGAAGGGTAGGAGGGGAGGATATCGGGTCAACGACACAGTACATGATAGTTCTTTTTTCTTTTATTTGCTATCGGTATTAGACATGAGATGATATCTAGGAGCGAAGGGCAGAGCCTATATGGCGTATGTACGGAGTATACATTTCCATATCTGGTACCTGCAGCCTGTATCTATATCCGAACAAGTGGTGCATTATGTACAGGTATCTAAGATGCCTCTTAGGTACCTCTTACCTAGGTATAGCTACCTCCGAACCTACAAGGTACGCACCAAGTATGGAAGTAGCTACCTATAGGTAAGTACCTTACCTGTCTCAGTGTCTCACTGTCTATAGATACCTGCCCAGGTACCGTACCTCAATATGAGTACTAGCTATCCTGCATTAAGCGGGCGTAATTACTCGGGTCGGAAGATCCTCGTGTCCGGCCTGAGTCCAGCGCGTCATGGGAAATGGGGATATTGGGAAATGGGAAAAAATATCCTGGTCGATCAGTGGCGAAGGCCAGATTTGCTGCAAATACGAAGAGGGTACCAAGGGGGTGCGGTGAAGCATGATTGGGGGAGCCAGTGCCAGTGGGTAGAACGGACTTTTCACGGCTGGCCGCGTAACCTCACCACCTCACCACCTCACCCCAAATATCAACTGCCCTTATCAGCCCCCTTAAACCTTGGTGATGGTGCACGTCTGTTTACGGAGTAGAGTGAGGTACCAGGGGCGATGTATGTACGGAGTGCTCCGTGAAATCCATAGTACGGATACTCGTGCACAGTGCTCGGTACCGAGCACTCCGTATACTGTGTAGGTACCTAGCGAATCCAGGCCCCCAAACTCGTATCTCCCGTGGCGGCTTAGGCACCGCTCCTGCCCACCGCGCCTGAAACAGGGAGGTGCCACTAGGGCTTAGGGCTCCTAAGGCCCCTTAGCCTCCTAGGCCTAGGTCGCCTACCTACGTAACATACAGGTCTCAGCTCTACCACCTTTTACTCGTACTCCGTACTCCGTACTACTTCCATATCCGTCCTCCGTAATTTGCCTGCGCCTCACACCTTCACATCACCGCCTCCTTGCTTCTCTCCCTCTCTCACACTACCACCTACCACCTACCACCTGCCATCGAGACTCGAATTCTGCTTTGTCCTCTACCTTCTAATCTGATCGAGCCTGTCCGCAACGCTCCGACCTTGTCGACGCGTTCGTATTTTTCGCTTCCTTCTTTCCAATTCGCTCACTCTCCAGTCCCTCGATTGATTGTTATTCACCTGTCTTCACCTTGGGCCGTTCCCATCCGCCACGCACGCGACCTCAGCCTCAGTCGTCCAATTTCGACCTATTATTGACGGCATCTCCTCAGAATCGACCCAGATACTTTCTCCGGGTGATTGCGGCTGGTTCCCTACCCTGAGCCAAAAAGTCCCAGGCCGCTCTGCCTCGTCGCTCCTTTTCTTGTGCCGTTCGTCAACTTCTGGCAGCTCCTCCTCCCTCACCAGTCAGCGCACGTGACCTTCTCCCAGGACAGGCACGCGACAATCCTTGCACTGGTCGATGATCCGACCTCGACGCTCGCCATAGCCTCAACCTCCTATATTATTGTTCACCATGGTTACCACCACCTTCAATGTCACTGAGGCCGCCGACGCCGCACAGCCCAATCTGGGCGGGGCCCAATTCGCCTCGCACACCTGGGTGGAGCCTATTGTGAGTCTCGTCTCACCCCCTTGTTGGCACTTGTCTAACCATGTCGTCCCTAGATTGTGGTGTCTATCATGGTTGCCTCCCTCACCGTCAATCGTCGACGAGGCTATCGACTCATGAACTCAACCCGAGGTCGCTCGCCCACGCGCTCTCTTCTGCCACACAACCATGTTCAAGACCTTTCCCCGGACAGCTCTGCGGACGACGACTCGTACCTGTCCAATGACTCGGATGTCTTCACCTCATCCAAGCATCCGCCCAAGAAACGCAACTGTTGTGGCATGGTCATCCATACTCCCAATTCATCCAGATTCGCTAATCATTTCCACTCCCGCATCCTCGCAAAATTCCCCTTCCTGATCGAAATGTTCTACTGGGCTCTGAACCTGCTGTTTTACACCCTGACTAAGGCCATTGCCCAAGTCACTTTTTCCGGCTACGACGGGCTTTGGCAGCTCGCCCAAGACCACGGTGTGCTCATCCTCGACATTGAGCACAAATCTTGGCTCAGATTTTTGTTCCCCATCCAAGAAAGCGACTTCCAAGCTTGGTTCCTCAATGGCCATTTGTCTGCCATCACCTTTTTGAATCGCATCTACTCCCTGGTTCATATCCCCGGCACGGTTGCGTATGTCCTCTCCCCTGACCGATCCCTTGCCCGGCTCTTCCTAGGTCCTTCTATTCTATTACTGACTATTTATTGGTGTGTCTATCCAGCTTTCTATCATGGTACTACTACGCCGCACCATCTCATTCCTCTTTCGCCACGGTTCGTCGAACAATGACCCTAGGCAACTTCGCCGCCTTTTCCACCTTTACCTTTTTCCCATGCATGCCTCCTCGCCTGTTGCCTGAAGAGTATGGCTTCCACGACACCGTCCGCCAAGCCAATGCCGAATCCGTCTGGATGGGTGGCAATTATGTCAACCAACTCGCCGCCATGCCCAGTCTGCACTTCACCTACGCCTTCGTCATCGGCTGCACCTTTCTGTACCATTCGGGTGTTTTCCGACGCACCCTCGGCCGCAATGAGCCGCGAAAGTCAGTCTCGACCCAAATCTTCTTCCTCACCGCGGGCATATTGTATCCTCTGCTCGTTCTCACGGTGATTGTCGCCACTGCAAACCATTACTGGCTAGACGCGGCGGTGGCCATGTGTACGACCTCCCTTTCCTTCTTGTGCAACAAGATATGGTTCTTTCTGCTGCCTGCCGAGGATGTGTTGTGCTGGGTGCTCAGGTTGGACAAACCTGCCCCGACAACCGGGCAGAGACTGGAACCACAGACGGGACGATATCATATTGTCAAAGACGAGGAGGACCGATGATGCCTGCAAACTCGACCTGGACCTTACGAAATTGCCAGCCTTCGATTTCGACCTTTTCTTCGACCTTTTGACTGAATGGTTAGCTTCGTCTACTCTCAGCGTAGATGACCGGGCGGGCGAGGCCAGACCTTGCAGGGGAATTACTCCTCCCCTTGTTGTTGTGTGTAGGATAAACTAAAAAAACATATTGGAAGAAAATGCAAAGAGCACCACTAATAATGATTGGACTAGCAGAGAGGAGGTGGCAGCTTTCGCAGTGCCATGACGCGAAGAAACTGTGGTCCCATCGGGAGGTGTGATTGGAATACAAAAAAGGCGAACGCGAAGGCAGAAGCATAGGATGGCCGTGGCGTTTGAACAGCAGAAAACAGCTGGAACCTTCCGTGGGCTACTTGCTCGACGTTTGATAGTGTACGCAAGCGCGTAAGCATGTCAAGACCACACGTGTACGTGGTGCGACAGGATGGTATGGAATATATACTAGGTACTGATCACCAAACCCGGGTCGGGCCTTTCCAGGTTCGTAGCCCTTCGAATCTTGATCTCGTGCCGGTGCCGGTGCCGGTCAGAGTCCGAGTAGACTTGTCTCCCTTTTAGGGACCTTATTCTGGCCAAAGGCGCCTTATGTGATATCTATCAACAGCCCACAGACTGGGCGAGGGGATGTTTGTTCCACAATGTGCATGGCATCAGTTTAACTTGTGGCGTTTCCGGAGCGGATTGGGACTTGCAGCTAGCAAGGTTCGTCTACATCTGCTCCTCTCGTCCAGTCCAGCCCATGCGCGGGCTCCTGAATCTGGGCGCCCCTGCATTCCACCAAGTCAACGGTATTTGATTGTCTGCAGCCGTCAATGAGCCTATTCCCCACGCTGTGGCGTTGTAGATCAACAGCTTCTATCGTCGGAGTCTCTTCTGTCGATGAATGCCTCTGCGCCAGAACCTCTTCCATTGCCGGGCGAGAACGTCGTTCCAGAGGTATTTTGCCAGTATCTTCTCCAGTGTATCCCAGTTGCTAGTCTCGTCGGGATACCTTTGCAGAGTCAGGGCCAGCACCGCGCTTGTCGTCGACAAATTGTGGGCCATCTCCAGCGCACCCGTGGCGGCCATTGATATCCATATCAGGCACTCGCGGTGGGGGGTTAGAGCGCTTTCTGGTTGTGTCCTGGGCCGCCCGTTGGCGACCAAGGTTTCTTCCAGCCCTTGGAGTGTCTCGTTGAACTCTTTGGGTATCCTAGAATCGGAAAAGTGCAGGGTGAGACAACAGCCAATCATCCCAAAGCAGAGCATATATTCAATGGGGGTAACGGCCATGATGGATAGACATCGAAGATCGGCAATCATACTCAGCAGACTTCGGCCGCATGGTGACCTTGGTGGGGAGTTGGGCGAACTGGAGCCTTTCTCGCAGCTTGTGGCAGCGGATAAGTTGGCCAAGATATCAATCATTTGAGTCGATAATTCACCGGCTATAGCCATGTCATTGAAGGCGGAGGACACTTTCGACAGAGCCTCGCAGACTTTGATACTGAAGGGAAGGGACGGATAGATTGCCAGGTCGTTTCGCAAGGGCGAGTCTGTAGAGAGCTGGGACGTGCTCGTCGTGGCTTCATTCCTGTCTTTGACGAACTTCCAGAGTGTCTCATACCTGGCATTGTCAGAGGTCCGAGGGGTTACCGGAGTGTTCGACTTACGCCTTCATCGAAGCAATCAGAAACTGCTGCCACGTCGTGTCGCCTCGGAGATCCGTTCTGGTTTGGCGGATCCGTTCCATGGCATGGATGTGCCTTTCTGCACATTCGTGGACCCCTAGCAGATACTGTTGCATGGTCAGTCTAAACACAGCGAGGGATTATCCGACTGACATACGTCGATGGTGGTGAGAGCAGCAATGGTTAGGATGGTGGTATCATCGGCACATGTTTTCTCTGCAGCTAGTCTCAACCGCAATGCAGCAAACGCATTGGCGCGATGGTATGCGAGCGCCGAATCTTTCGACCATAGAACCCCTTCTTGTAGAAGCCAGGACGCCCGACTAAGGGCTACCATAGCTTCGAAGAGAGCGCCATGTTGGAGGGCAAAAGGAAAGACCAAGGACAGGTATGGCTTGGGATGGCCCTCTACAGCAACTGCGCGACCATGCTGTGGTGCCCAAACTTGGACGACTGGAGGCCGAGTTAGAATGCAACGAGATTCCCATTTGATCTGATGTAGACAGGTATACCCACAATATCGCACCATGCGTGGAACGCAACCATGGCTGGGGATGGGGAAGACATTGAGCGGCTCTAAATGAAAGACGTTGACCGAGAATCTGGGTAATCGATTGGGCTTCTTGATTGGTATGACATCGTGCTCGATTGGCGTCTTTCGTTTTCGAGGCTGAACTGTCGACGGTGGCTCCAGACCTAGCGTTGCTGTCTCTATGAGAGTAGAAGTGTTCAACGCCAGCCCTGGACGAAAGGTCGACTGGCCGCCATTTACATCGTGCCTCCAGCCTGACCCGGCTTGGCTATTGGAATCTAGGTCGCCGAGGTATGGACCTTGCAGGAGCTCTTGTATCCTCATCGATCGTGACATGCCTTTGGGTTTGATAGGGTAATCATGTTGATGCAGGGGAAGGTCTTGGTGCGTAGGAAATAGGTCGACGGACTGAAACAGAACGGCTCGTGAGACGCCAAAACAAGGCAATCAATCGTCCACGGCAGCGGAGTGCACCGTTCAGCGAGTTCGCAGCAGCGGTGGCTAGTGCAATCCGCGCAGACGGCAGCCAAAACGAGGCCGCTGACGCTTTGTCAGCTCGGCAGAGACATTCGTGATTCTACTGGAGACTGATCAGTATGAAGCTAGTCGTCGAGGCGTCAACGTCAAGGATGAAGGATGGATGCGGCGGCGAGTCTGGCGTAGACTTGCAATATGGCGGCGTTGCGCAGTTGGACTCGTGATTGGACAAGGTAGCAAATGTGTCAGCTCTACGGAGGAATCATTCACCGACTGAAGTTTAAGCAAGCCAATTAAAACAGGCTCAGGCTAAGGCTTAGGAGGCTCCTAAACCTCGTTCGAGCTGCCGCTTTAGGGGAGCGGGGTTAGACTGTCTGACAACTTCAGTGAATCTATAACCAGATCCCTGAAGTGAAGAACCATCTACTACTGCCTTTTGGCCGCAAGATACCCTCGTGACTTCCCTCGAGCCTCTCGTCCCCTCCCGATCTACCAGGGTCTTATTTCTTGACTTCAGACGACGATCCTCCTTCCTCGGCCGGCTTCTGGACCTCGTCACTCTTCTTGATCTCGATGATCTAGCAGAACCTTAGTCTCGAGTCGATCCAGGAGGATTCCTCCTTCTACCTACATTGTTGCCTGGAGCATCGTCAGCGTATGCATTTGCAGGACACGGTATGGTCAATACAGTCGGCACAATGGCCCCAATCTCCATCTTTCGTCAGATCGACTCTCCCGCCGCATTCCGGACATTTTGGCATGGTCAAAGGGCGCGACGGGGACTAAGGTATAGTTGCAATGGGGAGAGAATGGACCTGAAGAGGCAGCTTTGCAGTCTGAAACTCGTTGGTGATGCTGTATGGGGGAAGCGTAGGTCCTCGAAATGATGGGCAAGAGGAAGAGCCAACGATCCGAGAACTTGGTTTTTTGGTGGTTTGAAAGCAACAGATTACATAAGCGAGAGGTGCCTGTGCCGCCACCTCTCGCCGTCCGTACACAAGTACCAGTATAATTGGTAGATGATGCTTTTAGACAGTTCATTGAGAACCATGTGCGTGAGTGGGATGGATAGAAATGCTGGTTGGCTATACCAATAGTCGCGAGGTAGCGATACTGAAAGGAAACAATGAACCCTGTTGACGTTTAATTACTACGAGGTAGACAAGACTCTGTTCATCTCCATCGCTTGCCAATGACTCCACCATACGGGCCCAAATCTGCTTTTTGGATCCGTGATTGTGCAGGGCTCCTGCTCGATGATGCACCGCCAACTGTCATGGTCTCACTCAGAATCTTCCATACCTCGGAAATTGTGGCGCGCTCTCGTGGAAGGACAGAATACTGTAGCCCATACATTTCGCTCCTTCCCAAAGGCGGCACAAAGCGTCCTGTCAGGAGTCTGAAGATCACCTTCGGTGAAAGATAATGCTGGCGTATTCGTGCCCAGAGCTGAAAATATTGCTCAAAGATGTGTCGCAGTGACAATGGAGTCGATGAGAGGCGAATGTAGGCGAAGCTAGAACTGAACTGCTCAGGCTGCTCGTCATCATCTCCTTCCCCTTCCTCCTCGCTGGTAGCAAGTTCCTCCTCTTCCTGCCACCGAAGTCTGTATTGCTCTACATCCAAGAGCCGAAAATGCACTCCTCCCGGCAGCCTCTTGCTATCCTTAATCCTTAGCATCAGCGCAAAGAGGGGGAAGTGGTTGAGACAAGCCAGGCAGGTGTCCAGAGTTGCTTTCAACGAAATTATCACCATTCGAGCCGAGGCAAAGGTCAAATAAAAAACCACGACGGTGGGCAGGAGGAAAAACAACAAGGTGAACAGAATTGTACCGAGAAGTAGCTGGTCGAGATCATAGTCGCAGTTGTCGATTCGATTGCGTAGGACGTTGCGCTTTTTGCCACGGAACAGGTGAAAAAGACTGACGATAATGGTGAGCTGCCAATTGAATATGCGTGCGCTTGCCACATAGAACGAATATACGTGTATCGTCATCAAACTGAGAAGGTCCGAAAAAATGGCGATAGGCATACTGGCCCCGGCGAAGGAGGAACATCCAATGAAGTACACGATCGTAGGTAATCGGGGTAGAATGAGCATGACTGTCGTCGAAGACCAGTATTCAATGACCCACAAAAACAAATCACCCAAGAAAGCAGCAAGCTCCGTGTTCAATTTAAGGCCACCAGGGAAGGACATGAGCCATCTGATCATTCGTCTGAGCCCTTCGATTGTATATTCATCGAGTACTCCTCCGATGAACTGCGAAGTGGTTTGAGCATTGTCCGAGAGGAAACTTCCCAGCGCGATGCCAATAATAACGTCGTTCGCAACCAGCCACAGAGAGTTGTAGAAACGAATGTAATCGCTGTTTGTAGTCGGGAAAGAGGACCATGTCGCGTGGCGCCGCCGCAAGAGGGAATACTGTGTTGGGTGATAGGAGAATTGCTGAAGTCTCAAATGGACTTGTTGGCAGCAGGCCGAGATATCCTTTAGGGCAACCGTCCCGCTCAAAGATCGTCGGCTTTCTGGAAGCTGAAGTCTTTGCAATGGCAATGGCCATTCGAGTATTTGCAAAACACCTTCAGCGAGGATGCGATGCCCAATGATTGCAATCTTGAACAAGTATAACAGTGTCGGAAAGGCGTAGTTCATGAATAGTGTCCACACAGACCACGCAGCAAAGGCGTAGAGAGACTGGGCCGACTCCACGACCCTTTCACTAACTGAGAGGCTCCTCTTTCTGCGCGGTCCTACCAGGGGCGTATTTTTTTGCAGCAAATCAGCCACTTCCTGTGCACAGTTGATTTGACGGAGAATAGCATTCAACGCGAGCTCCTTTTGCGTTGGTTGGTGCCTCACCACAGAGTGGAAACCGAGCTTGTCAACCAACTGGGAAACCCTCTCACGCTCCCTCTCCTCTTGCATCTCTACCTCATCCGGAGAATACAGTGGCTCTCTGCCCGATGAATGGTCTCGACCGAGAGCCAGGGATATTGGTGTGAGAGACATGTATTGCATCTGAGTAGGATTAGGCGGGTCGAAAAGGACGATCTGTACCGACAACCCTGCGCTCGCTGGACAGTATACATATGGCCTTTTTGCTCCAGATATGGTAAAGGCACACAGTCTTGTTGGATCAAATGTCTCTGGTGGATCTGGATGATTGAGTGTGCCCAGAACATGCATCGCGGACCGGTCGCAGAGTTGGAAGATCCTAGCCACAGGATAAGGACTGTTGCGATAGAGCATGCCCATGCGCAGAGCAGACTCTACATTTCGAACCTGCGTCTGTCAGACATGTTCCCAGATTCCTGCTCTTGGAAATGGGTACCTCGACATCCTCTAGGACCGTTATGACAAAAAAATCCAGTTCGGAGTTCTTCCATCCCACAATTACGCCGGGTGTGGTTGTCCGATTGAGACTGTTCGGCCAGAATATCCGCAGCATGCCATCGTTATTCTCGACCATGGTAACATATTGTCAAGGCTCAAAAAGAACCTCGTCGGCGTAGTTGTTCACGTGCTGAAATTCCATGCGCAGGCAATCGAGGGTGCTGCTATAAATTAGCTATGGCCACCTCGGAAGCCTGTCAACTCACAACTACTGCCTCCTGTGCTGCGAGTCGGTCCAAAGGAATTGCGATGAGAACGTAGATTAGTGAAATGAGGACAAATGCTTTGGTGGCCCTGGCCTGGGAGCTGGTCAGTCTTCAGCTGGGACAGAGTTGGACAACATACAACAACACCGTGATCCCAAGCAAAGACGGCTAGCTCAGAGAGTCTGGTCACAAGGTCCCAACGCGCAGTGATATAGCCGGCAACAAAGATGCCGATAGTGAGCGAAGAGAAAGGGTGCATGCATGCGGAGTGGTATTAAACGGGGTGGCAGTCAGACGCAGGCTAGTCGTGGTATTAGTAGCAGAAGAAGGCCTCCCGTCACTTGAGGGCCAAGGACAGCTTCGATACTCTCACTTTGGCATGAGGCAAGATTATAGGAGCTGTTATTAAGTCTTCGAAACTCCAGAGACGCGGTTGCAGTTGGGGCTCTGTAGTTCTCTGAACTCAGGGACGAGTGGTACGGACACGCATAGAAGCCGGAGTGGAATTACCCGCATCACACATCTTCCCCAGCGACAAGGACCAGTGTTTGCGACGCAAGAGAAGCATAGCGTCTGATCTGAATAGATATCTTCTAACCCTCAGAAGTCTGCCAGCTGGTCCCAAGGGCGATACTAGTAGGATGTCAGAGGATCAAGTCTCCCCGGCGGTTCCTTTCATTATCTGGTGTATATCCGTACCCACCCACCATTCCTTCGCTGCCAGAGTCCTGTACCGCTCGTCGAAGGGGTTGACACCATGATTCCGAGGAGGATCACCAGCTGGGAGAATGTCATGAGGCATACATAGTGTCTGTCCAGATTCCGTTCCTCAGTAGTGTACTTTGTGCTATAGAACTCCCATCAGGGTCTGCTGCGGCCCTCGGAGATTCCATTGTTCTCAGACTGTAGGATGGCCATGGTGGGTTTGAAGGGTCCTTACTGTCGACATGAAAAGATGCTTGCCACTGTTCTTTTGTCTTCGCTTTCCTGCTTCGTGTGGAGGCCTCGTTCTCCTTCGTTCTTCACAGGTTTGCCTGCTGCTATCTGACACTGGCATGGTAAGGTGCAAGCACAACGCTATGACACGCTAGTACCATTAGCGGTAGATCATCCGTTTCTAGCGCCGGGTATAGCCGCCTGACGACACGTCGTCGTCTCATTCCCTCATCTCTCATCTCTCGTAGACCGCACTTCCTTCGTATCACTGTCCCCAGTGTGATTTGACAAAGCCGCCCTAAAGCCGTGTAAGTGTGTGGAAGAAGGGGCCCAGAAGGTGGGCAAAGGGTATGACAGATCTGTGCAACTCTGTCTACGATGTGAGATGAGACATTGCAGGTAGCCGATGCTGGGACCCCAGCCTCTTGAATTCGCCCAGTGACTGCTGAGAGAGTCGGCCCTGCCTGGGGGTTTGATATTGGCCAGCAACATCCTCCAGACGTGGGCTCTGCCTGCTGCCTCCTGCCTTCTGTCTTGAGCATCTACCCTGCACTCTGTCTTCACACACCTCGTCGTCTTGGAGATTCTGTGCTCTCCTGTTTGCATTCTGGTGTCCATGTCGGGTGGATGCATGGTGGTTGCTCGTCTGGCCCCGAGATTCCTTGGTCACTGCCACCCCTCGTCGGCAGGTGCCCGATTGCTGAAGCGCGCTTTCCTTCACAACGCTCCGCAGCGCTGTCCTTGCGCTGGATCAATCACTGCTTTGATCGCCGCGCTCGATTGGCCGGTTTCGCCCTGCGCTGCGATCTGATCAGAGGCGCACAGTCTGATCTTCCCAAACGGCACTAGTGGCCAGGGTCGATTTGGGACACTCCTTCACTGCTATAAATCTCTGCCTCGCATCCTCACCCCTACATCTCACTTACCTCCACCGAATTACCTACTCATCAAGTTCCATCAACCTCTTCTCTGTGTCGCACCTTTTGGACCAGATATCCTCGGACTTGGATACCTATTACTCTTACAAACCACATTCTACTCACCCCACTTCTCAACACTCATCCGTCATGAAGCTCTCAAGCATCTTCGGCCTTGTGGTCGCCGCCTTGACCGTGGTTGGCTCTAGTGAGTTGGCCCCGATATCCGCTCGTGCCTGCCGTTTATTGACCCAAATCTAGCCATCGTTTCCGCCAATACAGGATTTACGTACAAGGTCATGGCAGCTTTGCAAGGTAAGATCGCAGTTCTATCGCATTTTGACTCTCAAACAACTGACAAATGGCCCAGCTCGAGGTGTTCCGCGTCACGAGATCGAGGAAATCGTCAAAGTCATTCCACGTGGTGAGTGAAAATTTCCATGTACCTCGGGCGGTTTGCTAACTTTATTGCTTCAGACACCATCACCGTGACCACTACTCCTACCGGCTGCGCTCCCTATGGTCCACCAGCTGTCCCTCTTACCTACCCCACCACCGAGACCACTGAAGGCACTACCACCACCTCGGTCACTAGCACGGCAACTTTGACTTCTGTCACCACCCCTGAGACCACCTCCACCTCCATCGTCAATACTGAGACTCCCACCGAGACTCCAGGTGTTCCGGGCACTTTGTCTGTTGCAACTACTCCGATCACTTCCACTACTGCAATTGAGAGTAGCACAATCCCTACTTCCGAGTCCACCACTCCTGTCGAGACTTCCACCTCAAGCACTGTTGTCGAGACTACCTCATCCACCACTAGTGTTGCCACTACAACCTCGTCTCGTGCTACGGTCACTCCAACCACCAGCACCGGACTTCCATTGGCTCCCAACAAGGGTGCTGGCAATGCTGGTGTCAATGTCGGCTTGCTTGGATTTGTGGCTATGTTGGCTTTTGCCTGAGCACATACCTCACCCACATACCCCGACACTCCCTGCAGCTATGTCTGCCATGTACTCTTACATGCATTCATCAGCATATGCAAATGGTGACACACATACCATCTCAACTATGAGATCAATCAAGAGTCAACGCTAGCTGGTTTAATGGACACAGACAAAATTCGACCCCCAACAATCAAGGAACCGCAAACTCGACTGGTGTTTTCTCCAAGCTCGGCCATTTGGTTTGGCAAGATGGAAGCATGGCCGGGGGCGGCAGGTACACTTGTGTTGGATCAGGTTTCGAATCACTTGCTATTGCTTCTAATGATGGTTCCAAGTCACCATAGGTGGCACATTGATCAATTGATCCTCGAACCATAGCTCTTCAAAAAAATTGCTTTTGCAACTAATCCTTCTATTCGTCCTTCTTATCTTCATATGAACGTAGCTGTTACACCCAAGTGTAGACCTTGCTAGAACTGGTGTTATCGGGCCAAGGGTTCCGCTGTCTGGTCTGTGGTCTGTCTTGTCTCTGCCTGCATGTAACAGCTACAGTTGCTAATCACAGGAACATGTTGTAGCTACGAGTACCGTAGTACACTGCAGGTGAGACGAGCACCCATACCCCATACCTGACTTTACCCTGACCTCTCCTCTTATCTCCGTCTCTTGGGGATTTGTGAAAGGCCCCGATTTCCTACAGAGACACTGGCTGGCGACAAGGCTGAGATTCTCGGCTCATCCTCGGCACATCCTGGCCCCTTATTCATCTGCTACTAGTACCACAACACAACAAACAACGTTGTGCTCTTGTGCACCTGTGCTCTTCAAATTAATTGTCGTGATAGCGGCGACATTCTTTCAGTATCCCATGTCGACCCGCCGTGGAACGTTCCTTGGAAAACTTTTGTGTAAATACAGTCGTGCTCAAGACAGAGGCAGAGGCAGGCATTCTTCCCTTGTATTAATTTTGCAAAATTACTATTGTCTAGGAACAGCGCATTTCATCACGTCCGTAATATATACATGCTTGTTTGGAGAAGTAGTGGGAAGGGAACCGTGGGATCTATCTGTCGCCATGAGTGCAGGGAGGCGTATGACTTCATCTAGTCATGTTTGGTCGATTTCAACTATGTATGCTCTCTTGCCATTCATTCGAGAAAGCCGATAATGACATTTCGGAACTGAAAGTCGGGGACGAGAGTTCAGGTGAACCGTCGATGTAGCAGACCTAACGCAAAACAGGATCACTCACCAGCACATCAGGTCTCATCAAGTATCCTATCCTTGGAGTCACCCTCGGTGGTCCTTTTATTCTTGTTCCAGACCGACTCCCAGAAACCCTCTTTCCACAGTCGCAACACTTCGAAGCCGACCTCGACAGCAATGAGAACTATGATCGTCCACTCGAGAAACAGCCCATGCTTTTCGCTCAGCCGCTCTCTCAGCACCGACGCAATCTCAGCTGCATAGTCCATTTTCTCGTTGAGCACTTTGATCCTGATCCCGACGTCCAACGCCCGTCCGACCTGGTCGTAATAGTTTTCCAGGTTGAGGTCATGGCGCGAATCCCAGAACAGGTCAGGGAGGGAGTCCGTGAGTTCGGAGTAGAGGTTTAGTTGAGCTCGGAGAAGGAGCAACTGGCCGGTCTTGCGCAGGATGAATCGTCTGGACAGTTTGAATGGAAGACGCGACCCTTTGGAGAGTAGCGTGGGAATGTCGGCTGTGGAAGCAAGGTAGGTGGATAGGTTCGTTTCGAGAACGGCAAGTTTTGTGCTCCTCGCGAAACCTGAGGAGAAAGCGATCTTTGTCAGCACCGTGTCGACGGTTTGATACTGCGACTCTGGCTGCTCGTCGCCATAGTCTTGTGCGGGGTGATCCGGCCTCTTCGTGCCGAGGATGATGGTCTCCCCACGGATCAGGCTGTGTTCTCGATGAGGATCCTCAATGTAATCCAGGTCTTCGGTCTCAATTGGTTCCCGGTGAGGATTGAGCGCTGCTGGGAGGAGTGTGCGAGTTGCAAAGTATGATGTGAATCCTTCCGGCAAGGCCCACGTCACCAGCGTTCCAGACGGGAATATAAAGACATCACCGACCTCGGTGAAAGAAAGATCTCTAGCAGATGGATTCGTTGAGCGATAAATGGACGATATAGGGATTTGAACGTGGACGACTTGTGGGAAAAGACCTGTGCCCAATGGATCCGGTTCGTAGCCCTTGTTGCGCAAGATGTCGACAACTTTGCTCAGGTCAAACTGCTCGGCCACGGCATAGGCCGTCACCAGCTTCGGGGCCGCAGACTCGTCCTCGGCCCGCCCGGAAGATCTTGGTAGGTTTCCTGCTTTTGATCTTTGCGCCTCCAGCCCTACACGACGAAGGGACGTCTTCGTACCAGGAGTACGAGCGGTTTTCCGTTTCTGTGACTGCAATGCCACGGTTGTAGGGCTCACATCCTCCTTTTGCTCGGCTCTTTTTTGGGCCGTCTGACTCAACAGCGAAGGATTCGAAGAGAAAAACTCCCGCCGACGAGGAAGCTGAAAGATCGGAGATGCATGCAATGGTCGGAATCCAGGTTGTCGGAGGCCATCATACCCAAATCTTCGACATGATGAGCAGATAAACTGGTTCCGTAGACACGGTGTCGGACGGACAGCCGCTCTCCGCATGACTTACAGCGAGACTGCGCAGGGTCGCGAAGCAGTCACTGGGGTGGTTAGTGTGGACTGTGGACGAGTGATTTCATTGCAGCTCCAATGCGAGATAGATGGAACTTTTGCACCCATAAATGTCCTGCCTACAGGGCGGCGTGAACAGCGGTCCGAAAGAGGACGCCTATATACGCTTGGCGCTCGTCACGGTAGCTTTTGGAGTTCAGTACGGAGACGAATCGATCACTCCGCATGCGAGAGTCCAGCAAGCGTGTCCGGATGACGCCACAGTGAGCATTTTCAGTCTGGATGGCGGCTGGAGATGGCTCATCCGAGCCAGGCGACGATGAGAAGCCACAGGTGGAGCCAGCGCACACCGCGAAGCCGCTTGATCTAAAGTCGACTGCAGATGCGACCGACAAGGAGGAGGATGCAGACGAAGAAGACGAAGAAGAGGACGAGGAGGACGAGGAAGAGCCACGCCTGAAATATGCTACATTGACAAGGAATTTGAGTCCATTATACCGCAATGGAGATGCTACAAGCACATTTCTGGTGGCCGGGGACAAGATGGCAAGTCAACCTCATGCCGTCGTTTTCTCGCACGGATTGTCTTCTGATACGATTTACTACTCTAGTTTGTGGGAACTCACAATGGCAATATTGTATGTTGCTCTCCTCCTTCCGAGATACTTGCTCACATGAACAGCATGTCTTCACCTTGCCCTCTTTGACTCCGTTGCGTGTATATCATGCCCATACGGCCAGCGTTTCCTCGATTTCAATATCTCCATATCTGCCACCCCTCCCTTCGTTCCGATCCGAACCAGCGCAGAAACTCGCCGCAGCAGCCGCCACCAACAAGGCCCAGTCACCATCAAGCTCCCCGACACCAAAAGGAAAGCAGCAGCAAACACCGCCGGTGCCAAACGTGCCCTCGAACCAAATCTACATCGCGACCTCTTCCATCGACGGGAACGTCTGCATTGCATCCTTGGTGGACCCCCGAGATGTCCAGCTTCGCAATTTTGGGAGACCAGTGCAAAGTGTGGCACTTTCGCCGGAGTACAAATCGGATCGAAATTACCTGTCTGGAGGTCAGGCCGGTAGTCTTGTGTTGACTACGGGCGGGCTGCCAGGGAAGAGCGTCAACGCAACTACAACTGGGACTGCGGCTGCAGCATCTGGCTGGCTCGGGTCTATGGGTCTGGGACACAATACAGGTTCTGACAAAGTGTTGCATAGTGGTGAGGGTGTTATCAGCACGATTAGATGGTCTCTCTCGGGGAAATATGTTCTCTGGGTCAATGAACAGGGAATCAAGATCATGCGATCGAATTTGAAAATGGAACCCAGCGAGTCTGGCCTTGAATGGAAACGAATGAGTCACATTGATAGGCCCAATCGCCCCGGCTGGGAAGAGATGGCTGGGGTCTGGAAAGCTCGTGCTGAATGGATCGATCGAGACAACCTCGAAAACGACAATGACTACCCTTCCAACAGTGTCACATCCGCTTCGGCAAATGGAGCCACTACAAAACCTGCCCACGACAAGAGCAAAGTCGAGGAGCTGTTGGTCGGTTGGGGAGATTCGGCGTGGATTATCAGAGTCTATCCGGGATCTACGGAGAATGGTAGTGAGAACAAGATTGGACGCGCAGAGGTCGCTACGATGTGAGTTTGACTGCTTCGCAGATGCTTCGCAGATGCTTCGCAGATGCTTCGCAGGAGACTTTTGCTAATGGCTTTCCAGTATACGATTTGATGACTGTACAATATCTGGAATTTCGCTCTATACCCCGACTCTGCTTTTAGTCCTTGCATACATGGAGAAAAAGGGGAGTAAGTCGACGTCACAAGGTAATGAAGGAGGCAAAAGAGGACGGCGCATACGACATAATGCGCTGGAACCGGAGCTGCGTTTGGTTGACATCAACACGAAGGAAGAAATCGACACAGATACTCTAACCGTAAGCCGGTTCGAGACTCTTTCATCGTCAGACTACCATTTGTCTGTCCTTCCTCCAGTCCGGATACCTGCCGGGCTCGTTCCAAAGGGGTATCTCAGCACAATCGGCTCTGGTATCGGGACAGTGGGAACCAGTCTCTACACCGGAGTAGAGACTGTCAGTCAGGGCATGTGGGATGCCACAATGTACGGACCGCGGATGCTGGGAGCAAATCGACTCTTCAGTGGCTCAGAAAGTATCAGAAGTGGCATGAGCGGTCCTGAACGCGTTGGAAGCACTCGCGACCGCCATTATCTTTCGGGTTGGCTCCCTGGATTCGGGTCGAATGAGACGCATACCAACGAAGAAACGACCAGCTTTGTAACTGCACAGAGCATGAAGGTATTCATCTGCAGTCCGTATGACTGTATTCTGGCAGTCAAACGCAACCTCATTGATCGACTGCAATGGTTGTTGAGTGTAAAGCGGTATCAGCAAGCCTGGGATCTGGTCGATCAGCATCCAGAAGCAGCCGGTACCATAGCAGATGCTTCCGAATCGTCGTCCCCACCAAGTCCGTCAAAGGCGAGTTCCCTTGCAAAGTCTGGCTCGGCTGTTACAGCCAGCCCAGCACTAGCGCGTCAAGAGGCTACACTGGCTGAATTTTTCGCCGATTCAGCCTCGATGGCAAGCTCGGCGCAAAACAGAACCAAATCCAAGTTTTCCGGGTCAGAGAAGGAGAAGCGCAGAATAGGTGAGCTTTGGCTTAAACAGCTGGTCGAAGCGAGCAAGTGGCCGGAAGCTGGAGAAGTGGCTGCGAAAGTGCTCAACACCACCACCCGATGGGAACATTGGATCTGGGTTTTCATCCAGAATCAGAAGTTTGACGAGATTTCGCCCCATGTACCAACGCTGGAATTGACCCCTCCTCTACCATCGTCAATCTTTGAACTGATCCTTGGACATTATGTCGAGACGGACAGACTCCGATTCCAAGAGCTACTTGATCAGTGGCCTTCAGACTTGTTTGAAATCGGCAGCATAACTACCGCGATCGAAGACCAAATCCGGGGGGGCGGTGCCCTCAAGGGGTCAGAAGGCCGGAGAATCTTGCAAGAAAGCCTAGCGAAACTGTATCTGGCTGATGGGCATTATAACGAAGCGCTCAAGTGCTATATCAACCTCCAGGATGCAGACACAGCCATGGCGCTAATAAAGGATCATCATCTGATCGATGCGATTGCCGATGATGTTCCTAGTTTTGTGATGCTTCGCATTTCACCTTCCCAGCTGGATTCCGCATCTCAAGAGGAATTGGAGGAGTTGGTTTCTGATCCAATTAAGGTGCTCGTGGATGAAGCATCCGCGGGCGTGGTCGAGCCCGAGGAAGTGGTTGCGCAATTGGACACACCTCCTTTAAAGCCTTTTCTTTACTTTTACCTCAAGGCCCTCTGGCACGGTGACGGTACACAGAGCCTCTCTGCCACTCCACGTGTCGGTCACTCAGCAGTCGCGACATCTCTTGTTGCGGACGCGGGGAAACAGCTGGTCGAGCGGTTTGCCGACATTGCCGTTGAGCTATTTGCACAATATGGCCGTGACCTCCTGATGGAATTCTTGCAAACTTCCACTGCATACACGTTTGAAAAGGCCGTCAAGTTGTGTGAGCAGAAGCATTACGTTGAAGAGCTGGTATATCTCTTGAGCAAAACAGGCCAGATGAAAAAGGCACTATTCCTAATCATCGACGAACTCAAGGACGTCTCCAAGGCCATCGCCTTTGCCAAAGAACAAGACGATCCAGGGCTGTGGGACGACTTACTTGAATATAGCATGTCACGACCGCGATTCATCTCGGGTCTTTTGGCCGAGGTAGGGACCGCCATTGACCCGATAACTTTGGTCAAACGGATACCTTCCGGTCTCGAAGTCGAAGGCTTGAAGGATGGCTTGAGGAAGATGATACGGGAATATGACTTACAGGACAGCATCAGCTCCGGGGTGGCGCGAGTTCTGAGCAGCGAGGTCGCTGTCGGAATGGAAGCATTACGACGAGGGCGAAGGAAGGGTATCAAATTTGACGTTTTGGGCCCTATTTCTCGTCATCAGGCGCATACAGCGCAACCTGTGGACGACACCGGAGAGCCGCAGTTAGAGCCACGGCCCGAGCCAGAAGTCCAATCTGGACGTTGCGCATCGTGCCGAAATGCATTCCGCGAGGAGGAGACAGAAACCCTTGTTGGATTTGCTTGTGGACATGTCTATCACGTTTCTCATCTCCTGCATGGACCAGACGCCAAAGGAGATGAGATGCCCTTACCTCAGTTGGGGTTCGCACACCAGAATCAGGATCACGACGGCGACCTCGAAGAAACGAGGTTTTCCAGGTCAGTAGGGCCCAAGGTCACGAATGCGAGGCTCCTAAAGGACAGGGTCTCAGCCGTGGGTGGGTGTGGCATTTGCAAGGAGACCAGAGACAGGGCAGAAGCTGTGGGAGGATAGGAGTAGCTTCGAGACCATATTGGACCGTTAGATCCCACTCACATTCTATTCTGTCTTGTACACAGTAATGGACTCCCGGCGTCTTCGACTCCTTAGCCTTTGCCTTTTGACTCCTGACTCGAGAGTCCTTAGCCCTAAGCCTAAGGCTCCTGAGGCTGTATCGTGCTTACATACTCAAGGGACCAGTGCCGTTACAGTGAAATAGTGACCTACAGTACTTCCGGTGTCCAGGGACTTGTTTAGCCCTTATTGTTTTATTTTTACCTAAACCGACATTTGTTTGTTACCAAGATACAAAGGTATACTCCGGACTGCAAGAGGAATGAAAAGGATCTCTCCCCCCCCCGCCGGCCACTCACCCCAACACCTCCCCCAAGGTCAAAGGGCAAAGGGCAATGTAGGGCATTCATTCTACTGTAGGCTGGATGAACTACAGCCGTGCCTGCTGTGTGACTTGACTGGCGATTCATCAGAGCTATTCCGAGGTCTGTTCTCCTGTTGTTTGATTACATGGAAGCTCGCCTTGGCTTTCAAGTCAAGACGGTAGTGGTTGGCCATATAGTGCCATGGGTTCCAGGCCAGCTTGAAGGGTCAACTGCTGTCTAGTAATTGCTAGATGCGACCCTCAGACGAGGAGATGGTTTTGGTTGGTGTGGTGCGGTGTGGTGCGGTGTGGTGCGGTGTGGTGTGGTGAGCCAGGCTAGGCTGGGTTCTGCCTGCTGTCGATGGAGGGCCCGCCCGTGAGGGAAACTCGCTCTTGGGCACGAAATGAACAGTGCCTGTTTGCCTGCTTTTTCGAAGATTTGAGTGGGGGCGTGCGTGTATATCTGTCCCGGCTCCATCTCTTGTATGAAACGACAGGGGAGATTGGTGTAGGCTGGGTCATCACCCATGTTGTGGCTGGAGATGTGCTAGACATGGTAGCCGGTTCCTAGGCATTGTCGATGTACAGGCACAGCAGGGCATAGATCTAGGTGTCTATGTTCATTGTTCCTAGCCATCATATCATGCCTGAGCGTTAGCCCGCCGTTCCGCCATGAAAGCCCGGACACCCTCGATGCGGTTGACAAAGAACATGCGTTTCTTGTCGTTCTTCCACACCAACACACCAATCTCGTCCGCATAGCGGCAGGGGGCCTCGTAGTCGGCATGGTTGGGGAAGTCTTTCAGCAGAAAGCCCGGGGTCGTGGTCATTCTGTCACGTTCCAATTGCCACAGGTGGATCTGGTCCAGAATGGTGGCAGGTAAGATGGGGACGACGCGTGCGTGGTCGGAGTTGCGGGATTGTTCGGCTTGCGCATGGCGGCGCATCTGTGGATGAGCATGGGAGGTAAGGTAGGAGATGATCTGGTCAGCCGTGATGCCGGCACGGATGGCCCGCTGCACGGAGGATTTGCTCATCTTGCCCGTGACCAGGTTCGGATGGCGGGACCGCAGATTGACGAACAGCGACAGCAGCGCGATCTGCAATGGCGACGAAGTGTATGCGTATAGCCGATAGTTCGTTTCGACGACGATGAAGCCTTTGGTGGCGCCGGTGTTTGCTGATGTTGGCGATGATGATGATGATGTCGAAAGCGAGGTGCCGATGGTCGTGTTTGTCGTGGAGAGAGCCGTGCTCGAGTCGGACGTTAACGTGGTGGCCAGCCGCGTCGGGTAGAAGTAGTCGACGGGCGTGCCGTCGTCCCGCATCGGTTGATAGACGATGCCAAAGGCGACCAGGTCGGACAGACATCGCTGCTGGGTGTCGTCGAGGGGCGTTGTGGAATAGGCCAGGCCCAATTCGAGCGAAGAGATAAAGAACAGGAAGGACAAGACGTCGACCTTGTCCATCTCAAAAACCTCGGCATTATCGACGTACAAGAACAGCAGGGCCCAGATCTGGGTGTTGATGTCCTGCAGCACAAAGGCAAATCCTTCTTTGGTGATCTTGGCTGACTGCCCTCGACTATAGGTGCCCGAGAGCTCGATCAGGTGGCCAGCTTTGAGCAGTTCGATGACACCCAGCGACGGCTGCATGGCCGCCTGGCGTTCCGTACTCGGTGTTTCCAAGAGTATAGATGAAGATCCAACCATGTATCCCAAGATGCCCTCCCATCGTTGCTGAGCGTACTCGTCGAGCTGCGTGATTGTTCCCTTCTGATCGCCGGGCACGTGGGTGGCCACCTTCCCGAACGACCGTGTGTCGCCTGCGCCGGTCAAGGCGCGACGCAGTGATCTGGCAAAGTCCGGAGTCAGCGCGTACGCTTTCACACCGCTGTAGGTCACATCCTTGAAGATATGGTACCGGTGGAGCAGGTCGATGGCATATTCACGCTCTCCACGACTGCTGTCTTTGACCAAGAGCTCCAGCTGCTTCACGGGTAGAGGGGCAGGCATGTACAGAAGCATCATGACAAACGACTTGGCGAGGCTGGTCAGCCGTTTGCGGAAGATCGCTAGCGCAGACGCCGGGCTTCGGTAGAGCCGGTAGAACTGCGTCCCTGGAAGAGTCTCCAGGTATTCCCAGGAGTGGAGCGTGGTGTCGGCCATGTTTGGCGATGATCTTGACGAGGGACTAGTAACTAGTACCAGTAGTTCATGCGTGAGTGAGCCGTTAGGCCTCGACAAGCACTGGGCAAGTCGAAGGAGTTGGAAGTTCCAAGTCCATTTACTCAGTAGTTCTTGATCTGCCGCAACTAGTGCTACGTACAGTGAGACAGTAGGGTTGGAGGGATGGAGGGTTGGAGATCTGTCTAACAGAATAGAGCGCCGCAGAGAGAAGGGCGACTGAAGGTGAAGTTGAAGTTTGGTCAGACCATGCCAAGAGATATTGTATGATCTACCGTAGGATCTGTCTCAGCTGGGACACTATATCACGCTGTTTTAAAGTGCACGTGTGCGTGCAAGATATCATCGAGGAATCGGGAGTCAGAAATTCATCGGGTCAGGTTGGAGGGGCTTTGATCTCTAATCGATCGCCTAGATGATACCCCTTTTTGCTGGGCCATCTGGAATGACCTGTAGTGCATGCCTTCTTACTGCTGCGAGAGCGACACAGCGCAGCCAGCCTGTTTCAAGCGACACTGGGACAACCGACTGACAAGTAGCACCCTAAGCGTAACACACTGCCATGCTTGCAGCCGCAGGATTGTGCTCTTGTCAACCGAGTCATCCGCCACTCTGTTTCTAAGCCTGGAGAGCAGCTCGCAAATCTCCCACCCATCCCAACGCCCCTTCCCGGAAGATCTCTCCACTGACACCCATGACATTGCCGCAATCGAGCAGCAGTGTTCTCACAATTGCTTTGCTGGGGTCCCTCTGTTGGACGTGATAGATGTGGCTCGTGCAGTTGTCACAATAATAGCACGAGACATTCTTGCCGCTCGCGCCTTGGTATTCGTACATTTTCAGCCGGTTACTTCCCTGGGATATGGCAAAGTCTTCGATCGGAATGATGTAGTTGCATGTATAGGGGGCTCCAGAAATCCTTTTGCATGTGTCGCAGTGGCAGGCGATATGTGTGGGCGGGTTTCCGACAGGCGAGCGGATGCTGAAGCTGACGGCGCCGCAATGGCACGACCCTGGGTAAGACTTATACTTGTCAGTCTCCGGAGGAGAGGAAGGGCCGAGTAACGACCCGTTGACAAAATCTGACAGTGTATATAATGTCAGTATCAGGACCCCCCCGGAGAAGAGGGCAGAACATCGGCGGGCGGCCTCACCAACAACCACTGAATCCTCAATTAGCGGCGCAGCATTGACACTGAAGGCGCGATGCACAGGATCCTCTAGCAGGTAGTAATCTCGGTCTTCGACACTGGCGAATGCAAGAACAATGGCATGGGTCATGCCTTTGCCAAAGTTCTCCCAACTAGTGTTCTTGCCCATCTGCATGGATAGCATGTATGGCTTTCCTGTCCCGGCGGGCTTGAGACATGTTGACTTCAGCTTGCCCAGTTCTGCAAAGTGGTGCTCGAGGTCAGTCCATGGAACGGACGGGTGGTAGCGAAAGAGCACAATGTGCGTCACGCGATCTTGGTCGGACACTGCCATGTGTACAAGCGACAGATGCGCCGGTGCCGCTGGGAGAGCGAGAGTGCCATGGCCGTTACTTATGTGCCTTTGTCTAAATGTCGCCAGTGGGTTGATAGGTTGAAGTGGTAAAGAGCACGTCTGAGCAGACTGGGATGTCGTTCGCCGACATTTTCCCTTCGAAGGTCAGAGAGAGAGAACTTCTGGATGTTGAAAGGCGGCGAGCAGTGTTCGGAGCAAAATTGCCATTATAAGAGCAGGGGAGGCTTAGGGCCTCTAAGCCTTAGGAGCCCCTAACTACAGCAATTCGGACCTTCCAAAACCACTCTACTTTATATTTGGAAGCCGGAGTAGGAATTCCCTCCCCAAAGGACCATACTCCGTCTGTACAGAGCTATATTAACCCTCTCTCTTCCTCCTTTCAAGCGCGGCCACGACCAATGCACACTGCCATCTGTCCAGTGCCCTGCCAACACTGTCGAGTACAACCGCTCCCAAACTTCGAAGCCGTGAAGCCGGCCTTATTCTTGCGATGCTCCTGATTCCTTCCCCCGGTGCTGGAGTGCCAGTCCTACCCGTACCGTCCACACCGCCGCAAGAAAATACGAGGGAGGGTTAGCGTCTGATGGAGAGCTGCCACCAGCAACGAATCAAAAGCAACAAGACGGAGTACATCCTCAACTCTCGCATGGCCTCCAGCTGCGTGGACCGAGCGTCCGGACGTACATCGTCTAAGTCCGAAACTACATGACCCTTCGGCGGTCCTCCATCCAGACGAAAAGCTGTCGGCTCTCATGCCCAAACTGCTAGGAGCCCAGGCTTTACCTTTCCTCGTATCTCTCTGTGAGTTGTACTACGTGTGGGCTTGGAAGCAACTGGCTGCCGCAGTGCGGAACTCATGAATTCATCCGCCATGCCTGGCAACGGCAAATCTCCCGTTCCTCTGGCTGCTGCACAGTTGGCTTGTCGCAAACGAAAGGCCCACAGGAAGTCAAGACTAGGTTGTCGGAACTGCAAATTGCGAAGAGTAAAATGCGACGAGAAGAAGCCGCTGTGCGAGAAGTGTCTCGAGTTTGGTGTTGTGTGCAACTATGACCCTAGCATACCAGACCTTCAACCGCGGACTGGTGCTGCAGAGGTCGGCCGCATCGAGGCCACCCTCCAAAGGTCTCCGACCTCATCAAACAGACCTATTCTTGAGATGATCAATGCGTCGCTTCGAGAAGACACAAGTCTTCCTCTGGGAATATACCCAATGAAGCAAATGGACTATTCAGATCTGGCCCGTTTGGAGAGATTCCAATCCCACACAGTTCTCACTGTGGGAGCCAAATCGACTTCGCTTTATTTCAAGAATGAACTGGTTCCGCTGGCCTGTTCTCACCTCTTCCTGATGCATCTGATCCAATCAGTGACTGCAGCCCATGACCGTTTCCTGTCGCGAGCAGCCACGTCCAAACCAAGTCAATCCGAAGCCTACCATATGAGCAAAGCGGTGCGGGCATTTCAGTACAAGCTCTCTCATCCCATACGGGATGAAGATGGTGATGCACTACTGGGTGCAGCCGCTCTCCTTGGGGTATCGGCTTTCTTTGGCTTAGAAGCAAGCTCGGTTGAAGATGTCTGGCCCTTCGTAGACGACGACTTGGGCTGGCTGAAGCTCAGTGATGGAAAAAAGGCCGTATGGAAGATGGTGAGCCCATTACGCGTCGACAGCATATGGCAACATCTAGGCAATGCAATTGCCCCGCAGATGGACAGAGACCACCGACCCTCCGTATTCGACCATCTCTACTGTGACGATCTCGATAGTGATGGCGCTCCTTCGACAGCACTCAACCCCTATCGGAACACTGCACAGTCGCTGGCGCCGTTGCTTGACCTTGATTACAATGATTCGACATGGCCCAGATTCATTTCTTTCATCTGCTATGTCGACCCGTATTACAAGGCGTTGCTGGAGATCAAAGATCCTTGGGCAATGCTCATGCTCGCATACTGGTATGTGAAGGTTTGTCGAGGGCCGTGGTGGATCTGTACTCGGGCCATTCTTCAAGGCCAGGCAATAGTGGCATACCTGGAACGACACTGTTCCGACGACACCAAGTTACAAGAAGCCATCAAGTATCCAAGGGATGAATTGGCCCTGGCGCAGAAGGAGGGCTGGGGTGGATTTTGACATGATACCTGCTGTATCCTCCCTGTTACTATCTTCAACATAGCGGTTCTGGTCTAAAGACTTGGATACAACCTTGTTGTAGTAGGATGCCTTAGGGTGGGCGATGACTACATACTATCTCTAGATACAGGCTACATGAGTCAAAATATCGAACATTCCCTCCAGGGAGGCAGCAGAGTATATCTTGTATATTAGAAAGACATTCATCCGGTAGAGCTAGAAGAGTTCCTCCATACTATCGAAGTAGTAATGTAAACCGCCTTTGATTCTGGCACCCACCCTGAGCCTTTTCGACCAGCTGACTGGAGTGTCATTGTGGTATCTCGGTGATTTCGACGAAGCGTTGCAAACGCAGACAGGGCTTTCGCTAGTGTAGCAGGAAAATCATCACTGCGTCATTCAACATGCTAGTGCCACCAGTTCCACGGAGTAGATGTGGGTGGAGGTTGTGGGTGGTTGCATTACATCAAACAGGTGATCTTTGCCAGCACCAGCACTCAGCACTTATCCTGGAGCAGGGAATGAATGGGTAGATTGCGCGGCCACTGTCAGGAACACCGGGGGTCCCTGGGCTTGAACGTCGGCGTCCAATAGCTGCTGGTCGTCAACTAGGAACGAGGCGGGTAGTGAGAACCAAGCAACAACAAGCTCCTTAGAGCCCGTGGGCCGGAGGATGGATGGCATTTGATCCTGGGAGGTGGAGGATAATGGTGGCACAGTGGTGGTGTTGCTGGTAGATGGCTGCATCGCTGTTGGTGAAGATGCGTAGAAAACTGGAGCTGAGGTGCCTAAACCTGGAACAAGAGCATAAGGGCTTGTACGGCAAGGATGGTTTCTTTTGGCCCTGCCTGCGACCCTGGGCCCTTTAGCCCCTCATCGCCTGCGGTGCTGGCGTCCCCCCCCCGCCAATCGCCTGCGCCCGGCCTTGCACACCACACGCTCACGTTGCATACTTTCATCATATTACCACAGTGACAACATTATTCCACACGGACCTCCATCCTGCCTCGTCACTATTAACGAGGGGCGCGCGGTGAAGCTGTTATGCAGCCAATTATCATGTTCTCTTGGTAGCTGTCTTGCTAGAACGATACCTTACACGCCTACACAGCAAACACTGACCGCTGTTCTTCTCAGAAACTTGGCTACCCGATTCTCCCGTCTTGCCTTAACCTCCATAACCCTCCCTTTTCTACCTCTCGACCGTTTCTCTGTCTCTCTGTCTCTTTGTCTCTCTGTATCCTCGTCCTACTTGCCATTTCTTCCTCTGTCTAAGATCGATCAGTCAAAATGGTGCATCTATCCAGTGTCAAAACAGACCCTCACAAGAGCGGCGAGTTCGACCCTCCTAAACGCCGGCAATCCATTGTTCCTGGTCTCGAGCACATCTCCCTCGAACCTCCTGGCGATGATGAGTTCTCTACCTCCGTGTACGGCTCGCGGTTCGCAGCCCAAGATCTTCCCGCACTTGAAATGCCCGAAAGAGAGATGCCGAAGGAAATTGCATATCGTATGATCAAGGACGAGCTTAGTCTCGATGGAAACCCAATGCTCAAGTATGTTGGCAGGACCTACAATCTAGACCGCTGAGCTGACAAGCACGTCACAGTCTAGCTAGCTTTGTCACCACCTTCATGGTTTGTTCACAGTCCTTCGTCGTAGACGCCTTGAATTCATGCTGAACCTTTGCACCAGGAAGACGAAGCTGAAAAGCTGATGACCGAGGCCTTCTCCAAGAATTTCATTGACTACGAGGAATATCCACAAACGGCCGAGATTCAGAACCGCTGTGTCAACATGATCGCTCGACTGTACAACGCAACCGCATCTGAGGATGGATCCAACGCAATGGGTACATCTACCATCGGCTCGAGCGAGGCTATCATGCTGGCTGTTCTGGCAATGAAGAAGAAATGGGCCAACAAACGCAAGGCTGAGGGCAAGGATGCGTCCAAGCCAAACCTGATCATGAACAGTGCCGTGCAGGTATGCTGGGAAAAGGCCGCTCGCTACTTTGATGTCGAAGAGAGATATGTCTACTGCACCGACAATCGCTACGTCATCGACCCGGAAGAAGCCATCAACCTCATCGATGAAAACACAATTGGTATCTGTGCCATTTTGGGCTTGACCTACACTGGCGAATACGAAGACGTTCAAATGATCAATGACCTGCTCGTTGAAAAGAACATCGATTGTCCCATCCATGTGGATGCGGCTTCTGGTGGGTTTGTGGCTCCCTTTGTCAATCCTGATCTCGTCTGGGATTTTCGACTTGAGAAGGTTGTGAGTATCAATGCCTCGGGTCACAAATATGGTCTGGTGTACCCTGGTGTGGGTTGGGTTGTCTGGAAGTCGCCGGAATACCTCCCGAAAGAACTAGTGTTCAATATCAACTATCTGGGAGCCGATCAGGCCTCCTTTACGCTCAACTTCAGCAAGGGCGCAAGCCATGTCATCGGTCAATACTACCAGATGATCCGGCTGGGGAAACGCGGATATCGGAGTATCATGCTCAATTTGACTCGTACTTCCGATTACTTGGCTGCGCAGCTCCGGGAATTGGGCTTCATTATCATGTCACCCGGTGGTGGTCGGTCACTGCCTGTGGTCGCATTCCGCCTGAACCCGGACAAGGGCCACTTGTACGACGAGTTCGCCCTTGCACATCAACTCCGGGAACGCGGTTGGGTGGTCCCTGCCTACACGATGGCTCCCCACAGTGGTGATCTCAAGTTGATGCGCGTTGTTGTCCGTGAGGATTTCAGCAAGGCACGTTGTGATAGCCTGGTCAACGACATCAAGATGGCTCTTCAAGTGCTTGGTGAGATGGACCGCAAAGCGGTGGAGCGTTATCAAGAGTAAGCCTCTGCGAAACTGGATTGCACACAGACATGCGTACTAACAGCTCTACCTAGTCACGTTCAGAAACATGCTCGACGCAAACCTGGCATCAGCGTTCAGCACTACAAACATGAGAAGCACTCGCTTCAAGGCAAACATGGCAAATCACATCCTGTTTGTTAATCTTGACGCCTGTGGCTACGGAAAAGATCTGGACGATTGTCCGATCAGCACCTCTCGACCTCTGGGATGTGAGCGTGAAAGTGTGAAAGATTCATTTTCCTTCAAGGCAGTATGCGTCGGCGACAGGAAATGGCGGAAGATGGAAACAAACACAGTGGATTCGATACCAAAATGGGGGGAAATGTAGGGCTCAGCCACCTTGACTGGTATGCAGCTACATTACAAACTTTGCTCTCTCAGATATGTGACTTGTGACTTTGTGCCTGTCTACCCTTTTGCAGGTTCACACCGGCAGCGACCTTTGGCGAAGCTGTATTCGGCCCTGACCACGACCCCGGTCCCGGCCACGAGTCTAAGGTGAATGTGTCTGCATCATGACGATGATCATGGACAGAAGTGCTTGACCACTCCGTTCCTCACGAAAGTCTCGTCTCTCTAGAGCCAGTGTAGGTTAGTACTATACACGCAGACCACAGACCACAGACCACAGATGGCAAACCACCGACGGCAGATTCGATGGTCGAGGACATGCAGGGCTGAGGAGGACCAGAGCCGTCGGGAACTGGTTCCTGAGCCGTAATTTCGCATATATTGTAGCAACCTCAAGAAACAGACCGGAACGGGCCAGAAAGCAAGAATTGCAAGGATCGGTTTGTGGCTGGGTAGAGGTGTAGAGGTGGACATTGCCCTTTCCGGTTTCTTGTAGACCTGAGTGCGCAAACCGGTAAGGGCAGAGCCAGGCTGGTCTAGAAGCTATTGCAGCATCCGAGCTCTCGTCGTGCAACGACCGCAGATCAACTGTAGCTCTGTCGTGGTCGTGGTCGAGGTCCGCGCGTCTGGTGCGTGAAAGTCCGTCTCGTACTCGAGTCGCAGCTGTCGAGCGGCGGATTTGGTGCCAGGGTCGCTGGCCCCAATCTCGGCGGCGATGAGGCACAAGCCCAAGGAAGACGCGCCCAGAGGCCGATATTGACTTGCTATATGGGCCAGACGGACTATTTCCCCCGAGAATAGTTCTGACTCCTGCAGGACTGGGGAAGCGTCTCCGTCTCCGTCTCCTGTCACGGCGATGACGATCTCGTTGATGATGATGGCCATAGCCAAGCCGAGGCTGTACGAGCGGAGAAAGTGGCAGTGTCGCAGGTCCAACCACACCGTGGCGTTAGGATCATTTGAGACTGTGGGTGAGTTGGCAACACCCAACCGTTGACGAAGGGTGGTTAGATGCGGTTCAAGGTCGTCACGGAGACGCTGAGATTCATCCCGGAGTTCCATGAGATGGCTTTCGGAGGCATCGGCCGCTATAAGCGCGGCTTTCGCTCTGCGCATCAGATTCGGCGCTCGGGTCAGACATTGGATTGCTCGGCCCTCAGGGCTGAGTGTGTCTTGGTCTTGACCCGTCTCGAAGACCTCGAGCCATTCCCGGTCGGTGAAAATGATATTGTCGCTGAAGAGAGACTGCAGCAGCTGCCCCGGATATGTATGTCAGAGACCAAGCTCCAGCAGAGCCGGGCGAGCTTTGGGATGTGACTTACCACCACGCCACGTAGGGCAAGCAGCAGGTTCCTTTCAAACGGCTCACAGGTTCCAGGTCGTCCGCGTAGGCGGAGGATTTGGGCCGCCCCTTCGGAATGAGCCGTGGAGACTCTTGTGGGCTTCCAGAGGAATTGCTACGTATCACACAGGTCAGGAGAGGAAGACAGTGACAAGCACCCAAGCATTCAGAATCAAGATTCTCACCTGACACGACAACAGCAGCACGATGGCGGCAAGGGTTTCACAGGACCGGGCGGTCACGGGATCGTCCAAGCACATTCGCAAGGCGGCGAGAGCCAGCGTATACTTTTCCAATACGAGAAGAGTCACTTCGACGGCTGGGCTGGAGTACCTCTGCAGCGCCGCCAGAAGCGTGTCTGCGGCCTTATCCAGAGCCTCGTTCGTGCCGAGCCGAGCAGGCACATCCACGAGATAGTCTCCATACGTCCAGGCCAAGTTGAACTTGACGCCGATCAGGGGGTTGATCTTGTCGGTGAACGCGCTCACACGCTGCGTATGTTCGTTGGAGAGGCTTCGGAAGACGTGGGTTTGCGGGAGGACCGTCCTTGTCTGCGGCCGCGCAGGCACCAGAGAACAGCTTGACCCTTCAGCCTTCACAAACTTGTAGCGTTGTTGCCCGAGACCGATGCACGGGATGTCCAATCGCCGGCATCGTGGACATGGGTGAGTGCTGAGATCGCACTAAGCGGGCTCCATGGTCAGAACAGTGTATGCGCGCAAGGGAAAAGTGCAAAGGCAGATGCCTAGGGTGTGCAGTGGTTACCTTCTTCTTCTGCTTGCGGCATGCATCACAGCCACGGCCTGAAGGAACTCCAGGCATTTCGGGCAATCAGTCATTCTTGCAAGGCCTGAATGACTGGGATATGTGTGGATGGGTGATATGTATCTATGTGAGGACGGATAGATACCTAGGTAGACATTTACTAGGCTTAGGCTTATTATTAGACTCCCCGGGCTTAGGGGCTAAGGGGTTTACCTGAGGCCCTAAGGCCCCTAAGCCCCATAAGCCCTACCTACATAAGCCCCCAAGCCCTACATACATAAGCCCTAAGGCTCCTTCAAGAAGGTCGAGCGGTTTAGGCGGGGTCACGTGGTCGGCTGGCCAAGGGCACAAAACATTGAACAGTGGCAGGAGAGAGTCAGTACGGAGTACTGTATACTGTACAAATGGAATGGAATGGTCTTCGGACAGCAATTCCATGCTTTGGAGCCCCTAAGCCCCATGGCTCTACATTATAAGGTACTTATGACGCCGGCTGCAACAGGCCCCTAAGCCCAGGTCGGGCGTACAGCAACACCAGCAACACCAGCAACACCAGTCACACCAGTCACACCAGTCACACCTACTGAGTAACTTGTCGATGATGATGATGATGATGCAACCTCAACCTCAGGATCGGCTCGGCTTGAGTTGAGCAGCGAAACAACAAAAGCCGCAGTGGTTGCAGACGGGAACCGGAGGCACCGCATCAGCACCGCCATGCCGTCATATGTACGCCAGAGGTGAAGGAGAAGGAGAAGGAGGGACATATGTCGGGGGGGGACCGGGTGGGATACAGTAAGTAACATCAACATGATCCCAGTCCCTGGAACCTGGAATGGAATGCCATTCATTGTTCCGTCGTGATTCTCATACATACATAGATACATACTACTACAGTACAAACAGCCTCGTCTCATCCTCTCCCTCTCCCTCTCCTTCTTTCTCAGACAACACCCCACCCTGCAAGAGCAGCTAGCAAGCAACATGCCGACAGACACCGCCGACAGGAGCGGACAGGCCCAGGCCCTCGACGCGGGCGCTGTGGCAGGCACCCAGTCCCTCCATGCGGAGACTGCATTGCCTGAAAACGCAAACGCTGACGCTGGGAGCCAGAAACAGGTATGACGTCGACGTCTCTTTCCCTCTGCTTTTCGACATCTCCTCATCTTTTCATCTCCGGATCGTCGATGATTGTCACTCCGTTCCGTGTCGTGTGTCGTGGTTCGCGAGCTATGCACAGTACTTAGGACTCGAGACTCAGGGCTCAGGGTTCACGACACAAGACTGTCCTTCGCGTGACTGACTCGGACTTGGCTAATGTCGGTATCTGATCTGGGCAGGGCACAACTGCAGCGCCGTTGCTGAGCGCCCAGGGGGCAATTGGCTCCCAGTTCACCGAGCATGGAGCGATCGGAGGCACGGCCCAGCAAATCGGCGGGCCTTTGGACAAGGATGGCGCAATTGGCAAGCATTTCAAAGGCGATGGTGCCTTGGGCGGAACGCTGAACAAGTTGGTGGGCGGACAGCCACAGCCAAAATGAAAAGGATCCCTATCCGTATCCCTATCCCTACCGCGATCGCTTTCGTTTTCGCTTTCGCTTTCTGCTGTGCCGACCGATGGGTACGGTGCAGGTACGGTCAACAGACGGGGGGCATGTATGTTGGGGCCCATGTATGCTGGGGGCCATGTGTGTTGGGGGCCATGTATGTTTATCAGGCCGAGGCAAACCCAGTGCGGCCAGGTATCGAACATGACAGACATCTTCCAGCATCAATCAACTTGACAATATTCCTATTGTAGTGTTAGGATCTGGAATGGTCCCGTGGGAGACAAAGTGCCAACTGTTTGTGAATGGGGAATTTTCCATCACCGTTGAGGCTCCATGGAACAGGAAGGGTCGGTCGGGTGTGCCTGGAGCAACAAACCATTGCCAGCACCGGGAGTTACTCGTAAAGAACGTGATCGTGATCGTGATTGTCATCCGTCATCAAAAGCCTGGGCGGCGCATGCCCATCAAGGGGCTGACCTCAGGATATCATAAAGGTCAACATCGGCAACATCAACATCAACATCATATCCAGCCGCCCTCGAGTCTCGGACTGGGCCGGCTGGCAGCATTCTCGCGCTGCAGATCTTCAATCATGCTCTCCAAGACAAGCTCGGAGAGGCTGGGATTGTACAATTGGGACATTTGGGTATTGCCCAGATAATAGCTGTCGATGTCGATCTCGGAGAGGTCCTCGTCGTAGAGCGAGCTCGACGCGTCCCAAGGGATGGTGGGGGAGAGAGGCTGCGGCTGTAGCTGCGGCTGTAGCTGAGACTGATACTGAGATTGAGGTTGATACTGAGACTGAAACTGAGGCTGAAACTGAGGCTGAGAATACGCGGGCGGCGCGTCGTAAGCCCCTCGCCAGCGGTGGTGAGCAGGAGCAGTAGTAATTGGAGGCAGCTGTGCTCCCAGAGCAGGCGACCGCTCCAGCACCGGGGATAACAGCTTGCTAAACGGTCGGCGGTAGTGGTGGTTCGGCCGGCGGGGGAGGTAGGAGAGCGAGGCGGTTCGCGGCGGCATCGTGGGCCTGGCCGTGTCATGGTGTGTGACCAGGGGCTCCAGGCTCCCCGACGACCGGTTGGAATCGAAACTTTCATGGCTTCCAATGCTCCGGACCTGCACAATGACTTGGTCGCTCCAGCTGCCCTTCTCGCCCATGGGCGAGAAGGCCGGGCTCGGCTGTTGGATGTATGGCTTCTCCATACCCAGATAACCAAGTTTGCCGTTTTCCAGCCCGAGTTCATGCCCGAAATCTCGAGACTCGGAGTCGCGGGTCGACCACGTCGACTTCAGTCCCGCCGACCCGGAAGTCATCAGCTGCCACATCATGCGGCCGAGCGAAGGGAGGCAAGCCGTGATGACACTGATGTTCATCACGATCTGCACCCACATCTGAAACGAGACCAAGTCCCATGTCGGATCCTGCGAGACCAGGACGGTCTTCAAGCGGGAGATCTGTGGCGCGGTGACCAGAGGGAGTGCGATGCGCGTCCCGAAGAGCACACACACAAAGATCTTCTTGTCTCGCGGCGTTTTGAGCCTGCACACCATGATGATGGGGAGGACGAGGGTGGCGGCATCGATGACGATGCTGACAATGATGAAAGAGGTGAGGAAGGTTTGCTATCACCGACACCGTTAGTGGAAAGCGTCCTGGTCCGTCTCAAGATAATAGGGGTGACTGACTCGGTCGACGCATCGGTCGGTTCCAACCAGCCATGGCTGTGGAAGAGAGCACTGTAAAGCCAAGATGGCCAGTGATAGAGTCGAGTAGATTCCGATACAGCCCAGCAGAACGTTGCAGCCGATCCGGACTGGCCGCTGTGGCTCGACACTCTTGATGAGGAGTACGACAATGAGTTGGGACAAGGAGAGCACGAGTTGAAAGAGAAGGTTGCTGGCGTAGGTGAGCTGGAGCGAAAGTCAGTCCAGTCCAGCCCTCGGGTGTTTTCTGTAGACTAGACATGAGGTCTAAGGGTCTCTATAGATACCTTTTGGAATTGCGTGACTTGGTCGGGACTCAGAGAATCCGCATGTCTGCCCAGTCCACTCGACAGCGATAGTCGGACGCAAACGCTTTGAGCGATGGCCACAACCTGTGCACCTTGAAGTCAGTCGCCGAACTGGTTCGAGACGAGAGAGATAGGGTCCTACCAGAGCCAAGGGCAAAAGGATATCTGAAGGCTCAGCGACTCGACTGATCCGGTACCTGGCCACCCCGCGCACAAGAACCACGAAGCAGGAGACGGCGACCAAAACCAGAGTGACAATCTCCAGTGAGGAACCGTTGTATGCATTCATGCTTCCACCACCACTACCACTCGCACTCGCCGACACCTCACTCGTCATGGTAGTACTGGAATCAGACACATGGGCTCATTTGCGAAGGAAATTGAGCAGAAGGGGCCCGAAGGGATGGTACATTCGAACAGGCCACCGGACACGGTATATGAGAGTCTCGCCCGCGACATGGAGCCGGGCCGCAGCCAGCCAAGGTCTCGCGAGAACAAGATCTGGCATCTGGCATCCCCACAGCCTTTCACGTCAAATGGGTAGAGTCTGAGGGTAGAGCATTGACGAAGAGGCGAGCGCGGGATGGGGCCCTGGCGGCAAGTGGGTGGTGGCTCAGGCCCAGAAGGTGCAGAGTATGTAGGAGTATGTAAGAGTATGTAGGTTGATGCAACAAAGACAACTGTCTGACCGTCCTCGACATGTCAAAGCTTTCCCAATTGGGGCGTTGAGCGGCAGGGGTCGCAGCGCGTCCGGCGACGCGGACTCCCCATCTGGAATTTCTTCACACAGTTCTGGGGCACGTCGTCAGCTTACATATGAGCAGAGAAGACGCCAAAGACAGCCAACAGGTGCCGGTTGACGTATGGTAGAGTCATGACCGGAAGCGCGACGCTGCTTTGACAGGAGGAGTCGTGTGTCTGTCTCTTCGATGCTGGCAGCTGAGCAAGAGCGTCACGACGCCTTCGGGCTGGTCTTGTGGGTGGCGTGCCAGCAATGAGTCTTATGTCTCCCTCAATTAAGGCCACGTTGCCATCGACACTCTGGAAACCCGGAGCTGAAGCTGGAGCCGGCATCTCATCTCATCTCATCTCATCTCTGTGAAGTTGCACACGACCAAATTCCCAGCCCAGCCCAGCCCTCGAGGGGAGGGTAAGGAGGGGCAACATGGAACATTCTCAACCCGCAGTTGCCCGATAGCACGAGCCTACTCGGTATCGCCGAGTTCGAGTGCACAACCCCAACGCGACGAGTGCTGTGCGCTGTGCGCTCGCTGTGCGCTGTGCTCGAGCAGTGACACGTTGACAGGTCGCGTTGAATCTGTCCAGTGTCCCGTCCAGCCCCATGAATTTGTGGGCGAGATGCCGATTCTTGGCATCCAGGGGCTGCTCAGAGGCTCCTAAGGCTGGTGCTGGAGAAGCGACTTAGGGGCCATCACACCACACCACACCACACCACACCATCATGTACATTTATTTGTACGTGTACATCCAGAAAGACCTATTGATTAATTATAATAATCCAGAGATCATATTAGTGCTTTCCAAGGTCAGTGGAGATTCTCTCATTCAATCATATAGGTGCCAGGTGATAAGCATTTAACCGCGCTTTTCAAATCCGTGGGAATCGCCCAAACCGTCATCTGCCGCAGTGGACAGCAATGCTGGTCTACAATAGAGAGTAGCAGAGGACGGAGCTGAGTGAGCTGCACGCACCAGGCCTTACGACCCCCATGGATGGCCTCGTTTGCTATACGGAGTATTCGGATAGCGATTGATACTTTGGGCTATTAACTACGCGAAGACTCCGTCTCTTATACTACAGCACAGGTATAGGATATAGACTGCCTAAGGCCCGAGCACGCTCGCATAAAATAGAAACTTTCACTTTCACTTTCCTTTACACATCGCCGTTCCGGTGATTTCAGGTGATGATGATGGTGCCAGTGGCATCTTGCTCCTGCAAGGATGGAATGGAATGCATGGCACCATACATCAGGATAGAGGTAGTCGGCGTCGCTAGAGACCTCTCATGTCATGATATGTTGTGGAAGGACATGCCTTGTATCTATGGCAATATCCAATCCCAACCACTCGGTGGGAGGACGTCGCCCAGTGGGATCATGATACCGTATTATGGTCTCGGCGACCACCACGACAAAATACTGTAATTGAATAGGCGTGAACCTGAACCTATCCTTGACTGGCGTTAAGCATGTCTGACACGCTCAAGTGTACGAGACTGAGGAGATGTATTCCTTAAAGAGAGAAACGAGAAATCTTTACTTGATTTCACTGTGCTACAAGAAGGAAGATGGAAAATGAAGAAGTGAAGTTCTCCGTCTCTACATCTGTCATCTCCTTTCTTCGTACGTATCCACTCTGAAACAGCCACCAGCAGTGTTGCCACCATCTATCTGCCAGCCTCCTTCTACATCTTCAACTGTGAGTGAAGAGGAAGGCGTGGCCAACCACTTGCTCATCGCAGCTTGCACAGAGAAGCATCAGGTAGTTGGAACCTCAACGTGTCAGGTCCCGTTCACATGAAGACTGAATCAAACCAAGCAGCAGACAAGGAGCCAGCCCAGCCATCTCAGATTCTCCGTACACGGGCCTGAATAATCAAGGACTCGCTCGGCTCGAGTCGTGATGACCACCGTTTGAATTTCTCACCTGGGTTTTTGCCACTCGCCGAACCAGGGGCTATGAAATTGTACACAATCTCAGCCTGCGGGAAGGCCGCAGTCGAGGAAACAGAGGGGATCAAGAGCCTTGGGAGAAGGTATCTAGTCCGTAGTCATCGGCCGATACAGGGACACCAGAGGGCGGGAGTAACTGGCCCATGCATCCGGCTTCGGGAAGCCAGGACCAGGACCGTTAAGGAGTCAGGGCAACCCGTCTGGTTCTCGTGAATGCCATTGGTCTCTCTCGTACAACGAGAACAGGGTACTAGACAAGCGACCCCTGGCTCAGAGAGAGAGAAGAACAGGGCAGAATACCCTCCTCTTTCCCCAGCGCTTAGAGCCCGTGCACCCCTGAACTACTCGTACGAATTTCGAAACGATAGAGTTCTCCTCTGCTGCCTGTTAGTTCATCTAGGACTCCGGAGTAGTTCGTATGATCATTCGCCTCAAAGTGCTCCCGGGGTCAGAGCAGGCCGCATGAGATTTGAGAAAATCTTGAAACGACCACACCGCGAATGAATAGGACATAGAGAAACTGGACCCTGCATCAAACTAGAGCCCTCGACCTAGAACTAGTAGCCCACCCCCCCAGGGGAGGAAACCTCTTGATGCGCCAGTTGGATGGCATATCTGCCTTAGGGAAGAAGAATAAGAAGAAGCAATAAATAGAAATGCACAATGCGCTGGCTGTAATTGCATAAGGTCCCATGCAGATTCATAGATTCATAGATTCCACGGCCGCATGCACCGCCACAACAGGACCTGCACTGAAAACTGTTCAATGTTGGAACGTCGGGGACGGTCAGGCAAGTTTCGACCGTGTCTCGATCGCATTGTGAGTTCGGAGTGGAGTGGCAACTCAGTTGCCAGTGTTGGTCACCCGCACGCCGTACGCGTCTGGATCACGGCTGTCTCTTGCGGCCGGGCGGGCCCTCTTCAGCGAGGTGTTCAGGATCCCGACCCTCGTTGGCTTCAGATCGATTCAGTATCGAGACTGTAGATCATTTCATGAGAGAAAGCTAGATACATCAAGATAGGGAATGGGATTGCATGGAACCCAGCCGGGGGCCAGGCTGACAACGACAAAGCCAATGCTTCGTGGAAGCAAGGGCTAAGGCCCAGTCTGGACCTTTGCATAGAGCCGTTGTGTTGTCAGATAGTAGACCTGGGTTCTCGAACACGCACCGTTGGAGTGCTTGCTGGCGGCCAGACTTGATCTGTTCGGCTCTATTTGCTCCATCACAAGCCGCTACGACAAAGGGTTGAAGTCGAGATAGACACTAGCACTGTGGCGCAGCATCGACGCCACCTCATGCGCCACTGTGGCGTTGAAGTGTGGCTCAGGCTTGCAACGGACAGCCCTAGGCTCTTAGGCCCCCGCTAGACTCTAAGTGTTCTAAGGAGTAATTAATTACAGGGTAGTACTACGGAGAACCTTAGGTGCCAAGCATGGGTCGGTGTGCCACAGTGGCGCCGTGACATCATAGCAGCATTCTCAACCCACCACGGACCAAGGTAGTACGGAGTACGGAGTACTCTGTAGGTAGGTAGGTAGTCGTCCCTCCATTCAGCGCAGTCTTGTTTGCTATTTCCAATCGCGCCTTGCAGAACTCTCCTGGCGACATTTCTGCCTTCAACTATGGAGTACTGAGACTGAGAGCAGCCCTGAGCCAGTCCCCAAGCGTCTCAAGCTCAAGGAGCGAGCGCCAATCGTGTCTCAGTCGATCGGAACCAATCAACCAACCCGTCCACGCATTCAGGCCTGTCAAAAGGTCCCGTCGATGCGCTGGCCAATACTACCTTACATTATTGTGGTATCATGTTGGGATTGCGGAGACCATGTGGCTGGATTTCAATACTCTCTACCGTGTCATCCCTAAATTCTCCTGACCTACCACACCTATCTTTCTTCCCTATTGCTATACGACTTCCAGCGCATTGTTGACGACTGTAACTGACGGTGTGTTCCAGAACAAGAGACCTCAATTAGGGCTCGTGGACAGTCAAGTTCGTCTCGATTTTCCCGCCTCCCTCCCTCTCTCACACAGCCTCCTTGGCCTGTATCGACGCTACGATCATCGGACGGTTTTAGAACGACGCAGCCAAGTCCAACGGCTCGAGCTCGGGTGGGCGTGCCGAAACCGAATGGCACGGTCATTTTCGAGTGCGCACTGTCCTGCCATACCCCCGCTCATATCCGTACTTTGTACTTTGTACTCGTACGGTATACGCATACTTACTCCGTACTGTGTGTCCTGGGTCAAGGATAATAATAGTACGGGTTGAAGTCATGATCGGCAACCAAAATCGTACTTCCCGGTGGTCTGCCATTTAACAATCTCTTCTTCTGCCTTCCCCTTCGGCGCGGCCGGCGACGATCGAGATGATCAATGAAAAAGAAGGGGCCTGAGGCTGACGCGGCCCCGGCAGGTATATCATTTCAAGAGCAACCTAAGGTACGCACAGCTATTTCTGACTCACTGTCTGGCCGATCGAGCCTTCTGGAGGTTTAGCCGATAGCGAAATCTGCCACTGCATTGGTGTAATCGGCCACGCGAGGTGCTAGCGCTCCGACTCGGTATGCATGTTCCAACAGACGACAAGAGACGATAGCGAGCAACCTCAGATCGTCTGGTCATCTGATATCTGTCTCGCTATGTCGACCAGTCTGCGCCTAGCCATGACATGTCTTGCTCGTGGGCAGTGGCACCGCCATTATCGCCACTCTTCTCCCTTGACAATGCCACGAATCCGATTGCTGCACTCGAGCGCTTTGATTGGTCAACGCCCTTTCCCTGCAATCAATCTCCAACAGCACCGTTCCTGCAGGTTCAGAGCCGCTAGTCGTGTGCGTTCAAGCACCACCGAGACCTGCCCCTATGAATCGTTCTGATTAACCAATCACCAGTTCAATCACCACCTCTGTTGCTCACCGGAGAGCCTCGAATGGCTCCCCTCCTCAGGTTCCCTCTCAAAGAAAACTGCCCGGACTTGAGAGTCGGGCGTAAATGATCGCGTGGATGATGTGCCCACGAAGAACGGAGAAAGTGTGCAGGAAATCTTGTAGTCAGAATTAGTCGATACATTGATAGTTGTAGTAGTCTGCGATAGAAAACCATCGGAGGAGCATGCTGCCAAATAAATTTAATCCGGCCTGACAATGTGGGTATCTCGAAAGTCATGTATCTCGTGAAAAATAAGGGTTGGAACTCGCTCAGGGATCCGTATATCATCCCGTCATTCGGTCATTCGTGTGCTGTACTCGGACAAAAAAAAGTAAAAATTTGGTTGCAAAGTGTGGGAGAGAATGAAATCATCCACAAATGTCAGTTAGTTCCTCCATGTGTGGCCCGTCTGTACACTCCCAAAGCCAGTAGCGAATCAACCACTATTAACCAGGCCTCTGCGCCATTAGGGGGTATCATGTAGTTATAGTTCGCCTTGTTATCTTTGGCATGCCAGACTGTTGCGAAGGTCGCCTCCATGCAATTAGTCGTGTTCGTAAGGAAACAACGTCAAATGACGAAAACCGGGGGTATCTCATGCAATTTCAGGGTCGTGTCGTGGTGCGCTGCGTCGATATCAATAGTTTAGCCACATCTCCAGTGGATCGGAGGTCCAGTGTCCCGCAAGGGCGGTTGCGCCGTCCACCATCACCTCCGTCGTGGCTGTACCGACAGATTCATGCTTGACCGGTCGGTCGGATCGTGGTGGTGCGAATTCAACCACCATATCCTGTCCTTCCGGCAGTTCTCGAACAACATCCTCATCGACAATGATGTGTAGTCCTCGAGAATTGATGTGCGTCACCTGAGTTACTCGGTGAGCATCAACTTGAAATTTTTCCGATATGCCGTGGATCAAATCTCGAACAGTTCGCTGCATCAAATAGACTGCGCGATAGTAGTTCTTGGTGGAATCCTTTTGGCGCACGTAGAAACATGCAACTGCATATCAGTCAGCGAGAAATCTCTCAGGGCACGATATGCAACTTACCGGGTCGGATGGGTCTTTCGACAGGAGGCCGATAGCTGCTATCGACGTCGAGGGCAAATAGTTCGTTTTTGACGGTAGAATCAACCTGGGTCTTGGGAACCTTGACTGCTTGGGTCAACGGTTCAGTCGGGTCGTTGCCATGCTCACTCTCGCCTTCCTCTTGGATGGCCGATGATTGCATCTCCGACGGCCTCCTCTTTGGCGAGGCCGGTGTAGAACTCAGACTCGGGGAGACAGCATTTGACATGGGGGAGTCGGAGACACTCTGCCTTGATCCCCATGTGCTTGTTCGCACAATCTCTTTCATTTCAGGATCGTCTCCCGGAAGTCTCACAGGACACAGGTCTGGGTCGTCTTCTGGATCGCCACGTAGGAATAGAACACTGACCGGTCTGGTCGAAGAGAACATATCCTGCATCGTCACAAGCTTGATCTGAATATCTTCTTCTGCTGAAAACTTGGCTGGCTCAGCCTCTGAATCCACTGAAAATGTACGTTTGTGTTTCAGCACTTTCCCGGGACGAGACAATGAGGCTTTTGCCACTGATCCGCTCCTCCTCCTCTTTCCAGCATTTCCCAGACCAGCTTCAGCTTGCGCTATTTGTTGTTTGAGCTTATCGATCGTCTTCTTGACGTGAGCGACGTCGTTGGAAAGTTTTCTCTCTGCACCGTGGTCGCGGAAGAGCTTGACTTTAGAGTAACAAACTTCGGGTTTGTTGCTGGCGGCGGTAGACGGGGTGACCAGCTCGGTCTTAGCACATAGTCGGACAGGGATACCTTTGACACCCTTGGAATGGCTGAAGTCAGTCGACAAAAAGTTGAACCGGATGGATATCGAACAATGGGGCCCTCCATTCAGAAGGCTGGGCACCCATGTCACCGCGAATCCGTCGAAAGAAGCCTTCTCAAGCTGGACAAGAGGTTTGCGCAGTACGTCGTCCCCACCTTGATTAGGATCGACATATTCCACGGCGAGAAGTCTACCGCCTCGTTGATGGGCTTCATTGGAACCGCGTCCTTCCTTCCAAAGTTGCCAACATGCTCCCGGCCGGGCTCTCTGTTGCTCATCTTCGAATGAGACGCGAACATAAGTGCGGTACTGGGGAGCGCTGTCTTGTGGCAGGGGGGGTGTCGTATCCCATATTGACATGGTGTAAGCCTGACCCTTGTTCAGATAGGTGATAGGGATCTCGTCGGCGTGTCGAACCATTGCAGTTGGAGCATTCAACGTGGTGTGGAATCGCAATCTAAAAGACTTATTAGAGAATACGTGGTCTAGGAATGGCCATACTGACTTGTCCCCCAGCCGCACATCTGGCATACCCATCACCCCTGACCTCACCCGCGGGACAGACTGATGCATCGTACGCCGCTCTACGCTGCCTTCGGCTTGATTGGGGGTCGTTTTGTGAGAACTATCGTCCATAGCCACATAGCCGGAGTCTTCGTGTTGGAGAAACTGCTGAGGCGCAAAGGTCTGCGGTTGCTGCGTCACGAGAGGAGCCTGGGAATGCTGGTTGTGAAAAGCATCCTGGAACGGATGAGGCTGGTGCATAAAATGTGGGTTGAAATGTTGAATATGCATTAAAGGATCATGGGCATGCAGTGCGTGTACCGAATGAGGTAACGACAAGGGCGTATTCATCCCCATTCCGGGAGTGTGAAGGTCACCTGCTTGCGGATGATAGAGCGTTCCGAACCCTCCAGGAGTGGGCGTATACAAGTAGCCAGGAGGTTGGTTCGCAAAGGCGGAAAAGGCGAAGGAGTTGGGATCCATCAGCGACGGAGTAAATCTCCAGAGGTCGGCGAACGGCTTGGGAGTCGCATCTTGTTCCTTGGCTTCTGTCTGACTCTCAAATGCGCTGGCGAAATAGTCAGCATCATGCACTTGGTTGTCTTGCTGGTCGGGTGAGAGCAGAGTGGGCGACATTGTCGATGGGTGTTGACATCGCGGGTTGGTGAAAAGGTGAAAGAGACGAGTTAATGTAGTGTCGACCGCGACGTACCGTTGAGTCGTCGAGGGCTCATCCACAATGGCCTCGCTTAATACTGATGATCTGCGAGCAGGCCCTTCCTCTCCCGGACCGGCTGAGGAGGACGATCCAGGCCCGACATCGGGAAAAGACTCCTTAAACGCCACGTACAACGCTTCATCGGGCTTCTGAGTATTGCGCCTGCAGGCGAACATGGTGGTCAGTCTTCCAAATGACTCGGTGGACGTGAAACGAGAATAGATCAGAGAGCTAGAAGACGAACCGATTGCGAAACATTTGCGGCGGAGACGGCGTCTCAGGCGGCGAGTTCCAGGGCGAATAGGGTCAAACCAACGACATGTGGCCTCTGGATGATCGGACGATATCGTGGCTGTTCAGGCTGGGCGCATCGATGGATGGCTCGACAGGTCGAACGAAACTGATTCAACGAGGCAGGGTGCTTCAAGTTGGAGAGCTGCTGCGCCTTGGTGTGTGCGCGTCGGTGAGATGTAGTCGGGTCTTTGTAGGGCCCTTGGGTCTGCTCGATATCCCAAGCCGGAATGGGCTATGGGCTATATTCCCTTGAGGTCACTGCGGGAACGATGAGGGCAGGAGACAGAAGATCGACAGTGTCGTCGCCGCGTGTACAAATGGATTGAAGAAGTTCGACGTGTAGGTGTGAGGTAGGCAGGGTGTCTGGACGCATATGGGTTACTACTAGTAGTAGTACAAGGACCGGGGTGGGATGCTGATGGTCATCGGCCTCAGTGGCAGCATTTAGCATTCATAGTGACAAGATTAGCCCATGATTGGGAGGGTCATGGATGCAAGGATGGTGAAGCAAGAGTGGATGCGAGGAGTGGAGGACGATGGCAGGGAGATGGAGGATGAGATGTGTCTGGGAGTGGCGCACCCGTCCCATCGATCGGGAGTGCGTTTTGAAGCAGTTCGATGCATTTACTGCCTTCCCAGTGCGGTACGGGACTCCGGTCAAGGAGTCACCAGCTACGTAAGGCGCAGGCGGGTGCGTTCGTTTGTGCATTCACTCCTCCATGCTGGCCTAGCTAGTAGGAGGTCTAGCAGGTACTGATTAGCCTGGAGCCTAATTACCGTTCTTCTTGTGAAGCCCCAGCGGCCCAGGGCTTGGGCTTAGAGGCTAGGATCAGGGAGCCAGGACCCCTCGTTTAACTGAGCCACGCCTAGGAGTAATGCCCGGGCCGCTGGCGCCTCGCCATTGGAGAGACTGCCGGGCGACCTGGTGGATGCAGTTTAGCCCGTTGACAGTCGTGGCGTCGAGCGGATGCCTCCAGTCTCAGTGGACACCAGCCGTGGCTGGCCACCCTCCGTCACCCGTCTCAGGAGACGGACATCCTCTTTTGTGCCTGTTCAACTGCCTCTGCTTCGTCGCCAGCCAGGCCCATCCCTGTCCACAAGCGGAAACTCTGTGCGCGGTGCCCGGAAGAAGAACCCTTCCCTCTGGCTGCTGCTCCACGTATGTGTATGTACTGTGCTAGCTCATGCAGTCTTTTTGACTCTTCGGCGTTGTCCAGGGCCCAGGCAGGCAATGGCCCTGATCGACAGAAGCACAGCCACGCGGCCCTTGAAGTTGGGCTCTAAGAAGTCGGGAAATGTGGCTTCGAGGGTGGCGAAAGGCCTGTGGCACTGTGGCGAGCACTAGATACGAGCTGCCACGGCTGCAGTAGTGGGAGTGAGGAAGATAACAACCACTGTACGGAGTAGGTGACCGGCACTGGAGACTGCAGCCCACGAGAAGTGGCTACACTGCTACAGAGTACCTTACTCCGTACTCCATACGGAGTACGCGTACGGAGGACAGCAGTACCAGGGCTAGTCATGTGACGGCCAAGGCTCAGGCTCGACGCACCCATCGCAGCACTAACTGGAGCCGCCCCGGAAATATCAACCTGGCGAGCACAAGCGCCGTCGGTCCACACAGTCCAGTTCTGCTACTAGGTGTGGCTTGACCCCGACTCTCTGGGCGGTGGGCGGTGGACAGTGAACAGTGGGCTCTGCGTAGGGCCTGAGGCGCTGTCGGCCACCTACCAACGTCCCCATCGGCTTTCTTATTTCCCATCTCCCCTTTGACCGACATGTCCGTTGACTTTGGAGGAGCCCAACCGCCCGCTAACTAATACTATCTACTTTCCTGCCCCAAGCCACAGGACTCTTGAATGGAGCCCGTGCCGTGCTCATGGCTTACTTGACTCCTCCGGCACCAGCAGCAGCAGCATGCGGGTAACTCCCACCATGATGGATATGGATACCTTAGGGATAGGTAACTTGTGACCCAGTACTAACTAAGAGAATAGCTCGTTACTAACACGGTATCTCCTCTCTGCCCCGATCGTCCACACGTGTCGCCTGAGACTGGAAAATATTGCTGTCACCCTCTTGTCGATCAATCATCCCTCATCACTCATTCCTTCCGTGCAGCCGCCTGCGCCCAATGGCCGCCCACACTATGCCACCTAGCAATACTCGACTCTCCGTTGCTGTTTGGGAGTGGGAGAGACCCTCACCCGACGCGTACGCATGCGATATTGCTGGAATTGTCCTCCGGCCGCAGTCTAATCAGGCATTGGCTCTCCTCAACGCTGCGTCCAACCCAGTCTGCGGCAACATACCGAGATGACTTCACACAGCTGGCAGCGTCGCGAATAAGATATCCAACAGCTTGGCCGTGGTTGTGAGTGCTCACTATTTTGACCGACACCGCATAAAAAGCCGTCTGAGGCCGTCCGTGCTTGTGAGCCCAAGCCAATACGATCTACACCAAATGATACCATCCCTAACCATAGATGTCACTCCTCTGCGGTACGGGCATCTCAGACCACGCCGTACAATTCGTCATGGTGCTACACTAGGTATTACATCATCTTTTGATGCTCTGGACCAACCGTTGTGGCTACAGCCTTTTTCAAGATGAAACACTCCGGGTGCACGAATGGAGATTGAAGGCCGTGGTCAACTGACCCCTTGATAATCTCACATCTTTGTCTATCACAACCTGCGTCATTCCTCTCGAACCGCAGAACCAATCAACAATCAACTCCTCTGAGCTTTCCATCGGGTTCTTGTACGGATACTGTACTCCGTGCACGGAGTACTCCATCCGCGCCCGGGCGAACAGCGAGCAGCGAACGACGCCTTGCTGCACCGGCCGGTCAAACGGTTGCTAGCGAGTGTCGAGTAAGCACTGCTCTCTCCCGGTCACGAGCAATCAAAGTAGCTGAACAACCACTTCCATGAGACAGACGGTGGATGACTATCTTCCTAAGGACGGATACAAGTTTTATTATGCCGGGCAGGCTAATTCGTGGACCCCGGCAATCTCGATTCGAGACATTTGGAACCCGGATGGAACAATTTCAACGGGAGCAACGGCGCCTTGGATCCATGAGGCGTACGGCTGGGTAGCAAGCCCCAATAACCGTCTCCGGCAAGCGACAGACGAGACGAGCTGTGGCACAGGTGACCCCCGCGTAAATTTGGCGGACTTTGGACCCCAGTTCGGTTGACTCCATTCCGGGCGGCAAGTCAAGACTATGCAGATTGCTCAGGCTCTGTCAATTGAAACACGTGCCGCTAATATTGCTAAGGGGCATCTCCAAAGATATTTCGTCCTGCCGCCATGTCTGCCGTAGCCACCAACCTTATCGCTCAAAACGGAACGGCGGAGTAACTGTTACTATTGCCCGACGTTTGCGCCGTTACTTCGACTTGGAAATTGGTGCCCATGCCGGGAAGGGTTCCTCTTCTGCACCAGTGCCAGGACCAGGGTCCGAGGCCGATAGTGAAATGAGCCTCTTCGAGTCGTTGACAGCAAATTTGCCCTGCACCGGGTTACCCGTACCAGCGGCAACTTCAAACCGGCTCGTGCACTCTCTTTTCGATCCCGAAGATAATTCTCGATCATGCCATGTCCCCCAGTGTACGCGCCAGCACACGGGATAGAACAGAGTTTGACCGCTGGACACCAACCCACTCCTCCAGCCGTATGACAAAAGTTCCACCAGCGTCCTGAACGCCACAGTCGCTGCGCCACAGTCTGCGACGATCACTCCGGTTTCAGGCCAGTCGATGCGGTTCTGACTTCACCACTGTGGCTTAAGCACAAGGGGTTTATTACGGCACTGGGCTCACCAAGAGACAGGCCTATTAATTAGTTCAAAGTTTGTTGAACCGCGTGGTCTAGAAGGTGTCAGGGTCAGGAGACACCTGCTGATCTGTCGAGACTCGGAAAAACACATTTGGTGAGAATGCGGGTCAGTCTGTACTTGTGCCGCGATCCACGAGAATGGAGTTCGAAAGTGCCAGACCGTTCCAAGGAAAAAGTTTTCGGCCAGGAAGCCAAGTACGCGGCGCTATCGATTCCTGCCGTCCTCACTTTGAGGGGTTCTAACTCGCTCCAGATCCTCCAGTCAAGACCTGACTGCTACATGCAGCAGCCAGGACTTAGAACTCCCAGTTTGGCGCCCATTGTACGGTAGGCCTGCCAAGGTCTGGCTTACGTCTACACCAGAATTGCTCTCGTGTTGACGAAGAACAGCCTTGAGCAAGCGACACCGCGACAGGCAAGAGTCATCTTTGACGGCCACTTTACAGGCAGTTCAGGCGGGCTGCGCCAGAGAGTCTTGCCACGTTATCTAATGGGTCTGCAACGAGTGGAGTTTATGCTGGAGTCGGGTCCCAGTGGATTCTGTTGAGGAGGGAGTATTGAGTGTATCCAGAGCCGCACTCGAATCACGCTATAGGCTGAAATCGTCGATACTATTCAGCATCCGCCAAAACTCTTCCTGGGATCCTTCGTGCACTTATGCCCACCAGCGAGGTTGCTGTGACTCTGTACTGCTTACTCAAGTCCCGACCTGGTTTGCTGGGTATTGCTCTGCTCTGCTCTGTCTTACCGTCGCCATTGTTTCCGTCTCTGTTCCCAGCCCGATCGACTTGATCTATTCGGACAGAGCCAGCGTTCTTCTGCAGTGGGCACTCCACTGAGCTAGGACACACGAGCCACCGATTCCTGCCCCTGAAGCAGTATCTCATGCTCTGAACCTCATGGATGATTCAGCAGTTCGGAAATGCCTTCGCTCCTCACATGTGAGGTGTTTGTTTTGCCCCTTGTGAATGCGAATGCGAATGCCCGTTTCGTACCTTGGAGTCTGAATCCCGTGGCTTTGCTTGCACCTGTGCCGGTCCCCCAGGATCTGAGTGTCTCCAATTTGAAATATTCCTCCTGCTCTGCAGACCTCACAGCGGTAGTAAACGTCACGTGGGAGTTTTGCACAGTTCTTCCTTTGGAGGGCCAACTTGGACCACCGGAATCTCGACCAGAGACGAGAGACCAGAGAGACACCAGAGTTATCTATTCCTACTTGTTCACGCTATTTATATCATCTGTGGCAGTCGTTCCTCGACGCGATTCACAGCATGAGGCCCTGTCTGCCGAATGTAACCGGAGATGAAATCTAAGCACAGTAAAGAACAGCAAGAATAGTGACAGAAACGCCCATCTAGACCACCCCATTACAATTCTGTTCATTACCACCATTTCCCATTAGTAGTCAGCATCCCAGTATATCGGTACACGCGTACTGCTTCCCGCCTGGCCCGACAACAACAGACCTGACGACCACCATCCATGTGGACCCGGCGATGCATCCGCTCGTCTGCTCGTCTGCTCGCGATACCTAGGTATGTACAAGCATGGCTGTCTGCTCACAAGCTGCAGTGGCTCGCTGACTTGCTTCTATGATTCTCAACCAGTCAATCACTGTCTCTGTCTCAATTATTGAAGACTCATTGCGCCTTTTCGTGCGTGGTCTTTTTCTTGCGCCATATTCGTATGCGTGGCTGATTCTCCACCATTAGAGTCCTGTAAGGTACACGGATGAAAGAATATTAGTAGCCTTATGCTGTTGTTGACCTGATCAGTACAACTGATCTCAAGTGTTGTATCTGCCGCCTTTGTAAGAAGTGTGACAATTCTCATTACCCCAATCATTGAAATTGCGTTCGAGGCACGTAGTCGAATTTCTCTTGGTGTGTCCATGTACAAGGGTCGTTATCGAGTGATGAGGATTTGGAAGCCGTCTATCCATGCGCCGCAAGAACCTGAAATTCCGGCAAGACTGTAACCGCGAGGCGCCAGTAAAGTATGTCTGTAGAATCGTTAGAGCACCGAGACCAACAAGTCATGATGGAGATGGCTCACCCAGACCCCCCTGTGGCGTTGCCAAAGACGCCGGATCGTCGGCCAGTACTTGTTAAAATCTCAATTCCGTCGATCCAAAGACCAGCCCGCACATAAAACCCAAGGATTGTTTCTCCCCGACGTGTGTCTATATTGGTCAGCTTCAAAGTGTCTCTTGAACCGGTCCACAACTCACCGAGGAAGAATTCATCGCCGTCAGGCTTGCCTCCTCTTTTGCCGAATAGCTGACTATGGCCGTCTTCATAGCAAAATTCAACCCCATCTAATGCGAATCCATGATAGACTTTCACTGATGTCAGAAGTTTGGTCTGGAGGTTGGCACAGTCCAAAATCACTTCGTCTGGCTGAGAGCCCTCCAAAGCGGAGTGGCCCAATTTTTTCCCCTTGAATGCTAGCCGGGAATCAAACGATTTGCCCAGCTTCAGCATTCCGTTGTATGCATTCATGGTCAAGCCTTCATCACGCTTGGGTGCCTGCCTGACGGGTGGCAAGCTGATGATGTACTTCTTGGACAAGAGCTCATCTAGATCCTCAATTTTTTCATTCCGTGAGCCGCCGCAGAATACGGTGAGAGACAATTTGGCCTTTCTTTTGTCTTCGGGGAGACGGGCTCGAATATCACTTTCGACCAGTGTCACTTGTCTGGGGATGATGTTTAATCGAGAGTCGTTATTGTTGAAGTCGATCCACTGCCGGCACAAATCATCTCCTTCGATCCAGATCTCAACAAATGAAATCCCTGTTGAAGCTGAACAGATGACACGTCCGTTTCCGACTGGGAAATACTGGACGCTGTCGTCTTGAGACAAGAGTTCGTCACTCGGGAGTTTGAAACAAGGATGGTGCCGAAACCGAAGGACGTCTAGGCGGTGCCAACCACATTCGTCCTCCTGGCGACAAACCTTGAGCCCTTGAGACTTGGTCCTGGTTGAATATGGTTCGCGAATGGCAAAGGTACGATTGAGGCGTACATAGTCTCTGAGCATAACTCCATTTTCTTGGTGAGGGCACCCGAACAAGTGGCCGACTTCGTGGAGGTGCGCACCGATCCCAATATTTGCAGCCTCCCAACTACTACCAGACTCGTTGCAGTCGTTCGCGACAAACTTGGTATCTGTCGGGGTGCAATCTGTAAACGCAGCCACCACTTCTTCGATGCAGGACGGGTAGCTCTGAAGCGCCTGAGAGCCAAAGATTGCGAGACCGAGGTCATCTGAAGTACCACCCAGAGCAGCATGTCCGGTGATAGTGCCCACTTCGGGATCCCAGTGTGCGTCGAGCAAAAGACACGCAACGTACTGCTTTTGACCGGGCTTGATTTTGAAGTGCTTCTTGACAGCATCCGCGGCGATCGAATAGAGTTCGCCCTTCTTTGCTGCCGGCCCGTATTGTTGGGCATACTGTAGATCACGTAACTCCGCAGTAGTTTTGTCCGACCGTACCACATGTACCCTGGTCTCGTTTTTCATCCGTCCCGATTCCCAATCACGAATGGACAGTGAGCCAGTCTGCCATTCCTCTTCAAACCTGAAACACCGCCGTCCAAATTTGTGTCTATACATCTGCTCGGCTGTGAATGCCTGCCACAAATGAGCCGCCATACGGAATTTTCGGACTGCCATCTCGAGCCCATTGCCTTCACTCTGTATGCGCTGTGGAACTGCGTCGTATGTGCATGGAGAGTCCTTGCCGGCAAGGATGACCAGTTGTAACGGTGGGGCGCTGTTCAGAGGCAGGTAGTTCAGCATTATGTAGGAGGAATGCATCGTAGGAGCCGATGCATTGCTAATGGAGCTCAATTTGGGCGAGGTGAAGTCGAAGCGTATCTTGTTCCATCCGGGTGAGAGGTAAACCAAGGCTTTGAAGTATGACTCGGATACCGGCCAGTTGGTCGGGGGGAAAGATTGCCCGTCCTTGTCATGGTGAACAGTTAAGTTGCCGTCCATTGCTTTTTGACTCGGATCTCCAATTTCTCCGTTGAGCAACAGCACTTTATTATAAACCTGGATGTGAGTTGTAAGTTTCTGGTCTGGCCGTTCTCATGTGTTAACATACCACCGAGTTGTCCAGAATAGAAGTGATCTTGGGCGCAAAGGCCGAAGTAGGGACTCGCATTGTGCCATTGGTACCAGAAGGTGACAGAGTCTGGAGAGTGTCAATCTTTCCGCAAATCGGTTTATCATCTCTTTGTAGGGAACCTGCTTACGATCATGCTGTTCCGGTTTGAATTCGGCACCATAACGTTGGGCCGCTGAGGCACCGGCGGAGGGGTATCGCCATTGGGCTTTGCAGCGGCCAGAACATTGGATGCTGAGCCATTTGCATGATAAGTGGAAGGTGGAGTGGTGCTTCCGCGGGCGGAATTCAGGGTAGACGAAGACTTTGTGGTTGGGACAGTGCCATTGGATTCGGTCGAGGAATCGGAAGTTCGAAAGCTAGCCTTTGATCGCCTGCGCAGATCTTTGAAAAAGGGCATGGCTGGCTAGATGGTTGAAGGATTTCCGTAGTTATGACCCGGACATTGAGATATTAGAAGTTGCGGGGGATGAGCTCGTCAGGGCGACCAGGGATGTCGCGGAAGGACTGAATGTAACGACCGCAGGTGCATGCATGTGCAACGAAGCTTATCCGGAGGGACGATTGGCGGACCCAGGGCAATGCATCAAAGTGAACGAGGATCTTCGCAACTTTTGGTAGACGGTGAATGAGTGACGGGGAGGATGAGGATGAGAACGCAAGGGAGATGGAGAGTCGAGGCGCAGGCTGTTCGCACCCAGGTCGGTCACTTTGACGGGCAACGACGAGAAGGTGCTATGCAGCTATGGTGCGGTGGAGGGGTCCTAAGGGTGCGGATTTCGACAACTCTTACGACATTCGACATTCTACGATGGCTAGAGACCTAGGGTAGTCTCTGCCAGGCTACAGAGTGCTCCGTACTCCATGCTACAGAGCCACAGGACCGTCTCATCTGCGCTGAAGCTGCTTGGGATGTTAGATAGTGCGCGGGAAGCAGCGGTGGTTTTATCCACCTTGCAAACCAGGCATTGGTTCTTAACGGCGAGAGATGCTCCTGCTGGAGCTGGAGCTGGAGCTACAGTAATCGCCCAGCCCCAGCTCCAGCTCCAACAGCAGCCGGCAACAGAGATAAAGAAGTTCCTGGAGCCCCTAAGCCCCTGGAGCCCGGAGGTTCAGAGCACCCGTTAATCCTGTTAGGGCCTGGCGCCCGGGCACTCTGAAGCATCCAAGGCCTGGAGGCCACGCACGTTACGGGCAGCGGAGTTCGTAGTGGACGAGATGACGCAGGTGGTGGCGCACCACGGAGCTTGTGGTTGGTGCCTCGACTTACATCCAGATTTCAAAAATTCCGCGTCACAGACTTCTCACAAGGTAGCATATCTATCCTAGGAGGTATCTAGATAATCGGTGTTCATCATCTCCGACCGACCCATCCACAGTTTGAAACAGTATTGGAACGACACACTCCCCAACGATTACCACTGGCCCAATAGTGGAAACTCTCCGACTCTTCTCTTCACCATTGTGACAGGGGCCTGGGTAAGAGAGGGTGGCCGGAAGCATTCGCCCTTAACACAACAGCTGCAGTGCTTAGCAAACGGTGATCTTATAAAAGTGTGGAGGGGTATGTGCCTCACGTGGGTTATCGATCGATCTTGGTAGCTGATAACAGGGGCTTTGTCTGGACAATTTGGTACCTGGGCAGGTACAAAAAGGCGGGTCAGTGATTTGATGCTCATTCATCCCAATGCACTCATATGCCCTCTGCTCGAGAGGTGGTCTTGTTTCGGTTTGGATCCCTTCAGTAGATATCACGCATCATGGGCCATAAGGCCTCCAGATGGGCCTTGTAATAATGACGCAAAGAGACATCTCGTTGAGATTCGTATCTGAGGACGTACTCCGTACGGTGTCTATGTACCGCCTGATGCTGCATCAAGCTTCGTCCAGGTCGACTTCGGAGCCTAACCTTCCGACAGCCCTACTCATATCATCTCTCGAACAAGTATTGGTATAATTGTGTGGTCAAGCCGGAAATGGGAATCGTTAGCGAGATCATGGCCCAGTAGGAGGCTGCATCCCGACGACAGGGTTTGTGACTTGCTGGCCACGGATCTGATGGAAGGTAGTGACAATTAGTGAGGATACATATTCACCTAGTCAGCACTACGGTTCTTGCAGTAGACAAGGAGATGCTTCCCTCGATCGAGACCTCAATGCCAACATGATTCAAAGACTTGTCAGTGGCCATGCAGAGGGTAAGGAGGGATATCCTTCTCGTTTGACGGCCGTCGAGGTGATTGACAGCTCATCGGCCATCTCTAGCCATGGATTGGTTCTAAAACGTCTATGCACGCACTGGCATGCCAACTGTCGACCCAAGGTGGCGGGCACAGAAGGGAGGCCCTCGCCAGCCGACACCTGAAGTAGATAGACCATTATCGTTTGCAGGCGCCAGATCGGGCGACAAGGAGTGCTGAGGAAACAAGAGGAGAACTGCCTATTGTTGAGGGTTATTGGATGATGGACAAACGCGGGTTTGAAATAGACTCAGCTGCAGAGACTCCTGTGGCCGAGGCAAGCTGCAGGCACCTACAGGGATGCAGACCACCAGCGCAGCGGCCAATCTCACAGCCAGTCAAGTAAGCGTCGCAGTGGACTCAGTGGTAGAGCACACCAAGCAGCAGCCGAGCTGAGAGGCCTGAACGGCCGAGGACCAACACCAGCCACGACAAAAGTAGGTGCGACAGCAGGCGGTCTTGGGGTGGGAATGCGAACTCACCCCTCGCAACAAGTGGCTCTCCACTGCCTGTGCCGATGCTTCATTAGGCCACGGTTCGGCTGGCGCTCACCCTCCCAAAGTCAACTAAAGAACGAAAGTAAAGTGGCTGCAGTGCCTAACATTCACATTCTTATGCCTCAGAGATTCCTCATCTGCTCCTCCGCCGACCACTCGACTCCTTGCTGTTAATCAGGCTGTAGGTCACTGTCGTACGGATACAGTGGACTGCTTCACTGATCAGGACAAACTTCCCATTCCTCGACCATGGTCTTCTCCTAATCGGGGTCCAACGCCAGTACCAAGCATCCCCCAGCAGTTGCACTGGTTGCCCTGGCCAGCGGCCCCACGAGTCAGGACTCTAGATCCTAGGAGTGACAAGCTCTAGTATTCCTAGCCTGCGCTTTGACGTGCCGGCCCATTGCTACATATTTGACACTCCTGTACCTTTCTCCTTCTTCATGCTCGACTAAGACCAATTCCTCATGCTGGTCTTTGACGGTATCTGCAACAGCATGGCCTCTCAGCAACAGCAGCAGCAGCAGCAGCAGCTCCAATATCCTTACGCTGCGGCTCAAGTGGCCGAGAAGGTGATGCGGAGAGTGGAAATTGCAAAGGTAGCCCACCCTCCTCGATTGAACTTTTTGAGGCCACGAAAAGACCTAGGACTGAAATTCTTCCCAGGTTGCTCGGAACCTCCAAGATTGCCTAGCCTTTGCGAGCTTCAAAGCCCAGAATGGCTGGCAAGATCGAACCCTCTCCACCATTGAACCTGAAGTTGCAGAAAAACTCAAGAGGAAACGACCATTCCCGGAGGACGACGCTCCATCCGATGGCTCTTCTGGGACCGACTGCGAATATGTTCCTACTCCCTCAATTGCAAAGAACCGCTTTTCTCGACCCTCGAATGCAACATTCAAGGTCCCCAACCCCCCTTTCGGTGCGAGAAAGAAGAGAGTCAGATCGTCGTCGACGAATGGTCTTGACCGGCAGTCCAGCACCTTGACGTGGAAGCAAGATCACCGCCTTTCACAGTCGTCTCCTGTGCTGGGGAGGTCACAATCTTTTCAAGAGAACAACTTGTTCCATACTGATCCTGTTGGCATGCCACAAACATCTAATGACGATTCTCCCATGTTTGATGTCCACTCTGACGACGAAGATCATGACCTGCCAATCCCGTCCTTTAGCAATCACCCCTCGAGCAGCATCTTGTCCTCATCACCTCCTCGGACTCCGCCTCCCACCAAACGTCTGCTCAATGTCAATGCAAAGCAAGCTGGGGCTGATCTGCTCCTCTACCTCGCCAACTCGCCATCCCGCTCCCCGGCGATAAACTTTCACCGAGCGTCTAGTTCCTCCAAAGAACCGCCGTCTACCCCTCCCTCGCAACATTCTCATCTCCCATCATCAGTGATGACCACGCCGGGGACACATTTGGGACTATTCAACGGTGCGCTCCAGACTCCCGGCCAGAACTTCAACCTTGCCGACTTTTGCAATGTCACCCCTTCTCCAGGGCAGGCTCAATGGGGTGGTCGAACTCCGAATTTGGCAAAGACACCGAGTCGGTTTGCTCGACGAGGGTTGAACTTTGATTCTTTGCAACCTCCCTCTGGCAGCCCAACCTTGCAGCGCAAGACGCCAACCACCCAAGGCCTGGCCCTCCAGCTTGGTGATGAACTCATCCCAAGATCATGATGTTTCGTGCGTCGTGTCATACAATCTCACGACGTCAAATACCCTTAGGGCGAACTACCTCGTTACGACAAAACAAACAACGAAGACACATGATAGCCGTGTCATGAGCAACTTGAATTATCACGATACACATACACATTTGTTCTAGCAACGACGCATGCGATGGTCAGGATGGAGTACGCCGTTTGAGCTTACTACAATGGAAGTCGGGATATGCAAGGCTGTGCGGGTATCCTTTGATCTGTATTCACCAATGGCACGCAACGCATCTTGTACTTCTGCTGTTATGCAGGGTACGGGTGCTCAAGAAAGGATATCGGGAAGGAATTGTGCGAGATATTGTTTGGGTCAGTTGTCTATTTCCGGTCTTGCATTGCATTTGCATCTGTCGATCCAGCATCGCAGTCAAGGTCCGGCATCCTCGAACAGTTAATTCAACACACCGCCGGCAGGTAGCTGAAGTAGGTAGCAACGAGCAAATAAGTAGGTAGTACAAAGTTAGCTATCCAGCTGAGCACCAATGTTTTTGGTAGTAGTCCGTAGTTAATGCGTGTTCCCACTTGGAAGCAAGTCCAAAGTTTGTCCTGATCGTCTGCATTGCATACTGGTGAGTCTAAGTCTACCCCTCCACAATCTCAGCTGCCAGCCCCTGCGGTGTGCGGTGTGCACTTTGCGGTGTTGACCCGATCGCGTGCTCTTTCGGCTAGATTATGCGCCTCAGCTTCTGCGAAATACTCCGCAAGGCGGGAACGGGAAAGGATGAGGGTGTCAAATTTGTCCAATCTATGAGAAGGACAGGACTAGCACTTCTTACTTGCCGCGGGGACTGGCCGACGCCACAATACTGCGTCCCGGCTACTACGTACCGATTAGTATGTAGTCAGGTTCGAGCTTATGTACTATGTAGCATGTGATGTGCAGTGGGCGTGGCGGTAGGCGGTAGGCGGTGGGCGGTGGGCTGCAAGCCATTGGCAATTAATATCGACTTGCATATGTACTCCGTATATCGAGCAGCCCAAAAGATTGTCAGTACGTAGGTATGTACGTCAATGTCTGCTTCACCCCGCTTGACAGAGAGACTTATGCAGGCACTTTAGCAAGTTGAAGTTGGCTGGAACTTGGAACGGATACGGAACGAAGTTTAATTACTATTACTATTAATTAGGTCCTCCTTGTCGACAACCATTTGCATTGGGGAGTACTCTAACTCCGTCCCTAATTAGTACATTGTATGGAGTACTCCGTACCTCTCTCTACCTTGCCTACTGTTAATGATGTGCTATTATTTGCTGACTCGTACATCGCGATCAGCCATCCCGGTGCAGTAATCTACTGTACGATAGTTAATTAAACATGGACGGGGTGGAAGATAGCTGATCATGCCTCTCCGCACTATCGGTAGTCTCCGTACTCCGTATCCGTATCCGTACTTGTTACAGGAGACGCTGCCTTGCGAGGTCTTGTTTGGGGAAGAGTGCCGCAGAGGAGAGGCCGGTACGCATCTATCTCGAACCTGCCCCTTTGTTCCAATGCTTTTTCCACGGTAGAAAGGAGAGCTATTACCGTAGATCGGTAAAAGCAAACCGAAATCCCGCGGCATCCGGAGGCTCGTCTCGTTTCGTTTCTATCAGGTCAGGTGTAACTGTAACATCATATAAGAGTGAGCTTCAAATAATATTAGCTAGCTGCTCTTCAGCCGCAGAAACCGCCTTGATGATCTCGGTAGGTTCGGCTTCGTTATCTTGCAGTCCTGTACCTAATGTACGTACATCGCGCCGAGCGGTCGACATCGGATAAATCGATGGAACATACCTACCAGTGAATGGATGATACTACGTACCCCGTACTGTATCCGTACTTTGGACTGTGTAAGCACCGTTGATCAACCGGTCTGATTAGTGCGAGGTCGGGTGAGGCGAGGCGAAGCTCCGAAGTCTAGCTAGTAGTACGGCTACTCCATACACATGACGCGCAATCTACACATTTCGGTCTTGAGCGTGTCATGGATTCAGGTTCGTTGCCGGCGGCGGCTTCTCTTTGCGAAGTCGGAAGCCCCGAACGCTCTTGTGCCGGAGTACGGAGTATACTCAGGGGGAACAAAACCCAGAATCCGCCCAGGACAGTGCGCTATGGGATGACATAATATAGTGATCTTCTTGTTCTCAAATTTCTTTTTGACACTTCTCCATAGTTGAACCCGTGGCATACCTAGATAAGCATGTCTGCAAGTCTGGACGGACGGACGGATGGATGTGGATGGATAGATAGATGGGATGGACGGCTGACCGAAATCTCCCTGTTGACGTGTTTTGGGTTTTGGAGCAATTAATTGGCACTTTACGCGTCGGGCGCGAGGGATGACGTGACGTGACGCGACCTGACGCGACTTAGCGTGGCTTCGTTTAAGTGGCTGCTAGTACCCTGGCCAGCCAGTGACAGTTCTGACAGCTGAGGGAGAGTGGGGTGGTGGGAAATCTTAAGCCAAGCACTGGAGAAGGAAAGATTGGCGGGGGTTGGGAAATGGAAATGCAGCCTTGTTGCCGTACCGCACCGCACGGATAGAACACCAAGATGGAACTACTATGTATCCGTATTCCGTTCATGTAGGTACGGATAGTTGGTACGGAGTACTCCGTACTGCAATCGATATTTGGTCTGCCCGTCACCTCAGGCAGTCATGTCCTTCTGCCCTACTGACGTGACCACTGGTAGACTGCATCGAGGGAGCATGCAGCAATAGAACAGGACCATGTCGCCGGCAGAGCCATGCAAGCTGAAGAAACAAGCAAGTCCTCGGCGCCGCCCCTAGCAGTGCTAGGAGTACTACTACTAGGTAGTAACTGCCAGTGGCACGCCGCGGCTGATCTTCGCTGCAGCTTGACTGTAAAACAGTCCAGTGTACGGAGGACGGATGACGGAGTACCGAGTACCGAGTACAGTAGTTCGGCTTCCAGACTGTGTCAGTCAAACAGTCACTCGACAGACATTCTTTCGCCATTCGCAGCCCGGTTGACGTTGAAGACGAGACGCAGAATGCGCTCAAAATCCAGAGAGCCTAGGTTTGGAACCCTATCATTACTTATGCCCAGGATAGCAGTCTCTTCTCACTTCCTCGCCACCCTTTCTTCCCATTGCACTCCGACCCATTCCTCTTGAAAAGTTACTGTCCCAGGCTCGCCACAGTTATTGGCACAAGTCCCGAGGATGACGGTCCCCCACTCCATGCCGTCCTCCAAGTCCATCGCTTCGTCCTTTTCCAGTTCGTAAATCAACCCTGGGACAAGCTGTAGTTCAAAAACCCTTTGAGCGCCACACCTCTCACATCTAGGTATGCCTCTTATCGCTCCTGATTTGCCGTGCGGCACTACAAATCTAGAGGCAACACCGTCCGTTCCGGAATACAGCAGTGGCTCGCCTTTGAATTCGTATCGCAGAACTTGGTCCGGGTTTTGCGCTATTCTGTCCGAAAACTTCTGAAATGTCTTGTCTAGCTCCGATTCGAAGTCGTCCTTCTGCGAGACGCCTGCGCCTCCACTGTCGTCCACGTCATACTGTGTCTTCGAGGCTTCCGCTTTGGTGAGCTCGACCGGCTCTTTGTCTAATTCTTCGGGATATGCATCTAGGTAGAATGATGTAAAGGGCGGGGGAACCGAGGCTGGCTCCGGCCAGTGTTCCGTCACCTCGACGTTGTTTGGATTGACGTCTCGATCGGATCCGATCTTGAGTTTGTCGGCAAAGGTTTCGGTAAGAGGCACAGGCTCATCGACCGGTCGTTGCGGAGGCTTCGCTGCCAGCGTCGAAGGAGAGCCTATAGAGGAGAAGGGATTTGCAGTTGGCTGCGCACCCGAGTTGGACAACGAGAAAGGATTTGTACCGTCAATGGCTGAGGATGAGCCTGTTCCTCCAAAAAGAGCCGTCCCCAGGTCCGGAACTGGTGTACCTGGTTTTGTTTCTATCAAGTTCTTCTTTTCTCTCTTGTCCCGTGCTTCGGGTTTCCGTACTTCTCGAAAAGCTCTGATGCTGCCGATCTTCTTCGAGCAGTTTTTCTTCCTGCAGCAGAAAACGTGGAGTCGTCGTTCGTCATGGGGGAAGTGCTGTTGGAGGTCTGCATTCAGCTGTAGGAGAAGTGACATGTACCCGTGACAGACTTTGCATTTGGCAAGAGCGGCAGGGGGAGGGTGGTTTGGGTCCAGCCAACTGGGATAGCCACCAACGTGACTGATCTCATCGCCGGAGGGATCAGACACGGCATAGCCAAGGATGACATTGGTCGTCGAATAGTCGTCGCCGCCGTCGTCAGACGAGTCGCTATCGTAGGGAGGCATTGGGTCGAAATTGCAAGAGTGTTGATCGATTTGGAGAGATTCTGTCAACCTGCGCTTGGAATCTGGTTCAAGTTGGAATAATTTTCCCAGAGACTGGCAGGCTGGTCGCATGTTACTACAAGACCCATAAAATCCCGAGAGCTGATACGGCATAATTAAGGTAAGTTCCGAACGGAAGCTATGCCCCAAAGAACCAAGCGGCTGGCCTTATCCAAGTGCCCCGCCTTCAAACCAACCCCCGACTTCGTTCCCCTCTCCTCGTTCTCCGTTCCTCCACCGCAGGGCAGGGTGCGACAGCAAGCACCGCATTCCCTTTGCGGCCACTGCACGAGTCTTCCGCGTCCGCGAATGCGTGAACCGTGAATCCGTACTCCTCACAGACGTCCGTTGAGTCTTATGTTATTCACAGGAGCACTTCTCAATCGCTCATCCTTGCTCAGCCATCTCCGTGTCCCACTCTGCTCGCGCCGGGCGGGGAAGCTTGCGCACCCGGCGTCCTGCTAGAACGACGGTGATCATATAAGAGCTCATCATACCCATACCATTGTTCAACCAGATCCACACAAGGACTTTGCTGTCTCCTTTTGTCTCTCTGCTTACATACGTGTGTATACTTTACCAGACCAAATTCCACTCCATCGTGTCAGTCAGACCAGGCTCTCTGTGACAAATATGGCGACGCACAAAGCCTCCTACATCACGATTGATCAGTATGAATTCCCCAGGGGCAGCAAAGGAGTTGGAACGCTGGTTTGCGCAGCCTTGATGGTACTGTCTACCCGGAGGAAGTTCATCGAGCCAGGCTCACTCATACACGATCACATCTTGGCTCGAAGCGCGAAGGCCGCCAAACACTCCAAGCTTGTGCAAGATATTCTCTTTTACCTCTTCTTTGGAGTCCATGGCGTCGAAACCGTCTGGTTTGGTCTGATCCAGCTGAAGAAACACAACGTCAAAATCTTTAGCCTGCTCGGAGTTCAGTGGCTAGCTACGGTCTTTGCTGGAGGCGTCTTCGCCACAAACCATTGGGCTGAGGTGGTTGAGAAGAAGGAGGTTCAGGTTCTCAAGGAGATTTGAGCAAAGAGAGGGCCGGGGAAAGCAACGACAGCAATATATGGCGCTGGAGATGAGTCGGAGGATGTTGACGGGAATTTTTTGGCAAGCTTCTTCAAGACCTGGAAAGATCTGTGTCCCTCCAGTTGCACATGCTCATCCATCACTCGGATGGTCCCGTGGGTCGATGGACAGAAGTCTCTTTCTTACCAAGAAATCAAAACAAACTTCCACACTTCCAAGTATGGCTGCTCACCTACTCCTAGTCCACCTTCTACTCGAGTTTCTGTCAAAGAGGCTACTGCTTCTCTCGTCCCTCCTCGGCGTCAAGATGCCACCCCCTTGAAGAGCGAGTGCGTAGACTGCATCATGATGACTGGGCGCCCTGAATTTCTGATTGCGATGTAGCATTTGCAATGGATTTCCCCAGACGGGAACAAACAATCCAATCCTGCCCTGTCCTGTCCTGCCAAATTGTATCTCGACAGGACCAAGTTCCGCCATTGGCCAGCCATTGAAAAAGCAAATGCAGTGCCAGGCAGCCATCCCGCCAAGCCCTCGTATAAATCTATCTCCCTTCACCGTCTATCTCAAGTCCAACTTGAAGACCACTGTCAGTGCCATCTACTTGGAACAAACCCGCCAACCTGGTCCTCAATCAACAGCCCGAAATCGTCAGAGCGTCTCCCTGTAATCAAGCGGTTTGATATCGCCGATGCCCGTGCTGCCTTGTCTGCTGCATCGACAATGAGCGCGCTCGCCCGTCACGAAGAGGCTTCAGGCTTCATGAGGCTGCCAGCCGAAACCCGGCTACACATCTACAGCTATCTGATCCCCAAGGATCGAATAGAGATGGATCTGTGCAACCCGCAGCGCCCTGAGAACCCCGACGAACCTCATGGCACGTCTACAACACCGTCGTTCTATCCGACCTCTCATTCGACCCCGTCTTATTCCAGACGGACCGTCATCACCGGCATCGTCGACCAAGCCCTTCAACTCGAGATCATCACGCGCAACAACGGCCTGCAATTACTACTGGTCAGCCAGCGCACGCACGACGAGGTATGGCCCATGTTGTGCAAGGTGCCCGTGCGCTTCCACTGTCTGAAATGCTTCGAGGAGGTTTTGCGCAATCTATCCTTCGGGCTCGGTGCCGGGGTGAGGTGGATGAAACACGTCGAGATCGTTGTCAACTGCGGCGCCGGTCTTTTCGGCCCTCCCTTCCGTCCTCTCACCGACAGCCTGGCAAAGTTCATGGTCACTGAAGCAGTGCAAACTGCCCGCCATACAGTCTGGATGTATTGCGGACGCCTGGGCGTTCTCATCGAACAGGATAGCTGGAAATACGAGCCGTTCCCGTATGAATCCCCCACTCTACCCACTCTCCCATACCTGCTCACCTCGGCCCTTGCTCAAGCGGCCCAGGCCCAGGCCCAGGCCCAAGGTCAGGGTCAGGGTCAAGGTCAGGGTCAAGGTCAGGGTCAAGGTCAGGGTCAAGGTCAGGGTCAAGGTCAGGGTCAAGGTCAAGGTCAGGGTCAAGGTCAAGGTCAGGGTCAAGGTCAGGGTCAAGGTCAGGGTCAAGGTCAAGGTCAGGGTCAAGGTCAAGGTCAGGGTCAAGGTCAGGGTCAAGGCCAGGCCCAAGGTCAAGCCCCAGCTCAGATCCAAGGACTACAACCGAATGCGAACCTACCTTTCCCAGGACTACATCAGCAACTGATCCAAAGTCTGCAAAACCTCCATGCACAACCAGCGAATAATCCCTTTGCCGGCAACGTTGCCGCTCCCGTTGCCGGTCCGCAGCAGCAACTCCCTATGGCAGGCATATTCCACCCGGGCTTGATTGGTTTCGCTGCGCCGCCGCAACCGCCGCCGCACCCGCCGCCGCAACCTGTCCCGCAGAATCTACTGCTGGGCGGCATAACCCACATGGTGCCTCAACCTCCGCCAGATCGATGGTTGATTAGTGGCTGGTTCTTTCCGTGAAAGTTGGATTCCGACTTCCTACCTAGTTCGGAGTTTGGAGTCCCTGATTTTCCGACTTCCTGCTTCGGAGTTCGGAGTTCCTGATTTCTGATGATGAGGAAGAGGAGGAGGAGGAGGAGGAGGAGCGTTTGATGCGAGCAACAACAACCAGGGATGCCGGCTACAAGGCTGATGGCGGATGGCGTAAGGCGCAAGACAAGACCCAAGACCCAAGTAATGTACAAACAGCAAGCGGAAAGGGATTCAAGCTTCAAGCTTCAAGCGTCAAGCTTCAAGCGTCAAGCCAAAAAAAAAAAGCAAAAAGGAGAATGGAATTCCCCCCCTTCCCCCCCAGGGTCGAGTTTTTATGTTGATGAATTTGATGATTATGACTATAATACATTCCCTGCGTCTGACCGTCTGACCGCTTTCCGTGGGTGACCCAACCTATGAGCAATTACTAGGCATGGGGTAGGATATTGGATATGATAACTCCATCTCATCGATCCTGTAACTCCAAGGCCATCATTCTGACAAATCATGCTCTCCTCTCTCCTTGCATCGACACCTAAGAGAGGAGTAACCAACCGGCTTTAGTCTCAGAAAGTAAACTGCATCAACCCTGGGTTCAGGACGAGGGGCAGCAGCGCGTGTGAACCTGCGTGTGATCACATCAGACTCAGTCGGGTGTCATCAGATGTCTGACTTGTTTTCTCAACCGCCATAAAGGAGACTTACCAACAATAGTCGCCAGAGGCCAGATGGCGGTGAAGAAGGAGATATGCCAGTCATAGGGGACCAATGCGCCGACTGGGCCCACGCCCGCGACAATGATCATCCCAAGACTCACGACGGCACAGAAGACAAACGTCAGGCGGAACTTGCGAAGAATAACGGGCACTTCCTTGAAGAAACTGGTGTCGGTGGCCTCCTTGCTCGTCGCGCCCCAAGTCATGTCGACGCTGAAGAGGTGGCTGAGGATGGCCTGTGAGACGTGCAGCGAGATGCCGCCCAGGAAGATTGTAAGGAGCGGCACCCAGCGGAAATTTTCCCAGAATGCAGCCACCAGCGTGGTGTTCTCGACCCGATACCGCATGACTGCGAGGGCGACATTGCCAAGCGCGGTGAACACCAGGATGATGGCAAAGTAGATCTTGAAGCTGTCGATATAGTAGTGGTCCAGGTGCCCGTTGAACCACCCAATGATACAGTAATTGACCAGCGTGAGAATCCACGCAGATCCGATCGCATAGTACGTGCCCACGTAGGCCATGATGGTCACTTTCGACGGCAACGGCATATTGCTGGCGATAAATCCGCGGAATAGTGGCGTGAATGGGCCCTTGGACAGCCACTGCGCAAATGGGTGGAAGATGAGCTCCGAGCACCCGTATGCGTACTTTTCCCAGCGCGCCAGTTCGTCGTACACGGTAAGCGAGACCCCTTCTTTGAACCCTTGCCCAGCATATGCTGCGAGACGCAAGATGTATCCGCTTGTCTGTAGGCGCAGGGCCATGTCGAAGTCTTCGGACACGGTCGCCTCCGACCAGTATTTTTCCTTGATAATGCCATCATTCACGTCAGCAGACACGTATGCAACGTCCTGCACGGCCTTCCAGCGTAGAAACGCATTATGCCCGACAAAAGGCGCCACGTCCCCGTTCGAAACTGCATATTGAATGGCCGAGTATACCAAGTTGGTGAAGAAAGTGATGCCTTTCTCAAACCAGCTGTCGGTAACGTTCATGACGCCTGAGGCGAATTGGATGATTGCGACTTCTGGAGACTGTTCCATCTCGCTGACGGCGTCGAGGAAGCAGTCAACGGGGACACGTGTGTCCGAATCGATCAGCAGAATGTAGTCACCCACGCGGATGTTTCCATCAGCTTGGGTACGTCCTTCGTCTTCGGCGACGATTTCAGCCAGGGTAGCTTCATATGCATTGCGCTCTCGTTCCGACGTCCAGCCTTCGGTACGGTCAACGAGGGCAAGTTTATCCTCGACGCGGGCGCCCACGTTCAGTGCATAGTTCATGTTGGAGGCCTTCTTGAACTTGCCCGCTCGGATGAATGGCTTTTCGCCGTCGGCTGGTTTCGGATTATGCCTCGGTCTTGCTACCCAGCCAATATTGTGCTCATCGTAGTAGTCCCGTCTTTCCTGCGCTTGGTCTGCAGGTATGAGCTGCATGCCGTCGTCATTGACGAAAATGTTAGCAGAGCCGCCTTGCATTTCGTACGTGGAAATAGCAGCCTTGATCGACTTGATGGTCGGATCAATCACCGACCAAAGGCCTTCTTTGTATACCGGGCATTGAATCGTGACGTGCGGTAGCGTGGAGGTGGTCGAAAGTCGACATGGTGCTTGACCCGAAAAGAACTTGGTGTTCGTAGTCATTTGACTGATAGGACCGATGATCTGGGCCACACTGCCAGCAACCGACTGCATGAAGAAAAGTGCCAGCCAACACTGGAGGGGCACTACAAAGATGAACGCAAGCCGGATCCAGGAATGGTCAACCTTGATTTCAAGCGCGATTTCACGCCAGCCACTGCCGATGGCGCTCATAAGCAGCACGAGTGTGATGGCTGTTAGGACAGGCTGAATGAGAATGATCCGACGAGGGGCTAAGCTGACTGCGACCTCAGATCCTTGCGAATCCTCTCCAGCATTGAGATTGATGGTGCTGGGCATTGCACTCGTCATCGGAGCCGCGGACTCGTCGTCGGCAGTCTCCTCCTTCCAGAACATGCTGATCAGTTGATCCACAATGCCGTGAACACGCCGCATGATGTGGTTCGGGTCATCGTCCCAGACAACAAGAATAGAGTAGTCTTGAATGAAGGCGGCAAAGTGATGCTTCTGGCAACCTGGGAGATGTGAGATATTAGGGAGGATTTGCAGTCGGAGACCTGAGTCTAGTGGGAGATACGACATGCCCTGGTTGCGGAGGAGGAGCTTGATGATTCCCGTGTTGATGGTCATGGCACACTAACAAGGCATTAGCAAGGAGAGCGGTCTCACTCCTGTTGAGGACGATACCTTGACGTTGAGCTTTTTCACCGCATCAAACAATCCGTCTGGACGAGATCGCAGATCTTCAGGGGCGCATTTATACTCATCCTTGGCTTTCTTGATCATGACTCCCTCTTCTAGACCGTTTGTAGACCACATTTTCTCTAGCTGCTGCTGATGGAGCCAGTTACACATCATGTCGGTCTTCAGATCCCGCAGCTCTGGCGTAGAACTATTCCGGAAGTCGCCATCCGTGCCAAAAATGTGTTTCTGACTAGGGCCAACCTTTATCGCGCCAGAATCGGAAGAGGAGCTGGGTCGTATATCTTCAGTCGCTGGGCTGAGTGTTTTCAACGAGCCCGGAGGCAGAGTTTGGATGGAGGTCGAAGCCGTTGCATGGCTGGCTGGTAGTATGCTTGACGCGGTGTCTGAATCCAGAGCCGTATCAATTCTGTCGGATTGCGAGGCTCTGGCGTCAGAAATCGCATTGGAAGTCATGGTCAGGTCGGTTGTCAGGAGCGATCGTGAACGATGAGTTATTCCGGTCTGTTAACATAGACCAGGCCAAGAAGGATTGAAAGAAAAGACGGAAGCTAGCTTAATGATAATAGTAGAAAGCTGGAGCAAAATCTGGACCGCGTAAGTCATTTGCGAGAATTGAACTGTATCTGGCTGGGTCCAGCCAGACTAGGAGAACCGTGGATTTGACGATCGAAAGCGTCTGCACTGAGACAATCCAGTGGTCGAACAGAACACACTCGAAAGACTGCTCTAAGACTGAAATCCCTGCTCTTGCATGTCCATATTCCAAGTCCAGAACAATCGACCACATCCAATTCGAGACTAGGATACCTGGAGCTGAGGAAAACATCATATCTCTGAAACTTGATTCCAAATCCACTAGGTGTGTTTTCTACCGTTTGAACAGGAGTCAAATCTCCATTCCGGGGCCTGTATTCATCGCTAGTGGTACGACTTATGAGCCGCAGAGAAGGTATCTGGTGGAGGCGCATCTGCTAGTTTCCCGAGATATGAATATCAGATATTTGCGTCCACCTGCGAAAAGATGAGAAAACTCCTGTCGGAAGAAAAAACAGCAAGGGCGCGTTATTTCTTGCAGACTTGTCTGGCATGTGAGACAAGGCTGAAGGAGTGCTCCGGTTTCGAAGGTGGATTCCCACTTGAGGACCAGCCCGCGTCATTCTCCGATCATGGCGGCTCGATTCAAAATCCAGCCATTTCGTGCAAAGCTGGAGCGTTCTGTCATGGCAGCCAGTCTAAAGCAGCCGTAAAAGCCACACTAGAGACCACAGTTGCAGTTGGTATGATCGGCAAGGGTAGAAGGCCGGCCGCTCTGGAAACGACTTTGATCTTGACCGTTCGGCTTAGACTCATCAAGTGAACTCACTTATCCCTGACGAATTTGACTATGATCTTCCAGAGCAGTTTCATAATCCGCTATTCGAAGCGGCCCGGCATCCCAGATCAAAATTGCCTGCAGAGGTACTGCCTGGTCTGGGACATGAGCAGAGTCCGCCTTCCGCTTTCGAAATCGGTGGTGGGTGCTTTGAGTATATCCAATGACGTTGATCCATCTACCTCTTTCCAATGCTGACGATGGTGTGCTCTCTAGAACAAGATTGACATCGACGGAGGCACGAGGGATCGGGTGCGCGTTCTTCGGATAGGTATGTTCGAGGAGAAGCCGACCTCTCAGGCTGTCATATTCAACCACACTGACACCTCAGGTCAACAGCATGATTACTAGAACCGGAACGCGCGAGAAGCATACCAGCCTAAGAATCTTACCTTGGTCGCGGCTGGAAGCGCAGGTAACTCGCTTATGAACACAAACTTGGATGGAGTTGGTCCATTACTGGCGCTTCCGTTCATGGTAAAACCCCTATGGAGTTTCAGGGGCGCAAAGGCAAAGGCTCAGGAATGCCAATGGCACCAGACAATGACTCGGCCATTCAGTGCATGTCCTATACGGATATTGCAGCAGCAGACAGGAAATGTGAGGAACACCAGCAAAGCGAAACGCGCAACGAGCAACGAGCGACGCGTACCAATTTGGTCATAACACGTGATATCGGCATACCTTCCGTTTTCCCTTTTCCTGTTCTCTTCATTTCCAGCGAGCAAACATGCAAACATACAGAGCAAGTGTACCTAGTAGTGCTCTACCCTCATCTTGACACACTAATATATCATTTTCGTATTGAGAACTGAGAACTGAAAACTGGTACCTGGCTTCCATTTTCTTGAGAAGCTCCACTCATCAGGGATGCTGTCTTTGGTCAGAACGTGATGACCCGACCTATGATCTGATAACTGTAGTCTATCACTCCGTTGCTAAATGACCATTGACAAGCGCTTAGTTATCTCTACGGGATTGACGGTATATCGAGTCTCGTCGACCGAAACCCCTCACGCCATTGCCTGGACACGTCCCAAAGTTGAATGTGGGACATCCAGCTCACGCTGTGGACTGGCATACAAAGTGGGCGCCTATGCAAAGATACGCTGGGGAGGGTTGAGGTAATCACCCTAAGACATGGTTAGCCAATCTTAAGGACAGATCCAACACCTAGACAGGGCACATACAGGGTCGTTGAATCTCAGTCCCTTGTCCAATGCATCGATCGCGCTCTGTTCCTCGGAGGAAAGCTCGAAGGAGAAGAGATCCTTGTTCTCTAACTGGCGCTGCTTATCGGCTGTCTTGGGGATCACAATCACACCTCTGTGTTCACAATCAGTCAATTCATTCTGACCTGATCTGGAAAGGGTTGGCGTAGCCCTTACCGTTGCACTGCCCACTTGAGCAAAACCTGAGCGGGGGTTTTGGCATGCTTCTTCGCTGTCGATGTTATAACATCATTATCAAACAGCAGCGAGGTTCCCAAGGCCTTGGGACTCTGGATGTCTCGGTAACTTAGTGGACCGAAGCTGGAATAAGCGGTCACAGCAATGCCAAGGTCCTTGGCGAGGTCCAGCAATTGAGGCTGAACAAGGTAAGGATGATGCTCGATTTGGAGCACGGCGGGAGGGATTCTCGCCGAACGAATCAAATCCAACAGCAAGCCGCCCTGGAAGTTACAGACGCCAATGTTCTTCACCAGACCGGCGTCAACCAGCGATTCTACTGCCTTCCAAGTCGTGGCGAGAGGGACATTGGCGGTTTTCGTTTCCCACTTGTCAGCAGCAATGGACCAACCAGGTGGATAGCGCTCGGCGGGGTCGACATATTGAAGAGGCAGCGGGAAGTGGATGAGGTACAGATCGAAGTACTCGAGGCCCCAATCTGCGAGTTGCCGTTTTGCTGCCACTTCAACGTGCTCACTAGAGTCGGGGTCAGTTAGTGGCCATCCGCTCGCTCCAAAGACCCGAAGACTCTTCACATACGGAGCATGGAATGTTGCCCAGAGCTTGCTCGTCACGAAAATGTCTTCTCTCTTGACGAGACCGTCTTTGATTGCCCGTCGAATTCCTTCACCAGCTTCCTTCTCGTTGCCTGATTGCCAATTAGCTGGGACCGAGAGACATATAGCCCTAACCCTCCGACTGCACACTTACCATAGTCACAGGCTCCGTCGAAGTGGCGATAGCCGTTCTGGATAGCGGTGTAGACGACATCGGCTGTGCTGTCATTTGGCACCTATAGGTTGATTGCGTCAGAAATGGCACGGTTTGCGATCGGAGCGCTTAGCACTTCACCCACCTTCCAGAGCCCGAACCCGACTTGAGGCACCTGCTGCCCTGTAGGCTTAAGAGTAATGGTTGGTACAGCCATCTGTGCACTACCGTGAGATCCTGGTCCTGGGAAGCCTGTCGAGCTGGGTGAGGGTGACGAGAACTTGGAGGTGGTAGTGGTGGAACAAAGAGAGAGAAAAGCCAGAAGCAGGTACAGAGTAAATACTGACGAGTTGTCAGAAGATTAAATAGCCTGAAATACTGAAATACTGCCCGGTACCGCCCACCTGCATTACTTCATTGGAGTGGGCCGTGCTCGCCGCCACAAAATTACCCATCTGGTCATGGTTTTACGCTGTTATTCGTCGGTATTTAATATCACAGACAGACATGGCATCCAGTGGGTCTGGCAGGGCCGGCAGGGCTGGCAAAACTGGTAGGATTTATGTACAGTACTCTCTACACGGACTCGCTTTAATACAGTTAACTGGTGCTGGGAACCAGTTCGGCGTCCTGTCTACCTGGATACTCAATACTCATCCCTTCAACGAGATCTCATTGACCAACACCTTTTCCACCTCTTTTCCCGCCTCGACAAATCTACCATCGTATCTACAACTGATCAGCGGAGGCGTCCTTCAATCACGGGATTGTATGTAGACTCAGACTTACAACATGTGGCACATATGCTCATAGTAGTCGACGGCTGGCTTGGAAAGACTGCTAGCATCGTTTGCGCACGCGTCAAGCGGCTTGACCTTGGTGGTCAATGACGGCTCGAAGAAGAAAGGGATCGATACGCGTGGCACTTCGCCGCGGTGGATGACGCGGTGAACAGTGGCAGTGTACCGATTGTTCGTCAGAACGTTGACCATGTCGCCTGTGTGCCCGTCGCCGTCAGCTGCTGCATGGTCACCTGGGAGGAGGAGGAGGAATGCAAATGCTCGTACCAATGTTCACAACGTACGCCCCTGGGATTGGATCTGCCTTGATCCAGTCGCCGTCCTTGGCCTGCACTTCCAGAGCCGACTTGATATGGTCATCGGCCAGAAGAAAGGTCAGTCCTCCGTAGTCGGTATGCTCGCCGCAAGAGATGCCCTTTTCCCGCTCGTCGATGTCAGGTGTGCTCAGGGGCGGGTAATTGATGAATTTGAGGCCCCAGAAGGGGTCAGCAATGATCTCCTCAAAAGCCTTCGCGCCGTCATCTATCCTCAGCCCATCACCCATGGCTCGCATCAGCGCCTGGCCGACAGGCACCAGCCTCTCGACGTATTCCAGAGCCGTGGATTGGAGCGTTGGCGGCCGCGACGGCCAGAGCTGGGCACCTCGCAGCATTTCTTTGGACGGTTGCGGGTACTCTCGATAGATGTCAAACCCTTCAAGCACATCCCGCTTTCCCAAGGTGATGTTCTCTCCCAGTCGAGCGTAGCCGCGGATCCGGTCCATACTGTGGAAGATCGAAACCTCGTCCTTTTCCGCCTGCGGTAAGGCGAAAAACTCGTGCCCGAGACGCAGCATCTCCTGCCGCAGCTGCTCAGGGATGCCATGTCCGACCAGGTAGAAGAAGCCAAAGTCTCGGCATGCGCGGTGAACAGCGGCAGAGGTCGCTGCACGCTTTGAGGCGCTCGACTTGGGATCGAGGTAAGGAGCGACGTCCACGACAGGTAGGGTGGCGCCGTGGTATGCCATATTGTCGACGTCGACGTTAACGTGAACGTGAACGTGAACGCGCTCAGGACGACCGGACACAAGTGATTTTGGTGCTATGGACGGAGTTCAGTAGGTGATTCTGGACTGGACCGACTGTGGCCTCTGAGCCGTCTGGCCGGGGAGATCAAGGATCTCTTTCAGGCATGATAACTATAGCATACAGCGCCCTCCTCGGATACCACAATCACAGCGCATATTACTGGAATGGAGTATGATCGATTCTGCGGAGTATGCATGTCCACGACAGACCAAGATTACTGTCGAGAACGTGGTAATTTTGAGACGATGGGTTCCCGAAAACGGCATTTTTCTGCCCGCCCGACGTCTCCTCAGGCTCCTCAGTCTCCTCGGTCTCCTCCTACAGCCTCCCAGATGTCGAGGACATCGACGGGACAGTTTCCGGTTGCCACAAGCCGCACATATGGGGCTCCGGGGGCTCTAGATCTTGTATCTGATGAGGTGAATTGCCTTATCGGTTTCCGGTTTCCCAAAGGAGAAATCTGCAGTGGAGCAGACGCTTGGGACCACGGTGGCACTGACCTTCGGATCAGACGGTCTCACACGGAGCCTACCTAGGTACTAAGTACGGAGTACTCACTGTCAGTCTAGTATTATCTATGGGTGGACCATGCTTGCCTCTCAATGCTTGGGCCTGTCCATTCGCCATCACACGACTCCTAGCTGCTCTGGGACTCGTCTCGTCTCCACCACCAGCGACGCCTCTTCATTCAGGTCCATGCCTAGGTGCCTGCCTGGTTCACACACTCTCTCTTCGCAGATAACCGAATGGCAGATAACAGATAGAGCCAGTCTGCTGGGTTACCAAGTGCGGCAAGAGACAGGTTAACATGCGGACCCGCGCAAGTCAGGTCGGGCGAATAAGACTCACCCTCACCGCATACCTACAGTACCACCTACCATTACTCAAGGCCCTGGATCTGCCATCCCCTTAGTGACCAGCCTCAAGCGTGGACATTGCCAGCTCGGAAAAGGAAAAAAAGGAACAAGACAAACAGACCATCCGTCTAATCCATGGTGAGAGAGTTCTGAAGCGTGCATTCGGTCGCGCTCACCGGTTGCGCTCATCGGCTAACCCAGAAGCGACAGCCTTCCGTGACTGAAAGGTCGGCGACGGCGACAGAGGCGGCCAGCCTGGATATTTCCCTGGAAAAAGGAGTCATGACGGAGAAAAGGACTCAGGCGGACGCCGGGAGCCCGCCCAGAAGCATTGGCGAGGTTGAACCACACGCCAAAGGCTGGTTGCAACGGGTTCAATACTTTTCCGCTCTGCTCGATCGAAAGCTGCATATCGAAAGCCGCGGCATCGAGCGCGTGCTGCCCACCGAGCGCGATGAGCACCTCAACTATCTGGACATGATGTTCCTGTGGTTTTCTTGCTCCGCGACCATCTCAACCGTGGCGACGGGACTCCTCGCAGGACCTTCATGGCTGGGTCTCAGCGTGACCAACGGCTTCCTGGCTGTCTTCTTCGGCACAGCTCTGGGGGCGGCCTGCGCCGCGTACATGGGCACATTTGGACCACGCCTGGGACTCCGACAGATCATCCTGGCCCGGTTCTCCTTCGGTTGGTATGGTGGGAAGCTCGTGGCCCTGGTCAACGCCATCACCGAGCTGGGCTGGTGCCTCGTGGGCGTGGTGATCGGGGGCCAAATCCTCAGCTACATCTCCGGAGGCTCCTGTCCGACGGTGGTGGGAATCATCATTCTCTCGGTGCTGTCATTTGTCGTGGCGGGCTTCGGATACAGTCTGGTGCATTTCTACGAGCGATATGCCTTCATTCCAGGCTTCATTGCCGCCATCATCCTCTGCGCCATTGCGTCGAGGCACTTTGACTCGGGCGCTCCCAACCTGTACTCCGGACCCACGTTCTCCGGCAACTTCTTAACCATGCTCACCATCTGCTTTGGCTCGGCCTCGGGGTTTTTGCCCATCGCCAGCGACTACTACATCACCTACCCGGCAACAACTCCACACTGGAAGACCTTTGCCCTGACATGGACCGGCATTGTTGTGCCCATGGTGTTCTTCCAATCCGTCGGGTTAGCCATTGGCGGTTCCATGACGAGGTATCCCGAGTGGCTGGACATCTATTACGACGAGGGCTATGGAGCGCTGATTGGGACCGCGCTGGAACCTGTGCACGGATTCGGCACGTTCCTCATGGTCGTCTTCTTCCTCGGTGAGCACAGCAGCAGCAGGCCCATGGTCCATTCATTGCTAACAGCCCGCAGGTCTCATTGGCAACAATATTCCCAACACATACTCGGCAGGCCTGTCTATCCAGGCCCTCACTCACTATTTCGCCATCATCCCACGCTTGTTCTGGACTCTCGTTGGTGTCATAATATATACTGTCTGTGGAATCGCAGGCCGATCCCACCTGATGACCATCATCAGCAACTTCCTGAGCGTGATCGGGTACTGGACCAGCGCCCTGTTCATGATTGTCATCGAGGAGGACCTCATATTCCGGCGCCGAAGCGGCTACGACGTCGACGCGTACGCTGACAAGAGCAGATTGCCATGGGGTGCCGCGGCGGTGTTCAGTTTCCTGCTGGGCATTGTCGGGGCGGTGCTTGGAATGAACCAGACGTGGTACGTCGGCGTTATAGCTCGACAGATTGGAGAGATGGGTGGTGAGCTGGGTGTCATCCTGGCCTTTGCCTTCACGGGCATCTCATACCCGCCGCTGCGATGGTTGGAGCGTCGGTATGTGGGGAGATGAGATGCTAATCTCGTCTCTACCTAATTACCGCTTCTCTACCTACCTCCTTTCTATTATCGAACTTATTGCTCTAGCGAACGCTTTCCTCTGTCGAGTACGTTGCTCTTTCTTTAGTACGAGTAGTAAGACTAGACCTAATTTAGCTTAGCCGCTCAGTAGGCGGACTTAGGGAGGATTTTATTAGAGTTAGACCTACGCTACGGTGGTTAGGGTTAGGGTTAGGGTTAGGGTTACTTGCCCTGGGCCGAATAACGAAGAGCATATGCATCACTGCAGTGGCATGGATTGAACTTCTCTGGCCAGGTCTGGTACTCCGTACAAGAGTACAGAGCTGAGTACGGATACTGGTGGTACAGTAGCACTAACGGATAGTTGGTACTAGGCAGTTGGTGGCGAAGTGTCTGGCGAATCCCGAGGCGGCCAATGTAATAAATAATACCTCAAAAGTCTGCCTGGACCGGCTATTGACTATTGCTTTGAGCCGGGACCACCGCCATCATCATCATCATCACCATCATCACCACCCCCGTTAGGTGCCCGTCACCATTATCAAGGCACCCGCGGCATCTCTAGAGAAGTATGGGCCCGGGCCCTACGGAGCCTGTCACAGCCAAGGCTCCGCCCTAAAGTTGGGAGCTTCTAGGCCTCCTAAGCCTAAGCCTAAGCCCGCAGGCCCCTAGGCCTTGGTGCTCGTATCGCGTCGGTTCGAGTGGTGATCATGATAGTACCAGATCGTACTGCAATCATTCATGCTAACAACTACTGCAGCATCAATCCCTCCATCGACCGCCGCCCGCGAGATCCAGATCCTGAATGATGTGCCCTGAGGCCGTCTCCCTGTCCCTGTCCCTGTCTGAGTCTGTGACTGTTCCATTCTTCACCGACAGATCAGCGTAATCCGGCGGCGAATCTGTGCTTCGTCATCAGCATGGCGCACAGGACCAATTCACTGGCCTTTGCCAAGTCAGACTGCCACACCTGCAAGACGCTTCGCAGAGTCTGTGACCGCCAACGGCCCATTTGCACCACGTGCCAGACCGCCGGCGATGCCTGCGAAGGCTTTCAGACACGTCTGATCTGGGAAGGAAGTGATTTGCCTTCTAGGCGCGGGGATGACAGCAGACGAAGACATGGCATCGAGTGCCGGCCAGCGCCAGTGCCGCCTGAGGCAAAGACGGCCGCACCGACACCGACACCAACACCAACAGCGATAACGATACCGACACCCACGGCAAAACGAGTCGCTCATGCCAACAGCGGCGTTCAAAGCAGCAAGTCGCCCCCCAAACGGGCCCGAGAGTTCTCGTTTGTCAATTGGCCTCCCAAGCGACGGAAGCGGCATTCTAGACGAAGCGGCCAGGAACCTCAGGAAGTGCAAGGAGGCTCTCTGCTACGTCAAGAAGAAGCCTCTGCTACGCGAAAGAAGGTTGTGGCCGATCCAGGTCCAGTACCGGACAAGCCATCACCGCCGATTCCCAAAGTGCAGGATCCGAATCCGGATCCGGATCTGGAATCGGTTCCTCTGTCGACGGAATACACGCCTTTCCCAGGCCCGGCCGCTTTACAGGCGACCGAAGCCGAGCAGACCATGGTGTTTCGCAGTCCCGGCTTTGACAACTGGATGTTGCCAGACACGACAGGGGTCGAGGAGCTGCCGCTTTTCCGTGCCAATGCTTCTCTGCTGGACGGCATCGCATACCACGAGACCCAACAGCAGCCGTCGGCGCCAGCGTGGCTCACAGCTCAAGGAGAGGCAGAAGAACAGATCGAGGGTTTGGTGGTGGGCGCGGCACGATCGATATCAGCGGCGCGCGAAAACGAGAAGATACATGCAGAGTGGTCCTTGGGGCCAACCTCACGGAATTCGATTCCCATGACATTGTCCATGGCCATGCTGCGAACGCAGCCCGCGTTTGATTTCGAGTCCTTTACCATCCTAGCCTCGATCCCTCCTCAAGTACGATATTCCACCACGGCCGACCAGTTTTCTGTATTGCTCGATAGATGTAAGTCCCCTCTAATCGCATCGGCCTTGCTTCCCGAACCACAACTTCACAATCAGATTCTCACTAACCATGGCTCAGATGACCAGGAGTTCTGTACCTATCCCGTGACGAACGACTTGGACATCAACCCCTTCCGCTACCGTAGGGAGACGTCTCGGGGATCGAAGCATCTCCTTCACGCAATCATCGCGATCGCATGCCACCATCAAAATTCCTATTCCATCAACAGCGACGCCCCTGAAGAGTTCTACCAGCACAAGAACCAGGCAGTGGCGTTGTACAAGGCAGCCAACGAAAACCCGGAGATCCAAGCCCAGGGTCTGGAAGCTCTGGACACGTTGTTAGCACTTTGGTGTATTGATGTGAGTGCTCCGATGATGACCTGACCCCTAACGGCCTGGCACTGACAGGGCTGACTGATGCTCCGTTCTGCAGACGGTAGAATCGGCCTTGAACCCATGGAGGGCTCACCTCTCGCATGCATACTCGCTGCTCGAGCTGGCAGGCGGCATTGATGTCTGGTCACTATCATTTAGGTCCCAAACACAGGTGACCATGCTGTTATGGCAAGTTTATTCAGTCCTCCTTACTGGCACTGAGCCCAAGTACGTACCGCTAACCCTGGGAACTGCAGGTGGGACGCCGTGGTGGCTTTGCTGTCGCGTCGTGCATGCGTGATGCCATTCAGCTATTTCGAAGCCGTTCTTCAGTGGGAAGCGTCGCGGTTCTGGACCTTTTTCGAGCTCATCGGCTGTCCGCGCGAGCTGTTCGTGCCACTCATGCAACTGGCCCACCTGGCCAGCCAGTCCAAGAGCAAGGGCCGCGCGCGCAATGCCACGAAAGAGATCGTGACCGAGATTGAAGGCAACCTGCGCAGCTACCAGCCTCCGGGCAACGAGGCTGCCTACGAACTGGGGGACGAAGAGTCTCTGCAGCAGGCCAGGGACCGGTACCACTGCTGCGAAGCAATACGATATTCGTTGCTCATCTATGCTCTACGGGTGTTCCGGGTCGACAACACAGATGCGCCGGAGCCTTCTTTCACTGCGAGGCTGAGATATCTGAGCCGCGTCAGTCTCGACCATGTGTGCTCGATTCGCCCATCCTCACCCACCCAGAAGCAGCTGCTGCTACCGATCTTCCTTGCAGGGGCCGAGACAACCATCGACCGGCACCGAGACTTCATTCGAGACTACTGCAGGCAGTGGTTCGAGACCTTTGGCTACCACATGTTCACCAGCGTCATCGGCATTCTGGAAGAGGTCTGGGCAGCGCAAGACGTGGGCGGTCGTACCTCTTGGTGGGGGGATGTGGTCGATGCACAACGGCAAGCCAGCAATGGCGAGCTGGACTTTTGCTTCGGCTAGACGAAGCATACAATAATGGATACTTTGATATACATCTGAGATACTTGGGTGTAGCCCACGTGTGTGGCCGGCCGTATATATTGTACGGTAATATATTGGAGTGGATGACTCAGCAGTCACGCCTAAGCCCAGTGTGCACGGCCGGGGCTTACTGTAGAGGCTAAGGGGCTCCTTTTAGGTATGTAGGCAGGCTTAGGCGTCCTTAATCCTCGGCGAACCTGCCTCGACCCGCCACTTAGTCCTGCGACTGCTAGAGTACAAACCGGGACCTTCCTGCTAGGTGCCTGCTGTCGTCGATGTCATTCCCTGGTCAGATCCCGTGCCAGGCTCTCATCTCATCTCAACTGCGCCCTCCCCTCCCTCAACCCTTACCCAACAACAAAGTAACATCCCGGTCTGTCGTGTACTGCTTGGTCTGAAACTACCTCGAATAATCCCTCCAGTATACACCCTACCCCTCACTCATTTTCATCCTCGGTCGACGCAACGAAACTAGGCTGATAGCCCTTGGACACACAACGCGATAACAATCGAAGGCCGTGGAAGTGCCATCACCACATTGCCACCACCGCCGCAAGTCGAACAACCTTGGTCGGGTCGTTCGTTTACGGCCCCGCGAAACTATCTCTCGTTCTTCTTCTTTTCCCGTCTTGTCTGATTCAATCCGCCTGCTTCCCAAGCGAACGACATGTGGAGTTGGTTTGGCGGGGCATCGGCGCAGGCCAGAAAAGATGCGCCAAAGAAGGCGATACTGAGCCTGCGCCAGCAGCTGGACATGTTACAGAAGCGAGAGAAGTACCTGGAAAGCCAGATGGCGGAACAAGATGCGTTGGCGCGGAAGAACCTCTCGACAAACAAGACAGGTAAGCCACCGTGAAGCCCAGTACATGTATCCGATAGTATTTCTTACTCCTTACCTCCGGGCACCCTTCCCTACCCTTCTAAACAATTACCATGTCTGTTTTGTTGGATACTGACCTTGGCTTTTGTATCATGTAGCGGCCAAAGCAGCTCTTCGACGCAAGAAGCTTCATGAACGGACCTTGGAACAGACGTCTGCGCAGATTACCCAGATCGAACAACAAATCTATTCCATCGAAGCCGCAAACATCAACCAGGAAACCCTCAACGCGATGAAGAATGCGGGAGCCGCAATGAAGCAGATCCACGGCAACTTGACCATCGACAAGGTCGACCAGACCATGGACGAGCTGCGCGAGCAACATGCTCTCGGGGAGGAGATTGCAAATGCCATCACGAACGCGCCTATCGGCGAGCCCATCGACGAGGCCGATCTCGAAGAAGAGCTGGAAGGCATGGAGCAAGAAGCCATGGATGAGAGAATGCTCAAGACTGGCCCCACGCCTGTCTCCGGCGAGATCGCCCGGCTGCCTTCCGTTTCTACAGGTCCGAGTAAGTCCACAAAGCCCCCGAAAAGCGGAATGAGGCACCGTCATTCGCAAGCGGCGAATAACCCCATACTAACCCCCCTCGTAGTAGGCAACAAGCCCTCGACGGTGGAGGAGGACGAAGAAGAAGAACTCCGGAAACTGCAAGCCGAGATGGCTGTGTAAGGAGGGAAAGGATATTCTTGCACGGATTACGGATTACGGACGGACCCATGCCACCAACGTGTTATGGTCAGGTTGCTACCGTCGACTCCAGTCCAGTCCACACCATTTCCACATGACAGCACCCTCAAGAGGTGATGCTAACAGCCCCGGGAACTTTTTCGCGAGATCTGATCTGCGATCTCAAATTCGGCATGTACTCGCGTACCAAGTAGAAGGGTGTTTTGGCAGGGAACAGAGTTTGCATCATTCTTACGTTACTACTACACATAGTGTGTGTGTCAGGTTGGGCCATGGGCGCCATGATTTGTCTGCTGCTACAGGAATAACGATGACCGCTTTCAGGGCTCCAGTGGCTTTGATCCAATATCCTGCGATCTTCCCCTTGCCAGAGTAGCACTTGATGCGATCTCATCGCCGAGCCGAGCTGAGCGTCTGTCTCAGCCCGTTTTCTGATATGCAGTGGACGCTTTGGTTTGGTGTGCTTGGGCCGAGATTAATCCATGCTGAAGCTACTCATACCAACTTGGCTGGTTTTGTCCACTAGACTCGGTGATTCATTCCCCAATTTAGAGCTACACTACAGTGCCCCTGTCCATCTTGATCTTAGACTCCAATGCACTGCCCCTGTCCATCTTGATCTTGGACTCCAATGCACTGCCAGTGTTCGAACGCTTGAGTCAAGACTTGAACGTCATGCTCTTTCCAGCCAGTTCCTTGCCCATCTTGGCCCTTCTTGCACCAGTGCTGGCATCCAATGCCTTCGCGAATGGATTCATTCTTTTGCCGCCCTTGGCCTCGGCGTCCGCCCTTGCCGCCTGCGTCTGTGGGGCCAGGAGAGACTCTGCCTTCGCATAGTCGAACGGCTGTGTCGCTTTGGCAGCTTGTTCTGCCGCAAGTCTCTCGGCCTCCTTCTTTGCTTTCTTCTCGGCCTTTTTCTGTTTCTTGGCTTGACGCTTCGCCTCATGCTCGGGATTCTTCGCTGGAGGCGTTTCAGTTGCAGAGCCAATTGGTGATGCCGTGGCTGGTGTCGTCGCCGGCAAATCTACAGCGTCGTCTCTTTCATCGGCCTTCCGCTTCTTTGCTGTAGCGGAACCTTTCAACGTGAAGATCTCGGGCGTCGTGGAGCGAGGCGGTACTGTGGCAGGAGCAGGAGTGGTTGTGGACACAGTTGACTCGCCTGTGGCTGGCAGCGCCTGCTCGGTTGGAGCAGAGGCATTTGGAGCCGCCGCCGAGGCGGGGGCCAATGGTAGAACAGACCGCAGCGCAGTCATCACTGTGTCCAGCTCCGCGGGGAAGTGTGCATGTTGTGGTGGTACATCGCCCCAGAACAGAGAAGCCGTGGATCGGGTGGCAACCGGTACTTCAACCTCCACGACACCATCGTAGTTTAGTGATGCTGACGACGCACCAACATCTCCGCTGGAAATCAGTTGCTTCAAAGTCGCACCTAAACCTTGAATTGTGGTAGGAGCTTCTTTTCTCTCTCGGGGTGGTCGACGTGCAGTTATCCCGTACACCTCTTCACTATGCTGCAATACCTCCTGAACAGAAGGCCCAGAACGCCCCTCAAACTTGCCCTTCTTGATAACTTCGATGATTTCAGGTAAGCGGTCCAGGACAGATTTGGGGACACCGCTCCTGATCACCGCATGGAAATTGAAGCTTGAAGTGGGCATGCTCTCTGCAATTATCCATAGGAGACGATTTGGGAGAATGTACTGCAACCCTTCGTCCAGTTCTCGCGCCTTCTGATCTCGCCATGCATGGAGGGCTCGAAAAACGCCAAATTGTTCGTTGCTGAATCGGACAGACCTTTGCAGAAGGAGTCCCAGCCAGCCGAGCGGACCACGACCGGTTTCTATGTCGTAGATAGAACGCTCGTAGGCTTGGAGAGCTTCTTTCTTGGACTGTGACAGCACATAATCGGTGAGATTCGAGTTCGGCGTGGATCCTTCGACGAGCATATTTCGGAGATTATCGTAGATATTGAGTAGAAAATGGGTGTCTGAACGTGCGTAATCAACCAATTCTTTGGGTAGAGGTCGTATCCGCCAATCCGCTGTCTGATACTGTTTCTGGGCCTCGAAGTTGGCGAATTGGTGTAGTAAATGCTTCAGACCTTTGCCGGGAAACTGGAGGGCGCAGCAAGCGTGGTATGTATCAAAAAGACCAACAACGTACAGGCCGAGATCTCTTTGCAGCCAGATGATGTCCATATTGGACCCGTGAAACACTTTCACGATCTTTGGGTCGGCGAAGACTTCATTTAGTATCTGCAGATTTTCCCGCCACGGCTTCAAGGTGTCGATGATCCAATCCTTTTCTCGAGTACTAATCTGCATGAGGCACACCATACCTACGTAGGAGCGCTGGTCATTGTGCTCGAGATCAATTGCGATCTCAGAAGCCCCTTTCAACTCTTCTAGCATCTCTTGTACACCCTCCTCAGTGTCGACGAATATCGGCTCACTTTGCTCTGGCGGCGTGAATGGAATAGGGAGACTAGCTTGATACACGGAAGGAGGATAGGCGTATTGTTCAATCTCATGTAAGTATGGATGCTTGTAACTATCCCACGGTTAGCGGCCTGAAATCAACGGACCAAGAATGTACTCACCCAACGTCCTCATTACCGATGCTCTCCTCTAATGGGACAGTGGCGTGGGGCTTTGCTTTGAGCAGAGGCTTCCATGGCTTCGTTTCAGAGTTATTCACCTGCCTGTCAAAACGAAGCTGCGGCTTCTGTGCGACCTCTGAAGACCATGAATGAAGACCTCTCCCTGTCTTGAGGCGCTTAGCTGGAGGATCGGCATCTTGACTCGGACTCTGACGCTTGATGACGCCGGAGTACTCATCAAGTGCAGAATCCGCCTTCTCGAGAAGGTCGTCAACAACATCAACTACCTCACGCCAATTGTCCTCGATGTCATCCTGATTCCGGAGAACAGGAGGTTTGAGGTTGGTGTCTTTGGTGGCCGCTTTGAGTAGACTGCTAGTCAGGCGCAGAAGGTGGGCATTCTGGCGTTCAAGGGCACGAGATAGCTTTTCGCTAGACGAGCGATGGAAACTCAGGTCTTGGGTAGAAACTTGAGTTGCGGTCTTCGTCACGCTGATCAGGGACGATTGAACAAGGTCTTGAAAGGATTTAAAGTCTGCAGTCAAGTCCATGATGACTAGAATGGAAGACGGACTAGTCTTCCACAGTCATCGGCACGACAAAATCTGTTTGACGCCTGCTTTGACCTTTCACAGTGAGGCCGTCCAAAAGTCGCAGGTTTAAAAAGTCTCCAAAAGTTGAATTCCTCTCCACATGAGCCACTAGTAACACCGCACCATCACTACGGCAAACTAGAAAACCAGCTGTGCAGTTTCCGCCCACCATTAAGGTGGATTCTACAGCCCCATCCACATCCATACATATGATGCTCGAGGCAGCCTCAGCCTTTCGTCTTTGCCACGCCCTACGCGTCCCTAAACCGAAGATGAATGTTCTCGGTCGTCTGATACCAGAGCCTCGTCATGGTGGGGACCAGGAGAAGTACTGGCTGTGAAACTTGTCGGAAACGGAAGAAGAAGGTAAGTCTGTCATCCACCTTCACCTTCACCTTCACCTTCACCTTCGCATGTAGCGGCAGTGCTGACTACTACCATGCCAGTGCGGCGAAGAGCTCCCTGAATGTGCCGCGTGCAGAAAGTCTGGGTGGAAATGTCCAGGCTATAGCCGACGCTGGAAGTTTGTGGATGAAAACTCCCAGCTCATTTCGCTCTACCGAAGAAAGAAATACATCTTCGACGATGTCGATGAGTCTCGGGGTCCTGACTGGAAACAGCCAGAATACGTATCTTATGGCCCGGTCTCACCTGAAAAGGAAATCCCGGCCCCCAACCCTGGATATAAACCTATCATCCAGTGCCACCTGAGTACACCTTCCGACCAGACTTGTGCGGCACTCTGTTACATGCTGGACAGACCAGAAAGTCAGACTCGCTTCCCTGTCAGGTCTTTCGGTGGCTTCCTGGAGATGATCCCTAGCCGCCTCGGTCGCAACGTTGCATTGGACGACTCTATATCGTGCATATGCAGTATTTACACAGATGCACCAAGATGTGCGCCAGGGACTACAACATCCCTTAAGCTCTATGCAAGAAGTTTGAACTCTCTTCGGAAATCTTTGGGGTCGCCACAAGCCCGCACCGAATCAGAGACAATATGTGCCTCTATCATCTTACAGATTTGCGAGGTATGTTGAGTGATCACCTGTACCGACGCTTTACGTTCTATGATACTCACAGCCTGCAGCTCAATTTGAGTGATGATATGGGCCGGTGGGATAGTCTCTGTAGGGGCTCAAAGCTCCTGATCCAGCAATGTGGCCCTACCCGATTTTCAGAACCTTTTGAAAGATCAATGCTTGAGTCGCAGCGAGCTTGGTTTGTGAGTCAGACCTTGTCCCCTCTGTTCTATAAACTCCCCTGTTGTTTAGAATCTCATTTGGCTTCGAACACAGATCGTCCAGGACGTAGATTCTGAACGACAGTGCTTCTTATCGCACAAGCATTGGCGAGACTTGCTTGAAACATCTCGAAGACTGGATGTAGGCAAAGAGCCTCGCGGCTTCTCCCTACGCGCCGAACTTTGTGAATTTCTTGTCGAAGTCCCGAGTCTCATCGCAGAGGTCTCATACGTATCGAAGCACATGGACGCCAACGATATCACCTCTGTGGACTTTGCGAATAGGCACCAAAAGGCATTGCTTCGAACGTTAGCGTTGAAACGCTCGCTTGAAAGCTGGTATTCCGCGAAGTTGGAACCTCAACGCCCCTCTCCTATCTTCCAGTCAAACGATCAACAGCTAGTACGAGCCGACGGCGCAGTGACTCGGATGCCCGGCGATCAGCCAAAATTTGCTTACCCGGAGTTGCTTTCTGCAGTGGCTGACTGCGTCTCGAATTCTTTGATGGTAAGGCTGGGCATGTTACTGTCGAGTATGCTTTCGATTTCGCCGTACCAGCGTGACAGGGTCGACCTCTATCCTTGTCTGGGCGTCATGTTGAGAAGAAGAGATGCCGCGTCTCAGTCCCTGGACATTGTCAGGTCTATCTCACACGTAGCGGCTAAGCCTTTGGACTTTGGCCTACGGCAGCTCTGGGCCAATGGCACGGGAAATCTTGACTCGGTGATTGAAATTGGAGGGAGGTTGCAGGCGCCGTCTTGATTGAGAACAATTACTGCACTGACTGCCAGAAGGGCGCGGGATCTATTAGGGGATATCCTAGGGCGTCCTATTGTCCATTTGAACAGTCCATTCAAGTCCAGCTCATCGTCCCTGAAGTCGTCGGGCCATCTCATCGACACCTTTGGCGCTGAAATGGCCTTTGAGACCTTTCTCAGTTTTGCGCGCATACTGCTCCCCCCTTGCGAATATCACCTCCTCATACCTCCTGATTGCATCGGGCAGCCGGCTTGCATCGCCGGCACAGTCGATGACAGCCCTGGACAGGTCCAATGAGTCAAGCATGGCCAGATTGACCCCAACACCTCCAAAGATGGTCATCAAATGAGCTGCATCTCCAACGAGGGTGACCCCTTCCCTTGGTTTCCATCTCATGCCGACAGGTAGCATCCACATCTGCCGAGGGATGAGCTGGTCGCTGGCGTCCATGATTGCCTGTTTCAAGGCCGGTCCGCAGTCGTTGAAATACTGGCCAAGTAGGGTCTTCTGGGCTTCCTCCGGTGAGGACCAGTCAATGCCACAGGTGTTGACCCAATCTTCAGGCTGTCGTACTCCAGCATACACCCGAATTGTGTTTTCACTGTCTCTCTGACACTGGAGAGCACGGCCTTCGTCGAACATGAAGCAACTGCCTGCACCGACGAACTCTGCGAGCGACTGATGCCGAGTGTCGACATGCAGTGCCCAGAGCTCGATGACAGTCACCCCGGAATAGACAGGTCTCTGATCAGTCAGGATATTCCGCACTCTGGACCAGGCCCCGTCCGCACCGACGACCAGGTCAAACCCTTCTTCAACGCCATCTTTGAAGTGCAGGTCATGTTTTCCTGGCATCGACGACGACTCGGCAATGGTAATCAGCTTCTTGCCCCACACCACCGTGTCCGGCGACAACGAATCGAGCAGTAGTTGTCGTAGCTTTGTGCGGTCGATCTCTGGCCGGTCACTGAATTCCTCGGGTCTGCGTGTGCCGGTCTTGTTCTCGTCCAGGACAACAGTCCCATCGTACTTGATCAGTTTGAGGGCTTCGCCTTCTGGACGTGAGAGGCGTCTGAATTCTGCGAACAAGCCGGCTTCTCGAAGGGCCTGTTGCCCACCGTTCCGGTGCAGATCGATGCTGCCGCCTTGGCCACGGCGAGCTGGAGACTCGTCGAGCTCAAAAACTGTACATGCAACGCTGTGGACCTGAAGAAGCCGTGCCAACGTGAGACCTGCGGGCCCTGCACCGACGACCGCAATGCGGAGGTTGTTGCTCATGGTGATCTTAGATCTATTTAGTTGTTCCAGACTGTTGGGGGGTTGTTCTCAATCTTTCTGAGGTCCAGCCCCGAGGTACAGCATACTTATATACGGCTGCTTCGTGACAAACGTCTACGGTACTGGTCACAGTCAGCATGGAAGGAAAGTCATGCATGGCCGCAGGCTTCCTCTCGCGGCGCACAGCCAGCCCAATGCTCTGTCTGACCTGAGGGTACCGATTGGCCACTGCGCAACATGCAACATCAGTAGGAGGATGCAATCCGCCCCTCCAAGTGTCGGATGAGCTACGATCCAGGCTCATTGTCATTGTTGTCGTCAATGTCACCCAGGGACGGTGTTGCCGGTTCGGCCATACGCTAAACAGCGAGCCTCGTGTCAGGGTGGTTAAGGCCGAGACTGGTCAGGGCTCAGGCCGCTACTGTACTCCGTACAACCCATCATTGGCTGCGGCGCAACATCACCCAGCATCCACTGAGGGTTATCAAACTGACCCGTTCCTCTCGTCGAAACAATCCATACAGTACAATCACACACCACGCCTTTAGGCCTGGAGCCTAGAGCCGCGGTCAAGATTTCCTGTCGGTGTCAACTGCCCCTCCATGAAAGCGAAATGTTACGTCCGCCTTGAAATTGATGAGATATAGCAAGCTTCAAGGGCTCACTGGCGAGTCACGGCTTGATCATACAAGAGTTGAGGATTCACTTCTTCAGAACCACGTCAGCTTCTTCAATAATTGACGTTCCTATTATCATCTCAGATCAGAACAGATAGTCAGCCGAGCCACGCCACGGCCATGGCCTTGACCGCCCGGGATTCCTTGTCCACCGAGCATGTTTCCAAACAGATCGGCGTGATAGTGTGCAGCCAACGAAAACCTCGTGCCGGTCTACAGATAGGGACTTTCGTGCTCGACTCACTCAAGCAATACCAACGCAGCCACCCATCCTCACAGCCAGCTGAAATCATTCTCATCGACCTTGCCGACCATCCCCTCCCTCTGTACGACGAGCCAGGCATCCCATCTCAAATCCACTCTTCATCGGGCTACACGCACGCCCACACGCGAGCCTGGTCGGACCTGATCAACAGCTTCGCCGCGTTCGTCTTCGTCACGCCGCAGTATAACTGGGGCTGCCCGGCCAGCATCAAGAACGCCATCGACTATCTGTACCACGAATGGACAGGCAAGCCGGCCATGGTCGTCAGTTACGGCGGCCACGGGGGAGGCAAGGCCGCGGCACAGTTGAAGGAGGTTCTGCATGGTTTGCGCATGAAGGTGGTGCCGAATCATGTCGAGTTGGCCTTCCCAGGCCGCGACTTCTTGGTCAAAGCTGCTGGAGGCGCAGATCTGGGGCTTCGGGTAGTCGACGACAACGGCAACGACAACGACAACGACAACGGGACTCAAGAGACAGTCTGGGCCAAAGAAGCGGCAGATATACACAAGGCGTTTGAAGACTTGCTTGGGCTATTGGCCGGACAAGGATCTGAGGCATGATGCGGGTGCGGGATAGATTCCTGGTGCGGTTGTTCGGATTGCAGCTACTGTTACTCTTACTCTTTCTTCATCGACTAGATGACGCCAGGGCCGGTTTGGGGTTGCTGCCACAGTCTCAAGAAGAAACATGGACAACATGTCAATAGATCAAAGAACACAGAGACTCTCTACCGTAGTAGTATTTGCCGAGGCTATCCGTACTGGGAGACGTACTGCGTACTGTAATTCTGAAGCTGCAGCAATAAATGCAGCCTGAGTGGCGCGGGAAGCTGCATCGGAGAAACAATTCTCCGTTCCAGGCACAACTACGGCAGAGTACTGGTTACTCCGTACAACTTTCCCATTCCCATTCCACTTCTCGAAGGCGACTTCGACTTCTTCCCAACTTGAACGTCATTCATTCACTCGTTGACAATCGGCCAGCCATGTCGGCCTCGCTCGCCCCCGAGTGCAACGAGGTCAAAGAGTACGTTGGGCCATCCCCCTCTGTCGAGAGACCCTTGGGCCGAGCTGACTGTCTACAGGAAATATGACACATGTTTTCTAAAATGGTATTCCGAAAGTATGGCTTCCCTATCCATATTCGCCTTCCCCTCGTTGACTCGTACAACTGTTCATGAAACAGTCTTTGAAGCTTCTGAGCTGACACAATTCGCTAGAGTACATTCGAGGCAACTCATCCACGGATGAATGCGAGCCGCTTTTCAAACAGTACAAGGCCTGCTTGACCGTAAGAATGTCGACATGCCGCTTCACGCTTGATACGGGCTGATCACGCAGCAGAAAGCGCTCAGGGAGAAAGGTGTCGACACGATGTTGAATGAGGCTCGAGAGGGTACCGTCGAGACTGACGCTGAACACTTGCGTCGATGACCATTTACGCGAGAAGGGCGGTTTAGTCCGCCTTGGGTGGACTTGACGTGTCAGACATCCTCGAGGGTCAACGTCGATGGAAACATGTCCGTGCTGTTTGCACGACAAGCAGTCACCTCTGCACCACGAGATCAGATCTCAGAACCCATTTCTCGCCACTCTTGACTTCTCTACCCTCATGGAGCAAACAGTCATCTCCATGCTTGTGGAGAAGAGCCATGCCAGTCTCGGGTTCAACCACGATGGGATCCGGTGTCTTATCGCCCTTCCTGCGAGGCTCTGGGTAGAAGACAGTCTCACCACCTTCGCAGGCTGTCAGATAGATCAGAAGGGTCCAGGTGGTCTTCGCCGGAACTTTCACCTCGCCAAACTCTAGCTTGTTACTCTCGTCATAATGTAGGTCGAAAAACTGGCCTGGCCGGTATCTGTACACTCTTATGTTTGGGTTCAGACCGAGGACCTTGCCTCCGAAGGTAGCCGGGTCTTCGAATGAGTCTACCAGGTATTGAAGTCCGCTGTGCTCCCAGAGCATTTTAGAAAAGACCGGGTCCTCGACTTGAAAGCGGTCATTGACTCGGGCTGCCTGTCCACGCTTGGGCTTCCCCGGCGTCGTAGTCAAGGGTAACGAGGACAGGAATGACACATAGTTTTTGCACAGGCTGGAGGTGAACAAGTTTCGAACAAGAAGAACCAGGCTCGGCCATCGGGTCTCAAGAGAGAGGTGCTCCGCTGGGATCAGAGGAGTCAACGGTGGCCAATTAGGCGCCTGCGGTTTGGGTTTGGTGATGCTGTCGCTCTGGCCTGTTGGCTTCGCAGTCTTCTGGGGCTGCTTTCCTCGCGGAGCCATCGTGGACAGTGACTCATCAAAGGGACGATGGTAGAGGCCGGAATAGATGCTCGGTGCCTACCCAGTCTCCGTACGTGGCCAGAAGGCCTGAGCCCGAGGTGGCCTAAAGAGCCCCCCGTCGAGTCTGGGGCCCGGGCTTAAACAAATTCTGAGATTGGAGCCCGATGAGGCGGGCGGTGTGCGGTGTGATTGGCTGGCAGACGGCTTCCTCCCGACCAGCCAATCACCGGTGCTCTCTTGTGCCTGCGCCTGCGCCTCGAGACTTTGAGATGAAGAACTTGGTCCTTCTTCGAGCGAGTCTTGCGGCGCGCCCTCGACCACGTCGGACCCCCCTGCGCTTTTCCCTCCCCTCAGATTCGCAGACCTCGCCATGTCGTCGCAGACAATTGCGACGTCAACAAGAGGTCTGCCGGATTTCTCTTCCCGCCCCCTCCATCTGCCAGACTTTCCCGATCCAACATGGCCCGATCGCTCGAATCCTCCCGACCAGGCCTCGAAGCCGCAAGAGGAAGCGCCGCAAACGCCCACCGCCCAGTCGCCCACAGCCGACCCTCCTGCTTGGGGTGAGATGGACACGAAGCAACGAAGTCAAGCCGTTGGGAACCTCCTGGCGGCTTTGGCGCCCGCAAGTCCGACCCAGACCGCAACTACAACTGCAACTACGACTGCAGGTGCAGATGCCAAACCAACATCCCCGACAAACGACCAAGAGGACGCGGCCAACCCAACAAACGGCCCTTCTTCTGCCGACGCCCCTGCTGCAACCGAAACGGCCAACGACACACTCGACGCCGGTACTAGTATCTCTCTTCCTCCGCTTCTCCCACTCAGCACCGATGAGTTGATGGATGGGAATTCACATCCACCACCTTCCTTCTCCCCATCGATACCCGCGCAATCCACCGAACCGGCCCCTTCGAATCAAATGGCTGCGATGCTGGCTCCCCTGACACCACAGATGGACTCCCGCTCTCCTGTTGCATCTCCTGGTCCCATCCCCGAACGGAGAGAAATCGAGGCTTTTGCAAAGATTGAATTCGAGGACGGCAACTACTATATTACAACCTATGCCTGTGAATTAGGTCGAGATGCTTTTGCATACCGTGCCGCCCTTGCGAGGGCCGAAGAAGCGCGACAGGCCCAGCAAGACCGTGCTCAAAGTTCCAGTGGGAAAAGGTCGGACGGCAATCCCAGACCAAATGAGAGCCAAGTGCAAGGGAGCGTTGTCAGCGAGGCGGGAGGCTTTGGGGGTGTGGACGATCCCCAGGCTCTGCAGGATGGAGAGCGCCGCGATCCCAACCCGATGCACTCGCAATCCTCCGAGCGGTCTGGCGGTAGTGTCGTCAAGCCTCAAGAAGTTCTCATCAACCCTCCACTCATCCCTTTTGATTACCACAAAATGGCCGAACGTCAAGCACAATTCGAACAGGGGAACGATCCCGAGGCAGATAACGAACAGCCTGCCCCGGTCACTGCAGACCATATCCCCGACGCCCACAACTGTCCTCTTATTCCTATTCATGCGATGCGCACCTCTCAAAAGTCCGAGGTGGAAAATCACCGAAGTATTTCCCGCCGACACGTCAAGATCCAGTGGGATTTTGACAAGGAGTGCTTCCAGATGAAGGTCTTGGGCCGGAACGGCGCTTTCTTAGATGATCAGTATCTACAGCGTGGTGGGGTTAAGCGCCTCAGAGACGGTTCAAGGATCCAGATCTCGAATGTCTGGATGACTTTCCGACTACCAAACGAGAAGCCTGAGCCGATGACAGATGAGTCCGACGGTGAACGAGGGGAGGAGAGCCTCTCTCCACCACGCAATATATCCTCGACACCGAACGAAGAAGAGGATGAAGACCGGAGCATCTCGCCCTCACGCACTGGCAAGACGAAGACGAGGATTGTCCTGACTACGGCGCATAAACCGTCACCAAGCCTTCCAGATCCGCTAATTGGACCCGACGGTCAGCCTCTGCCGCCGAGGAAACGTGGTCCCGGAAGGCCGCCCAAGGACGGGATCATGTCTACGCGAGAGAGGAGGGAAAGAGAAAAGGCACAAAGATTGGCCGAAGCCAAAGCGGCGAATGGAGGCAGAACTCCGCCACCAATGTTGAAAGGAAAATTCCCGAAGCCCATCATCAAGGAGGAGGTCATCATCCCCGAACCCAAACCTGAGAAGAGAAAGTACAAGAAAAGAAAACGGCCTGGAGAGGACGGTGAAATTGTGCAATCAATCGAAGGCGGTGAGGTTGACGTGCCTAGTGAAACGGAAAAAGTGCTGGTGAAGAAAGCACGGCAATCGAAGTCGCCCTCACCAGAATATCCCCCTGTGGAGAGTTTGACGGAAGAGCAACTGGCACGACCGTCCGAGCCTTATGCTCGGTTGATCTACGACATCTTGATCGACATCCACCCGAAAGCTCTGCCGCTGAAACAGATCTACCGCGCGTTGAAGCTCAAATTTCCCTTCTTTGTCCACCGTGTGGATTCGGAGGGCTGGCAGAGTAGTGTCCGGCACAATCTGAACCAGGAATGGAACAAGCTCTTTGAGAAAGGGGAAAAGGAAGGCAAAGGCTTCGCGTGGAAAGCAATACCGGGGGCGCTTCAACCACAAGCAGAAAGAAGACGCGCCGCTCAGCAAGCCGCCGCGAACAAGCCAAAACCTACTCCGACACCACGTCAACCTCCTCCTCCCGGATCTCACCCTCCACTGAATTGGCAGAACACTCCATTTCCCCAGCAAAATGGCATGCCACCAAGAGGTCCTCCCCCGTTCTTCGTGCAAGGTCCACATGGTCCCATGCCGCCTCCGCCAAACGGGATGCCTTGGCCTCCTCCTCCTCCACCACCCCCTGGGGGAATCCCACCCTCAGCCTCACCGAGCGCAAACGGCCACGCTCCTCCACATATGCAGCCCGGGCCCAATCCTCCTCCGTTCTACCCACCTCCTCCTGGAGGCCGTCCCCCATTTCCCTCACAGCCGGCTTCCCAGGCCGGCTCATCTCAACCCAACGCTCCCGCGGGTCAAGGCCCGGCTCGTCCGAGCTCGGCAGCTGCAACTCCAGGCCCACCTCCGCCGATTCCGTCCAGCTCCTCTGCATCTCGAAACATGCCTTGCACAACCGACGGTTTGCTCGCGATTAGAAGGTTCGAAAATGCCATGTATGATCAAGTTCGGGACCCGACCAAGATCGAGGAATGGCAGAAAGTATTTGCCTCGGTCAAACGGCGATTGCTGCATGGTGCTCCCCATTCTTCTTTGCCCAATGGTGAGACAAAAGAGGAGCTCACGATCATGGAGCATGTTCGGCGGTTCATTGATCGCTTCAAAAACCCCAACTTTGTCGGGTTCTCGATCGAGCAGACCAGAGGTACTGCATCGCCGGCGCCCACAAGCGTAGCCACTTCGGTCGAACCGTCTGGGCCGTCGTCCACCGCAGCCGTGCCGCCTGTTATTCCTGTCAAGCCGATCGTGCCAGAGAGCACGAAAGAGAGTCAACCTTCGGCCGGAACTGATGGCAAGATTGAAGCTGATGAGCAGCCCAAGGCTGTGGCCGAAAAAGCCCTGGCCCAAGACGCCGCTTAGGTAGAGACAAGTCTTATCTTCACCAGCAAGATATGCTGTTCGCTGCGAGAAGCCTGTGGTGCAGACGCGTTCTCAGAATTTGCCATACGTACAACAGACGCGTGCATACTATTTATTCTTATCACAAGCAATGAATCAGCGACCTGGGGATTTTCATGATTGGACTGTGCGCCCGTATCGGCGGTGTTATTGTTAGCCGCCGTAAGCCTTTGCTGGGCGGTATGGGGCGTCCTCGTTCTGGGCTACGAAAGGGGAGAGCAAAAACGAAGTGGGAAATGGGAATGGATATGGGATTGGGCAGGGGATAGGGGAGCAGTTTCAACGTTTGTGTCCCGACATCGATCGGCTCGACGAGGCTATGCGCCTACATGGCTGGACAGCCGATGAGATGAGAAGAGTTGGACCACTTATCAGTGTAGCTACTGCTATTAGATCAATGGTCCTTATGCCCGACGCTCATCTTCCAAGTTAACTTGTTACCTCGTTCGTGACCGGTGTCGAGAACACATTAGTGAGCGGACTTTGCGGAGCTGATATAAACATCGGTAGTGCTCCGTGCGAACTCAAGGTCAGACATAATGGTAAGGAGACGTGCTGGCACCTACAAATACCGTACGATAAACCCCAGGATTTGACAGGATTTGAGTTGGATTCACTACCGTGGTGATGTGGTGATGTGTGAAGTGTGATGTGATGACGACTCCGAGGCAAGCAGTAAAGGACAAGGCTGTGGTCTTCACCACTGCAGGCTTTATTGACTTTTCTTGTTGATAACTCTGTCTGTCTCTGTGTGTGAGTGTGTGTGTGTCAACTTCAGTATCATCAAGACATTTCAAGCCCAAGGCACCTAAGATAAGATTCTTCTTGGGAATCTGGAATCTGTTCCCCAGATTCAAGGTCCTGCCGCTTCAGCCTGAGCTTCAGCCTACGTACCTAGGTACGTGCTTTGGAAGCATCAGTATCAGTATCAGTATTAGTATCAGTGTCTAATTAGCTGCTGCAGGTTGCAGAAGTCGGGGACTAAGGACGTTTCTCACGCACCGATACTAATGTATGCTCCGTCCCTGGTGGAGAGTCTACTGAGTGGTACGTAGGACTAAGATGACCAGAGGACCAGAGGACCAGAGGACTAGACAACTAGACAACCAGACAACTAGACAACCAGACAACCAGACAACCAGACAACCAGACAACCAGACGTTCCGGAGCCGAATCAAGTGTACTCAGTCACCTACGTTTGACATATCCATATATTTGTAGGGCTGCTCGATGGAAGGGAGAATCTAGAATCTAGAATCTAGAGCCGGCCGGCCCACTCTTGTCTAGATGTTTGTCTGGATGATGACAATTGCACTCGACAAAATATAGTCTCTTTATCTAGATGTTTGTCTGGATAATGGCAATCGTACTGGATAAAATATACAATGTCTGTCTAGATGTTTTGTCTAGATGGCAATCGCACTCGACAAAATATACAATGTCTCTTTGTCTAGATATGGCGATGGCGCTCGACATGATATATCTCCTATCTAATCTAGCCAAACTAAACTAAGCTGTTATATGTGACTCTCTCCGTTTCGGGTCGTTGGGCAAGACATCTCCTTCGATATAGTTCATTTCCTCCTCCTTGTCGTTGAGATTGTGGAACAAAACCCAGATCAAAATACCGACGCAGAAAGTCCCGATGCAGAGCCCAACGTACATCCACATGATTGCAGGATCAAAGGCGGCCGGGACGAAAGCCTCGCCGATGGCCGAACCAAAGGCGTTGGTGAGCAGGAACAGCGACTGCACGAACGACTTCATGCGAGGGGGCGCTTTGGTGTAGGCGTATTCATAGCCGGTGGCGGAGGCGAAGATCTCGGAAATGCCGATCAGCATGTACGCGGGGGTTTGGATGGCAATGTGGAGGTCGTTGCCCTGGGCCTTGCCGTTGACGAAGGAGGCGTCGCAGAGAGGATGTTCGTAACACGGGCCTCGCGAGTAGATTTCATGCTGGATGATGGCCGCGTACATCATGGCCAGCGAGGCGACGGTGAAGCCGGTGACGATGCGGGTGATGGGCTTGAAGGCGATGTGGTGCTTGCGCAGCAGCGGGTAAACCAGGCGGTCGAGCAGCGGAACAAACACGATGATGGCAATGGGGTCGAAGTTTTGCATCAGATCGTTGGGGATGCCGTGGCCTCGCATCTGGAGCGCCTGCGTAACAAAATTGTTGGAAAACTGGTTGTACACCACCCAGTAGATGGGGTACAGCGTGAAGACCTTGCAGGCCGTGAGGGCTCGTTTCAGCTCGTCGACAAAGCTGTCGTCCCACGACACGGTCTTGCTGCTTCCCTTTTCGCGGAGCCATGTCTGCTTGGGTGCATCCATGCTGCGGTGTCGGATCATCAAGCCGACCGCCTTGAATGCGTCCGTGACCACGCTGCCCTGAGGCGGTCGGTCCACGTACATCTTCCGACCGAGGATGAGAACTGTAATGCCAACGGCAAACATGCAGATGCAGAGAGTAAAGGCCGACCAGAACCCGACGTCTCGTTCCATATCTGTGGCTTGTCAGTGGGATCCTGCCAGGAGTTCTGCCGGGGGGAAGGGGAAGAAGAAGAAAAAGGGGAAGAAAAAGAAGAAAACGAAAAAAAAAACTTACATGGTGTGGCAAGGAGAGAGAGGGCGCCAATGTTGATGGTCCAGTAAAAGATCATGTAGATTCGCTGGATGGTGACATAAGGGTCGATGACCACCCTTTCACCCTTTTTGGTCACGGCAACCTCCATATGTCTTCTCGTATATTGCTCGGCGATCAGCGGAGCCACGTTCGCCTTGATGCCTCCGGTGCCGAGGCCGGTGAGAAGGATGGAGGTGATGTAGCCACCAAGCCCGGCGCCATGTCTCAAAGACGACGGGATGGATGTGCAGACGAGGATGAGAAGACCGACAAAGTAGATGCCGGCAAAGGTGACAATCGTCTTGTACTTTCCCAAGTATTGATCGGCGATGAGGCCTCCGAGGAGAGGGGTGACGTAGCACCAGAACGAGTAGAATGTCGTGAGACCCGTGGCTCCTTGGTGGCCCATGCCGAGCCCCCCGGGGCCCAAACTGCCATCCGGAGGGTTCTGCACGTAGTTCTGGAAGATGCCCTGGCAACCGTAGTAGGTGAAGCGTTCGCACAGTTCGATGAAGGCGACCAGAAAGACCGCAGCCGGAAGGCTCTCGCCGACGTGGCGCAATGTCGATTTCTCGTGGGCCGTGGGCTCTCCGCCAACCGCCGTTTCTATGTCGAGGTCGGCCTTCTCATCCTCCTTCTCACTGGGTTGTTCTTGTTCGACACTGTCGGTCGTCGTCGTCGTCGCGGGAGGCAAGGTAGACTTGGTCTTCTCCAGTGTCTTTTCTGAGGCTGAAACCGCAGAGGCCCGTCTCACCTGCTCGACCTCTGCGTGGAGTCTATAGCCAGAGCCGGCCGTGTCAGCGGCAGGAATCATGCAAGACAAGACAAGTCAGATGGTGAAGTGGGAAGCGGCTTACTGCGTGAACTCGGTATGGTGGTCTGCCATGGCTTGACTGGTGCTGGTTGCCCACAAATGTTTTGCTTGCCCACAATACAAAGTACCTCTCACGATGCGGTTGCCGGAGGGCAAACATGTCTCGCGACATGGTCAGGCTTTTTAGGGTCGCAGCTCCAGGGTCTCAGGTCTCAGACTTGGGCCCCTGCGTGCGACTCTACTATCTGTGATGCAACGTCAGGGCACGAGACAGGCGCTGCAAGCCTTGATATTGTATGTAATTGATAACTATGTTACATGGGTGGAGCGGGGGCGGGTGTATATCATACCAGGCTGGCCCAATCAAGGACACGCCCTCGACGCGCGGGCGGAGCGGAGGATCGCGTTAACCTCTTATAAGACATTCCCGCTGCAGATCGTGGGGAGCCAAGCTTTCTTGGCGCGCGCTAGTTCCTCGGTACGGCGGCACAGCGGCACAACGCGGCGCAATAATACTACGACACACGGAGGACGTCAACTTTCAGATTTCCCATTACTAACCACCTACTAACCCGTACGAGGTATTCTGATGAGATCGATCAGCATTTGCATCCGACTCCGTACTTCCGATTTGGCAAGGCATGGTGGCGAGGCTCAGGCCAAGGCTCCGCTGATTAGGGCTTCGACACTGCAAAAAGAGCCGAGCAAATGTTCGCTTACGATGTGCAGCTCTCAGCTAGAGGCGAAGTACGGAGTACGGAGTAGAGATTTTACCTGAGTGGCGCACGCTAGAGTCTATAGACTACCCAAAAACAGTAGGTGACATGTATATGTATACATAAATACTATGTACGTGCTATGTACATAGATAGGGTTAAAAGCGGCGATTGGCCAGCCATGCTCGATCGGCCCCGGACGACGGCTTGGTCGGAATAGATTTGCAGCATAGAACGGAGTATGGAGTATCCGTACAGAGTAATACAGAGTAGCGAGTAGGTGGGGGTTAGACAGAATCCCATTCACGCTATATTCTACACATGGCAAGCCAGATATCACCCTGACGCTTGGAGCTGATCGACAATCAGCTTGGCGACATTCATCCCAGCGAGTGCACTGGTCTCCATGGTGGAAATGAAACTCTCCATGCTGGAGAGATAGTATAAGCTCTCACGCTCTTGCACGTGCTCACCCCCTGCAGGGGGCTGGTTCGTGTGCAAGGTGAAATTCTCAAATGTCCGTCTCGGCGTCTCATAAGGGTAGCTGTGCCAATGCTTTTCGTACAGCCATGTGATATCTTCTTTGGGAAGCGCAGATACCGGGTCGTCCTGGTCCTGGCCTGCTGGAGAATACGGGAAACCCAGAACAGAAGACACAAAGGTGGCCGTCAAAGGAGCTGGCGAGAAGATCTTGTACAGATACTGCGTCCCGGATTCGGTCTCGGTGTGAGTCGCATTTACATTTTCAGCTGCACCGGAGAAAACTTGGCCGTCTGTTTCGGGACTGAGGACGCGCAATGTGCTGATTGACCAGAACCCCGACGGACCCACGGCGTCGACACCACGGCGCGAGCCGAGTTCATGGTTGAGATCCTCGGGTAGGGTCGTGAGTACGGACGAAGGCACGTCGGCCTGCGAATCCACACCGAAGAATGCTGGCGACAGTCGATGCGGAGAGGTCAACAGCGTCACGTACAGAGAGACGTAAGGGATCTTGGACGGGGCATTGACGAGCGCCGGTGTGAATGAGATGTTGGCGAACTGATACGGCGCGGCGAGGATGACGGTGTCGTAAGGCTCCGAGTTAAACTGGGCGTCGAGGTCGGGATCGTTGGTCCGCAGGCTGTACGTGCGCTTTTCTTCATCTTGCACCACGTCGGTGACGGTCGTGTTCAACAGCACTCGCGAAGCCGACCTCTTGACCATCTCGGCGAAGATCTGCCAATTACCTCCGCCGACGGCCACGGCGCCTTCGATCGCCATACAGACCAGCGTCTCCAGGCCGTGGATTCCGCCCAAGTTCGAGGCGTAGTTGACCCGGGTGCTGGCCTGGATGATTTCCCTGCTGAACAGCTCACTGACCCGCGCCTCTTGCAGGATCTCGCTCCCAGAAACGCCCGTGTATGCTTCCAAGCCGGTGCTGTCCACCACCTCCTGCAACGAACGGAAGGGGAACAGCGGTTCCTCGTAGAATCCGAGAAATCTGCCCACTGCCGCCTTGGTCGTCCTTTGGGTGCGGACCGGACTCAACCCGTACTTCCACAGCAGCTTTGCAATGTCCCACCACCCTTGCCAGGAACCGCGGCGGCCGTCTTCACGCTCGGCCTTGAAGACGAACTCGGCCCCGTCCCATATTCCCAGCTCGTAGTCCGAGTCCGGCGCGGCCTGGTAGATCTCGGTGGAAAAGGTGAGCCCAAAGTCCCGTGTAGCATTGTAGAGGATGTGGTTGATCTGGACGAAGATACTGGCGCCCAGCTCGGTCGGGTAGCGCGGGTCGTTCAAGGCATTGACTGTCGTGGTTCGCCCGCCGATGCGTGGGTTCGTGTCGAAGACAGTGATGTCGAGCTTCACTCGGTCTTCGTCTTCTAGACCAGCAGCCGACGACTGTGCGAACTGTTCCAAGTAGTACGAGGCCGCAGAGCCGCCGGGCCCAGCGCCTATGATGGCTACGCGGTGTGGCTTCGATCGAGGCCTTGGGCTTGGGTCGTCTTTGTGGAGAGGAGTCTGGAGGTGGGACTGGGCTTGGGCCGCGACGGTGGACAGAAGGGAGAACAGCACGGCAGCGCCGGTGCAAAGTGTTCGGTTCAACATGTTGAATACTCAATACACCTGCATTGAAATGATTGCCTCCAAGGCAATGGCAGTAGTCAGGTACCTAGATAGGTCCTGTAGCTACTACATGTTTGTTTGGGGACTCGGACTGTCCATTTAACGTGGTCAGGCCATGCGAACTCGCTACGGAAGTTGAAATTGTTTGTTATGTTTGCAGCCTCAGCCTCACTCAGCCTTATCCCATCTGGGCCCGACTTTCGCCTAAGGGCCTTTGCTAATACGAGTCCTATAATTCTATGCTTTGCAAGATATCCTCCTTTTATCTCGTACACTCGAGGTAGTGGCAGTCATAAGTACCGCACCTCGGGGCCTTCCTTGACCCGGGTGTTGTTTAGGAAGAGGTCCGGGTGCGCAACGCACCATTGTACCACAAGTATACGATCCTTCTGGTCTTCCTAGCTCTTTTCGAACTCAGCACACCGCTGATATATCCACAGCTCTACCTCGCCCTGATCGCTCGGACGTGGCGGTATCGTGTTCTGTATGTATTGTATCCGGTAGCGACGTCGTCGGAGTGATATCTGCGTGAGATCGACCTCTTCTGTATGGCTTTCAAGAGGTCTTCCCATTATCTGTCCCGCCCCTATCAGCAGATTGTCGAGACCCTCCATATCGAGAGTGCCGTCAGCACCTTATATAGTATCCTCTCGAATGTTCAGTAAGGTTGACTGCGTCGCTCGCTTGTTGCGTAATATTAATATTTCGAGCCCGATATCTTCATGATCAGATTTGGACCACTCATCTCGAATCGCCCTATCCTTCTTATCCAGGATATCCAACTCCACCTGCCACTCATTGTTGGTTGAGCAGTTGATGACCCGCCGTGTCATCTCTTCTTGAGTTCGGATAACGAGTTGCGTCTTCTCGGCGAGGATCGTCGATCGTGGCCGTCGCAGCTCTGTCTGGGATGTTGCGATTGTTTTTGAGTGGCTTCAAATCAGCCTTTATCGAGCCATTGATCCATAAGATGGAGATACTGGTCATCAGGTTGGATCGTACTGTGTCTCAGGCTTGCCAGTTGAGCCGAGATGCCTCATCCCCCTGAGATTTCATGCAGCCCAAGTCAAACTCGGTAGCATGGTTGTATGGCACCGTACCTTGGCCTTCGCTCGAATGTAATGGGCAGCGAGATGTAGACTCGGCGATACCCATTGCATTTCCACCCGAGTCTCTCAAAGCAGCCCTTTGAGCTGCTTCTCTTTGCACAGCTTCAAAAATGCCTCGGTATTATGCTGGTCACTATCGTATTTGAACCCAGGCATGAGTGCAAGCCATTGGTATACACCCTCCCTGAGCTCTTTGGGTAGTCTAGGTGGCTCTTTTAGGACCTGCTCAAAGCCATCGATCACTTTCTGCGCCACGGCTTCAATCATGTGTTCACCGGCAGTCGTTTCTTGGCCTTGATCCAGTGCCTTTGACAGACTAGCCTTGTAAGCCAGCATGGCATTCACAGTCACTCCCACAGTACGTGGCCAACAAGAACTCATCAGATTCCAAGGGTCGCCGGTTGTGCCTTGGTCGCCGGCTCCTCGGAAGTCGGTGCGTAAAATGACGGTGGGGACATCGGCCATCTTGGAGACCATATATTCGACCACCGTACCAGCATCCAGCTCCGCTCCATCGTAGGTAAACAGGGCTAGATCGGAAGACAACAAGGCACAGATGTCTTGATCTCTGATAGAATGTGGACTAAGATCTCGCTGTTCTAGGTCTTGGGGCAATATGGGAATGAATTTGCCCGACGATTGTTTGTTGATGGCTTGAGACAAGAGCACGTTGTTATGCAGTTCTGCAATGGTGAACAACGGGCCGGCATGGTAGTAAGTGTATGTCTGAGGAGGATGGGATATCGTGCGCTGACTCGGGTCCAGCGAAGTATGCGCGTCTAGGACAGAGGGAGTGGTGGATTGTTCGCTCATTCTGAACAGACTGTCTAGCAGTCTAGATCAGAAGAGAAGAGAAGCAACAAGAAAGCAATGGTCGGCCAAGTCAACAATAAAATAGTAGGGTGTGTTAATGATAAGGAAAGGTGGATAAAACTACCTTAGGTACCCTAGTCTAGGTAGGTACTTAGGTAGTACTAGTGAACATAGCCTAAGGCGCCTAAGCCTTATCTCCTACGCATCAGTTAGGCACCTGCCGTCTGGGTGCTTAGTAGTACCTATCTGAGCCTGTCCCAGGCTTAGGAGACTGATTTTAGGCACTGTCAGACTAAGGCTTAGGGGCTCCTTAGCATCCCTCCCGGCTACTACTGCTCCGCTATCTGTATGCCACTTCATCCTCACCATGATTCAGCCAGCCTCACTCTTCCACCTCTACCTCTCCCATACTGCGCCTGTCGAGGTGTTGAATTGAGTCACGGCTGATTTATTCACGATATCTCTTTCTATCCAGATGGATTTGACTGTATTCGTACCCTGGAGTGTATACCTATACGGACTATGACAGTTATGATTTGTCCAGTTCGACCGTCACCGTCACCTTCACAAAACCAGACACTGAACTTTCTCTATGGCCACGGGTTCCTCCTGGTCACTAAGGCAGACCCTACAACTATACATGTACAGTAAGTCCGTGGTTGACCGTCTAGTCCAATATCTGTGATGATCCCGGATGGATGCAGCCCGCCTCCTGTGCTTGTGCTTGTGCTTGTTCGCCGTCCAAAACTTGAGGCTCAAACCAAGAATAGACCGCCGTCCGTCCTGATGATGGTTCCAGTGACATTCTTGTCCTTGATCGCGAAGAGATAACCCTCGACGACGTCCTCAACCGCGCCGACCTTGCCGGTGGTTGTCTTGCTGGCAAACTGGGCCAGGGCCTCGGGCTTGGCCGGGCCGAAGCCGTCCCAGAGCTCGGTCTCGACGGCGCCCGGGCTGACAAGATTGACTCTGACGGGCTTCAAGTCAAGGGCGAGGCCACGGGTCAGGCCGAACAGGGCGCTGGCATAACTAGCGATCACGCTCCAGCCGGGCGTCGGCTTTTCTGCGGCCGCGCCTGTGGTAAATGTGATGGATGAGGCAGGGCCCGGATTGAGCACGCGGCTGCCGTACTTGGCCACCAGCACGGCTCCAAAGAAGCGCACCTGACCAAGCTTCCGCGCCGAGGCCAGGGTGACATCGTCGAGCGAGCTGGGGGCCAACGCGTCCCCGGCGGTGAAGACAATGTGGTCAAGCTTACGGTCGATCTGGGCGAACAGGTTGCGCACGTTGTCTTCGGCGTGGACTTCGTCGGCCAGGTCGACGGTCAGGCCTGTGACGGTGGTGGTCTTTGCCGTTTCGGTCGGATACGCCGCCTTGAGCCTCTCGACAGCCGCGGCCACTTTGCTGGACTGCGACGACGAGAGGTAGATGTGGCCTACGCCGTTCTCGACCAGCGCCTCGGCCACGCCGAAGCCGATACCGGACGAGCCGCCGACGATGAGGACGGCAGTTCCGGCGAGTTTGGACGTATATTTGGAGGTGGATGGCATGTTTGCGGTAGAGAGTTCGCAGGCCAGCAGAGAAGGGATGTGAGTGAGACGGGATGACGGGGCTAGTTAAATACGGTAGAGGACGGGAAGAGTACTGCAATGGCCAAGGTCGAGTCGAGATGCTTTGAATCAAGATGTAGGATGGACGAGAGGTGAGTTGAAGCGTTGGTGTTGGGATGATACAATATATATACCTACCAGGCACCTACCAGGCAAGTACCTAATAGTAGTACTCCGTACAGTGCACGCAGTATTCTGTATGTGTATAGGCGATACAGTAGCACGCTCGGTCTTCGCTCTCCGCACTCTGCTCTCTGCTGTCTTCCTCTTTCTATCTTGCTCTCTCGCGGAGACCCCGCTGTCCTGTACTGTACTGGGTACTGTACTGTACTGTACTGTACTGTACTGTACTGTACGGTCCTGTCCAGAGAGGTCATGGTCTGCTCTCCGGTCTTTGGTCTCGGTCATAATTTTAAAGTCCGTACCTGTCTTTCCCTTCTCTCGTATTCGAGTGCATATCCCATCGAGGGTACAGTACAGAGACACATATCCAGGCAGACACATTATTAATTTTGCTGGCCGTCTATACAAATGTCTCCGTGGTTTCGGACGAATTCCAGGCCGCTGCCAATGCCAATGCGTGTCAGTACCAGTAGTACGGACGGAGTACGGACGGAGTCGTGAAGTGAGTGGTTGAGTTAGTGGAGTGGGCCAAGCCAGAGCGTGAGCACAACAGATACAATCGACATCACATCATCGCCATCATCACCATCATCTTACATGTCAATTGGGTTAGGTGATTACTGGATTTATTCATTGATGACGATCTCCCTGAGTTTTTGCCTATTATTACTCTGTAGTATATACAGTAGGTAGGTAGGAGGTTAGGTAGGTACCCAGGTATAGGTACCTAGCTAGGAGGTAGAGGAAGGCCCCTAAGCCTACTAAGGCCTAAAGCTACCTACCTAAGCCAAAGGAAGAACACCGAAGAGGCCCCGAACTGAACCGAACCGAACCGAACCGAACAGGACAGAATAGCGACGTGGGTGTGGATATGGATGTTGCGTGTTGACTCGAATACAGATACAGAGTACAGTACGTGGGGATGGGGACCGGCGACCGGGGACCGGGGTTGGGGACCGGGGTTGGGGAACGGAACGGACTTATAGTTGAGCTTAGTCTACTGTACACCTTCTGTACTGTACGGATAGTATCACCAGTATAGTATAATAACCTAAACACCTGTCTATAGATAGCTGACTCATATCATAGAACCTACCGTCCTGTATTGCCTCATGCAGGCCTGAATAGTACCCAGGTACAGACAGGCTTGTATAACATGACATGGTAATCCACCACTCTGGCTAGGCTGCCTGTCGATTCGTCTCATCACTGCAGCCAGCTCGTCTTGACTCTTCCATCCGTGTCGAGATCGTAGCCCACTGACCTGCGATTGGCTTGTTGTCTGCTGCTCACCCGGCGACCAATAGACTGGGCGATGCCAATATGTCCAATATGTGCCTCTTCGTCTTTCGTGGAGGCGACCATGCGTTCCTCGTCGTCGTAGTCATAGTGCTCATCAGAGTGCCTCCGGCTCTCGAGATCGGTCTGGTCGGTGGCCATGCTCCCCGATCCTCCATCTCGACTTCGCGTCCATCCAAAGTCCTTCTGGACGATGATCTGTCCGCTCTTCAGCGCGGTGACGGTGCTCCCCGCTCCCGGCCTGTCCTCCAGCGGGATCGATTCCGACTTCAGGCGAGCCCCTGACTTGGAGACTACCGAGTTGAACGGGCTTCGTCCCGCATGTAGGCCGCTCTGGTCTTTTCCTGACTGACGTCCTCCACTTTCTCGACCGGAGATGGCACTGGTGAACTTTTGTATTTGTTTGCCCAGGAGGCTCTTGAGAGGAGGCAGCGAACCGATGATGACCGAGATGGAGCTTTCCACGAGCCCCCACACCGCCAGCCCGACCGGATCTGCGCGCGCTTGCCCAATGATCTGCGTCAGGCGGATGATGGCCACCGCGATAATGGCCAAGCCTAGAGAGAATACAATCGCGAGTCCGATCTTCTGCGGTCGCGTCACTTGGAGTTCTTTCAGGAGGCGGAGAGGCAGCGACATGATCATGAGGTCGGACAGGATATCCACTGCGGTCGAGTACGAGATGCTGATTGTGCTGCCTTTCTGATCAATGGGTTTGGTACATTGGCCTAGCACCCATGTGTTGGTTAGGAACCTCCAGCAGAAAAAGCAGGACGGCCGATGTCTGCTCACCGAACTGGAAGTAGGTGCTGGGTGGATGACATGTCCAAGCACTGGCGATCCAGCATCCGAAGTAGGCCAGCACGGTAAAGACCACCACAGCCCACCAGATGCGCTTGTAGTGAGTCAAGCCATCGAACAATCTCCAATACAGCGAGAGGAAGCTGGCCTTGACACACCACAGCACAGTCCACATGAGCCCAATAATGGCAAACTGATATTTGAGGTATGTGGTTCCCTCGACAATCAGCTTCTCGTCCACAGGAACTCGGCCGATCGAGACATAAATCATATAGTACAGAGACTCCGTCTGGAGGGTTTGAAGGATTGCATTGACGGTGAGGACCACAAAGCTAGCCACCATCCAAAAGTCGTCGGTGAATAGACGCCTCGCCTCGCGGTACCTGGCAAAGAGTCGTAGAGAGAGGAATATACCGGCTGCTCCCACTCCGGCCCACGCCACCGCTTTGAGACCTGCTTCATCAAGCCCTTTGGCCGCTCCTGTTAGTCTGGCTGACACGCCGTCGGATGCCGTTGCCAGGGAGTCAGACATGTCGGACAGCTAAAGGATTAGCTTGATGTGAGGATCCGAGTAGTAGGTACGGGTGTCTAGGGACCAACGGTGAGCTCGTATAGAGAGCCTTCACAGGTGTTCATAGCATGGACAGTATCAAGGTGCCACTGAAAAGGTCCGGAAAGAGGATCGACGACCAAGAACGGCCATATAGATATCTTTCCCTCGGCAGTAGTTGTGAACCTGTGGGGGTAGAAGGTGTGACAGGAGTGCTCTCGCTCGAAATAAGGCCATAACGCCGCCGTTCACGCGGGAATCTCCAGCTAGTTATTGGAAAGTCGTGACAGGGGGTCTTGTTGCCTGACTCTGAACAGCATGCAGTGGTGTTCAAATGCGTCGGCTAGCAAGGCACAGGGACAAAACTAAGACCATTGATACAACCGACCAAGTGATGGCGAAAGCAACATCACAGTCTGCAGACCTAAGCGTGAGACTATGCCCAGGGAGTAAAGGTCCAAACCCAGGAGCGTGGGCAAACACTGGACAGGGGAGGCAGCGAAAATCCCCTGGTGCGTACAGGTAAGTAGCCACAACTGTTGCCACGAGTCTCCAGGAACAACTCCAAAGCAAATTCGAACACTTGCCGTGTAGTTGGTCTTCCAGGAGAGCATGCCGCCTTGCAATGATGCCGTACGGAGTATCCTTATACATACTCCGTCCGGTTGATGATCTGTGGCACTCCTCTCATCCTCTTCTCCTCTCAAAACCTAGAACAAAGGAGCTGGCAGTACTGAAGCTGTTCCGCGCCGCAGCTGCTCAAAATGGGGACTCTCCTGAGGTTGACAGCTAGTTACTGACTCCGCTGGTGCTAATAATGATGAGATGCCTACCGGTTCTAACGAGCCCGCATATGAACGAGCAATTCGACAGTACCATGTGGAGGTCCTCTGTTCCGAACCTCACCTGACAATGCTTCTCGAGGTAGTATTAGCGACTGTTAGTCGACCACGCCGAGGACGGGAAAAACGCAGGAGCAGGACCAGGAACAGGAGAACGAGATTGCCACTATTCAACCGACTAGCTGGACCGAGTAGTAGGTGGGTGCCGAGATATTCTGGAGAACAGCCTTCCCGAGTCCGGGCCGTCGCGCCAATTTCCTGTCCAATCTTGAAACGAGGAACCGAGTGCAGTACGCATGGAGGCGGTGCAGGGTATTCTTCATCATGTCGTTCCAAGACTCCAGGTCAAAGAGTCATGAAAGCACCATCTGGTCGAGGATGAACAATGGCTGCCATGATCAAGACGGCCTAGGGAAGTACGGATACAGTCTGTCTCTTGCTGGAGCCCCTAGAGACGATTGATTGATTGGTCCGGAGCCATAGGCTTGATCGCTGACAGGGCTCCCGCGCCGCTACTACAGCCGCCTTGAAGCCGTCGTTTTGAGATCGTGCCTTGATGCTGGTCGTTCTACATCAGAGTAGCATTGGGCCTGCGTCAATCTCTATCCCTCGTCGAGGAGCCGTATGTGTGACAGAAGCCATGCTCCTAGATCTTGTACAAGCTATCTAGTCCCACAGGGACTTTCTTGCTAGTATCCGTACCCTGTATTCCGTACATAGCTATCGCAGTTGATGAGAAAATCTGTTCAAGGTAGGCTAGGCTTCGTTCTTGGTCGATGACCTGAGATTGGGATGATAGTCTGTATCTATGTGTTGTCTGTTGGGATTCTATACTCTGCACAGGCGGCCGCTGGAGTCTTCTCCGAAGGCGTCACTGCCGACGCATGTCGAGCAGTAAAACACGGAGGAAGGGTCGTATTTCTGCTTGATCGACAATAGCTTATTGTAGTTGCTGCCGTAAAAGTCAATCTTCCAGTCAGGGTCTAAGCGGTCCGCTTCGTTCATGTAGGCACCAGTGTTGCGTGCTAATGCCTTCATAGCTGCAGTCTTGACATATGTGATATCATGTTGGATCGAGTCGACGACGGACTGTGGCGTTCCAATGGGGTAACCGCGGGCGACAATGTTGCTGAAGTACGACCTTCTCCATGCTGGGAGTACACCCGAGAATGGGTCTGACTTGTCTGCGAATACTTGTCCGCCTCCGACAACCTCGAAACTGTTAAATGCATATTGGTCGGGCGTTCCGGCAATAGTGCCAACCGTCTCTCGAAGGGCGGAAAAATTAGAAGTGACCGATGCTCGGTCAAACAGGCGTGATCCTAGAGTGGCTGAAGCGCCGACCTGGCTCTCAACCCCAGATTCGGTGTTGTAAAAAGTCCAGTAATCGGAATAGGATGCGTAGGTCTCCGAAATGAAAACGCTACTCAGGTTATACGGTGCTAGCCTTGCGCGTGTGGCGTTGAATGCTGCTTGGGCTTCAGCAACGGTTTTGTTGAACATGTAAATTCCGTGGACGTAACCCGCAGTGAAAGTAGCAAAAAGTGGCGTCGGACTGTTGATCGCCCATTCCCCGTAACCGGCATATCCTGCATCGTTCAGATCGGGGTAGGCCGAGTACAGGATACTGACGGTATCCAACAATCCTGAAGTATCCGAGCTCAGGGCGCCGATCGCCAAATGTTGCACGGCGACGCTGACCATCGGATGTGCTTTGATTGTCGTCGAGACAACAACTCCGTAGGTACCACCGCCGCCACCGCGAAGAGCGAAGAAGAGATCGCTATTCTGGCAGGCGTTGGCAGTGACCACAGAGCCGTTGGCAAGAACTACATCAATTTCAAGGACTTGGTCCGCCCCGAGACCGAATTGTCTTGATGCCGGTCCGTGGCCACCTCCTTGCATCCAGCCTCCGATCGTTCCCACAGAGGGTGTGCCACCACCCACCACCACGACATTGTTGGCTTTGGCCTGCGCGTATACATCGGCCCAGGTGTATGCGCCAGCGATCTTGAACGCACTGCCAGTCCAACCACTCTTGGTGCAGCCTGTGGAAGACTTGAATGCCTTTTGAAAGGTGATGCCGTTGCGCAAATGTCGTATCCAAACTTCGAGACCGCCATGACCTTCTGATCTACCAAGGAGATCGTGACCAGTATTCTTAACAACAAGACGGATGTTGAAGAGTTTGGCGAAGGCAATTGTCAAAGCGACCTGTAGCGAGCTTGTACTGTCTACCGCGTAGCTCGGGCTTACACCCAGAGTACATGAGCCTGTTGGTGTCTCTCCTGCACTGGCATTGACAGGAGGGCAGGTGATATTGGTGGGATATGATAGACCGACGACATTGTCGGCCTGGAATGTTGCATCCTCCCAGTTTGCATCGACATAGGCACATTGAGATGGGTTTTGGTCAGGACCGGGATAGCATGATACGGCCACCGGTTTTGTCTGAATTAATTTCCCGCCAACAGTGACATTGAATACTTTCCAAATCAAATCTGCAGGCCAACAACTGTCGCCCGGTACCTGAGACCGCTGTCAGCACTGCTTTGCTGAAAGGGTCCAAAGCAACATACGCATTTACATGAATTGCCCCCTCGAAAATTAGAAGCTGTAGAGATGAGAGAAGTCGCAGAAGCAACGACGTCAGTCGAAACAGACGCAGCGGAATCCGTGGTCGAACTGGCATTGGCCGCAGCGGTCACAGTTGTAGCAGCCACCAAAGTGAGAAGCGAAACCTTTGAAACAATGGAAAGCATCGTAAATGCGACGAGCACGAAAGAGAAAAGAGAAAGCAATGTCAAAGGAGTGAAAACAGGTTCTCGCGTGGAGCCAAACAACGATCGTGAGGGGAGAGAGAGATGAGCTCTTATGAAGACGGGTGTCGGTGGTGTTGCTCGATAGGTCTGTTCTCCGCCACAACCCATGCAAGAGAAGCATACATCCGTACTCCGTACTCCGTACTCCGTAGTAAGCATGATAACTCCATGTTTGTTCCCGGCAGGAAATTGGTCGAGGCCATCTGGATGTCGTACACTAAGGACCTCGGGTACGAGGGTTGTTTCTGAGTCGGGCCTGGAGGATGGAGGATGGAGGATGCAGGATAGAGGGTCTCGAGTCTCGACAGCAATGTGCCTAAGGCACACTAGAGGTCGATAGTTGAGGGTCTGGTTCTCATCTACATTGCAACTAGGCCGAGGAGGCGTCTGCAACATAACATCTTGCCCAAGGTTAGTGGGGGAATAGTCGTCAAAAAGATAGGATCGCTTCAGACACCAACACGAGCGGGTGGTTTGGGTATCGGTTCGCAGATCGTAAAGTGGAGGGTGGTTAATCAAAGAGATTCCCCTGTCTGCAAGCCACTGGTGACTGCTACCTAGTAGGTTGACTACCACCCTCTAGCCAGGTACGGAGTACACTGGTAGAGTGGTGGTACTGGAGGCTAGGGATCAGTAAGGTACCCAGGCACCTAGTAGGTAGGGAGTACGGATATAGAGGATAGAGTGGTACGTTAACTTAGACCGCAGCCTGCGCAAATATCCGAGCCGACCACCAACCAGCCAAGAGTACCTAGGTATGTATGTTAGGTAACTACTAGGTACATACATAATTGCAGTACTAGTAATCTAGAGTCTGTAGCCCCTTAGCCTCCTGAGCCCCTAAGCCTGGGCCTCTTCAGCCCTGAGTCCTTAGGCTCCGTCTGTCAGTTGATCGTCTTCCGCCCGCCTCTTCCCGCCTTTACACTAACAAGATGACCACCCTCTGATCCCTGTCCTCGAAACCATTGGGTCCCTGTCGTTCTGCAAACACGTTGCCTCGAACTCGGATCGAGAAATCGAAGCCGCAAACAGGCAAATTACCAGCACATGTTCAAGAGGCGGATCACACCGCATTGTGCAGCGCAGGGAAATGTGCCCTCTACACGGAGGGACGAGAATGGTGGAGGAAAAGACATACCCTTGACTCATTTGTGTCCGGTCTTTACGACCAATCTACTAGTACTCCCGTACTGGGTAGTAAGTACCAAGTAGTACGACTGGTGAGACGGCGGTACTGTACTCTGGATGGTACGGAGTAGGTACATACTGCTACTCTGTAAGCAATGCTACTATCACAATCCAGGCAGCTCCAGTCCGCTAGCTGTTGCAATCGGCTTGTCTAGCCGATCGACCCTCTCGACAGCATCTACGTATGTCCTCGGCAACAAGCCACGAGCTCACGCGGCCAATCCAATGTCCGAGCATAGGGACGAAACTGTGTCCACCAGCGTGGAGCATTCGCCTTGCCTCCCATGGCAAGCATCTGAGCCCAGATCCTGAACGCCTTTTGGAAGCATTCGAGTCTTCTAAATCGCACAAGAGAACGACTCCTTCGCTGGGGACAGGTCTCCTCCACCCTCGCCCCGCGTGGTGTGACTGCCGGGCAGCATGTACTCCGTACTGTGCAGTGTATGCGAGCCTTGCTTAAGCAGTACCGCACTAATGGGGCTCAGGGGCTTCCTTGGCCCATGCCGATCGCCGCGGTGAATGCACGAAACGCTATGGAAAGGATCGAGGTTCGGCGAGACACTGAGCAAACTGAAGAGATGAAGTCCTGGAATCCAGATGATTACAAAGTCGGTTCGCGTGTTATTTCGCCCACCGCCGCCGTGCCCAATGCACATCTGGTAACCGGGAATTTCCCTGAATGTTATGGATGCTTTTCAAAGAGTACCGGGCGCTGGAAAGCAGGACTCTTGCCTAGAGTCAATCATGGTGCCGGCACGCCATTTATGGTCGCCGAGATCATCTCCTGGCCCCTCTGCCCATAGCCGCTGCTTGATGCATGTTCTGGAAGATGAGCTTGAACCCGTTGCACAAGTCGCGCATTGTGGGATACGGTTGCTTCATCAATTCAAATCCTTGTGGGATCACTCTGACACTCCAGTCCATCAGTTTCGCATTCTGTCCGGCCTTGAACACCAGGTGAAATTGCCCTGGTCGATCTCGATTGATGCAGAACTGATACATGGACCGTTTGGGGTTCGCGTTGGTGTATGTGGTCAGCCATTCCTCTGATCGGACGGGTTAGCATCTGCCACGGTTTTTGGAAGAGGTTCAACGTACCTAGTGCCGCCTTGGACTTGTCCTGGAACTTCTCGTTGCCACACATCTCGTCCACTTTCCGCGCCATGGCTTTGACGTGCAGCACGATCAACTCGTCCAGGTCAGAGTAGTTGTATCGCCCACCGATTCGCAAAGTCCTGCCCAAAGCAAACTCGTTCTCCTTGTCGAGTTCAAGTACGTCAATATGCTGGAAAATACCATCCGCAACTTTCCATGTCACTGCCAGATGGTCGGTCCCCTTGGACGACGGTCGGATCACAACATCGCCACGGTTTTGGTTGGCCAGATACTCTTCTGCTTGCTTGGCATTGAACGGCCGGAAGAGGGGGTGTTTGACTACGCGAGTGGCGCGGCTCCCCAAATCTGTCTTTTCTTCCAAAAGCTTTTTGTCTTGTGCCTCTTCGCGGTCATCCCATTCGTCGTAATTGCGGTCGTTGTGGTTGAATCGTTTGAAGGGCTTCTTCAGCTGGTCATCTCTCAGGCTCACGGTGACCGTGAAGTCTTTTCGATTGATGGAGGTAATATGAGCTTGCACAGTCTGGTGCAGGGTGTATAATTGCTTCGGCGACATTCCAGTTTCCGACCATTGGCCATCCTCGACGACTGCATCCAAGCCACAATCCAATTTTCCCTCGATGTGGGTATCTGTGATCCGCTTCAGAGAGACTGGGACGTTCATACCTCGTTGCAGAGATTCCCTTGTCTCACCTGTGAACATTGTGAAGATCTCCGATTCTCCCAGATTGCTGCGGAACGGATTTCTGAGTTCCTCGTAAGGCTCGTTGAGTTCAGCACGGATGTTTTCCAATGTGGTACGCTTCTTCGCGTTGAGATTTTTCTCCAGTTGTTCAGCATACTCTTCGAGGACAAGATCATTGACTCGTTCTTGTGCCTCTTCTCGGATAAGGCGGCGTACGATAGCAGCAGACCCTCCCTCTTGTCGCTCAGCTTCGATATCTTCCTCGTCCAGTTCGAGGGCATCGGCGGCCATTTTGCGAGCAATGTCGTAGTCTTCAGGGTGGACGCGCGTTCCGTCTAGGTACTCTGATGTAGGTTCCGATTGCTCAAAGGGGATGTATAATGTGGCTGCCGCGTTGCTCCACACTTTGAATCCCATTGCCTGGTGTTTTTCATTAAGACCGAGCAGGTCTTCACGAGTGGTAATGAATCCTCCATTCAAATTCATCACCTTCAGGAGATGGGAGGCTTTCCTAGGACCCAGACCAGCCACATACGGCAACAGATTTGCAATGGCACTGTCGCTTGTGGCTTCGTTGATGTCCACCCCGACCATGTTAACAGTGTCGACCAGAGCCATTTCAAGCTTCTTCAGGAGCTTCTCTTGAGGCAGGAGGTTCTGAGCTGGATGGAAACTGATCGATACGATGTCTCGTCCCAATGCGGCGTATTCTTTCAGAGGGTCTTGCATATACCTCGCCAGAGCAACACAGTAGAGAGCCAGTTGTGGGAATCCAGGATGATCGTGCTTCGCTCGGTCACTCGTTTGATACATTCGAGCGACCTCATCATTGACAATGATCACCTCCAAAAGTTCGCTCCGGTCTCTGTCATCCTCATCGGAGAACACCGGACCTCGAAGGTCATGATTTTGGACCAACGTTGCAAGGTTTGACTGCAGCTTGCGGGCTTCAGGGCTCCAGCCTGACACTCCAATGACTTCGGGTTCTCTTCGTCGGATGACCTCAAGCAGCGCTTCGACATCTTTACCGTCCGGGATGTTACGCTCACGATCACCAGGGCCAAGTTCCTTAAACCGACCGTGTTCGAGGACTCTGCCGTCGTCGTTGACATATGCCCAGTAGATCAAATCGCGACCAACGGCTCCGCCACCATTGGACAATGTGAGAACGCGAGGTGTTGTACCCTTCTTCATACCTCTGGGCTGATAAGGGCTTTGATCAAGTCTTTGGTTAAATTCCTCACGGCATTCGATTCCAATGGCGTTCTCGCACTGTTCCTTGAGGTTTTCTTTGACCAATCGACCCATAAGCTTCATCACTTTCTCTACGGCGGCCGAGACAACTTCGCGCCGCTCCGCATTCCAAGCATCCGCAATGGTGGAGTAGTTGTCGGTTTCGATAAACTTGTAGAACTGTTTCTTGACATTCTCGAGGGTTTGCAATTTGACCTTGACTTCAATCAACCCTTCTTCTTCGGCCTTCAGCATCTTCAAAAACAGATCAGGTCGTTGGGAGAATGAGCGAAAGTCCTGGTTCCGCAGATACTTGAACTCATAGTATGGATGCTGCTCATCGATCTTTCTCAAACCCTTTTCGGTGCGGTGACAATCTATGACACCTTCGATGTATACGTTCCTTCTGATAAGCCCTCGAAATCTTGGATTGTTCGTCAGCTCCTCGATGAACATTGATTTTGCAGCTTTGAGAACCTTGGAACCCGTCGGGAACTCTTCATCGATCATGGTGTCTGCTAGATTCTCCGGGCTGTCACTGGGATCTTCTGCATATGTACGGATACCTTGACGAGCGGCGTTTTGGGCGAAGCCGTCGGCAGTGATGCCAAAGGCACGGACAAGCCCAAAGGCTTTTGAAGATCGAATCTCCTCGTACACAGTCTTCGTGGTGGCCTTTTTTTGGGACATGTTGATTCCGTTCGTCTCGCCGTTGGATGTCAGCGCCAAATCCTTGAGCTGTGATGCGTACTGGAAATATAGATAGTCCTGGAGATCCTGAAGTTCTTCCATAGTCGCTGCAAGAGGTAGCATTTCTTGAAACGTGCTGTCCTCGGGGATATTAGTGGATTTTAGATCCTCATAAGTCTTTTGCAGTGCCTGTCGCTTCTCAATCACAGCGCGGTATTTCAGGTCATGCTCAAAAATCTGCCATAGATCGCGCTGGACGAGTAATCGCGTTGCGTCTGCGACTGTCCGTTCGTTGCCATCTTCATCCCTTCCAACGACTTTCTGGACAACGTGGAGAAGATAGTCCTTGCGATTCTGGAATATGAAGGGAACCTCGTAGTCGTCTCGGACCATGAACTCCAGAACTTGTGCGATGGCTCGCCTGAAAGGTTCGTGAAGGTCGGAGGTGAACTGCTTACCCGGAAGCATGAGATTAGATATCCAGCCGGCTTCCTCTTTGAACTCGTCCTCTGTGAGTTCAACATGCCGATACGGCTTTCTGGCAAGTTGGTGTCGTTCTGGCTCATCGGCATACCGAATGACATTGTCCTCCTCAGTCAACATCTTCTCGGCTAGCTGCGATGGCTCAAACACATCCTTGAGGTCAAGATGTTTGTCCTTTTCGGCCTCAACTTCATCTGCCTCTTCCTCTTTTTCCAGAGCAAAGTCGTAATCAGTCCCATCACCGAAGGCAGCACGGAAGTCTTCTAGAGCCTGTTCATCGAGGCCAGCTGCATCTGCGATACCCAAGTCTGGGATACCTCTTCGATTTGGCCGCGCCACCTCTTCGTCCTCGCGCTGTCGCTGCTGCTCCTCGTCGGAGAACACATCTTCTTCGATAAAATCATCAAACTCATCCTGCAACCCCCGGCGATCGGGACGACTTCGACGAGTGTAATCGGGTGCGTCATCCTCCTCGTCGGACTGACCGAATATGGCGTTAACGCCGGAGATCTGTTGAACATCTCGATCTTCGCGTGGACCACGTTTGAGTCGTTTGAATTTGGGTTCGGGTGCCCCCTCATTGGGTTTCAATCCGATCAGCTCGAGATCTTCTTCATCAAGCCCTTCATCTTCACGTTCCTCGCGGCGCCGTTTCTTTCGCTCGCGTCGTCTCTCTCGGCGGGCTTCTTCGTCTTCTTCGTCTTCATCGACGATGAAGTCTTTAGCGACCTAAAAGAGCTGTTAACATTACCACATCCAAGGCGCGGTCGGGTGTGGAGCTCACCTCCGCAGCGGCCTCTTCGTCGTCATCGTCCTCCTCCTCGTCCGAGGAGTCATCGAAGCCACCGTTGGTTCCGTTTGTCTTCTCCTTCACCTCACCCGTATCTTCGTCAAAGGACTCGTCATCATCCTCGTTGTCAAGGATTGCACGATCATCGATGAGATCCATGGTGCAGCCGGGGCGGCTTGAGCGGCGCGCAATAGATGAGCCAAACACAAGGCGAAGAGCGGAGATTAGACGGTGTCCTGATAATCTGACCTCTGCACTCCTCTGTCTGGCAACAAGTCGCAGTGAAGCATTGTTGCTGGTAGGAACGTTCAAGGGCAAAAAGGCTGCGGTGCTCTCGCCAGAGTTTCCTTTGCAGCAAATGGGTGCAAACAAAGCAAACGCCATCCTCCGCTGCTAGCTTGCTACGGAGGAGCATTTGCACCGTCTCATTTGCAGTGAAAGGAGTCTAGAGCTCACACCATTGGTGGGCGAGCGTTCCAGGTCAAGTCGCAGGCCGCGCAACTGAGACTAGACTCTTCTCACTTCGACGGCCTGCGTTCGAACTGCGTATCGTAACTGACTGAGGCCCCCCGAATAGGCGCCTTCGCTTGAACCTAGACCATGTTATTGGTGATCTCTCCAGACTATCATCTACCTATGCAATGAAATTTTGTTGAAATCTCCCTTGTTCTGCATTTGCACTCCCGAAATAAACGCCTTCATTGTCAACAGCCGTCCGAACCTACCCTCCCCCTGTCCGCAGAAGCCGAGTTCCACGATTCCATCTTTTCCTTATAACTCAACCCTCTGTCACCTGCGGCTCGAAGCCTTGGTCTAACGTGCTCTTGTGACACTCAGACGACTTGCACTCTTCAGTGTTAGCAGACGCAGGCATAGTTGTCTTCGAGGTCGGGCATCCTTCGTTGACTGGAGCAAGATAACCGCCACCCATTCCTTCACCAGCAGACCGTCCTTCATCTAAGCGCCCATGGCTCAGGCTGTCATCCCGTTTGAGGTCTAAGGTAGCCTCCCAAATTACTTCTCTGCACATACCCGCGCTCACCGATTCAATTGAACGTATTGTGCACCTCCGTTCTTCCTCGAACCTCAACCTAACGGTACCATCACAAGAAACCGTCGATTATATCGTACCCAGGCTTGCCCAGACACTCCTGACAACATGTCTGACCCGTTCAAGACCAGGACATTGAAAAGGAAGAACGTGAAGGGGCTGGCTTTGAATGCTCCACCTCCACGGGCCGCGAATCCCTCAGAAGGTGATTCGCAAATTCCAGGTGCCCTGGGCAATTCCGATAGCGACCGGACAGACACGTTGGAAATCGGCTTGGAATTCAAACTGGATCTGCGAAGCGAAGACCTGATAGTCCTCAAAGAGTTGGGTGCTGGCAATGGAGGTACTGTCAGTAAAGTCATGCATGCTTCTACCAAAGTGATCATGGCCAGAAAGGTGGGCCTGAACAATACCCCTTCAAAATGTCTCAAATGCTGACAGGAGGACAGATAATTCGAGTCGATGCGAAAGAAAATGTCCGCAAGCAAATTGTGAGGGAACTGCAGGTTGGGCACGACTGTAGTTCGCCGTATGTGATCACATTCTACGGTGCTTTTCAGAATGAAGCTCGTGATATTGTGCTTTGTATGGAATACATGGACTGCGGGTGAGTTCTCAAATCATCAGAGGGTTCTTTGGAGGACTAATGACAGCTAGTTCCTTGGATCGTATATCGAAAGACTTTGGACCCATACGTGTCGACGTACTTGGGAAAATAACCGAATCGATTCTAGGTGGCTTGGTCTACCTCTACGAAGCACATCGCATAATGCACCGGGATATCAAGCCTTCAAACGTCCTAGTGAATTCTCGGGGCATGATCAAGCTATGTGATTTTGGAGTTGCTACAGAAACCGTCAACTCGGTCGCGAACACGTTCGTTGGCACCTCGACATACATGGCACCGGAGCGAATCCAGGGAGGAGCGTACTCCATCAAATCAGATGTGTGGAGTGTTGGTCTCACCGTGATGGAATTGGCCATTGGGAGGTTCCCCTTCGACTCTAGCGACTCTGCTGCAGGCGACAGAGCCAGTGCTGGACCGATGGGTATTCTTGACCTTCTACAAACCATTGTCCATGAGCCTGCACCGAAATTACCCAAGAGCGAAGCTTTCCCGGCCATTTTGGAAGACTTTGTGGCCAAGTGTTTATTAAAGAACCCGGACGAAAGACCTACACCCCGGGAGCTGTACGATAGGGACAACTTTCTACAAGCTGCCAAGAGAACTCCGGTCGATTTGCAAGAGTGGGCTGTCTCGATGATGGAGAGACACAACCGCAAATCCTATCTAGCACCTCCGGCCCCAAAATCTCTCAAAAGCGACGGAACAAGCTCTGATGCCTCGTACACAAATTCCGTCGCATCTACAGCATCCCTCATAAGTGATCCTCGGAGCACACCTGTTACTACCAGACAACAACACTTTCCTGTGTCCGGTCATATACCTGTTGCCGCCCCTCAATTTGCGGTTCAACACACACCGACGGGTTTCGTGGAAAAATCACCCCCACCTCCGCTGTCATTACAACACCTGTCCCTGGAGACGCGAGATGCACCGACTGGAGTTGGACCACGTGCAAATCGCCTTGGGTACAACGACCGTGATAACATTCCTGAGCCTGCTTCCGCTATTGAACCCTCCCAGCGGCCAATGTTTCCTCCACGAACAAGTAGCAGCGGTTCTGTGATCAATGGACGAAACCCGTTAGGAAGTCCGCCACTTTCCTTGCGACAACCACCACCATCAGGTCCACTACCGGCTCCACCAATGAAGGATCTGCCGGCACCACCGACATCGTACAGTGCGGGAATAGCTAGTCCTCGGCGACTACGGTGATAACTGGGAAACATTGTCGAAATTGGTTTGGGACTGTGAGCGTAAAGCATATGTGGTTGAAGAGAGCACCCTAGCATGGCCCAGCATATATTCAGGCGTAGCACCCCTACAAGCATCTTCAAATTCATTGTATAACCTCGTGATATGGGAAACATTTAGACGGAAAATGATTCGAAAGGCCGCAGTTGCGACATACTAGGTAGTATCTTTTACTGCTGAGCTCTGAGCAAGGCTGCGACTCCTGTCGGCCCGCGCTGCCTCCGCCTATCCCTTATCAGTTCTAGTAGCACGGGTTACTGAGCCGCCAAGGTTTCGTCACAGCCTGGCCTCAACTACTGGCAGTTGGCGGTTACGTCCGAGATGCGCACCGCAGTCTCACCAGCGAGGGTCAGGCCCCGACTGATTGCAACTCTTTCACGTTAGAAATGGAAGCGGCCTCTGCTAGAATGGCGTCGAGGAACCAGTTCGAAGGGTTCGCACCGCCACGGTCGACGCTTCAACGGTACATCTACAATGCCTGCGACCCGGTAGCCAACCTCGAGCCCAATCTGGCCTTGAACCTCGAGATCGTCGACCTGATAAACTCCAAGAAAGGCAATGCGCCCCGGGAGGCTGCGATGGCCATTGTCCAACTTATCAATCACAGAAACCCAAATGTCGCCATGCTGGCTCTATCATTACTAGACATTTGCGTCAAGAACTGTGGCTATCCTTTCCATTTGCAGATCAGCACGAAGGAATTCCTCAACGAACTCGTCCGCCGGTTCCCTGAACGGCCTCCTATACGCCCAAGTCGTGTACAGGGCAGAATCTTGGAGGCTATTGAAGAATGGCGACAGACAATATGTCAGACCTCGAGGTACAAGGAAGATCTAGGCTTTATCCGAGATATGCATCGACTTTTGTTGTACAAAGGCTACATGTTTCCAGAGATACGCAGAGAAGACGCGGCAGTGTTAAATCCGAGCGATGTAAGGCACACGTTTACAAGACAGCACTCATACTGACGCCTTGTAGAATCTCCAGTCTCCCGAGGAAATGGAGGAGGAGGATCGAGTGGCACAGTCTGCTAAGCTTCAAGAGTTGATTCGGCGGGGCCGACCCCAAGATCTTCAGGAAGCAAATAGACTGATGAAGGTGATGGCTGGCTACGACACAAGGCATAAAACAGATTATCGTGCAAAAGCAGCCGAAGAGGTCGCCAAAATCCAACATAAGGCCAAGATTTTGGAAGAGATGCTCCAGAACCATAGGGAAGGCGAAAAGTTTGCAGAAGGAGACGTTTTTGAGGTATTGGGTCCCCAACGCCCATTGACGCCTGTTGCTAACGCAGCGTAGGAACTGGCATCAGCGCTTCAAAGTGCACATCCGAAAATCCAAAAGATGTGCGAAGAAGAGTCTGACGACGCGGAAGCAGTAGCCAAGCTTCTCGAGATCAACGACAGTATTCATCGAACAATAGAGAGGTACAAACTAATGAAAGCAGGCAACGTCGAGGCCGCCAACCAGATCGCGAAGGGTACGTTGGGTACCACGACAGGAGTTGGCAAAAACGCCGCAAACGAGTTGTCCTTGATCGATTTCGACCCAGAACCGCCCTCTGCGCTGGCCGCCACAGATGGCAATGGCTCTCTCCTTGATGCTGGCCCTGGTGCTTCGACATCAGCTGCGCCGAAGACCGTAGAAGATGACTTACTTGGTCTTTCCCTGGGAGACTCCGATCCTGCGCCACTGGGTTCGATCTTCCTGGGCCCGGGGGGAACAACCGGCGCACCTCCGAGCTCGAGCTTTTCAAACACCCTCAATTTCCAACCAACTCAACCTCCAGCGCCTCATTGGCAGACTGCGACTTCGCCAAAACCAAACTATGATGCATTTGCATCCCTTACCAGCACATTGCCGGCCTCCAAGCCTGCAACTCCCATACCAGCCGCGCAGCAGATTCGACAGCCCAGTCAAGCACATAACGACCCTTTTGCAGCTCTGGTAGGCTCTAGTTCTCGGCCATCGACGCCACACCAGGCGCACACGCAGCCGGCACCACAGGCATCCACAGCACCGAAACAAGCTTCCTCTCAGCTGACTGAAGACGATTGGACGTTCGAATCATCATTGCCAGGGACTAAGGTTGTGAAAGTACTGTCGTCGTCCATTGAGATCGAGTTTGAACCACGACGGCCATCAGGACAGTCAGCCATCCAAATAACCGCTCGCTTCTCAAATACCACTGATCAACCAATCAGTGGTGTACAGTTTTATGTTGCTGTGGAGAAGAGCTACTCACTGGAGCTTAGGCCCCAGAGTGGGCGCGAGATGCGACCTAAATCACGGCACACCATTCAGCAAGAAATCATTCTCAATGGGGTGCCAGTTGGAAGAGGCAATGCGGTCAAGATGCGATTCAAAGTGTCTTACGAACTCAATGGGCAGCCGCGGGAAGAGCAGGGCAATGTACCTTCGTTGGGAATTAATTAGCGTGATAGAGGCTTGCGTCCTCAACCATTATGAAATTGTTGCAGCCAGCAAAAACGGGAACATGACGCGCGAGCCACAGTTTCAAGACCAACTCGAATGAAACGCCTCCTGAAGATACCATGCCACAGTTGACACCACTCCGTTCTCTGGTTCCGATGCAGAACTCGAACTCCGACCCCTCTCTTTGTACAAATCTGGTGCTGTGTTCCCTTTGACTTCCCTTTTGACTTCCCTCGTGGAAGGTCTTCTATCCCCGGTTTTCCACTGTAGCCCTTGTGCCGATAATTTTGCCCTGAAATAGCAGCGAAGTATTCATCGCTCGCAAACAATGGGAGCTTTCATTGGCGTTGCAAGAGTACGGGCCACCATCAGCCGACCGGGGGAATTCGACCAGTGTCAAGGAGAGTGATAGGCAGCGATCGACCGATCAGCACGCGGTCAATAGATCCGAGGACAGATCTGATCTTGCAGATGCCAGGGACCCCGGGGCGGAAGAACATTCCAGGAGGACTAGCAGAGCGATACTAGAGCGAGGGTAGGAGATACTAAGCAAGGTATAGGCAGGGTGTCAGGGTCCCAAGGACCACTAGACACGAGAAGATCATTCTTGAAGCTGGGAGGCGTCCATTGACAGGTAGGAAATGCAGTGGGTAATTAGATGGACAGCTTTGAGATTGCGGATCCTGGAGGTTGTACGAAACTCAGCGATGGGAAACCCGGCAGATCGATTTCCTGACTCTACTCTTTGACTTTACTCCAGTAGATTTGGAATACCTACAGTACTCCGGAGATACTCCATACTCCATACTTCCGCCGGAATTGTCTCAGCCAAAGAGTTGGTCCTTGAGACCACCGCATGCTAGCAATAGTTTCGCGGTTTCCCGGAGCCACCTTCATGCAAGTTACCATTACACAGTGCAGCAAACAATACCCCTCCCCGATCGACGATCATCGCCAGACTGCTCGGTCCAGCACCAGCTACCCTACCTTTAACTTCGTCCACTATGTTCCTCCACGGTCCTCCACGATCGCCTCTAGAGTTGGCTCGTGGGTGGGTGCTAGACCCAAGCCCACAATATTCCGCTGCGGACCGGAGGGAGGCGTAGCAATGATCAGGGGAGGGGGGTGACCACATAATTTGACAAAATACGATGCTGGTAATGGGGTTTTCTGCACAGGCCAAATGACGGCAGCTCCGCAGTGAACATTCTACGTATTACCCTCAACGCCAGGATCGAGCTCGCCAGAGCTCCCGAGTAAGGTTTCTCTGCTCAACCCAATACCTACCCCTTCCGCGAACCTCTACAGAGGATCCGTATCCTGCAGCGAGCGTCTGGGCTAAGGACTCCCGGCCAGTCGTTGCTACGACGGTAAAAGAATCCTAGATCCGCCTCAAAGTCAGGTCACTTTGCTTCTGTTATCCCGCTGCCATCACCGTCAAACCCGTCACTTGACGTGGCAACAGTTACAAACCGGGCGATTGGCGATTCACGCTAGGATCTGGAACTACTGTATGACCATTAGAGCCAATGACGGCTGCGTGAAGATCGGACATTGGTACGGGCAGACACCGAGGTGGCCTAGGGGCTGTTGCCTAGGGGCTCCCTTAACCCCTTGGAAGGCAGGTCTCTGGAGCTGGGGAGCACGAGATGGGTACCATCGCAGTATCAGACGGCAGAGAAGAGCTATTGCTGGTGACGCGTGGGACGGGAATTTGGGGGATTCTGGCTGGCCGCCAACACACTTCCTCGACGAGCGGGATCAATACAGGGGCCGCGGGAGAGAAACATCCCAGAGGACGTGGATCTACCAATCCTTCCGCCGTGATCACTGGCCTAGCGGCACTGTCAAACTCTATCTCACTCCGACCTGCCGCTTCGAGGATGGTGGCCCCTCGATTCCTAAGGATTAGGAGGACCCTGTCGATAGTGTGGGCACAGGGCACTGGGCAGTGGGCACAGGACGATCGCAGAAAGGGCGGCATGGCTGTTCCGCGACACCATTCCCTTCGTTATGCTCCTGTTGCCCATTGTGAGGTACCTACTTTCAGCCGACCAGCATGGATGTCCTTGCAGGTACGAGTATTCCTCGGGCCTTGGAGAACTTCTCAGGCCACCCGATCATGCCGGCTTTCACAGCCACACGCCAGAATACTACTACCTGATGCGCCCGATCCTCACTTCAACAATCGCCTCCACGTCCACCCCGGCCATCGACGCTACGGCTACATAACTTTGGATATGGGAGGTGTCTCCTGGACGTTTGTATCCACTCAGTCCTCAGCGTCACCAGCGTCACCAACGTTGTACGAGCCGTCTTCCTAGGGGAGCTTGGGGTAAACTCTACGCTGCTCTGCTGGCCATCATCCCCTCAGGATTTCCTCTGCGGCATCGCCACTTGGTGTAGCTTCCCTTTTATGTTCCCTCTTCCTCGCATCGCATCTCATTTCATCTTTCCACTTGTCCATTTCCCAAGACATCCTGGCTTCCGAGTGACTCAAAGTACATTGACCTCTTTGCCCGACGCCGCAGCAACGTCTCCAGTTCACCTATCTCCTTGCCTGTGAATATTGTGTCCTTCAGGCTGTGAAGCTGTCAACGCTCAAAGTCGTCTCCAACTCCGGCCCTGGTTACAAAATGCCTCCCTTAAGGACGACGTCACCTGCCAAAGCGCTTAAGACCGAACGAACTCATGAAGAGAACCAGGAGAGGTACAGCAACCGTGATTCTGGAAGATGGGTCTTCACGCTGACTTTGTGCACAAGAGCATATATCGCCGCGTCAAGGAGAAGTGACCGAAGTCTTGAAGCTCGCGTCGAATCAGCACGAAGGGCTTCTGAAATCCACAAACGCCGTACAGGACGGTCACTGCGCGTCACCGAGCAAGATGTCATCAATGAGGAGATGTATGAAGAGGAGGATGATGATTTACCCCTGCAGTACCGACGCCTCACAGCACATCTCCAGACGGGCTCCGCCGACTTCAATCGACGGTTAGCCGCTTACCTCACAAATCAAGTGGCGATGAGAAGTGCAATGGAACAGATGATCCAAAACCCATATGCTCAGTATCCTAACGGCGCCTACCCTTCAAGGCCCAACATGTTTGCCTCTCCTCTATTATCCCACCCACACATGGCTTCGCCGGCTGCCGGCGGATCCTACCGGTCTGCCCCATATCCATCTCCCCATCATCCTAATTTTCGTTCCAACCATGGCAGGGCCTTCTCCATGGCCTCATTGCCATCCCAGCAGGAACGACTGTCCCCTCCCACATCCGACCCGCCCGGTTCACTCGACCACAGGAGGATGTCTACCCCAGCTTCAGTACAGCCCCGAGACCCATCTGCTGGACAAGTGAACATGGACGGGAGAAATCCGGATCCAGAGTACCTCCGACAGAGCCAGTCCGTAGTACCACCACAGACGGGTTCCAATGCCTTCCCGATGCCATGGCAAGAGATCAGTCCCTTCACCACCTCACTGCCTCCCGAGTCTCAGCAGATGCTTGCTCACGCACCTGGCTTCGACTCCAATGACCCCAGCTATGCCATGCTCATGCACGGTTCAGACCAGTATGTCTCGAACCCCTACTACCCATGGCACGACATGCAGAATGTAGGCGGCATCAAAGGCATGCCCGTCGAACCCTCGGCTTACCAGGGTATGGCGGTGACCTTGGCGCCCGCGGCTTTCGAACAGGGTGTCGAGAGTACAAACGATACCAACTCTGACTCGACACCGAAAGACACGCACGCAACGTCTTCGGCGGCCGCCCGGACTGCCAGCGACGCCAGTTCCCTTCCCACCGCTGGTCTGGACTTTAACTTCAGCCAGGAGTCCAAGGGTCTCGGGTTTGGCGGCGCAACCGCCCTCACGCCAGGTCAGATCACACCGGCCACAGAGGGTTTTTGGGACCACTTCGTCATGGACGGAAGCTGGGACGACAGCGCCGAGGTCGAGACTTCAGGGTCTGGCGGCGGCAGCAATGTTGGTACATGAAGACTTATCTGTACCTACGCGCGTGGACGATGCCGTCCGTCTGTGTCACTGGCGGTGTTGGTGCGGGTTGGACAAGTCACCGCTCGCATGCACCGATCCGCCATGTCCAGACAACCCTCGTCCTTACTTACTGCTTCTCTCTTGTTTTTCGAGCCATTTGGCTGTCTTATCGAACACATCTCCTCTCCCGTCGGCGCAGAGACACACACAGCTGCCGCGAATGTTTGGCTGTATGCTTCGATGGCTGCTGGCTTAAAATACGCGCCCCTGTCTACAACAAACCCTTGGCCTCGACCCTGGATCAGCTGGCTCCTTGCTTTTTGAATTGTTCACTCAGAAGGTTAGCTGCGCGCCTGTTTGGATTCGATTCGATTCGATTCGACTATACTATACTATATATGCTCATCGAAGGAGCTCTCGTTCTTTTTCTGCTTCTGGTGACAGGCACTGTCTTGTCTCTCGTCCGCTGTCTTCTTCTTGGCGGGAGCGTCACGCTATTGTCGTCGTTAATATCAGCCATTTAACAGCAAAAAGTGGGAATTTGAACTTCTAATACTCATTACATATATCATATCTACCCGGATTCAACTATTTACCCAACCGCCTCAGGTGCACAAGAGCGAATATCTCATACACATACATGCCAGTGGGGAATGGAGTGTCCCTTAGCTTATATCATATGGGCATAATTCAGAGAGAGGAAGTGAGAGGAAAGCTGTCAGATCGTCAGGCAGGGTTGGAAAGCTTAGCTACCTTGCCTGGGATGGAGATGCAGAAAATAAAAACAAAACAACTCAATATATACACACCTACAGCAAGCAACACCATAGGATAAAACAAACAATATGAAACATGTGGAATCAAGTTCCGTTGCAACGCAACTCGACCCGGTCTATCTTAGGTCACTACACAGTAGACAGGGAACTACTCTCAGTCACGACGCTTCCTATCGTCGCTGTCGCTGTCGCTGTCGCTGTCGCTGTCGACACCAAATTCGAGTGGATAGTGCACTCTACGAGGGAGCCATGAGAGCAGGATGGACCATGGAAGATGGAAGCGAGTTCAGCAGAATAGAAGAAGGATATCCTATGTCAACGGCACTGCACACTTGCCTCTTCCCCTCCTTGCCTGTCAATAACTAGGTACATACGTACAAAGGTAACGTTTGGAGACACGGCGGCGTGCTCCTGCTGCTGGTTATCCCTTCGTTCTGTCGCTCACATGTCTATGTCTGGTATATGCAATGGGACCGTGATCCCGACTTGGAGCTTGAATCTCCGAAGCACTAGTAACTGCGCATTCAGCCTGGCTTCTCTTCGATCCGATTCACTGGCCCGCACGATCAACCACAGTACTGCGTCACCTTTGCCACCCGAGGAGCAGTCCTGTCTGTTGCTTGGTCGCCGACTTCTTCAACGAGGCTCGACGTCTGCAAGTCTTTCTCTTCATCTCGAAAACCCCATGTTTCACCAAGTCGAGCTCATCCCTTTCCAGCTCCATTTCCCGGTGGTGCAGCCCCTGCGGCACTACTTCTCCGAGATCTGGAATGTTCCCCCGACGCCCGCGACAAACTCGATCCTTGCCCAGTCAATGACGGACGCGGGCCTAGGTCAAAGCTTTTCCTCACACTGCTCGAACTGCTGCGGCGGCGTCTCATGCGAATTTCATTTGGGTCGGCGACATCACCCATCCCACCAGCGCGGGCGAAAAGAATCAGAATGTCCGTAAGGCTCACGACGCCGACGAGACGGCCGGAGATACGGGCACCAGGCAACGAAGAGGCGGAGATGCTAGGCCCGGTCGGCGCGATGAAGGGCGCTTTCGGGGAAGGATCGGCAATAGAGGTCGAAGAAGGATCGGAGGCTGTCGAAGCTGGTACAGGCTGTGCTCCGCTGCCCGTGAAGACGGAGGAGGCATGGCTCGAAGTTGGGGCGACCGTCGCGGAGTGAATCGAGGGCGTGGGTGGGCCCGAGGAGACTGGCGAGGCAGGATCCGTGATCCACAGGCGATGAGACTTGGTGGCGACGAGTTTCGCGACTGTATACGCGAGCGTCGACAGCGGGGTGACATGGAAGACAGGGAACGAGTCTTTTCCTTCGTGCATGCCTCGCGTGGAGAGGATAACGGTGATGAAATGGATGCAGGTGTTTCGCAGCAGAGGCAGAGAGGTGGACTTGGTGAGCAGCTTCACGTCGATGTTGGAGATGTTTCCGATCACATTGTAGTTGTGGTCGACCACTGCCAAAGAGGAAACCCCTTCTGTCCAGAGCAGGATGAGGGCCTCTGCTAGAGGTCGGTCGCCACTGGGATAGTTGTTAGCATTTGAGACACGCAACGGACAGCAAATTACCTACTTGATCGCCACGACGTCGTTGGATCCAATCTTGAGATCGCGCAAGTGCTGCGTATACAATTGATCCAAAACCGGGAAACTCCTGCCATAATCCCAGAGGAACCTGATCAGTCGTGTTTGACTCAGCACCCCCGTTGCCTCTTTGGTCGTTTCATCCACGACCACAACGCGATGGACACCCTTGCCGAACGTCTCTATCGCCTTGAGCAAATCCGACTCCTGGCTCAGGAATGTCAAGGGTTCTTTCTTGCTGAGCTCTTTGATATCTCGAAGATGCATGGCCTTTCCTTCTCGTGCTTGCTGAGCCAATCTCTGGAGCTCTTCTGCGCGGTCGTTGTCATCGGGCTTAATCAGTCCTACAACCAACAGCAGGTAGGCATTGAGGTCGCGATAGTCGAATGTTCCAATGACAGGCGAGCCAGCATTTTCGCGAACGAGGAGAGCAGGGGCCGCTGACTCGACCAGAATCTGGAGCTGGTCAGACCTGATATTCACGACTTGAACGAGTGAAGAGGGGCCTCATGTTACCTTTGTAGCGGCTTCCACTGCCGTGTCATTGTCCACAAATCGGAGGTCATCTGGGCTGACTAGCTCTTTGATTTTGATGGTGGTCCAGTCGCGACCTGCGAATTTGGGATCTGGGTTCTTCATTGGAGGATTGTCGATGAGTTCTTGAACAGCCAGCTGCGAGAGGGAAGGCTGCCGCTGTGATCGAGGGGAGGGAGGATGGCCGCGTAGTTCGTTAAAACTCTGGCGGTGTTGAGCGGCGGCGCTGGGCATGGAGGGGATGCGCAGTGACGTTGTTCTGGAGGCGCCAGTGGGCGACTGTGCGTCGAGACTTGATCTGCTGGAGGTGGGAGGAGAATTGAAAGGGGGCTCCCGATTGGGTGTCGACATTATCGCTGGGCAGTGGTTTGGTTAGTCGCTTGGTGGTGATGTGATGGTGTTCTTTCTGAAGGATTTGGGATGGAATGTTGGCAGGAGGCTGGAATCCCAGAAGGCGGGGAGGGCAAACTGCTCAACCACAGCAACCGTGCGGCGTAGTGGTGCTACGTCGCTCGAGCATATGGTGCAGCACGACTCAGGCGTATGCTAGCTATCTGAGGCAAATGGTTATCGAAGGTGGTGAGTGTCGTTTGCAGTCTCGCGACACTTTCAAGGTGAGGTGTTTGTTTGATGGTGATGGTGAATCACGCGCTCAGGTGAGGCATTACCACCGCCTCCGCCTGCGCCTGCGCCTTTCCCCAGGCCGCCGCAGCCTGGGTTTCATTCATTGTTCTACAACCGACCATGTCGCCCTAACGAGCATAAGCCCTTACCACCAGTTGGTCAGGGCTCAGGGTGGGTGCACCAGCTGGAGATTTGCTTAATACTATCGAAGTGTGAACCGCCATTACTGTTTCTGGCATGCACCCTGAGCCCAAGGCACTTGGCTCCATAACACTGTACCTCCATGGCTCGCGGGGACTGAGATTGTATTCCTGGTCCGTCCTCCGTACTGTGTGTACTATCCTATCGACCCTGGAACTCATTGAGCATGTCCACGACGCTGGACACCTTCGATCTCATCGCCGGCCTCCGTTTCGGCCCCCGTTTGGCTGGCGGAGACGGCGTCCCTTGTGAGACCATTTCCTGGTTCCGCAATCTCTTCGTGTGATCGCGACCGCTAAGCTGAGACAGGCCTTCCCGTTCGGCCCAGGCCTGAGTTCTCACATTGTCGAAAAATATCGTCCGCGTCGAGGGAAAGTCGTCGATAATGTGTGACCACTGACGAGGTGATCCTAGCCAGACTTCCAACACCGGCAGCCTCCCCACGATGTTCGGCCGCCGGGTATGCGCGAGGCTGCCGAAGAGCTCCATGCTGCCATAGTAGCAGCCAGATACCGACCCATAGTAGAAGTCCTGGTTTCCAATGATAGGACGTAGACTTTTGGCACTTCTCTTCGCATGTCGTGCCTCCCAGCCTGCCGCCTGCGAGACACCCTCCCAGTCTCCTCGATTCCGCTGATGCATCTTCGGACAGTCCGTGAGAACTATATGGCACAGTGATGGGAAGGAATCAGCATATCTGAAGATCCAATCTGACAGATTCTCCTGCCAGCCACATAAGATGACACGTAGATGCTGAAATGCCTTCCCTGACGCTGCTAGTTCCGCCCACGACCGCATCACCCGTTCATCAAACGTAGACACGTTGTTGTCTATGGTCACCTGTCCGTCGGAGAGGTCGAGGACCGCCAAGTTGGTGACCGTATGGATGGAAATGAGGTCAACCGTAGTCATCTGCTTAGGTGACACACGTAGACAAGTCAACCATCTCATCTCTTGGGATGTAACGGCCATAACATAGTCGGTCAGTGGAAGCAACGGTCGTTTGATGTCTAGAAGGTATCTGTATTTCGGTTGGCCGAACTCGCCTTCGCCGGGATACGAGGCGGCAAGAGTCCTCCAAGCATGGAAGCTTTCGCCTCTTCTGTATCGACTTGTTAGCTGAGTAACGTGGAATGAGAGCAACTTCCTACATAGCCACCAGCTGATTCCACACCCTCTCCGCGATCGACCAAGGCACAGCCGCGAAATGGTCCGGGGTCAGATTTTGGAACTGCGTGGCAACCTTGACCTTGGCCATGTCGGCCAGTGAACGGGCACCATGCTCATTGGGACGCGGTTTCTTGACCAAAGCTGGAGTCTTTGGCTCGCCGATCCAGTCAGAATACTGTCTCCTGTTGAAGCGTACCTCGATTTCGGAGTACACCTGTCCCGACTCCGGATCGTACTTTTGCTCCCCTATTGGCCTGGGAGGCATGGGAGTAGGTCTCGGTCTTGAAGTCCGGTGCGGCGTCGATGCGGAAGGCTTCATGGTCGCAGTTTCGTTTCCACTGTCTCAGAGCTAGGGTCTGATACGGCATTCGGCCGAGAGGAGATGCAGGATAAATCAAGGCTGGAGGCCTCATATGGACCGTAGCAGCTTGGTCATTGCAAGGAGAGATTCCTTTTCCATTCTAGTTGATATCATCAATGTGGAGGCTCGCGTCGAGAAGCGTCGTCGTCCTCCGTCCTGGACTCGCCCAGTCAGAGATTTTCGTCGAGACGACCGTAGGGATTGCCTCTTGTAACTGGCAGTTCGGTAGAGCACCTGGTGAGGTCGATGAGTTACGATCAAATATGAAGTTCTTCGCGTCGCCATTGCCAAGACTCGATGCCTAAGGAGCCATAGGACCACTACTATTATCCATAGTAACTGCACGGAGGTAGTAGTAGGTGGACTGATACTAATTACAATACTACACGGTAGTACGAACACATATTGCTGAAATGATCGACGCAATCTCAACCAGAAGGCAACAATTGACCTGGTCTTCACTCAATCATGCTTATTATCCTATCTGGAACCGGTCGTGCAGTCAGCTCCACCAATGTTCATCTCTCATTATCTGCGTCGATTTCTTGCAAACTGTCGTTACCAGAATCCATTGGACCGGACAAATCTCTCTTGATGTTCTTTCAAGCTCGCCCAGTGCACAAGCTCTTCCTCTTCAATTTCTTCGGGAGTTCGCAGGAGACCTCCATTAGAAGTGTCGGCCACGCCTCGGTAACGCGCTGGGCCCAATCTTTCGAGTCTCGACAAGATCTCTAGGAACGTGTTGAGGTAGATGTTGACACTTTCCGAGTCCAGGGTAGGCATCACACTCATTCTCGAGCGCTTGGTCTCGAGTAACGTCGAGGCGACGGTCCGGATTTTATTGCACTGTACACAATCAGCATGAGCGGTCGAGATGACCCGGTCCGACTTACGAAACTCATCCCGTTCGGTTCCATGTTGACCTGGTTGATGCTCTTGAGGAGAAGGGCCATATCACGCACAATATCCTCGCGCTCAACTGCCATCACTTGTTCGCCCGAATCCATCAGGCTATCACTTGGGGTCCGCCCGGCGATCTGTCTGCTGTATCCGTGCTCCATTCCCGCGGTCAGTATACCTGCTGTGGGAGAAGAACTCGTCCCCGACTTTTCAGAAGCCAAAGCCAGTTTGTCGCGGTCCACGATTTCATACAGGTTCCAGAACCGCTCCACGAGATATGATCTCGACGAAAGTTGCGTGGCATAAATGTTGGCCTTTTGTATCTCGAATTGTATGGCTCTTTTCGAGTACGGCTGCACCGACAAAGGGCCCCGGGTGCTCACAGGGGTTAAAGTGGGGTCGGTATTGGTTCCTTCATGATCATTAAACAGATGAGAGTATGCTGAGATGTCGGTCTGGGTAGGTGGCCATTCGCCAAATCCGTTGGCTGGGTTTAGCTGAAGTTCCTTTGGGGCATCTCGAGTGGCATCCTTCACATTCTGTAGAGCGCGGCGGATGATTTGACGTTGTCGGTCCCAATCGTAGACGGTATTAGCGCCAAAGGCCATTTCCAAGGCGGCCAAAAAGTGAAAGGCCCTGAAGACCTTGACGTTCAAATTGAAGCCCACCAATTCCGAGACAACGCCGCGTGGTTGTGGAAACACCTGTGACTCTGTGATGAATTCATCGTCCACCTCTAAGGGAAGAGGTGGGAGCATTTCTGCATGTGATACTGGAGGCATCAATAAATCACCTTCAGCATCATCAAGTTGACGGGCCGACATGGCGCCGACGAAGAGCAACCAAAAGAGACGCCGACCAGACTCTTGATAGATGTAGTCGACGATTGGGTGTTGATGGTCATCTACAGAAGCGTATGTGTGGCCGGGTGCTGATAGAGGATGATGATAGTTTTCCGGACGGTGAAAGTTCAATTCCCTCGTGATAATGGTACACTCGCCCAAATACAACCGCAGGCGCCGAAGGTCCAAAACATAGCCAGCGGCGAGGCCTGTCAGGTAGCTGGCAATGCCATCGTAAAGGTTCATCGGCCTGTCTTGGTATCCAAGGCCTCGAGCTTCGACAAAGATCTGGTGACACCTATCGATCAACGCCCCAGCATTCGGAAACTGCGACCTGCCAGGCTCGGACATGAAGAGCTGTCGCGGTCTCCGAGGGAATGAAGCCACCAGGCACTCCATCATGGCCGCAATCAGAGCCAAAAAGCTACTATTTGTTCTGTCTTCTCTTGCTTCGAAGGATCGGCGGAACGTGGGCTCGTGCGGGAGAGGGATCAATGGATGGATATAAGTGAAATAGTCGTCCAGCAAAACCTTCAAGGTGGGTAAATCGCAGATCGACTCGGCGGACAGGGGAACGGGAGCTGAGAGTGCTGCCAAACTGTAGGCAGCATCGTGGGTGGGTGAACCTCTGGATGCCTCGTATGCCACGCCCTCCAGCTTCTGCCTCTTGATGGCTTCTGCATGTCTGTTTGGAGGACCCCGGCGTCGACTCGGGCGATCAAAGGTGCAAGGGATATCGAGGGCGGCGCAGGATTTACATGGAGGTCCGGTCTCATCGCACTGTCCAGATTCATTCAGCTTTTGGCGCCGTCGCAACCGTTGGGGATGTGATTTACCTTGACCTTTCGCACGCTGCAGCTGTCACAGGCTTTTCGCAGCCGGACCTTGGGTTCTGACGAGCCGGCTGACTGTGGCCTTGTGGACTTTGTCTGTGGGGGCTCCGGCTCAGATCTGGGGATTGACAACGGCACCTCGAATTGGTTGGAATAAGTGCCTGGGATTTGATATTCTGAGTGGTCTTCGTATTTGTACGCGCTGCCCGGGTCTTGAGGTTGGGTGGACGAGTAAGACCCGGCAGGCGAGATGGACGACATGGTGAAATCAATCGCAGTCCGTGGACGCGTGTCTTTGTTGTCTCCGTCCGCAACAATCGAGGCCGACGGGTGAACGTCGGCACATAGCAATTTAGTATTGCGAGGGCGAGGGCTTAGGAGACTCCGTCAGATCGGATGAAAGAAATCCGGGGGGCTGGTGTGGAGGCAGAGGCGAGCCAACTCTGACTCGACGCGACAGAAAGTCACAGCAATATTGAATGCGAATGGAACTTTTGGGGGGAAAGCACCAGAAGTGTCGGCGCTGCTGTTCTCAAGCCTCATGGCATTTGCCGACGAGGGCATTCCAGATTGGGGCAGGGTCAACAGCTGCAGATCGAGTCGGGCCGTGAAGACATGGAAACTGCAAGGTTTGGAGGGGTGGCACCTAGTTAGCTAGGGTGCGCCTGGGTGGTGTGGTTTGGTTTCTGCGGAGAAAGGGAGCGAAGTACGGAGTATGGAGTAGTACACTACACTACACCAACGGTGACCACACTAGGTACCCAGTGACTACACTACACTACTACCAAGGTTGCTAGTCCGTCGTACCACGAGGTATTTACTTGACTGTCTGTGAATGGAGGCTGGAATCAAAACGCAGTGGGGGTTTTGGGTTCTCAATGGTGTTTGTGATGCTGCCCACGCCTGGGACTCTGCTAATATGAGAACCGGAAAAGCAAAACTAGCTACTGCCGGGGCCTGAAGCCGACGACATTGTGCACCATCGCCATGTGGCGCACAAGGCTGCTCAAATGCATGACACCGCGGTGGTTGGGGCACCGACGACAGACCCAAGGCCTGAGACTGTCAACAACCACCCCAGCACCAGCTGCGTCGTCACCGTCCTCGCTGCTGCTGTCCTCGCTTCCGCTCTCCTCCTCACTCTCCTCCGTGTCCGTCTTCCCGTCCGTCTCCTCCTGACCACGATCACTCTCGTGGTCGGCCATCGGCCTGGACGCTCCCTCCTCCTCATCCTCCACCACTACCACCTCAACCTCCTCCATATCCTCCATCTCCTCATCCTCGTCCTCGTCCTCCAGACCATGGTCATTCCCATGGTCGGCCATCGGCCCGGAGGGTCCTACCCTAACAAAAAACCCCTCCCCGTACTGGTACAGGTCGATGGCGCGGCACCGAGCCTCATCAACCCAGACCTGGTCAAAGATCTGTCGGACTGAGTCCCGGCGGGTTTCAACCGCACCCACCAACAGACGCAAGGTGTCCAACTGGAACTGGGTCAACCCTGACCGAACCCCCGCTTCGACGTGCGTCATCGCCACCGTGACACGACGACGAACCTCAGCCTCGAATTCGAGGCTTCGGATGTCACCGAGCACGTTAGCCTCCTCGGCCCGGCGAAGCAGAGACTCGACACCTGCTCTGTACGCCACCGTGATGTCCGGCGCTCCCAGGGCTGCACGGATCATGGCGTCAACCGCCAGATCACGCACACTTGAAGAGACCCTGTTGCCAGTCGCCATCTCGTGTGGGTACCTTGTACTTGTAACTGTGGCTGCTATTGGGGATTGGTCAGCATGAGGATCAAACGTGAGGGTGAGGGTGAGGGCGAGGTGGCTTTCACTTACAGTTTGTTTGGGTAAGGATGTGCTTGAGGATGACAAGCTTGTCGCTGTCGCTGTCGCTGTCGATGATCCTTGCTGTTGAGTTTTGCTTTGCTTTGCTCGAGATTGGATCTTGTTGAGATCGACAGTAACGGTGAGGATATGGCAAGGAAAGAAGAAGGGAAGAAGCGCACATCGCACGCACGCGTTGTATTTATCTTCTGTGAGGTACTGGCAGAATTGTCTTGGCTGTTGCGCCGAAATTCACTATTGTTGCCATATTGGATCGTGCCGTGAAGGTGAAGGTGACAGTGAAGGGGAGGGTGCGGCAGAAATTCTTTGTTGTGATGTCTGCGTGCCCGTAAGGCTGCAACCCCCAGTGACAATCGAGGCGAAGATCCAACATGCCTAACCGACAACAATAGAGTCAACCACTTTTCTTGATGATGACGATAATGACAATGGCAGAATGGTATGTGTTTGTGTTTGTTGTGAATGTGTGTGAACACGTGAATGGGTAGACCGTGGCAAACAACCGACTGCTTGATCTCAAGGTCTCGCATGCCAGGTAAGAGGAGAAGATGATGGCTAAGGTGTGTGGGATTTAAGTAGTCGAGAAGCACTCACACTTTCGGCCAAGAGAAAAGGGCTGAGCGTCTGACCACAACGGCGATGGGTCCTGGGGATCGTTCACGCTCAGCGGCGAAATGGTACTGAGGAGCGTTATATATATATCGGCGGTCAGGTATTGTGGAGCGTGTCTGTCTGCTACCCGGACTTGGGTATGCTCTCACTATTTTGAAAGCAGCAAGGCTGTTTCTTTTTGAAGAGAAGGAGAGGATCCAGAGTACGGCAGTGGAAGCAATATACCTTCCAAGTTGCTTCATTGACAAACAAGCAAGCAAGCACAAACAAGTTTTCACAATTAGTGACAAAAGCGGGGGCCACAGCCTTCCATCCAGGGCATCTCAATTGCACGAAAGGCCCGAGGTCACTGGCTGTCCCATGGAAGGAAGCAGTCTTTGTCCGCAAGAAGCGGTCTTCCAAAATATGGCAATATGACGATTCGCTCCGTTTTCAAGAGTGCGATTTCATAGATTTTTGGTCGATACCGTCCTTTAAGCCTTCTTCCACCGGACCCGGCAAACCCATTGAGCCCATTTCTGAACGTCGTCTCTTGAACAGATCAGGTCGATGGTGTACCACTCACGGGCTAGCTCCTCGTTTGAGGCCATCCTGTGCACAAAATTGTGGCAGGCCCGGCACAGCCAGGCAACGCTGTTCAGTCGTTTCTCCTCATGCCAACCCCTTTTCAACACTTTGGCATGCACCTCTTTCGGGATTAGGTGATGGTAGGTCATTGGCACCCAGTCGCGCCCGCAAATCTCGCACGCATCCGTCCTTGTTTCAGTCCATTTAGGGGGCGGTGTGGTCACGGCTGTGATGTATGCAGACAGCACTGGGGCAACAAAGGTCTGGAGATCCGATTTTGGTGGCTCAATCAGCGCGTAGGCTGTCAGACTGTCGTTGACCTCACCGGGCATGTGTGCAGCGACTTCCTCCAAAACAGAAATGGTCAGTGGCAAGGACCATTTATCAGACAGGGCTGAGTCGTTCTGAAGGGCATCGTGAGATAGGCTCTGCACCTCATCCGGGAAGCTGGCGAAGATCTCGGCAGCCAGATAGTCTGCAAATTCAGCAAGCTCTGAAGGCTCTGGCTCGGTCAAGGGGGGTTGGGCTGGCGTGGTCTTTTTCCGGACTGAGCCGCGCTTGCAACCTTTCCCAGCCCTATCTGAGGACTTGTCCAGGATGGCTGTAAACAGAAAGTCACGGAACGCATCGAAGTTGGTGTTTTCTGTGTGACACATAGATATTTGTTTGAAGCAGCCGTCGGAAGGGAAAGTCGAGGATCGAGCATGGCTGGAGGAGGAGCCAAAGCTGAAAGGGGCGTTTACAAGAGCATGACGTGGAGGCTAAGGCTAAGGTCTCCTAAACCTAGGTACTCCGTACTGGTGGCACGGTGGGGAATGCTTCATCTCGTCATGATTCCAGCTCGTATCGGAGGCCCCAAGACAGTGTTTTATTTGTGCTGCATTATATAAACAACGACACAGAGACAGGCTGCCAAAACCAAGATGGCTGCGGCGATGGCTAAGACTGTGGTCGCCTTCGATCTCTACGGCACGCTTTTGTCCACCGAGAGCATAGCACAGCAACTTGGCTCACATTTTGGGAAAGACAAGGCTGCCTCCATTGCTGCTGTCTGGAGAAAGTACCAACTGGAATACACGTGGAGGCTAAATAGCATGAGTAAGTCTAAGCGTATGTGGCGTAATCGATTATTTCTACGTGACTGAACAGTATCTATCAAGGACGCTATGAGCATTTCTCCGAGGTTACTCGCAAATCACTTGATCATGCTCTGGGGGAACATGGTGTGAGTCTCTCAGACGCCGACGCGGACAAACTCATGGATGCGTATGATTCTCTGTCCACATTTCCAGATGTCAACCCAGCATTGAGACGACTGGGAGAACAGTCGGGCATCACATGTGTTGTCTTCTCCAATGGCACGAAGACTATGGTATCCAACTCGGTCAAGCGATCCAGCGATCTGGATTCCTCCGTCTTCAAGGACATCATAACCGTGGACTTTGTGGGGGCCTTCAAGCCTGCGCCAGAGGTCTACAAATACCTCGCTGAACGGGTAGACAAGGTCGGGCAAGAGCGCTCGATGTGGCTTGTGTCCGGGAATCCTTTCGACGTCACCGGGGCCAGGGCAATGGGCATGCAAGCAGCCTGGGTCGATCGAGCAGGAAATGGCTGGCAGGATAGACTCGGAGAGGCACCGACAGTAGTCGTCAAAAGTCTCGAGGAAGTAGCCGATGCCGTGGAGAAATACACGAGCGACTCGGCTACACGAGGCTGAGCTAGACTGGGTTATCTTGATAGCGCTCCACAGCTGAAGCAGCAACATTTTCTCGAGTTCGTCGAGCCTTTTCCATCTTTGCCGCCCATAAGGCGCCACCAGCCGCCGACGTCAGCAGGAACAACATGCTAAGCACTGGTACAAGTTGGAGTGTCAACGCTACAACTCCAAACCAGGTGTACTTCAGCTGTCGCTCTCTGACATAGTCCTTTCTTTCCTTCTTGGAGAAGTCTCGTAGCTTGAAATATCGCCAATGGTGGAAGGGACCGGCTCTATATCCCGTGAGGAGAAGAAAGATGGGCACACCGACGAACGGAATGAAGTTGACCGGCAGAAGAATGACAAACTCGATGATCTGGCGGAAACTGAATGGACTGTAGACCGAGGATACCGACGGTTTACCAAGCATTTGTACGGAATTTGGCGCCCCCGGATGAAGAAGACGGGCTTCACCGACCATGTCGGCAAGTCCTTGATCGATCAAGACTGCGTCAAAGATATCCACCAGTGTCTCGTCGACGAAGAAAGCCTCGAAGAGCAAGGCAACCATTGCAGCGCCTTCTCCGAGCACCAAAAAAGTTGCGTTCAGCCAAGCTCCTGCTCCCTGGAAGATCGCAAGGAAGGCGACTTGGGGAAGGAATGTCCATATGAAGAGATTTGCGTAGATGAAGGTGGCCAGGAACAGGATAGGGACTAGCCGAGCTTTGAAAAGAGGGTAGAAGTACGGATGGCCGAGGAAGTAGACGATGCCCTTGAGACCAGGTCAGTCAGTATTGGGATGTTTGCGTTCAGAGCACACGCACCTTGAATGGATAGAGCCAAGTGGCGTCCCATAAGCTACCGACCATATTGAACGCCGGCGACTGTCTTTCACTGGGCAAAATTTATCCCCATGGGAGGAAGAAACACAACACCGCGCACGCAGGCTACAGCATCGGCTCAGCCTGACGAGAGTACGGAGTACGGAGTATGGATGCTCCGCAGTGGCAGACTGGTCACTAGCACCGAAATGGTTAGTGCTAGTTTGATCGTCACGCACTGGCTGCGTACAATCGCGGTTCACATTTTCCTCACAGCCAGGACCGCATGCTTTCGACCGTTACAGGCACTCAAAATGCCTTCTTTAACGGAGTTGTTTGAGTCCTTGCCGTGTAAGTTCCATCAGGTGATGTCTCCACGTCCTCTGACCGCTTGCAGACATCGATCCGCACATTACTGAGACAGAGCGGGCAAAAGCCACGGCGTTAATTGCCCGACACCTCCCTCCAGACTATCTCACCACGCCGCATCCTGCTCTACCCCATCTTGCTGCAGTCAACTTCTCCGACCTTTTCTCTCAAGAGATTGAACGGGTCGGTGCGGGTCAGCCCCGCCAGGGAGGAATTGATCTGTCTCGCTACGAGGCACCCAACGAACCGGCCAGTGAGAGCAGTGAAGAAGTGAAGCGCCAGGCACTACGGAATGCATACGTCTCCAGCACGTTCCTGTCAGGTAGACATACCAACCTCCAACTCCTGGACCAATTCGGGAAGAATGCTTGGCTGGTCGGCAATTCCCAAGTAGAAGCAATCCTGAAAGATCTGGAAAACGAACTGGCCAGAGTCAAGGCTGAAAGCGAAAACGTCAACAGAGCCCGAAAAGTGGCACAAGAACAGGCAAAGGGAGAACTTATCGGGCTTGAAGAGAATTGGAAGCGAGGAATTGGCCAAATTCTGGAGATCCAGGTTGCAACAGCTAAATTACGGCAACAGGTTCTTGAGCGGCAACGCATTGCTGCGGCTTCCGGCTCTTGATCAAACAGAATAGAATGTCTTACCGCATGATTCAGACAAGATAGCGGGCTCATACTGGCGCCGCACCGAATGCGGGTATCCTCAAGCGCTGACAGAGAATACCCATTTGATCAACAATGGTCCTCTCAATACTCGGGTCAGATACGAGCGAGCGAGGGCTCCGCATATGCAGCCCACATCTCGACAGTACCAGACAACGGCCTAAGTTCAGAGACAAACATGCGAGTTGCCAGACTCAGGAAGGACAGAGCAGAAAAGAAGATCGGTCTCTTTCTGCAGTGGCCCCAAAAGAATACGAGGTCAGCTGTCGCCATGATGAGGACGATGAAGCCCTTGGACGGGTTCTGGATAAAGTCTATCTCGTGTAGACCAGATAATTCGACGACGCAGCCATGTCAGCAACCAGGGATGGCAATACCTGTGTTCGCCGAAGCATTGCTGCCGCACACCTCTCAGCAAACTGCCGTCCTCGTTTCGTTTGGTCCTGGGCGACGTGGAGCAGTCTCCCCACGAAACATTGCTCCCACGTCACTACCGCTTGGGAGTCGATGTTCTTACTGTTGGAAATACTCGAGATAACTTACGCCTTGCTTGTCTCCTATCATGATAGGCTGGTCAGCAAAGCCTCCAATGTTACGTCGGATCCGCCAGAAGCTATCCATCCTTCCCCGCAAACCACGGACGGCCGTCTGATGCTCCATCTCTCCGCCACCGTCTCATTTTTCGGCATATTGAATTCACGCACGTCTACCATCTCTTGCTCCCTGCCCTTGCCGGTTTGCGACAAAATCATTCGGCCTGATCACCTTCCCCGCGTTTCCCGAGTTAGCTGCCGGCTGATGGCTTTCTAGTGGGGCCTCACAGCCGCTCTCTCCGCCCGCTAGGTGCCGATGCCTCTCCTTGGCTGATATCTAATTTTCAACGTCCATCCTGTGACGTGCATCTTGGGAACCTGCCTCGAGACTTCTGTTTGTCTACCTGCTCCAACGATGCGAAGCCATAGCCACCCTTGGATGTGGAGTCTATCACCCAGGGTTATCAAGGATACCTGACCAACAACTGCTCACCCAGACAAGCTCCGCAACGACTAAAACTGGATGTTGGCTGCTGGAGGACTCGTTGCTCGCTGTTGCTAGCCGATTTGAGACGACGACGGGTTCCGAGCTATCCTGGTCGTCCATGTATCAATACTCACTCCTCTTGTACCCTCGGCGTCTCAAAGCAGTATCGATTTGCTTTACTTGGCCAGTCCCAATGACACCGGGGTCCTCCTAGGCTTGAACCCTCGACTCCTTCATTTTACTTTCCTTTTGTGCCTTCGGCGTCTCAAAGCAGTATCGATTTGCTTTACTTGGCCATTCCCAATGACACCGGGGTCCTCCTAGGCTTGAACCCTCGATTCCTTCATTTTGCTTCGCTGCAACTTGGGCTCTGCCCCAGCGTTGTCTACATGATCCTTCTTGTCCGCGCGTTACCTGGCTCTTGAAACCCCGCATTTCTCTTCAACCGTCTTCAAAAAGACCCAGTGTAACTGTACTCCGCCCGCAAGGATGGTCCAGCACACCCCAAACCTCCACATTTCTCGGTCCAGCGTGGACGCGTCTTCACTGAAACCCCGCCATCCACTTCACCGAGAGGTGGAGAGGACGGGTATATCTGAGCATCTTATATTAAGGGATGGTTCCTCATCCCTCCTCTGTTCTTCCCTACCACCATTCTTCTCTTTGGGCAAAAGTACACCTTCCTATCTTCCAAAGCATTATTTATCAGGCCCGAAGCAACCATGACTGTACCAGATGAGGTTGACATCATTGTCTGCGGAGGTGGCAGTTCAGGATGTGTTCCTGCTGGGCGTGAGATCTGTCTTCGTCGTGGACGCTGCACATAACCAAACTGACATCTGCAGGACTTGCCAACCTCGACCATAATCTCCAGGTCCTCTTGATCGAAGGGGGTGAGACCAACCTCAACAACCCCTGGGTCTACCGTCCTGGTATCTATCCCCGCAACATGAAACTGGACTCCAAGACAGCCACATTCTACTATTCACGCCCCTCCGAGTGGCTTGATGGACGTCGAGCAGTTGTTCCATGTGCCCATGTGCTTGGAGGCGGCAGCTCTATCAACTTTATGATGTACACGAGAGCAAGCAGTTCTGACTACGATGACTTCAATTCGAAAGGCTGGACCACGAAGGAGCTGATTCCCTTGATGAAGAAGCACGAGACATACCAGCGGGCTTCCAACAACCGAGACATTCATGGTTTCGAGGGACCCATCAAGGTATCTTTTGGCAACTATACTTATCCTATCATGCAGGATTTCCTCCGAGCCGCCGAGAGTCAGGGCTTTCCGGTCACGGACGATCTTCAAGATCTCAAGACGGGCCACGGTGCTGAGCACTGGCTGAAATGGATCAACCGGGACACGGGCCGGCGATCTGACGCGGCTCATGCCTATATCCATGCAACTCGTGCCAAGTATGAGAACTTGCACCTCCAATGTAACACCAAGGTCGACAGAGTCGTCATTGAGGATGGGAAGGCTGTTGGTGTCTTGACTGTACCTACGAAGCCCGTGGGCGGCGGCACTCCTCCCCGCCGGTTCTTCAAGGCTCGCAAACTCATCATCGTCAGCTGCGGAACCCTTAGTTCCCCTCTAGTTCTCCAGCGATCTGGTATCGGTGATCCGGAGAAGCTCAGAAAGGTTGGTGTCAAGCCCGTTGTGGACCTGCCGGGCGTCGGTCTCAACTTCCAGGACCACTATCTCACGTTCTCTACGTACCGGGCAACACCTGAAACAGAGTCCTTCGATGATTTTGTCCGGGGGGTACCAGAGGTTCAAAAGGCTGTCTTCGACGAATGGAACATCAAGGGCACCGGCCCCCTGGCCACCAACGGCATCGAAGCCGGAGTTAAGTCTCGGCCCACTGAAGAAGAGCTTGAAGAGATGAAGTCGTGGCCTACACCCGACTTCAGCCCAAGCGGGTGGGAGAGCTACTTCAAAAACAAACCAGACAAGCCAGTGATGCATTACAGTGTGATTGCGGGATGGTTTGGTGACCACCTCGACATGCCTCCTGGGAAGTTCTTCACCATGTTCCACTTCTTGGAGTACCCGTTCTCTCGTGGCTTCACTCACATTGTCTCTCCAGACCCATACGATGCGCCCGACTTTGATGCAGGCTTCATGAATGACAAGCGTGATATGGCTCCGATGGTCTGGGGTTACATCCAGTCCCGGGAGACTGCTCGGCGCATGCAGGCCTATGCCGGCGAGGTGACTGCAATGCATCCTCAATTCAGTTACGACTCACCGGCTCGAGCCCTCGACATGGACTTGAACACTCGTAATCAATATGCCGGTCCAAATCATCTCACCGCCAATATTCAACACGGAAGCTGGACTGCTCCCGTTCAACCGGGTAAACCTCCCGGGCCCAATCTTCTCAACTCGAATTGCGCCCCCTTCCGTGAGAAGCTCCAATACAGCAAGGAAGATAGTATGTCCATGTTTGAACCATTTTCTTCTTATCATTTACTAACTGATTTCCAGTTGCCCACATCGAGAAATGGGTCCAGCGACACTGTGAGACGACCTGGCACTCTCTCGGAACATGTAGCATGGCTCCAAAGGAGGGCAACAGAATCGTCAAACATGGTGTATTGGATGAGAGGTTGAACGTCCACGGGGTCAAGAACTTGAAGGTCTGCGATCTCAGTATTTGCCCGGACAATGTTGGCTGCAACACTTTCTCTGTGAGTCTCGACGCCCCTCGATCCTCTCTGGTCGGCGTCTACTGTAGCTAATACGAACCCAGACTGCTCTGCTCATTGGCGAGAAGTGTGCTGTCCTTGCTGCCGAAGACCTTGGATACAGTGGCGCTGCCTTGGACATGAAGATTCCAGCCTATCACGCCCCGGGCGAATCCCCTGGCTTGGCCCGCTTGTAACTACAGCGCATCTAGCCAGATTGCGAGCCAAAGGAGCCTGTGTTTCATCATAGTCCAATGATATCTTGTTTATTCAGTCAGTCTTTCTCGTAATGTTTACGACTGGCGTCGACGTGGACGTAGATGCGCACGCAGATCACTTCGTTCATGACAGTAAGGTACGTCCAAGGACTACTTAATAGGTACTTCCATACCTACTTGGACACTCCATCAAAGGCTCGGTACGAAGTCTCCGTAGCTGCAAACCCTATAGTATCTAGAAAGAGGAGTTTTCCAGTTCATGGGAACGGTCTATCGCTTTGTAACCCGCCATTTGTTTTGACACCCGCCCCGAGCCCCAAGAGAGGCTCATGATAGCTCACCGCAAAAACATCGATCAATCGTTGGTTATTGTGCAGCCGTGAATATTTTTCCATGAACCTCCACAGTCTGACAAACTCCAAACGGAAGCAAGCAGCAGAAGGCCCTGGGGTAAGTGGGCAGACTTTCCTCTGTCCTCTGATTTCCCCTCCAGCAACCATTTCACTGCGTAAGAGCAGCGGCATTGACAGAGTGAATAATACAGAGGAACTTCAGTTTTGGGAAAGAGAAAAGGAAAGAGATTGCAAGCTGGGGCGAAGATGCTCGAGGATTTTGGGGCTGTTCTGACCGCCAAGACTCGGCAAACCTGCTTCACAAATTAGCGTGTACTACGGAGGAGTAGTAGGTAGTTTATGTGCTAGCAGTACTGTAGAGTATGAAGTAGTACCTCATGTACATTGCTTGCGATACTGCTCTCCTGCAGTCTCTTTCATCCTCTCCTGCATGCACCGCAGTCTCTCTCGTCCTCTCTCTCTCTCCCAGCTTTCCGAGCATTCCTCGAGCAGTGGCTTAATTACCACTTACCTTAGCAGAGAATGACTTGCTGCAGAGGTCCTCGAACAATAGACCCGAAATGGCCGACGAGCCACTGACCTCTCCTCTCCTCTTCGTCCACTTCATCTAATTACCGTCCCGGTCAGTTCTCTACATGTACCGATCGAAGCACACAATACCCTCCTTTGTTGCCCGAGCGGCTGTGCTCAGCACCGTCACTTTCTCATCCTGGGCTTCAATGAGGCCAGGCAACCGAAGATGTCCCATGAGATGTTGCAAACTTGACAAATCTATTTCGAAGAAGCACCATCTAATATTGACGAAGATCCGTCTATACATGACTTGATCTTACAGAAGAAACCACTGTGCATCACCAGCGGTACGAATCCCCTCGATCCTAGCAGGCGAAATGAGATGTGGTCTCTTCTTATCAACTTTATAGGGATGCTCATCTGCGGATTCGGATCCAGAGTCAGGTGTATCATTGTCCAGTTGTAGAGTTGCGGCTTCGCTTTCTTCCGCCGAAAGTGCGTCCGATTCGGAATCGTCGTAATAAACAGGGTGGGAATCGTCGTCGCTCTCTTCTAAAGAGTTTTCATCATCACTGTCGTCGTCATCGTCATCATCGTCGTCATCATCGTCGTCGTCGTCGTCGTCGTCGTCATCTTCGCTGCTGTCATCCTCGTCTGCAGGATTGTTAATGGCTCTATTACTAATCTCCAATGTTAGTACATGAAACTAACCCTCAGAATGGAGGAGACTCACAGAACCCAGTCCATTTCAAGGGACGAATCCAGAAGGTGCCTGGACCGTTCGTCCCAGATGGTATACTTCTCTTCCTCGAGTTTATCGAGGATAGGGGAATCGACGATTTTGGCTACCGCAATACATTCGTGACGGATCTGACAGCCTTCCCCAAGATTTGGATTCTTTACAGTTGCGATGATCGCATCGATGGCCAACTTGTTCACCCTCCCAGGTTGGAAGACCTGTTCAAGCCAGGACTCGAGCTCCGGCCGCGTGTGTGGGAGGTCGGGCATGGAACCACCTGTTTCACTCGGGAGTGAAAGCGGTGTCTCCAGAAGGATTGCATATTTGGTGCCTGGGGTCCATGTAAATGTGTGCCACGGGAAGCTCAGATCACTCGGTGTGACTTCGACACAGAGCCTCCCGGCTCTATGATCTGTCACGTTGATCGCCAGTGCGGAAGATGTTGCTCTCCACGTCGATGGCGTCTCAATGATGATTCCCGGAGCAGTAAATGACAGACCGCGGCCTTCTTCATCAAGGTTGCAATATCCCTGGTCCACCCGCTTCACGAAGCCACCCGACGGGCTGCCTAGGAACGTGGCTGGAGCCCACCGGAGCCCTTCGACTGTCAACCTCCGATGAGAATTGAAAACCACTCCCCATTGGCATACACGGATGGTCTGCCAGAAGATTTGCGTTCGTCTGTCTGCAAGATCGACGTCACTGACCTCCTCTTTCTCGCCGAGGCCCTTCTCGTTCTTTAAGAGCGTCTCTGCGTTCAGAAATGGCTCTAGATCAAGACGCAATACCGTGGCCATACAAAGCATCTCGTCACTCTTCTTGGACGTGGATCGTGATGCTATTTCAGACGCCAAATGCGGGAGAGGATCTGCCGGGGAGCTCCCCGACCACAGCTGGCCCCGGTAGAAGTCAGCCTCAATGCTAACATGGTCAACTGTTTTCTCCGCATATTGAATCAGACGCTTGCGGGCCATGATACATTCCTGGAACGTCCACAGTCGGCGATCCCAATTATTGAGGTGCTCGGCTATTCTTCGTTCGGGTCCTTTCACGGTCGACGCCGTCTTGCGCAAGGAACAAAGAACAAGAACAGAGCAAGAACTCTCGTAGATTCGCCTCATGTCCCGGATGCACTCCTTACGCAGTTCTTTGTTTTCCCTCTGCACCGGAACACATAGGGTGTCGATCCAGAAGTGCGACGGAATTCCCATCAGCATCTTGTGGCTTTTGGCGGCCAAGTCGACTGCGTTTTGCAAGGCTTCTAGCTGACATTCATAGATTGCATTGTCTTCCTGGTTCCCAAGGCCATCGCTCCAACTGATATATGCGTCAGAGTAATTCTCGCAGCCATATGAATTGCATGATCATGACTTACACATGGGAGATGGCCATAAATGGAGGGTCTCCGACTTTTTTCTTATTGACTTTGACGGCCTCTAGTTCGAGCTTCTTGCTTTCAAGATTCCATTTGAAGACAGGAATGTCGCCAGCCATGATGATCGCCTTCAACTGATCGATATCTGCACTTTGGAAGCCACCACAGTTACCATCACAACTGCGTGCGTGAAATTGACGGTACGATTTCTGATCAATGTTGCGTCCACGGCATTCAAACTCGGTACAATTGTCGTGGGAGGTGGTAACCTCTGTGTTTATCATCTTGGACAGGTAATACTGCTCGTAAACGCTCAGATTGGAACGGATTTGATGCACATCCAGCGGACACCATCTTTTGGCCAGCATTCTCTGTTCGAGTAGCATCGACGCCCCCCAGTTACTACCAGTGCGCCGAATATCACAGCCACTTACCATGGCCGATGTGAGTGCATGCCCCAGCGCGATGATGGACATCCATACTCTTTGCGGCAAGGGGGACTTCGCGACGAGCCGGGCACGCATATCAGCTTGCAAGCCCTGTCCGCCACCTCTGGGCAAACAATAGTCATCCACAAAGTCCCTTACGGTGCCGAGAATCAATGCGGCCTGCATGGTTGTAGCTATGGTCATGTCGTCGATGGCCAGTCTCTTTTGTGCAACCTGCTTCCACTCCTGGAGCATCCGTGGAAGGCGCTTTGTGGTCACATACTGGCCGTCCTCAGTTAGAAAGTCGCTGTGTTGAGCAGATACACCGCAAATGGACAGGAACTCGATCACGCAGCCGAAGAAGAGCCATCCCTGGAAGAAGTCGCGCACTTCTTCTCCTGGTCGAATTTTGTGAAGGTCTCGGGAATTCAGGTCGTCAGAAGACCAGCCGCGCCTGGCAGGATAGCCCAAAAAGCATCCGGGACCCGTAGTATAGGGCGTGGTTGTGAAGTTACGGACTTTGATATGCCCCTTTCCAGGGGGCAGTGGACAGTGGTCCATGTTGCGAAATGTGACGAGAACAATCCAACAGTCCCAACAGTTCCAACCCTCAAGAAACCTCCCCTCTCTCATTCCTCTCAGTAGGAAAGGTATTGACAACTTTGGCAGATTTCATGCATGCGGGGCTGGACGGCTTATGCGTTGGCTTCGCTACTCAAGTCTGAGAGCGAGCCAGTGAAAAAATGCCACAACACAGTGGCATGGGAAAACAAGCCTCAGGCCCTCTTGCAGACCATCTCAGCTTGGAAGTGGTTCAGCTATCTGTACACCTACCTACACACTACTGGTGTGGTCGCCCATTTCCCCCACCCCCGAAACAATCCGACGGGTCGATACGGATAGCTATAAGCATATGTTGAGCCTCAGTGGAATGAATCCGGTTTCGTGGATTCGTAACAGTAGAAACCAGCCGAGTTGTTTCCCTTCTACAGCCTTGCGTGGGGTGGCATCCATACCTGAGGTGTGTATGCAATGAAATGCTGTCATTTTGTACGTCTCTTTCGTCACATGTCAGACTGACTCGTGCCACATAGTAACGGGGCCTAAGTGTTGGGGACAGTACAGAGTACTCTCATCAGGCTGAGCAAGGCACTCATTAGTAGAAAGGGACAAAGTGTAGCAGGTTCACTGCCATGGCCGCTACCAAGGCTCCCAGGCCACTTCAATTTCAAGGTTGGGAACTTAGGATCACTGCCGACTGTGCCGCTTTCAACACCACCCTCAGTATGGTCTTTATTATCTGGGGGCTAGATGGCGATGGCGACACGACGACTTGCCTTGGTGTGACACCAACTCTAGGCTCCCCGTGGGTGGCCTCCTAAGCCTATCGCTTAAGAATAGCCCCCAAATTTCCCACACCGTCTGCCTTGTTGACCTTGGAAATGCAGGGATATTCAGACCATCTTCGCCCCCAAGCGAGGCAATTACAAGGCGCGGAATTGGAATTGCCTTCAGCACAATCTCTCCCTCCCTCCGCACCTCGAGGGGGAGGAGGACGAGGAAACGCCCCTTCTGGTGCCACCTCCGATACACTCTAGAGCCCCTTCCTGGGAATCCGAAACGTGCTAGATGGCACATGCAATATACATCCGCCAGGTCTTGTGCCGTTCGACTGTCCATGGTGCTGAGATAAACAACCGGCGATACCCCAGATCTTTTCCTGAAACAATCTCTCATCTTCATACATATCCCAGGCCAGGCAGCTGGGATATTTAATATTGCAACAAAACCAACCCTCACCACCATTACTGTGCTCGCCTCAGCCTTATCGGGCAATTGTCACCAAATTATTCGCAGTCGCATGCCTCATTCTAATATTCCAAGTGGTGTCCAGAGGAGATTGCGTCGGCAATGACAGAATACAAACCAGTCAAACGGCGACCAGTGTCTGACAATATAGATCGCCTCAGATCATCTATCCGTCTGTCCAGAGGCTCCTTTCGTTTGAAGCTTGCTGGTGCTGGCTCTAAACCAAGAAGCAACTCCCCATCCAAGCAATACAATGCTGACGCTGATAATTCGGACGGCGAATGGACTTCACCAGGTGACTACATCGAGAGATGCTTTAGACCAAGCACAGATCTTGCTTCCCTGGCGGGCTCTGGATGGCTGGAGCCGAAGTCTTACACCTCAAATCACAACGACAACGATCTGGCATCCGCTCCTCATGCGCACCGGCAATTGGAATCTGCCGACACTTTGCTGTCCAAGAAAGGCATCTCGCCTCGCATTACAGAACTTGCTGCATCAACACACTCAGCAGCGGATTCCCCTGAAAGGAAGATGTGGAATCCCTTCTGGCTCACTAGTACGGTCCTCGTGAGCTTTCTCTTGCTCTTCGTCGCCCTCTTTGTCGTAGTGTTGGCGCTTTATCTACTCTCAGGAGCTCACCATGGACTCCTGTAAGTACGGCGGGAATCATTACCATTCATGGTCATCTCTAATACAGTCTTAGGAATGCATCTGAGAAATCCCACTATGTCTGGACATACCTTCCAACCGCAAGTAAGTCAGAGGCAATGCCACAAGACTTGAGATGAGTTTGCGTTTGCTAATGTTTCAAGTCTTCGTCCTCGCTACCTCTCTTTGGCACCAGGTCGACTTCTATTGCAAAGAACTTACATCTTATATGAAGATGAAACAGAGTCCTACACCAGCGAGTCAAAGCATCCTACTGGATTACATTACTCCTATACTCCCTAGCACCCTTTGGAGGTCATTCAAGAATCTCCATTGGGCGGTAGTAGCTTCGATTATCGGTTATCTGCTGCTGCATCTGTGCGTAAGTTCAGGACACGATTGATTTTCATGATTATAAAAGTGGCTGACTGAGAATAGACCATTTTGTCCGCTGGTCTTCTTGTTCTCTCGCCCATACAGATGTCGACATCGACAGATTCCTTGGTTCTGTATTCGAACTTCAGTGCCTCGAACCTAGATTTGGCAGATGTCACCGCTGGTCCCGTCGACATGGTCTATGGAGTAACAGCGCGTGGTCTTCCTTGGACGTATGGAACAACTCAGAACCTGACCATCCAGACTTTCGACTACAGTGGAACAGACGACTTGTCCAACGCGGTCTTGACGGCGCAAGTTCCTGGGTTCGGCGTCTCCATGGACTGTGCCCCTGCTCAAGTGAACAACTTGTCAAGTGCTCTGCAAAGCCGACCGTGGTTACCCGCAGGCATTCTGGCCGAGTACCTCGTCGGCGATATTTCCAGTCCCGACTGCCAGCTGACTGGAGTTTCTCTCGGTCAGACTCCAGGTCACATGTACTTCCAAGAGAACTTCGACCCATCAACAGGCTGGAAATCCAATTACCAAGGCTTCTTCGACTACTACGTCTGCAATAGTGGTTACAACTATGTAAACTATGGAAACCCTGACGTCCCACAGCCCCATGCAACCTCACCAGAACAGTATCGATTTCTTCTGACAATGTCGGAAGTTACTTTTTGGTACAACGGTACCAGCGGTAGCCTTCCGTCTTCAAGCCAGACCACAAATTGGACGATAGCCCAGTCAACAGCTGTGCTTTGCAGGCCATCCTACAGCATTGATCTTTACGATGTTACCCTCGCACCTTTGAATCGGACGCTGTTGAGGGCAGAAAAAATCTCGAATACGTCTATTGATCTGATCGGCTTCGATTTGGGAAAATTTCTCGATGGGATTGTGAATTCCCTGTCTGTTGCAGACTTCGGAGAAGGCGGTCCGGACTACGTGATTGCGCCTGTTCCTCAAATGTTCCTGCTGCTGGAAGCGCTGCTGACAGATGCTCCCAACGGATCACTCCTGAAGCCCTTAATCCAACCTGATCTGTTGCAGAATGTTTCGACCCAAGCACTTGAGGGTATTGGGACGCAGTTTGCCGACCAGTATCTCAAGCAGGCCAAGAGCGAGCCCCTTACCGGCTCGTATATGATGACCCAGCAACGCCTGCAAGTCAAACGATTAACCGTCGGATTATTATTGACAGCTTTGGGCCTGCTTGTCATCACTGTCCTGGTATTGATCAAGTTCAGACCATGGGACACGGCGCCTTGCACTACTGAATCACTTGCCTCGGCGGCGATAATCCTTGCGAGTAGTAAGGCCTTGAGAAGTCATATGCAAACGGGCCAGCCGGACTTGGACAACTCTGTGAGAAATTTGGAGAGTCGTGAGTACCAAACAGTCGTCGGACCCGAAGGCCTTTTCGAAATCCAGCCAGTGGTCGCTCCGAGCGTCCCCACCGCTTCCCTTCATTCCAAAGAAGACAAGTCAAAGAAAGAATTGAGCCCGTGGTGGAGGCCAATAGCAACGAGAAAGTGGTTCTCGGTATGTATACTCCTTGTGCCACTGATTCTCATTGCAGTCCTCGAAGTCATTCAGCACGTGTCGGATAGAAAGCAGGGCATTGTGACATTGGACTCGAGTGATAGTTATCACTTGACAATTTCCTACATCCCGTTAGCTGTGATGCTACTCGTAGCACTGTTGTATGGTTCCTTGGATGCTACGGCTTCTGCATTCGCGCCGTTTCTTGCCCTCCGTCGAGGAAGTGCTCAGGCAGAAAGATCGATATCTGCGAGTTTGTTGTCGAAACTGCCCCCACATGCGTTCTACCTCTCCCTTCGCAACCGCCATTGGGTTAACACCTTCACCATCTTGGCAGCGACGGTCTCAAGCTTTTTGACTATTGTCACGTCAGGCTTGTACAGTCCGGTGACTGTTCAGTCACCTCATGCTGTGCAGATGCAGCAACTGAGTGTTATGAACCTATCTCATGTCGACCTCTCTGAGGGCGACAATCTTGCAGGGGAGACCACCAAGCTCATGATGCTATTCAATCTTTCGAACCCAGTCGGGACCTACGACGACCTGGTCTTTCCCTCCTTTGAAGCTCATATTCCCGATGCCCTGCTGGGTGGGATAGCACCCAATGAAGAGGTCTTGATATCAATGACGATGCCCGCCTTGCGCCCGTCGTTGCAGTGTACAGTGGCTCCTGTTGATAGTATTACTACTGCCGACAACGTCTACCACTCTGGTACAATGCAGGTCCTTGTTGACGGAACATACACATACGCTGACCCTGGGGAAGGGATCTTCAGTACCCAGAAAGCAGTTTTCCCGTGGTCTCTCGGCACATCGAATACGACCCTTGTGAAAGAACCAGGCGGCTCAGCAGATTGGAGCTATACATACATCATTCCCAATGACACGGAGACGTCCGTCCCAAAAACTCAGATTGGAGCTACATCTCCTGTACAGTGGATAGCTGATGGGAAGACCTTGACCGCTCATCAGACTTCCACGGAACATACAGGGAAGTTAGATGTCGATCCGTCCACAGCAAACTTTGGCTTTGCGGGTGGGTGGGCGTCCGGGACAAGAACGAATCAGGTGGTCAACATCAGCCTCGATGGGGCGAACACTTTTATGGCAAATACATGGAAAATGCAGACTGACTTGGTCATTACACTCTGCTACCAAATCTTGGAAGAGGTTCAAACGAACGTCACTTTCAACTGGCCTAGCATGACGACGAACCAGGACAATCCGCCGGTTGCGGATCAGGCGACTGCTAGGATTATCATGAGCAACGAGACCTCGACTCCAACATGGAAAATGAACACTACCGTGACATCGGCATCGCCGCACTGGTTTGGCATCTCGCTCAACATGTTTCTGTGGGCGCTGCAAGACAACACCACTGCCGCAAACTGCCTGAATGCGTGGTTCACCACGTTGCAGAACAGGAAAGGAGGACAGCCTCTCTCCGAGCTCCTCGGGCAGGCGAATCAAGACGGATTGATCAAGGCTTCCAATGACATGTATGCTCGCTACGCTGCGCAGGCCATCAACGCCAATATGCGAGCATCGGGTAAAGCATCAGGACAAGATCTACCCAGCTATAATGCAACGATCTTGGTGCCGGTACTTCGACTCAAGCAGAACAAGGGCCCGAAGATCGTCCTGCAGGTGTTGTTGGCTGTTATGGCTGTCTGCGGGGCGGTTGCTTACTCCCTGTTGAATACCAAGGAACTGCTCCGGCAGAGTCCATGTTCAATTGCCGGGAAGATGGAGCTGCTTGCGAGGAGTGAACTGTGTAATACGAGGAAAGTCATTCCTGAGGGTGCAGAGTGGTGGGATGGGAGACAAAGAAAGCGCATGGGACTTTTTGACGGCTGGTTCTTCAGTCTTGGTTGGTGGGGGGATGAAATGAAATGGTATGGCATTGATACTGGGAGGGCAGAGAAGGTTCAGTGATTTGCTACTGGTATATCTCCCTTTTACAGGATGACAGCTTCGGGCTCAATGATGAAATCATGAAGAATATGAAGTTCAACAACCGGCCACTGAATTCTCCCTCTCCAAGAGGAAGAGGACCACAGTCGTTCAGGCACCAGAGGAGATCAACACTGGTTCGTCGACCAGAGTTCCATGATTCGAGGGTCCCGTTGGGTCTTCCCCTTGAACATAAAGAGTAGATGTCCTAATGACCAACCATTAAATGGGAGAATATCCCTTCCCATGTACCACACTCCGTAGTGCCTCAGCCTTACGCTGGTTAGTAAGCAGAGACATTGTAGACTAGCCCAAAACATAAATGTAGCGATGCTGCTTTTCCTACGGAGCAGTACTCCTGCTTGGATCCGCCAAGCCATCTCGGATTCAAGTTTCATGCCATGACGCGTTGATTTCCCCTTTGGGCCAGGTCACATCAGCCCTGTGCAGCGCAGCGTTGTCATGAAGGCAGACTGAAGACGACCCAGGATGCCGGCCTCAACACAGAAGATCAATCCTTGTGAGCGCCTTGTTCTCAGCTATGTACATCTGGGAATCTCCGAGCAAGGACGGTAAAGAATGAGCACCCCCGACATCACCCATTCTACCACCGACAAAGTGGCCAGAATCATTGCGCAGGCTCCCTTCTAAGCTGCGACAGCAACAGCATCAACGTCAGCAGTGCTAGAAATGGCAGGGAGATCTTTTACTATCGTTACATACACTCTGTCGCTAGTGACCCTGACCGCCTTTCTGTTGTTCTGCTTCGTTTTCCAAAGCCCGGTCCGCAGCGTGCGGTTACTCGCTGCGGGTGTAGAGAATGGACGAGGCGGCCACAGTACAGCTGTTCAGGAGGGTGACTTTCTACTGGGTGTCGGAAAGGCAGACATTACAGGGTGAGAAGACCTCATTTGCTTGCTGACACAGTACTGATCTTCCCAGCCCGGTCGTTGAAGTCAATTTGATGGGCTATGCAGATACAGCCCAGTCAGGGACTGGTCTGCGGCAACGACTCTATTGTAGAGCGTTCATCATTGGAAGCCTTTCAAACAACTCCTCAAGAATCGTCTACCTCGTCCTTGATACCCAATCCGGTGACACCGCTGTCCGCCATGGCATTCTGGAGGAACTCGAGAAATTGGGCCCTGAGTACGAAATGTACACCAAGAACACAATAGCCGTCACCGGCACACACAGCCACAGCGGGCCTGGGGCATGGCTAAATTATCTTCTGCCGCAAATTACTAGCAAAGGATTCAGCAAGGAAAGCTACGAGGCCATTGTCAACGGCTCCGTGCATGCAATAAAAAGGGCACATGCCAACCTCGAGCCAGGGTATCTGAGACTGGGTCAAGAGAAGGTCAACGATGCCAATATCAATCGAAGTCCTTACGCCTACTTACAGAACCCTCTGCATGAAAGGCGTCAATATCTGGAAGACGTGGACAAGGACATGACTCTGTTAAAATTCGAAAGGGCATCGGACGGTCATCCTTTGGGTATTTTGTCTTGGTTCCCAGTCCACGGCACATCACTCTATCAAAACAACACTCTTATCACTGGTGATAACAAGGGAGTAGCGGCATATCTGTTGGAAGAGTACATGAGAGAGAAGAATCCTGAATTTACCGCAGGCTTTTCTCAAGCCAATGTTGGCGACACATCACCCAACACTCTTGGGGCATTCTGTGAAGACACCGGCCTTCGATGTTCTTTTAACGACAGCACATGTGGCGGCCGAACCCAGCCATGCCATGGACGTGGACCCTTGTTCACATATCTGGACCAAGGAACAAGATCCTGCTTCGATATTGGGAGCCGCCAGATGGCAGCGGCCAGAGACCTCCTAGATAGCGACAGCCTAGAACGAATACCAGCATCAACCGTATCCTTCTTCCATACCTATGCGAATCTTTCATCGTTCACGTTCACCTCACCATTCAACCAGTCTCGACAACTCAAGACATGCCCTGCTGCATTGGGCTATGGCTTTGCCGGTGGGACCACTGATGGCCCCGGAGCCTTCGACTTCTCACAAGGTACAAATGACACTGATGACTCTCCATCACTCAGAAATCCACTGTGGAAAGTTGCACGTGGCTTCATTCATGAGCCGACGGATGAACAAAGAGCCTGTCAGAGACCGAAGCCTATCCTGCTTGACGTCGGGGAGGCCGATCATCCCTACGCATGGTCTCCCAACATTGTCGACATTCAACTTTTGCGAGTTGGCCCACTCATCATCATCGTATCTCCTGGAGAAGCCACAACCATGGCAGGAAGGCGCTGGCGTAACGCCCTGGGAGCGGCGGCCCAGTCCGTTCTCCACATTGACAAGCCTATCGTGGTCCTCGGCGGCCCGGCCAACACTTACGCACATTACATAGCAACCGAAGAGGAGTACGGTGTTCAGCGCTACGAGGGGGCCAGCACACTGTACGGAGCGCACACATTGGAAGCCTACGTCAACCTCACTCTCGACCACCTCCCCTATCTGGGCTCGCCCGACGAGACGTCTGATCTGGACAGGCTCCCTGCTGGCCCTAGCCCTCCTATCAACGTCAACGCCTCGTGGTCGTTTATCACTCCGGTAGTGGTTGACCATGCCGGTCTGCTTCGGCGGTTTGGCCAAACACTCGCTTCTCCTGACCCAGCCAAGCCGTTCACGCCCGGGACGATTGTCAAAGCCAAATTCGTGGGGGCCAATCCACGCAACAACTTCCGTCTCGAAGGCACATTTGCTGCTGTGGAGAAGTACGATTCATCCTCTGGCTCTTGGGTGCAAGTCCGCTCGGACCGTGACTGGTTCCTCGTCTATCGATGGGAGAGAATCAATACGGCACTCGGGACGAGCGAAGTCAGTATAGAATGGGAGATCGAACCAGGCACCGAGACAGGCATGTACCGGCTGAAATATTATGGCGACTCGAGGAGTTTGACTGGTCAGATCACTGCGTTTGAGGGGACAGGCGGTGTTTTCAATGTCGCGGGCGATGCTACCAAGTCTGTATTTTGGGATGAGCTGGTCCGACCCTGACCGTGAGCGAGGTTGCATAGCACATCACATGAATCATGAGACGATAATGATGATGTAAATGTGAATGCAAATGTCGATGTAAATGTCAACGTCGATGTCGATTATCAATCCGATCCCGTCCCTCTGGTGTTTATGCACTGTACTAGTAGTCTGCCTGCACTGATATACCAGACTCGAACTACTACCCCAACGGAAGGCTGATTCCGATTCTGACGACTGGAATATAGAGAGAGAAATCGATCGGATCGGATCAGCTTCCACGGACGGAGTACCTACCTACCTACCTACCTACCTTGGAGGTCCTCAGCCATGCCATGCTGCACAAACAGTATAGAACAGTACAGTATACAGTATAGTATGCAGTAACATACTCTGATATACGGATCGAGGACTGCAAGCAGCACTAAGGTAATCATTCCTACCTAATTCTCGACTGACTCAGAATCTTATTCCTTGTTCCTTCGAATACATACTCTGACTCGACTTGACTCCGACTCCCTGGGGATCGATCCACGTATCTCATCCTCCGACTCCCTGGGGAAATATTTATCTCATCCTACTTCATCCTACTATCCCGGATCCCGGATCCCTTCCAATTCCATCTCGTTTCTCCTATCCCATCCCATTCATTCCAAGTCTGACAGGTAGGTAGGTGATCGGACCGCCATGTAAGTGAGGCAAACTGCAGAAGCTAGAGCAAGAGCGAGGGCGAGGGCGAGGGGGAACATTGGCCGTCCAAAATACAATACTCAATAGTTGCATTTCCATTTCAATTTCCACTTCCATTTCCCTCACTAGTATGTATGTATGTATGTATGTGGCATATACACAGAACCAGGCTTGTCATTCTTTTGACGTGAACGACTGACTGACAATGACTGACAATGACGACGACGACAATCACTCGAATCGTATCGTGACCTTTCCTCGACACAACACCAACACCGATACCGGCACCAGCACCAAAAGTGAAGCGAGCAAACGTGACCAAACCAATAGATCTTAGACTCCACTGTACCTGTACCGGGCCGCAAACCGTGAAACCGACTGAATATAGATATATGCAGACCATAAACCATATCGCCCGCCAGAATGCCGCTGAAACAAGGGACTTCCACCGCCAACAAACCAAGCTCATCTTTCGTTTGTGACTTTTGCGCGAATGAATGCCTCCAGAGCAAAATCAGTGGGCAACTAAATCAGAACCCATTCAGTCCCTCTCTTCAGAACCTTGTCGACCAGGATCATCAGGTCTGCCATGACAAACCGAAGGACGTAAAACGCAAAGAACTCTGCTGCATTCTTAACCCCCAGTTCCAAGCCGACCTGAGTCTTACTGCTACATTTCAAACCTGGATCTTCCACCTGTCGGGCGATACCGTCCAAGACTTGAGCAGCGTCGAATAGACGAGCTAAGCTTGACATATAAGCGGCATATATCGGGGGGATATTGGCCAATTGTGTTGGAGTCGGTGGTGGTGTATTTTTGCGGTTCAGATGTGATCGCGATGAATGGACCGAGGAAGAGGACGTCATGGGTAATGAGGGTATGGTCAGACCAGATGTGCTGCCATCCTTCTGCATGCTATGATTGCCAATCGCAGGAGCACTGGATTTCGAGCGAAGCTTCCGCCAACCTGAAGCAAAAGATTTGGCAGCTGTGCTGTTTATCTTGGTCGAACTCGCATCTTGATCCTCCCCGATGGATTTGAAGATGCTGGATGATCCCGAAAACCCCACGTCGTTGCCCAGCTTCTTCTGCAAGGTAGATCGGACCTGATCCAGGAAGGCCTCGAATGACTGCAGTTCTTCGAGCACTGCATCCGCATCAAGTGTGTCGACTTTGGCCAGTTTCAACAGAGCGGCGGTCAAGAGATCACACTGTGACACCTTATCGTCAATGGCCTTGAGCTTGACGTTTCTCACCCGCCATATGTCGCGGGGAATGAACAGCTTCGACGTAATGTATGCACCTCTTGGATGAGTCAATGCTTGGTACAGACATCGCATCAACCAGAAAGGTCGGAGTAAGAATGATTCTGGGCAAGCTTCAAGAGGCTGAGGAGGAGGTGCTAGAGTCGAGGCACTTGGTGTTCGAGGAGTTTCTGGAGAGGCGGATCCCCCTATGTGATCGTCAAAAAGGTACATGCCTCCTGTCTGAAGAAGGTGGGGACCAAAAGCTGCCGTTGAAGGCGTTGGCAGTGCCGCTGAAGGTAGTGGCGGCACCATCTTCTTCGTTTCACCGACGAATCCAGCACTGACTGGTGTAATAGGAGACTCGCTATTAACTTCGGTTGTCGCAACCGATAGGTTCTTCGCCCTAAGGCTTGAGGAAGATAGATTCTTCCTGACATCTGCCTGTGGTGGCATCATCCTTGCCCCTTTCGCTGGTGACGGCGGCATGGCCAGCGAATCCTCGATACTACCTTGGGAGCCGCCTTGAGTCAAAGCAGGAGTCGCAGGAGACTCACTCTGCATTGACTCGGTTGAGGCCATTGAACCGAAGGATGTGACATGCTGCATGTTGGTGACCATTGACGAACTCGGACCTTCTAGAGGCGCTGTCTGAGGCACTCTCGGTCCGTTATCCTTTGAAATCTCTAGTTCTGGCACGGTTCGCGTGGATCCTGCAGATTTGCCTGGGAAGCTAGTAGAGTTCCGTCTTGCGAAGGTTTCAATCTTCAGTTGTTTGCCACTCTGTCCCGAAAACCTTCTCTCCCGAAGACCTAGACCGCCGTACTTTTCGATATTCAAGGGCCCGGTAGCTGCTTGTGTTGATAGAGGCAACGGAGGCGTCGGAGGCAGCGCTGTCCGCGGTGGCGCTGCCAGTCCTGAGTCTTTCGCGGGCGGTGTTGGCCGGGGAGACTCTTCAACCGGGGGCTCATGAGATTCTGCTAATGTACTCAAGTTTGTCGCATTCATTGCAGTCACTGATGGAATGGAACTTGCCCATGTCTGACCGGAAAATGTACTCGAATCCGATTGCCGAGGGAGGGCGGACTTGGATCTGTTTTCGAATGAAGATTCGTCAAACATGTATCCTTTTGTCATTTCCTCAAGCAATCGCTCTTCCTCCTCAGAAGAATCTCCCTCATCGTACTCTCGAGTGAGTTCGACGTCGGAGGGTAGAGACGGCTGTGTCTGGAATCCGGGCTGGAACGTTGCCAATGAACCATCAAATTCCTCGCCGAAATCCTGTCCGTTTCGGTCAGGCCTAGGCGTGGGTTCTTCAATGAGGCTGTCGTCATAAGCTGCGTCAACAGCAGCATTGAGCGCAGCATCAAATTCTGCTTCGATCTCGTCAACAAGACTGTGCGTTTGGCGAATGCCAAAGTCGATTGATGACAACCGAGACGATCTCGGTGAAGACTCACCGTCCTCAAGAGTATCCAACCAAGAAGTTGATTCAGTACTGTCTTCGCGTGCATCGTGTGGACCATTGTCGTGGTCTTTAACTCTCGCGGCCACTGGTGGTATGCTACCATCTCTTTCAGAGGCTGGAGAGGCGGCTCTTCTAGGGGTTAGGGGTGGCGGCATGTACTGGGTGTCCATAGGAACAGCCAGACTGGGTATGTGTATCCTTGTGCGATTGATTGATTCGTGAAGATAGGACTCTCCGCCGAAGAATTCAGGTAACAGCGATTCCTGTCGTGGGGGAATGTGGACTGCTTCCAGTACACCCGCTGTGTCCGGCTCAATGTCATCACTGGTAAAGAAGGAGTGGTTTGTCTCGTCAAAAGGAGGATCTTCAGGTAGGGCCTTCTCCATCAGACTGGAGAAAGTGTCGTCGAGGTCGTGAAGCTCTGCTATTCGGTTCGAATACGTACTTCTAATGGAGGACAATTTCTTCCTATCATCCAGGTCGGAACTCCGGACTAGAACTTGCTGCAAAAGGTCACACGCCTCCGCATAGGCCTCTATGGCGCCTTCAACATTTTGGGCGTTGTCCAGCAGGACTGCTGTATTAGCCTTCCCTAATGCCTTCGACAGCATGGTCTTTTGAGTCGGGCTTCGATGGGACCGTCCCCTAGTGGACATTGTGGATGCAATGGTCGTGTCGGCGGCATCACGCAGGTTTCCGGGTTCAGGCCTTGTTTCGCGACTGCTCGTTCGTGCAGTCTGGTTCACATACTGCGACGCAGCATTCTCGGTGGTTTGAAGAGAAGACTGCGAACTTGTTCTCATATAGTGTATTGACATTGCGACCGACTCCCCAGTCTTGCGAGTTTGCCATGTCTCACCAAGAAAATCACCCGCGCTAGGATTGAACATGGATGTCGGAGTGAGTGGAGAACCCGTGAATGGGCTGACGGTTCGGGGATTATAATTACGGTCGACTCGGAGGAATCCTGCAGCCGGGTTACGTCCCCTCGAAGGACTCTGACTCGAAGGCCTGGAATTCATGGTGGGAATTGGTGCTCGTTCTTCGGCGACCGTCAAGATCGAGGGAGAACCGAGACTCATCCGTCGAGAAGATGCATTCGCCCGAACCCGGATAGCTTCAGTGTCAATCGCGGAGACACTAGAAGACGTCGAATGCGACCAACGATTGATGTTTAGATTGGGCCCTTGGAACCTAGGCTCGAATTGGTTCTCTGGTCGACTTCTGGAGCGACTCCTATCGTAGAGCAGGTGGACAGAACCGGAGAGCGTACCACTTGGACTCTTTGAGCGGCTTTTCAAGTGGCCATTCTTCTGAGGAGCAGGTTTAGCCAAGACGGAGGCGGACTTTTGAACGGCGTTCACCGAAGACGATGTGGAAGAATTGGATCTAGACACCCTCCTGTTGTAAGTGGCAGACGCCCCGGTTGGGCTCATCCTCTTGACAGGATATTGGGTAAGGCGCGCAATCAAATACTAGGATGATGTTGGTCGAACTCAAGGTACATCAGTATCAGGAAGGACGATGAGTTGCTGACAGTCAAGGCCCAACCTTGGCGGCTACACTGCAGATCGCAGTGCGATGTATGGAGATTCCTAACGGTCCGCAGTCCTGCCGCGAATGGTGTGCTGCAGATTGGACCTGCAGCTGTCTGTTCTCCGGTTCGTTGGGAGACTGACGAATCAAGGAACTCCTATACAGGACTCCGAGTCGGTCGAGATTGCAACAGAACGACCTGCGTGCAAGGGTAGGATGGCCTTGTGTAGCCCCGGAGCAATGCTTTCCCCCTCTTGAAGTCAAGAAATCTATCTTGTCTTCAGGTGTGTCGAAGGGGTAGTCTCAGGCCAGCTGTGGTGTTGATTTATCGTTCCCCTCGTGTATAGATGTTTTTCACTGAAATAACCTGATACCCTAAAAATGGCTTCGTACCAGAACATGGCGCTGATCAACTGGACATAGTCTTGAACTTTATGGAATCCCGCGCTTGGAATCTTTCACTTTGCAGCGAGTTTGCCGCCCCTGGCAGAAGAAAATGGCAGGGACCGCGATATGGAGCTACTGAACAAAGCCGTTTCGCGAAGATCGGAAGTTCAAGGAGGGCCGCGGTGCGCGGTAGAAGTCTTGATAGGCGTGGCGTCTGAAAGACACAGCCAGAGGAATATCGTATGCAAAGAGGCCAAGGATTGTCAGTATCGACTCCGGTTCGCCGTGAGCTGAGGGATGACAGGCTGCTCGAGCGCCCAGTTCGTAGGGTCGGCGCGAGGTGGTGACAGTGGTAGAGGGGAGCAAAGAGAAAGTCCGAAACACGGGCACAGTGTTCCTGAACTACTCGTGCGAAGGATCTCAGCGCATACAAGGGTAGGGCGCAGAAGGGGTGGTGGTGGTGTCGGCAGTGGTGAAGATGATGGCTGGGTGCCCGCCCTTGACAGTAACTGAGGTTCGGCCCTCTCGTTACAGAGTACTCCGTACTGGATGAAGATGAAATGAATCGAGCGAACCTCGACGTCGTAGTGGTAGTGCTCGTGGTAGTGCTCGTGATAGTGGTTTGTGGTAATTCGTGGTAGCGGTACCGCAACTCTGCCCATCCCTGACTTTCCTTTCGGGCCCAAGACACCGGACCCAATTCGGAGGCGGGCGCAGGCACATTTTCGTGACACGCACCAAACTGCATTGGTGCTGCACAACAAGCCACGCCCGGCCATCTGAGAGACTCAACCCCTGATTTCCCACCCCTCCTGGCACCTGGGACCTGCAACCTGCAACCTGCAACCTGCAATGCCTGCGACCTGCGCTGCCTGCCTGCTGCCCAGGGGTACAAGCACCAGCACCAGCGTGCAGTGTGCAGCATCGAGTGTCGCGTCTCCCTCCATCGCCAAATTCATCTGCTGATACGATACCCTTTTGTTCCGCCGAGCTGTTTCTCCTCAGCATCGTCGCCCTCTAGCGCGCGTTGCAATGAAGTCTCACATCCTCGCCTCTATCTGTCCCACGTCCCATCCACCTCGCTTGCGGTCTGTGTGTTTAGAGCCAGTCACAGCCACGGTCGTCGGTGTACTGAGAACGGATAGTGCTCCTTGCTAACTGTATCTACCCGACTGATATCCTATCGCTCCTTGCGGGGGATAGACATGGCACCCCTGGCCTCCCTGACCTCCCTGACCTCCCTCGACCTTAGTCCTCCTAACCCTGTATCCCTGCCGAGGACTGGGGACCATGCCATCCCCGCAGCCTCTGCCGACTGGTGGTGGGAGTGTTGAGGTCAGTGAGAATTGGCCTACGTGAAAGATTGTTGATTTGATGTAATATCATATCCTACAGAGTCACGTACGGGAAAAGAAGCTTCGTCGTTGTCTATAGATCCGAGATCGACTAGTTGTCGCGATGACAATGCCACTTTGATATCAACGGCGCCTATTATGCTTGGGCCAGTGAGCTCAAAAACGGTCGTCGTCCGAGCTCTAGATCTTGACAGCTACGCGGTCTTCTTTTAATTATCTCATTTCATCTTCCTCTCCACCATCTCCCTTGCGTACATTGTTGCCGACATTGGCTCTGCCGCTGAACCCACAGAACAGGGCAGGAAAGAACACAACCGCCTGTCATAGCATCAAGCGAATGAACCTAGGCTGGGAACAACAATGGCGACGACGATGACAACCACAACCACCGCCCACCCGGTGACGGGCCGCCTGCTTGTCGTATGCAGGCTTCCAGATGCATGACAATTACCGTTCCTGCAGACCATTCTGGAAGTTCTTTCCAAGTAGTGCAAAGATCTTTGGTGCAAAATTACCTCATTGCGTTCTTGAACATGCATCAGCGCAACTCAAGATTCGAAAGCATTCGGTCGTGCTCTCACTCCCGCCGTCGGGTAGTGCAGGACTCGCTGATACTCAGCTGATACAAATGACAATCGTCGATTAGACGTTCATCAGCCCGTCAACTCCTGCAGGTACATACCTCCGGTTCACCCGCGACTGACTAACAGCTACACCGCCTTTCTCTTCTGATAGTTACTCGTCAGCTCGACATAGTAGGAGTTGCAGCTGTGTCCAATGGCTGGTCACCTGCAACACCCTTTGTACCTCGAACCTCACCGCTGACAGGAGCGCTACACAAAAAAACAGGCTGCGAGAATCTTCCTCGGATGTCAGATCTACGCCACTTTGTTCATCGTGCGATGTATAGTTGCAACGGCTTTGAAGAGGTGTGTACCTGAGAGACTCTCAAAGCAAGATTTAAAATCATCCCATGTACCTTAACAATTTCAATTCTCTCTTGCCCGAACACTGCACCGGCTGCGCCTCCAAAAGCCGATGCCTGAGGACCAGATCGTTGCCCACCCTCGAGAAGCCAAGGTTTGGTCGGCAGAGAGGTAGTATCCTTCGATACGATTGATCAGCTGAGAATTGTCCCCGTCTTACGGCGATACAGTGAGACCAAGACATCTCCGATTCCCTGGAAATCCCATGATCCTCAAGGCTTTTGGGTCAACCAGATGCCCTACAATGCCGATACCCGACAGGCTCGCTGCATCTAAGCATGGCGTTGCCCGAATGGACGATATTGCCTTTGGAAGAGTGCTTAGATTTTATGGGAAAAGCTATGCAGAGGAAGGGAGTTTGTCATTCACTGCTCCCCCTGGGCCGATGGATGAGATCGATCAAGTACACAGTGTGCCGAGGTGGCTCGCAACAACCACAATATCCGGACTTGGTATCGAAGTGTCTGTTCCGTTCAGCGAAGAAGAAAGAACATTGACGGCCAATGAAACCTTGTGGTCCCTCACCCTCTCAGTAGAAATTGGCCCGCCTATGCCACTGTTCTTGTTGAAAAGTCCAGCTCCAGTTTCCCACAGCCACGAGGAAATTTGGACTCAAAGCGACGGGACGTGGTAAGTTTTGGATGCCCATAAAATCCAGCCCAACCCATGTCTGTGCCATCCCCCGACCCAACTTCCTGGTTTTGCTCGACCATTCCAGAGTGGAAAGACTGCATCGAGGCAATTCAAAGGACATTGTCAGCACTTGAATCTTCGAAAGACTCCCCCAACCAGGGCTTCTCTTCGCAACGTTCTTCACAACCATTGCGACCTTCAACCTCAGTTAGTTTTTTTTCCAACGACGACCGCCCATGATGTTCCTCTCCGCCTGTGTCGGCGTCACTTCAATCATTGTATTTCTTGTTTCACCAACATTCGCCGTCGACACAACGGCTGATCCGCAGTTGGTGGCGAAGCTCAAAATGGCGGCGACCATGTTAGACCGGCTGGATCTGCTCTCGGACGAACAGCTTCTCTACAATTTCTCCGCCAACCCCATGTATTCCTGGAACCCGGGGAGCGTCTGCAATGCCAATGCTGCTACATGGCCGGCTCTGGCGACCACCGGTGTGACGGTGGCACAGCTGAACCTCGGGCCTTGCGCGATGCTGGCACCTCACCTGCATCGCGCAATCAATCTCGTGGTTGCAGTAACTGGATCAACTCATACATATATGGTCCAAGAGAATGGAGCTCGGCTAGTCGAGCAAATCCTCACCCCGGGACTGATGACCATGTTCCCACCTGCCAGTCTGCATTCAATGTACAACATGGGTAAGTCCTACCTGTTCGCCCCGGTTGTCTTCCACGCTGACGCCACAGCAGGCTGTGAAAACAACCAACTCTATTCGTTCCTCAACGATGAGAGCCCGGGGACCCTGAACATTGCGCAATCCTTCTTCATGATGCCCGAGGAGATCGGCATGCAAGTCATGCCCTTTATCAATCTGGCAAACGGAAGTTGGAATGGTACTGCGCAGCTGATCCCCGCGATCGGCACAGGAAGCCAGGACGGGTTTGAGGCATGTAGAAAAAAATGTGGTCTCACTGGGGATGGGTCCTAGAACCCCCTGGTGGCCTCTCAAGATGTGCGATGGATGCATTACGGGTATTGAAGGAAGAACCAACGCTCATTTGGCTCGGGAGCGATACCTGTCATAGGCACTCACTCCATATTCTCTATCTTTGTTTCCGGGTTTTATCTGACTATTCGTCAATCAAGTAGGTAGAGGATTCTCCAGGGTATCTTTTGGCACTAACGCCACCACGAGAGGAGGCCAACCTGGGGAGTGTTTCGGTATTGAAGCGCCCTCCGCGAGGAATGGAGAGAACTTGGACGTATGTTGTGTGGCTCTCTTTGTTTGGAGGGTGCGGTCCACTCGTTAACCACTGTCCCATAAGAGAAATGGTTCGAATCAATGAGGAAAAGAATCCTGGCGCCTCTATTTGGGCCAGCACCTTCCAGCTCATTCAGCCTTCTAGAGATCTTCATAAAATAAGATGCCCTCTGGGCTCTAAAAGTGTGGATCCCTCTTCACTCACTGCCCGATGCGCAAGTCCGCAACGCTGCTGTCCGGGGTTCTCTCCTTGTTTGGGGTGTGAAAGCCACTGGGGGTGCCGGGTCGACTCTTGTCAGGGGTGGCATGGAGGCTGATGTTCTCGCGGAAAGCGACGTACTCACTGTCGGCGTAGCCAAGGACGCTTCTGATCTCGGAGCTGCGCAGACCCCTGATGCGGGAGATCTCGGCGGACGAGTAGTTGACCACGGCACGGCCAATCTCCTCGACGGGCTGGACAAGCTGCAACACTGCGGACGCATTGTTCGAGTCGCCTGAGGGCGATAAGCTGCCAAGCGGCTGCTTGTCGACGACCACAAGGCGCACGGCTTCCTGCTGCGCGAACGTACCTTCCACCCTGACCACGCCGACGGGGAGCAGACCGGCCTTATTCACCAGTGCCTGGCTTGCGCCGCGGTCGACATAGATGATCCCGTGGGGCGCGAGGCCGTGTAAGATCCAGAACGCGCGGTTGCGGATCGGCGTGCTGGACGCGGTGAAGCGTGTGTGCAGCGGAGGAGGAACCGAGTCGGAGCCAGTGGCATCAGCAGCGCCAGTGTCCGCGTCGACGGGCGGATGTAGATGGCGGATGACGGCAGCGATGTTGCCGGGCTTGGAAGATTTAGTGATGATGGTCGATGTACCTGCGGCCGTTGCGAGGCGGGCGGCCACAATCTTGGTGGCCATCCCTCCCGTCCCCAAGGCCGAACCAGCTGAAGACACGTCGACCTGCAGGGAGTCGATGTCGTCCACCACGAGGATGGGTTGCGCGTCAGAAAATTTGCGTGGATTCTTATCATACAGGCAGTCGACGTCAGTCATGAGAAACAAATAGTCTGCATGGACCATTGCCGAGGCGATCGCCGATAGGGTGTCGTTGTCGCCGAACTTGATCTCAGACACGGCGAGCGTGTCGTTCTCGTTCACAACGGGGATCACGCCGAGTGAAAGGACCTCGGCCAGCGTATTCTGCGCATTGAGATACTGCGACCGATCGGCAATGTCGTTCCTCGTGATGAGGATCTGAGCCACGGGTTGGTTCATGTGTGCAAACAACGAGTCCCAGATCGACATCAGCCTGGATTGGCCGATGGCCGCAAGAGCCTAGAGGTCGAGTGTAAGCAGCATAACGGGACACACCACCGACCGGTCAGAGGCAGAAATATTACCTGGACCTGTGCAAGGTGTTTAGGCCGTTTGGGCATGTTCATTCTCTGTAAGCCGACACCCACGGCCCCCGAGGAGACAATGACGACCCGGTGTCCATCTCGCCGTAGTTTGATCGCCGTCTCAACAATCAGCGACAGAATCGACAGGATGGGTTCATGTGTGATCTCATCGACGATAGAGGATGTCCCTAGTACCACTGTAAGCGTCTCTCTAGGTCCTCCCGCAACAACGCGCATGGTCTCTACCAATTTTGATGACAATCGTCAAATGCTTTCCTGGCTTCATCTTTCGCGGTTGTTATTTGTACACCGCCGTGAGTCCCTCTGAAGACTACCTACCATCTTGATTGGAAAGTGCAACAAATGACTGTCCCAATTCCAGCGCGCCCTTTGACGGAAGAGACAGTTATCGTTACCGAGTAGGGCGTGGGTCGGATATTTCCAGCACTTCGTCCTTTTTTTTCATCGGAGGTCAGAGTCGGTCACGTGCGGACCCGAAAAGGGCCTTGTCACGTGCTAGTCATCTGACTACGGTTTTACGTCTATAAGAGCTGAGGCCACGTGAACTTGTCGTAAAAGCATCAGTCAGTGTGTGTGCTTCTATCCAGAGTTGGTCTTCGCGATGACAACTGGTGACTGCGTCAAAAGCTAAGGTGGTCGCGGTGGAGATGGACACCTTGAGCACGTCTCATTCCCGTCTCACCAGAAGTCTGGATAGTACGAGATAGTCCTCCTAAATCTAAAGTTCGCATAGCGTAGCTGTTTCGAAGTAACATATATCTGTAGATAGGCCGAGCTCTGGATAGACGTGATAGCACCCATCTCGGCGACACAATAGGAAGATGCTAATGCGTAAGTATTCCGTACCTGGATTGCACATCAAGTAAAAGAAAGGTTTTCCCGAATATCAGCCGGAGTTGAATATTGAGGAACTCGACGTTCCTTAACTCTTGCTGGCCCCAGTCTCCTATTACAACAGGATCGGTTCGCCCTTTCGCTTCTATATCCCGTCCGTTCGTTTCTTTTGTCGTCTTTGGATCAAGTCGCTCACTATGGCCGATCCGAAAGAATCCCAAGGCACGCCTAACACTGGCTCCGATTTCCTTCCCAGCGACTCCCTGACTGCGCGGTTCAAGAACTTCTATCGAATGGCCACTGGCAAAATGTCCCCGGAAGGACAGAAATTATACTGGGAGGATGCCGACCACCGCTACAGCGAGATTGACTGCAAACGCTGCGAGAAGCAACGAGACTATCTGCTTAAATTTTCGCCAGCAGTAAGGTACATGAACGAGAACATCAAAAAGCTGGGCGGGGATCTTGGACCACATAACATCCGGTGCCGGACTTGCAAGACCGGTCAGCTGGGAGGATTCGATCACAAGTATGGCATCATGATATGCGCGAACTGGGTAGAGAAACAGAGCATATTGGAAGACGTTTTGACTCATGAGATGGTCCATGCCTACGACCATCTACGGTTCAAAACGAATCTAAGCCCAGAGGACGACTTGCGACATGCTGCATGCTCAGAGGTGAGCTGGTCACGAACTACCGCAATGCAGCTTCATTCTGACAAGGTTCCAGATTAGAGCAAGCAATCTCAGCGGAGAATGTCGATGGTCCAACGAGTTCTTCCGAAATCGAGTCCTTTCCTTCACCAACCACCACCAGGATTGTGTTCGACGAAGAGCTATCCTGTCGGTTAGGTCGAGACCAAACTGCAAAGACGATGTCCATGCGGCCAAGGTTGTCAACGAGGTGTGGGACAGTTGTTTCAGAGATACAAGACCTTTCGATGAGATATATCGGTGACAGATGGTTTTGTGTTATGATTCTGCATTTCTAGCAAGGCGTTGGGGGCGCGTCCGCTGACCCAGCGAAGGCATGACATATTTGAAGACCAGACCAAAAACTCCATTCCCAATCCATAGTTCCCGCTTTTCCCGAACACCACTTCCATGAGTATCATGTTTAGTGTACAACAACGCTCCCGGCTGATTTAATCCTTCCATCGATTCAGGAATTTTTGCATTGCAGCGTCACTCGGCTGGCCAGCTGCGGCAACCTATTGAAATCAGCATAGTGTCCTGTACGGGTGGTTGTGGAGGCATACTGTCGCTTCTCTACTCGAGGTATGGAACGTCACCGTTGCTGTATGGGTAGTGGCGGCGTTTGGGGATCCAGCAATGGTCTTGTAGACCGTGTACGAACTCGATGGCCATTGGGGAGAAGCGTTCTTTGCTGTGATCTTGGTCTGGGCCTGGGGTGGCATTGGCGCGTAACGAATGCTCCCTGTCTGCAGGGTGTATGGAACGTCGTACTCTGAGGCTCCGTTGGCTGGGGCAGTGTCTTGTGTGTCTCCCGCTTGGGCAGCTTGAATATTGTTGACATCTGCCGGGCCAGCCGTACCAGTTACCGTTTTCAGACCCGCTTGTACTGCTGCCGGAAATGTTCCTGTCATGCTCCTCAGAGAAAACCGGTCCGAATAGTTGATGACAGTGCCACCTGTGGCTGCCGAAATGAACTTCAAGAAGTAGGCGTTTGTCACGTCAGCACCCAGGCCAGCGGTCAACGTGACGGTGACAGTATTTCCGTCGGCGAAGTCGCCATTCTGTACAAGTGTTGCCAGTTGGACCTAGTAGTATCAGCACCCGTGGCCTCTCGTCCAGGGCCTCCCCTTACAAAGTTCGTATCGGTGTTGCCACCTGCGCACAGAAAGACCTGGTAAGATGCCAGGTCTGCAATCTTTGGTGTCTTCCCTGAGTCCTTCCACTCGATGTCCAACGAAAGTCCAGAAATAGCATCCCCCGCAACGGGCCCGGTGACAAGGACATCGGCCAGGGCGAAGGACAGGAGTCCAGCGACCAGAAAGTAAACGCTCCGTAAAATCATTGTAAGAGACTGTAATTGTGTGTTGAGCGGGGCGAGACAGAAAGGAAACCAGAGGAAATCGGGCGTGAAACCAATTGTCGCAGGTAAGAAGTGAGGAAAGGGAACGAGGGTGTAGTCTGGCGAACGGGCGCAGTTGCTGAGATACATAACAAGGCGGCGGGAACCCCATGAAAGCCTAATTAATTGCCTGGCAGGCCATAAATAAATCCGCGGCGCTGCAGGAGACAGGCCCGCCGATCAATTCTGCCCAACTCCGCTCCGCCTCTATCGTTACGTAGAACTTAGAACTTGACTTGTCCGGCCGACCTTCACAGTCAAGAGCCAACAGCTCTTCAATCTGCTCACAACAATGGGCTGGTCGTCGCCGGACAGCTGGCTCACCAGGCTCTTCTCCGGCGACCCTCTGGTGATCTTGCTCGCCTTTCTGGTGGTGATAGCACTTCCGTCGCTCCTGCATCTCTACTTCTACACACAGTCGGCGCGTACCAAAGTCGTCCCAACCTTCTTACTTCTGGGTCCCAGTGGAGCAGGCAAGACTTCACTCGTGACTCTGGTGAGACGTCTTTTGAGTCTAGGATTAGACCATCACTAATGAGCCTAGTTGCAAAAACGGTCCTCCAATCCCGAAGACACAGAGCCCGCCCTCACTCGAACTTCGCAAGTACCATGGGGGGTCAGCTTACTACTCCCTGCCTCAGTGCCTCTGGGGTCGAATAAATACCGCTCGAGGAATGACGTGTCCTTGAAGGACAAGCATCCTACTCGATATGTTATGATAGACACACCAGGTCATGGCAAGTTGAGGACCGATCAAGCATTGTCGCAAATTAAGAATCCAGGGCTTCGCGGGGTGATCTTCGTTGTTGATGCCAGCGTCCTTGGCTCAAGCGATACATCCTTTTTGCGAGACACTGCCGGGTACCTCCATGACACGCTACTTGCGTTGCAGAGACAGAGGACTGGAAAGGCTTCAGGCAAGACAAAAACGAATATCCCAGTTCTAATTGCGGCAAACAAGCAGGATTTGTTCACGGCGTTGCCGACAGGCGCTGTAAGGGAGCGGCTTCAGGCAGAGATCGAAAGAGTGAGAGTTTCCAGAAGCAAAGGCCTCAGTACAGTTGGTCAGCAGCCAGACACAGATGCAGAAGAAGAGGTCCTCGGTGGTGGCGGGGAGGACAAATTCAGTTTCAAACTGATGGAAGACGAATACGGTATCAGCATTGACGTTGTCGGAGCAGCAGTGAAAGGTGACGAAGCAGGCAAGGGGGTACGGCGATGGGAAGAATGGATTGGTGGATGTCTGTGATCATCACTCGTCGATTTTGCATACATACGCTGCATCCGGCATTGTGTCAAGAAAATCCAAATCCATGATGGCGCATGCCTCTGTCCTCGTGCTTGATTTCACGAAAGATGCCTCGTTCTACGACATTCAGGTCGTAGCCTCGATCGGTATGATTGCCCGTCAATAGCTATTCTGGCTCGACAGCGGCTTTCCGACTTTTGCCCACCATGGAGTATTCAATGGCACCCGGCCGGCCTTTTGTGTGCGCCTGGACCTTGGAGGCATCGGTCCAGCTCTCCCTCATCCTGCCAGGATAATTGCATGCTTAGGCCGGAAAGGGCTTATCTCAGACAATTCCCTGGCTGAAAATGTCCTCGGAATTGCGATGCTGATATCTTGGATCATCTTGTCCATGGACGGGAACATCACCATACTGGTCTTGTTCTGTCGGCATTGTCCCCACGCCTTCCTTCAGATACAGCAGCAATCTATATGCACTATTGCCGTTCAAGTAGTACCGGTGAAGCTTTTTGCTTCTCAAAAAGCCCAGCCTTTCGTATAGCTTCATTGCTGCGGTATTTGTCTCCTCGGTCTCCAGGGCAATCTCGTCTGCATCTTTTTCTATCATCAAGTCGATCGCTTTGCTGACCAAAGTCGTAGCGATGCCTTTGCCGCGAAAGTTGTCTTTAGTAGCAAGCATCGCAATATACCCTCTTAAAGGGCCTCCCCGATGTGGTTCCAATTTGCATATTACCACGCCAGCCAGCTTGTTGTTGTCCGTTGTATCAACTGCCATAAAACACAGCTCCGCCCATTGGTAGAGAAAATATCTGTACACATAGATGCTGTAGGGTTCGGAGAGGTCTTTGGAAATCAATTCGCGGATCTGGGGCAGGTACTCGGATTCTTTCTCGAGAGAATATTGGAGGTAGCTTATGCCGGGAGGATGTGTTTGGAAATATGTACTTGGGGACTCAACCTTGCTCTGAGGGTTTGGGGCAAGTGAGGCATCGCTGCTCATTGTAATTGAGATCAAGCACTATTGTGTTGTCCAAATTGCCATTGTGCAAACGAAAGTCCATCAATAGTCCGAAGTTGGAGTGAGTTCTGGTTGTGCCTGAAGATCATTGCGACAGTAAATATTTCCCCGAGCCCCCGGGAAAGGCCTAAAGGCCCCTAAGCCCCTAAGGCCCCTAAGCCCCTAAAGTTATAATACTTAGTGCTCGGAGTGCACGGATATGACGAAAGCGCAACACCGCATGTGAAACTTCCCACATCTACGTAGCAATCCTGACGCTACCTTTCCGAAGGGTCCGTAGATGGCACGACGGGAGCCTCACCTGTTGTGAGCTGCTTCTCCATAGAGAAGGGCAAGGAGCAGGATGTCTGCCCTGCGTCGCCGAGTAGGCAACATCCTTCGAGATTCGCCGTCTCCCTCTCCCTCTCCCAGTCGAGATAGCACCCCTGATCCTAACGACAACATCAAGCTGGTGTCGGAAAAGAAGCTCGAGAAGCTCACAAAAGGCAAGAACAGCAAAAGGAGGACCTGGCTCGTTTTTGGACTTGGGGGCCTGCTCGGCTTGCTCCTAGCACTGGTGTTTGCGCAATCGCAAGATGTAATCAAGCTGGAAGGACTGTTGGAGATGAATCTGGATAGCTTGATGGATGCAATCCCTGCTGGGATCGTAAAAGATGTCAAAGATTTGTCCCAAGCCGAGCGGGAGGCCGTCAACTACGACTCTTTCGCGGTTGGGTTACACTTGCAATCGCAGGGTATCTCGGCGCAACACCCAGTCATCATGGTCCCCGGGGTGATCTCAACAGGGTTAGAATCCTGGTCTACAGGCGAAAAATCGAGACAATACTTTCGAAAGAGACTATGGGGTTCATGGTCAATGATGAGAGCACTTGTACTAGATCAGCCATTATGGAAAAAGCATATCATGTTGGATAAAGAGACGGGACTCGACCCTCCAGGAATCAAACTTCGAGCAGCCCAGGGTTTCGACGCTACTGACTTCTTCATCACTGGGTATTGGATATGGAACAAAATCCTGGAGAATCTCGCCACCATCGGGTACGATCCAACGAATTCGTTTACGGCCTCTTACGATTGGCGGCTTTCGTATGCCAACCTTGAGTACCGCGATCAATATTTCACCAGGCTGAAGAACTATATCGAGGTGGCCCATATGACTTCTGGCAAGAAGCCCGTCATAGTTTCACACTCGATGGGCGGTCAGGTCCTTTTCTATTTCATGAAATGGGTCGAGCACAAAGATCACGGGAAAGGAGGAGCTCGGTGGGTCAATGATCATATCGACTCTTGGATCAACATTTCTGGGTGTATGCTTGGAACGGCCAAGGACATTCCTGCTGTCTTGTCTGGTGAAATGAAGGACACGGCTCAGCTAAATGCGTTTGCTGTCTACGGTCTCGAAAAATTTCTGTCCAAGGAAGATCGTGCAGAACTGTTTCGAGCGATGCCAGGGATTTCCTCTATGTTGCCAAAGGGTGGCGAAGCTGTCTGGGGAAATAGCACCTGGGCGCCGGACGATCTAGCCTCCTCACAACAGAACACCAGTTATGGGCTCTTTATCTCTTTTCAACCGGATCAGAACTCCACCAAATTACCGAGCAAAAACTTGACAATGACGGAGACTTTTGAATATTTGATGAATAGCACGGAGCCGTGGTACCAGAAACAAATTAAGGGTTCATATTCCCATGGAGTGGCACATACAAAAGCAGAGGTCGAGAGAAATGAAGACAGACCTGAGACTTGGGTGAATCCACTGGAGGCCCGACTTCCGCTCGCACCTGACATGAAGATTTATTGTTTCTACGGCATCGGAAAGCCTACGGAAAGAGCCTACTTCTACAAGGAAAACGAGAACCTTGTGCACGGGACTGTCAACATCTCCATCGACACCTCTGTCACCTCGCCGAATGGCCGCTTACAGGAGATTGGCTCAGTCGATCATGGCGTGGTTTTCGGAGAAGGGGATGGGACGGTAAACCTGTTATCCACAGGATATATGTGCGCCAAAGGGTGGAAAAAGATCAAACGATACAATCCTGCAGGAACCAAAATCATTACGTATGAAATGCCGCACGAGCCAGACAGATTCAATCCTCGAGGCGGTCCTAACACTGGCGATCACGTTGATATTCTTGGGAGAAGTAGCCTGAATGACTTGATCCTACGGGTGGCCGGGGGGGAGGGAGATCAGATCGAGGAGAACTACCAGAGTCGCATCTGGGAGATCAGCGAGAGAGTTCAGATATCTGAAGAAGGATGAGGACCTGGCTGGAATGTGTAAACTTGTTGTGTCAATTTTCTGGGGGGGAGGGAAGGCGGGTTGCATCACAATGGTGTCGTTCTTGATCTTTGGCTTTTTTGCCCGTTTCGCAGAATCGCAGTATTGCACTGCGTCCACAGCGTGACAAGAGGATGCCGAGAAGATTGACTTCATTACTACATATATAGAGGTGACTGCCATGGAAAGTCATAACCAACCATAGAGAGGCAGTCTCGCAGACATGTTTTGTACATATTTATCTGGGTCTGGAAAGTTGCTGGTGTTGGAGGGAGCCCTTCAATTGTACACAAAGCCCGCCGAAGGGCATGAAGAGTCTCTTAAGAAGCACAACGCCTGGCGACCTGCTTTAACAACCTCTTGGTGAACGACCACGAGTACAGTGCGTACATAACGTCTTCACTAGAACTACGGCAACTACCTTACGTATGTGTAGTCTTGGGACAGCTTCTCGCCCACTGCGGATTTCCACTGGTGGCACCGCCAACCCCATTCCACACGAGCCAGCGCCCCTTGTCCCGCTTTTCTCCCCTCTGCTACCATTCCCCTTGCAAGTTCACATGCATGGCTGCAACTGTTCAGCTGAAGCCATCCCAGCGACGATCCCCGTCCAGGCCTCAAGGAGGAGAGTCAACTGTGGCTCATTATTATCTTCCATGTCTTTTCGACCTCCTGGTTCCCCAAATCCACTCCCTTCGAGTAACCTCTGATCAGGAATAGAGAGAAGCAGTCTCACAATCAGAAGCCGCATCAAAGAAAGTCGCACAAGCTTTGGCGGACTGGAAGCTGGGACTACACAAAGAACAGGTTATTGAGGGATCTGTACGGGTCTGGTGCCGGAGACTTCAAGTTCGCACTTTCGCCCCGCGCATCAATACGTGCATTAGGTGACCTGATTCGACCTGCGCCCTGCCTCAAGTCTTGGTGCACTTCCACTACATCGTCGCATACCTACGAACCGTCTATCTTCTTCAGACAGTCCCGCGCCGATACTCGCACTCTTACCGCCCCTCAGAAGATGGCGCCGGCCGGATCGATCATCCCGTTGATCATTCTCCTTGTTGTGGTCGCTGTTTTGGCGGCGGTTGGATTCGTGGCATACTCTGTGGCTCACGATGTGGGACACAAGACGAGAATCAAGTTAGAAAAGAAGAACGTATCGTTTAGCCGTGGAGGAATGAAAGTCGGTGTCAAAGAGAAAACGTTTGAGCAGCAGGAGGATGCGGCGCAGAGGTATATATCGCCCCTACCATTTGAGGGAACCGGAATGGACTCACTGACTGTTCTCCTCCCGCAGTGTGATAACTAAGATCTGGAACAACTCGTCATGGCCAGCATATAAATCGCGTCTGGGTTGGGGACAAACAAATCAATCCGCTAGCCCTCAATCCCAGCCGCCCTCGCAAAAGAAAGAACCGTGAGTTGGCCGTCCTCACCACGACGATCTCATCAAGGTGCTAATGGTCTATTCTAGGTCATCGCGACCTTCTTCGCACCAAACACCCACCGTTTCTCGCCATGGCTCGAGTCAGGCCAATCTCTCGACGACATCGTCCGCACAAGTCCATTGAAACTAGAATGCATCGAGCCAGAGCGTGAGGAACGCAGAGGAATACGTGGACATGCTGAACCGACATGAGTGGGCGAGATGGGTGGTCATTGTGACCAATTATGACCATAGATAGACCTTTGATGATCTTTCTTTTCGAGGGTACACGTACGCTACGGTTGAGACGAAACCGATCTAGGAACTTTTGCGCTCCGGTCCGCAAGCTGAAGCGGAACACTGCAGCAGGAAATGGTCAGTGCTGGAACGGATCTATAGATAATGATCAGGTTTCAGTTCTGGATCGATCCAAAAAGGATTGAATGTCCCAGCAACTATCGATAAATTTTATCTGGAACTGGCTCGTGTCCTGTCAACAATGGCTGCCCTGCAGCATTGGGCGACGGTAGCTACCTAGGTAGGTATCCGTACTCCGTATGTATACCGAGTAGAGAGCTTTCTGGTTTGCAGCAGTCACGTTGATTCAGCAGCAAGTTGATGATTGATGAACAGTTCCCTTGACCACGACACACCCAAGAGTTGCAGGCTAGCTGGGAAAAGATCATCCAATCATCCTGGGCAGCGGCCTCGTCCACCTTCTGATTTCCAGTTACCTGTGACCTCGGTTTCGCACTCTTGTTCCTAGTTTCCTTCGTATATTTTGACTGGTTCGGCTTCGACGGGAAGCCAAGCCTCAATCTGCAACCTTTATGCACAAAATAAGCTTGCATTTAGCATGTTTGGGCCTCACGTGCCTTTGACAGGAAGTCGATGACAGAGGAACAGAACACGAGAGCCGAATTTTGTCGATCGAACAAGCCAGGCCGTTGGCGCTCGGTCTCGCGCGTTGGAGTCCGAGAAGAGACAACGATGTGGAGCAGATTGCGCTACGAAAGGGGAAAGGGGACCACGGACTCGTTGCCCCGTAAGACATGGGATGGGAAATTGAAGGGGTGAGGAAGAAACATTCAAACCCGGACAAGGGGACAAGGAAACAGCACAACTAAGAGAAAATCATAGTGATACACACAAAGACTGGTCACTTTGTACGAGATGGAGAAGGTTGAAATTGCTGGCAATCATAGAGTCAGCATCGCTTGATTTGCTATGTGTAATAGTAGCAGCGGTATATCCAGTGCCAAGTGGTAATTCGGTGGAGGAACGGGCCATCAGTCCAGAGTATGTGTAGGTAGGTAGGTAGGTAAGGTAATTATGCTCATCGATCAACATAATGCACAATCTAGGCAACTATAGGGAAGGACCCTGCCCCTCGTGAACAGCCTAGAGACTCTACGAGGCTGGTGCCCAAAGAACGGCTTCAACGGCACAGCATCAGCCCTTCATAATAATGCTTTATGTCTTTCTCGCACAGTCGTCGGCGATATTGCTCCAATATGTACCTACTCCAGGTCATTGTTATTGTTTGTAGGCGCGGGCTTCTGCACATCTGCATCACGAACCATGTGAGCAGGAAACCTAATGCATGAGCCCTCAGGCTGGTTGGTGGTGGTGACGTTGGACCACTGTAACTGAGAGAATTTTTCTGTCTCGGCGATGCACCATTGAAGCTGAAGTTGAGGACGGATATGACTTAATAAAATTATTCTCCAGGGGTGACTCGAGGCGACGGCATGAGTGGATCGGGGCCCGGCCCCCTAACAAAGACTCTTTAGGCCGTCCGACAAGCCCGGAGCTCGCCCCAGACTTGGGGCCAGTTATAGCTTGCGATTCATTGATTAAGAGGCGGCCGAAGCTTGGAGGGGCCTGGATCCCTGAGGATCGAGTAATACCTACTAGGGACCTGGTAGTGACCTATTATCCCACTGTATCGATTGTGACTAGTATTGACCTGTCGCCCCCTCCGGCTAGTCCTTCTGGACGGATAGTCGCTAACTCACAGCTCGGCTTCATCGGTTCGTCCGTGGGGATCAGGCATCTCTTTTTGCTCCTCTCATACCTACAGGCTACCGCAGGCCTAAAGCCCCCCAATTCGACTGCACTTCTTCGCCGCTTCTTCGCCGTCCACCTGTGGCTGCTATCCATCCGCCGACTTCCACATCCGGCCGTTCCTCTACCACTACCTCTTCTGCTCACCTAACTTCACGCAAACAGCTCTTCTCATTTTCCGACCTTCTTCCCTTCCCCTCCTATCTTCTCTTCCTCATCTTTATCCGTGGAACTTCGGCATCAGTACAACCACCAACCTCGCCGCCTCTGCCCTCCGTCTCCTCCTCCTCCCTCCTCCTGTCTTCCTCGCCACCTTGGTCTCGGGATCGATTCCATACCTGCCAAATCCGCGACTAATTCTTGCGCAACTGTTCCCACACCGACAAACAATCCGACACGTGCCATGCAGGCGTCACTTCCGTCCTGGAAGGACGCTGCGGTGTACAAGAAACAGATGCAGATGCCATGGCGGTCCATACAACTTTTGGTGCCTCACAGGTTACGGCGCAAGCTACGGTCAAAGCTACGGAATCGACAATCACCTGCTTCATCCATCTCAGCCCTCCAAACCTCGTTCTCGCCGTCTGACACGCTACGCTCTCTGCAAAATCACAAATGGACGCTCTATGACGGACAATGGCTGTTTCTTGCAGTCATCGGGATTTTCTCGTTGAGCATTATCGAGTCGCCCGGCCCTCTGGTCAAAATGACTGTTGCTACACTCCTCCTCGCCTCCCTGATATTCCCTATTACGAGACAATTCTTCCGCCCGTTTATGCCTATAGCTGCATACTTGATCTGGTTCTACTCCTGCCGGTGAGTTCGCTTTGGGGTGGGACAAAGAAGGCTGTCGAAGAAACTAATCCTGGGTCCAAACAGGTTCATACCCGCCGAATGGAGGCCTCCTATTTGGGTCAAAGTCCTCCCTGCCCTCGAGAACATCCTCTACGGCGCCAACCTGAGCAACATTCTTTCCGCGCACAAGAACACGGCTTTGGATCTACTAGCCTGGTTTCCGTACGGCCTTGGCCACTTTGGCGCTCCCTTTGTGTGCTCGGCAATCATGTTCATCTGGGGACCACCGACAACGGTCACGGTGTTTGGATTCTCTTTCGGCTATATGAATCTCATAGGGGTCATCACTCAAGTCCTGCTTCCTTGTGCCGCGCCATGGTATGAGAACATGTATGGGCTGGCTCCTGCCAACTATTCAATGAAGGGCTCGCCAGCCGGCCTGGCGCGTATCGATGCTTGGCTTGGCTTTGACATGTATACATCAGGCTTCACAGCATCTCCCATGGTATTTGGGGCGTTTCCGTCCCTCCACGCGGCTACCTCGACTCTGGAAGCACTGTTCATGAGCCACGTCTTCCCGAAACTCACCCCCCTATTCGCAATCTACGCCATGTGGCTATGGTGGGCAACCATGTACCTATCACATCACTATGCCGTCGATCTGGTTGCTGGTAGCATGCTGGCGGGCGTCATCTTCTACTTCGCCAAGGCTCGATTCCTTCCGCGTCTCCAGCCGGACAAGCGATATCGATGGGACTACGACTACATCGAGGTCGGTGAATCTCACAATGACTACGGTTACAATCTGGCCGGCCTGGCCGATACTCGGCCGGACAGCGATGAATGGACGATCGGCTCCTCGTCTTCAATCTCCTCGGGTTCACTGAGTCCAATCGAGGAGAGTCAGAATATCTGGACTGGAGCGTATTCAAACCACGAAAGATGAGTTCTGATCTGCGACGTCCTCCATCTGGACCCCTGCCGCTTTCCACCTCTCAATCTTTGATTGAGTCTCAGCATCCTTGATAAAGGCGCTTTCTGCTCGACCAATGTGACGCTTTACGGACGAAACTTGCATATGAGCGACCCTTTGATTTTGTAAATAGACGAGGCAAACTACGTTTGTGATAATCAACAGCGACCGGCCTGATGCATCTTATCCCCAGCTCCTGACGAAACCGACCGCTGGCCTGGTCCATACTTTCATCACGCAGGCGACTAAGAACGTCGATTCGAAGGGTCGGTGAGCGGATAAATCTACTGGAAATTTTTTCTGTGGTACAGTCGTTTCCTTCCCAGACCGGTTGGTTCTGGATTTGGCCTTACAGCAGCAACACCTTTACAGCGGAGTTATTGGCCTGCGTTTAGGCCTCATTTTACTTTCTCGCTGCACCCGGAATAGGGGGGGTTTTTTTTGGAGTGGATTTGTGTTGGAAGGATTTTTTGGCCATTGAGCGTCTACCGTTTCCCGTCTGGCTGGAACCATTACATTCGCTTGCTTGTGTACAACAATATCGACATGGTTACGACCGACACGCCATTCGCTTGTGTAAACATGAACTGGAACGGACGAAGGTGTTTCTTTTCAATCTGTCTGTGTTCCAGTTTCAGGAGAAGGAGGGTGAAATGGGAGAGAGAGGGACTGCCTGGTTCTGGGTCGATTCAGGCAACCAGTCAGCATGCAGATTGGAACGCCTCAGAAGCTTCTGTGAGAAGCACACATTTCCATCGGGGTGGTGGAGAAAGGCGTTTCAAGTTGCAGCCCGACATGCCAGGTCCATCCTTGTCTGACCCCAGGTCGCAGCCTCGACTCAGCCAACCTCCAACGGAGACACACATTTTAACAGCTACTAGAATCCAATTGGATCAACATTCATGAACGGACTAGCATTGTCACATGTGGGCAGTGGCGGGCGCTTATGCTGTGAGACGTGGGATTGTGTGACGGAAGCAGGACAGCTGTTCGACAAGGCTGGTGCGATCCATGAGGCCATTTACGAGCGGTGGGATAGGGCTTTTCCACACTACAATGGTCACAGAAGACAAGAGGCAGGGTTGAGAGAGATGCATGGTTCGTTGGACTGAACTGTACCTGACTGCACCGACCTGAACTGGTCGGTCTGGGAGGGCTCAACCCGATGCTGACTCAAATAATATCATAATATTAATGGAGTTTCTGAAGCATGACGCATACATGATAATTCGTGATCATGTTTGTCGAGTGGTATGTGTGGTATGAGAGCGCTATTGTAGAGACACTGAATTAATATATGAAAGTGGAATTGCTGCATGTGGTGGTAGTAATAGTACTCCGTACAGAGTAGCAGGAACTACTGCGGAGTACATACGTAGTATTGGAAGGCAAGCTTAGTCAAGTAGTATTTACGTATTTACTACTCCCTGGCACCTAGCCTGGTGCTCCGTACTGTACGAGTACGTGGTACCTTCGACGTCATGTCATCACAGACTCAGGTTCCCAGTCAGATGGAGCACCCACTCCCTGTTCCCTGCTCGATGGCCAGGATTACGAGTCCTCTGATATTGGTCCTCCCTCCTTTCTTTTGTACTTCGTACTCTACATATAAATACCTCTCTGAGGGCTAAGCTAAGGTCGATTCTCCCTTCTTATTGAGACTCTCTCGCCGGCTGAAGTGTGACCGAGTCCCCCAGCTCCGACCACCAGCCACCTACCTGCATTGTCGTAGAATTCACCTACCAACCTACCTACTTATCTATCGACCTCAAAGTACGAAAGGAAGACACTACTCTCCAGCAAGTCTAGTCCAGTCCAGTCCAGTCCAGTCCAGTCCAGCCAGCAGTTTAAACAGCCCTCCCGAGACTCTGACACTCCATACTTCGACCATCTAGACCTCGTCCGTCAGCTGTTGCAAACCAACCGGGTTGGTTGGTTGTTCAAGAGTCCCAGAATGGCTCGTCCTGCTTCCTCGACGGTACGTGGGCCTCCTGGATCCTCGCTCCTGAAAACAAAGGACACTTTGGACTGTCATTTGGACTCGCATTCCCATTCCACTTCCCATTCCACTTCCACTTCCAATATTTGCAAGGTTTAAAAGTCGAGTCAAGCATACCTGACCACTGACACGTCCAATGCCGCCAATAGAGCGACGTCCTTCTCTACTTCCTCGCCATCTTCCTCCCGCCGCTCGCCGTCTTTCTCAAGACGGGCTGCGATTCCAACTTCATCATCAACATCCTTCTCACCATTCTGGGCTGGCTGCCTGGATGTATTCGTAAGTTCAGTTCGGTCGCCCCCAAGCCCTTCGATGCCCCACAAACATAGCATCTGTCTATGTATTCCCTAAGACGCGCCGCACTGGTTCTTGGTTCTTCCTCTGTTGTCAAATCCTGCACGAAACAACCCTCCCATCATCCGGTCTCTCACGCGCGTCCCGATCGATTTGTCTGTCCCCAAGTCAGCGCTAATCCAGTCTTATTCCATTCATTCCATAGACGCCTGGTGGATCATTACCAGATACGAAACCCCGGCACGCGTGCACGCGTACTAGGACCGAGGAGCGGGAAATCCGTCAAGGGGCTCCGAGTGTCTCTAGGCCGGCTCTAGTGACATTGAGATACGTGATCGCTGTGCTGAGGAATTAGGAAGACAAAAGACAGACAGACAGACCGTCCGTACTCGTCTTGCTGGAACGCAGCCACAGCACACCTGACTTCCGCTGCTCCTGATGCCAACTGAATGAAGGTGGAATGGCTAGAAGCGATCAACCGCCTAATATGCGAGGTGCAGTTCAATTTTGACGTCCGCGGTGACAAACTTCTTAAAGGGATCGAACTGAGGAACCAATTGATCTCGCTTTGACGAACTTCGCTTCTGAGCCAATTTGATTTCTAGTCTATTGTGTCTCATGTCATGACTTCATTGCCTTCCCACCATCTTTATGATGACCAGGCGCCCGTGCTGTTAACAAATCAAACACAACGCCGAGCATAATTCCAAGTGGCGTCGCCATCACTATATATCCAGACAGGCTGTGCTCAAAACGAACGGTTGCACCTCACTCGCAGTCGTCACATTCTCTCAGATCTAACATCCATTGAGGATTTTCTTGACTTCAACACCACTCAATCCCGGCCCGTTCAGTACAACGCTCTGAACCGTTCCCATCGTATAGACAGACAACCACCTACCCGGAACATCATTGGCCAGGATAGTGATACACATTCTGATTTCTGCTTCTCCAAGCGGCACAGCGAGGCTGCTTCTGATGTCCTTGACAAGTTGATTCAGACTCAACGAGACCGTACCCCGGACCTTTCCTGGGCTGGAATGCACGGAAGAGTTGAACCTGGAAGCCAACTTTCGCTGTTGCAGCATTCGCAGGATCTCGACCACCTCTTGAATTCGGCCAAGAGCATACCGACGAACAATGGATTCGGGAGTAAGCTGAGTGGACGTCGAACCGGCGAGTGCCTTGGCTCGGACACGTTCCAAGAGGGACAAAGTTCGATCTTTTACAACCTCGGGGGTATGCATCTCTTCCTTCTGCAGAGGATCCGGTGCACTCGAGAACTGCGACCTTGGCCGGTTCTGCGCATCCGCCGAGAGACCAAGAATCTCCCTTCGTGCCGCAGCTGCCTTCCCCTTGCGAGCTTGTGTTTGAATGCCCATAGTGAATGCCAAGCGAGGAAACCGGCTATTCTCGCCGTAGAGCCAACCACTAGGTTTGTCGCGTTGAGATGTGAATACTGCGTCGACATGCAGCTCGTAGGATTCTTGCAGTCTGGACTCATCAAGCGGCGAGCCCAATAGTTTGCTGGTGCCACCACTACCCACATACTCCACACTGTAGCGGACAGCATCACCTCCAGCTATTGTCAATTTGAAGGGGCTATTCTGGTGTGTCAAGACCTGACCAGCCACGACCTCAATGGTGTTATCAAGCTCATACATGGCCAGCATTCTTTGGATGTCTTCTTTCTGGACCGTATATTCCTTCCATAGTCTCGTCACCGAGGCCATCAAGATATTCAAGTCTGCGGGGGCAGAGCTGCCATTGTGGACAACGTGTAACGAGAACGCCCTGAGGAATACGCCGTGTAGAGAAACCAGGTCTTGGAGGACCTTGGGAAGTTCTTGAGAAGAGGCTGATGGTGCTGAAGTCTTGCTGTCAAGCGAGAGTTGATGAAGTTCGAGTGGAGGGGAAAGTCTAACGTCGATCGAGCCACCCCGTTTCGATTGGGACGATGGTGCTGTAGGCCATTGAAGTTTTGGCTGGCAGAAAGTCAGCATGAGTCTGCGTCGAGAGATTTCAATGATTGATACCTTTTTTGAGGCTGCAGTGCTGCTACTGCCCCTCTCCGGCCCAACCTCGTTGCCATCCTGCACCTGGCTGTGTGGACGCTTTAGCGCTGTTTTGGCTGGTGTAGGGAGGTCGACGACGGGGCGGACTGCTGCTTCTTTCAAAACTGCCTCAACATTGAGCCGCGCAGTGGTGCTTTTGGAGATCTTTGCGTAGCTTCGCAGTCCTGACTGCCGTTTGCTGACTCGACTGGTGGTTCCGTGAACGGCAGGAGCCATGGTGCAGGAAAATGGAAGGCGCGACCGGAAGATGAGTTGGATGGCAGTAATTGAGGGAAGGTCAGTAAGACACGGGATCGTCAAAAGCAGACAGCAACACTTTGCAATGTACGGAGTACGGAGTATCCAAAATCACAATCACGCTCACGCTCTGGAATTCTGGCGGTGGCTGGAATTCAATGCTCGAGATCTGTCAAAGGACGCGTCGTGAGACGCGACCGATACGCGCGCACTTTAAAGCTAACCCGATTAGGTTATATTAGTTTCTCAGCCTTGCCTCACCAGCCACATTGAAAACTTTCGTGTAGTAGTAATCGCCCACGTATCATTCCATATGTGTACTCCGTATTATGCTACTTCATTGGTCTTCATCATGTGCCATCTTGAAAATCCACCAACGCCTGCGCTAACCAACAATACAGTGTCCTTCAGAAGCGTCCTAATCTTGATCCGGAACCAGGAGATCGTCTGGGCCCAATCGTGGGATTGAACCCGTTTCCACTCGATCATCTTCATTGTCGTATTCATCTGCTCGGCCTTTGCCCTTGTCCTCTTTCTGCTCCGACTCATCACTATTCTCAATGGATGATTGCTGCTCTGCATTGGGAGCCGCTGATGTAGTCTCTCCTCGAAGGTCGGCTTTCGCTGGTATGCCTTTGATCTCTTCCACTGGATCATCTTCAACCTCTTGCCTTGGTGCAGTTTCGTCGAAAATGGCCGCAATGGGTCCCGTTGCCATGCTATCATTGTCAGAAGTCTGGAGAACATGCTTTCTATCGCTCCAAAACTCCAATCCCCGTATTTCAGCATTGGCGGCCTCGACTGCAGTAAGGAGGTTATCGATTCTTCGACTTTCTGCGTCGCCCTCGGGCTTGTTCTCCTCCTCATGTTTCTGCCGATGCTGTCGTGCTTCATCCGTTGTCTGCTTGAGGAACGATAGCAGCTGTTTCCTTGAATTCTGAAACACAAAAAAGGACATTATGTCTGGGATATGATCATTGAGATAGACCAGTTCGTCTCCAGCCTGGTTAACAAACTTCTTCACTAGGTCAATCTTTTCCCGATCGACTGTGGCAAATCTGAGGGCTTTGAGTAGAGTGCCAACATCTTTGACATCTTCAGGTGGCTCCTCTGGACCGATCGTGTCCGGAAAACTGATGAAGCTGGATGGCCGGGCGGTTTTACCGGCGCCATCGACAGCACTGACCGGACTTCGATCGCGTTTCGAGTGAATGGTGAAATAGTCTTGAGTCAGATGATGTGCAGCACCCATGCCTCCTGTCTTGCCCCAACGAGCTTCCGAGTTGCGTTTGACACGTTTTCGCAGCCATCGTCTTCGCCTGACGAAGGAGTGAAACCATGGATGTGTACCATGCCACGACCAATTCTTTCCAAAGGCAAAAGAGTATTGCCAACCTTGTTCATCCACATCGTAACTCATGTCAACATACCATGTTTTCCAGGCCCATTCCCAACTCGGATCTGGTACTTGAGCATTGGTGATGTTGACAGGTGAATCATGCAAGTCCTTATTCACCCATGGAGCTGGATCTATTGGCAGAAGAGACGAGTGCGAATACAAAGGGATCCCGCAGAGAAATGACCCGCGTTGGTTCTCGTAGAGAACATCATACTCGTGAATTTGCTCCTTCAGATGTTTAGACTCTTTGCCTCTTTTCTGTGCATTCAATCGCCCTCTGTCGACACTGTGGCCAGGTGCAAAGTCGACAGTTTCTGTCACTGCGCCTGTCCCAGGCTCGGTTGGGTGTGCCGATGTCGAATCCCGCTCTTGGACTGTGACAGTGCTGTCTGCTTTGGGGAAATAGCGGCCCTCTTGCCATTTTGCATAGTTCGAGTGCTTTTTTCTTGCCAGCCGGTCCTTTATCGACGAGTTTGTGGTCTTTTTCGCGAGCTTCTGCGAGCTTGGAGTCGGGGACTCTGATCGAGGTTCATCATGATGCGTAGTGTCAGTGGTATCGACTAACGAGATTTCGTGATCGTAAGGATCTGGCGCAGCGCCATCAAGGGTGGAGATGCGGGTTGAGAGTCTAGAGACATTTTCTGACATGCCTCTCCCATGTAGTGGTCCAGGAGTGGTGCAGAGTGCTTCAGCCGGAAATGCTCAGTTGAGATTCATAGTCGAAACCGGGCAAGATGATCTTTGCTGAGGAATGAGGTCCGCACCCTACTTGAAAGTTGGCTTCTATCGACCTCCAGCTGCCCACGTTTTGGTTTCCCCAGGAGCTTCGAGGCTGGGAAAAGAGTAAACAGACAGATAATCACAAAAGACTCTGGCGGCAGGAGGAGCTTGAAGGATATCACCTCTTAGCTTAGCTAGGTCTTGACGTCGTTGACGCGTGGGCAGAGGCAGAGGATTTCTTGGTGGAGCGAGAACGCCACCTCTGGGCGTACTTACGTAGCTCCAGCCTAGGCAGTTTGCAGCTGCTGCCTACTACGTAGGTAAGTACTAGCTGGGTGATGCGGGGAGCGTGCCCCATAGTTAGCCACTTTCCCAGCTGGCAGCCATGATGTCACAGTCACGCCTGCTTGCTCTCCTCTGCCCTATTGCAACCGGTTCTTGATGACACCACCAACACCAACCGTTTCTCCCAGCGACTACTTCTACGGCTTGATCCCTGCACTTAGCTACCTGGTCTCTAACTCAAGTCTCGTGTTCCCAACTCTCCTGCGACTTCTCTAACATTCGACACCACCCTCGACCTCACCCACCACAACCATTGAACGTTTTACTTCTAGACATCCCCCGTTCCTCAACCACTTCCGCCCTAGAACAACCATCATGTCGAGACGTGGGCTTACGGTCGCCGGGTTGGCTATCGCTGGTGGAGCTGGCTACTACCTGTACAACGCTGGAGGCGACCCTAAGACTGCTGAGAAAAAATTCGAAGGTGTGTATATCCCAGGCGGGCTTCGGTTAGGCAGGCGCTGATCATGACATAGCCGATGCTTCCAAACTTTCTGCCGAGATAAAGAAGGAATTACCAGGCCAGAAAAAAGAAGCGGAGAAGAAGGCTGAAGCTTGGGCATCGCAAGTCGGCCAGAAGGTCGACCGAACAGTAAGAAATGCGCTTTCCATCGCCTGATGCAATCATTGCTGACTCCCACAGTCTGCCGACGCCAAAAACAAATTCGTGCAGGCCGAAGCTGACGCCAAATCTAAATTTGCCGAGGCCGAAGCCAAAGCCAAAGACTTTGGCTCCAAGACGAGCACAGAATTCAACAGTGCCGTTGACAAGTTTGACAAGACGGTAGAAGAGAAAACAGCCAAAGCGAAGAGTGGGATCAGCAGCTGGTTTGGTGGCAAGTAGTTGTATACTGGTCATACGCTGGGTTGGCGTCTGTGAGATATCCTGTGAATAATGTTATGAACAGTACGCTTTGAATCGACATTCTCGGCCATAATTCTGCTTGCCATGATCTTTGGATTCTTTCGATTTCAGTGCCTCCATATCGGTCTCCCGAGGACCCTCGGGACACTCTTGACCATTTCAGCTTGACCTCAACGTCTTATGTAGGCGGAATGGGGCCTGTGACTTACTTAGCCTTTCATGACACTGAGACCCAGGCTGAGCCCTGTCTCCTTCGTTCAGGTAGAACTTGCTGACCCTAGGCCAGGCGAGGCCCACCCTGTCTTGATCGTGTTGGTTTGGTGCCGCTGGTTCAGGCTGGGTGGAAGAGGGCAAAGGCCCCCTTCGCAGCTATCAGGGAGGACGGCCTTGTTCATGGCATCAATCCCTCCGCACCAAGCGCCCGCCACGACTCATGCCCGCGCTGATAACGATGATGGTAATGATGCTGGTCAGACCTTCCATGTTGGATCTCGAGCGAAGAACGAGGACTTCAAAGCGGTCTACGTGAAAATCATGAGTATGTCGTTCGTGCAGCCGTGACCAAAGAGTTCTGGGAGCCGGATGGATGTCTCTGCCTCTGTGTGGAGCAAAGAGACTTCGGTACACGAGATGATTGGCAGTGACGCCGCTGGCATTCAAAGGATCTGTCCTTGTTTGGTCGAGTGGGAAGAGAGGTTTCATCGGGGCTGTTCTGGGTGTGCATCACCGGATCTTGTATTGGCGCTTGTCGGAGATCTGTCCCTGTCTCGAGAGTACCTCAACCTCCAGCTCCAGCTTATACGCATGTCCCAACTCCCAGACCCTTCATCATAAGCACCTTCCCATCATCCATGCGCTCTCTGACGTCCCACCCTTGTTTTTGCAAGATTGCGAACATCCTGCCAAACCTTGCCGGGAAAGTGCACACGGTCAAGGCCTGCACCTGGACCTGGTCGACGCCGATACCGTCGCCCCGAGCGTGCTTCTCGACCTCGCTCATCAGGGCGGCAAAAACGCCTGTGCCTCGCGCCTGGTCAGCGACGCCAGCAAGCCAGATATGCAGGGTCGGACACGGAAGGGAGGAGCTTGTCTTGGGGATGGCGAAGATGAACCCAACAGGTTCTGGTCCACTAGTGGATGAGGGGGCAGTTAAGTCGTCAGTGGTCCATGAGGTTTTAACCGGTTCGATTTCACTGGTCGGGGAAGAGCTGAAATCCCTCGTCGTCTCCTTACACGCCCGGGAGGGAAGGGTTAGGTCTGTGGTAGCGATAGCAGAGACCAGGATCGCGCCTCCAATGGTCGAATGTGACGAGAGACGCGTATGCCATTCATCTAGCGACGAGTGATGGGTGGGTGGCATCAACGTCGTGTCGAAGATGCGGTTGGACAAGTCGAGAATAGGCTGCAGAGCGGTCTTCGAAGCGCCTGCCTTCAGAACATGGACAGAGTAAGTATAGGTCTGTCTTCTGACCGGGCATCGTCCGTGTCCTTGACTCGAGGACTTCAAGTTGGGGGAGGGCATTTGGACGCTGCTTGTGCCAATGAGCTTCGATGGGCTTCCGGGAATCCCAGTCGATTGATAAGACCTAATTCTCTTCTTTCTATTATTGCTGATGCTCCCTTGCTTTGAAGTCCCTGTGCGGACAAGGATCTGGCGGTGGAAGGTGGACGTGCCCTGCTGTTCTTCATCCTGAACCGCCTCGTCACTCCACCAGGAGTTCAGATCACAGCGTGATAAGGCACGTAGGCGGGGGTAGGCTGTATGCTGGATGGAGTTGTCAACATTTTTGAGGCCGAAGACTTGCGGATCCATCAACTAACTAATACTCAAGACTGCGCTTTCCCTCAACAAGGAATCCAGCTGTGTTACCAGAATGACCGGCGCGTCGCTTATGCAACGCGACCTGGCTTAGGCCGGTCCTCGCTGCGCCGTCGTTTCTGTGCAACTCGACGTTGGCCAGTCGCTTCTCGTCAACCGCCATCACTTGACTTGCACCATACGCATCAACCCCTACTAGCCATTTGGTGCCCTAGACTGCCAGTGTGCATCGAATCAACACGACCGCTACTGCGACCTCGTTCACACGCGAGCCTCAACCGACGTATCCGAGCTTCAACGGACCATCGACAAGACGCCAAATTACTCGGTCGTGAGTGCGGATAATGGAGTCACGGCGCTTACAACCTTGTTCATTAAAATAGGTCAGCCCAAGGATGTGATGGCAGAGTATTAAGGGTGATCTACAGGAAGCCGACACCTGGAGCGGTCGCCAAAAGGGCCAACCAGAGACGTGGATGTCTGGCTTAGCCCTTGGGACAGGCTTGATGAAGGCCATCACGGCGATAGACCCCGACGATACCCATAGGAACGGAACTACCTGAATCTCTGACAGGATGTGTTTGAGGCCAGTGTATTCTCCGTTCCGACTGGATGTTTTGGCCTCTCCAGCATGGAGAGCCTCCTGAGCCTCTTGCTTTTCTGGAGTAGTCTGCGCGCTTGAGAAGCGAGGACTTGAGATGCTCTGAAGGTGGTACGCTGCATGAGGTCGGGCTTCGATGTATAAGAACGAGCTTGAGGTCCTGCTGGACGAAGAAGACCAACACATCCACAAAGACCTCAACCTCATAAACCATCCAAGTTGAAGCCCAAGGCAATTACTTCTACAAAGTCTAGGAAACGTCCCTCTTTGGTTTTCAGAGCTTTTCAATCCAAGTCCTCTCCATTTACCTCGAAATACTACACAAGCCACACTCACGATGCATCGATCCCTTCACCTCCTTCTCCTCCTTGCTCTCGTCTACCTTGCGGCAGCCATGCCAGTTGCAAACCCAGGGCCTATCATTGAGCCCAACACTCTTTACGTTCGACAGGACACCGATCATGTTCTAGTGGCACGAGATCCCGCCGAGGATCTCGATCTCGCCAAACGGGCTCCTATCCTTGGCTGGACTTGGTTCAACGGTGGCAAGAAGACCAAGAGAAGCCCTATCCTTGGCTGGACCTGGTTCAACAGTGGCAAGAAGATCAAGAGAAGCCCTATCCTTGGCTGGACTTGGTTCAACAGTGGAAGAAAAGAGTAAGGGCCCTCGCCTCCTGACTGGATCACTGGGAGAGCCCTCGGTCCACAGGGTGGAATTGCTCAGTCATACCAGGTGCAGTCTTGAAGGCCTCGCAACCAAGAGGCTGGATTCAGTGTTTGCGGGATTGCCGGACAGGAGGATGGTGGTTGCTGGGTTGAGATTAGATTGGACTCGAACCACTGATGTTGGACCGTTGTTTTGTGTGCGGCGTGTGAGGATGTTCACTCATTGTTTGGATGCAATACCATGAAGGTACCGTCTATACCACATGGAGGAGATCAAACACGTGCAAGTCGCTTATTGTCGGGGGTACAACGGACATTTCGGACATGATCAGATACGCATTCAGCAATGTATGCTCGCTTGCGCAAGTTGCTCCGTGACATGTAGATGCAGACGCAGATTCAGATGCATATGTAGCTAAGCTACCCCCTTGTGTCTATCTACCTTATCTAGAACAATTGAAATCGTGCTTAGGCCCAGTCTTAAGCGCCAACAAAGAGAGATTCCTTCCAAGAACATGGCACATGCAGCCTGTTCCAGCTCATTCGGCTCGCTCCGGTTTGAGCGGGAAAATCCCCAATACGTAGCGCAAATGCATCTCCGGCGGAGGTAGATTGGTGAGATTCGTCATACGTCTCTCGGGATACCTGTCGAACAAGATGCGGAGAGCCTCGTCGTCGCTCAGGTCGGTGAAGAAGTGCAACTTCTTCCCTCTGGCGAATTTGAGGCCGAGCGGTGCCAGGAAAAAGAATCCCATCTGGAGCAGCCGGCAAAGTCAGTCTTGGTCGGCCATTTGAACGCTTGAAGCCCATCGAATATTGATACTGATGCGGAGGACAAAGGACAAGGACGAGGAGAAGAGAGAGATAGAAACGGAGACTCCACTCACGATCCCACACAAGGCAGAAATCTGCACTTTGTCGTCGGTATAGACGCACACGAGGATGCCGCCCACCAGAACAATGAGGAGGCATAAGCAGGCGCTGACCAGAGAAATTGCACAATGTAGTCGATACCACGCCGTGTCCGTGATGGGAATGTGTCTTTGCAGAGCCCCAGTCCAATAGACCTGGTGCTTCCTCAAGCTGGAATCCTCGTGCAGGCTAAGGTTAGTCTAGAACACTACAAAGCTCAGGAGACCTCGGGAGGAGGCACAGGAGATGGGGAACAGGGCAGGGTTGGGGTGTACTGTACGGAGTACTGCTTACCACACATAGAGACGCAACGCGGCCAGTTGCTCACATCCCCAGATCAAGATGCAGCTCATCGATCCCGCCTCCGACACCCAGGTTATCATCTGCAGCATTGTAAGCACATGATCATCTTTGACTTTTCGAGCGGGCGGTCGGACTTGCCTTTTCAATTGCCCCAGGCCACCGATATCTCAGGAAGGCAACGATGAACGGCCAGACCGACATCAAGACTGCCATAAACGGAACCTGGAACTTGTTCTTCCAGATGAGCAGATGGGGGAACTCCTGAAGCCGAGGTAGACGTTGCTTCCCCCCAGGCCTAGGCGCCGCATTGGTCCCGTCCAAGACCCCCGAATGTCTCATGCCGAGTGCATACAGCGTGCGACTCGCAATGTACAGGGCCGTACTGGAGGTGAGGACCACGTTCAGAATCAGCAAGATTCGGAGTCCGGTCTCGAGTGGCTTGCTGAAGGAAGCGGCAATGATGAAGATCGAGCCCATCGTAGCCCGATTCTCGGCCTCAGTGGCTGAGGTCAAGGTCGAGTTCAACTTGTCATCTGCATTGGCACTCGCACTCGCATTTGCAGTGGTTGTGAGTCCAATTCCGGCAAGACTTGGGTTAGACGAAGCCACATTCTCGGTCACAATCCACCCTCCCCACAGGTAAAGCAGAGTGGTGGTGAGCGGCACGAGCCAGGCGGGCCCGCTAAAGGGGCTCTGGTCCAGATGTGGAGTTTGGGCCAGAGCTTCACGCACTGCTTCTGGATCTGGCTCTGGGGTAGGACCAGCACCACCGGCGTCACGGTATCTGCTGAAGTCAACTTCGGTGGCTGTTGCTGCCACCGCTTCGATACCAACAAAGGCGAAGGCCGAGATGAATACCGCGATGCAGAAATCCCCGATCCACCACGCCCGTCCGGTTCTGGTGAACACCACTTCTCTCGTTTGTAACTTCTGCCGCTCGGTGGACTCGGAGTCGGAGGTAGAGCCAGAGCTGGAGTCCGAGCCGACCTTCGGGTTGACGACCATCATGGCCGTGTTAAAGGTCACAGCGATGGCCAGTTTCAGCAATCCAAACCAGAACTCGCATTCTTTGAGATATCGGATGTCTGTCAGATTTACCACCAGGGGGACGATGATGGAGATGACGGAGAGCAGGATCGAGGCGGTCTTGGACAAGTCAAAGCTATCAAGTAGCATCCCGACCGTGGCGGTGAGGGCAGCAAACGAGAAGCAATATGTCAACCAGTACATAAAGCCGACCACCTGACCAAGTTCTTCGTCGACAAAGTCTTCAACAAACGCCACCAAGGCGCCCCGAATGGGCCAGACGTGGAGCAGTCTTGCTTGATCTTGCAGAACGGCGAATGCCAGTGCCCCCAGAAATGAATACGCGCAGATCACATTGCCTGGGCCTCCAATGGTCGCCACAATGCCGGTCTTAATGTAGAAGCCCATGCCGATGACTGCACCGATCGATATACAGAAAATGTGGCGTGGTTGAAGCTCACGCCTGAGTGACAGGGCAATGGTACGAGTACGGTCGACTCCCACTCCAGCGCCTTGGGGTCCCGCAGCCGCGTTCGACCGTGGGTTGGGGCCATTGGCATTGGTATCCGCAAGAGCATTTTGTTCAATGTCTGCCTCTCCTGTCGCCGGGAGAGATCTTGAAGAGGCAGCAGCCCCTGGATATGATATATTTTCATGTTGTTGCTCGTCCCCATAGTTTATGACGGTATCAGGCGGGTGGTTGTTGGTGGGAAAGCCATTCTCCGGCTGGTTCGCCGGCGAGATTTGAACCGAATCAGAATCCCCGTTCGCATGCTCTTGCTCGAGGTCTTCATCACTCCGAGCTGCGTAACCTTGTCCCGGGAGTAACATGGACTGCGAAGATTGATCGTGGATTGTATCCTGCGGCGCAGGCGAATCGTGTCGACTGTATGTGGGATAAGGATAGGACTCTAGAGGGATACGGTCACGCCGGGAGAAATTTGGGACAGGTCGTGGAGGTGAATATCTTCTGTACATTGGAGAAGGCTGGCCACAATGCCCTCCTGATCGAGCATCCGTGTTCCATGCCCTTCCTAATAACCATCCCCGTTGAGCGACTGTGTATCCGTATTCATTTGAACTGTTCCAGGCGTGGAATGATGATAGGGGGTGGCCGATGGAAATCGAGCGAAGCCATCTGACCCTTTACAGAATGCGCAATTCAGTTGGCAAAGATGACGTTGCGGTTGCCTTGAGAAAAGGCAGAGCCCCAAAGGGCACAGCCACAACTGTCGATGGGTTTGGAAGCGCGAAGATTCGAGGAACTGGCAGTATCCGGATCTTTGAACTGACGTTGGACTTGGAATTGTACGGATTTTGGTAAAGTCTCCTTATCAGTGTTCGCTTCGGGGTTCTTCTGTCCCCTGGCAGCATGTTAGCGTTGCGGCTCTAGAAGTCAGTCAGCCGTCTGGAACTGTCGATCCGTTGGGGTTGAACTTCGCAATAGTAGTAAGCCCGAGGATTGGGGACTGGGTGCGACTCGAGTGCTGGTCCAGAAGGTATCCGTCCATCAGTTGGGTTGCAAACAAACGGTGGAGATTGCGTAGGAAGAGTCAGGCGCTACACATGGGATGAAACACAATCTCAGGGGATACGGTACTGTAGCCTCGGACACTCGACCCATAGATAGTGCACAGTCATGGTGGTGGCGTAGTCTGCGCAAGCCACCACCATGTCTTTCAGGCCTGGTCCGAGTTGTAACCGGTGAGCAGTCCTCCAGAACCCGGACGTGACCATTGGCCAAAATCCAGGTGAGAATCCTGACGTGTGATAAACCGCCTGTTCAGTGTTGAGTCCATGGCCTCTGTATGCTCCTTCGTTCTCTCTGCACCCAAATCAGAAAGAAAGAAAGAAAAGGAACAATCTCCCAAGTCTGCGTGCCCTGACTGACTCAAATGCCTCGATTCACCACCAGCCATTACCTCAAATCGAAGGAGGCGTTGTATGAGGTGCTCCATGCCAAGTTCCCTCATCTTTCCAAGGAGAGCTTCCGCATCAAGGTGGGTGGCTCCGAGGTCCTTCGAGTTGGGTTACAGTACATGTACTAGTCGGACTCGCAAACTGCAGGACGGTCTATTGACATATGAGTGTTATGCTAGCATGCCCACGACCTCTGGTCGTATGTGGCGCCGAGTGGGCTCAGCGATGCCGAACTGCAGTGAGAATATCACCTCAATGGGTGTTCCGTCATCATAAAAGCTGATATGTGACATGACCTTACCAGGCCGGCAGTCAGTAAGTTCACGAGGAGCTCGAGTGGTTGATGGAGGATGAGACAGAGAGACTGCCCCCTGTCTCTTTCGAGGGCGCACATCCTGTCATTGTCATCGCGACGATGTAGTAGTTGGGAAGGGTTCTCGGATCTTGACTGGAACCTGTAGCATATATAGACGGAGTGTCTGTATATTAATCAGATCGCCGCATGCCACAGGGCGCGGAGGTGGAAGGTGGGGTTGGGGTTGGGCTTAGGCGGGTGGCTGCCTCCCGTAAGCTGTGTAAAGTGAGGCGCCCTTACCTAAGGCTTAAGAGGCTAAGGCGCCCCTAAGCCTCCCAAGACTTAAGTTTACATAGGAGCTTCCTACCTTAAGCCTCCTATAGGCCTAAGGTCCTTAAGGTCCGAAAGGCAGAATCGTATACTGTACTCCGTACTCCCTACGTACTGTATGCTCCTAACAATCAGCCTCCCACTGCCGTGCTACCTTGGAATCCATGTCCCTCCTGCGATGCCGACAATGGGCTGGAGGTACTGTATGTGCTCGCCCTCCCTAACCTCATCCCTATCCTACCTACCTGTAACTAGCCATCATGGAGTTATCGATCCTGGAACCAGTCTTCCGGCTTCCAGTCAACCAGGAAGACTTGTCGATTGAAGTTCTCAGCCTTACGCACCACACCCCGTCGTCTATTGAGTCAGTGCCGCCCAAGTCAGACAATGCCACCCAGTTGCAACTCGGAAGGAGGGTGTTTTCCACCGCGCAGCCACTGCAGGATCACCTGGGAGAGACGAAGCGAGACAAATACCTGATCCAAGTAATGTGCGATACCCCCCAAACCATCTTGGTCATGTCCCTGTCCCTGTCCCAGATTAACGTTAGGCTCAGCTCCCTCACAAAGGAGAACTCATACGCGCCGATGGATGTCGACAAGGGCATGCTGGAAGCAGTACTGGCATGTCACGACGTGATGCCACCCTTCCAGCAGGTGATTTTGGCCTTCCGTCCCAAGACCAACCGGCTCGAAGAGGCCTACTCGGAACCCTTGTCGAAGCGGCAGCGGAAAAACATTGTGGGCGAGTCAAAACTGGGAGTCACCGTTGTTTGAATATGGACGCTGATTACATCAAGTATCGAACGCTAGAAGTCGCATATGCTCTCAAATTCCCCGAGCCTCGAGCCCTGAGCGGCGACAAGAGCCAACTTGAATGGTCCATCCGCCAAATCGGCATCTATCAGAAATATGACACAACCATCAAGCAGAGTACGTGGATCCTGGTCTTTCCCAACCGGGAGAGTACAACTAGGGACGATTTGGCTCGCAAGTTGGATCCGCAGCGAGGAGAATACCCCAACCCTATCCTGGACCATCCCCTGTCGATCCATCTGTTTCTGTTCGCGGAACGCGTCCAAAACTGGCGATTTTACATTAGCCACTTCGAGAACGAGGTCTGGAAACTGGTACGTCGTACGTCCTAGCACTCGAACCGGACCTCCTTTGCTAACGCCCTGCACGAGGTAGGGAAACTTGACGGTGACGATTGATATCGGGGATGCATTGCCTTTTCAAGAGACGTACACGGACCTTTCGACTCTCCACTATCTGGAATCACGTCTCGCTCCCTTACGTGCGATATTCGCGGCGACGAAGCGACTAGCCGAAGCTCTGGGACGGATCAATGATCAACTTGGGAAAGAGGGACACGTTACGCAGGAGGAGGCCTTCGAGATGCAAGAGTTGCTGACGAATCTCATCTCCCGCATCCATGCGTACAGTGACAACATCGAGTTCAATCTATCCAAGATATCTCGTATAACGGAGTTGGTAAGAAAGCCACGTCCTATGTGTATCCTGTGCACTTTGGGGACTACCTTAGCTAAGTCAATCTCCAGTTGGCAGGTACAATCAGTCTGAAAAGCCAACATACATCAGAAGACATGTCCAACAGGATCTACGACCTCACAAAGTCCGCGTTGGAAGACAGCTCCTCGATGCGCGTCACTACATTTACAACTCTGCTATTCTTGCCTTCGACATTTGTTGCAGTATTTATAATTCGCCCCCTTCTGTGTCTTCTGTGGAGTATGTTCTCAGACTGACGGTTGTCATGGCTAGGGATTGTTCGGGATGGGCTTCTTCGCCGTGAGCAATGACTCCAGGGTGCATTGGACCATGTCACCTCTGGTGTGGGTGTTCGTAGCCATCGCTATCCCTCTGACGTTGGTGACACTTGGATATTGGAGGTGGAGCACGAGGCGCGCCATTCGACAGAGGACAAGCCAGGGAGGACTCGGGTGCCCTGTATAAGATGGAGGCTTGATACGATCACGGCACTTCACAGCAAACGTCCAAGAAATGGTGACTGTGATAGGAGCTGACGGCATTGATGTCGATTGGGGATGGCGGGGTGGCAGCAGCGAGGACTGTAAACGAGTCCCCAACGCCGCCAGGGCCTGGGAGGTGGACGCATATCCTCCTACTAGACCTCTGGTGTCTCTGTGGCGTGACAGCTTGACTCAAGTTCAATTCGACCCAGACTCGTCACGAAAGAAGAAGGGTTCGAGATTGAACATCGCAGACCGGCCGTTTCGATAAGTGATGAGTAGAAACTGTTCGTTTCTCTCGCCGACGGTGATGCAAGCTTTGTCTGTTGCCGACTTAAACGTGTACTTCCGGGCATCTTGAATGTTGAGAGTCTTTTCTGCTCCTGGCCTGTATGGCAGGGGGAATCCCGACACGTTCAATCTGTTGCCACCCCAGATAACTACAGCCCAGGAGTCGTCAGGCGTCGTGAGAATGGCGCTCTTGTGACTCCAGCTGACTGGAACAGTCTCACTGGACTCGGGAGTGTATAAGTTGATGGTCCTGTGGTGGAGAATCACGGCGAACCCGGGTCGAGAGTTGAATGGGGCGAAGCCGGTGACGAAGTTTTCCAGCTCGTGGTCCTAGAGGTTCAACCATATATTAGCAATGGAACTCGAGTGATTCAATCGTTCCACGGTCTCGTCGGTGGTGCGAGGAAATGCTATACATTATCTCTCAGCCGAAAAACCTTCAAGAGCTCATAGTTGGATACGTCCCACAGGGAAACATCAAATACGCGCCCATCTCCAGTCTCATGTCTAACCCCGTGGTACAATCTAAGTCTGTCAGTTCCTCGAAATCGTAGGACCCGAGACTCCTGAGCATAGGTTCTTGTGAGTGCCGGCTTTGACTTGAATTTGTCGTAAAATGGAGCGCTCAGTCCTGTTGGTGACAATTCGGGGGGCACCACTGGCGGCAAGGATCGGGTTCTGTGAACCATAACAATCAGTCGCTTACACATAGGTATCAATGGCTGAAGGGGACAATTCAGGACAGGATTGCACCAAACGTGTAACAGGAGAACTTGCCTTGGCATCTGCTCCAACAGTTCTCTCACATCAAACAGTCGAAGCCTTCGTGTGTTGTTGGTTGTGGTGTCGATGGCGAGGAAGTTTCCATCTGGCGAGAGGGCTATGGATGAAGCATAGTCGAAGCCAAACAAAGTGATGAAGTCTCGAATAACTCTTGTATGGGGAGGGGTTGGTATCGAATAGAGAAGTACCTGAGGATTGTGTCAGCGGCACCCGAGAAGAGACGGGCTGAGAAGGACATACTTCGAACAGATCTCGGTTGGAAATGACTTGACAGATCTTGTCATTTCCGCAAGAGTCCGAGTATGAAATGGTGCGCGGTGTCGTGACTGTGTCCGTGGTAGGAGGGCTCATGGGTCGTAGTTTGTGTAGAGGGCCAACCCATCCAAAGCGCCAAATGAACAAGGTATGCCCGTTTCTTCTTCCGTGGAAAAGTTCGAATTCTCCCTGAGGCGACTGGGCGCAGAGAAGGTAGTCTGACTCTGCCGTCCGTGCTTCTTCCTTGGGCATAACTTGATCCTTGCTGGCGTATATCCTCTGCATTTGCTTGAGCAATTCATCAATTTTGGCCCTCGACTTGGGCTTGGTCTGGAAAACCTCCTTCTTCAACATTGTGAGAAGGCCATCAACCACAGCCCCGTCAGTGTTGTCCTGGGTCAGGTCGCGGAGTTGTTGCATGCAATTCAAAACTTCTGTCTTCAACGTGGGCGACTTCCACCTCCCTTCCTCCACTAGCCAAAAGCTGTCGTCGTCGGATCTTCTGGCCAGACTGGCGATGAATTCTGCCACAGCAGCAACGCCATAGGTGTTGAAGACAAGAACGAGCAAAAGAACACAGCCAAACGACCACACATCAGTCTTTTGGTCCACAAAGGGGTCACTACCCGACATCTCTGGGGCACTGCACATTGATTCAAAGGAATGTACTCTGACTGCACTCGAGCCATCTCGATTGTGTGTGCGACCCGGCTCTAACGGACGAGAATGTCGTAATGCACGACCGAAGTCGCCAATCTTGAAGATCAGTCCATTGGGGCTATCATTGCGCACGCAAACCAGAATGTTGTTTGGGTTGAGATCACAGTGGTAGTAGCTTGACTCAACAAACCCATCGCGCCAGGATTCTGTCTTCGCGGCAAGCCACTGCAAGGCCTCGGCAACGTGAACCATCTGACGGATGTGCTCAAGCCTGCTCTTGGACGTCATGGGAAAGTGACTGTCGTGGGCCAGATAGTCATTGAGACTACACTGTGCGCGTTCATAAAAGACATTCCAGGTCATGACATTGTTCACAAAATGTCCATAGCCGCAGAACGGAGTCATGATATTTCTGTGAGGCTTTTCGCGGATCTGCTGAAGCCAGTTGATGAAGTGCAGTTCGGTAGAGTAGTGTTCACCAGCTTCATTTCCAATCAATTTTTTGCGTGCAAGGATCGTCGACTGTAGAGTTGGTAAGAATAAATATCGTTGTTCAATGTGAAGGAACAAAGCACTTACTTCCGTGCTTTGCGGTCGGCCTGGGCCTTCATATTGAATATGACCCGAGTAGATTCTGACCGCGGCAACGACGCCATAGGCACCCCTTCCAAGAGGATACTCTTCCATGTAAGGCATAAGAGATCTCTTCTCGGCCCTCGAGGGCTCCTTCACTTCAGCAAAATATCCTTCTCGGAGGACCCGAGCCGAGAAAGCAAATTGAAATTCATAGAAAACATCTCCCGAAACAGTGTCCGCGAAAACTGCCCGGGCCAGATGGCTGTCAATGGGAAGTTGGCTGTCACATATCTCCAGTGTCTTAAAACAGTCCAACATGGTCAAGCTCCCATGACAAAGAATAATCCATAAGATGACCATCTTCCCACGGCCATTAAGTTCTCCAGAGACGCGCTTCCATGTGTAGTCATCAGACTCATCTGTCAGCGAGATGAAGCTCATGAGACCCCGGCTTCTCAGCTCCTCGGAGGTGAAAACAGACTTCCATGATCCGCGTGGAACAAAGCTCGGAAGACCCTCGACTTGTTGGAGATGATCTTCGCGCTGTCGCAGATAGTATTCTTGCTGGACTCGGAACCACAATTCCATGTTCAATGGGGTTTGGCCAGAGGACATGTCGGCGATCAGTTCAGGTCTGCTGCTCAGATTCAGGATTTCTCCATGAAGTTCTTGATCACTTGAGGGTCAAGAGGGGCAGTCTGACTTCCTAGATGCACGCAGCAGTCTAGGGTAAACGGACATCACTGTGTAGGTACATTATGTCCGTAACTGGTGTGGAAGTTTAGGGTGTAGAGACAAGAAGAAGGTCGGATGAGGCTGCGGCAGAGGCAGTAACCCGGGTGGTGAAGTGCTTCAAGTTGTATGCCCATGCGCGCCCTCGACCCCTTCTCCTTCTCCTTATCCGGGTTTGGCGGGGGCAGGAGAGGTACGAGGTGCGTATGTGTACAGTATTCACGGCCCGATAGGAGAGAGGACGAGGGTACTTCTAGGTAGGTATGGAGCCTGATGGCCCAGGTACCAGGTACCAGGTACCAAGTACCGGTAGGACAGTGATGCAGACTTCGAGTGGTGGTTGACATGTCAGAATAGAATTGAGAATTGGAGATATTCGAAGTTGAATAGCGCTCAGCCTGGCACCTGGCAGCTTGCACCTGGCCACACCGCCACCACCGCCACTTTCTCTCCCACCCAACTTGAACTTGGTCGAAACGTGACAGGGCTTGAAACAAATTCTGGACGACCAGCAGGTGACCAGTACGGAGTAATCTGTACCTCTACCCCAACCAACGAATGCAGCTGCCGTATCTGCCATGTCGGTGACCGCATCTCTGGCTCTACCCGAGGACTCACAAGTGTATGTACCATCTCCCTCGCTTCTTATCCTTTGCAATCCTCTTTCCTTCGTGCGCCTGCTATCTCAACGAATTCCCTCACGAGCCGGCCTGAGTGTCACCGCATAATGTTCGATTCCATCGATGTTTACAGCCGTCCCTTGCCCGATCGCCAACACTGCAATGACTGCCTTCGGCTTACCTCGTCTGCCATGCAGCGAAACAGCAGTACGAGCTCTGTTAAATCAGCGCCTGGCTGGATGACATCGCCGGATGGTGTCAACCAGAGCCATGCCGAGAGCCGTGCCGGCTCACTCAGCAGCCAAACCTCTACCAAGTCTTCGACGCCCCTCGAGGGGTTTCGGGAAGAGCAAAGGAGACAGGATAAAGGAGAAGCGAGGCCGTGACCAAGGTGTCCTCAGCTGAAATGCTCCAAGTCATTGAAAGGGAGGCTGGCAGTGGCAACAGTTCTGGAAACACTACACCAGAGGAAGTCCTGGACCGGAATCAGAGATTCTCGCCGGCACCTGCCTGGCCCTAAATGCGTCGAATTCGCTTCGATGGCAGAGACTGGTTTGGACAACCAGCAGTGGCCTAGACCTGATATGGGACGTGCTCCAATTGGCATGCGACTGAAGACACACAAACGAGCATGGTGTGCGTGTATGTGTGTGTGGAAGAGATGGACGATCACCTACATTCACGACACCGGCGCCGCGGGACTATGGCCAACGAGGCTGCTCCCTACTTGTCTCCACACCTGTGTATGAGGTTCTTACAGCATGCGCGTTCCACCGCGACTAGCTGCCTGCAGACCGGATCCAGAAGGCGTTTTCCATCTGAGGCGACCACGTACATGATACAGCCAACCTACCTACTGGATCTGACGCTACGAGAACTAAGAGGGTCGTCCCTATGGCGCCAAAGCTAGAAGCAATACTGTACTCGTAATAGCTGCCGTTCTTCCGCGTTCAAGGACCCTCCACCTCCACAGCAGCCTCGATCTTTAATGGGCACGGAATTTGATGTGCCATATTCGCCCTGAAGCTTCGTCGATCCCCACTTCCTGTCGCCTACGAGATCGATCGGAACCCGACCTGTTTTAGTGGTTCCCCCCGCGCGCCGTGGGTGCCTCGTTGTTTTCACAGGCATCGAGAGACGGCTTCAGATGGCAGTCATTGGTCAGCAAACAAGCCCAGTCCCATGTACGGCCTTGTGACTGTGGTGATAGCGTGATGAACAAGACGACGTGGAGATGATTATGATGAGGCTAGTGTCAGGACATGTAGATTCTTTCTGATTGTATGCTGCCTCTGCAGGAGATCGATTGACATGTCTTCTTCATTCCAACCTGCACATGGTCTCATTCTGTCTTATCTGGTCCATATCTCCCCAGTCTAGTCATGTAGGTGTGCTTCCGTCCTTGTCGCTCCCACCCTCTCTCTTTCGTAGCCGTAGCCGTCATTATCGTCATAGCCAAAAAAGAAAACCAGCGTCAACTCTTTCGATACCCTATCATGTGCCCAATTCCCAATTCCCAATGCAGATGCTGCTGTCCCCCTTCATTCGAAGTGCAATGTTGGCGAACGCACCACAATCCACGCCGAGTGCAGACCCAGATCGCATTCAGACCTGACGGACGGGATGCAATTGATACGCGATGCCGATCCCCAAGGCGTAAAGAAGGAAAGAGGCCACTGGACTCCGTGAACGCTATGAACGCCTCTTAGATGCATTGGAAACCCTGACACGCCCTCTTAGATGCTTGGGAAACCCTCACACGCCCTCTTAGATGCATTAGAACCCCTCACACGCTATGCTTTCAGAAGTGTTGCTCTGACATGGCTAGAAAAGCATGGCAATCATCATGCCACAAGCCAATTTTGACGCGAACCCAGAACCCATCATGGTTCAAAGTCTTGAGTCTTCCGAATCTTGGGTGTTGGTCCTGAGCGAACTTGGTCCACTGAAAACGGGTGGGGTGTGCTGTGCGATTCGATCCCCGGACGCATGTCATGTGCGTCTAATCCATTCTTGTTCTTGTTTGTCCTGTATCTTGACTTGATCGTGAATGTATCGATACGCCCATTCCTTCCTCTCTAGCCAGTGGTGTTTTCAGTTCAAGTCTCCAGTTGGATGGAACACTGACACTCGAAGTATTCGGATCGGAGGGTGTGGCATAGATAAATTACCTTGTCTTGTCTCGACTTCACGTTGTCCTTCATGTCGCATAACATCGTGGTGCACACCGGCACCTCAGGGCATGGTTTTGTCAGTGGCACCCACTCGAAATATATCGCTCGAGCTGTAGCTTCATGTTTAGTTAGTCCTCCAGCCATAATGGCAGAATATATCCTACCCCCCTAGTTGGTCCCAGAGGGCCCCCAGCCCCCCGACAGGTTTCTGAGTTGCGATTCCTGTCAAAGCGGCTCCTTCCCCAAGCCGTGGATAGCGTTCAACGTCTCATGTCCTCGCGCCTCCACGTCGGCATCTTCGTCAATGCGACTCTTGATGCGATGTAATTCGACTTGGGCTTCCTGGGCTTCGGCCTCGTCGCCACTCATGACCGCGAGGCGCAATCTGTCCTCGCCCTTCTTGCGCTTCCACGCCTGCCTCTCTTCATTCTCGCGCATTTCGCGGATCATGGTCGACCTCTCACGAATCCGGCCACCGTACCGATAAAACAGAAAAGGAATCGGGATGATGACGACTTCCAGCAGGCCCAACAGCGTCCCTGCCCAGTTGGGACCCATGGAGCGATACATGGCCCCACCGGCGAGTGGGAGGCACGCTCCAAGAATCGATCGTGTGACGGCATTGCCGGCTTGGGCGCTCGCCGCATAGATGCCATAACTATAGGCGAGGTAGTTGCCGGCGTAGATGAATACGATGCCGTTGCCCATGCCGAACGGGATGCCCGCGGCGATAGGTAACGCCCAGTGGATGGTCGTGGGGTAGCAAGTCCACGCGAACCAGAGCTCACCGATGGGAACAAGGACTGCCGCAATACAGACAACGCTCATCATTGCCTCGGGCGGGATGTTTCCATCTTTGTCCGGTTCGTGCGAGTTGATGATCCTCTTGATCGGTGCCGCACTGGAGATGACAATCATTGTGCCAATCCCGATGCCGATGAATGACAACCCGCTCATACCCGTGGACCAGCCACGTTCTTGGGTAAAGACAATGGGGTATGCGACGAAGCAGAGATACAGAATGCCTGGACCAGATTAGCCCTCATCACCTGCGCCAGGGGGGATATAGTAAGGAAACAAAGACAAACCATAGATCAAGGAAATATAGACGTTCCAGAAGATACAGATGGGCTCTGTAACGGCCATGATGAACGGCCGACTCAGATTGATCTTCATCAGCTTCACAAATCCAACCCGGACGTCGTAGCGGCTCCAATACCTGTCATCGTTCCTTTCCTTACGCAGTCGCCTTGCCTTTTGCTGTAACAAGACCGGCGCATACGTCTCTTTGTACAAAGCGAGTACTGCCCAGGCGGTGCCCGCCCAGATCATCGCAATCCAATTAGTCCATCGCCAACCTAGATACTCGGTCACAAAGCCCCCAATGGTGGGCCCAACCACAGGGCCGTTCATGGGGCCGATACTCCAGATAGAAAAGGCCATTGCACGATGTTCATCCGATACGAGGTCGGTGATCGTCCCGGGGGCGTTCGCGATCATGGCACTGCCAAATAGGGCGCCGAAGAATCTCACAATGATGATGGTTTTCAAGTCCTTCGCCAGAGCGGCGGGGAGGATCATAATCGTGTACACTGCCATGCATATCCCGTAGACGGGCCTTCGGCCGTATGTCTCAGCAATTGGAGCAAGGAACAATGAGCCAAAAGCAAGCCCGAGCAAGTATGTGGTGACCCCGAGAGTGGCTACAGTCTGTGAGTTGACTCCAAATTCTTTCTGCATAGCGCCCAAGGCTGAGGTGTAAGAAGTCGAGTACATGACGACGACCAAAGAGCCCCAAGATATGGCGAAGATGCCCAGAGCCTTGTACCAAAACGGATAATTCCGGGGGTCTCCCGAGTCATCAACTTCAAAATCGACCTCAAACCTGGGGTCTGTGGTGAAGGCCGTGCCTTGGGTCGTCACTCTTGTCACCGTTTTCGTTGCCGCCTTTCTTGAGGTTTGCGTAATAACCTCTGTGAGTGCTCGATCATCGTGATCCGAGTCAGACCGAGACACGGAGGATGCAGAATGGGCTATAGACGAATATGGCTCCTTGTCGGAGGATCTCTGTGGAGGAGTGTGCTGCGAAATGGCGACGGGCGACTCTAACTTCTCCGTGTCCAACATTTTCAGGAAGGCTCTGCGTGGAAAAATCCGCTTGGAAAAGTTCGCAACAGTGGTATCAAGGAAGGGAATCTCAGGACAAAGCGTGCAATGTGCAAAAGGACTAGAAGAAAGGGGAGAACAAATGTACAGAGTAAGAAAACGAACGAGCCAACCTGGGCATTCGTCAGTATGTTAGACTTGCCGTGTATCCATCCGTAGTCGGGCGGGATCCTTCTTGAGAGACTCATAATGGATTCAACTGTTCGGAAGAGATGCCGTGCAGGCCAGTCATCAAGAGACAACAGTCTGTTAGCGGGACTCGCAGAGCTGGGGAGACGATGAAGCCTTATTTGGGCTGTTGGAGACGCGCTTCTCCCCACCAACTCACCCAGTGGATTTTTAAGCAGAAATTTTCCTCGACCCAATCAGGATCGGAGGGACTGACCTGGTAGGGAACCGCGAGCCATCAGTCGATCTCCGCATCTCGGTGGCTTATGATATTCCTTAGGCAATTATCAGCCGTTGTGGTATCCGAGGGTCTTGCTGTTGTGCTCCTCGCCATGCCGTATGGGTGATAAGACGGATACCAGTCGCTTATCTTAGGAGCCCGGGGAGAATGACCAGTTGTGGTTGCCAGTTGATGAAAAAGAGCCTGTAACCTGCGAGCAGACCCCTGAGAGGCGATTCTAGATCCACGGCTGCCCACACAGTTGACTTTCCGCTAATTCCGATCACCTAGTACTCGTACAGTAATTCGATAAAGCTGGGGCTTACTTAGGCCCCTAGCCTGAGGGGTCGAGCCTTATTGCAGCGTCAAAGGGCGTATGGATCAAGAGGTTCAAAAGGAGGGTCTATTCCTACTTCACCTTCTCCAACCGGTGCCTTTTCGCGTTGTTGGACATCTTTGTTCTTGTTGCCAAATGGCGGTGTCGCTCGACCGATTGTGCAGGAAATCACGAAGTCCATCAGCCTAGTACGAGATGATGCGAGTGTCTTGATCTCTTGTGTCATTGTGGCGCAGATCACACCAGCGCCCTCGCGCCCTCGCGTGCAATCGATTGTATCTTTGTGTGTCACGGCAAGCCGGACTCATCCAAGAGTTTAGACTTGCTTGGGAAACCTTGATGACAATTCGACTCCATAAGAAGAGATTCGGACTGACACAGTGGTCTTGTCGATGCATTTCCAGCACGGGCTCAATGAAGCGGAAGAGGAGGCAGCCGCAGGCATGGCATCAATGAGGCTGAGGCCAGACGTCCCTCAAGTCAAGCGTTGAATCGTTTGAGAAGTACGTATATGGTTTGTGATCTTGCAAATGGTACCACTCGGCTCGAGCTCGATCCTGCGCCTTCCTCAGGTCTGGAGTTTTACATGCTTTTCCTCCGCCAGCATCATTCGGGAAGGACAAAACCGGATTCCTGGTTATATGGAAATGCTTTGGACTCGTCTCGGCGAAGTCGAGGAATCCGTGATGATCGCTGCGGCAAAGGTAAAAATGCGGAAGGTGTACATTGAGCGGATGACAGAGGATCAACAGGTGCATGGACTGGGGGTTCGTAGCTAGGTGGATTTGCGGGATGAGACGCCATCGCGTGGTCTTTATGAGGTGGCCATTTTACAAGGAGTATGACCAGGAGGCGAGCATCGGTGTCAAGGACGGGGTCGAGGAAGCGACAGGGCGTTAGAGGAGAGATGGAGGACAAGGACACTGCGCTGGGCTCAAGTCATTTGACTGCACGGCCAGCTTTGCCAGAAACGCAATGTCAACCTTTTAGGAGGTTAGATACAGTCACTAGGTCATGTTTCGTCTCGGAAGGAAACAGAGACCGCAAGAAGTCCTCGTATTGCAATTCAAGTATAGCCGTCATGGTGTTTTCCTTTGCCTCCAGCTTTCCAATAGATCAGCACTAAATGCTCGTCGTCTGCTGAGTGGGTATATCGAGAACGTGAATGAAACCAGCTTCGTGCTCTGCTTGACGCTGCACTGAACGCCTGGTCGATCGCAATATCCATCATCCTTGCATGTATTGGCTGCTTGTTACTCAGATCAGCCTCCCTGATATGGACTTGCTTCTGCTGGTCGCATCGTAAGGTCATCAAATCCTCCACTCCTGGTCCTCAATCCCTATTGACCACCCTTAAACTTCGTCTTGGGTTCAGCACCACTCCCAAGAAACTTGGCTCATGACCAGCCATGAGGTCTTCTGTGCTGCTTGCTGCCGTTGCCGATCCGGCACCGCCAGGCACATTCCTATACGGGTTGTTGCTTGCCAACACATTCGCTCTACCCGCATAGCCGGATCTGCTACTGCCATTCCCACTGTGATTGTCTGCACTGTTGCGGCTCTCACTGGTCTGGCTTTTGTCACTGTACTTGACAGGCGCAAAAGCTGCCCCAATGTATCGAGGATCGCCCGAAAGATGCTGCCGCTGTGCCATGTTCATATGATTCTTGTACATGTTCAGTTGTTTTCGGTACAGCCATGTGCAGAAGCCCAGGTAAGCGGCCAAAATGGCGAAGCACCCAGCTATGACTCCGGCAACAATAGCTCCGATATTTGTACCACCAGAAGAGCCGTGCTTACCGTTACCGGTGCCCTCTGTGCTATTTCCTGGCGTGGCTGTTTCCGTCGTGACAGCCCCGCCGGATTGAGTGACCGTGTATGTCCGTGGACTGCCTGTTGCCAATGGGCCTTGAGTTGCTGTTTGAGCAGGAGCTGTAACAGTGGCCGCTCCAACCGCATTGCCGCCGATGACTGACTGCACTTCTGGTGGAACCGAATATCCGTAGGAGCCTTGGACTGCTGAGGGGTCATCTTGTTGGCTCTTCTGCCGATTCAAGTCATCTTTGGAGTTCAGAGCATAATAGTCATTTTGCCATGTGAGCGCGCTAGTGTTGAAGACGTATATCCCCGGACTGTCGCAAGAGAGCTCCTGGCCAGTATAGCCGCCGACCACAACCATTTGGGCGTTCCAAACATTGCAAGTGTGGCCGGCTCTGGCTGGTGGCGTGGCTTGATTCGATGTGTCCACTTTGATCCAGGTGAACGATGGAACGGTCAAAATCCACATATCATCGTACTGAGTTTGCTGGCCGTAGGGGATTAAATTCTGCCCTCCGTACATATAAACCTGAGTGGAACTACCATCCGCGGCCGACACCGCTACAGCACAAGGGTTCACACGGATCTCGGGGGTGGGCCCTGTGGTTGCCTGCTTATACCAACTTGATGTGTCAATGTCGTACACGTCAATAACATTCATCTGGGTGAATGTAGCATTCGTGCCCCCGGCCAGTCCGATAATAATGCCGGATTTGCCGTACCCGGGAATGTAGACGAGGAGGCCATCTGCACGTTCCGGGAAACCAGCTGAAGCCTGTGTGCCGCCTTCCGTGATATTGCGATAGAGGCCGGAGGCACCGGCGAGGCTTTCACCATCGACCGCAGCGTTGCTATATCCTGGAAACGTGTACTCTAGAAGACCACGAAGATAGACCCTCGCAATGGACTGTGACCATCCAGGAGTTGTGTAGCCATCGAGATGTCCTCCAAAGTAAAATCCGCGGCCTAAGCCTGGTACAGACACTCCTGCTCCTTCGGCAGCGCGCTGAACAGGTTGATTTGCCGGCTCCGAGTTCTCCCCTGAACTGGTCCGAGGGTTTGAATGTTCTGACCACGAAGATGAACGAATGTCATAGACCCAGGTGGAGAAAGGGACGGGGGATGCAGCAGGCGAGTCCGAGAACTCGCCACCGTAGAGGTAAAGGCCATCTAAGGAGTTCCACAAATATCCAAGTGAGACTGCAGGCGGACCACTAGGTACAGGTAGACCTGTCAATGATGGCGAACCTATCTGCCAGGATTTTGTTAGATCGAGAGTGAGGAAATCGTTGTCTGTAAGCAGAACTGTCAGCGTGCGCAGTATTCACAGTATGAGCAACCTACTCCAGGTGTCCGTTGTTTGGTCCGAAGACGTAGTAGACCTGCCACTGTACAGATACAGGGTGCCATTCACCACCGCACTTTGCTGCGACCATCGTTTACAAACGACCGTGGCAGTGTCGTCTCTCTTCACATGCCCAGAGGTCAATTCCCTCTTCGCCCTTTGAATTGTCCTGGTGTCTTTTGATTGTCCGACTCTTGCTCCCACAGGATTCGCACCGGCATGCAGAACAGGAGCGGTATACAGACTGGGTATGACCAGCACAACCACAATGGCTAGAAAGAGCAGCCTTGGAAGGGTAGGAAAATAGAGCGGCAATTGCGCGCTCACAGGTTTGCCCGCTGGCATCGAGTCATCCCGCTTGATGGAAACAGGTTCGACAATATCAACTTTGCTGCGAAAGCGGACGTGTAGTTTCGGTCTCGAGTCTTTTCTTGGTTTGCCATCAACGATCGGTGCCTCGCCACCAAGCCCGACTTCGAGGAAGGCAGAGTTTCGGCGAAGAGGCTGGTCATGACACGGGGAGCTGTCTCGAGCCGCACCTATACTGGGGCATTCGGGACTGCGACGGTGAGGGTTGTCCGACACTGGAATAGGTGCGACCGCGTGAGTGGCGATATCACAGGCGGAATCCTGGGCGTTATGGAAGGCCATTCGGAGGACTCTGGGAGACCTTCCTAGCAACTAGCACGACCCATATAAGTATCAGGGCGACGGATGTGAAATGTGCAGTTTGTTAGATTTGGTGAGACTGAATACAGGTCAACGCCCTAGATGCTATTCCCAAGACTCGTTATCACGACATAAATGAGGTCGTGCAACCGAAGCATGACGATTACCATGATTTCGCTATCAGGGAACCCTGGGCGCTTCCCCTGTCTAGGGAACAGCAAATGAGCTCAGCTGCGACGCTGGCCACTGGATGGGATGCTTGTAAACAAGCCATCATGGAGAAGCTCCAATGAAAGTCTGCCGAAGGGGTGATCTCGAGCCGGGGTGTACTGCTGTTCTGCGCTTGAGGTCCAAGGGATAATGTGGGCGACTTTCAAGTCTGAGACTTGCCGATTGACACTGAGCTGGCACAAGTTTAGGAAGGGCCATGACATCGGAGGCTTGCCCCAAATCCCACTAATTCGAAGCGGGAAGATCAGCGTTGGCGCCACGGAACAGAGCGTGGGTGAATGCCGGGTGGGAAGTGGGAATGCTTTAGCCACTGCAAGTCTGGGGGCGACGATGGCGATGGGTGCACTGGGTGCCACTGGGCGCCAGGTGGTGGTTGTGGTGGATTGTTTTCTCCGTGCAGTGCAGATCTCAAGTCTAACCTGACAGTAGCATACCTACCACCTCCCTCGCTGACGCCCACTTCTAGGTAACTCGCATGCTACTCCAACGGTAGATGTATGTACTCCTGTACCAGCCTGCGCTCCACGACCCATTCATGTCAGCCAGTCACCGGTCACAAGTCACCACCTAGTCACCATAGTCACCGTCACCGTCGATGCATGAAGATTAATACGGTCGGCCCCTTTGCGAGCACGCCTGCCTACCTTCATACCTCGAGCTATATCAGATCTATCATTCGGCCACGGATCTTATCTGCGCCAAAAATTGCGCTGGCTATATGACTGGGGAGGAAAAGGAGGGGCCAGGGCATTTCGGCGGCACACTATTGACTACCTAGGTAGAGTCATCTCAACACATGCTCCGCGGCGGTGACTACGTCCACTACAATGCCACAGAATTGCCCGAGTGTTGATACTGCAGCTGTCACTAAGCGAAGCAAGATGGCAAGAGAATGAACCATTCAATCTACGACAGGCTCCGTTGGCTGTTGAAAGATGACCCAAACTGATCCTATACAATTAATCTTGATTTGGCCTGGCCTGAATATGGCTGCCTTTCCTCTGCCCTTCCGTCCGGACAATGCTGCCTGGCACACGACCAGAGTGGCCATATTTTATCACGACCAAGAAACGAAAGGATGAAAGTTGACCTGGACAGCCCTCTTCTACTCCTCCTCTTTTCTTCCGACGCTTCGTCCACGAGCCGATGCCGCCCTGGCCCAAGCCTGCTCAATCTCCACAGGGGACAGTTGCCCAAATTGTACGGTGCCACTTCTTTCCAGTCTTGGTTGTAGCCCATGGCTTGTGTCATCTTCAAATACCGGACCTGAGGAGACGGAAGTAGATCCACTCGCTGTCGCACCTACTCTTCCCCTGGGCCCTTCAAGTCCTTCATGCCACGAATTCGCCGCCGCAAGGTCGATAGATGCGAGCCCTGGCCTACTGTAGAGATAAGGCTCTCGGATTTGCGGCGATACGCTCAGAGATGCTGACCCCGGGATCGCTGGGGGTGCCGTCGCAAGCGAAGCGTCGGATTCTCCGGACACTTGGCGTGACATGGGCTGGGAAGTATAGCCTGATGGGATAGCCCTCGTTGTAAGCCGCTCTCCCATTATCCCCGGAGCATAGGCCGTGTTGGACAATGACGAATCTACCATTCCTATCCGCCGAGTAATGGAGATGTTCTCTTCGATCGGCAGACTGGGTACCATCCTTGCAGCTTGGTTATTCAATGCAGTTTGAACAAGGCGGGGCGACGATGACAGGCGTCGACTATGTTTGCGAGGTTCGTCGGGAGCATTAAGGGCCTGAAGGATTGATCCGGGCTCGAATTCTGTAGCTAAAGGCGATAATCTCTGGTTGGGAGAGCGCAGAGTAAGCGGCTGTCGTCCATGATCTGAAGTAGATCTTTCCAAAGAATGCGGCCGACTTGAGGCTTTGATTTTGCCACCCCTCGATGGTGGGGGACTTGCTCGATGGACGGCTGCAAGAGCCGCTGAGGCTTCAGAACTTGAAGACCTCGGTCTCATGATTTGGTCTTCATTCGTACTTGTGAACGATGATGCTCGTGATCGAACGTGTGCTTGGTCGTTGGACAGGCTCGGAGGTGCGGGCAAAGGTTTCCATTCACCAAGATCCTTTTGCTTCCTAGGAGGAACAGGATGCCCCTGGAAGATCGCTTGTAATATGGAAGATCGCTGGGACTCGGTCGTTCTCGCTTCTGTTGGAGTGGTCTCATATATGCCGGAATCACTTGGCCGCCTGGACTGGGAATTGCTGGCGGCAAGGACTCTTGAGTTGGCTATTCCTGCCTCAGACCACCGATCTGTCCAGCTGCCCTCAGACCCGGCGTCATCATAATCCAGAGTATGGTGCATCTGGGTTGGTGACTCCGTTTGAGTATTCACTTGCTCCAATGTCCAGGTTGACGTCCGTGTCAGCCCGCTGTCGCTTTCAGGGCTATCAGAGGATGTGCTATTCGCGCGTTCAAACACAGAAGCTTGTACTCGATGTTTTATACTATCAAAGGACTGAGATGGTGATTGATCTTGGATCTGTCTCTTGATAGCTCGTATTGTCTCGTGGAGCAGATGACGGGCCTTTCGAAGAGCTGGCGGGGCGTCTGTTGCCGACTTGGGAAAATGTGACCAAAGCCGAGCTGCCTGGGTCTCATAGTCTCGGTAGTCACGAACGAGTCCACGCCCTTCAGAACTTCTGATCTTTCCGTCCGCAACTGCGTAGGACTGACAGAGTAATTTCGAGGCGACAGTGAGCCACCACCAATATTGTTCAGGCTGATCAGCACATCGGAACTTCAGCTCGTCACGGAGAACACCTTGGACAACACTATGAATTCGAAGAATGTCAATACTGTAGGTGACCGACTGCGTAGAAGATCTTTCGAATTTGCTGTCAGGACGGGATTCAGGCAGGGCATCCAGACTCTTCGAATCATCTCGCTCCAGCAGCGGCTCTTGCATGGCGGACCCCTCCGTAGTGCTTGTTGTACCAGCTCGCTGGCTTCTGTGCTCTTCCGGAGACGATGATGTGTTGGGTGACGCAACTGAATATTCGAGTAATGTGCGTTCGACCAATCCATACCGTATCAGTACTGCAATCGTGTTGTCCAATTCTTTCTTCATGCTCCCAACGCGTTCGACCGATCGCATTTCCACTCCAGCGTCCAAGAACGCCTGCTGGCCGAATCGTATGAGAGCAACCGGGACTGTGTGAGCGAAAAAGCTGAGCAGAGTGACGAGGTTGATAGCCTCAGGATGGGAATGATCTCGAAGTGCGGAAAGAATATCAAGGAACGGTTCCGCGAGTCGGTGATCAGATGTGCCCGGATTGAACTTTTCCAGTGACGTTCCACGCGCAATAAGAGCGTGAGCTGCAGCATGAATAGCGAGTGGAAGGCACTCATAATGGTTGACCAGCTGAACGGCCTTCTTCTCCTGCAACGGGCTGGGCTCCTTGATCCCTAGACTCTTGTATAGAAAGCCACATGCCTCCCTCTGCGATAGCCGAGACACTTTGATCCCTGTAGGGTTAAGTAGCCTTTGTCGGTTTGCTAAAGTTCGATCGACCGAAGTATAAATGATGTTGTTGCCGGGCCGGTCAGGAATGAAGGGAACAAACGCCTGAATATCATCATCGTTATCAGTCGTTACTCCGTCAAACACGAGAAGCCACCCTTCTCGAGCTTCGAACCATCTCCGCACTGCGTCGACAAACTTAGTTGATTCATCCCAGGCAGGATCTCGAGGCTGGTCAATCCCAAGTATTGCCACAGCTTGCCCAATTTCCCAGAAACTCTTGGATCTCGACTCCCTTGTTTTGCAGTCAACCCAGAAGCTACCTGCCGGGTAGTTGTTGCGATGCTGCCACAGGTACTCGCGAGCAATTTGGCTCTTTCCACAGCCAGGAGGCCCCCATAACAAAGCAGCACAGGTACCGAGAGCACGTCGCTTTTCGTTTCCTAACTTCTGCGTGAGTCCATCCAACTCCATTTCGAAACCAAAGAAGACCGAATTGGGTCTAAAGCCGACAGGAGCAACCAGCAGGAGACCGGAAGAACTTGATAAAGACAGCTCATCCAACTGAACCGACCTTGTCGAACCGTTCAATAAAAGGGACTGGTTGGTTCCTTGAAATGTACTGGTCGGTGTCACGGTGCCTGAAGGGCTAGCCCCCATTTGAAAGATACTGTCACCAAGCAGTTCACGTGCAGCAGCTTGTCTTTGCAGATCAGCCATCCGTCTCTCTTCATCCCAACGAGATTGAATCAGTGACGGTGAATCGCTGGCATATCTCTGTATTGAGGCTGCCACAACATCGTAGCCGGGGCTGGATTCGTCCTGGAACTTGCACATGTGACTGTGATCCTTTTCAATACCCATGCGTTCGACGCCCTCAATCAAGGGTGCAGCCGAATCTTCCTCAACCACAAACTCTCTTGTCCCTTTCAGGTCGGTAGGTTTGGACTCATAAAAGAAGTATATGTGAAAGCGACCGATCATCTCAATGAACAACCGATTGATGTTCTGCAGTGTTTCGTTGTTGGCTTGTAGCGCTTGTACTAATTGCGGCGACGAGTCCAGGAACTTCTTTGGAAAAGCAGTAGCACAAATCTTCTGAAGTAACGAGCCCCATTTGGCCAGGTTCGAACCATTATGAGGTGTGCCCATGAATAGGATTCCATATGTGGAGACATAGATGGACCTCAACCTCTCGGTGTGCTGATGATGGCGAATGCTCTGGCAGTATATCAAACATCTCTTGACTACCAGGCCCCCAAGTGAATGACAGACGAATATGATCGGTCTTTCCTGTGCCTTGTTCAACTGTCCCACTGTCAACATCCACAAAGCCTGCGCCCCTATTCACAGGTAGCAAATCATGTCCAACACTTACGGCCCTGTTTGCAACCAATCGACTTGCGAGGTGCTCTGCGTGATCATGTATCTTGTCTTTTGACACTCCATCTGTAAAAGCAGCAACGGTGGCATCGTAGCCGTAGGTCAGAATTCGAGGTCTCTGCTCTTCGAGGGCGGCAGGTAGGAGATCGGCCGGCCAGAAGACATCTGGTTTGGTGGTAGACCAGGTATCGCGAGGATGCCCATTCAAGCCGTGCACAAAAACAACGTCCACTAGAGGTTCCGAGGCGGTGTACACTTCCGTGAGGCCATATTGTACAACTTGCTTTCCGACAGTGCTCATACTTCAGGTATGCGACGAAATGTTCACGACCACAACAGCGAGGAATAGGAAGACGTTCATAACGCAGAGACAAGCTCACCGATAAATATGGGAGCCATAAGTCTTCATATCAGAAGATGCGATCCATTCCAGTTTCAGTCATTCAGGAGTGCGCAGGTGACCTTGCAGCCTGCTCAACTGGAGGGGTAAATACCTAGCTAATCACACAAAGAAGTCAAAGATGCCGCAGGCAGGTACGGCTACAAATAGGGCCGTTTCAGAAAACCGCCCCATGTCTCGCGGCACTACAGTTAGCGTTCGCTAACAGGTACCTAAGGTACGTATTTGCGAGCAGTCAGCCTCCCTGGCCCCATGATGGTCAGGGTGCACATATGACGATTAGATGCAGTGTAGAATATGGGGCAAGAAAGGTGCATGACACATACTCCGTACTGTAGTCTCGTACGCTAGGTACATACTTCGTGGGGTTATACACGCCTAAATTAGGTGAAATACGGGTGAGTCCTGAGAGCGCGCCCATATGGATTTGGTCTATAAATTCCAGCAACAAGGCCATCTTACGAGGCACGGATACTTACATCCAGGTCTGCCGCCAAATCTACCTAGTCTCGTCACAAGGTCTGAGATCCAACAAACATCCCCTCAGGTGGCGTTCTATCATGTCTGATGCCCATTTTCTCGCCTGGACTGTCGTTCCCGTGACTTAGGCAGGCACCCTTCATCGACTGTGGCTCATGCGCCTTTGAACACTGGCCTTCTCTTCTCTGCAAATGCCTTCAAAGCCTCCACCCTGTCCTCTGTGTTCAGAATGACCTCGTATGCCTCATTCTCTGCCGGTTCGCCCCTCTGCCACCCATTTATTGCTCGCATGGCCTGGGTCACTGCAATAGGACCTCCCTCACTAATATCGTGTGCGAGTTGTATGCTGGCATCAAGGACTTTTTGGCGCGCTTTTCCTTCATCCTTTTCGTCCTCGGGGGTAATCTCCACCAGTCTGTTACACAGCCCAAGGAAATATGCCTCGGCTCCGCTGACTCTTCTTCCAGTAAGAATGAGGTCCCGTGCTCTGTTGACACCGATAAGTGCAGGCAATCTGTATGTTCCTCCTGCGCCAGGAATGATGGCCAGTTTCGTCTCAGGTTGCCCGACAATAGCAGAAGATCCGAATACTCGTAGGGATGTGCAGAGCCCCAGCTCCAACCCTCCACCGAGTGCAACGGACGATATCGCCGTGATGGTAGGGATGGGAAGGTTCGAAAGGTCGGTGAAGGTGTTTCTCATGTTGGTAAGGAATGCTCTTGTCCTATATGACACTAAGTAAGGTGCAGCGGGTTATCAGTCGGATTGCGCACTCTTCCTGTGTCATTCCCTTTCTCTCTCTCAGATCCGCCCCGGCGCAGAATGCCTTGTCTGAGTTGGAAGCGAGGATTAGTGCCCGCGTAGAGCCTCTGCCTCCTTCCGCCTGGATTTCATCCACATGACGCCTCAGTTCAGTGATAAGCCCGCGTGAAAGGGCATTTCTCGCTTCGGGTCTGTCCAGCAAGAGGATGCGAATGTTGCCCGAGTGAGGAGCAGGTTGGAACTGCACTTTAATCGGAGACGCTGAATGGGCGGAAGCGAAGGACCGGGACTGCAGGAAAGACCCGCGAACGACGGTCCAAGTCCTCCACGCGGGAACAGCTCGCATGATGAGTTGTAGGACGGTGCTTCTGTCTTCCAGATCACATTGTGGTTGTCTGGTGCTCTACCTTTTATTACTTCTGGGGATTGGAGGCTGGTCGTGGGGAAGGGGCCGAGGTTTCTGCAAGCTTGGAACGCAGGCGGTAGAGGCTCACTAACCTTAGGGGCTTACAGTGGACAAGTTATTAGTCCTAAGGTCCGGAATATCCGTGCATATGCGGGCGGTTACCTAGTTCCACCACAGCCGCCCATCAGGCCATGGCCGGCATTATCAGCCTCAGACAGCACCACCTTTTCGCTTTCAAGCAAGCACCGGGTATCGTCGGCATGCTTGTGTTGTCCCATCGGAAGGTTACTCGACGCTGTCAATAAGATTCGGATCCCATCGAGCTCCGCAACATCTCAACACGAAACCAGACCGTCCATCTCTCCCCGTCCGCCTTCCGCGATGGATCCGATGCTCCATGACACAATTCTGGGCTTGGAAGATCAGACATGGAAGGCTTTGACGCATTCAGGCGCCGCCCTTCTTCCATTCCTTAGTCGAGACTGCATTATGCTTTTCCCAATGGGCATGAAGGTGTCGGCCAAAACATCGCCGAACCTCGACGACGTGATGATGAGCGAAGCGTTCATACCCTGGAGACGGTACAAGCTGAGTGACGTCGAGGTTACGCCACTCGGAACAGAGGCTGCTGCTATCACCTACCGGGTTGTGGCGACAAGGCAGCTTGTTACAGAAGATGATGACAACGACAACGACTCGGACGACGACGACGGCGACGACGAACCACAGGATGAATTTCGAGCATTGGTCTCAAGTACTTGGCGCAAGGATCCTGAGGCAGGAAAATGGCTTTTGTGTATTCAACAACAGACACCCTATCCAAACGATATTGATGACTGAATGATATGGCTGGGATGTCTATTACGGACAGTGACACAAGACTATACTCTGCACATGTGCACAGGTAGTTATGATGCCAGAAGTTAGGATCTACTTTTTCATGATATTTCGTTCTCCATCTCTTCAATACTCGGATCAGTACTCCGAGGGCACAGGCGTGGCAGTGATCTTCAGGCGGATGGTTACGCAAAGTGTAGTAGTAGAGATGTTTCTTCCAGACTATTTGGCGTATGCGCGGTCGCCCATCTGCTACCTAGGTACTACTAGTACTACTGGTATTGCGACTTCGTGCTACGCAGCATTGAGTCCATGTGAAGGAGTCGAAGGTGTAGCACAGTGGTAGTGGTGGTAGGTATCTGCATTGTGACATCAGTTGTACACAGGCGTCACATTTGAATATCTGGGTCAGTAACGTCGATGTTGGTGGGGTTTGACGGCGCCAATGATGCAGTTTGATAAAGTTGGGGTCACGGGTGGCACGCAGGTGTGACGTCGTTGCGAAGTCAGTGCTAGTCACCTCTGACATCGATCACTGCATCATTCATATTCAACCTCGTCCCTCTTTGCAACGACTGCCCTTAAATCTACTCAGATTGTACCAAACACCCTTGCACTCTCACATTTCCCAAAAAGACACAATCAAATCTCGAGACCAACAACACCACAACACGCTCTTCACAATGTCATTCCTCTCCCGAACCACGCCTCTCCTACGGACTACCGTCAGAGCGTCTGCGCTCCAGCAATCGTCTCGCCTCTTCTCTACCGCAGTTGTCCACCAGAAGTCAGCCACTGAAGCTGTGAAAGATGGCCTGAAGAAAGTCGACCGAGCTGTTTCCGATGTAGCTGTTGCCGGTATCGATAAAACAGGTATGGAACATTTGCTCTCCGCTTTCGTCAGATCATTATGCTAATTTGATGGTTTCCATAGCCGAACTAAAAGACAAAGCCTCCGAAGTTGCCGGGGTTGAGATTCCAAAAGCTAAAGGCAAGGCGGCGGAAGTCAGTGGCGAAGCCAAAGGAAAAGCCGCTGAACTATCAGGCGAGGCTAAGGGAAAGGCAGAAGAAGTCAAGGGAAAGATTTCGTGAAGCAGCAAGTCGCTTCGAATGTTGTTGAACCAGTCAGGTTAGACACAATCCACCCAACCGTGTCATCTTATCATGGATCAAATATGGCGTTCTGCTTTGTACAACAGTCGTCCATGGCGTCCTGACGCTAGTCAGGCTATGAAAATGTACAGTTTGCACAGAATGGATCCTCATCCTCCCAGTGTTAGTATCCTGTTGTGATTTGTGCTGTGTAACGAGCATCTGCGGCTCTGCACTACTCGCCGAGTGGCTGTTATGTTTGCCGAATGATCAGTCAAAACATGTTGGAATGGCGCCCACTCTGTAAAGTCGTTGGATCTCATCCCGTGTCGGGTCGTAAAGTCGTCATAATCCGTTATTCAGTTTCCGACCCCTTTAAATTTGGCATTGGTCTCATGTTGTTTTGTTCTGCAAAATGTGTTCGATATACCTCCGTCTCCTCGTTTTTCAGGCCATACTTGGATGGATCACGTTTGGCCAGGAAATGTTTGATCCGCCCATCCACGTCTAGCTGATTCTCTTGGTATTGTTCGGCTCTCGATGCCAGGAATCGGCTTGTCTCTTCGCTGAACGCTTTTGCCTTCTCTTCCAGTTGCCCGGAAAATTGGCCGGCTCTGGTGGCTTGGAAGACTCCGGAGATAACAGCAAGAAGTATAACAAGCGACGCAAAGGTGTTTGTATGTATGTACGTGCCAGAGGACTCTTGTTTGTTTGGGTGATCGTGCCTTTGACGCCACCGTTCCCAATCCTCCCATGTTGCGTTCTGGAAGATGGAAGAATCGTCATCCGGACCAAAGCCGTACGTCTTGCCTTGACCATTGGTAAATCCCCGTGAATGTCTGGTAGCCGCACCGGTCGACCCCCAGCCGAATCCGGAAGCATCATAAGCTCGTCTTTTTACCGGGTCGGATAATATCTCGTGTGCCTGCACAACGAGTCTATATCTTTCTAGTCTCTCTCCGTGGCCAATTCCGCCGGAAGAGCCTGTCCCATTCCTGTCGGGGTGGTAGATTTTGACCAGTTCATAAAACTTATGTTTAGTGTACACTGCATCCTTCGCCAGATCGAAGATTTCGTATGGTGATGGGGTCCAGGAAGTCGTTCTTCGACAGGGCCAATTCATGCTATCACGGTATTCATGGTGACTGCCCGACTTAACATCGGCGTAGTTCCTCGACTGCGGGGCGAACTGCGGATTTGGTTTCAGTCGTTTGCGAGGTGAGGAGGAGCATGTGCACGCGCAGCACTGCCATGTCCCGTAGGCTGTCGCTAGGTTTGCCTTTCTCAACAGCGAATACTGCATCTTGGATAGACAAACGGCTTGACAGACACCTTCAATGGTCGTGTTTGTGAAGGAGATACGAAACCGTTAACCGAGCAGGGTGCAGGCGTGCGAGTCATGAAGTCACTCATTTAGTCTGTGGTCCAGCCGGCAACCCCGTGTCGGAAAATGGAAACTGAGCCGACCATTTCTTTAAGAACTTCCTGCAAACAACCAAAATCTATTAATCGGCAGCAGGTAATGTCCGACTCCAATTCGCCTCCGCGGCGACGCGCTCGAGATTCCCGATCTCCTGGGGACGCCCCACGTCGTCCGTACAGAGACCAAGCTCGTTCGGATAGAGATGGTCGCCGGGAAGAGAAGAGGAAACACGAAAGGTCAAGAAGTCGCGAGCGACCACGAAAGAGGTCGAGGAGCGTAGATGATAGGGATCGCAGGAGAGATCGAAGCAGAGACAGGCGCCACGGCCGGCGTCGGTCAAAGTCTCGGTCCCCTCGTCGAAGACGTTCACCTGAGCCTTTCCAACGATCCAAAGGTCCTCTCCCGTCGCAGGTCGACGCCTTCAAAACCACCAACAATGACAGTCCGTCTCCAGGCCCTGAAAAGCAAAAGCCAAACTTTCGCCCGTCGGGTCTCCTTGCTGCAGCTGCCAACACTGTCGCGACGTCTACTGGCGCGATTGTTTTGAAGTATCATGAACCGCCGGAGGCAAGGAAGCCGCCCTCGTCACAAATATGGAGGCTGTATGTTTTCAAAGGGGAAGACATACTCGACACCCTAGAACTGTACACACAATCCTGCTGGCTTTTTGGTAGAGAAGTTTCAGTGTGCGATTATGCGCTCGAACATCCAAGCTGCTCAAAACAACATGCCGTCATCCAATTCCGCTATATCGAGCGCAGGAGCGAGTTTGGGGACAAGATTGGAAAAGTGAAGCCGTATGTAATCGATCTAGAGAGTGCGAACGGGACAAAAGTCAACGACGAGGCGATACCTGAAGGAAGATATGTGGAGTTGAGGGACAAAGATGTCATCAAATTCGGCCACTCAACACGAGAGTACGTAGTCCAGTTACCTCCCAGGTGAAGGCCAGCTTTGATTCGAAGGTGGGACAATGAGGCTGCCACAGCATGTCCAGATAATCCGAGTGATGAAAGTGAGGCGCTTTTCCCAGAGAGTGCCATCTTTTGGAAATGGGAGAAGTCCGAAGACGGAAGAGCGTTGAGGATATTCGTTCGCAAGGAAGAGAAATTCTCCCCAAGAAAGACTGGTACCGAAGTCCTGACATGAATGAGCTGCTTTTTCGGTTCCTTTCACCAGTTGCTACTTAACACCGTCGGAACTTTTCGCAACAGAGCCAGGATCTTCACGTCGCGCTCGCCAGACAGAGGTAGCCGCCATCATCGGGCTGTCGAGGTGAGGAGATTGACAGACATGACCCCGGCCCGTCAATACCACCTAGGTTATTTGCCGATCAGCCCGAGGTAGGTCAGCAATATACCTAGGTACTGCTGGCTAGAACGGTTACTGTCGAAGAGTCGAGCTATGCACAAAGGCCGCTTTCGCCCCGAGTTTCCTCGGGTTGAGTCGAGTCACTTGCGCTGATGGACTGCCACCTCTAAGATGACATTGAATCGCTCCCGCACCAAGAATAGTATGGACTCAAGACTAGCATTATCGGATAGCCCCGAAAGGACAGTATGCTATAGTAAAGATGAGCTAGCCAGTGAGCAGTACCAAGCGATAACAGTAGTCAGGATGTAATGTATCCATGCTTCCATGCTTTCCATACTTCCGGTATTGATGCTTGTTAGGTGCCAGATACCTACCTACTCATACGGCTTGTTTCTCGTCTAGGTACCAGGCCCCATCAGGGTTGACTGTAATACAAATGTGTAGCTTCTTCCACACCCCGTCTTCACATGCAATTCAATGCCAGACAAACGTTCGCGACATTTTCTTGTTCGATTTAGTTTTCGATTTCGGATCAACTCTTCCCTATCAACGATTGTTTCCGTCTGCAGTGCTTTAGACTTTATGTGGATCGATGTCAAACGGCCCAAGGACGTAGTACTCGTACAGGGCGCCAGTGGAACGAGACCGAAACGACCGCGATGAGTAATACATACATACATTACAGAAGATCCATACCTACCTTAGGTACTTTCTTGACCTCCACTTATAGGGTCGCCCGGAGCAGTACGGATACCGCGTCCTGTACCTTAATGTACGGAGTATACCCGTCGCCGACTGAGCTCCGTGTTCGTGTGGGCCACGTAAGGTCCATACTATACATACTGTAAGGTTCCTAGTACCTAGGTACATGTAGGCACATCTAGGCACTGGACGTACGTACGGACGGATCCACGGCCAAGAGCTAATTACCTTATGTACTCTGTAATCAACCACCTAACGTATGTACAACTACCCCCTGAAATGGACAGCCTTGCCGCGCCTCGCTTCACCTCATCTCACCTTATCTCACTTTACCTCACCTTATCCAGGCGTGAGCTGTGAGCTGTGACCTATGACCTGTGACCTGTAACCTGTGAGGTATGCCAGTTCAGAGGGCCAAGGCTCTGAGATAGGTAGCCGTCGCATTCCACCGTGGATCTTTTAGGGAGTCGGCAGTTTCACTTCCAACCCCTGCTGACGCTGGCACAAGTCAGTATCTGTTTTAGAATCCGGTGTCGAAATAGATGGCGGATTATGACGCGGTTCTCCTGATACCTGCCTAGGTAAGTAGATGCCTACCTAGATGCCTCCTAGCTCCAGAGTTAGAAGCTGTATAAATAAAATAGGGTGTTTCCTCCAGGGAGACTATAAGCGCATTCAGTACCTAGGTAACTTGAAGATATTTACTGTCAGAGCTAAAGATTTCCTTTAATATCGAAGGGGTTGTCGAGTAAAACGATATTACAATTCAGTCTAGCATCCACCCTCGAGTCTGAGGCTGGCTGGGCAGTGTCTATGTTCTCACACCCCTTTCTCAACTTGATAACTTTACCTTAATTTGTAGGACTGAATGCTCTCTAATGTCGTGTACTGATATTCGCTCAGGTCGTGTAAAGAGACACCATAACATGCTACACGCTGAGCCGCCGTGTCACAGTCATGGAGATGGCGTCGCTGTCCGCTAAGGCTTCTTCCAGCGACCGCACGTACACCAGTCTCGCATTTTCCCGTCCAAAATCCACCCAGAGAACCAACAGAAGCATGGCTCCAAGTAAAGTGAACATGACAACGAACCATGTGATAATCGTCATCGTGCTCACTGTCGGTGTAGTCACGACGGTTCCAGACCAGTTGCTCAAAGACCACCCAAAACAACCCAGAATGAGGACTGTGAAGATAACATCACTGCCAGTAATAATATAAGTGTATGTGGCGAGCTTCAGCGACTTCCTGGAGAACAGCCATGAGATGCCAATGGACAAAAGCCAGTTGATGAGCCAAACAAGAAAACAGCCTCCGAAAGGAAGGAACTCAAGCACAGTCTTTCGAGTGGGTGTCAACAAAGGAATCGCGATGGCACCTTGGAACGAGAGGAATGCGGCGCATATCGATATGAGGAGGAGAGCCGAGCTGGGTCTCCCTTCGTTGTCGATGGGGGTTGCCGGTTCATGCAGACGCAAAGAATTGAGCGTCCCAGAAGCACCGCCGAGGGCTGCATATTTCCTGAAAAATGCCCCGGGTGTCGTGGTGATTACCACAGGTTCGCCGAGATACGGATCCAAGAGCGGTAGTGGTAGTAGCTGGAAGGCATGCAGAGGACTGCTGTGAAGTGCTCCCAGAGCTTCACAGAGGTCGAATATGATTCTCACGGCCTCTTCTTGATATAAGAAAGCTCCCACATATCCGTTGATGCAAACGGCGAAGATAAGATGGCTGAAGATGGCAACAAGTGAGAGAATGTGTCCAGCTTCCTGCTGCACATGTCCATCGTTCGACCGCAGGATTTTGCATGCCACGATGGCAAGCGAGCCGAGGTATGAAGCGATAGAGAATCGAGTGTGCAGGAAGCTATCGGGACGGCAGCCTCGTAGCCTTAGTGCTGCACGTCGCATCAACAGCTTTTCCTCCTCGGTGATTAGAAGGGTGCCGTCTAGGCTGCTTCGTTGCAAGAAATGCCGCCGGTTTGTCAGCGCCCGCAGAACGTGAGGCTGAGCATCTTGCAGCCACTGGTCGTAGGTGGATAAGACGGCAGCAAACTCGCGACCAACATCTGGAACATGGCTTGTGGAAAAAAGGACGCATCGACGAATGACCTCTTGCCGACAAAGAATACTCCAGAGGGCATCAATTGGGTTGCTGAAGATATGAAATATCGACAAGAGGGCCGAGGGCAGTCCAGACGTGCTCTGCTGCAGAAAGGCTAGACCCAGGTTCAGGAGTGGCAAAACAAATGGAATAAACTTGGTTAGATCGAGCATCGTCAAAGGAGATGCTTCCGCGGTAGGTTCAGCACAAGCCGAAATGTTCTGGATCGGCTGAGCAAGTTGATCGACCTTCATTGGGGCAGTTGCAGAAGCACGTTGCTTGTAGGGTTCTTGAGTGGCTGATTGAAGAACATCCTGGACACTGCCGCGGCGCTGGGTTCTTATTCATGTTGTTGAGTGCATAAAGATGACAGGGCAACCTCGCCTCTGAGTGTAAGGGAATACTTCAGCAGGGAAGATTTCATGTAGGCAAAAGACAAGGTACCGTCTTGCCGGCGAGGAGACGGCGAGAGAAGGAGAGAAGAGGAGGCGAGGCTCTGTCCGAGACGGCTAGGTTGAGCCATGGTGATGACTTTGACTGACCAGTCTAGTATGTTGTCCGGGCTCGATGCCCTCAGCACTGGACTCTTGTTATTCTTGGAATCAAAATCCCGCCTCCACCTACCTGAGACCTGGATGAAGAGGGACGGTGACGACGACAATTGATTGAGTGATACCTATGATATGGCGGGAAAAGGGATAAGATCAGGCAGACACGCCAACCAACCTCGGTGGACATGTAGAGAAGACGGCAGAATATGGGTATGACGACGATGCCGGAGTGAGATACATTCAAGTTGTAGCAGGTAAGAGGTAAGACTCTATCTGACCAAGATAGAAAAAGGAAGAGGAGCGCAGGAGAGGCGAGCGAACTCTGCCCCTCACTGCGCTGCGCTACGTGCCGCGGCCTTAAGCCAGCGCCCGAACCCTAGTCGAAAGTTCCCCGTCAAAGGCAGAATTCTCCCGCGCAGGGGGAAGAAGGTAGCTCCCTAAGCCTGCCACCTACCTGCCACCAACTGCTACACCTCCTAAGCCTCCCACGCAAGCCGTCATCTTCTTGCCCGGGCAAGTCTGCCTCAGCTCTGCCAGGGCAGTGCCCTTAGCCTGCTCTTACTAGGATGCCCCTAGCATGCCCCTAGCGGACAACTCGAGGCCAACTTCCCTGCTTGATGATGCAGGAGGCGCCCAGCGCCAATCGATCAGGAAGTTCTACTCATGTCTCGCGTTCAGCCCTCGTGCCCCCGGCGGCTCTATCTGTACCTGACAGGGACAAAAGCCTCTCCTCAGCAGTCTCCTTCTCGAACCCATAAAGATGCGCTGCTCGTCACGCTGGCATCGGTTGCAGAGACGCAACCATCCACCAGTTCAAATCACCGTCTCAAGTCGTTCAAGTCGCCATTCAGCCATCAGCCATGGCCGAGGCTTACCACTCCCCAGCAGAATGGAAACAACATCTCAACTTGATAGCCCAACTCTACATCAGAGACGGCTTGAGCCATGACCAGATCGCACATCGGCTGTCTGAAATGGGCTTCACAACCTCGTAAGTTCTACTACTGCCTGTTCACTGCCCTGGGACATTCTCAAGCCTCATATCCATCACGGATCTATATGCTCATGGCCCCCCTCATGCCCATCCTTATTTAGCCCGCCGCTAACGATCCTAGTGGATGGTCTATCAAAGCAAGACTCCAGAAGTGGAAGATCAAGAGAATCAAGCCGCAAGAAGAGCTTTGGAGACTGGCTCGTTGTTTTCTCTATCATCGAGGACAAGGGCAGACCGTCGGCTTCAAACGCTGGGGAGAAGATATCCCGAACACGGAGATCGAAGGCTATATCAAGCAGAATCCTTCGGTCGAAGCGAGTGATGAAGAATTGCCTGGACATCTCGAGCTTGTACTGGCCCCCACCGTCATAAACGTGGACGACGGGACCGACGCCGAGGACCGCACCTCGGATCAGCCCAGCTTAGCAGGCGCTGCCCAGACCATGGTCGACACTTCTGCCGGGATAGACCAGACAGACGGCAGACCGACAAAGAAGCGAAAGTCTCCCTCGAATCCGTCCCTGCCGTACAGACCTGAGAGCAGTGCGAAGCAGCCCCGCGACACGGGGGGAGACGAGCATGCCCCGGAAGCTGACAACACACGGAGCAAAGATGACGACGACGACGATCAGTCCACTGACCGTAAGAAACGAGAAATGGAAAAGGCGCTCTCTATGCTCCGAACACTGTCTCGACAGCTACCGTCTCGGGACAAGAAATATGCGGACGCAGTTTCCCAGGTGGAACAGCTCTTTACCTCCGCTCTGGAAGAGGAGAGTCCAGAGCAGGAGTCAACGGACCTGGGCCCCCTTCATTGGGCCGCCCGGAACAACGACATCAGGCTCGCCAAACTCCTTCTGGACAAAGGCGCCGACTTGAACGCTCGCGGGGGGAAGGGCTTCACGGCGCTGCATACTGCTGCAGTGTTTGGGCATTTGGAAGTGTTACGCTTCCTGCTATTCCAGGATAACCTCGACATCGATGCGGTAGACAATGACGGCGCCACTGCATTGATGTGTGCCGTTGCCGTTGAATCTTCCCTGGAATGCGCCCTTTTGTTGCTTCAAAAGGGTGCAGACCCTGACATCGGCACTACGCATGGCAGGACTGCTTTGCATTACGCTTGTACCAAAGGTGGCATGGACGAGCTCGTCAAGATGATGGCAAAGGCGACCAGCAAACTTGACAGCCAAGATGACAGCGGTGAGACTGCCCTACACCTGGCCATTCGCAATCGGAACGAAGACTACGTCGTCACGCTTATGGAAGCCGGTGCCAGTGTCGATGTGCCGGACGAGGACGGCAGAACGGCCATGCACGAGGCATGCTTCCACGGTTCTCCCGGATTGCTCATGCGCATGATCGACCATGGCGCCGACCTGGCGGTGAAAGGCAACCAGGATGAAACCGTGCTACACATCATGAGTCAGCGTCCAGACTTGTGCCATGTCGCACGGACGGTGGCCCAGAAGCCCGGGGTGGACATCAATGCCAAAAGCCGGCTTGGGAGCACTCCTCTGATTCTGGCAGCGGCCAACAAGTGTTATGACACCGTCCGCATGCTCGTCGGGGAAGGCGCCGACGTGCATGTTGCTGATGAAGACATGGACACGGCACTCACCATCGCCGTGCGAAGGGGCCATGCCGAGATTGCGGAATTCTTGATTGAGAGCGGCAGTCCACTAAACCCCCACAACCAGTCGCGGAAGAAATGGAAGGCCAAGCTGGAACACAACCGGAGAGTCCAGCAGGCTCTGTCGGTGCCCACGTCGACGAGGGTGTCGTCTACCAAGGGACCGCGAACACAACCCTCTCATGCTGTTACTGGAAGAACCCCTCCTCAGATTGGCATCTCTCCTCTAGAAATCCAAGCGCTACAGAACACGTTGACCCGGCTTGCGAAGCAGGTTGGGGGTCAGCAAAGCAATCATCCTCTCAGCCCGAGATTCGGTGCAGGACCGAGCTATGCTTCGGCCTCATCTCTCATGCTCGGAAACAATCCCAACAGTTTTACATTTAATGCTCAACCTCCGTCAAATCACGCCAATCCCTTCAGCGATCCGTTTTCTGCGATGGGCTTGAACTCGACGATGGACTGGGAGGACGGTGTACCAGATTCGAATTGGTTGATCAATATAGGACAATAGGCAAGGTGTCGTTCTAGCGTTGGGGTGGATGGTGGATGCCAGACTTGATGGCGGCGTTTTCGACAGCGACTTGGATGGTATGAAGGAAATTTCCAGCTGTAACGGGTAGTTGACTTTTCTAAGGTATAAGATATAAGATACTGGACAGATCTTCTACAGCCCCTAAGCCTCGCTATAAGTTGTCTACCTAGGTAGTACCTGAGGTACAGTAATACTCATAGGAGGGTCGCCTCGAGCCCGCCATCTATTTTAAGGCGGTACTATAAGGTAGCCAGCCTAAGCCTAAGTAAGGTAAGGTAGGGTTAGGGTTATATAGGGTTAGGGTTAGGGTTAGGTCAAGCTCAGGGTGGCCTTAGGATAGCCTGAGCCCCTAAGGCCCTTAGCTCCCAGCGCTCTGTTCCGTCCCTAGGGCTTAGGGGCTTGTAAGGCTAATTCGGCGCGCCTAACCCTGGCCTCAGCCCCAAGCCTCCAGCTTCAGCCTCAGTGTCAGATTCCATTTATTCTATGGTGTACTACAGAACGACCGAAACGTCCCTCCTTCACACCTTTCCCCTTCTCCTCCATCTAGACGGATACAGTGCATCTTGTTCACTTCAACCCCTTTAGACATCGGGCTAGACGAGGCTCCACCGTTACAAGCCTCGAGTTTCCCCCATTCCCGGCGCGAATTGTGACAACCATCTGCGGTCATATCCATCATTCCTAACACCTACAGACCTAACCCGTCCAGCATACAACACCTACAGTACTCAACCCGTCCAACATACAACACCTAGTACCTCACCCGTCCAACATACAACACCTACAGACCTAACCCCTCCAACATGACATCCCCCGACCCGACATTGCATCTTCCTCGCATATTGTGCCTGCACGGCGGGGGTGTCAACGCCGCCATCTTCCGGGCGCAATTCCGGGCGTTCCTGAACCACGAGCGACTGCGCGACCGGTTCCGGTTCGTGTTTGTCGACGCGCCCTTCTTCTGCGACGAAGGCGTCGGCGTCTTCCCAGTCTACTCGGACTGGGGCCCCTTCCGGCGCTGGTTCCGCTGGCTCGACTCGCACGCCGAGATCGACCCGGCCGCGTGCGCCTACGAGCTCGAATACACGGTCGAGCGAGCCATGGACAGCGACGACGGCACTGGCGAGTGGGTGGGAGTGCTTGGGTTCAGCCAGGGCGCCAAGCTGGCCGCAAGCCTGCTGTACGCACAGCAGCTCCGGGGCAAATCCGACCCGTGGAAGTTTGCCGTCATTCTCGCGGGCCGCGCGCCGCTGGTCAGCCTCGACGATGAAGCCGAGTCGTTTCCCTGGATGCAGTCGGCGGGAGGGTTGCCCGACGCCGCCGATCTCGACGGTCTGCTCGATCGGCCGGACATGAAGCTGCGGATCCCGACGTTGCATGTGCACGGTCTGAAGGATGAAGGCCTGCATCTGCATCGGAAGCTGGTGCACGATTACTGCGCCCCTGGCACGGCGACCCTCGTCGAGTGGGATGGTGGCCATCGCATCCCGATCAAGAGGGGCGATGTCGATAAGATTGTCGATGCCTGGGTCGATCTGGTCGATGAATATGGCATCTGAACAGACAGAGTCTCCTTCTGCAGGGCACTCTATGTCTTGCACTTTTTGCTGTGCGGTGTGTTCTGCATCTCCGCCGGACTTTTCGGACAGTACAGTATTTCCTGGCAACTGTCAAGATCCGACGTTGAAGTGTCAATTTGTCAAAGGTTGAAAGGGTCGCAGGGGGCGCATATGCTACATTATAGTATGCCTAAACCAGTCTTCTGGTTAAAAGAGCAAGGCTGGGAATGCCTAAGTTTGACACAATTAGATGACGCCGACCGATCTGATTCAAGCCGTCACGAACTCTGCGACCACCATTACGGGGACATTGAATGTCGGCAACGAGCTCCATCAGCTGCGATCATGGTCATGCTGCCTGACATCGATTGACTCTCAGGGGTAGTCGGCTACTAGAGTTGCGATCCAATGTCTGGTACCCAGGGTAATTGAATCTGTTGGGATCACAATCCAAAGTCCGGCTACCTAGGGTAATTGAATCTGATGGGATCACAATCCAGTCTGATTACCCAGGGTAATTGAATCTGTTGGGTTCCCAGAGGAATTGAATCTATTGGGTTCTCAGCCACTAGTGATGAGATGTTAATAGACGAATTCGACGGCCAGACTACAATTCTGTGAAGTTTGTCAAAGGTTGAAAATGTTCCATGTTCTGTTCGCTATCAGAGGGAAAGTAAAGGGGTATGGGGGAGCCCAAGGCCAGAGTATATAGTACGGTATGTATGCCTATGCCTATACCACTGGTGCCTTCTGGTTAAAGGGTTAGGGCAAGGCTGGGAATGCCTGCTGTAAGTCAGTGCCTACAGTACGTTAGTGCCTACAGTACGTTTGACACTTATTCTGCAGGGTGCTTGATTCTTACGGCCATATAGAGGCTTTGGAATAGAATGGAATTTCCGTCATCACTTGTGCTAGATATAGTACGACAGAGTCACCTTTCACCTTTCATCTGAACAGAGTGTCGTTACAGTACTATGACCTTTCATCTAAGGAGAGTGTCGTATTAGTACTATAACCCTTCATCTGAATTGACCAGCCCTACTACAATCTCGCCCCCTCCGTCTTCACATCTGCTTCAGCCTTGGCCCACTCTCTCAGAATGCGCTTCAGCGGCTTTCCGGCGGCGTTGCGGGGAATGGCGTCGACGAAGCGCACTCCGCCCGTCAGCTCCTTGTACTTGGCCAGACGGTCGCTGCAGAAGGCCTTGACGGCCTGTTCGTCCAGATCTTTCTCCGACAAGTTCGGTTTCCGCACGACATAGGCTCTAGGCAGTTCTTGGAGCTTGGCGTGTAGATCAGCGTCCTGATTATGGTCATCATTGTCGTGCTTGTTATTGCGTGTGTGGTCATTATCGTCGTGCTTGCGTGTGCGGTCATCATCATCATGCTTGTACTTGCGTGTGCGGCTCCAAGTGACGCCAATAACGGCAGCATCCAGGATCTTAGGATTCGACAATAATACGCCCTCGATCTCGGCCGGCGCGACCTGGAAGCCGCGGACCTTGATCAGCTCCTTCTTACGGTCGACCATGTACCATTTGCGCGTGCGGGCGTCGCATGACATGATGTCGCCGGTCTTGAAGTAGCCGTCCGCGGTGAACGACGCCCGCGTCGCCTCCGCGTTGTCGAAGTAGCTGGTGATGATGGTCGGCCCGCGGATGCACAGTTCGCCGGGCCGGTCGAAGCCTGTGATGTCGTTGTCGTTGTCGTCGATGAGCCTGTAGAAGAACAGAAAGGGGAGTTTGTTAGCCTTGACTCGGAAAAAGGGGGTAGGGTAGGTAGGGTAGGATGGTCTCGTTGTCTCCAGAGGCGTATAAATCCCTCTGACGGTGTTCGAGGGGGCTTGCCAGTCTTGAGCTCCAGATCCAAGGGGGTTGGAGGGTGTTTGTCTTGCTCTCCAAGCAACCAGCGATCGAAACTTTCTCATGCTCACGCTCACGCTCACGCTCACGCTCATGAAAATTACGATGACGATGGCGATGAGGATAGCGGTACGGTTGGTATCCAGGATAGGCTGTGGTACTATAGGTTCTAGGAAGGCTGAGGCTGTAGACTGTACCGGACAACTTACTTGACATCCAGATTCGGGATCATCCTGCCCACGCTCCCAGAGTCGTCGTGCTCGGGATAATAGAAGCGAGAAGCGACGCAGCTGGTCTCAGTCATGCCCCAGACCTGGGTCAACGGGACGTCAGGACCGAGCAACGCTTGCATCTGTCTCTGGGTGTCCTTGTCCAACGAGCCGGCGCCGCACAAGACGGCCTTGATCGACTTGAGCGAGTATTTCTCGCGGCCCGGGAACTTGAGCATGGCCACCACGACGGGCGGCACCACGGCCAGGTCGGTGATGCGGTAGCGTTGGATCGACGCCAGCACCGGCTCCAGCTCGAACCGTCGCAGCACGTAGGTCTCGTCGCCGGAGCGGAGGGGCGTCGTGTGGCACACGGGCACGGTGGCCGCGTGGAACATGGGCAGGTAGATCAGGCGGCGGATCTGATACAGAATCAGTGAGAGTCAGAGTCAGAGTCAGTCTTGCTTTAGTCCTTTGAATCATTCATCCTGGTTGCATTTGACCAAACATAAGAAAAGAACCAAACAACACACCTCATGTGGCACTGGATGCGTCTCGTTGACCAAGGTATGTTGCGCCACCAGATTGTAGTGGCTGAGCGCGGCCGCCTTGGGCAGACCCGTGGTGCCGCTGCTGTACAGACGGGCGGCCGTGGTGGACTTGGAGACGTGTTCGTCGTCGAAGTGCACCCAGTCGGCCTCGCCATGGAGCAGCAGGGTCTTCCAGGACACGAATCCCGACGGGATGGGGATGGTCTGACTTTCACTGGTGCTGCCGGTGTCGAAGATGTAGATGTTCGACGGCGGAATTTTGGTTTCTTGAGCGCTGGCCAGCACCGCAGCCAGAAGATCCGGCTCGGTGAGCACGAACTTGGTGCGCGACGTCTTGTAATGATGCGCCAGCTCGTACGGGGTGTATGCGGGATTCGTGCCGGCAAAGATGGCGCCGGCCCCGATTATGGCCAGGAACAAGATGGAATAGTAGATCTACACCAGACCAAACAGTACCAGACACCAAGGGTTAGAAAGGCTGTCATGTCACCCTGCAGTTGGAATACTGGCCAGGGGTAAGGGTAAGGATAAGGGCAAGGGTAAGGGATCAAGGGTAATTGGCCAAGGCCAAGGGGCCTACCGACATCGTTGAATGAATGAAGACAGACACAGTCTCCTTGCGAGACACCGGCGGCCCGAAGACCTGCAATCAGTTGGCGGATGAGGATGCGAGCCTGGCGTGAAGAAATCGACCTCGACGGGTCCCGGGCGTCGATGTAGATCTGGGGGAGTAATGGGAGGAGTAAGTACAGTTAAATATCACAGTAATGGGAGTAAGTACAGGTATATCATCCCAGTAATGGTAGCCGTATACAGATATATCATGACAGTAATGGGAGTAAGTAAAGTTATATCATCACAGCATTGGTCGACGGCGGTGTCTGGTGTCTGGTGTCTGGTGTCTATAGGTATGTACGTACCGGCTTGTCCACATCGTATTTCGGCTCATCAAACGTCCAGGAGAGAATATCCTTGTTGGGAATGCGCACGCTTTCTTCCGCGAGGAACGGCATCTTGGTCTCGTCTGCGCCTGGGCCTGGGCCTGGGCCTGGGGCTTGGGGCCTTGGAGACGGTCCCTCAGAAAGTGCTGATGTGTGCAACGGTGTCTCAGAAAGTGTTGATGTGTGTAGTGTAGAGAGCGGATGCAGGTGTAGCTGTAGCTTTGTTGGGTGTTCAGAGGGTGGAAGTAACTGGATGCTATACAGAAGTACAGAAGCACGGAGTACGTGGACAGTCATCCCCCAGCGGTGAAAGTAGCCTCAGCCCTAGTCAACAGCTGTCCTCCCCCTCATCTCACCAGATGTGTTCTCCGTTCTCCGTCCAGGATGCATGACGGCAAGCGTAAGTAAGCCGTGGCTGGTCAGCTCAGCAGTCGGCAGTCGGGTCAGCCGTCAGCTTACATGGGACACTGGCCCGAGGTTGATTCGCCCGGCCTTTTCCTCTTCCTCTTCTTCTTCCTCTTCTTCTTTCTCGTTGGCCATTGTCGTTTCTGGCCCCTGATGAACCGAACGAATGAAAAGAAAAGGATGCTGCGGCTGGGAGGTCTAGGCCTTGGTCTTGGTCTTTTCACCCCGGTTTGGAGGAGGCGGGGCAATGGGGATCAAGTCCAGATATGTATGGAGTACTGTACTGTCACAGCTAACGACCACAGTACTCACTTGGTCCTGTCCCCAGGCACCTAGTTCCCCAGAAGAGAAGCTAGAGAGTTATGGAGATGTAGGAGTGATACTAGGTATTTGACTCGCGATTGTCTGCTTGTCATATCCAGTATACATATACATACAGTATACAGTATTCCAGTACCGTACTAACTCACCTACATACATGGCTGGATTGGCTGTACTATTCATGGTTACTGTAGGGGCTGCCGGCCTACTGGGAAGCTGAAGAATGGAATGTAGAAACAGAATCCTTTACTTTCTCTGTCTGTCTGTCTGTCTGTCTGGATCAGCCCATGTCGTCAAGCACACATCTTTGTCGTCTCATGCTCGTGCCTCTAGCCCAGTCCCAGCTATATGTGAATGTAAACACTGTTCAGCAAGTCCAGACGACCTTTGCCCTCTGCCCTTTGACCTCTGCCCTCTGCCCTCCACTGGGTTAGCAATCGTAGTCGTTGTATCTCATCTCCCCGAATTCAGCACTGCACTTTGCCATGATGGATGGTCAATGATGGCGGCCATGTCGATCTGTATGGAGTACTAGTGTCAAGTACTGACTCGGGATGCTGATGGGTCAATCCCTCTCATCGATACTCGTTGTTCGTCCCTGCCCTTCTCCGACAATGGTGTGGTCAAGGTAGATCTGACGAGCAGTCGCTTGAGCCGTCTGTGCACGTGCGAGCTGTTCGACCCAGACCGTCTGTGGAAAGTAGTGCTGGCTGTGGGCTTCGAACACCTGAGGAATTGGAACCCCACAGGCCGCCAGTCGTTGCCTCATGTCTGCACGCATGATGGCGCCATATTCGACAATCGTCTCTTCAGCCTCCACTCCGGCCTTCAAAAGCCTCACGCTCTGAGTCTGCACCGCCGCTCTCTTGGCCTTGATTTCCGACTTTCGCTCCTCCACTTCCTTCTCTTTAGAACGCTTGTCTTCCTTGGTCTCGCCCCCTCTCAGCAGAGTCAGATTCATGAGTCTCCACCAGGGGCTGAGCGGGTTGGGTTGGGGTGCCTCCGGAACCTGGCTGAGGGCGTCAATTTGAGCATGAATCTCATTGACCTCTCCCATCAGTCCCTCGATGGTGCGCTGGCATTCAATGATGCGCCAGTCATTCGCCACCATATCGGCTGCCAGCTCCTCCATTTTCGACTGCCTTGCTGCCCGGAGATAGTTCTGCGGACTGTCCGCCGTCGTACTTGCACGTGGACTCCGTCGAGACAGTGACCCGCTGCTTGGTCCGGGATTTCTTGGCTCGGCATTGCTTGGTCCAGCCGAGTTGTTCTCTGGCTGAGAAGACTGCTGGAGACGTACCCAAGTTTTGTTGTACTGGTGTCGCCGCTCAGGGTCCTTGAGTGTCTCATATGCTGTCAAGAGCTATCACATCCTTCAATCAGCCAGCTGGATCTTTGAGACAAGGGTTCACTGTCCAGTCAACGCAGTTCTGTACTACTCACCCGCTGGAAGGCTGCGGTACTCTCGGGCCGATCTAGGCATTTGTCGGGATGGCACTCTAGTGCAAGTTGTCGGAAGCTCTTTGTGATGGTGTCCAGTGTGTCGCCGATCGAAACACCAAGGATCGCATAATAGTCGTCGACCACATTGCTGGGAGAATCCATACTGTCGTTTCTGTCACTTATAGTGTAATGTTAGCCTTGTAATAACGACCAAAAGATAAAGACGAAGCTTTATAACGTGGGTAGGACAATATGACAACCATGAGATCGGGGCAGGACAATAGGACAACCCTGAGATCGACAGCCTGATCGCATCAAACACCCCGATCTATCTTGTTCTTGTGGTAACGCTCAAGTAAGGGGCCACTTACCACTTGCGTACACAACCAACCACTTCAGCGTGGTGCTAGGATGTTGATGGCGGTAGATAGACTCCAAGAAGGGTCCGACCACTGCTACCCTGGGGTGGGAGACCGAAATGAAGGAGAATGAGTGGTGTTGAACAAGATAAACATCCGGGCCCGATCAACTTGGTGAGCAGTCTCTTTGACCCGCGTGGAAAGACATGTGTTGGCATACAGTCTGCCCTGCGCGCATGTGCACACTCTCGCACGTGCAGGGCTACGCTTGGCGGCAACACGTGAGTGGACAGCCATGGCCTCACGTGAGCTGCTTGTAGCAGAAGTAGTCTGTACACACGAAGCAAACAATCATATATATAGCTCAGGGGGATGGGTGAACAATCAGGAGAGAACGGCTCCCAGGTAAGAAAGGATGATGGTCTTCAAGTGATAGCACGTCTCTGTCACTAGTCACAAGTCTAAACTGGGATAGTGAGCCTTGGCTGCTGTGATTGGCGGTCTCAGGAATGCCATTGGGTGTGGAATTTAGAGTTAAATCTAAGCTTACACAGTGGCCGCTAATCTATACAGAGGACTGAGTATGGAGTACAGAGTACGGAGTACTTACTCCCCGTACACTGGTCGCTCAAGATCCTGGAGAAAGGACCAAGGCTACAGTCATGGTATAGGGTCAGATGGTAGACTTGGAGCGTGATGGCATTGTCTATGTACTCGGTTGGATTGACTCCAATGTTGACCCTGTACCGAGTACCTAGATTTACAAATGACGGGCGTTGGAAGGGCATCTCCTTCATCGCACGGTTAATGTAGCATACCTCGAACGCAGGCCAGTCTCAACTCTCATATCTCATAACTTCGTAACTATAAACTTTCTCTCATACCAGGAGTCTCTTGACTGGACATGCCGAAAGGGGCCCCCGTCAATAAGCAGCGCTAGCTCGAGCCTTCGATACAGTAGATCATCAGTGATAATGGTATGACGGCCAGTCTCTCCCATCATCTGGATCGAGCTCGCACAGCATCGTCCCTCAAGACAAACCCGTTCGAAAACCACTCGGGCACAGATGTCCTATCACGCCGAGGGTGAGACTGGTTCGGATGACGACAAGGATTGTGGCTGTTCCGACTGAAGTCGGGTCCATTTCCACTCTCTGCCACTTCCGAAGGGATTGCATACTGAACAGCCCGATCCCAATCCTTCAAGTACTCGTATGGACTTCTTAACCAAGCCTCAAGCTCGTGCAGAAACAACTTCGCATTATCTCTGCCCAAGAAATCTTTCAACAGTTCCTCCGCTTGCCCAGTACTACCCTTCAAGTCGATCGATTTCAGAATGGCGATGATGTATTCGAGCAAGAAATCCGCGTTGCTCGCTCTGCGATCTGCAGAGGCGGAACCCGTCGTAGGCGAGCTTGAGCTGAGGAAGTCAAAGACCTGTAGCTCCCGCCTGATCCACATTCTCGCCCGGGTTGTCAGACGCTCATCTTTGACGAATGACTCCGGCGTGAGATTGCGATAGCGGGAAACACGGTTTGTTCCGACGTGTAGGGAGTATAGTTTGTGGCGATAAACTTCTCGGCGGAATTCGAGAGAGTTATCTCTGGTCTCTTCGACGTTCGTACGCCCGAGCAATGCAGTATGTCCACCTGTTGCATATCCGCGGTGATGCCTTGGTCTGCGCTGCCTCACAGCAGCAGCGGCCGGCCGTCGGGAAACAGGAGCCTCTGGTGGTGGCAGGTAGAATACCTTGCTGCCTCCTGTATCCTTTTCACCAACGTCGAATCTGATGGCCTGGACCTTGCCCTTACATAGCGGACACACCTGCTGCCGTTGCAACCATGTCCCAAGGCAAGGGAAATCGAACTGTTCGTGGCGGCAAGGCAGCGCGATCGCTTTCTCCGTGATATGGTCGAGGCATATTACGCAGTTCTCTGGCGGAGGCAATGCGGCGTCTGGGAGCGCAGGAGGTGGATGGTTGGGGGGAGGAGGCAGTTCGGCTTCTGGGATGGCGATAGATGCAGATGGCTGGCCCGAAGGCTTCGCGACGTTCTGTGCTATGTCATCTTCCAGTGTCTGTGGTGCCATCAATTGTTCATGAGTCAAGACGAGGATGGTGGGAAGTGTCAGACATATGAACGATGAATTATGTCGACCGACAGCGGCTTAGAGTGCAATGCTCCGCAATATCAAATCCTCCAGACCACGTGACATGACTACTTAATGCGTAGCCTCTCACACGGCAGGCTGGCCTTCTTGTTGTTACGACAGGTCCACGTACGCTGGAGTCATGCTCCTAAGTGTCTTGAATACTAGCACTTTGTACAAGTTATTCTGGACCTGAAGTTGATTGATTCTGTTACCCGCGGGGAGGCCACCCACGCCGTAACAATTTTGGCTCCTGGTCTACAACTCAGGCAGGAGGCATCTGACTAGCAACAACATTACCCTCCGCCGCCAGTGTCGCATAGTAGAGCTGTGTTTCGGCACAGATCACCATCCTTCCTTTACCCGCGAAATTAAAATTCGCCGAAGTCATGCCTAGAAAGATCTTGCCAAGCAGAGTGCCAGAGGGGTTCCAGACATGCACGCCATCACCCACGCCAGAGTAGACGTTGCCATTCGTGTCGCAATGGATGCCGTCGGGAACGCCAGGAGACACATAAGAGAAGAGCTTGCGGTTACTGAATGTGCCATCGGCATCGACAGTGTACCGATAGCTAGCGAGAGAACCAAGTTAGCATCTTCAGGCACTGCGTACGAGTAGGGCTATAGACGCAATAAGAAAACTCACATTGATGCTGGCGCGCTAAAGTTATACCCATAAAAGGCATACTGTGCGCCGGTGTCGGTGACGTATGCGTAGGAACCGTTTGGAGAGAAAGCGATCCCTATGCAAATGGACTGGTTTAGCCGCCGAGTCGGAACTCGGACACGGTTTGGCAGCGTCGCTTACCATTTGGGAGCTCGAATCCATCGGCAACCACCGTAACGGCGCCAGTCGACGGGTTCAGTCGATACACTTGGTTTGGCAAAGCCGGGGGAGGACGGAAGTCTTGCAGGTAGCCGTACAGTGTATCTGTGAAATAAACGTCGCCATTGCGGGGATTGATTGCCACGTCGTTGAGGGAGCTGAACTGACGGCCGAAGTAGTTGTTCAGGAGCACTGATCGTTGATACTATAGTCAGTCTAAGGCTTGGTGGGCGTGGAGTGGAATGAGGCCACAACGTTCGTTGGCATCCGGGAAGGCCCCGGAGTGACTTACCGGACGTGTTGTAGGGTTCAACCGGGTTCAGCACATAGAGAGCTGGAGCAGTGTTGTTTCCTTGACCTTCGCCCGTGAAGACGAGCTGGCCTCTGTAGTTGGTCGCACCTATGACACAACAGGTGTTAGCAATCCCTCGGCGAAAAGCCTGGGCAGATCCTACCGTTCGAATTGACTATCTGTGGGTTTGCATCAACAGTCACGACATCTACACGGCCACTGGCGTTCCGTTCGGTCGACACAGCCGCCGCTTGGCTCAGAGAGATCTTCAAGATGGCATTAGACTTGTTGAGTCCCGTCCCGGCAGCCTTTGCGCCGGCGTTCTGCACGAAAAAGACCTCGTCTGTGGGAGGATACCTGCACAGGTGCTGCGATTAGTCTTGCCCTGCTTGGAGATCATTGAGCTCAGACGCTAAGGGCACTCGAACCAGACAACCGCCTCGTGAAAGAGAGGATCAAGACCCTGGCTGGCAATGACCGTCAGAGTAGGATTCGGGCCGATGATGTCGTAGAAGGCGTCGTCATAGACGTGGAAGGGTTTGGCAAGGGCTTCTTCCGTTGTGATACCTGGTGGAAGGAAGACCTGTGATTCAGAAGAACATTCATCGGTCAGATCTGCAATAACCGTGGGTAATTCGACAACCTAGGAATGAAGGAGTTGCAATCCAACCTACCGAGGTCAGGTTGGACACTGACGGTGGTGGCACTGTCTTCAAGGCGTTGAAGCTCGTCTGGTCTACAACCAGAGCCTGCTGGGGTACTGCTTGGCTGTACACATTTGACATGAGGCTGCTGCCAAAGAGGAGTGGTAAGAACATCATGTATGAGTCTTGATAGTAGGTGTAGGAGGTGTTTCCAATGCTGTGAAGAGCATCCACGACCCGTGACAGCGCCATTAAGGCGGGGTTCGTATATTTATTTGCAATCCTGTCATGTACGGAGTACCTTGCGCCCGCCTTGAAATGACGACCGTAGCTCTTCTCCACGTTTCCTCCGCACAAGATGAGGTCATTTCTCGTATAGGGACATGTCTGAGGAGATATACTTCCGAAGAAGTAAGGTAGTGACAGTGGGTGATTACTAGGTACATGAACTGGAGGTGGTTGACCTCCTCTCTCTGGTATCCCCAGCTCTCTTGGCGGCGAGCTAAAGCGTCAGAGTCGGCGCCAGGTCCGTGTAGCACCGCCGACGAGGCCGAGAGATAAGAAGTGGATGCTGGGGAGCTGAGGTATATAGAGTAGACTTCAAAACGAACAGAATATGATGGCTTTGCCCACCTGCTGCTAACTGACTGCCCGAAGCAACAACACTGTTTACCGCCCCTCTAGTAGTAGGTATCTGGTACCTTTCAGTCAGCATACCACACCACGTGCGCACCAATCCGCCATCAGCTTGAGATCGCCATACACAAAAACAAAAACTTTGCCTTGAAGCCCAGACCGGATTAGATGATTAATCTAATCCAACCTGAGGTCCAAGGGAGCGAAACCACATCCCACACAGAGCTGTTTAGGCTCCATGGGCTTGGGCAGCGATTTTTCCGAACACCCGTTTTCGAGTCCAACCGCTCTCTGCTGAGGCATGGACACCAGTTGAGAAGGGCTTATACCGCTACCCCACCCCGGTGGTGGTTTGGAATGGTAGCAAGTCTAGAGGCCGAGGCTGGTCAGTGTTGCACAGAATTCTGGTGATTTAATATGTATTGCTACCTGGAAGCCATGAACCGCGGCTGCTGATTGGCCGAACCACAGGTCACAAGGCTGGCTTGGCAGGGGGTTGTAGGCACACATTCACAGAGGTCCTGGGTTCAATTCGGGCCCTTGCCGTGTGAAATAGGGCACAAAAGATCTCTAGCAGGCGTGACATTACGTTGGCTGTCACTGCCCTCATTACGGGGAGGCGTAAAGCGCAGGAAGCGCCTAAGGCCTTCTGCGAGCCACGGCAGCCACGAGATGCTTGAGCCTTTCTACATGGTACAATGGAGGCAGCAAACAATGCTCGGTCATCCCTTCTCGCTTCTCAAGTCCCCTCCTATCCATCAATCTGACCGTTCTGGTCATCCCAATATGGCAGCCCTTTCTAACCCGATCGTGACTTCCGATCTTGTACCCAGTCGATGTCTCCCGACTTGCCTCAAGTCTGTTGATGAACTTGACACTATCCAAGCACCAAGGTATGATATCCGGTCTGATACCGTGGGAAACTGCTGGCATTGTAGCAGCTTTCTTATCCGAATTACACAGCAGTGTGAGCAGAGATCTCAAACAAGCTTTATCCTCTCCCGATCCTACAGACACCGGTCACTTTGAAGACAGACTTGAAATACCCACCAGCCGAATGTGCGAGATCAGCATATGCAAGAAGATGCGAGGTCACCATGTATGGATTGACGAACAAGCCATTGACGGCGTCAGCATACTGTGTTAGGCAAGGCAGGGTTGGGTGGTTTCAAAGACAAGTCTTCATCCCAATGACGAGGAAGGTGAACTACCCAAAATCTACACGTCAGATTCCAACCACGCAGCAGATGGAATGGAACTTGCTGCAGCACATTTCTTGGAAAGCTGAAGACCATATCATCGCCTGCAGGTGGGATGCTCTGGTCGGCTACGAAGGTATTCGTTGGAGTAGACAGATGTTGGCTTTGGAAGCTGCGAAAACACCTCAGTATCTTCTCATCGTTGCTGAAGTAGTCGTGAAGCACAACATCGTATCACTTTCTGCCTCTTCTGGGGGAGATGAGTATTCCTAGTTGGCAATGCTGTCGACCTTGTTGAGATTACTCTCTGATTAGTGTTGTTCCCTGGTGCAGCAGCCGTTTCTCCTTGTCGACCGACATCCCACACTATGTAGCAAAGCTCAAACTCCGCCTCGAACGGTGTGATCGACCATCTGGAGCGAGCAATTGATCCCGCCCGCCGTTCTGCGTCAGCGCAAATTCATTGTCTTCCTGGAAGGTACCATCTGCCTACCTTGTTCGATGACATCCAAAGCTACGTTCACGATCTTCTGTTTGACAATCAACATAACGGTTTCTAGGGCCTAAGACATGCAATCTACAGAGCTCTCAGCGAAGGATCCTGAGATCATCCGAGCCTTGTCCTCCGAGCCTATCGAGATGCCGACGTCCATTCCTTGTCGATCGGACCTCAGCGGGAGCAGCTTTCAGAAATGTCCTGTTGGCTTGCTTGGCCTCCAAATCTAACGTATCCCTGCAAGGCCTTGAACTCAAACACATCCTTGCTCGCATGCGGGGTAGGTCATCTTGGACTCAGCCATCTTCCCTCGGTAGGACAGCCGCATGTGCTGTTCGATCGAGAGACCGCTGCCCGATCGTCCGATCCCTGCAGAACCAAAGCACGCGCTCAATCCCTGCAGAGCTATGAGGGATGGGCGCACCCAAGCGCCGGTCCAGGGCAAGATCGAAACCTTCCTGAGTCACTATAAGGGTGAGTGGCAATGGCGGCAACATGAGATAAGAGACACACACACCGCCGGTGCTCCCGATGACATCGTCCCTTCAGGCCTCCTTTTCCCGCAAAACAGCCTCGGGAATCATGGCAGAGAGAGACTCCAAGAGTTCGTGCACACCGTTGAAGAACCCGACAGAGGCCCGCGCATTCCAATCCCATATCTCATCCCACTACCGGCGATGGAAGAGGATCAGCCGAGACATCGCCAGGCTGTATGAGACGTCGCGGACAGCTTCATGGCACCCAGCCCCCGAGGAAAGCCTCGTCAACGAGCATCATCACACTTCCGTGCTCCGAAAGACCCCGGGCATAGCCGATACCCACAAACAGGAGCTCATAGATGACGGCGAGGAGAGAACACTTGCGGCCGCCCTACAACGACACGGCAATTCTCTTTCCTTGTTGATGCGCGTGCCTAAGAATGGCCTCCGCCATGACCCTTTCAGGTCCCTGCCTATCCCTGCGGACGGCTGTGTTCCTCTGACTATCGACTACTGTAAGTGACTCTCCACAGCTGATATCTGACATCGGCCGGCGATCTAACACAACGCCCAGTTCTCCACGAATGGGCACCAGAGTACGATATTGATTATGCCTCGACTGGCCACGGTTGCCCTCACAAAAGCCTGGTGTTTCCTTTGGCCATGGATCATGCTGTTCTGCTCGAAAGCCTGGTGGCCATGTGCCGCGTCTTCTGGCTCATCGCACGAGACATCACCTGGCACACCGACGCCGAATACATCAAACACCAGGGCCGAGCATTGGCTCTGGTCCAGGCCAAATTGAGCTCTGAGGCCTTTGCGGACAATGCGACGCTGCTCGCCATCGTCTGCTTAACGAGCATAGAGGTACGGTACCCGCGCTCTTGAATACTCCATAAGTTAACTGAAGCAGCTTCTCGCGTCCAATTTTTCCGCAGTTGTCGCGCACGCTCACGGTCTCAACATGCTGGTGGGAAGAAGGAAAGACATGGACTCTGTGTCGGCGATATCGGAGTATGCAAAATCCAGCGCGCGAGCGTAAGTGAGATATCGCCTGGAGCTCATGACTGTGTCACACACGCTGACATATTTGCCAGCCATGGAATGTTGGGGGACTACATCAAGACTCGGACAGATGAGTCTATTCAGGCGGGAGCCCAAAGTCCGCCACACCAGTCACTTGCCCAACCACTCTCGTACCCCAAACACCCCTTCCCAGCCAGCTTCTGCGCCAAGCTGTCCAGTCTCCCGAACGGCTTCAGTGAGCTGGCTCTGAGCGGATCACTGTCGGTCCAGTGTATTTGCATCATATCCTCGCTATCGAGGAAGATCCAGCGCCATGCTCAAACCGCCATGTCCAGCGCAGAGCAGACCGCCGACATCCAGGTCGAACTTGACGCCCTGAAGCACTTCTACGCAATGGCCAAGTCGCCGATGGAAGATTACCTGACCAACGGTCTGATCTCCTTCTGCAACCAATATCCCGACAAGACCACTCGGAACCCGTTCTTCAACATTGCCCTCAAATGTTTCAACTCGGCATTGAGCGATCGCGAGAAGCTCGTCGGCATCTGGCGCCAGGACTGCTTGGTCTGGGTGGCAGTTATCATTGCAGGGGTGCTCGACATCTGCGCCGAGCCTTTGGAAAGCCGTCATGTGGTGCTTGACAGCTGTTTGGCTGACTTCCCCAAGGCTCGAGACTGGGGCCATCTCGAACAAATCCTGCGATCTTTCTTCTGGACGGACGCGCTTGGACGGCACTGGAAACAGTGCTGGAAGGCAGCAATGCGTAGAAGACAGACGGACACTTGCAGTACCATCGATCCCCCAAGTAGTCCTGGAAACGACGCACCCTTGTTTCCGGTGGCTACTCCAACGCCTAACACCCTTCTTGGGCTCCAAAATACCGGCTTAGGCAGATTGCTGCACGACGCTCACAACTTGACCAAGGCGTTCATTCAGGCGAAGACATGACCAACTTCTCAATCAGACATCTCCAAGTTTACCAACAACAAACGGACACATTCCCAGCCAGAAGACAGCAGTTTGCATCTAGCAGGATACTGCCACCACGAACATCCCAGTTGCGACTGCCTGCAGTATGGCAGCTGTCGATCTTTACATTGCGACTCGGAGGGTACATGCGACGACGAGCTCCGACAGACCCGACCTATGTCTCCTCTGTATTTTGGCCGAGGGTTGTTTCGCTTGTCGTCTTTTCATGATTACGGGGGGACCCCGTTTCGGTAGCCCCGTTCGAATGAAGGTGTTATGCGAAGCAGTCCACCGTGATGATGGTCTTGCATCACTGCTTTAGACTGCTGCGGCCGCACTCTCGCTGAACACTGTTGAGCAACGATTCTGGCCGCTCTAGGCCGATCTGCAGCAAGGATGCTCTGTCCTGACGGCAGCATACGAGACACCAACTTGGGCGGGCCTTGGAGCAGACGATTGGCGAACACAAATAGTATCGGAAAGATGAATCACACAGGAAATCGGAGATTCCATCAGCAGACCGATTCATCTCATTCTGTTCCCAGGTCCCCGCAAAGAGCGTCTTCTCAACTGGTACATCCAGGCAGAGACAACCTTCGCCATTTCGAATTGGTGTTGAAGAGATTACGGATGGGTTTGGTGATATGACAGCAATCAAGCGTCGTCCAAGTGGACCTCCTGTCAGCGCGAATGAGTGGGGTGGTCCAACGACAGAAGGAAAATCGAGCCAGCCAACATAGAAGAAGGAAGGATTGTTGATGTGTAATAATCCACTGAACCTCTTCGATGACCTCTCGGGGGATATCTCAAAAAGGAGACTGGATGAGAGCTCGCTGAATGAAGATCACCTAGCTCACTCGCCTGCTTCTGCTTCTTCTTCCAACGCCTCCATCTCAGCCTTCTCATAAGCCTCCATGATCTTTAGATCCCAGATTGTGGTGTCTTTGTCGGGAATGCCATGCTTCATATCCTTGAAGACGGGACCAATGCAGCTCTCCCAACGCTTTCTCCTGTCCATCAACATTCGAGCATTGTCTCCGATATCTCTGGCCCTGTTGACGCTTATTGCCGTTCCTGGTCCACCGATTCCATGTCCACCAGGTCGTGGCTTGTTTGCTCCGGGGCCTCCCTTCTTGGTCTTACCAAGTGTCCTGGTCCGCTTCAGATAAGCCTGTTGGACTTGACTGTCAAGATCTTCATGGATGGTGCTGTATTCCTGGTATGCCAGCCTTTCCTTTGCCAGGTCAAGCACACGAGCCTTACGAGCGCCGTTGACTATGAGCACGCGACGCAATTCGGCTTGCAGAAGGCGGAGTCTTTCGCTGATATCGTCGTCGTGGTGAGCATCAAAGTCCGGATTCTCCTCCTGTCCGAGCAGGCCCAAGTGACGAAGCTCGCCCTTGATCCGTTCTTCGCTCTGGACATAGTCGAGCCGTTGTGAAGTTGACGGCCTTGGACCGGCCTGCTCTGCAACCGCGGCGGCAGGTGCCAGAGGCTTTTCAGAATTATCTGGGCCGTTGGTAAGTCCATCCAGGTCCATGGTGTCGTTCCCATCGGTAGCCATGAAGGAATTCAGATCATTTACTCCATTGACATTCTCGCCCGGTGGTGATCGGTGTTCAAATTTGAGCAAAGAGAGGAGTCGGCTCGCCAATGGTCCCGTCGAGACTTGATCTGTTGAGAGGTTGTCATCATTGATAGCTTCAATGTTGCCTCGCGCATGATTGAGTGAGGGCTTGTCAAGATTATGGTCCACAAGCACCATCCCATCTTCTTCAGCCCAGATATCCTGATACGACTGCTTGCCACGTCGAACTGCCAGAAATGGAGTAACTCGGTCGCCCTGCTAGGGAGTTAGCTGTTATAAAGTAGGAGACAGCTTTCTACACTCACTCTCTCTCTCAACCAGGCCATGTCCTCCTCAGTTAGTGGTCGCACAAAAGGTTCGACGTAAGTGAGGAAAGTATTCGCTGCGACCTGATTGGTAGGTTTGGCATTACTGAAGTCCTTGTCCGGTGGAGTCCCCGCCATCTCGTCACGAAGGTCTTTCGTTGGGAATGACGTGACGCCGTAGATTTCCTTCTTTTCCTCATCTGTCATGTCTGGAGTCACCTCCCGTATGTGATAGATCACGGGGTCAGAGGCCATCGGGTCAGGGAAGAAACCTTGCCGAGGTAGTGGAGGTGGTCTGTGAATGATGTGGTTGTCTTCAGCATCAGACATAGAAACATCTGACTTGATTGGAGATACGTGGGCACTTGCAGCCGTGGCCTCCGGAGATTCTGCAACTTCCGACAGGGAAGAGGTGCCAGGACTGAGTTTGGTCTTCTTTGACGGCGACGGGCTATCGACTGGCCCTGGTGTACCAGGGTTGCGGCTGACTTTAGGGTTTGTAGGTTCATCTGCTATACCTGGTGAGCAAACGGAAACTGGGACGAAGTTAATAAAGTCAGAGTGAAGGGCAGGCTGTACACGCGCTGACTCGCCAAAGCGAACCGGGCAGTGATGATAACTCGAAAGAGGCGATATAGCAAGTACTTCGTCATCTTGGAGTATTTGTGAACATACCTTCTCGTTTGATCTCAACGTTGTCGAATGTCTCGGGTCTATCTTTGCGTTTCTTTGACTTGGAGTTCTTTTGAGAATGCACCTCCTCCTTCCGAGCTTTTGCGCGACGAGCCTGTTCGGCTTCGTGTTCGCGATGTTGTTGGTCTGATTCCAACTCCTTCTTCTGCTCATGGATCAGACGGATGGCTTTCTCACAGGACTCTGCGCGTTTCTCTGCTGAATCGCTCAAATGCTTCAACTGGTCGATGATGTCGTGGAGAGACTTGGGCTCCAATCGCGTGCCATGGGTCTCAAGGTAGTCTATGATTTCAGAATAGTTCGGCTTCGGGGAGACGAGGAGTTTGCTGGCTTCCAATTCCAGTAGAGGTGTAGTCGTGGGAGCAGCCGCGGCCGTCCCCGTGCTGAGGACGGAGCTGGGCGTGGTGTTGCGACTTCGCGATCGGCGTGCATCTCGGGGTTTGCCCTTGCCTTTACCGGCGCTTCCCAGAGGAGGCATCTTGCGATCTTATATCAATCTAAGACTGTGCCGATAAACAGTAGAGGGGTGAGGCAAGATTCAGGACGCCCCACGGAGACTCATGGCGTGTCTCGAGGCGATTCGTGGGCAGCCGCGTATGGACGGGGCTTATAGCTGTGACTCACTGCACTGAACGGCCGTGAGGAGGCCTCTGCGCGTTCAACAGGCCTGTTTGGAAGATGGGCTCTTCTTGTTGCACGTCGTCGTTGTCGTCGCGACTGAGGTTCGGCGCAGTTGCAGTCATACCTTACGCCAAGCGGGTCTTCGGCGAAGATGCCGTATAGGCTTCAAATAAATGTACTATCTGCAGCTAGTGACACACCAGATCTATTAGAGGCGTAGCGCCATATTTATTGGGCCACTAAAGGATGACGAGGGGATTGTATTATTAGGTACCGAGTAGTACGGATACCGATATGCTAATTATGCAGGGAGGCAACATGGAGGCTGGACTCTCTTGATAGGAATTAGCCGCCACCTCCACACCGGGTGTGCATCATTCGGTCGATGACAGGACAAATCGCGGATCTCGATCTCTTTGCGAAATATTTGCATGATTCGAGTTCGTCGTTGTTCTGTCTAAGGTCAATTCAATTCCCCTACTCTGTACTCCGTACATCTACCCTTCTTCATCCCCCTCTGTCAAGACTGCAAAGAGGACGGCGCCGTGCTTTTCTCCATGAGCAGAGCCCCGTGTGTCCTGACGCATCCGCCCGCACCGGCGCTCAACCGCATGTCATGTCTTAAGCCGATCCTGAATCGCTAAACCTGGTTATCAAACTATCCCTCTATCGAGCATCAAGGAGCGATGTGTGAGTCGCCATGTCATACTGTACCGCGAACCGCTTACTGACCCCTCAAAGCCGCACAGGCTTTGGATGTCGTTCCGAAACTCCTTCCGGATCCTCGCTACGATGACTCCGACGTGCGAACCGTCAATGTATGAAGAGCGAGGACCAGTCAGTGGCTGAATCACATGGCTAACAGTGGAAAAGAAAACCCTTGGCTTTGAATACAGGACCTCGCGGCTTATTCGCACGCTTTCGCCAAACAACCCTCAAAACTATGATACCATCGTGGGACTGCTCTACGTCCCTGAGCTCCCGGCGGCCAACCCATGCGACAACTCGACTAGAGCCCTGATACCTACGAATGTAACCACCCGTGCCGATCTCCCTCCCGGAACGTGGCCATTGTTTGCTTTGGCACCATGGACGGAGCCAGCCTGTGTCCTCTCCTACCTGACTGTGATGCGCGACGACGGGGTCAATGGAGCCTTGTTTTTCCATCCGGGTAACGATAATGCGCAGCCGCCTCCGGTAAGCGACCCATCATGGAGTCTGCAAGATGGCGGCCAGTGGAAGTCGGCCAATCCCTACCCAGTGTACGCGGTGCCAGGGATGCTGGGATCCTACCTGCTCAATCTACTGGTGCAATACTCAGGGAACATATCACAAATTCCCAATGGTCACGAATTGGTCGAGATGTATGACCCCCACGACACGATTAGAGTCTCCGCCCTGATGGCCATCACCTCCTCATCCAACGGCATACCTTCGTTGTGGGTTTTCTTGATAATTGTTCTAGCTGTCCTGCTCGCGGTTGTCATGGCCACATCTATTGTCATGCACATGATCCAACGAAGACATAGACGCCGTCTCCAGCTTAGAGTGGCGAATGGAGAGGTTGATCTTGAGGCACTAGGAATCAAGAGGCTCAACGTACCTCAAGACATTCTGGACAAGATGCCCCAGTATACTTACACGTCCAAAACGGAACAAGGCCAGGCCACACCAGACGAGATTGCCAATCCCAAGGAGAAGACTGCCGTCGATGGAGTTACGCCTGGGCCTGCCACCCACGAAGTGCATTTCTCTCAACCGACTTGTCCGATCTGCCTCGAAGATTTTGTGGGCGGAGAGACGACGGTCCGCGAACTTCCCTGCAATCACATTTTCCATCCAGAATGTATCGATCCCTTCCTCCGGAACAACAGTTCGTTGTGTCCCATGTGCAAAAGTTCGGTGCTACCAGCCGGCTATTGTCCAGTACAGGTGACAAACCTCATGGTCCGAAGAGAAAGATTGATCAGAAGGACAAGGCAGCGCAATTCACCTGAAAGGCTGCCGTCCTCAACCTCCAATAGACTGCCCACTCCCATCGCGGCTCTTAACAGGACCGCGCGGAGAATGTCGATTCCCCTATCACACAGACCCAGCCCGTACGGAAGTGCAAGAGGCGGTCATGCAGCGGGATCGGAGATGCACTCAATACCAGTCCGCCAGGAAATACACGTGGACGACGAGATGCCTCATGAAGTTCGAGCGCAGGGTGTCTCGGCGAGGCGAGCGTGGCGGCGAGAACGACTTGCGCGACAGCAAGCCCATACTTACGATGAACAAGAAACCCAGGCTCGGGCCTTGGACGTGTCGAGACCATTGTGTAAGGTTTCACTGCATTCTGAGGCAAGATCAAAACGTTGCTAATCATCCTTTAGGGCGTCGCACCTTGGGTCGTATCTTCCCGAACCTTGAATGAAGCATGAATTTAGGCCGATATGAGTTGGATTTGGTGGTCGCATAGCGTCGGTGTCTGGAACAGGGAACATTTGGAGGTATTGATGTAACATCGGTAAAAGGCGGTCGTAAAGTCATTCAAGTTTGAGCTCGTAGGGCTATTTGTAGTTGATTTGATGGAAGGCATTGTACACTGCACACACCGTTCTTCTTTCCCATCAACGGTCCGGTCCAGGTCACGTAGCGGGGTTTGACAATCGGCAATTCCCTTGCTAGGTGCCTTGGAGGCAAGACTACTTCGAGATAAGTCTTGTCCTCAGAGGCTGGATTTGTGGCGGGTTTGTCGCATTTGCTTGTCGCCTTGAACAAGCAGCAAATAACGGGTTCGGGTCCTCAAGTTGAGGCTCCACGACGCGGCCGAGGATCGAGGGTAGAGGATCGAGGTCCGAAGTCTAGGTCAGCTAGCGAACTTGTCGTGTTTCCCTTTGACCCTGACATCGAGGACTTCTTCGTAGTAAGAGCCGTCCTTCTTTGCGCGCTTGAGCCTCCGGACCTCGTCGTCGTCGAGTTTCCTGCCGACGACCTGCTCCAGCTCGCGGCGGCTGATCTTCTCTCGGGCCTTTGTCTCCTTGTTCTGCTGGACGCGGGGCTTGAAGCGGGCCTGCATTTTGAGCACGAGGTGCGTCGACTCGGACGCGGGCTCGCCATCGCCACGGAGCGAGATGGCGACCGTCTTCTTCTTTTTCTTGTTGTCGCCCTCGCCCGGCCCCTCCTGTGTGTCTGTGTCTTTCTCTTCGCGCTCCGGCCCGGCGCCCACCACGGCGCAGAGATACCGGCTCCCCTTGACGCCCTCCGAGAGCTTGGTCGCGGACGTGCGGAGCCTCCATCGCATCTTTTCGGAGGCGTCCGTCTCCTCGACAGGCTCGATCACGAACCCTTCCTCCACACCCCGGGCTTCCCTCCGCGCCCCCAGCACCCCGATGCTGTCGCACGACAGGTAGCCGCCATGGCTGCCTTTCAGGTTGATCTGACCCGTGCCGGCCACCGTGCTGGCAACCCAGACCTGGCGCACATCATGCGGCTCGGCCGTCTCTGCGTAGTCTTCCACAATATTCTCCAGCCGCGATGCGAACACATTGCCGTGCGCGTCCGCCGCCAGACACGTCGGAGGCGTCGTGGGAAGTACGATCACCGTCGGCCCTGAGATGTCCGAGGCAAGGTCGGGCACCGCCCACGATTCATCTTCGTAGGTGTCGGCGGACTCAACACCGCCTCCTTGGGATGATGCATTGACGAGCGTCTGGGTCTTGCGGTCGTCGTCTTCTAGCGTTCGGTGTTTGCGCTTCTTGGTCTTCTTGTCGCCTTTGAAGGTAAGAGGTTTAACAGGCATGGTCGTTTGCTTTAGTCTGTTCTAGTGAGTTGGTCTATGGCGCCTCGAGTAGTGCTGGGCACTGGAGCAAGGAAGTTTATCTTCTCAAGCTTGACACAGCGAGGGCGGAGGATAAAATCCAAGTAGTAGCATGAACGAGGCTGGTCTGCGGTACATGGGTACCTTAGGTAGCCTTGTACTCTGCCGTATTGTGCATCACGTGACTGGTTAGATCGGACATGTAACATGTATTCTATACCTATCATAAGGGATGCGAAGCTCTTGTGAGGACCAGGGCCAAGGTAGATAGATATATCTCGAGCAGAGCTCTAGCAGCGAACTCACTCGTTGCCTCGTAGGCATCTATCATACTATTGACATGTCAGTTGTGTCTGTCTATTCCTAATGTTTACTCCTCATCGTTTAAGTATTCTCAAGGAGCACCACCCAGTCGTGGATCATATACTAGCTCTCCTAGGGGCCATGGCTCTCAACAGGCCTTTATCTTCCTCACTGCTGTTACCAGCCCACATTTCTATTACTCCTTTCAAATCGCCTTCACTCTTCAGGCGGGCGAGATATTCTTTAGCAAACGAGTAACCCACCTCATAGATCTCATCGAACTTGGCGAAATCCAGAGTGGCGTAGGCGTCGATGGGCGGCCGCATGTACAGACATCCGGGCATGGCTTTGGCTCGCTCTAGTGCATCCACAGAACTAACATAGGCCAGACGAGCTTGAATGTCGCTGAGAGTCGGTGGGTTAGGAATGGAGGAGAACGGGTTCCACCGGTTGAACAGAGCCCAGAAGCCCGAGAGGGTGTCGCCATACTGTTGTGGCGTATCATCATCAAGGCTGCCCACGTCCACAGCGAAGATGATGTCTGCGCCCAAACTCTTCATGTGTGAGACTGTTAGGTTGTCCATGTAGCCACCATCTAGAAGCATGCTGCCTTCGTCGCAGATAGGGGGAATCAATCCTGCCAGCGACATGCTCGCTCTGACATACCGCCACGCATATCCAGATGTGTGAACCTCAGCACAGGATTTGCTGAGGTTGGTGGTATTGCAATAGAAAGAAAGCCAGAAATCCTCGATCTGCGAATCTCCGAACGTCTTAAATATCCCGCGATTGAACTCGTGCCCTGTTGTATACGCGGCTGACGGGTAGGTCAGATCCAGTGCGAACCTCCACATACTACCCATCCGACCAGCAAACTTTTTGGCCCGACCGTACATGGGAACAGTATCTGCATCGCGAGCGTAAAGTGCGCCGATGAATGCACCAATCGAAGTTCCGCCAACAATATCAATGGGTATCCCTGCCTCTTCAAGAGCCTGGATAACTCCCACATGGGCAATACCGCGAGCTCCTCCTCCACCAAGGACGAGACCCACTGATTTGCCACAAAGGCGGCGCGCCAAACGGTGCAGATCGCCTTTGAAGGGTTTGTCCACTGAATAGAGCGGCGCTTGTCGAATTCGTCGGGATGTGTACTTCTGGATTTCGGCTTGAATGACTTGGACTCTCTGTCTGATCGCCGACCCTAGTCGCCTGGGTTGAGCATGAGGAGTGGTTTCGGAACTCACCCGGAACGTCATGAGAACATGATGATGGCCCCCATTGATCCACATCCGATTCCTCAGCCATCTCCTTGTAAGACCGGGCTGAGTATATCGGTCCCCGTGGAGGAGTACAAGGTCTTTGCGAGCCGTGGACTTCATACCAAGGAGAAATCTCTCGTACTCACCAATGCTGGGGGAACTCTCCGCCAATCCAACCAATAAGATGCAATCGGCCTGTGATATGCAGGTCTGGGTCCAAGGCGCGTTCACGTTGGTGTCGGCGATATAGAGCAGCATTCCATATTTCTCCTCGAGATCGGCTAGATATTGTGATAGCTTCAGCCGTCCCATTCGATTGAAGGCGTGGCGGCCAAGATGGTTCAAAATAAGTGTCTGATTGAGCAGAGTAACGCCATTCGGCACTCCGACCTGACTCAAAGCTGCCAGTAAACGATTTCCAAACTCGACTACTGGGACACCCGTGGTAACCGGCAAGACCGCTATTGTGCGTAAGTTGAGACTGGACGTGCCGGAGTCGGTCAGAGCGGCTTTGCCTCGCTCTTGGCCTGTGTCCGCCAAAGGGGCTTCGATGAGCGCTCGCATGCGCAGCGCTATCAACTTCGAGATCTGAATAGTGATATTGGGATGTTCCTGGGCCAAGCTGTTGAAGAGTGTTTTGGGAAACTTTGCCAGTTCGGTATCTCGGATGGCATGGAGAGTTGCCGACCTCGTCGCATCTGTCATAACCTCCAGTTCACCGATACTTTCCCCTTGGCCATACTCGCCTGTCACTTTCATGGTTCCGCCTTCCAACTCGCGGATGGCTCTCAGTCGACCATTGAGAACGATATAGATAGCATCACTTTCATCCCCTTGATGATGGATGACTTGACCGGCGTTGACTTGAACCCACTCCAGAGCAAAGTCGATATGCAAAATCAGGCGGGGGAGAAGGCTGGTGAGCCTTTTTGCGAGGGTGAGTAAAACCGCCGGATATTTCTCTGCAACTCTCTCCAGGGACGACCGAGGAAGAAAGCCAACGTAGACATCCGTTTTCGCTGTGACATCCGTAAAGCTCCTGTACGAAGAGAGCGTGCCGACATAGCCGGCGATTCCGCCTGGCTTCACCAAAAACAGGGATTTTTGTACCATTCTCCTGCCTTCCTTTGATTGCGCAGGAACACCTGGAACGGAGGAAGCGCGGGACGTGGAAGTCTTGGTTCTCCGAAGTCGTGGTACAGAATCGTCGCGCGAGGTCTTTCGATTGTTGGCTACTAGGGAGATATTCCTATCTTCCTTCTCTTCGACGGGAATGCTCACATCCAGGAACCCGTCAATAACATAGTAGAGACCCGGATTTCGTTCGCCCTGCTCGACCAAAACGGAGTCTTTGGGGAAGAAAACAATCTCCACATCATCTATTAGTTCTTCATTCAGCGTCTGACCTTGAGATGATCCACCAACACTAGCGGCCGAGGCCGAGGCGACATCAGATTCACCGTCGGCCGAATCCTCGTAGGGATCAATGAAACCAAATGCGTTATTGAAGATGGCAGTTTGCCTTCTTGCATCGTAGGAGACAAGCCGCGGAGATTGCTCCACTGAAGCAGGTACCTTTCTCATAGACTGGTTGATGGCCTCGCTCAGGCCAAGTGCCTTAGCCACGCATTCCAGGACGGATTCCCGAAACAAGCTATCCTCGTTGGCTGACTCTTGCAAGTGAGGAATATCGGTCCCGAACGGTCTAAATAGCGGCTGTTCGCGGTTTCCCATGGGACTGCCCACTTCCATACTGGTCGAACTCGAGATCGACGGCAGGTGGAGACTTGTTGGCCTCTGGCTGAGTCTGCCACTTTCATGAAGGTCGCCAGAACTCACATTTCTATCACCAATTCCTCGGGCCAGGGCACTTGATCTGGAGGTCAAGGCTGAATTTCCCCTGGCCGCAGCCAGCCTGGCCGCCGTGGCTGCTTCTTTCCGGAGTCCGCTCGACGATCTCCTCCGGTTCGCCCTCGGGTTATGCAGGGCGATCCCTTTTGTGCCTTCTTCAGGTCCAATCCTATCTCGCTCCTTTGCGAATTTGTCTCGCAGTCGGTCTAGAGCATCGCCCCGAAGATGATTGGGCAGATCGTAGCTGGTAAACTTGTTCATCGTCTTCTCAATCTGTAAAACCTCCGAGGTCAATCCGAGATAGTGATGTGCCGTAGCTAGAGTCACCCGATGTAACCGCGTAAGTATAACCTGCACTATATGGGCAGTGGCTTTCGGATATGTTCTGGTTAATCGGCGAAATGCACTGGCTGGAATAATAGCAATTGTTGTATCTACCACTGCTCTGGCCACTATATCTGGATGCGCGGAGGGGCCCGCCCGGGGCTTCTCTGGTTGTTTTTGAAATGGACGCTCGTCAAAGGCGGCCCCCAGAGTTAGCGGCGGCACGGTGGATAGCCTGTGCCTAGAAGGCTCTTCCCGGCCGCTGGGGATGGCCATACCTGGTGTCGACGGGTGCGTAGTAGGGCTTGTCGCAACTGAATCAGGGGTATGTGACATATGATTGGCGAATTTAGTAGCAGGGTTGACTTGATCGTCATGGCGCAGTTTGATATCTTCGGTGAATAGGGACAAGATTGAAAAGAGTGAGGACATTGAAGCTCCGTTCTTGACCTCGGTCAGCAACTGGTAGCCCTGGTTGCCTTCATGATAACCTTCGTCGTCGTTGAAGACGCCAAATTGGCCAGTGGAATTGTGGTCTGAAGCCTCTTTCGAAGACTTCACAAAGATCTGCACGAGGCCGTCGACAACCAGACAAAATCCCTTCTCTTCCTCGAGCAGTAATGTTTCCCCGGCAATGAGTTTCCTAGTCTGCATTGTCCTGGTTAACTCGTGAAATACCGGTCTTTCCAGATATCCGAACACCTTGATGGCACTGAGGAATTCGTCGAGATAGTTGGCCAATCCAGGTTTTAAGTCTCCATCTTGCGTATCAGGAAACAGATCTATCTGTGCCTCTTTCCTCTTGGGCTCTTCGGGTAAGCGAGCGTAGACATTAAGGTAACGATAGCGGATGAACCAGCTGACGGTCGAGACAACGAGGAGGAAAATCAAGAGCCTGCAAGTGTCAGCTCAGCACGTTCGTAAAGAGGATGTTCTTACAAGGTGGTGAAATTCATGGTGAAAGTTAGACTCATGGAGAAAAGAGTGAATAGCCATCGCGGGACGGTGATGGTAGTGAAGGTGATGGTCCGGAATAGCGCGCCTGGAACAAAGATGACAAGCGACAAAAGAGCATGACCAAACCCAGACGGTTGTTCCGTATGGACATGCTGTCCGGTGGCATTCATGGCCAGAGAGGAGGTGCTGGGGAGTCTCGGCAACTCCATGCTCGCCGGAGACGAAGATGCCATTGTGATGGAATGCACGCAGGTAGGTCGAGGAGACCAGGCATTGCTGTTTTTCCTGCTTGTCGAACTGAAGAATGAAGCTCTGTTCAGAGGCTATAGCAACGCGGGAAGTTTTCGAGGATCCATTGATGCTCAATGAAAAGTGCACGTGTCGGGGCTAAGGAGGGCGAAGTCTGGAGTACTGTACTAATACTCCGTACTCTGTATAGGTGTTAGGTACTACCAGGTAGGTTTTTGGGGAGGGCGGAAAACACCCTTGTCCGTCGCTACAACATGATGTCATCGTCCCGGCTGCAACATTTTGGTCACGTGAGGACCTCAGCCTTGTCCATTACTTGAAGTATATAGGTACCTTATATCTACCAAGTGCGCAGTATTGCCTTGTCCAAGGTAGTCGATACTCTTGTGTCGTTATCATTGCCCATCAGGCATCTGGATATCAAGCGGTCTAGAGCCATCCTGAGCCCTATCAACAAACCCAACCAAGTCCTTCTAGAAATCTCCCGTCACTGTCTCTCATGAACCAACCTTCCACCAACCCACACCCGTCGGACATTTCTATCGTCTCCATTCCACACCCATTTCTCCACCCGATCTTCCCAGGTCTCCCATCCAAAGATGTCTACCTCGGTCTCTCCGCGCTCGCCGTTCGGGTCGACCTCGTCCAGGACGATCTCTTGGACATCCCACAACATCCCTTCTTCGAACCCGCCCAGGCGTCCTTGCATGCCGACCACCTTTGCCCCGCCGACTGTTGCAAGCCAGAGCCCCTCCGCCACGCCAAGGTTGTACCTGCTGTCGCCGCCGTTGACATAGCCGACATGGCGACTCACCATGCAGGCGTTCCTGACTGCATCGAGTATGCTCGTACTGTAGCCGCCGCTGACGTCCGTCCCGAGCCCGACCTCCAGACCTTCGTCTAGCATCACCCGTACGGGGCAAAACCCACTGCCCAATGCGCTGTTGCTGGCAGGGCAATGACTGATCTTGGTCTTTCTCTGTTTGATAAGCCTCATCTCATCTTGGCTGAGATGGACGGCGTGGGCTAGAATGGTGCGTGGCGTCAACAGTTCATGATGGTCGTAGACGTCGGTGTAAGTGGTCTGGTCAGGGAACAATTGCTTGACAAGGCTGATCTCGCTCAGATTTTCCGAAATATGCGTCTGCACTCGAAGATCCTCTGCTTTCGCCAGCGCGCCCAGTTGCGACAGCGTTTCCGGTAGACAGCTCGGAGCAAATCTCGGGGTGATGATGGGTGCCAACAACTCCCCCGAGACATCGAGCGATCTGCAGTGTTCTATGCTGGCTTTTGTGTGAGCTATCGTCTGCTCTGTACTTTCGTCTCGGTAATATTCGGGGCACGTCTCGGGTCGGTCCATGCACACTCGTCCAATATAAGCTCTCTGGCCCCTGGCGAACGCGATGTCAGCCAGCAGGTTCGTGGCGTCCAGGTGGATAGTAGCGTAGTAGGACGCCGTGGTGGTTCCGTTCGCCAGTGTCCGGGAGATGACTCTGTTGTAGACGGTTTTTGCTCGAGCAAGCGGGTCAGGAGGCTCGGTGGCATTCCTGTACATGGGAGACTTTGGGTTGCCCAAAGACGATTCCAGGGGGAATGTATATGTCGTTAGCCAGTCGAGAAGGGTGGACTTCCCGAATATGCCGACATTTGGGTACTGCGACGCATGAATATGGGTATCTGTTTGCAGACAGCCATTAGCCATCTTCCTGGTCCACAGAGTCAAGCTCTTCCTGTTTCGAAGATCCCAGTAGCTGTGGAAGCACTCACCAATGAAGCCGGGGAAAAAGAATCCATTGTCCTTCGCGGTGACAACGGGCGTGTCGATCCCATACTTATGAACGGCATCCTGAGGGCTACCGACCGTCCAGTCCATCTTCTCTATCGTGCCTCTTCCATCCTTTCTGTTCACCAGTGCTGCGCCAGTACGGATCAAAAGTTCGTTTGGCTGAGGCGTCGAAATGAATCGGCCAAAGTATACTGTTTTCTGCGGCATCTTGCCTGCGCGAACCCCCCGAGATCAGGGCGAATCTGGTGTCTGCGAAACGCGCAACCTTCTAGAGGACGTCGACCGAAAGGCAACTCTAATAGACTGTACGGAGTATTCAAAACCACAGGGCTCCAAGGCGTGTCTTATCAAAGATCCAACCCAGAGAAAGAAAGCAAAGTGGGCAGCCAATCGGAGACCCCCTGCAGAGGGTGTCGGCGGTCTCCGCTTCATATCGCACTTTCTCCCTTGCAATTAAAACATGATTGAACAACAGTTGTACGACATGACCGCAGATGGAGCATTTCTGAGAAAGCAAGAGACCAGGGAGAAGTCCGTTGGACAATCAGCATTTACAGCTACAGAACTCAATCGTCATCATCGTCGCTGTCCACAACAAAGCCACCACGCATGCGCCGTCGTGCTGTCCGTACAATGTCCTCGTCCGATTCGCTCTCCACCGTCCCAGCGTCTTTGCTCCTTGCACTCGCATCGATCCCTTGGTCTGCCCTTGCCTGAGGCATCTCCCTAAGCGCGGCTCTGCCTGCATCTGATGGCTTAGCTGCAGCCGAACTCTGAGAGGACAAGGGCGTGTCCTCTTCGTCTTCTTCCTCTTCGCTATCTGACTTTCGCTGGGTTTGTGACGAAGCGGTCTCGTTGGGCTTGTCATCGATGTCCACCATCAGGAGGTCGTCGTCACTGTCTTGTTCCGCTACAGGCATCTGACGAGCCGGCGCCTTCTTCCTCCGCTCTTTGGTCTCAGCAACCCGACCGCCCGTTTCCAATGCCATCTGCTTGCGTATGTTCTCTTCTTGTTTCCGACGCACTTCCTCTTCCCTCTCGAAGAACAGGCGATCTCGCTCTTGATCCGATTCATCGTCACTGTCTCTGATGTATGCTTCGCTTTTGATCTTGAGTCGTCGTGCCCTCGCGGCATCTTCACGTGCTGCTCTTCTTTGGGCAGCAAGCTCTTCGTCAATTTCGTCGTCTTCGTTGTCTTCGTTGCGTTTCCTCTTGCGCCGGGCTTTGAGTTCTTCGATAATGTTCTTAGTTCTCTTTCTCCGGGGGTTGTCTGGAAACATAAACTCTTCCTCGCCTTCCGAGTCATCGATGAAGGCATCTCGAGGCGCGTCTTCCTCGCCAACATCTGTCTTCCCGTCTTTATTTCTGGCACGCCGGACCATATCTTCGGCATCTTCGTTCTCATCGTCCCCTTGCCATGGTGTTTGCTCATATTGCTCAATTGAGGCTTTCGACTCAGCTAAGGTATCCGCCGTGAGGCCCGAAGGTACGATCCAACTCGCCCCAAGAACGTCTTCATCCCCCAACATGTCGAAGCCGACGAGGCGCATCAACAATCGTAGGCGCCCATTCTTGAACATTGCAATCTTGATATCTTCCGAGGTAGGACGCACCGTAATGTAACTAGGCTGGCCGATATCGACGACTTCGGGTGGGGATTCGTGGTCTTTTTGCGCAGCTTCAACCGCAGTCGCTCTGCGGACTTCGGCCTCAACCTCCCAAGCATGCCTTTCATCGTAAGCCTTTCTCAGCGTATCTTTTACCCATGTTACTAGTTCCGCCTTTCTGTCCTTTATCAACACAGTGACGATGATGCCGATCTGCTCTTTGATATCCCTCCCTGGTGCAGGCCTGATCTCCAAGTCTGCTGGGGGACGGCTTGCTGCGATCGTTTGCTTTTCTTGACCAAATTCAAGGTAGTACAAGGTGGAGTGGATCTTGCTGAAAAGAAGTTCGACCACCAGTTCCGGCCTCTGATCGATCTTCTTGAACATCTTCTTAAACACTTGCCGGGAAAATTCAGAGTAGTCCTTGTACATGGGATGCTCTGTGTCAAGACCGTCTGGGCCATTGATCATCTTGTACAATAGTGCAATAATGTCCACCCGATAAAGTAAAACGGGGAGATCCTGCTTGAACGCCACTCGGTAGAAAAATCGGTGTGCTCGTTTGAGTTGTTCGGTATTGAGGTCTCGGTAAAAGGTGATGAGGGAGGTAAACGTGTTTACCGATGCCTGAGAGGAGAATTTGGCTGCGAAACGGTTGAAATCAAACTTGCGCTCCTTAGAGACTTGGATGACATCGGCGATATCCTCATTCTCAGATTTTTCGTCGTCCTCAACGGGATCATCCCCTGGCTGGGCAGCTTGCCTCTCAGCCTCTTTCCTCTTCCTCCTTGCTCTCCGCCGTGAGCGAATCTGCAAGTCGGTATTCTCCTTCGAGTATCTCTCTAGCATGCGCAAGAAGACATGTGACAGTTCAGTGCAGGCGTCAAGGTAGCCGAATCCTTGGTCTTTGTAGCCCTTCAAGATGCCGGTTATTCGGTCATGAGTCGTCTCTTCGTAGAATATGTTCTTTTGAATATTGTCCGCGATTTCTTGGTCCTCGTCCAAAGGGCTCTGTGCCATTTCTTGCACGGTCAATAGGATCTGAGTGAAACATCGCATGCTTGCATTCAAATCCTGCCACTCCTTGTTGTCCCAAGACAGTTGCATGTATCGGTTAAGCATGATGAAAGTCTCTTGGTTCAGGACTGTTGCAACGAGTGCATAGCTTTCGTCTTCAAAGTCAGTTCTGACTTTATCCGGCTTGATCTCCTTCTTCCTTGTCTCCCGACGAACGCGTTCGGCCTCAAGAAACCACGCAACCGCGTAGAAAAATTGCCGATAATTGACGTCGGCCAGACGCTCGGCTTCGCGTTGGATGGCTTTGCGTAAATGAGCGAAAAGGGGGTTAAACCCTGAATCAAGGAATTCTTCAACAAAATTGCGCAACTTCTCGCTGGCCGAATTGGTAAGCCGAGTGGTATGGTCGAAGTCGTGAATGGTGTGGTCAACGTCCTTGCGCTTCTGCTGCGGTTTATGCCATTTCTTCGATTTGTCCATGTTGAAGAAGGCCTTTTGATCGCTCTTCAGATTATCTTGTCCCGACACAGCTGACACCTTTTCTCCTTCACGTTTGACCCATAACATGGTGCCAAAGCGACCATGCCGACTCCACTGGTTCCGTTTTGCTTCTTTGGCCTCGCTATGCTCAATGGCAAGTGCAGCACTTAGATCTGATATTCCTTGACCTTTTCTTTCCTGCTCTGTCATCCACAGCCGCTTCGGGTCGATTCCTTTGATCAGGTTGAAGATGATATCAAGAACTATAACGTCCTGTAGATTGAAATCCTCTCCCATGTTGGAGCATAAGGTCAACAGCAAGGCGAAGACGTCTTGATTTCTGAACGCCTCGATCGTTGCAGATCTTGAAACCTCCATATCCAGGCCTTGATTGGGCAGGTTTGGGATTTGTTGAATGACGGCGACGTTCCGAAAGAAATAGAGCATCAGCTTGAGAATACCCTCATCTCGACTCGTTCTCTCGTCTCTGGCGACAGCGATCGAAGGAAGGCCAATCCGAATCACTTGGCGTAGAATACTGCTAGTATCGCAACCAAGAATCGCAGCCTTGTACAACACCTGCGCCTGTTGAATGTATGGAGTGTGTCGGTGATGATTCAAAGTCATTTCTCCGCCATTTTCCAGGGGCCATGTCAGTGGTACCAGCAGTTCCAAGCATGCGAGCGCAACCCTTGCCTTCAGTTTGCTCTCCTTTCCCTGTTCCGGCCATGAGGCCAAGATCGGTATAAGGTCTCCTCCAACAAGTTTGGCTTCTGCAAGGCATCTGGCTACGTCGAGCTTGTTGTTCTTCTCGTCGTACAACTTCAACCATCTTTTCAGATCACGGAGACACGCAAGTGCATCATCACCGAGGACATATCGGCCGTCGTCGTCCGTACTACTCCCACCAAGCTAATGGATGTTAGCCGTGCTCAAAAGTCCACTGTGCTCGGAACAACGTACGGCGTTGACCAGGCTGTACACATATGCCCGTACTTCGGGATGGACAGTCTGGGATTTGTCGAACGGGTTGTCCTCTGCCATCTTGTCAGAAAGGGTTGGTCATATCGCTGTGAGAGGAGGATGCGAGTGTGGCAGTGTGTTTGAGACGCTCCAGAGGGTTCGCTGCCAAAGGACGCGTCTCGACGCGTCGTTGCTAAATGGGTGTACGGTGGAGTGGAAGAATGAATGGCAGACACCGCTTACTGGGCTGGTACTACGTAGATGTGTAGAGGCTCGTAACGCAGATTCGATATCGACAACCTCGGTCCGGCTCTCCGCCTATTGTCGGTCGCAGCTTTCCCGTCCAATGTGTTCAACGAGGAAACTCCGCGATACATAGGTTTTGCGCCTGGCTCACAGTTGGAGGCTCCTACCACCATTTGGCATCCTCCCCATCTCCCCAAGTCAATCTACTCTGTCCACCGAACTACCTTTCCTCATGACCTCGCTGGCAAGGTTTCCGTCAAGACTGATGGCTAGCCCAAAGCCGGGCGTCGCCTCCCAGAGGCTCGCCTCGCTTGGTCGCCAATTGTCTACAACTCCGCCAAGGGCTTTCGAGGTGAAGAAACTTGGTGTCATCGGAGCTGGACAGATGGTATGAGTAGCGACGCCATGAGTAACATAATACTAACAATCTCCAGGGTCTCGGAATCGCCCTTGTAGCTGCTCAGAAGGCTCAAGTCCCGGTTACGCTGGTGGATAACTCACAAACGTCCCTCGATAAAGGCCTGGCATTTGCAGACAAACTCCTCGCAAAAGACGTCTCAAAGCAAAAGATTACAGAAGAAGTTGCAAAGGCCACAAGAGATCGACTGAAGGTCACGACACAATTATCGGACCTTTCCGACGTGGACATGGTCATTGAAGCTGTACCGGAGATTCCTTCTCTGAAGGAACAAATCTTTGCGCAATTGGCCCAAATATGCCCTCAACATGCCATCCTAGCCACGAATACTTCAAGCATCAGCATCACCAAAATTGCACGTGCAACTACTAAGGATGCAACCGATACATCAGCCTCCTCGCGGGTAGTGTCAACGCACTTCATGAACCCTGTCCCAGTACAAAAAGGTGTTGAAATCATCTCCGGCCTCCAAACCTCTCCTGAGACTCTCAAGGCTGCAGTGGCTTTTTGCGAAAAGATGGGTAAAATCTGCTCGGTCTCAGCCGACGTTCCAGGATTTTTGGCAAATAGGATCTTGATGCCTTATATCAATGAAGCCATTATATGCCTTGAGACGGGAGTCGGAAAAAGAGAGGATATCGACAACATAATGAAGAATGGAACGAATGTCCCCATGGGCCCTCTGACTCTCGCCGACTTCATTGGTCTTGATACATGCTTAGCAATTATGGAAACTCTCCACGTCGGGTTGGGGGACAGCAAGTACCGACCTAGTGTGCTCCTGCGGCAATACGTCGATGCGGGTTGGCTGGGCAAGAAGAGTGGCAGAGGCTTCTATGAATACAAATGAATAGTGCTTCGCAGAAGAGGATGTTGAGCGGCTATGTCAATGGCAGCCCGTCTCCCGATCGTCATTGCTTCCCGTCTCGGTATATTCGGTGTCACATGGCCGGCTTGTTTGGGTGGCTTCTCTAGCAGATGCTGGAACTTGCAGAAAAAGTTGAATGCTGGAGTCAAGTTGCGTCTAGATATGTCTTGGAGCGACGACAGGGGCGGTCAAAGTTCAGCATACGACCCGGTAATGCTATAAGTGTCTAAATCTTGGACTGGGGGTTCTTAAGGCAATCTTTGATAGACCATGTGTACAGTTAGAAAGGTCTTCATTGCATGGTAAGAACCTTTCGTATTACGAATGTTGAGGACTTGGCTTCCAGGGCTATACTTCGCCTTCAATTCCGTCAAAGCAAGCTGTGCTTCGTTTACTCCGCTGAACAAACTGTCTCGACCTAGTCTCAGTCAAACTTTCTCCGTAGCTGCTGCATGCTCTGGGCCCACTCAGCCACCATTGTCCAGTATTCACGTCTGGAGTGACAATCTCCGGGCGTGTAGCAAATAGTAAGATGATGCACATCGACCATCAGCCGAAGAAACCTCCTTGTCACCACTCCTAACCGTTAGACATGGCTACTCCCGTTAAGAAGCAGGTAAAGACATCGAAAGTATGCGGCATGGTTTCATGTTTGGCGTGCCGGTCTTATTAAGCGAACCTGCGTCTTGGGGTATCTGGAACCGATGGCTGTTGTGTCACGTTCTCGGCGCCAGTCAGACGGGCGTTGAACTCGTCGAGCTTGTCAAGTGGAAGGTTCAAGAGCAAATGCTTGTTCTTCCAGCGGACTTCATTCTCGATAAACACCTGGGTCTCCGAGCCCGGCGGAGGCGGAGGCTCGGTGATCTTAGTGATGAGATATGCAGTGCTAGCCTCGGCGATGCCATAGATCAGGACGCCCAGCAAGGGGACCTTGACCATGACTGCAAAAGCGGCGCTGAAGCCAAATAGCACACCACTGCGGTCCATAAACCAGACCTTTTTCTGTTGCTTGGTGAACCGGATACGGGAGAAATATGGCTCAAGCAGGCGCGACATGAGGCTGCGACTCGAAAAATAGGTCTGCAGAAATGACACCATATACCGCTTGGGCAACACAAATCCGAGCCCAAATACGATCCCAGCCGGCACAGGCCCAACGGCCTTGTTGAAGGTGTAGAAGGACGCTGCGGGAAGGACCAAGGGCCCCACAATCGGCGCAAAGGTCAAGGTATATATGGCCAGTGAAATCGCTGCGCGTCGACCGTACTTCATACCGACACTGATCAAGCCATCAAGGGGGCTGCGTCTCTCTTTCCTCTCCCGGGCACCGTGCGTCGAATATACCTTCAGCGTCGGGTGGTACAGGCCGCGCAGGGTTGAGGGGTCGTCGGACTTGTGTTTCTGGAGGTACGTCTTATCGACCCACGCCAGAGAGTCCATGAACAAGTTATCCAGCGTGGGCGTGATGGAGCTCATGACCATCATGAGGAAGAAGGGGACTTGTAGAACCGATTTCGAGATGAAGTCTAGCCCATTGACCAGCTTGTCATCCCACGTCTCATGGTCGAGGTTGACGAAGAGCGAAGTGACCAGCAACATGAATTTGACTGCGTAGATGGGGATGTTGAGAATAATACGGATCGCTAGACCTGCACACACGGCTATTGCAGCCTGGCGGTAGTGTGTGGTTGTGAACAGCTCCGGGTTCTGCAGGGCTCGGTGTGCGCCAACGAGGGTGAGCTGGGCACCGCGCAGGATAGCGTTAGGATCGAAGTTCGACATAATGTCGACAGTTGAATGGAAGCTGAGGTTCGGTCCCGGAGAGCCGGCGCATGGAGTTCTTACAGAGGGACACGGGAAGTGAGAAAGAGCGTCGTGTGCCCAAAAGGCGGCAGTGTACGTACCTCGTTATGTCATTGCTCGCACATCAAGTTGTACATAACCCCGCCAACTTCAACGAGGCTGACCTTGGAACGTGAGGCTGACGGCATCACTTTCATCAACAGCCATGGTAATCTCGACGGTTGAGTCTCGCTACAGCCGTGCACTCATCTTTTCAATTCTGGACGCATTGCTGCGTGTCTCTGCTTGATGAATCAGGAGAGGAAGAGATGTTGTCCCTCGAAGGCCACCATTTCAGCCGACTGGCGCTTACTGCCTAATGTACGGCCGTCGGCTGCTCACGTTAGGCGTTGTAGTCAAGCCTAAGCCTAAGCCGTAGGGGCCCCTTAGCCCTTAGGCCTAGGTGTCCCCAAGACCTGCTGCGGCAGGCTTGGACGGAGTAGTTCCTAGTTCCGAGTTCCTAGATCCCTCCCCGAACCAGCGGCTGCTTGGACCCCTCACATGGCTTGTCGTTCGTCACTCCACTCCGCTTCTGCCTCCGCTTCTGGCTAGAATTGTTGATTGTGGCGCCCGGTGGCTCCAGGTTCATTCTGCGTGAAGTCAAAGTGCGCCCGGTGCAGAACAACAACACCCGCCAATGCTCGGTATCTTGGTCGCAGGTCATCGAGACGGAATTTCACCAGCATCTACATCCTGTGAAGCCTATCATATCCAGTCCGCGGCTCTTGAAGATGCAGCATGGCCAGCTCACCCTCCTATGGCGACCGGCCCCCGCTTCAAAGCTACCGCAGGTCCTTCACTGCTCCTCCGCGCGTACTATCTCTCCACGAACGTGCCGGTCTTAACGAGGCTGATGCTGATTTCAATATCCTGTACTCCCACCCGTCTGCACGGATCATCGCCTTCTCCCCTCCGACAGACTCAATCCCACGAAACAGCAAAGAACCCTTGCCCGAAACCGACTACCCCGTTGATACCGTCGAGACCTTACCATGGCGGTCTCGGACGGAGATGCTGGCTGCCACCGGGCCAATAGTGATTGAAAAAGTGCGCGGGTCTGGCCATTTCTTGAAGTCCGCCGATCAGAAGGTCATTCACACCATTATGCGGAATTCGCAGTGTTGGTGCGTCGACGGAGAATCAAAGTTTGTTCTACGAATTGGAAAGTTCCGATACTACAGGATCGAACTGCCCTCGGAGACTGAGGCAGATAAAGAGAAGGTTGAAGAACTCAAGGCAGTTTTGACCAAGGTTCTCCGTTTTGAGAGAACGCCGTGCCCTTTCAAAAGAGCATTCCACGTTGATCTACCGGACGATGCTATTACGCCTCGGCGGAAAGGCGCATGGAAAAGGAAGCAAGCGCCGTTGTCCACCACGCCCAACACTGACCCGTTACCCTTGCAGAGAACAAAAACCACCCGCACCTGGAGCTTGCAAGGGCAAGCTACGCCGACTCCGCTTCAGGCGTACGGTCGGCGCGGTTCAGATTACGGGTTCAGCACAAGTCGTGGTCCATCTCCACGACCACAATCCGATGCGGGTGGATACCGTTCCGCCACCCCATCCAGCCTGGCATCTAGCGAGGAAGCCAGCGACACCAGACATGACGAGGGCTCCAGCGAGGATGGTTCCCACCAGGATGAGACAAGCTATAAACAAAGAGGCAGCAGCGTGCCACCCAACCTATCACAACCCCTGGAGTCGCCAGTCATTCACACCGAACCTGGCCCCTCTGGACAGCAAAGTGAAACGGAAACTGAGCGAGCAGAACTCCAAGGCATCGCGAACGATCCTTCGCTCCACGCAGTTGCGATTCCATCTATAGAAGCTCATCGCGAAGACGCAGGACCCCCAGCAGGAGATCTGTGCGCAGAGGCACTGGAAGAGAGTGTATCCGAGAAAGCGGATACCAAGGAAGATGAGCGGGGAGACGAAGAGGAGAGTGCCCCCCAACAGGTATCGAGGCTCTCAACTATTGAGGTCCTTGAACCCGATCTATCTCTTATAGACGAAGCGAACGATGCTTCGGGAGACGCCACAGCAGAGCCAGCGCAGGAACAGAGCTTCACGAAGCGTGCAGATTCTGACAGCGCCCCCACCACTTCCGAAGCGATCGAGCACTTCGACTCTCGTCCGGCTGATCACCCGCAAGGTCAAGATCTTCTCATGTCTCAGTCCGAAGAGTTAGGAGGCTTAGAGATCCTGCCAGGTAGTCCAACACCAGATGACCGGGTCCTGAGCAGGGTTTCAAGTGTCGACTCATTTCACACAACTAATTCTCTGACACAGGAACTGTTAGCTGAACACGCCGAAGGTGAGGACTTTGAAGAAACTCCCCACACGGAGCAATTAGATCCGTTTTCCACAAACATTCGTCAGCACCGAAGGGAGCTCTCTGAATTGACTGTGACCGCATCCACCGTCGATGAGCATTCGGAGCAAAATGTTGATCTTAGATCATCCACGAGCGACTCGCGTGAGGAAGCTTCAACACCAGCGCTCGGACGGTCCTCCGCATCAGAGTCATCCTGGCCAGATGTACAGACACCTTCCCCAGCCAATGACGGGCTGAGGCGACGTGTAAAGAGAAGTCGGTCCCTTTCACCTCTGCCACCTTCACCAACACTGTTCTCGCCGTCGTCACCAAGTCGAGGAGGTCATTTCACCGCGGCCATCCTTCAGAAGGCCTGCGATGTGGCTCTAGTGAAGCCAATGGAAGCTGTCGTCCTTCTTGTTCATATCTTGGCTCGTATAGCTAGCGGGGCGACTGTCCATGATCTCCTCAGTGGAGATTTATTTCGAAGACCTGAGCAACACCGTCGAAGATCGAGTTTTCCAGACCAAGTCAGCTCACTACAACCTGATTCGGAAGATGAGGACGATTTCGGTGTCCCTCTTCGCGGAAGACTACCAAACGTTGAAGTCAAATCAACGACAGCGGCAGTCAAAGATGACGATGTGGATTCAATATTTGACTTGGATTGAGTTTGCTAAGTGCCTGGGCCATCATGCGAAGGATGGAGAGCGGTCTCGAAGGCTTCGTTGCTTGATTTTAGCTATGGAACCACTGTATTTAAGCACGGCGTTTTGAGGATCGAATGATTGCGAATGAAAAGAGGGAAGGTCTGCAATCTTTGGCTGAAACTAGTGATTAGGGAGGCTAACAGAACGCAAAATGGCCGATTCAATCTGTTGTATCATCTAAGCTCATTTCATTCATCTGAATCTCGCATCATGAGAAATTCCAGCCTCGTTCCTCGTCCTAGCAGCCGGTCATCTTCCCGAAGTAGCTCATCCATACCTAGAGTTCAGCCTGGAGCATTGACTCCAGTGCCGGCCACAGAACCGTCACTGTGACGCTTGAGCGATATCGGCGAAAATGACTGTGATAGACAGAGCATACAGCTGGCCTCGCAGCTTCCCAGGCACGAATGACTCCGGGATGCTTTTTAGTCCTCGGTGAGACTGAAGCTGGGACAGGTGCAGAAACACTGTGCTTGTTTGCCCATCCAACCCCAACTGGGTATCATCTGATCTGTCACTTCTGAGAGATTGCTTCGCCCCGGCTTCATGACCCAGTCGCGCCCGTAGCGGCTTTCCCCTTCTTCTTCGCCTTTGCCTTCTCTTTGGCCTTCTTCTTATCCCGCTTTCTCAAGCCCTCCATGCCCTTCTTGCACACTTCCGCATAACGCGCATAGAATGTGTCGAGGTCTGCAACCTCGACGACAGTCGCGAGTTTGATCTTAGGCTTGCTATTGGCGGCAGATTTCGGTTTGGCTGTCCGATGAGGTTTGGACAACCCATTTGTGGCGCGGACAAGGATTTGCGGTGGTGAGACCGACTCGGTAGTAGATTCCAGAGGCTTTTGGGTCAGGTATATGGAGCCACGGCTTGCAGAGTGTGTTGACGAGAGTAGAATGGTGAGCCGATTCAGGAACTGCTCATACGATTTAGTTTGCTGTTCCAACTTCCCCAGCCCGACTGCACCTATGATTCTCTCACCTCGTCATTGCTTATGCGCTCCTGTGGCATGGCTGAAGATTTCTCGTGGTCGCGCGTGGTATGGCGTTGTCGCACATGAATTGGATGTCATATTCAAGTTGGTCTGTTTCAGTGGGGGAAGCAACGCTAAGATTTCGGGGTCAGTTATCGCCGTCTAAGTCCGCATAAGTCAAAAATAATTTCTAGATAGTAGACGCAGTTCACAGTGACAGGCTGCTCACCCACGCGCCGGCAGCACATAAGGTCAGAAGTCTGTCCCAGGACTTGGGAGACAGATGTCGCGACATAACACACGACCCAGCAATGGTCTGAAATTGCCATTTGCTTTACAGCAAGAGTTGGGGCTTGAAGGCAGCCGACCGGGCGGGCGCCGACAACATGGGCCAGTGACAGGCAGAAAAGAGCAGCGCAAGGCCGAGAGGCAGGAGCGGAGGCAGAACATAAGAGGCTCAAAGCCTCAAGGACAGGTTGGTACCGGCGATCATGGATATGCGGAGGACAACGAAGAAAAGGACGCCCTGACAGAGACGGTCGTTCAACGAACTTCTGTGAACAAGACTGCGTCAAAGGCAAGCGACAGCAGAAAGGACAAGCCGCAACCGAAATCGATTCTCAAGAAACCTAGGAACCCGTCCCCATCACTATCAGAACCATCATCTTCGTACAGGTCACGGTCTCCGTCCCCTAGCCTCGTCCTCAATGCCTCGTCCCAAGCATTCAAAGAGCGGCTCGCGCAAGACGACGCAGAGATCAGTGCGCTAGAAAGAAAGCTCGGACTGAAGAAAAACAAATTGCCGAAATCATTTGCTGAGGATGGATTGGATGATCTACTCGCAGGATTGGACGGAGGTGATCAAGGAGTGAAGCGAAAGGGCGAGGATGAGGGCTGGCTGGAGAGGAAGAGGCGAAAAGCAACCGCGCCACCCCATGAGAGCGATGACGAAGATGAAGAAGGTGGATTTGACCTTGGTGATGAGGATTCTGAGGAAGACCTCGACGATATAGACGAGCTAGACCCGGACGAAGACGAGAATGAGGCTTTGGACGAGGATTTTGACTCGCGAGAGGAAGACGACTTCGATGATTTCGACTTGGAGGAGGAAGAAGCGCCCCGTCCTCCTGTAAAGAGGGTACGAGAGAATCCCTACGTTGCACCAGTTTCGCCTAGTGCCACGACGGCCAAATATATCCCACCCTCTTTGAGAAAGGTGCAAAATTCCGAAGGCCCATCCTTGGAACGATTACAACGACAAGTCCAAGGCCACCTCAACAAGCTTTCGGAGGCCAACCTGGTGTCTATCCTGGGCGAGATCGAAAAGATCTATCAATCAAATCCCAGACAAGACGTGACGTTTGTCCTGATCGACCTCCTGCTGACACTTTTTTGCAACAAAGCGGCACTGCAAAACACGTTCGTCATCCTGCATGCAGCATTTGCTGCTGCGGTATACAAGGTCATCGGCGTCGACTTCGGGGCAGAGCTCCTTTCACAGTTGGTCGACCGTTTTGATCAATACCATGGCGATTCTGCTGCGACAGGAAAGGAGTCGCTTAATTTGACCAGTCTGTTGTCCAACATGTTCACGTTTCACGTGGTCAGCAGTACCATCATATTCGACCATATCCGTCTGTTGCTGGAGAGACTGAGCGAATCCAACACCGAACTTTTGCTTCGGCTGGTCCGAGATTGTGGGCCCCAGCTTAGACAGGACGACCCGTCCTCGCTCAAAGCCATTGTGCAACTGATGCAGAAAGAGACTGCGCGGATGACCGCAGCTGGAGATCAGATGAGCGTTCGGACCAAGTTCATGATCGAAACCATAACGGACTTGAAAAACAATAAGATGAAGGCGGCGACGAACAATGCTGGACTTTCTAGCGAACACATCACACAGATGAGAAAGGTGCTTGGGTCATTGAACAACCGCGCCATCAGGGGCTCTGAGCCGCTTCGGATCAGCCGAGACGATATCAAGAATAGCGACAAGAAAGGCAAGTGGTGGCTCGTCGGCGCCAGCTGGAAGGGCAATGGCAGCGATCCGTCGAATACAACTCAACCTACTACGATGGATGAGAGCTCTATCTATTCTAACATCCGCAGCGCTGGGTATCAACCTCTCAACGACGGCGACGACGATGCTATAGACCTCCTGGCTCTCGCCCGGCAGCATGGCATGAACACGGACGTACGGCGATCCATCTTTGTCGCGCTTCTTTCGGCCGTTGACTGTCAAGACGCGCATATGAGACTGCTCAAGCTGCGGCTCAAGCGGGCTCAAGAGCAAGAAATCCCTCGCGTGCTGCTACGCTGCGCGGCGGGCGAGAATCCCTACAATCACTACTACACGCTGGTGGCGAAGCGGTTGTGCCAGGACAAGCGGATGCGCAAGGCATTCCAGTTCGCGCTGTGGGGTTTCTTCCGACGAATGGGTGAGACCCCCGATCTGGATGACGACGACGATGTCGCCGAGGAAGAGAGTGTCGATATGAGCGAGATCGCCAACCTTGCCAAATTGTATGCACATCTCATCCTCGATGGAGCCGAGACGCTTGGTGTGCTCAAGGTTCTCGATCTGGCATACATCAAGGAGCGCACCAGCATGTTTGTCGAGCTGTTGTTGATCATGATCATGACTGAGGCGTCAGGGAAGAAGTCGGTGCTGGAGAAGGTGTTTCGGCGAACAGCAGAGACTCCGCAGGTCATCAAACGGCTGCACTTCTTCGTCAAGAGGACCGTTCGCAAGTCGGATTTGGTGTCGAGCGCCGATGCTGATGCTGTCAAGCAAGGTTGTAGAGTGGCATTGAATACCCTCAGTCGGCTAGATATCGGGACCGACGCGGGTGATGAGTGAGACCCAGGCTGGCGAGCATTACACTGAATCTTACAAGAGTCGGCAAGAATCCAATGCATTCTTGCCGAGTGTGCAACGAGTCCGATCAATGGCTTATTTAATTGGTTCTCGTAAATCTTTCTATGCCCACTCACAGATGCAAAAGTCTAGATAACAGCTATACAGGACCAGTCAGATCTGGTGCCGACTGGACTCGCAATCAGCAACCATCTAGCCAAACACAGGAGTCCAGACCACCATTCCCAATCAGAACCACCAAGATTAGTTCGGCGGTTTAGCTGTCCTGCGGCGTGCAATTCTACCCCGGCTGACAGGTGCATTTAACACATCGTTTTCGCCGGTTCACTTTGGCTGAGGACAGAGGATAGATGTTGAGGTCGACGATAGAGATGTGACTGGAACATGTCGGTGGGCGATAGAGGGTATGGTGGCGTATTATGAGCATAGGATTGTAGGACTACGACCATGGCACAACGCGGGCAGAGTGACAGCAAGGACTTTTTATATGGCGATACCGCCATCCAGGACGATGTTCTGACCGGTGATGGACTTGCTCAGCACCAGCGTCTTGATCTGCTCGGCCACGTCCTCGGGCGTAGTGAGCGACTTCAACGCCGCTCGTTCCGTCGTTGCCTTTATCTTGGCCTCCGGGAATTGATTGCCCCTGTACGCGAACATGTATCAGTAAGACTCCAAATCACCATCACCGCCGCCATGCGAACGCGCAACTCACCATTCCGTCAACATCAACCCAGGGCTCACGCTGTTGCATCTGACCTTGGCGCCACAGATCAAGGCAAGCCCCTTTGTCAGATGGATCTCGGCGGCCTTGGTGACCGAGTAGGGCAACGAGCTTCCACTTGGTCGGACCCCGGCCAGACTGGCGACGGTGACGAATGCACCACCCACGCCCTCTTCGTCTGCAGTCTTTTCGAGGTGAGGCTTCGCAGCGTACAGAAGCCACAGGTGGCTCTTGACATTGACGTTGAAGCATCGATCCCAATCGTCCTCGTTGATCTGCTGCTCGAGATCGAAGAAGTCGGTCAGCCGGGTCCAGCCGCCGTTGCTAACGACGACGTCCAGGCGGCCCATTGTGGCCACGGTCTCGGCGACGAGGCGCTGGATCTCGCTTCGCCGCGAAATGTCCGCCTTGATGGCATGGAACCGTGGTTCGGTCGACGTGCTGTATGTTGCCGGGATAGACGAGGCTTCTTTGATCACCTGCTCGGCTTTCTCTTGTCGCGAGTTGTAGTTCACCACGACGCGGAAATGGGACGCCAGCGCTTTGACTGCAGCGGCGCCGAGGCCGGCGCTTGAGGCAGTGACGAGGGCGACTTTGGCTACCATGATGGTGATGGCTGGGGGAGGGAGGGACAGAGATAGCCAGAGAACAGAGACGGAGAAGGGGGGCCAACAGCACAGGTATGATGAATGGAAGGTGATTCCGACCGAGGAACTGTGTCAATAACGACAGCTGTGAGTTGAGTGACCGCGGTGTTCTTCTCCGCAGACAGACGCTCGACATTCAGCCGGCGCAACGTTTGCCGTTTGCCGTTTGCCGTTTGCCGGCATGGCCTCCGTGTATCGGAGAAGGGCACCGCGGGGAGGGCAGGGAAGGGGGCTGCGCTGATAAGATAAGATCTGGGAAATCGCGGGGCCCCAGTGCAGTGCAGCGCATCAGTCTAAGGCTACCACAACATCGCTCCTGTTGCTGCACATGGCTTGATGACAGTATTCTGGAACAGCCGCCGGTATTTCACAAGCACGTCCACACCCTACCCTGGACTATAGCCTCGCCCTGACACCGGCGACCACCCCTGAGTATGGGCATTGGCATGGTGCCTGACAGATCCTTTCAGGAGGTCATGACGTCGTCGAGCAGGTGCAGGTGTCATGGACCAAACAGACCAAGCCCGCTTGGACACTTGCAAGATGACTTTGAGGCGGTATAACCTGCGGTCTGAGGAGGTGGCATGGCCAGTCCTTAACTCTACATTTTATCGGAACGGGGAGCAATCAAGCGACACGGTTCCGCTACCACCATGTCGCAGACACCGCTCAACCCCCAAGTTGATCCCAGGCAGATGAAGAAGAAGAAGAAAATTCTGATCGTTGGGACTGGGGCTGCTGGGTATTTCCCTCCATGTCTTCTGCACAGAAGACCCTTCTTAGGTGGCGCTGACTGTTGTCGCCGTGTAGGATGTCTACGGCCCATCATCTCTCCCAGAAACCCGAAGAGTTCGACATCACTGTGATCGACGCGGTCGACTACTGCGGCGGACAAGCTTTCTCTGTGCCCTTGGACAAATCTCGCCATGGAGCGAGCTGGTTCAATCAAGGTGTCCAGGGCGGGAGTTACATATTCCACCATACGCTCACCATGTTCGCTCAGCAAGGCTACCACGCCGACCCCGTGAACCTTCAAGTCTCCTTCGGCAAAGACGAGACTTTTTGGACCAACGTATTCCCCACCGACCTACTCGCACGGCACCAAAAGGAAGTGAAGCGTTTTGTTTTTGCACTGAAACTCATGCGCTGGTTTGAGATCTTCTTCGCCCTTATGCCGCTGCGCCTATTCCTCAAGTTGTGGATGTTCTCAGAGGAGTTTACAAACACGGTGGCGCTGCCCATGACGGCCTTGTTCCTTGGCACTGGCAACGAAACGCCTAATGTCCCAGCCATCATGCTCGAACGTCTCTGCACTAGTCCTACATACGGCATGTGGTATCCGCCGGACCGGGTCAGCATCGCGAGCAACCTGCCTCCCATGGTCGTCTTCCCCAACTACAGTGAGTTCTATGAGACATGGAGGAAGGACCTCCTGTCTCGCGGCGTGAGGGTTCGACTATCCACCGAGCTTGTGGCTGTCTTATACCGTGACTCGTTGGGCGTCATCGTCTCCTTGAAGAACCGTACCCCGGCTCCTGACGGACACAACCCGGTCAACGGTGACCCTGATGCTCCCACCTACGAAGAGCACTACGACGAGCTGGTCCTGTGCTGTCTCGCAGACACGGCGAAACGGCTTCTGTCGCGCACTTCAAGCTGGGGCGAGAGAAAGGTTCTCGGCAGCGCCAAATTCTCCGACGACATGACCATCACGCACACCGATGCCGATTACATGAAGAAGCACTACCAAAATTTCTACGACGAAAAGCTGGCCGTCAAGTCCCTTTCGGGGGCTGACCAGACGCCGCGCTGCGAGTTTGCCACGTCCCACTTCCGCCCGATGTACTACATCAAGATGTACGAGGAGGACCAGTCAAAGCTGGAGATGTGTTTCGACACGACCAACTACCAAGCACAATTCCCGGAACAAGTGCCGTTCAAAGACCACGTCTTCCAGACCATCTATCTCAACAAGGCGCGTGACAGGCATCTCTGGACCGACCATGAAATCGACGACGCCAAAGTCCTCCGCAAGGATTGGTGGCATCAGCTCTGCCACAGCTACACGCATTACTTGTTCGTCGTGCCGTGGCTCATGTTCCTGCAGGGCAAGCGCCGCGTGCGCTACGCCGGCAGCTGGACCCTGGTCAACGCCCACGAGGTCGCCATCATCTCCGGCATCGCTGCCGCCGTCGACCTCGGCGCCGAGTACCCCGAGGACTTGGAGAACGACAAGTTCGCCTTTCTGTCGTTTCGCCTGTACTATTTGTTGGTGTATGGCAAATGGTATCGACGACGCTACACGGCCAAGGGGACCGGCACGAGCGGAGAAAGCAAGTCGGCTAAAGCCGGCAAGTCTTGGGCGGGCGGGCTCTATGGCAGTGTGTACCAGGGGCCCGGGGTGGCCAAACAGGAGCGCACGACGTGGAGGGAGGAAATGAAGATTGGCAGGAGCACGAAGAACTTGGCCGATGGCAATACCAACACTGAGGGAGCAAGTCGGCTTTGATTGCATGATCCTACTGAGCGAAGCGAAGTAGACCCAGTCCGCAGTCCCCGTTTTCTGTCAACTCGATCTGCAGCAACCGATATTGCAAATCTCGTCATATGAATTCTACGGGCAAGGGCAAACTAGGTAGGTACTTAGCAGTACAAGGCTGAGATCACGTCGCGTCGCGTCACGTCACGTCACATTTCGAAGCTGCAAGCCGCGCAGATGAGACCCAAACCCAAGGTAGCTTGGAAATATCAATGTGGTTTGATGCGCAGTAGCATTCTCGAGACTGAACCTGGACGTTCCGGTCGGATTGCACCTCACATCGTCAAGTCATGCAGTGGTTATGGTCATGTATTCATCACTGGTATTAACAGTGTATCGCGGGTTGATCTATTTCCCAAGCGCCCGGTCATTGATGGCTCCGGTTCATTTCGCGTCCTCTCCACTCCAGGTTTCCGTGAGACGGCATCGGATTGCAAGGAAGAACGCAGACTGGAAAGACCTGCCCGCGTATGCAGATTTTTCATGCGCCAACCATGCATGCTTCAGACTTCCCATGCAAGATGACCTCAGCCTTTTGCAAGTAACTGCATGCATGCTACGCCTCCATCGCCCAGCCTTTAACACTTTTCACCTAAAGAACTTCTTGTAGGCATCCTTTTCCTTCTTGAGCGTCTCCTGCAGGGTCTTCTTCGTTCTGGTCAGCTCGGCCTTGATGGCTGCATCCTCTGGGGCCAATTTCGCCGCCTGTTCAAAATCCTTGAGTCCTTCTTCCAGGTCCTTGAGCGCAACTCGGGCCTGCCCGCGTCGGAAATACGCTTTCGCTTTGTCGGTGTCCTTGGCATCCTTGGGGATGGCATCGATGGCAAACGAGGCCCACTTCTGCGCATCCTCGGATCGTTTGGACTTGTTGGCCAGGAGCGCCGAGTTGCTGTGGAGGGTGAATCGTAAGTGGTCGATGTTGCTCTGCAGATCTTTGGGGTCGTTTTCGTTGGCGGCAGGGTACTCGTTGAGGTATCTCAGTGCTTTCTGGTATTTTTCAATACCTGTCTCGAGATCGCCTGCTTTGAATGCTTTGTTGCCAAATTCTTTGAGATCGAGCGCGATCTTGTAGTACTCCTCGCCCTTCAAGTCTTGACCCTGGTCTTCTGGGAAATCTTCGTACGGGTCTCCCGTAGCGTCGGGCGCTTTCTGGATAGCACTTTGGTAGCTATCACCTTCTAGCTGTCCACAGTCGACGATGACCACATCACCCGAAGCTGGTTTGTCTGACTGGGTGGGAAGGTTCTCGATCTTTCGGACAATGTTCTTGCCGTTGAGAACCTCGCCGAAAACGACGTGCTTGTCGTCTAGATGAGGAGTAGGGACGGTGGTGATGAAGAACTGCGAGCCGTTGGTACCTATCTGGGTCAGCCTTAACTCGAAGCCTTGTGTGCAATCGGATTCTTACCAGGGCCAGAGTTGGCCATAGACAAGAGGAACGGTCGGTCATGCTTCAACTCGAAGTTCTCGTCGTCAAACTTCTCTCCGTAGATGGACTCTCCTCCGGTGCCATTGAAGTTTGTGAAGTCGCCACCTTGGATCATGAACGACTTGATCACGCGGTGAAAGATTGAACCTGCCCACATCTTAGCCTCTCTTCATGTCTGTCTTGGATCTGCAGTGTATACCTTTGTAGCTCAAAGGCTTGCCTGCCTTGCCAACTCCTTTCTCGCCGGTACACAGCGCACGGAAGTTCTCTGCTGTCTTGGGTACGACTGAGGGCTATGTTAGACAATACGAGACGTCGGGCGTGGGCGGAGGTAGGAGGTTACCATCATTAAACTGTGGAAGGGGTTAGCTCTGCAACTTGACGGGCTCTGTTTTGGTTCTGCTTACAAGTTCAAACACGATACGGCCTTCTCTCTTCCCGCCGATCTCAATGTCAAAGTAGACTCGAGGTCTTCCTGGAATGGTGGTCAGGTAACTATCACTGCGCATCGGAGATGGTAAACCGGCTTACCACTTTGAGAGGAGGCCATGTTGGTAAGGATGTGCTGTCTGCGTGCGAAGATGGAGGATTGGTGAACGTCCGGGCCTGGGTGAAGTCCTTTGTGTAGAGCAGTTGCCGGAAATGTGTTAGGAGAATCAAGGCCGTTATATTTATTTACGTAGTCGCAAACTTCACTTAAACTTCTTGAATGTTCCTTGGAGCCACTTTGGATGCGCCGCGGTGGTGGTCACTGGCCCAGCCAATGAGGAGAAGCAGGTGCCTGAAAGAGACTCTTAGTGGAGAGCTGAATTAAGGGCAGACGATCATGGCAGGTCTGCCGAGGATATGCCAAGAGTACTGCCTGTGCCGTATACTTGACAGTAGTAGTCCTCTCGGGCAGAGTGCAGAGCACTTTACCGTGCCAACCTCGTAACTCCCTCCCTTGCACCTGAGGTGCCTTGCTTGTATTTCGATACATTGCACGAGTGCTCTTCTCTTGCTTTCGATCTTGCCCTGCCTGCCTGCACCTGCCCCTGTTTGTGGCAGATCCAACGAAGATGGCAGGTACATCTCAGGTAAGATGTGACAACAAACCTTTTATCTTCCACCTCGCTCTTCTTTTGTTGCTTTTCCTTTCTTCGTTATATTTGCATCCCATCAACAGATCTTCATTTCACTTCGAGCTTATAGCATTCATAATCTAAAACAGCCTTACACCCTACCAATCGTCATCATGTCTTTCCACGATTCTTCTGCCCAAACTCCAGCTTCGCCTTCTGATCAACTCGGAAGCGTGTCTTGGGAAGACCGCCGCTTCACGGTCCATGTCAATGACACCTCGTTCGACCTAGGCGGACTCCCACTGTTCCCTTGGAATGAACACTCTGAACTTGTCATTCGAATCGACCCCGCTTTCGATTCTCTGCATTCGAGCCGTCCTCACATGGTCGACTTGAAGAATAGTGACTTGTACATGAGAACTTTGGTCCAGAGAGCACAACGTGCAGCAGACAACTTGAAGGAGCTCTTGCAGGGCCGTATCAACAACGGTGAATGTCAAGTCCAACTGGTCTTTGGAGAATGTTAGATACGTGCTGCTCAGATCTCCGGTTCCTACAAGGCCATCCCCATTTGGCGAGTTGATCAAGTCGCTGAGATCCTGGCTGCCTGGCACTGGATCGAACCCGAGTCTGTTCATCAGTCTGCAATCCATACACGGATGCTCTGGCCCCGTGTCAAACTGCCCAAGGTCACTGTGAGGCTGGGACGAGCATGGCTTCAGAAATTGTCCGATCAGCAGAACACCACTCCAGACGCATTGAATGTGAAGGCGGCCATCTGGGAGGACTGCCACCGAATCCTTCAGACAGCTTATTCGACAGCGCAGGTTCCACCATTGTTTCCTTTGGCCGCGGAGACTTGGGATTGTTTCCGTCTCAATCTGCTGGGAACCACCTACGTGGTCCAGGATTTGGGAGATCTCAGCGCGAAGAATACATCTGTCGTACCTGCCGATGACCCCGACATCCGTTTCAGTGATGAGATTATCTGGAGTGGTGTTGTTGAGAGCAGGGACCCGGATGAGGACGACTACCTCTACATGAGCCGCGCTCCGACTGGTGGGGCGGGCCACAGCCACAATCGAAGTCTGGAAAGTGCAGGTGGACCGGCAAATTGATGACCTGGGTGAACAAGAGTCAGTATGGTAAAGCCTGTCCCGGCTAGGTCTGGAAAAATTGGTGGGGAAAAGTCTTGTCTGAATTGGCCACGGGTTTTGGGAGGGTCGAGGCCTGAATCCTGAAGGTGCCAATATTGCAATTTACAACACATCTGCATTTGCCAACACACAGGTACCAGTGGTGTTGCGTCCCCCATCTCAGAAGTAGTATTATGGCATGGTTGCTGTTGACCATGGCCCTCCGTTGACTATAAATTCAGACTCACACAGCGCGTGACATCTCAACTTTCCACCAGCCTCATTCACCCTCACCACAGACGGCCCAGTGAAGACCAGTCTAGATTCCGCAGCACCCTACAGAGACATTGCTTGATGTCACATTCATCGACAGGTCTAGACACCGCCGAAGTAGCGTTTCGCTTACAATCCACTCTCGGCCTATATGTGTGAAGTGATCGACTGGTTGACGCTTGTCCTTTCCGCCACTTCACCATTCTGACACATTGATGAGGAAGTGGGCTGACACCTAGTAGGTGCCTAGGGGTCCTGCATCTAGGGGGGACTTAGACCTGGCCCCATCAAAATATCGGTGTTGTACTGTCACTGTGTACTGTACGGATGGGATAGATATGTGCCGGCATTCTCGAAGCATGTACTCGTACTCGTATTGCAGTCTCTTTCAGTCTCGATGGCCGTCGTGTTGGTCCTGCGCTGATCACCATCACCATGACGGCCCTTAAGCCTAAGGCTGTTTCAGTCCGATCCGGTCTGGACCTGGGCTGGAGCAGCGAAAGGGCGGAGACTCAGACTCAGACTCAGACTCAGGCGAGGCTGGAATAGAATATGTGATGACATGGTATGCTGCATGCTGCATGCTGCATGCTGCATGCTGCAAGCTGCAAGCTGCAAGCTGCAAGCTGACACGTGTCGATCATGCAACGTCGACGTTGACGTTGACGTTGCCTGTCGGTCCTAGGTAGGTACTCGTAGGTGCTAGGGGTCTCTCGGTCCTAGGTAGGTATTCGTAGGTGCAAGTGTGTCTCTCCTTCGCATTGTAGGGGTCTCTCTCCTTCGCAGTGCAATGCAATGCAATGCGCCAGCCTGCACGGCGCTCATGACCCTTTGGCCCTTTGGAAGATCTGCCGTCGGTGTGCTAAGGGTCCAGCTGGGGCTGGGGTTCGGGACAGTTCAGAACATGACTGCAGTGCATGAAGTAGGGTCTAGTGCAGAATGAGAGCAAGCATGAGGCGAGGGTCTAGTCCAGAACCCGACTGCAGATTGTAAGGTAGGGTCTAGGGCAGAATGAGAGCAAGCATGGCACGAGTGTCATTTCCAGAATGAGAGCAAGAACCCGACTGCAGTTTGTAAGGCAGGGTCTTGTCCAGCATAAGAGCAAGCATGAGGCGAGGGTCTATTCTAGAATGAGGGCAAGCATGGCACGAGGGTCATATGTACGGATAGTAGATACTCTGTACTCGTAGCACGGTGAGGTTCCAAACCACAAGGAGGACATACCAACGTCGTCCAGACTTCGAATGCTAGTCGTTTGCTGGTTCTAATAGGCAACATGCACTCGGTCATCGGTGTTCTTGTCACCCTGGTAGTAGGGACTGCGAGTCGTCGTCGGGTTCTTGTCACCCTGGTCGCATGGGGACTGCGAGTCGTCGGTGTTCTTGTCACCCTGGTCGCATGGGAGTGCGGAAGGGGAGGAGGGGGTTAGTTGAGAGTATGGAGTACGGAGTACGGATACTGCGTACGGAGTACAGTATGGAGCACTGCGTACAGTATGGAGCACTGCGTACAGTATGGAGTCCTGCGTACAGTATGGTAGATATGACGATATGACGATCAAGGGATTGCACTGCACCGTGTGTCACAGGGTTGGAATTGAGGTCAGGCCCTGGTCAGTGATTGTTTCCCGGATTGAAGAGATCGAAGAGGCCGGCGACAGGAAGCTGTGCTGTGCTGAGGCGTCTCTTTCTCTCACCTTCCTCCCTTGTATTTCCTTCTGCCGGTAGTACGAGTACGCTTTGGACGTCGATCCTTGGTGGTCTTTTCGTCTGTACTCGGACATACTTTTGCATCTTTGCGTCATCTGATCAGTTCAAGATTGGCAATATCCAAGCCCCAAGCCCCAAGCCCCAAGCCCCAGGCGCATGGTCATGGCCATGGTCAGCTCATGCTCCAGTCTCATCTCGTCTTGGCGGTGAGTTCCACTGATTTTTGAGTGTCATGACGCCTTCCTATCCTGATCCAGAGTCGGATGAGGTAACAGGATCAGCATGGTTCTGCCTTGTGGCCCAAGACCCTTGGCCTGTCCGTGCAGGTGTACGAGTAGGGTGTAGTCACATGGCGCAGATACTGATGCAGATGCTAATGCAGATGCAAATGCAGATGCAAATGCAAATGCAATACTGCCTCCGCATGTAACATGCTTTCCTGCCACACATAAACACACCCCTACCACATGACCTGTCCCTGTGTGTCGGTCGGGATCCTTCGTAGCACTGACACGGAGTTTAGAGTACTCGTACAGTAAATGGGTCCGGCATACGTGCAGATAGGACAAACCAGGGGGAAGCGAGGGACAGGATTCACTGTTGTGGTAGGATGCCCTGTCTCACAACACCTCGGCTGTCGTAGCACATAGCAGTGATGTCCTGGTTGCGTTCGCAAAGACATGTGTCATAGTGTCCCCACACCAAGGCCTGAGCCTTTCGTGCAGAGGAAAGAGAAGAAAAGCGACGACCAGAAAAGAGCATTTTCCCACTTTGCTTGATCGTCCATGATGAACATGGTCTGGTAGGTGGTGAGTCAGTCAGATGATCAAGACCGTGGGTGGATTTGTGCATGATATCAGCCTATTTCTTGCTTTCGCTCAGGCTCGCCTGTCATAATAAGCCCTGCTGACATGTTCGTTCCTGGTGCAGTGGCTCTAGTTCCTCGCGCTGAGATCACGAGTACGACGGTGATTCCCATCCTCAATGCGATTCAAGTCTGAGAAGGAGTGTTCGGGGACTGCGAACATGACTGAAACGTGTCCCCTGAAAATTCCCAGCCTCGTCGGCGGCCGATCTCAGCCTTAGACAACAAGTGGAGCCAACCTAAGTTCGAGCCTGCCCCAACATCTGACGACCTTCACAGCCTACTAGGCGTCACAGACGAAGGAAATGAGAGAGGGTGGAAGTTCGATGGCAGTTCGAGTGAGGGAGAAAGATACAGCGAGCGTTCATCACCAATGCTGGAGATACCATCGTCGCGTCTCTTCCTAGGGTCCACCGTCAATTTGCTTCGTCACGTTAGCCTGACGAGAGCTTGAAGCTCAATACCGTTGGCGTCCATGCCCGTGTATCGGTATCGGCGCCAACACCACTCCTTTCGATGCGACATTAGGATTAGAGGGCCGCTCTTGTAGATTGAAATCAGGACGCAGAAGTGATCCAGGACCGTGAAGTCACCAGGCTGGTGGCTCAGTACAGAGTACTCAGCCTCGGTACCATGTAGGCTGTGGCTGGTGTTCTGTGTTTCGTGCTTGCGTGAGATGCGTATACTCTGTGCTTACTGCAAAAGACTAGCGAACATTGTGGAGTAGGCCAGCGCCATGTGCCTCGTGCTCACGCTCGTGCTTGTAGGGCGACGCGAAGTACCAAACGGAACGCCAGGGAGGTATTAGTTTTTTGTTGACATCGGTACATCGGTGTCTGTAGATCCCGCTTGACAGGTCTCTTGACATATGTTGACACTTTGAGGTCATGGACATGGCTGAGCTGGAGTGCGTGGCATGGGCCACGATGGCGCTGACTGTTTTCATACCAAAGCGTGCTTGAGTGAAAGGACGCTTGTGCCTCGTCGCATAAACAAGCTATTTCTGGACCGGAATGTCAAAGCCCTGACCTGTTCAGCTCCATTGACGGTTCGACTTAAGCGGCCTGCACATCTCGCTGGTTCTTCCCAGCCTAGATCACGCCCTAAGGAGCCCATGCATGGGCATCGCACCTTGCCTCGCGTAGGTGCTGAACACTTGACGAGCTGAACGAGGGTCTAACTCCGGGATAGGAGGTATTAGACTTTAGCGGCGTGCATTGCGCGTGTCCTGAACAGCCGTGTCTCTTTTCCGTCGAACCTTCTTGGTCGCCGGCCTGTAGTGCCAGAGACCAGCTACAAGGGCCCTGCACCTTGTACTCAGCATGTGCTTGGTCGAGAGATATCAAAATACACTTGTCGTGGGCCGTTCTCTGGCACCAACCTCACCATAATATGCTGCCACGGCGTCGTTCAACCTGGCATTGACCTAGTCGCGCGCATTGATGTTGAAGGCGACGGTGATGCGAAGTCAGCATAGCAGAGCCACCTGATTTCCCGGACACGGAAGGTTTCGTCTCCAACGTAGAATATGTTAAGCGAGGAATGCCAGAATTCAAAGGTCCTTTTGTACCATACGCTAGCAACGCGATACCTGGCGTGGTCTTCAGACGTACGACGATGGTTCTAGACCTTGACACGGACGACATCTGGTCCATCTGGTCCAACCGGTCCAACACCACGAATTTCGTCTATGTTTGTTGTATCACATAGAATTTCAAGGAATACGAGGCGCTATTGGCTTGTATGCCAATGACCACCTTGGTGCTCATAGCAATGACAACAATCTCGAGGTTGCGCCGTGACAGTAGGAAGAAGAGGATATCATTGTCCTAGTATCGAGATCGAGAACACGGTCTTGTGCCGTGCTACACGAGGTAAGCGAACACAAACCCGGGCTATGGCGTCTGGTTACATTGTTGTGGGATAATGAGATCTCGGCATCCGAACAACCCCGTTCACAAGACGGAATTTGAAGCAAAAGCGCGGCTGTCTTCATTTGCGTCCATAGTACTCCATACTATGCTTTCCTCGAGCCGTTAGGGACACAAGCTGCGAAGATGTCGCCTTTTTTTGGCCATGCAGCAGTCAATTTAGAGGTCCTCGGAGATAGGAACTCAGAAGCAAGAACACACAAACCTCCTGAGAAACGTGAAACTTTCCTCCCTGCAGACTCCATCAACTGGAAATGTAAGACGCGGCTATGCCAGAGAACCATGTGCCATGTAGCTGCCTACTTGGGTCAGCCCTGGTGGCTGCCACGGGCTGGTTGGCACACCCGTTCTAGACTTTGGAAGGTTATCAAATGGCGACTGGGAAGATCCACTCCCCAGCATAAAGAGTAAACTCAGCTTTCCGGTTTCCTATTACAGCCCCTGTCTTCTCAACCCTTGTGGCGGTACTGAGTAGGGTTGGAATTCGGTCTGAGCGGACCAATGGGATAGTCACAAGCGTCTTTCAGCCGGGGGTCGGTCGCTTAACCCTTGCTTGCTTGGGTGCATCACTGCATAGTGACAAGCAAGGGGACATGGAGGGACGGAATGAGAAACGCCCGTCCGCACGTGGGAGGGAGGGCGCTTGTAGTTTCGACTTGTTCCTGCCACGTTTCGTCTCTCGAGCGGCAATTACTCAGACCTCTACCGAACCGACTTGTCAGCCCACCAAGTCAGAAGGCGGCTGCCGCATCTGCTTTGGTCGTGGTCTGCTGACAAGGGAAGCCTCGAGAGCCGTCATAGCCCATCGTCATTATTTGCCATAGTAAACACGGACCATGCCTTTGGATTTTTCTCTCCTCATACAAGGAGAAGGGGCTTCAGTCTTGGTGGCGGTGGCCTGTAGGTACAGCTGTTGGGAGCGAGGATAGGTAGAGTTTTTCGTGGGTCGGGAGAGAAATGTTGCTCGAGGTTGGCCGGAACGAAGGAGGAGGTCTATGGCTGCCGAATTGGTGTGGGCCGAAGGATTCTTGCCTTCTGACAGGGATTGTGGACTGCTCGACAATTAATCACCCCAGTCATCCTTGACGAGAGCGCCAGACGAAGGTCGGGAGAAGGTTGAGCATCGAGACAAACTGCGCGGCCTGTGATTGGCATGCGAGAATTACGCCGCCACCAGCGCTCGCTTGCCCTTTTCCTTCTCGTCACGGGGCTCTCAGGCAAGGCGTGTCTCGTAACAGAGATCCCCCGCTTCCAGCCAGATTGTGGTGCCATTCCGAGGACGAAGTCTCTCACAGCTCAGGGCTTGCAGGTGGCGTCGCGTGATCGCAGGGATCATGGGTATGATTCGCCGCCATCCCTCGACCCAATGTCTGGAACCGCGCCCACGGCGCTGCCCTTTTAGTCTGCTTCCGGTCCATGGTATCCCAGCAGCTGCTTCAGCTCTCGGTTGTTCATCCAACCCCTCCCCTCCCCAGTGGATGGTTCCGCCTCCAGAGCGGCGGCTGAGGGTGTGTAGCCCGTGTGTTATCTCTCCCAGCTAACGTTGGACCGAGTGTTGCTGCACCCTCCCCCCTGTCCGCAGGTCGTACAGGTTGGGGTTGTTTGTTGGCTGGATCCTTCGGTATACGAGGGAGACGGGAGGAGAATGCGATTGATGTGTCCTGGCTTCGCTTCAACCAGCTGTAGTCAGGTTCTAGGCTGTCAACAGATGCATCCTTCTGCCAGCCACAAACACTGCCGAAACACAGAGCCCGTAAGCACTTGCACTAGAAATCAAGACCAATACACGCTTACGGGGAGGAATACGCTGGAAAGGATGGACGCATGGTCTAATTGTGATTCTAGCTAGAGAAGGCGAATATACCCTTCACACACATTTTGCCGGGGCTGACCTGCTTTGATGTGTATGACACTCGCGTAAGCTCCCGTCATCTCAATCTTTGTTTTTCTCATGGCTTGTTCATTCCTGCGTCTTCCAGAGACCGGTACGTGCTTGTCCATGCTGATTCGTAACTCTAACCCGGAAATAACACACAGCCGCAGTGGGTATCGTGATACATGAACAAAAACAACCCCCAATCCAACCCGTTTCTTCGTGAACGGTAAAGGGGAAAGATCCACTCAGCACTTGAGGAATCGTAGTCGAATAAAAATTTCTCGCCTGGTTTGCTCTGCCTTTCGGGTGTGTGCTTCGTTGCCCCGGGAGGCCGCTGAAAAACGCCTCACAAACTAATACCCGGAATATCTGTCAAGCGTAACTTCTCATTTCATAACCATCCATGTCGTAATACAGTTAGAGAAAGGAAAACCGAGGGCCTTTTTTAAATGTTTTAACATCCTCCCAGACTTCATTCAAGGTTTGTACAAGAGGCTCAGGAAGAGGCCCTTGTTCGAGGATGTTCAAGTTTTCCTTGAGTTGAGAGAGTTTGGAGGCACCCACAATGACAGCGTCGCCATATTCAGCACCAAGTTGAGAGTGCCAAGTCGTCCAGCGAAGAGCGGCAGCATGACCAGAGATACCGAATTTCCTTGCTTGTTCGCGGACAACCTCGGCGGCCGCAAAGAGAGGATCATGGAAGTAGTCGCCAGCGTATTTGGCGCCCAAAGGAGAGTCAATGTTCCAGCGGCTGTCTTTGTCCCTGGTGGATGCACGTGATACCTTGTTGGAGAAGAAGCCACAGGCCGAGGGGCTGTACGCGTAGAAGGCGATGTTGTGTTCGCGAAGTACGGCAAAGAGACGTTCTTCGCCTCCGCGGCAGATGGGGTTGTATTGGCCTTGGTAGACCGATGGTTTGACATAGCCATTCTCCTCACAGATCCGGACAATCTCCTCAACCTCCTCCACCGAATAGTTGGAAAGACCGAATCGTTCAAACTTTCCTTCGAGATAGGCCTTATTGAGGGCCTCGCACGTTTCCTGGAACGGGGTGCAACTGTCTGGGGCATGTAGGTACATGACGTCGACGGTGTCCATGTTGAGTGCTTCCAGCGATCTGTCGATGCTCATGGCAATATTTTTCGCTCGGTGAGAGCCAGGCATGAAACTGGACACCTTGGTCGACACATTGGCCCACTTGGACAGTCGAAGGGCATCCTCTCCCAAGAGTTTCTCGCAGGTGCCGCCCCGCCCTACTGGATATGCTCGGGCAGTGTCAATGTCGGCATATCCTCTTGCGCGGAAGAGGTTGACAAATTTATTGGCGTCTTCGACCGTGGTGATCTTTGCCAGCGGCGACAGGCGCGAGCCCATTGAGGCTGTGCCCAGTACCACCCGTAATGGAGGCTTGCATTGGACGGTCTGGACAAGAGGGGATGAGATTCTTTCGGCACCGTCAAACGTACTCGCGCGAGACCGGTTGGGGGTCACGGTTAGGTCTGTGGCATCGGTGTCGTCTGATTGTCGAGAGCTGAAGGAGTGGGCGGATCGAGAAGAGGAGGCAGAATTCAATTCTAAGGACTGTCGTTTGTGTTGTGCATGGTGAAGGTCCAGGTTCTGGATGTTCAGTTGTGGAAGGTTTTCCAGTTTCATTCTGAGAGCAGCGGCCATGGAACCCATGCGGCCGTCTTGTAAGGCCGTGGGAGATTGAGGATAGGCGTAGTCCGTCATCGTGACCGAGGGGAAGTCGGACGGTTATGAAGGGTTCCAAAGAGTAAGCGGATCCTCCACGCTCGAGGGACTCGGGTGGGTATAGAAGATTCGCTCGATTTTAACACAGTCAGCAGCGGGTGGTGGGTGGTAAGGAATGTGGTGGTGGCCGCCGATGAAGGTAATCAGGAAGGTGACAAAGGAACTTTTGTCTCTTTAGTTCTCGTGTCAGATAAGACTATAAGGAGTGTCTTGGGTGGTATGGGAAATTTTGTTGTTGTACTATTTGATGAGGAGAGAAGGGGATCTGGCAAGGTGGAGGGCCTCTGATGGAGTATTAGTATCATCTGCGACACGACCTGCAGTCACCACGGTGGTCCCATCAGCAGGCCATCAAATCGGCGGATGTTAAGAGCGTGTGGGCTGGAACCGAACCGCCCTGAAACTTACGAGAAATGGGGAAGGGAAGTGAAGGGGCTTGCCGGCCAGGACAAGGGCCTGAGCCCCCGGCAGCTGTCCGGAGTAGACGGTGCTAGTAGTAGTAGTAGTAGTGGTGTACTCGTCCTGGCTTAGGGTAGGTACCTAAGGTACGCATGGGCACGCACAGGCGCAGGCATAGGCTTAGCAGGCATACGCGTAGGCATGGACGGCCGGGCCGATTTGGTGGGATGGATGCGTATGGGACCCTGCGCGCTTTGGGCGCAGGCAGGATTCCTGGACGCTTGGACCGTCGCCACAATGAGCGCTGCAGACACAGACTTACGCACACACCCAACTTGAACCACATCCTACTGGCAAACCACTCACCCTGCCCAGTCCCTCGTAATATTCGCGATCTACTGCAGTCTGGAGCCAAGCAAGTTCCTCCTGGGTGCCTCCAACAGGTATGTGAGTGGCCATGTCTGTTCAGCTGCAGCGTGGCCACAGCCTCAACGTCCATGACAACCACGACGCCACAGATGCCATCCTCGATCTCGAGCATTCTTTCAGCTGGACACCTGACGCCCAAAAGAACCCCTCTTCCGGTCTGCTTTACACCTGATACTCCGTATCTGACTGTGTCCCGGATACTCGTCGTATTCTTGAGGCTTGACTCGTTCGTTCCTCAACCCCAGCGCAACGCGGACTCCACTGTCGCCGTGGTTCCACCATGCCTTGCTGCGATGGCCCGATGTGTAGCTGCAGGTGGATGGCCATCATGGGTTGACCCCAGTCAGCTGTCGTATCACCCTTGCGCCTGTGCCCCCCTGCAAAAACCTCAGAACGCCGTTTTACTGAACACTAGAATCAAATCAGGGTCTGGCTGCGCGTTTGCCGAGTCCCCCGGCTCAGCAACCTTACTACCGCACGGCGCACGCAGATTCGCTGAGCCAAGGAGCACCTGAGCCCCTTACACACCTCCCAGCCCTGGCTCTCAGCCCGGCTCTGTTCTCCTGATTGGCCTTATCATTGAACGCCAATTGATAATACCAAGGCGAATGCGCCGTTGAACGCGTCTACTTGGCTTGAAGCGTCGTGGTGGCTTTGCTCTTGGCTACGCTCGTCTCTTGGGGGGGAGTCAAGCCTCGAGGAACTCGCCGATCGGCTGGGTCCATCGGCAAGTGCATGCGCGTATTCCCGAGCGCTGGGACGGAATCGCAAAGCTACACCTATGAGGCTGCCGCAGGCCAAAGAGACAACAGTCCGCTTTGGGAGACTATACCGAACACTTCTCCCAATGGCGTCCAATATTAATCAAACCACGGTCATCCAACAGCCTGAAAAGTATACGATGGGAATATTCTCGCGGGGTCGGTCTTTGCTAGTGGTCTCTGATCACGTCAATGAGATTAGCGGGTCAGCCACAATTTTTTGGTCGAGGGAAGGCTACCAACTGTCCAACTTGTCAAGATGACGGGCATCGGCAACGGTTTGAAGTCTCGCTTGGGACTTCTACCTGTTCTCCGTCCTCCGTCCTCCGTCCCTGACCAGTGCGTCGCAAGACATCTGGTTCGCCACCCTGGTACAGAGCGTACATATGACCGATAACAAGGATACTAGGTACCTAGTACCAGGTAGTTTGCTATGTGCTACTAGTAGTAACCTGTACGAGTAAGGGAAGTCGGCTGGGACCCAGGTCCTACGCAGGAATGAGGCCGCCGTTGAGACGCGGAGGCGTTGATCTCTGCACACCTGCATCATAGCCAAAAATTTCTGAGTCCCCATCCTGCTTGTACTGTAGCAGTGCCAGTGGCGGTTGTACGTATACGGAGTACTAGGTTAGTGCTCAGGTACGGATGCTATCCGTACACCGGAAGGGAATAGTAGGTACCTAGGTTTGGTGGGTACCGATGTCGGTGGACGGGACGCCGACTCTCCGACGCCGACCTGTGGATTTCTCTTTCCAGCCTCTAGATGAGCACCAACTTGTCAAGACTGACACAACAACATGCTAACAGATCGGTATATGATTGATGAGCACTCGGCCACGTGCGCTGTGGCTTTGACAAACATTACGATGGCTGGCGCAGCAATTTCATCGTCGTCAGTATAACAATCAACAACCAGGCAAGCTGCATCAGTACACGTCCAGTTTCCTAATACCTACCAGGTACGAGTAGGTGGTAACAGTCTGTTGAACGACGCGACGGCCTTTACGTCACCAGAACCAGGGTCATGTTACTTCAACACCCACTGCGTTATATTGCCACGGCTTGGTGCCTAAACCGGGCAAGTTACCGATCACGCGGTTGAAGTCACATGGTTCTACGAGTTTGCTCAGGTAAGGACGATGGCACGATGACGACGATGACGACGGCAATCTCTTTCCGGCTGCTCCCTCCCTGCTCTGTACTCTGTATCCGTACACACTACCTAGGTACACAGAGCATCCGGTACTCTATAGAAACTACTCCCTCCGCTACCTCCTCCAGTGCCTCCTAGTATGTACTAGTACTTCGCAAGCACTCTTCCGCCAGTGGACTGGTGTCGGCGATGACGGCGTTTAAACCGCCGGCACCATCGACTGTCAAACGAGGCTTTAGCGCAGCCACTGGAGGGGCGTCTGGCGCTAGAAACTCTGGGGAAGCTCGTGCAAACTTCGGTCGGCGAAACGGCGTGGACCAGACGGCCAGATTGTTGTCTCGGATCAGCAAAACAACAGCATTGGGACATCAACATGTCAATGAGATATGTGGTCCTGGTCCCATGAAGTACGAGTAGCCTACCCATAAACAGGGCATTAGCTGAGACAAGTTCACCTGCGCCATATCAATATTACTGGACGGCTATGCCCAAACCCAGCCTCTTCGTTGCGTATACAAGTCGTGTTGGAGGCTGCATGCAGGCAGTGGATGTGTATACCCGGACGACACATCCATCATGGCCAGCCGCGGATTTTGGTGACGCATCTAATGCTACCTATACTATGGAGCACTCCGATGGTTTCGCTGTGTGCTACTTACTACGAGTAGGTACAGAGTCCTCCGTACTCCGTACAGGTCAGATCAGCGAACGGACCTCCATTTTAGTACCGAGAGAGCTCTTGTTGAGGACTCGGCAGCACCCCGATCATCTATACCTTACGGGGTACGGATACCTATAAAGAGTTCAACTGACCAATGTACGGAGTACGGAGTACGGAGTGCTAGTATTTACTACCGCAGGTAGGTAGTATCTACTCGTAGAACCACAGAGAAGGACCGAAGGAGTCACGGTGACCAGGGTGCCCCTCCACCCCCTCTGGCCACCTGTGGCTTCCAGCCCTGAAACGTTCTAGTCGAGCACTCTGCCCCACTCGTCGGTTTCAGGCTTTTGATGCCAAGATAGTGCAGATCCAATCAATGTGTGACAGGCAGTTTTGGCAGGGCGTCAAGTGGAGAAAGATGCACTCCTTATCGATAGGCTCGCCAAGCAAACCCGGCACCTCCACTGGCACCCCTCTCCCAGCCTGAGCTCCAGAGCACTATCCCAGTACGTACTCTCCTCAGGGCATCCGGGTTCATCGTCTCTTCAAGCTCACTCATATTCCCTATTCCCGACTTCCTCATTACACGCTCCCGAACTCCTCTGCAGAAGGATTCAAGGGCACATGTTGCCCAACATGGGACGCCTGATCCTCCTTCTTCTCCACGGCACACCCTTGAGGACGTTGGGGTCATCGACTGCACTGCACCGAGCTTATTGCTCCTCCCAAGGCGTTGCACTCTTCCCTCCGTCCTACGCTTGACTAGTCGCGTCGCACAAGCAGTGATGATCACCAAGCTCACTCAGATCCCAGACCCAGCCAATTGGAAGACTGGAGGTGCAAGACGCGTCTAGCCGAGTAGGAAGACTCTCGAGAACAGCACCTCAACACACTCTACCAACATCGTGCGATACCCTTTCTGCGCCTGGCTTGCTGGAGTCACTCGATTCACTCAAAAATTAGGGGCCCCTTGCACCGCTTGTGCGAGGTGATACGACGTAATACTCCGGTCAGCCTGCAGATTCCCCAGGGTGGCGTATCTTCGCGGCAAAGACACCTCGTACAGGCACAATCCCTCTGCTGTGTGACTCCACGAATTGATCTCGTGAACTTGGTTCAAAAGATATCTGACTTTGCAGTTTCAACTTCCAACATCCTTCAGTCCATCAGCTCAAAATTTGGGCGGCAACCTGCAGTCCCTCTCTTTTCGTGTTGCGAGTTGGAAATGGATCCTCGGATGGTTGCATGCATCACTATTTGGCCCCAGACTTCTCGCTTGGTCAACCGACAGCTACTTCTGATTAGGCATTCTGCGTTCCTCGAATGCACGACGAATCCTTCGGAGACGCCAACCTGCCCTACTGCATATGACTACTACCAGCTTTGACTCAAGTACGTCGTGCAAATACTTGTTGATGGAGCTCTAGTGCAACCACCGCTGTCCATGCCGCATGTCTGCATTGGTAGCTTGTTTCTGTAGCCGCGTTCTCAAGAGATACACCGTGTCGGCCGCTTGGCCTGGATGCTAGTTGCATTATCTCGTCATTCTTCCACGTTCTGGTTCGCCAGGCTTAGGCCCGTCGTTGATCAGTCGTCTACGTTCTGACCATTGATACTGCGTCATATCGAGACTGGTGCTTCCTTTTGCTGAAGCAGTGGTACCGCCGGTTTGGTGGATTTGGTGAGGTCAGTTTACCTATCGAGACACCCCCTTCCTTCTGGCGTGGAGGGAAAAGACAAATCTCCTCATGAGCCGAGAGAGTTCACTGCAATGGTCCATAATCTTGCCTGGACGTACGGCTGGTCGGCGTTGGCCATGCTCCGCGAAATGCACCGATCGGAAGAATCCGACACATCCTATCATTTCCTCCAAGCTGTGGACACCTCAAGTGTGCAGCGTCGCCATAGCGGTACAACCCCAGAGACGACCTCTTAGAGCGGGCTATGTCTTCTTCCACCTGCCAACGGGAGAAGCCTGCGGAATACCTAACCGCGTCTTTCAACTTACGGCCTAGACATGCGCGAAGGATGAATCGGATTCCGACCGGCGGATGGCCGCTGTTGGCCGCTCCGTGGTATTCTGATCGTCCTCGGCTTCCTAGACTCATGAATGATACAGCGATACCCTGGCACCTCCTGGTAGCAGCAGCAAGGATCCCTCTGAATCCTCCAGACGATCCTTCCTTTCCCTCACATACATGTCCTCAGCTTGTGGGCTGCCGAGCTTCTCACAACGGCTGTTGTTTGCAACAGCGGTCGATTCCAATCAGGAAAAGACTGAGGTCTTTCCCCGACGCCAGACGACATCCTCTCACTACCCATTGTATCCGGTCAAGCAAATATCAAACGGTATGTACAGCATAGCGAACGACGTCTTGTGCCCAACCTTGAGAGCCTCGCTACACAGGTGTTACTAGCCAGGCGTTCGGTATGTTTATTCTCGGTTCTTTCCTCGTCGTTTACCACACCCACACACCCATACACTCGGCCAGTTGAAACCCCAGCTGCCCTACTAAACTAAGCAGTAGACCTATGAATTTACTTGATTCAAGGGCCATCGTCCAAGCGTTATCATATCCTTCATGTCCCCAGCGATATCTCAGCTAGTTTTTGGGCTCGTCCTGCACGTCGAGCACTGACCCACACGCAGCAATGTACTTGTACTGTCGAGCGAAGCTGGGACGTACTGTATGTGACAGCTCCAGCTCAGCCTAAGCCCTAGGGCCCCTCATGGAAGAACATGTTGCTTCATCAAAGCCACCTTGGTCGTCTCCCTTGCTTCCCCGTTCCCTTCTCCTTGCTTGACCCTGACAAGGAACCGGGTTCATGGCCACGGTCTGGGCAATGGTCATGGTCGTGGCCATGAAGACTGTCCTGATCTCGACCTTGGTGTTGCCCTTGTCCGGGCCCTTCCTGCCCTTGCTCTCAGGCTCGGCTCATTCAAGATACTGGTCACGTTCCTCCATCCTTCTCATCAATTCGCCCTCTCTGCGCGCCTGTGCTGCTTTCTCCTCTAGTAAGGCCACCACTCGATCCATCAAGGCGGCTTTCTCATCCCTAAGGCGTCGAACATCTTCTCTTAACATCTCGAGCTCCTGGTCTTGACCAAGGAGCGAGAGGCTTCGCCATGGGGGCGCCGGAGCAATCAGCACATCTTTTTCAACTTGGAAGAAGCTCCGCACAGCCCGCTGATAAGAACCGTCCCGTACGCCGGCGACCATCTCCCGCTCATCTTCCGCCTCCTCTTTCATGGGCTTTTTCCCATTGCCGTCGTCATCGCCATCATCTGACTCGTGTCTGATGGCATTGTTCTGTGGATGCGTCTGTCGTCGAACGGCTATGCGAAGGCTATAGAACGCATCTCGGACATGTTGATGAACTGTCGAGTCCCGTCCCTGTTCTGGATCCTCTGGACGCCCGATCCAACCAGCTGAACCGTTGCTCGATTCGCCATGAACTGCTGTTAATTCGCAGCGATTTGGGGGTTGATTCTGCGTCGCTCTCGGACCTGTTGGCCTAGTCGCAGCAGAGGCATATGTCCCTACAGAACCAGAACCAGTAGGCATGAGTGTCCCTTGCGCAAAGTACTCTGTTGATGTTGAGGCTTCCCCAATGCGTGACGCCCTAGACTTCGCACGACCCAGCTGATCCGCGAGCGAAGCGTCGATGGCTGCGTCATGCTTTCTGATCGCGTCCCTGGCAGAAGAGCGGCCTGAGAATGGAGAATCCGAACCAAAACGTGAAGCACGCGAAAAGTGATTTGCACCAGGTGGGATCCGGCGACTCGATTCACCTGTGACCTCGACCTCGCCATCGCCATCGCCATCGCCATCAATGTCAATGTCACTGTCACTGTCACCACCTGCTTGGCTGCTGCGCAGCATTGACGGCGGCGTGGAGGCAGCGGTGAACGAGGATGTTGAACTTGTTGATGACGGCGGGGGCGGCGTGGGCGTCGACGTCGACGCAGACCTCCCTGCTATGATAGACACGATCGGGCGCAGTGGTCGAGGCTCTGCACCACGCGGTCCGGGATGATTTGAGCTTGAGGGAGTTGCCGATCTGGCGTTGACGGTGACCACTTTGACGATTTCAATATCATCCATGATCTCGATCTTGATGTCGTTCTCGTCGGTCTCGTCGTTCTCGTCGTTCTCAGTCAAGTCGTCGGTCTCAGTCAACGTCTCCATCCACATTGTCATGAGCAGATTCTCTTCCCCAGCGCCACCGGTGCCGTCTCGCCTGGGCCCCAGGGACGCGGTGTTTCTGTCAACGAGCCGGCCTTGCCCTTGCCTGCAAATCAAATCCCAACAGTCGGCACAGCCCCTGTCGAGCACGCGCTCCTGGGCCATAGCGTCGTAGATACCTCTCCTCTTAGCCTCGGGCAATGGACTGCGATCGTGCCGAACGACAATGTAGGGACAGATGGCGTCGCTTGTGGGGATGTTTGACTTTTCTTGTTCCTCCTCGTCCTCTTTCTCCTTCTCGTTCTTGATCTTGAATTTGTTCGTGGGAAAGCTTGATGTGCTGCTCATTCCACCAGCGGAGGGACCACTGTAGTCGTGCCATTTACATGGCGACAGGATGACCGAGACGTTCCGAGGCCGCTGGTGCGAGAGGATCTGCGACAGTTTGGCCTTGTCCGGACAGGGACAAGGGAGGATGTTGTAGAGACACATTTCGGTCTTCAGCTAGGACTTTGTCAACGGTCTTTAGCTAGGACTTTGTCAATAGAGCGAGAGTGAGAGAGAGAGTGAGAGCGAGAGTGAGAGCGAGAGTGAGAGCGAGAGTGAGAGCGAGAGTGAGAGCGAGAGTGAGAGCGAGAGTGAGAGTGAGAGTGAGAGTGAGAGCCAGAGTGAGAGTGAGATGAGATTGATGGTCGCCTGAGTTGCTATGAGGCCGTATGGGGCAAGTTGATTGTTGTAAGAGATGCGATGGGAACTGAGGCAAAGACTTACTCGATGGGAAATGAAGTAAAGACTTACTCGATCTTGTTGACTCTAGACGTCGTCGTCGTCGTCGTCGTCGCAGATGCTGCTTTTGTCGAAGACCCTTACAGCCCGAGGCTGAATTTAGGACAATGAGATTAGACAACGGTGAAGGAAGTCAAGCCAGCCTGAATGCCGTCAATTAGACTGCTTGTCCGTTCTGGGGCGCGTTTGCGTTTGTCTTAACACACAGTCCTGACACTTTAGAAGCTTTCACTTCCACTTCCAGCCACAATGCCAACACTAGAGGAGCTCGTTCTATCGTAGCATAGTAGCAATTGGACAGGAAAGGACGAACAGAGGAGGCTATGGGATCAGGACGTCCACGGTGATGGTCTTCTGGTAGTGGAGGACATGGGAAGATGCCACAGAAAAGGTCATCTGCATACGATGAAAAGTGGCGAGTGAGAGCAGCACTGTCAAGACAGACAATTAAGGGCTGAGATGGTCACAGCATGAAGAGGGAAGCAAAACACCATCATCATCTTCGTAAATCCGAAGAAAGGAGTGTGTTCAGAGTTGGGGAAGGGCAGGAATGGAACGGCAATCTTTCAATCTTTCATTTTACGAATCGGTCATTTTTCCAGCCCATCGCCTTTCCTCAATCATACAAGTCTTGTTCAGTGTTCAGCCCACCGTTTTCCTCACATCATACAAGTCTTGTTCAGTGGCATCCCATCCCACAATGAGCATGTCTTAGCTAGAGCAAGTCCTGGACAATTCGTGTGACACCGCAAGTGGGATAACAGTACCGGAAGTTCCATTTCCAAGGAAACCCAACCATCGACTTTTGCTTAAATATCGATGTCAATTCCCAGATCCATGTTGGCCAGTATCTCATCATCCAACGGTGCCTTCCGAATGACAGGTAGGCCTCTCTTCTTTTCAGCCGGCTTTAACACAGTGGCATTAAGCAAAGGAGTCGAGTTCTTGGCAGCACCATTGGAGAGATTGGTGGCGTTTGGTGTTCCGGCTCGTGATATGCTTGCAGCCACTTTGGGCGTGCCGGCACCGTTGGCAGGGGTACCAGTCCGGCTGATATCGCTTCCTCCTTCGAACAGCTCATCGACACCTGGAGCCAGATGTTTCTTCGACTTTCTTGCTCTCATTTCTGCAAGCTGGGCCTTCCGAACGTTTTCTGCATTCAGTCTCTGGTTTCGTCGATTCAACTCGGCCAGACGTTCTTGATCTGGGTTCACATAGCTAGAGTTGGCGCGAGACAAGCTAGTACCATAGGCCAGTTTCATCGGAACGATATTCGCCAGCTGATTCTCAAGTTCGTTTGCAAGGTCGTCATTGCCGTCGCTCAGAGCTTGATTAATCTTTTCTTTGAGGTCTTCCTTCTCCTGGGCTCTCGTGACCTTCTCGATCAGGTCATTCTGGACCTTGATTTTTTCCGAGATCTCCGCTTCAGTGAATCGATGTGCCAACAGGCGGTTGATCCCATCGAGTTTACTGTTGATGAATCGTCTGGTTGGTAGCTTGATGTCCTCGTTGGCCAAAACCGTCCGATATCGACGCCATTCGTCGTCGGTGAATTTGGACATTGAACATTCGAGGAAAGACCACGGTCTTTCAGCCTTGCCATGCGCAGCGATGATGTACATGTCAACAGGGAATGGTCTGCCGTTGGAGCCGATCATCGCGTATGGTCTACCCTTGGTAAATCCCTTGATCAGACAGAGGCGGTATTCGTTGACACCAGGAGTGCGACCAGGGCCGAGGCACACTCGCGCGTAGCAGTCTGTAATGGCCTCTTGAAATCCTGGGGTGTAGCATACTTGTGCAAAGTTGTCACGACCAACACGAGCTCTCTGAATATCAGCGAGTTCGGCAATGGGCTCGTCTTTTGGAGGCGTTGGTGAGCGTTTCTTGTATTTGTGGTCGTCATAGTCATTGTCGCTCTCCCCCTCGGCGTCTGCATCACTGTAGTCGTCTCGTAGAGACGTCGCTCTTCGTGTCAGTCCTTCCTTCTTTCTCTGTTCATCTCGCAGAACCTTTTCCGCTCGTTGCTGCTTGTAGGCTTCGATGGCACTGCTTGCTTCTCCTGCGCGACCACCGCCCACCTTCGTGCGTTGACGGGTGCTCTTACGCTGAGTGTCTTCCAAGTCAGCTGCGCTGGCTTTGCGCTTGTTCTTTGCTGCGTTCTTGGCTTCTTCTCGGGCTCTCGCAGCTACCAAACGACGGAGAGTAAGGTCTTGTTCATGACGTTCCACCTGTTCGCTTCGTTGCGCCAAGATCTCTTCTCGCTCTATCTCGGGTTTTGCATCAATGCGTGCTTTGTCTTCGGCGTCATAATAAAGTTTCTCGAAGGGGAAGATCGGCTTGTCAGCTCCTGGGCTGAAGCCGGCTTCGGAATCGGACTGAGACATTGAAGCGGATTCTGAATGCTGCGAAAGCGATGATCTATTCCAGTGAGACAATGTTAAAATTTGGTGAGGTGTAGAAGAAGGATGATTCTTACACTTCGTCTTCATCATCGGAATATGTCTTGCGACGTTTAGCACGCTTGACGGCCTTTGCAATGCCCTTGCGAGCCATATCCAGGTCTGGAGAGTGTCGAGATTGCTTCTTAGAACGAGATGGTGACGGCGACTTTTCCTTGGGAGAAGGTGGCATACTCTCGTCTTCGCCAGAGGAGTCGCCTCCAGCGAGTGCAAGAAGTTCGGCATCGAGGTCGGCCATGATGGCAGAACAAGGCGGTGACTGTCTGTTTAAAACAGCGTGTGATTTTTTCACTAGAGTCGAGGGAGATGTGAATATGGAGTCGCAGTAACACTTGAGGCTATGGTGCTCAGGGTGCGGCAAAAAAAAGGTCAAGACACCACTGTCGCGGTCGCGGTCGCGGTCGTGGAACCAGGACCAAGTCTATAAGTAAAGAAGCAAGAACAACAACACAAGCCCAGTGACCACTGTCAGGGATCGATGCACTCTGCCGACAGCCAGCTTCAATGCGATGGTGACAACAAGCAACTGCGGTAAAAGGAGTGAAGCAAGCCATGGTGTTGAATTGTGATTCTCCCGTGCAGCCAACCAGCAGCCGTCATCGCCGCAGTCTCCGGGATGACTAAGCGGGAATTCGCATACAACGGACTCCGCACATACACCACATACATCTTTGTTCATACTACGTCCTTACAGTACTACTACTAGGGAAGGACTAAGACCGACTCGGCCTTGCTTCCTGGACGAGGCGGATGCCATGCTGGGTGCGTGCAAGGCCGGCGAGAATCGCCACATGCGGGCCATGCTCAACATGTTCCTCATGGAATGCGATGGGATCATGAGCGGTATCGATTCGCCATTCATCCTCTTCGCAACCAAACGGCCCAACAATCAGATAATCAGCAAGAGCAGATTGAGGAGTAGGATGGATCCAAATTGGACTCTATCTAATACTCGGGTGGGAGGAAAGGTCAAGGAGGGCCGTCGAGAGAGAGAGGGGGAAATAAAGAGACAAAGGTCGATTCGACCGTAGGGAGCTCAGAAATGGTTTTCGCGAAATGCTTCCAATTGCTTGTGGTCTGAGAAGAGGTCGCGTAGAAGAGCTACAGGATAAATAGGGATACCAAGACGAGGGGTGAGTCAACGGCTGAGTTTACGGATGTGTAGGGAGGTGAGCATAGGTAGTTATTGAAAGCCAACGTCTGTCTATCAAGCCGCAGCCTGGTCATGTGTAGTGCCTGCTCGCCATTTATCTTCCATCGCGCAGTCTGGGTGAGCGCGCATGTGACCTAGAATACAGTACACGGGGATGGTCACATGACCGGCTATGTGACCTCAACGACTTTGTACCACCCATTCAGTTCGCAGTTATTCTCCTTTTCAGCCTTCAAGCCTGGAGGCTCAGGTAAAAGGCAGAGCACCGTCATGCAGGCTTCAAAAAGCTCCTTAGCACTGGTTAAATCTCTACACCTACAGTTGCTACGCCCTGGCCTACCCCAGTTGCGCCGGATATCCTCACAAAGTAGCACAACAGCCGAGCCGCAACAGGACTCTAAATCCCACAAAACGATCCTTTCCGAAGAGCAGAGAAAGTTCCTCGATGGCGCCCTACGCGTCAACCAGGCTGGGGAGCTCGCAGCAACTCTCATATACACCGCGCAGACACCGCCCGTCGTGAAGGCACATCCACATCTTCGACCACTCATGAAACACATGTATGACCAAGAAGCCGGGCATTTCAAGACCTTTAACGAGCTTCTTGCAAAGCATCGAATCAGACCGACTGTTATGTATCCGGCCTGGGAGGTCGCGGCGACCGTACTTGGGTGGACGACTGGCATCATGGGAAGAGAGGCCGCAATGGCATGCACCGAGGCCGTGGAGACAGAAATTGGGAACCATTACAACGGGCAGGTGCGGGAGTTGGTCAAATGGATGCAAGAGCTGAAAGAAAGGGGCGAGGAGCTTGATCCGGAGCTCAAGGTTCTGATCGATGATATTAAACGGATTCGCGATGAAGAACTGGAGCATCTAGATCATGCTGTGAAAAATGATGCCAAAGAAGCACAGCCATATGAGCCCCTTACAGATATCATTCGGTATGGCTGCAGAGGCGCCATCTGGATTAGTGAGCGAATATGAAAGCTTGAAGACCAAGTACACCTCAAATTCAACACAAGCAAGTTTTGTTGCGTGGCGAGGGTTCTATCCCTCCAGCCATAAAGGACACGATGTGTGAGGGGCAGGCTGCGCGCCCAACGCTGATAGGCATCAATATATCACAAGCACACGGCTCAACCAACACAGACGAGGCTCGATACACACTAAGGACGCTGGAACTTCATCGACACCCTGGACGGTTTGTACTTATTCATTCGTCTAGTCATTGCCATGGAAGGCCACTTCGATGGCATCCTTGTCTTCAGGAGCAAGCGGCGCCTTAGGAGCTCAACCAGGCGTCCTCCCTCGCTCCTGGGAGCCCTCTCTCCTGCAAGGAGAGGGCCCTCCCACGGCGGCCCACCGGCCCTGCCCCCTCCTTGCTCTCCGAGTATTCTCTGCAAAAGCGACATGGGCTCATCACCCAGTCTTCCGCCTCCAACACACCCTTACACTCGTCTTTGCTTGGCATCCCCAATATGTATTCCAATCCCGCTTTGCAACGAACCAAAACCAGCGCCGAATGTTTGTCCTGGCAACCAAAATGGACTGTCTTAATTGAGCGACACATGGTGAGACTTGGCAGAAACCGTGTTGCACGTCCAAATTTGTGAGGTAAGATCAGGTGAAGGCGAGCTCGCTTTACGCGGGAGACTGCACCGGGATGCTTGCCTGGCAAAGGAGGTTGAGCTTTTTGGTTGGAGTGGTATTTGTCCGGGGAGATTGTTGATGCTGCAGGCTGCCGCCTGACTTTCCAACGGTCTTTGAAGGTGAGGATTTTGCGTGTTTTACCAGTCGTTGAAGCGGAGATTGGTTTATCCAACTTGGGGCAACTTTCTGGCACAAGATTTGAGGCTGGAGTAGTTGCGAGAATTTGTTTCTTGATGACAGGGTCTCGTGAGATTCAGTGAGGAAGTGTGTGTCTCTATGGCTGCTGGCTGACGATCAAAGGTGTGATGAATGAACCGCAGATGGCAACAGCACAAAGGATGAGCATGTCCGTTGCTGCCTCGCTGACGGTTTCAAAGCAGCTTGAGAACACGCAGGCGCGAAGATCAAAGGTCTTTGACTAAGAGAAGGTTGTGCCTTCCCGTGGGGAATGGCATTTGCATCAGTTACGCTCCCCAGCGCTGTCATGTCAACGACATCTTCACTTGTTTGAGAGCATACAAGCAACCACCGCATCACATGGTCAAACATTCACAGCATCAATCAACCGCTTGACTCATCAGAGTATAAGTAACTTCTCTGAGCGCTGAACAGGATTACAAAACCCTCCTTCCTCGCAAGCACCACCCTCCTCACCTCTGTCATACCTTCATAGCATACAACAACGGCAACATCATCATGTGCTGGTACAAGCTGAACATCTGTCCTTACCCCCATCAAGAAGCACTCTCTGCTCTGATATTCGACCCCAGCAGTGCAAGCCAGTGGCAGCATTGTGACAGACCGCATCCTTGGGGTCGACTCAGCTGTGGCAGCCTCATTGTCGAGCATCCGAAAGACCTCCTCAGATCCGAAACACAGGCTACATTCGAACACATCCTTGCCACCCGATCCAACCTTCCGGCAGAAGGAGAAAACCATCCCACAGCAATTTCTGTTCGCCAACGACGATCTTCCACCGAGACTACCATCGTCCCAGGCGGAGCAGGCAGACCCAGATCCCAAGGGGCGCCATGCCTCTGGTGCACTGCGGTGTTGAAGACAGTGGCTACAAAGAGCAAGGAAATCCATCAAGACGCAAGAAGAGAGATTGCAGGTTTGGAGCAGAAGATGGACACCAGTCCTAGTCTGAGAGAGATACAGAGAGAAATCATGGACAAGGAAAAGGAGCTTGATAACCTGAGGCACATTGCATGGCGTAAGGCAAGCGATTTGATGGATGGCGAGACTGGCAAGGGCGAGGACGAGATTCAGAGCTGATCTGTTTCCTCTAAAATGTACCTTGGGCGTCGGACTTTGTTGTTTTGAGTCTTGGAATTAGGACGTCTTGAAAGTTGTGGTCTTGAGCACCCACACCATCAGTACACACAATTGTATCATTCTTAGATGGGCACCTTCATTGCATGTATCCAACTTGTCGGCCACAAGGCTTACGTGACAGCAAGGAGTCATGGCACAAAACACACGCACTCACACGCACTCACACACTCACTCACACAAGGCTGCGCTTCAGGAAAGCAGGGTGACTCCCCCCGGATCGATTGTATGGTCCTCGATATCCACCATCCTTGTTCCCATCTATGACTCTTTTTTAGACAAGTGAAGGAAAGTCCCGTCCGCCATGTATTTCTCGCCTCATTTACTATCGGTCCCTTAAGGCTTAAGGGTTCATGGATCGACGGCATTCCCCTGTTCCCTGTTCCCTCTTCATGCTGCCTCCTCGACTTAAGATGGAGTTGTGAAGATTTTCGGCCTCAGGAAATACTGATATCCATGCTGTATGTGAGGCATTGCAGGATATGGTGTATGGGGCGGTCGTCGGATCCGTCTCGTGGGGAGTTGCTTCTGAGATTTGGCCGCCCCAACTCGCAGGCTCAGTCTGGGAGAGGCAGCACCGCAGCACCGCAGCACCTTTGGTGCCTGTGTCGAGTCACATCGATGAGGGATCACGTGCAATCAACCGCCACCCAGCATCATGATTTCGGTCGCACAGTTTCCGAGTCCGGGTTATGCTTGCATTATGACCACCTGGCACCTGGCACCCTCTCCAGCTCCCATCCAGGCAGCACTGAGCAGTGGCCACTGGCCACTGGCCATGTCGATCAAACATCAAACAGGATGGACGATGGATCCGAAACCCCAGGTCAGATCGGATTCAGCTGGTTCCATCCAATGGCCATCATACCTCGGAACAGCCAAGGATCGCATCCCCTGATCTTTCCTGTTTTGCTATGGACGCCTCATCTCCTAGCCCAGTCGGACTCGCACGGATCCCTGTGTTGTGGCAGACGACGTGGCATGGAGCCTCGTACGGAGCCTTACTGTGCCGTTGGATTTCCCGCCCGGTCTTCGCCTTACCTGTTCTGTACACTTGTCGTGTGCCCTGGTCATGCTCATATGCACTCGCCGTGGAGCCTTACCATTGAGGCGATGCAAACCAAGCAATGCTTGCCCCGAGGCCACCGCCACAAACCTGAAAGGTGAGTGTTTCCGGGACATCCGGCCGTTGGGGGCCTTCCCTGACTGCCCCGTTGAAGTCAAGGAGCCTGAGGTCAACCTTGGCTGGCTCTGTTACGTTGTTGTATGCTATTCTTGCTGCCTGCAAAACTCCTGCCTTCCGCATCAATCCTTCTTGTGGTTATTTCGTACTTGGGCGACCGGCGTCTGGCGGAGCGAATCGCCCAACTGATTGGTAACATTAATTTGCATGTCGATACTTGGGAAGTTCTATTACCAGTGATATAATTGGATGATTACTTTGGTACATCTGCCTAGGGAGCCTTTCTTAGAGCAAAAGGCACCGTGAACACTGCTAGACACGAACAGCGGTTGCTGTTGCTTCCAGGGGTTTCGTCTTTCGACAAGGCTGGTGAATGCCTGTGACAGACACTGAACATCGCTAGCTGGGGGCACCTTCGGCTTATAAGGATATACAATGGGGTTTTTAGGCTTAGGTGAGCCATCCCTGGGGACGCTCATCATTTTTCTTGGAGCATGGATCAACCGAGACTTCACGACTCCGACACCACGATCAAGTCAGCTCCCTTACGAACCTTTAATGGAGGATGTTGGCTCCGAGATGGCACTGGATTCGCCGACCGCCGAAGACGGTTCCCTTGCACTTCCTTCTTCGTCTGCACGACGAAGGCTTTGGCGTCACCGAGAACTGTCTCTGCTCGGCTTTAAAAAGACGATTCAGACGCCAAACACGGCCGTGTTCCAAACCAGGATCCTCAGCCGAGTGCTGGTGCGCTTTCCTTTCATCATGGAGATCATCTACTGGGCCCTCATATACGGTGTCAGTCTGGTCTCTACTTTCTGTCCAAGGCAAAGAACTAACACGCATGTAGGTCTACCAGTTCGGTCGAGGCCAGTTGGCCATAAGATTCGTCGACCAAAGCATCGATTCAGCTTGCCGCCACGCCCTCGCTGTCATCAGGTTAGAGCAGCGCCTTCATATATTCTGGGAGTTGTCTATTCAGCAGTTCTTCCTCCGGCATCCGCCGTGGATGTGGTGGATCAATCGGATCTACAGTTTCGTCCACTTGCCGGCCACGATCACTTTCCTAGTTGGCCTCTATTATTTCGCCATCACGCGGAACAGGTCGAACCCAGACCGGCAGGACCGGGCAGCTGGCCCGGAGCTCTACGAGTCCAGGCGGCGGGCTTTGGCGCTGTGTAATCTCTTTGCGTTTTGTGTCTTCAGCAGCTGGCCATGCATGCCTCCACGTCTACTGGGAGACTCGGAATCGCCTGGTGAGTTGGGCGAACTCGCCCGAACCTTCCATTTCGTCGACACCATCCACACACGAGACGGTGCCGTCAGTGTCTTCAACACGAGGAAATGGACCAATCAGCTCGGTAAGAGACATATCTCTCTATCCTTTCCTTTCCTTCCTTCCTTCCTGCCAACTTGGAGGCTCGGACGAAGTAACCGACTGACTGACTGACTGAATGAATGGTGATAGCCGCAATGCCCTCCCTGCACTTTGGATATTCGCTACTGGTGGGCGTCTCTATCATGCGACTCCCTCTCGCCCATGCTGCCCGAACCTACAGAGTGAGCATGCCGCCGCCATTTCGCCGATCAAATGCTTACTGGAATGTTCGCGTCCCGTCCCTCCCGAAGTTGATCTGCACCGTCGTTGGCCTTCTCTACCCAACTTTGATCCTGGTCGCCATTGTCGCGACCGCAAACCACTTCATCCTGGATGCCGTCGTGGGGGCCTTGATCTGCTGGCTTGCCCTACGATGGAACGGAGTGTTGAAGAACCTCCTCCCCATCGAGGACTACCTGTTCTGGTGTCTCCGCATTCATAAGCCGGTTCCCGACCCGTCTGTTCAGGGCGTCCATTCAGACTACAAGACTTGAATCGCTTTCCTTCCGCCACAACCCTTGGTCCCTCTTGCAGAACCCCCTTTCACCCTTTGATTTCGACGGAAAGGGCCTTTCCCGACTCCTAGAACTACCCTACCATGGCATGCCACAACATCCCGCAAAAAGGCTACGAGCAGGTTTTCGACGGAAACGGCCTTTTCACACACTCCTAGAACTACCCTACCATGGCATGCCACAACATCCCACAAAAAGGCCACTAGCAGAGCAGGTTCTACGCAGCCACTGCAGCGCCGACAAAGGAGCATCCAGGGAGACTGAAGAGGGCTTCTTGTTCTTCTTCTTCTTCTTCGCCGCTGTTTTTTCCACGAAACCATGGAAAGCTACTAGTGCCTAGAAATCGAACAGAGAGACTACCGTCAGTGCTTAGAAACCCAACAGAGAGACTGCATCAGTACCGTCAGTGCCTTATCGATCATGTATGTGTACATGTATGTATGTATGTATGTATGTAGGTAGGTAGGTATACTAGTATTCGGATTGCAGATCCAAGGCCATGAATCCAATTCTCAGAGACCAGTTGCATCCATTGCGTCGGCATCATAACACCCATCCAAAGTGATGACAATTTTGCCTGCGCCTAACCTGGCCTCGGGCCCCTAAGCCCACCCAGCGCAAAGAACCGCCACTGGCAGCTTCGAGATCGCGGTAGATGCTCGTTGACCTGGCCCCGCGATCATGGACGGTTCGAAAGACCCTGACACGCTCAGATAGCGACAGTGGTATTTGTTGAGAAGGCCCAGCGGTCTCGAGACGGCGAGGAAGTGATGAACAACGACGAACTGCTCTCTCACGCAGCCAGTAACATGTATGAACTTCAGCTCCCTAAACACGAACCTGAGAACTGACTTGTCTTGACAAGATTTGCAGGTAGTAGTGACACCACGGCAATATCCCTTCGCTCCATATTTTACTACCTCTGCAAGAATCCCCGATGCTAGAACCTCCTGAGAAGTGAGATCGATGAGATGGATACAAGAGGCGAGTTGTCTAAAATCGTGACATTCACATTCGCCGAGGCCAACCGCATCGCATGCCTTATCTGCAAGCCTGCATGAAGGAAGCAATGCGTATGCGCATACCCTGCTGTTGGACAGCTCCTTGAGCGCGTCGTTCCCGACACCGACTTTGAGATCCGTCCAGGCATTGTTCTTCCTCCATCCAGGTACCATTGTGGGCATCAATCCGTGGCTACCCCAGCAGAGACACCAGACACCGCCGTCTACGGGAAGGACGTCGAGGAGTTCCGACCTGACCAGAGCGGTGGATCGAGGCTGATGAGGCAACATTGCAGTTGATGGACAGAAACCATCTTGCCGTGAGTGGCCACAGTTTACCCCTTGGCAAGATATGTGGATTGACAAATATCAGTTCGGTTCTACCTACCTGCCTGGGGAAGAATGTCTCTCTGCTTGAGATGTAAAAGTTGGTGCCGCCGATCTTCCGCAATTTCGATTTGACTCTTTCCAACCCTTCCGCCGACTGGGTATCGACGGACCACTGGTTTGTGAAGCAGAGCAATGTATTTGGTCGCCTCCAACGGCGCTCAAAGACATAGCTGAGGGAATTCTTGCAGTGTTGGCGTGTGGCTGACTCCAAGAGGTTGTGAAAACGCACGCGAAGACAAGTCATGAGCCTTGATCACTGCATTTGACATTGGGAGCCTACGAGTATTATCTGCAAAATAGTCTATCTAGTGGGAGACTCGGTGTGATGAGCGAGAGTTCCAATACGGGGCTACCAAGGACAAATGGGGAGATCACATCAGACCACGACTGAAGCTGGTTTTGGCCAGAGCACTTTCTCGCCAGTACCACACCGCCGACATGGTAGCACTAGGACCAATGACGAAGCTGGCCAAAGCGATGAGTGCTGAGGCTTGCCCTATGTCGACATTTGTGCGGCCCATCCGTCGAAGATCCCATGTGGCCATGCACAACCAAACGTACGTGGCGACGTAGAAGCCCCAGAAGTCTGCTAGGAACAAAGACCTGAGACCTTCACCGAGCGGCTTTGGTTGGGCTGTAAAGTCGGGCCAGAAAACCGAGGTCAAGCTCATGCTGGGCGACGACACGATTTTGGCCAGCGAATAGACATGCAGTGCCACGCCCAGGACTCCGCTGACGACGTACAGCCTCTTGAGATGCGGCATGTCCGGAAAAGTCTCCTTGGCCTTTCGCTGGACGTGGACAAGGTTATGTCGCTTGACGTAGAGATATCCGAGGATGCTGCAGATGATCGGGACGAACATTGGGGCCGGCTGCCACAGCGTCTCGGCGTTCTGGATGGCGTAGGGACTTTTCCAGGGCAGGAACATCAAGATCGTAGGTAGGGTGTAGCCGATCATGACTGCCCATATCAGTGAAGATGCGTATTGGATCGGCACTTCTCGGTTTAGTGGCCACCAGTACGTTTCCGGTTCCGAGACGTACGTATAGGCGGCATAGTAGATGGGCATGTAGATTCCCACGCCGGCCCATTGGACCAGTGTGAACCAAATAGTGATCCTAGAATGGTTAGTTAAGGAAACAACAGTTGAACAAAAGGCACAGGTCGTGTTAACACAACTTGGATATGAGTCACTCACAGTGTCACCGGTGTCAGGGCGTTGCGTTTCCGATATGCCTCAATGGACCATATGGTAATAGGTTGAACGAGACTTCCGAGGAAATACATCTGTAAAGTCCCGAAGTTCTGGTCCCAGTTATTGAGGCCCGGCATATACGCCGCAGCTAGAAAGACGAGGTAGTCGTCGATGGCTTTGATCCCAATGTAAGTGCGCTTTAGCGGGAAGGCTGGGTCGTCCGGGAATTTCCCGGTCTGGATGATCCCTCCTAAATGGTCCCCAAGGCCATAATGAGCAGACCGAATCCACATACCGTAGTGAACAAGTGCAGCGACCAGAAGGTAGAATCCGATAAAGTACCATTTATTCGCGCCCCGAGGCACTGGTGCGCGTAAGAGTTCGTCCTTGTACGGGACCAGTTTTGGCACCGGAGACAGCTTGGGGCTGATCAGCTTCTCAGCGAGCGGCATGTTGCGGGAGAAATTGAACGTGACGTCCTCGACGTCGGTCAACGGCAACAAATGGAAAGCAGCAAAGTGGTGCAAGGGGGTGTCGAGTAATTCAGTCCGTTGCTGTTCGTGTGAATGGCTTTTGAGCGTCTCGGTCCTGGCCTGTCGCAACCTCTGGGTCGTGGCGAACGCGCGTTCAATCTGTTCCAGGGTCGGTTTGCCTCCTCGTGCTTTCTTGAGTTCGTCTCGAAGAGCGTTGACCAGAACAGCCGCTGATTCAATACAGGCGTTGCCGCCGTGTCCTGCGATGGGATGGAACTGTTTGGGGTCTCTGTTAGTATGTTCCCATCGTCCCATCGTCCCATCTGACGGCCTAGCTTGGCAACTTGGTGTCATGGGATGTACATACCTTATGCGCGGCGTCTCCGATGGTGATTATGCGCTTGAAATACCACTGTCTAAAGACATATTCCTGCAAAGGTACCAGGACGGACGAGATCCGGTTGTCCAAGATCTGCTTGAATTTCAGCGTCGGGGTGATGTCGTCGTTTTCCCGCAGTTTCAGAAGCTTCTTCTCGTCGTCCTTGGTGTACACCGGAATGTCATCACCGTAGGCGCGTTGGACCAGTTTGTAGAAGTAGAACCAATACACCCGACCTTCTGGTCCGCCGTTGATGACATAGGATTCGTGTTTCTTGAACACCGAGTTGGACGCGCCCGGCTCAATGCCCTCGCACGGATTGGAGATTCCAAACACACAGCCATAGTCGCAGGGGACGGCTGAAGAAGACAGGCAAGCACGTCAGTTTTCCAAACAACCCAGGTGGGACGAACAGATGAGTGAGGGACAGGAAGATTTTCGGAGGCGAGACTAGACTCACAAGCATGCTCGTCGGCTGCAATCCAGCCCGGGGACAGGTCATTCGCGATCCTCCACATTTCACCTCTCACGGCGCTGTGGATGCCATCGCACCCGACCAGGATGTCCCCCTGGTAGGAACTGTTGTCCGAGGTCTTGACCACCACTCCATCATCCGTGAGCTCGACGCTCTGTACTTTTTTCTTGGTGAGGACTTTGGTTTTGTCGCGGATGTTGTCGTATAGTACCTTAAGGACCATTTGGCGATCTAAGAATGTGATGGGATAGCCATGTCTGTACCCTCCAGAGTTAGCTTGACTCACTCTTTTGGTCTGCCGACCAAGAAACACCAGGGCACGACCTCAACTCACCTCTCGTACATGGATCGGGTCATGCCTCGGAATTCGGCTATGATGTTGCCCGAACTGTCACGAAAGTGGAACGAGTCCAGAGGAGGGCAGAGCTCCAGGACCTTCTCAAACAGGCCGAGTTGGTCTAATATCCTGTTCCCGTGCGGCAACAGACCGATGCTGGCGCCCACTTGAGGTGCAATGTCCGCATATGATTCAAGAACAATGAAATCGATGTCGTACAGCTGCAGCATGTTGGCCAGCGTGAGGCCGGTAATGCTGCCGCCTCCGATCACCACTCTGAAATCGCTCTTGGCCCCCATCCTTGTGCTTGTTTCGCTTGGTCGGTCTGCCCGGGTTGGATGGATGAATGGAGGAAGGGGAGACAAGGAAGGCAGAGAGCCTGACTTATACCCCTTGATCTTCGACCATACAAAAGTGAGATCTGCCGATTGTCAACACGCAGCCTCGCGCTGCCAGGTCCCAGGAACCTGGAGACTCCTGAGAAGACCCACAGCCCCGTGGGCCGAATATCGGTATCGAATACCGAGCAGTGAGCACCGGGGGAGAAAGGATTCCCCACACGGAAAAACGGGCCGACTAGCTTCCTATAAGGGGTCCCGATGATCTGGAGCTGGGGAACATTTCCGCTTGCTACGCTCCGGCTTTACGCTCCGGCTCGACATCATAGCTCGTCGTCACAAAGCTCAGTAAATAAGAGCCGTCGTATTCTGAGGGGCTGTTCTGGCAACTGCTTGACGCCTTCAACAACTATACTTCTTTTGGATTTTAACCCTAACCCATGGAAAGCCTCCAAAGAGTGACGTTTGTCACGCAGCGTTCTTTCAAGTACACATACTATGTCTCTCCACCAGATGAATCTACCCAAGCTCATCCCGCATTGCTTTTTATTCATGGCTTTCCCGACTCGGCGCATCTGTGGGCTGAGGTGGTGGACAAACTCCGCGACCTGCCAAATCAAATCATCGTCCCCGATTGCTTAGGCTATGCGGGCACGGACAAGCCACAAGACACTCAGGCATACGCGTACAAAGACCAAGCCGACGATCTGGCAGACATCCTGGCCAACGAGAAGGTCAAATCGGCCATCCTCATTGGACATGACTGGGGCAGCGCGCTCGTCCAACGCACATATCTTCACAAGCGGGACTTGTTCAGCGGTGTGATCCTGCTCAATACGGGATACATGCTTCCGTCAGATGAGCCGTTCAACCTGCAAGCGGTCAATGAGCTCACGGAGAAAGTCTGGGGCTATCCGCAATTTTCGTACTGGGAGTTCTTTCTTGCGCCTGACGCGGCCGAAATCCTGGATGCGAACCTGGAGAGAATGTGGCAAGTGTTGCACGGTGATGTAGAAGACTGGATGAAAAAGTTGTTCTGTGCCCCCGGCGCCCTTCGCGCTTTTCTCCTCGGCAACGAGGAAGTCCCGTTGAAGGAATATGCCAAGAAGCCCGAGTGGAAGGACCACTTCATGCGGCAATTCGGCGCGGACGGCTTCGCCTCGGCCTTGCAGATGTACAAGGCGACGGCGTCGAATGTTCAATTCGCGTCGGATGCGGCCCTTTCGAAAAAAAACTTGGCCATTCAAGTTCCGATGTTGTTTATCACTTGTACCAAGGACGCTGTCTGCTTGCCGGAAATCATGATCCCAGCTAAGGAACAAGGTCTCGTGCCTGATTTGAAGGAGGTGGTGGTGGACTGTGCACATTGGTCACCTATGGAGAAGCCTAATGAAATCGCGGCACACATCAGGGCCTTTGTCACGGAAAGGTTTCCAACTGCTCATTGATATTGTTTGTATTAATCCCTATCATTGGATGGATCTTTACAGGAGAAGGTGTCAGTCTGTTTCACCACATGAGCTGTAGTTCTTCTCTCCGGTTGCCGAGTCTGACTGGGATACTAGTACATCTAAGCTTCTGTGTATACATTCAGCAGGTTGCCATTGCTGGTATCTCAGCTATAGTACCTGCCGGCTGGTGGTTGGATGATATTGGGCAATCATTTTACTTGACAAGCACCACTCGCCCCGACACTTTGCCTGCTTTCAGCAAGTCCATGGCTTCATTAACCGAATCCCAGGGCATTTTCTGCACCGGCACCGGAGCCAGCTTTCCTTCCCTCGCCAGCTGGACTAGTCTTCGCAGCTCGTCCAGGTTGCCGGTGATGTTTGCGTATAGGGTCAGACCTTTGAAGATATTGGCCACCAGTGACAGCTCGATCGAACCACCCATGACGCCCACCTGCACCCACTTGGCCCCTTTGGCAATGATGCCGTTGACCAGGCTGGCGGTGGCCGAGCTGTTCACAAAATCAATCACTGCGATGACTGGTCCGTTGGTGGCGGCTAGAATCTTCTCGGCTGGCGAAGGCCCCGAGGTGTTGACCGTCTTCGAGGCACCGGCCACCGTGGCAGCAGCCAATTTCTCGTCACTGATGTCGGCGCTGATAATGGCTCGATGGCCATACGACTTGAGCACTGAAATGGCCGATAGTCCCAAGCCGCCCGCCCCGATGAGCAGGACCGGTTCATCCGGTGGCAGGGGCATGACCTTGCTGACGGCACTGAGCGTCGTGATTCCCGAGCAGCCATACGTGCAGGCCACGGCAGGATCGAGATCGCCGAGGTCGACGAGGTATTTGGGATGAGGGACCACCACATATTCGGCGAAGCCGCCATTCCGTAGCGTTCCAAGTCCCTTTTGCGCCGCGCACAGGTTGTCTTCTTCCTGACCACAGCGCGTACAATCACCACAGCCAAGCCACGGATATATAATCTGTCGGGACCCAATGGGGACGGACTCTGCGTCGGGACCAACCTCGACCACCTCTCCCAGGATCTCATGACCTAGGGCGACGGGGAGTTGGATCCCGCGATCCTTGACGTAGAATCGCTTGCCTCCTCCAATATCATAGAACCCTTCGGCGGTGTGCAAGTCGGAATGACACACGCCAGCATGAGTGACCTTGATTAGGATTTCGCTTCCTGTGGGTGTTGGCCTGGGCTGGCGGATCTTCTGGAGAGGTGTGTCCCATTCCGTGAGCGCCCAGACATCCATTTCGTTCGTCATTATTGTTGGTCACTATGTACAATTTGCTGGGTAACAATGATTTTGATAAGAAATGCTCTTCGGACCTGGGTCAGGATCAGGTTACGACCGATATAGCAGCCCATCAGACTTTATTCGAAGTCTGACCGCCTACGGCTCTTTGTGCGGGGGGGATTGACGGTGCGGCATTCGCCGAGGTACAAACAGCCACGGCAACACGGCAGGGAGCAGGTGGATCCGGCCCGAGCTTCGTGGAGGGGTGTCCGGGGCATGGGCCGGGGTAAGGAGGCTTCCCAATTGGCAGAATCCTGAGTCTGCGACCTGTAGCGTTCGGGGCGAGGTGCCAGTCAGCACTGCTTCGGCAAACGCCAGCATGGTACCGGCATTTAATATGCAATACCAGTTTGTTTCTGAGGCATATTGTTATTCTAATAACCATTGCCATAGACGACAGCCTTACTGCCCCCTGCATCCGTCTACAATACAGAAGAAATCGCAGCAATAATGGGTGATAGCAGCTCGGCAGCAGGATTGGATCCTCGGATCTACAACAAGTTATACTTGAACGGCCAGTACGTCGATGCCCAGAGCACGGAAACTTACAGCCTCAAAAACCCCAAGGACAACACCGTGGTGGCCGACAAGATCCCGATCGCGGGACCAGCAGACGTCGAGGCAGCCGTCAAGTACGCCGAGGAGGCATTCCACGGGCCATGGAGTCAATTCACAGCCATCCAGCGCACCGAATGCATGCTCAAACTGGCGTCCTTGTTGGATGAAGAGCTGATTCCCATTCTGACCCTGGACTCGCTGACATCAGGCATCCCCGTCTCTCTGGCCCCTGTGCGGGAGCGAAATTATATCCGAAATTGTGTGCTGTACTATGCAGGCTGGACGGACAAGCAGAAGGGCGATTACTTTCCCCCTGACGATGGTAAGCAAGCCATACTGCATGAAAGGACAGATCGTGTCTTGTTGCTGATCCTCTTGTCGATATAATTGACTGACTGATTCATGGGTTTTTCGGACCATAGGTTTTGTGAAATTGGTTCGACATGAGCCACTGGGGGTTTGTGCGGCCATCAACCCGTTCAATGCGCCTGTGGCGTGTTTTTTCCTCAAGGCAGCACCGGCACTGGCCACGGGCAACGTTTTGATCGTCAAACCCAGTGAGAAGACACCGCTAGGATCGCTGGCGGTGGCGGCCCTCTTCGAGAAAGCCGGTTTCCCACCCGGAGTCATCCAAGTGATCACTGGACCCGGATCGACGGGCGCGCTCCTGGCCGAGCATATGAAGATCCGCAAAGTCAGCTTCACGGGGTCCGTGGCGACGGGCAAGAAGATCCAAACGGCGGCGGCCATGAGCAACCTGAAACGCGTGACGCTCGAGCTGGGTGGCAAGAGTCCCGCGGTGATTTTCGACGACGCCAACCTCGACAACGCGCTCACCTGGACCATCAACGCCATCCTCACCCGCAGCGGGCAGCTCTGTGTGGCGGCATCGCGCGTCTACGTGCAGCGGAGCATCGCGGATCGATTCATTGAAGAGTACAAAACCCGGATGAAGGCCGCAGCCCAAGATATGGGAGATCCGCAAGACCCCACCGTCAAACTGGGACCCATGGTCGACCAGGCACAGCTCGAGCGCGTCAAGCAGATGGTCGACCGTGGACGAGCCGAGGCCGAGCTGGTGGTGGGTGGTAACCAGTACGGCGAGACCGGGTGCTTTATGGAACCCACCGTGTTCCTGAACCCTCGCGACGACGCCGAGATCTACCGCAACGAAATCTTCGGTCCCGTCAGTATCATCAAGACCTTCGAAACCGAAGAAGAGGTGTTGAAATTGGCCAACGACACCGAGTTTGGTTTGATGTCCGGCGTCTTCACAAAGGACATTACAAGAGCCCTGCGCGTGTCTGCTGCTCTGGAGTCCGGTGTCGTCGGCGTCAACTGTGTCAGCTTGCAGAATATGCAGGCGCCTTTTGGCGGCAAAAAGCAGAGCGGAGTCGGTCGTGAGTTTGGCGAGTATGCCTTGAGGTTATTTACTGAGCCCAAGACGGTTCTGATTAACATGGCTGCTTAGCTGAAAGACCGTGGCATGTTATCAGAGTAGTGCTACTAGTATTTGTGCAGCAGAATACCTTGAAATGCCATCATAACGGTCTGTAAACTTGGCCTAAGACGTGTATAAATTTCCCATTCGGAGACGTACTGTGTTCTTTAATTCACCCTGCAGGACTGTATGGGCATAGAAATGATCCATTTGAATTACATTCTGTGCTTGAGTACCAGCAAGCGTCTCCCTGACGATTGGATTCCTCGCATCTGCTTCGAAAAGGTAGCAGGATCCTGTTTCCAATCTTTTGCATTTTCACGGCTCGACTCATGTAAGCTCGCCCTCCCGTATTTACTACTCTTTTCCTTCGATGTGTACAGCATTGGCCGTAGAAGGAGCTTCCACATGGCTTGTACCACCCAGATTCTTTTCAGCGAGGTCAACTTCTTCAGCTTGGGAATGAGAATGGCCGGGACCAGCAGCCATGGCCTGGTCCATTTCCTCCAAGTGCCAGCCGCCCGTCTGCAGCCACACATGCCAATGATTAGTAATGATCGTTGAAAGAGTTCCCGTCATAGTAGGGTATCGGAAGGGTAAGAAAGAACATACCTCTGGAAGATAAAAGAACAAGTAGATGGTGTGCACAACAGCCAAGCAGACAAACACCAGATAATACTTCCAGCCAATGGTAGCCAGAGCAGTTGGCAGGAGATTCAACCAGAGAATGTCGGTCAGAAACAACCCACTGATGGCGATGGCAGATGCCTGAGTCCTCACATGAGTGGGAAATATCTCGGTTGCAAAGGTGAACTGGTTGAGATCGACAAATGAGTTGTAGCTGTTTGTTTCCCAATGGATTGGGCAAAAGGTTAGTTACCAGGCCCTGGCTTGCACCAAGCTGTGGGTATATATGAAGTCTTACCAGGTAACGAAGATATAGATAAAGGTGGTAGCTGTAGCAGCCCAACCCTTTGTTGGTGTGGTATTGTACTTGGCAATCATTCCCGTCAGGACCGCAAAGACACAGGTCACAGACACATAGCCAGAAACTATACAAAGATCAATGATTAGCAGGTCTACTCATGAAAATGATGGGCGATACTCACGCAAAGCTCTTCGCCTCCCGAGACGGTCGGCAATCATGCCTCCAATGCAAGCGATGACCAATCCCACCGTGTTGTACACTGCTGACAAGAGCAGCGAAGTCGTAGGCCCAAGACCAAGCGAACCGTAGAGCAAGACGTTATAGGTATTGATGACCAATGGCCCAAGATTCTGGCCCCCTACCATCACCAGCCAGGCAAGAAGTAGTCTCTGACGGTTGGCCTTCTTGGTGAACAGTCGCCATCTACCATCAGTGCGGACCACTTCCTTTTCCGCTTCCCAGCTATCCATGATCAGCTGCAATTCTCGGTGAGCAAATGTGTCATCTGGATCACGCGGATCATGATGAAGTCGGACCAGGACTTTTAGTGCTTTTTGATGATCATCATGCTGAACCAAGAATCTTGGGCTTTCCGGTACTGCAGTACATCGTGGTTAGTATTACTTGCAATTGATTTGGAGTTTGCTGAGAGAACAGAAGCAGCAACGACGCACCATAGAAGGATCCTGCAAGAAGACAACTACTCCAGATGATGATCACGGCAAAGGGAAACCGCCATGCAAATTCGGAAGCAGGCGTGAAGTAGCATCCGAACCTATATGATACATGCAGGGTCAGTGATCAGCGATCAGTGGCTAGCATTCTGTGACAGGACACCACACATACCCAATCCATCCTGCTGTGCAATAGCCCAAGTTGATGAAGATTGCGTGTGCACCTGTAATCAGGCCTCGAGAATGAGGAGGAGAAACTTCTGCGAAATAGGTCGGCATGGCTGCCATTGTGTGTCCTGCTGCCAGCCCGGCCACCGCTCGTGCGACCAAGAACTGTGATGGACCTTCATTAGTCCTGTGCGGTGATGCCGTATGCACCACAGACATGATCTGTACGGATATGAACGAACCATCGCCGGTGATTGCGATCCACATTGAAGGGTACCTCCGATGATGCCCGTCACGGACGCGATACGGAACCCGTTCACTCGTCCAAAGCGGTTTCCAGCCCAGCCGGCCAAAAAACAGCCAAAGAAGCCAGTACCGAAAAAGACGCCATTGGCAGCCCCGATGATATCGTTGGTGTAGCTGTATCCAGGAGCACTTGAGTCTCCTACCAACCCAAGCGAGGTATAAAAGGTCGGCTGACCGATAGTAAAGCCAAAGACGGCAAGGGAATAACCGGTAAAGAGGGAGCCAAAAGCTGCAAAACACACCACCTTCGTTCCATCAGTTTACTGTCTTGCCCGATATCACAGGATGATTCTTGCACTTACCGCTATATTGTACCAGGTATATGTTTCCATGGCTGCGCTCTTGTCTTGCTGGTCGTTGAAGTACTGACTACAGATCCTATAGAAGAAGAAGAAGAAGAAAGGGGCAGCATCCTCTGCAGAGTTTTTCGAGGCTACATATGTAGACACTAACACCGCCTGTCGACTTTGCGACGGTACTTCGGTGGTGGCCGAGGCAGGCGTTGACTAAAGCTGTATTTGGATGAGTGCGGTGTAGCCTGCTATGAAAGAAACGAATGGCTTGATCTATTCAGGGCAGTGCACGTCAAGCGAAGTATCCCCTAACCCCAGAGGATCAAGCCCGGGGTCGAGAAGCGTGGTAATCATTTAAAGATACCCCAAACCCCAGAATTAGTCTCGGCCGTGGTGCCGAAGCCGGAGGCGATTGTCCGGACTCACAGCAGCCTGGACTCTGGAGAAGCCCGGGTCTCCTCCAGCTGACCCCGACCTCAGAGGTTGGAGATGGAGCTGGAGATGGATACGGAGTGCCCCAGCCGGAGTCCCCGCCAATATCGTGGTTCTCATCGAACCGATAATACGAGTAGGCTGGCTGGCTAACATGGCCCAACATACTTGTACTCTGTGGGGTACCTTCGGATATCCGATACATGGCACACCCTCCTACCAACCCCAACCGGGCCGGACTAGTTAGTCCACTGCTTCTTGTCTTCGTCGGCCGCGGGCCGAGCGAAGCAGTCATTCTTTACGGCCAAGACCGACGGGTGGCTCCCACTGCATGGAGGATGGTGAACGATACCAGTGGTGTTTGCCGTCATATAATGCTGCTGGAAATCAAAAGGCTTCTTTCAGATGATAGAGCCTTGCCGTTTGCAATCTTGCCTTGATTTTCTCATTTTCCTACCGCCTGAATCGATCAAGATAGACCCTAAACACCCATGACGTCGACCAAGGGTGCGGACTACGATGTCATCGTGGTCGGCGCTGGCTTCAGTGGCATTCGGTCACTGTGGGAAGTTGATCAGATCGGGCTGAGCGTGAAGTGCTTTGAGGCCGGATCAGACGTCGGAGGCACCTGGTACTGGAATTCTTATCCTGGAGCACGAACCGACAGTGAAGCTTGGGTCTACCGGCTGAACTTCCTACCGGAGATGAAGGACGAATTCAATTATCATGAACGCTACCCGAGCCAGCAGGAGGTTCAGGGCCATTTAAAGCATGTTGTTGGTAAGTTCATCATAGTCATAGCACGCCATAATCCGAGGATATAGATGTATCTGGTTTGCTGACATGATTGCAATATATTTTAGAGCATTTCAATTTGCGCAAGTACATTCAGTTTGATACACGGATCAACTCGGCGCAGTATAGCGAGAGCCAAAACATCTGGACCATCACCACTGTCGATGGCAAGTCGACGACCTGTCGCTACTTCCTCCCAGCGACGGGACCCTTGTCAATTCCCAAAGACCCACCGTTTGCCGGACTCAAGTCGTACACTGGGGAGTGGTACCAGGCGGCGAAATGGCCCAAGAAACCGATCGATTTCCATGGAAAGCGCATCGCTGTCATCGGCACTGGCGCCACCGGAGTCCAGATCATCCCCAAGATTGCTCCGGTGGCCAAGCAGTTGACTGTGTTCCAGCGAACACCAAACTACGTCCTTCCGGGCCGGAACTATATCATCGATGACCATCAGTTGGCCGACATCAAGCAGAACCACGAGGCCACTTGGAATCATGCCCGCACAAACAACTCCGGTCTGGCCATGAAACTGCCGGGGAGGACGGTCCAGGGGGTGGCTGATCCGGAGAAAATCAGGCAGGTCCTGGACGCGGGCTGGGAGGCTGGCGGCTTTCACTTCCACTTCGAGACCTTTGACGATCTCTTCACCAACCTAGACTCCAACGAGGTGGCGTCCGAGTACATTCGTCAAAAGATCCGCGCCGTCGTTGAGGACCCGGCGACGGCGGAACTCCTCTGCCCAAGATATCCCTATCTGTCTAAACGGCCGCCCTGTGGACACTTCTACTACGAGGCTTTCAACCGGCCCAACGTCAAGCTGGTTGACATCAGCCAGGACACCATCGACCTTTATGAAAAAGGGATTCGCACCAGCTCGGGGGCTGAATACGAATTTGACATGATCATTTTCGCCCTGGGCTTCGACGCCGGCACGGGCGCGTTGAGTGAAATGGAAGTGAAAAACGCCCAGGGTGAGCTGTTACGCGACCGTTGGGCAGAGAGACTCGAAACCTTCGGCGGAGTCCTGGTTCCTGGATTCCCCAACATGTTCTTGATCTGTGGGCCTCACGTGCCTTTTGGGAACATGCCCGTGGTTTTGGATATCCAGGTCCAATGGATCGGCAAGACACTTCGTCACATGGAGCAGCACCGACTGAACAAAATCGACGTGTCCAAGGACGCGGTGACGAAATGGTCTGCTCAAGTCGAGGAGGCATTCAAGGGCACTTTGCTCGGGGAATCCGCCAAAAAGGCCAAGGCCTGGTTCGTGGGCGCAAACATAGAGGGCAAGGCTGACAATGTTTTGTTCTATTTCGGCGGAGTCCCTGCCTGGAGCTCCTGGCTGGAAAATGAGAGCAAGACCGATTGGGCCAGCATGGAATTTGGATCGCCCACAGCCGCCGTCACTGACGAGGCAGAAAAGCCTAAGCTGGCGCCTGAGGCCATTCCTGTGGCACCAGTGGCATGATTTTGTTTTTGTATATAAAGAGAGCCCAATCAATATGTTGCATGACAGGAGACCATTCTTAGGGTTAAATAACTTTCATCTTAGGACTATATTTGCTTGCTGTGTTACTAGTATCTAGCTTTTCTGAACTACATACCACCCCTTCCGCCGCTGACCTTTTCACCGTTATTATCTGATCGACTAAACCCAGGCGTGTTGCGCTTACCATGATTGTCTAGAAATCCCCGTGGTCAGTATTTCTCGCATGGTCTGGGCCATTTGACTTACTTGTCCGCTGACATATGAGAAGAGAGGTGAAACCACGCCGAGGATGGCGCGCCCGGCATCCGTGGGTGTCCCAATCCGTCTAAGAGGGATGTCACCAACCCTATGACAGAAGGTCAACGATGGTGGAAGTGGAAGAAAATAAACAGAAAGCATGCACGAACCATTTCTCCTCTTGATCATAGCCGCCATGAAACCCAACAGCATGCTTGGTGCCGTCTGGCCTTACGACATATTCGCCAACAGGGGCTTGAGTCAGTCTAGTCTTGATGGCGCCGAAAGCCACAGCTGTGTGAGAGTCAGTATTGGCGCTTTTGCTTTTGCGGACCGAGGTGGATGGTGGATTGTATATCCGTACTGTTTGCTCTCACGCCGTACTCTGGTCCCCATTCTTGAGCCAGTGTCTTGGTAAGTCCTACTAGACCGGCTTTGGCCAGAGCATAGCTGGCTTGTCCGGCGTTGCCATAGATGCCCGATGTCGACGAGATGTTGACGATCGATCTGGGTTCGCCGTCCTTGACCATAAAGTACGGCGCGGCTGCTCGGATGAGCTTGAATGGTGCCGTGTTATGTAGACCGATGATGGTGTCTTTCCCAGCAAAGTACAGTGGTTAGAAGCCTGCAATGCAAAGCTAGACGATGCTGCTAGAGATTCAATCGTCAAGAGTAAAGGAAAAAGCTCTCTCTCACCCCACTGCTGATCCTTGATCTGCTCAATCGGAGAATCCCATGCGTACCCTGCGTTGTTGACGATGATGTGAAGCTTGCCACCACTAAATTCCACGGCCTTCTCGACTAGGTTATTGATGTCTTCGTTGTTGGTCACATCTCCGGCAACGGCAATGGCAGCACCTCCACCTCCTTCGGCGTTGATGGCCTGAGCTGTCTTCTCGGCTTTCACTGCCATCCACCAACACCTCACGTGTCAGTATCGGCCTCGTACCTCATACCACTATATAACTGCTCATCAGGTGATGATCAAGACTTACCGGCATCGATGTCTGCAATGACAACCTTACACCCTTCGCGAGCGAAAATGGCGGCAGTCTCGGCCCCAATACCTTGGCCAGCCCCTGTGATGATGGCAGTCTGCCCTGGTGCCGACGGTCAGCCAATCGCGAAGGAGACAGCAATATCTATCCTGTGATATACCTGCCAGCATCCCCTGGGGGAAATTGAGTCGTGGAGATGCAGATGCACTCATGGTTGCTGTTCTTGTCAAAAGAAGGCTGTAGGCTGTGGTCTCAAGACAACTTAGTAATAATCATACGTCGGCGACGACCACCTACCTGCCATCTTCATGCTGTGATCTTTGATCTTTGCGTCGGCTCTGAGAGTAACCGTCAGATGACACTTTCGGCATGGCATGATTCTCGGCGAAGGCCGACACACTCAACCCATCGGCTTTTTCATCCAGCTCCAAGCTCGGCCCGCTAACCGACCTCGACGTACCCCGGCCTGAGCTCCGCGGCTCTGCGGCACACGCGGGGTGACAATACGGGCCGGTACGGTACCTTACCGCCGACACGGGGAGTCGATGGACTTTGGCCAAATAGTCACATCAACCCGCCGTCGTCTGTGTCATAATAGTGGTTTTTCAGGGTGTAGGCTTTGAACAACAGTCTTCCCGTCCATATTTTACACAATATGGCCCCAGCACAAGTTTTGAATGCCGGTGATGGAGGGGTCAGGAATGTTGATGTTCTTATTATCGGCGCCGGGTTTGGGGGATGCTACAGTCTCTACAAGCTCCGCCGACTAGGCCTCAGTGTGCACCTTTTCGAGGCCGGTTCCCAGCTCGGAGGAGTGTGGCATTGGAACAACTACCCTGGAGCGCGCGTCGACTCGGAGATCCCATACTACCAGTTTTCCATGCCCGAGGTCTGGCGCAAATGGAATTGGTCGGAGAGATTTCCCGGTGGAGAGGAACTGAAGGCATATTTCAAGCACGTGGATTCCACCCTGAATCTTTCCAAGGACATCACATATTCGGCCAACGTCGTCGGGATCAAGTATGATGAGTCGACGGCGAAATGGACCGTCACCACCGAGGACGGCCAGAAGGCGGTCTGCCGGTACCTGATCTGCGCCACTGGGAGCTCCTTCAAGCCCTACTACCCGGACTTTCCCAACTTGAACAAGTTCAAAGGTCAACTGATCCACTCGACTCGCTGGCCTGCTGTGGCAAACACCAAAGGCCGACGGGTCGCCATCATTGGGTCCGGGGCCACGGCGGTGCAATGCACCCAGGAGATTGCAAAGGAGGCCAGCCATTTGACCGTCTACATCCGCACGGCCAGCATCTCGTTGCCCATGTTTCAGCGTCGGCTGGACGAATTGGAACAACGCATCAGCAAGGCCACCTATCGTCAAATGTTTGACTTCTGCCGACATTCCAAGTCCGGTCTTGGCTATGACCCTCAGCCCGGCTCCGTCTTTGACCTGACCGACGAGGAACGGGAAGAGCTGTGGGAGGAGCTGTGGAGCCGTGGTGGGTTCAACTTTAATCAAGCAAACTATCGCGATTTCCTCGTCGATCCAAAGGCCAGCCAGCTGATGTATGACTTCTGGGCCAAAAAGACGCGCCCGAGGGTCAAGAACCCCGCAAAAGCCGCTTTCCTGGTGCCGGAGAAGCCGCCGTTTGCATTTGGCACGAAACGAAGCAGTCTCGAACAGGACTACTACGAGTGTTGCGATCAAGATAACGTTGACCTGGTCGACCTCAAAGCCAACCCCATTCGAGAGTTTACGGAAAAGGGAATCATCACGCAAGACGGAGTAGAACGCGAGTTCGATACGGTCGTCATGGCCACCGGCTTCGACGCCATGACTGGCAGCTTGACGAACATGAATGTCGTGGGCCGGGACGGCTTGACTTTCAAGGAGAGATGGAAGGACGGTGTCTTCACCCAGCTGGGTCTTTGCAGTAGTGGCTGCCCGAACTTGTTTATGATCTATGGACCTCAAGGTAAGTTATACTGTATACAGTCCCAGAAATGTCCGACATGTCCACTGACATGTGCGTCAACAGCACCCACCGCATTTACCAATGGACCCGTCTTCATTGAAGCCCAGGTTGACGTGGTGGTGGACCTGATCCAAAAACTTCAAAAAGACGGCATCAAGTCAATCGAGGCCCAGCGCCCTGCAGAGGAGAAGTGGAAGCAAGCTATTCAGGATGCAAATGATAAAACATTGCTCCCCCTTACCGATTCCTGGTACATGGGGGCAAACATCCCAGGGAAGAAACGGGAGCAGTTGAACTATTTAGGAGGTATCGAGACGTACATACAGGAGTGTCGGAAAGCCTTGGAGACCCTAGACGGATTTACTGTGGTCTATGATTCTGACAAACAGTCTAATGGGAGTGTGTAGAAGATACCAACCAGAATTATGAAAGTGATGTAGTTCTGTCATGCATGTCATACCAAAGAGGTCTTGGAAAAGCCTCCCGTGTTCATAGTCTCTCGTCTTTGAATTCGGCAATGACTATGTTTTGCACATACGCTTGATCGACCATCGTAGTAGTGCTCCGTGATACATATATTAGTCGTTGCCGGCTTCTCCGAGATGGACGAAGGGGGACTCGCGACACTCTGGCACCATCGTCTCGAGCACCACAGGAGATCAAGAGACCGTGGCGGTCTTAGGAGTAGTAGTGTCGGGGATGGTGATTTTCTGGAAGATGGTTGACCAGTTCGGCAACAAGAGAGGAGCGTGGGCGCGGCGATTCGATTTTGCACCACAACTTCAGGTCGGATCGATCGAGCTGTCTCATCGTGTGGAGGATGGCGTCGGCGATGGCTGTCCAGATGCCACTAGTGTGACACAGCAAACTCTGGGCCGTTGTTCCTTTCCTTCTTCTCCATGGACTGGCTACATGGCAATCATTGCGATCCCATTGTCTCTGATGACGCTCGCCCAGCTCGGCTCAATGACTTGACTTGTTCCCAGGCGGCCCAACGTGGGCGTGGGTGCCTTGGAGACATGTGCGCTTGTGCCAGGATTGTCTTTTCTCCTCCATTCCTCTTGCACAACTTCCCCCGCGGCTTGCTGGGTGCTAATCTGGTTGTTGAGTAGTGTCTGCCAGTATTGTATCCATCTCTGCCGCGCCGTTGCGTCCGAGTCGGAGCCGGAGCCGTAGCGGAAAGCTGAAAGGTGCGAGATTGCAGATCAGTCAGGCTGCGCCGGCCACCTGCTGGCAGATCCACATTTGGGTCTGGGATGCGGTTGGTACTGGTACCAACTGCCCGTGTGCACTGGGCTGGAACAGGTGAGGTCACAAATCTGACTCCATCAAGTACGGAGTACGGATACGGAGGATGTGATTAATCAAGACATTTATAACATGGGGGCGGCGGGAGGATTCTTGATTGCGAGGTGGGCTCATCACGTATGTGTGATATAATTATAAACTCCGTAACTTGGTTTCTACGAACTAGGAAGTCGTGGCTCCTGTCTCGCTTGGATTCAGCCCCCTTGTTGCGTGCTGTACAAACATCTCAGCGTCCTTCCTCATGGCAGCGACGTTGACGGCGCCTCGGCCGTAAGCTCGCGACACCGCAGCTTGGACCTCCTCGTCTTCGAACAAACTCTCGTCGCCATCAATCCCTTCCATTGCCACCACTCTCCTCCAATACTCGTCATCCGCGGCCTTCAGCTGCGGACTGCGCACAACAGCGTTCCGCGCAATCGAGTACGCCCGCAGGTTTGTCTGGGTCATCTGCAACGCTATGTTCGCGGTGATGAGCAGCTCCTCAGTACGACGACGGGTAAGCTCGGGATCTGTGGCCGAGTCGGGGTTGAAGAGCAAGAACCGGTGTGTGGTAGAGGCGTAGATGAGAAACGCCACGATTGCATCGAACACACACAGCGCCAGGGGCCGCAGCGTTGCGGCGATCCAGAACGTGCCTGCGGGCGCGGGCGTTCCTTGGTCGACGATCGGAGCGTACATGCTGGCTATGGCGAAGTCGAGTCCAGCCAAGGCAATGCCGCCGAGCAGGGCGCGTGTGCGCCAGCGGCTGGCTTCGAAGCCCGCGATCGGCTCGGACGTTGCGAGGCCGAGGCACAGAATGTGGAAAAGGTGCGAAAGCAGAACGTTGGTCGGCAAGTAGTAGAGCAGGAAGGAGAAGTCGTCGTCTGGATGGCAGAACGTGCAGTCTAGAAGCGTCTGTGGACCAAACCGGAGGTAGCTCTGGCGGAGACTGGTACAGGAGCAATTGGTTAGCATTCAGCAGAGCCATGAGAGATTGTTGCTTAGGATCAGGCCTGTTCTGGCTTCCACACTGCAGCGTCCTGCCCGCATCTCCAAAGGGGGTTGTCAAGGCTCGAACTTACGCCTGAGACCCGAGTTTCGAGCGCAAAGCATCGTCGGTGGCCGTCAGGACGCCATGCTCACGGAACAGCGCGAGCCGCGCAAATAGTGTGTCCGTTGCCGCTGACAGCCTCGACTGTGTCACTACGAAAATGTTGTGCTTGGTAAGGTCGCCTTTGAAAGAGGGCAACGAGGCGTAGAGAAATACACAGATCGAAGCGAACAGCACGTTAAGGCCTCGACTGGTTTTCTCGGGCAGTGCTCGCGGCAGCGGGCGCGTTCGGATTGTGGTCTTGACTATCCGGTAGTAATTGATTGCACGGGGTAGGACAAAGGTGAAGAGCAGTGGCCAGAAAGGCTTCAGACTGTATCGTCGATCAGCGGTTGTCCTTGGACACAGAATGTAAGGGGGTAGAGGACACCTTTCCAGCAACGCCATCACGGCGGACGTCCAAGAGGAGGTTCGAAACTCAGCTCAAGGTCTAATAGTAGAGACAGAGGTCTGGGTCTTGGAGAGATCAGTCTTTGAACAACCCTCGATCATTTCACGAAGATATGTAAGTCACCGAGTTGGAAAAGAAAGTACCTAAGTAATGGGTGTCGTCGCTGGGACGGGAAAACAATATTCCGATGCCCAGTGGTGCAAGTTTGGAGATCGGGGTCTGCTGTGTGCTCATATGAATATGCAAGAGCAGTTCAACGTCTACGGGCTACTAATAGCTGACATCCTAGGCGTTCGCCTGCTTCCTCTGTAAAGAAGTGCTAGGCGCGGTCAAAAGCCTCAGGCCAGCAATCCATGCCGCACATGACTGTTTCTACCACACGATCAAAGACGAGGTTCATAACAGGTAGAAGCACAAGCACCACTGCCCTCATCCTGCCACATTCTAGAGCGAAACCAGGATGAATTGGCTGGATGGTGAATCTGAGATATCTTGACTTCAGACCGGCTAGCAACCCCATCGCTAACTTGCGCCAACGCCAGGTCCAGACCAGGGTATTAGGGTATATTGTGTGTGAAGACTGCGCCAAATACAACCCTCTTCGCCAATCCTCAAAACGAGTACTCCGTATATGACCACCCGACAATTGCAGCAGCTTTGTAGGAAGCTGACTCGACACGTTCTGATCGGGCGACACGGTTGGTATCAGTTCTTCTTCGTAGCGGCACCCCCTTGGGCTTTCGCGGCTTCAGCTGTAATGGCAATCAGACATCTGTATGGCCAACCCGCCGCGTTGCTGGCTGAAAACCCACCTTTTGCCTGCTTCTCGCGCATAATGGCGGCTTGTGCCTCCTTCGTACGTTGAAACTCAGTCCCGGAGAGTGAGTTCTTCTTCTTCTACAGCAACATCTATCGTTAGTTGCGATGTCGGATGGTGCCGGTGCATCAAAGATACGGCGGCTCGCTCTAAAGACAGCATCGAGAGGGGCAGTCGCTAGGTGTCGGCCTTTTCGTGGTAGGATGAGGACGAGGACGAGGACGAGGACGTACTGTTGAGGCCTGCTCCTTGAGATTCTTCTCACGGGCCTTTTCTCTTTGATTTCCGCGAGCCATGGCTGCGAAAAAGTTACAGAGGACAAAATAAACGTAGGAAGGGGGAGGCGCGAGACAAAGGAACCCGGGACGGAGAGAGAGAGGAGACAGAGTGGACGGTGGCAAGCGCAGACAGCGGGTGAGATGGGATGAGTCTGAGTTGTCGAAGAGCGGTAAATCTGAAGGGCGCAGTTTCTGGGCAATCATAAAATGGCACCGCATTCTCCATTCTCCGATCTCGATGTCAATCTCGATCTCCGTCCCCGTCTCCATATCCGTCTCAGGCCTTCACCCTCTCTTCCACCTCTTCACCGCGACACTGTCCTTCACCACTGCTGACTCAAATGACTTTCTCAGGTGTCGCCCCCGTGTGCTACCTGCGAGCCGTGTATCAGGCGACTTTGGATGCCGCAGACACCCTCGATGAAAGACTGCGGCCGCTGTGAAATAGACTGGGCGTCAAGGGGCCAACAATGTAGCGGCCTCAAGCGCGTTTCAGATTCGGTGAGGATGATCGTCCTGATGAGCCACAGCCACTCCCTTGGCCGGCCTCTTCGATGTCTGAGGGAAACAGAACATATGCTGCAGATATATGACAGTGCTGAAGCAGGCGTCTGTCGGCTTTGCTGAGTCTCGATGTGACTGAGGGTAAAAGTTGGATGCTGTCTGAAACCGAGGACAATTACCTTTTCAGACAGGATGCTCATCTTACCAATGATCACGTCCTGCTCATGGCATGCCAGATGCCTTTACAACAGCCTCATCCCGCGTCCGCGCGCTTACCACTCTGCGACTCTGACCTCGACCGGGAGCGAGCGTTAGGGTGAAAAAGTCATAGAAGAAGATCCATTCTGCCAGCTCTCGAAGTTGTGGTCTATCTCGGTGTCTTGTGCCTGTTATTCCTTGTGTTCGATTCAATCCTTATTATGCCGCTGCGGCTGCTCAATAGCCTCAACGCCTCTATTGTTCTATTCACCCATTCACATATCACTTAGGCTTGCCAAATTACATACACCCTCCCTCGTCCTTCCTCGACTCTCTCTTGATTATATTTGTCTACAAGACACCCTGCACTTCGATCTAAAAGTTCTCCTATCAAACCTAAAACTAATCCCATATCGACGTCTACAATGTTTCTCTTCGGCAAGTCGCTGGCCGGCGCCGGTTACGTCGTGCTCAACACGATTCGAGTTATGAATATCATCGCCCTCCTCGCTGTTATCGCCGCAAGTTCAGTCATGCTGGTCAAGACTTTTATCGTCTCCAAATTCTTCTTCTTTGACGCCTGTGAGCATGTCATTCGAAGCGTAATCAGTGGTGAGTGAGGTGCGGTGATTACCCTCAAAGATCCACTGCTAAAGCATTGCTAGGATTTCTCATACTCACTGAACTTCCTCTCTTCAAATCCTACATTTCTCGGAACTGGCCGCTCTTCAGTGCTCGATCCAGCTTTGTCATGCTCGGGGTTTCGATGGTCTTTCTCGGAAACGGCATACTGGGAAATCTGAACAAAGAAGCAACAAGTCAGAAGAGTCTGGGTCTACCATTCTGGCGCCTTGTGATTGCTTCGGGGATCATAGTACTTGTGATGGGATCGATCAATGTCCTGGCAGTAAGTACCCTGAGAAGGTTCACCGGAGACGGCTGTTCTAACACGTGTTGCAGAGCTACGTTTTTAGCGACAGCAGAGCGCATCTTACAGCTCGACAAGTCCGATCTCATGGTGCAGTGGCATCTCACAAAGCTGATGTGGAAGCCTCCACGCCCAAACCACCCAGTCGACGCAGTCACTACCGATCCTTCTTCCTCGGCAGCAAACGCGACTCACTTCCTTCTTACTACTCTCGCAAACATACCGAACGCAGCGACATGGCTCAGACACCGAAGATGCACCTTGCTATTTCGAGTCCCTTCACCCCAGGCCAGCCTCTCACCAAGACGGCACAGAGTCCAGGAGCAGCGAGCTCAAAGTACAGCCAGAGTCCGAGCAGTGAGCGACACGTTGCAAGCCCCGAGCTCAACAGACCGGATTTGGCACATCATCCTGCCATCATACACGGACAGGCTCTTTAGGAGAGAGTTGAACCGGACAATCGGGCCATATTAGATGGACTGCGAGGTCACGGCAGTGATGGGCCATTCAAGTACAAATTCCATGACAGCAGAAGCGACCTGCACAGCCCCGGCTTCTCCTATCTGCACAACAGGCGATGATGCACGCGTTGACGACAAAAGAGAAGACGGGGTCGAGAGCAGGAGTCCAGCATTGTGTAAGCGAGCCCAGCCCAGCCCAGCCCAGCTACTTGGCCCAAGGAAAGGACGCAAGGAAGTAATGAAGCAATGAAGCAGTGAAGCAAGCAACGAAGGAACGAAGCGAAAGTTAGGTTAGGTAAATACCTTGGTAGTAGTTATACAACTCCCATTACCTCACCTCAGGTACCTAGGTATGTATGTGCGTAGTACGGGTACCTAATAGTATGTACCGTACTCTATACTCCGTAGATACCTACCTACCTACCTACCTTACTTACCTTACTTACCTCGGGCTGTGTACACTATCACTGTCACTGTCACTGTCACTGCCACTGTCACTCCATGTAAACAATATACCTGACCTGAAGGCTGTAAATAAATATAAGGTGTATATATATATCGGTGAGCACATGCACAAATACAGATACAGATACGGATACGAACACGGACACTCTATACCGGTACCGCTCTATCTTCATCTATACCTACCTACCTGGGTAGGTATATCCAGGATTGGGTGTAAGGTGAGCCTGGGCGAAAGGGAAAAGGGAATAGAAAAAAAGAAAAAGAAAGACCTGTAAGTGATGATTACCTAGGTACCTACATGCAGACATAAATACAATATCTGTAGCGACATAACAATACCTACACAACTCCGACACAAGACAACGACAACGACAACGACAACGACAACGATATCGAAAAATACAAATATTATCCTCAACTTCTGAACAGAGCAGTACTGACCCAAGTATCCGACACTTCAAGGGAAACAACCAGGTTGCAATAGATTCCATCTTCCAACACTCAACTCCGGGTCGACTTGATTCAATCAATCAATCAATCAATCAATCAATCAATCAATCAATCAATCTCCTCAGTGCCCCCACTCTCACAACCACAACAGCAACAGCAACATTCACTCCGATCAATCTTCCCAGATTCCCCACTCACAACAGGAATAGGAATAGAAACGTTCCATCTGTTCCATCTTCTCCATGTTCCAGGAGCTCGTCTTTGCCACAGACTCAATCCAATCAAACTTCCTAATCCCTAATAGGCATGTGCACCATTACCGTTGACCTCGACCTTCTGCTCGGTCAGAGCCCAGGTCTTCAACTGGGTATCCAGGACACCCTCATCACTCGCGGCGCGACCATTTCCGAACTTCTTGAGATCCCATTTCTCCACGCCCTCGATGCCTCGCAGCTCCTCAGGAAAGGTGTGGAAGAGATCAGCATTGAGCTGCTCGTACTCGGCGTAGCCTTTGGGGTAAACCCCGAACCGCTCGAGGGCGAGTTTCAGCAGAATCAGATGTCGGCGTGCATAGACGCCCGGTGAGACGGCGCCGGCATGACCGTCCACGTTCAACCCCAAGGCCGACAGGTCGACCGGTTCCGGATCCGCCGAAAGAACCGTCACGTCGTCGTCCTCATTGAGACCGAGCGGGTCGAGAGTCAGCGACCGGAGCACGTTCTCGTGCACCCCGATGGCACGCTTGTAGTAGCGCCGTGCAATTTCCTCGGCTCCTTTGGTGCTCTGGAGGGCCAGGCCGGTGCTGACGTTCAGCTGGCCGAGGAGGATGTTCATCTCGAGCGTGACCACGTGAGACGAGCCGTAGACGCGCCGAAGGTTGTAGGCAATGTCGGCGGCCAGATGGAGGGCGAGGTCGTATTTCTTCAGGAGAAACCTCGCCAGGACAAGGCGACGGCCGAGCGCGAGGACCAGGGATGGGCCCCAGGCGGCGTGCGTCTCGCGAGTCTCCCAGAGGGTGGTGAGAAGTGCCTGGAGAATCACGATGGTCAGTACGAGTAATAACAAGGAAGAAGATGCAGTGTTGGCTTACCTCCAGTGTAATGTAGTCTTTCTCCTCCCCTAGAATCGAGACGATGATATTGGTCTGCTTCAGAGGAACGGCGGCAAGGTTGAGTTTCAGCTGCTTGGCCGAGTCGAGCATCTGCCGCACAATGCTGCTGGCAATCTGGATCTGAGCCCGACGCGTGGTGCCCCGATGACTGATGTCCGCGATGGCGATGGCCAGGACAAGTCCATCCTTGATCGCAGCTGGGGTGTCGTACCATCCACTGGCATGGGAGTATCTGAAAGCCGTCTGGGCCAGGTCGCAGGCCTGCTTGTGTTGTCCGTGCCGCAGGAGGTGCTTGACATGCTCGATGCTGGCCAGGTTGATCGAGTGGAGGAAATTCTTGACCTGATGGGTTCGAAGGTATGCGAGCATGGTCGTGACCAGCACCTTGACTTGAGCCACGTCGCCGACCTTGGCCTTGTCACCCGACGTCCTCAGGAAGAAGCTGACCAGCTGATCCTCCACGTGAACCAGCAGGACCGACCGCTTCTGGAGGCTCAGGAAGGCGTGAAGCCGTGCCGCGACCGCGAACACCTCTTCCACCGTCAGGTTGCTCCGAATGGACCGCTGGAATTCCTCATAGTAGACAATCTCGGTCAAGATGGACACGTAGATCGAGCTGAACGAGGCCGAGCTGTCTTGTCGCAGGCTGTACTCCAGCTGGGCGATGTAGATGGCGGCCGAGCGGCTGGTCGAGGTGAAGTCCAGATTGTATTTCTTGGAGTTGCTGGCGTCCTTGGTCACCAATTGCCAACGGAGCTCCTCGGCCACTTCCAGCCCGCGATGGGTCTCATTGACCGCGACAAAGGACGAAGCGACCGCAATGGCCCCTCGGATCAACTGGTCGGAGCGCTGTTCGCTGGAGACGATGTGACTCGTGACCGTGATGAGCTCCTGCACCGCCTCTTCCTTCTTGGACCGTTTCGCGTAGAGATAGGTCATCTCCTTCAACTGCTCCAGAGACTCGTCGTGAGTCCAGCCGTACTGGCTTCTGCTCTCGGTCAGGCGTTTCCGCACCACGGTGACGGCTCGCTCGACCTGCTCACTGGAGGCCGAGATGGTGCTGCTGCGGACCGCCTCCAAGGCCTGCTCCTCATAGATGGCGTCGAGAGTGGCTCGGCTCTCTGAATGGTACTCGACCGCCTTGACGTCCTTGAGAATCTGCTCATACAGCGCGACGGCCTCGACCTCGTGACGCTTGGACAGGCGGCACAAGCGCGCGAGGGTCAGCGTGGCCTCTTGGGTGAACTTGTGGTCGGCGCCGAAGACGGTGAGACAGGTCTGCCGGTACGTTTTCGTGATCTCGTACGTGACCGCCGTATCCGAGCTGGATACTTTCAGGCTGTCCACATATCTGCTGTAGACGGTCGAGACAAACGAGGTGACCTGGAACTGCTTGGATTCCTTGCCCTTCTTCACGAAGGTGCGGAAGAGAAGGGCGTACGCCCAGGTGGCGTCGCTGTAACGTCGTTCGATCCAGTAGTGGTCAGCAACCGTGCTCAAGGCGTCAATGGCGTCAGGGTGGCAGACATCTGACCCCTGGCTCAGCAGATCTACGATCTGTCGGTAGTACTCGATGGAGATGGGCTCCGGGCTGGTTAGACGTGCCAGCGTCCACAGGGTCTGGATGGTCTGCCGATGAGTAGGCCCGTATGCCTTCCGGTAGTCTTCCAGCAGTTCGCGGTGCAGTTGAATGATCTTCTCGCGCGCTCGGTTCTGCTCGAAAAGCCTCAAGAGCTGGGTCAAGTTGTGCTGCACCACGCCGTCGTCAATCTTTCGCGTGGCTTTGACCGCCCGAAACAGTCGCTCTCGGAGATCTTGCGCTTTGAGGGTCCGAAGGCGTGATTCGTAGCAGACAATGAGCTGGTCGGCGAGCTCCAGGGCAAAGTCTGGACTGCGGACGGGCTGGCCAACGTCCTCGATGGAACTGGAGAAGAAGCCAGCCCATACAATGTGGAGCAATCGTTTGATGGTGACGGTGGCCTCCTTCCAGCGCTTCTGTGCGATGTAGGCAACCACGACCTGCTTGGCCGCCGAGGTGGAGGTGATGTCGATCTGCGTGGACTTGGAGGACTCGATACTGGTAATGATCTCCGTCATGGCAGATTGGGAAACATGGGTGACCGAGGATGATGAGGAGGCCGTCTGCTTGAGAATCTCCTTCTGGGTGGACTGGATCTGCTCTTCGACTTCTTTGTACGAAGAGCTCTCGATCTTACTCACGCTTTTGGTGACAGACGAGTACTGGCGGAAGATGTCGAGAGCAACGGTAACGATTCCCAGAGTCTTCAGGACCTTCCCAGCTTGGAAGAGACGCGAGCTGATTTCTTCCGACTGCGCGATCGACAACGATCGATACTCCTCCCACACCCCAGTCAGCAGTGCCGATGCCTCGCTTTCTCGCTTGGTGGACTGCAGAAATTGGGCATAGGTTGTAGCCAGCTCGATCTTCCGACGATCAACCTCCAACGAGTGGCTCGTTTGGCTTTGCAGAGATATCAGATGCCAGGCTTCGACATAGGCCTGCTCAGCTTCGGCCGTGAGTCCTTTGGCCGTGTATGACTTGGCCAACTCCAGGAGCTCGTCGATATGTTTGCTATTCTCGGTGCGGATGATGATGTCGTGATCATGTTCCTCGCTCCAGTCCCAGGTCTCGTAGCCAAAGTCTCGGTCGCGGCGAGACACGACACGCACGCCAAGGGACCCAGTGCGTTTGATGGAGGGTTGGTCTTTGGAGGTCTGAGTGTCACGCCCGTGTATAGAAGTCTCCACCTCCACTGCCTTGGATTCCTCCTTGAGCGTGCGATAAAGCTCGATCAGTTGGGATTTGTAGGTAAGCACCACTTCCGAGGTGGCCCCATACTGCGTGGTGCTGCTCTTGATGAGAAGGGTCAAAATCTCCTCGCGACGAGTCATAATGTCAGTTCTCGTGGTAGTGGTGAGAGTGCTGGTGACATTGAGGAAATAAGTGGCACATTGACTGGCCAACGGATGGGTGGTGGAAAAGAGGCTGGCAGAGAGTTGGCTCGCCGAGTAGAACAGGTCGGCGGCGGACTGCAGGTCCCCTTGCTTGTGGAGGATCGAGCCCAGAATGATGACCGACTGCAGAACGACGGCGTGGTTCCCTTCGGTCACCTTCTGTCGGACATCGAGAGCGGTTGAGTGCCACAAGACCTGGATCGACGCTGGGAGCCAGGTCCAAGCCGACCTTTCAAGAAGGGGGACGGTGGACGAAGTTGGAAGGTTGGCGATGAAGGCCTTCTTCAATTCCACCGAGATCTCCCTGGAGCTGGATTCAACCTCAAGATAGTGGCTGGGCCAGTACCTGATCGCATACTCCGCCAGCGGATATTGAGTCAGGATATGGTCCACCTGAGCCGGGGTCAGAGCGGAGAAAGAGGGCTCCTTGTGGTCTTTGACGCTGACTCTCAGGTACGTCCACAGACGTTGCACCAGGTCCAAGGAGGGCTCCTTCACCGGCAGATTCGGCTTGTGTTGGGTCAAGTGAGACGCCAGAACCTGCCTGATGGTGGCGTGGCGCAAGTACACCAGGCCGTCTTGGAGGAAGACCAAGGATGCGACCGGCTTCAAAGCATGCAGCGGCTCAATGTACTTGTCACTGATCGTCCCCGTTTTCGGGTCAATGGCATAGAGCAGTGACAGTTCCTCGACAGTCAGAGGGCGCTCAGAGATGGAGAGCCAGGTCAAGAGCTGTCGGCCCACGTCGGACAGATTGGCGGCGACGAGATGATCACGAATGATTTCCTCGAGAGGCTTGGGGCTCTTCTTGATGGCGGCCGTGGCTTTGGTGAACTTCTCCTGTGACGTCTCTCCGAGCAAGCCCTTGGCCGCCAATTTGGCCCAAAGGAAGTTGCTCTTGGAGGCGTCCACGATTTGATGGACAACCACATCTTGTTCAATGCTGGACAACTGGCGCAGATAGGGGTGGTTTCGAAGGAGGTTCGACACCACTGCGAAGACGTCGTCGTAGATGAGGTCCTCGGTGATCTCTACCACCGTGCCGGTCTTGGAAACGAGCGAACTTGGCTGCGAAAGAGTGATGAGTTTCACCTTTTCATGCTTGGACGAGGCATTGGCAAGGTGCTGGTGCAGCTTCTGGGCCTCTTTGGGGGTTTGGGCCACTTCGTCCAGGCCATCCACAATGATGAGGGTGTCTTTGGCTTGGGAATGTGTCAGCGCGATCAGCCTCTCGAACGCATTCCACAGGAGAGATTCGTAGGCGGCGACGTCGATCGACTTTTGCGACGCCTCGTAGGTTTCGCTCAGCACCTTGTAGATTTCCACGTTGCCGACCCGGCTTTCCAACAGTTGCGCCAACAGGTTCCGGATGACGTGCAAGCTGGCGGCCTGTGACTTGGCTCGAGCGTTGATGGGCACGAACAGGACCGTATACGACTTTCGGGAGCTGGAGCGTTGCACAGCGTCGACGATGGTGCCCGCGAGAACGGTCTTGCCCGAGCCTGGAGGCCCGACAATGGCCAGAGAGTTTTGACCACCATTCAGAAAGCGGGTCAGGTACGGTTGCACCCACAAGCACGTCAATTGCTGACGGTCATTGACCAGAGCGGTGTGATCCCCCGACTTGTACTTCAGGATGTTGTCCTGGATGGCCAACCAGGCGCGAAGGGTCTTGATGTCGACCAGGCTGTCGACGTCCACGTTCTCCTCGGCCAGCTGATACTTCCACATCGACTCGACGATCTTGTCCCGGCGGGTCTGGAAGCTCTCGATGGTCCCGGCGAAGGCGGTGTAGATGTCGATGGAGACGCCCGAGTCGCTCGAATGTCTGATGGCTTGGTAAAAGCGCAGAGCCACGTCCGAGACCAGCGTGACCAAGTCGGCGTATGCCAGCACCAACTGCTCGTTGATGTCGAAGGAGGCATTGAACAGCTCGACCCGATCCAAGAGCGCAATCAGGTCTCGGGAGCATTTGAAGAAGAATCCAAACGAGGTCTGGAGGGCGGCTGCGTTGTCGTCGCCGAGTTCCAACAGCAAGATGCAGTACCCAAAGGCGATTTCGGCGCCGTCATAGTTGCCGCCCGTGAACTGCTCGATGGCTAGGTCAAACTCGTTGAACTTCTCCGCGAACGACTGCGCCCAGGCGAGCACCTTGTCCCAGGCACTGCCCTCGGTGGGCAGTCGGCGTAGACGCTCATTGCTGATCTTCTCTATGAGGGTTTGGTAGGAGCTAATGATGTTGTTTGAGATGGCTGATCCCAGTTCTTCGGCGCATCGACGCTTCAAGATGTGCACGATCTCGGCCATTTTGGCGGAGCCAGTTGCGCCCGACGCAGTGGTCTTGGTGCGGCTGGTCGACAACCTATACGAGGCATGTCGTGAGGTCTGGGTGCCATTGCCATTGGCCAGATAGCTGGATACTTTGGTCGCCATTGCGAACCGTCGGCTGCTCTCGTATACAGACCCAGAGCCAGAGGACGGTAGGTCCGCTGGGTATTTGGGAGAGATGGACGGTGGGAGAGCTCCTCTGTCTCTGTCAGGATCGGTCGAAAAAGCGTTTGGATCTGGTTGGGTCGGAGGTTGACCCTGAGATGAGATCTGGTGTCCGCCAACGTTCCTTTCAGAATGGCCGAGGGTGGGGTGATCTGGCACAGCTTCTGCAGCTGTGCGAGCAAGATCCACTCGTTTGTGGACGCGGGAGTCTGAGGACTGAGTTAGTTTTTGATTAGTACGTACAGGCGCAGGTGGTCCATCACTGACCTCTTGCCTCGGTGGAAGGCTGGGTAGAGAGGGCGTCTGAAGAAGTCTTTGCTTTTCTGCCGAGACGGTTGCAACAGCAGAGGACGGATAGTCAATCAAGTTGCATTCTTGCCTGTCCGCCGTGAGAGACTGTCCATGTCCACCAGGTCCGGTCGGACGAGTCTTTTAATGGGAAATGCTTCATGCCGACTCCCTACTCCTCCGTCCACGAGGGGAGGAGGCGAGGCGACCGATGCTTCAAGGATCAAAGGCTGGTGGTTGAGCTGAAGCCAGGATCGTCGTCGCTAGTCTCTGGACGCCAGCACCAAGACGAATAGATCGCAGGCATAGTGTCGTTGATAGTTCTCCACGGGACACGGAAGGCGCGAGGTGGCTGAGGTCTGAACAGGGTCTGTCTCCTTTTTTTCCGTTGATCATTGGGTGATATCAAAGGAATGGCCGACGTCGGCCGGGGCGGGAAGGGGAGTCGGGACGCTTGTCGCCTCGCCCACTTTCCGTAGAGGGACGGGAGGAAGGAAACGGGACAGCTGTGTCTTGCGTCAGCCACCAGAAGCCACGGGGATTGGTGCGAGACGGTCGATTGGCAGGTCTGGAAAGAGACTGGCATACCTCGTTCGGGAGAGGATTGTCTCACACCATCTGAAAGCGATCTGAGCCCGGGGGTAGCGAGGGTCTCGGTCAGTCCAATGGCGGCGTCAACGCTGTCGCGAGAGGATCGGTTGATGCACGCCTTTAGTCAAACGTGGAGGTCGGCTCCAGCATTTGCTAGTGTGCATTGGTGCAGACTACAGAGTAGTCAGTATGTACGTGGTCAGTGTAGTGTTCGGATACACATACGGAGTAATAGGTAATTAGTAGTGGGGTGGGCGTTCGTTTTTTTTGACAACACTCCCTGCGCCTGCGCCTGCGCACGGGAGAAGCAGAGTGCCAGACTCGCCAGTCTCCTGAACCACCATCACCATCACCATCACCTTCGCTTGTACCCTGGTACCCGGGCACCCTGGATAGGGGAGGGTAGGGATAAGGCTGGCGTACGGTGAGGCTGATGCCTGGCTGACACCTGCCAGTCCTTAGTTCTTTTGTGCCGTGTCAAACTCGACCATAACCTCCACCCTCCGGCCGCTAATTCATCAGCTTGCGTCCAACCTCTCCCTCTCCCTCTCCCCCTCTCCTGCAGGGTGTAAAACGGAAATGGAAATGCACTTGGGATGCAGCTGCCGGCTAGCCCAGATAGGGGAAGGGGGAGGAATCGTCAATCGAGCCTTATACTGATCGAGAGCTGTGGAGCTGTGTTTGACGTACAACTTCTGGTACGTGTCCAGACCAGATCAGTCGCGCGGTCTCTCTCGGGCGAATCACGGCTTAGGGGCTGCGAGAAGGTGCTTGCGCCATGGCCGCCATCCAATATCAATGCACAGCTGCGAGGGCTGAGGACATCTACACAGCACAGAGTAACTAAAGGCGGTCTACGGTTCAGTGTATACGGAGCATCCGTATTCTGTATGCTGTATGTATCCGTACAGAGAGTACGGATACGCTGGAGTCTGCACTCCTCAGCACCGACTTCTCCATCCACCCATCGCGCTCCCCTACGCAGTCTCCTCTGTGACACATATGGGCCGATTGGCGTAGAGTCGTGCGTTAGGCCAAAAGCCCAACGATTCCATATGTACGTACTTCGAACGCCTGGCGTCATGACCCATTTCTTTGCGGACATTACATCAAGAGGGCTTTCTTCTGTCCAGCCAGCCAGCCAGCCAGCCACCTCTGTTCGTCCGCCTTCTTTGTCTCTCCGACTGAGACAGTGCAGGCATCCCGTGCGATAGACTTCCGACCTCATCTCTGAAGGTTGGACAGGTGAAAGTCTAAAGGGGTCCAAAAGCCAAATAGACCATCTCGATGCACCGCCGGGCTACTTTTCTGATTGAGCAACGTCCCGTGGGTCATCCTGCATTTCCCAAGCACCAGCACCGCAAGATGTTCGCTCCAAACGAAATATGCAACAAAGAGGTTGGTTCCCCACCCTCCTCACCAGTCGCCAGAGCTCTCGTGGGCCGTCCAAAAGCAGACTACTGATCTGCTACTGCACGAAGCAGCGGTGGAACCGTCCTCCTTGGGAGATGCTTCAGTCTCGAAGAGGTAAAGCAGGACAAGCTATCAGATGTCGCTGTGCACATCCGGCAGGGATGCTCCTCAGCTTCACCGCTTCCGCATCATAGCATCAAGTGAGGGGCTTGTGTCGTCGTGCATCCGTTCAACAATAATGGTGCCATCGGCCCGGCCGAAGGGAGGCGCTCACCCAGCCACCCGGGGAACCCGCGACGAAGACGAGGCGCCGGAGTGGAAGGGAGATTCTTAAGCAGATGGTCAGGTCGGTCCAGTGCTCGAGAACCCAGAAAACTTCTCTTCAGGCCTGTCCATCCACCACTTTTCAAACCTTCAGAGCCACCTAAGAGCGATCCTGACATAGCGATCTGCCTGGCAACCGCCATTCACGAATGGAGGCATTCAATCAATTTGATCACCAATTTGATCACCACCACCACAATCACAGCCAGCTCACAGCCGACAAGCTGGCGCTCATCAAGCTGTCCACCACCGAGCTTGACGGGGATGCGCTCTCCGATGCTGGTACCGTGAACGTCTACCGCAATGGGGGCTTTTCTCGGTCGGGCACGCTCCGCTCTTCCAGGCGGCAGAGTTCGCTGTTGCGCTCATCGCGCACAGAGTCGTCCTCATATGCCAAGTTCTCCTCCGAGACCACCGCCCAGGTTGAGACCAAGTTCACAGCGCTGATGGACATCATATCCAATGCATCCAGGGAGGCATCTTCCCTCCAGAGTATTTGGGAGAGGCTGAAGCACGAGCGTGAGGTGTATCTGGAGGAGCGTGAATCTTTGATTGCGCAAGCCACCGAGCTCACTGCCGAGCTGACATCGCGCGAGGAGGAAAGGACTCGCCACAGCACCGAGGTCATCGACCGGAAGAAGCAGGTCGAGAAGCTTCTGGCCGAACTGACCACAGCCTTGGCCACTATCACGGCGGAGAAAGAGCTCGTTGCAGAGCGCGACGCCGAACTGAAAAGGGTGCATGCTGAGCTTCGCGAAACCCGGGACTCTGTGTCCCACCACACTTCCCAGTACAGTCGCACTCGCCAAGAGCTTGATGTTCTTAGCGCCAGACTCAAGCAGACGGAGCTTGAGCGCGACGCTGCCAACGAGGCGTCTGAGAAGTATCAACGCGAGCTCAGCCGAGCGACCCGTGAGCGGGGAGAGCTATCCACTCAGCTCACCGAGGTGACATCTCGGTTTGAAATCGCCCAGAAAGACGTACATTCTCTCACCGCCCGTGTCAAGCTGATCGAGACGGAGCGCGACGAAGGTCTGCTGATCGTCGACCGCCTGAAAGGCGAGCTACAGCGCACGAAGCAGAAGAGCGCCGAAGATGCGAAGGAGGCAATAGAAGCCACGGAGAAGTATGAGAAGGCGGCCCGTGAGATTACCAGGATCAAGGAGACAGTCACTCTTGTCGAGGCTGAGCGTGACGATCATGTGCAGACCAGCGAAAGTCTTCGTCGCCAAATCAAGACACACCTGCTTGAGCACGACAAACTGGCTGGCCAACTCGGCGACGTGACTCAGAAGTACGAGGCAGTCCGACGCGAACTTATCGCCACCCAGGAGAGCTTGCGTTCCCTGGAGCTTCGAAGCAGCAAAGACGTGGAGACCATCGAACGCACCCGTGAATCTTTGCGTGGCGTGACCCGCGAGCGGGATGAGCTTGGCGACGAGCTGAACGCTGTCAAGAGACGCCTCGAGGAACACCGACAACAGGTCATCCTTGCCCAGGACAACCTACGCAAGGGCGAGGACAGGATCTCGGAGTTGCAGATCGAGGTCACGGCCCTGAACGAAAAGATTCGGCTGGCATATCGAGAACGGGACGAGGCACACGACAAGTCTGGCCACAGCTTGACCGAGATCAACCAGCTCCGGGAGCGCATCGCCGCTCTGGAGAAGGAGAAGCGTGGCATTATTGAGTCGCGCAGCAGCCTTGCGGCCGAGCTGGAGCTCTTGCGCAGCAAATACAGCGAGGTGACAGAAACGGTCACCTCGTTCCGCGACGATGCCGACGACCTGGAGCAAGAGATTGACAGTTTGAGAGCTCTCCTGCGTGAGTCCCGTGAACAGCGGGAGCGTGCTGTCAACGCCCGTGAGTCGGCCGACAAGGAGCGTGACGAGTACATCCTCCGTTATGAGGAGAAATGTCGCGAGCTTGAACGACTGAAGGAGAGCAGCTACAGTCGAAGTGCCAGCTACTCGCAGTCACATCAACGTGGCTCCCGATTGTCGCGGACCGTTACCACCAGATCAGTCTCGCAGTCACACCTGAACCAGGAATCTGGCCATGAAAGCCATCACGCGAGCTCAGCTGCGGCTGAGGGTACGCTCCTCAACGAAACACCGGAGGAAACACATGCTGAAACCTGAATTTGAATCTGAAACTTGTACGCGCCTTCGGAGGGTTGGGCTCGGTGTCTGGCAACCCTACGCACAGATTCTCTGCGAGGCTGTCGTTCGGCTACCTGCCACAGGACTGACCATGTCTGTCATTACCGGAGAGGATTTTCCTAGGAGTTCGATCATATCTTAGTCGTCATGTCTCTCTATAGCGGTAATTCCAATACATACTCTTGGCAGCTGAAGTTGAACATCCCAACTCTCCCAGTCGTGAGAGCCTGCATTCACTTCCCGCTATATGTCTAGGTCTGGGGCTTCGAGGGATTCAGCTTCGACAATAGAGGGACAAGGTAGCGGGGTTCGACGGATAGGCGTATTCCCAAGGGCTGGGGAGTAGACGGGTTTTATCAGTTCATGCCGATCGAGATCCTACCGCGTATCTAGTAAGATGAGGGAGATGGTGAGTGGTGAGCGGTGAGCGGTGAGCACAGTGAGCGCAGCTGGAGAGCAGTGCCACTGTTCAAAAGCGGCGGCGGCTGCCTGCGGGCGAGCTCCCACGTGACCTCGCGTCACTTTCCCTCCTCTCGGCTAAGATTGTTTAGGTAGATAGGCCGTAGCCCGCGTCCCCCCTGCCACCGCCGTCGTTGTCTACCGTGCAGTGCTGCAAAGTCCCAGGTGGCATAGTGCTGTCTTGCTCGAGCTGCGTGGCGCTAGCTTTTGCTGCTGTCTTGGAGACTTCATCTGACAGTTCCCCATTCGAAAGATGCCAGAAGTCATTGAGCTGTTGTCGTCGAGTTCGCCACTTAGGACACCTCCCATACTGAGACAGGCCACTAAATTGCCCGCCTCAATATCAGCATTGCCTGAGACGTTCGGCTTCCTGTCTGATGACTTCGACGAGACTGTCTCGATCGATCTCCGCGTCGACCGGCCCTCCAAACGTCAACGATTAAGTCCAGAGCCCAGTTCACACGTGCCGGGCAAAGACTCTTGCCGGGTGCTGACACTAGACATCTCATCGGATGATAATTCATGGCTAGATCCTGAGGTCGATGACGCTGATCAGGTGTCGAAAGGTTCCGAGGCACCAAAGACGAAGAGCAATGTTTACGATGAAATAACCTTTTCGTCCTCAGCTCCAGAGCTGCGCCACACAGAAAGCTGGAAGTCAGCAACCTCCCTGAGACTTCCACTCGATGACTCCGACGAAGATCTATTGGAGGACGTTCTGTTGAGTCTTTCCCAGCCGGCCAACAAGGCGCTGGACGCCGATGATCATGGTGATTTGTATTCACACCGAACCGCCAACCTTTTGGCGAATCTCACCCAGGGATCGGCCACAGAGAAGAAGGCCAGGTCACGGCCGCCTAAACCCAAGGTACTGGAGCATGCATCGAAACGACCTTCCGTATCCAATATCCCTGATCAGATTGAATTCTCCTCAAGCCCAGTAAATGTTCGATCCTCTAGGTCTTCCAAATTATCTGATGATCAGAAGGCGTCTAAGGCTGCCGAAAGAGCGGCAGCAAGAGCCGACAAAGAGGCTGCAAAGCAAGCGGAAAAGGACCGAAAGCGACTGGATCGCGAAAGAAGGGCCCAGGAAAAGCAGAGGGCTGCCGATCTCGCAGAGGCCAACAAATCAAAGACAAGCAAAAAGGACGCAACTCCCGAAATGATCCTGGACATGTCAAGCTTTCTCAAGGGAACCAGTGTTGGGACTCAGGTTGAGACGTACATGGAGAATGTTCGTGTTGAGGTGAACTACATTGATGAGGAGGTCAATTTGACCGACACTGCTGCGGATCAGGATTTCTATGGAAATGTCATAACGTGGCGTCGCAAAGTCACATCCAGCTACAACAACGAAGAAGGTCAGTGGGAGCCAGCATCGCAGAGTCGGGTAGTCAAGGAGAAGCACGTTTTGATCTACCTTCCTGCCGTCGAATTTGCTGCGATAATCGGTGGACCAACGCCAACAACTCCTGCTGCACGTCCACCAACAGAAACAGAAATGAAAAGCCAGTTGGACGCTCATGTGGCCTCAATACGTCACCGATTTCAAGACTCCATTCCAATCTACCTCATTGAGGGACTGTATGGATGGATCAAGAAGAACGCGAATGCGAAGAATCGAACATACACGGCTGCTGTACGAGCACAATTGGTGGATAGTGATACAGGAAGCTCCTCCGGCGTACAAGCCAGCAGTGCTCAGCCAAAGTCCCGCAAGAGGAAGAAGCCATCCACAGACAGGCTAGACCTTTCTTTCATCACTTCTGACGTGGCCGAAGACCTGCTCTTGTATCTTCAGCTAGCGCACCAGCCAATCTTGATACATCATACCGTGTCTCCAGGAACAACGGCGTCTCAAATTTCGGCCTTGACCCAACACCTCTCGACGCGGCCTTATCGTCTGGCCCAACTCGACTATAACCTCAAGTCAGCCTCGTTCTGCATGGACACTGGTCAGGTCCGGACCGGAGATGACGCCAAAGATACGTTTGTCAAAATGCTCCAGGAGGTTCAACGCGTGACACCCAGCATGGCTTATGGGATTCTGGACCAGTGGCCGAGCGTCAGGAAACTGGTCAAAGGTTTCGAACGACATGGCAACCTGATGCTCGAGGATGTTCGAAAGAGTGTCAACAAAGACGGCGCGTGGAGCGATCGGAAACTCGGCCCTATGATCAGTCGGAGGCTGTTCAAGGTATTCATGGGCCGAGACCCTTCGGCGACAGACGGCATGTCATGATGGCTTATGATGCATGGTGTAGGGAGTAAGGGGTAAGGAGTGAGGAGCACTGTGTCGACTGCATGGACGTGAATGTGCTCGAAACGTTGGAGTATTGGGTCAATAGAATAGCGGATCACTACCGAATACTCCTGGATACTAGTATTAGGACAAATGACGATATGACGATAGACTGCCTAGTAGTAGGTATTCTCCCTGGCTCCGAGTAGGTTGACCTCTCCTGTCGACCGGAAGGCTCTCACATTTTGCTGCTTTCGTGTCCTTTTCCAACTCAGCCCTGCTCCGCTCTTTTGACCATTGGCAATGTATGGGTTGTATATACTGTATATACATGTTCATTGCCGGCAGTGTGCACGTTCGCCCAAAGATGCATGTCGTAACAATGTTCCTTGTTGCGTGCCCAGGCCATTCATTGACCTACCTAGTAACCAATTCGCATGATACATGGTATACCGGGTGCAAAGCGCCCAGGTGGAATCCCAATATGATAAGTTAGGGATGATCGGATCGGGATTGGGGACTGGGGATTGGGGATGAAAGCGATCAAATCAAAAAAAGGGTCGCTTGCACTTCCATATGACGCTCCAGCCGCCAAAGACCGAGGTCAAACCGGTGAAGATGATCAAGGGCCCGTATTCGGTGGCGTAGCCGGACTTCCCTGGGCCGTGCAGCGAGCCGGTCTTCAGCAGCTGGACGCCCGCGAGACCGCCGCTGACGTAGCCCAAGCCGCGGGCGCCGTTCAACAAGCCGTAGACGACGCCGATGTCGATGGCCTCGTTCCGGGCGGCGGACTCGTGCTCCAGCTGTTTGATGACGCCGCCCCAGGTGGAACTGTAGCCGCTGGCGAAGAAGCCATAGATGATGGAGAACAGGCTGAGGGTGGCCATGCTGGAGCGCGGGGCCAGGCCCCAGAGCAGGAAGACCGACAGGGCCGAGCAGATGCTGGACGTCCAGGTCATGGTGGTGGCGGAGAGCGGATACCGCTTGTTGTCGCTCAGGTAGCCGAAGAACGAGCAGGACAGGATGCCGGGGATGTTGAACAGCGTGAGAAGCAGGGTCGCCGACGCCTGCGACAGGGACCCGACATCCTTCGCGTACGAGTTGAGGTATGTCTGCGGAAGGCCGTAGCCGGAGCTCTGCATGATGGTGGCAATGCCGTAGATGTAGAAGGTCTGGTGCTTGAGGAAATGCCAGGGAGTGTGACGCGAGCGCGTGCATGTGTGGTGGCCGGCCGCGGGGATGAGGAAGATGGCGCCCAAACTGCTCCCGGTGATGACGGCGGTCCAGATCCTCATGGTGGTGCGGAATCCGTAGCGGTCCAGGAGGAAGCGCAGCAGGAACGGACACGCCGAGCCGACAATGTTCTTGCACGAGAAGACGACGCCGTACGCCACCGCACGATTGCTGGTGGTGAAGCTTTCGCCCAGCGAGAGCGTCGTCGGGCTGTAGATCAACGCACTGCCCAGCGGCGCGAGCACGCCCTGGGTTGCCACCACGTGCCACACGTCGGTGCTGAACGACGACAGCAGGAAGCTGATGAACGCCAGCCCCACCCCGCAGAGCGCAACGGCGTGTCGGTAGCGCGCGTATCGTTGGCTGAACGCGGCAAAGAGAAACGGCATCGACAGGTACAGCACGCCGTTGGACGTCGTGCCGATCACTCCGGTGGCCGAGAGAGAGCCCTTCAGGAAGCGTGTTTCCGAGTAGTATTCCTGGAACACGCCGTAGCACATGGCAAAGCCTGTGGAGAATGATCAGTACACGCCTGGACTCAAGAGGACGGATAGGGGATCCTCCTATAAGTAGAAGGAAACCCTTTTAAAGCACCGAGGCCAAAAACGGCGACATGTCGGTGTCGGAGGGAACAGAGAGTTCGAGTCAACTCAGTTCGATTCCACTCAATTCAACCCACTTGAACTGATGGACCGCTCTCGAGCAGAACGTACGTACCCCAGATTGGAAGCTGTAGCACCGCAGATGCTACGAGAACACGGGCTTTCGTCCCGCCCAGCCGCCGCTGGAGCCTCTGCCGTCGATCCTGCGACGAGACATCTGGTGGTGGCTGTTCTTGAAGTTGTTCGTTGAAGCTCTCTAGCTCAACATCCACGTCTCTGTTTCTGTCTCTGTCTCTGTCTCTGGACACCTCCGAGGCATCCATTGATGTGTGGGATACTTGCACGCGGAGGGGAGAGGAATCGTCGGGCATCATTGTATACTTGATAGCATCTAGGGTCTAGGATCTAGGATCTAGATAGATATGCCGGCATTGAGTTGATGAGTTTGAACACGCCGGGCCGTGACTCATGGAAGTCCTCAGGGAGATACCCTACTAATTAGTAGTATGTCGGTAAGGTACCAGGAAGAGTTGTATGCGGCAATGGGTCACGTGCTGTGCGGACGGATACTGCGGAGTACAGAGTACAGAGTACTTACAGTGATATCATATGGCGGAGTATTCTGTCCCTGCGGTCAGCCCTTTGACACACCTATTCCACATCTGGCCTAGGCAATATTTGATTCTAGCCTTACTATACCTAGACTAGTGCTGTATTAGTAACGTATTACATAAGTGAAGGCCCTCACTCGTGGTGCTCGCACCTGACTACATCATCTTCTTGACCTGCTGTGTAGCAAGTCGTAGTTGCAGTAGGGCGTACGACGCACTTCTCAGTCACCGGTAAGCGCGTAAAAGGATCTGATTGGGACTCGAGACTGTCTCCGGCATCCTGTCGTGATAAGCTGTGGGTACTACTACCTAGTACGGCTTCGACAGTGTCCGCAGATACAGTGTCGGAGTGGCCATGTCCGATACCAGCACCCATGTTAACCAGCCTCAGGACGACCTGTTCATATTCAAGCAAGTCACCGCTGAGATATTGATATCACACTCTCGCTCTTAGAGTTGCAGGACGATATCTACATCTGGCCAGACTTTCTCCCCTTCTCGTGGCATTTACCTCTCGAAAGCCGACTTCCACCAGTCATCCCTTGATACGATGGACAAGACTCCTATCGCGATAAACGGTACCAATGGACACGTCGAACAAAGTTCTGTACTGTACCGCCAGCTTCGGCAACCACCTCCAAAGGTAGTGCGCAGTAAAGGTCACTATCTTTACACAGATGACGGCTTGGAGATCTTCGATGCCTCTGGCGGCGCTGCTGTTTGCGCCATCGGTCACGGCCACGATCGAGTCAAAAAGGCAATTGCAGCCCAGCTGGACGAGATTGAGTACGTCTACTCACTCTTTTTCACCACCTCCGCGGCGGAGAGACTATCGACTCTACTCACCGAATCTACGGGTGGTCAAATGTCTCGGGTGTTTATCGTAAGCTCCGGTATGACGACGACGATGATGGAGAAGTTGTCTTCCCACAATGTCCAAATCACTCTAACCACTGACTCTCAGGCACCGAAGCGGTGGAAGCAGCGCTGAAAATGGCGCGACAATACTTCACCGAGCTTCCACAACCTCAGAAGCAGCGAACGCGGTTCATTGCTCGCAAACAGTCTTATCATGGCAACACCTTGGGCTCCCTGGCTGTCGGATCGCACCCAGCCCGCCGAGCTCTTTATGAACCGATGCTATCGGCCAATGTCTCTCATGTGTCGCCATGCTACCCTTATCGCGAAAGCAACGGCGAGGATGATGAGACCTACGTGGCTCGACTAGCTCAAGAGCTCGAAGACGAGTTTCAGCGTGTAGGTCCGGACACTGTGTGCGCGTTCATTGCTGAAACCATGTCGGGAGCGGTAAGTACTCGAGAGTTCTATCACACAAAAAGTATGTACAAGCTAACTTGAGACCACAGACCCTTGGATGTGTTCCGCCAGTGCCAGGTTACTTGAAAGCCATGAAAGCAGTGTGCGAACGCCACGGTGCCCTTTTCATTCTGGACGAAGTCATGGCTGGAATGGGACGCACTGGCACATTGCATGCCTGGGAACAAGAGGGCGTTGTACCTGATCTCCAGACCATTGCAAAAGGGCTAGGTGCAGGCTATACCTCGATCGGAGCCCTTCTCGTCAACCAAAGGGTGGTAGCCGTGCTCAATCAAGGCACCGGCGCATTCATGCACAGTCAGACGTATCAAGGCAACCCACTTGCCTGTGCCGCGGCGTACGAAGTCCAAAGAACAATTCAAGACGAAAACTTGCTGGCGAACGTCCGCGAAATGGGCAAATACTTGGGCGAGCTTTTGAAGAAGCGTCTAAGCGACCATCCTCACATAGGGGATATTCGCGGGCGAGGGCTGTTCTGGGCGGTAAGTAGTACTACTGAACTGACTGATTCACCACCATACCAATACCGGTTGGGGAAGCTGCTGATATCGGGTTGTAGATGGAACTTGTCAAGAACAAAGAGACCAAGGAGCCATTCGGGGCGAAAGAACAGCTAGCGTGGAACATGCATCTAGCTGGGCTGGAGCACGGTATCTGCATGATACCAGGAAATGGCACTGTTGATGGGGTGGTAGGAGACCATATCATCGTCGCACCAGCGTACAATATAACGGCCCAGGACATTGATTTGATCGTTGAGAGGACCGAAAAGGCTCTACGAAGTCGACTAGGTTAAGTAGTAGCTGTATTAGGTATATTTGATCCGGGTTTAATCCGGGTTCAATCCGGATTGGTCTACTACTAATACTAAATACATACAGTAGTATACCACCTACACACTAGTCGGCAATGATAGGAAAGGACTCGGGATGGAAGCACTTTTCAACTAGGTTACAGGTCTCAGCGATCTTAAGACAGGCTGGTGTCAGGCATAGGGTGGATCTCTTCTGTCAACATGCGTTGCTCAGGTCTCGCGAGGTGTGCTTCAAGTTGCTGCATACAACCCTCCGATGTGCTTCAGCTTCAAGCCGACGTTACAAACGACTCGGAACTGGGAAGCCCTTCTCTTCCTGCACAACCACTGCACTTCAACGTGAGTACCAACAGCCGCCTAGGCGTTTACCTGCTTTCCGGCCTCGTCAAGGGCTTCAATCTCCTCGAGGGTCTTCTTCCGGGTCTCTCTCTGGACAGTAGAAATAGACGCCGACAATGAACACCACAACCATGATCAAGAAAACCAGGAAATACCGCCACGAGATGGCATCAAGAGCCAGTGGCGTGCCAATGATTGAACCAGCATGATGACGATGTAATTGAAGGTCAGATCGCTGTTTGCGACGCCGAACGATCGGATCGACGTGGGCAGGACCCTTTTCGGCGGACACGTTCAGCCAATAATGTCGCTAACACGGTACGTACCGTAGGCCAGAAAGTGTTCATGGGCCCAGAATAGCCACAGAAGAAGCAATCATTGCAACGACCACGCCGATGCCGAGACCGCGATCGGTGCTTCCGGATGCCTCAAATCGCGCCCAGAGAATGACCAGCATCAGGGATGCCGGCGACGAACTGTAGTGGGTGGGTGGTCAGACCCCATGGCTCTTAGATTCAGGTTCAGGAATAGAACTTGCCCGCGGGGGACGGAACTTGAAAGTACATACATAGTAGTACTTGCCCAGGGGAAGGAACAAGCTTGAACTTACCACGAGGTTGCGCCTGCCAATTCTGTCACAGAACAACATGGCCACGACGGCAGTGGCAGTGGCCGTTGTACCGTAGACACCGGCACCTGTCAAGACCAAGGATTAGTAGAGAAACCCAGGCGTGTACGGAGTATAGATTATCACCTGGTAGTTTTGAATTGGGATGACGCCGGTCAATCTGTAGAGGTCTGGCGTGAGTGGTGTAATCCTTTTCCACATGATGTTGAGTTGTTCTTACTGTTGGAATACATAGTAGTGCAGTTCCCACCACAATGATGAGTCTCTTTCGATAGGACTTTTTGGATAGAATGGAGCTGACCCCCACGTTTATCTAGGTCGATTTGGGATCGGATCTGGTGATATTCACGGAGGTAAAACGTCTCGTCCGTCGTACGCCCGTGCATTTTCTTGAGTACCTACTACTACCTCCAGAGCCTCTTCATGGCGGTCTTTGAGGATCAGCCATCGCGGCGAAAATGGCATCCAAATCGAGCCGATCAACATGGCGACAGCCGGAACTACTAAGTTGAAGACAGAGGAGAAGTCTCCAAGACACGTCGGACTTGATATACCAAAAGGCCAGGCCGCTGGAAGCCAAAAAAAAATCATGAACGAGGCGCTGTCGCTGGCCAAGAAGACGTTGACATACGCCCGGGTGTCTGAGATCCAATCCATTCGTGCTACTAGTAGCCCTGCGTCGAATCGTGACGGTACTATATACTAGCTACATAGCAGCCAATCTGATCTGATTGCGCCTTAGGCGTTCACGCCTCCAACATGCGCACGGCCCTGACGCGGTTTGCGATGGCAACTTGGGCGGTCTGAATGCGCGGGGCGAAGGTCTCGAAAGAATGAGGCAGCGACGGATAGAGATGGATTTCACAGTTGATATTTGCCGCGGCAAACCTCGCGGCGTAAGCCAGGTTCTCGTCGCGGAAGATATCCAGACCCGGGACGTCGAGGTACAGCGGGGCCAGGCCAGCGACAGTTTCGACGCGCGCCGCCGCCGCGTAGGGGGAGACGGCGTCGTTGTCTTTGGCCGCCGCTCGATCCCGACCGAGGTACGCCCACCAGCCGGTCAGGTTGTCGTCGGGAGTCCAGCTCGCGAACGGGGCGAGGGCATCCCAGCGCGAGGTGTTGCGGTCGTCGAGCATGCCGCCGAGGATGAGTTGCTTGGCCAGCGGAGGCTGCAATTGTCGGTCGCGCGCGAGGATGGCCACCCCGGCCGCGATGCCTCCGCCGGCGCTGTCGCCCATGATGGCGATGCGCGCCGGATCGACTCCGAATTCCGCCGCGTGCTGCTGCAGCCACAGGAGCGCCGCGTACGAGTCCTCGACCGGGGCCGGGAACGGATGCTCGGGCGGGGATCGATATTCCACCGCGAAGAACTGCACGCCCGACTGCGACGCGTACGTTTCCATCACGCGGTGGTACAAGGGCACGTTGAGACAGAAATATCCTCCTCCGTGCGTGTAAACCACCGCAGACTTGGAGGGGCTGGCCCCCTGCTTCACGTAGCGGTGGATAGAGATGGAAATCTCAGTCCCGTCGTCGCGCGATTCAGATTTCGTTTTCGTCGTCGCCGTGTGTAGCGAGTGTTGGACGTCGTGGATGGCCGGCCACGTCTCCATCCCAACCGCCCAACGCCGGTTGATCTCGCGGCGCCGACTCAGCGCGTCCCCCGCGGGGAAGGTGGGAGCTTCTCCGAGACGAGGCATCAGAGGTTCGAGAGCCGCCACGAATTCAGGATCAATTGATACAGACATGTTGCCGGGAACTCTCGAGTGAGTGAGTGTGTGTACTCAGAATGTAACTCGACTCAACCAACTCCTCTATCGGAAACCGGAACAGTTTTGGCCTGATCTATAACAATAAATAAGGAGTAATTACTCCGTACATAGGACCCCGCGATGCCGTTTCCTTTAGCCGAGGATAGAACCCTAACCCTAACCCTAACCCTAGTATATAAGGGGCAGGCTCAGCAGGCTAAACCACTCCTAACTTGGGCATTCGCATTTAACCAAAAGGCTGGTCTATGCATACCTATATAGTCTAGGCCTCCCCCCCCCACCCCTTTAATAGCGAATATAGAATATTTCAACCTTCGACAGTCAATCTTGCAACGATTACGGCCCGCCTGCCACTCGCAGTTGAAGTTGGGGTCCGATGTCGGACCACTTGGAAGGAAAAGCCTTTAGGCCTTTGAGAAACGGGCCATTGTCCTCCTTCCAGATGTAGACCATGTCCACTCCGTTAGGATTGGCCCAACCTTCTGCCACGATGGCATTGGGAATCCTGGTCCCCCAGTGGAATTGGGTCGAGTTGAACTGTAATGCATGGCCGGTGGCGTTTGCATACTCTCGACTCAGCCATTGGAACATGTCATTCGTAGGCGACAAATCAGGGAGTCCTGCTCGAGGGGTTCCAAGTTCGTCCCCGAAGACGGGCTCATATTCTAAAGATAATGCTGCATCCAAAGACAATGATAGTGCGAGGAATTCGAGGTCCGGAGATTTTAGGAGAATTTGGAGGATTTGACTCGCCCAGGATCTGACATCCCCGGGAATCACTAATAGTGATAGTTTTCGCAAGCCGACAAATGTGAATTGCTCTTCTGGATGATCGAATTGGTCTAGCGATTGCTCTGTGGCGTCCGTGTCGACATTCAAGATTTGTCCATCATCTTTGTGGAATTCGATCGAGATATTCTGCAGTGACGGGATAAGAGAAGACAGGGCAGCCGCAGTGTCACGACATATCGCCATGTCCTGGGAACTAGCCAGTGAAAAGTGGAAATAGGTCAGCGTATGTCTTGGACAGACTATTGAGTGTTGACAATTCCAATCATTGGAATACAGACGGCACTTACGCAAAGGTTTGTAGCCCACGGGCATGCTGACAGACTTGGACAATTGCATCGTTCAGCAGTGTCCATATCACCTCCAGGCCAGTGTAGTGGTAATGGTCCGAGTGCCTCCAACGCACTTCCTTGCGTGGATTCTCACTTTTCCAAGCAGAGTGTAGCGCTTCCACCCCAGACCGGGTGATGATCAAAACCTTAGTGTGGGACAACTTGTTATCCGTAAGTAGGTCGCGACGCCGGTCGGGATTGGTGATAAACTTGATGTTCCTCTCGTCCCATCTCAGGCAGCGATAAAGCTGAGGTGTAAAGGCATCTCTGAAGGCATGATCAACTAAGCAGAGCTGACTCAAAGACGCCGGCGCATATATCTGGTAGGGTAATTACTCAGATCAGCAGGCTGGTCCATGGACATGAACACCCACACCGTGGGTAGGATGGATATCAAGAGATAAGAGGTAACAGACGTGGGATGCAATCTCCCGCAGTAGTTCAGGTATTCCGATCAGAACTCTTGCGGCTGCCATCTTGACAAGTTCAAGTGGTCGAGGCCGTCGAACCACACCACATTCAAGGCGATACGATACTTGAGATAAGGGTGAAGTTGAAGTGTTTGCTTGTAGGTTTGATATCAGGACGGCAGCCTACATGATGTGTGTGATTTAGAATGGCACAACCACAACCGAGGAGCATAAGAGTAGTGTCAAGGTTGAGCGAATCAATTAGAGATTACGATGTGCATCTCACACGTGACGTTGATCTAACACGTGACTATATCGCCTCACCTGACACGTGACTAGTCGAGGTCGCTCGTCGCCTCTGAGATAAGTCAAAACTCTTTGTCTTCCCTAGGTAGTATTCATATCATTCATGCACATACGCTTGGTTTTCTCTCGTAGCGGTGCTCCGTGATCCATACTATGGTACATGATATTTTATCTCGGACTCGGCTGCGGCTGTAGTCTAAGCAGGACCAATGCTCAAGTGGCAGTGAAGCCGCCATCGACGGGCAAGGCCACGCCGGTGATGTGAGAGGCCAAGCCACTGGCCAAAAAGCACACGGCGTCGGCGACCTCCTCGGGCTGGGCCAGTCGACCTTGCGGGGTGCGGTCGATGGTCGAGGCCAAGGCCTTTTTGGTGGAATCCAGCAGGAGCGGGGTGTCGACGAAGCCGGGACAGATGGCGTTGACGCGCACGCCCTTCCTCGCGTAGTCGATGGCGTCGGTGCGGGTCAGGCCCAGCACGGCGTGTTTGGAGGTGTTGTAGACGCCGAGCAGCGGCATGGCCAGCAGGCCCAGGATGGAGGCGGTGTTGACGATGGCGCCCCGTTCCGGCACGCCCGCCCCGGACCCGACGGTGCGAGGGGCCTGCTTGACCATCTGCTCGAGTTCGTACTTCTCGCACAGCCACACGCCCTTGACGTTGACCTGCATCACCCGGTCGTAGTCGTCCGCGTTCGTCTCGCCCGTCAGCCCGAACGGCCGGCCGATGCCTGCGTTGTTGGCCGCGTAGTGGATCGCCCCGAACTTGCCCACCACCTGCTGCACCGCCTCGCGCACCGCCGTCTCGGACGTGAGGTCGGCCGTCACCGCCAGGAACTCGACCTCCGGGTACGTCCTGGACAGCAGCGCCGCCGTCTCTTCCAGGCCCTTGCTGTTGATGTCCACCCCGGCGATCTTGGTCACCCCATGTCGCGCGAATCCCACCGCCACTGCCTGTCCGATCGAGCCTCCGGCGCCGGTGATGAAGGCCACGCTGTTTTAGGGGAGGGAGAGAGTCAGTCAACTTCCATGTTTTCAGTCTGACCCTTGAAGCATGTCCTAATATGATATCCAAGGAGCTGATAGGGACAGAGGATCTTGTTTGCATATATGAAAAGTGTCTTCCAGGTATACTCGAAGTCTTTGGGCGTAAGATGCATGTACTTACCCAGACAGATCCAACCCCATGATGATGAATTCAGACCTCTTGTGTAGGTAGGTATGGGTGTGTACTCTCCGATCGTGGTGGCTTTTGGGGTAGATACAAGGCGAGGAGGGTGCCCTTGGTGAGCTCTTCAAGCGCAAGGCGAATCGAACACAGGTGAAGCTGTTTGAGCGCTCAGGTGTAGACTAGCAGTAGTGATACTACTGTATACAGCATATATTAGTAATTGGCTACTACTGGCACTTATGTAGTATGTCGTTTGTCGTTTGTCGATCAGGACTGCGCAGTATCAAGGATCAAGGTGGGTCGGTCGTGCCGTAGTATAGTAGTATACTTACTTACAGCCACTGTAGTAAGAGATGCTGCTTGGATGTCGCGGGGAAAAAGAGGGGGTTCAAAGGTCAGTACTAGTAAACACACATATATATAGTAATTAGCAAGTTGGCGGACATGGCAGACACGGGGGATGTGGATGTGGTCGGTGCCTTGGACACGGACACGGGGGGATTTCGGGGTGTAATACTAGACGTGCTACGCCCAATTAGTATGTATACAAATGCTAATAGTGGATAGTGGGACATTTCACCCAAGAAGCGCTACTAGCCAATGTATCTACTGTAGACTGTATTACGGAGAGTATAGTATACATTATCTACCAGCCAGATAGTACATACTGATCTTAAGAAGCCCAAATTCGTATTTACTCATGGTTGTGTGTACTAGTTTATAGTTATCCGAAGCCGCACACAGGGGGAGAAAGAGAAAGGTGGGGGAGAGAAGGGTCTCCGAGAGGATGGCCGAAGGGGCGAGAGAGGGCCAGTAACACGCAGATAACAATGTTCATTGCATACTAGTAGTCATAGTATACTTCATTTCCGTGTCAGCTCGCCAGTGAGAACTTCAATTTATATGGCGCATGTACAGTATTTAAATACAGCGTAAGCCTCCTGTCAACAGTCCTGTCTGTCCGATATGTACTTATATCACCGGCCTTGCCTTCAGCTGGCCAGATTTCCTAACCCTAACCCTACTCCCACCTAGGTCTATACGTCGATACATAATTGCCAGTCCTACTCGATAAACAGACGGTTCGCTGTGTCCGCCCATTCATCCACCAGGATGTAGAGTGCTCCTGCCAAACCCATGGTAGTAGATCTACCATATATCTGGGAGGGATAGTATACTGCTGACAAGGACTTAGGTAAGTTTCTCAGTCTCAGTCATATTGACCCAGAAAAGCCAAGGCGCCGGTCAACTCCTTCTTCAGGACAGCTTCATGCTGTTGGCTACGAGGCTTCACCTTGACCTCATACTCCAGTGGCCGGACCAGGTTCGACGACGTGTACGCATTGACGTCCAGCGGCTTGTCCGGCAGCTCCTCGAGCTCGAACGCCCAAAGCAATTTGGCAGTCACTCGCCACATGCTCCTTTCGGCCAGGTGGATGCCAGGACACATCCTTCGACCAGCTCCGTATCCGTAGTGATGTAAATCTAGGGATCCCAATCAGTATTGTATGGTTCGTTGGATGCTACGTATTGGCAGTACCAGTAGCTGTACCAGTAGCTGTACCAGTAGCAGTACCAGTAGCAGTACCAGTAGCAGTACCAGTAGCTGCACCAAGTAAGGGGAGGGAAGAGGGAGGATTGGGGGTGAGGGATGAGGGAACTTATCTCGTCCTTGCCAGTCAGGCCCAACCGCGTAATCGTTGGCGAGTTTGGTGTGGTTCTTAAATCGATCGGGGTCGAACCGGTCGTGATCGGGATACTCGTTGTCATCCTGGTGGATGGCCCAAGTGGCGAGCCAAACGGTGCTGTCCTTGGGAAAGAACATGCCGTTGTACCAGTCATCTAGATACGAGAGAGTCAGAGTTGGAGTCAATTCGGTGGCGAGCTCCCCGAGTACTAATACAGCACTCAGTAATTAATATAGACTGCTTACCTTTGGCGAGTCGATGCGGAATGCCTAGGTCCGAACTGTCGAGTTTGTAGTCAGTCACTGAACTCCATAGCACTAATTGAATCCCACCAAATACTAAGTACAGTGGATAGGTACATGGTAGTATAACCTAGGGCTGGATCTGCAATTTGATGGAATGGAACTCTTGGAAACTCACGTTGGACGCCATCTCAACGCCTCCTTGATGATGCAGTTGATGTAGGGGAGTCTCTCGAAATCCGAGAACAGCGGCGTCCTCTCGAGTCCACAGACCTCGTCGAGTTCTTTTCGTGCCTTCGCCTGAACCTCCGGAAACTTGGTGAGGGCCAGAATGATGGTCAGGAGCATGTTGGCCGTGGCTAGATCAGGCATGCGTCTTTGTCAGTCTTCTGCTAATGACTGCAAGGACTGTAGTCATTAATCTGACTGCCTCGTGTAGTGTTCACTCACTGTCTGCGCCGGCTTCGAGTATTTCTCCGAACAGCATATTGAACGAGTGCTGCGACATGGGCCACCCGTCCTTCTCATACTCGGACAGTTTCTGATCGATGATGGAGTTGCGAATGTCTCCCCGTTCGCGGCGCTCTTCCACCATCTGTCGCGCCTTGTACCATGTCTTATCCATAATATCTCGCACGCGGTAAGCTCGCCTCTTCCATGCTCCTGGAAGATACCACAGCCACGGGGCCTGCTCCACGGGCGGATTGGCTCCCGGTTCGATGGCATTGAGGAACTAGAAGCGTCACCGTGAGCATGCAGCCATTACATAGTATGGACCAACATTAAACTACATGCGTAGTACTGAGTAGTACTACTATGTAGTAGGTGGGTATGGTCCCCTGCAGGACTCTTGCTTGACTCACCTGGTCCACAAATTCGTAAAAGTCCTTGTAGAAGAAGGAATTGAAGTCCTTGGCCCGGAACCCCCAGCCTAGAATGGACGCCACCGAAGACGCGTACAGCCTGGCATAGTCGAAGGCTTGGTTGGGATGGTCCAAGAGGTTGTTCAGGAATAGGATCGATCTAGTAGATAATCATATGTCACCAGGTGGTCTTGCAAAGACATTGCAAATTGTTCCTCTTCAAAACAAGCAATAGGGAATATGTACTGTGCTACCAGTAGCATATGTACTATACTGAGACAGTAGTAGTAGTACTCGAGTAGTAAGCAGTACACAGTGAGTGGGTGGTGGGTGTGGGTGGGTGGTGGCATGGCTCGGGTTGGGTTTCTTCTTACTCTGCTTCCTGCACCTTGAAATGTTTCTCGTCCAAGTTCTTAGGATTGAGGTTTCGCGTGAACACGGCCCGCTTGTCTCTCCATTGCGGCGTGGTTTGCTCAAAGGTCATATGGTGGCCCCTACTCAGGAACATCGGTATTGCGAGATACGGCCGGTCGGAATAGATGCTCCCTTTCTTGTCTAACAGCTCGTGGACGGCCCGGCGGTCTGCCAGCACAATCATGGTCCCGCTGAACACCTTGAGGGAATAGATCGGTCCATACTCGCGGGCCCATTCGTGAAATCTGTATGCAGCACATGGTCAGAATTGGCAATTGCTGTGCCGACTAGGCGACTTCCGAGAGGGACACGAGGCAGGAGCGCCGTGAGATGAGGGAACTGACTTTTTCCCCAGTCCGGTCAGAGGAATCTGGAGCGCATTTCCCACGATGGGAGTGGTCGGCGGGCCGGGTGGGAGCCTGGGATCTCGGCGACCGACTTGTAGCAATCTCCATACCGCAGCCACCGCCAGCAGGATGGCCCCGAGGATGAGAGGGCTGGCCATGTTGCCAACAACTGGAATTGAAGATTGAAGCAGTCTTGATGCAACTTGAAGTTCAAGTCAAACTTGGAGTCGTGGAAGCGAGGGCCACTCACTACACAGTAGTTTCGGTTCCGAGGGAGTGGTTCTCCTGCTTTAATATGTATGTATCCGGACGGCCACTCACTGCCAACTTCCTACATACCTTTGGTACTATCAACCTGCCGGCCCGAGACTCCGGATCATCATCCATCAGGACATCAGACACGGTGTGGCACACTCCGTGTCAGGATGGACGACACCGATAGGCTCAACATGGAACGCTACATAGTAGTACATGCCTATATGGTCAGGGATTCCGAAGCGGCCTATCCTACTTTGTGCTAGAAGGACCACCCACCATCGCCCCTGTAACGCGGGGCGCGGAGTAGAAGCACGGGGATGATCAATCAATAAGCGGAGGGAGACTCTCCAATTTCGGACCGAACTTTCGGGGCGTAGTACATATTGTTTTGCAACTACTAGTACTAGTAAGTACTAGTGTATCAGCGCTTGGCGTGCAGTCACATGACCGGTCACGTGACTGCCAAGACACCGCCAAGCCTGGGTACATATGTATATACATGTAGCTTCGCCGTTACGGCCACCATAGCCCTAATCGACAGGTTCCCCTTTAGTCCCCCTATATTACTAGTTGGCACTACACTAGTACGTAGTATGTAATTATAACCTATATACTAGTCATGTATAGAGTACTGTACCACTCACTATTCATACTGTTGACCGAGGGAAAGAAGATAAATCAGGGGGGTTTTTAACATACAGTCATATCAAGCCCAAAGCTAGTACAGGTCACGTGCCAGGAGTCTTAGTCCTTTTCGCAGGTACAGCGATGATCCTGTCAAGAGGTTCTATACTACTAGATACTATTGTTGCGCTGCAGGGATTCATTCTTCTCTAGTACTATAAGGACATCTTTAAGTGTTAAAGTAGTGTTAAAGGCGTCTTAATACCGTGCTGCTATAGTTGCCATATATAAGAGTGTAACTGTGGGTCACGTGATACCACATGACCACAGAGGCTTGGCAAAGGCTAAGGTTGGCATAGCCTTGTTGCACACGTGACTGCAAGAGAGCCTTATGCTTGTTGCACTCCTCGCAACTCTTCTAGGACTCTCTATCTTAGAATTCATATTATATTGGCATTGACACGTTCGCTCGTTGCTCTGTGCTCCGTGATACTAAGCCGCGTTAAAGCCGCATGCACCAGTGACTGCGCTGAAGCTGTTCTGAGGCTTCTAAATACCGTCTTCAGTCTGCCCGATCCGGATTGAACCCGGATTAAACCCGGATCAAATCTATCCTAGACCTAGTGCTGGATAACGCGAGCGTGCTAGAGCCTGAGCGGGTGCATGATCAAAAACGCCGTGTCGTCGGGCGCAGATCGAACAGAACACGAGACCATAGATCGACGCCGACAGGCCTAGGAGCGGCGACGCCTGAAACGCGGTGGGTGCACGGGCTGAGAAGGTGGTGTGCTATCCGCCGTACCAGGCCGTGTGCCGAGTGGCCAGGGTGATGAGCAGCACGTCGGCGCCACAGCTGAACAACACGGCCATCTTCAGGACCAGCGTCGACGAGTATGAGATCGGTTAGGATCTCGGCGTCGGCTTGTTCGTCGCCGACAAAAAGACCACCAGGCGCCACCAGGTTCATCCCAGGCTCGCATCTCTGGAGTCATACGACACCGCCCGAGATAGACGCTGGTGTACAGTTGTTTCATGACCAAGGGCTTTTTCAGACAGGTACATACGTCACTCGTCTCCGTCACTGAATTATGCTTTTTGCCCCTCGAGTCTTCTGCTATTCAAGTCGGCCACCGGTGTTGGTGTTGTCGTCCTTCCAGCATACTGAATATAGTACTGATTTGGTCACTGAGGAAAACCAATAAGTGAACAACGATCCGGAGAAACTCAAGAAATGGTACGACAACGACATGCTGCAGTGATTGGATACAGCCTCAGTGCGCCTTTCCTCGGTTGGGTGGAGAAAGGACACCCCCTGGCAGCGCTTGGAAGACCACAGCCCCTTGGAGATATGTATTGATATTGTCAATGGCCTTCTAGCACTAGGCCGTGTCTTTGCACATTATAAGCCCTGAATGCCGGGCCGGCAGTTGGCAGTTGAGTCACCGACACAGTAGCCTGGGGGTCTGGCTACAACAAGTAGTATACAGAATTGACATGTTGGGTGATATCAATTGAGCACTTACCTCAAGCGAGCAAAACATCCAGTCCCATTTCCTCCATCACCTTATGGCGGTATACCTTGCTCGGATGTGACGAACGGTCTCTCCGCCGCCAGATCTCCTGCACCACACGCCGGGTCTGAGATGTGGCAGCGATGCCCAGTCTCTCTCGGGAGGCGAACACCTCGATGAATCGTCGACGCAAGTCGGTCGTCTCCGCCTCCGAAGCCGCGACAAACAATGGCCACAATAGACCAGAGGCGATCAGTTCGGTCTCAATCTCGGTGTTTGCGATGGCCTCGAAATGCACCAGTCCATACTCGACAATGTACTGGAGATTGGCCGGGCTCTCGTGCTGGAGTAGGCGCTTGTAGTGGATCACACATGCAAAGTAGAATGCACAGGCATGATGGCGGATGAGGCGTTCAATCTCCTCGGTCGGGCTGGGGAATCGAAGCGTACAAGGGTTGGCCATCAAAATGAGCGACTCTAGGTCATCGAGTTCCTTCTGGGTTGGGGTGTAGCCTACTTGGGTGAGGTGATTGATGGTCGAAATCGTGTCGAACACGGGCTTGGTGATGCCAAAGAGCTTCTCCATTTGGTACAGGCTGGCGTCTCCTTTATAGAAGTTCGCCTCTAATGCCAGTCGGATCGGTAGGTCCGTCGTGCTCGTGCTCGTGCTCGTGTCTGAGGATTGTGATTGTTGGCGGCTGTGGTCGAGCTGCTTGTTCTGGTCGTGAGAAAAGCCAAGGATCTCAAGACCGCGGAAGGTCTGATAGACAATTTGATTATCGCCAACCTGCTGCCACGTCGGAGCGATCCCATTCAGCCAAGTCCGTCCACCCCGGAGGTGCATTCGCCAGTGGCTAGACGTGCCAGTCACCATCTCCATGGTGGTGATGAGAACGATTGCACCCAATGTCGGGGCGTGTTGTTCGGCATCGTCAAGTAGCAAACTCTGCCGGAGACAAGACAGACAACTCTGATAATGCTTCGCTGCCAGCTCGTGATATCTCTTTGCACCCTCGGCGTCGACATGTTGAAGCCGCGCCAGGCTGGAGGCCGCCCACGCGTATATGCCGTGGAGAAGGGAACGGTGCCCAACGAGGTTCCGGTCGGTCCCTACAGCGGCCATGGCCAGTGGCACATAAACATGTCGAAAGGGATTATCAGGATGCCCGGTCGCGATCATGAGCGCGCTGGCTGATGTCACCCAAAAGTGGAACAATTGACGCTCTTCGGGAGATGAAGAAGCGATGAATGGCTGGAGGAGCGGAGCCAGCCGTTGTTGAGTGGCCATCATGCTGATGCTGTGCTTGTGCGAGTGCACCAGGTCAGAAGATGCCGGAGAGGTGGCCTCCAAATATCCAACATCCTCATCTGCCTCCCCATATGCCTCCTCATCCTCGATCTCCAGGGTTCCGGGCCACACCAGTAGGGTCTCTGGGGATAGTGGAAGGAGGCCGTGGTCAGGCGGGACATGTTGGCGGTCAGGATCAGGGTCAGGGTCAGGATCAGGATGCTCGGCCAAGGCACGATTGGAGGCGAATACAGCAAAAGGCGCAGCCTCGACGCCGTCGGGTCCGCAATCAACAGTGTCCAGATACTCCAAGGCAGAATCGATCTGCTCTGGACTGAAGACGGGATTCGACATATCTTGTTCTGAGAAGCGCAATCGGGTCTGTCGCGGTGGCTTGTGGGATCCATCGTGGCGGATCCACGATAGTCGAATGCCATAACCCTCACATCTGAGCTTGCTTTTGGCACACCGTTGACACGAGGGCCGGACTGCATCACATTTGACGTGCCGGCCACGACAAGTCCAACACCCGACGTAGGTCTTGCTCCGGGGGACAGGAAGGCGCGGTCCAGCTGCAGCTGCCGGAGGCATCGATGATTGATGATTGATGATTGCAGAATGACGGCAGGTCACAGAGAGCCACGGCAGGGGAGTAGCATGACTACTTTACCCGTATCTTGAGCCAGTGTACACATACAGTACCAAGCACAGATACACGTGCAAGGTGATTCGAAGGATGGCCGGCGAAGAGACGATACAAAAGTAATGTGACAGAGAGCAGCGGCAGCTGTTTATAACGGCCGGATGGGGGGGTATGTCACAGCGAACTTGAGATTAGGGCCTAAAGGGCCTAAAGGGCCTAAGGCCTTCTTGGCCTGGTAAGTCTAAGCCTTATCTTGGGGCTTGGGGGCTTGGGGGCATGCTTGGCATGCTTATCGCATCACTAGTATATAGACTTAGTGGCGGAGGGCAACCACTAGAGCCTCCGCCAAGCTATAGGGGCTTAGGGGCCTATAGGCCTAAAGCTAAGCCTTAGGGTGGGTGCCATTTAAAGTGGCGAGTTAGTGCGCGCTAGTTATAGCGCGTGTTCTAGCAGCGCGTCTCTTTCTCTTCTTTAATTATCTAACTACCTTTTAATAGTCTTTTACTAATAAAATCTAGTAAACTTTATAATAGGAAGAAAAAGGTACTATATAGAGGTATTCGTTATCCTATAGGCGCTATTCTCGCCCTATAAAAGGTTTAAAACGGTAAATACGCCTCGTCGAGTACGAATTATTTACGAGATTAACTAATTCTAAGAATAGGTACTATAACGAGATATATTTAGATATAACGAAGTATCTTAACGTACGAGAGAGCGTATTATCGCCTTAGAATAGTCTCGACGTTCTTAACGTCGTCGTATTACTAGCTAGAGTCGCCTTCTTAATAACGAGTAACTTAAGACTATTAAGTTATATAAGAACGCCTTCTTCGAGCTTATTACGAGATCTTATATTCGGATCGCTCGAGCGCTCGGCGATTATCGACCTTTAGAGCGTACTATATAGCGTTAAATAAGCGAATTCGGCGTCGATACGTATATCGCGACTTAACGTAAGTTAATAAGTATCGCGAGACGTTAGAAACGTCTTAAGTTTATCTCTTAATCTCGCTATTATATATATAAATACTAGCGATAGTTCGCCTATTCTAACGAGTACTATTTCGATCTCGATCTTTAAAAGAGAGTCTCTATTTATCGTCGTCGAGGTCTCGGCGCTCGCTACGTAGAGAATAAGATTTAGTATCGATATAAGCGTTAGATTCAGATAATCTATATCTTTAACTTTATATAGTATAACTATAAGTCGCCGTTAAGAATATGTAAAGGCTTTAGAACTAAAGAGAGGATAATTTAGAGCGATTATAAGACGATCCTATCCGACTTCGTTATACCTAATCTATGGAGACGATCTCGAGATCTTATCCTTCTCGAGAATAACGATTAAGTATACGATATAATCTCGTTAAAGTCTTCGCTTAATAAGTTTAAGAAGGGGCTAGAAATACGCTACTAGGTTAATATATCGACGAGTCCTAATCTTAACGTAATAGAGAAGGTATAGCGAATACTTAAATAACGAGTAAAGTAACGAGAGATTTCTCGGTCGAGAAAGATATTACTTAGGTAGATCTAGGAGGAGTAGGATAGGATTAATTAAAAGATTATTAACGGCTATATTAATATTATACCTACTCGAGTACGAGATATAATTATAAGAGAAGGTAGTCTTCTCCTATACTAATTAGTATTATATATAATTAGAAGTTACTGTAATTCTAATAAGTTATTAAAGGTTGATAGTGGTGGTGTGGGTTTAGAGCAACCCGCCACTTTAAATGACACCCACCCTAAGCCCAAGGCTTTAGGGCTGCTAGGTACCCGTACAGACGTTATCGCAGCCTCGCCGTCACCTTCCACCCGTCGCCGAATTCGTATCTGGATCCGTGCGCTATTCTGTACCAGGGCTTCTGAAAATCCCTATCGCTCCATTGCCATCTCCATCTCCATGTCCATTTCTACCTCCATCTCTATCTCCCTATCCATATCGATACATTATCGCTTATCTTCTATTCCAATCCCAATCCCACAATGAAGAAGTAGCAGGCGAAGGCCAAGCCCATTGTGGTCCGTGAGGCCCAGAGCCCCTTAGCCCTACTGGGTCTGCTTCATGCTCATGCCTTCATATATAGTAGTAAGTACATATGTAACAGTAATATCTGCAGATGACCCCCTGAGAGAATGCTGCCGTTCAAGAGCAACATAATACACTGTCATTCGTGAGCCCACGACTCGAGTCGAGTGCCTTTCTTGATCGCAGTCTGGTACGGTGTCACCCCCGAGAGCAACGATGGAGAAACCACGTCTCAGTCGAGGTATGTACATGTCATGGTGTCAGGCGCACTGTGAAGCTTTTCCTGTTTCCTTTTTGCCAGACTCCTCCTCACATCCTCCACCGGATGGATGGATACATAGTATAAATCAGACCAAATTGACTGACAACATGGACCAGATCATCATCTTCCCACCACCACCCATGTGAAACACCACCCCGAATATACGGACAAGACGGCGACGACGGCGGCGGCCATTGCGCCAGAAGTGCGGGAAGGCGATGTCTCCGTCTTCGGGCTGGCGCCTGGAGTGACGACGCGGGACATCACCCCTGTCGGCATCGTGGCGATTGCATTCAACATCTGCAATAGCTGGACGGCCATAGCTGCCAGTCTCGCCATCGCCATTGCGTCCGGGGGCACGATTTCTTTGATCTACGGCATGATCGTGTCGTTTGTCATGTTCCTGAGCACCGGATTGAGCCTGGCCGAACTGGCCGCCGTGTATCCCACCGCCGGCGGCCAGTATCATTTCACCTCCATCCTCGCCCCGGCCAGATACAGCAAGGGACTGTCGTATTTTTGTGGCATGACCGCCGTCTTCTCTTGGATTGCACTCTGTGCTGCAGTGTCCATCTCGACCGCGCAGCCGTTGATAGCTCTGGTCCAGCTGTTCAAGGAGGATTACGTTCCCAAGGACTGGCACTACTTTCTCGTCTTCGAAGCACTCCTCACCATGGTGTTTCTGTATAATATCTTTGCTCTCAAACGCACCCCTTGGGTACACGATATCGGATGTAAGGCACCCCTCCCTCTTCCTCTTCCTCCCATTTCCCTCGTCCACCTACATACTCAATACCATCTACGATACATTCTGTGTCGAGCGAGCTACAAACTAATTCCTTCTTTAGTTGCGCTAACCATGACCCTCTTCATTGTCGTCACAATCACCTGTGTCAGCCTGGCGCACCCCAAGAAGGACAACGACTTTGTGTGGAATACATGGGTCAACGGCTCTGGCTGGCCTGCCGGAGTGTGCTTCTTGACCGGCCTAGGTATGTAATACAGCAGAAGAAGAAAAAGAAGGAGAAGAGGAAGATTATAATGGAGTTTTTCTTATCGGAAGATTGTGTGGTATATGGCATATGGCAGAACCCATGCTGACCTACGCGATCGAATACTACAGTGACACCGTGCTTCATGTTTGCCGGGATCGACTCCGCCATGCACCTGGCCGAGGAGGTACAGACTCCGGCTCGAATCATTCCTCGAGCGATTGTGTCCAGCATCGTGGTCGGATTTGTGTCGGCCTTTGCATACACCATTGGAATGCTCTATTGCATCAAAGATTTTGACGCTGTGCTGAACTCGCCTACCAAGTACGTTTTGTCACTGCATGTCATACGATCTTCAGTACTATACTGTACTGTATAATATCCATACAGTACATGGCGGCGGCTAATCTTTTCCTCCATCTTCCAGCTTCTCAATCTTGGAGGTTTACCGTCAAGCCACGGGCTCCCGGGGCGCTGCGGGGGCCTTCTGCGTCGGGTCTATTCTCATCGGATGTTTTGTGCTGAACGCCTGCCAGCAGACCGCGTCTCGGCTGACGTGGTCATTTGCCAGAGACAATGGCATCGTCTTCTCCAACCTGGTGCGGCGCATCCATCCCAAGCTCGAGGTTCCGGTCAATGCTTTGATTGTCAACTGGGCGATCGTGGTGATAACCGGTGTCATCTACGTGGCATCCTCTACCGGTAAGTACAAACATATACCCTATCTATCACCTATCAATTGCCCGGGGGACCTACTTGATGCCATATCAGCATTGAGTATCCTCATCGGACTATGGCTATGCTGGCTGTTGTATCCTCACCAGACTACGGCTACGCTGGCTGTTGTACCCTCCCTCCCTCCCTCCCTCCATACACCTACCTACCTGTCAAGCACGTTTCTACACCTACCTACCTGTCAAGCACGTCTCTAACGGGCCCTAGCTTTCAACGCCCTGGTCGGCACCGGCATGATCCTACAGCAAGTCTCGTTTGCCATCCCCACGGCCTTGCTGATTTACCACAAACGCTCCTCCGACTATCTCCCGTCCAATGCGCCTTTCCGTCTACCCAGTATCCTGGGCTGGGCGGCCAACATCAGCACCATCATTTTCTCCGTCGTCATCTTTATCTTTTTCCAGATCCCCGTGACACTGCCCGTCACTGGGAGTAACATGAGTAAGTCTCTCCTCTCCGACCGGTCTTTCTGATTTCTCCTGTGCTTCGGGTGCAGGCGGCCCTGTTTAGTCTTTCCGACTTCTCCTGTGCTTCGGGTGCAGGCGGCCCTGTTTAGTCTTTCCGACTTCTCCTGTGCTTCGGTGCAGGCGGCCAACGTTAGTCTTTCTGACTCCTCCTGTGCTTCGGGCGCAGGCGGCCCAGTTTGGCTATGGACTTGGTCTTGCAGCCTCCTGTACTAGTACCTATGATGCTCAATGGGTAGTACGCTCACTCTTTGCTCGGTTAGCTGACCTTGTCTTCTCAGATTACTCCTGTGCCGTGATCGGGTGTATGTTTATCTTTGGTCTGGTGAATTGGGTGATCCATGCCAGAAAGAATTACTACGGGCCTAGAGTCATGGTCGACGAGATGAGCATGCACTAGAACATGTCTGCATTTCTCTCACCCTCGCCCTCACCATCTTCTGGCTCGGGCTGTGCAGTGGACAGTGTGCAGTGTGCAGTGTCACTGTGCATAGCCTAGTCAGAGACTGGCTTGAAGAACCGTGGCTACGAACGAACAGGCCCAATATAGTGTTGGCAATAAGCTCGCTCGGTCTCGGCTGCGAGCAAAAGCAACCCCAAGCAAGGAACAATCCAATCCAATTCCTAGTATATAGCCATCTAAGTCGATGACTGCCACTCGGTGTGTATACATATCTATCGTATTCCAATCTTACACTTGTATACATATCTATCGGATTCCAATTCAACGCTTGTATACATATCTATCGTATTCCATTTTCCACCAGTGGTAGCTTGAGCATTGACAGATACCTTAGTAGCCAGCACCTGGTCGATACATACATACATACCTTACATATAGCTAGCCAGGCCCTTCCATTCTCTCTTCTCGCCGGCGTATTCGAATTCATTCCTAAGTACATATCATACTATAGGTACAGTAAGTGTCAATACTTGGATACATATGCTCTTTCATCCTCTTGACCTTCAAGTCTCCTATTACATATTTTACCGGCTACCGGTAGTATGTAGGTAGGTCCCAGTGACAATGTATACTATCCTATTCCGAAGTCTGGGGCTGAGCCGACTGTAGCCTTTAGGTGGATAGTAGGTACTGTAGTAGGCACTGCACACAATACACACACTAGGTAGACTGTAGTAGGCACCGTGGGCACTGTAGTAGGTATTGTAGTAGATACTGTAGTAGGCACTGTAGTAGGTACTGTAGTAGGTACATACTGTACACAACACACACATTAGGTAGGCTGAAATTAGACTTGGAACACTACACGTCAGTTACTGTATCAGCGTCTATTGGCTAATTGCCATGTTCTTCCCTCGTCTATCCCCTCGAGAGGTCAATCTCTGTTGCACCTTAACTTGGGATTGATCCTAGCTAGCTCTCTCCAAACATTTTCCAGGTTCTATCTCACCCTGAACTGCCGTCGGCACTGCCACGTGCTAACTGTGTGAATAAGTAGTAGTATCCAAACCGGCCCGCCAACCTGGATGCCCTCGTGTGTGCTGAGTCTACCTTGGTCATCAGCTCTGCATTTCTAGAGAAAATCACTCCTTCAGCTAGGTCTCTCTTCCACACCCGTGCCTCATAGGGAAGGAAGTCAATATGACAATATGGTTGATTGTGATTGTTATTGTTGGTGATTCACACCACTCCTCGAATGATATCGGCTGCCTTCTCAGCCACCGCGTACGCCACAGCCTGCAAATGGCCTCCCGGGATGACGGGAAAGACACTTGTGTCGACGACGCGGAGGTTGTCGGTTCCGTAGACGATAAGGGTCGGGTCCACAACGCCTCCGAGCTCGCGAGGCATCATAGCCAGCGTCCCCGAGTAGTGGTATTCGGTGCCTATGCCGGCGCGGACGATCACGGCCAGTTGGTCGCTCGTGGCGTTGGGCGGGAATCGGATGTTGGGGTACGACGGCTGCAGGGCCTGAATGGCAGGGGTGTCGAGGATTCGTTGGTTAAAGCGCATGGCGAGGAGGGTGAGGTTGAAGTCGAACGGGTTGACGAGCCAGCGGGGGTCGACGGCCGGGTTGACGCGCGGGTCGGCGGACGTGATGTGTGTGGTGCCACGAGACAGGGGTCGCATCAGAGCCAGGTCCAGGCCGCCGGAATTGTCGTTCAAGATCTCGTATGCAGGCGTGCTGTCGGACAGGAACCGAGGTGTCATCAGCGAGAGCTGGAGCTCGTAGCCCGACTTCAGCGTCCAGTCGTACGTCGACGGGTAGTATCTGTCGCCGGATTCCGCAAGTGCGATCAGCGGCATATATTGGCCGTCAGGGCTGATCTGGGACAGAGCCGGGAATGCGAGCGCTGTCGACGGTTTCGCCGTCCATGGGCCGGTCCGAGAGGTGCGGTACAACACCTCGGCCTCGGTGTTGAATGTGCTGTTGTTCAAGAGCCACGCTGGCGTGGGGACGGAGGCGTTCTGGTCTGGAAGGAAGTTGTCAGTCTTCTGGGAAACACCTTGGGAACCTACGATGGTGCCATCGCTAGGTGATCCGCATGGCCATGTACGTACAGGGATATGATAGATGGATCAAGGGGTGGTCCTGGAGGTTGTTGCCGACACCGGGAAGGTCTTGTAGGACTGGGATCCCGAGAGAAGACAGCAGGCTTGCCGTGCCAATGCCAGACAGCTCGAGCAGCTGTGCGCTGTGGATCGCCCCGGCCGCGACAATAACCTCGCGACCGGCCAAGACAGTCTGCGTCGTGCCGCCGCGCCCGCCCAGAATCTATACCGGTGGGTGAGTCGACTGCGTCACAGCGGGAGAGTCATACATACCTCAACGCCGACGGCCCGCAGGCCACCACGACGCACCCCCGGCCCCGTCGCTGTGGACGAGTCATTGTTGAAAATGACACGTCCGACCTGCGCATTCGTCAGGACATGGTAGTTTGGGCGTCCGGCGGCTGCATCGTGGTAGGCCCGGCGCGCGTCTGAACGCGTCTGGTTGGATGGGTCGATGGAGAGTGGGAGGAAGTACCCCCCAGCCGAGAGACCCCCATTGGGGTCAAAGGACGTTGGAATCTGAAGCGCATTTAGCGCTTCGAACCAGTTGACTCCCACTCGTTAGCCTCAATCTGGCACGTTGGCGTGTGGTAGACCGTCGACTTACCTGTCTGGGGCCAGTAATATTCCGGGTAAGAGACCTGCATGGGCCCCTGAAAGCCGTGGACGGCGGCATTGAATGTGACAGGTTGGTCAGAGAGATTCCCGTAGAATCGCGGAGTATATGTCTCGGACTTTTGGAAATATGGCAGCAGACAGTCCCAGTCCCAGCCGGGGTTCCCAAGCTGTGCCCAAACGTTGAAGTCGTCCTGGTTCCCACGGTTCCAGATCATGCCGTTGATGAGGCTGCCTCCACCGACGCCTTTGCCCATCGGGAGTGGACGAGATGTGTTGTCGAGCTGTGACTGTGGAACGGTGCCGATGCTCCATTCGTAGAACCCTGGTGGCTGTTGGCCAATGTAGACGGGGATCTCTATGAGATCTTCGTAGTGGTCCCTGTTTCATCAGTGAATGTAAAGCACAAGCCCACTGCGGGTCAACCTACAATGGTCCAGCTTCAATGCACAGGACGGACGTGTTGGCATTCTCGCTCAGCCTCGTAGCCACCACGAGACCGGCAATGCCACAGCCCACCACAACATAGTCATACATTTCCATGGTTGCGTTCGTGGGGACATCTCGTGAGATATGTGGAAGGCCGAAGACCATGCTTGCCAGCATGAGGAACAGAGAAAGAAGGACCTTCATTTTTGGCAGATCGCATTTGTCGTGTTCAGAGAATGATTGTAGAAAACGCGGGAGGAAAGGCTGGTGTCGAGGCGAGCAGGCAAAGGCCAGGTAGAGTGTGACGACCTTGGACGAGTTTCATAAGAGGAAGAGAAGTGAATGAGACTAAGCGTCGTAGAGAGGTGAGAGCATGTCAACGTGTCCATGAATAAACAAAGGAACAGAAGGGCGCGGGCAGAAAAATGGTTGATTGTTTTCCACAGCGCCCATTTAAATGGTTTCACGGCAAAGATCTCTGATGTGCTTGCACTGTAGTATCATTGTGCGGTCGGTGTCCTCTAGAGATACTGAGAGAGCGAGTGGCCATTGTCTCAACCGGTCTATTTAGTATTGAAGATTAATTTTTCTTGTAATACCAACAGACATTCGATGGAGAACAGATAAGTGAACCCTTTAGGCGCCATTTGATCTTCAAGATCTTTGATCATAAACACCTACCTGGCAAGACCTCCGGTTGCGTGCTATCCCGTCGAGTCTGGGGCCGCCCCATGTCTATCAAGCATGGCTAGACGTTGCACGAAATAGGCCTTCTCTTGGCTTGGGAAGGCCGTCTGGTCTTGACGAACTTGACTCCGATGTCGATCCTGCTCACCCAGTATCTGTACATCCTCGACACCGTCCACGACATCTGCATTGTGTACACAGGGCCAAGGAGGAGGTGGAAACTCCTGCGAGGGTCCTGCAGTCCTTGGGCTTAAATTGTAGGTAGAGACAGTATCAGTAGGGCTTATCGTACACTTCTTGAGCTGGTTTGATGCTAGAGATCCACTAGACCCTGGCTGAATCCACTCAACCTGTCGTGATCGAGAAGAGAGATATTGGATTGGTCGCAAGATTGGAGTCTGGGGTACATGAATGAATATTGCCTGGCCAACTGTCGCGGGGAGGGCCTGAGACGAATCAAGGCTTCCGCTGACTATTGGTGAAGGAGAGTGAGCTTCGACCCGGTCCGATACAGATGTGGGAGACCAATGTGAAGGCACAGTATAGAGGGTTGGAGGTACAGTTGGGAAACTCGTCGTTCGATACTGGCTCCATAAGACATGGTCTTGGCTCTGGTGAGCTGTACGCCATTGAAGTTGCTCTAATCTCTGCATTCGTGCGAAAACATTGGCCAGGTTTCCAGACAAGGATTGGACGCTTCTCTCACATCCTTTCAGGTCCGAGCGTATGCTTCTAATGCTCTTCTTTAGAGCTTTGACTAACCTTGGGGATTCGTTTGCTGTCGATTTTTCAAGCTTTGCCTCGGCCTTTCTCAAATTTCTTGTCAGCCTCTCTTGCCGACGTTCTTCATCTGCGAGGGCTCTATGCAAGTACAGGCGTTCCTGCTGAAGCTGGGAATGTTGCTCGGTGCAAAGTACCGGTTCTGTGGTAGAGAAAGGGGCGCCCCGGAATGGCAACATTGACATGTTCGGAGGTTGCTAGTCAGTCCCGGGCCTCGATTAGGGATGGACAAGAGGTGACAATCTGAACCGAAAAGCCTCTTATAGGCAGCGTCGCAGTTGGGGTACCATCGCCTTTGTGTGTAAATCCTGCTCTTTGAATGGTGACCGGCACAAAGAAACAAGGTCGCCTGATGAGGCTTACGCCCATTGTCTTGTGCCATCCTGGCAAAGCTTTGACTCACACATTCCACCCGCCATGACGAGCAGGTTCAACAAATCTCCAAAGACCAGCTTCCCGGGCGGCGTTTTGAACGACACCAAGCTCGTCATTCGTGATAGCTCTGTTGATCTCTGCATACCGTGCTTGGGCGTTGTCCTTGGAACCACGCTTCGGCTTACCGACGTGTGCATCCGGATGGTATTGTTCCATAATATTGACAAAGACATCTCTGCCGAGGGTCTGAGCCAGCCATTTCATGATCTGAACACCTTCCTGTTCTTTGCCCGGCATGACCAGATGTCGTACCAAAACACCTTTCCTGGCAATGCCATCTGGAGTAAAGCATAAATCGCCGACTTGTCGATGCATTTCCCGGATACTTTCTTGTGCAACCTGTGCATAATCATCTGCCTTTAGCAGTCTCTTGCTTGTGTCATTGTTCCAAACTTTGAAGTCAGGCAGATAGATATCAACCAAGCCGTCCATGAGCTTCAGGCTTTCTAGGCTGTCGAAGGAACTGGTGTTGTACACAATGGGGATTTTGAGACCCATTTCTCTTGCGGTCAAAATGGCAAGGGCTACCTGCGGAACCACATGCTCCGGAGTTACAAAGTTGATATTGTGCACACCGCCCACCTCTTGCAACTTCAGCATCCATTCGGCGAGTTCTTCGGGGGTCAGATCGAATCCCATCTTTTGATGGGCAATATCATGGTTCTGGCAGAAGACACAACGCAGGTTGCATCCACTGAAGAAGACGGAGCCCGAGCCATTGTTGCCCTGGAGGCAAGGTTCTTCGCCGAAATGGGGGGCAATCGTCGACACCTTGACAGTGGCTGCGCCAATGAGGCAATGTCCGGTTGTCTCGTAGCGATTTGCATTGCAGAGGCGAGGGCACAGATTACATTGTCGGAGATGGGCGTAGGCGGCAGCTCGCTTCTTGGCCGCGTCGAGCGAGCTGATCAGATGGTATCTAGGGATATAGTCGTCGAGCAGAAAGGGAGGAGCAAGATGTAGCCCGCGATGGGCAGGTCTTTTCAGACGATGCGCAGCCGCGGCACGAGTCACTGGTGGGGATCGTTTCACGGCTGGGCTACTGAGGAATGATCTGAGCATGCTGACGTCTGAACAGAGGATGCAACATACTCGCCCGCTGGCGACTGGAGGAACGATAAATATCGGAGTTCGTGGTCGACGAGAGGAAAGAGAAATACCAAGTCGACGATTGGCCGCCGCTGGTGTACAGTGAGAGTATGATGTCGTCGGCCTCATCCACGCTGCTTTTAAACCCGTGACTGGGACTAGTCTACATGCAGTTAACACTTGAACAGACGTCTATAAGCGACCAATAGTGATACACGTGACTTGACCAGTCACATCGACGACGTCGCAACGAACAGACACTTCTACCTACCTCCCTAATTACGGAGTACCCCAATCTGGATCACTAGCCTCGTTGGACGAAGGACAAGCTCGCACTGGTCAAGGGCACGAATGAGTCTTTGTTGGAATTCCATGGAATGCGGAGATTTGGTCCGTTACGGACGAAATGGCCTGGGTTTTGTTAAACGGGTACTCTACTACCATGGCCGCCCTCCTCTCAGCCTGGCATCAAACGGCTGGCCGCCTCATGAAGATGCTATCGTCTCATTGGGTATGTCGGGCTGTGCCAAGGCACCCGATAGCTACCACTGGGGCATTTCAAGTCCCCTGGGTTTGAGCTCGTCCGAGGACGGACTGAGTATGGTATACGTTTCACGGTCGGTGCCTGGGTTACTAACACCTATTAAACATGGGGTGTCATCACCATGAAAGAAGACTGTAGTACCTTGGTCGACGGCTTCCGACTTGTATACTTGTATACGGGGGCACTCGGATTTTCCTTCTTACCAAATTCAAAAAGAGCCATCCAACATGTCCGAAGAGTTTCCGATCGAGTTGCAGTTCGGAAAGACGTTGCGAACCATCTTCTACTCTCAATTCTTCTGTCCACCGCCGTATCCAAGCCAATCCTTTGCAAATCAAACCGTTATCGTCACTGGATCTAATGTCGGTCTAGGGTTTGAAGCAGCACGCCACTTTTACAGGCTGAACTGCACGAAATTGATTCTGGCAGTCCGAACTGTTGCAAAGGGGCAGACTGCAAAAGAAGACATCGTCCGAAGTGTCAAGCATCGCACTGATGCCGACGCAATCGAAGTCTGGAGTCTGGACCTCACCAGTACAAAATCCACCCTCGCTTTTGCTGAACGTGTCAAGAAAGAGCTCACTCGAGTTGACGTGCTGGTTGAGAATGCTGGAATCATCTCACATAAATGGACTCTCTGTGAAGGATTCGAGCAGGGAATCCAAGTCAACGTCATCAATACCCTTTTGCTTGGGATGTCACTTTTGCCGAAGTTGAGAGAGACCAAGGACAGATTTGCAGATTCATACCCTCATTTGGTGATTGTGACTTCCGAGGCTCTTCGATTCACCAAATTCAAGCAGATCAATGATCCGGATATCTATCAAAGTTTGAACGACGAAAGCAGGTTTGATGGGTTTGACGGGTGAGTCCACTACCGGGGGAAGAATAATCGCAGGATTTTAGTTCTGGCAGGATTTGCTGCTAACCTGATTTTCCGATGAATAGATACTGCATCAGCAAGCTCATAGAAGTACTGTTCATTCGCGAACTCGTGAACCAGCTCGATCCCAGCCAATCTTCCACACCACCGGTAATCATCGACCTGGTCAATCCCGGTATGAGCTACTCTTCTTTCGCGCGCGATGCAAGCCTCCCGGTCAGAATAGTCGACAGGATCGTACACTGGATCGCTGCACGCTCAACGGAGGTTGGCTCTCGGACTCTTGTGCATGGTGCTAGCGCTCAGCCGGATTCGCATGGAGAGTATATGAGCGACGGCCAGAACCAGGCTGTAGAGAAATGGATTTACGGAGAGGTCGGTAGTCGAGCGCAAAGAAAGGTGTTTGAGCAGACTATGAAGGTGTTAGAGACGAGAAATCCTGGAATTGGAAAGGCAGCTGGGCTTTGAGAAATGAGGGTGGAAAGAAGGGTCCACCGAAGGGTCTAATTATAGTGGCTGAGTCGCAGGCAGGTTACACCTCTGGTGCCTCAGTAATAGTTTATAAGTAGTGGGTAGGTCCCTGAGGTAAATGGTAAACATTTCCGTCGAGGAACAGACGGCACGAGTCCTCCTATTCCTATGAGCCATATACAGACAGCAAGAACCATCCCTCCCGAGGCTGCCTCGTATCGTCTCATCACACACTCGTTCTCCTGAAAGGCTCTGTCGAATTCCCGGCTTCTCTCCACGCAGGAAAATGCGTGCCGCAATAGCAGTCCCAATCACCCTTCTCCTCGTGGTGCGAGCGTACACCCGCAAGTCTCTCACGCCACTGGGTATAGCCGCGGCGGCCTTGACAGCGACAATCCACGCCCTCCATCCCTCGGCGGTCCCATTTACTCTGTTGTGCACGTTCTTCCTCCTCGGTACGACGGCAACGAAGGTGAAGCACGACGTGAAGGCCACCCTGACTCTATCGAGTGGCGGCCATTCCGGCGGAGAAGGGGCTAGGACGAGCATTCAGGTATTCGCCAACAGCGGTTGTGCCAGCATATTGGTCTTGCTACACGTATGGCTCTACGGTTATGGAAGATCTGTCAACCAGACACGGGCATGTTTCGGGGCCGAAGATACCAAGATAGCAGATCTCCTGCTCCTGGGCGTGATGAGCAACTATGCCGCTGTTGCGGCAGACACGCTGTCTAGTGAGCTGGGCATCCTGTCCAAGAGCAGGCCGATTCTCATCACTAGCCTCCGCCCCGTACCTCCCGGTACCAACGGCGGTGTGACCCTAGCAGGCTTGCTGGCTGGGGCAGGAGGGAGCGTGGCTATATCGGCAACGGGCGTGCTGCTGCTTGGATTTTGTGAAGGAGGGTCGGTGAAGCGTTTAACAATCTTCGCCCTACTTAGTGCACTGGGTGTTGTCGGAACGCTGGTCGACTCGTTGCTGGGCGCCATCCTACAGGCATCAGTGGTGGATCATCGGTCAGGGAAAATCGTCGAAGGCCCGGGCGGAGTCAAAGTCCTCACGAAACCTGGTCAGTCGCGTGCTGGCACTCCGACCCATGGTCCGAAGGAAGGCGACGGGAGAAAGAAAGGCGACGAGAGCCGGTCGATTAATTCTGGCCACGACATCCTGGACAACAACCAAGTGAATTTGCTCATGGCCTCAATCATAAGCATAGCGGGAATTATGGCTGGGCGTCTCGTGTGGAGTTAACCTGGACATCGTCGTGCGTTTACCTCTACTTCGGCATGGTCATATTCCACCGGCACATATGAATCATATTATTATAATCTCTCGCAGAGCCATGTTAGTTTTTTTCCTCTACGCCAGTCGCGCATCCCATATCGACTGAGTGATCACCCGGATCATTCGTCGGTTGCCGCATAGAGTCATATCCAGTCAATCACCCAAGTGTCCCAAGTTCCCGCTAGCCTAAATGACAAACATATTCTCCCTTTTCCAAGCCAGTCAAACTCCAAATCCACACTCGTTCCGACGTTATGTAAATTCAAAGGGCAAGCCACACTATGGGTATGGCCACCAAATGCCATGCCAACAGCTTCAAAGATAATACTTTCGTTTCAGATGAGGCGCCATTTGAAGGAGCGGCAGATTGCGTCGCGGATGCACCCGTGGACGTCAACTTCCGGCTGCCGCTAGCGCTCGAAGATGGCGCTGCCGTTGGAGCGATAGTGGTCGATTCCAATCCCACTCCTCCTGGCCCGAACGACACACTGTGGCTGCCGATGGTCGCTGTCACTTGAGGAGCATGGGAGCCGATGCGATGGGTGGTGCCACTGATGACAGCCTCACTACTGTCCACAGACAGTGTCAACCCTTCTGCTGTATATACAACAAAAGGTGGCTGAGTTATGTCACCGGCGCTCAAAGTGGTACTGGGCAGTCCTACACCCATTGACCCGACAGAGATGGCTGTTCCATCCACTGTTAGGGTGGTTGCCGGAGCGCCCTGACCGATCCTGTATGTTGTTCCAGAGATGATTGCCAGGGTTGGGCCAACGGTCAAGGTCAAATCGCCTATAGCAAAGGTCGAGGTGGGCACAGATGTAGGTACCCCTTCCTGCCGCTGCGCTGGGGATATGGTAATGGTTGTCCCTTGTCCAATGATTTCAGAAGGTTGCACAGTAAATGTAGCACCACTGGCCTGGACTGTGGTTGGAGCGGAAGTCGGGATAGCAACAGTTTGGCCGCCGATGGCTACGCTGGAAGGAAGGACGACGATAGGAATATTGCTGATGTTGGTAGTGAAAGCTGTTGCGGTTGGGGACCCATTCGTTGTTGAAGCAGTCGCAAAACCCGAGTAAAAGATTGAGGCGATTATGTCGCCCAGTTTGGTGGTGGTGGGAGGTGCCTCTGCGGGAGTACTGCTGGGAGTTGCAGCATCATTGTCGTCGACAGATGCCAAGGCTCTATGAGCACTACTCGTTACTCGAGGCGGATCAGCATCACCCGATTGACCTGGAGCATCGACATTGCTATTGCCGTCGTCGCCGCTTCCACCGGCGCCTTTCACTGAAGGAGAGGGGCCAGTGTTTTTGGGAGGAGATGACGTGGGATCGGTGGGATATTGAAAGTTGACGCCGGCTGCGGTGGTCGGCGGAGCAACTACCGTCGCTGGTGTCTTCTTGGTAACAATAACGGTACTCGTGTAGTCAACGCTGGAATAGGAATTCGCCATGGACGATGCTTGAGGGGCCTGTGATCCCTGAGGGGCCTGTGATGCCAGTGGCGCCGTTGCTGATTCAGGAGGGACTGGGGGATTTGCAGGGGTCTCGAGCACAGGGATGATTCCAGGGATATAGCCATCTGGTGATTGAGTGGCAGAATAGAAGGAGCTGGAGGAGTTGCCATCTGGTGATTGAGTTGATTGAGTGGCAGAATAGAAGGAGCTGGAGGGGTTGGGTAGTACGTTAGGACCTATCAAGGGCATAATTGTGGCTTCACAAGCTGGTAGGGGTGTGATCAAAGTCGGGGTGTCCGTCACAGATACATTGCTGGCTGTGACTGTCACATCGAACCCTTCGGTGACGGTCACGTAGACGGTGGGAGGAACCGAGCCGTAGTACGTGACTGAACCGGTACATGTCGCGTCATCCAAGGCATTGGCATCTACCGAAGTCGTGGACGCAAGAGAGGTTGCAGGAACAAATTCATCCGTGGAGGTGGACGTAAAGGCAGCGTCCGTGGTTCTGTTGAAAAAGAAATCGGGAGTAGTTGTGTTTGCGAAAGGTTGACCTCTGCCCACGAACCTCAGAGGCAGCCTCTTGTCGAAAGCCAGAATCCGGGCGTGAGCGAGCGCCGCAGACAGTGAAACGAGTGACCACATTGTATGCATCTTGTTCTCAGACCCTCAGAGAAGTTCTCCCTCCTCTTCAGCCCCGACTTGAGGGGGCTGGTCGTCAGCCGATGCTGAATGAAGAAAACGAGTGACTGTGCGAACGAAACGCGCACTTTCGACGGCACGTTCAATGCTTCATGGTGAGCTCGGAGAAGTTGTTTAGCGAATGGAGCCGCCGGTTCAGGAGGAGCAGAGTGGTGTGTGGTGAGAGTGTGGTGTGGTCGCAGCGAAGCGTGAGCAACATATATGGAGGCAGCCCCCCGTTGGCTCTATGCAGGTACCGGAGACACACAAGTGGCTCCTGCTTACAACAGACACCGGCGTCGCCAAATCTCGTATCCGACTCGTCGTAAGCCAAAGCAGCTGCTGTGGTGGACAGCCCAAGCGAAAGGATGAGGGCAGCAGTGGGTGCGATTGGTGGTGGTGGTAGAAGAGGGCTGAAGATGTCTGGATTTGCTGGATTTGCGGGAGGCGGGCAGCAGGGGCTTTTTGGACGTCGAGGCCAGGCTCATGGGGCGGAGATGGCACTGCAGGGTGCTTGAGTTACCTTAATTCGGTGCTAACCAGAATCTTTTCGGGCGTGCAGGGTGCAGGGGGCAGGAGGCAGCGATGGACAGTGGACAGCACCAATTTGATACCCACTCTCCGTGGTCAAGGATTTCCGGCGCAGGGGGCGCAGGCAGCCTGATCATGCAGCTTGGGCAGAGATTGGCTGCGGGTGACCAGCCTTGGATTTACCTGGATTTAGTCTCCCATCTAGGTGCCCATCAGACAGTGGGCACCTAGTGGGAGAGAGATGAACGGGCTTGCTTGTCCACCAACGAGGTCAGTCCAGCCCGCCTCCGCCGGAGAAGCACTAACTCAGGTAACAGTTCACTCAGTACCAGGGTCACCCAAGGCTCGCCTCTCTCGTCGTTGACAATCTCCTGCCACACAGTGCCACTCCCGACCTGTGACCCACAAGGCCGCGCCTTATCCATGCATGTCATCGACCATCTCCGAAGTACACACATCCGGGATACAGATACAATGCTCAATTTGTCTTGCAAATGCCCGTTAGGTGCCCGTTGTCCAGACACTCCAATGCCTGAAGAGCATGTGCTGCACTCAACCCGGACCTGAGACACGCCGCTGTCGCCAATGAATCAGCACAAAACCACTGCGCCTGCTCAACCTCGGTCTCCGCTACCAGGTGGGAACGAAAGTTCTCAAGACACGTAACTCCTGTGTGGATAAGAACACATCATGGAGGGATTTTAGGCTGAAAAAGTGGCGCTTTGCCCGCCCCGCTGGTAGGGACTGTATGTGCAGGTGTACGGAATAGATATGTAGTGGGTGCGAGTCGTCATATACTCTGTAGAGTGTAGACCCGTGTCCAAGGAACCTTTTGCTGACACAGTAGCTTGGAGAGGGTGCAGTGGCAGTGGGTGGAAAGAGTACGGATATAAGTCTCTGTACGGATACAGTGTGAGTTCAATGCAAGGTACGGAGTATCCATGTACTACCCGCGAGGACTTGGCCCCTGGGCTCGGAAACAGAATTTATCCTGTGATTGGAATTGTTTTCGCCCCAGAGTTGGCTAAGGTTTTAGGACCATCCTGGAGCAGACACACATGCACCAGAAAAAGGTCACTTTGGCAAAATTTGGTACTCGCCGCAGTGAGCAGCCAACTGTATCGGTACGGAGTTCTACGTACGTACCTTAGGTACCTATAGTTGATTAAGGTGGTAGTGGGGGACTTGCCGGAGCCTTAGGAGCCCTAAGCCTGGAAAAGCCGAGGGTGGCGCCGACTCGTAGGGTACGTTAGGTGCTAAGCACACCTATCAAGATCTTAGTAGGCACCTGTAGGCACTTAGTAAATACTAATAGGTAGTACTCCATCCACGCGTTGGAGGGAATTGTAAAATGTACCTAGGTACTCCGTGCTTCTAGCATTCATTTTTCTTTCGCTGCCTCTTGAAGTCCAGAGTATCCGTATATTGATGCTCTCCCATTTCGATCCCCCGGTCTGCCGACGTCCCTTCGCTCGACTAACCGCAACTCTCGTTTCTTTCACTTGATCCCTATTTCGGCGCTGTCGCTCGCTCGCTCGCTCCGCCCTCAAATCCGCTCGGTTCAACAACAGGCCTCGATGTGCCCATGGCCTTCCAGCCACGGTAACTCGCAACAGGATGCGCCTCCCGGAACAAGGCTTTACCCCGTCTTCCACCGCTTTCCGTGACTACTACCTCCTGTCGATCGCTGTCGGCCTTCTCTTGCGGCCCTGTCTTGCAGCCAAACCACACCCACAGCCCATTGTCGCGACGACAAGCACTGATTTCTTCGGTTACGATGGCGCATGGTCAACCATCAATATTCGCGTTGGATCGCCAGAGCAGTGGCTCTCGGTTCTACCGAGCACACTCAGCCAGGAGACTTGGGTGGTAGGCCCAGCTGGGTGCGACGGGACAAGTACTTGCCAGTCGAAAAGAGGGGGGTTGTTCTATGCAAACGAATCTTCCACATATAAACCTAGGGGGTTCTATGACCTGAACTTTGACTCCCAGCTTGGTACGGCAGGCGTTGGGTACTATGGGTTGGATACCATACACCTCGATGACCAGACCTTTGTCCCCGACCAGATTATTGCAGTGGTTAATTCGACCGATCGCTGGCTTGGGACTTTGGGTCTCGGGGTCCAACAGACGCGCTTCAACGGTACAAAGGACTTTCTGCCACTGCTGTCTAGCCTGGTTGAAAACGCGAGCTTGATCCCCAGTCACAGTTATAGCTACACCGCAGGAGCTTTTTATCGTAAGTCTTTCCCACACCAGTCGCGAATCCGTTCACTAAAGGGCTTCACCAGGGCTCAAGAGCGTTCCGGCTTCGCTGACGCTTGGAGGAATCGACGCCAACCGGTTCACGCCCAACAACATGACGTTCTCGCTGAGTGCCGATTATGCGCCTGTGATCGCCATTAATTCGATATCAGTCTCCTCTTCATCTTCACATGGCGAAGCATTGCCCGCCAATTGGAACTCCAATCCTGAGACGCTCCTTGGTGGTTCTCAGGCTGCTTTATTCACCATTGACTCTTCGACCCCGTTCCTATGGCTCCCGGAGAAAGTATGCGATTCCTTCGCATCCGCGCTCAATCTGACCTACGATGACAACCTGCAACTCTACATCTTTCCGGACGACAATTCATCATCTCCGGATGCCCTTACGGCCTGGAACTTAACCTTCACCTTCACACTCTCCAATCTCCCTTCATCCCCCAATGGCATTGATCTTACCTTGCCGTACGACGCATTCAATCTTCAGCTGTCCTATCCCTTTCCGAATCTCGAAGCGAACTTCACATCCCCGCCTAAGAACTACTTCCCCTTGCGGAAAGCTGCCAACTCGACCCAGTATGTCATCGGACGTGCTTTCCTACAGGAGACCTATCTGACCGTCGATTATGAGCGTAACTCCTTCTCCCTTTCACAAGCCGTCTTTACATTAGATGCTGTTGACAATGTCAACCTCATGTCAATAGAGCCTCCTGCCAACAGCATATGGGCTGGACCTGACACTCCCACCAAATCAGGCCTCTCCACCGGAGCGAAAGCTGGAATTGGAGTGGGCGCCGCAGTGGGCGCCTTAGCGGTTGCGACCCTCATCTGGATGCTCTGCTTGAGGAAGAACAAGCCCAAAGCTGACGGAGTTGTCGAGAAGATCAAGCGACGGAGTCTCCTCAGCAGATTACATCGGACGCCAGATTCAAAGACATCCGTATCCGAATTGCTTGGTGATAAACGCCATCCCACCGAGGTTCCCGCCGATCCGTCAGTTACCCGCTTTGAGCTTCCGGGAGATACGCCCATTGAAATGCCTGGTGCGCCGGTGTCGCCCACTTTCTTCGAAAGCAGTCCGGCGGGCGGCCAGCGGGCTTCGACCACAAGGAATGACCCTAGACGCCCTGCGGAACTCGAGCACCGCAACTCAATGTGCAAGGATGGCGACATCGCTGCCAGTGAGCGATCTGGGTCCCCCGTACCTCCCTACTCTCCAGCCGTGATCCACCACAATCATTTTAGCAGTGTGAGTCCGAATAGCCCCACAAACAGCCACGAGTTTGGGACCCTCTCGTCTGGCGAGCAGGGCATCAGCCCAGTTGGTGCAAGCAGTGGCCGATACTCTCGGATATCAAGCAACAGCAACAACAGGAGCATACCGAGTCCTGTATCTCCTGAAGCCACGTCCAGGCCTCAAGGACACCCTTTGGACCAGTCACAGATTAGTCCTTCAAGGAATGATACTCTTGTGGTGCCGCAGCTACATGGACGTCCGCCATCACGCTCACCGAGCACTGGGAGTAGGTTTAGAGAGGAAGGTCTAAGTTCTGAAGGAGAGGAGCAACCGGTTGCGTCCTCGGGACAGCCTACTACTCGAAGCCCGAGGTTCAGCTGGGAACAGTAGACCTCCCACAACGGCTTCTGACGTGCTTGTTTTGTCTTATGATACTGGATGACTTGATGCGTTCTGTAACGACTTGATTGTATGATTCTTGAGGATGGAAATTTCTTGTAACCGATGCTTGATGCAACAAGTTACTGAGAATATGCTGGACATTATCATCTGTTCTCCCTGAGGTATCTCCGTCGTACAGTGTTTTGCGCATTTGTCTTAATGCTCCGCGAGATAGAATAATCGGGCGGAGCATGACTCTATGCCGTCGTTGGCGCGACTACAGCAAGACAGAACATACCAAGTCGGGCATCTTGGTCGTGCCTTGAATAGACTCAATTAACTGAGGCCTGAATCGCGGTGCTGCCATGGAATTTTGCACGTTTGCATGTGATTGTGCAGGGTAAGAAGCCATGGCACTAACCAGCTGGAAAGAATTCCCCTTCTTTAATGTTTCTCAAGTGCCTGTCCCTGCGGATGATGATGGGTCGTATGTCTTCGATGTACGTTTATCACTCCCCGAATCATCTGGCGCCTGACAAAGGTTACAGAACGATGTCGTGTCATTGACGACCGGAGCCGACTCCCTATTCCTTGGTTCTTCCGATGGCTCAGTCCGTATCCTTTCTCGGGCTCTCAAAGTCGCCCACAGCTTCCACGCCTCAGATATCGCCGATGCAGCAGTCACCCATTTAAAGCAAATCCCCGACACTCCCTTCCTTGTCACCCTCTCAGAAAACTTATCTAGTGATCCCTTGCTGAGGGTTTGGGCCTTGGACAAGACTGAGAAGAAGACAGGAGCACCTCGGTGCCTATGCACAATTGCGGTTCAGAATGGGAGGAGACAATTTCCTGTATGATTTCAGGATTCAAGATGGCAGCCAAATACTGAGATTCGCAGGTGTCGGCGTTGGTAGTCTTGGACGATTTGAGCCAGGTAGCAGTTGGCTTCGCCAATGGAAGTGTCACGGTCATTCGTGGCGACTTCATCCACGATCGAGGAACAAAGCAGAGAACTGTCTTCGAGTCTGAGGATCCGGTGACCAGTTTAGAAGTCAGACAAGACGCAGTCAAAGTTCTGTATATTGCGACCACGGCAAAGATCTGCAGTCTCATCATATCCGGCAAAGGCCAGGGTCAACCAGTACGAACCGTCGACAACCGCGGCTGCAATGTTGGTTGTATGACACAGGATACAGAGACCGGAGACATAGTAGTCGCTCGGGAAGATGCCATTTACTACTATGGTCCGAACGGACGAGGACCCAGCTATGCCTTCGAGGGCCCAAAGAAAATCGTGCAGATGTACAAAGAGTACGTTGCTGTGGTCTGTCCACCACGAGTAACACAAGTTTCGAAGTCGAAAAGTTTCAGGAAACTCGGAGGTGACGAGATTGACGAGCTGTTTAACAGCTCTTCCTTCACGTTGCTTGACACCGACCTGAAATACATAGCACACAATGAGTCTTTGCCTACGCAGGTCAAAGAGGTTTTTGTGGAATGGAATGACCTCTTTCTGTTGACAATAGATGGAAAGGTAAGACTTGATTCCCAGGAGATGCTGCTTTTAATAATCCAGAGCAGCTATACAGGTATCAGGAGAAAACGTTGCAGCAAAAGCTTGAGATTCTCTATGAGAGGAACCTGTACCTTTACGCCATCAACTTGGCACAGAAGTCCGGGGCTGATAAAACACAACAAAATATCATATTCCGCAAGTATGGGGACTACCTCTACCAGAAAGGCGATTATGATACAGCTATGCAGCAATACCTAAGGGCAATCGAGAACACCGAACCTTCCCAGATCATCCGACGCTTCCTCGACACGCAAAGAATACATAACTTGATTGACTATCTGGAAGAATTGCACGACCACGATAGTGCCACGGCCGACCACACGACGTTGCTGTTGAATTGCTACGCCAAATTGAAAGATACGGAAAAGCTAGATGCATTCATACGTACTCCCGGAACGGCGAGGTTTGACGTTGAGACCGCGATTGCAATGTGTCGGCAGGGAGGCTACTTTGACCAGGCTGCATATCTCGCCACAAAACATGGCGAGAATGAATTGGTCATCGACATTCTGATAGAAGACTCCAAGAAGTATGCTGAAGCATTACAGTATATCTGGCGTCTCGACGCCACCTCGGCTTACCCGGTGTTGATGAAATACGCACGCAGTCTTATTCAACACTGCCCGGAAGAGACCACAAAGCTCTTCATCGAGTATTACACAGGCCAGTATGCGCCGAAAAATGATGTACCCGCCGTGTCCGAAGTTCAGGCGCAGACGGGTGGAAGCGCCTTTCAAACGCTCTCAGCTCTTTGGACCTTACCTTTCATGAGTCGATCTTCACCTACGGATGGGGCGGCTCTAGCAAGTCAAGAACAAGCGGGCAGCGACCAGAGTTCTGCCCCGGATGAACGCAAGCCTCCAGCCTACAGCGTACCACGGCCTCGGAGCGCTTTTTCATCTTTCCTGGCTCACCCGTCACAGTTCATCACCTTTCTGGAAGCTCTCTTACTCCAAGAAAACGTGTCAAAGGAGGACAGGTCGGATCTGTCGACCACGCTGTTCGAGATGTATCTGGAGGCTTCAAACGTGGCCACAGGCACAGCAGAGAGGGAAAGGTGGCAGGTCAAAGCCATCAGCCTGATTGCTGATAAAGAACAAGAGTCGCTGGATGACTCGTCGATTGATACTTCGAACGTCCTGCTTCTGTCATCTCTTTCCAAGTTCCCGGCGGGGACGACACTGATAAGGGAACGTGAGAATCTGTACGCCGATATTTTTCGATCGTACACTTCTGCAAAAGACACGTCCGGCGCCATATCGTCCCTCAAAAAGTACGGTTCCAAAGACCCCTCACTATACCCGCTTGCCCTTGCCTATTTCTCTTCGTCTACCGAAATTTTGAGAGAGCCCGGGGTCAAGGAAGAACTCCAAACCGTGCTACGGAGAATTGACCAAGAGAACTTGATGGCACCTCTCCAGGTGGTGAAGGTGCTGTCGCAAGGTGGTGCCGTGACCATGGGGATGGTAAAAGCATATCTTTCAGACAACATCTCGAGGGAACGAAAAGAAATTCAAGCCAACCGACGGTTGATCGACTCATACCGGACAGAGACCGCATCGAAGAAGTCTGAACTGGCCGATCTTGGCTCGAAGCCGGTAGTGTTTCAAACACGGCGGTGCTCATCGTGCAGCCGAAACCTGACTCTGCCAACAGTCCACTTTATGTGCAAACACTCGTTTCATCAAGAATGCTTGAACAAGCCGGGAGCAGGTCTAGATGAAGATGACAAGGTAGAATGTCCGATCTGCAAACCGGGCAACGACACGATCCGGGCAATCCGGCGGCAGCAACTGGAGAGCACCGAGCAGCACGACTTGTTCAAAGCGGCACTCGCGAGGAGTCAGCATCGCTTCGACACGGTGAGCGAGTTCTTTGGGCGCGGAGTTATGGGAACAACGCCAGCTGTAGAATGATGCAGTGAGATAATTAACCCAAGTGACAGCTGAGAGCTGCCATAAGTAAGCGCCGTCATCAACAAGGGACCAAGGCGGAGGATACTGGCTATTTCAAATCTGACAGACAGGTACGGAGTACACTAGGTACTGGACCTGGCGCCGTGAATGAATGACAACATGAGAGGATGTACCTGTGTGGACCATCGGAGCACCTAAACAACACTACGAAAGCATCTCGGATGGCCAAGATCTTTTAGAGAGACATTGAAGGGTCGCATTTATGTGTCATGGTACCCTGTAGTGCAGTGAAACTGGACCCTGTCTAAGACCCAAGTCTCAGCTGCATTCTACCCAACGTGCTAAATGCGGTACGGCGACAGACAAGTGGGGATACGTGGCCTTCATACAGAGTCCGTAGGATGTCGAGCTCGAGGCTCGATGGCTCTGGCCTATCTCTGGTTGTGCGTCGTTTGTACCGTAGGGCTGCATCGTGAGCGGCGACTAGGGGAGGGGGGAGTGGAGAGGCGGTCTGGCGGGGGAACGGGCTGATGGTGGTGGCGGCGGCGGCGGCGGTAGGGGTGGTGGTGGTGGTGGTGGTGGTGGCCGTGGTTGCTGGTGGAGGGGTAGTGTAGAGAGGTGCTACAACCCGGCAGCATGTGGCTACAACAACAGGACTCTGACCGGTCGGCGACTATAGTGGGATCTCATTGGACTTGATACGGAGGAGAAGAAGAGACGAGCTGAATACGAGCGCTGCCGAGGGATGCTTCAACCTAATGTTCTGCAATGTGTAAACAACAAACCAAAACTGAACAGATGTGCATACGAGGTTGAGGATATCGCAGGGACGGGCTGGGGCAGGTCAAGCCTGAGGAGGCTGAGCCCAATCGCTGCTCTCGTGCGCGTGCATTGCATGTTGTGATCTTTTGGCGTCGCATGTGCTGTTGTCGTTGTCGTTGTCCCCTGTCGCGCCTTGACATGGATGGGCTCTGGTGGCTCTGTGCCAGTCCACACACTAAGATGCAGATGCAAGCCCGACCCCCATAAGCCAGGTAGTTTAGGGTGCTATTAGGTGTTGGGTGTTTGCTGTGCGGAAGCCACGAGGAGTGGGTGAGGTCAGCGACGTCGTCCATCCGGTTGCCTCTCACCACGGGCGCCCTGAAGCAGAAAGATCATCATCATCATCACAGCCAGCGTAGCGTGTCACTGCGTAATCTTCTCCTCTGAACCATCTTGCTCGATTTGCAGTAGACGGGACACCATATTGTTGTGCCTTTTCCCTTCTCGAGGCCATTATTCTTCGTCCCCGTCGGAGTGTTCCGGCCGAGCAATTCGAGCGTGGCAAAGGCGCAAACGGTGTGGCGAGCATTGCAGTTAGTTAGGTACTGAGGAGGCGCAGCCGCAGTCAGTCTCAGGCGCGAGGTCCAGCGCAGGAGCGCAGGAGCGCAGGTGCGCAGGTGGACCGGGCGAGTTGACTTGGAACCCGACCACCACCGCCATCACCACCACCACCACCACCATCACCAACACCACATCAACTACACCCTACACCTTACGCCCTACACACTACACACCACATTACACGTCTGTCGCTGCTCGCCTGGCCGTCCGTGCTACAATCTCTCGACGCCCTCCCTATTCTCGTGCGCCGGTCAACAACTAATGTGATTTTCTCCCAAGCGGGCACATTCTTCCTATTCTTCTTCAACCCTGCCTGTCCTCGTCAACAAATGCCCACCCCGGCCCTGTCAGCTCACCACCCCTCGACTTGGCCCATGACACTGCACTCTGGTGCAGACTGAAGCCCAACAGGCATCGCCCCATCCACCACGTCCGTCTTCGCTCCCCAGCCCCGCGACCATGGCAGACACCGACCAGGCAATTGCCGAGGTGCACCGCAAGATCGAGCGAGAAAAAGCTCTTATCAATGCCGCCACGCACATGCGACAGTCGACCAGCAACGCCACCGTACAGGCCCGTGTCGACAGCAACATCCGCGATGGGCGAAGGAACATTAGCTACTTGGAAGACAAACTGCAAGAGTTGCAGCTACGAAAGCGAGGCGGTCCGACGGAGGACGGCGCCCCCGCGCCACCCGCCCACGGCGGACCGGGCTACCAGACATCTGATGGTCGCGGTCACCGACCTTATCCTGCCGGGGGTGGCCCTACTCCGCCGCCCAAGGACCAGCGAGGGTATTTCACCGGCGAGAGAGCGGACTATGGAGACCCAGGTCCAGGCGGGTACAGCCAGGGCGGCACCGGCATGATGCCACCACGAGCTCCCTACGGCGACCCTAGACCCTACGATACTCCCATTCCAAAACCGCGCCCGAACTTCTCAAAACTAGGTAGGTCGCTCCAGTCCGCAATGCACTGACCGGGTGCTCACGTGCCATCTCAGATCTGATCAAATATGACACCCCATATCTCGGGCCTAAAATCCAGCTCATGCTGTCCCAACTCGAATTCAAACTGTCTGTCGAAAAGCAGTACAAAGCAGGCATCGAGAAAATGGTGCGCCTTTACCAAGACGAGGGCGACAGGAAAAGCAGATTGGATGCAGAAGGACGTCGCATCGAGAGCAATCAAAAAGTCCAATTACTGAAACAGGCGTTGAAGAGATATATGGACCTGCACGTCGACATCGAATCCGCAGACGGGGCGGACGGTAAGTGAAACATCCCCGCGATGCTAGTCCGGCAATGTCTGATTAGAACTCAGATGACAGCCTCAACGCTCCTAACATGCGGAAACCATTAACGGGACACTTGGAAATGCGCATCCATGCCATCAAGGACGTGGACCATGCGGCCTCGTCTCGTTTTTCAAGAGGTCCCGAAACGTTCGTCATCATGAAGGTGGAGGACAATATCCGAGCCAAAACTCGGGCCACCCGGACCGACAAATGGACCGAAGAAATCCATCATGTGGACATCGACAAAGCGAACGAGATTGAACTGACCGTATATGACAAAGCTGGCGACCGGCCCACCCCGATCGGCTTTCTCTGGATCCGCATTTCAGACATCGCGGAAGAGATGCGTCGAAAAAAGATCGAATCCGAGTTCAACCAGAATGGATGGGTGCCGGCTGATAAGATGGCCAACGGGGGAAGCCCAGGGAAACCAGGGCCCGACTTTCAACAACCTGCCCCTTTTATGCCTCCTGGGGACGCGGCGGGGGCGGGGCCTGCGGCCGGGTTCCCTCAACACGCCCAACCTCTCATGATTGATTCTTGGTTCTCCCTAGAGCCGGCGGGCAGAATCCACCTCACGATGAGCTTCCAGAAACAGACAGGCGCCCGGCGTCCGTTCGACATTGGGCTCAACCGCCAGGGTGCGGTGCGGCAGAAGAAGGAAGAAGTGCACGAGAAGCAAGGGCACAAGTTCGTCAAGCAGCAATTCTACAACGTCATGCGCTGTGCGCTGTGTGGAGATTTCCTCAAATATTCCGCCGGCATGCAGTGTGCCGACTGCAAATACACGTGTCACACCAAGTGCTATCCCAAAGTCGTCACCAAATGCATTAGTAAGGCGAACTACGAGACGGACCCGGATGAGGAGAAGATCAACCACCGGATCCCACATCGTTTCGACAACTTTTCAAACATCGGCGCCAATTGGTGTTGCCATTGCGGTTCTTTGTTGCCCTTAGGAAGGCGCAATGCGAAGAAATGTACCGAGTGTGGTCTCACCTGCCACGCGCAGTGTCAGCACTTGGTTCCCGACTTCTGCGGCATGTCCATGATCGTGGCCAACGAGATCCTCGAGACCATTCAACGCACGAAGCACCATAACAAGTCCGCTTCTGTTAGCTCCGGGATGAGTGGACGAACCCTGAGGCCGAACTCGGCCAGGCTCGGCCCCACGTCGCCTACCCAGAGCTACAGCTCAGAGCCGAATATGCTGACACCGCAGATATCCAACCAGTCCTACGACCATCATCCCGAGCCTCCGAAGCCATCTGCCGCCGCGAAGAGTGCGGCGCAGAATTTGATGTACAATCAGCCTCCGCTGTCCCAGTCTCAACAGCAGCAGAGACCGGTTCCTCATCGACCTGTCTCGGCGACAGCCATCAAAGCCGCCGCCGCGGCCGCCAATCGACCCCCATCCCAGCAGCAGTACAATGCGCCCTTCACAGATTACAGTCCGCAGAAAGCGGCCGCCGATCGATATGCCAACGCACGACCGCCCGCGCCAGAAGCGCAGCCGCCTCATGCCTCGTATGATCCTCGCGCGTATCAGCAGTACGATCGAGCGCCAATGCAACCACAAGCACCACACCACGCAACACAGCAGGCACTGGTTCCTCAGCAAAGACCTCAGCAGGTCCAGCCCAGTTACACCCCGGCCCCTGCCAAGCCGGTGCCGTCGCAACCACAACAGGTGGCGGCCCCGCCATCTGGACGGGGGACAGGACCTCGAATCGGTCTCGACCACTTCAACTTCCTGGCTGTCTTGGGAAAGGGCAACTTTGGAAAGGTCATGCTCGCCGAGGCCAAGAGCTCCAAGAAATTATACGCCATCAAGGTATTGAAGAAAGAGTTCATCATTGAAAATGACGAAGTCGAATCTACCAAGTCCGAGAAACGGGTCTTCCTGATCGCCAACAAGGAGAGGCATCCCTTCCTCCTCAGTCTGCACGCGTGTTTCCAGACAGAGACTAGAGTTTATTTTGTCATGGAATACATTTCCGGCGGAGATCTGATGTTACACATTCAGCGTGGACAGTTTGGCCTTAAGCGAGCTCAATTCTATGCCGCCGAGGTCTGCCTGGCTCTCAAATACTTTCACGAGAACGGCGTCATCTACCGGGACTTGAAGCTGGACAACATCCTACTGACGTTGGACGGCCATATCAAGATTGGTGACTACGGGTTGTGCAAGGAGGATATGTGGTATGGATCCACGACATCCACCTTTTGTGGTACCCCCGAGTTCATGGCCCCTGAGATCCTCTTGGATAAGAAGTACGGTCGCGCCGTGGACTGGTGGGCTTTCGGAGTCCTCATCTACCAGATGCTCCTTCAACAATCTCCATTCCGCGGCGAGGACGAAGACGAGATCTATGATGCAATTCTCGCCGACGAACCACTGTATCCGATCCACATGCCCCGTGACAGCGTATCCATTCTGCAGAAGCTGTTGACAAGAGAACCGGAACTGCGCCTAGGCAGCGGGCCCGGTGATGCGCAGGAAGTCATGAGTCACGCTTTCTTCAAAGGAATCAATTGGGATGACATTTACAACAAGCGGGTGCCCACGCCCTTCAAGCCCACCATCAAGAACGAGAAGGACACCAGCAACTTTGACCAGGAGTTCACCACCGTAACGCCGGTGCTGACGCCGGTGCAGAGTGGTAAGTGCAACTTGTGCTCTAATCAATGACCCCGACTGACCTTTCTCGCGCAGTGCTTTCACCGGCTCATCAGGAGGAATTTAGAGGCTTCTCATATTCGGCCGATTTCATCTAGGAGGAGATCACCGGCTCACCGGACGAGGTGGATGCTTCGAGCCCGACCGATTAGGAAGACGTCCAAGTAGGAAGGACCGAATCATAAAGGACGAATCCGCTGGTCGCTCCGCACTTGTGAAGAGAGTCCAGGACAGAACCGAGGCTGGTACAAGAGCGAAAGACAGGATGTTGTGGCCATCAATGGCCAAAACGTTCGATCGGCGTAGGCAAGGCGATCTCAGGTCCATCGTGGAACGGGAGGCACGGGCAAGGAGACTAATGTCTAGACTTTGTGAACGAGTGAGCGTACAGATTTCAGGATGGCCATAGGTCATTTCTGGTCTCACATTTTGATGGAGTGGGATTTGCGCAAGTTGGACGCGTCACATAGTGTAGAGTTGGATTGAGACGAGCGAGAGAGACGGCGAGAACGATGTATGAGAGAATGAATGATGGTCCGACGAGACGGCGACGGCGACGGCGACGAGGGATGGAAATCAGGCGTGACGCTGGTCAAGGTCGCCGTCACTGTCACAGTGACGTTTGCGAGCGAGGGGGGCGAGAGCAAGGACAGAGGTTTGGGGTGATAGCCAGGTAAAGCCACCAACTGATCATTTGTTCCCGATGTGTGACGGTTCTATACACCAAGTGGCTGATTCACGAGTGAATTAGTTACTTTGTCCTTTTTGCGGCTGTCGTGGTGTAACAGTTTGGGTGAAGTGTGAAGCGTGACACGATGGATATCCGGGATCACAATACAGTACTTGTCTGTCTCAGTGTGTGGAGGATGGTGAGGAGGGAAGTGGTCATAGATCATCGCCATCGCTGGTCGAATACTAGTGATTTGGACTCTGTTGGGGGCACCTAGGGGAGAGTAGTGACTGTAACGCGTGGGAAGTGTTCTGCGGCGGGAGTGATCTAAGTTAAGTAGTAATAGTCATATCAGACGATGGTATGTAATACGACGGAGTGATAGTTGTAGGTGAATACAAGTCCTCACGGACCTCGACCTGGACCTGGACCTCGACCTCGACCTCGATCTAGCGACGTAGACGTAGACGTAACACCTGTTTTGACCACAACAGGATCTCAGATGGCCGCGTGGACGAATTAGGATGAAGTGCAGTGTTCGGGGGTGGTTGTGGTTGTGGTTGTGGTTGTGGGTACTACCTACCTATGTGCCTATGTGCCTATGTGCCTATGTACCCACCTACCTAGTACCCTATGTACAGGACATATGTACAGAGTATATACTTGTATATATATAAGCAAGTCGTGCCGGCACTACTCATACACACCTGGTACTTACTTACCCGCCCCTATTCCGCCACAGCCTTGTCCACCCACCGGCACCGGCACAGACAGCCGTCACACTCAACTCACTCACTACCAGTGTCATGTTGACACGGCCGTCGACTCTTTTCTAAATTTCATTTCTCTTTGCTCTTTTTTTCTTTCATGGAGGGCCGCAGATTCCGAACTGCACGACGATCGCTGACCCCCGACTGTGACTCAGCCATGCCTAATAGACAGACAGACGCTCCCGGTCCCGCTCCAGCTCCCACTCCCAGACAAGGAAAGTCGATCAGATAGTGCACTTTCTGAGAGAGAAGGGTCTTCCTGAATGGGGGTTCTTTGACTTTTAGTCTGGCGCCTCAGGCCGACAAGCTGCATGTGACAGTTACTGCAAGTCCCAGCACCACTTTCATTCGGGCGGGAGAGGCATTCCTGCCTACGCAGGTAGGGCTGGGGTAGACTGCTTCTATATTGTTGTGTTGGTCCAGACAGGGAGCTGATGTGACTGCAGTTATGATCGAGTTGAGGGGATTCTACCTCTGTCAAGACTTACCTTTCTTTCCCTCAGCCTCCCAGACGGCGGACGTCCTCCTCACAGCAGACCGAGGATCTTCCCACGCCTCGAGTCACCTTTATCGAACGAGGGCATCGACGTTGTTCCGATGACAACCTGACATCCTGCCCCAAGCAGCGCCTCAAATCAAATCCAATGACTGTTGGGAAGATAGATAGCCTCGGTGATAGAGAGCACCAGGAACTCACAGGGCAAGAGAAAGGGATGGTGTGCCGTGGTCCACGGAAAGCGTTTCAATTCTGTTCTACCTATTTTCCTCTGCCACGTCTACAGCCGGGCCGACCTCTGGCGCCATTCACGTCTATATATTGAAAATCAGCTGGTGAACAGACTGGCACAGACAGACTGTGCTCGGGCTTGGGCAGTCACAGCCTTGTTCGAGATACCTGCGAGCGATAAGGGGGCGAGGGAATCCCGCCTACCTGGACCTCCCGAAAGTGTTTGGAGGAGCAGGCTTGTTGTCCAGAATCTCCTCAATCTCCTGCACAGTCTTGTCGTCGAGCTTTTCCAGAAGCTTCAGAGCCTTTACATTGTCGACGAGCTGCTCGACTTTGGTGGCACCCAGAATGACCGTACTGACATTCTCGTTCTTGGCAGCCCAGGCCAAAGCCAGCTGCGAGGTATTACCGCCCAACCGTTCGGCAATCTTGGACAATTTCCTGACCTTCTCGATCTTAGCCTGGCCTTCAGGCTTCTGTAGAGATTCGACGGCGTTGCTGAAGATATCCTTGTGGTTGGCCAAACGGGAGCCCTCGGGAATACCATCGTTGTACTTTCCGGTCAACAGGCCGGAAGCCAAAGGTGACCAGATGGTGGTGCCGTATTTGTATTCCTTGTACAACGGGGCGTACTCGACCTCGAAGCGCTCACGGTGAAATGCGTTGTATTGCGGCTGCTCGGCGACCGGGGCAATCAGGTTGTACTTCTCGGCGATCAGGGTTGCTTCGGTGATCTGGGTGGCAGACCACTCAGACGTGCCCCAGTAGTAGGCCAGGTTGAGGTTGCGGATGACTTGGGTAAAGCCCTCCACAATCTCCTTCATCGGGGTGGCGTAGTCAGGTCGGTGAGCAAAGACAATGTCAACGTATGGTTGCTGAAGCCGCTGCAAGGAGCTCTTCAGACCCTCTACAACATGCTTGCGAGAGAGACCCCGAGTGTTTGGTTCTTTTCGGCCGGTCCCAAAGAAAACCTTGGTGGAGAGGACGTATTCGTCCCGTGGCCAGTCGAGTTCCTTGAGAGCGTTGCCCATCTCAATCTCGGATTGTCCATTGGCGTATGTCTAGACGGGGTTAGGTACTGGAAATGCCAGAGTCTGCAAGATCGTTCTCACCTCGGCGGTATCAAAGAAATTGATACCGTTTTCCCAGGCAGTTTGTAGGATTCTGAGGGAGGTCATGGTTAAAGAATGAAGCACGGGCGGCCGGATGATCATGACTACGACTCACTCCTTGACGATGTTGCCCTTTTGCGTACCGCCGTAGGTAAGCCAACCACCTAGACATCAACATGTCAGCTGTTGTTAATGGCCAAGGCCAAATGTGAATGATGATTTTGTACACGTACCCAAGGAAAAGACCGAAACCTTTAGGCCAGTAGGACCAAGATGGCGGAAGACCTGTGGCACAGTGGAGGGATGCAGTCAGCAAATGCAGGGTTGAGTGTCTGTCTTAAGACCATGGGCTCACCATGTCCTTGGGGTCAAATGCCGATCGGACTGCCATTGCGAGAGGTCTCTGTGTAATGGAGGATGGGAGAACGGGAGGATCTGGGAGGGTCTGGGAGTGTCTGCCTGGTTGAATCAAAGGTAGCACGAAATGACAAGAGAGAAAAGACACAGGACAGAAAGTGGCTGCTGGCGTAAATAAAGGAAAATCGAAAGGAGGCCAAGGTGGGATGGAAGACGCCGCAGGCTGCGATGCCGGACCTGCGCACAGCTGCGTTTCCCACTACAGTATTGTAGGTACCTACATACGTATCTATTAGGTGCCTATCACGCTGGGAGAGCCAGGATGACGTGACCGTGACCGTGACAACCGCAGACCGCAGGCTTGAGTTTAGGCATGAGTTGGGTCAAATGACGTGATTCTAGCGTCTGACAAGCGATTTCTCCTATCTAGATGGGTTTAGGCTGTGCACCAGGCACCTACCAGGGCAGGAGATCAAGCAGAAACAAAGAACTCCGATATCTCCGGGGGCCTCCTTAGCCTTGGGCTGGAGCCGCAACGGCGGATAGAATAGTAGGCGTCATTCGAAATGCCGGTTATTCGCACGCCTTCCACGCCCTTTACCTCACCTCAGGTACAGACCCATACCAACCAACACGCTCCTCGCTGTGCTGTCTCCCATACTATAGGTACGGAAAACGGCCGACGACACCGGCTAATGCTCAAGGGGCCCAATTCACCATTCGCGGGCACCCCAACACCATTTCCTCAATTCAGAAACCCACCGGCGGGTGGGCTGCCCTCCATCCCCCATCCTCCATCCCTGGTCGAACGACTAACATTTGGTTAGTTCTCCAGTTCTCCAAAGCCTAACCGGCACCACGGCACCACGACACCACGACACCACGGCTTAGGGGCCCGATCGAGCATCCCTCAAGTTCCCTTCCCCTCCCCCTCGCCCGCCGCCTTGCTATCGAGGTGTACTAGCAACAGCCTCACAGGTTCAGATTCGCTCGGGTTCCTCCATTGATGCCTCGTCCCACGCTGCACAAAGATGTCTCCCCGTGGCAGCCGTCTCGTCTCGCCCGAATCCAGCTCCAACTCGACCTCACCCTCCAGCACCACCCCGTAGTCTAACGACAGCGTGCGATGCATCGGTGACACTGCGCCCGGCGCCATGTCGACCACACGCAAGACCGACCCACCTTGGATCGTGATCCCGGGGTGGTTATGCAGGTATTGATAATACGTGTCGAGGTCGGCGTTGGCGTCCAAGTCGGCGGGAATCGTCGGCGTTGCGTATGCCAGGCCAAATGCCGACGTGGGAGAGTTGGTCCATGTTGGGAAGGTCGAGATGGGCGGAGCGGGACACGACGTTGCTGCCGCTGACAGATTGTCAGGGTCCGGAGTCTGAAAGATCGCCACGCCGTCGGCGTTGTGCGTAGTGATATGGCGAGAGAACTCCGGGAGCCCCTCGACCTTTGTCGTGCTTTGACTCATTATGAAGAATAATCAGGTCCCAATTCTTACTCGCTATCGCATGTGAAATCGAGAGGGCCTTGTGTCAGACTACAGTGTCGACCGCACGGTTGTGGGCCAGCGGTGAGGGCAACAGCTTGAGAAACAGTACGGTTGGTCTATGGGGTTTCCTTTCATGGAACATGACAGCTTGAAGTCGTTCAGATGAATAACTAGATGGCAGTGGTCGGCCCTTCTCCGGCTCTGGTGTCCTTATCGCGACCGACCGCCAGTCCAAGCGAGGGTAGCTTGAACAGTGGTATCTGAACCGTTGATGATCATATGGGACTAACATGATAGGACAAACCTTGTTATGGATGCCCCCGGGCGTACAGCATTCCCTATGATCGGGCCAGTGAGACCTTTGACTAACCTGGGGGTCTTTGCCTCAACCACGACATTACAGGGGTCTACATGTCGTTTTCTATGATCACTCCGCTACCCCTCACCGCTCACCGCTGCTACGGTGTAGAGAGATCTCCTCCACACCCAAGCCGATCCTGGCTCTGGCTCAACACCAGTTGGCCGTCGGTTTTCCATCCATGGAAGTCTAGACTCCTGCTCCCGTTTGTAGCAGGTATCAAAGTCTAATGTCTGGGTTGTATCCGTGTATTCAGCCGTCGACTTTGAGGACGCCGTATTGCGGCGATGCACCAGCAACGCCCACTTCTCGGACGTATTCGTCCCAATGCTTGAGAAGCTCTTGAAGTTTGTCTGGGTGGCTTGGCCCCAGGTCGTCTGTTTCCCCAGGGTCCGTTTCCAAGTTGTACAGCTGCCACCTGCCGGGACCATAAGGCTCGGGGATATTGATGGCCTTCCACTTGCCTTTGCGAAGCGCTTGCCGGTCGAAAAGCTCCCAGCCCGTCACCGTCTCCTCGCTGTGGATGTACTCGATCTTTCGGGGGCTTGAGAAGTACGGAAGCCATGACTTGCCTCGCACGGGAACCACGCTGCGGCCCCGGTAACTGCTCCCGGGGTGCTGGACGCCGGCCAGATCAAGGATAGTTGGTGTAATGTCCATCACGGTCGCGAACGACTTATCGATCGTCCCGGCCCTTGACTTGGTGAATCGTGGATATCTCAAGATGAACGGCACTCGGATCCCGCCTTCGGAGGAGAACGTCTTGTAGAGTCGGGAAGGAGCCGTGGCGGCGGAGGCCCACCGAGGACCGTACCAGACATAGCTGTTGGCTCGACCAATGTTGTCCAGACTATTGTCGTAGTACCGGTCGATATGGTCAAAGATGTTCTCCCGCACCACCGGGAACGCCTCCAACAACAAGCCCTCGGCCCCGTTATCCGACATGAAGATGACGACGGTGTTGTCAAACTCCTTGGAGGATTTCAGGTACGAGATGACGCGACCGATGTTTTTGTCCATGTTCTGTACCATGGCCGCGTAGGTTTCCATGGTCCGCACCGAGAACTTCCGCTCGGTTTCGTTCAGGGTGTCCCATTCTCGCGAGAGAGGGCGATCGACGGGCGGAGCAATCACATCGTGCGGCTTCGTGCCCGGTGCGATGATGCCCAACTCCTCGAGACGTGCCAGCCGCTTCTGTCTCAGGACGTCCGGTCCCTCGTCGTACACGCCCCGGTAATCGAGTCGGTCTGACTCGGGGGCCTGCAACGGCCAATGAGGCGCCGAGAAGGGAAGATAGGCAAAGAACGGTTGTTGCCTTTGATGCTCGTCGCGCTGCTCTAAGTAGTGCACCAGTCTGGTGGCAAAGGACTCGGAAGAGTAGAAGCCCGGGCCCAGATCCTCCGGGGCGATGGCGGTATTGTCTTCTACGTAGATGCTACTGTTGCGAGACAGGAAGCCGGACGCCTCTCCTTCTTTCAACTGCGGTTCCCATGCGTAGTGGTTGGCGGCGCCCTGCTCAGCAACGTCAGATCGGACTGTCAGCAGCATAAGGAGACCACCGGACGGATGTGAGTGAGGCCCAGGGACCATCGAGGGAGGTCCTTACCGGTAGCAGAGCGAACGACCGGTCGAACCCCCGCTGCGACGGGTAGCGGTCGGGTGTCATGCCTAGGTGCCACTTGCCCGACATCAGGGTCAGATAGCCGGCGTCGTGCAGGAGCTCCGGGAGCGCGGCGACCCGGTCGTTCAAGTAGCCCTCATAGCCCGGCTGGCCTTTCTGGAACTCTTGAATTGACTCGATCATGGCGCCCACGCCGGCAATGTCTGCGAGAGAAGGATTAGGAACGGTCAGAGGCCGGGGACGGGAAGGGGAAGCGGAAACGGGAGGGGGAGAGCGAGTGGTGGGGGTTAGAGGAAGGGTTAGGAGGGACAAGCTACTTGCGGTTATCAGTGCCGCTGAGTAACATCGACCGGGTAGGCGAGCAGGCGGCGGCGGCATGGAAGTCGGTCAGCCTGACGCCCTCGGCGGCCAGACTGTCGATGTGCGGCGTCTTGATTTCGCCACCGAAGGCGCCGACGTCTGAAAAGCCCAGGTCGTCGGCCACGATGACCAGGAAGTTGGGCCGCGCCGGCACCGCGCCGGGGTCTGGATGGTCCGCCATGACGGCTTAGGCCACAGGAAGGGACGGTTCGTCGATGTTTCGTTTCACGACGCGTCGCTCGGGCCCGGTCCGGTGAGGATGGTGGGAAGGATAGAGAATGGGAACGGGAGGTAGAATGCAGAATAGGCTATCTAGATAACTAGGTAGTCTCTAAGCCGAGCCTGGAGCCGGGAACCCGCGTCCAACTTGGGAGTTTATATCTATTCTACGGCAATTCAGTTCATTTCCATTCCATCACTGATGCCTGGGCCTGTCATAGATCTTGGCGTCGATGACGAGCTGGGGAGCCTCGCTCACGTTATAACTACTGTACCTAATTAGATACCTACCTTACCTATGCCTGAGCCCCTCGCCGCGCGCAGAAGCAATAATGATGTCAACAGACTACGCACTCCGGACTGTAGGTGCTGTAACCCTAATCCTCGTGGGGTGGGTACTATGTACATAATACATACTGTGAATAATGTATGTACACTGTACAGTAAGTTGATGCAGACGCAGACCCGGACCGGACTGTCCGTGAGCCGGGCCGGGCTGGCCAGGACAGGACAGGACAGGACAGTTGCAAGATCCCGACGCTCGGCTTGGTCCACTTCCACTTGATGTGGACGAAGGCCAGAAGAGGAGCATGTCGACATGGAGGATAGTAGGACAGTACCAAGCAAGCGACATGGAGGACAGTAGTACAGTACCAAGCAAGAGATGGTCCGCAACGAACCACGGGAGCCTAAGCCTGTGCGCCGCGAAAAATGTACAGATAGGGGCCGCCAGCCTTGTAGGGTACATACAGTATGAATGAATAGCCAGCCTAGGGCCTTGAAAGCCACTCAGCGGCCTCAGGCAAAGCAGCCAACTGGGCTCTTTGACCGCAGAGCATGTAGTCGTTCATGTACAGTCCTCGCGAGACCTCGATTGTCTTCTGCCGATGAGATCGAGATATGGAGGATAGTTCTCGCGACGCCACGATACGACCAGGGGACGGCAGTCAAGGAAAGTCTGACTACACTCACTCGTCCCAAACCACCCCAATACGAGTCAGTGTTAGTCTCATATGAGTTGAGGTCTTGATAGATTCACAGCACACACAGCACACACAGCACAGCACAGCCGAGTTCTTCAGGCACCCGTACTCTTCATGACTTGAGTCTCAGTGTACACATAGGCACTTCTCCTTCCAGGCAACGACCAAGCCTCACTCCAGCGGATGGAACCCGACAGACCAGACCAGACCAGACCAGACCATGCCAACTGCTACGTCCTACAATCGCCAGCCACGTCGCCATCATAGGACCTGTTGAGTCATGATGTGACTGTGACGGTGACATCAAAATCGAAAGTGAAAGTGCTAGTGCTCACCTACTACATGGTTCATGGCATTTCCGCTCTGGCCAGCCCGTTGTCGATATCGATGTCGATGTCGATGTCAAGGCCAGTGTCCGAATATGAAATGGGATAAGATGTGATGGGGATTCACAACATCTCATCTGCATTCCGCCCTCCTCATCCTCCTCCGCCGACGCTGACGCCGACAGCAGACTCAGACGCCTATGAGCTTGTGCAGTAGCCCTCAAGGGAACCTACACAGCACATACATACCCACTGTATCCGTACACACAATACCGTTCTAGGAATGGCTACTGTGCAAGTTTTTGTTTAATTTTTGAAACGCACAAAATCCACGCCGGAAATTGAAACAAATTCAGCCAATCACGGTCGGATGGTGTAGTTGGTTATCACGTGTCCTTAACACGGACAAGGTCCGGAGTTCAAGTCTCCGTCTGATCATTCTGGGTCTGGGTCTGTTTGTTTTTGCAGTCTTTGTTGCCCTTTGTGGTGGCGGATGGGATGGGATGGGGCCCCTGAAGAGTTTTTTTGGGCGGTGGGACGGCTGCATGTGGGCTCCGAATCAATTATAGCAACAGCAACAGCAACAGGAGACAGGAGACAGGCACAGCAACAGCAACAGCGATAGGAGATGGCAACAGGACAGGACAGCAACAGGAACAGCAACGGCAATATCAATAGTACTAGTGTCACCGTCACTGTCGACGAACAAAGAAGTCTGCAACCTATTGGGTTGGGATTGGTATGCGGCCGGCCTGCATGGAACTTCTATGGTCCAGTATCGGTTCGGTATGCGCATTCCAGATCGACGTTCTTGCAATTGGGTCTTCGTGGCCACCAACCAGTAAGTATCCATGATATCGGCACCAGGTACTGCCTGCCTTGTGGGCGATGCGATGCGATGCGCCCTCAGCCTTGCTGGGTCGGAGGGGCGATATTATCCTACACGACATCTTCGGCGCACGGTATGTGGTATGTAGTATGTGGTATGTGGTATGCTGGTGACTCGTGAGTGGTACAGTACGCAGCACAGTACCAGCCTTCCAGGTTTCCGACGGAATCTAAATCTCGAATCTCTCCTTCTTTGTCCCATGCTGGCAATGTCTCATGACAAAGGCGACTGCCACTGAGATGTCGGCAAATTGCCCTCTGCACCTGGACCTTGCCAGTCCGGCTTGGGGCGTCAATAGTGCACCGTGTCTTTGTTCCTTGCTGAGGACTGTCTACGATCAGGTTGGTCCAGCAGATTAAATAACAGACCCCTACGTCCCGCAGCATTTGCCGTACAGGTGCAACCACAACCACAACCACGGCCGACTTCTTTCTGATCCTCCTACCCTACCCATCGTTCGGAACCCCTTTTTCCATCATGCGCGCATTCGCATTCACATTCACTCTCGCACTGTCTCCGTTCCTGCTCGCAGCGTTCGCCGGTGTGGTCCATGCCCATGATGGGAGCGAGAGCGAGAGCAACACCAACATCATCTACGACACACCAGTTCTGACTCCGACCCCGGAGCACCACGGGTCCGAGGACGAGCACGAGCACGCAGGCCTTCATAAACGATCACCTCCCGCCGGGGTCTATGTCTGCGACCAGACGAACTGGCAGGGAAGTTGTGCCTGGATCAAACTCACTGATGGGGCTTGCATGGATTTCCTCTGGGATGCAGGCACCTCGGTCGGCGTAAGTTGACATGACATTCCACTTTCAACCCCTTGAGAACCTGCCCTCGCTGGCAGACTCTTGCGGGTTCTTCGTTGGAGTATGCATTATGCGTGTATATAAGCTAATCGATGTCCCGCCATATCATCTCTAGCCCCCCCAAGGCTGGCAATGTAAATTCTACTACGGCGGCAAATGCAGCGGACAGATGACGGACGGCAAACTCACGTTCCCGGGCACGCCCAATCTCGGGGCAACGTACAGCAACCGCTTGAAGCCGGCGTCGTACAAGTGTCGACCGTGCCCTGACGGGACCCCTTGGTGAGTTGACCTCTATAAAGGGCTTGGCCCCTATACCTCATACCCTATACCTCATACCCTATACCTTATACCCTATACCTTATACCCTATACCTCATACCCTATACCTTATACCCTATACCTTATACCCTATACCTTATACCCTATACCTTATACCTTATACCTTATACCCTATACCATTCATTCGTCGCGCGCACGTAATGAGTCAGGACTGACCTGTATGGCGCCGCCTAGTATCAACGGCAACGCTCCCGCTTACCAAGAAGCCGTGGCCAAGACTGGAGCCAAGGGGGCGGATGGGAAATGCAGAATCTTTGAAAGCGGCGAGACCAAGTCGGTCGCGTGTTGAACATGCCGGGCATGTATGTGATGGAACCGGAGGACGTGAGCGAGGGCGAGGGCGAGGGTGTGCCACTGGCTGGAGGTGGAGGTGGAAGTCAATGTCGGCAGGTCTGATGTGCTCACTTAGCATATAGCTATATGGGAAGGGCTGAGGTTGAGGGGACTGGATCCTTGAAAGAAATACCTGTAGCTGTGAAATACTAGGGTTAGGGTTAGGGTTAGGGTTAGAGAGCTGGTCTGACGTCACACCCGCCCTTGTCGTAGATGTACTCTGTACTCGGTACTCTGTACTCGGTACTCTGTACTCTTGTCATGCCTCCTTCTCCTCCGGAGCGAGGAAATGTCGGTCCGTGTGTTGCCGTGGTATTGGAATAGACTGTCGTTGCACCCGCGCGGCAATCAGGTCCCTAAAGGTGTCCTGCCGCAGATCGCCGTCGGATCTACGGACGCCGGACGCGATGCCGGCCACCACGCGAAGTCAAGCAAAGCAGACGCACCTGGAGACTCTCCAGACCACGGGCCCCAACGCGACATTACCGCCTCACGATGAACCCTCGACGAGGCGAGTCAAGTCGAACGTCAAGCCCACACGCTCCAAGCCAGCGGCATCAGAGACAAAAGCAAAGGCAAGCAACCCCCAGTCCTAGTCAGCCTCTGGCAAGCGCACCCACCCCCCAGACGACACCCAGCGCACCGGTGCAAGTTCAACCTCAAGCTCACCGGCGGCGAAAAAGCAGAAGCGGAAGCGGAAGCTAAAACAAGCACGGGAACAAGAACAAAACCCAGACCAAGAACAAAGCCAAAATCAACCTTCAGGCCACCTGCCCAAATCCCGCGATGTCGCTCTGTCCGACCCCGACCGCCCTGCCGAGGCCAAGGTTGCCGACCAATATAAACCGATCATCATCAACCGCGCCCCCGTGCTGCAGCTGTGGGCGGCGTGTGTCGCACAGCGGCTGCACCCAGACCTATCGTGGCCGACATGCCTCGCAATCGGCTCGGCCATTTCGACGTTATGTGCGATCTCCAAGGGGCGGGCGATCGGTACGATCGAGCCGGCGGACCCGGCGGACGGAGAGGCTAAAAAGCGCAAAGAGGCTCAGAAAGCGCGCGCCCACGACAAGGCCGGTGCGGATCGCGAGGTTGAGATCGAGGTCATGGGGTTCCGGCTCCTGGTTGATGTTGCGAACGAAACCGTGCTGGTCCAGGGCAAACCGCGGCACGGGAGCGAGGGACCTCTCCAAGCCAAGTTCGGCGGCGACCACGACTACACTCGCGTCAAGGATGCCATGGACCATGCGGTCGCCACGTGGGCCGGTGGTGACGGCGACGAGGATGCAAAGGAGCTCAACAAGACTGCCTTCCATATGTACGAGGCCTTCCGGCCCTCCGTGCAGAGTGGACAGCGCGGCTGGGGACGCAAAGGCGAGTTGAGCATCGCGAAGATCAAGGAGGCGGTGGAGCGGGAGCGGGAGTAGAAGTAGATCATCTAGTCAATCGTGGAGGGCACGCACCACTCACTCTGTCTCCTGGGGTGAATTTGCCTTGTTACATGCCTGTACTACCGACATGGTCCTCTCGTAGTGGTCTGAGATGGACATTGACACGCCTAATAAGACTAATGATTTGAGTACTCTTCATGAGCCATCGGGGGTCATGATAAAGCAGCGTGGGATCTGTCCACAACCGACATAGCAGCTCCGAAGACGGCGAAGCAGGCACTAGCAACTAGCAGCAGAATAGCTCTATTCACAGAATATCTCTACTCTCCCACCGGCTTGTCCCTCTTCCGGTAGGTGGGTGCATTTGCCGACGCCTAACCCCCAGCTCACCTGTTCAGCCTCTCAAATTCCAAATTCCATTCCCCGGACTGTTCGTCAGCACCCCACGATGTTACCTGCTGCTACGAAACCACCGGGCAGGAAAGTCTCATTGGCAATAGCAATCACCGCCTGCACAGGAAGGCCAGCCAGGTCTGCACGACCAGCCATCACCATCACAAGCGGCCGCCCGATCTCTTCATCCGCGGCCGGAGGGAGACCGAGGGGGCCCAAGGCTAATAGTGCGACTTCCGGCGACGGGTCCTTCCAGCGACAGCAGACACCTCGTGCTTGTTGCGGGCATAGACCTAGACCAAAGCCCACCGAGTCACTCTCAAGCCGGCTGTCTCGCAGGGGAGTTGTCGGTTCAGCAGCCGTCGGCACGATGGCGGGATCGAAAGAGAGCGAGACCGAGAGCGAGTACCGGCAATACCTGCCGGACCTGAGTCAACCGCGGTTCACGACTATGGCGACGCAGGACGCACGGGAGTACGCGCAGAGGTTCAAGGAACAGGGGAACCCGCCGTGGCTGCACGCCCTGTATCTGCACTGGCGGGAGCTTCTGAAGGAGCCGTTCAAAGGCGTGACCAACGACGGCGTGGTGCGGCCGGGCCTGTTCCCGGTGCAGGACGAAGGCATTCCGATCTCAGCCATCGTGGCCGCGACGCGCCACGCGCTCTCGCAATTGACGCCGGCCCAGCGCGACCGGCTGTCGTACCACATCGACTCACCGGAGTGGCGGACGTGGTCGAACCCGGAATTCCTGCTGAGCGACAAGGGCGTGCGGCTGGACGAGGTGACGGCGCCGGTGCGCGACAGCCTGCTGGCGATCCTGCAGGCGAGCCTGTCGCCCGAGGGCTACGACAAGGCGGTGGCGGCGATGCGCATCAACGGCTTCCTGGGCTCGCTGGTGCGGGCGCCGGCGGTGATGAACGAGCACAGCTACAACATGGTGCTGTTTGGTGAGCCGAGCACGACGCGGCCGTGGGGGTTCAGCTTCTACGGCCACCACCTGTGCCTGAACGCCTTCTTCCACCGCGGCCAGATGGTGCTGTCGCCGTGGTTCACGGGCGCCGAACCCAACGAGATCGACGCCGGGCCCTACGCCGGCACGCGCATCCTGCACGGCGAGGAACAGCTCGGCCTCCAGCTCATGCAGTCGCTGCCGCCCGCCCTCCAGGCCCGCGCCCAGGTGTACAAGCTCATGAAGGACCCGGCCATGCCCCCCGGCCGCTGGAACCACGACGACCAGCGCCACCTGTGCGGCGCCTACCGCGACAACCGCGTCGTGCCGTACGAGGGCGTGCTGGCGTCGTCCATGCCGGGGCCCCAGCGCGCCCTGCTCCGCGCCATCCTCGCCCAGTACCTGCTGTACCTGCCCCAGCGCGCCCGCGACATTCGTTTGGCCCACATCGAGTCCCGCCTCGACGAGACTTACTTCTGCTGGATCGGCGGCTTTGGGGATCACGACCCCTTCTACTACCGCATCCAGAGCCCGCTCGTCCTCGTCGAGTTCGACCACCATTCCGGCGTCTTTCTGAACAATCCCCACCCGGCCAAATTCCACATCCACACTCTGTTGAGGACTCCCAATGCCGGCGACTACGGCATGGCCCTGCGCCCGCTGCTCGACGGCATCGAGCAGAAATTCGTGTGGGATGAGAATGAGAATGAGAATGAATCTGAGGCTAAACCTGGAAAATAAAATGAGAAATAAACCCGACTCAGATCCTGGGAAATGAAATAAACATGGACCCGAGTCAGATCCTGGAAAATGAGGTTTACAAAGTTATATTGGACCTAGTGTAGATTTAGCTACATTTGCTTTACGTCCTTCAGAATGAACATGAACCCCAGTTAGAACCTGGCAAATAGAATCAGACTAGAATCAGGATCCCAATCAATTACTAATGCATGGCAAGACACTCGAGTCAGAACATGGAAAATGAAAATGAGAATAGTCCCGAGTTAGAACCTGGAACTTAAAAATGACATGAACATGAACGTGAACATGGTCCCGAGTCAGAACCTGGCAAATAGAATCAGACCGGAACCCGGATCCCAATCAACTACTAATGCATGGCAAGACACTCGTCAGGATAAGAGCTGCTAGCTACTAGGTAGCTAGCTCTAGCTCACTGGATCAGCCTTCACCACATGTATGTAATTACATATTCATGTACGTAGGTATATACTATAACCGACTCGATCGGAGAGATATATCAGTACTGGTACTGGTTTCTAGATTCCCAGCCTTGCCCTTTAACCAGAAGACTGGTATAGGTATCCCTATATAGTCTGGGCTCCCGCCATAGCCCTCTGATAATGAGACGTGGAATATTTCAATATTTCAACCTTTGGCAATTCAATCATTCAATCAATCAATCAATCATTATTAATCATTCAATTTCATGTTCCTCGTAGAATATAAGTGACAGTAATTACGACCAAAGAGGAAGAGCAAAGGCGAAGGGGACATTGGGCGATCGATCAATCGATCGACCTTCTTCTGCCGTCCAGCATTTCATTTCCAGCCCCTTGAGTCTTGCCTGATCAAGCCAGCGAGCGAGCGACTGCCGTTCACTCAGTCTCTTCCTAGACAGTCTCGAGTGGGATCCCAATTCAATCCAATTCACCATCCAAAAGAACAAAAGCAAAGGCTTCGGCTTCAGCTTCACGACTAAGTCACATTTGACTCTGTCGACGGAAATCCTTGGTTGCACGCACCATACCAGCTTTAAATCAGATCAACACACACCGTTGGACATCCTTGGTTGCACCATAGCTTTAATCAGATCAACACACACCGTTGATCAAGTCCTGACTTATAGGTAGGGTTATGGCCCTCACCCACCCGATCGACTGACCTGATACGAACCTTCGCTCGGTTAAGCAAAAACGACCTTGACGGCCTGGATCGTGTTCGGATGGTTGGTGAAGGTGACGACCAGCGTCTTGCCGGACTCGTCGAAATACGGATGCGGCACGGCCGCGTAGATGCAGCCGTTTTCCTCGCCGGGGAGCAGCGGCTTCGCTTGGTACACCATGACGGGAGGGTCGGACCATGGGCCTTGTGGATGCTGCGCCGTTTTCACATGGACCCGCGAGTTCATGAAGTTGTCTGCATACCCATGACGCGTGCGTGTTAGCGACAAATGGACGGACGGCAAGAAGAGGAGCTGAACCAAAGAGGCGTGGGCGTGGCGAGGGCTGCACATCGGCCAACAGGAAGGACCGCCACAGCCGGCCTGAGATATGGTTGGCCGGAAGGAATCCTCTGAGTACATACATGGCAGCCAGTCCATGCACATACATGGCAACCAGTTTATGCAAGTTTCTCCCAGGAACCACGGAGAGGTGGCATTGAATATGAAATGCTCGATACGTACCACAATAGACGAAAATGAAACATCCAAACCACTTCGAATACACCACCTGGCCCTGGTTGATTTGCCAGAATACGCTCTCCTTTTCGCCAATCGAGTCCTTCTGCAGTCTCTCGGCCTGCCACTCGTCGCCGTTCCAGTACTCGTACCTGTCGAGCTGGGTGGCGTTGGCCGCCGGCACCCTCGCCACGTAAACCCACGGGTTGCCCTCGCCGCCGTGGCCGTACGCGTAGATGTGTTCGTCCCATCGGAGCGCGCAGATGTCACCGTACCAGGGCTCCCGTTCGCCGTCCCACCAGAACTGATGTTGCTGATGGTGGTGGTGGCCCTGCGGCGGGGGGTGACGCTGGATCTGTGGGGCCGGTGGGTATGTCGAGGTGTCGAGTGAGACGGTCGCGATGCCGGCGCCGAGAATGTGGTTGATCCCGCCGGGCCGGTGGTTGAGGAGGAAGAACATGACGCCGGTGTTGTCTCTGTCGGTGTTGAGGTCGGTGTCGGCCTCGACGGTCGAGACAACGTTGGTAATGCCCAGCGAGTACTCGGAGGCGTCCTCACCCCTCGACGCGTCGAGCGGACAGAACTGTTCCGGATACCCGTCGTGGTTCAGGGCCGGGTCGACCACCACCAACGGATCGTGCGTGGCCAGCGCCACAGAGTCGCTGACCATGCCGCGCCATTTGTCGCTGTACTCGGCGTCGCTGTACATGGTGTCCCCGTAGCTCAGGAGAATGTGCTCGCCCAGTCGTCCCTGGAAGCCGAGGTCACGTTTCACATACGTCGTGGCGCTATGGACCTGGCCGAGGAATTCGACGTTCTCGACATCAATGGTGGGAGGGTATGGTTTGGATGCATCTGCAGATGCGTCGCCGAGCGCTGGAGTCTGGTGAATCTCAGTTAGGTGGGAGAAACAAGTGTCGGTTTGTCGATATCGACAATGGCTTGAGCAGATTGCGAAGGGAGAGAAGCTATGGCCTTGCAATGCTCTTTGTATGGAATCATATGTATCATGCACGGTGGATGAACGATAGGACACGGGCATGTGTGAATGTTGCTACCATGGCTCGGCCATCTCATAAATCGGGGAGGACAATTGTCGGTCCTGGATTGCATGGCTTTGGCAGCCTTCACTTCTTCACGGCAGACCTTGGGCAGACCTTCAAGGATAAAGGTACAACCAACGAAACAATTGCTCACCTTGAACCGCACCCGGAAGTGATCGGATTCCGACTCGGTGCTTGTACCTTCTGCCGGGTCACTGGCGGATGAGTTGGTGGCATCTAGATCCAGAAGTCGATTGATCTTTCCACCTGCCCATCGATGTATACGTTTCCCGAAACCCTGGGCATGCTGAGCTGCATGCTTATCGGAGTCCATAGTGCAGGTTCGGTTCGGTTCGGTTCGGTTCGGTTCGGTTCGTCCGTCGCCCGCGCACTTGTGTCGTCTGGAGAGATGGAAGACTGTGCTTATCCAGATGGTTGACAAGAAGTTAAATGAAGTTGTCGATGTGATGAAATCGAGAGGTGATCAGGAAAGCCTCGGTTCAAAGGAAGAGGGACCCTGCACATGCTGTTCAAGCCGGAAAGTCCAGGGAACTTGAAATGCCTGCCACTTCTTGGCAACATCCACGGAGCAGGGAGGTGGAAAGATGGTCATTGGTGAATCCTGCTATAGAGAGAACACACCCCTGTCACTCTGTTCTCTTGGAGATCCGAGGGAGTAGCAGCCAGGCCACCGTCATGCCAGCGGATGATATCAAAACAATCGGATGAAGCACGACGGTCCCCAACTTCTGCGCCAACAGCCCCGTGATGAACGGGACCAGCGCCCCTCCTGAAGATCCCATAGACGTTACAACCGACAAACTGCCGATCTGGATGCTCCGTGGTAACAACTTGGACAAGACCGCGGTGGCACATGGGTAAACCGGTCCGAGGAACAGCCCAACAATAGACTCGGCGACCGCGTCTCCAATGATGTTGGGGACCAGCCAGACCAGGAGTTGGCACACCGCCGCACCAACGATGAGAAGCAGAACCGAGAGCTTCTCGCCCAGTTTGTGGGCAAAATGGGTCAGGACAAACCGTCCGACGGTAATGCCGGCCCAGAAGCCGGACGTGACATTGCCCACGTGGGCGGGATTGCCATTTCGATAATGGATCAGGTAGGAAATGACCCAGCCAGATATGGCCACTTCACTGCCCTGGTAGAAACTAAAATGACAAAAAGTCAGTCACGCTGTGAGGCGGGGTGACGGGAATCACTCACAATATAAAGGTGGCGCCTAAAAGGGTGACTCGATTCCCGAGGGCATGTTTCAGCAGCTGCCATTTGGAGGGTTCGCCGGAAGCAGAGGCCTGGCGCGAGGCTGTGCGTTCGAGGGTGGTAAGAAGTCGCACCGCCATATCATTTTCAAAGCCTTTGTAGGTCCAGCCGAGGAAGAAGAGCGACGATAGGGAGAGGGAGAGGGGGATGAGATAGAAGTATGCCCAGTGGACTCCATGGGAAACCATCGCAGTAGCCATTAAGGGAGAAACTATGCCTCCGAGCTGCACCAGGGTCAGCTTGTTCATTCCCACGCCCTCCATGTCTGGAAAGGGCCAGCCGACTTACTCCGTAAAGACCGTGGCAGAAGCCCAGGATGACGGTGCCATTCAGGAGGTTCACTATAAATGCATTGGTCATGGCCAGAAACAGGGCCATGCCACACCCCATGAAGTAGAAGCTTACAACCACGACGGGGAATGGCGGAGTACAGACGATGGCGACATAGCCGCCGGTCAATAGGCCCATTGCAATCATCAGAGATCGAGCTCGTCCGAGACGGCCGTCGATGATTTGTGTTACCGGTGCCATGGAGATGAAACCAACGGCGTTGGTAACGAAGATCAACGAGACAACGGCATACCCGATTTTATACTCGGCCTCCAGGTATGGGATCAGAGCACCAGTGGCCGCATCATTGACACCCATGAGGAAGAAGGCCAGAGAGGACGAAGCGAGCCTCCAGCGGTTCTTTGGCGGATTCCACATCGACTGAACGAGGGCATCAACAGCTTGGTTTCGCTGGGGGGTTGGCGGTTGGCTCCGTTCGAGTTCTCCAGGAGTCTGGGGGAGAGCTCGACCGATGCCAGTGGGGGAAGAGTCTCGTGAGGACTCCAATTGAGGGCCAGGGCCATTCAACCGCTGACCCCATTTCATTCCGTCCAGCTCATACTCGGTAGGCGTACCTGCAGTGATGTGGTCGCGGGGGACGATTGGGGCAAGGGCGGGAACGAGAGGGGCAGGATCACTTTCATGGGTGATGAAGGCGCCAAAGGCTTGGGCTGCCATGGTCGAGGGCCCAGCGGGAGCGGGAAGAAAGATATCGAGGACAGGACAGGAGAGTCAAGGGTCAAGGAGACTGACTAGACGTCACTGTTATAAGAGGAGGGTGGACGAGAAGTGTGATATTATATACCTACCGCATTGCCAGTAGTCCAGTAGTCAGTAGTCAGTAGTCCGTAATAGTAGTGGCACGAGTAGTAAGTGGCATCATGTGGCCGAAGCCCCAGCTAGACGCCCGGTGGATCAAGGGAGATAGCAGACCGGAGGGGACAGGATGGCAGCGATACCGTGGATTTGATTCGAAGAAAACTCTGCCGCCAGCAGCAGAGAGTGACGGAGTGGAGGAGGCGGTGGGCAGTGGGAGCTTGGGAGCTCGCTATACAGAGTAGTAGAGTACCCGTACAGACCGTCTGCTGGAGCCGGATTTGTGTTGGTTGAAATTCGAGAGGCAGCGAAGAAAAAGTGATGGACGGCTGCGCTGGAGTCTGGTGTATGTCGGCTGCATTTCTACATGGGGAAAGTTTCCGCCAGATTCATCGACCAGCAGACTAGTGCCGGTGCAGTAATGTAATCCCATCCATCATCCATCATCCCATCACCTATCAGCAATTGAATCAATTGTAAATCACCATCACCCCAAGGAGTCTCTCCCTCTCCCACCCATTGCTCCATGTCTCGCCGCAAGCTCCGTCAGACGGCCGAAGAGACCCTTGCCCCGCCGGATTTGCTGTCTCCCAGTCAGACAATTGCCCGCGTCGTCCAACTCCACGGCAAAGACCTCTACACCGTTCAGACCCCAGCCGCCTCCTCCACCCTCCTAGTTGAGCTCGAGAACCGATTCCGGAATGCCGTGTTTGTCCAGCGTGGTGGCTACGTCCTTGTCGATACCACGGCGAGCGACCGGCCAAACAAAATCCAGGGAGTTATCGTGAACATTGTTCGGAATGAGAAGGCGTGGCGGAAACAAGCATACTGGCCTCGAGAGTTCGCCAAGAAAGTGGCATCCGACGGCAGTGACGAGGAAGAGTCGCTAGTCGGAAAGATGCCACCCTCAGACAGCGAGGAGGAAGAGGACTGATGGCAATCATTCTATTGTGTGCCCTACACCATCTAGACATCTCAACTTGTCTTGCCCGGCACCTTTCTAGCTGGGCTGACGCGGTCCACCGGTGGTGATTTGGCAATGAGTGCACACATGACTTGCACCGCCAGCTCCGCCACTACGAGCGTCGAACTCGTGTTGGTACTGGGGTAGACTAGCCAGGAATATTCCTGGACTGCCCAGTTGACCAGCACCCAGACAGGGCCTCCACCTGCCCTCCACAGAAGATATGGACTTGCCCAGCCGAGATACGCAAAGAATTGATAGTGTAGACTCCGAGCACACAGCATGCCAATCACGACACTCCCGAGTACCGCGTCCATGACGAAGATGGGGGTGATTCTTTTGGAGATTCGGACCGCCTCGCCCTCTCGGATCAAGCCAGTGTATTTCTTGATGAAATCCAGTAGACCGGTGGAACTGGGCTTGGTCCACCTGATCTGGACGAACGCGAGAAGAAGGGTGACATGGAGGATCAGCAGGCTGACGGCAAAACTGCGAGAGACAAAGACGCCCAGGCCCACAAACCTCCAGTTGACGGTCCATTTGTAGAGAAATTGTCTTCCGAAATCAAAGGCGCGGTGGAAGTACTGGGCTCCGGCATCACCGCCGAGGAAGGGCATTGCCAGGACGAGATGGAGAAGCAGGACGGATAGTCCGGAGGAGATTCCATCTTTTAATCCGCTCCCTTGCAGCACCACCAATCCAACGGCCGGCGCAGCCAGCAGGATGGTCATTTTCACCCCCAGACCCAACCCCCATACCAATGCCCCGGTGCGCCATTGCCGTCGATGTAGCAGGTATATTGCGAACCACAAGGCCAGAGTTGCCCAGCCGTCGTTGAACAGCCTCAGTAGGAATATGGAATGCATTCTCTTGCTCAACGCCAATGGGACCAGGAGCCACGGGGGCGCTCCGACCCGACGGTAACAGGCAAACACCACAGCCAAGCTGAGGAGGTAGAGGCCGGCGAAGATGATTTGTGCACGCAGGATATTGGTGCCCTCGTCGGTGAGATAGTACAGTGCCGTGTAGATGTAGAGGTGGAGGGCCGGATAGACAAGTGGCCCTGTAGGCCCGGTGATTTTGCCATAGCGTCGCTCGCCGTCAATGAACATGCGCACCTGCACCATGTAGGTGGTGTAGTCGATTTCCGTATCTGCAGCGGCCAGCGGGTGTCAGTTTGCTGCCATGCCATGCCATGCCATGCGTTCTGGGGTTGGGTTTTGGGGTTTGATTCGGCGCAGGAAGCCACGCACAAGGTATCCTCCACACAATCAGCCCGCACAGAGCAGCTTCCCCGGCCAAAATCAAGGGTGCTATCCATCGAGTGTTTCTGGGATCTGTGACCAGGTCGCGGAGAGGGGACATTGAGTGGTTCATTGTGGCGGTCCTGGGGGGCATGGTAGGCAATGCACGCCGCGAGCGTCAGCGTCGCTTAACAGCCCATCACCATGGTAGCGCTGTGATCGAGGACAAGACGACGGTGTTGAGGCTGAGACATGACAGGTACCGAGTATACTCCATACAGGATACAGTACGAGTACTCCGTACCCCGTGTCGGTAGCACCTAAACAGAGTGAGCAGGGTCCAAGACGCGACGCGAGCGAACAGCGTGTTCACTTCCGAGGAGGAGCCGAGCGTGGTTCCTCTCATATCTTCTCCTCGCCCTCGATCCCGAGATGGTGCTCAGTGGAGAATCGAGACGTCGTCGCTGTCATCCACGCGGCAGCCTCCTAGTAATACGTATGTAAGTACCTTTATTTGGCCTTAACCAAGCCCCAAGCCATCACAGCCTCCCCAAGACAGCCTCCCCGACTCCCGTCGGGCTTCGTCATGACCAACCACGCTCCATTGCCAGGAACACTTGTTACACGGGACAATTGCAACCCATTCACTATATGCACGAGGGCTGCTTATAGGTACTCTGTAGGCTTTACAGACAGAGTACTCAGTACGTACTCCGTACACGACTACACGTACATCCTTTACCCAAGGGCTCGAGCCGTGACGGCCTGTCACCTGTCACTTCTCCTGCCCAGAAGACAATGCCCATATACATTCCCTTATCTACTGGAGCGCTTCTTGTCTTGGCCGTGTCCCCCCTAATCCGGTCCTCCGACTGCCGTGATTATGATTGAATTCTGGGTGAGCCTAAGGAGTTCTGATCTGCTTGCTACAAGTCCTGTTCCCCTACCACAGCTGGGGTCGATGGCTCCGGGCAGGTTCTCGACATTCATTCCCCCAAGCAAATGAATTGGACATTCATGTCTTTCGTTTCTATCTGATCCTTGCCCTTGACCATCCGAAAAGTTGACTGTATGACAATATGTTGATCCTGACCGTCGCCTCCTATCTGATCTGCCTCGTCTCTTTGTTGGGGCTGTCGGCCGCTGAGGCAGAGTATCAGTTCTTCTACTCTCGACCAGAACTGTATCCGCCTGTATTACAGGTGGACATTCTGAAAGAGGGGGCCACGCCTGGATATGTATTCGTGGCACCCCATCACATCGAACGGTCAGGCGCGGCGATTTACGACAACCATGGCAATCTCGTCTGGACCAGTCTATCGTCGATGGGTGGCGGAAACATGCACTCGTTCCGTGTGTGCCAGTACAAGGGGGCCGACCATCTCTGTTTCTTCCGCGGCGACCAATGGTCGACGTTTTACGCCGGCGAGGTCCTGATCTACAGCAACGAGCTGGTCCCGGTCGCGACCATCAAGGCGCAGAATGGCCGGCCGGCAATCGACATGCACGAGAACAGTCTGGTCGACGATGGCCGGGCCATGATCGTCAACATTTACCAGTCGGAACGCTACGATCTCAGCGACTACGGCATCAGTGATGGCGAAGGCTGGGTTAGGAACGGGCTGTTCCAGAAGATTGACGTGGCCACCGGCGAATTGCTGTTCGAATGGTCGGCACTCGACCACATCCCCCCGTCCGAGTCATACGTCGCTCTGGGCAGCACCGAAGGCGTCACTGCCGGGGAAGGCTTCGATGCCGGCGGTGCTTGGGACTACCTCCACCTCAACGCCGTGGACCAAAACGCCGACGGGGATTACCTCCTGTCTTGCCGTCACACGCAGGCCCTGTACAAGGTCAGCGGGCAAGACGGCCGGATCCTGTGGCGGCTGGGCGGCAAACGATCCGACTTCGAGCTGGGCGACGGAGTGGCGTTTGGATACCAGCACGACGCGCGCTGGCGCTTCTCCAACGCCAGCACCGACATCATTACGCTCTTCGACAACGCCTCGGACAGTTTCCACGACACGGCGCTGAGATCGGCGGGCAAGATCATCCGGCTGGACCACGACTCCACCCCTCCGCGCGCCACGCTGCTGGCTGCGTTCGAAGGGCCCGACGGCATGCCGCACGCCGTCACCCAGGGCAGTGTTCAAGTGCTGGGCGAGCACGCCGCCGACGCCAACGTGACCCAGTCCAACGTCTTCATCGGCTGGGGCCAGCAGCCCTATGTGACGGAGCACCTGCCGTCGGGCGAGATTGTCTTCCAAGCCCGGCTCCCGGCCGCCGGCGCCAATGTCTATCGCGCGTACCGCTTCAACTTCACCGCCCACCCGCTCGACAGTCCGGCTCTGTACACGTACGCGCTGGACACCGACGCCGCAGCCACCATGTTCTACATGTCCTGGAACGGGGCCACCGAGCTGGCCCAGTGGCGCGTCTACGGCCGACAGAACTGTACGGCCGACTGGACCGACCTGGGCACCGTCGACAAGGAAGGCTTCGAATCCGTCTTCGAGGCTCCCGGCTACTGGGCCTACGGCATGGTCGAGGCCTTGGACCAGGCCGCCCGCCCCCTCGGCCGCTCGGCCACCAACGGCATCAGGACGTTTGTTCCCTCGCCCGCTCTCGCCCAAAGCTGCGGCCGAATCGGGTGCCGGATGACGAGGCTGAGGGGCGCCGCCACCGCCCCGTCTCCCGGCGAGGGTCAAGGTCAAGATCAAGATCAGCTACGAGGAGGCTGTCCCTTCACCCGGGACGACAAAACACTCAAGGCGGGCCTATCCGTCGAGACCTCGGACGTGGATCCTCGTCTGGGCACCTTTGCCCGGGGCGGCCTCCTGCTTTTCGCCGGCTTGCTCGTCTGTCTCGTGCTGACCGTGGTGGCATGCTACTATTACGATGGCCATGTCCCTCGTCTTCTCACTTCGACTTCGACTTCAACTTCGACTTCTCATGCCTTGGTCCCGCAGTCCGATCCGGAACTCGAACCAATGGTCGAATGGCCTGAGAACCAAGCTTCCCGTTCCCACACGAGACTCCATGTGGTGTGACGCTCTACTCTGAGGGAGCACGAGACTCCATGTGATGTGACGCTCTACTCGGAGGGAGCACGAGACTCCATGTGATGTGACGCTCTACTCGGAGGGAGACAGTAGAGGTATGATCCGCGAACATTATACAGTAACATTATACAATAAAATATATCTAATACATGGACGGATACATATGACACACTATTCATAATCTTGAGGCGCATGTATTCGGAATTTTCCTTGGATACGGGTACAGTGATTGGTGTCACGACGGGCTAAGGCCTAAAGATCAAAGGCTCAGGCTTAGGCTCTGTCTGTCCGGAGGGGCTGTGCCAACAAACCGTCGGGCGAGGAGAGGCGGAGAGCTGTGCTTGAAGTCTGCTTACCTACCGACAAGTCGCCTGAGGATGGATAGGCCTCGCGGGGCGTCCTCTGTGTCATGGATATCATTAGCCCCAAAGTCCCTTCCGCCGTGTTGATCGCGATGGGAAGGGAAAGGAACTGAAATATTGCATCTCCAATCTGGCAAGAGGCCCATGGTCTGAGCGAGTTCGATCGAACCAAGAAGAAGCAAGGGGATTTGGTTCCTAATTGTATTGCTTTGTGGCTGTCTCTGCTATGTGTCAGCTCATGATGCTTGATCGCAGCATCCTAGTCTGTTCCAGCTCGCCAGCAGCATCCATAAAATTTCAGGCCCTTCACTGCCAGTCTATTACCGACGAGACCACCATAAGATTCACCTACAGCTCGATTTCGAGCAGCCATTGCCCATGCCCTGTGTCCCCTTGCTCTCGAGCTGTCATTGGATGTCCATCCTCCCATACTCCGTTCATAATGCCTCAATATCCCTTCGCCAGTAATGTGATGGTGTCAGCTCATATGATAGCGCCTGTGTATGCCAACGTGTGTCTTCATGTCGTACGCCGTGCTGAAATCCAGTTTTTGAGTGCGTGGTATCCACTTGGGTAACAGTGACTCCGGAGTGGCTATTGCGCTGTTGGAAAATCTCTCTACCACTCCTCAATCTTTGGCGCAATATACTGCACTGTGCCGTCTCCCATGTGTCCCTGAGTTCCCAAAACGCCACCGGTGATTTCACGGATCACAAGGTTGAGATTGATGCTGTTGCGGATGTCGCATCTCTTACTGGGCGATTCAACATGGGCCACCCAGGCAAATGTAGTTGCAAATCGCTTCAAGCAAGACGGGCAGACGACTTGCCCACCCACGTGAGCCGACGTGAGCAAGTGTTGCTTGAACTGCTCGGCGTTACTGAATTGTCGACGGCATCTTTCTCCGGGACACATGTACTGCTGATGGAGAGCATCCCAGAATCGTTCAATATCTAGTGGAGCGCTGCTCGAGATGATGGAGTGTGCTGGCATGTTGATGATGTGTCTATGAACCGACGATGAGGTTTCGCCAGGAGGTCGAACGCTGGGCGGCATGTTCTCAGAGACCACGGAGGCAGCAACCTTTTTGTCGTACATGGAAGCTACCTCGCTGTTGTTTGCTGATGGAGGTTTGGTAGAGCTGTTCACCGAGGCGAGCCAACCTTTGACATAGCCATGGCCTTCTTGTGACTCTCCATGTTGTGCCCACGTGTTCCAAGCATTGTGGCCAATTTGCAATCCGGCCATGTTGTTCTCGACGTTGCTGAAATTAATCAGATTGCTTGCTGTGTCTTGGGACTTGTTACTGAGGACAGATTTCTCTCGTGAAGGCTGTTCGTTTGGTCTGGGGTGGGATGCAGCAGTGGCGAGTGGAGGGAATTGGTCGTGTGATGCCGGCGAAATGGGACCTCCCAATGCATTGTTCAAAGATCTGCTGGAATTGTGGACAGCTGCGCTGTCGAGGAGGTCGGTTCCATTGTTGGTGTTCAAGACGGTAGGAGCTTGCTGGACGGATGAGGGAGCGCTGAAGAGTTCCCCACTGGCCACGCAAGCATCTTTGTGAATTTGCTTTTCCGCGCGTTGCATCTGAAAATCTTCCAGTCGGATGACTGAGCACTCATCATTCTCGATGTGGTACATCAGGGCCGATGCGGAGCTAAACAGGGCGCGACAGCCGGCGCATTCAAGCTTTTGCGCAGTTCGATGGCTCTAGTACATGTCAGCAAGAAAGTCCATTAGAGTGCTTGTCGGAGGCGTACTTGTTCCACATGTCGATCTCTGCCGCCAGTGCTTTTGAACTGTCAAAGTCAGATTGGGTGTCCTCGGACTCGACTCTCGGAAATACTCACCTCTTGGGCACAGACCGGGCAACAGACTGGGAGAATGTCAGAATCATGAGACTAAATGAGAGCCGGGGAAGTTCTTACTGTGAGCAGAGCTTCCAAGTTGATGGATAAATAGAAGCATGTCATCGTCGCAGTCAACATCGCAGAGGGCGCAGTAGCTGTGGTTTGGATCTTTGCGTTTGTGTGAAATCATAGCCTCTTTCGACGAGAAATGCTTGAAGCAATTCTCGTAGGTGCACTTGATCTTCATCGTGGCCTGTGATGACGACGTCGTTGATATCGATACGGGAGAAAGGGAGAAGGAGGATAGGGAGCGGGAAGACGAAGAAGATATCAATTTCGTGACCGACTAGTAGTGACTTTGCATGTGCCAAGTTGAAACTGGATAATGAAGCGAAGAGAAGACGCAAGCGGGACTTGAAGTTACTGAAGAGAAGAAGCGAGGGGAGAAATCACATGCCGGGTCGACGAGGACCGATGACTGTGAGATGCCACGGGGCGCAGTTGGCCCTTCCTTCACCGTTCAGACTCGGGTCTGGTTCTCATTAAAGATAGAAGACAGAAGAAGACCAACTTGACACTCTTAAGACAAGCGGTATCTCGCTGTAGGAAACAAAAGCTTCTTCACCGGCAGATGAACGAGAGTCGTGTGTGAAGTGGTGAGGACGAGGCGGAGGAATAGTGATGGTATAGTGATGAAGTGGTGATGGAGTAGTGACGGTGCAAGTGACAGAAACAGAAGGTACATTTACTGAACTTATACTCTGCCGAAACCTTACTGTAGGCTCCCGCCTTGGCCCCGTGGCAGTACTACGGTCGAGCATTGCATTTGGGGTCGCCTCGCCCCTGGAGCCTTGCTGTCAGCTTACTCTTAAAGCTCTACTGAGCTCCTGAAAGGAAAGCTTCATACGTGATGATAAGAGGCTAGATATATCTCTGGCACGGTGTTTACCGCCTCCATGATCCATCTGTCATCATCGTGTTCATCATTCGTTAAGACCCAGGCCGCCAGCCTACTGCCTAGTTCAGGTGTATATCTCTTCCGTCAGTGCATTCAAAGTCAGTCCTTCTTTAGCAATGTCTTCATCTGCAGGTAGGGTTAGCGACTAGATGGTAGTAGGTGGGTAAGCAGCATCTACTCACTTTGCAAGAAGCATAAAGGCATCTCCACCAAAGTGCCCTTGACTTGACTCAATAGTTCCTTGAGTTCACGAACACCACCCGGAAAATCCTCTCGGACCACATGGCCATACTCAACCCGCGGAGGTATTTTGACCCCTTCCTTGCCAACAGCTTTGGGATCAGAATGGTAGAAGTACTCATAAAACTCCTTGTATTCTGCCCACGTAGTGACGTAGTCATCGGGGACGGCTCGGAATGCCTTTCGGAAGGCGTCGGTGTTTGTCCGCGCTCGAGAGTTCCAGAGACTCTGGAACGTGTCGCTCAAGGGATCAGAGACGACATTGTCTTCAGGAGAACCCCAGTCATACACGTTCGGCACCCCCACGGGCTCGTAGTTTGCGTCGGGTCTCCGCACGTCTTGAGGTCGTACAAGACCAAGATGTTTCCGCATCAACGACCGCCTTAACGAGGCCGCGAACCGGCTGGCTTGATACGGCTGCCCTCCGATATACGTTTGTACGGGTGTGGGGTCGTCGATCAAGAGAGCAATTTCGCTGTCGTGTGAGCCCAGCAAACTTCGATCGTTCAAGTTGGCTGAACCACAAATGACAACACGATCATCTGCAATCAGACACTGCACATGCTCAGCAAAAGCCAGGGTGCGAGAACGGGGCAACTTACTTTTGAATGGACGTACAATTCCTCACTGACAAATGCGTCCAACTCTGCCTCGGGTGGTCCATCCCAGGGCACGGTGCGAATGTCTTGACCTCCGAGCATATAACACTCTGAAACACTGTCCCAACGACCGCCTAATGGTGCCGACATGTTATGTGCAGCAGATTGATATTGCTGATAGTGTGACGCTTGTCCCATTTGTGTTGCTCCAGTCCTCTCCCCGGAAGCTCCATAACCAGCGCCTACCACGTCGTCATGCTCTCTACGGGCATCTTCGTATCTCACACCGCTCTGCTGTTGGGCTTGTTTCATCGAATCGCCACAATTAATCCTGTCATAGTTCCGGAGATTGTAAAACCGAATGTAATCCATAGGATTATACCCGGCTTGTGCGATCTTTTCCATTATGGAGTGTCCTCCACGGTTAATGCTGAAGTACTGGAATTCCATAATGGCACGGGTTCCCAAGGATCCATCGTCTCGAAGGTCGCCAGCAAAGGCCGGCACTGCTGGGATTACCACGATAACTTTGTACTTCTCGCCATTCTTGGCGGCGCGTAGAACCCGCTCGACAATGGCCTGGCCCACCAAGTTCTGCACCGGTTTCTGTTTGTCACCAGTGGCGGTGATGAAAAACTGATTCTCAATGTAGACGAAATGTTGGCTGTTCCGGATCACGTCAATGTAAGCATTCTGGATGGAGTGCTCAAGTGGAGTTCCGTTACTCCATTTTGTACAGCTCCGGAGCAGCTGGCAGGTCATGACACCGCGACGCTGATTGTAAGGGCGGCCGTAAGAATCGGTTGCTCCCAGATATTTGCCCTGGATATGGTGCAGCCTGCCTTCCACGCCGGTGGAGACGAGGTTACTGATGGAGGAGAGTTCCTGACCAATGAGTTTCCCCTCGGTTCGATATTGGTCCACTCTACTGCGAAGACCTCGTTCACCACCAACGCCTCGTGCTCCTTCATCACCGTAGCCATAGTCATCAAAACCGCGATTCTCCCCCGTGGCATAGTCGTCAATTCCTCGATTCTGCTCCGTGCCGGGTTGTTGATATGTCTGTGGCTGGTATGGTTGGCTGTATGGGGGTGGCGACGTTTGCTGTTGGTATGGCTGAGGTTGGTAAGGTTGGCTTGGTGTGTGCTGAGTTGAGAGCTCCGCGGCTGGTTGGCTGTATGGTGCATATGTTGGCAGTGGATTGGTCGGCGGTTGGTATCCCGTGTAAACATGACCAGGTCCTGGTGATGGCGATGGTGACGGTGACAGTTGGGGAGGAGGACCTGGAGGTGGGGGAGGGAAGTTTTGTTGGAGATACGGATTCGGGAGGTGATCACCTACAACAGCGGGCTGGCTAAATGTTCCCAGCTGTGTAGGGCTAGAGACCGGAAGGTATGCGCTCGTAGCGGCTGAAGGCTGAGCATAAGAAGTTTGGGGATTCGACGGTTGAGAATATGTGCTTTGAGGCGACGGACTTGGAGGGGCACCGGGTATCCCTAGCTGAGTTCCAGGCACAGTGCTTGCCTGATTCTGATATAAATCTCCGGTCGGAGTATGTGGCCTGCTCGTGCTATGCCATGCAGGTGGGGCATATGGCTGGCTACCTGGCGGCGGTGGAAAGGCGCCACTCGGAGCAGGGGGCTGAAGGTGTCCTTGTGACTGTGGACGAGACTGGGGACGCTGTCCAGGGCCAGCCGGAGGATGCGGGTACTCGTCGACGATTCGAGAATAACGTGCATCTTTCCGGACATTGTATTTTTCCTCGAAGATGAAATTCCACCGATCGATGAAATGGTGACGAAGATCTTGAACGCAAGGTCCCTGCAAAGACAATGCAACGTCGGACCTAGACAGTGTCAGGAATTCAGGATGGACATATTGGACCCTTACAACCACTCACCATCCCATTCTGGAACTTTTTGTTCTATCGAGCTTGTTCTGGAAAGGATTCGCAACGTCACTGAAATCCATGACTCTAAGCTGTTTGTCAGTGACCTTCATCCCTGCTTGGACGACATCCGAGGTGCGGTATCTTTGGAGTGGCTGATCTCACCTGGCATTATTGTAATCCTGGCCGGGGAAGACGATGTCATTGACGTTCAAGGGATGGGCATCCGCAATGGCATGTTGGTTCGTGTCCCACCGTCCGAAACAAAGGTCTAACCCACCCATGAATGCAATTGTGCCGTCGACCAAACATAACTTCTCGTGGTGCGCCCAGTACAAGATGACATCGTCATCCAGCCCATAGATTCCTTTCAGAGCGTCCGTCCCGAGCTTAGAGACCCCGGCAGCATCGAGCTTGAGGTTTTGGAAAGACGAAAGCAAGGACGAATGGGCGGTTTGAGCGTCGGGAAGGTGGTCTGGATGACGAAAGACAGAAATGTTGGGCGACAGTTTCTCGAGCTCGTGTTTGGTGTGGGCCGAGGACAAAGCTAAAGGAGGAAGAATTAGTGGGTTCCCTTTCTCTACATAGTCAAAAGATGTTGCGGCTGTTCGTAGTCCGAGTGCAACCATGAAGGACGTGAAGGCGTCGACGTTCTGTGGCAGAAGAGAATGAAGGTAATTGATCATAACGGGAGAAAAGTACGCACTCAAAGCTTGTGTTACTTCTTTGTAGACGATAATGTTGACTTTGACGCCACGCTGAGCAGCCCTCTGAAGGGTTCGATCCAGTCTCCATTGCTCGTTCTGAGAAGGAGGGCGACGAAGGTAGACTTCTGGTGTTAACCACCAATCGAGAATCCAGATTGACTGTCTTGCTGATTCCAGAGCTTGACTGACAGCCCAGAAGTATCCGCATCCATCGACGTACCACTTGACATCGTTGCCCGGCTTTTCTGATGCAAAGCTGTCGAACCGATTCTGGCCTTGAGGCAGACTCGGGGAGGCCGATAGGTTGGAATAGCCTGGGGGAGCACTTTGCCCCTGTGGCTGTTGTCCGACCGGTTGATTAGAATACGGTGTAGGTTTTCCTTCAGGGCCGAGCAGATTTACAAGGTCGGACCCGATACTGTGGATGGTACCGTGTAAAGTCCCCAAGAGCTTTGTACCTAGATCAGGCTTTCCTTGCGGCTGTTGCGGAGGCGGCCCTCCCGGATATGCCGATTGACCGGACTGGCCGGGTTGAGGGTAGCCAGTTGAGGAACTCTGCTGGCCATAGTATTGCTGAGACGTACCAGAGGAACTCTGCTGACCATAGTATTGCTGAGACGTACCAGAGCTAGTGTAGCCATAGTTTTGGGATGAAGGGGTCTTGTACTTGTCATATTCGGACTTGAATTTTCGAAATGTGTCTCCAAGGATCGACTTCTCGGTTCCTTGTAGACCACCGCTGCCTCGAGAACTAGAGTAGTCATCTCCGTAAGCAAGAGCGTCGTCATCCGAAGGTTGCTGGTAGGGCGGTTGGTAAGACATGCTGGGTTGCTGTGAGCTGATGAGTTGGGAGAAGACTTGCAGAGGAGATGGATTGGGAAAACATCGACTACTCTGTTGTTTGACTCAGAGCCGGTGAAGGAAGAAAGATATGGACTGAAGGAGACTTGGTGATCGGTGGTGAAGTAGGACGTTCCACCATAGCTGATGTTTCAGCTAGAGAGATGAAGTCCGACAGCAGCAGCTAAGCCACACGCAGTCGCAGGCGCAGTCGCAGTCTGCCAGTCGCCAGTCGTCAGTCGCAGGGGCGTTCCAGGCACCCGTGGCACCAAACAAGCCCTGTCAAGCAGCTTCGTCCCCAACTGCGCCTCGTTTGCTCTGGCTCTAATCAAATCACCCGCCTAATATGTATGTACTCCGTAGACTCGTAGAGGGAGACCCCTCCAGAGGTCCCGCCGCCAGAGACCCAATTGAAGAGCTTCCTGTCAGCCTACTGTAAGCCCCGCGGCACCGGCACCATCCAAGCGACACCCTTGAAGCTCTTCAATCCGACCTGAGATAACCATCGGCGTCGCATTGGTGTGCATACGCTCTTGATGGGGAAATGCTCACTGACACCACAGATTCCGATCTCTTCTAGCTCGCCAACATATCTGCAGACTCCTTAGTCTTTGGCTATTGATTGATCCGTTCCCACCTGACCATGAACCGAAGGTGACTCGATGACACATGGGAGATAGGGCTCCCGCTCTTGTGTGCCGAAAGCTGTACTCCATATGACACCCTGATGCCAGTCATGCGGGGACACCCGCTCACTACCCCTCCACAGAGAGGATGGAAAACAAATAACGGGAGTACTGGATACACACAAGGGCTAGGGCCACTGGCTATATGTATTGCCGTCCACGGTGGTTATAAAGATGTCTCCTCCTCTGCGTCCCTTGCAACGTCTCACGACGACAGCTCTGACTTACTCGAGGACCCCAACCATCTTACGTTACTCTCAAACTCCATTGCGATTGATTCGCCCTGTCTCCAACATGTCTCTGGCCACTCTTGATGTACGTCACACTACCACTTGAACTGCCAGAGGATGACAGCTAACATGGGCAGGTATCCCAACATCCCAACCTGCGCACCGCCGCTGTAACCCTGTTCGAAGCAAAGGCGAAGAAGCAGGTGACCTTCGAGGCGATTGCAAAAGAGATTGGTCGAGACGAGGTGGCGGTGGCCGCTTTGTTCTACGGACAAGCGAAGGCGTCACCAGAGGATATCAAGAACCTGGCAAAGTATTTGGATATCGACCATGCCACTCTCGAGTCGCAGATGAGCGGGTTCCCAGACCGAGGAAAGAGTATAGAAATGCCGCCGCGGGAGCCTCTGATCTATCGGCTGTTTGAGATAGTCCAAAACTATGGCTATGCCTACAAAGCTGTGTTGAATGAGAAGTTTGGTGACGGGATCATGAGTGCTATTTCTTTCTCGACTCATGTCGAGAAGGAGGTGGATAACGATGGGAATACCTGGGTAAGTCTGGCATTGCATTCAAGAGAGGCCACTGGCAAATTACAAGGCTTACTGGACGCAGGTGAACATTAAACTCCGTGGCAAATGGTTACCATATACCAGATTCTAGTTGGGAGAAGAGAAATCATGATTGACCCTGCCGCAACTCCTTGTCGTGGATTTCCCAGCATGTGAAATAGGACTAAATGGGAACTCTGGATGTTGAGTTTTCGTGAATCAGTCCAGCTTCGAAGACACTCATCTCAGTTCCCCTCGAGCATCGATTCGGTCCTGTTCGCGACGCGAATACCTCGCCATCGCTTTGTGCCGCGCAGAACAATACTAAGCAAGAACAATATTAAGGGGCTTCGTCAGCCTTGCTGGAATGAATGACCTGACCCCTTCCCTTTGTCCGAGACCGTCCTTTCCTTTCTCTCGGACAGCCAAGTCGGTCTCCGAGCCCTTTCACGGGGACCCTAGTGGAGGTTCGACCTGATGCAGCCATGCCGGAGTGCTCATACATATAGTGACACACCTCCCCCCTTGCCCCAGTATCTATCCTTTGAATATTCCCCAACCGATACTCTCATTAAACTAAACCCCGGACAGCAGACACTCTTTACAGTTCATTCGCTACTCCAAACATCAATCCAGCCAACGTAAGCCCAACATCCAAGAAACCTCGTTCCGTCAAGCCATGACTCAACCTATGCAAAAGCAAACCCGCACCACCTGCAGAGGGCAGATGGGCTATTTCTGCACCGTCCAAAAGCAGATCAAGGCCACTCGCAAGGGACAGATGGGATACTTCTGTGCCGTGCAGCGCAGATAGGAGTGAGTTGCGCGTTGGCCCTGCCCTGCCCTGACCTCTCCCTCCTGTCCCCCATCACCGTTTGCCTGAGCTGCACAGTGCCACTAACCACTGGAACCAGGATCCCCATTGCAACGTCCCAGCTCCCATGGCGAATATGAACATGACCATGACCATAACCATTGCTGCGGCGCAGGCGCCCGACGATGTTATCTTCACCATGCCCTCGCGCCGTTGACCGTCGAGCAAGAGACTGGGCATGCATGCAGACCGTAGGCTCCTGGCCATGGCAAGTTCTTGCTGCTTTCTGGCGAAATATCACTTCGATGACTCGGCACAGGGGAGCGAGCTTCCGCGGGCCACGTCGATGTCGAGGTTGAGATACTCCCAGTAGCTGTCAGTACCTTCGCAGGCCGATTCCCGTGGCACCCCTGCCTTTCTTGTTCACTCCATATGCCGCTGTCTTCTCTTCAATTCTCGTCTTCCATGCTCGGCGGTCGGCTCGGCTTCAAGCTGCCTCGCACGCATTGGCATTGGAATAGACATTTACAATACATAGCAACTCTGTCGCTTCGCAACGAGGCGACGACGGATGCTTGACTCTTTTCGCAGAGTTCAAGTCTTCGGTTTATCTAATTCTCTTTGCGGAAGTGTCTCTTCGCGGTCAAGTGTCTCTACGCGGTAAACTGTCTCTTCGTTCTTCTTCATTCGTCTCACCCCATCTCACCTCGTTTGTTTCGTTCCCTTTCGGCATGTGGTTGGGGATTCATACGTCAACATCTATCCTAAACTGACCAAACACAGTGCTCGGAGTGCACATCTAAGACTGAAGGCATACACTCTTCCACAAGTCTAAAAGGGGAAAGGGAAACTCGACTTGCGGCTTAGCCCAATGGACGCATTGCACTCGACGCTGGATTTGGATTTGGACCGGACTGGAGTCGACTCTCTTTCCCACACGAACATAAACACAAGGGTTGTCTCGTCGATGAACAGAGAGCCCCGTACCGGTACATCGTCATCGTCATCATCATCGTGATTCTTTGCCCGAACGATCGCTCCATGTATGTAGTACCTTGCCTTGTGTCGTCAATTCCACACTTCCCATCAAATTACCGCACTGCATACCTGTACGGAGGACCTAGACATCAATAGCTATAGGTACCTTAGATACGCCAACCAACCCAAAGGGAGGAGAGTACATTTATCTGTCATCTTTACATTACAACAAGTGTCCGTATTATGTACACATACGTACCTAATATACTCTATGGGAAGTAATGCCCGCCGCCACCCCTATTGTTTGTTTGAACGTTTGTTTCATTCGTACACCTCTTAAGGAGCTCAGCCTATATGGGTCAAAGGCTGTTCCGGGCGCGTGCTGCGTGGTCCTCGGCTTCATCCCCGTCAACGATTCGCAGTAAACTGCGCGAGGCTATAAACAAATGTCCTATTATGTTAAATAGTTCCTACTATCCTATTATCCACTAAACCGACTGCTATCCTATTATCCGCTATAACGACTACTATCCTATTATCCACTACACCGACTTCTAAATCCTTTCATGTCAGCTAAAAAGATAATTGCCTGGCTTTTGACAACACCGGAGTAATAAACGTACTACATGTAGTACATGTAGTCAATGTAGTAAACGTAGTAAACGTAATGAATGCTGGAAACAAAAACAAAATCAAAGACGACACCAACAGGATTTGAACCTGTGCGGGCGAACCCAACAGATCACGTGCAGCGGCAAAGTCCTAAGAGGAATTCGCCTAATTCGAGTCTGTCGCCTTAACCACTCGGCCATAGTGTCAGAGTTAGAAATAAGATCCGCATTTATATTCGGGCGCATTTCAACAATAATTTTGTGTGGGTTGAAAATATATCATGCCTATTTAATTGCTCTAGAATTTCAATGTTTGTAAGGTACACTAAGCATACCTATATTATATTATATGCCAATCCGCCGTGCGAAAACTGCATCGCACTGGGCTAATGCATGCTTCGGGGTGTTTGTTCTGTAATCGTGAGATTGCTGAGTCTTATGGTGATGTTATTAAATCATTCGGTTCGCGGGGGGGCGCAATCAACGGTTATGTCCGGAGTACTGTCGCAGGAAATAAATCAGGTAATAAAGCACTGCTGTCTCGGGAGATAAGCTATGCGCATAGTAGCTGGATCTAGTTGCATCGATATCAAGAAACATAGCTCAACACGGTCTGAAGTCTCCAAATAATCGTATCGAATGAAACATGCGGTCGTTCCATTTGTGTCGTCTTCCCAAGTTGGGGATGAAGGGTAGATAAATTGCCTATGTCTATGTACATGAGAATCGAAGAAGAATCACACTTCAAGAGTGTGCTGCGTTCGAGAACGACAGTGAAGAAGGGGAAAAGAAACGGCACACAGCACATGTTCGTGTCGACTCTTGGTCGAAGTATTCATCAAGCGTGGTCCCAACGTTGAAGCATTCCGATTTCCAGGATCGAGGTGATATACCCAGATATTGGTCGTCGCCATCTTTCCGAGAAAGGTCCCAGGCATTCTTGTCAGGCTAAACAAGGCGAGTCACTGCCACCCCATTCATTCCTCTATGTAGCAAACGAATCTAGTGGGCTTGCCAATGCGACCAGTGACAGTGCTGGAGAAAGACACAGGGCTGACTCCCGTGGGGGGGATTTCGCCTGCTCCAGGAGCAGATGGTATCGCGGGTGCTGTTTCGACCGGCTCGGGGCTCTCAACGGGCGTAGGCTCAGCTGTCGAAGCAGGCGTGGTAGGTTCGGTCTGTGGGCTGGCTTCAGACGCAGGAGTTTGGGCTGCTGCGGGCTTGCTGAGTGAGGCGGTAATGGAGACGCCGTGAGATTTCGTCGTGCTATTGGAGAAAGGAGCAGCAGGTGAGATGGTCGCAGCAGAGACAACCGGAGAGGTAGAAGCAGCTGCAGAGATAGTAGAGGTTGCAGAGGCCGTTGCAGAGGCTAACACAGAGGGTTGTGACGCAGAGGAAGAGCCATCAAACAGAGGCGGACCAGGGATAATGTAGGACGTCAACGTTTGGTAAATGTTGATCAAAATGCCCGGGTCATGAGCGTCGTACAAGTCGGTTCCCAAGGTGCCGGTGTTGAGAGAGTTAGTACCTGAGCTAGTGATCTCAAGGTTGATGCATTGAGGGTAATTCTGGGCACCGCCGACAGTCTCGGCTACGTGCAAGGCGATAATCTCGTGGCGAAGGACATACTTGCCCGGTGCGATGCTGGAAGGGATGGTAACGACCCACGAGGAGTTGTTCGTGACCAAGTCATCAGAAGCCCAGATACCCGGACCCTTGCTGCCATCGACAAGGCCGCCTGCGTCAATCTTGTTAAAGAGCAGCTTGGTCTTGTCCACCGTGGTGCAATCATCACCGCAAGAAGCCAGGTAGTCGAGCACCGGGCCGTGATGGTCATGTTGCCAGACGGTCCATTGAAGTTCAACGGTGTCACCGGCAGCGACTGTAATATAATCTCCTCCCGGGGTTGCACCTTTGTGGCAGATAATATCGGGGCTGGTGTAGTCGCTGACGAACCCGTTATTGATATCTTCGGGTATCGACCATCCGGCAACAACAGGGGTTGGGTGTTGATATTGGAAGAGAGGGCTGTAGCCAGAGTGCCAGACACCACCAGCAACGATACCCTGGACGAAACCGTGGGCAGAGACCTTTGAAACGAGAGTGAGGGCGCCGAGCAGGGCGGACGATTTGAGAAACGACATTTTCCGTGGGTGGACTGTTCAAACTGATAGGCAACTGTTCCGGAGACTCCTGATGGCACGAATATGGGCTGCTGCAAGCAGCAAGAGTCCGTCAAAAGGCGTGATGAGGACTGCGGCTTCAATCAATGAAGACCTGATGGAAACGAATGTGGGACAAAGAACGAAAAGGTCGATTGACCTATGAAACGAAAGACCTGCTTGAAAGCTTTTGGGGGAGACCTGTGCTCTGAGGAAATAAAAAGAGACACCTGGACACAAGGTAGAAGGCAGATGATATATACCGTCGGTTCTTCAGCATCGTGTACATTCCAAGCAGATGTAATCTCAGCCGTTGGGCTGATGATCACCACTGGCGGGTTTCATGTTGGAGGAGCCTGTAGGCAAGAGCAAGGACTATGCAGTGACTGCAGGGGATGAAAAGGAGACTATGGATACCTCAGAGCAGCAATCGTAGTAAATCGGTACGCTCGTCGTAGACTCATGGATGGAGGAGGTCAAGGGGAACCTAGCTTCCAGACCCTAGTCAAGGCGAGATCGCAAACATTGAATCTCAGAGATATCCGAGTCCCATGGCGGCATCAAGATTGCCTGCTGGGTATGGGGGAAATGTTGGTTTCAGGATGACCGTGGCGGACAGGGGTCTTCGGGTTGAGACTGGGGGCTGGAGTGTTCGGTCCTCTTCTGCAGAACAACAGGCAACCACTGAAGGAAATTTCACTGCAGAGAAAGGGAGCCTGATTCAGCTGGAGAGTAGCTCCGGACACACGCGTACATTGAAAGCTGCTCGTGAGAACGACGACCGAGTTTCGAATGAGCAAGAGGTCGCGAAAGCTGGTTGATGTTCATGGTCCAAGTTCGAGGGAACGGCAACGGCAACATGAAACGCAGAGAAGTCGTCCTGCCAAGACGCCAATAAGCCCAGAGGCTCAACGGTGCACTGTCAGTGGCCCGGAAGTCTGTGGCGGACTCCACCAGCCCCAATTCGTACATGGGTCATGCCGCTCTGTGCTCTCTCACCCTGGTACGGCAGATACAGCTACAGTCGTCCCATTTGCAAAGGGGTTGTCATCAGTTCTTGGGACGGAGGCAAACCAATTGGCACCCTTGATGAATGTCTCATGAGGATTGATAGTGTCAGATAGCTCGAAGCCATATGGGTGCGTGGACTTGATGTACGGAAATCCTAGAAAGAGACGGCGGACCAGCATCCTCTCACGCCACAGTGAGACTGATGGACTTCTGGGTAAGTACGGCATGTCCTCAGATAGGGGATCAACTGTCCAGCTTGACCCTGAGTCTCGTGGAGGAGAGATGTGGAGATTATGCCCGTCTGGGATCGTAGCGAAATGAATACAACAGGAGAAGCGTGATGAATTTGACATTTATACCAACGCACCAAATCATCACTATGCTATGACATTTGCTCTCTCCTTACATTCATTAGATAGGCAGGGATCTAATGGAATATTTCACCATCCTAGGGGTATGTCGCTCAACCTTTGACGGGCATGCTCCTAAAACCTTTTTATATTCTGTCCAGATCTTGCATCTCCGCAGTAAAGTGCGAAGTCGGCGTCCTGTTCAACCAATTCAGAGGCATTTTTCCACCTAAGCAGAGGTAGTCCTATTTGTAGTTAAGCGCTGTCTTGCATAAATACCTTAGCGCATGAATAAGGATCCCTTGAACCGTAATAGTATAATATATATAATTTATAAGGCCAAGTACGGAGGTGGTAGGACGAAGCGTTGGTGAATAGACAGTTAAGGTCATCTAGTTCCGGCGGCCGTTCGCTGATGGGCATCAAGCTAGTAATCCGCCGGCCAGGCATGCCAGGCTTCTCCCTACTTCCGGTCTCTGTAAAAGGGTGAAGGGGTCGAATGCTGGTCATAGGATCTAGACCTGGACATGTCTGCGGAGGGCCGAGCTCTGATCTCGATATAAGTACCGAGTACTCCATATGAAGAGGGCTCTCAGAACACTATCACTTGTTCAGTCCAGGGCCCGCTCGAGATATGAAGGAGGTCGGGTCCTCTTTTGTACTCTCACACCATGATTCTGCGCAATCCGCTCGTGCCTCCTAGGACACGTCGACCAGTTACTGCGCAGCGCCCCTTACCGCTCTCCCAGCTCCCCTCACGGCTCTTTTGTTCTTTGCGTGTTGAATCGTCCTTTCGGTCATCACCCTCATCATCATCGTCTTCCTCCCATTCACTCATCTTCTCACCCTTCATAAACGCCTCCTGCCGTTCGTGCGTGCCTTCAATCCACTGAAAGATGCACTTGTAGTCGAACACATACCCAGTTTGACAAGCGGCAGCGGTGGATACGGGATGGAGACAGATAGGGCAGAGGTCGCTGGACGTGGGCGGTGGGACTGTAAATATAGGTAGGAAGGTTATACTTGAGATTGGAGGGCTCCGTTTCGCAGTGCTGTTGGCAGATTTGGCTGGCAACCCTTGTTGCTTTGGCACGGATTTTTGGACCAGGTCCATGCCCGACACAATGGGCGGCGGGAGTTCCAATCCTTCAGCTGCTTTCCTGCTCAACTGACGAGAAAAGTCGCTGGCATGCCACCATTCCAAAAACTTCAACGCAAAGATGCTGGTCGGCAACAGAATCCTCAGGCTTGATAGAAACCGCGGATACAAAGTGCGCGGATTCAGCAAGCCGCTCAACCCTTGTCCAGGCCGCCCAGGAGCGGTAGCTGCTTTCTCAGCTGCGTCCCTTGCGGCATCTATTGCTCGATAGTCAGCCGCACCCATCCTCCTGATTCTGGTGCCAACCATCCATAGGAACGGACTCGAATACTTGGTCCCGTCGAATAGATAGCCCAAGCTGAAAGCCAAGATGCTGAAATAATATGCCGCATTCAGACTCGGATAGACGTTCCGCAAGAACCATTTGTAGTAATGTAACAGTCTCTGCTTGATGGTCGGATTAGGTGGGAGCGAGTCTCGATCCAGATACCGTCGCCCTCCCAACCCGCCGCCCATGAGTAGACTTGCACTGGGCGCAATGTGGATGTCATAACTCTCATCCAGCTTCCTCTTTAGATAAGGTATGCCAACGAGAACAGCCAGGTTCTTCCACACATCTCGGCCGCCTAGCCTCAGTCGCTGGCGAACCTCTTCGGGCACGGCTAGTTGCGTCCTCTTGATCTCTCCACCATTTATGCTCAACACCTTCTCTCTCTTCAGGCCATAGAAGTTCTCTGTGAAACCTCCTCCAAAGCTTTTCAGGTAGTACCGCTCCACCACCAAACTAAGGAGAGCGTAGACTTCGTCGAAATTGTTCAGGATTCGAAGGAGGTATCGAGGTTGTCTATGTGTGGCGAGGGCGAGGAGATATCGGAGGGTCGGCGGGAGAAGTGCTGATAGTTGTTGCTCGGAAAGCAACTCGAAGATCGATGGCTTCAGGTCGTCCACGGGCGACTGAAGCGTCGTGAGATATTCCATGTTTGTGGTATACCAGAGACTGGGCTACGGCCGCGTCACGGACAGAGAGACCAGCGCATCTTGGCCGTACGCCACCTCGGGCATTTGAGTTGCAGCGGCAGATCAGGAGAGGACGAAAAGAGTCGAGGATTTAATGTGTTGATCTACAGTCGCGGGATGGAATAGGTACTTAGGACTGCTAGCAACCTTGACTATACTCGGGGTCTGTACCGAGGCAGTATCACACCAAGACTACGGTCAGGCATTTGGCCGGTTAGCACAGTGCCTTCCCAGCACCACCAGCACCACAACTCAAAATGAAGTCTGCAAAGAACAGTTTCGTGTGGTTGAGCAGGCGCCCCTTGTAATCAAACAATTGATCTAGTTCAAGTCAACCGGCTCACCGCTTTTTATTCGCCCGAAACATCGCTTCCATAATTCGTGCTCTGCGCCCACGAAATACAACAGATCGGCTGTGTCCATTCCAGCCTCTTCGTCCCCCTGCATTGTCTCTAGCTGTGATATGATGTTACCCAAACCAAATGCTTTCCCGACGCTCTGTGTCGTACCGGCTTCCAGCATGACATGCACAGCGTGGATGTGAAAGTGATAGTATGTCGGCTGGTAATGGATGTAGCATTTGATTTCGTCCGGCTCGACCTGCCCGGGCTCGAACACCTTGGTCGCTGCGGTCACGAGTTGGTCACGCACACTCTTAAGCCACGGGATGTGCTTCTTCTTGAGGTCACGCAAGGACCAAATGTCGCGCCGCTGCACCAGAGCCAGAAGGTGCATGCCTTGGACGGTCTTGCGATCCCAGTTCAGATCCGGGAGAAGGAGAAAGCCCGAATCAGAGGGCGAGTCCCAGTCATATCGGGCGATGACATCGTCCTGTTCAGTGCGGCCTTCGAGGATGTTAAAGACCCAGTCAAGGCGCCCTGCAGCTCGTTGGCGTGCTACGTACGGCTTGATATGCGTGGCATAGATTTCCGGTGTCTCGGTCACCATGCGCACGGGTTGTGCCGAGTATTTCCGGATATGCTGTAGGGTGCATGGGTAGATCAGGTTGAGTTTCAGGTCGGGTATTTGGGGATCAGGTGCTGAGCCGCTGTGTCTCGAGGATGCCGTGGTTGTGGTGATGGTCGTCATTGTAGATGAGGGTTTGATGGACCGATTGGCCATGTACCACCTGTAGATGTCGTTGGCGCCGAGATTTTGAGTATTTGTCAGAGATGCAAGGAGGCTGGAGATTAACCCTGGCTCCGTAGGGAACGCGGCCCGTTCGAGGGTGATCAAGGCTGGTAGAGAGGCAATCTGGCCTAGGAGAGATATACGGCGACCATTTTGGTCTGAGAATGTTAGTGGAATGTGGGAGCATTTGGTGTCCCGTGGAGGAGACAATGACAGGTTTCTCCTCTACACACCTTGATTGAGCACTCTTTCAAGCTGGAATTGAGGGACAAGTGCTTCGGCGTCCGATTTGCTCTCTGGCTGAAAGGACATGATGTCGCCTGGGAAGTCAAAGCACCAGGTGTATTCTCGAGGTTGAGCTTCCTCGGGCGAGACTTGATGGCGCTGGACCACGGCCAATCCCAAATTGGAGTCCGCGAGGCACAAGGCGCTTCAATGATCGGTACCAGTCCTTGTACACCTCACGCTTGGTGCGATGGCCTGGAACCCTTTGGGGAAAGGAGCGGTAATGACCAAGACAAGGCTGAGGCAGTTGTGAGGTGGTTGTGTGTGGCGTTCTGTGTAACAGTGGCAAGAAAGTTATCCAATGTTAATCGAGGAGCATCCGAGATATGCGATTAAATATCCAGTAGGTCTCGCTTTTTACGCATTCGCAGACTCCTTGTCCTCTTGGTGTCCTCGAGTCGATAACTGCAAAGGAGGTCGCTTCTACCATACTGCACGCCGCTTTAAGACCAAAAACTTCGTCCTTCTGATAGATCCGCCCCCGCCTTGCTCGCCGAGCCCGCGTGTTCTGCTTCTACGCGGCTCACCTCGACAAATGTCTCGCGGGACAATCTCGTCGGAGGATTAAATCAACTTGTTGCATTGCCAGGACATGGAGGTTTCTGATCAATGGCCCAGCGTCTTGATGTGTGTCCTATGTACTCCGCACGTATTCTGAGTTCCAGGGTCGATTCAGGTAAACACGGGCCTCCCAGCGCTATCTCAATCGGGCGAGTGAGCGCGTCATAGTAGTAGCAATGTCAGACAGTATTCTATATCCTTTCCACCAACAACTAGTGTCCCTGCAATTCTCGACCTCTTTCACGCATCAAAACACCATGCCCAAGGCGACTGAACAAAGCTTGATTCCGCCAAAGCCGCCATTAGAAGCACCGGCGTTGCAAGACCAGGAGCTATGTTTCTCGTATGAGATTGCCCGTGGCGAAATGGGCGTCCTCTCTTTTGAGCCATACAAAAGTCTGATCTTGCCATTCTGGGCTTTTCGGAATGTTCCCATCGCACAAAAGTCCGCGGAGGCATTATGGTCGATATTTGAGTCGTATGTCGAACGGGGTGACTTTGTCGGCGCGGACATGACGCGCAAATTCATTCAAATGGGCATGACCCGTGCCCGTCGGTACGCGAATCATAAAGGAGGTCGGAAGTATGGGAAAGATGGCAAGCAGCTGGACAAGTGGACCGATGACGACGTCGATGGAAAGAGGCGGGAGAAGGAGGATGCCAGTGAGATCTTCAAGGGATATTGGAGGAAATGCACCAGCTCGGAGAGGTATCTTCAGCTCAAACAGGAATGGTCAAAGTCGAAGAAAGGCTTCGTCAAGCCTTAAGAATGCTTGATTCTCGAAAGAACAACGACCGACAAGGACTCGATCAACTTAAATGGTAGTAGGGTTTGCACCTCGTTGTCGGGATGTTCGTCTCACTTTATGGCGGATTCGTAGTCGTGGTCGAAAACCAATGAAGATTGGTTGGGTTGTATAGCATCGTCCTGGCCAGACATAGATGTTGGCTCCAGCCTCTTTGATGCATGATCTCAACTCTCAGTTCGAGACTCGGGACCTTGGGGCGCTTGTTTATTCTGGAATGTGGGCTTGCCATGAATTGCTTCGGCAAATGATATCCACTCCTCCAGTCCCTTCACAAACAAATCTTCTGATGTAGGAACGTGGTCGTGGCCCCAAACCACCACCTTGTCAAATGAAGAGAGTGCCTCGAGTACCTTGACAGGTTCAGGGGGTTCATCTTCCTCGTCCTGCATCTCGATGTCGTCACTCACTGCCGTATAGGTCGGTCCTGACTGGTTGTTTGCAGGCTGCGGCACATATCGATCGGTCGATTTTGCAACGACACCTGGACTGCCGTTATTGATCTGTTGTCCATCTGCATGCCGAGAGACGTACCCTGATATCCGTCGGGCAACTGGATTACTCTTCCCCGTAACCTTCGACCCCGAAAATGTGAAGTTTGCGTGCCATCTATCACGCATGTGTTAGTGTGACAGCGGTTTGCATGGGCTTGATGATGTTTAAGAACCTTTTTCTCCTTGAGGAGACCAATATCTTTTGGTCACCTTCGTCGGCCCATCATGATGGATGCGGCAGGGCAAGACATTGGCAGTGCATTTATCTGCAGAGATTGCAGAGCGTTGCAGAGAGAGCATCATACCAACCTAGATCGCAGGTTGGACAATGGCCATGCCAGAAGGATAACAGTATGAGGCGTGGTCAGAATGAGCGTACCAAGCAACAGTTTGACATGGAAACGCGTCTCATGCAACTCGACGCGGGGATTCTTGTTAAGCGACGCGTCCAAGATTCTGGTTGGTGAGCACTTTGGAAGATTAGATTAGATCATAGACGGATCAAACCCTCTGCGGCCGATTCCACACCATTCAAGTCGGGGTCCCATGCACGCTACTTGTACTACGTGTACTACGTGCTTTTGAGCTACCGCTCGCCTTATGGCCTGACCGGAGGATAGAGATAGGCTGTATCGACGCTGCATAGAATGGCCGGTGAAAATTTTAGACAGTCGTTTGAAGTGCATACGCAAGCTGTTGATACTGCAGGAGGAAGAGCCATCTCGCCATACTTCAAAGGTGACGACTCTATCCTAGATCCCTTTGCCGTGGAGATCATCTAGAGATGGTATCGCACATGTCTGGGATATCAACGGGCAGCGGACCGTGTCCGAACAATGAGTCCCATAATCTAAAGACGTCGAGTTCGTGGAGAGGAGTCTTCCAGAGACATTGTGTTGTCCGCATCTGCAGCAATTGCTTGCTAAGCATGGTGGCATAAGTGAAGCGAAGTTGCCCTGTTCCGGAGAAGGTTGTAGGCAGGTCGAACACAATCCAGTCTGGGTGAGAACGAGTCTACCCGTAATTCATAGTACTGCTTCAATACGATGAAGCCGAGGAAGACATAATCACCGCAGCTAAGAGAGGAAACCATAAAAATATCGGAAGACATACCCCTGTGAGTCTCAAGCTGCGGCATCGGAGAGCATGATGGATCTCAAGTCACTCATTTTGGTGGGTGGCGACAACATCATCGTTTCTTTTTCTTCTTCTTGGTCGACTTCCGCGGCTTTTCTATGCCATCGACAGGTTCGTGTTGCTCTGTGGTCGGCCGTGTGGGCCATCTCTTCGCATGCTCCCGCTCAAAAGCAGCCTTGTCCCGTCGAAAGAGTAGCATGCACGCCCGGGCATCTTCAATGCTCGAATGTTCGCCCTCCTGAATCTCAAACCCAAGCAACTCCGATGCCAGAATCTTCAGTCTGGGTGAGCCTCCTCCTGCTAACTTCCGGTATGGCGGATGCCGAGCTGTATCTCGAATATCTCGTTTCGGATGGGTCAACATCAAAGCCTCAAGATCGTGTCGAATTGCGTGGCCGACGATGATTCTATCTGTGAGAATTCGTTCCACGTCTGCTTGAACCTCGTCGAGTGTTCGTGCATACTTCATGTGCTTGGGAGCAATCCCGCTGACATGCGTTCTCCAGTCTGTCACTGTCTCGCGCGGGATAACGTAAGAATCGTAGACTTGATCGCCGTTGTAATTCACAATGCTGACACGCGCCAGCGCCGATTCTCTGTCTGGGTTGGGTCCTACGCCAACCATCTCGCAGTCAATGGCAACATATTTACCCAACTCGACCCTGCAAACTGATCAGCTAGACCCAAATTGAGCAAGGATGTTGACTAACGAAGTAGACAACCCAGCATTCACATTCTCTGATGTTGCACGATCCGGTAGCCGAGGATGCGGCACACCCTCAGAAGTCTCTATCTCTTGAATTGGTTTTGTCTTTGTTGTAGAAGGGCCATCCTGGGCCATACTCCTCGCGATTCGCAGTTTCTTTCGTGGTCTCGACACCTGCGCGAGAGGCTTGGAGATATTGGGTTGATGCCGTTCGCGTTTCCGTTTCACGCCATTCTGGGGGGATATTACGGGGGAGGATTCGCTCTTCTTGGATTCCTTGAGGGTAGACTGCAGTTTCTTCCAATTGGAGGACAGGTTACCCACGTCCATCGCATGGTAAGGAGGTTGAACTGAGAAGTGGTATCCTTACAAAACTTCTACACATGAAGAGGATATGTTCTGCAGGGACCGGAGTTTTGCCGCGGGGTTGAGGATCATTCTTTTTCCGTTCCGGCGTGTGTTCCAGCCCCGACTCCCTGAAAGCTGCTGTTATGCTTGACTGCCAGATTAATTCCTCCTTACCTTAGGCAATGCATGGACGATTGGTGTCACATTGCTTTAGTTGAAGGTCTGTCTGAATTCCCAGTTTCTACCGCTGCAACCAGAGCTCGTGCTTCTATCAAGATTCATTTGCATTGTTCTCGGCAGCCGTGCAAGTACTCGAGATACAATTTGGAGGAGATTCTGACGAGACCGGAGCAAGACCATGTCCGAGACCAGCGAGCTTAGGAAATCTGTTGTGGTCGCGTCGGCTGAGAAAACAGCAAACGTCGCAGATACACAAAGAGCACACTATTCTCCGCCGTGGGCCGATTTGAGCATCATCGGGATAGCTGGCTCCTCAGGGTCGGGGAAGACAAGTCTTGCTATCGAGATTGTGGAATCCCTGAACCTGCCTTGGGTCATCATTTTGTCGATCGACTCGTTCTACAAATCCTTGACACCGGAGCAGAATGCTGCAGCCCACCGGAATGAGTACGACCTGGACTCTCCAGACTCGATAGATTTCGATCTTCTTGTTGAGAAGTTGCGGGACCTGAAACAAGGGAAGAGAACCGATATCCCCATCTACTCATTCCAAGAACATCAAAGGCTTGACAAGACTCTGTCGATTTATTCACCTCATGTCATCATTCTTGAAGGCATCCTAGCTTTGCATGATCCCAGGGTCCTGGAAATGCTGGATATGAAGATCTATGTGGAGGCCGATGCAGATGTCTGTTTGTCGAGGCGAATTGTGCGCGATGTCCGAGAACGTGGTCGGACCATTGAGGGCACTATCAAGCAGTGGTTTGGCTATGTCAAGCCGGTCTTTCAACGCTATGTAGAACCTCAGAAACAAGCTGCCGACCTCATCGTGCCACGAGGAATGCACAATAAAACGGCAATTGTAATGATCGCCAATCAGACACGACAGATTTTGAAAGAAAAATCCATCAGACACAAGGCCGAACTGGAGAGGCTAGGCCAGCAGCTGGAAGACTATACCCTTTCAGAAAACGCCATCATCCTCGCTGGAAAGTCACAAATAACCGGGGTCTCGACGATTCTGCGAAGCCCACTAACTTCACAGATCGATTTTATCTTCTACTTCGACCGACTAACTGCATTGTTGATTGAAAAGGCCTTGGATTGTCACAACTATGTCTCTACTGATGTCACAACCCCCCAAGGCTACAGATACTCTGGACTGAAATCGGCCGGAAAAGTCTCGGCGGTCGTCATCCTACGGGGAGGAAGCTGCATGGAGACCGGACTGAAAAGAACGATCCCAGATTGTTTGACTGGCCGACTTCTGATACAATCCAATTATCGTACCGGGGAGCCCGAACTTCACTATCTGAAGCTGTTCCCGGATCTGGAAGAGCATGAAACAGTCATGTTGCTGGATCCACAGATGTCCAGCGGTGGTGCGGCTTTGATGGCTGTGAAGGTTCTGGTCGACCATGGTGTCGCCGAGAAGAGGATTGTCTTCGTCACCTGCCTCGCAGGCAGACGCGGCTTGAAGAGACTGATGACAGTGTTCCCCAAGATCAAAGTTGTCGCTGCAAATGTTGTGGAAGATAATGAGAAGCGCTGGATCGAAGAAAGGTATTTCGGCTGTTAGTCACAGGCGGAATCTAGCTTGCGAGTTTCTGCATCGCCTATACCCTGCAACGCCCTGCCGAATCAGTAAGCGAGGCCAAGGAGTCGATTGGATGAGGGGCTCCGAGCTATAAAGACAGAGAACTGCCGACAAAAACCTCCATGGCGTTCTATTCGAGGGCTGACTGGTCTCGCGGAGGGAACAGCGTGATTGGAATTTTGCGACGATGCATCCTCTTGAGTTGTCACCACGCCACGAGCACGATGGGAAGCGACAAGAGGGACGATCAGGTCTCACTTCATGGATAAGGCAGTGACCTGGGACCATGTACAGCAGCATAGCTATCATCAGCCAAAGAGCATTCAATGCTAGCGCTCCAGATATAACAGCTAGAGACGGAGAGGATTGAAGAAGCCGGCGGTACGAGAGTATTGGAATGAAAATGGGCAAGCAGTTAGAGGAAAGACCTTTCACTTTACAACGACGGAAGCCATCACTTGGATCAAAGGAAGGCATTGGCCACACAAAGTGTCCTAGCCACTATCAAGGATTAGCTAAAGTCTCCGTACTATAAGTGCACGTAGCATTAATGTGATCACAATATCTACATGTACCTAGAGAAGGCTCAAGCGACCAGGGGTGTTCTATATGATCTACCGTATCAACTGGCGTCTAATACAGCGGAGTACCTGACGGCAGGGTGCATTTATCGGACCAACCGACGCGACACCTGCTGTGCCTGCAGAAGCGACATGTTAGTAACTGCAATCACTACTACTTCTTTGCTACCATCATACTCGCAACTTGCAACAACATCCTCCGATCCCGCCGTCATCAACTTAATTCTTCGCTTCTGATTCTACGGTCTGCCAGAAAGGAGAGAAGCTGCTACACCTCCTCCGAGCGACACCTCCACAGTCGACGCTTGAGCCGTTCAATTCTCCCACCGTCTAGGCCTCAATCCCATCCCGAGCTTTCATTCCCATTGTCGATCTCGATTCTACACATAGCGACAATTAATCATGGTACGCTCCATTACCCCTTGATCATGTGTGCATTTTTGCTCTCCCACTTCCACTCCTCAGTTCCCTTTTGCTCGCCTAATATCCATCGTCATTGGAATGAACCATTGAATCTAACCATCCCATTCTAATCCGCTCAGGCTCTTCGCGTCGCTCCTCCTTCCTCGCACCCTACAAGCACCAACAACACGAACGTAAGCAAATTAGCGCCGAAGAGCCAGAGCACGCTTGACCGAGGGGCCCCGTCCGCTCCAGGTGTCCACGACACTCTCCGATCATCACTACTCGCCTCGGACGACAGCAGCAGCACCACAAGTAAAATCACATCGACACATCCGCTAGAAGCCCGCCTAGCCCAATGGACCGCGACGCAGGAGGCAACCCGGATGAATCTGTTAAGGCGCAACTTTGGCATCGCCGAGCCGCTACGCCGTGGGATGGAGCTGAAGATGGTGCGCGACGCCGACTCGTTCCGGCCCACCGTGTTGGGTGCCCCGGGCAGACTGCACGAGGAGATCTTGACCGGCCGTGACACCGAGGTTACTTGGGAGGACGTGTACCAGGGACAAGATGGGCTAAGGCTGGGCTTGTCTGGGGGTGGCGATGGCCAGGGGGTGGGCTGGACGGATGAGATGGAGCGGAAGTTGGGTATGGGAAAGTGGTAAATCCACGCAACGAAAGCAGTGCACACGAAGCCGGAGGTCAAGTTAGTCACGAGAAAGTGGTTGAGCACCTAGGGGAGGTTCGGAACCCAAGAGCAACAAGTGGTACTATGCTGTACAATTATGGACAATGGATCATGGAGTCAGAAGGACACCAGGGATGGAGTCATGATCAGCTTCAACTTGCGGTCCAGAAACCGGATCAATCGTGCAAATCAACTTCCATCCTCGAAGGTTTCCTCGCGTCCGGGTTTGTGATCGTTGATTGCTGGCAAGGCGAAGTCAAGCCCAGCTTCAGCGTCGACATATCGATCATCGTCACCTACAGGTAATGTAACCCAGCCTCAGCCTCGACGCATCAATCAACTTCACCTACTCGTACATGTAATGTAACGTACATCTTCATCTTCATCTTCATCTTAGACCACAAGACCAAGGTAAAGGTTGAATGAAACCAGAATATATTGCTAACCCAGCAAAACTCCCGTTGCCCTCTCCCCCCTCTCCCCGATTTCACCATGTGCCTCCTCTCTACACCTTCCTCTTCCTATACCTATTATACCTATTAAACAGCCTTCCCGACTCTCCTTGTTCTTTCTGGCACTGGTCCTGGTCCTGGTGCCGACACATACGAATACAGGGACGAAGACAATGCGAAAATGGAAGCAAAAGGTATATCATATTCCAGCCAGTATGTACGCCGTGCAGCCATTCAATCATATCCCACGCCTCACCGCTGTTCTCGCCAAACAAAGCCATAGCCATAGAGTAGGCCACGACAACCATTCACTCAAGTCAACCCCTTTCCTGCTTTTGCCTCAAGACCAGCTCGCCACTCTGAAAGAGACATCTTGAGCGCTATGAAGCACACTCGACCTTACCTAGCATCCAGTCCAATCCACTCATCCGTCGGGGTGGGATTTGGGGGCTGGGGCACGATTCCTCGGCTGCTCTTCCGCACGCAATCGTTCTTCTCTTCGCCATCTTCTCTCTTGCTTCCCAGCCACGCACTTCCAGTCCAAGAGACAATTCCGTCTACAAGAAATAGCAGACGCATGTGACATACGTCCCCTTTTCCTCCCCTTTTCCGGAGTGAACAAATGGACATTACCAAAGGAAGATAGAATCCGGCACCAACACGGGTCAACAACGCCCATCCGAAAGGCGCCGTTCCAGTAAAAAAAACCTTCAGGCAGCATTGATCCCTCCACCAACGCCCCGCCGATCGAACAAAAAGCGAGTTGGCCAAGTCATGGGCCAAATCGAGTACAACTGGGTGGCGTCCTCGATGAAAACATCCATCCTCTAGCAGAAAAGACACCGGTGTATAGATTTGCTGCGACCAGTGGTTTGAAGGACAGGCTTGCTCTCACAAGGAGACCGGATGAACCACGTCCGAACCACGGAAAGGTCGCTCGTTTGAGCTGGGATATCCATCACATAATCGCGCAACGACATCCAGGACTCCTGTTTTCAGACTCTCGATTACTTGTAAAGTTGGCCTTGGCGCCTTTTGCGTCTTCCTCCTCGATGTAATCTTGTGGTTTGATGGTCATGTGAAGTACGTTGGGCAAATCGGGGCCGAATTTATAGTCTGCGCGCAAGCCGACAGTCAGTACCTTGATCGGCAGCGGAAATGGGTAATCGGAGGAGTGAATGCGCATTACCTTTCAAGGATGTCTTATCATCCAACAGCTTGCCCATACTGATCAAGCGAATGTAATTGGGACTGCTCGGTTTGGCTTCCCATTCATCCCGCCATTCGCGTAGAATGAGTTCCTTCAAGTTATAGACACTCAAGTTGAAGGGGTCATTGCCGACCACGTTCACATTGCGTTTGGTCAAATATCGGCCATCCAGCCTGAATGGATGTCGGGCTCCGGAGGTCAAGAGTAGAGTCAATGTAAGGATCGGACCTGTCGCCTCGCTGTCTTTGGCGGGGACCACGGGAGAGTCGGACGATGGCCCAATGGCTGTCGAAAAGGTTCTCGTCACTGGTAGAGTTTCGGCGCCAGCGGCAACGGGAGGGGGAGGATTCATCGATTGATCGATTGCAGTGCTGGTATCGGTCCTTACAGGTCCAGCCACCGGTGGCACCGAGGATCCAGCCGAGATAGTCGTCGTAAAATGGGATGCGGACGGTTGCGGATCGGACGTCGGATGGGTTGGAGGAAGGCTGGACATCTCAACGGGTGAAGGTGACGGAAGGGCCTCTTGCGGATGATGTTGTTGTTGGGGGATCTCTTGGGCGGCGGAGTGAGTGTCCGGGCCTTGATCGGGTTGGTCGGCGGGAGCGATCGAACTCATTGCTCCCAAAGGAAAGGCGCAAAGAGAGATCAACAGGATGAGTAACCACAGCAGAAATGCTCGGCCAAGCAAAATGAAGGCGCGAGGCAGTCAAGCATGAAAGCGAATGGTGAGGACTGCGCCAAGTGTCCAAAGAAACAGGATCTCGGGGGGAAGAGGATGGTTTGGGGTTGCGAGACCTGGGTTTGAGGGACCGACTACTGGCGCAGCTGGTACTGAGCAGAGACTGGGATTGGCAGCTGGACCAGGACTAGGGCGAGTAGAGGGAGGGCCGCAGGGCGAGATGATGGGTGGGTGGTTGGATGGTTGGATGGTTGGATGGTTTGGGATGGGATGAGACGGATGGATGGCTGGAGCGCTGCAGGGTGCGATGCGAGACTGTGGCAGCTTTGGTCTGATGCGGCTAGTTACTTCGGCGGTGTAGCAGGTGCCAGTCAGCCGCGGGTATCAAGTTGTGAGTTACCGGACGATGCAGGGAAAGGGGGCAAGGAGTAAATCGATCAATCAACCGATACATGGGGCCTGGGGACTGGGAGGGGCATCAACCAGCGGATGCGTGTTCTATGTGACTGACAGTTAAGCGATGATAGATGATGAAGATGAGGAAGATGTTGCTGGTGCTGTGGCAAGTCTCGAGAACAAGGCATATGATAGTAGGTAATCTGGGGCAGGTCCAGGTAGTACCAGGCACCAACAGGTAAAAGGCACATGCCAAATAATACCTCCCTTTACCAACCCTCCGCCTAGGGTTTCCAGCTGCCAGGCACCTATCAGGTAAGCCTTAATTAGGGCCTTTCAGTACCAGGTCCCTACCAGATCCCTTCCAGGCCTAAGCCCCTACCACGGTAGCTAAGATAATATAGTTTACAGAGCAGGTGCTTATTATTGCACCTATATGTCCCCCACAACTTGGCGGCACTTAAGCCAACTCCTCCCCCAGGAAGACATGGCTGGGCTTTGTCTTGTAATAATTTCCTAGGTACCTGGTAGGTGCCTGGTACCTACCTAGGTAAATTAATGTAATCAGGTCTTAACATCGGTCCTCCTTGTCCCCTTCACACCCATCCCGCATACCTGCCTGTCTCTTCCATCCTGACTCCCCCCTTTTCTTGCTTCACCCCCAACAACTTGACATGTCCAATCTGTGCTCCTGTATCATCTCGACTTTTCCATCCGTCCAGACGCTCCCGGAGAACTTGGACCGTGTCGCCATCGTTTTTGACCAGTAACGCGACGGCATCGTACCCTCCAGCTCCAGGGGCGACTCCTCCCACCACCCCAGGTAAGGACGTACAGAAATCAAGCAGCTCCGTAATCACAGCCGGCTCGACAGGTACTCTGGACTTGGCCGACATCTCTCGCACCAAGCTCCGAATCGTCAAGATGATATCCGCCAGCCCGTTAAACCCGTCCACTTCGATTCCTTCACTCTGGGCAAGCCGCTGCAGTTCCTGGCAAAGCTCGTTGGTCCCTTGCTGCAACGCATTCCACAGCAAATCTGCCTCTTCCGCCTTGTCCTTGCGCCATTGAAGCACTTTGCGCACCATGCCAGGAGTCTCGGAGCCGCAGTCGACATCGCACATGACCAGGAGTAGGCTTTCCGGTATCTGCACCGCCTGGCTCGCCACCTCCACATCCCATTTACGATCTAACTCGAGATCGTCCACGCATCGATGTAGTCGCTCGCTGAACCCCGGCGTCGTGGGTTCTCCCACAGCCTCCAGGATCGTAGGAGTGAATCTTCGATAGAGAGATGAGCCGTACACGGCAGCAGCGACGTCGAAGCCGGAACCAACCTTGCCTTGGGCGGCGCAATGAGCAGCCTGAGCTAAATTGTGGATGGTCCGGTGAGGTAGAGCAGACTCGGTCCCGAATTCAGTTGTATGGAACGCAAGAAGTGCAGACACGAGAGATGTTACCAGCGCTGCCGAGGATCCCAACCCAGTCTTATGGGCGTCGCTCAACTTCACCCCAAAGCTGCTGAAGTTCGACTGTGAGGCGGCGGCCGGTTTCGGCGATTCCGTAGATTGAGAGTAGTAATCGTCGTCTGCCAGGATAGTGACCTTGAGACTGGCCCTGACGCCTTTCGACACATGTGCCAGATATGTTAGAGTATACAGGAGGGTCGTCTCGACGAATTTGTTTGCATTCTGGGTATACTCGGGCTGATCCTGCACCTGTCTGACACCGACGGCCACATGGTCGTGAGCCTTTGTTTCTGTTATCTCATAGAACCAGCTTGCGTCGCGGAATTGAGGCGATTGAACGAGTATCGCGCTTCCCGTCGAGGTGGTCGGGCCTTCTAGCCAGGGCTTGACGTGGACGTGGATCCGGGCGTCGAGGCCGAACACAAGACCGGTGTGCCTGCGATCGAGAACCAGGAACCCGCCGGCGAACAGAACTTTGCCCGGTGCCGACACGGCCACTGCCTCTTGTGGCGGCATCTCATCTAAGTTGAATCAAATCGCAGGAGAACTGCAGAATCGTAAGGTTGTTAATAGCGATGCCCCGCTCCTTAAGTTGGGAGGAAACCTTTTGTCGTCTAGAATTGGCTTGTGTTTCGCAGATGAATCTCTGTCAGACAGCGAACCTTGGTATAACGAATCGCTTACATGCCTACCCTACCTACGTGGTCAGCCACCCGTGTTCTACCGCCGAGTAACCGTTCAATTGTTCCAAGGTTACTTCCAAACAGCAGTGATTACACGTGGGACAGTATGCGGAGTAATGAACCTTCCATTTCTTGCACACAACTCCTGCGGTGAGGCGTGTTACTATCCAAGACCAGAGGAGCTCGAATTAATTCCTCTCGCACAGCTCCATATTAGGTCATACATTCTCCCAAGCGAGACTTATCGTCCCATTGTCTCTGATTATATCCCTTACACACATGCAAAATCCCTTGACCGACAGTTAAACCCGGTCCCCATGCACCTCCTGTAGTGAAGTATACCTCAAACGCCCAGATGTGTGCGCTAGATCTCAATCAAGGGGACTAGCATAGGAACAACCGCCCTTGCTTACTGCTTTTCTGCTACGTCCACGATCTGGCCCTTCCTGTCCGTTCCAGATTCCTCAGATATTCTGGGTCGGGACCTGCAATGTCATTGCACCGCCTTCTTTACCCGTTGCGACTCCTGCACCGGGAGCAGGTGGGCCTGTCCCTGACCGTCTCCGCCGCTCTCTCTCAGTCGGTCCGGATTCGATGTTGTCGAGTATGGTTCCCAGCTCGGTGCTCTTGCGGAATTTCATGTTGTACATCCAGCTATCATCCTCATCACTTCCTAACCAGTAGCTCCGTCCAATACTAACCATAAGCCTACCCAATTTCCCACTCCAGCCATAACCTTCAGGTTTCGATTCGGAGAACGGATTTTCTGCGAGATTCGAGTTGGGCGAGGCCGACGAGTAGGAACTCGACTTGAGGCCATTCGCGGCGATATGTTGGCGAATAACCAGGCGCGCAAAGGCGAGCATGATCAGGCAAAAGTATGCACGAACGGTCCACAGTGTGATGATGATGCCGATGCTGTTCATGTTTTCCGCTCCGAGAACAGCCTGCTGCAGTGCTCCATTGCTTCCGCTGCCTGCCGGGGCTGAGGCCGGAACCCCGGCCGCAACTGCATCTTGACCGCCGGTGAGATCGGTTTGGGGTGTAGCCACGACCTCAACCCTGCTGACATTGTATTTTGGGTCGGTAAACCCACTGGCTTGGTCCATTGTGGAGGCCCCCAGTCCCTTCTTTTCTGTTTGACCGGCGTCGTGCTGTGCTAGAACCAAAAACCAGGTTACGGCGAATGCAGCCGTGTAAGCTGCGTTGATTATGCTGTCGAGAACATAAAACCAAGCGAGGGCGAGACACTGGAGAGGTGATTGTTTTTGGATGTGTGGCGCCAGGTAGACGGTAAGGACCAATGCAACAAGCGAGTAAATGTACATGCTGAGCTGGAATGGCGACAGCTCATAGCCCGTCAATAGAGCAAGGATTCCGTAGAGACCGGCGAGTTTATTGAGAAGGAGAGAAAGCGTTATTAGGCTGGCACCCGTTGAGAGGTTCATGGTGTAAAGGAATCGCTGTGTGAAGTTAGGAAGACGCTGTGGGAGGCACGGTCAGATTGTCGTACCTTGGGTCTTGCCAGCCGCAGCAAGCGCGCGGAGATACTCATGATGTCTGAAACCGATACAGCAGCCACCTCAGGCGAGGATACGATTCCTATATGTTCGAGACACGTCGAGTTGCAGGAAAAAGTAGGTAACAATAGCGGTAATAATGCTGGTGGAGGCAAAGAGGCGGAAATTAACCTTGCGAAGGAGGCAGGGCGGCTGGGCCGGGACAGCTGTGATCATGTGCAGTGCCAGGCTAGGTTCGGCCACCAAGGCCTGAGCCGATTGGTGAGGATCCAGCAGATCGCTGTTCAGCCTTGTGGCATCTACAAAGTATCTTCACAGCACTCGGAGTGTAAGAATAATCTTCGAGGCACAAGAGTCGAATATATACTGGGTGCCATCCGTCCTGTGCAAGCATCAATTCACGTTCAGCTTAAAGATACATATATCTAGGCAACAAAACTGTTCCGTGCTAGAGTTCGCAAGCGTCAACAATGTACGGATTGACCAAGCAAGCATTCTATTCTGCCTGGACCTCATTCTCTAATAAAATGTAGTAAAATACAATTTGTCGGCCCATTCGAGGAGATACTTAGTGCCTCGCCACCCATGAACCGTTGTTCCTTGCTTCTATCTGCAAGCCCTGGGAATGACTTGGTCGCACCACACTTCTCCGCGACTATGCAGATGACCGCAATTCTGTGCACCATCCAAATCCGCCAGTCGCGTATCAGATCTTCCACCACAGCTTATTGCTTAGTCGTACAAGCTGTCGTCATTGCCAGCCTCGCCGAAGCCGTTTCCGTTGGCCGCATTAGCAGACTCTTCGGCAGATGGGAACTTGAAGAATGCGCTGCCACCACTCTGCTTCATGGCTTGGGCGAAGGCTTCATACCGGCGGATCTCAACATCACTGACTGAGCGGCGAGCAGATTGCATAGCCTCCTCGAAGTGTGCCCTGGTCAGACAAGGAACCGGGTCTTCGGACTCGTCCTCGTCCATGGCATCTTCACCGGCAGCTTCGCGTTCTTTCTGACGTTCAATCTCAGAAGCAATCGACTCTTTGATCGCAAGCTTGACAGCTCGTTGAGTGATGAAGCCCAAATCGGCGCCGGAAAATCCGTGGGTCTTGCCAGCAATGAAGTCTATATCGACGTCGGGAGCCACAGGGGTCTTCCGGAGTTGCGCCCGGAGAATACCAGCACGGGAGGCTTCGTCTGGAAGGGGCACATAGACAAGGGTGTCGAGACGGCCAGGTCGGCAAAGGGCGTTGTCAAGCTGTTCCGGTCTGTTGGTGGCACCGATAACGAAAACATTCTTCTTCGAGGTCATGCCATCCATCTCAGTGAGAAGCTGGTTAACGACGCGGTCAGATGCACCACCTGCATCACCGAGGGAGCCTCCACGAGATTTGGCAATGGAATCGAGTTCATCGAGAAACACGACGCAAGGTGCGGCGGCTCTGGCTTTGTCGAAAATGTCCCGGATGTTGCTCTCGGATTCACCGAACCACATGCTGAGAAGCTCGGGACCCTTGACCGAGATGAAGTTTGCCGCACACTCGTTGGCAACAGCTTTGGCAAGCATGGTCTTACCAGTTCCAGGTGGTCCATAGAACAAAACACCTCGGGATGGTGAAAGACCGAACTTGAGGAATTTCTCGGGGTGATCGACGGGGTACTGGACGGATTCGATAAGCTCGCGTTTGACGGTCTCGAGACCGCCGATGTCGTCCCAGCGAACGTTGGGAACCTCGACCACGGCAACCTCGCGCAGGGCTGAAGGATTGGACACGCCCAAAGCATATCGGAAGTTTTCCATCGTGACCCCGAGCGAGTCCAGCACTTCGGCGTCGATGGTGTCCTCGTCTAGATCGATGAGATCCATCTTCTCACGGATCTGCTGCATTGCAGCTTCGGAGCAGAGAGACGCGATATCAGAGCCGACATAGCCATGGGTCTCTGCGGCGATGGCCTCCAAATCGACATCATCACCCAACTTCATGTTCTTGGTGTGGATCTGCAGAATTTCGAGACGCCCAGTTGGATCTGGGATACCAATGTCAACTTCGCGATCAAAACGGCCGAAGCGTCGGAGAGCAGGGTCAATTGAGTTGGGTCTGTTGGTGGCGGCCATGACCACGACATTGGAGCGGGCTTTCATTCCATCCATGAGAGTGAGAAGCTGCGAGACAACTCGTCGTTCGACTTCGCCATTGGTCTTCTCTCGCTTGGGCGCGATCGAATCGATTTCGTCGATGAAGATGATTGCAGGCGAGTTCTTCTCAGCCTCCTCGAACGCCTTTCGTAGGTTGGATTCTGATTCTCCGGCCATCTTGGACATGATCTCAGGCCCATTGATCAGGAAGAAGAAGGCACCAGTTTCGTTGGCAACAGCCCGGGCCATCAAAGTTTTGCCTGTGCCAGGCGGCCCGTACATGAGAATACCTCGTGGAGGCTTGATGCCGATGGATTTGAACAACTGGGGATGGCGAAGAGGCAACTCGACGAGCTCTCGAATTTGAGCCATCTGCTTTCTGCAACCACCAATATCATCATATCCCACCTCGTTAAGGTTTCCCTCTTCATCTTCCCGTTGAATTGGATCGCCCTCGCAGTGGATAATAGTGTCTTGTGCAACAATACCATACTCGGGCGGGTCAACCTCGACCACTTTGAACTCCACCTGCCGCATGCTAGCTCGGACTGTGAAAAGGTCGCCTTGTCGGACAGGTCGGTAGGCTTCACGGAAGTAGGGGGCGAGGAAGACGTCAAACAGAGAGCCAGTGAGTCCTTCGATCGTATCGGCGATGGGGAGCACAGCGATGCGCTTAGCCTGCGAGCAAGGTTAGAAAGAGCATCATTTGAGCGAGGATAGGTATCTTACATATTTGATATCAGGGCACGGGTGGACTGTGATAATATCGCCATGCTTGACTCTCAGGTTGTGACGGACCACTCGATTGATGCGGGCGCTTCCATCGTCCAGGTCGTCATCAGCAAGCACGATCAGAACAGTGTCCTTGCGCTTCTTTCCTTTGACAAGGACCGTGTCTCCTCGGAATAGCTGTAGGGTTTCCATAGTATTGTTGGATAGAGCGATGATGGAGTTGTCATCGTTGGTGGCGTCGGTTACACTGCGGTCGTTTGTCAGCCTCCCAGTATCATCGCAGGTCAAGGTTTCCAGCTTACATCAACGAGTTTGGCTTCTTCTTCTTCTTCAAAATGGCGGTGGATGTGTCAAGCTCCTGCAAATGTCATCAGTCCGCCTTTCTTGCTGCCACCTTGATGGGCGAGTTTGCCCTTACCTCTTTCTTCTCGGCGCCAGAGGCATCACTGCAGCCTGAGTTAGCAGTCGATCGGCGGGCTTTCCAGAATCTTTCACATACTTCAGATTGACTTTGCCCTTACGCTGGGCGTGATCTGGCTCGGCCGACATCTTGTGGTCGAAGGCAGACGGGTCTGGGATGATAGCGGGTAGGTATGGGGAGTTGGGAGGTAATTGTTGTTGTTGAGGTTACGGTTTCAAGGAAAAGCGGCGGCCTTGAGGTGATAACTCAAGATTGAAGGCAACAAGAGAGAGGTGTCAAGGCACTTCGGATCAGCGAAGAACCTTGAGTTGCAAGAGTGATGGCAAGTGAGATACGAGAAGGTAGAGAGGTTGAAGCTGTCGGGGCGCAAGTGATGTACTATGGCGAGGGAGGCGGCTTGGCGGGTGATTTGAAATGACCGTCAAGCTCCCGCCACGTCTTCACATTGTCGCCTGGGTACCAAACCCGCAAGAGAAGCGGATCGAAGCTTCTTACGTTTAACACATTGCCACAAAACTTGGAGATCGTTTCAGACGATCTCGTCTTGACTCTAAGGTAGTTCAAACAGACGCCTGATCCGGACTCCAAACGACCATGTAATTATAACTGATTGCTTGTCTGTGAGGTGGCAAGGCTGAAGTTCCTCTATCAAACTAGTATTGTTTATGCTATTTATATACGAATAGTCACCTCACCTCAACATAAGGTGACGACAAGGCTGAATTCACTTACACTTCTATAATCTTATAGGTTTATTTACAATGATGATTCTGTGATGAGACTAAACTGCGGTTGAATGCCAGAGGCACTATACGTCGGTCTGCCAACGTGCAGCCACGGATCCTTGACTACCTTAATAGGCGTGCTTATCATGACATTGGCCTTGCCCATGCGGAAATCCGCTCCGCCGCCCCCCAGGTCCACATCCCTCGGCCTGTCCAAAAGTTTCGTTTCCCTCTTAGGCGGAGAACGCGACTGTTCCTGCATGGCACCTGGGTCGTAATACCTATATAGGGCACTGCGGTAGACTGTCCAATTCTTATATTTCTCACACGCTCAACCTTGCATCAGCACAAACCACCAACCTCACGCACCCTCTTCCACAATCAGCGCTGCTGGCGGTAGCTGAAGCACTCTCTACATCCATTTTCGCCTCTACCGATTTCTTGTGATCCTTCGCAAACAGGCCTCGAGACTCTGAATGACTACACTGTCTGTCTGCAAGAATTAAGCCATATCTCTTGGACGGCAGTCCGCCCCCAGAGTCCCAATCCACGACATCTCTTGCCAAATCTTGCCAAAATGTCAACGACAACCTCAGCCTCGGCCTCCCGAGCCATCGACTCCTCCTCCTCCATCACAATTCCAGTCCCGATATCTCTCACAAGCACGGAACCTTCGTTCCCGCCTGCAACGTCACAAGCATTAATAGCCCATCTTCGAGCGACAGGCAGTATTTCAGAACTCAGCGCAGTCTTGGCTGACTCGCTCGCCCGCACTGGCTGGACGGATCGCGTGCGTGCCCTGTCTCTGGAACTCCTCCGCAACGGCGCCTGCGATACATTCCCCGAGCTCATGTCCGAGGTCCTTCGAAGGGCGAGGATCCCCAAACCCCAACAAGAAGAAGACAACAGCCCGGCCACGAGTGGGCCGAATGGGTCTGCGGCGGCCAACAAGGTGATTGCGAATGGTACGAGTACTGCCGGGGCCAACGGGATCAACGGAAATGGTGCAATTGCCCTCAGCAAAGAGTGGTCAGGAGGGCCCGATGGCCTTCCAGATGTGAGAATACCAGAAGCTACTGTCGAGATCGGAGTCAACTTTCTAAAAGAGAAGATCAAGGACGCGGTTGAGCCCGTCGATGATGACAGTGACTAGACGGAATTGGCACTTCAGGACATGTACGGCAATCTCCACGTTCTCAATCGATCATCTACTTCCAAAGGTACGGAAGCATAATTATAGAGCATTTTGGAGACGACTGGGTTGGACGGTGGATCAAGGGTTCCAGGACTGGTGGCGGAACTATGCATGAAAGTTTCGCACGGTGAATGTATGTCGGATTCTGGCCTGTTGCGCTAGAGCATCAGGAGACCTCGCGGTCGGTTGCACAGTTTTGGTCTATCCTGAACCGTACCGAGTCCTTTCACGATCACGTCTGGTGAGGACCGACCTGGACCTCATATGCCACAGTTTGCTGAGAACAACAAATAAGTAAAACAATATGCTTTCAATCCATCCTGTTCGTTTCATCATCTCAAAAATCTTGACATTTGGACAATGTCACCCTCAAGACGCCAAGGCTTCATGCCCAGCATGCCTGGGACCGCAAGTAACAAGCTGCTAAAAAACCAAAACACCAAACGAGAGATATGTCCATTGCTGCGAATCAGATGTTCGAAGGGGTCATCGATTCACGTGCTCTGCCCGATCGAGGACTTGCTCGGGTCTAGAGCACCCCCCCAGGCAAATTTTGAGCTGGTATAGTTCTCCCAGAAGCTGCGCTAGAGAGACTTCCTCCCCCTCCGCCCAGACCGGGAGGTTTCATTCCACCTGCGGCACTAGGAATCTCGACGATAGGATTTGCCAATTTGCGAAGCATGAACATGGGCTTCTTGCCTTCGCGGTCTAGATCCTTGAAAAGCGCTAACGGCTTCTCTTCGAGACCGACACAGCGTTCTTGATCGCCGTAGACAATATATAATGCATATTGACGCCAGTCAGCTTGGATGTTGTATTTTCGGAGAGCGGCTGGGAGCACTCTGTAGCACGGGTCGTCCAGACCAACACGGAAAGATTTGAAAATCTCGACAGACGGGGCTTCGCCGGAAGTATGTCCGCCAGCGGCGCTGGATGGAAGCTGAGGTGGAACCGAGGCAGATAGCTCTCGTGAAGGTATTAATGTGGACGCGTTTGATATTGTCGAGTTGGACGGGTTGAGTTTTGCAGAGACAGACTTTGCGGACGTCGGAGGTTCGCGGTCAGCCATAATCTGGTTGGTTCGAGAAATGTCGTCTGCACCATCATGTCTCGCGATGCCGCTGTTGCCCTCACGCTGATATGAGCGCGGGGCGAGAGGTTGATGCTGATAGGGTAGAGGTGAGGTTGGTGAAGGAACTCCGGGGGAAGGATGCGGTAACAGGCCACCTGACATTGACGCGGTTAGTGAATTCGACGCCAGGCTAGCCGCTGCTGAAGGATCCAGCGAGGTGTTATCTGTCAGAGTCCTACCCTCATGAATGGTGCTCGGTATATGTGTGGGAGAATTGTTCTTGGGCGTCGAACTGAGACCCAATTTCTTGGAGAAGGTACGAGTCAAACTGGTCTTCTCCTGTACCGGCTGCGTGACGATTGGAGGCGAAACTATGTCCTGTTGGTAGAACTCCGGGCTGATGGCCGTGTTTGTATATGGCGCGTAGGGAAGAGGTTCAGAGCGTTCCTTCGCCATCTTGAACACTGGGAGGAGTTCCTGTCGCAGCTTACGATAGTCATCTGCCAACTTCGTCAACTGAGCCTCTGCCTGTGCGATGCGCTCGTCCCGTAGCCGCATGATTGAACGTGCTAGGCGTGTAATTTCTTCTTTCGTGGCCATCTCGTGTTGAGGGTTCTGTTCCGCAGCTGTGTTTTTCTGGTCAGCTAGAGGCACAGATGATTGAATCGAGAGCGCCTTACTTGGAGGAATGTAGTCATCTGGCTCAACAGGAATATCTTGTCTGACCTTTAGGTCGTAGACATTTTTCAGTATCGTGAGTCTGTGTCCCACACTTGCAATGCCCATCTCTTTCAGTTCGTCATGCTTCAGCGCTACCAACGCTTCACCCTCAATGCCGTGATCTGAGAAGCCAGTCAGCCCAAACCCTCTAGCTTGTCGGAATCGACATCTTACCAATAAAGGCCTGGCAATACTGCCGCAGGTTCAGACTCGACACAAACTGTGCGCATTCTTCTGGTGTCCATTCTGTTATTATAGTCCGGGGCAAACTTGGATCCTCCCCCGAATTGTCGAACGTGGTAGGCGTGTGTTCATTGGAAGTAGGTTCGGACGAGGTTTCCGAGTCGGTGTGCAATTGTATCGGAGATGTCATGACGCTTCTCTCATATTCATCGTCGGCATCAGAATCTGCGTGGTACGTGGTCCCGCTGGGAAACGCCATATTTGTAGGGCTTCAGCTGGCATGCGGTGCTTCTTGTCCTGTCGTGGTCCTAACCAAAAGAATCGCGTCTACCTGCGGACCACGACGAAGACTTTGCTAGCAACGGAATCCACTGTAGACTCCAACTAGATTTCGGTCGGCCGAGGGGTAGGATGGATGCGGACTCGACAAGGAATTGTCTTGAGCCCCAGCTGGAGGATTTGTACACGGATACTCTGTACTGCCAGTGAGTATCCGGCCTCAACTGCGCTAGCAGTGCCGAAGGATAGGGAGGAAGGGGGGTATTCAAGGTGGATCGTGGACAATAGTAGGGCGTTACCGAGATAGATTCTGCCAAAACGGGCCTTGTACTAATAGAAACGAATCCAGGATCGTGTTGCATCCAAACTGCATCAGGATTAATGAAGAAACGGAGGTCAACAGCGGGCAGGGAGTGGACAGACACACAGCGGACTGGTCGATCTGCATTTGGGATAGTCGGCCACTTTCAACGGCGCCTGACAAGGCCAGCAGATGATCCAAGTTGGATGTCTGACAGGCCTCAATTCTCCGCCCAATCGCGCTCTTCAACTCGGGGGTTCCCCACGGGCATGTGTGTGTTCTTCGACATGCTCATTTGGTCAGACAACTGAATTTCAACTGCGTCATTCCACTACCAAATGGCCGCTGCAACCCAACATCTCGCTTCTCTTCGATCGAGTTAGGCTCGCGGTCAGTACGTCTGATTACAAGACTAATCGCTCAAAGGAATACTGCCCCTTCTGCCTCCGCTCCAACATGTTCATCTCTCGAGCACTCCGTTTTGACACCTGCCCGCCGCCTTTCCTGGTCTTTAAGGGGTTGATCACATTCTCCGCCCGCAAGCTCAATGGGAGACCTTCCCCGTTCCGCAGCCCATCTCCTCCCTCACTTGCCTCCGAATACAGCGTCACGATAGTTCCGGTCTGCTGCTCAGAGCCGGCTTGGTGTCCCCCATGGGGGATTCGAGCACCAGCATCTCGGTATTTCTGAAGCGACTCTTGGTACCTCAGCACCTCGCGGAGAATCCCTTGGAGCTCCGTCACATCTTCCAGGCTCCGCTGTGCGTGGGTGATCTCGGTGACCAGATCGGGAACAATATTCCCAATAAAGTCTTCATGGTCCATGCCTCCATAAAAGCCGAGCGGCCCGATGGCGTCAACACAACTAGACAATAGCCTTACAATGGCATCGAGCTTGACGGTCGCTGTCCATTCCTTTCCCGGGGATCCGGTGCCGGACTGACTTTGGAAAGACCGGGTGTGACCTCCTTGGAAGAGCTGCTGACGCAGAAACTGTATCAACGCCAACATTTCTGTCTGAGGAAACATGTCTCGTAGACATTGTGATATTCTTGAGTTTGCCGCAGTTCCGAATTTGTCCAGTGCAAGAACAAGTGCTCCTTGCAGTTGGAATGGTAGCCACGCGCCACCTGAATCTGTGGACAATCTCTGAACTTCCATGCCTGCTGCGAGCTTGAAACTCTCACCGGTTTCCTGCTCAGCCTCAACGAGATCTTTCTGAGGAAGGTCTGTTTCAGAGGCATGGGCGAGTGCTTGCTCAATGAGAACCTGTACGGTTGCTGCTTGCTCCTCCACATAGGGACTGAAGCCGTTCTTGAGACAGTCCACAAGAAGGGTTTTATCAGGGTCCGCAATCAGCAATGCTCGCGCAACTGCGTCGACCGCAACAGGGTCAGCGACACCGGAAACCGTCGCAACCGCTCTCTGTACGCTGCGGCTTGAAAGTAGACCCAGGTGGGAGAGCCAGATTAGCAATCGAAACGACGGTACCTGGACCCTCAAGCTCTTTGTCGCACGAGTCAAGTCATCCCCTGTGACGGACGTGTTCGGATCTGCTTGGAAAAGTTTCGATAGTAGATAGTAGATCTTGAAGTCTGGGACGGCTATGCGACTAGAAGGTAAGCCGTCGATTGTCTCCGGAAGAACGGCTAAGTTCGATACGTCCCGGCGGACACTATTAACAAAGACATCTTCAAAACCGGCCACATCACCGGCTTGTGCAAGTTGATCTAGCCGCTTTCGAACAGATTGCCATTCCGCGTCGGGGGCTGTGTTCACTGCTGCTGTACCGATGGCCGATGCATCCAGAACATTGTTGGAATTAGGTAGCGTATTGTGGTCACCAATTCCTCGCCCAATATTATGGAGGAGTTTGCTGCCTGTGATCAACATTTGTTTCGAGAGCTTATCGAAATTAACATCGATCACGAGGAGCTGGTGCCGCCGTCTCCCAATAATGCGTGCTGAATGGGCGAAATATGTGACGAACTCGACGGGGCCAGTCTGGAGTTCCGAAGCCATTCTTACCCGTTTTCTCTTCAAATTGGTCTTCTTCGTATCGATGTATGCCTGGACTGACTGGTATTTGAGGTCATAGAGTCGGAAGGAATCTTGAAACGAGCATATCGCAAAGGCAGGTGAGATTGCCATGATTTCGTAGCTCCCTGTGACTCCAGTGTGTAGACGAGCGACCTCAACGGGAACCAGTCTCGACAAATCGTAGCAGAAGAATGACGCTCCGTATCGAATATAGAGATGGGAAGCTGTTGAACCGAATCTGTATAAATTCTCCTTCGAAATAACTGAATCTGACTCCTGAGCCTCCAAACCTAGCTGATGCTCGAACAAGGCATGGAGGGAGACTTCAGGGGAGGTAGTCTTTCGATTGCGATGTCCGATTGAAAAAGCGGCATAGGTAATCTTTTTATCAATCTGACGCTCATATACGAGTACTAGGTAGGAAGTATCCGGAGTAGCCTCGGCAACAAGATCCGGTCTCTGCTTCAAGATGGTTTTTTGTGCCTCTGACAAGCTGAGATGTTGGACTGCTAGAACATGGATCCCTTGTTGATCAGGAGAGCTTAGAGATTGGTCGAGCAACGTGCTTTTGAGATCATCTGAGAAAATGCTAAGAGCACCATTTTGCTGGACGATCAGGGCCAGACCTCCTGTTGAATCGGGAATGAAATCGAGGTAGACAGCGGGACTGTGCTGGTCACGCAATTTTGGACCTGTACTTGTCTTTGTATCGCGTAGATTGCCGTCGTGGGTTTGGAATGATTGTACTTGTAGATCGCCACGTTTTACTGTGCAGTACGTGGTGCGGTATGGCTGCCCGTCTGCGTGCGTGATGATCGAGCATGGAGGTCCGGAGAAGGAGGAGGATGGGGGAAGAGGATATGACGCCAGAATCTTGCCATCTTGCACCTGACCTGGGATTAGAATCATGCACTGTGAACGTAACGGGCACCAACATACCTCATAGACGCTGAGCGAGTCACCGTCGACTGCGACGCAAATTTCTTTCCTGCGCTTTTTCACTCCATCCCGCACAACGTAGACATTGCCGAAAGAAGTGGTAGCATCCGGCTTTGTCGTGCGAGGAAGTTTCGCCAGGAGATGAGGAGCCGTGATCTCCATCATACTGTCGCTATAGACATGTTTCTGTTGATTGTGCTGAAACAGAGGGTGTTGAGAAGGATACATAAAAAATGCTTTCCCGCGCGGAGATCGTTCCGCCGACAAAATCCCCGCCTAGACAGTTAGCGGTCGATCATCCGCACGCCCAATGGCCAATGCTACGGCCGCCTACGAGTAAGTTCAACTGCGCCCATGGATGCCCGCTGTGGCACTCGCGTCACTCCTCGACGCGCTCTCTGGCATTTTGCTCTACTCGACGCGCAACTTCCATTCACTCCGGGACATAACACATAACGAAGAAGATCGATACTGCTCATGGATCCAGCTGTGATAGACTGGCGTCAGGACAGTTATCCCGTATTCCTCTCTTGCTCATCTATGGTGCTTGGTCTTGCAAAGACCGACTAGGCGTTGAATGGCTGCAGTGGTAGGATGTGACAATGGGCCAGTACGCCTTGTGGAAGTGCATCCGTTCTTCAGAAAGGGTGAATAATCACGCCTCTTGCCTCCCTCCTCTCTCGTATCGACTAACGATACTCATAGTGGTCATGAGCAATGACGATTGCCCGCAAGAAAGGCCATCCTCCCATCTGGGATTGGATGGAGCCGCAGAAGATGATGATAGTTCATATTCCGTGGAAGAGACGCATGCCAGATCTGACCTGGCTATTTATGGTCCAGTTACAACGACGATTCCACCCACGATATCGGACAATGAATCCTTGAGAAAGCAATCTTGGTGTGTCGACCGGGGTGACGAGCTTGAATACGAGAACACACGAAGAAAACGACGAAGGGTTTCAGTTGAAAAACAAGAACACCATTCGCAAACGCATGATGATATACAGACAAACCCAAAAGCATGGCATGAGCAGCTCAAGGAGGCAGCAACATCCTCTATGAGGGACATGTCAAATGAAGACGAACCACATTCTCTGAGATCGGCGAAGCAACCGTCTACGGTGATTACATACAGTAGGCTGGATTCAAGCCAGGCGGCCAGCTTAGCCGATCTTGGTGACAAGATCGGTGAAGAAGCCAAAATCTCACATGCAAGTGAGACTCTCTGGTCCATGGATTCAGACGTCGTTCCTCAAACTACTGGCCCACATACAACAGGCCCCCTGTCCGAAGCAGAAATGCCCCGATCCACACCAAAGAAGACGACACTGCGGGTTGATAGTAATGGCAAGCTGACTAACTCACCCCAGCACCCATCACGACGTTCACCCCGGACGAAGAAGGGTCGGAACGACCAGGGTAATGGAGCCATAACAGCTGCTCGCAGTTCCAGAAAGATCGAGATGAAGAATGGGAAATTTGTTTCTTCATTACGGGTCACATTGCACTATAAGACGCCCGACTGTGGCAGAAAGATCGACGAGATCTTGTCCCGCATGTCGAACAAATCCGCTCCAACAGACCCCGTAGCACAATCAACTCCCACCGGTAAGGTCACCCATCCGTTCTTCCTGGGACGCCTGGCCTCCAAGGCACAAAAGCAATCACTGGTCAAAAGTGAACTGTCCACAGCAATGGCATCTGATAACGACACAAACCGAGATCTTCTGGAAGCACCGAAACCGTGGAAAGACATCATATTCGCTTCTAAAAAGCCCTTCCAAAGCAAGGTAACAGCAGGCCTTCCCTCCATATGGCCTCCACTTTCCCTACAACGGATTCAACCAAACCACGACAAGGCCAGACCTCAAACCGTCTTACCACCTCCAGCGAGAACGCTGAAATCAAAACATCATGTCTCAACTGTCAGCTCTCTTGAGGACGTGCTTTGGAACTTCGCTTGCAACCTGAAAGATGCCTCCCGAGGTCAAGATTCGCTTCATTTGCCGACGCGAATGCTCATGAGCGGTAAGGCATTGAACGCAGGAGTGGATGCCGAGCTCTGCAGAGAAAATGAGTACGCGGACCATGTCACGCTCCTGAGGACACGCATTGAGTCAACTCTCAACCCATTCAACAAGGGTATGGCAGCGGGTCCACAGATGTGGCCTCAAGAATATGCACCCACATGCTGGCAGGAGGTTTTGCAGCCGCAAACCCAGGTCCTCCACGACTGGCTGAGGAACTTGAAGGTTCACCAGATTCAAAGTGGCAAACTACAGCCCAAACCAAAGCCGTCGATTTTCAAGAAGCGACGGAAGAGGCCGTCAGACGACATGGACGATTTCATTGTGAACTCTGACGATGAACATCAGGCTTCTAGTGGTAAGCATGCTATATTGATAACAGGTCCATGCGGGTGCGGGAAAACTGCAGCCGTCTTCGCAGTTGCGCAGCAGCTGGGGTTCGAAGTGTTTGAGATACATGCAGGAATGCGGCGGAGTGCACGGGACATCCAGGAGAAAGTCGGCGATATGACTCAAAACCATCTAGTCCAACAAGCCGATTCGCTCAGCAGAGGATCGAGCATGTCTCTGGACGACTCAAATGCCGCCAACTCCCCGTATCCAGAGCAGCTAGCTACAAATCAGCCTACAATGGCCAATTTTATGAACCCGAACAAGGGAGCCACAAACCAGAAGGCAACCGGAGCCTTGGGCGGCAAAGAGGCGAAGATTAAAGCTCAGAAGCAATCTCTCATTCTTTTGGAAGAGGTCGATATTCTTTTCGAAGAAGATAAAGGCTTTTGGTCGGGAGTGCAGTCGCTTATCCGAACTTCGAAACGACCAGTCATCATGACTTGCAACAACCCAGAATCCGTCCCGTTGGACGAGCTGGACTTGTTCACGATCTTGACGTTCGACCATCCTGAAATGAAGCCATCTGTCGAGCGGCTGGCTTACATAGCTGCAGCCGAGGGACATCTTCTCAGCAAGCGAGCAATTGAAGACCTTTACCTCAGCAAAGGCCGGGATCTTCGAGCTTCGCTGACCGAATTGAGTCTATGGTGTCAGATGGCGGTGGGATCGCAGCAAGGGGGCCTTGATTGGATGCTGCCTCCCGATGTGAGGCGTCAAGCTACCCAAGACGGGGCTTTGATGCGGATAGTCAGTCAAGATACTTTCGTCAGTGGCCTTGACCTATACCCGACGGAACTGGACGATCCTCAAGACGTGGTCAAATTTTCACATGAAAGCTTGTGTTTGTCCCCATCGGATTGGGTTAAAGAGGCGGTCGATCTGCACACTGGAGGTTCTGGACTGGGAATACGAAAGCTGGATGAGATCCTCCTATACACTGATGTCCAGAGTGTAATGGATGTCGTCGACTCAGACGTGGCATGCCTGATGGCCGGGATGGTGATGAAGAATCGTGCATCTGAATATCGCCGGTCTCCTCGTCATGAGATTCTTCACCTCTGTCTGGAGCAACAGACTACCACCAACTTGCTGACCAGAGCAGCTGTCGCAGATGCTCTGGAGGCGCTGACGGAAGAGAACAGAATTGGTCTGCCCGTCAGTCCTGGTCGAAAGGCGCCATCCATCGACAACGCTGCCCAGTCAATCGTCACAGAAGTGGCGCCCTACGTCCGAAGCATTGTCGAGCACGACCAGCGATTGGAACACATCCGAAACGAACTCGGCGGAGGCGGCTCACAGACAAAACGACAACGGAGGACCAAGGCCTCACGAGCCGCGCTTGAGGGCGGGAGTAAGGTCACCACTCGCCGGGACAGGTGGTTTCCAGAGACCCTTGACTATTCTGCCGTTCTAGCCACTGGAGGCAACGGGTGGCCGCAAGTCCGGACCGGAGAGGTGGAGCTGCCTTCGGCCGCACCGACTCCATCATCCTCGATGGCGACAGAGATCGAATGTGATGCATTGGACGCTTCAAAGTGAATAACGAAAACATGATGGCCGCAGCCATGTGCCTGGAACAGCATAGTCCACCAACCGTGATAGTGCCGAAATATTCAGTTGATATCATTGCCTAGGGCGGGCGAAGCAAGTGGTCCAGCTTATGAGCATACATAGCATAGCATACCTTAACATAGACACGAGTACATAGACGCCACTTCGCAGAGCACATCTGAGCACAGACGGATAAGAAGAACCCCGGGATCTGATCCCGCTCAAAGATCTCACTGTAGCATACTAGAACGTTTCTACACGACTATGTACCGTACAGAGGAAGGTATTTACTTCCATGACCGTGGACCCAACATCGGTTCTGACACTCCGTATCCGTACAGAGTATATCTAGATCCCGGTCACGTGAGCATAAGGGGCTAGAGCCTTATCACTCAGGACCTTAGCATGGCTTGACTTTTGTGTGGGGGGGCTGGTTCCTCGGAAATGCAGGCTGTGGATGGCTTCAGACAAGGCATTGCCGATATAATTGGAAAGCGAAGGCGTTCAAAAGACATGTTGGGGGAACTGGCTCTTTACAAAATCTTTGATGAGTATTCGCCCGGCCATTGACAGCCTCCCCGATTGGGCACCCGACCTTGTGCCACCACAGACTTGATGCCGTTCGCAGCGAAAGGTGCTCTGGCAGTCTATAAATCCGGTCCTACGGCTAGATTTCATCCTCGCTGGGGCTAGAGATATGTGAGTATCTGACGCAACAAGAAAATACTCTATGGTGCCGTCATTCGTCTACTCAGAACACAATCACATAGCTACCCATCTATATAGTCTCGAACCTCAGGACCAAAGAACTGAAGAAGGAAACGGCTTTCTGACAACGCCAAACATGAGAGATCACAGAACAAACGGAGAAGGATCTTGGAGGGAAGAAAGACTCTGTTAAATGGATGCAGCCCGAGCTTTGTCCTCCATGGCAAACCATATGTCTAGCTAGTACATGAAAGCCCCCAATACATACACCCTTCAGCTATACTTTCTGGACCCTGCCATGTCAACAGAATGCCTTGACATATTGTCCTTCATCCATGCAATGAATACAAATGTCCTGTCATACACGAATAATCGGTACTGGCTATCTGTAAATCTGGTTCTTTTGGTGGTCAAAAGGCATACTCCAGCGGATGACTGCAGATGCTCGAGGCAAGAATGGACAAAAGAGAACAAGATGAGGGTTACCAGCCAACCAAGAATGGGATGCACACCAAAAATAACTGGGATGGGGAGGATGTCCTCAAAGCCTTTTCGTGGTAGACTCAGTTGGCGGACTGTGAACTGCCGGTGACGTTCTCCTTGCCGCTGGCTGGTTCCACCTGGATGGTGACCTTCTTCGGGCTCGGAGTTTTGGTCTTCTTGGAGGTTTCACGCACGTCGGGGACGATTGGAACAATAGCCGCAGACTTTGGAGGTATCTCGATGTATGAATGAGAAGCCGGTGTTGCCGGAACATTGGTTCGAAGGGTCGTGGTGTTGGTAATGGACTGGAGTCCGCCTTGCATTGGCCATGCTGAGCCGCGAACAACGTTCACACTCTTGTTGACGGCAGGCATTTCACTGCAGGAATCAATGTCAGGACCTGAAAGGAGAAGTGCTTAGCAGTAAGGCTAAACTTACGCCGGAGAGACTGACGTCGCTGGGGTGAAAGCATTGCTAGTTCCAGCAGGTGACTGGTAGCTTCCGCTTGGGCTGATGTGGTTATTCATGTTCTGAAGACGTGTCAGAGTGGGAGATGGAGTGTGCTCGACCGAATAACTGTATTCCCGGCTGCGCCAGTTGCGGCGTTCCTGACTTTGCTGTTTGAGCTGCTTCTGAGCTTTAGTGTCGGCAAAGCGGAGGAATAGCTTGACACCGTCGTGTTCGGTCAGGACAGAATGGTACTCTTTGATGACACGCTCCGCAATCTCACGACTCTCGAAACTGGAATCCGTCAGAGAACAACAGCTGATAAGTTGGAACAAGGATAACTACCGGGCGAATCCAACCTCTTTGCTGACTCCCGACGGGACATCACGGCAAATTTTGGTGGAAACAGCATGAAAAGGTAAGAAGTGCTTGGCAAGGTCCTATGAGACATTAGTGAAAGTCATGGCGACGATGTATGGAAGCAGACCGATTCGTTCCAATCAATGGGTACCCCTGTGCAGTAGATGTTGGTCGAGTTCCTGTCTTCGAGGTCTTTGAGACGAGAGTTGCGAGATTTCTGAAAGAATTAGTCGCGCACAGACGACTTGGAATTCTACCCACCTGAGCATAGCTGGCTTGGAATCCAAGATGGAAAAACCCTCTGATGCAGTTCTCAGCGGCAGCTGGTGAGTAGTACATGACAAATCCAAAGCTATCGAATGTCAGTGACCGGTCTTGATGTAACCGCTGGTGGACGGACCCTTTGCACTTTCCAGTATCCTGTTCGATGATGGCCTTGCATGATTCAATCTCACCGAATCGAGACGCCCAGCGTTCGAGATCTTCATCGGTGGTGTCGGGCATAAAGCCTCGAATGTAAACGTTAGTGATGCCTTCAGGGTTCTGAAGACATTTGGCAAGGCTGAGGTCCTCCTGGTTGGTCCACAAAGCAGGCACAGCACGGGGGATGGGCGGATCATGGGAGACTAGCTCGTCAAGATTGACCATTTCGTACGACTTGTTGTCTTGACATTTCATGGGTTGAATGGGGCCCGGAATGTAGTGTTGGCTGGTGGCGGCCGTTGGCATGTAGGGAAAGCCAGTATAGTAATCTGACTGGCCTTGGAGAGCAACCGCCTGACTAGCAGGAGCATTCTCCTCGTTAGAGGACCATGAGCCTCGACGAGCTGCATCAAACCCAGTGACATTTGGAGACATTGCATATGGCCATCCATAACCCGGCATAGCAGCACCACCCATGCTCGTGCTTCCAATGAAGTTGGGAAACATTCCAGTGGGAATGTAGGGGAGCTGAGGTCCGGTATCTCCGGTTGAAGTTTGGGGTTGACCATAGAAGTTGGTGAGTGGAACTGTTTGACCAGATGGCAGAACCATGAGAGGGCTGTTGTATCCGTGACGACTGACTCCACCCAACTCACTGTCGACATGGCCCGACGCAGGAAGGGTAGCCTTGAGATTCTGCATGTTGGCCAGGGGGTTGTGGTTGGGGTTGGACATGGCCATGCCTATGACATCCTCAGAGAAAACTTTTTTCGACAATGGTGTTCCGACTCTTACCTCCGTTGAAGTGCGAATAGCCTGTTCCAGAATATGGCAATCGAGGCTGTGGATAACCGGTATACGTTGTGCTTGGGGCTGACTGAGTTGCAGGCTTTTCAGACATGGTCTGTCGATCTCTGAGAGGCTCAAGTTAGCGCAACTGATCAACGAGAAGGTGAGTTGAGAGATGGGCCTGGCCCTGGCCACAAAATGCCCATCTTGTGCGACTCACCAGCGGTGGAATTGCCAAACGAGTCCTTGTCGCCACGCTCTTTCTGTAGGCTTTCTGGTACAAGTTGAGGAGAACCCAATGAATAGAGCAGCAATGGGGGTTGTACAATGAGCAAGCCAAGATGCAGTGCAGGATGGATGATAAGGGTGAGGAGAGGCTAACAGCGGGAGGAGTTGAAGCAAAGCTGTAGCTGGGTATTAAGTGAGTTGTGTTGAGGAAAAGAGAAAGAAGAGAGAAGAACAGGACGAGGAGGAAGATATTGTCACTCAAAGGAGGGAGCCCATTGAGAGGCAGGAGCGACGACAATCAACAAGCACAATACCAGCTGGTCTCACACACTGGCACCCGGCGACTGCAATAACGCAGGCAGTTCCCGTCACATTTGGGCGTAGTGATGCCTGCTCAATGCAGTGGACGGAGTGTGCGTCCTCGGCAGGTCGATACTGCCATACTGCCATACCAACCTATGGAACTGAGAAGGAGTTGTCTGCCCACAACAGGATCCTGCGTGAAACTGAACACCCTCTGAAGTCCACTACATTCGTGGCGATGGTGCCCATCGAACTTCTTACTTCATTTTAACCCTCCCAGCACCATGTAGTAAAGTCAGATGCCGACTCCAACACCGAGTCTCGTTCGTGTGTTTGGTGCTTTTTGGCCCCATGGCGGCATGATGCCGATAGTCAGATACCATACTCAGCACAATAGAGGATTGCTTCAGGCGTTAGGGTCATAGCCATTGTCCTCTATCCGAGGGCCATGGACCTCTCTGCCTCTACCATTAATAGGCGACTTTGCGTGGGTGTTTGAGTGAAGTCGAATATGACATACCAAATATGAATGCTCCACAGTAACAACCTCGCTGGGCAGTGGCCTCCTAAGCCTTAGGCAGTGAGTGGGCAGTGCCTGCGGAGTATGGCTACTGATGCCGCACATCGTTTCGCACAATCCCACCTTTAACCTTTGGAGACACTTCGATCCAGCCTCGACTCCAAAATCTATCAACTAGAGGAGTCAAGTAGAACTACACCCACTACTTTAGATACTCGCCGACATCTCCTCCGCCCATACATCGACCTGCACGTCATGATGGCTGAGGAACTAGACGAGCAAATATGGGAACAGGTACGTTTCAATCAGTTGCCAGAGACGGTACAGTGCAGTGCAGTGGAATTGACGTTGTCCACAGTTCCTCGCCCAGCACCAGTCACTTGTGTCCTCACTTGATACGCATGCCTCTCTATTGGCGCAGATGCGCAAACATTGCATAGACGGTGGTCCAGTCGTTGGCCTGATCGAGACACGTCTCATAACTACCGAGAACATGATTGCAACCTTTAAAGAATCAACCGACTCCTTGGTAGGTTCCCTTGTCCCCAATAAATGTGCATATTCCCAAGACTGATACATGTCCTGCAGAGAGAAGTAGTGAGACAGGAAGAAGCTCCACCGAAAGCAACAAGTTATTCAATCCCTATCGTGGCTGCGCCCGAGCCTCACGTTTCAAACCCGCCCGTTATAGATCCTAGTGGTCTTTTTACAGTGGACACAAATCCCACTCCGCTCGAGCACTTGTTCCGAGACAAGACGACCAACGGGGACGAATCAAAGAAGCATGCCAAAAGGAAAGCCAGTGATCTGGAGAACCATGCGCAAGTTAGGAACAGCGGGTCTGGACATGCACCACAATCCAAGAAAGCGAGGTCGAACCATCAACAATCGGAAGAGGCTGTGGGTGAGGACGATTCTTTCATACGGGGCGTAGAAGCGAGATCACGAGCAAAAGAAGAACGCAGAAAGGCCAGAACGGAGAAGAAACGCAAGCGCCAGAGTGACGGGTCGACGAACAGCGTGAACAAAGGTCCGAAGAATAAGAAGCAAAAGCAAAAGCACACACCGAAGCTCCCGGCCACCACTAAGCCGGTTGAAACTCAGACGAAGAAGGGCAACAAGCGGAACAAGGAGGAGGCGGCCAGCAACGGGGCACCAAACGGCCGGCCTATTAAGAAGCGCAAGAAATCAAAGTCTTGAAGACTACAAGTTGGCAATGTGGAAATAATTCTTGCCTTGGCGGCTTTATAGAACAAGATGAAATGGCATGGCTTCGTTGACCTCGCCTCTAACCATCTAACGGCACCAGCTGCCTGACGTGCTGTAACTTGTGCCGTGTCACACACTGACACAGTTCTATACCGCAATTCCCCCAAATCTTGCACGTTGCCGCCATCTGTACCACCTTGGACGTGGGCATAAATGCTGGACGTCTGCCACGTTTAAAAGCAAGCTGTGGTAGGCAGATCCCTGTTCAACTTTGCGGATATCTTGAGCCTCGTTGTACTGTGACATCAACGCCCGAACCGAAAGAATTCTGCCATTCAACTTCTACATTGTCATGCATGCGCGCTGCCGACGCTTCCTCGACACCACTGAGACCGTCGACGCGCGATCCCGGCCGACACGTCGGAACCGAGGAGCCTGGTGAGTCTTCCGAGGAACAAGAAGCGAACAGAAAGCAAGCTGATGTCATGTTGGGAGATATGAGCGACAAGCGCAAAAGCAAGCTTTCGGCCATCTTCCTCTCGAAATCCACATACTCGGCGCCGAACATGCCCACGTCCAGCTCCAACCCGCAGGGCCAGCCCGCACGCCTCGTCCTGCCGGCGACAGCGGCGCCAGCGGCGACGACGGCCAAGGCAACGCCACCCCGAATCCCTGTCATCGTCAACGATCGTGACGCGCGACAGAGAAAGCAACTGACGCTGGAGAGCGAGAAGGCGCGCGACGAGCTGCTGAGGCACGGAATCAAGGTGCGGGATTTCCAGGTCGAAGCCGAGGCCAGGGCTCACAACAGCATGGCAAGGGATATGATGCAGGCACAGGTAGACAGCGGAGGCTGCTCTGGCCGCATGAAGGAGGCGGTTGAGGCGGCGACGACAAAGACAACACCAGCGAAGAGCTGAACCGTCTTGCCTGGGATCGGTGGACGTCAGATCAGATCAGTCTAGTCCCGTCCAGAACAGCACCCACGATCATGTCCTCGAAAGGTCGAGGATCATAGATAGGCCAGCACCACCAGAGAGATTCAGGTCAGGTCAGGTCATGTCAGAGCCATCAACGGGGTTTCTTCTCCACGACCTTCTCGTCTTCCTTCTCGAGCTGCTCTGCCTTCTTCTCTCCCCAATTCCACACTTCCCAGATCTGGTCCATGATCATCGAGCCGTAGCCCTCGCCGTTCTCGAGCTTCTCCTGCTCTTCCCGCAGCCGGCGTTCCTTCCATCCGTCCGTCTCGCCGCCCATCCACAGCTCCTTGGCCTTCTCTTCCAATAGCGACCCTTTCTTCTGCGCCGCGAGCACCGCCGATTCTTCCAGCGCACGAGCTTCCTGTTGCTTGCGCCGCAGCTCCTCGGCGCGCTGCGGCATGCCCGTAGGATTGGGGATGCGGGCGATGAACCCTCGCCCCGTCCGTTCTTTGAGCTGGTAGTTGGCCGACACGATGAAGGCACTGGCTAATGAAAAAGTGTACAGGTCGAGTTTCCGCGGCGGGAGGGAGATGATGACAGGGGCCAGGACGCAGGTAGTGAGCGACGCCGCGTACAGGAATTTGTGGTAATCATCTGTCATCTGCTGGCGCTGCTGCTGCGAGGGCTCTGGCTGCGAGGACGCCATGGTCGAGTGGGAGAACCATGAACTGTAGACTAGTAGGGGTCCTGAGCGTCAATTCATGGCGTTACAACAATGATGGCATGCGGAGCAGAGCACTGCCTTTTCTTTTTATTTTCCGCGAACCCGTTGATTCACCATTATTATCAGCTACGGAGTACGCATCAACCCGGCTGAGACAGTCCACCGTAGTAGTTGGACCACTAACGCATTTTCAGGAGCCGCTTCAGCCTTGCAATTTTTTATTTACGGAGTACATCATGTACATGATTTAGATTTGCAGTCTCCCTGATTGAAGAGACACGAGTTTTACAGAAAAGTTGCATTTAAGGTGCATAAGCACGCTCGGGTGAGCCGCGAACTAGCCAACCCAATGGATTGGATGTGGCGATGCTTCGTTGTGGGCAAAGACGCCTCGATCGCTGACCTGGTCTCCCGATCGCTTCCTAGTATAATATTGTGGACATTGTATCTTCAGACACGAACGACCCCCAAGTGGACGGTTCAAGCATGCCCATTGATCCCGTTGACCTTTACCGTCATCTTCTCTTCCACACTCCTCAGCTCCTCTTCGACATTCCGATATTCTTCCTGCGCTTCCCTTTCCCGCCTGCTGACGAAGGTGACCTCATCTCTGAGCCTTGACAGTCTCGCCGGTAGTGCTCCATCCTCACTGATCTGCAAGGTCTTGAAAGCCTCCAGCTGAGCACGCTGCTCCTTGATCTGGTCATACGTGCTGCTGATCTTCTGTTTGAGTGTCTTTTGCCGTGCTTGATACCCGCCCAAATGCAGTGACAGCTTCTTTTCGAGCTTGTTGCCCGCTTCAGCGGCCGCAAGGAGACTCTTTTGTGCAGCTTGGAACGCTTTACTGTAGCCGTCCGAGCATGCAGCGGAGAGTTTTCGAGGAAGAGCATCGGGTTCGTTCGCGCCAGCATGCATGGCTTGCACCTCGGAAACGTAGGACTGAAGTTCAGCTTCGTTGCATGTGGCCGCCAACTCCTCACGCGCCCTAGCAACAAGATCATCCGACAGTGGCGTCAGGTGCGGAGGCTTGCCGACAACTCGAGACCCTGGAAGAGGGAACTTTAGAGCATCATTCGCCATCAGAATGGCAGCTTGTTGAGCAATCATTTGCCGAATCGGATCGGTGATTGATGTCGCTTCGGAAGCAAGCGAGGTATAGTCGACCACAGCGGGTCGAGGTAGGCCTCGCTGATAGACCTCTGTTTGTCGCTTAAATTCTGCAGCAGCAGCCGCTTCCCGTGCGTCACGCTCTCGTCGATCGATTTCTTCTTGATCCTCCCGGTCCTCCACGGCCTGGATTGTTGACTCGGCTTGCTCTGAAGGCGAAAGTTCCAGTTCCCAGTCGGTTTCCTTGGGTCTGGGGAGAGAAGAGAGCTTCGCGCGCAAAGAATGGCGCGCAACGTTCTCGGCCAACCGGATATCACGAGGCGTCTGCGCCACTAACTGGCGCTCTCCTCTCTCGTTGATTGTCAGACCATCTCGGGGGGTTCGTAATGGGGTTGCACCAGGGAGTTGGCCTCCGACGCCAGCCTGACGGAATGGCGTGGCCATAGGATTCGGCGTCACTATGTCTTGTCTTCGTGGTGCTATCCCATCGAACCCTGTGGAACTAGTGCCCTCATGGAGAGGCGCGTTCTCGCCGCCTAATAACGACGATTGCGTCTCGGTGAGAGCTTTGATGTTTCTGATCTCATTGGCAATGTGGTCTTCCTGTGCTGGTGCTCGAGGGGTTCGGATAGGCGTTGCTCCGATCATAGTGCCGTAATTCGACACAAGCCCCCCATGGCCGCCCTCGTCCTCCCCTACAGCTCTGGCTGCCCGTTCCCCTGCCAATCCCATTTTGACAATTTCTTCTAGTTCGTTTTCGCTGACTTGCGGAGCTGGAAGATTCAACGCTCGCCGCTTACTCTGTTGCTCCGCCTCCCGGATGCGCTGCATTTGTCCAGCCTTTGCGGCGGCGGCCAATTGCCCTACAGATTTGTTCTTGTCTTGTTTCTGTCGCTTCGGGTCCATGTTGTCTTCTGGATCTCCCTGTCTCTTTCGCGCGAGCTGTTGTTTCCGGGGATCGAACATTTCCCGCTCACGCTCGTTCTTAGCATTTTCCTCTTGAGTATCGTAGAAGCCCGGGGCGGCCTGCTTTTCAAAAGGAATGTCGGCATTATAGTCCATCTCACCCTTCTTGCGGTTTGTGATCTTGATGTTGATTCCCGCATTTTTGAGCTCTCGTCGCTTCTGCAGCACGGCTAGCCTCCTTGACTCTTCCAGTTGTCTTTCACGCGCTTTCCGCTTCGCCTTCTTTCCTTGTGTATTCGCCAACCGCGCTCGAGCCTCACTAAGCATTTCCTTCTCATCTTCATCGAGGTCGATCGTATCTGGTCGCGCTGGCTTAGACTCTGGGTCCGGGTCAAGCTCTCCAGGCCGTAGCTTTCGCACTTGGTCTCCTGTAGGTGCCAAGGTTTCCCCGCCCTCTGGACCCCCGAGGCCCAACTCATCACTTTCCCGTGCCTCTGCTTCGTCCAGCAGCCTCTGGTAGCGCTCCAGACACTGTGTGGCAGTCCGTCCAACAATGGGGGCGATGGTGCGCCATTGTGTGGGCATCAACTTTGCCAGATGCAAAAGTTTCTCGTCCTCTTCCTTTGACCATTCTATCTTGCGGATGCCTGGGTCCAGCCATTCTGTCCATCTCGCCTTGCACTGTTTCGGAGTCTTTCGAGCGAGTAAAGAGGAGACTCGCGCCCACTGATTCAGTCCGTATTTGGACACAGCTGCTTTGAGGATTTCATCTTCGATGTTCGTCCATACGCCTCCTTTGACCACAGGCATGTTGCCGGTGTGGATACAGGACTGAGGTAGAGTTAGGTGGCGGAATGGCAAAGCTGCAATTCAGAATCTAGAATCTAGAATCTTTTTTGGCGCAGGCAGAGAGGCAGAGGCCGTGATGGATCCAGCATTGCAGTGCTGCGGAGCGGGAAAGTCTTGGCACGCCTGGCAGGTAGCAGTGGTACGGAAACGAATTAGCACCTATACTAAGTCCTTCAGTGCTCATGGCCGTGCCGCTTTTAGGCCCCTGAGGCCTAAGGGGCCCCTTAGCCACCTCACCTCTTAGGTGCCTCTTGGTGCCTTAGGGCCCTGGTGCTGTCCTGTCACGACAAGTCCCGGCACCATAACAGGTGCCTTTACTACTCTATTTGTAGCACTCACTTCTTCCGCAAGAACAAGACCAGCCAGCCCAGCAACCGGTAGCCGTCGACGATGAGAAGATGGACGCCAACTACCTCCAGTATGTTGGGGGATCATTTCTTGCAATGATTGGACTCACAGCAATTGATGCACATTGTCAAGGTGGCTGCAAATTGTAGAGCCATGGTTGCGTCACTCTCGCTTGGATGGTTGAGTCAATTGCTAGGTGCTAGAGGCATACGTGCGTTGGAGAATGGACTACGTACTAGTGGGCAGACTCCCATTGCCGGATCTCTATTTGGATGAATCATCAGGTGAGGTGCCTTTTCTGGTAGTGCTCCAGTGATTACATGACCGTCGCGACAGATCCATCTCACTTTGAGTCAGCTAGTTACCCAGTCTCTTTTAGACGGGATTCAGTGTCGACATTGGCGGCAGAGGCGCCTCCTGGCAATGTCGTCCAGATCTATTCGGCCGTACCTCAGCCACCTAGCTCCTTGACATCAGTAATCATACCCCGAGGCATCAATAGGCCGTTGCTGAGCAATACCACTAGGCGACGACATTGACGCAGACACTGACAAGCAGAGCTCTCCCCTCTCCCTGCCTGGCTGGAAGATGGACATGCACAAGATATATAAAGGGGGGAGCCCGACTGGGGAGGGAGTCTACCATCAACAGTACAGCACGAACTCAAAGGGACTGCTTCTGCCTCGTTCAACAAGATCCAAATTCATTCACACACGACTGACCTTCTCCCGTCACCGTCATCGTCAACATGAAGACCATTCTCTTCATCGGTGCCACCGGCGCGCAGGGCGGTGCCGCCGTGAAGTATCTAGCTGCCACCGGGGAATACCGGATCCTGGCCCTCACCAGGAACAAAACCTCATCCCACGCCCAAGACCTGGCTGCAACCGCCAACGTCGAGGTTCTAGTCAGCGAGGCTGCCAGTGGATATGGCACCGAGGCCTTCCTATCTGCCGCGTCTCGATCCGACTACGTCTTTGTCAACACAGACGGGTTCACGCTTGGGGAGCAGGCCGAGACATTCTGGGGTATTCGACTGTTTGAACTGGCCGTCCGAGCCGGCGTCAAGCACTTTATCTACAGCGGCCTCGACTACGCCAGCAAGGCAGCGGGTTATGATCCCAAGTTCTACGTTGGCCATTACGAGGGGAAGGCCAGAGTTGAAGGTAAATAAGTGCCATCCCTTCCCGCTTCTCCCCCTCTCCCCCCTGAACTTTTCAAGATTTCTGTGAACGGTTTGAACGTTGCTAACGCTCACGGATCTGTGGTCAGAGTGGATTCATGCCCAACAGGACTCATCCATGGCATGGACCATCATCAGATCTGGGCCGTACATGGAACTTCTGTCCGCCCTGATGGCCCCGGCCCAAGGTACCGACGGAACCGCACTCTTTGCACTCCCCCTGGGTGATGGGGCCATTCCCTTCATCCATCTAGGCGACTTTGGAAAGTACGTGCACTGGTCGCTTTCTCATCCCGACCAGTCCAACCACCGGGACTTTGGCATCGCCACCGCCCATGTGTCGGGCAACGAGATCGAAGCCGCCTTCTCTGCGTACACGGGGAAACCGGCCAAATACGTCGACCTCGACATCAACCATTGGAACGTCGAAGCTTGGAAGCACCTGCCCAAAGGCAAAGACACCAAGATCGGGTACCAGAACGTCAAGGACGACAATGCATTGCTGATGACGTACGGAGAGAATTTCACGAATTGGTGGAACTTGTACAAGGCCAGCAAAGACAATAAAGGCCTCATCCAAAGAGACTACGATTTCTTGGACCAAATCGTGCCAGACAGGGTGAAAAGCCTGGCAGAGTGGATGGAGAAGGTGAAATATACGGGCGAGAAGGGCAGCTTGCTGAGACTCCATGACCCCTTCAAGAACTGAGTGTAACTGTAGAGGCAAGAATCTTGAGATAATCCAATTCATCCATCGTTTTTTCCTTTTCAAACGAGGGGTCTCATGTCTACAGGCATTCCCAATGAGACCTCGAATGATCAACGTGGCGGCACTGCACGGCTTCGAATCTTCAATCAATCAACCAGCCTGCCACCTTCCAACTTAGCTCTGGCCGTGTTTTGCGGCCACCACACCATCAAGTCACTGTATCCATCAGGTGGTTCAACGCCAAGATGGAGATGCGCAGGCACGGCGTTGGGGAAGACACCCGACAGCAGTAACGGGACATAGGCTTGGTCAACCATGTCGAACCCCCTCTCGATCATAGGGTCGTCACGTCCCAGTGTGAGAGGACTTGGACCACCTGCGCTGGATGCTAAAATATCTGACATCAAGACCATGCACGATGTCGATATTTCTTGGTCCGATGGAGGTGGAGGTGGAGGTGGCTTGACGGCGGTGCTTGCCCTTGTACCCGGAAACGTTGAGCCTGGTCTTGCACGACAGAGCAAAGGTTCCCTCATGCCACATGTGTAAATTCCTTCCTCTTTCCCAGTGTCCCCTCTGGCACCCTAGGAGGCTCGGACGGATCCGGTGTCTCTCTCATACCGTCCGAGATTTTGGGGCTAATGCAATACAAATCACCTCATCCACCAGGAGAAACCCCATGAACTGCGCTGCAGCGAGCTTCTGCAGCCTAGTCAAGAGGGCGTATTGTCTCTCTGGGTTCCCTTGCCTTTATGCTGGGATCGTATGACTTCTGCTTCAAGCATCATGGTTGAAGTATGTCGGGTTCGGTCTCCAAATGCTCCGACCATCTCTCATTGCGTCGATTGTCGTACAAGTGTACTTACTTGCCGACCACGGCCACATGAATAAATGGATACAGGAAAGGATATCTTTATATAACTCCTTCCATGAGTAGTACAAAGTATCTGCCCCCTCCTGTGGTGTTGCACGGAGAGAAATAACACCGACACCGACATCAGACAAAGCCACAAAGTCCGTGCAAAGTCCGCGCAAACACCGTGCATTGTGCCATCGCATTGCTCGTTCTTGCAGAGGGTCTAAGGGGCCTTTCGCTCTCGTTAACTCATTCTTAGGACTATAACCACCCCTCCAACCTCGACTCCTCCATCGCTCCATCGCTCCATCGCTCCATCTCTCAATTGTCAAGCCTTCATAATCAAGCCTTCACACGTTGGCCCATCAGCATGACGTCACGCAAAGTTATAGTCTTTGGCCCAACAGGCGCGGTCGGCTCGGCCGCAGCACGTACTGCTGAAGAACTGGGGGCGGACGTTGTGCTTGCGCTGCGAGACACGGCCAAGCCCGTCCGCGGCCTTGACGCCGCAAAGGAAAAACAGGGCCGCTTTGAGAGGGTGTACGCCGATCTCACCAAGCCGGACACGGTCCGCGATGCTGTGCAGACAACCCAAGCAAAGCACGCTTTCATTTACTGGGCACACGGCACTCCCGATCACCAGAAGTCGAGCATCGAGGCACTCAAGGCGGCGGGGATCGAATTAGTGGTGTTCTTGAGCAGTTTCACCGTTCAGGGTGATCTGAAGGCCATCCAGCCCGACGACGTGATCTCGTACATCCATGCGCAGATCGAGATCAATCTCGAGGAAGTATTTGGAAAAGATGGATTCGTGGCACTCAGGCCAGGGTCGTTTGCCAGCAATAACGCGCAGTTCAAGGCAGGACTCGAGAAGGGAGAGGTGAAGGTGTACCAGCCAGACGCAACGATCGACAATATCGTCCCCGAGGATATTGGGAGAGTGGCCGGCACGATTCTTGCTAAAGGACCACCCCAGGATGGTCAGAAGATCATTTTTCTGTTTGGGCCTAAGTTGTTGTCGCAGGCGGATACCGTCAAGACCATTGCCAAAGTCCTAGGCAAGAATCCCAAGATCGAGAGCGCTAACGCAGAGGAGGCTTATGAGATCTTCCTGCAGCGGGGAGTGCCAGCCCCTCTAGCGAAGTACATGGTCAGTCAGACGGGGAAAGTCCTCACTGGACCTGGTATTCAAGTGTTTGGTTTTCCGGGCAAAGAGGAATATCTGCATAACGTTGAGAGGTATTCTGGGACTAAAGCCACCACGGTTGAGGAGTGGGCGGAGCAGAACAAACATGTGTTTCTGTCTTGACGTCCACATAGCCCGCGCCTCGACAGAAGCAAGTTATGAATAGGTAACCATTCCGGGCGGCCGCCAAAATACGTCTCTCGTGAAAGTAGAAAATCCCTGGGGCATTTCTCGAGACTCAAAGAAATAGAAATAAGACAGTTGATAAGAATACGTAGACCGCAGGTACTTGAATAGTCCTAGTCCAAGTTAGTGACTTACAAACAACCAATCATCTGAGAGGTGGCCTGTCTGACAAGAAGATTAAAGTCAAATCTGTTCTACTATAGCCCAAGATCAAGGTGTCAGACGGAAACTTTTCATCACTCTTGGCAGAATGCGGAGAACTTGAAGATGTCAAGTTTTTGGAGGCTGCGGATTCAATTCAATTTTTCGAAACATGCAAAGCCGGGCTTGAAAGCCGCCTCATTGTCTCTTCCACCTAGTCCGACATGCCTTCTTCCATAGGCGCTCCTCAGCAGCCCAAACAGCCTTCGCGAAAGGGAAAGAAGGCATGGCGCAAGAATGTCGACATCTCCCAGGTCCAGCAGGGCCTCGAAACGCTGCGGGAGGAAGTCATCCAGGGCGGCCCGTTAGCCGAGAAACCCTCGGAAGAGTTGTTCGCCCTCGACACCCAGGGATCGGAAGACATTAAAAAGAAATACAAAGTGCAAAAGTCGCTGAAGTTGGATGAGATCCTGGCCAAACGATCCGCCGTGCCCGCTGTCGACAATCGAAAGAGAGCGCATGCAACAGTCACCGACGGGGTCATCGAGTCGTCAAATAAGAGGCAAAAGCCCGACTGGGTGAGCAAAAAGGAGGTGCAAAGACTCAAAAAGAGCATCAACACAGTCTCACACCTGGACGCGCCAAATGTTGATGGCGAGCCCTCTAGCTTCGATCTATGGTCGGACAAGACTCCGGCCACTCAGGATCCCAGTAGTGGCGAGTTTATCCCTAAACCGAAACCCAAGGTTGCACCCCCTACGCTTCGCAAACCACCGATCCCCTTGACTGCCAATGGAAAACCGGTGCGTGCGGTACGGCAACCAGATGCAGGCACCAGTTACAATCCGACATTCGAAGATTGGGATGAGCTACTGAATCGAGAAGGCGAGAAAGTGCTGGAGGCGGAAAGAACCCGACTGCTCGAAGCACAGGCTACGGCCGAGAAAGAAGCGAGGATACGAGCCCTCGCTGCAGCGCCGGAACCAAACCCGGCGGATGACGAGAGTGCTTGGGAGGGGTTTGAGACCGAAAATGACGACCCTGAAGTGTTGGAGAAGAAGCGCCCGAAACGCAAAACGCCAGCTCAGCGGAACAAGGCGAAGAGGAGAAAGGAAGCAGAGAAGATTGCCAAGCACGAAAAGCGGATGAGCGACAAGCGAATCCAGGCTGAGGAAGTCCTATCCGCTTTGATACAGCGCTCCGTGGACGACCAGTTGGAAATGACGCAGGATGAGCAGGATCAGCAGGCCGACCAAGCGGAAGAAGGGGACGACCGAGTCCTGCGGCGACGAAAGAGGGGCAACGCTGTGGTCCCGGAGAAACCGCTCGAGGTTGTCTTACCCGACGAGCTTCAAGACTCACTGCGTAGATTGAAGCCGGAGGGGAACCTGTTGAACGAGCGATTCCGGAATTTGTTGGTGAACGGCAAACTGGAGGCACGCAAACCTGTGCTGCAACCGAAGAAGAAGAAGAGGACGTTCACCGAGAAGTGGACTTACAAGGACTTCAGCATCAAGGTCTAATTGGATGGAATTGGACTGGAGCCAAGTCAATTTAGCAAGTATTGATGTCAAGAGCCGGCCTCTTTGTCGACGAGAAGAACAGGATTTCAAGTTGATAGCCCAGACTAAAAGGCCGTACTCAAGAGCTCAGGGGCTGTAGTGCTCGTGGTACTATATACAATCGTCGAGTGCCCTGTCCTGTCCCTGCCTCGTCCCCCGACGTGGTCATATTACGCTTCACCAAAATTGGATTCTAAGCGTCGACTGTAGGTACGTACTAGGAGAATGCGGCAGTTGGCCTTGAGGCTGAGTGACGAGGTGAGCACAGAAGCGGACAGGTGGGCTGGCTAAAGCGGCATGATGATATCTTAGTACTCCGTAGTAGTACTAGTGATTGGCGAGTGCTACTAGTACTACCTACGACATAGTACTATACTCATACAAGCACAAGCCTGAATACGTAGCTCCATCTCTAAGGTGAATTGCGATTGCGTCGTCTTTCCAATGTGCCTGTCGCGGCTGATGTAGTGAGCCTCTGCTACCTTACGGTTGATTGTATCGGCCCCGGTTGCTTGTCTTCGTCACTCGCGACATCATGTCTCTGTTCGGCTCCTCGCCGACGGAACCGGCGCCGCTCGAGGCCAAGTCGCTCTTTGGCGACGAGCCCGCCGCTGCTACATCGGCCTCCTCTCTCTTTGCCGATGATGAGGGCGAATCACCATGGTCGATGCCAGCGCCCAAGAGAGTCGCCCGGCAAAACTTGGTCAAGAATCTCCTCCCAGCCACCGATGTCCCGGAGTACTATGTCGATGCCTACGATCTCGTCCTCCACGCGAACGAACGAACCGGAGTGGGTATTAGCTTGGGCGCAGTGGTGAAGGTCCTAGAAGGCAGCAACCTAGAGAAGCAAGAGCAGCATAAGATACTCGACTTCGTGATACCCGGAGGCCGGGAAAGTGCAAATGGAGTGGGCAGGAGCGAGTTCAATGTCCTTCTCGCTCTCATTGGGCTGGGACAAGAGGGCGAGGATATCACCCTTGACGGTGTTGATGAAAGAAGGCGGAGTCAGTGGGAGAACCTCTACTGTTGGGACAAGACTGACGTCGGCTAGATTTGCCCATACCGAAAGTGAGCTCTATCGATCACTTGCGCTCCATGGCTCCGACTCAGACTAGCTCTCCCCAAGCCGCCAAAGCTACGCCCGTGAAACCACAGAAGAGTCGGCAGGATTCATTTGGAGGCGATCTGACATCGGATCCTTGGGCCAGTCCGTCGAATAGCCGGGTGCCGCCTCCCTCGACGGCCGCCCACACAATGCCAGCCAACGGTAGTGCGAACAGCATTGTTGAAGGCGTCCCGGACGGCGTGACGAGGACGACGAGTACTTTCACTACAAGAGGCGATCCATCGAGCGGTAGCACAGGCTCGCCTCATGAGAACTCTTCAACCAGTGCTGGCGTTGGTTGGAACAGCTACAATGGCAGCTCGGCCGGCTTCGCATCGCAGCCAACACTTGGAGGTGGATTTGGTGATCCAGGAGATGACCAACCCGACCCTCCGAGGCACAGCGCGCATGGTTCTGTCTCTCAAAGCATCACCATACCGCCCGGGACCGGTGAGAGTGTCACAGTGACCATGCTGCCCGAAAAGGAAGGCGTATTCCTCTTTCAACATCACAATTACGAGGTCAAATCTAATAGAAGAGGGAGTGCCGTCGTCAGGCGATATAGCGACTTTGTTTGGCTGCTCGACTGCTTACAGAAGAGATACCCTTTCCGGCGGCTGCCTTTGTTGCCTCCGAAACGAGTACAAGGTGGGCAGCTCCCCTTCTGCGTGCTCCTTCGGCTGATCCAAGCTTACAGTGAATGGGACACACCTTTCAGCCGATGCAGCGGTCTTCCTTGAAAAGAGAAGACGTGGCTTGGTCCGATTTGCCAATGCAGTCGTGCAGCATCCAGTCTTGAGCCAGGAGACTCTGGTGGTCATGTTCCTGACCGTCCCAACCGTAAGAGTTCCAACTTTCCATGCCCCTTTATGTGCCGGCGGCTAATGGATCACCCCAGGAACTTGCCGTGTGGCGGAAACAAGCCACGATATCCGTACAGGAAGAGTTCACTGGCAAATCCCTGCCTCCTACTTTAGAGGACAGCTTGCCGCCTTCCCTTCCCGACCTGTTCGAGCAAGTTCGCGGCGGAGTAAAGCGATCGGCGGAGATCTACATCAACCTATGCGTCTTGCTGGAACGGCTGGTGAAACGCAACGAAGGACTCGCCGCAGACAATGCCAAATTCAGCTTCGCATTGTCTCATCTGACGGAATTTACGAATAATACTTATGCCATTGACACGAATGACGTCCCTCTCTTGAATGAGGGCATCACCTCAACCGCGAAACATCTGGCTACCGAGCAGACGTTGCTAGATGACGAGGCCAGATCGTGGGATTCTGGGGTGCTGGAAGACTTCAAAGCCATCCGCGACCATTATGTTTCCATGCGTGACATGTTCGACCGGAGGGACCGGTACGCTCGCGACAACATTCCTCAACTGGAGAGACGCATCGAGGCATCAGAACACAAGCTTCAACAGTTGCGCCAAAAGCCGCCCGGCCAGGTGAAGCCAGGTGAAATCGAGAAGGTGGAAAACAGCATCATCTCGGACAAAGAGAGCATTGTCCAGCAACATGCCCGCGGCGTGCTCATCAAGGAGTGCGTGAGGGATGAGATAGTGACTTTCCAATCCACGATATATGCGATCAGCCGGTTACATCAAGACTGGAGTCAAGAGCGAGTCAAGTACGCTGAACTCCAGGCGAGCAACTGGAGGCGTTTGGTGGATCAGGTTGAGAGCATGCCGGTGGGAGAATAAGTTTGGGCGATTCGGCGGGCAGAGCGTAAAGAGATGTATTTTCATATTGTCATCCAAGGGTATCGTCATGGTGGTCATATACTGGGCAACGGTTGGTAAGGAGCATCAACAATATATAATCTTCGTCCCCCTAACTAGCCGCGCCTTGCAATGATTGCAGTTACTACGTGTAGTATATATCTTGGTGGATGTGGTTGTCATGATTGCCGCCGGGGAGGGGTGAGAATAATCGATGAGTGTGAGGTTAATGAGGCCTGTGCTCTAGGTGACTTCATGCCTGAAGGTTGCCTTAGGGCCTAAAAGTTGCCGCCTAAGAAAGAACTTTGTTAGGCTTAGAAGGCCAAGGCTCCCTCCAAACTTCTCCCCAACTTCATCCCAGCCGCAGCCTGGGTGACCACGAAACCACTTTTCACCACAACTCCATCAAATCGATTCATCAATTCTTGTCCTTCGATAGAAATTGTCGCGTTGCCTTGGTCAACATCATGGCGGGCGGCGACCACGGTAGCGAAGCAAATGATACGCCCGAGCCTGTGATAAAAAGTTTCGCCACGCTGAACCAACTGCAGTATGTCATCCTTTGGCTGGAATTCGAGCAAGACCAGCCTCCAATACCGTCACGACGATACTGACTCTTTCAATCTAGGATCGGCGTGAAGGCTTTTGTTGAAAAGGTGAGTGACTCGATTTTCCATCTTTTCCGTCGCCAGTCCAACTAGGACCCGGGCACGTGACCTGTTATATCTTCCGCCGCGGAACGAAGACAAAGACTGACGAGGACGGGCGGGCAGAACGGAGAAACAAGAAAGGCAGAAATCCTCTCGATCAAGCAACGGAACGCCAACTTGACATTCTAGTATGTCTTTCCCGCAGCCGGCGGTACGGAAGGGACACTGACACGAGAAAACAGCGTACACTATGTCGAGTTCAACAAACGTCTCGATGGTGAGTGAGCACCAGTTTTTTCCATTTCAAACCACCCGTTGTACACCCTAGATACAAGCTACGGCAGGAGTAGGCTAACAGGTGTCCCTTTTTCCTCTATTAGAATGGGTTTCAGCGGAACGGATCGACCTGTCCCAGGAGGTGGAATGGCCGGCGCCGGAGAAGCCAGAGAAGAAGAAAACCACGGTGACGAGCAAAGGACCGCCGTCGAAAGCGGCCACGGCGAAAACCGTCACTACCACCACCACCACCAAGGCCGGTCGGGCACGCACAGAGTCACGGCCAGGCTCTGCAACGCCCGACCTGCTGACGGCGAAAGCCGGCAACGACCGCAAGCGACCGGTGCCCTCCAAGGCCGGAGGCAAAGAGAACAGCGATGGCGCGTTGGCGCCCGACGGCGACCCGGCCGCGGTGACGACGCAGGCGGGCACGCCGCTGCCGACGCTGAGCCAGGAAGACAGCATGGGCCTCGGGTCCGGCGCGGGCGGCGAGGCCACGCCGACGGCGACGGCGACGGCGACGGCGATGGCGGACGGGGCGACCAAGAAGGAGGAGAAGGTCGCGGGCATCATGGAGCCCGAGGAGGAGATCGAGAAGCTGCGCACGGGCGGCTCCATGGTGCAGAACCAGGCGCAGCTGCATCTGGTGCGCAACCTCAACAAGCTGCAGATGGGCAAGCACATCATCGAGCCGTGGTACTTTTCGCCCTACCCGCACGAGTTCGCCGACCTCGACATGGTCTACATCGACGAGTTCTGCCTGTCGTACTTCTCCTCCAAGAAGGCCTTTGAGCGCCACCGCCACAAGTGCGAGCTGCGCCACCCGCCCGGCAACGAGATCTACCGTGACGACTTTGTCAGCTTCTTCGAGGTCGACGGCCGCCGCCAGCGCACCTGGTGCCGCAACCTGTGTCTGCTGTCCAAGCTGTTCCTCGACCACAAGACCCTCTACTACGACGTCGACCCCTTCCTGTTCTACTGCATGGTTACGCGGGACGAGCACGGCTGCCATCTGGTCGGCTACTTCAGCAAGGAAAAAGACTCGGCAGAGGGTTACAATCTGGCTTGTATTCTCACCCTGCCACAGTACCAGCGTCAGGGGCTGGGCAGACTGCTCATCGCTTTCTCCTACGAGCTGAGCAAACGCGAAGGCAAGCTCGGCTCGCCCGAGAAGCCTCTCTCGGATCTCGGCCTGCTAGGCTACAGACAGTACTGGAAAGAGGTCCTCATCGAACTGCTCTCGGACCCGGCTCGCCTGCCTCCGCCGGGTTCGGCCTCACACACGCCCACGTCCGAGCACCTCCATCCACATGCCTCCCTGGGATTTTCGAGCCCGTCGTCACAATACTCGACCAGTATCGCGGAAATCGCCTCTCTGACATCCATGACCGAAAAGGATGTCCACGAACAGCTCGAGGTGCTGAAGCTGTTGCGCTACCACAAGGGCCAGTGGATCATCGTCGTCAGAGAGGAGTTACTCGAGTGGCAGGAGAAACGTCGGGCTAAGGAAAAGGAGAAGGGAGCCAGGCGCATAGATCCAAGCAAGTTGCAATGGAAGCCGCCTGTCTTCACAGCCAGCAGTCGCACGTGGAACTGGTGATCCAGCTCACCTCGCGCAGCTGTCTTTGTCAAGTCTATATTAGCATGGCGTTGGGGGAACCGTGGGTCGGTGGGTTGGTGGGCGGGAATAGTGGTACACAGCACCGGAAGTGCCTCAGCAAACATTGCATTTCAAAGGTCGTAATGGACCGTTGGCATTGTCCATAAATCATCAAGAATGAATTTCATCATGCCTCCAACACCGTCGCTAATGCATCATGCCCATAGTTCGTTCATCGTATCGAATGTGTATCATCCATCGTCTTTGCGACGACGGAAACCGGAAACCGTTTCAGGTATTAATGTTGGTATATCGTGCTAAATCGGCGTCGGCACTCATGCCGTTATCCTCGGCGCCATTTTCTGTCATCTCGGTGTCTCCACCATGTCCGTTTTGACTGTCTTTTGCTATCTGATCGCCGTCGAGACCGAGGCTGAGATGCTCGGGTAGATCAACTTTCTTTTCACGAGCGAGTTGTTCGGCCCAGGAGCGAGCTCTGACGAGATAACGAATGTTGGCCTCTCTTCTCTGGTCTTGAGATTGAAGGATGGCTTCATTTACGTCTTTGGCAACCTTGCGTCGCAATGAGGGGTCTACGAGCTCGGCCAGAGCTCCAAAATCGTCATGAGCCTGTGATGTTGATGGCCCGGAGGACCCTGACGACGCTGCGTGGGTCCAGGACTCCTTCGGGACGATCAAGAGAGCCATGGCTCGCTCGAGGTCGATTTTAAATTGTGCGTCCAGAGGAGCGTATGGGGCGAGATGGTTTTGAGCAAACTCAATCGCCTTCCCTACAAGACTTGGGTCCGAAGAGGTGAAACTTTGACGAATGAGTTCGACGAGCTGGAGGCGTAAAAGAGAAAAATGGAGTTTCTTGTCCAGGTCCAGTAGCTATATTTGACCGACGTTAGCGGTGGCACACAGCATGAATAGTGGATGTAGTAAGTGGGACTGCTTTTCCAAATCATATTAAGGACTGAAGGTGTTTTTGCTCTCATCTCTGCCCGAGGGCTATGAGTGGTGCATGAAACTAGTTTAATCATGGAAAAAATGTTGAGGAGCGGGAGTGTGAGGAGACTTACTTCGGGGTTGAGCTCATTTATGAGTTCGATAGCTGCCTGCAGGTCCCCACGATATATGGAGTCTCGTATCTGGACGCGCTCCTGGATAAAAGAAAAATCTGCCATGGGCTGAATATTCGCCTCGGCAGCAAACTTCTCAGCAGCTGACGGGTAACCCTCTGTAATGAGATAGTCCATGATCAGGTTGTTCACGTCTCTGTATACACCGACATGTCAGCCTATTTACACTGGCCGTGAGATGAGGTGCAAGCTTCGAATTTTTTTGTCAGAGTGCAAAATAACATAGTCTCCTCAAGTGTTTTCAGAGAGATTCCCATTTTGTCAAAAATACATCTTGCTAGGTCAAGAGGAATAGCCAAGGGGTGACTGCTGAGGGGGAGACGTACGACTTGGATATGTGGGTGTCGGCGACCCGTCGCTCGAAAGGATGGGCTGTAACAGCAGCCTAAAAAGAAGGATTAGCTCGAGGCCTGGGAGACGAAAAAATCTTTTCTCACCATCTTCTGTGGACTTTAGGTACAAGGATTACAGGAGGTGTTCGAACAGCCTGGAGCAGACTTGATCGTAGACCCAGTCAATCCATACGAATCATGGTTGGGGACGGCAACACATGAAGTCGCTGTCCGAGAATGAACTTGGAGAGAATGGTCAAGAAGTGCAGGAGAGGTACGGGAGTACAAGGCAGAATAGGCAGCCAGTCACATGACTATAGCAGCAGATCAGGTGACTCTCCCGTCGAATTCAACTTGAGCGACCACTCCCGCACCGCATTTTGCTGAACCACAGCCTCATGTACTATATATAGCTCTGTACGGAGTGCCCTGTATGCTGTTGCAGACTTTCATTTTCTTATGCTGCATCGTTTGTGTGCTGGAACCTCTCAAGACGACCATCACCCAGAAGTTGTTCGAAGAGAAGTCTTTGCGACGAGAGCATGCAACTTTTCCCCTTGAATATACTAGGTACTGGGAGTGTTGTAGTTGAATATAAATGCAAATGCAGAACACATGGGCTATCAGAGTCTATTTCTTTTTAATTCTCCTCTGATATCACATCGATTTGTAGAGTAAATGTTGCACTCGTAAGCATTCACTGTCTTTCTGTAAAGGACCCCTGGGGACGAGAAGGCCTCGGACGTCAAACTCAAGTATGTTTGACGAATGTCTGGCACCTGCGTCCAGCTCAACTTCTACCTCTGTGGTTTGCAATTTTCCCAAACAACACTGCGCCGCACCCTCCGTGTCAGTTGACTGACCTCGAATCACGTTGTCGTCTCTATCTCGTCCGTAAAAATGCCTCCCTCAACGCCGCAGCCGGCGGATGACTCTCATCAGCAGCTCCTCGATCAGATGGACATCTACTACGCGCCAAAGCCCTTTCGCAACGCCACCTGGAAGCCCAGCACGCGCCGAAACAAAAATACCAAACAAATCATTTCCGAGTCGCAGCGCAAAGAAGCCTCAGTCCTCGCAACCCAGAACAACTCTGGCGCATCAACGCCTAACCCGGCCACTGGCGCGACCTCAGATGGTGCCGCGACACCAGCATATTCTTCCGCGGCCTCGCGGCCCCTAAACGTGGCACAGGCAACGCAAAGCTTGAGTACACTGGTCTTGGAGCGGAATTTGCAAAGGGCCGCGAATGGTCCTGTCGCCGGGTTGGGAGGCCCGGCGGTCACTTACACGAATATCGAGAGCGCTCCGAGTCTACACCCTGCAAATCACAAACACTACTGCGATATCACAGGCTTACCTGCCAAATACACGGACCCGAAGACAAAGTTAAGATACTACAATACAGAAATATTTGGCGTGGTGAGAACCTTGCCGCAGGGGGCTCCCGATCAATATCTGGCTGCAAGAGGCGCAAACGTGATCTTGAAATAAGAGCGTGACACAGCGGAAAGGAAATATTATTCAAAAGATTCAGACAGACCAAAGGGAAGGCCGTTGAATCTCTAAACTGCATACTGTACGACTGTCAGTCCATCCAAGTCAAGCCCATTCCACCCGCCGCACACCTTTCAGTGTACAGTTCAAGGAAGTGCTCCGGCTTAATTGTGGACATTTCAAGGTTGATCTCCGCCTGTTTGACACGATACCGAATCCTCATCCCAGGAGCAGAATCAGTTACAGCAACTTGAAAGAGCTGTGGTCAAGGCGGGTTTTATACTGTGCTTCACGCAGCTCGGATTGAGCCGCGGGTTGCAGCGCTGTGTATAGCAGAGTGGCATCGTTATGCTGTGTAAGGATCAGGCAAGGAAATGCCCTCCGCACCCGCGATAGAGCAAAGCATAGGAGAGCAGGCACATCGGGTCGGAGGAATAGTTGTAGGGGTGCTATCTCTGGTGCCCTTGGGGAGACAGATGCCCTCACAAGAACCTGGTAACATGAGGGACATTCTTGAGCTGATGGCCCAGGCTGGGTAGTTGCGGCGGCACTCTTATAGAAAGGTTCTGCGTCAAGCCGACGGAGCTTCGAGGATTTGCGGATTTCTATAAAAGTGTAGAATGAAAAGTTGGGCTTTTTAGTCCCCCAAAATAATCCCAAGCCATGGACCCTTGTTAGCCTCGCCGAATGCGCATGTGCTGTAATTGCGGAGTTTGGGGGTTTGTCCAACGCGCTTTTCTTTATTTCTCCTTGAGCCATTGTTCGTGTCTGTAGGCGGTCTTCGGCCAATACCGCAACCCTGGATATGTTTCAGGTAGGCAAAATTGTCAAATATGAGGCCGTCCGAACTGACTCGGTCCACAGCGCCTCAAGGGGGCCATAGACAGTCGGATTGCCGAAGAACAGGCACGACAGCGTCAGGCCGCCCTCAGTGCACAACCCGCACGAAACAACCCCCGGCGGCGTCCTCAGGGCCCGAATGAAGGCTCCCAAAGACGGCCCTCCCGTCAGAGAGATCAGACCAGTGCCTCCCTCGACAAAGGCCCAGATCCTTCCGAATTCGAACCTGAGTTTGCCATAGGAGATGATGAGAGCACTGTACCAAGCAGGGCGGCTACCCCAAACCCGGAGATAAGGAACAGAGAAAAAGAGGCTGGGAAGGAGAAGGAGCAGCCGACGGGTGAAGATGGCCAGGCAACAGGGACTCTTTCAGAAGCCACCGTGGACAAGAAGCCCTCAGAAGCCAATGGCGATGGCGCCGGCGATGGCACTGGCCCCTTGCGTCCCCCCGAGCTTCCTACCGAAGTTCGGGTCAAGCTACGAAGGCTTGATCGAGTTGAGGCCAAATACGGAGAACTGTTAAAGGCATACAGAACAGCACACTCGAGAATCCAGGCCGTGGAAGCCTTCGAAGCCTCGCTACGGGAGAACACGCCACTGACCAGCATCAACGAGCCGGGAGCCCTGGTTGAATATCTGAATCAGATCAATCTAAAGAGCGACATGGTTTTGGAAGAACTGAAAAGAGTCACCACTGACAGAGATGAGCACAAGAAGAAGCTGCAGGCGTCACAGGAAGAGAATGGTAACCTGCGCGAAGAAATCGCCGAGTTAAAGAGCAAGCCGGCAACGGTCGTCGCGCAACCAGAAACCCCCGAAAAAGCAGACTCGATCACAAACGCAACCCCTGCTGAGACGGCCGATGGTGCTTCCGTCACCGAGACAGTTGAGCCAGGGTTCGTCGCAAAGTCTCCCACCTCAACTTCATCTCGAATCGCCAGCTTCTCCTTGTTCTCGCCTCGCTCGAAAGCGGTTTCATCCCCAGCGAAGGAGACGTCCGAGGAGCTGTTCTCGTTCGATGCAGAACACACCAAGCTAGAGGCCGAGTTGCACGAGCGGCAGACAGAAGTGGAAGAGTTGAAGAAGCAAGTTGACAGTCTGAAAGGTGATCTACAGGTCGCGCGTGAATCAAGTGAAGGCATGGTGCAAAATCTGGAGACCGCCACCCGCGAATTACACACCCTCCGAGAAGCCAAGGACAAGTTTGATGAGACGAAGACCGAGTTGCAGAACAAGATCGACGAACTGGAGGCCCATACCGTGTCAGATTCAGACCTCACTGGCGCACTGCAGAAGGAAGTCGAAGTGCTGAAAGTGCAGAAGAGTGAGGCAGCTAGCCAGATCCAGAAATTGGAAGTCCAGATTCAAGAACTAGAGGCGGCTAAAGCCACGCTCAAGGACAAGGTTGATTCCCAGAGCCAGGATGCGAATTTGCTCAGTGAAAAGTTGTTCCAGAAAGACTCCATCGTAAAGGATCTCGAGGATACATTAGCAATGTACAAGTCTGCGGAACGACAGGAAGCAAGACAAAAGGAGGACGGCCAAGCGAACGAAAAGAAACTGGCTACCATGCAGAAGATCATGAGTACACTACGGCAGCAGCTCGACAAGGCTGAGAAGACCGTTGCGGAGCTGAAAGCAGAAGTGCAAAGCAATCAAGAGGAGTTCTCGAGACGTCCGTCCTCCAAAATATTTGGGTTCTTGGATGAGAGTGCAAAGGCCAAACTCGACGCCTTAAAATCCCGTGAAGATGTTGTGAAGTATCTTTCGGAGAATTTTGGGTTACAGAACCCTACCGGTAACAAGGTCGATCTGGCGCCTGCCGCTCCCTCCCCGGCCCCATCGGAGGCCGGCACGGGTCCTTCCAAGAAGAAAAACAAGAAAAAGAAGAAGGGCAAGGGCCAGCAAACAGCAAATGACGGGGTTGATACCTCAACGCCGGTCAAAGTGTCGGAAAATCTGGCCGAGGTCGATGAAGGAGAGACCGGGAATGACAAGCCTTCTGAGATGGATATTTCAAAACTCGAACAGGAGATTGGTGATTTGAAGGCAGAACTGGCGAGGAAGGCGGATGCTATTGACCGATTTTCCCAGCAGTTGAAGGACCAGGAAGCTTTACGCGAAGAGATCGAGACACTACGGGATGATCTTTTGCACCAGGGCGAAGAGCACGTGGAAGCGCGTGACGCTTTGAAGGATGCCCAGGCGCAGAAAAACAGTCTCCAGGAGACTGTCAACAAACTCGAAAAGGATCTCTCGGAAGCTCGTAAAGCAGTCGCCACCGCAGCAGAGGCGGAAAAGGCTCATACGGATTTACTGGAGCAGTATGACGAACTCAAGGGAAAGTGCATCAACCTGGAGAAGGATCTCGCCGCGTCTGAACAGCTTGCAACGGCTCGGTACAAAGACATCACCGATCTCAAGGAGTTGCTCTCTAAAGCCCAACCCGAGTTGAGGAACTTGAAGAATGAAGTTGCCGAGCTTAGGTCGGCGAAGGACGACCTCAAAAATAAGACAGGAGAGTTGAACCGGCTTGAAGCCCGACACGAGGACATCAAGGCCGAGCTCAAAGGTCTCAGCAAGAGACTTGGAGACAAAGACAGTGAAATCAAAGAGCTGAAGCTGAAGGTCGAGCAAGAGACAACGACGCGGACCCGTAAGGAAAAAGAACTCGAGAAGTCACAGGACGACGTACGGATGGCGGAATCAAGGCGACAGGAGGCGGCAGCTTCTGCGGATCAACTAGCCCAGGATCTCGCCAAAGCAAAGGAAGAGTCGACCACGTTGACGACGAAAATTCGTGACTTGGAGGAACAACTAACCGTGCATACTCGACAAGTGACAGAGTTGAAGGAAGAGCTCCATCTAAAGACCGCTCTACATTCGTCTTCCCAGTCTTTGGTCCAATCACTGCGGGACCAGACGCATGAGCTAACCATGCAGGCGCGCGAAGCCACGACACGAGCGGACAGCCTTGAAGAGGAACTGACCGAAACGCAGCGAATGCTTTCCGAACGCACGAGGGAGGGTCAAACAATGCGCATGCTCCTGGACCAGGCCGAGACTGGCACTGAAGCCAGGATCCGTGAAATGAAGGAGCGCATGGAAGCGGCCATTGAAGAAAGAGATCGTGTTGAGGACGAGGCCAGCGTCAGTAATCGTCGGATGATGCGCGAACTCGAGGAGGCACGCAGCAAGGTGCGAGAGGCCCAACGGGCGCTGAAGGGGGTTCAAAACGAGAAAGACGAGCTGGAGACCCGGCTGCGAGACTGGAAGAAACGGCGAGATGAACTCGAGCAATCGGCATCCCGGGCAGCCAAGGAGATGGATGACATCAAGGTCGCCATGGCTGGACTTCGCGAAGCCTTGGATGAGAGCGAGAAGCAGGTGCGCGAGCTTGACGCACAGAAAACGGACCTTCGCCGAGCCGCGGATGAGGCGAGAGAACGCGTCGACAAGTTGACCAAGGCAAACAAGAACCTTACGGAAGAGCTGAAGGCGGTGCAATCCGGCACGAGGAATCTGAGGGGGCCGCCAGGTCGGCCCGGCACGGGACTAGAGTCTGGAGTTCCCAGTTCGAGAACTTCGGTCGATTCAGCCAGCGCACGGTCGCCCGCTCCTAAAGAGCGTGCTCCGTCGACGGCGACCAGTCGAAGCGAAACGCCCAGCACGGCCGGCCTGAGCCAGGCGACGGTCGACTACGTGTATTTGAAGAACGTGCTTCTCCAGTTTCTCGAGCAGAGGGATAAAGGTCATCAGAAGCAGTTGATTCCGGTGTTGGGCATGTTGTTGCATTTCGACCGGTAGGTGATTCCGTCCATGTCCATGGCGGATGAATTTCAGTTTGCCAGTGCAGAAGATCTGACAATGTGAACAGGAAAGATGAGCAGAAGTGGATGGCTGCCATCTCCGCTCGGTAATCAGGTAATCAAGGAAGCTGCTTGAAACCTCTGGAGTGCTCCTGTTGTATTCTCGTGCTTGTCTAGGTAGCCGAATTGATTGAGCACCCTGGGACCTGGGGCAGGATTTGAGGACTTTTGTGTAGGGGATGTAATGAGGACAGGACGAAGCTTGAGGACAGCGGGGGCACGCTCTTAAGACGACACGATGCAGGGTGAATCTCCATAGGATGGCGGTCTACGGAAAACTGTTTTGTGTGTATATGTATGCGTGTAACCCTAACCCTAACATATCTCTCTCTCTCTCTCTGTATGTGTGTGTGTGTACGGAATACGGAGTGTGTATGTGATAATGTATATATGTGTGTGTGTGTGTGTGTGTGTGTGTGTATATGTACGGAGTATGTGTATATGTGTATGTGTACGGAGTATGTGTATATGTGTATGTGTACGGAGTATGTGTATATGTGTATGTGTACGGAGTATGTGTATATATTATAGGAGGTCATGGCCCACCCTCTCTCACCCAACTCCAGAAACGACCTCGATCATATCATACCGTACTCCGCACCTACCTACGGAGTCCACGATCGATGCTTGCCCAGCTCCTTAGCCACGATGGCATGCCACTTAAGCCATTGTTCAACTGACGTGAAAGATAGATGATCATACTTTAGGGACTGTACTTGTACTGGTCATACTATGAAATATCATCTCAAACCTTTTACTTTGGCTCTCTCTCACCACTCCTACAAGTACAAGCAAGACTAATTACGGAGGAAGTACTTTGAGTAATCACTCATCCATTGTCAATAACCTATGTAGCCGGCCAGCGAGCTACATGTATTCATGCAGACATAATAGGGAGAAGCCCAGCACTTACACTTACACTCGCCGTCCCATCCACTCACCTACTTATACACTCACTCACTCACTCACGCACCTACCAGTATTCACCTACCAGTATCACGTACCAGTATCGCCTACCATTCACCTACCAGTATCACGTACCAGTATCACTTACCGCTATCACCTAGCAGGATCAAACCCGCTCCTCCAAAACACATTGGCTCGGACGCATCATCTCACCGTCGAAATGCAGACGATTGCACGACTCAGGCGAGCCTCGGACCCAGGAGCGGGCGTATTTGTTCTGGCCCTGGCTTTGGCGGCGCGGACCGCGGTTGTGGTTGCGGTTGTGGTTGCGGTTGTGATTGTGGTTGTGGTTGTGGTCATTGTCACGTCCGGCCGGAGAAGTCACAGTCACGGTCACGGGTGAAAGATCAACGTCAACATCAAGACCAACATTGACAGCAAAATCAATGGCGCAATCCGAACCAGAAACAGATCCAAGACCAGATCCAAGACCAAGGTCCATGGCGGGCGGCGAAGACGGCGGCGTGGCGAGACTGGGCACGGTAGTCGAGACTGAGCGAGATGCAGATGAAGAACCGATACTGGCGGTGGCGGTGGCGGGGCCAGTTTCGATGTCGTCCAGACTGTAACCGTTGGTACGGCCACTGGGCTGAATAGGTAGGGAGCCAGAGCCAGAGCCATTGTCACCAGTCATGTCGTTGTCGACGTAGTTGTCGAAATCCTGCAAAGGCGAGCGTGCAGACGTGGAAAGTTGACCGGTGGTGTTGGCAGATGCGACAGTCTGGAGCTGCGAGTCGTCGTGTCCATGCTGGTGCTGCTGTTGGTAGTCATCGTCGACGTCGCCGTGGCTCTGGCGGGTCGTCCAGTTCCAGGTGCGAGGCCACGTCGCATGTGTGCGCGGTCGTGGGTCCATGAGCACATTGGCCGGGGTACGGGATAGATCGAATTTGCCGGGTGTGACGAGACCCCATGGCGTCTTGACAGGGAGTTGAGCTGGAGCCTTTCCTCGACGTCGCGCAGTCATAGCTGCAGTCAGACCAGAACGATCTGAATGATCAGAATGACCAGACTGTTCAGACTGAAGAGAAATATCAGAAAGACCAGAAAGACCAGACAAACCAGAAAGACCAGACAAACCAGAAAGACCAGACAAACCAGAAAGACCAGACAAACCAGAAAGACCAGACAAACCAG